TAATAGTAGATATCCTAGATATCGATCTTACTAAAGTATTTTACTCCTAAAAGTCGATCTAAAATCTCTAAAATAAGAGATAAAGGGTATCGATTCTTTACCGTAATCTTATTAAATCCTTGATAGTCTATATATAGATATAATCCTCTATTTTTCTTCGGAATAAAAAGGATTAATACTCTAGTAGGACTTTTTAAGGGTCTAATCCTTCCGTTTATAAGATTTTCGTTAATATAGGTTTATAATATTTATAATTCGCTTTATAATAAAAAGTATATTAGTCTATAAGATAGGGAATAGTTATTTTCTAGCTTAATAGTATAATCCTATAAATTATTAGATAGAAGGATTTATGATCGCTCTACTAAGAAGATATTAATAAATTAGTATAGTTTTAGGGGGATTTCTAAAAGATAAGTAGTTAGTTCTTTATCTTCTTTATAGAGTAACTAGACTTCCTTTAGGAGTTTTACAATAGCGTAGATAATAACGCGTTTTCGATATTCTTTCGCGAGTTCCTAAACTAATACTAACTTAATTCTAGTAGCTTTAAACTACTAACTTCAGTTCTATAGTAAAATATAGATATAATATTTAATAAGTATTATTATTAAAAGTAAGATTAGACTTCCTTATTTATAAAGGTCTCTATTAATCGCGAGATAAAAACGAATTATTAATTTAGTAGTCTCTCGAGAGTTAGTAAATATAATAAGTATCTTCTATATACTATATAAAAGGGTTTCTTGATTATCTATTATTCTAAGTAGTATTAATAATAGTTTTGCTCTCTATAATTTATACTTTTCCGCGAATTCGATACTAATAATATTAACCTTAGTATAGGTATCTATATCTATATATATTTCGACTTCGTTCCGTAGTAGTACTAGAATATAAAGATAAATCGTAGTTCCTACTTAGGGTAATAGAGTTAGCTATATAGGAATTAGACTAACTCGTTATTATTTTCTGACTCGATCTAAGTTATTACTTATATACTAGTTTTCTTATTTAATTTATTAAAGTAATAATTAACGAGATAGGTTTTGTTTTAATAAATATAATATCGAAAGGTTTTCTTGTCTCTTCTAGTTAGGTTTTTTTCCTTTTTTTAGATCCTTCTTTTAGATCCCTAAGTTTTGCGGTTTAGTTAATATTAATTAGTCCGAAATTACTTATTTATAGGTCCTTTAAGGGTTTTAGGGCCTTTTCGTTTTTGTGTCGATTATAGTAATCTCTAGTAATATATAGCTAAGGATATTATCCTATCTTGGTTTTTAGGTAGCTCGTGTATATATTCCTATATATATTACTTAAGGTTATAGGTAAATTTCGAGAATATTATAAATACCCTCTTTTTCTTACTTTAGTAAAAGAAGTGTCGTTTTAATAAATCTAAAAATATATAAAACTCTCGCGGATCCTACTCTAGACATTAATAAGCTCTTTATAATTATCCTATAATATCGATTTTAAGAGTTGTAGTATCTTTAATAAGAGAGAGAGTCTAATTCTTAAAATAAGTCTACGAAGTATTAACGTTTCGCTATTTTTTCTTAGGTTTCTTAGTAATATACTAATACTATCTCTACTAGTAGATAGGTTCTATATATAATAGGGTTATAATAATTTGCTATTCCTCGTGACGATACTTCTACAGCGCTCTCTTAAAGATAAAAGAGAGATCTAAGAGCTATTCTTCTCTTTACTAAAAAGAGGAGTAGATCGAGAATATTAGGATATTTCTAATCCGGATCTTATCTTTATCTTTTATAAGGGATAAACCCTGATTTCGTTATTAATTCGTTAAGGGTTTAGTAGTATTCCCTTATTTAAGCTAACTTCTTATTTATTAGGCTATTTATTATAGCTCTTATAGATATTAAAGTTTTTCGATCGTTTCCTAGGTAGTCTATAGGTCTTTATCTAATTAAGTCTAATTAGTTTCGGATAGAGGGGTTTACGATATCTCTTCGGGAGTATTACTCTAGTATATTATAATAGATCGGGTCTATAGGGTTATCCTATTTCTTTAAGTAATTAAAGAGGAAGATTCAGAATTATAAAGAATATACTTATTAAGGTATAAGGCCTATTAATTAGATAAAGAAATAAAGGGAAGAAGTAAAGAAAAATAGTATATCCTTATTACTATTAAGACTAAATCTTATCTTACTAGCTAGATACAGGAGTATTAATTTATTATATAGTATCTTCGTAACTCCATATATCATCGATAATATAAACGACTAGATCTCTATTATATATTGTGATCATTCTACTATAGGGTGGATCAAGCAACAAGTTCCGACTTCCTTTAGGATTATATAATATCACCTGATTCACCCCTTCCGTCAGTTGGGAATAACTTCATGCCTTGCCATCTTGGTAGACCCTTTATAATAAGATAAGGCTTCGAAAATAGCGGTAGCTTGATCGATCTACTTTGGATAATATAACTATAGCAAAACGACTTTATTAGGTAAGAATATATCAATATTTTACCTCTAAAGATTGGGCTCGCGTCTATTAGTCTGATAAATATACTATCGAGTGAGGTGCTAGTTATCGAAAGCCTTATACCTTTAATCGACCCTCGTAGTAACGAATCGAGCGAGATATTTATAGTAGACTATATAGAAAATAAGTAAAATAGATATTTTAGGCTACTTTCTCTAGCGAAATCCGACGTACTAGTCTATAGGTATTACAAGGTAACCCTAATATACCTCGCGGCGGCGTGGATACAGAGGTTATCTCTAATTTATATAGAGTTATTTTACCTACGTTGCTTAGACTAGGTGCTATTTTTATATATAATAATACGCTAGTTTATCGCGCGTATATCGTACGTGAGCTTTTGGAGCGATATAGGGTTAATACTATAGTATAGCCACCTTATTCGCTAGATCTCAATCCAATTGAGAACGTGTGGGCTTTATTAAAGGCAAAGATCTATGAGTTACACCCCGAGCTACTAGATATGCCTAATAATAGTACTACACTAGAACGTTTAATTGATGCAGCGCAAGAAGCATGGGATAAGATTGATTAGGGGGTTCTGCAAAATCTATCGAATTCGATGCCAAATCGGGTGAAAGCAGTTATCGAAGCAGAGGGTTGGTATACTAAATATTAATATGATACTAGTATATAGGGATTAGAATACAGAATAAAGAGTTTTTTTGACTGGCAGAATATTATATAATATTATGTGGGTCAGGGGGTAGGGTATGCAAACTTTTGATCACCCACTGTAGGTCGTGGGTTTGGGTTATAAGTCAAGATCTTTGACCCATGGGACGGGCCTGTCCATGTCTAGACACTTCCGTAGCCCTAACGCCACCCGATGTAATTACAGCCCCTCCATATCTAGTATACTTAATGATAGACCCGAGTCTATAAGCTAATCACAGCTGAATAAGCTTAGACTACTTTAGTTATCTAAGTAGGAAGAGGGGAGGGTTTATAACGAGGAGCCGCTAAGCTATATCTACTATATAATAGAATAACGGGTTACTATTAATAGGAAGGTAGTGTTAAAATACACGGAAAAAGACCTCGTTTTGGCCCTAAATACCTACTAGCAGCGGTTCTTACAGGATAAGCAAGATAAGGTCCTTCGACGGAAGACTTCCTATAACGGACGGGTAAGAGCTAATAACACTAAGATCGTTGTATCGGTAAATAATCGTACCTAGCGTAATCTGACAAAACGATTCGATCACGCTGATATTAATTAGCCGCCTATTAAAAAAAGCTTATAATATAGTTAAACCTCTTTTGTCAAGGAAAGTAACTTAGATTATATATCTGTTTTAACTATATAGAGGATAACCAATCTCCCGTTGGCCGGAAGGGAGAAAAGAGAGGTAAATCTTTAGTTACAACGCGGATACTTAATAAGCGAGACGTATATCTTAATACTAAAGAGAATATCTATAGAGGATAGGTAATTTAACGCCGCGTTTATAATTTAATGAAATATTCTATACTATTATACTAGCTAGGGCCTTACTACTAGCTAGACCCGATAAGAAAAAAGCATTACCAGCTTAGGACTTAATATCTTAGGAAGTTGGTTACCTACGCTAAGAAAGGTGGCGTTCTAGAGACGCACAAAGACGTTCCAGATACAATCCGTGAAGATATTTACCTGGAAGAATAACAGAGACTGGAGAGACACAAGCGTAAGGGTGTAAATACCACTGAGACTGGAGCACCTTGTCCCCCTATCAACATCAATATTCTCCCGTCGTAGGCTTCCGGGCTAGATCTAACAGCCTCTAAAACAGCTGTTGAATCGGTTTGTCCGAAGGACGCGTACCCGCTGAAGATTCCCGGGTTCAAGGATATAGCTGTTAGTGAATACGCTGAATGGCTTGCGTCAAGTGTATCAGATGACACACTCAAAGCTGTATTTCGATAAGCATATGACGTCACGTTGTCAGATGGGTTTGACCTGGAACATATATATAAGGACTAAAGCCCTGAGTTTTTCGTCAGTAAAGGGATCAAGCCTGGGATTGCTCGAAGTTTTGTAGAAAATATTCGGGATTAGGTCGAGAACGTGAAAAGCGCAGCGCCTATTAATTAAGTGATCCAGTGTTGGAAGCAAGGCGTTATTGTTATTGCACTGTCAATTTCATCCTACTGTACCAAATTTTTTTTTTTTTTTTTTTAGCAATTTCTCATACATAGTGCGTTGAATTGATTTTGGAAATGCTCTTCTCCAAGGAGGCCCCTCTTGAATAGCCCGAGCTTCAACAGGTCTCCGGCAAAACTACTAGGCGGTGAGGTTGCTAGGAAGGCGTTCCTCCCCCTTTCTCTTCAACCACCATCATAAAATAAAGGACAGCGACAACTACCTACTTCTTTCTGCTTTTCGCTTGGTGTCAAATTCCTCTCGCTTAGACTGACCCTTCATGACTTTTCAGCTGTGACCAACAGGCGCATAAAAAAACTCTATCTGAGCTTTCCCTCCTTTTGTGCAAACGATGAGGCTGGTATATTAAGAACGCACTAATTCTCGATCTATTACTCATTTGATTGAAGTGTAGCGTCCGTTGCGAAATCGAACAACCATGTCAACAGAACATAATCGGTGCTGGTCAATTCAGTATTATTCACAAACTGAGTGATACGGTCGTTCGGAAAGTTCCAGCCGACAAGTCATACTTCTACAGCGCCCGTGCCGTGGAAATAGAAGGTCGAGTGTATGGTCACCTTGGAAGGAATAAACGAATTGCACGGTGTATCAACTGGGGCGACGATTTTGTCGACTTACGATATGAGCGCAAAGGCGATCTCGAGACTTATTTGAAGAACACTCGTTTGACGGACCATGCGAAATACCGTATTGCTCGACAAGCCATTAAGGCAGTTGCCTTTATTCACAAAAAAGATGTTATTCATTCCGATCTCAGCGCTCGTCAGTTCCTGATGGACAAAAAGTACAATATCAGACTGTCCGACTTCGGCGGGTCGTCATTACAAGGTTCTGAGGCGATCGTTATGGAGAACGCTTCGCATTTCTTACCGCGAGATGAGGATTCGTCGAATAGTGTACAGAGCGATTTATTCGCTCTTGGGTCTACTATTTACGAGATCTTACTCGGCAAGAAACCTTACGAGGGAGCCGAAGAAGATGATATCCAGCGTTATTTTTCCCAGGGGGTCTTTCCAACACTGGAGGAAATCAGGAATTGGCAGTGGGAGAATGTTATTCGCAAATGCTGGAAGTGCGAGTACGATTGTGCGTCTGATATCCTTAAGGACACTCTATCTCCCTCATGCTTTATGCGCGTCTTCGCCAGAATCTAGAACACTTCTCGGTGGTAAAGCCTTATAATCCAACCGTGTATGTTTTGCGTTGACGGTAGATACAGATGGTCGATAAACTCCGGGTGGTAGATGGGTGCATGCGGATACAGTAGGTGATTCTATGCCCTAGCGCATTTGATGAGTTAGTATGTTATTAGGATAGACAGAAGCTGATTATACTATACTCTACCTAGCGGTGTGTAGGGCACTTTCCCCTTACTCTGTTCGACGCTCCGTGGCGCACTTCATAGTTACGACAACTATCTCTCGGTCCGCTTTTCGGTTTGTCGGGGTAGTTAGGTCCAGGAACGATTTGAAATTTGTTGCAGTCTGGGTTTTTACACCCCTGACTAAAAATGGTTGTTGTCTTGTAATCGACACATATGTCTTCGTTAAAAATGGCTTTGAATGGATTAAGCGATTAATCAATGTTGGTGAACGGCGTAATCGATGGCTTTTATAGTCGCTCTGATAGGCGGTAAGCAAGATTGAGTCCAGGGTATGTGATGTTTCAAGTGTCGGGGCGCTTTCTCTGCCGTTTCCTAGGCACCAATGTGATGAGGTCTGTATGCGCCTTCTTTATGCGTGGCATGGAACAACCATATGGGAATCTTGCGGTACAAGCTTAACTCAAGTCAAGAGAAGATCCAATGGTTGCATCGTCTCTTGCTGACGCGGCCTGCATCCTCATCCCTCTGAAAGCGCCTCTGATGTAATATAGAGCGCCTGGTTGGAAAAAGCCCTATAAGATTGTCAAATTTAGCGCCGGCCTACCGAATTCGAGTCTACCCCGCAACCACCGTTGCCGATGCGTACAGTGGAGGTGCGACCCTAATGCCATTGATTCCTGTGCTGTCTTATACTATAAACCATCTTGAATTAAGTAGAAAGCTGCTATCAAAGCTCCACCGTCACGCCGGAGTGCCGGAAATGGCCCTGGGCACTTTGTTCTCTTACGCCAACCACGCTAATACACTATTCAAGAAAAGAATCAATCCTTGGTCGGGGTCTTCCTCATAATATCTCTAATTACGTTTAATAAAGCCCTTAAGCTCGGAAAAAAAACTCCTCGATTAGGTTTAGGTCCGGCGAGTAGGGGGGCAAATAAACTAGTTTCACTCCCGTATTAGTATATATCTACGCTACTAGCTCGAAATAGTGGAACGACATATTATCTATAACTAGGACAGACTTCGGCTCCGGCCATCTTCTATAGTGCTGAAGTAGCTGATCGATAAAGTCCTCGAATATCTTTCGTTACGGTGGATAGTGACTATCCTAACCGCCTAAATCTAACCCGTTTATCATATCTAGATTCGTCAACATATATAAGATAATACGATTGGAATTCCGATAAATTATAGAGATAGAATTCTCGTAAATCAGCGTTCTACTCTTTAGCCTTCTACCGAGCTGTTTTTTTAGACCAACCCTTAAAAGCTATAGCCCTCCTAATACTAGATATCGTTGCTAGTGTCTAAAACTTATCGTATAGAAAAATAACTATCTTATCTAGGTAGAGACTAGGTTTTTCGAGTAGATATTCGCAGAGAGCTTCTAGTATTGGTGGCGTTATACTTTGTCTTCGGCCGATACGGTTTGGGGAAGCATAAACACTTCCGAAAAGCCGTAAGTTCCTCCGAATATTCTTAATTGTAGGCTCGTTGCATTCAGCTGCTTCAGCCATTTGTGAAGTGGTGAGTGACTGGCTCTGTATCATATCACGGATAAGGAATAGTTTCGAGGGAGGAAGTCTTAGTGCCATATTGTGCAGATCTCCTTTTGGTGATTCTCAAGGATGTGAGTAGTGGAAAGACAGACACATGAGGGGCAGGGAGGTTGCATGCGTATAGCAGTGTTATGTAAAGTACAGTATTATAGGTCAACAATGGTAATATAAAATACACATTTCTATTTTTGGGAGTTGGAGGACCTCCAGCTATGCTATATTTAGCATTGGCTGTTTCATATTAGGGTTCGGGAAACAACACGTCTGTGTACAGAAGGTAAACTGTTTTCGACTCTGACTGTAAGCGAGAGAGAGAGAGAGAGAGAGAGAGAGAGAGAGAAGTCAAAAATTTAGGGGGATAAGAGAGAGGGGGGAAGATAAAGGATCTGACTAGTAATATTATTACTATAGCGCTAGTAAGGTAGGTAGGCCTGCTTAAGACTTTTGATATGGACCTCTGTAATATAGAAGATAAATAAAGAAAGAAAGAAATCTTCGTTATCGGTGTAGAGGACCAATAGCTGAAAATACCGTGGGTCCGAGTCGAGGGGACGACTACTAGATCACCAAATTTACTGCACATGGTATCGTCATTATTTCTTCCTCCGATCGACAGGTTTACTACCCCGCCAAGTGCATGGCCCCTTAAGAATATCGATGATGGTCGTATATGTTCCCACCACGAGTATGATTGATACGTGTTGGAAATTGCCCCGATCGCAATAACCTTGAAGATACTACGGAGGTATAGCCCCTAGTTCGACCTTGACAAGTTTCATCAACGCTGGAATACGAGGACTAACCGCGGGTCGCTCTTAATTCAAAAGGGTCGATGGGGGACGCCAACGAGGTCCAACAGGGGCAAACGGGGGCCAATAGGGGCCAAAGGGGGCGGATGATTGTAAGGAATGTAGGGCATGCTATAGGCGAGTTGGCTATGGTAGTAGAAACTTCGGCCCCAAGGTTGTTCTTCAGCTCGGGCTACATGTCTAGTGTATTTTTCGTCTTTTGGGAAGGTCAGTGTCCTATCACCCCTTTTGACCCCTGAGAACTCATTCATTTTAGGTGTTGCATTTCATTAGGACCTCGATGTTATCTACTCAGATATTAATATGACATGCCCATGAGTTACATAAACCTTGGGAGAACCCCTCACGCCCAAAATGCCGTCGGAAAGGGGTCGCAACCACATGAATCTTCCTTGGATTCTAAAACTCGGATATCTATTTTATCTTTTAACTCTTGCCTACGCTGCTCCTACCTCCGACCTTGCACCAGCGCTCTCCCCCCGGCCTGATACCGAAACAGACCTGCTTTATGCACTCGACCAAGATGAAGGGAATCCTCTCGTTAAGCGAAGGTTGAATCGTTATGCGACTGGATGGCCTATAGGCCGGGACTTACATCGCAATAAGATTTATGCATTTGGTCCAAGCATAAATAGTTTACCAAGAGGCATAGTCACAGTTGGCGGGAGAATAAATGGTGGAAGCACAGGGGAAATTCATCTGGCCTCACTATTGACATTCAACCAGCCGCGGGAAGTACGCCAGAATACGGAAAGCCGAAAATGGGGTGGGAAACCCGTTGGAGATGAACAAGCCCAGAACAATCTCGTCGCAAAACTCTCGGAATTGTCTCAGACATACAGAGCGGCACGGATAACGGAAAGTCTCGAAGCGAGGAATATCGTACCCCGTGTGTACACGGCTCTCAAGGTTCCTCCAAACTGCGACAACGGCGTGCCGTACTGGTCACTCGTTGTTATGGAGAGAATGGATGAAGATGCAGCACACGCCTTGAGGGACTACAGCAAGGGACGAGCGTCGCGTGGTTTCAATCGTCTCAGCTTAATGAAACAATTCGTGGGGGGGTTGGACTATGCCCACGACCTAGGGATTGCCCATGACGATCCCCATCTTAATAATCTGATGAGGCATGCTGGAAGTAACCGGTGGAAGATCATTGATTGGGATTTTGCCACTGATTACGGCCGGAAACCAGGTAAGGTCCGAATCACTTCCTATACGCGAACATAAACTTACCCTTGCCAACCTTCACCAGCAAACATAAGAGAGATCAAAGATTTCGCAGATGATGTTATGAAAGTCGGGCTCAGCCTTCTACAGGCTGCTGTCCCTACACTGTTATTGGATGATAGACAAATGTCTCGTCTATATCATTTTGCATGGCAACCTCGAAGCGCATCTAATATCAGAGAAGGGCTAGCAGATCTGTTCGATCTCGAGAAGAATCCTGAATTTTTAAAAATCGTTAGCAAGGCCATCTGTCGACAAATGGAGCGGCTAACAATGAAAGAGCTCTATTCTGCGCTCCGGAAATTCCCAGGGAACGATCTTCCCTGGTACGAATAGAGGGAGCATACGCAAGACTTGCCTATAAGATAATCAAATCGATTTGACAACCTAATCCATCCCGCTCTATCTGCAAACAAGACCACTAGCGCCGCACATGCACGCGTCGACCCCGAATCGAGGAAGGGTAGCCAGCTGGTCAAGAAGTATTTTGCTCATTGATGATCGCTTAAAGGCTACCGTATAGAGATCGCCAAGATAGCATTGAAGAGCTATTAAGACGCCTTGTTAACAGACGGTGAGAGTGGCAAAAGTCGTGCTCCAAAGCAAAGAAACTCTTAGTTTTGCCCTAGATAATCAACGGTTTGACTTCTCTAGTTGAACACGATCGCGGCTTTGACTACCGACTTATTTCTCATTGCATCGAGACACGCCTGCCATTCTTCCAGTTTGAATGTTTTGTTGACAATACCATCAACCCTGATCCGCTTCCCATCTGCTCAAAGCATTCTTCATTAGTAAACTAAAGTCTTGTAAGGTAGTTGGATACTGACCAAGGTAATTGATAGCAGCCGGAAATTTATAGGTCTGACTGAATGATCCCAACACGTTGATCTCCTCCTTGAAAATCATATTTGGTGATAGCGAAACATGATCTTTATCACCATAGACACCATAGACCACCAACTTGCCACCCTTTGTCACGAAGTGGATAGCATTCTCGAGCATCTTCGCACCGCCAGTAGCTTCCACAACAATATCGAACCCATATGGGTTGTCTGCTCGAAGCATTTCCATTCTAACAGCCGCTGCCTGTGCCTCACGCGGGAATTCCACATACTCATCGGCCGCATCAAGAGACTTGGCAAGATCCATCTTCCAACCCCCCGGTGCAGCAATTACCATATGGCATGCACCATTTTGGCGAAGAAGCTGAGCCAGCATCAGACCTGTCGGTCCTGCTCCAAATAAAAGCACGCGCGATCCCATCTGAGGGGCGATCTTGTCCAGTCCATGTGCAGCACAGGCCGCAGGTTCCAGCAGCGTGGCATCCACATCAGACAGATTCTTGAATTTGAATACGCGGTTTCCTGGGTATGTGGCATATTCTGCAAAGCCGCCATCAATCATCACGCCATGGGCAATGAAGTTGTCGCAGAAGAGCTCCTTGCCCTGACGGCAGTAGTAGCAGTGTCCACATAACTCGGAGTTGTCTGCTACCACGCGATCTCCCACCGTGAAGCCCTGGACCTCGTTGCCAAATGCTGCGACCACACCGACAGTCTCATGTCCAGGTACAAGAGGGAACTGCACCAGGAGGTCTGAGAGAGAGAGTGAGGGATAGATGGCTTGATAGGGGTTGCCAGGTGGCCATTTTTAACTTACTTGATCTCCAAATTCTCCATCGTGGATGTGCAAGTCAGTGCCACACACACCAGAAGCCTTGACTTTGATCTGTGCAACTGATTTAATTTGGAAATGGCGAATTACTTTGCTGAAGTGGCCTACCAAGACATCGTGCTCACGGATTTTCGGAAGGGCCTTTTCAACAATATTGAACTTTCGAGCCTCACTGTACTCTGTCGTCCTCGGATCCTAATTTAGCTTAATATACTCTGACGTTAGTCTAATAGAAAGTGCCACTGACCTAGCGCCCGCATTGAAGGGGGAGACCCAAGGAATCCGTGCTACCCATCCTGGATCCGAAAATGGCAAATGATAAGAAAATTTGCTAACTGCGAATGTGAAAAGCGTCACTCAAGTGCAACTTCCGAAAAGAAAGACCGATCTCGTTTTTTTAAAAACGAACCGACTGCATAAGATATATGAGGCATTTTGGCGTCCCTTTTGTCGATTAGACAACTCGCTACGCGAGACGAGTGGGTTGATAAAGGTTATAATCTCCTTGGAAGTAAACCACTTGGCTCATTTCATGACCTCGAGACGGGGGCTGTGGGGACACCCCACATGATCAGCATCGATCAATCATTGCATGAAGTCGAGTGAAATATTTCAATGTACAGTAGCTGAGGCATCCGAAATGAAAATAGAATTCGATTTATTGAGTTGGATCATAAATGAAGCATAGTGATACTGAAGTTATATGCCTTTCCCCAAAGCAAGCTCTTAGCGACGAAGTATTGAAATACACACATATTCTAGAATCAAGCCTCGCCATGTTCCATAGTTTCCAGGTGCTGCACCATCTCATTTCCTTCTTTGGCCCGAATGATGTGTTCATCTCGAGCTAGGTACCTCTCAGGACGTTTCCTGGAGATTGCTTCCTTGTCAAGGCAGGCCAAGAGAGGGGGATTGCCGCGATAATAGGAATCCATGTCCTCCAAAGTGCGTCCTGCTGTCTCCGGATAAAAGACATAGATCACAGGAACCATAACCGCGTTCAAGACGATCCAAATGATATAAAAGCGCCAGCCGAGGTTTTGGATACCGGTAGGGGTAATTTCGACAACCATGAAATTGAAGATCCAGTTTGTCGCCGCCCCCAGCGCAGCACCTTTGGTCCGCATGGTGAGCGAGTTGATTTCAGTGGGGTACACTTTAAATGATTAATGATTGATTAGTGGTGAAATTGACAGGCAGAATGAGGTCCGGTTGTTGAACATACACCACGGCACACCTTGCATGCCAATCCCAAAGAAAACATAATACAAGAAGAAAAAAGCCACGGATGCCGAAGCCACTTCGTGCGGGTGAGCGTAGCCAGGCATTTCATTGCACCGAATGAGAGCCGTGATCAGGATATAACAAAAGCACATGCCTGCTGCGCCGAACATCATCAGCATGCGACGACCCCATCGCTCGACATTCGGGATGGCGATCATGGAGAAGAGTAAGTATTGGACACTGTTGCAGGCAGTGAGTAGTCTTGCCAAAGACTCTTCTAGCCCGACGGATTTGGTCAGGACTGTTGGCAGATAGTAGGATGTCACATTGATGCCCGAGAATTGTTGCATTGCTTGGGCTCCCATTCCAAGGATGAGACGGCGGACTGTATTCGTTCCCGCTTTTTCATGAGCTCGTCCCCGCAGAATATCGCGAAAGCTGACACTATTTGCACGTTCATACTCCACGCTGTGTCGGATCTCGCTCATTTGAAGCTGAATAAAGGCATCGCTGCTGTCTTTATCTTCAAGATCAGCAATGATTTGTTCAGCTTCATTTTCACGGCCATGGGAAATGAGCCATCTGTGACAGAATCAGTGAGATAATTTAATATCAATCAAGGAGTCCCCCATACCTAGGAGATTCGGGAAGCCAAGGAACTGTGAAAAACAAAATTATGTTGAACACGAATTGGAATGACAAGGGAAAGCGCCATGAAACCGGACCGCTGGCAAATGAGAGGCCGTAGTTAAGCCAGTTGGCAAGAGAAAATCCCACGAGCACGAGGACATTCTCCAGAATGACCAACTTCCCTCGCAACTGGACTTTCGATGTTTCAACCTGCCAGATTGGCGCAGTCGATGTATTGAGACCTAGGAGCAAAAAGGTCAAGACTCATAACCTTGAATATCTTTAAGTCTTCGGGCATACCATTGCCAATTCCCGTGATAACTCGACCCGTTATCATTTGGCCCAGGCTATAGGAGGAGACCTGCAGAAGAGCACCAATTGACATGACGATGGTTCCCAGCAGAACAGTGTTTCTGCGGCCCATCTGCTCTCCAAGCCAGTAGGCAAACAGTGATCCAATACAACATCCCACGTCATAGATGGCGGTGACCGTGCCGAGTAGAGTCGTCTTAGATGGGCCTTGAAGATCGTGCAGTTGAAGAAAGTCTTGCGAAATCACGACTCCACTGAAGACTCCCTGGCAAAATATAAGTCCTGTGCACGTCTAGAATAGTCCGTCTTAACAAACTTGGTCATATCCATAGAGAGTCATGTCGGCACCACAGGCGAGAGTGATCCAGAACGTTAACCACCCGCCTCGAAGGCCGAAATATGGTTGTGCCATTCTGAACATTTTGAGCGAAAAAGTAATACAAATGTTCTCTGAATTTCTTCCCGAACTTGATGCCATCGTATCTATTTATTTCATTGTTTCTCAATATCATTTCCCCAGAGACGAGACAAGTCCGGGGTGGGCGTCGCCCTAGCCCCCACTCTTCCCCGCGAGGGTTCCAGCTTGAGTCCCGAGACGGCTACTCATCAAAGAAGTGAAACCTCGGCATATCCGAAGCAAAGAAACTAATGCAAGTTAAAAAAAATGGCTAGTACCGACTATAGGGATAAAATGCGGGGATCTCACGTGGTATACGTCGTGATATCTCCCCGAGACGGGGACGATATTATTAGGAGCAAGAGAAGCAGAGAACGGATTCGGCCTGTGGCCACGATAGTCATCCGCGTACCATGACTTTAAAAAATGGGTATCTACCTCAATTATGATTTGTATATAGCTTAGGGCATATCTACATGACTTGACTCTTTTATAAGTTTTTTGGTTTCTAAAGAGCCAAAAATTGCACCACTAGGGGCTAAAAAGTACCTTTGGTCTAGCCGTAATCTTTCGAGTCAACTGTTTCTACTATGTCTGTCTGTGGTACTCCGCGGCCACTACTAGTCGCACACTTAAATCCTTTAGCTTGCACACTTTATAACAATATTAGGAAGGTAAGAAGAGCAAACACCGCCTCTTTTCTGAGGTGATGTAAAGAATATACTTGACAGGGTATAAAGCCTGTCGATCAGGTAAAGAAACAAGGGGAAGGAGTAAGGGAAAGTAGTATATCTTTATTGCTGTCAAGACTGAATCTTGTCTTGCTAGCTAGATACGAGAGTATCAATTTATTATACAATATCTTCGTAGCTCCACGTATCATCGATAATATAAACGACTAGGTCTCTGCTGAGTATCGTGATCGTTCCACCGTAGGGTGGATTTAGTAACAAGGTCCAACTTCCTTCGAGATCATGTTATATCACCTGATCCATCCCTTCCGTTAGTTGGGAATAACTTCATGTCTCACCATCTTTGTAGACCCTTTACAATTACGTATTTATTTCTTAACTAATATGATGTATACCTTTTTTAAAGGCGCAAAACAGCTAATATTAAAAGGTTATAAAAGATACAAGAAATAGATAGATATATAAATTAGAATAATATCAGTATTATTATATATTTAATCGAATTAAGGAGTAAGATAGCTACTATAGCTATCGAGGATAAGAAATTGATATTTACGCTGTATATAACTAATAATAGCTAGAATAAAGACTTTTTTTCAGCTAGTGAAGACCAATTCATGTTATTTTTGGCGCGTTGATAATTGTATCGACGAGAGAAATAAATCTTAATTTTACTATATCGATCAATAAAGTTATATACCTATTTTTCGCCGGTAGATTAAATAGAGGTAGATCCACGCTTAGCTAATAGAATATTAGCTATTTCTTGTATAGCTATTAGCCGTAGAGCTACTTTATATAAATCTATCAAGAGAATCTATTAAAAAATCGATTGTTCTTTAATTTAAGTTAATTTATAACTATTAACGTGTATATCGCATCGATTTAGTTGACCGGCGAGGCGATAACGAAGGGTTAAACGAGATATAACGAATCGGCGTGCTACTTCGCGAATTGAAGAGATTTCTTCTTTCTAGATAGCTTCGATAGCTAGCAAGACCCTACCCTCCTACTCGATAGAATTTCTGGCTTTTTAAGAGCGAATTAGTGGCGTAGTAGCTGATTGAAAGTAGGAGGTTCGCGAAAATAGCGCGATTTTCGTTATGTGGGCCACTCGCTTACTGGTTACTTTACTATGAAGTTGAGATGAATATTTAATTATTAACATAGAATCATATGACTCGACTTGTGGTGTTTCTTAGGTACTATATAAGAAAACTAGACTAGGAAAAAAAAAAAAAAAACAAGAAAGTCAGCATTTCCTTTATGAAAAAAGGTATACATTGACCCTCTCATCACCTTCCTAATATGTCTATAAGGTGTTTGAGTTGAAGGATTTGAGCATGCGACTAGTGGTGGCCTATTCCGCGCCTGGAAGATCATACTATTCATAGTAAGCGTGAAAAAGAAATATATATCAAGCTATTGGTCAAAGACCTTTTTAGTTGATCCGCTGAGTTTTGCCTTTGGCCCACGTGGGCCCCGAAACAAGGCAGCAAGAAGAAATCTACGTAATGAGGCGCAGCAGAACCCTTTTATTAACAGAATCACGCCCTAATCTCAGCGTCAACAACTCCTTCAAGGGTATGAAATGCCATCAAAAGGGAGCCTCAGCAGCCTTGGCCTCCTTTTCTTCATAAAACTTAGCTATATCTCCTTTCTTTTTATCACTCTTGCCTCCACCACTCCTATCTCCGATCTTGGTCCAACACACGCCCCCCGACACGATGCCGAGAGAGTGCCACTCCATACATTCAACCATCGAGATGAAGGAAAGTCTCTCGCTAAGCGAAAGAGTGACCCAAGCATATATGCAACTGGATGGTTTATAGGCCAGGACACCACTGGGAACCAGATTTACGGATTTGGTGCAAGCGTCAATCAATTGCCAAGTGGAATCGTTACAACTGGCAAAGAAATCGGGCGCGGAGCAAATAACCAGATATTTCAAGCCTCGCTGTTTGATTTTAGCCGACCGCGAGCAGTTAACACAAACACAGCAAGCCATCTCCTTGAAAACGAACGAGTCCAGCACGATCTTGCCGCAAAATATTCGGAGCACGAGTTTCCATATGATGGCGCGCTTATCATGGAAAAACTCAAAGCGAGTGGTGCTGTGCCTGAGGTGTACAAGGCTCTGAAGCTCCCACTTGGTCCTTGCTTCGAGGGATCGCTTGTCGTGACGGAGAAACTGGATAAGAGTGCGATGGGCATGCTACAGGAGTATGCCACCAAACCCTTCAATCGTCTGATCATGATGCAACAATGGGTGAAGGGATTGGCCTATGCCCATGAAAAAGGAATTGCCCATCGTGATGCCAACCCTGGGAATTTGATGAAGGTCTTCCACCGGGATGAGTGGAAGATTATTGACTGGGATCATGCATACGATTTCGGACGGAAGCCAGGTAAGACCTTAATCATTTATAATCACTTGCATTACAAGCTACAATAGACCTACCTCTTCTAATTCTTATTAGAGAATATGAAAGAAACTATGTTCTTAAATGATGTTAGAAAAGTTGGGATCTCGCTTGTATTTGCTGCTTCGCCTCGACTGATACAAACGAAACCAAAAAGAGCAATGGTGACACGACTCATTTCCAGACACGAAACTGAAGACCCAACAAATTTGAAACAAGCCCTAGAAAATGAGCTTAATCTCAAAGGACATGACGAATTTCTAACTATCGTCAGTGAAACTGGCTGTGCACGATCCAAGCGTCTGTCAATGGAGGAACTTAATTCGAAACTCCAGGATTTCCCGGGGCACGATCTTCCTCTTTTCGAGTGAAAGCAGGGTGCACAAAGCTTTTACTCTTTTCATTGTTTGGGCTTTTCTGTGTCTTTTTAACCTTTAACTATAGAGAGATTTAAGACGTCCCCCTTACAAAACCTAGTTAACCTTGACTTTAACTCAATTATTTACTTTTTACTCTTCCTTGATCTTTTACCATATTATAGACTAAATCCTCTGCAGTTCACTAATCACATCAACTTTGCCATGATTTTTTCCGATTCCATTTCAAGTGACAGCTGTGTAGCTAGTACTAGTACATTTAATAGTGCTTCGTATTTGGCGGAAGTCCTTCTTTTTGGTCCCTCTCCTAAAGCAGCAGTCAGTGATGATACTGGAAGGAATGATTGCAAGATTCAACGTACTAAAAGATCTTGCAGGCTGCAAGCAGCATTTCTTCGGTGAAAGACTCTCTGTCTTAGGGGACATGTCCTCCATTTCCGAAAAGGTCTTCGCAGCATCAAAATCGATCCAGACCAGCCGCTCTGGTTCACCAGGAACAATAAGGATATTTTTTTTTGGATAGGCATCAACGTGAAGGACAAGGCCCCGATGAATCTCCTGAATACCTCTTAATACCTTGACGAAGCGGTCTATGGAGTAATTGATATAGTTCAACGGTTCTGTATTTGCCAAGAACTCGAGGACAATGGCCTGCGGGTGGGATTTGTCGCTTGCAAAATGATTGAGATGCGGTGAAAAAAGTGCCGGATTGAGACGGTCAATATAGCCATAGCAATATGGAACGTAGTCACTGTCGCATGCACCAGGTGATAGGAGTTGGCTATACGCGTTGACTTCACAGCGGAATCGGTTCAGATCGCGGCATTTCCGGGTAATGCCTTCATCTCCATTATCGTGAAACTGGGAGGGATACTTAGTTTAATACAAGATATGATGGTATTTCAGTATCTCACAACTTTCATTGCATAGCGCTGGCCATCAAATGCAAAACAATCCAGCCCGACTCCTTTCGATCCCCTCCAGATGGAATAAGAGATGAGCCCACATTGCATTTGCGGTTCGGGGAGATGGTGTTACCCCGAATTCGACGTGCCCTTCGCACTGGCTTCGAGGAGCTCGAACCTGAACTCTTGCAACGTGAACTTTCGCCTGTATAGATAGACAATTTGATTCTCTCTCTCTTCTGCTCCCTTTCCTCAGCAGTTTTGCTCTCCCCAGCTTCCCCTAGTGCTCCCTGAGACAAGTGAACTATACATGAATCAGCATGGTGCTCCACATGGACTCGTACTTACGGATACTGAGCTTGTTGCTGTCAAACGACTCAACGCAAATAGGGATGGGCAATTTATCTGTACTTTTGGGACTATGGTACCTGGGTATGCTTGCAGCGGAAGACCAAGCTTGGGCTTTGAATGGATGAATGAATGGGTATAATGTCTTCATGAAAGTGCCTGTGATATAATACCCCAAGCCTCGTTCTCAAGGCTAGAAAAGCACTTGCTATTATGGTTAGTCTCCTATTTCATTGCTGCTGCATTTTGAGCTAAAGAGAGAAGTGCATATTACATCCGAAAGAAAGGTTATCTACATAGCCTGTTGGCTTTTCATGTGCATAGTGGGAAATAGTAAAATATGAGGCTGTGTTCAAGAGGGTCTAATTAATCTACTTGGAAATGCTGGTATCAATATCCCCGGTCAAAATCAAATCATGAGGGACAGCAAGCCCTCTACTATCATCCTTCCCAACAGCATGAGCTTTGAATGTATGCTTTCCTGGACAAAGGAGATTCGTTGTCAAGAAATAGTCCAGCGAGTTCATGTGCAGATCCACCGTAGGTGCTGGGATATCCTGTTTCACCAGACTAGGAGGCACAGCGTCGACTGCCGAAACTCCCTTCATCCCCTGAAGGAACTTGGACCAACCGTCCCTTTCTTTCGCCCTCCCTTTGATCGTCCAATGAGGATCACCTTCCCAACTCAGTGAGATGGAGTTAGGGTGCTTCCCCTCAGCACTGCTCGTCCAGTGCCCCTTGGCTCCCCAGGAATATGTCAAATAAACAGTGCCTCCACCTGCGCTGCTGCCATTTTCAACAAAGTTGTACGTGACACTCCAGCCCCACGCGACTGTTTGCTCCGGGCTTTGATAAGCAATTGTTGCAGCCGTGTCCGTTGATTTGGCAATGCCGCGGTGGATGCTGATGTTTGACGCGGGCTCCTTGGGCGAGAACGAGATCTCATCGCAATGCTTAGTTCGAGATACTCGCATATCTGACATGTCTACATCATTCACCGCCTCTCTTTTATATTTTGCCGCATTCAATTGGCCGTTTGCCTTGAAGGCATCTAGTATAGTATTAGAAGTCTGTTAGAATGTTGGCAGGGATTTCTCAAGTCTCTCACCAGTTTTCGTATGAGTATCAGCCTTCAGCTCGAGGAAGATTTTATCGAGGTTTGGCTATGTTCCAAGGGAATCAGTTCGATTACACCAGGGCACACTGTGTGCAGAATAGCAGACGCACCTTCAGAAACTGACTCCAGATGATATCGTGACTGAGGATAACACTGGCGGTACTGCCAACGGGCAATGGGTTGCGATCATGCTCTTTTGGATGGAATGTGACCGACGATGCCCCTGATTGTTCTGCGCCGTTTCGGGCACCACCACTGACCTCGATCCACATACACAAAGCTGCTTCGTTCGTCTCAGCACCCACAATCGAAAAGTTAAACGACACAGGCCGCAGGACATGCGCGTCCTTCTCCGACGCATAGGCGTTGGACACGCCCGCCAAGTAGTACTTGGTTTCTTTTGCGTTTTGGAAGTAGAACCGGATCTGGTCGCAGGTCGCATTCAATGCCTTGGCCTCTCTTTCTGCCATTTGGGTGCTCCCTGGCTGTGGCTTCACACTTGCAGTGACATTTGTCATGTCGATGAACACGCATTGAGCTGCCTGTCTCTGTGCTGGGTTGAGAACCACTTTGTATTTTGGAGGCTTGATGCTTGCGGGCCGGCCATTACTATCTTTGTCCTCGGTGAATTGGTTTGCGCTATCGACCGTGCCAGAGACATTGCTGAGCCTTGTTGTGAGCTGTATAGAGAGTCCAGCTGGCAATGGCTTCACCTTGCCGTCATCAATCTGAGTTGTTCCCCCTGCAACATCGTAGTTGAGGGTAACACTATCGGTGCCCTCAAATCGCAATACAGGAGGCTTGACCTTCATCGAGACAGTTTCTCTTGTTACCTCAGTCTCCACAGTCAAAATGCCAACCGAGAAACCATACCCAAACGATGAACACTTCGTGTTCAGAAAGGAGAATACCACTCTCATTCTAGACACGACCGAAAAATTCGAAATTGGGAAAAATTTCAACTTCTCCACGACGACCTGTCTTGTCTATGCGGAGACCGTGGAAATCACCACAGACCTTTCACTCCCCGGCAAGGAGATTGGTCTGTTCTGCAACAAGATCATCGTTCCAGCGCCCGTCAAGCTGGATGTTTCCGGCAAGGATGGAGAAGTAGGAGATCAAAAGATAGATGCAAATGGTGGAGCTGGACATGCGGGTAAGGATGCCGGGAGTGTGTGGAGATTTGTCCAAGACTTTCCCAAAAATGACTTGAACAACCTTGAGATCCATGCTTGGGGTGGTGGTGGAGGACGGGGTGGTGATACAAGTGCTTTGGAAAAGACTGGAGGACAGGGAGGGAACGGTGGTAAAGGAGGTAAGAAAGCTCTTGCAATGTTTTGGAGATGCGAATGTTGACAAACCACACCAGGGTTGATCGAGGTCCTCGTTGGGACTACATCAGTCGAAGCGATTCTCGCCCTTCGACAGGTTGATAAGCAGCCTTGGCCAATGAAAATCGCAAGCCTAGTTGAGCCCGCAGTGCCAGATGCCGTTGCTGGCTTTTTCACGACGCAGCAGAGGGAGACCCTGGTCCTTTATCAATCCCTGGCGCTCACATTACGCAATTTGGACCAAGTCCTCCACGGTAAAGCTAAGGAGGATCACTCAGAAAACGTCGAGGGCTCTGTTTCCCAGTTATTGGGTCAGATCAAGAAAAGTTTGAAGTCCGTGGCAGGCGCTCCGAACCTGACCCAGGCCATTCTTGAAGATTTGAAAAATGCTGTATCAGGCCTCAGCAAAGCTTCAGATCCCGTCAACGGGCTTGAGGTCGAAAAAAAAATGGCAGTCTTGTCGCCCACAGCAGAATCCCAACTTCATGGGGTGCTCGACAATATATGGGATTCAGTGAAAGCAGAAAAGCGATCTATCCAGAACGCCCTGGATCCCAAGTTGAAGAACAATAGAGGTGGTCAGTGCAAGTGCCATTTATTGTTCGGATTTGTCGTGATATTAACACCTGAATAGGAACGAGTGGAATGGGAGGACACAGTGGGCCCGGTCTCCAGTCCGGTCCAAAGGGGGAAAAGGGGATAGAAGGGGAGACGAAGCTGAAACTTTTGGAATTGAACGGATCCAAGGGAGACATTGAAGTTTCCCAGGCATATGTTTTCCCCGAGCAATGCCAGATGCTCCTCAACAAGACCAACAGCCAGCTTTTCAGTCAGAAATGGAAATCTCGGTCCCCAGCAGTCAAGCAATACGAGCGTTTGATCAGACGATTGAATGTGGTCAAGACACTGGGAAAGTCTGGAGAAACCAATGACTCTGGGTTTTGGACAGCCATTTCTGGCTTTGAAAAGACCCTCAAAGTGACTCGGAATTCAGTTGGTCAACTGAAATCCATGCATGGACAGGCCCAAACCCGACTGAGTCGATTGATGTTGGGCCAAGACATAATTGGACATGGTCATAATTGGGTTCCCCGGTTGTCCTTTGACCACTATGCCCGAACTCTCAAGGACGATTTAAAGGTGCTCAAAGCAGTTGAAGAGCTAGAGTCACGATACAAAACAGCACTTAAAGAAGAGGCTGGCGCAGAAGATGTCATCGATGACGGCATCAAAAAGATGAACGATGCAGCCCAAGAGGCGCGGACCAAAGTTGCCCTACTCACAGGGAACAATGGTCCACTCTCTCAAACAGCCGAAAAGATCACTGCGCTTACAGCTGAAGTAAAAGAGAAGCGCCAAAACGTCAAGGATGAGGTGATGCGGCTTCAATTGATATGCAACTTGGATCTTCTCAATGCGTTTTCTACATTGACCTCCGTGAAAAAAGACCTGGACTCTCTGCAAAAGCTTTACGACTTGTACAAAGAAGCAAGTTCCCATTTCAAAGACAAGGATGGCGAGTTGGTCAAGAAGGAATATATCATAGAGCAAATCACTGACTGTACCGGCGACCTGGAATCACTGGAGAGTGCACTGAAAACCGCCAAGAACAATACGGTTGAAATGGACGACCCGAAAGCCCTGAAGGTGATGGCGAAGGCAGCCGACATTGACAAACTCATGGAGAAATTCACAACTGCTTTCCCAGAAAAGGTTCGGTCAAAAGTTAAAGGAGTCTTGGATGCGTACATCGCAACAGTACTGCTCCGAAACGAGGCGGTTGTGGAATACAACTCCTTTATCCATCTGCTCTTCGAAGCACTCCATAACGAGGAGTACGCTCGCACGCAAGCCAGCAGCCTGGGCGATAAAAAAACTAGAACTGGACCCTACCATCCCAGCGGTGTCATTCTGGCTTCGAAAGACCAGAGACGACTTCCAGCTCCAAGCCATGCAACGGCTCAACTTTGCACGCCGGGCAGTGAAGTTCTGGGGTCTCAAAGAGGACATTGAGAAATCGCAGCCAGGTCCTCTTCAAACCGCCCAAAAGCTAGAACTTGATCGGGCGAATCTGGAAAAGGCCTTTGAAGATACCCTCACTCGGTACGCAGGCAATGTCCGCTCAATATGGCCGAGCGTGGACGAGCAACAGGGGTTGTTCTACGATCTGTCCGAATCCGAGCGAGTGACACTGACGACCGGCCACGAAAAGCCCGGTAGCTCAGAGAAGGTTTACAAGGTTTACATTACCCTAGCCCCCGGTGTGATGCCTTTTGGCAAAGGCCGGGCAGACGTTCGCGTGGATGAAGTTCGGCTCTGGCTTGTCGGTGCATCGGTGCATCCGGATGGACTCGGACGCCAGCGGGTTCTGGTCCATATGGATCACATGGGGCAAGATGTGTTTGAGGATGAGGACCGTCATCGTTTCGAATTCTCCCACGACATGGTCAGCATTCCCTTTGAATACGATGCGGCTCTCGTGAAAAGCGAGAAGGATCTCACCTCCCGGGCAAAACTCAGCCGACAGAATGCTTTGCGAGACTCCTGGACTGGAGGACGATCCCGCGAGTCAAGTTCCATTGCAGCTATCGGGCCTTTTACTACCTGGCGTCTTGTGGTTCGAGAGTCTGAAAACCCTGGACTCGATATGAGCAAAGTGACGTCGGCTCATTTGGAATTCCGGGGAGCTAACAGGTCGTTCAAGTATTCTTGACTGTCGAACTGCATTCTGTTAGGTAGCCTGTCCCTTCAATTTGTTACATGACCTCAATTTCCGTGCTAAGTTTTCAAATAAGTCGGTCTTCAATTGACTCGGGAGACACATGCCAACATGAATGAGCATTGGTCCAGGCTGGAGTGTGTCTCTATTCTCCCTTTAGTTGCTTATTTCTATTCTAACTGTCAGGGGGCATTATCACACTGACGCTTAAAAAAAAATAGACGGCGTGATAGATACTGGTAGCTGAGTTAGTTCCACGTGTCACGCTCCTCCTCGCAAAGATGCCATGTCGAGCTACGAGACGGTTGCCATCAATGGCATGAAATGTCGGCATATATCCGAGGCAACTAACGCAAGCTTGAAAGGTCTGTTTCCGAGTGCGGGGATATAGCGCGGAGGTATCACGTGGTCTGCGTGTGTCTCGAGACGGGGACGACGACAGTAGCAGCAAGAAGAGCAAGAACGGAATCGGCTCTTGACCACGAAAATGTAGACTACACATGGTCTCATGGCACCGGAAGGATGAATTCGCGCACACCGTACAGACGGCCACGCATACGAAAATCCCGCGGCCGCGGCCTGCGGACGACAAACGGATGGTGAGTTCCTGACGCGCGGATGGTGTTATGCATTCATTGCCTAATGTCATCAATGCAGCATAACATGTCGGAAGCGGCATTTGAAGTGTGACGAGACCAAGCCTATATGCGGTGCTTGTGCTAAAAAGGACAACTTCTGCGAATATGGCAACCCCAGTCGCAGTGTCAACGTCCCGACCCCGGAAAGGACCACTACCGAACATGTCCCCGTGCCAGCGACGCCGCAAACAACGACTCCAGCCCAGAATAATGATGATTTATCAATTGGCGCGGATCCGAATCCCACGCCCTACGAGTCCCATGAAGCCACTGACCTGACCTGGAATGTTTCGGAGGCAGATGCTAACCCTGCTCCACCTGCACTACTTGAACATCTACCAGAGAGCCACCTGGGGTCGAGTCAGAGCCCGGTAGCATTGCAGTATAGCTCTCTATCGCCATCTAATGCATCTTTTGCGGCAGTGCAATGGTTCGGGCTTCTAGCGAGTGATGCTGCTAGGGACAATTCACATCTGTCGACCATCCCCAATTGCTGGGCGAACCAAAGCCTCTCGCTTGGCCGCCCTGGTGCTGATGGTCTGACCAAGGCTAGCTCATTACAATGCGCGACCCAGGTATTGGATAGCCCTCCTGCCAGTGACGCAAGTCATGACCAGACACATACCGGTGCTTCAGGAGGCAGTGCCCTAGGGGAGGCGCAGATTTGGCAGTCACGGGAGCCAATAGAGATTCTCTCAACAGAGGAGACATTATTTGAGCATTTCATACACCAAGTGAGCCCATGGGTGAGTTACTACTACCACACTCGTGACTTGGTCATACTTGGCTTATAACTTCCCTTTGCAGATCGATCTTTTTGATCCAACGAGCCAGTTTTCTACCTTAGTTGCACACTTGGCTGTAAGCTGATTCCTTATCATAGAAAGGCTCCTGTCGAATACTAACCGGATATGCAGATATACAATGCTGGGCTGATGAATGCTATACTGGCTCTTGCATCTCGACATCTGGCCCTGAATCCCCGTCTGGATAATCAAAATATTCCTAGTAAAGAGGAGGCGGCTCTCCAATATTACTACCAAACTCTCCACTACGTGCAAAGAGCCATGCAGTACTCCGGCTACAAGACCAGTCTGGATCTGCTTGCAACGACACTGATAATTTCCGCTTACGAGATGCTCGACAATTCAACCAATGACTGGGAAAGACATCTTGAGGGGGTATTCTTGATCCAAAGATCTCAGACGATTCATGGAGAGTCCGGTGGACTGCACTCGGCCGTGTGGTGGGCATGGCTTTGCCAGGATATCTGGGCAGCCTTCCGCGAGAAACGCAAGACCCTTACATTTTGGGTTCCACAGAATCCCCTTTCTGTGTTAACGCCGCACGAGCTCGCTAGCCGTTCAATTTATATCACTGCCAAAGTGGTCAGCTACTGCGCCGAAGTCGCAACTGAAGAAAATACCAGGCGCCGAACTGACGGGGCAGCTCGTCTTCGCCAGATGCTGGATGACTGGCAACGACATCTGACTATTGAATTCTCCCCCTTGCCTTTTGGGTCACGCGAGAATCCCGCCTATTTCCGACCAATTCACATTCGCCCACCTTCATTTGGTATGCATAGGATTTCAATTCCACTAATAGCTCGAAAACAAACTGACGGAATCATGTAGCCGTGGCGGTCCAATTTTATAATGCGTCCTACATTCTACTGCTTGCTCACGAGCCAAGCTTGGGAGGCTTGGAGCAATTTATCGAGCGACATAATGCAATGAAGCGCTGCGTGGAGGATATCTGCGGCATTGCTATGACCCTGAAAGATAACCCATCTAGTTTGATGTCATCACAAGCCTTATTTATTGGTGAGGGCACTACTGAGACTCCATCTATGAAACAAAGCTAACCAAGAAGTAGCGGGATTATTTACTCAAGAGCGTTATGCCCGAGAGGCTATATTGGAGCTGCTGGAGTCCTGCCGTGAGCGAACTGGCTGGCCAGTTCGATCTTTAGGCACGGAGCTGCAGCAGTTCTGGGCAAACCACGAGCCCAAAAAGGCCCCAAATGCCGCAAGGATGGCCATGCGGTCGAATTGAAGTCTTTCCAGGATTGAAAGCCGTGTTTTATATATGTATATCTAGCGAGAAGAACAAAGTTTATAACCCAAGCAATGCTCCCTTTACGCCTTCCCCTAATTGCACTCTCCACAACCGGTGCTCATTCAGAGCAAAAACCTCCCCGTTTCTTCCAAAACAAAAGTTTGCAACGCCACCGTCAATTAATATCCGTCCCAAGAGAACACCACCCGGGGACCAGACATTGATTCCATCACCGCATCCGCTGTATACATTTCCTTCGAGGTCACACTTGATCCCATCTGGGATGCCGTTATCTGCCATGGCGAAGAGCCGCTGGTTTGTGAGGAACGGCTCGCCGTGGTATGTGGATACATCAAAGGCGTAACTAGATTCAATCAACCAATGGATTGAATGTGATTATAGGAGAAGGTTGATCCTTACATCGAAGACACTCGCTGGTCATCGACAGTCCCATCACCATGCACGCGATCTGTATCGGTGATGTAGACAGTCTTTTCATCCGGCGAGAAACAGATACCATTCGGTCTCCCAAACCCATCTGCCATAGCGCGAATGTTCCCTGTATCCGGGTGCCATCGGTACACTTGGTTCGGCAGAGATGGCGGTGGCCGATAGCCCTGCTCAGAGCCATAAATAGGGTCGGTAAACCAGATCGATCCGTCCGTGTGTACCACCACGTCATTGACAGAGTTAAACTGTTGACCGAAGAACTCGCCCTTCGATAGTTCAGCCTTGTGCGGTGCGGCTGTAGACATGCGGTATAATCCGCTTGGCTGGGTCATGGACCCCTGTGCGCAGAAGAGAACGTGGTCCCTGCCGTAGTTGATGCCTCCGTTGGCCATGGGGATTTCCGTAGAAATTTCCTCATTGGTGACTGGCTCTTTGCTTAGGTCGACGCATGTAATGTGCACTTTCTGCTGTTTTTCTGGTCCTATACATCTGTTGCTGGTGATGTAGAGCTTGTTGGTGTCGGGAAAGAAGACTCCAGCTTCGTGGGCGAACGGGTATTTTTCATTTTCTGCGAGGAGCTCTATTGTCGGGGATGTGCCGAGGATAGCTGAAAAACGCTGGTCATGAGCCTGGAAGGAGGTGGTAGGGTTTGTGGACATGGTGAATTGCCTTGGCGCTGAATAGAGGAGTTTATAATGTGCTAACGCAGGGGGTTAACTGTCGTGAAAGAGTCGCGTAGAAGCAGTGAATATGAGGAGCAATGAAACAAACGAGTGCAGGCGAAGCAAACCTTCAACAATTCGAGTGCCGAAGGAAAGGCAACAGTGGGGCAGCCTGTATACGCCTCGTCTCGGGGTTCCTGGCGGCCCCATCGCTGCTCACTACTTTTAAACGGGGCGACCAGACAGCCTAACAATAATTATCACGGCAGCATTTTATTTTCTACACGCAAAAATGTCCTGGAAAGACTCCAACAGCCACAGACGCATTCTCCGCGACGCCGAAACCGGCCGCTACGGCGTCATTGCCGCCATCGCTTACAACATCGAACAAGTGCTGGGCCTAGTTCGAGCAGCAGAGACAGCTCGCTCCCCACTCATCATCCAATTCTTTCCCTGGGCCATCGAAGCCACCGATGGCTTGTTGGTGCGGACTGCTGCGGACGCTGCCAAACGCGCAAGCGTGCCCATCAGCATCCACCTCGACCACGCGCAGTCAGAAGCGATCATCAAGCGAGCAGCAGAGCTGCCATTTGACAGTATCATGGTCGACATGTCACACTATGAGAAAGAAGTCAACTTGAAGAAGACCCGGGAGCTTGTCAAATATTGCAACGAGCGCCACAAGGCTACCGAGGCCGAGCCGGGTCGTATTGAAGGAGGCGAAGATGGGGTGATGGATACTGCCGGACTGGAGGCATGCATGACGACGGCCGAGGAAGTGGATGAGTTTGTCGACACCGGTGTTGACGTGCTGGCCCCTGCTTTTGGCAATGTCCACGGAGAATATGGCGCGCGCGGCCCACAGCTGGATTTCGAAAGGTGAGAGTCTGAGTGGTGCGGTGATGATGATGGGACAACTTTTACTAAAACAAAGAACAATGTGATTAGGTTTGAAAAGGTTCGTGTCCAGGCAAATGGCAGAATTCATCTGGTCTTGCACGGCACCAATGGGTTTGCGCCAGAGATGATGAAACGCTGCGTGGCTGCTGGGGTCACCAAGATCAATGTGAACCGGTTGGTGTTAGATGATTATTACGAGCACCTTCGGGCAAACGTCGACAAAATGCCGCATACCCAGCTGATCGAGGAAGGTATTCAGAAGGTGGCAGGTCTAACCATCAGGTGGATGGAGATCTGTGGGTCTGCAGGCAAGGCATGAAGAGGAGATAGTTGTATATTGCGATATGAATATCTCGACTTTCACCAAGAGGTCAATGGCCAGATCTGTATGATTTCTAAACAGCATGCTAGAGTAGCTTTTTAGGTTTTACGTCCAAAAGAATATCTTGCTTTGGCCCGCTAGAACCTTCCATAGAAACAGGAAGTTCTCGTCAAGCAATTCTCTTGTAAATTCAAAGGCTTCTATATCTATGCTAAACGATAGCAATCACCCCACGATTACTGTAATTTACTAAACATTCCACCATCAGCCAATAATCCCGTCGCATTCACATAGCGACTCATCTCCTCGCAAGCCAAAAATACTGCGGGGCCTGCCATATCCTGCGGGTCACCAATGCGACCAAGGGGAATGCGCGCCTCGAGAGCGGCCTTCTTGGTGGGATTCTTCATGTCATGATCAGCCAGCTGGGTGGCAATGGTGCCGGGCATCAATGCGTTGCATCGGATTTGATCTTTGCCCAGGGCAATCGCCATAGATTGCATCATGGAGAGAATAGCAGCCTTGGTAGGGGTGTAATGGGTCTGGAAACCACCACCTAGCAGGGCACTGACGGAAGAAATGCCAATAATCGAACCGCCATGGCCTTGCTTCACCATCTGGCGAGCGGCGGCTTGACAGGAATAGAAGCAGCCTTTGACGTTGACATCGACACTGTGGTCGAGGAGAGACGGCTCGATCCTAGGTAGAAGATCAGCACATTTGCTCGTTGAAATGCAAATATCGAAGAAAGTGCCCGATCTCGATATTCGAATTGAAATGAACTGACTTGAAGAACTCGGCTTGCTTGAACACACCCGCATTGGCAACAAAGATGTCCAGCTTGCCCCATTGAAACACGGCCTCTTTGACCAGGTCGGTGCCTGTTCCAGGGTTTGTCACGTCGCCGGGTAGTTCCAGGATATCACCCGCTTTGATGCCCTGTTTCTTGATTGCCTGCACGCTATCGAGAAGACTATGGCGATGCACTTCATCCTGGGGAAGGCCCAAGTGATTGACGGCAACATTGCATCCTTGTGTAATGTATGCCAAAACAATCGCACGACCGATTCCAGTGGTGCCACCGGTGATGGCCGCGGTCTTGCCTTTGAGCAGGTTCCAGGCGGGCAGAGCAGCCATCGCGATAAATCAATGAGAGGGAGAAAGAGAAGAAACTGAGGAAAATTGAGAGTTAGAGGAATCAAAAATCCTACTGTTTCAAACACAGGTGAGGAACCTCAGTCTGGTGCTCTCCTTGAAGTTCTTTCGGTTATTGGATGGAGCTCACCCCTCGTCTTGATGTTCTTCAACGATCTCCAGTATCTCCCTCTCGGTCCCAATGAAGACACGAGTGGATCGGCTGGTATCGTCTCGAGGACTCAGACCCACCCTTCTCCAACGTCTTCGCCTCGGACAACCACCGACTCGAGATGTGCGGAGTTCTGGGGCATGGTGAGGATTGCTTGCTTGCATAGACTCCTTTTTGCTTGTCTTTTTATTTATGAGAGGGGAGGAGGGGTGGTTCTACGTCGGTAGTTTATAAAATAGATTTCGTCTTCCCAATTTGCTAAATCTCCAAGTCAGTCCGTGTCCACTTCTCATCATCATGGCTCCCTCTGCAGTCTCTCAAGAATCAGTTACACCCCAGGCGAACATCACCCCTCAGACGCAAGTCACTTTGGGTGGAAAGATTATTGCTAGTACGTACATCAGCACTTACAAAGAGTCTCAGCTAGGCTCACATCCCGCATAGTTACCGGGGCCAACCGCGGAATCGGCCTGGGGATCGCCGAGTGCTGCCTTTCCAATGGTGCAGCCAAGGTCTATTCTATTGACATAGGGGAGACCGGAGAGGACTTCGTCGCCGTTTCCAAGCGCTTCCCCAGCCAGCTCTTCGCAACAAACGCCAATGTAACCGAGGAATCGACCATCACCGCAGCAATCGACAAAATCATCGAGGAGGCCGGTGCGCTGCACGGAATGGTGGTAAATGCCGGACGTACCCACCATAAGGCTGCGCTCGACTTTACCAAGGAAGAGATCGAGAACCTGTTCAACGTCAACCTCTTCGGTGCTTTCTACTCTGCTCGCGCTGCTGCCCGGGCATTTATGAAACTCGGCATTAAGGGATCCGTTGTCTTCACGGCCTCCATGGCCTCTTACCGCCCCAATAAGGTGGAATTTCATAAATCCAAATATCGTGATTTTGATCTTCTCCCTTTGCTGACGGTGTTTCCCAGCGCGTCCCATCTACTCCGTACGGTGCATCCAAGGCCGGAATTCGCAATATGACCCATACCTTGGCAATGGAATGGGCTCAGTATGGTATTCGTGTCAACAGCGTCTCCCCAGGTTTGGTGAAGACCGCCATGACATACTGGGTGCCTCAACAGCCGGACTGGGAACAGCAGCTCAAGTACTATGGTGGATTTCCTCGGTTGGCCGAGGTGCAAGCACTTGGTGGTGCCTACGTGTACCTTCTGAGTGAAGCTGCCAGCTACACAACCTCGATTGATATCCCAGTGAACGGTGTGATTGGCAGTGAGTGCTTTCGAACGTTAAATCAAAGGGAAACCTTTATACTAACCGTTGTAGTTTGTTAAACGATTAAATCGACCGGGCCACAAAGCTATAATATGCACTTCGATCCATATATGTGACTACAACTACAGTTTTCCTTCGATCAAAATTTGATCATGTTTTGACCAGAAATAAGTCTTCCGTACATCATCAATTATAATCACTCCGAAGGTCTACTTGCACACTTAAATTTCATTTAATTTTTTTGAACTTCTAAGGCACAACCCTAGCAAATTCTACTATGCTAGCTACCTCGGATTTCTTTTTATTTATTTATTTCTTTTTCATTCTATTTATGCTCACTAGGGGGAATACAAAGGCCACGCAAAGCGTAGTCGTAGGTCTTTTATCTTTCTTTAATATCATCTTTTGTTCTTTACTAAGTAAATTCAAATTGTAGACCTCAAAAAGTCCCTTGATTTGTTATGATTTGTTATATAGACAAGGGCCATTGACCAGTAGAGCTTATCTTCTAATAGCTCGAAACCGTTTCTTCATGCTCAGTCTCAGCATTCCACGCCTTCTCGGTCTCGACAGTGCTGCCACGCTGACGTGTGGCACCGAGATCCAGGTTCTCTACCATGAGTGCCCTAAAGTTTGACTCGGCTGTCCAAGCCCAGGGAGAGTCAGCCGCAAAGAGTAAATCCATTTCCTCGAGGGTACGTCGGCTAGATTCAGGATAGAGGGCCCAGACTGTCCCCTTTTTGTTAGCCAAATAAAAATGAATAAAAATAAAAAAAAAAAAAAAAAAAGGACCATCAAGAATCATCACGGAATACTCACCGATCGGGATACTGATGAGATTGACTGCACCGAATACGTGTAGGGTATTCTCCCCGATAGAGCCGAAAATGTAGGGCAGAGCCAGAGTCAGTGATCTGACATACGTTAGACATTCCTTGGTGAGCTGAAAGAGAGAGGATGGTGAGATCTGAGAGCAAAAGAACGACATACCCATTGCCCAAGCTCCAGCCTACAACTCCCCATGCATTTCTTTGGCTCGCACCTTAAGCGGGAAGATCTCCGCCGGGTACAGCCATGGGACTGTGAGCCAAGTAGCACCAAAGACAAAGGTGTACAGATAAACCATAGAAGTTGCACCAATACCCCATGGCCCTTGGTTGTCGGGATGGTCCAATCCACCACGAGCGAGGCCTCCTGCGGCAAACATGGCAATTGCTTGTCCTGCCGCTCCCCACCAGAGAGTCCAACGGCGGCCAATGCGGTCGAGGGTAAAGACACAAAGGAGGGTTGCGAAAACGTAGAAAATGTTGTTCAGTCCTGAAATCCACATTGTCTTCTGCGTATCAAATCCGGCAATTTTGAATATTGCTAGAAGTATATTAGTACTTTTCGCCGACGGGGAAAGAAAAAAGGAAATATCGAAGCAAAGGCAACCCACTTGGTGCATACATGGTGATGCCGGCGATCCCAGTCCAGCTTTGTAGATTCTGGAGCCAGATCACCAGCTGCACACGCCGAGCAATGTGCAAATCTTCCTTTCCAATACCAAGCAACATATGGAAATAAGTGATGTTTCCCCCTGATTCTGTCTCAAGCTCAACGATTGCCTCAATCTCTCTCATCTCTAGAATGGCAGCAGCTTCGTTCTCAGACCCGCGGAGGCGCTTGAGGACGTAAAGCGCTTCCTCCCGGCGGCCCATCATGCAGAGCCAACGCGGGGACTCGGGAAAGGCCCAGCATGCAATCACGAGAAGAAGCAGCATAACAATCTGGAACGCAATAGGGAATCGCCACTGGAACTCAGAGGTGCCATGGTCGATGCAGCGAAGGCCAAATCCCAGCCAGTAAGCCACCACCACGCCGACGATGTTCAACGTGAACTCCATGGCGATGAACATGGCCCGACTCTCGTAGTCGGCCAGTTCGGAGCCATAGACGGGAACGGTAGCATTCAACACTCCGGTTCCGATACCGTTGATCAGTCGAGACACGATCATCCACGTCGGGTTCATTGCTGTGCACTGGAGTGCCGCCCCGATTATCCCCCAGACGGCACCGAACCCGAGCGACTTGATGCGTCCGGATTGATCACTGACATATCCACCAAGGAAGCATCCTACCAAAGTCCCCAGATAGTAAACCGAGACGATGCCTCCCTGCAACAAAGTGTTGGTTACAGTGATTGATCTGTTCTTCTCGTATCCCAGTCCCATTCGGTGCACATACGCCTGAGAGTCGTTGACTCCGCCCATCATACCTTGGTCATATCCTGCGTGGCTCATCAGCAAAAGCCACTTCGGTTGGGGAGTGGAATCGTTGATGAGGATAGATGGTGGTGAACTCACCAAAGAAGAAAATCGCAAGACCAGCGAGGCAGTTGACTGCTATCAACAGCGGCTCCTTTTCCAGCCTGGAAGTGATCTTCCAACTCGCTCGCTCGTCACTCAACATTGCAAACATCATGCATACAAGATGAGAAAAGTAGTTCAAGTGTTGCAATCAAAAGCAAGGGGATCGGTGTGTTTGCTGTCTCGGGTGCGCTGAATAGCATGGGGCCTCATCATCTAGCTCCATATCCCGCTGATACCCCCTTATACCATGATGCATCATTCGATGTATACCCCATATTTTGTCCGATCTTGTGGCTAACCTGGGGATCGGCTGCCCCGGACCCGTAAGATAACATGCGGCCCCCAGTCAGGAATATGCTCGACTCGGGGATGCAGGACGCGACACGGGGTCTTTTTTGCTACCTGCTGGCATTTCATTGGATGAAATACACAGAGAAAGGTCGAAGCTAAGTTTGAAATACATTTCGAGGCAGAGACCGAGTCATGGGGGTTCTTGCTATGAAGGTATGTGTAATAGGTGTGGTACCATCCATCAATATGAATCTATTCATTTGGACCATGTTGAGCGTAAAACGAGAGTGAAAAACCTAGCATATAATAGAGAGCTGTGTCTGAAAATCAATTTTCATGCCAATTCGTAATTATTTTTATTTTCGGCTCTTGGTTTGTTATTCTTCCTCAGCTGGCTGTGGGGGACTCCTCGAGACGGTGGTCGCAAGCCCACATTGTAGCTCCGGGCCTTTATATTTTGGGGCACATTTTCGGACTGTATATCATGGGAAAAAAGAGGAATTGAGAAGATAAGGGAATATAAATACGTCTAACAGTATTTATCAACCGATATGCTAGTCAGTGAAGTCTTTTGCAATTCTTCAGCATGGTCCTCTCCAAACCAAACGACGCCCCTGTACAAACCTTGTTTGACCTAACCGGCAAGGTTGTTGCCATTACTGGTATATGGAAATTGCTTATTTGAAGTTCTCTTAATGACACGTTAATAGGAGGTGGACGAGGAATTGGTCTAGCGGTGGCTACTGCGTACACCGAGGCTGGCGCCAAAGTGAGTATAACGCGATCCTTTTCCAACTCAAAGCAAACAAAAAAGAAGAGTTTATTCATTGATTGGTCTAGATTGCCATTCTCTACCGCACAACTGCATCAACTCCTAAGACAGCGGAAGAGCTGGCTTCGAAATACCAGACAGAAGCTCGCGCTTACCAGGCTGATGTCACCATTCCAGAGGAAATTTCCGCGGCCATCGATCAGGTTGTGAAGGACTTTGGGAAGCTGGAAGTTGTCGTGGCTAACGCGGGTGTCTGCTCGGAGCATGCGGGCGAGGAGTACACTCCCAAGGAGTTTCAGGAAATGATGGACGTCAATGTCAACGGTGCATTTTATACTGCACAGGCCGCCGCAAGAGTCTTTAAGCGACAAGGATTCGGTAACATGGTATTCACGGCTTCTGTTAGCGCAACACTCGTTAACACACCCCAGCGACAGGCTGCGGTATGTGCCTTTTTTTACCCTTGTTTGGGATGTTTTGGTCTAATGCCAGTAATCCTTGCAGTATAACGCGTCAAAAGCCGGGATCTTGCAGCTAGCCAAGTCACTCGCAGTGAATGGGTAGATTTCTGCCGAGTCAACTGTGTCTCGCCGGGCTATATCCAGACTAAAATGACGGAATATGCGTCTCAGGAGATGCTCGACCAGTGGCTGGGTCAGATTCCTGCCCGTCGGTTTGCTTCTCCTTATGAACTGAAGGGGGTAAGGCACTTTCGACGATTTCTTTTTCTTTTCCCAGATTGGATGAATGTGAGCTAATGGCGATCACTTCAGGTTTACCTTTTCTGTGCTTCGGATGCGTCGAGTTATATGACAGGTTCGAACCTGGTGGTTGATGGTGGATTTACTCAGCCATAAACCGAGTAAGATATAGATCAAATAGAAAATCTAGTCAGCTTCTTAGCTTTCCGTCCACTGTGTTCCTATGCCCAAGTATACGCCTGTAGCAGTAGTGGAATTCTGGCAAGAGTGTAGAGGACAGTGACTAGATACTGAAATCATCCAACATCCTTGACACTAAGACCAACGGAATTTTATTGCAAATGACGCTCGATAGGTGAGACATGAGCTGTTCAAATGAATATTGTGTTTTCTCAATCTATTCTTTTTGGGCTATCATGTCCAAATTAACTATTTACAGATAGAAATAGATCAAAATTTGCCGAGACATTGTCTTCATTTTTGTATCAAGGCTTAACCTATATACATCTCCCGAATCTAGTGGGTTTTTCCTCTCACAGTACCATCAATGCCTTCCAAGTCACTATACAAACGCCACTCATAGTCCAAGCTGGGGTCATTGAAGCGAGCCTTCGCATCCAAAGTAGCGATCTGCGCCATATCCTCAGGCTTGAGCTCAAAATCGGCCTCCAAATTCTCTTCAATCTGCCAGTCGACAACACTCTTGGGAATGACAGACCGGCCGTTATTGATACCCCACGCAAGAACCACCTGCACAGGACTCTTGCCGTACTTCCGGCCAGTCTCTTTCAGGATCGGCTGGTCGATCACCCGCATCATATGCGCAACCTCCTTAGACCACCCAGTCTGTCGGTAGAAATCGTTCATGTTTCCCAGAGGGCTGAATTGCACAACATGAATACCTAGGGTGCGCAACCACTCGTTGAATGCTTTTTGCTGTAGATATGGATGGACTTCCATCTGATGAACAGCCGGGACCAAAAAGGAAAATGAATTAGCTAGCCCATAAGGATTTGACGGTTTGCATAGATAAACGACTTACTGTAGAGGACTGGTTGATCAAGGTCTGAATTTCACCCATACTGAAATTCGAAACCCCAATAGCCTTGACCTTGCCCGTCTTGGCCACTTCCTCCATCGCCTTCCACGTATCCACGTAAGTCGTCTCGCCCCGAATCATCCGACCATCAACATCTCGCGGGAATCGGTCGGGTCCCCGCTTGAAGGTGCACGGATAGTGCATCAACAAAAGATCAACATAGGGTGTATCCAGGTCCCGCAGGGAGTCATCCACGGCACGCTCCACGTCCTCGGGGTGGTAGTCATTGCACCATAGTTTTGTCCCGAGGAAGATGTCTTCGCGGCCAATACCGCTTTTCTTGATTCCTCTTCCGACTTGCTCTTCGACGTTGTAGACTCGAGCGGTGTCAATTAGGCGCATGCCCTTTTGCAGAGCCCGGCTGACAGTGTCTTCCTGAGATTCGGGGTCCTGGAATGTGCCGAAGCCGAGAGCTGGAATCTTTGCGCCGGTGTTGAGTGTGTAGGAGGTTGCGCGGGTAGCCAGAGTGCGAGAAGAGGGTTGTCGAGTTGGGAGGAAATACTTCTTGTTCATCGCGACTCAGGTTGCTCTGGCTGCAATAGATGCCATGGTGTAGGTTTTAGCTGCTGTGCGCTAGAGGAAGATGTGTACGCTGGATGTGTGCTTTCTTCGGTGGCGTTTAACACTGTCTATTGATTTGTTTCGAGGGCTCTTGCAAGGCATATATTATATAGACGGCTATGTCCAATCGGAGGCAAATGCAAAAACAGCAGGTCCATGATAGCTCTCCCCATACTGTCGCTTCCCCTGAACACGGGTTTAAATATCCAACCGCAAGGAAACACGGCCATTGATTTCGATCCACTCGAAGCGGGGACTGGTAGGGGATACAGTATTCCCGGGTCGGCGGTTGGGACGCGAGACGAGGGCAGTTCCAGAACGGTGCTCTGAATGTGCCTTCAACTCTGGATTTCTTGTTTGGATCCCGCTGTACGAAGCTCATGTGAGGGATAATCTCTTGAACCTCTAGATTGGTGAGATTGGTGTCTTGCCAGATGATTTGCTTGGTTTCCCCTAGCTGTATATTCCGAACAAACAAATGCATACCACCACTTGCCTTGTTCCATCCGAGGCATATCTTAAGGATGTATGGATAGAGCTTTTTTTTTGGAGTATATCCAGAAACACAGAAGTTGAAAACTCTCCAACATAACTACAACTCGCCTATCCCACCACGACTGCATCTTCGTAGATAATCTCTGCTCCTAAGAGCCCCATTGACCCGGCCACCCGATCAAGCCAGGTAAAAGAACGCTGTTCTTCCTTTGGAGTGGTCCCTCCAAGCTCGTATGTGAAACGAAAATCAAAAAGCGGCCCACCACTATCAGTCAGGCCGACACTGCGCGAGGTGGACAAGGATGATGGCGTCGAACCACTGGAGGATGGGGTTTCTTCTTTGACGTAAGCAGGCATAGTTAGCCGGGCGTAGAGTTGTTCGAGGATGCTGATAGCATTAACAGCAGCATTGAGAAGAAGCGACGGACTCGTTTCAGGAAAATCGCTAGGCTCTGGCCCGACAAAAGTACTGGAAATGATGCCCTCCTTCCGCTGGTTGGCGGATGCAAGCATTGATCGTAACTCGTCCGTCAACATCTGGAGTTTATCATAGGTCATATAGACCCGCTGTGCTAAAAGTCCGGCCTGCGGAGAGAATACGCAAACAATTTCCCGTGTCTCTTTAATGTATCCGGGGCATTTAACCAGCTCCATGAAAATCGTCTCGTAGACATCGATATAGAACGACCACTGGCTCTGCTTCTGCGAGTCTTCCTCACGGAGAGTAGCTGCCAGGATCTGCCAGTCGTCGTCGCCCAGGAAACACGGCTCGCCTTCACAGAGCGCGGCAGCGATCAGAAATGGTCTGTAGGCAAAGTGGCAAATGCGTCCAGTTCCAGACAAATGGAAATCCATCCCATGCTTCAGCATCAGTTGCTTTACCGCCCTTGAGTGGTAGACCCAAGCGTCAGGGGTAGTCCGTACATTCATCTCATAGTAAGAAAGAAGAATAACCGCAATAAGCAGGTCATCGGACGAGGCCTCATGCGAACATCTCAGCGCTTGTCTGGTTGCTCCCAGCGCCTGGGAATACTTCTGTCGGCTGAATTGGTGGAGTCTCGGGTCCTTGGTGAGATGGGCGAGGTATTCCGCTGAAAGACACGATACCGATGCATCGTAATAATGCTTAGAACCAAAGTGTTTCACCACCCAGTCCGGAAAGGTCGAACCTTTTCCAAAGCGGAATTCATTATGGAAGAACATGGTTGGGAAGGCCGCGCAGACAAATTCTTTGAACATCCGGGGCTGCTGGTTGATGAAGGCTTGATGGACCAGGGCTGGGTACACACGTTCATCGATGGAACTTTTCGTACCGATCTGCTTTCGCATTGAAACATCTCTGTGGACAGCGTCGGCATCGGTCTTAGCGTGACTACCTCGACCAACTGGGCGCTTTTTGTACCACTTCTGGAGACGAGGTCCCTCGTCCTGGAATTTCCACATACGCGTGTACCCTGGGCATACAACGCCGTGTCTGCGACATTGCGCACACTGCGGCCGAGACTCATCACACTGTTCCCAAATCAGTCTCGCGTCGGAATACGGGAATGAGATAAACTGACCCCGATGTGTCGCTCCCGACAGAGCAAACAGCCCTTACTGGTAGGAACGCCGACCATTGCAATGGATTAATGATATTGGCTAACCTCCCATCCTCCAGCGCCTGGCATGGCACGGTCCTGAGCGATACGAACTTGATGCCGGGCGAGTCCCCTCCGTCGCTTAATCAGCATCCCCATCCCCCTAGGTCGGGAGCATCCTGCTGGGCACCCAGCTAAGGGGGGCCCAAAAATGCCAAGCGGGGCCCAAAATTTGACCTAGTTTTTGGGCCCCCGTCGACTCGCTTAATCGACCGGGGCCCAAAGAATTTCTTCTTATGTAAGCTAATTTTATACACAAATCTTTTTTTCTATCTTTTTTATTCTATATCTACCATATCATGGCACCTTCACAGTATTTCCATGATCCCTTATTTGGACCCCGATTCCGACCACTACGAGAAACTACCCCGGTTGAGCCAGGGTCTGAGTTATCTTCCAGTCGACGTATTACTTATGCGTTAGATCATCTTCTTTATGGTGTATCTGATGTGAGTTTGTTAATCTTTGAATATGCTCAACATATGTTAAGTATATCAAATAGAGAGGCTATACCTTCCAGGATGATCAACCGAGAATCTTTTCAACTCCTGAGGAAGATGATTCTCTATCTGAGTTAAATCGGATAGAGGAACAGTCTAACTCTACGAATTCAGATGAACAATCTGATCAAGCTTTATCCCAATTTAATATGGGATTACCTCAATCTGATATTGAAAAATACGGTATTACTGTTAGTGCAAGTGCCCATGAATCAGTCATCATTCATCAAGTTCAGGAGCATCTTCTATTACCAGAGTATCCAACAACAGATCACTCTGGGGTTCTTCATCTTGTACATCTTAAAAGGAATCCCTTTTTAGGGAAGGAGCAAGATCAGCCAAACGCAAATCTTGTTACTACAGAACTTGCATCTGAGGTAAACTAAGAATACCCTTTGCATATGAGTAACATATGTTTACTATATTATAGATACAATTCGGAATCAGCAAATCAGGCCAAGCAAAAAGAGTCTCTCTTAAATGTCTACAAAAGCATTCAAAAGATGAAGAGGCATTTGCTTGGCATCGATCATATACTTGTTCTGGTATTCGGCATTGTGAACAAATTCATCCAGAACTCCTTACGCCATCATCCTCTTATGATCGTGTTGATCCACAGCTTTTTTATCAACTTCGAACCAAAGCAGCGCATTCACCGGCATTCACAGTTCACCAAGAGATCCAGCATTCAACAAAAGAGTAAGTTGAACATATATTGAACATATGTTCAGCATATGTTCGACCTCTTGTTAATATATTTTATCTTTAGATACTACTGGGCTTTTCGACGAACTTGGGATGAGAACAACGGCCCTTGCGAATATTGGGATAGAAGCCAGCGAACCTGCCATGGACAGTTACCGACAATTTGGACAGCAAATGGGGTATGTTTTTCTCTTATATAATTTACATATTTATTAATTTGCTATAGATTACTTGGTTAGGTTGTCCGAATTCAGCCCCAAATCAGAGATGGCATAAAGCTCAATCAGTCCCGCGCGCCACTAGCGGGATTGATATTTCCTTCCTTAAGATACTTTGTGATAAGGATGGATTAAGAGCAACTGGTATTCAAGACCATTGTTGCTACTATGTTATCCATCAAAAGCAACATTCAAGACGTTGGTGTGGTATGTTTATTACATATGTTCAGCATATGTGTTGAATATTGTTCACTTATATTAAATCTAGATTCTGTCCATTTTGGAGGCCCAGGACGTATAATTTCTCGCCAATGCGAGGTCAAGTTCAACCTCTTTATCCCATGTTCTTGGGATCGATTTCCTTTCATTCTTCTTGTCGCTCGGGGTAATCATACCCATTTTCCACCTCCACCTACAAAGATGCCAATAGAGATTGGCCATCAAATTGCGAATCTTATTTCAAAGCATGATCTTTTAGGGCTAACTGCTCGTAAGTTTATGTTTTCACCAAAGTTTAGCCAGCTCATCAAGACGTACAATACATCAACTCTACGTCATATTCACCAGAGTTTGAATATTGAGGATAGAGTTACTGCTTTAATTCATAAGCAGCGTCTTCTAGCCTATCCTCAAGGCACAAGCTTCGCAGGTGTATGGCGAGAATATCTTTTTGATCAGGCAAAACCAAATGATCAACAATGGATTCGTGATATCCACTTCTTCGATGAGAATCAGCAACTTTATCTCATTATATGCTGTACATATGAACAAGCCAAGCTCTTTCAATGTGTACAGCATATTGAAATAGATCTTGCATTCAAGATGGTCCAAGGAAAGACAAGAGTATTCTCAATTGCTGCAACTAACCCTTTGACAAAAAGTAAGTTTTCTTATTATTTTTTATTAAAACTATATTATATTTACTAATAAAATTATAGAGATTAATACATATGCTTATGCTTTCATTAATTATGAAACGCGTGAGTCATATCGTATCCTCTTCGAGAGGATCTTTAAAGTCTTAGGGGATGCTGGGAGGAAAGAAGTCCGATGGGCATATCAGAATCATTATTCTGATACTGCTGAGGGAATCCGCACTGTCACAGTTGATATGTGTAAAAAACAGGCTCCAGGTATGTATTTAACATATGTCGAGCATATGTTAAACTTATTTATTTACTGGTCTAAATATAGGGCTTGGAGACTATCTTGCTGGACTTGATCCTCGCTGGACATGGTCAGAACATCTTCAACATGTGTTGATTTTCTGTCAAACCCATGTTAAACGTGCTTTTCGGAAGAAGTTTGGTGATCATCCTGCTACTGCGATAATCAACTATATCTGGGAAGCAGATTCAAAACAGGCTGTTCTGAGCTTAATGGAGGCGATGATTTCGCAGTTCCCCGAGACAGAAAGTTGGGTTAAAAATAAGCAGGTTGATTGGATTCTATCTAGTATTACACCTGAGGCATCTAAGATTCCTATTCATTGGTGGATTCAAGCCCCCCATCATACAGGGATCTGCGAGAGTAGTCATTTTGTTGATAATGAAGCTGTTGGTCGAAAACAGGCACTTCTTACAGCAATTCTAAGGTATGTTTTTTAATTTATTTTAAGATATATTACTAATAATTTCTTAGGACGAAAGGACATGTTCACGAAATGTTCCAAAAAAATCAATTTGAGACTCAGCATGGGATTGATTTCACTTGGCGTTCAAATGACATTGTGACCCGGATAGCAAAACAAAATCACAGAAAGGGTCAGTAAGTATGTTAAGCATATGTTAAGTATATGTTAACTTTAATCTAGACAAACGTCGCCGGGCTGCTGCACTTCGAAGAGAAAGAAATCCAGCACAAGCTCGAGATGTTACGAACCCATACGAAAATGATGAAGAGTACGCTCTTTCTTCTATCTGGGATTCTACTCCTCAATCTACACCTCGAGCTAATACTCTAGATACTCGAGGATCGCCAACACCAAGCATACAAGCTGCACCAAATACAAGAGCACGATCTTTACGAGCAAGAGCTAGCGTATCAGCTTTATCTCAACGACGTGCTCAGTCACATACTTTACGCCCACAGGTAAGCTCACCGGCTCTAAGATCTACTGTCGAAGGTCAATCACAATCTCAGCTTGAAGCCCTTCAAGCTGAAGTTGACCATCTACGGAGGTTGAATCAAATTAAGGAGCTAGAGAGACAAAAAGAGGAGTTACTTAGGAGTTTAGCTTAGTTGTGAATTATTTTTTACGTATTTTCTATATATAACAACAGTAAGTTCGACATATGTTCAGCATATATTAAATATATAAATAAATAAATGATATAGTACAGAATAAAATTATACTATATAATATCTAATTTTTTTACTAGAAATATTTTAAAAAAAAAATTCAAAATAAAAAAAAATTCCAGCGATTTAGGCATATGTTCTGCATGTAATCTGCGTGCATCGTCAACCATCATAATCTACATACAAACTCCCTTACATCTAGGAGTTCATCGACTCAAGTCCCTCCTCCTCATCTCCAGGAGTGTTCTCGGTAAGAACACCTGCATCAGTTTCCTCCTCCTCCTGCTCCTCCTCATCATCACCATGATCGCTAGCATTGGGGGTGCCAGCAGGCTCCGAAGCAGCAGTCAGGCTAGGGAAAGGCACAGGATTGGGAGGGGGATCACGTCCACGCTGTAAAACGTTAGCATATGCTCAGCATCTCCGAAGGATAAACTTACACGACGGCTGCGGTTGCCAGAGGTTGGGGTAGTAGGCTGCTGGAAACGATGGAAACGGCTACCAAACTGGCGCCGGAAGTCGGCATCCTCTCGACTAAACATGAACTTAGCATATGCTCCGCGTATATAAACTGTAGATACAAAACACTTACGCGATACGCTCCAGGGCATCGCACCAGTGACCGATCGGGCCCGTCTCAGGACCACGGCCTGGCTCATTGAGGTACATGGCATCGCGCCAGCCCCCAGTCAACACCCACTTCTTCAAAGCATTCTGCCCAGCGAGCATCTCCAGAGCAGTCTTTGCGCGGCGGTCAGGGATAAAAGCTATCTAGCGTTAGCATATGCTCAGCGTATAAGAGGTATATGGACTGACTGGCTCCAGAATGCTCATTGCGTAGGTGCCGGCGAAAGGCAGGCTGCTTCTCGAAGGTGAGACCACACATGGTCTGGCTGCCATCAACCAAAATATCGCAACTAGGGATCATACGGTCAGTATTCAGCCAGCATATGTTGGGCATGTGGTACGTACACCAGGCTGTTCTCTTTGTTCAGGAGGACAAGTGGATTGGGGGGTGGGTTGTCCGCGTTCGCAATATCACCAGCCTTGATGTCGTACTTGCGCAGTCCTGCAGCAATCGCGTCGTGCCACGCCTGAGGTTTCCAGCCAATGTTGTTGTTTGGGATAGGCCCTGCATATGCTCAGCACAAGTCGAAAAGACGCGGCGGGGTTGCTTACCATGTGCATAACCGACCAGAGGGTTGGGGTTCACAGCACTGTGGACCTGCGAGATATCAAAATGGCCACGAGTGAGGCCCAGGCCAGGATGATGAGCGAGGTTAGACATTGTAGATGCTGAGCATATGCTCAAAAGACGCGTTGAATGTGTGGAAAGAGATGTAAATAGCAAGGTAAACAGAAGGTGGGAGGGTAAAGAGAAGCAGAAAGTGGTGTGGTGGTGAGGATGGATGAAGATATATCTTCGTTTCTTTGTTTACATTTTCGTATACCCCTCTTATTTTCTTTGTTTGTATCGTTGCTAGGTTTTGCATATGTTTTGGAACATGGATTTTTTGTATGTATTTAATAAAAAATCACTGTAAACACTATAAATATAGAGATATGAGGTTATATAGAGTTGATCTATGGATAAAGAACGTATTATTAGTAAGAAATTTCATTATGCATAAAATATTTTGGGCCCCGGTCGACTTAGTGAGCTGGGGGGGGCCCAAAAATTTCGGCGTAATATTCTCCCGACTGTTGGACCCCTCTTGGCATTTTTTGGGCCCCCCTGGCTGTAACCCGCATCCTGCTGTCAATGTGAGGATGCGGATAGGCGGCAGTATTATCCACGAGAATAATCAATTTCCAGATGACCTATCACGGGGGAAGGGAAATAAATCACATATCCTCGAAAAGCTCCGACACCCGCTCAAGGTACCTTGCTACAATCCTGGATGTCAAGCATTGCAAACATCCCAGACACTCAGTCAACCCAACTGTCCTCGCTTTCTCTAAGGGAAGTACACTTCTCTTTGTACACGTCCATATCAGATCTCTCTAAATCTCTGAACAATTTCCACTGAGCTATGACGTGAATCCCTTTTACGTTAAGCATATCCCTGGGAGGCATATTGCCGAATCTCCTAAAATGGGGATCAGGGGATTATGGAACTTACGTGTGAACGGTTAAGAGAATGCCCGATGATTGATCGTGAAAAGCTTTATAGGTTAAATCAGACCTCTGGTCCGTCATCCACGGATTCGAGTGAGCCCACCAGAAGCAGCCGAAACGGTACGCAGAGTCGAGCAAAAATATAACAAAACTATCAATCTTGGATCCGGTTTCTTTTTGAAGCCCGTTAGATCCGTACTTCTATTTTACCTACACTCTCGATTAGGATACGGGTACTTTTACTCTTTCGAAGCGGTCTACTGTTAATAGCGTTCTAGCACCTCTAGCACTTCAAGCCAGCCTAGATAAGATATATAAGACCTCAAGTATTTCCGTCGAGTCCTTGCGACAAACGCCTTGTCCCCCAATTCCTGATTCTGAAACATATGACGACTCGCAATTTGACTCAGTAAACCTGGAACCCTAGCATTACCAGGCAGATTTGCCTACGCCCATGATCGAGCTTCAACATTTCTTCTTAGATTCCGTCTTTTTATGGCGTTCCTGGATTGACGACCCTAGCACCCGGCTTTATGGAAGCCGTGTATTTAATTCATTGAGCAGAGCTATCCTACGTCTCGTTTCATGGGATTTTGAGGTGTCTTACGACTGTGGCGTGCCACTGCCCATCAACCATAGTTCGACCCCTAGCTGGCAGTTCCCTGGAGAAGAACAGTACTGGTTTCACGGGTTTCTTATTATGCTGCAATCGGATCTTGAGTCACCTCAACTGCTTCGCACGGCCGTCGCTAGAGCCAACGCGTTCATCAACAGTTCTGGTCGCATACCTCACAAAGTTCGGACCATCCTAATCTCATCACGCCATGTGGCTTTCGTCGAACTATCCCAACACACCACTACGTGCAGCGAGGCTCTTCCGCTTCTGACCGATTCCTCGGCAACGCAATGCTCCCCGGGGTTCCGGGTATTAGCCCAGGTTCTATCCTCCGATTGCTGGAAAACGACTTGGGCTCATCGAGAGAAGTGGCCTTTTTCCATGCCACCAGAGGTTTCATCAGAGATTCTCCATAGCTCAGAGCCAAGAGATGCCGTTTCGTTTGCACAAGTTTCCTTCGAAAATGAACGATGGTATTATGCTTCAGCGCCCCAGTTTAGGGATGTTTCGGTGCGAAGCCTGGGCCTGTCTATGCCCTGCTGCGGCGATCGTACCGGGTTAGAGGATTCGGGCGTTCACTGTAGCAAGTGTTTTGTATGGCAACATCAAAAGTGCATTAGGCTAGAAACCTTTCCATCTGACAATTCATCTGTGCCATTTGTCTCGAGGAGGACCCGAAAGCGACACGCCTCACAGCCGGTGGGATTAACAGACTCGATGGCCGGTCTGAAAGAAGAATGTGCGCTATCAAAATCGATGGATCCGTCAAGGGCCTTCGAGTGCGGCTCTCCCAGCCTGCGCACCTTCGACCAGAGCTACGGCTTATTGGGGATCTAATTAATAAGATTCCAAAGGGCTTGGTTGATTTTACTATTCGGTTCAATGGAGTCTTTGCAGGATTAGCAGATGGTCTGGATGATATAGCATTTGAGAAAAACTGCCGATAATGAAGTGATTTTTTGCCGCCAATTCAAAGGACACCAATTTCATGTTGGGCACTTGGCAACAAATGCCATCACTATCGTCTATCTTCCAAGCTTTAACTTCGGATCTGAGTTAAGATCTACTCCAAGCTACAACAGTCGTTCTATTTGGGGAGGAAAGGAGAGTTCATTGGTAGACAAAAAACTTCAATTCAGAAAGACAAGCTCGATGCTTGAAACGGACAAAAAAAAACCGATAATACTTCAACTCAGAAAGATAGAAAACAAGCGAGTACTGGCGATTGGCATATTCGCTGAAGTTGATTTGGTAGACGGGAAAACCATCAGAAAAGCACGCCGCAGTCAGAGCGAAGAAGATACCCTGCTGATTGCCCGCGAAGCTGCTATCTACAACATTGTAGGCGACCATCCTCGCATTGCTCAATATATCCCCCAGGAAAGAACCGACTATATCGACAACAAGTACAACAAGTACTATCCACACGGCGACCTTGCCAGTTTCTGTCGGGAAAGAATCACTCTTGAACTTCAATCAAAGTAGTTCCAACAAATGATCGTGGCTATGGTGGCTATCCATCGCCATGGAGTTATCCACTCTGACCTTGCGATGCGGCAATTTTTTGTCGATGACGAGTTGAATTTACGCCTAGGCCATTTCAGCTCATCTCAATACCCTGACCATCCTGCACTGGGATATGAGAAGGCGACACACTGCTTGCCTAGAGACTATGAGTTGTCAAACACAATACAATCTGATCTCTTTGCCTTAGGGTCCACTCTATATGAGCTGGTTACTGGTAAGGCCCCGTACAGTGAACTGTACGATCCTAAGCCTCAAGAAAATGTCCCGTCTAGCGACGATGATATCAGAGCACGAGTTACGTGCGAACGTATTGCGGATCTTGAAGATGAGCGGCGATGTTATTTTAGGATGCTGGAACGGAAAGTTTTCCTCGGCAGAGGAAATGATCCACCTATATTAATGATAGCTAGGATATCAATCTAATAAATAATAAAAAGTCTTATGGATATACTACTCATGGGCAGCTTTTGGATCATTGCAGAACTACTGGTGATTGTGAACGTATACTGGTTGGGTTACGAGTTTCATAGTTCTGAATGGCTTTATCCACTATTATGGTGGACCACTTTCTAAAATACAATCATGACATAGAGCCCTCGTGTCAAGTTACTATTTATTTTGATACCAGAATAACCTATAGCTGGCTTCATTAAGTATATATAGATGTGTTTGAGGAAGAAACATAAGTGGAAAGACAGCAACATCTCCATCTTCAGCTCAATCAGAATTTTCAGTGTATTAAAGGATCATACCCGGGTGTTCAAGTGTTTAACAACCCGGGAATCAATATTCAAAGAAAGGATCATCATTTGAAGCCAAGGGAGATGATTGTGTCTTTTTCATTGTGGGCAGAGTGCGTGGACCAGATCATGTAAACGGTATTTCAGGATCATGAAATCAACATGCCACTGGATTCTCGCTTGGGCGTAACAAAAACACCCAAAAGTGTACTGTATATTCTTGTTGAATCGGCTGTGGGAGGGCTCGAGATTGTCTCGAGATGATTGTCGAAACTGTTTTGATGATAAATGGGAGACAGGTGTGCTGCGCAGAGTGCTGCAGTCGTCCTAGAATTAGTTTGGACATATGAGAATTGGCATCATAATTCTCGCATGGCCCTGTCGGGGACTGTGGAAGGTTGTTGAGAAGTTGGAAAGACGATGGCAGAGAACATCCCGAAGAAAAAAAGTCGTCCGCAGGAATTTCGACATTGTCACATGACCGCTTGTTGACACCCACTCCACACTACGAAATTACCAGTGTGATTCTTATATTTTTTTTTTTTTACTTGACTTACTGGAGTAGCTGCATTAAGAGAAGAGAGGCATAGAACACCCATGTATTCATGAGAGTCAAAACAATAGGAAGGATAACCAGGTGATGTATGTACAGGATGGACATGCAAATCAACGGGAAATGGGAATGGTCGAATGAGAAGCAGAAAAGGAGACTCGCTCAGAAAAATCAACATCTTTGACAAGAACACACAAACAAGAAACAAAAAAGAGCATATGAAGCCCCAGCCCCAACTGAGTATTGGCAAAGGGGTCACATGTCAGGGCCGCCCTAGAAAATCAGACGCTGCCATCTATGCTGAGAATCCTCGAACCGGGGAATATTTTAAGAAATGCAGGGGAATCATGACCCTCTCAGGAGAGTATCTGCAACTTCATGGTTTCAACCACCGCGGACGTCTGTACAGGTGGGGGGGAAGGTAGAGAATGCCATGTCCAGGAGAATGAGAGGAAATTTGACAGTGCCGAGGTGGTAAGAGATTTGATGGTGAGGTCATTAGATCATGCTCGATGTATCGGCGGCCTCTTCGGCCATTTTTCGCTTCAGCGCGCCATCATGCTGGAAGGTGTGGATGAGCTTCCGCAGGTACTCGTAGGTGAGCATAGTCGTCATGGCGGCCGGGACGGCCCGGAACAGATTCGTGCCGATCCCGGAATAGAATGCGCGCCAGCCTTCTTCCTGCAAGATAGTCTGACATGTGCGCACCATTCCACTGTAACGGGGCCGGTTAGGCATTCCGTCGGACGACGACGCAATCGACGACCGGCCACGATCATAAGGGTGATGCAAACCTCCACGGAAGGCGATTTCCTCCGGTGAGGGGGCGGGAGCGGTGCGCTGCTGCGTCTGCAGTCGGGTCCGCAAGACCTCGTGCGGGTAGGTGACGGTGCTAGCGCAGATCTTGCTGAGGAAGGTAGCGAATGAAATGCCAATCCAATGTGAGCTCCCGGTGTCCGGGTGCTCCCCGATTCCATAGCCCGTGAATGCCATCTTCAGATATTCGTAGAGGGGGAATTGGATGGCCACGTGGGTGAGACCCAGCAGAGCCGGGGTCAGGCCAGAGTAGAATGAGCGAATCCCCTCGATTTGGTACATTTTACGGGCAGCGTCCCATGTGCTCGAGTATTGCCATGGTGCCCGCAGTCCTTCACTGCTTTTCTTGAGGCTCTGTGACATGAGCCGTGTCTTGATGACCCAGATAGGGTTTGTCACGATCGTTGAGCATGCTCCGGCTGTGATTGATGCATAGCCACGGGACAACCACCAACTTCCTATTAAAAGAGTCAGTAAAATGAACCAGCATATGAACGATATGAACCAAGACACCAACCTGTCTGGTCGTAAAAATATTCACGAGTCCGGTCATAGACCGCCAGATACACGGCCCAGGTCGGAAGATACCCTAACAGCATCGGCCCAAGACCCTGGTAGAGACCGCGAATGCCATCTTCCCGCCAAATCATCCTTCCGGTGCCCAGCATCCCGCGATACAGCGTCTTTGCCTCGACCGTTTGCCCGCCTCGTCGGGCAAAGCCGCCTTGGGCTTGCAGCTTGGTTTTGATGACATCGAGTGGGCATGTGACAATCCCAGAAGCCACGCCAGCACTGGCTCCGCAGAAAGGAGCAATGTAGAAGTTGGGAACACGGGTCGACAGAATCTCTATGCGGGTGAGGAAGGCGGATTGCGGCGACACAGTGGGCGCGGCGGCGGCATCTACATGCAAGTTTTGCGGAGACTCGGAGCCGCTCGCAGCTCCAGGAGCTCCTCTGCCTTCTGAATGCATTGTAGTGGCCAGCGCTCACGCAGAGTTGTCTGTCCGTCTTGATCACCGAGGGCTCCGGGACTCAAGCATATCGGGAGCTCGATCCGGAACCCAAGAGCTCTGTTTCAAGTCGCGGGAGGGATTTAAGGGATGGTTGAAACTGTCGGATCGAGGTGTGGGAGAAATATGTGATCAAAATGGAAGATTGGCGGAGGTGGGTTTTCTGGAGCAGCCGATGGTTACCGAACCAGTGCTTGGATGCAATGCCCTATTATGCAGCACGGACGCGGGGCTTGGTTCTTAGCCAGCAAGCTTCCCTGTAGGAGCAGGGATCACACAGGGCCTTAGGTATCAACGAATCCCATATTCCTGGGATCTCACAAAAGAAAAAGGGGCGTCGGATCTGACATAGGAAACCCGTTGAGTGGTGTGAGGTGGAGTCACCGATTGGCATTCAACCGTCTCCCCACGGAATGATCACGTGTAGTTGCAGTTATCGCCTGAGGCGGTGATATTGCTATTTTAGGGCTAGCGCAACAAGCTCCGTTTTGCACAACCCAACATCGGGTCATCTCGTGTCCAAGACTGCCCTCCCAATTCCTCCCCCAACCCTCCTCCATTGGGATACTCTCAAGATGTCTGCCCCTTCACTCACCAGCTACATTGTCAAGCGCCCGTGGCTCAAGCGCTGGATGACCCCGCTGGCCCAGTGGTACACCGACGCCGCCGGCTACAGGAGACTCGGACTCAAGTAATTCTCGCCCCTCCGAATGGTCCCTTTTGCGCCCGCATCTACGATTGAACACAACCGGAGGATGGACAATGTGCTCGACTACAATCAATTGCTATATTCAGTGGCTGAGATTGCGACCGAGTCGCATTGGCCTGGCTGTCCCCGGTCGATCAGAAATATGTCGCGGGTGTCTTGGATTCAACAGCAAATGCTAACCATCCCGCTATTAGGTTCGATGACCTGATCCCCGAAGAGAGCGAGAATGTCCAGAAGGCCATCAAGCGCCTTCCCGCCAAGGAGGCCTATGACCGTGTCTTCCGTATCCGCCGGGCATTCCAGGTTCGTGCATCCGACTCTCTCCGCCCCTTTCCCCTTCGACGTATACTCTTTGTCTAACCAGTCCGGTCAATTGCAGTGCTCTATCTCGCACACTCTCCTCCCTGCCAACGAGCAGACCAAGCCCTCCGAGGTGAGTCTTTTTCCCTCGTCCCTGATCCGCTCTCCCCGCATAGACCCTCATCTCGGCCAATCCTGTTGCAAGGATTTGTCACATCCACCTTAAGGCTGTTTACCTACACTTACCACGCACCCTTAATGGAAGAACATAATGCTGATGGACTGGATCGTATAGGACGTCGAGTACCTCAGCCCGATCATCCGCGAAATCGAGAAAGAGGCCAAGGAGCGCGTGGACCTCGACAACCTTGTTGTCCGCAAGTAAACATACCCCGTTACTTGTTTCAACCAAACAATGAAAACTAGAATGGAAACCAGTGGACAGGGACGGACCACATGATCTAGACGTCGGGGAGTGTGCTTTTTCTTTTGCGATGTGTCTGGCCCGATTGCTGTCGGTGGCCAGGGGCTTGGTCATGCAACATGCAACCTGTGTGTACTGATACTGTACAAATCGATTTTCTTTGCGCTGTCTCTTATCCTCGAGTATACCGCTCTGTACTTGCAACCCGGCTATAGCTATGTCGTGATCGCCAATGCATTGGTTGCGTCTGCCCGCTGAGTTAGGTTGGGTTCATAGTGTTCTCATGCTAGGAACCACCTAGACACCCTAACCCATAAACAGGACTATTTCTTCTCTTGGTCTATGATATTTTCTAACCCCATACGCCATATCAGATAACGAGATTTATGGTCAAGTATTCCGATTCTATACTACAATATCAACAACATCAATCTCAACGCCAACCATGCACATGATACTATACAACCCCAGTCTATAGCCGGGGATACTACCCGCCAAGGACAGCCACATCGACGTTCTCGATGCGCCACATATACCACATAAACAGACTCCTGTAAGATCAAGTCAACAAGGTCATCTTTAAATCAATCGAGAAGCTTCATCACTGGGAAAACACATACCTATATGGAGCAAATTTGGCAGCTAAATCTAGCATGTCCTTTTCGGCCATGTACTTGAATTTCCCGCCGCCCTTGCCTTTGAGTTTGTTGACATCTCGACCGACAAATGCAGCGCAGCCTCGTCTGTTAAGGTCAGTCCAGGGTATTCCAAGGTCTTGACTTGAAGAACTGAAGAGTACATATCGCAATCGATCCTCCAGTGGAGGAAATCATAGAGCAGGGAGGTGGAAAGACTTACTGCACACCCAGATCGCCAGTGGAAAAGACATCGATGCGCTTAAGAGCAAAGCACGCAAACATCTCAACCGACCACCGACCCAACCCCCGCACAGCAGTGAGTTTCTCAACAAGCTCCGCATCACTAGCGCGCGCCAACATCTGCGCGCTCAGCTCGCCGCTAGCAAACTTCTCCGCCAGACCCTGGATATACTCCGCCTTGCGCTGCGACAAGCCCGCCGTGCGCAGCGTCGCAATATCGCACCGCGCCACCTCGGCAGGCGTCGGGAACCGCGTGAACCGGGGTCGTCCACCAGTACTATCAGTGCTATCGACGCCATCCACAGCCGGCGGGAAGAAGAGACCCAGGAATTTATTGCGAATGGACTTGGCCGCGGCGCCCGACACCTGCTGTCCGATGATGCTGCTGGTCAGGCTGTTGAACGGGTCGATTTCTTCGGCCAGGCCCGCCGGCGAGAAGAGCGGACATGGGTGCTGCGCGACCACGGGCTGCAGGCGCGGGTCGGCGGCGATCAGGTGCGCCACGGCCTGCTCGAGAAGCGTTCCAGTTGTGGCGACGGGTCGGGGCAGGCCTGTCTTTGAGGGCGAGGCTTCGGCTGTGGAGAGTGGGTAGGCTACTACCGAGGAGCCATGCGGGGTGAGGAGCGTTGCGTTTGTGCAGTGCGGGTCGACGGGCCGGTCCAGGGGAGGGGGGTGAGGTGTCGGCGGTTCGCGGTGATGTCGGAGGGAGGGTTCAGCTTGTCGTCATCTGTGTTCTGCGGTGTATCTGTCGCTGGAGGTTCTGGAGACCAGTATGAGGTCCTGGACTTTGCTGGTGGTTTTGTCGGTGTCTTTGGAACTGTCTTCTTGGGTTTGGTTGGTTTGGCGACTGCGCTGTGCTGTACGCGGGTCACTTTGGGAGTTGCGCTTTGCAGCGGGGGCGTCTGGATGGCAGCGCCTAGTCGCGCTGACCGTCTGAGAGACATTCTTAGGGGTGTATCGAATCAACAGTGGTTGGGTTGGGTGAATGGCAGTTGGCGGGGATATGTGGGGAGAAGCTCCAAGGTCTGGCGCTGAAGGTTACCCGTGCCAAGTAATCGCACAGGGAGCTATCTCGGATATATTGAAATAATCCAGTGCAATCAAGTCATAGTAAACTCAGTGATGTTGTTTTTTATGGGAATCCTGTGCTGGATATGTCTGGAACGTGAGGTCGCCGAGTGGAGTCGAGTGCATGTTCTTGGTTCTCGACCCTGAAGATCTGACGATCAGCTTTGGGGAAATATCTACTGTCAGTTGATGTTGCAGCCTGGTGTAAATGAATGTTCTAATGCTCTTTTGTCGTTAGTTGTTAAATTGGAGGTGGATGGGGAATGGCATTCGTGCACTCGGTTATCTATATATTCTCACGGAAATATATATATATCCCCAAGTGATTCGGAAACTATCTTTTATCGGGTTAGGTCAGACTAGTCGTTGATATCCATGAATATTCTTTTTCTGAGTTTATTAAAAAAAAAGGAAAAAAAGGAAATGTTGAGATATCTAGCTATACTCGAGTCAACATACTGCCGGACAATGCCATACAATGACAATGTTCGGTTGATGAGTCGCGATAGTACCATCCATGGATGGCTGTAAGTAATGTCATGCGATTGGCTGTCTCCTTCGCTGTATCTTCCACGGTTCATCCAGTAACGAGCCCGATCTCGGTAATCCATGAATGTAATGGCAAATGTAATGGCAGTTGGAAATGCGCCTTCGGTGTCGGACTACAGACAAGGCTACCAAACAGAGAAAATGGCTCATACCGACTAGAAGCGTATGTTTAGAAGCAAGTATATCCGTTGCGAGGAAATACAATTCCAGAAAAATCCACTCCCGAGTCAACATGAGAAAAACCAGAAAAATTTAACCGGTGGGGTCGAAGTAGATATTGGATCCACCAGTCAGACATGACAATTCCGATGTTGCCTAACTATTTTACGCCCAAAAACCATGCAATCCTTGCTGACTATTGGCGCCAATACCAGGAAGAAAAAAGCTTCGCCCGGGTCCAACTCAATGGGATTGGACTGGATGGATTGAAGATACGCCACAAGTGTGGAATCAAATGAAATTGAAAAACAAAAGAGTGTGTGGTCCCATGTTGTTAGGAATGTGTCCAGCCTCGCCCCCTTGACCGTTCTCAATTTGCCCCTTCGGTGTTGGTATTGAAAGGTTGTACACATTCCCAGGGATATATTAAAAAAAAAAAATAGCTTTTTGGCGAGGCAGATAGGCGTGGAATGTGAATCACAATACCTACCTAGGTACCAAACCATCTCACGTTATGATTTCGCTGGACTTGATTGCTAGAGAGCTCCATCCCGCACGGACTGGACTTGGCTTGAAGCCGCGCGGTGGCCCCTCCGACCAAATGTTATATTTATTTATGAATATTATGATTCTGATTATGAGGATTACCTGGTATTTTGAGATTATTCTTGGGTGAAACAAGGCCCCCTGTCCTGCAGAACAGTGCATCAAGCTGGGTTCAAGATGCTCAACCAATTCGAGTATCTAGCGATGAAGCAGCCATTTATAACCAAAATCAAAGAAAGTAAGAAAAAAAAAAATTGAATTCATAGTGATAATGGAGTACTGCGAGAAATTAAAGCAGAGCAACTGGGAGCCGATCTGAAACATTTGGCAAGTTTACAGAAGTTTACAGATATGCTCGGCGTTACCACGGTCTGACTGTAATTTAATACAAATTAAAATGAAATCACATACATCTATTTACTACGTACAGTATATACATATTCTCAGCTGAGGACTTTGCCACTGGCTGTATCTTTGAAAAGTGCAGCACTAACGTTGAAGCTCCGTTTGATAGACATAGCACAAAAACGGCCCTCAAGCACTAGTTGTACGATCGTCGCGCCTCCGACAGGGGGAGACTTGGCAGATCGCCCGGGCAGATCCATGAAAGCGACAGGATTTGATTTCGACTGAATCATCACGACATTGGATGGGAACTTGCTGTGGGTGTATAGAAAGCGGCAGTGCATATGTATATGTACCCTACCTAGGTACTTTCCAACGTGACATATGCTTTGCGTATATTGTGTGCGTATAGAATGGTTCAAACCAAAGATAAATAAAACAGGGCAAATGGTCCCACAGCCCGATTTTTGCCACTGCAATCAGACGGTCTGCGGACTGGAAAGGGGTTGCCGAGGAGACAACCTTGGAGGTAGATTGATCCCCATTGAAAACATTGAAATTTGCAGAATTGCACATCCGGCAGGGGGCGATCAATTTTTCAAGTGAGGATTGTCATCTAGGAGAGTCATTCCACCGTGCCAATCAGCGCCCGAGCATACCGGGCTTTTCTTAACGAGAGCAGCAGGGGGGATACTAGCGGGTCCTTGAAAGGTTTGGATTCCCGTAAATTTGGATCGACCATCACAGCAGACTGGGTCATTCCGAGTATATTATAGATTATGTACTATATTTTGCTGTGGACGGGGGATGGGCTGACAGGAATTATTCAGGTGTATTTAGTTCAATGGGTTAGGACTTATCTTTCTGGGTACTCTTACCATAGAGCAATGGGAGGAAACTCCAGTTAATCAATCTAGGATGATCAGGGGCAGCTCGAGATTGGATGTGCGGATGACGACAGATACATGATACATGATACATTAGACAGGACAACCATACAAGTCCATTGTACTGAAGCTTGTATGGTAGCCGATAGTCCAATCAGAACCTACTGAGAAGTTGAAACCACAACATGGTCGCCTTGGTGTATAGGAGACATTACCTGGTATCTATAGAGATAAATCAAATACAGGATACATATACACCTCGACCTAATTATACATTGCTAATCAAAATATCTCCATAATACCATCAATTCTGTGTATACCTTTCCCGAAGAAAGGGGGAACCGAGAACAGGATTCGGCCCCGATCAAACACGGCCCCGCCTCGTTCTGCCTCCAGATAGGCCCGGATGCGGTAATGTGTGTGTTTATAAAATACAATACACGCTCCACCCGGCCTCCTTTCTTTTTCTTCCCTTCCTGCTCTCCTGACCTTCTTATTCTCTCCCCTTCTTCTTCTCCAGAGTCCATTCGTTCTTTCCCCCCCCCCCTTTCCCTCCTGCCATATTCTCGGCAGCCATCCGCTTCTCTCTCGTTTTGAGGCGCTTCCTTTCTCTTCATTCTTTCTAATTCTACCCCCCTTTTTTTAAATAAAAAATTAAAAAAACTCCCACAGCTCTAATCGGTACGTGAGCGACAGCTCTCTTCCTCATTACCCCTGGGAAACTCCCATCGCGACACATCGTGCTAACAACACCTTCAGAAATCCATCGTCATGGTTTTCATCAAGTATCTCCTGCCTGCGCTGGCTGCCTCCCAGCTGGCTTTCGCCGATGACAGCTGCAAAGACGTCAAGCTCGAGTCCTCGGGCGATGCTGGCAAGCTGTCCAGCTGCTCCACTATCAGCGGTGACCTCACGATCAACGAGGCTTTCTCGGGTGACCTGAACCTGGATGGTGTCAAGAAGATCGAGGGTGGCCTCATTGCCGACAAGGCTGACAACGTCACCTCCATCACTGCTCCCTCCCTCACTTCGATCGGCAAGACCTTCGAGCTGAACGGTCTGACCAAGGTCACTCTGCTCAAGTTCCCTGAGCTGACCTCGGTCGGCTCGATCAAGTGGGAGGCTCTGCCCAAGCTGCAGTCCCTCTCTTTCGACAAGGGTGTCACTAAGGCCGGTGATGTGCTCATTACCAACACCGGTCTGAACAACCTGGACGGTATCACCTTGAAGACCGTCCAGAAGTTCGAGATCACCGACAACACCGACCTGCGCAAGATCAACATCAACAACATGCAGAACGCCTCCAACGTTATCAACTTCGCTGGTAACTACGACGGTCTTGAGATCGACCTGCCCAACCTGGGCACCGGTACCAACATTACCTGCCGTAACATCAGCAGCATCTCTGTGCCCTCGCTGGAGAAGCTCACCGGTCAGCTCGGCTTCTGGGGCACCAAGTTCCGCACTTTCTCGGCCCCCAACCTGACCCACACCGGTGACCTGGTCTTCAACGACAACTCGAAGCTCAGCAACATCAGCATGCCCCAGCTGAAGAAGGTCGACGGTGGTTTCACCATTGCTCGTGACGACAAGCTGACCTCCGTCTCCCTGGGCAAGCTGGAGCGCATCACTGGTGCTCTTGACTTCAGTGGTAGCTTTGACGAGTAAGTTGATCCTTTCGATTGGTTTGTGTGCTTTCCATGCTAATTATCCACAGGGTCTCCCTCTCTGGCCTCAAGTCGGTCGACGGTGGCTTCAACCTGCAGAGCTCCCACGGCAAGTTCTCGTGCCAGAAGTTCGACGCGCTGAAGGATGACCGCCAGATCAAGGGCAAGTACACTTGCGATGCTTCGGCCGACCACCCCACCACCTCCAGCGGCAAGTCGGGCACCAATGGCGGCAGCGGCAGCAGCGGCAGTGACAACTCGTCCAACGCTGCGGTTGCCAACGGTGCCAACGTCCCCGTTGTTGGTATTGCCGCGGTGTTCTACGCCCTGGCCCAGCTTCTGTAAATGGAGGTTGTCCGTGGAGGAGAGTTGGGCATGGGGATTCTGTAGACGAGTCAGCCAAGCCCCGGTTCTTTATTTGTCTTACTCTGCTGTTCTCATGATAATAATTCGGTCCTTGTGAAAATTCGCAATTTGGATTCTGTCCTCGGGAGACACCTCGTCGCCGTCCATCGGAAGGAGTTCATTTTTTCTTATCCCTTGTTTTTATTGTCTTGATACGTGTTACTGGAGCGCATGCCGTGCCCTAATGTATTCGGTGTTTGTACCTTGCATTGACCAGGCCGTAGTCATTGATCTTCCAGCTCCAGGGCTAGTTTGGTGCGATGTAAGCGGTAGTCTTCGCTTCCAACTTTGATCCCGCACGAAGGTCTATTCCTGCGAGGCGTCTGTCTATGCCTGCTAATACTGAAATGGATGTCTATGCATGGCATTGCCATCTACAATTGTATTTCAGTGCGACTACAACCACTCCCTCATCGTAGCAGTGATTGGCCTTCCACGAGTAACCTTCCATCCAAGTACGTCGTCAACTCCCAGAATTTGGGTTCCTTTTAAGGTTGTCAATCGATCACGGTTATTTTTGGTCTTGGAGACAACCAGCACGAGTGAGAGTAGAACTGGTTTAATGGGGGAATGATGTACTCAACCAACTACCCGACTTGGGGCCTTGGATAGAATCGTTCTCTTTGTTTTCTTGTAGATAGATACACACCCTTGCTACCCACAGAATTCCATTTCCCCGATCGCCAACAGCATAATTAGTGTGCTAATTCTTGGGGAGCATGAATGGGTCATGAGAGACCCGGGGGGGAGATTCTCTTGTTCTGATTTTTGGGTTCTGTCTAGGGTTGTCCTGATAGACAATAATAAATCTTGACTCTAACAACCAGTATACTGACCTAGATTGCCTGCCTAGGAGCCTGCCTAGGAGGTATCTCCTAGTAGGCATATGATATGATATGATGACGTGGTTGAATATATCCAAGCCAGCTCAACAAAAAAAGAAAAGAAAAAGAAAAAGACTAAAAAGGCAGTTCCATGTGCGTCTCATGTTTTCTTTTCTTTAAACAGGAAACGAACCCGGGCGGATTATTCAATATGTCGAATTCCCCACGCTGAGAACCGCGTTGCATCTCTCCGCTGTGACTTAGGATTCGAAGAAGGCTCAGCTGCAGGATTCTGAGGGCAGGGATCACTCGAGTTGGGGGGAGGGTTCGCGGAACGGGATCCAGAGTTTTCGTTGCTTTTTTTGGTGTCGATGAGGGGGTTGGGGTTGATGTTGGGGGCTTAGGGACGTGGGGCGATGCTTTAACTCAGAAGAAAGACTTGGATGGCTGGGATTATATTGAGCAGTTGGTATAGTGGTACTTGACAGAAAATACTGTTATGTAGTGCCTTGATGGTATTGAGATAGTTACTAAAGTAGAGGATATCTTGCCAAGCGGTCAAGAAACATCTATCCATGGATCTCGTATGGTATACATAAAGAAGTAGGAACAGGAACAGAAAAAGCAATAGGCAATCACACAATCAGAAACCAAGTCTTTGTGTTGATATATTAATGGGTTAATGTGGGGGCAGTTGATCTATCCATGTAGAATGGCAAACTGTATATCTGCGCAGCTGAAACTCAGCTCTAACTCAACTCAAACATAGATACTTTGGGGAGAAAGACAAGGAGAGAGGGAAAGAAATGTATACCCACTTTTAGAGTTGTAAAATCTCCACAATTATCTAGACTTTGAGAGAATTATCCTTAGGGGCGTCTATTAACTTTGTAACCCACGGCCGAACACCCCCGAATACGGACTGATTGGCTAGGATTGAACCAGCCATTCGATATACTCCCTATTAGTTTAATTAATTCATCTCAGCATTAGGGGATAGATAGGAGATAGTTAGGGGTCCTTGGGTAGGTTGGACCGAGGTAGGATTTAATTACTAACTCATCATGTGTAGGGGATATTCTTCTATCATGGGAGTTATCTCTATACAAGATACTTATTTAAATCAACCATTTAAGAAAGCAACACACTTTATTTATTTTACATGATGTATGCTTAAATAATTAGCTATTGACATGATATATGGCTAGAGATTTGCAGCATTCCCTAGGCGATTGATGATATGATAATGTTCATGATATCCATGAAGCTCATTCCACGCCTCAGCAAGAAAAAGGTTGAGTCTTTCATAAATATGATGCAGATAAACTAGGATTGTATATTTTGTCTAAAATTCCTCTGCCTACATAGTTCTAATCAAAAAGCAATGGTTATGGGTGGCCTCCTACTGATAGGTTTCCCACTCTTAAGGCTATCTGTGCTTTTGTAGATATGTAGATTAGTACTCCAGTGGTTTCTTCTATGGCGGATAATGCAGTAAAGAGATATTACAAACCATAAATGTGTCTTATCACTCATAATTATTCGTGGCTTGGAATTTATCTTGTTGATGGGGATAATTCAAGATTCAGTGAGGATATATACATGAAGGCGAAGGGTGGTTCTCAAGATTTATATTAGCTATATGAAACTCAATCTTGTATGTATGCATTTATTCTATTTATTAGTGTCCCAGTTATATACTTATATCCCTAAGCAAGATAAAGCTGCTCTAAGAATGAACGTTGAGGATATTTTGACGGTGGTTACTGCATTCCTTGCGGTATAGATAAGTCAATGGAAAATTTGTATATTGATTAAGTCAGCCTGACTGATAAATATATGGATTTTATATGAGATAAATATCTCCTTCTATTGACAGTCAGTTATACTAGAAGTATAGAGCCCGGCAGACCCATAGGCCATCTACCACGAACAAGCCTATGGACCCAATGGACACACAGTCAGCAAAGCATGCTACTCATAGATGGACATTCCTTAATACTTGGAAGGTATTAGTGACTTGATTGAATCCTATCATTATTCTTAAATAACAGTAATTCCACTTGCTATTTCGTTAGCATTTGGTACTTTGTTAAGAGTTCATGATATCTAGGTATAGAACACTGCGCGATACATAACTTATGAACATTTGGCCGGAACAAGAAATACACTCACATGATCCTTTTTTTGTATTCATTATAATAAACAGTGAGTACTAGAAGAAACGGATGATGGGTTACCTAAAGCGTAACACCTCTTTGGAATCATGTCACTGGAATTGATATACTAAACCATATTTCCAAATTAAAGCATAAAATAGATATTCATTAAGTCTAACAACATTCATTAGCATAGCCGAAACAGAAGACCCTCTAGCAGACATAATATGCTACATACCGTGGACCTCGCGGAAGGCGGCAGAGTGATAGCCGGGTACATGTCAGCTTCGTAATAGTCGTCTCCATGAGATACAGGGGTATAATCTAGCATGAGATAGACTCTCGTGGAGAAAAAGAGAGAGAGGAAGAAAGATAGGGAAAGAAAAAGTGGAAGCAGGCAGCAGAGTGGCGAGGGGAACATGGCCCGCGGAACTCCGCACAGGTCTAGTACCTACTCTACCTACTGTATGTACCTCTGTGTATTTCATTCAGGGGAAGAATAGCAGAGATACGATGCATGCGAGGTTGAGGGTACCTGAAGGAAATCAGCTGCACAGGCACCTTGCATAGCAGGCAACTTGGGATCCAGGTAATGGGGAATTTCTCTTAGGGGGAGGCGAAAGTGACGGATGGAACAGACAGAGGGGGGGCAAAGAGACAGCACACATCGATCGCTATGCACGCTGTAGGAACCAAACCCTGTTCGCTGAGAGGCGAACTCCACGGGCTGCGAGCGGCTCGGGGAAGTGGCAGAGCGAGACCTGTCAGCTGCGGACGAATTTGACTTCTGATTTTCAGAAATAGCACGCTGCGCGCCCAGAAACTGGATCTGTATATCCGGCGAGACCTTGCAGGTTCCGGTGGTGGCGACTCGGGGATTAAACGTGAGAAGCACCGCGTGTCGTCCGGATATGTGGGTTGAACGCAGGCACAGAGAGGGTATAATCTGAGATGAGATGATACTCTCTCTATCCGGGTGTGTTGGCTTGTAGTGCTGCAGTAGAGGTAAGATACGTGGGTGCTTGGCAAAACCAGTACCTGTCTTTGGCTGTCATGGCCCACTGACACCTAGCAATGACATTGCCCCGATGATCCACAAGGCCGACCTCAATTATCAGTCTGTGCTCCTTGCTGCGAGTTTTGCCATCGATATTTTATGCCCGGGGTGTAACTATTATGGACTAGAGACTCTTTATCATCTCGGGATTTACCTAACTGGGAATATCTTGTAGGAATATCATAGCATCCTATCCTGGGGATCTGGGCGAGAGGATCCATATTCGAGCATAAATTGGCTATGCTATGAATGACGAAACCAATGAATACATCCCCCTTCCGTCGTACCCATGCGTCTCCTCGAGTCTAGCACGAGTCTGCATCCACGCTTGCCACCCGGCTGGGACGAAGAGACAGATGGAGAAAGATAGAAAGACAGAGAAAGAGGGGAAGCCCAGCGGGGCAGCCTGCACGTACAGTAGTGTGCTGGGACTACTGCGAAGAAAGAGGGGGAGAGAGAGGGACCAAAAATCTAGATCGATTCCTGTGAAGAAACCGATCGTTTCTCTCACGCAATACTCTGCCCTATACCAGATATATTTTGGGGGGGCACTACGTACTACAATCCTGAGGGACCCATGGGGGTGGGTATAGTTACATGAGTCGCTTTTTGTGAGGTTGGTGGCGGGTCTCCCCAACGAACAGGGAAGGATGGATCTTGCAGTTCGCCTGCATGAACTGGTAGTTTCGAGTGTGTGGCGGGTTCAATCTGGACCCTTTTTTTTTTTTTTTTTCTTATTGCGTGTGTAGGGAGTGGAGCGAGGTCGAGACACAGCAAGTCGAAACTAAGAATCAAGTCAAATCCCTACATGTGGAGCCCATCTATGGATGTTGTAATACTGTCTCCCCCTCCGCTACCGAGACGAACTACAATCGTCAGCACATCCGATCGATTTTCTCGATCTCCAGCAGATACATGCAGCAAAAAAACCGGGCCTGGGGATCAGGATGCAAACTCTGATCTCTGGATCTTTGGATCTCTCTGGCTTCGGGATTCCCGGACAACCCTAATTCTGCATGTCACTGGAAGGGGAAAGGGAAGATGGGCCCGGGGAACACCCGGAACCGACTTGGACAGAGTTTGTCCGATCTCGAATGGTTCGTGCCTGGTTTCCCCTCCAGTGTACTCCCTGCAGCTGCTGCGTGCCGGCTGCAAACACGTCCTAGGCGCAGCTGCGGAACTTATGAGGAGGCGCCGGCTGCAAGTACCTGGAACGGGTTCGCAGAGTGGCCATTTTTCCTTCTCTGTCTCTCTCTCTCTCATTATTCTTTTTTTTTTTTTTGACTCGGAAGAGAGGGGTTCTCGCAGTAGCGTGGGCTTACTGGGACAGACTGTATTTGTGAGTTGATTCCCCATCTGGGTTTATACTTAGGCCTTGTTGGTCACCTGTTTACTCAACCTCAACAGAATAAGGACACACTTGCAAGAGTGCCCGAGAAAATCCACAGAACGTGGGGACCTGAATGGGATCCAGCAGGGAAGACCCCGGTGGCTGGGGAGAGAGAGAATATGACAGCTCTGATCCCAACGGGACCCACTCAAGATATAGCGGATCCACCAGACGGAAGGGATTGGCTCCAAATAATTGATGATGTACAGTTAAAAAAGAGACGTGGGGCGCGTCCTGATATTTGCGAAGAGGAACGTGCTGGTTTTAGGGCTTGGCCCCGGAGCTATTGTTTTTGTTCGCGCTCTGACTCGTCCAACTACCCAATTTGCCCCGTGTCATAGCTGATTCCAAATCCCAGCAATTCTCTTGTGATTCGATGACTGACAGGCAACGTATTCCGGTCGCTGGGTCCTGTGGCCGTCCCAACTCGCTGGTTTTGCTTGGTCCTCTCCCCGGTGATTCGCTTACAAGGCGACGATGCTGAGTATAGAAAATCGCTGTCTATTACTGTCGAAAATCAATAGCCTTGACGTCTTGTAGATGTCGATCGATCCTAGTATCTGGCGTACCCTAGTGTTATCCCTGTATAATAGGTGCTATTGCGTGGAGTTGTTACTATTACCTATGGATCGAGGCCTCCTCGCATGTCTCAGGATGACACTCGGTCCTTGCTTCATTCTATTGATGCCATTGGGTTTAGGACTTTTTTTTTTCTTCTATGGTTTTCAGGAGTACCTCGAGGAAAGTCTCCCACCCCCTTGATCCTTTGCCACGATTATAGTATTCTCCTGAATATCGTAAGAGATCGAGCCGATGTCATTACAGAGAGCGTTTCAGCGTTTCGCCTCAGGATCAGAGCGGCAATGACACAGTTCAATGTGAAATATGCAAGTATGCAAGCCAATCTCTACCTTTGTCTCTTTCTTTCTTTCTTTTTTTTTGGCCAGTCTAGAAGCAATTCCCCTGTAAACACTCACATCCACATGGCTCAAAACCTCGCCGGAGGATTTAGTCCCAAGGGCTCTAACCGTTCAGTGACGACCATTAATTGGGACTATTGATGTAAGGGCACCCCAGTACTGCCCCTAAACTCTTCCCCGTGCCGATCGCCAACCCAGCAACCCGGTGACGAATGAAGGCCCGGGGATCCTCGCCACGAACCTCTTTTCCGGGCACGATCGAGCAGTGGTGATTCGTGGATCTGGTGGGGAGCGACGAGGATGTTTGTCGGTGCATGATGTGACAGATAACTCTGTGATACCGAACTCCTCCCCCATCCCCCATCGATCGTTCTCTGACACTTCTACCGTAGCGGGTCCTCGCTGGTCCTCGCTGGTCCCAGAATCCACTCGGGATGCCAGTCTCGCTTCCCCGTGGAGAGTCGTGGGTCTCTCGGCCGCATACACTCTGCATTGTATCTGTCTGTATGACATCCCGGCTTTCCGCGATGGCGATGTCTGAAGATCGACCCTGATCGTTCATGGTTCCCCCTCCTGGGTCTGGAGCAGGTACGAGAGGCCCGTTCCCGAGTTTGATAGATGGCTTCAGGTGGGTTCCAAAGGACTCTTTGGCCCCCTCGCTCTCTCTTGCTCTCTGCTGGGACATATAAACATGCATCCCATCCCGCTCATCCCTGGGTTCAAACTGTCTCACTCATTCTCTTCCATTGCCCTCTGGATTTTTCTTCAATCTCTCGTCTTTTTTCTTGTCCATACCTCTCCTCCCCCCTTTTGTTGATCAGCCTGATTGTGCATATACATCATCGTCATTTTGTAAACCCCTCCAACAACCCCCTCGATTCGATCTACAGCGTGTGAATATTCGCCGTGTGAAGGAGATTACCGAATCCTTCCGTACATACATTGATATAACTCTGTGACTTAATTCGCCTGCCACGCCCACACTCGCTACTGCACGTCTCACGTTTTCTCTCTGACGACCAACCACGATGTATGAGGAAACGAACCCTATGATTGATGACCTTTCGCGCCGCTGCTCTCTTCCGTGAGTCCACCCTGAATGATTATCTTGTTCTTCTACTGACAACGGCAAGTTCTTTGAAATCTGCTACTTCTGGCATGACGGGCCCAGATCTGGGCGGGGAGCGCCGGTTGCCTCCTCTGCCGCGCGTGGAACCGCTGCCTAGAGGCCCTTTCAACCCCTTCCACGTCAAGGAGGCGTTTACCCCAAGCACGCCGGGGCCCCAGGACTCGTTCCAGCTCAAGTCTCCCTGGACTAGCGCCGAGTCTGTGGTTGCACCGCCGTCGCCAGCCAACTCGGCAGAGAGCTCGTGGCAGGAGTCGTTCGCGGTGCAGAAGGCGGCATCGGCCGACTGGCCAACAGACCTGTCACAAACGGAAATCATGACGCTGATTGCGCCGCAAAACCTCAACCGCAAGGCGCCCCTGCAGCAGCTTTGCGGCCGCAAGCGCAAGGGCAGCGCCATCTCCCCGGACCCAGACGACCAGCGCGAGAAGCACCGCATTGCTGAGGGCAACCGGCGCAAGAACCTCAGCCAGCTGCACCGCGAGCTGGACAGCCGCGTGCACGACTTCTTCTTGGAGCGCGCTGGCTGGAACCCGTCCAAGAGCCTGCCGCAGTCCAAGGAGCACATTGTGCAGGGCGCCGTCTACCTGATCGACTTCATGCTGGCCATCATCGTCCACCTCATCCGCCAGGAACAGCAGGTCTCGCCTCAGCTCTCTGAGAAACTGCAGCCGCAGTTCCGCTGCATGCAGCTTCAGCAACTGGTCGGCTCGCTCCAGCAACAGAACCAGACCTCGCAGCAGCAGCTCAAGGCTGCCCAGGCTGAGAACGAGCTGCTGGCGGACCGCAACCGCGCCCTCGAGTTCCAGCTCAAGTCCTACGAGCAGATGTTCCGTTCTCCCAAGACTGAGAGCGCCAGTCCCCAGCCTCTGGTCGACGTGCCTGACCACAAGCGCCAGAAAAAGGCTCTCCCGGGTCTCCGAGTGTTCTGTGACGAGATCGCCACCAACATGCCCGCACCCCATGAGTCTCTGCCTAGCGCCACCTCGCAGTCCTTTAGCAGCTCCTATCTCAGTGCTACTCCCACGACGGGGCCGCCCTCGCCTGCTTTCCCTCCGTCGCTTTCTTCCTCGTTCACTTTCTCGGCCCCGCGCCGCCAATCCTTGATGGCGTCGCCATGAACCATGCCTGCAATGATTTTAATGCATCTTGCCTCCTTGATGCTAATGTGATGATGATGACTCCTCTTCTTTCTTCTCCTCGCCACGCACATATGATCTCCCTTTTTCTTCTCCACCCACCCCTTGCAGATAATCGTGTTTTATCATGTTACCCCTGCGTCTGCCCTGGCCAAACTCGCTTCTCACCACAAAAAGAAAGTCGCCTTGGCCATTTCGTCGTCTTCCCGGTGCATGTGCCTTTAGCGTCTGCATTGTAACACTATTATGATCCTTTCCCGGGAGACGCAAGAATGTTGACTTTTTCTTATGTTATTTCCTTTGTCGGGTGGAGTTTCTTCTGATTTTGCTTTTCTTCTCTAACGTTTTCGGTTTTTCTCTTTTTAAAATGGGTGGAACTATTTTCGATGTCTTTTTTGTTGATGCTTTTGGCGTGATCATGATATGGATATACGATTTGGTGGATATAGTTTTCTTGTTTCTTTTGTCGATGACTTTGCTTTTTCATGTCTATATTTGAGTCAATCAAATAAGTATTGATGACAATTACTTTGAGCCGTAGACCACTAAACCTAACTTACACCTGTAGAAATGTGTACTCTCAGTTAGTTGCCTCTACCGGTATCATGTTTCGACCTTGACCGAGTGGATATATACAATACCCAAATCTGGCCCTAATCGGCATTATACTCTTTCAAATTCCTGTAATATGCTCTTATTTCCGCACTTTCTCGTTTTTTTTTAGGCCTATGGATGAGATCCCATGCTCTCCTACATATTAAGATGACTTGGTCTCTGCAAGTATTTAGAGCAGCATCTTTCCAAGGTTCCTACGCTATAGACAGACTATTTACATAATGCTCAACATAATTTATCGAGTATGTAGCCTCTTTTATTCTTCACTGTTTATGTATCTTCTATACCTCAGTTCAAGATAGTCACAATTCACCCGGTCCATTGCGTTCAAGACCACATTCTGGGATGTTGCACTCCAAAAAAGGTTGGTGGATTAGGAGACATGTTCATGGACAGAGCTGTGGTGGGTGTATAACCATAGGAAAGGAAATCTCAAGTGGGACAATTTGAGTCAGTTGATAAGGGGAAGTTTGGAAGACTGTGGGGTTCATGGCCGTCTTCATGATCACTCGAGATCACGTCTTATCGAGAGAAATGGTAAAATGGTGATCATTTATACTTCATTATTTGGCTAATCCCGTACTGTGCCACCTGTCTTGCTTGGTCTTGTCTTGGAATACTTTATCCTTTGTCTTGGAGCAGTTGAGTCTAGTTTCGACTGTGATGAGCCTACTCCCATATAATATGGGAGTAGTTTGCGGTAGGATCTGGAATACATCTCAGATAATGGTGACACGAACAGGCCAGATGAAGTAGCCAGGGGGGAAAGGGTTTATATAGACTAGGCAGAATATACGATAGTTAATGTGGATGATCCCCATACTAAAACAAAGTATCCGCTGTCATCCCGGGGAAATCGATGATCTTCCAACCTGGGGATGTCCATGCAAAAATAATAAACAGATTCTGAGCTCACCCCAATGCTATAATTATTTTATTGTTTTCTTACTCTCTTTCACTCCAATTTCTTGAGGCGTGTTTTGTCTCCCTTCTGATTCGAGGCACTCTTGGCAGAGCGCGCCACCCTTCCGCCTCTTTCTACCCTCCCTATCTTGCCACTCCTTCGTTTTCCTTTGATTGACCCGTCTCACCTGCTCCATCTCGCCCTTTGCGCGTCTCTGGCCTCATTCGTTCGGCAAGGGGCTTTCAACGGGCGTGCCAGGGATCCAGACCCCCCCGGGATCGTCGCCGTGTTGTCCTAGGCTCCAAGTCAACCGCAACCTCTCTCTCTCCCTCCCTCCCACAAACACTCGTTCGCCCACCATGTTAACGTCAAAGGGTGGGGTCAATTGGAAGTCCACCAAGGCCCGTCTCCCACCATGGAGAGCCCTCGCCGTACTCTTAACACGAACTCGCTTTTTGATCTCGGTGGCCGTGACAGGGCTGGTCATCTTGATGTGGCGCGGCCTGAGCAAGTCGGCGTCGGAGATGCAAAGGTACGCGAAATTCTTGGACAAAATATGCGTGAGAAGCTCAAAAGGTACTAACTCGGCTTTTGTTTGGGGTAGTAGTTTCTACTGTTATGGCTCGCCCAAGTCGCCCATGGAGATGTCCATCAACGAGATGGTCGCATGGAACGCGCACGCCCAGACCCCCGTCCTCTTCAACCGCCATGAACCCTACGAGGTCAACAGCCCCTCGATCTCCGAAGTCAACCTCAACCCCATCAAATCCTCCACTCAGGCCTTGTCCAACCGCGAACGAGTCCTCATCCTCACCCCGCTACGCGACGCCTCCCCGTACCTGGAGAAATACTTCGATCTCCTCTACAAGCTGACCTACCCACACGAACTAATCGATCTCGGTTTCTTGGTCGGTGACTGCAAGGATGACACACTGGCAAACCTCGCCTCCGAGCTAGATCGCATCCAGAAACACGCCGACGAGAAAATCGCGTTCCGGAGCGCGACGGTTGTGAAGAAGGATTTCGGCGCCGACGTGGAGATGAGTGTGGCGGAGCGCCACTCGTTTGCTGCTCAAGGTCCGCGGCGTAAGGCTATTGGTCGGGCCCGCAACTACCTGCTCTATTCCGCTCTCAAGCCGGATCATTCCTGGGTCTACTGGCGCGATGTGGATATTGTCGACTGCCCCGAGCGTATCCTGGAAGATTTCATGGCTCATGACAAGGATGTCCTTGTGCCTAGTATGTGATTCTGTGTGGGATTTTGACAATGGAGTGAGGCTTACAAGGCTGGCAGACATTTGGTTCCACCGCTACAGAGATGGCCGGGACATTGAGGGCCGCTGTAGGTTCACTATACCATGAACTTTCTGGGATTGGCACTGACCATCTTCTCCTAGTCGATTACAACTCGTGGATCGAATCCGACAAGGGCCGTCGCCTGCGATCGAAGCTGTCTCCTGACACCGTTCTCGCCGAAGGCTACAAGGAGTATGACACGGGGCGAACCTACATGGCCAAGATGGGCGATTGGCGGAAGGACAAAGACGAGGAAATCGAGCTTGACGGAATTGGTGGCGTCAACATTCTCGTCAAGGCCGACGTGCACCGCACCGGCATCAACTTCCCCGCATATGCTTTCCAGAACCAAGCCGAGACGGAGGGCTTTGCCCAGATGGCCAAGCGCGCTGGCTACCAAGTGGTCGGCCTGCCCAACTATGTGGTATGGCACATCGATACCGAGGAGAAGCCCGGTAACGCATGATATTGCACGACGGTACTCGTGTTGGTGTATTTGTTTTGGTTTCCTGCATTCTTGACCGGTGATACTCGTCGAGGGAGGGTTCAAGTTGACCTTTGACCCTGTTGCCGTCCCCGAACATCCTTCCTTTTCTTTTCTTTTCTTTGTTGCTCCACTATGCGGATCTCGATGGACTGGTAGTCTCCCGTCATGGTGTTCTTTCATTTTCCAAATCCTTCCCACTGTATCACTTCTCCTCCCTTCTTTTTCTCTCTTTCTTTTCACTTCTTTTTTTGTTTCTCTGGAAGGATGGTTCGCGACGGAAGCCTAATGATGTCCCATAATCCCGGTATCTGCGCGCGTTCTCGGGAGTGTGAGTGTGTATTTGTTACCTTGGCGCTATGGGGGAAAATGGTATGCGGCCCGATTTGCAGGGTCTATAGAGTTCATCCGGTTCTTCCAGGCTTCTTCTTTTTACTTTCTGGATATGTACTGAATTTGTTCCCGGGGTTGAGTCCTTGAGTTATCCGAGTGTCCTGACTGTCTTCATCTTGAAGTCTTCTCATTTTATGGTTCCATTGTGTTTTTGGAAGCTTTGCAAGCTCAACGTAGGTGTTGAGGTAGGATCCAGGTTTTGTTTGTTACTTGGGTGCCTGGTATGCAAGTTCGAGTTCCGTGTGGGTAGATGTATATAGGAAATTGCAGTCTACTGACTTATGCAAAGGGTCTTTAACTTCCAAGGATTTTGGTCGACAAGTGGATATACCCCGTTGGAAGGGTTGTGCCGGATAAGAGGCACGTCAAAACACAAGATGTCCCGGCCTTTTACCCCCTGTTTCCTTCAGTATCCTACAGAATCCCTATAATTGCCATAATACTGACGGCCTGCCTATCATATACACTTTATATCACGAAGGAGGAGTGTGCACAACACCCACAAGTCTCACCATGTCCCTCATTTCCTTCCGACCCCGAGTCCCCGCTTACCCCCACGTCCGCCTCTTCCCAACGCGCTCCTCCCGCTCTTCTCTCCGAACCACCATCGCCTCTCGTTTCCCCAATTCTGTGAATTTCGCCTCTCGGTATCCTTTGCATCTCCGCACCATGTCTTCTGCTCCTGCGAAGAAGGAATTCCTTTGCATTCTCCCGGATAAGCCCGGGACCATGGCGAAGCGCATTGAAGTCCGGCCGTGAGTTTCTATCTTGATTTTGAGCCGTGGATGCTTCATCCTCGATGGTATGAAGGTTCGAATGAATTAAAATGTCTCATTATTATTCTTTTTCGTATATCAGGGCTCATCTGGAGGGTGTCAAGCCTCATGTTGCCTCTGGTGCTATTGTGGCCGGGGGTATGTTTTCTTGATCTAATACCATATGCAACTCTTTATATCAGACCATTGCTTATTTTTATCTAGGTGCAATGCTCAACTCTCACCCCGCCGAGGGTGAATCTCCCTCCTTCAAGGGCAGCATGATGATGGCTGTGGCAGAGAACGAGGCCGAGGTGCGCGAGCTGCTCAGCAAGGATATCTACACGGTCTCTGGGGTGTGGGATATGAAGAATGCGCAGATCATCCCGGTAAGCTTAATTATGGAGAAAACGTGCTTTGCCGAGTTCATTGCTGATGGTGGTATAGTTTAAATCTGCTGTGCGCGAGCAACTTTGATGGAGGTGGTTGGCAACTAGGCAGAGGACTTCATTAGGTATTTATGAAAGAGACATCATAAAAACGGACTGGTTATCATCAGGAATGGTTTTTTAAATTTTATAGAAATCGAGGAGAAGAAAGGCTGCATCTGGGGGCTAGTATAGTAGCACCTGAGGCATCAATATTTATGCCTCAGGCCCCAAAAACCACTGCCAATAGTGCAAAGCTGCTAAACAATTTAATGAAGGGCGGTGTATTGTCCTGCCGGCAAGTTGGGATTCACCGCCTAGTAGATCCGCGAATTAATCAATCATTTGCTCGACCGTTTCCCGATGAATCTACACCACCCCAAACAGCCATGGCCCCCGAATCGACTCCGCCCAAGGGCGGGGGTATGATGTCGCTATATGCCAACCTCCTTGATCCCCCCGCCGACTCGCCTGGTACCATCAGCCGCGCACCTGTCGTCTTCAAGCGGAGCTTCGAGGATGACGCGCAACCCGACGAGTCCGCCGCGAAGAAGCAGCAGCTCAATCCTGGTACTTTGGAGTTTCCCTGATGATCCACTCAAAGTGCTAGTAGCTCACCTATTCTCTTACCGACAGCTTCACTCCGATTCCAGCCCACCAAACGACCACAGCTCGCGGCCCAGAAGCCGAAAGCAAAGCCCACGCTGCCCAAAGCCATGCCACAGCCGGCTCCCGATCAGACCTCAGCCCCCACTGCGGCGCCTGTGAAGAGTACCCTGGCAGACTGGGCAGCCACAGAAGATGATGATTTCGAGTATTACATGGGCGAGAAGCGGCAGCGTGGCGGCAGGAAGAAGCGCAAGAAGAACCGCGAACCGCACGCTGTGCCTCAGAACTGGGATGATATTTATGACCCATCTCGACCCAACAACTACGAGGAGTATCGTCATAGCGATGAGAAGATCCTTGAAGTTCGCGAATGGAAGGACCGCCTGTATGCGCATCGCATGAGACGCTCACTGAGCGGGGACTCAGATAGCGAGGACTATGACCGGCCCATGAACCGTATGTTCCAACGCAGTCTTGATATATCCAACATTTTAGTACTAAGAGAGCATTCTCAGGTCAATTCGCTCCCCCGAGTAGTTTCGCCCCGCCGCCCAACCTCAACAGTGTGCCGCCTCCCCCGGCTTCCGTGCCCGATGATGCGTCTGGAGAAGACGCATTCGCTCGACGTATGCGCATGGGTCAAAACACAAATAGCGACATGGCTAGTCCCGATTACACTCAACCACCCCCGCCTCCGCCACCTGAAGAGCCCCCTGCCCCGCTCCCTGACGATAATACTGGAGATGAAGCATATATGCGACGTCTACAGAGAACGAATAATCAGCCAACAGTAGAGACCGCACCACCGCCACCACCATCACGTCCCCTTGATTCCTTCCAACCAAGCTCTGCAACCATCTTCCGCGCCCCTGTCCGCTACACCCTCCCACCACCCCCCGAAGAAATCCCCGCTTCTGAAGCAGAACTCGAAGCAGTCCTCTCCCAGGAGCAGCCAACAGAGAACGAGCCAGACGAGGATGCGCCGCGCTCCCTGCGTCCTGGTCAAAAGGGCTTCGCCGAGCGCCTCCTCTCAAAGTACGGCTGGACCAAGGGTTCCGGACTTGGTGCTTCTGGAGAGGGGATTGTTAAACCACTGCAAGTCAAAGTTGAGAAGCAGAAGAAACGGCCTGATTCTGAGGGTGGGGGGTTTGCAACACCCGCTGGACGGGGCAAGATCATTGGGGGCAAGAAGAAGGGCAGTGATGAAGGCAAGTTTGGTCCCATGAGCGAGGTGATTATCTTGCGGGGCATGTTGGATGGCATGGATTTGGAGACGGAGTTGAATGCAGGCCAGGATGGAGGCTTGATGCAGGAGATTGGGGAGGAGTGCTCTGAAAAGGTATTTCTTGACTATCTTATACGTATTGGGCTCGAGAACTGACCATTGCATTTAGTATGGGAGTGTGGAACGAGTCTTCATAGCTCGCGATATCGCTCCTCCTGTCCCTGTCTTTGTTAAATTCACTAGCCCATTATCTGCCTTGCGGGTGAGTTGAGGATATCTTACCCTGGCTTTTCTTTTCTATTCGTTTCTATTTTGCTGATAGTATGAGTCAACAGGCTGTGAATGCCCTCGAAGGCCGGATTTTCAACGGAAACGCCATCAGTGCTCGATTTTTCGAACGCGAGAAATTTGAGCAGGGCATCTATGTGGATTGATTCGCATACAGCCTTGCTTTTTGATGGGATCGATAATGATATACTTAAAGAAATTTGGTTTTTTTTTTTCCACTCTCCATGGAACCTCCAACGCCAATACAAATGACCAATTCCTTCCAATCTGCATGCAAATATCTGGATGTACCATCCAATTTCAAAATGTAATCCGGTCAAACAGGTCCATCTCATCGACAGATGACTCCACATCGCTTTCGTCTGCCGTGAGCTGCGGTGTGCTCCCGGGTGTTGCAGTTCCTCGTTGCCGTTGGGCCCTGTTCACCGGGACAGGGATCCAAGACCGTCGATGGGCCTTCTTAGATGGTGATATCCATGCTGTCTGGTCACAATTCTTTTCCATATGTGGATCCGGAGACATCATTGTCGGACTGTCTTGATGCTGGGACCGTTGCCCTGAGCACTCCATGACAGGACTAGCAACAGTGGACTCCAGTTCGATATCCACCTCGGGGCATGCAAAGTCAATCCCAAGACCATGATATGCTTCCGGCTCCTCAAATCCTTGGGATTGGACAGAAACATGATCCCGTTCCCACTCGTGTTCCCAGAACTCTCCGTTTAGCTCTGCGTCAAGCCACTCGTTCTCTATCTGCCGTTTCCGTTTGATTGCTTGGCACCGTCTCTTCTGGTCTTTGCAGCTGTGACACCTCCCCACCATAGGGAGGTAAATTACGTCCTGGAATGGGAGGCAGTCTTGCCCATAGATCATGGCACCGGGACAAAAAACCAGGGAGGATGACAGCGGGTGCGGGTGGAGGCAGAGGGCGTGGTACCAGATGATGCTGTGGCACATGGTGGGATCTGGGGTTTGGAGACTGTGTATCCTGGAATGGTTCATGGGTATATGAACAGGCTGTCTTGGTGGGTGTCTAGCACTTCACGGATTTGGAGTATGGTTGGAGTAGGGCTGCTCTCTTGTATATGCCTGGGGATTGGAGTCTATCTATAGATTTTGAATTGTTGGTATTGTGCCCAAGTGTCAATTGTCGACAGCCAGGGTATGTCGGAGCTTTCCTACAAAAAACTTGAAGTATTTTTGGTTTCGTAGGCCCCTTGTCATTGAGACTATCCCGTCTCTACACTTAGGATTCCTTGAGGACCTGTCTGGTCTTTGTGTTAGAACCACAGGAACACTCAGACACAAAGAGCATTTTACAAAATTTGCAGGCCTATCCCACCCCTATTAGTTTCAGAAACACCCAGCACCGCAAAATCCATGATCCACCTGCATTGCTAAATTGCCGCGATAGATGTTGGCAGCTTCATGTGGCTGACATAATCTGATTGATGTTGCCCAGGTAAAGCTGGAGCGCACTCCCACCTACATCTCTTTCGCCTTGTTATCGCTCTCCCACCTTTCTTCTCTTCTTCTTTCTTCCTCCCCTGTAACCAAGGCTCTTCCTTATCCCTCATCGTCTAGAATTAGACCTTCAGATCCTCATCGATCCTTATCGGAATCCTTCTCATCCAGGAACCCATTATCGCGCAACTTTGAAAATGTCTCTCTGCCAGACCCGTCTTCAGGAGGAGCGGTAGGTTCAACCTTTGCAATGAGAGCTACACAGCTTCTGTCTATTCCAAGCCCATAGTTCGAGCACTGACTCTCCATAAAATACCACAGGAAGCAGTGGCGCAGAGACCACCCTTTTGGCTTCGTCGCAAAGCCCCAGCGCACCCCACAGGGTGCTATGGACATGAAGCGCTGGGAGTGTGCTATTCCTGGAAAGGCTAAGACTCTCTGGGAGGGAGGACTGTTCAAGCTTGATGTCACCTTTCCCGATGGTGAGTGTGCGACACATTCCAATCGAAGATCCATAGACTAATGCAGATGCTTTCCCGCGCTTTCCAGAATACCCAACCAAGCCACCGAAGTGTACGTTGTGCCCCCAGATTTGCGACGAGATTTTCTGCGATTTGGACGCTAGATTGGAAGGTCAAATGGCTAACTTGATCGTATCTCACAGGCAAATTTACCCCTCCGCTTTTCCACCCCAATGTCTATCCCTCCGGAACTGTGTGCTTGTCCATCTTGAATGAGGAGGAGGCCTGGAAGCCTGCTATTACCATCAAGCAGATCCTGCTTGGGATCCAGGATCTTCTGAATGACCCGAACCCCGAGTCGCCAGCACAGGCCGACGCTTACAACCTGTTCAAGAAGGACCGCAAGGCATATGAGGCACGGGTTCGCCAGGTTGTCAAGGAGAACCAGCCCTAGGCACTTAGGCACTAGTGTCTCTCTCAGCATGGGCAGCATCGGCGCTGTCTTTTTTTAAAGTGGGTTTTTGTTTTAGAGCATGGGATCTGAGATATGGGAAGCATGATTTTGCGACCGGCGAATGAAAGGAGCATCTTTGCTTTTGACGCGCAAGCGCGTTTGACAATGGCATGAACCAAGTGAATTCCATATTTTTTTTTCTCTGTAGATCTGTACAGTCATGGGCATGTTATCTTATCGGTGACTCAAAGACTCATCCGACATCGCCCCTCCCCCCGCCAAGCGGGAAAAAAAAGGGGAAAAAATCATTGCCGGCTCCCTTTCCCCATAACCTGTCACGCTTAGTCAATATATCTTCCCCCTTCTTCTCTTTTCCTCTTCATCTTTCTCCAATTGCCTGTCTGTCTCACAGTTGGAGAGCCCTCAATTGCCCATCATGTGTGGAATCTTCGCGTGCCACCAGTGCGTTATCGGCTTGCCCTAATCCCCGCGATGCTCTGAGACAAAGTATGGGGGTTGATCCAATGCTCAATGCTAACTCGAGTCGAATAGCCACCCGGATATCCAAAAATTCAAGCCGCAGGCCTTGCGCATGGCCAAGGCGTAAGTGATCTGCTGTTCCTTTTCTCGTGTTTAACTGTCCTCGGCGTGTGGGGTTGTCGCTAACGTTATGCCTCGATCACAGTGTGCGCCATCGTGGTCCCGATTGGAGTGAGTCATACAGTCCGAGTGATCGTGTTGCAGTGCCGCGCAGAGGCGGTTGAAAACAAGAAGAATATCTGGAGGTTAACACAAGCATTACTCGACAGGTGGAAATTTTTGCGCCGACAAGACCAGTGAGTGGATCCTGCAATCATGGATGCTGTCGCGGGCCTCAAGCTAACGGTTGGGTCTTTGACAGTCCTTGCGCACGAGCGTCTGAGTATCGTCGGTGTTGGTATGTTGCTTCTACTATATCTACAACTGACCATTGCTGTTGTACAGTTGCTTACCTATGCCTTCAAGACACCGGAGCCCAACCCCTCGTCAACGAAGATGGTAGCCTTGCTCTCGCCGTCAACGGTGAGATCTACAACCACCGCATCCTGCGGAAAGGTCTGAAGACCAAGTACAACTTCAAGACGCACTCCGACTGCGAAGTCATCATTCCTTTGGTATGCGCTTAGGGTTATGTGTTTCCAGGAAGCCAGGGCGGCGTCGCTGATATCTTTTTTCCAGTATATGGAGCACGGTCTGGATGCCCCCAAGCACCTCGATGGCATGTTCTCGTGGGTTTTGTATGATCAGAAGCAAGACCGGGTGGTCGCCGCTCGTGACCCCATCGGTATTACTAGCTTCTACCTGGGCCGGTCGTCGTCGACCCCCGGCGCCGTGTACTTTGCCTCGGAGCTCAAGTCGCTGCACCCGGTCTGCGACAACATCATTGCGTTCCCACCCGGCCACATCTACGACTCCAAGGCCGACACTCTGACCCGCTACTTCGAGCCCAAGTGGTGGGACCCGACCAACGTCCCCACGGTCCCGGTCGACTACAAGGTGATCCGCCACAGCCTGGAGAAGGCGGTGCGCAAGCGTCTGATGGCTGAGGTTCCGTACGGTGTATTGCTGTCAGGTGGTCTGGACTCAAGCTTGGTGGCGTCCATTGCGCAGCGGGAAACCCTGCGCATGCAGGATGCGGCCCGCGCGGTGTCCCAGTCGCAGGCGGTCTCGTCGGAACTAGTGGGCATTGATGACAGCAACGAGCTGTCGACGGTCACGACATTCCAGCAGCTGCACTCATTTTCCATCGGTTTGCCTGGTGCACCGGACACCGAAGCGGCCCTTGAAGTGGCCAACTTCCTGGGCACTAAGCACCACGCCTTCACTTTCACCATCCAGGACGGACTGGATGCGCTTTCGGATGTCATTTATCACCTGGAGACGTACGACGTCACGACCATCCGCGCCTCGACGCCCATGTACCTGCTGTCGCGCAAGATCAAGGCCATGGGTGTCAAGATGGTGTTGAGCGGCGAGGGCAGCGACGAAATCTTCGGCGGATACCTGTATTTCCACGCTGCTCCCAACCGAGAGGAATTCCACAAGGAGACCGTCCGCCGCGTCAAGAACCTGCACCTGGCTGACTGCCTGCGTGCCAACAAGTCCACATCCGCCTGGGGTCTTGAGGCCCGTGTGCCTTTCCTCGACAAAGAGTTCCTCGAGACTGCCATGGGTGTCGACCCCAAGGACAAGATGATCACCGAGGGCCACATCGAAAAGTACGCTCTGCGTAAGGCGTTCGACACTACCGACGAGCCTGATGTTGCCACCTACCTGCCGGACAAGATCCTGTGGCGCCAGAAGGAGCAGTTCAGTGACGGTGTCGGCTACAGCTGGATCGATGGCCTCAAGGACCAGGCCGAGCAGCAGGTTACCGATGAGATGATGAAGAACCCCAAGCCTGAATGGGGCAACGATGTCCCGGACACCAAAGAGGCGTACGTCTTTTTCTCTCCCTGCCTCGTTTCTTCGTGGTGAGCTGACACAATTTAGGTACTGGTACCGCACCATGTTTGACGAGCACTTTCCTCCCTACTGCGCCGGCACTGTCGAGCGCTGGACCCCAACCTGGTCCAAGCAGACCGACCCTAGTGGCAGGTGCGTTCTCTCCGTTGTCTCTTGTGTTCTCATTTTTTTTCTAACCCGATCGACAGAGCGATTGCCACCCACAACGACAAGTATAAAAACGTCGAGTAAAGAGAAGACCAAAAAGACGGGATGCAGGTTGAGTTTGAATGTTAGCATTTTGATCATAGACTGTAAATACCAGGGCTGTTAGGGTTCCTTCCTATTAAGGCAACCACTTAGGTAATTTGCTGACCTCATCAACTTTTGCCGGCGGGCTTTCCCGGAACCCGAGCACTGGCCAATCACCGCGCGCCCAGCGGCCCGTGGACCGGCGCCCCTTCCAAGTATTCCTTTCACCCCCCCAAACATCATCGCTCTTCTCCCCTTCTTCATCCCCGTAAAAGGCCCCCTACCCGCTCTCTCTTTTTTTATTATCTCCCTCTTATCATTTCCAGTCCCAAGACCTCCATCATCAAGATGTCTGCCCCCGCTGCTTTCTCCGACATCTCCAAGGCGGCCAACGATGTATGCGCTGTGAAGAATTGCGAGTGTGGGCTCTTTGACTGATGCTGCCATAGCTCCTCAACAAGGATTTCTACCACGCCAGCCCGGGTTCGTTTTTGTGATAACCATCGTGATTGAATAAAGAGCTAACAACGCGTGTTTAGCCAACCTCGAGGTCAAGTCCAAGGCCCCCAACGGTGTTACCTTCACCGTTAAGGGCAAATCGGCCCACGAGGGTCCCATTGCCGGCCAGGTGAGTTGTTGACAATTGCCTACTCTCGGTCCATCACACCATCACATGACGAAATTGCTAATTCATGATAAAACGCACAGCTCGAGGCCAAATATGTCGATGCGCCCACTGGTAAAGGCCCCTCTCGGCGAATAACTCCCGACCTCGGCGCGCGCAAGGAACGGCCCATGAACTTTTTTTTCTCATGCGGTCGCCTAGCGTCGCGCCAGGCGAGCTTTTTTGTTTTCTCAGATACTGCTCGACATGGAGTCAAGCTAATGTTTTCCCCCCGTGCAGGCCTCACCCTCACCCAGGCGTGGACCACTGCCAACGCGCTCGACACCAAGCTTGAGCTCGACAACAACATTGCCAAAGGTCTCAAGGCCGAGATCCTGACCCAGTACCTGCCCGCCAAGCAGTCCAAGGGTGCTAAGCTCAACCTGTACTTCAAGCAGCCCAACCTGAACGCCCGTGCCTTCTTCGACCTCCTGAACGGCCCCTCGGCTAACTTCGACGCCGTCCTGGGCCACGAGGGCTTCCTGGTCGGTGCCGAGGGTGGCTACGACGTCCAGAAGGCTGCCATCACCAAGTACTCTGCCGCCGTCGGCTACAGCGTCGCCCAGTACTCCGCTGCCATCACCGCCAGCAACAACCTCTCCCTCTTTTCCGCTAGCTACTACCACCGCGTGAACGCTCAGGTTGAGGCCGGTGCCAAGGCCTCCTGGGACTCTACCTCCGGCAACGCTGTCGGCCTCGAGGTCGCCAGCAAGTACCGCCTGGACCCCTCTTCCTTCGCCAAGGTTGGTTCATAAATTTTGTGACCTCATATGTTTTTCGTGGCAGACAACTTACCTTTTGCTTTTCCTTTAATGCAGGCCAAGATCAACGACCGTGGTATCGCCGCTCTGGCCTACAACGTCCTGCTCCGCCCCGGTGTCACCCTCGGCCTCGGTGCCTCCTTTGATACCCAGAACCTGAACCAGGCTGCCCACAAGGTCGGCGCCAGCTTCAGCTTCGAGGCTTAAGTGCCTTGCATCTCGTCTCTGGAAATCGATGGATTTCTTTGGGTCAGGGTGTAGATCTCCGTTGCTAGGATATCGGCTCCCGCTGATTTGGCAGGACGATGGCCCGGTAGCGGGTATTTCTCCCAGATAATAATCATGTGTGTATCGTAGTTCTGCTCGAACACCCTGTGTATATCAAATCGAATCTTTTCCTTTGTTGGTGCACGGACATTCAACTTGTATCTTGTCGGCCAATTGTACTTGGACGTATTTAATTCAGGTAGTCTAGGATATAAAGATGGATATCGTACAGCACCATGTGCAATCAAAAAAGTAGGCACAACACCAAGTCGATGCTGCCAGTTTTTCTCAATTCAAATCAAGACGACACGGACATGGCCTCCCGCCGACGCCTAGCCACTTTATTGCTCTCGCTACTTGACCCAGAACTAGACGTACTGGCCGTCGACCCAGACGTAGTCGGCCACTTGAACAAACCGGTCATGGCACCAGCCACAACCAAACTGCCACACACCACCAGAAACCGGAGCACGAAATCGCCGGGCCCGCCGCCAATGTACTCGTCCCGAATGGTCGCGCGCATCGCCCGCGTCCTGCGCTCGCGCCGCCGCGCATCCTCAGCAGTCTGTGTACGGAAATGGCCGCGGGCATTAAAGTGGCCGAGCGGGTTGCGGTCAATGAACGCAGTGGGATCCTCGGGATCGAATCCATGGGCAGCTCGTTGTGAAGTGCCAGCACTTGAGGATGCAAACCCGCCTGCACCAGCTGATCCTGCACCGGCACTGGCACCAGCTTTCCCCCCGGATAAAACGATTCCTGTTGTCTCCCCGTGGCCCCATACCCGCCCTGCTCATAGAAACTCGGCGGCGGGCCCCGGAACGGTCCGCGGCGCTTGCTCAGCCCGCTGGCGGGCCGTGAACCTGCGTAGCTCTCGCCTCGCTGGTGGTGCAGGTTCGCGGTGTAGCTGCTGTGGCTGCCCATTGGGTGCTGGCCGGGTGCGCGCCCATGGTGATGGTGATGGTGGTGGAGGTGATGGAAGCCGTGGTCGCGGTCGTAGCTGGCGCGCTTGGAGGCGTTTCCGAGGACGTTGTATGCGGCGGAGATGCGGGCGAAGCGTTGGCTAGCTGTGGGGTCGTCGCGGTTGCGGTCTGGGTGGTGGCGGAGGGAGAGGGCGTAGAATTGTCTGTTCGGGGAGATGTGGTTAGTTTGGGTTTAGTGGATTTGTAGCCAATGATGCTGAATAGAGGGAAAGGAAGTGAGAGAAAGAGGGTAGATGGTATGGTAGAGTGGGTTGTCTACTTTTTGATTTCCGCTGCTGTTGCGGTGATGGGGATGTCCAGGATTTCGTAGTAGTTTGGTTCCCGTGAGACGCGGGTGCTTGTCGAGAAGAATAATATGCGTGGGCTTGGTTTGTGACAGGGCTGTGGTCGTGGTTGTAGTCCAGAGCGAGGTCGTGTGCTGGGTCGGGGGTTGCGACAGCTACAGGTGGAACGGTGGGAAAGGAAGGCTGTCACGCGAGGCGGCGGCATTGCCGTGGTGGTTGTGTGTGGAAAGGTGTTCACATCGAAGAGACAGAGAGGATGAATGGATTTCGGGTATTGTATGAGGGAGAGAAGGCAGGAGAGGGAGCACTCAGAGAGAAGGGGAGGAAATGGAGGTGGAATGGGGACGGAGACGCAGATGAAGAGTGGCGTCATCCTTCGCCCTGACCGGGGGTCCTGGAAGATCTACATCGGCTCACACACCTTTTGAATATACAGTGATACTTGTATTGAATGGTGGAAATGCTCATATTTGAGGCATGTATTCCGTTTTTCTCGAGTATCTAAAATGGCCATTAAACCGTGTTTCGAATGCTTGCTATCTTGTGTGCCTCGAGTGCTGATGATAAGATTAGATCTAGATCTACCGATCCAAGAACTATTTCCAATTCTCATTTTGCTGAATACACGCGTGTGCCAGTAAAAATTAGATAGGGTCTTGGCCAGGTCTGCATCGTCCCGTGGGCCAGCAATAGATCCACGGCTGCCTCCGCTGCCTCCCGGTCATCGGCCGTTGTCACCATGGCGAGGAGGGACGGATGGTCGTTCCAGGGACTGGGATCTCGCGATTCAACGTTAAAGCCGGCATCCAGGAATATCTTGAGAATGGGGACACCTGCGCGGAAAGCTGCGCTGGCGAGTGCTTTTTGGTGCTATGGACGTCCGGGTTCGAGTCGGATCTCATGCTAGAGCAGCAGCCGAAAGACTGCCTCCCCTTGAAACACCGTAAAATGGATCGAGGCGACCCCGCCCCTAATATCGGATTCCTGAAGAGCCATGCCCTTTTCCAGGAGCAAATTTTATCTCTATCTTCCCCAGCTGGATTGCTCGGTCTAGGAGACAGGGGGCTCCGTGCTCCTTTGGAAGGAAAGGACCCGCCCCTCGATCAAGCAGAAGTCTCACAATCTCATCACGCCCCTGGACCATGGCGAGATAGATCGGGGGCTCTGTATCTGCATTAGCATTTGGATCGGCGCCATGATCCAGTAATAGCTTCACCATCTCAAGGTGTCCATAGCCTATAGCCCAGTCAAAAGCCCGGATCGAGGATTCAGCCTCAGGAGCGAAACGGCAATGTTCAAGGAGCTGCTTCATCAGATCCACAAAATCAACAGCCGCCGCTTCTACTTGGAGCAAGCCGTAATCGTCGGGATCTTGAACTGCCTGATCCACATTGATGTAGTCGACGAGCAGCCGGGCTGCTTCTGTTTGGGTTACCGTTGCTGCCTTGTAGAATTCCCAACAGACTCCATTGTCAGTATTGGGATCAGCCCCTGTTTCAAGAAAGAACTTGACCACGGGCAAGTTGCCCGTTTCCAGGGCCAAACTAAGTGGAGAATGACCGACAGGATGACCTGCTTCGTGGGAGGCACCGGCATCCATCAAAATATTTGCAATTTCCGGAGCCGTCCTTGCGGCCTGCATTAGAGCATTGCTCCCGCCGAAGTCACAGGTATTAGGTTGCAGCCTCTCTCCAGTAAGAGGTTGATCAGCGGCACATCTTCATATCTGACGGCCAAGTTCAATGGCTGGTCAATTTCGTCGGATGCTTGGGGCAGCTCGACATGCACTCCATGATTGATCAAAACCCAGACTACAGACTCGTGGCCGAATAGTACGGCTACCGTTAACGGGTTCTCGGAGCTGCGTTAAAATCCTTCTTCCCACCATTCTTTCTCCCAGTCCTTGTAAAAGCCGGATGTCGGGTTCGGGTCGACCCCATGGTCAAGGAATTGCTGAACGATCTCTGCGTGTCCACGTCGCGCTGTCACCACGATGGGCATCCAGAGTTGGTGACGCGTGGTACCGGGTGGAACGCCAGCTTCCAGCAACCGGCGCACGCTGGCTTTGCTCGGCGGCCCATTCCAGGGCCGGACTGGGGAGATTCTGGAGCAGATGTTGATAAAGACGCGGGTTCACTGCCGCGTAGAGACGGCGGCTGGCTTGGAATAGCGCGTTGAGGTCGCATTCATATTCCAGGTACTCGGAGATGGCCAGCAGAATTTCACTCGGAAACTCCACGAGCAGCATGGTTGATTCTGCTGAGTTTCATGGCCCCGAATGGGTCCCGCGGGCCGGGGGTTCTCAGATGTTGCCAGATCATTGTGCTGGTGGGGCGCGTATACACGAGGGAACGTGCGGTCTACCTTGTGCTTCATCCTTCCATCGCATATTCAATGAGATTATTATTATCGATGATGTGATGGGTTGAGAATTCCGTGAATTCCCTTCCTGAAGGAGGTTAACCCAGTATTAGTCAGGAATCCTGTGTATGCCTCGGCTAGAGGAACTGACGTTTTCAGGCTGGTTCCACCATGCCCAGACTGCCCAGACTGCCCAGATGAAGGGATCCCCACGTTGAGACCTGGATTGTGAGTATTTAAAGACTGGCATTACCCTTGTCTTGAACAGTGTGGCTGATAGCTTGAAGAAAACCCTCTAGTATGGCCGGCGGTTTCCTTCCATACCACGAACCCGGAAGTTTGTACTCCAACACATCCCCATGAACCTCTGCTCATGTCCCCGCTGATCAATCGCAGTTGTCCAGATCCTGATTGTCGTGTCTTTCTTCTTTTTCCTTTCCATTGCAAAATGGGTCTCGGCGAAAATCATCCAGGCCGGCATTATCGGCCAAATCTCTGTCGGCATCATCTATGGGGTCCCCTTGGCCAATATCCTTGAACATAACTGGCAAGAGACTTTTCTCACGCTGGGATATGTCGGTCTGATTTTGATCATTTTCGAAGGTTAGTGACAGAAAAACTCTTCGGCTTGGCGTCTTCGCATGGCTTTCTGGGACTTCGGGATAACTGATGTCATGCATTTCTAGGCGGACTTGGCGCTCGCGTCGATCTTCTCAAGCAGAATTTCACGTTGAGCATGGTGGGCGCTGCAACTGGCGTGTGCTTTCCAATTGGTCTTTCCTATCTGCTGCTGTATCTGGGGTTTGGGTTTGGTTGGTTTTATTCCTGACCAATTCCTCTATATCCAGCGCTAACGGTGGGCCAGGTGCCGTGGAGACGTTTATTATCGGGGCAGCTCTGTCCGCCACTTCATTGGGTGAGCAATTTCCACTTTATGTCAAGATTCAACTGCTGATCTTCTATAGGAACCACCTTTGCTGTGATCGGCTCTGCGTCTGGCTCGGTGAATCTCTCTCAGACTCGAGTAGGATCAGTTCTCATCAGCGCGGCTGTGATCGACGATGTAGTAGGGCTTGTGATGTTAAGGTGTGTTGCTTAAGTGGAAGTGTATATGGTGTTTACTGAACCCATCACGCTGACTCGTCTGATATAGTGTCATTGGCGACTTGGGGAAACTATCAGAGGGGGGCAATGTCAACTTGGGCTGGCTGATCGGCCGTCCCATCGTGGCATCGATAGGCATGGCCATTGTCACGCCCATTGTCACCAAATGGGTCTTTGCACCCTTTTTCCGCAGGTTCATCGAATACCACTTTGCGCGCTTCGACCATCTCTCCAACATCGTCCTGATGACCCTGGTTCTTTCGGCTTTTATTGCCATCGCCGGCTTTACAGGAACCTCTGTTCTGTTTGGCGCCTTTCTGGCTGGAGTCTTCCTCACATACCTCCCGAGCAAGCGCCCAGAAGGACCCTTTGTGGTCATGAGCCGCGAGGAGGGCGAACGTGAGGCAGATAAAAGCCCCACGTTCGTGCACACTTTTGAGAAGTATCTCTTGGGGCCGCAAGAGTATTTGATGGAGCCTTTGTTCTTCTCGAGTATCGGATTCGCGATTCCATTCGTGCAGCTATGGACAGGGAAGCGGATTTGGAGGGGGATCGTTTACAGCCTCCTCATGGCGTTTGCAAAGGTATCAACATAATGCTCCGACGTCATTTGTGGACCGCACTAATTATTTCCATCTAGTGTGTCGTTGGCATCTGGATACCCGTTTGGCAGCTCGTTTTGGGGCGAAAAGACGAGGACAAATCAGATCCACCCGAAAAGCAAAAGAAAGGACAACCTAAAGCCAAATCGAGCACGACTAACCACCAAGAAGCAAGCAAAAAGTGGAATCGGGCCTGGCTGGCCGCTGCACTGTTGGGGTCTGCCATGGTAGCACGCGGTGAGATTGGCCTGTTGATCATCGAAATCGGACACAATGAGACCTCGTACGTCAGTGACGAAGGATTCATCACAGGTATATGGGCCATTCTTTTGAATACCATCATCGGCCCGATTACTGTCGGTCTGATGGTTCGATTCTGCGCGGAAGATATTGGGCAGGGGGAGTGGGGATTGCAGGAGATTTCTACGGCTGACTCGAGTGCGAGAGCTGGTACTGAAGCCGTATAGATGCCGGTTCTCATTCAAAAGTCGAAGCCTGCCCGGGAGTTGGTTTGGGCTGTGGCAGTCTAGTACATCTATACTCTTAAGTGAAAATTGATTTCATGTTAAAATGTACATTGGTAAGACCAAATGACATCTTGATTGTAAATATAATACAATTTCAGTGTTTATACCTATAGTTTTCTTGTACTGATTCATGGATAGTTTGTCAACATAACCATGGATGTCATAGAATGCGATCTACCAGTTGACCAGTTGGTTGACGACCCACGGTTTATCTTATCGCAGGCAAAAATCTTTCCCCGACATCCGACTAACATTCCCCTCCTCTCTTAACCAACCATCTCCCCGCAATTAGTTCCGACTCCAGCATGGCAGCTCAGGCGAGTGAAAAGCTACAACAGCTTGACCGTAAGATTCCCCGATGGTCCAGTTTTCATCTACCGCGCCATCCATTTGACTGATAAGATACCAGTGGCCGGCCCAAACGGCGCCAAAGCGGACGCCCCCGCCGGCCAGGCAGCCCCCGGCGAGGCCGAGGACGATTCCGACGACGACCAGGAAGAAGGAGAGGGTGCTCCTGACGCTACTGCTACCGGAGGTGAGTGATTGATATTTCTCCTTTCTTGCCGCCCCTGCCTTGCCTTTTATTTGCCCTGCGCGCAAAAATACCCGGGAACCACAGAATTGCTGAACATTGGCATTCACACAGCGGCCAAAAAGAAGAAGAAGCGCAAGCCCAAGAAGAAGAAGAAGGGCGGCGCCAAGGTCCAGAGTGCGCCGCCGCGGGTCCCCGTCTCCACCCTCTTCCCTAACAACCAGTACCCCGAGGGCGAGATCGTCGAGTACAAGAACGACAATGCTTACCGCACGACGAACGAGGAAAAACGGTACCTCGACCGCATGAACAATGACTTCCTGCAAGAGTACCGTCAGGGTGCCGAGGTCCACCGCCAGGTCCGCCAGTATGCACAGAAGAACATCAAGCCCGGCCAGACTCTCACCGAGATCGCTGAGGGCATTGAAGACTCGGTGCGCGCACTCACAGGCCACCAGGGCCTGGAAGAGGGCGACAACATGAAGGGTGGTATGGGATTCCCCTGCGGTCTCAGCATTAACCACTGTGCGGCGCACTACACTCCGAACGCAGGGAACAAAATGGTGCTGGAGCAGGGGGACGTCATGAAGGTCGATTTCGGAGCACAACTCAACGGCCGGATCGTGGACAGTGCCTTTACTATGTCTTTTGACCCGGTGTATGATCCGCTACTGGCAGCGGTGAAGGATGCTACCAACACCGGTATTCGGGTAAGTGCCCGTCTTTTTCACACGCACAAAAAAAAAAAAAAAAGTAAAAAAAGTAAATCTAACTACCCCCACAGGAAGCAGGTATTGATGTCCGCATGAGCGACATTGGTGCCGCCATCCAGGAAGCCATGGAGAGCTACGAAGTCGAGCTGAACGGGACTATGCACCCGGTCAAGTGTATCCGTAATCTCAACGGACATAACATTGACCAGCACGTCATTCACGGTGGTAAGAGTGTACCCATTGTCAAGGGCAATGATCAGACCAAAATGGAGGAGGGCGAAGTCTTCGCCATCGAGACTTTCGGTAGTACCGGCAAGGGTTACGTGCGAGAAGACGTAAGTTGTGGTTGATTATGAATAGCCAGTATCGAACCAGCGCTCACATTTCGCTAGATGGAAACCTCTCACTACGCCCTGACGCCAGATGCGCCCAATGTCCCTCTGCGCCTATCCTCCGCCAAGAATCTTTTGAACGTGATTAACAAGAACTTTGGCACTTTGCCCTTCTGTCGGCGCTATCTGGACCGGTTGGGCCAGGAGAAATATCTGCTGGGAGTGAGTTTTTGATTGCCAATGGATTTCGGAATATATAACACATACTGACCGGCATCTAGTTGAACAACTTGGTTTCCTCCGGTATCGTCCAGGACTACCCCCCTCTGTGCGATGTCAAGGGCTCGTACACGGCCCAGTTTGAACATGTATGCACATATTCTTTCCCGTTCTGAGTTGATGCATTGCTGACTTGTTTCGCAGACCATTGTCCTTCGGCCGAACGTGAAAGAGGTGATCAGCCGAGGCGACGATTACTGAATGGCTTTTTATATACAGCGTTTAAGCAGATACCAGGACACTGCAAATATAAAAAAATCACCGAGCATCACCTAGTAGATTCATTACTTGAGATGTAAGCAAGATATCCGATGGGGGAAATTAAACTATGCGATGGCTTGGACGTAGGTGGGGCGGTGCTGACTGAGCGCTCCACTCTCTGCCGACTTCACCGTTGTTGAATATGTGGTTTCTCTCCTCTTCTCTCCGTGGCATCAATCGTCCTTTCAACCTCTCTGAAATGCCATCGGTCGTCGAAACTGCGGCGCCCCACCTTCGGGTGTCGGCAGCCAAGGCCTCTTCGGCCAAAACACAGGACTCATCTGCACGAACCTCGCCGCCGGAGGAGTCCTCGGTCGAGGACCGTTTCTTCTGGACATACACCGAGGAGCCGCATCGATCACGGCGGCAGGCAATTATCAAGGCTCACCCGGAGGTACGTGGGGCGTATTGTGTTGGCGTGGGCTGTCCGCTACGGCATAGAAGGGGACAACCATACCCGGAAGATTCAATCCCCTCGACAAACGTCAATTCCCCGGTTGCTGATTCTTGCTCTTTGAAATCAGGTCACCAAGCTATGCGGACCCGAGCCTCTCACGAAATATGTTGTCTTTGGCGTCGTCGCTCTGCAGCTCACCTGCGCCTATCTCCTCCGCAATACTTCGATGCTCGACTGGCGATTCCTGGCTACCGCGTACGTGATAGGTGCCACGGCCAACCAAAACCTTTTCCTGGCAATTCACGAGATCTCACATAACCTGGCTTTCCGCTCTGCGATGGCCAACCGACTGCTGGCGATCTTTGCCAATCTGCCCATTGGGCTGCCGTACAGCGCTGCGTTCCGGGTAAGACTTGAGATTGAAGAATTGCGTGGCCGTGTTTTCATCCGTATTTTCATCCATATATCAATACGTATACTAATGCATATCTGGATCTGCAGCCCTACCATCTCACCCACCACAAATCGCTGGGCGTCACCGGTCTGGACACCGACCTCCCAACAGCACTGGAAGCCTTCGTCCTGAACTCGCTGTTGGGCAAGACATTCTTCTGCACGTTCCAGATCCTGTTCTACGCCGTGCGGCCCATGTTCGTCTACAGCCCGCCCTTCACATCGATCCACCTCCTGAACCTCGCCGTACAACTGAGCTTTGACTACATCTTCGTGAAAACGAGCGGTTCTCTCCAGCCACTGTACTACTTGATCGCCAGCTCCTTCCTCGCGGGCTCGCTGCACCCCTGCGCGGGCCACTTCATCGCCGAGCACTATTTCTTCTCGAAGGTGAAAACCGGCGGCACCGAGTCCCTGGCCGACCAGAACAACAGCAAGAAGGGAGCAAACGCCTCCTCTGAGAGCCCACTCGACTCGCTACCCCCCCTGAAACCTACTCCTACTACGGACCCCTCAATATCGTCACCTACAATGTGGGGCTGCACAACGAGCACCACGACTTCCCGGCGATCCCCTGGACCAAGCTGCACAAGCTGCATGAGATCGCGAGCGAGTTCTATGAGCCGCTGCCCTGTCACCGGAGCTGGGTCTGGGTGATCTGGACTTTCATCCTGGACAAGGATGTTGGACCTTGGTGCCGTGTGAAGCGGGCGCAGGGTGGCCGTGTTGTTGGTGGTGGCACAGGTAGTAAAAGCAACAGCACCGCGAACGCCCAGAAGGCCGGGCGTGGTGGTGAGGGAATCTCGGCTGCATCGGCGGGTCCGGACGCTGAGGATGGCGACGGGTGGAAGGAGAGCGAGATCCAATGCTAGACTTGCACTTTTCTAGAACTATTTCAATTACCATGCTGTGGTCGGAGTCTGTGGGCTGGCCATCTGAAGGGGGAAAAAAACTTGCTTTGCCGATTCTGCTGAAGTTTATAGCCTCAATATCATATGTGTATATATCTTGGAATGTGAACACACCTAGGTGTTGGTCTATGGTCACATTAGTGGACTTGGTTCTACTGAGTAGTTCTATATCGAAGCCTACAATAGGGACGAAGTGCAGAAATGGATTATCTTGCGAAGGCTCCATCGTTTATCAAACAGAATGGAATCGAGACGCTCAGTCCGTTCATCATAACATGATATTAAACAACACAGGAAAGGACAAGGAGAAAAGAAAAAGAGTGAGACTGAGACTGAGACGCAGAGCCACAACAGTGCGCCTCGAGATGACCTGAACCACGACACTGGACGAGGTAAAATAAAACAAATACCGATACCGGAAAGATAACTTTCAAGGAAACACAGGAGGCTGATGCTAGAGAAAACACGGCAGGCTCTTCAAGAGGCAAGAGTAGATGAGAGGCTGGAGGAAAGGCGTCAGAGACGTGATCGGAGGCATAAAGGCAAGGAAATTGCAACAACAGCAAAGACTAGAAGAAGAAGTAGGCGATCAAGAAGCTGAGCAGGCACAACCCTGCCACGATCTGGATGGGCACACCCGCTTCGGTCTGCGCGTGCTGCTGCTGCATCGGGGCCGGGGGTGTCGTCGCCTCGCCGCCCGTCTTCCGCTGTCGCAATCCCTGGTCTGCGAGTCGGTCCTTGAGTCGTTGGATCTGCGCGTTTGCGTCGGCAAGCTGGCCCTTGAGCTCGTCGCTGGAGGGTAGAGCACTGGCCACGGCCGACTTGGCGTTGGAGATGGAGGAAGGAGCAGGTTCATTCTTGGGGGAGGTTTCAGACTTAGGCTTCTCGGAAAAATCGGGGGGAGGAATCGGGGATGCGTCGTTGGCGCTCTTCTTCGACAAGCCGGGGGCAGGGGTTTCGAAGTTTCCACCGGGGGACGTGTATGCCGGAGGCTCGTCGTCCACGGTCTATAAGGAAGATATTAGTTCTACATGAAGTTCGATGAACTACCAGACACCATACCGTCTCATTTGCGCCATTCTGGCTCGATGTCGAAGTCGCATCTGACTGCAACCAGAGCACTCGGATCTTGCGCTCCACCACCGACGACTTGGCGGATTTCTCAAACTGCACGTGCATTAGCCAGAGTGCGCCTCCCATAATGAGTTGCAGACGGACGTACAATTGAGGTGACATTTGCATACTCCATATCTGGGCTAACCGAGACGGACTGGACCAGGAACTTGTCCTTGCACTTTGCATCCGTTGCCGGCTCCTCCTTCATAGCCTGAAGCAGAACTACCAACAAAACCATCAGCTCATTTCTCTTGAGATCCACGCAGGAGTGCCAAGGGCGAGTGAACGATGGACTAACCTTGCACATCGACTTGCTTGCCGGGTTCGATACGGCCGGAGTTGGGGCGTACACAATAACTGGAGCATCGTCAGGATACCAGTCCCAGAGTAGGAGGTCGCGCAGAGAAAAGGAAGGGCACATACTGCTTAGGGGCGGTGGTTTTGACCTAGCACACAGAAACTCGTCAGACTAGCACTTGCATGATAAATGCCGAGGGCAAGTGGGCACGTACCTTGAACACCACCGCTTCTTCGTTCGTGTTGTGAAGATGCAGGACCTGGCATACTTCGTGGTTGAAAGGCCCTGTTCATCGGGATGTCAGCCACCCACGCCCTTGGAACTCGATCCACAGCGCTTGCAGATCGGGGACTCACGCTTGAAGCCTAGCTCGGGGGGATCGATCTCGATAGACATGGTGAACGTGGAGACGCCAGAAATGGGGATACAATGAAAGAAAAAAAAAGCCAAGAGATCCAGAACTGCACGCGACTCGAGTGCGATCACCTATAACCGAGACGGAGGGGAGTGCGCAACGGAAGTCGAAGCCTCAGGAGTTGACGATTGTCCACATCGGGGATGCACTGAGTCAGCAAGCACGTGATATAGACAGCTTCCAAAGTTTGCTTATTTTTTTCTTCTTCTTTTCTGTCAATTTTTCTTGGGATCATCTTGGTTTTCTTATTTGATAGTATGTCATATACACCATTTCTTGATCATTTTTTCGAGGGCATGGATCGGTGGGAATGTTCAGATCTCTCCTGGGGTCGCACCTCCCATCCTCGGGACATGCTCGTTTCCTGAGGCGCTGCATGTGATGCTTCCGTAGTGGGGTCTCATCCCACTTGATACCGACAGATCACTGGGATATTGACTTAGAAAATGGAGCTTCAACTATGAGATTTCAAAGGCCTTCAACGCCGAGATGTCCGGTACTTTTCTATGTCAACGTCTGAATCTCGAGTTGCGTGCTTCGTGCTTAGCCATAGTGTTTGGTCATATCTATGGTCTTTACACCGCTATGAATTGGCAACTCTTGTAAAAGATATAAAAATGAAATTATAAGCTTCTTCAACAGTAGTTACGATTCTCCTCTCTCTCTTTTTATTCCGCAAAACAACGCTTCAACCAGCAGCAAAGCAGCGTGGGGAGATCTAGAGGTCAACAAACCAAGTGGGCCCGCATCGCTCGCCGCCTTCAAAAGATACGTCACATCAGCAGTTCCCCTCGACGTCGCTTCTTTGCTTCTTCCCTTCCTTCAAGCTTCTGCCCACGAAATTCGCGTGGGTGTTTTCTTTCTTCCATAAACCTTACCTCCCCTTCAAAGACTACACACACTGCCCGCCCACTCCTTCTACCATACCCTTCAACCGCCATGGCGTCCGACCTGGACCAGCTCATTGAGATGGGCTTCGACAAAGAGCGAGCACAAATTGCAGTATCCAAGACCGGTGGCCGTAAGTGATCTTTTCCCTTGTGGCCAGCTCTACCACCAGACTCACAGACCACACAGTGCAAGGGGCTCTGGAATGGCTTGAAACAAACCAGGACAAATCGCTAGACGAGATCAAGGTAGAGCAGTCGCAGCAGGCAGAGGGCGAAGAGGGTCCTCCTCTACAGCCAGGCGAGCAAGCGCGCAGCTTGGTGTGCAATGACTGTGGCAAGAAGTTCCGCAGCCAGGCACAGGCGGAGTTCCACGCATCCAAATCGCAGCACGTGGACTTCTCCGAATCCACCGAGGAGATTGCTCCCCTAACTGAGGAGCAGAAACAGCAACGACTGACCGAGCTGAGGGAGAAACTGGCAGCGAAGCGGTCGGTGCAATCCGAGCAGGACAAGGCCGACAAGAAGAGGAATGAGGTGCTTGCTTGCCACGGTCCACGAGCGATAGATGGAATGAGCTGATTGTTTTTGCTAGGAAATCCGGCGGAAGAGCAATAAGGAGAGTCAGGACGTGAAGGAGGATCTCCAGCGGAAACAGCAGCTGAAAGAGGCCGCGAAAAAGAAGAAGGAGAAGCAGGATGATATCGATGCCAAGAAGCGCATCAAGGCCAAGATTGAGGAGGACAAGGAGGCGCGCCGCCTGAAAGCGGAGCGCGAACGTGCTGAGCGCGTAGGTGTGGCCCCTCCACCCCAGCCCGTCGCTGCTCCGGCACCCACCACTTCCGGTCCAGTGGCGTCCAAGCCCGCTTCAGCCTACACTGAAACTCGTTTGCGATTCCAGACGGCCCAGGGTAACATCATGAAGACGCTGCCCGTCACTACGACGTTGTTTGAGGTGGCTGCCGCTCTGAAGCAGGATGATGGGATCGACGTGCAAAGTTTCACGCAGAACTTCCCGAGGAAGGTTTTTAACAACGAGTTCTTTGGGGAGACCTTGAAGGAGCTGGGACTTGTGCCTAGTGCTAGCCTCGTTGTGCAATGATATGCTGGTAGCGCATCTGGGGACGACAGGGCACGTATAGCTTATGGCGAAGAACGAGAGATGAAAGAAATCGCATTACGAGGGCGTAAGAATGTTGTGGCATAAATAAATGACACGAAATCATGCTATTGATCTAAACCTGTAGCGGCTTATTGATTGCGATAATATCACAAGTCGAGTATAGATCCAGTTTGCCTTTTATCGCCTTATCGTGAGTCACGTGGTGTCGCGATGGACCCGCGTACGGGTGCCTGAGACGCGCTCGACACGCCCGCACCTCCCACGCCATAGAACCACCCATTTGCTTTGAATATGCCAGCGTGAGTCCCATCAGCCTTTGAACTGCAACTTCAAGCTGTCCGTGGAATCAAAAACTGATCGTGCCATTCCCAGCGTTGGCGACCAACATCGCGGCGGCCCAGCATCCATCATGATGCCTAATGCCTCGGGTGCCGTCACAGCGAATCCCTTTGAGGAACCTGAAAGCCGTATCAGTGAATATACTGCACAGGAGATTGCCACTCTCCAAGCCCGTCTCGACAGGAAACTGGGCCCCGAATACATTTCCTCGCGACCGGGAGCCGGTGGACAGCGGGTCCACTATCTCGCCGCAGACAAATGCATCAATCTTGCTAATGAGGTGTTTGGGTTTAATGGCTGGTCCAGCTCGATTCAAACTATCCAGATTGATTTTGTGCGTTTCTCTCAGGTGGCGCCATTTTGGAAAACAGCGGCTGACACGCTTGGATAGGTCGAGGAAGCCCAGGGCACCGGCAAGATAAGTTTGGGCCTGTCTGTGATTATGAGGGTCACCCTCAGGGATGGGACATTCCATGAGGTACATTTACAAACCTCATTCAAAATATCATGGACTTCCATGGGCCATCTCGGGACATTGGCTAATCCCCTGCTAGGATATTGGGTACGGACACATTGAGAACTGCAAGGGCAAGGCGGCGGCTTTCGAGAAGGCGAAGAAAGAAGGGACAACAGATGCCCTGAAACGTGCATTGAGGAACTTTGGCAATGTTCTGGGAAACTGTGTCTACGACAAGGACTATGTTTCCAAGGTCACCAAAGTCAAGGCGACGCCGGCAAAATGGGATGTGGATGATCTCCACCGTCACCCCGACTTTGCCCCCGTCAAGAAGGAACCGCCTCCACCAAGGCGATTACTAGAAGACGACGATCTTCCCCCTCCTCGCCCCTCTGGCCCTGCCAATAGCGGTCACTCTGGCAGTAATGCCAACTTTGATGGCGATGGGGAATTTGGGAGTAGGTTGTCGTTAATCCGATCTCACTGCCTGCCTAACATTTCCCAGGTGATCTATTTGATGAAGCAGACTTCGTGGTCGGCAACACAGGCAATCCTGACGAGATCACAATAGAGCCTGACGTCCAAAGACAACCGCCCACGCCGATGAACAACCCTGCCCCAAATGGGCCTGCTCCAGGCCGGTTTAACTCTGCTGCTGTAACGCCGTCGAAGCCAGAAAGATGGACTCCCGGGGGTGCAACAGGACGACCAGTCCCACCGAATGGGCGGCCGAACCTATCAGCCATGCCAGATCAATCCGCTGCGCAAAGACGACCCGGGCCTGGCCCTGGCCAGGCCCAAAATATTCCGAATGCTAGACCAAGCGTACCACCCATCGCTCAAGGCAATGCCGCTCAACCACCGATTAAAAGAGAGTCTGCCGCTGGGGCCAACCAGGACATGCAACCACCACAGAGCACCCCATCTGCTGGATTCTACTCGGCGCGAGCAGTTGACCTCCTTCGTGATAATCCCAACAACGTCCCTTCTGCCGCACCGCAGTTCGATCCCCATGCAGACAGTCCCTCGATCCGCAAAACCGCCGGTGTCGACCACACCAAAAGTGTTCCGATCTCCAAACCAATGCTGGCCAGCGCCTCTCCCGCGACAAACAACTCGCGTGATTTCGTTAACCCAGCCACTGACATGCAGCGCCGACTCGGTGCTCCCGGTGCAGGTGGAGGAGCCGGCAGCCCGATGAGCCGGGGCCCATCCACCTCGTCCTATCGTCCTCTGACCCGACCCAACATCGACCCAAAGAATGTGCCGAATAACGCAGCTGCAATTAACCGAGGAAGCGTCCCTCCCCAGAATTTGAATGGAAAACGACCGCCCCTGAATGATGTCACCAATGCCAATACTTCGCCCGACGCGCAACCCACTGGTCCTGTTGCTGGCCCGAATGACCCTAAACGACCCCGTTTTGCGGATGGTGATTCCTCTGGTCCGCCGCAACTACCTCAGCATCCCCCGCCGCAATAAACTCCAGCCCAATTTGTTTTTGTTGTCTTGAAAAATGCGCATCAACATGCTATTAGCGGGCATTACTACTGGTTTTTGTCTCTCTGTGTGATTTGATTCTGTCATATGGCGTCTTTTGTCCGGCATATCCAGCGCATGGTGGGTGTTTCGGAGTCTGAAAACTAAAGGAGTGATTACAACCACGGCAAGCGGGATAGTCTCAATTTTGTATGTTAGGGTATTTTAGAATAGTTTGACTTGGCGGTCCACCGCTCATTTATCTTCGTATGTCTCCGTTTTACCAAATCGTGCTGGTGTAGAAAACAAGGCCTGTGGCAAGTCTTCAGCTCATTTCTTTGCCGCGTTGTTTACCTAATTTTATACATAATATATTGCGTAACATCTTTAGCTTCTTTGGTAGGACACTCAAATCTCGACATATTGTTCTCGTTCTCGATCTCTATACGGAAATAATATAAATAATTGGTTGTCGAATTACTAGCCAAGTTCTTCCTGTTATATCCCCAAACATACCGTCTATGTTGGCATGACGGGCAATTTCGGGTCCTTGATAGACCCATCGTCGCCCTTGCGATTGGAATGCTTGCACGTGTTGAACCACGTCTCGGCGGTGTTATCCAGCGAGTGTTTGATGGAATGCATGTCGGCACGGCCGTCGCCGTCCAGGTCAGGGAAGTAAGTGCAAGAACCAGCGGAGGCGCCTTGGAACTTGACACCGACCCCGTCCCATTCATAGCTGGAGCCCTTGACCTCCTTGGCGCCCTTATTGTACCATATGCTGCCATCGCCGTTGAACTTGTCCGTGTGGACCAAGTCAGCCTTGCCGTCGCCATTGACGTCAGCCCACTGCAGGTTTGCGCGGTCCTTGTCCTCCGAATACTTGAACTGCGTGACATGCTCCCACGAGTCGTCGTCTTTGTGCACGTATCCCGAGGTGCTTCCGTCCTTCGCCATGCACAGATAGTCGCCCTTTCCGTTGCCGGTGATGTCGGCAAACCGCACGGGCGTGTCGAAAGGATCTACACCTCTCTTCTCGTCGCAGGAGAGATCTGACGCCGGGTTGTCGTCGTACTCCCACTTGAAATCGTCGTCGGCTTTGGCCGTTTTGATTTTGTTCCGCCACAGCTTCACTCGGTTCTTGTCATCTGGATCTGTCCAGATAATGTCGCATGCTCCGTCGCCGTCCCAATCCACCAGGTGCAGGTCCCGTCGGTCCAGCTTTTTGTGAATCGCCTCGTTGAGCGGATCCCAGATGATCTTGTTGGGGCCCCAGAAGCTATCGCCCTTGGACACTTTGGTTTCGCCCTTGTTCGGGTAGAGGCGCATCTCGCCCCTGGAGCGAATCCAGACATAGTCCATCAAGCCATTGGTGTGGCCCATCATGTTGCAGTACCTGTTTCCATCGGCTGAACAGTACACAGAGAGAAAATCAGCAAGGAAGGCACCGGGTTGCTTGGAGAGATACATATCCATGTCCGACGTACCTTTGATCTTCGCAGCCCCATAGCCCTTGCTCTTCCACACATGCACAGACACTCCGTCATCGGTATTCTCAATCCAGACGTAATCCTGGCGTCCCAGAAGCCCAAAGTTTTGTGGTTCTCCATAAACCCGAGCAAAATGGACTTCGCTCCGCTCACCATCTTTTTCCCCGACTCCATTGTGAGTCGGGCCTGAGTCTTGGCCATCTTGGTAGCCCCGGCGCCAGATAATATTGAAGTTGTCGCCTTCATCGGTTTTGTTACAACTGCGGGAATTGGTCCAGGTAGTCGTTTCGCCCTCGTCATCTAGCCAGAGCCAGTCATCTCGCCCCTGTGTACGTTGGTTTGTCAGATTATACACGGATCTTGGCAGCGTGCTGCTGTTTACTACTCACATCGCCGTTAAGATCCTCAAAGCGAACCCCGTTGATGTCACCCATATCTTCGCCATTGAACACCTTTCCCAGACTCTGCCAGTATTCTGGTTTATCCCCTGGGATGCATTGTCACCTATTAGCATTTCCCTCCCGGAAAAGTATCGTCACCAGATAAAAGGCATGGACAAGCCACTCACCGGTCCCGCCATTGCGCCAGCAATAGATGTCGCCGTCGCCCTCGACCCCACAGTAGTCCACACGGCCGTCGCCGTCCATATCTGCCAACCGGACCTTGTTCTGAGAGTACTCAGAATCCTTGATTTTGCCGATCTCTTTGAACGACGGGGGCGAATCGCCCTTCCCATCGCCCTGGTTGATATCAACGTAGGCGTTGCCCTCCTTGCCAAGGCACACATAATCGTCCAGACCATCTCCATTGACATCGACGAAGCGGACGCCGGCAGGGTTGCAGAAGATATTGACCGCGGCGTGGTCGATGCTCTTGTACGGCTTCTCGCCGTCGCCGGTATTCTTCCACACATGGAAAATGATATTGTCCTCTTTCTCCTCCCAGTTCAAGAGATCATCGCGGTCACGGCTGAAGAGCCGAGCGAAGATGAAGTCCTTCGACGCGGGACTGTCCACTTCCAGAATGGTGCGTCTGCTCTCCGAGTCGTGGTAGTATGTGCCGTCGTCGTCGCCGCTGCCATCCTGTGTGAGTCCTCCCGCCGAGGATCCACTGCCATAGTCCTTCTCGCAGGACCCGCCGCCCTTCGTTTCCACCGGGTCCTTGATCATGTCCTTGGAAACCGCTTTCTTGATCGTCTTGTACCACACGGCCGCCATCTTGCTGTACCCGTAGTCATTCGGGTGGGTATCGTCGGTCGTGCCATCGGAGTGTTTGTAGTCGTTGGGGTATTTGATCCAGTTGTGGCCGGGATCGGGCGATTCGGGATCCATGTCAGCTAGGAGGATATTCTCGCCGTCATCGCTCAAATCCTTGACCAGTTTCCGGTACTGTCTGTTGGCCTCGGGCTGGTTCTTGGCCGTGTCCTTGTCGTTGGATGGCAGCAGAGTGGACATCACGATTAGGGCATCTTTCATGTCGTCCCCCTTCCGCAGACTCTTGATCAAATCATGTATACGATCCCCGACGCCTTTAACGTCATTCTTGCGGCAGTCGTTCGTGCCCGCGTTGATCAGAACCACATTCGGTTTGTAGGAAAGCGAGTTCTGGCCGGCTTCTTGGATTTTAGTGATAACATCGCCCGTGTGTGCTTCGACGTCCTATTTTCCCCACAAAAGATTCAAATCTATCAGTTCACGTTTCTTGACCCGACGGAGGATTCACTATCCTATATACTGACATTGTCTTTCATGTTGCCATTGTTCTTGCTTCCAACCATATCGACCTCATACCCATCGTACCGCAGCTGATCCCGGAGGGGCTTGCGGTATCCATTGCCCGTGTCGGAGAGATATCCCCAGGTGAGCGAGGCACCGAGGGGCAAGATGCGAAGCTTGACCTTGTCGTCTCTCTTCTGGAACTGGGATCCGGAAGAGTTTAAGGATTTAACATTCGAAGGAATATGGATCGCGTTGACCGTGCAGGTGAAAAGAAACCAGAGAATAACCAGGGCCAATGGCCGCGACGAAATCCACGAAGCCCGGTCCATGGTGAGAGCTGCTGGACCGGAGTTGTCTCAAACAGTATCTTATGAACCCGGCGGAAGAAGCAGGAATCTACACTTCCACGTGTTTTGACAGACATCACACAATCGGGGACATTGTTGCTTCTAACATAAACAAGCCTACGGGCATTTTCTCCACGGTCTCCATAAGGGGCGATTAGTATGGCCCCTGGAGGGCCAAGCTAATTTAGGAAAGGAACTAGCCGAGTCATTGAATGTTCATGCTCATGCACTATGTAACGTCCCTTGGCTCCAGGGGACGGTTTTATTGCAGTAACCGCAGGCGTGTGCAAAGCAAAAAAGAACAACAGAGGTAGGGCACGATAAGCTTTCATAGATCTCACTGTAAGATCAGGCCGACCACGACGATCCTGGAGAGCCAACAAAGCAAACAAGGAAACAAACAGCTCCAGAAGCTATGATGTAAACTTGCCAGATGTATGTACTCCGCGTCTCCCCTGAAAATGAGTCTTTCCTCTTCCCCCCAAAAGGGTCTTGGCAGTTGCATGGAAATTTCTTGACCAAGGACAGTCAGTATACGAGTCGTATAGAGTAATGATGCCGAGCAAATCCACTTTTTGGGGAGGGGGGTTTCTTTGCACAGCCCACGGATGATATTTGCTTGCGGGGGAAGAGGGCTTGATTAAGGAGACAAGCAAGTGGAGTAGGAAAGAAAGGAACATCAATCAAATCGCTACCCCGTCATAATCCCTGTTTCTAATTGTAGCAGATGTGGGCAATGACTCCTGCTTGTTGTCATTCGTTTAGCCCTGTCGACTTGGCGCCGAGAATGAGATCGGCGGCTCCACTTGTCTCGTAAATGCTGTCTCTACTGCACAGCTAGGGCCTTGGCAGCTTCTTATTGGGATTTCCTTTCTGTTTAAGTGGGTTGGAGGAATGGGGTCCAGGGGAGGCGAAGGAAGCAGAAAACTCGCATGGATGCTTCGCGGCCATATCAATATACGGTATGCTCCGAGGTGGAATATCAACACAAGCTACGCAATTACCAACTCTACATTGTCTACTGGAACAAGCGAAGATTTGTGTAATCAAACAGCAAAGATTGAAATATCCTCACTTCCGTCTTTCCATATTTCCATCAGCGGGAACAAGAAATGAAAAATATGGCGAAGACGAAGACGAAAGAGAAGATGAAGCGCAACCGACGAAGAAAAGAAAGAAAAGAAAACGAGCACAAACGCATTAGTGTTCAGAACCAGCCACAAGCAGCAAATCTTTGTCTTGCAAAGCCACTTGCGCAAATTCCGAGTTCGAACCGGCCACAGCACAATCGAGATGCATTGACGAAAAAGATGAGGACAATCGAAAGAAAGCATGGATCTCCTGTCTGGGTATGAGAATTGGAAAAGGATTGGTCGAAAATTGAAAAACAAGACGCGCTGCATGCTGCTGCATGAAATTCATCGAAAGAAATCGTAATTGTCTACTGGCGACGAGGATTGAACGGAGCAGGGCCAAGGACAGACACATTGGGCTGATTCTCGGCCTTGGGAACCGCTCTCGCGGTTGACTGCTGCGAAGATGGAAGAGGTGCGCGAGAGACTTCCTTGGGATGCTTGTCAGAAGAGATCGTGGAGCGAAGCATGGGTGGAGGAGGACCGATGGTCCGGACCCCAGACAGTTTCTGGGTCGGCCGCTGGGGAATATTGGGGTTGCTTTGCGACAAAGATCGCATTGACATAGCGATGGCAGGCTTGCTTTGCACCTCGCTCACCACCCGCTTTGACATGTTGCCCGTCATCGAAGGAGGTGGTCTAACCCCAATCACTTTGGCCTTTCCGAATTCATGGTAGAGAGTCCAAGGAACCGCATGGATCGATTTGTCCAGAGGGTTATTCTTTTTCTCTTGCTCGCGTGTGTTAGTAGCTTCAGACTCTGGGTTCGCTTTAGACCAAATTCTCTCCGAAATCGTGTCAATTGCCTTGGGAGCTGGGCCTGGCTTATTCTCTTGGAGTACCTGCGGTTTCTCAGCCTCGGAAGGGTCCGAAACCCTGAGTGTTTCGAACCCGATCATGCAATCTGAGCGATCGCTCTTCAGTGGAGTCATGGGCGGCTGGGCTTCAATGGGCGTCGGGTGGACCATAGAGTCGCTGGAAGAGGGGCTGTGAACAGGGGATCGATATCCCGAGAAGCTTGGCCTGATTGTCGAAGGGGCCTGTGGCCCGGTGGGGGTTTCCTGCAGCCAGTCCCGCATAAATGAACTGCTGAATTCTGGAGTATGGGTCGGATTGCTCTGGTCAGATGTTGCTTTCCCCGGCGTTGGAGTAGTAGTCGGGAGGGTGAGCGGAGACTGGATCTTATTATTCTGCTCAGATGCATTTTTGGCAGGTGCGATAGTAGCAGCTGGGAAAGTGAGTGGAGACTGGATCGAGTTGCTCCGCTCAGATCCCGGTTTGGCTGGTGTGTTATTAGGAGCTGGCAGAGTCAGTGGGGATGCAAGAGCTGCCGCCATGGACTGCATTTCTGGAGATACACCAAGAGCTCGGACGACGTTCTCTCCCAGAGTATTCTGGCAATCGCTCAATTTCTCCACCAAGTCCCTGGCAAGTTTCGACAGCTCGCTCATGTATTGCGCCTTCTGCACTTCTTCCTTGGATTCTGGTTGTTTCTCCAAGCTCTGAGTAGACGTATCCACCTCCGAAGGAACAGAGGGCATCGTTATCAATGCCTTTTCAGTATCCACAGAAAATTCCAGGCCCTTCAAGTCCGCAAGTCCTGGACTCAAGATGACTTCATTTGGCTCTTGTTCGATTTCTTCTTTCTCAGGGGAGCCAGCGTGCATATCGATGAGATCTTCACCAGAGTCGTTCTCAATGAGACTCTTGTTCGCGCGGCCATGGTCCGGGAAAGCAAATGAACTGCCAGGAGTCGTTGGAATGTTCACTCTGGATGAAGATGTTGGGCCTTCATGGAAGATACTCTTTCTGGCATCCTTTCGTTGAGAGTCACTAGTCACCTGTGCCATACCAAAGGGTCTCCCTCTCAAACCCGTGATGCGTGAATCATGCGAGATGGAATAGGGTGATTCCCGTGCGATTTGACCCTTCGAAGCGACAGACTCAGAAGGCGGAGCAGCTTTCTTTGGCATATTGGATGCAATAGGCTTGACCGGCGGCAGTGTCCGGGTCCGAGAGGGAGGCGTCGGTGTCTCCGCAAACCTTGAAGTTGAAATCGAGGATGGTGCAGTAGGGGTTTTAGTAACAGCCGGAGTGGATGGCGAAGCTCTTGCAAAGATTGAGGCAGAAATCGAAGCCGACACGACAGCCGCTCTGCCATTGGCAGGCGTCGAGACCGGAGTGGCTTTTTCGGGCTGGGGAGATCTAGCTTGATGCTGGGGTTGTTTGGTGGTGGCCATAGATGCGGCCCGAGGCGATGGGGCCGACGAATTTTGATCAGAATCCGGTGCAGACCAATAGGTCTTTCGAGCAGCAGCCATAAAAACCTCTGGGGCTGTGATCTTTCTCGAGAAATCCTCTCTACTTGCCAAGTTAGAGTGAACAATGTGATAAGCAAGGTCAATCAATTACTTACATCGGCCTCCTGGCTCGAATAGCGGCAGCCCTGGGAACTGAGAAATCTGTTAGTAGTGCTTATTGAGAGAAGAGTTATAGTCACTTACTGGAATCCTTTCTTCTTCCTCTTCCCCTGCCCCGAGGGCTGTCGTCGCTGTTAGAATCCAAGGCAGGGTCCAGCCTAGAGATAGAGCCGGAAGAAGCATGGGACCTGTGACGAGATCTGGAAACGCCTCCGGCCGACGAAGCACGGATTGTCCTTGCCACAGAGTAAGTTGCCATTGGTTAAGTACATCAACAGGTGGGGGAAGTACTTACTTAGAGGATATCTTCGAACCACGCCCTCTGGTCCCAATCACTCCGCCGCCACGACCCAGGGACGTTGGGGGATGAATGTGATGTTTCTTAGAGCCCTTGGTCTCTTTGAGCGAATAATCTTGACCTTCACCTTGATGCAACATGGCTGTCAAATGGGCACGGTGGCTCTGTCCGTGCATCATGTCATCAAGGTGCTCGAGGCCTTCTGTATCAGCGACTGATTTGTACAAGTCTATTCATGATTAATAATTGTTTCTTTTAGCAAGACCCCAAGAATTTCAAGTTCGATCATAGCTGACCTGACCATGCCGCCAACTTTTCTTTGTGCTGTTCAGCATCACGCTGAGCAGCAGTGCCAGGGATATTCGACGCTCTCCTGGCTTCGATTTGTTCAAGGCGCAAATGCGCCTGACGTTTCTTATCATCCGTGGTTGTGATGAATTCTCGTCTCGCCGTACCCAAATCAGCCTATCGGAGTAGTCGATTGTTAATATATATCTTAATATGACATACCACAAATAATTCGTCCAATGTATCTTACCATTTGCAGCTTTTGAAGCCGCTCAAGCGCTGTTGGGTCCATCCTGTCAGCAAGACACGGATGCGGAAGTGATTCAGGTAGCGGAAAAAGATCGAGGTGACTGGAGGAGGGGAAAAATATTGCAGTTACAATCGTGTGTACTGCGCAAGTGCCGCGAGACTCGTGTCGTTTCAGCAATAGCGAAACTCTGCGAAAAGGAGAAAGTGTCAAAAGGCGCGAAAGGAAAGTCTTTGGGGAATAAACACCAGATAGCCCAAGGCAGCGAAGTCTTTTTCAGAAACAACTCGCGAGAGCTGACTCTTTGGCCTCGGCCCTAGGCTTCCCGGTGTCTATCTGGAAAAGAGAAGAACAAGGATGTGCGATTGGGAGCGGAAAAAGCGACGACAGAAAGAAAAATGGCAAAAGATGCAAGTGCAAGAAGATGGAAATAATGCAAGTTAAGGGAAGAGGGTGGAAAGAGGAAAGAGTGGTGTGCCTCCGGGACAAACGCAAGTGAGGCAGCTGTTTGGCCTGCGCGTTGGACGGCTCCCTTCCTGGACTAGACAGCCCCGCCGGTGACATCGTCGGATTAAAATTGTGATTATTAATTTTCGACGCCAATTTGGAATTGCAGAGCACACAGGCTCTTGTCAATGTCGGTTCTCGAGGCCAGTCCGGAAGTGTTGGCGATACCAACATCTGGGGCTCCTCCCAAGCTGCTTGGATTAATATTGATATTCATACTTTTCAGGGTTCGTGAAATCACGTGCCAGACAAGCTTAAATCCGGTATGGAAGTCGATGTAGAAGATGCAGAATGGTCTCATTGTGCAAGCGTGATATCTACCTGGGTAATGTATATACAAGTATTCCGGAGACCAATGGGGGAGCTCTAGTTTATAAACATGAGAAGCCGGGGAATATTTGACAACAGGTCATGTTCAAGGGCTGCCGCAAGTCTGACCGCCACCATCGCCTGGACATAGTTAGCATTTAATCCGAGTGCTAGTAAAGATTGGGGTTGAACGTACTGTTCATAGCGTTGGCAATCGTCTGTACAACGCTGACTACCATGACAAGGAAACCAAAGACGACGCAAATGTAGGCTGGTAGCTTGTCTCGACGACTGGAGCCGCTGAGCTTTATGTAGCAGAGAGGCGGAAATATGAACGCAAGGGCTGCAGCGCTGGTTGCTCCGATGAGCTCGAAAACCAGACCAAGATCGCAGGTTATCAGGGACACGACTACCGAAGCCGCAACTAACGATGTGGTAAGCACCACATGCCGATTGAGGCTGTACGGTTCGTCTGGGTAATAATAGGTTGTCATGACCGCTCGGCAGACGAAAGCTTCCAGTGGCAAAGTGGTAAGCATATTCAGACCAAAGAGTCTGACGGTAGTTAGCATGAGGAATGAGGACTGAACCACTGCTGGGCCTCTTACAGTCGGGCTATGTTGACTAAGACGTTACTAGATGGAAAGTTGTTCAGAATGTTGCCCTGTGTTTTGGACCCGAAGGCAAGAAAGCCGCAAACACCCATCACTACACACAACAGCGAGGATACGCCGGTTGAGTAATGGGTGACCGTCGCAAAGCGGTCCAGTGTCGGCTTCTGCAAGGAGCCATAGATCATAAGACTGCTGTGGTCTTGAACAATGTCAGTAATTAACGTAGAGCCGAGCATAGTGAAACGTACGGCACACAAAAGCTGAGAATTATTAGCACATCTTTCGAGTCGATCATTGATATTCATGACTTACCGAATGATATCACACCCACAGCTTGGAAAAAACCTGAGTTGATGAGGAGAATACTTTTGATCTCTCCCTGGGACTCCGCTGGAACTCGAAAGCCTTGCGTGATGATTGTGACCACGATGATCAGCATACTAGCCAATGCCAGCGTAGACACTGTTGCCAACTACTTATCTATCAGCCTCTGATGCATCAGGGTGGAGAAGTGGTCCTACCTTGGCGATGTCTCTATACAACGACAATGGGTAGGAGAAGCCCATGACAAATATGATGATTACAGCTTGACGGTTAGTCAGAAGCCAGAGGAAAGAAATATTCCGAAGCGATGGAAACAAGGCGTCTAGAATACGCGGAATGGTATCACCGACAATAACACAGTAGGCGACCATGGCGCCAAACGCAAATGCCCACTGGGTGATGGAGATGGCAATAAGACCACCTTTGCCAAAGCAATACTGCATGGTAGCCTGGACTGAATCGGCTCCACTGAGCTTCGAGTTCACCACGATTAACCGGATTGTCCAGTCCACCGTGACGGTCAAGCCCGCCAGCAGCACGAGTCCCGTTGCCAGCCCCGCTTGTCGAATCGCATAGGGTTGTCCAATAATGCCCGCTCCGACGATGATGTTGACCATGTTCATAAACGCCGTCCTCATTCCACCGCGTCGCGCGACATCCGCCAGGTGTTCTTCGGCGAAGAACTCGTCCGAGGTTGCGATTGCCACGCTGGGAGCTTCGACGTTGGTGAGCAGAGGCATCGCCTGTCCCGTATTACGCGCGCCGGGCGCGTCCTGGTTTCCAAGCTCATAATCCTCCTCGTCTAGCCACCGCGCATCATCGTCTGGACTGTGGACACGGCCATTCGAACGATGGTTCCCTTCTGATTGCTCGTCCAAGTCGAATCGAACACGATTGGCCGTGCGGGGGGTGCGGCGCTGTCCATCCGGGGTAGGCATCGATATCGAGGAGTGACGTTTTCCATTAGAGGTACTTTTTGAGGGAATAGCGGGTGTGCTTGTGGTCGCAGGTGCACTCGTGCCTTGGATTCCAAGTCCGGTGGGAGCTACCGGGCCATGCTGCTCGCTCGAAGTCGGAAGCAGCGATTGAGCTTCGAACTCATCCTGTCGATCCCAGGAATGGGCCGATCTCTCATCTCCTGGCATGGCTGACCTTGAAAGAGAAAGTAGGAGCAACTGCTTTCAGGCCACCTCATAGGGCGGACACGTGACGCTTATCTTTGTCTCCACTTTTCCAACCGCCGCGTGGTCTTTGTGGGGGGCTCTTTGGGGGTTTTCGTGGGATGCGAGATCGTCGCGTTCTTTGACAATTTCTCCGTCCTGCAAGGCAGCAGTCCGCAGCAAACGCTTAGTGTCAAGGGGTTTGGTTCCATGTCTAGATAATCAAACTCTAGAAAGTTCTTGGAGCCGATAGGCAAGAAATGAATTGAAACAGTCAAGAATAAATTCATCACAATTAAAGGCAGGAAATAAAAACCTTGAAAATTAGGCTTGATCGAGTTATTGTTGCTGCGTAGATGGTCATGTGCTTCCATCTCGGTGTGCGTGATTCCCCATTCCTCCCTCGAGCTTCACAGCATCTCCCGGGCCTTCGTTTGGAGAGCTATTGAGATGATTGAGGTCTTCAAAGACCATCCCCGTCCCATAAACGATGAATCGTATCCAGAATGACACTCCAGGTCGACTTGGGTCGAAGCATTCTTCGCGCCGATTCCAACCTGCAGTTGCAGCTGGTCGCGTCGATGAACTGCAATCCTTCCCTCCACTGGGACCCAACCATACCGATGGACGTCGAATTCTGGTCAGATTATGCGATATTGATCACAGAAGCTCCGTTAGAGCTCGAATTGCGTTTGCTTGTCACCGGAGAGTCGAGCTTGGATACTACCTTGTCCATGTCTATGCCATCGATGGTGGACAGACTTTGTAACGCTAAGGTCAAAAAAAAAATATCGGGATGGTTTGTCGGCGTTCTGACTACTTTCTCATACAGATTTGGCCGGACCTCGGGTTTTCTCTGATGTTCAAAAACTGCGATATCGTTAAAGAAAAAGGTCAACCTGGGATCCATCGTCTCACATTTGGATTGAAGAAAAAGCACGAGATTGCCGCGTCAACAAAAGGCCGGACTTTGCCCGCTGTCCTACAAGATCCTCCCTATGCTCGCCCTCCATCTACCACCCCGACGATGTCACTAGCATCAATTGATATTTCGCTGGAGTATGGTTGCTCCTTTGAAAACATACAACAGGTTCATCAACTGTTCGATCTCACAATCAGGCCGAATCGAACAAGGCCTGATCCACTGGTCCTTGCAGCAAGCTTTCTCAAGGCAGATATTGTAAATTTTCTTTCTACTGAGCCCTTGACAGGCCAGGAAAACACACCGAAAGAACTGTCACAAGGCCAATCTTGCAGCACAATAGAATGTTTCAAAAGCCTCTCACAGCCAAGAGATTCGAGCACCAATGGCGTATCTCAAGAACTTTTTCGACTGCTTGACTTTGCCCTCCAGCGATTGACAATATCCACACTCATCAAAGACCCCGAAATCCAGGTACTCGGTCAAGAATCTCTACGAAGCATCCCAGAAACTGCACCGGCGGTTTTTAATCCAAGATATCGTGAAGTGAGTTTGACTGCTCGGGGAAGATTATCTCCAACTAACATAGCATAGGCAATCAACCAGCGAGCAGTGTCAATCCCAATGATTGGCAAGGCTGTGTGCTCAATACTTGAAAACAACGGCAGTCCCATATTACAGGGAAAAATCAAACAGCTGTTACGAGGCACCAGTGGCTTAACAAGGGACTTTTCCGGGCGAAGTCCATCATTAACGAACCCAAAGGCCATCATCCAGTCGGCCCTTTGGCGCATCGCCGAAATTCAACTACGCAATGTCAAATACCCTCAGAAAAGAAATACGGTCTCGGCAACAGACCTAGTCCTCGAGGAATGCCACCCCCAAGATGCTTTGCTTGTTCCGTCTTTAGAACAAGACATGCAAAATCATTGCGCGTTTCCCGAGCCAGATCGGTACTATGGCACTGATTATGAGGATGAAGACGCAGACGCAGACATCATTCAAGACGGTCACTCCGATGAATCGGAAGACTTGTTGTTCGAGAACACAAGTGAACACAGCTTCATGGATATTGTTGACCCAACACAAACCACCATGACGAGCCTTTTCACAGAAGATCCCCCTTCGGCACCATACTGTGTTGAGAGCGAGATGCTTCTATCATATATGGAGCAAGGTGCGTTCGAAGAAAGTGACGTGATGGAGGTACGGTATTCACAACATGTAGATGTTGATGATTGGGATTTGATGTTGGACGAATAGTTATAAAGCTGTATAGATATTGCAGATTTTGAGTTGAATACACTCTGAAGGTTCTACTCACGACTGCAATTCATGCTTATCCCTACTGATAACATGTCACACCACAGCAATATTCCACAACACTTTGTTATTCTTATAACGAGCGATAGACACCGTGAATCTCAACCATCCGATGCACCGACAGGGATCGGGAAGGAACCCGAGAGGCACACCCATACTCCACGCAAAGCGGGGCTCTTCCACCTACAAACATCGGCAACTCGGGAGACTTGATCAAGATGGTCACGTCTATGATGATCCGCTGCAGCCCTTCCCCTCCTTTCCAGACGTGGCCTTGCTTGCCCAATCTTGAGCTCCACCAAAGACCAGCAATTGGTCTAGGGGATACATTGGCTAAAGAGAGTAGGTTGAATGAGAGCACTGCAGCTGCGAAGATCGTTCGGCAGGAATTGGTCTACTTAAATTGATTGCAGGCTGTTAAAATTTGCTTATATTTGTTGCAGGTATCCCTGGGATCCTCTGTCTGCTTTTTATACCACTTATTCACAGTCTTCGCAGTTTGGTTTGTATTTCCCCTGCTCGGCTACATCATGTTGGACGTCGTGGTTATTGGAGCCGGATTCAGTGGCCTTGAAGCCGCCTATTCGGCACAGCAAGCTGGACTCTCAGTGGCCGTTGTCGAAGCCCGCGATCGTGTCGGAGGCAAGATCTGGAGCGCACCACTAGCTTCTGGTCGCGGGTATGCCGACCTGGGTGGTGCATGGATTAACGACAGTCTTCAGCCGCGAGTCTGGGCTTATGTGCAGAAGTTTGGCCTGGGAGTCGTGAAGCAGCGACTGGAGGGTAGAGCTGTTATGCAGGAAAGCCAGGAGAAGCGGTTCGAGTTCCCTTTTGGGGTTACGCCAGATGTGAGTAACTGGCGACATTCTAAGTATCATTGCTGTTCCAAGGCATGGAAGCTGATCTATTCATGCAGTTCTCGCCCGAAGAGAAGAAGAACCTTGAGTACATTCGCGATCATATCCAAGCTGAGTCGCTGAAAACTGGGTTGCCATCCGCCCAGGTGGATAATGTCTCTTTGGACCAATATGTCCGTGACCTTGGTGCCCTTCCCAAGACCGCCCAGATGGTCAATCTCTGGGCACGGGTGATGCATGGCCTGGAGTCGACCGAGGAATCTGCCGCTTGGTTCATCGACTATTGTCGCCGCAACAAAGGTCTTTTGGCTATCCGTGCAGATGATTCTACGGGTGGTCAGCACCTACGGTTCCAGGATGGTGAGAATTGCTCCATATCTCTTTACTTTCTAGTGCATCGAAAGATTAATCACATATTCACAGGCGCCCAGTCTATTGCGACTGAAATTGCCAAGTTGATTGGAGCGGGTAACATCCACCTTGCATCTCCAGTGGCTTCAATCAATGACTATGGCTCGCATGTTGGCGTCATCACACGGACCGGAAAGACATTCCTCGCCAGAAAATGCATTCTCTCTGTCCCTAGCACCATGTACAAGGAACTCAACATCACCCCGGCCCTACCACAAGCGGTGCAAGAGGTCACCAACAACACTATTTTGGGTGACTACAACAAAGCGATTGTGTGCTATGACAAGCCCTGGTGGAGAGAACAGGGATTCAACGGCTATTTCGCCAGCTACTTGGGTCCCGTGATTCTCGCCCGAGACACCAGTGTCGACGAAAGAAAGCACTACTCCTTGACATGTTTTGTCAACGGTCTGCCCGGACGCCAGTGGAGCAAGCTGCCCCCACACGAGCGGCGGGCTGTGGTTCTTAAGCAGGTGGCCCAGATCTTCAAAACGGATACCAAATCAGAGGTGTTTCGGCCCATCGAGGTGTTTGACCAGATTTGGCAGCATGAAGAATTTAGCAGAGGTGCCTTGGCTCCTGTTACTGCTTTGGGGCATCTCACAAAGTATGCTTCGGTCTATGGTAGGCCGGTTGGCAATGTGCATTTTGTGGGCACGGAGTATAGTCCTGAGTGGAAGGGTTATATGGAGGGGGCGCTTTGCTCGGGAGAGTTGGGTGCTCGCCAGGTGGTGGAAGCTATCCAGAGGGTACCGGCTGCGAAACTGTAATGGAATCCCGGGTATATTTGGGTGAGAACAGGGCGAAAGAATGCAGAATATATACACTCATGACTATGGCCCAGAATGTCATTCTTTGTCAATATCAATTACACAACACAAGGCTGTCAGCTATAGGGATATCTTTCCTTCAAGTTCTTGAAGCCATTAAGATTATGTTAATTCACACTAAATAGCCTCATAACTGCATAAGTGCATAGAAAGCAAGCCAACTAAAGTTTTCTTCAGAGCCAGGTTTGGCTCTGAAGGCCCAGTTGATTTGAACTAACTCTGGTATACAGCAAAAGTGTTCAGGCGTCAAAAATAAATCATTGATATGTAATCGCAGACATTCTTCACCAAATAGCAATCCAGGAAAAGACAAGATAACACCAATACTCAATCCACAACTCAAAACCTAGTCCATATCCTCCACCTCGATAAGCTCGGAAACCATATCCTCCAAAAACAGCTTCTGCTCATTCAAGAATCTCTGCATATCAGGGATATTGAATGGACGCTTTGCAAGGTCTCTGTGCTTCTCCGCCTTCAGCTTCGTACGAATACGCTCTTCCAACAGTTCCAATCGATACTCAGTATACTGAGTATACAGCTCAGACCAATTGCTGATAGGTCGTGAACCTGTCAAAACAGTCTCGTCTCTAATGAGAGGAGACTTTGCGCGGAAGGCAGTCACCATACTAATACGCTCGCGCCCACCCATGGCTTTCAGCGCTTGGTGCTCGATATATCTCCCTTGCATGACCACGGCAGTTCCCTATTTCAGTCAGTATGACATGAATAATAGAGGGGTTGTCCCGGGCTGTCTATTTCTTACCATGGCCGGGCCCCGAATCTTTAATATTTCCCCCGAAGGCGTTCGAATAGCAGTTTCACCTCCGACCATACCGGTACAATCCGAAAGCATAGTCACGCACACGAAAGGGAAGCTGTCATAGTGCCACGCAAAAGCAGGCGGGTCATTCTCCACTGGGGTACCTTCACTTTGCATAATGGTCGTGGTCTGCTCATTAATCGAGATGTTGATATTGGCGATTTCGAAATCCAACGCCAGAGCGAGGTCAATCCCTGCAACCTTGGACAGTTTGGTAAGAAGATCCGGACAAGTCCAAGCATCGTACGTAAACGGAGCGCGTCTGTTGAGCAGTGAGCAAAATGATCGTTCATCAAAAAGGCAGCAACAATAAACTCACGCTCGTCCCATGCCCCGAACCATATTCTTGGCAAAGGTCGACGCATATTGACAATGCTCGAGTACAGGCTCACTGAAGATCTCAGCGCGTATCTGCTTGATTGCTTCGGTGGTGAAAAGGGGGAATGGCTCTGAGGCTGCCACTGGGGAGATCCCGTGCCCTTCGAGTCCTATTTGTTTCATGGTGTAGACATTCTCGGGAGGTTGGAAGTTCAAGTGCTTTGTTGGATCAAACACTTCTTTCCCCCCAACGAGCGCTTCATCAATCAAGAACTGGGGGAGCTTGTTCGTTGGACGCGTTGCTTTCTTTGTTGTTGGACCAACCACTTTGGGTGGTGCTGGAGGGAGCATGACGGCTGCAGCCATGTTGAATAAAGAAGTAATTCGAACTTGGTATTTGCTGACTTGAAATATATAGAAGCTTTGAGAAGCTGCTGCGAAGTAGATATCAATCGTGCTGGTCTGGAGGAAACGGTGGTCCTTATATCTTCACTCTGGCTACCCTTGCCTGCCCTATTCATGGAATATGTTGCGCAATGAGGCAAGAGAACCCCATGATCAACAGGGCTTCTGTCATACTACATGCATTCTGATATCTGCCCGTGTTTACCGACACCAACTAAGATGTAGGCATTACCCCGATCTCTGAGGTGTCACACTCTAACCTCCTTCGTCCGAGCTTACCGAACCGATAGGTTCCGCGGGCCGTGCTCCGATGCCTGTAGATCTGCCAGCTTGTCAGTCGATGAGCTGAAGGTACACCCTGGCTCCCGATCATCCGAAGGCCTGTGGAGATCCGGTGATTCCAACGGCAGGTCGAGAGCGTCCCTGTGATGCTTGGACGAGACGTGCATAATGCTACAACCAAGAAACAAATAGGTAGAAAACTCCCCTATGAAACATACTATTTGCTATTGGTTTGGCTATAGTCTCAAGATACACTTCAACCAAATGGGCCCGGCATGTTACCCCCTTCCAGCCATTCAGATTCAGAATCTAGTAAACCATGCGAAAGATCCGGATTCCCTATCTGGTCGACAATTGACAGAAACTCACAGGAAGAAATCCCAATATTATCCAGTGAATCCACATTGTTGGGCATTTGTAGTTCGGCGGAGGGTAAAGACCTTACGTTCCCAGCCGCCGACGGCGAGCGAGAAGTCATTTCCGGTTCTTCAACCGATAGCTGTCCTTGACGGTCTTCAAACCGGCCATTTACCAGCCCCATCTCTGCCTCGGCTGGCCCGGCTAATGTCAGGGTTTGTAGTCCCTCCTGCTCTACGCGTGCGGCGAGCTCCCGGAACAAACCCTCAAGCCGGTTCAGCTCGGCTTTTCGGATTTCGGCCACTCTGTTTCCACTGGAAATAAACTCGTCGAGGATTGAGTGTCCTACTTGGCTATATTTCTGGTCTTCGGCGTCGGGTGGGAAGAGCGTGTGTGCCATTGTCAGATGGAGAGAAGCCGCATATGTGAATTCAAGATCGAATGGGAGGAAAACCTCTAAAGCACATTAGCTTTGGTCTTCCTAGGGGAATTGTGGCTCCATTGCTGCATTTGACACGTACCCAGAAAGATGTTCTCATCTGACAATATTTGAAGCGTCTTCACAGCCGACTTGATGCCAATTGATATCAGAGACTTGGGGAGAGCTAAGAATTTCTGCCAATCTTCTTCTGCACGTCCTAGCTTTTCCAGTCGTTCTTTCAAAACAGAGAGAAGCAGGGGTCTTGTGGCAACAATCACACACTGTTGGACATTGTTAGATGTCCAATCTGGATAGGGGTGGGGGAGAATCAATCTTGAATTGCATACCTGATGGTACAATAAAATGAGATAGCGTGTCTCGTGCGGCACTGAATCCATCGAGCCTTGGAAATCCACAGGAAACATCTTCTCGATCTCCTCGGCGAGACCAGCCATGGTCTGCAAGATGTTCCGTGTTATCTCCAAGAATGCCCCAAGCTGGGTCTTTTCCGTTCTATATATTGCTTGATGGTAGAGAGTCAGTATACTGCTGTCGATAATTCTTTTCAAACTTACTCGCGAGAATGAACGACAACATTTGCGAGAGTCTCACTTGAAGACTGAACGTGGTATCGTTCAAAGATGTAGTGGGTGGATTAGACAACGTGGTGATATCCCCATCCTGCGTGGTCATCGGAAGGCCCAAGGAGGAGGAAACATGGCGGTCCATGATATACAGAGTCCACCAGAGATTTCGGCAACGGGCGACTGTTGCAGCACCGAGCTCTTCCTCGGGGAGCTGGGTGTGCATTCCTTCCAGCTGGGCGATGCGGATTGCCTGACCAACCTATTCAAATAATTCCCAGTGTGAGCGAACAAGAAATACCCTAGGTGGTCAAGAATGACTACGCTTACATTCACATGCGCTCCCTCCCGGTGGTCTATTGCATACAGATACAACCCAGCCAGAGCCAACGCCTCGATTACCATCAAACTATCTCTCCCCGTGGATGTATGGTTCGGCATAGCAGCCATAGCTCGCACAAAGAACCTGGAGCCTGGCGGTTCATTATGGTTTTTTGGGCGCGAGAGAAACGCCTTGCCGAATGCGAGCACCAAAAGGAATTGGGCGAACCATATGCGGGATTCAACAGCTTTCTGTGCTTCTCGGCCATTGTAAAAGTCGAATATGTGAGAGGTGAATGAAGCGTCATCGAAGAATCGATAGGTCTGACCAAGGTGGAACTTGACCGTGTTGAAGAGATAGAGAGCGTAGTCAATTGAAGGTAGATCACTGACATCGGGCGGCTCACAGGTTGTGAAGCGGTTCCATTCAAATGGGTAGATGTCTCCATCCAAGTAAAATCCGGGAGTGCTGTAATCGGGGTTGAGGTTGAGCTTCTCGGTCATCATGACTGTGAGTCGAGCTGTGAATGACCATGCTGAAGTTGGGGCAAGCCAAACTATTCAAGATATGTTAGCTGGGAATATTTTAAGGTTGGAAAGGGGAAGAACGCAGACACACTCCAGTTTCGTTTGTTAGTTCGCGTATCTTTAATGACTGTAGACGGCAAGGTAAAGGGGCTTGTCCAGATGCTAAACGTAGAATCGGTCATTTGAGACGCCGGTGGCTCTAATTCTGAAGGTACTTGCGCATCGGCGATGGTAGTACCTTGCTCGATCTCATCCCCCGGTCCGAGGACAGAGTCCCGGGATCGTTTGATTCCACTCGAATGCCGCCACTGCCTGGCTTGCTTTTGTAGGTCGCGAAGATATCTGGTCATGGTCACTCCTGTCATCACCCAAACAACACATCGGAAACGCAGATCACAAACCTCTCAGATACTAGCACTTTTGTACTTGCTTCTGAAAACTGACACCTGATGAATCGTCGCTGGCAATTTACACACGGCTCGTCGCCAGAGCACTTGATCTTGCTCTGGCGGCATGCGATACACCTGGAGGATTCTTGTCAATATCATATCCGTCAACCCGATTTCCATGTGTAGTCAGATAGATCTCCTTACGCGTTGGCAGTTCTTCGAGGCTTGCGATACGCAGCCTGCATCTCGACTGACCCAAAGAGATAGATGGAATTGCACAGCAACTGAGCAGCTCCTTCAATAATACACAAGAGGGGGGCAGTGGGGTTGAGCCAGCGCGAACTGGAAAACTTTACTCTTTTCGGTGTCGCCCCACGTACCTTTCTCGCGAGATTTGGAGTCTTTTAGTGACTTCTAGTACTTGGAACAGGTAGATAACAAGATTTGTTTATTAAGATTGCTGCATGGATCAACCGCCGGCCACTCCCGACGTTTTCTTTTGCATGAATCTCCACCCCTCAGACACGTACAGGACGGCCCGCTCAATTCTAAATCTGGCTGGAAATCCATGTTGATAGAGGCGTATCTATCCATAATTCCGATATATACCCCGCATTCAACTCCATTGTTGGGGGGTTTGAGTGACCATGTTCAAGAATAGGGGCATTTCGAGACCAGTTCTAGAACTACGAAACTGTCGGCAGGCCAGTAGCCAATAGTCCTTATGCTTAGGGGATCAGACATCAAGGTCAGGAATGAGAAAATACCTGGCCTGCGCGGCTCGGTAAGTTTATATAGAGTTTGATTGCAGGTCGACGACCGAACACCTTGTCCGAGTTTAGAGAACATGTCAACCAGACTTCAGAATTGGATTCCTACTTATAGATGGTAACTTTCTCGACAAAGACTTCAAGAAATTGGGCACATCCCACTAGAAAAGTACCTCAAATCACACGTCTCTGGCGTCTGATGACTATCGATCTAGTTCTCGCACCTCAATTTCCTGTCTCTGTTACCAATTTTTCCAACTACACTTGTCGAGATTGTGACTCACGACCAAGCAAGGTTCATCAGTGGGTAATCTCTCACACATGGAACAGCAGTGTCCTAGAAATATGACGAGGAAGCTAGATAAGGGGTTTCGTCTTGAGAGGTCGAGCCTTGCTCCAGGGACAATGCTGGTGGGCTGTAGATCACTGTGGGATGCGATAGCATTGAAGCGATGCAAGAGGTGTGCCGCCAGTTCATGTGAAGTAAAAGGGAGATCGGGAACTGACCCGAGGGATTTGCTCGGCTTGGGAACCCGACACTAAAGGGGGATGATCAAGATTGCCCGATTAGCCAAGAGGAATAAGAGCACAACAGTCAGCCATGTCCCGAGTATTTAAAGCAAACTACGCGTCTGTGATTTACAAATTTCACATATCTCCTTGCATCCTCCTCACCCACCGATCCCATCATGGCAGCATCTTTTACATCTTTACTAAAAGACCCCGGTCTTTTCGTCGACAAATCCTACATTGACGGCGAATGGGTGGTATCTGAGTCGTCAAAAACGTTCCAAGTCCAAAACCCAGCTTCAGAAAAGGTCATCGGGACATGCCCTGAATCAACAACAGCCGACCTCAACAACGCGATCCAAGCCGCATCCAAGGCCTTCCCCGCATGGCGCGCTCTGTCGGGCCGACAACGGGGACGGATCCTTCGACGAATCTTCGCGTTGCTAGTCGAAAACAAAGGAGATATTGGCAAGATCATCACCACAGAGAATGGCAAGGCCAAAGCCGATGCCGAGGGCGAAGTCCTCTTTGCAGCCAGTTTCTTTGAGTGGTTCAGCGAAGAGGCTGCCCGGATCTACGGGGATATTGTCCCACATAGCAATGCAAGCAGCAGAACACAAATCATCAAGGAGCCTGTGGGTGTCTGTGGGTTGATTACACCATGGAATTTCCCGATCGCAATGGGCGCTCGCAAGATTGCGGCGGCTCTTGCGGCGGGATGTACAGTGGTTCTCAAATCGGATGGATTGACACCGTTTTCCTCGAATGCTCTTGCGGTGCTGTGTCAACGCGCTGGTGTACCAAAGGGCGTCTTGAATATCGTGACAGCCTTGGAGAACACCCCGCAGCTCGGCCTGGCCCTCTGCGAGTCGGATATGGTCAAGAAGATATCCTTCACTGGTTCCACTCGCGTGGGGAAGATCTTGATGCGGCAGTCAAGCGGAACGCTGAAGAAGCTCAGTCTTGAGCTGGGCGGCAATGCTCCTTTTATTGTTTTCGATGACGCGGACCTCGAAGTCGCCGTCGCCAGCGCACTCGCCAGCAAATTCAAAGTTACGGGCCAGACCTGCGTGTGCGCCAACCGGATATTTGTCCAGGAAGGCATCTACGACCGATTCAGTCGTAGGCTGGTTGAAGAAGCCCGGAAATTCCGCGTAGGTGACGGGAGCGATGAGTCCGTCACTCACGGGCCTCTGACCAACGGCGTGGCAAAGGTCGAGCAGCATATCAAAGATGCAGTCAGCAAAAGTGCAAATGTACTGCTGGGTGGAAAGCAGCTGGCATCTCTGGGCAAGAATTTCCACGAGCTCACTATCCTTGGCGATGTTGACGACACGATGCTGGTGACACGCGAGGAGACATTCGGTCCTATTGCTGCATTGAGCAAGTTCCGAACTGAGGACGAGGTTATCGGCCGAGCAAACGACTGTGAGGTTGGCCTGGCCTCCTACATTATGACGACGGACCTTGCCCGCTCGCATCGTGTATCGCAGAGATTGGAGACTGGGATGGTGGCGATCAACACGGGGGTAATTTCAGATGCTGCAGCGCCGTAAGTCACTTTCCTTTCCGGAGGTCTTCATCATGCTAATACCTTGGACAGATTTGGAGGCGTCAAACATTCTGGAATGGGCCGCGAAGGTAGTAAATATGGTGTTGATGACTACATGACCCTCAAGACGATCGTTACGGGGGGTATAGATGTGTGGTCACGGTTGTAAGGGTATATCCAGCTGCAATGAACTAGTCTAGAGGCTGCTACGCTGTTAATATCACGATATACACGATACAAATGAAGCCCAATATCAAACCCCGAGTATAGTCCACAGACCCCGCAGTGGAACCTGTCAAGCTGTGGAGAACCCGACAACCCGAGATAACGTCGGTTCCACGGGCCTCTTTGTGCCCCTCAAAGCCTTGACTGGGATTCCTGTTGAATCAACACGGAATGGCCCGGCAAAAGCGTGCCTATGTGCCAAAAGTCAAAGGTATGCATCAAATCTGAGACTTTGTAAATCACCAACTCATGGTTTGGCAGGCTGCTACGAATGTTCGCAACGCCGAGTGAATTGCGATCGGGCACGGCCAAGCTGCGAGAAATGTATCGCCAAGGGCATATCTTGTAGTGGATATGGTGTGCGATACCGGTTTTGCGATAAACCTCAAAGATTGATAGTTGATGGACAGGAGAGGCTCTGTTCGGATGTTTCCATTCAACCTGCTCCAGTATCAACCAAGAACCTCACTACCAAAGACAACAATTTGCATCCAGTTCCTCGCAGCCACCATTCTTTTGATGTATCCCCAACTATTCCTTTAGTATGCTTGGACCGTTGGAAATCATTCCTTCTGAACTACTGTGAGACTTCTCCCCAGAATCCCAAGCCCAATCTATTGACGAATCCCAGTCTCAGACAATATCGCCCCCGAGATGGTGGTGATTGACGACCACCACAATGGATGGCGACACCTAATCCTCCCAGTTGCCCACATGAACGACTTAGTCTTAAATTCCGTGCTCGCCGTCTCAGCCTTCCACCTCTCAGAAAGCGCCGCAGGCTACTTGCCCATCCACCCAAGACTACTTTTCATGCAAGCGATCGGCGGACTCCAGAACAGAAGAAATCTCGACAAGTGCGACTTACAGACAAAACAGTTTGTCATCCTCGCCATTGTGGTTCTCCTCGCAGCCGTGATGGTAAACGGATGCTCCGACTTCCCTATCGTATTCCGCATGCTGCAATCAGCACTCGATGCAGTCGGTGGAGAGAGGAGTCTATCTGATGGCGAGGTAGCAGAGTTTCTGCGACGAGAGATCCACAAGTAAGAAAAGAAAAACCAGCTCAATCAGCATCAGACTCGATTGAGTGTATGTCCGGAGGCTAATGTAACAACTACAAATACAGAATGCGAGCATACGGTGCCCCATTCATCGGCCAAGATGCGGGCAGACGCGCGCTGGAATCACAGGCCCAGCAAAGCTTCGACTGTCTACAATTTTACTTTCGTCTGTATCCAGATCATTCACACACCTTCCATGCGATTGCTAGTTTGAGGCAGCAAGCATACCGGATCTACCTGCACCGCACAGCTACAGAAACACACATTACAATACCGGTCGAATCAATCGAGGATTTTAAATCGAGTCTGGAGACTTTCTCCGAAGGGTCGCTGGGTGAGCACACCCTTGTTTGGGCTGTCTTCATCGCGGCATCGGAAAGTCGGGTATCCACGCATCGGCGCTTTTTTGAACAGTTCTTGGAGAGGCAATATCGCCGGAATAGGTTTCTCAATCTTTCAAAAGCGTTGCAACTTCTCAAGCGCATTTGGAAACGGAGTTCGAGTGAGAACTGGACGGCGCTACTTCCTGAGCCACGGGTTTTGATAATGTAATGTAATGCAAACCATATTCAGCGGACAGGTACATCAAAACGTCAAGATTGGGCAATGGGATAGCCAGAGCTATAGGTATCATATTTCTATCGCGAAGCGTGAAAGGGTGAGCAGGGGCTACTGATATTCCTCGCCTAACCCGAACATCCGAATCGAGTTATTCCAGGCACTGCACATAGCTATTAGCAAATAATCTGGTACTGAAGTCTAGGGAAACGGGACATACGCTTCGCAAACCTCTTCAACAGAGATCCCCTTCACCATGGCAATGACATGAGCAACGCGGGCAATAGCAACAGGCTCATTACGACCCTTCACCATACAGCCCTTCTGCCACTTCTCCTTCTTCACAGACTTTGGTAGTTCCGGTGCTCCATCCAGGTACTTGGACGAGGCATGGGAAGGGCGGATTTCACACTAAAGAAGAGGGTTAATCTGCGAATATGCAAAAACACACACACACACAAAAAAAAAAAAAAAACACATACCCACGGCCCATCAGTCTCAATCTGAACCCGCTCCAAAGGCAGAGCCTTCACCACTTCTAGATTCTCCTCAGTCTTCAAGCTACACCCATTAACACCCACATCAAGACCCATCGCAACCATACGGTTCATCTCCTCGAGCGTCCCCGTAAAGCTATGCACAAGTCCGCGCCTGGGCAGCTTCGCAAGTCTGGGAGCAAGCAGCCTCTCAAAGTCCTCGCTGGCGGCGCGCGAGTGCAGAAATAGGGGCAGCTGGATCTCGACGGCAAGGTCTAGTTGCGCCTCAAAGTACTTGAGTTGCTGCTCCTTCGGGCAGAGGAAGAGGCGGTCGTAGTCGAGCCCGATCTCGCCAAAGGCTACCGTGTGGCCGGCTTGGATGGATTCTTCTGCTAGAGTGCGCAGCTCTTGTAGCATTTTTGGGGCGCCACCGGGGTGTTCGTCGAAGAGTTTTGCTTGGCAGGGGTGTACGCCGACGGTCGCGTAGCAGAATCCCGCTGATTGCCAGGTGTAAGAACAACGAGTGTTCAAAGAACATGGGGCGGATGCTTACGGTATTTGCTGGCGATCGCCACGGCGTGCTTTGACTCTTCCAGGTCTGAACCAGTCACCATAAATTTGGAACAACCCACATCGCGGGCCCGTTGGATTACATCGTCCAGGTCATCTTCGTGGGCTTGTTTGCCGTGGTAGTTGCCACGGAAGACAGGATCACTCAAGTTGATCCCGATCTAATATTGATATTGATCAGTTACGCCGTGAGCTTCGAGGGCCTGTAAGTTGGGGCTGGACAACGCACATCAACATATCTCAGCGGCTGAGCCGAGTCACCCATGCTGGCTGTGGTCGATTGTCTTGCTGCTAAAGCAGAAAATGGTTTGCGAGTACCACCCAGGGGGTACACAGGGTTATGTCCTCGACGTGATCCTGCGAATATGTGAGCTCAGCTACTCAAAGCACACTCTCGATATAACGACAAGCACTCGAAAATCAGATTCGTGCACATATCATGCCACACATACCTAAACTACTTTGATAGACGCCAGACAGGAAAAGTGTCCTTCCACCACTAAGAATCGAGGTATAAGTGTAATTAAAAGATTTCAAGACACTTCCCCCAGCTGAAACAATTTGCATGAGATCAATCTGCCACAAACTGCTTTTCGTGTGTCAATCCGAAGTGCTTTGCAAAAGTTGCGTCGGATTTGTGTTGACTCACTACTCAGCCATATGAGGCTTAGCACTGCAGAGATGTGGCTGGTGTATGTATGACATAAGCAGAGTTATCTTGGTTATCGGCGACGGAGAGAAATCCGCGGTGAGTCGGCGATGCGCCGAGGGTCTGAGGCCCCCGCGAGGGTTGAGAGGTTGGAGCGCCGTGGGGGTTGAATCTTGTTGTTTGCACTGGGAGATATTGTGAATCTATCTTCAACTTTGAGGCTCCGGCCAAATCAATAACTTTGATTACCCGAGCATTCGAGTCCCTACGAGCCGGACAGCCTCGAGTCTATGAAAGAGAACGAGGAATTCCGTCTTCAGAAATTGAGATCACAATTTGATAACCTCGAAAAGAAAGCTTCTGCCTCAACAGCAGCGTGGGATTGGGCCCGTGCAGTCCGGGGTAAGTCCGGAGACTTCGCCGTGCAGAGTGGATAAGTTGTGGACGGAGAAGCACCGCAAACGCTGCTGAGTATTTAGTCTTCGCTGGCTGGCTGGCACCTCCACCTCTTTTCCTTTGTTTCAGAGCAACACGACATTGACCCTTGCTATCCTTGACTCTGCCACTCGAGCTACAGGACAGAGTCAAACTCAGGGCCATTCGCGAGAGGATATCTAACCCTGGAATGGTGCCGGCAGCATGGCAGACCAGAAACTGCTGTCGACGCAGCAAATCTCCGAGCACAAAACGCCCGAAGATTGTTGGATTGTCGTAGACAATCAAGTGTGGGATGTGACGGATTTCTTGGATGAGCACCCGGGGGGGTCAACAAGTATGTCTACATTACAATTGATCTATTTTCACGTCGAGAGAATCTAATAAATTCTTATTGGCAGTCATTCTAAAATATGCCGGCAACGATGCCACGAAAGCCTATTCAGAAGTGCATGCGCCGAGCGTCTTGAGAACCAACCTTGATCCCGACAAGTTCAAGGGCGTCCTCGATGAGTCCACGATCGATGCCGACTGGGCCAAGCCACCGCCTGGCGAGAATCCACGGGTGGTCCTAGAGAATGAAAAGCCACCCTTGCACACGCTGATCAACTCGCACGACTTCGAGGTCGTGGCATCCAAAACCGCCAACAAGAAGACCTGGGCGTTCTACTCGAGCGCGGCTACAGATCTGATCACACGGGACGCCAACAAGTCCTGTTTCGATCGGATATGGTTCCGGCCCCGGGTGCTGAGAAACGTGCGCTCGGTTGATACTCGAACTAAAATCCTTGGCGGGGACTACAAGCTTCCACTGTTCGTGAGTCCCGCGGCCATGGCGAAGTTGATTCATCCTGAGGGCGAATGCGCCATTGCGCGCGCATGCGAAAGTAAAGGCATTATGCAGGGTGTGAGTTATACCGGAACTGAATTGATCAGTCCCGCCATACTGATGAGATTTCTAGATCTCAAATAACTCCTCCTACACTATGGATGAATTGCGAACCGCAGCCCCGTCCGCCAGCTTCTTCTTCCAACTATACGTCAACCGCGACCGAGAGAAGTCCGCAGCATTGCTGCGACAGTGCTCAGCCAACCCGAACATTAAGGCCATTTTCGTCACGGTGGACGCCGCCTGGCCTGGCAAGCGCGAGGCCGACGAACGAGTCAAAGCCGACGAGAGCCTGTCCGTGCCGATGTCGCCATCGAAGGCGCAGAACGACAAGAAGGGCGGCGGGCTCGGCCGGGTCATGGCCGGGTTTATTGATCCTGGACTGACGTGGGAGGATCTGGTTTGGGTCCGGCAGCACACGCACAAGCCCGTGTGTCTGAAGGGCGTGATGTCGGCGGACGATGCCCGGCTCGCGATGCAAGCCGGGCTCGACGGGATCCTGCTCAGCAACCATGGGGGTCGCAACCTTGACACGAGCCCGCCTTCGATCATTACCCTGCTCGAGATTCAGCGGCGGTGTCCCGAGGTGTTTGGTGCTATGGAGGTGTATGTGGATAGTGGCATTCGGCGCGGCAGTGACATTCTCAAGGCCGTGTGTCTAGGTGCCACGGCTGTGGGTATGGGTCGCAGCATGTTATTTGCGACGAACTATGGACAGGAAGGGATTGAGCATCTGGTTGACAGTAAGTGGTGGCTGTATATGTTCTGCTGGAGCCCTGCTAACCACTGGGCGGTTTAGTCATGCAAGATGAGTTAGAGACCGCCATGCGCAACACAGGCGTCACAACCCTAGACGAGGCATCGCCCGACCTCGTGCACACGGCAGATATCGACCACTTGGTGCCGGATTCACGGTCGCATCCCTACGCTCGGGCCATAGCTAAAAGCCGTGGTCTGTCGAAGCTTTAATGACGACAGATGATTCATAGAGTGATCCATAGTATAGTGCATAGACCTGAACAACCACCATCTGGTTGAATTAGCTCGGTGCCTTGTTGAGTCTGTAGTATGCAGGGATGAATCAGGGGAATCCGGCCAAGACGACACAGCCTGTCGAGATTCTTCACCGAACATTCAATATAGAATCATGATCGAATAATTATAGAACAAGAATCTGCAACATAAAGCGGATCGTATTCAAGACGAAGAATTACACCGTAGCCTGGAGACGGCCTACGACTTGTTAATTGAATGCGACTCTTGGACGGGAAGAATTCCTTCTCAACTGTTGAGCGGGAATGATCATCGCTCCCCATGTAGAAGGGTATTCTGGAATTGCTTACGTGCCCGTGCAGAATTAGGGTGATGGAGAGGGGTTGCAAGCCACTCACGGCGAAGATATTGCGGATCAGACTCGGGTTGCCCTATTATGAGCCAAAGGATTTACTTCTTCCGGCCATTTCGAGGGTTTCCATTACTTCATCGTGCAGACACCAATTCGGGTTGGGGGAGCCAGTCATGGTTGTACCGGGTACATCGTGTCCCCTGGTGGGTACGGGCTAGCCTTCGTCCCGAGGGCTGGGTACTGGGTACTTGGCCCCTACCTACATTACGCTGTAGATCTCCGTCCGTTGAATGTCGCATAAAGTAGCCGGGTTCCCCTCTTTCTTCTGGGATTGTTGATGTCTTGTATTCTGAGTATGTCTGCTCTTCAATACTCTCATCTACTTCCTGGCTGTCTATTATCTATGATATCTATTACGTATATTATATAGAGTGACCAGGTAGAGCACGTCAACACCTATCGATCAACGTGGGTCCAGACCGCCCCGTCCGTAGCTCTCCCCAACGCTTCAACTTTATAAGGTCCGTCTCTCCCTCCTTTTCCTTCTCTTCTTCTCTCCTATCCGTTCTCTATATTCGGGTCTCTCGCTCTCTGACAACCACCCCAGCTCTATACTCACGTATACATCCTTGTCCTCAACCATGACTGCTCCTCGTTCGTCCTCCTTGCGCGCTCTGCGTGTCCTGTCCCAGCGACACTCGGCGGTGCCCTCCACTCGCCGCGCCCTGCACATCACCGGTGTGCAGTCTGCTCAACCCGCCAACCCCGGCGACAAGGCATCCTTGTACGCTGCCCGCAGTCTGCCCGATCTCAAGACAGAGTGCCAGCGCCGCTCATTACGTGCTGCCGGCAGCAAGACCGAGGTATGTTTGAGCGCTGTTCTCCGCCACGCCAACTCAGCTAACCCACTCGTTCAGCTGATTGAGCGCCTCGCCAACCACGATGTCCTCCAATCACGAGCATTCAGCATCGCCATGCGTCGAATCAACAGCAAAGCCTTTGCAGGGTATGTTCCACGCCATCCACACCACTAAGCATGTCCAAACACCAAGCTAACTCCTCCCCAGCGAGCAATCTACCCGCCAATTCAACACCTCCCGCGCCTCCAAAGCCGTCGGCGACACCTCCACCGTCGACTTCGTCTACATGCCCTCCATGGCGGAACTAGACGCCGCCCCCGTCCGACCAGGCCCCCGTGTCCCGGTCCTTCCCGACATCTCCTCCCTCCCCGACCCCCAGACCCAGACCGCCCCACCCATGAAGCCGCAGATCTACACCGTGGCCGGGTCCGGCTCGGATGTCGCGGCCAGCGCCATGAGCGAGGTCGTCGACAACCACTCCATAGACATCGATCCCTTCTCGCTGACCGAGACGGTCGGCCGCTCGCGCGTCGGCGAGGAGATCCAGCGCCAATCCAGTGGCACCGGGTCCGGTGAGCCGGGCGTGGTCCAGGAGCTCTGGACGGGGTTCCTGGACGATGTGCTCGGCCCGAAACAGTCCAGTCCGAGGAAGTAAATGGGGCGCTGGTCCTCGCTCTTTTTCTTATCACGTTCTTGTGACTCGGCTATGGCCTGTGATGAACGAGTTTCCTTGATACTTGGCTGAGCTCTTTCTTTTTCTTTCCTCTTCGTGTTGTCTATGAGACTGTTTGAGAACTAGCGTTTTGATGTAATTAATATCTTGTGCGAGCTCCCTGTGCAGGAGTAATCCCAAATGCCTTGACTATTTGACTACCAAGGTTATTTCCTGTCACGAATTCCATCTACAGGCTGTGATCAATTCTACAGTATTATTCGGAACCAGACTACCTTATTTTCATATAATTATGACTCACTCCACTCAAGTGGTGCATGTATCCATGGATGGGGAGTAGTATTCCCGCTCATAACCTCCATTTTCGTTGCGCCGAGGCTGTTGCAATATCCACCGTGATCTACACTACATCACCGCACTGAAAGATCCACGCCCGGGATGTCTTCCGACTTCCGGTTCTTTTGAGCCGGGTATCCAAAATGACCCGAGGTCATCAGACATCGTCATCAGACTCGGTAGCACAACACACTCACTACTCACTACAGTGGGTGATCAAAAGTTTGTGTACCCTACCCCCTGACCCACATAATATTATATAATATTCTGCTAGTCAAAAAAACTCTTTATTCTGTATTCTAACCCCTATATACTAGTATTATACTAATATTTAGTATACCAACCCTCTGCTTCGATAACTACTTTTACCCGATTTGGCATCGAATTCGATAGAGTTTGCAGAACCCCCTAATCAATCTTATCCTATATTTCTTACGCTGTATTAATTAAACGTTCTAGTGTAGTACTATTATTAGGTATATCTAGTAGCTCGGGGTATAACTTATAGATTTTTGCCTTTAATAAAGCCCATATATTTTTAATTAGATTAAGATCTAGCGAATAAAATAGCTATACTATAGTATTAACCCTATATCGCTCTAAAAGCTTATATACGATATACGCGCGATAAACTAACGTATTATTATATATAAAAATAGTATCTAGTCTAAGCTACGTAAACAAAATAACTCTATATAAATTAGAGATAACCTCTATATCTATACCGCCGCGAGATACGTTAAGGTTACCTTATAATACCTATAGACTAGTATATCTGATTTCGCTAGAGAAAGTAGCCTAAAATATCTATTTTATTTACTTTCTATATAGTCTTCTATAAATATCTCGCTCGATTCGTTGCTACAAGGGTCGATTAAAGATATAAGGCTTCCGATAGCCAGCACCTCGCTCGATAGTATATTTATAAGACCAATAGACGCGAGCCTAATCTTTAAAGATAAAATATTAATATATTCTTACCTAATAAAGTTATTTTACTCTAGTTATATTATCCAAAGTAGATCGATTAAGCTACCGCTATTTTCGAAGCCCTATTTTATTCAGAAGCTATTGAATTGATATCGTTTTAACATTATAATCGATATCAGCGAGTAGGTCTTAGTAACGCACGTAAGGGTCAGTAGTAGCTCTCTTATATATTCGATCGCGATCGTCTTTATTAAGTTTACGAGGCGCTCCGGAACAAGGTTTTGAATAATTATTAACTCTTTTATTCTCTCTTTTAATAGTAGATTAAATCGTTAATAGAGATATCGAAGGGTATACTTTATAAATTCTCTTATACCCCTATTAAGTAGTCGAATAAAGCTCGCAAATACGAGTACGAGTATAAGGGTCGAGTTCTTTACGAGGCATTAGTAAACCGAGTATACAGCGAATTGGCAAAGCAGTATATCTTATATTAATATTATATTTATTCTATATTAGTATGATATTTAGGGGGTAAAACGCGTCGATATAGCGTGTATATACTAGCGTGTCGACTCGCGTAAGGTAAACAGCTATATTAATAGGTAAGTGGTCAAGAAAATGCAGTGTAGGGGTGTGGGGTAGGGGTATGCAAACTTTTGATCACCCACTGTACGAGCGCTGCACAGACCCATGGGAGTTCTTTTGGGTACTTTTGATTTCTCTTTTCTAAAATAATTTGTTTCAGCTAATTATGTTAGCGTCGACCCGTCCTACGAAATTGAACATTCTTAGGTCCTCAGCACTTGCAACTAACAACACAACCTCATCCCTTTATCATGATGCCACAAATCAAAGAGTGGACTGACTTTGCCTATTTGTCTGAGGAATTCGATCCAAACACCCATGAATTTCGATACACAATGTTCGCTGCTATCAACTTGGACGATATTATCTTCTACGGCGAACTACCTAACCGCAAGACTGAGATCTCGATTCAACAAGCCACGGCCACGCTCAGACCAATCCCTGACAGCGAGATATTCCCAGAATTGTCCTTATCTGACTCCAAAAAGTTGACTGAGGCACCGTTGGAGCTGCCCGCCAATGTCCAAGTGTTCATTAAGCGACCCAACCTTTCCCAATATGATGTGTACAAGCGATACAATGTAGTACATCTACTCGCCCAAAGCTTATTGGAGGAGGCACGTACCGTGGAATTTCTTTCCGAACACCCTCATCCACGTATTATCCGGTACCACGGCTGCCGCTTCCGGCGGGGTTACCTGACCGGCATCGTGCTTAGCCGCCATTCGCACGATCTGAAGGAATATCTCAGGCATGGAGGGGGAAAGATTGACAAGGGAGTGTTCATGAACGAGCTTGAGTCTGCCATTTATCACCTACATTCCCTCGGGTGGGCACACAATGATCTCAACCCAACGAACGTGCTGGTCGACGACTCTGAGGTTGCTGAGGGTATGCCAGTTCTGATTGACTTTGGCTCGGCCAGGGAAATTGGTACTTCACTGGGAACCTCCCGGGGTACGAGTGGTTGGATTGAGGGTCGGATTGAGGATTATACCACTTCTAAGAAAGAACACGATATCTTTGCCCTCGAGCAACTTCGACATTGGTTGGACAATCCTCCTTTTGACGATGACCAAGGAGGCCAGTGATCCATGGATCTATCCACAGCCTCAAATTCTCGGCCTTCACTATTCGTTGGATTCGCTATCTTTAGTATGTGTGCCCGTTGTTTTGCTTTGCCATCAGGGGGGTTTCAATTCACATAACCCATTACTGTCAGTCCACTTTGGAGTACAAAGCGACCTTCATGCCTTCTTATTCAGGTATCACGTCTCCATAACCTAAGTGTCATTCGAAATTACCATCAATTCCCTCGTCACTCCTAGTGTTCCCAGAAAAAGCGTGAACTAGATTCAAAAAAGATACTGTACAATACGAACTTCATTACGATATCTCAAGTAAATGCAGCCCGCTGAAGTGATTGAACTACGCTATGACTTGGCAGTGGGACTGGAGGAGCATGATTGAATGCGTGCTTGGTCCAGAGATTCGATACCCGTATCTCCAATCTAAGTGTATGAGAGGAAAGTGCAATAGTTCAACAATATTTACATTTTATTCGATTACAGTATGTAGAGGATTGAATACTGAACCCCCGTGGGAGTTAGAACAGTCCCGCTAAGTCCGGGTCTATCCTGCCGGAGCACTTGTAATCTTCAGCACCGTTGCTCATTAAACTTGAGCAGCTTTTATAAGTTCCCTCACATTTATGAGGCCCAAGTAATTCATCCAGGCTCCAAAGTGGGGAACATACCCTATCCATTCCGACCGTTTTTATTTCTTAGGTCCCTCATTTGGTTTTCACGACGGGCAACCCTCAATTTTCGAGGAACTTTTTTGAAATAAAAAGGTGAGGGCGAAAAGGTGTCCCGTTGAAATTACCGGTTTCTGCTGCTCAACATGTTAATGTATTTTCTGCTGCTCGAAATGGACTCTCTGGTGTTTGGGGTGGCCCGAACCTCTGACATAGATTCTAGGATTGGCTGGATAGTCTGGGTGTCGGGAGCCGAAATGGATGTTGCGCCGCCTTTTTTTTTTTTTTCCTTGGCGCGCTTCGAAGTTTCGCGTCCTTCGTTTTCTTTTCAAAGACGCATTCCGCCTCGTTGTCACAGCAACCCAGACGAGGTTCGTGTGAAAATCAAGTAGTATTTCGGCCATACGAGCAGCGTACTTTTCTTCGGCCTTCTTTGAAATACCGACCTCGCGAAGGTGTTTGATAGTCGCCTGATAATCATCTCCAACCAGGTCTTTGTTATCCCATCTGAATTTTGATCAGTGAATTACCTTGATAGTCTTGATTGTAAACTCACATGCTGTCGGGGATAGACGAGAAAAATAATGATCCGTAGATGTGGTTTCCAAGTTGTCATCAACCGAAGCTTCAATAGCCAGCTCTTTGCAGAAATTATGTTGCCTTTGTCCTCGATGGAAGATACCACTGAATCTTTCAACGTCATCGTCTGAATCAGACAACCTGACATGGGCCAGAAACCTCTTCACAGTAGGTTTCATAATGCGCTCATCTGATGGTGGTATTGCCCGCCGGAAGAGCTTCTAAGAACTTATAGCCACCAGTCTTCGCAAGATCATTTGTTCATCAATGTTTGTTTCTAATTGAGCTGCCCTCTCAAGGAATGTCTTAGCTCTGTGTTGCTCGGCCTGGTGGCTGTATCGTGGTAGTGGTTCGATGGGCATTTCCCAGAATTCCAAGGGGTTCTTCTCAAATCGCGAGAATCTATCTTGTACAGTTTGGGGTATTGCAAAGCGATCACATCTTTCGACTCGGTTGCGGTTCGCGTTAGAAATGGTTGTCGATGTGCTGAACAGCCTGCGGAGTGGACGATAAATCTGTCGGAGAAAGTCGAGTTGTTGACTGTCTTCAACATGACCGAAAGGCTGCTCTCCTGGATGATTTTTTAGGATTGCGATGACTCCGTTGTTAGATAGTTTGTTGGAAGAATTGCCACGAGAAGACATCTGGCCAGATTATTTCCACTGGAGTCGCTCTTCGCAAGGTCAATTTAGAAGAGAAAATGTCAGGCCTGTCTCAGCCGAAAGTCATGCGCACAGGTGACTCGCAGTGATCACCCGCATCACACTAGACCCAGTCTGTATTTTATGGGGATGCGCGACCCCATAAAAACCATTTTTGTACTCAGCCGAATTCTGAAGATTAGTCCTACTGCGTCTTGCAAGGCATTTTCCTTCAATGAAAGTGAGAACAATTCCATTCCTCTCCATGCATATGCGGGGGGAAAGTTGATAAATTGATTCATACTAACCGGCTCTTGTCTAGCCATTATATTTTTAACACAATCAATACTAACTTTATTTCGCATATGCTATTAACAGACAAGCTTTCCAGGTATCTCAATTGTTAAAATCTTGCGAGATGCGGAGTTGCTGGCCAGTAGGCTGTCTGAAGCCGTCATGGAATTCGACCAATTTCAACACAAGGTCGGGTAGAGCAGAAAGTCATGCGAGACCTTGAATTCCCGGAAGGGGATATTGCGTTTTGTCATCGTTTCATATGCTCGATGAACTGCTTCCCAGACTGATTTATTGCCTGGCTGCTCGAGGAAACCACGCATACCCTCTGATTGTCCGCCCGATGAATCAAGATGCCAAGTGATGGCTGATAGCTTCTCAATAGTTGGACGGCTGAGAGTCTCGACCAGTGTCTTTGCGGTAGCAGACAGAAGTGCATCATCAACCTCATGAATTTCTTTTAGGCACTGGAAAGCCTGTAGAACATTTTGAGCGTCTGGGCTCAGTGTATCCTGGGGAGGGATTGCCCATTGTCGGGAAGGGTCCATTCGCAAACGCAACAATGCCTCCAAGGCTGATTGCGCCGGGAAAAAGAAATTCGATATGAATAGCCTTCCAAAATTTAGTGTCAATAGCGGCTTGTGCGGAGAGGGTCTTATACCATGTTTGATATATTGTGAGTTCGAAAACGTGCTTGATTACCCTGGCTTGAAGCTGTCCAGAATCTTGTATTTATAAGGAATACCACTGCGAGCATCTACAGCTTACCATATGTTCGTCATGTCTTGTCTAAACTTCTCCCTCTTTCCAAAATGCTTGGAGTCTATTTTTCCCACTGAAGAGGATGATGAATCTGTGTGGGGGAAACAGACGATCCAGGTTCAAGCAGTGATCCACATCAAGCCTGGCCCAATGTTGCCTCTTCATACAAATGGGTTGAAGAAATACAAACCATATTCAGTTCCACCCGATCATTCTCAGCTACGGATTCAAAGCCGACAGGAAAAATCCCTGACCAGCATTCTTGGGAGTTTCCAGTGGTCCATGTCCAGAACGTTGACACCCAATATATGACTTAGCTCAATTAACGAACCATAAGCCGCCTTTAGCCAATCCTCAAGTCTCGTGGATCATGAAATTCTCGAGCTACCCCGACTACCTCCACAGCTTCGCATATTTAATGCCAAGGGTCAGATCGTTGACCTGGAGGAAGGGAGTCCTTCGCACCACGAAACGCTTTTCTTCTAAAAACCCAGGATACTCGTCCAAGATGTCACAAGAATATCAAAAGGTGGATTCCACAGTAAGTCTCTTTCAAATCATGGTCTTTGTTCACATCACTCTTAAACTCATACTCGATTCTTAGCCAAAATACTTAGACATTGAAACGTTGACCTTGCTCAAAAAGTTCAAAGAATTTCTGGGTATGATGTATAATCACGAAACATTCGAGAACCCGGATTTACTTTTCTCTGTGCAATATTTTGATGGAACTAGTGGTAGAGAAAGGCTAACAGAACACCTCCTAATATCCCCCCACCCCCTTTAGTATCGATACTATAGACCTAAATTATTATCGAAATCGTCAAAGCTCGCCAAATCTCTTAAAAACGTAATAAAATAAATCAGCCTCTGATTTTCGTAAGCTAATTAGAGCGTAGGGATGCGTTAGTAATTATTCACGTGTCTTAGGGGGTTTAGTATTGTCGTTTTCTTCATAACAATTTGCATATATGCTTGAGGCGGCCGTTTCTGGCGTCAAATGACGCTGAAAATGGCCTCCTCGGCACAGCCCGTCCGACCACACGCCCACGCACGACTCCCTCTTTACGCCCCCGCCCCTCCTCTGTCCCTTGTAACGGGCGGCGTATCGACGATGGATCTGTTTATCCGGAACTCGACATATTTAACTGCCATTTGCATCGAGGATCTTTAGCGATTTGCGGCACTTGAGTCGCAGAGACTTAGATTTACTAGAATATGCTCCAAAAGCTCGTTCTGTACGCACCGCGATATGGCATCAAGGTCGCCGATAACGCGACGCCGGAGGCGTCAACAGTCTCTTCGTTCTAAGCACGGCTCTCGGTGCAGTTCGGTTATCTCAGAATATCACCACTTTTCCAGTCTCCAAGACTGACAAGGTGCAAATCGTGGGAAACGGTGTCCAATTTCTACGAAGATCGAAGCTGGAGAAGAAGAGAAACAACAACAGGCCGGCGGGGGTTTTATACTCTTCACTCTACAGATACCAAGACCCAGTATCGTCCAGCTCTTGCGAGGACGAGGTTTCGACTCCAGATCAGGTCGACCGTTATATACAGACGACATATTTCCTCGGTATAATATTGATTTCTGGTTTCCCTAAAGCCTCAACTCATTCACCCCTCCGGAATTCCTCATCTAACTTTTCATATCGAGCAGATCGATGGTAAAAAAACCCACCCTTTAAATGCCTTTGCATGACATATCCCACTGCCCCTTCTTCGTCTTGTATCGATTTCCATTTATCCCAGTCATAGGCGTATTATCCTAAAATTCCCCTGAAACAGAGAAATTAGACTACTTGTAGTAGAAAAACTTTGAATTTGCCAGAAGTAAAGCTACTCGAGGGCCCAGTATTATTGGTCGAGTCTAATACCCCATGGATAGCTAGGATTGTTGTCATTACGCTCATATACGATGTGAACACATCTATAGACAGAACCATATCGCTGGATCATCACATCCATGGAAATTGGTTGCAAGCATGAACAGTCTTGTCGGACAACCCCCAGGACCCACCATGGTCACACTAGCGCAGCAAAGTGGCGAACCACTGAGCTCCCCAGGGCCACGGTGGATGTCTTTTCCCCGAGATAGCTCCAGCAATCGAGTTCACCAGGCCAAGGCTTACGCGCTGATTAGTGCACCCTAGCACCCCTGGCAATTCACTGAGCAGTCGATCCCACCTTAAAACAGCCACGGGTCGGTGCTGGACTAACCTGACACAGACTAGAGGGTCTTGTCAGGGGAGTGTCGTCAGGGTCTTGGAGATGTGGAGTAGAAGCCCCCCCTCACGTCTTGCCATGGGCGACCATGTTTTTTTATCTTCCAACCTCCAACCTCCCGTAGATTTTTTTTCCTTTCTGTATTCTTTCTCTGATTCTGCTGTTGTCGCTCCTTGATCTTTTCTTTTCTTTTCTTTTCTCTTCTTGTGCTTATTTCCTTTTATTCATTGCGAATCCTTGTATCTTTGTAGTTCCATTTCAACTGCAGATCTTCAAGCTGCGCAGTCCCCTCTTTAACAAGCTCTACCGATCATTTCTCCGCACTTGGAGCTTTTGACTCCTCAACACCCTCGAGTTGAACACGATCAACTGCATTGTTCTTTCTTCAGCAAATGCAACGTCGGGCATTCTTCACCTTCTAGATCCATCCCAGGATCATGCGTCTCTCGCCATGTCTGGTTGTCATTGCGGCCCTCTCGTCAAGCGTGCAAGCTTTCTACCCATATGAACTCAAGGCAAAATCACCGGTGTCCCGTTCGACATGGGAGACTGTGCAACGCCGCTTCTTGCCATGGACTCTTTCACCCACCAAATCCGACACCCACGCCGATACCAAACCCACGACACTTGATATCAAGAAACTCCCCGTTCGACGCGGCAATAACTACGACAGAATCAAAGCCGATACCCCAAAGTTTCCACAGAGTGCACCACTTGACCAGGATGGTCTGGACTACTCCTACTTCGTTGCAATGGAGGTCGGCTCGCAGAAGCAGGAGATGTGGTTGGCGGTCGACACCGGATCACCCAGCACCTGGGTCTTTGATGCTGCGTGCACGGCAGATGTGTGCACGAGTCACCACACATTCAGTTCGTCCGCTTCAAGCAGCTTCTCTTCCAATGGCTCCTCCTTCAGCCTCGGCTATAGCAGCGGCACTGTGCGCGGGGGTCTGGGAAAAGATACCATGTCAGTTGCGGGCTTGGATGTGGACCTGCCATTTGGACAAGTCACGAAAGCTACCAATGACTTTTCGTCATATCCCATTGACGGCATCCTGGGTCTCGGACGCTCATACACTGGGGGATGGAAGCGGTCCTCATTTATGGATGTTGTCGCCGAGAAGAAACTACTCAAGTCGAACCTGATTGGGTTCAGTCTCTCGCGGGCCTCGAATGATCCCAAGAGTGGGGAGGTTAACTTCGGCAAGGTCGACACATCCAAGTTCGATGGGGATATCTCCTACACCTCCACGAACGCCGATAGTTGGACCATCCCTCTGGACGATGCGTATGTCAATGGCCAGAGCTGCAACTTTTCCAAACGATCCACCACCATCGATACGGGGACCACCTACATTTTTCTTCCTCCGGCGGATGCCAAAACTCTCTTCTCTTTTATCCCCGGCTCCTCGATGTCAGAGGATGAGAACTACGTCGTCCCGTGCAACTCGACCGCTGCACTGGAGTTCTCGTTTTCGGGGATCAAGTACTCGATCTTGCCGGAAGATTACATCGGAGAGAAAACCGACTCTGGCTGTCTTTCTACCATCGTGGGTCATCAATCTGGCGCAACCAACACCTGGCTTGTTGGTGATGTCTTTCTGAAAAACGTGTACTCGGTGTTTGACTTTGACAACGCCAAAATCGGCTTTGGGAAACGCGCCCACTCGTCCTCTGGAAACGGGACATCTGAGGCGCCCAGCCGTTCTTCGACTACTCTCACTACTAGCGCTACCGGTAGTGGCACTAGCACCAGCAGTGATACTGCGGGTCAGACTACGTCTGCTACATCCTCTACGACATCCGCCGCGGCTTCATCTGCGGCTTCAGCTTCAGCCTCAGACAGCTCGGCACTTCGTCTTGCACATGGTGTTGGCTGGCCTCTTCTCGGGGCGGTTCTCAGCGCTCTCTTCGTCTAGATTGTCTTCTATTCGATTCGCCGCTGATCTCGCGGGAATTCATTTGCAGCGTTGAGTTACAGACACCTTTCATCCTCATTTCAGCGCATGATCACACCACTGTATCATTAGAAAGTTCACAAAATACCACCATGACTACATTCTGTCACTCTCCCTTCTTCTCCATTTAGACCATTGCTCACAGCTCCCTCTCGGGAAGCAGTGTGTAGGACTTGGGATCAGATTCTAAGGATGACATTAGCACAGACTCTGCACAACGACAAAAAGAACATACCGAGAATATTCCGATCAAAATCTTTGACCCCATTGAACCCAGCCACTCCCATAAAAATATCCAAATCCGCTAGCAGCGACTTCATGACATGGCGCACGCCATCCTCGCCCATGATACTGAGACCCCAGACCCACAACCGACCAACAAACACAAACTTAGCACCAAGCGCCAAAGCCTTGACAATATCACTGGCGCCGCGCACGCCCGAGTCGAACATGACATAGATCTGGTCCCCAAAGGCATCGACAATCTTCTCCAGCGCATCCAAGCTAGCAATGGCTCCGTCCACCTGGCGGCCGGCGTGATTACTGACAACAATACCGTCAACGCCATACTCAACGCACTTGTGCGCATCAGCCACAGACTGGATCCCCTTAATGACAAACGGGCGTCCCCCAGAAATGCGCCGCCACTGCTCCATCAGCCAGGGGATCTTCTCCCATGACCAGGCGCGTCCATGCCAGATCGAGTCAATCCACTTCGCCGACGCCACCACGGGATCCTTGTCGGGGTCAATACCCACCTCAGTGCACCGTCGTCGAAACACAGGGTCTGATAGTCCCAGATCGGCGCCAAAGCCGCGATAGAACGCATAGTTGGAGTGCGCCACATCATCGTGCCGCCAGCCCAGCTGCCACGTATCCGTGGTGAGGATCAGCGCATCGAACCCAGACTCCCACGCCCGCGTCAGCAGCGAGGTCGTCAACTCGTCGTCGTGCGGCATGTACAGCTGGAAGAAGCGCGGGCTGCCGGGTCCATTCGCCGCGCCTACTTTCTCGATTGCGGTGCTCCCCGCTGTCGAGAGGCAGTATGGCAGCTGCAGCTCACCGGCGACTTTGGCGACGGCTGCTTCGCCGGATGCGTGGTAGATCTTGTTTATGCCGATAGGAGCGAACCCGATGGGCGCTGCGACCCGGTGGCCGAAGATTGTTGTTGAGGTGTCGCGCGAGTTGGTGTCGATCAGCTGGCGTGGGATGATGCGGTGCCGGAAGAATGCTTGTCGGTTGGCGAGGTGGGTTGTTGACATGCCTGCGTTGGAGGATGCATAGTACCTGGCCAGAGATGGTTAGTATCAGCGTGAGGCATTTTTGGTTGTAAGTTGCAAGTGGAAGTCATACCAACCGCCTTCGCTCAGTCGTTCTTTGGCTCTTTCTTCCAGTTTGCGAGGATCTATTCCACAATCATATTGCTCAGTATACACATCTCGCCCTACTGCATGTCAACAACAGCTGACATACCAGTGTTAAAGGGCGGTGTCTGGCCCTCGTTCGGTTTCCAAAAGTTTTCCCGCTGGTATAGACCCCATTGCGGTGTCGTTCGGTTCTGGATGTGCGGGTTGGTCGGGTCACTCATGTCGCAATGGCGGTATATTCAGGTGTGATTGATATAGCGCCAGTTTTAGATTTAACAGTCTTCTTTAAATAGTAAGATGCCCGGCTTGGACACTGTTCGGATGCACGCATATATAGATCAGCCCACCTTATCGAGATCTTATCGATGACTTCATTTTGACGCAGCTTCTCGATCGAGAAGCTGCATGCGGCATTGCTATTGTGTGTCTTGTCAATTGAAGGCCAAGCTTTGATTGCGCAGGGATGTGCCACGGGTCTGCCATCTGTTCTAATGTCGTCCTACGCATGGTTCACATATCCAAATGCAATGAATAGACCTGTTTCCTCTTACGTATATTGCGGCATCAACACTCGAAAACGCAACAAATACCCCGAATAAATAGCTAATAAACACATTAAATCCCTCGTGCCTCCAAAATATGCCTTCATTACCTAAATCTCCAACAAAATCCAAGACTTTCGGCACTTGTTTTCGCGGAATCCCGAGTTCCCCCGGATTGCCGGGCGCTAACCGAATCAGGACAGTCATTCTCGGGACCGGGCAACGTTCTACAAAGACCTTTCTTATCATTCTCTTTACCTACTGCTTTTGCATACATACATCCCCGCGAGAAAACTATAGAATGTTAGGCCTCGCAGGAAGAAGGTCCGCGCTCGCCCGGTCCAAGTGCGGCCTACCGCCTACGCTGTCGGCACGAGCTGTCGTCGGCACACAGTCACCCGCGACCAACGCGCGGGATTTCTACTCCACGCCGACTAATGCGGCGTTTCGGCCGACGTGGATGCCTATGCGTGTCAAGACGCCGTGGATCGATGCGTTGACGCATAGTCGGGATGCCGAGCGCGCTGGTGCCAAGGATGCTGGGCAGGCTGCTGCGCCAAACGTGAAGCCGGATCTGAGCCCGAAGAAAATGTCGGATAGTTACTACAGTGCTGTATGTATATTTTCTTTTTCTTCTTTGTTTCTCAACTCGGCGCTGACTCTTCATAGATCTTGCCGTTGGCTCAAGATAAATGGCTTCTGGATTCCTATCTCAACGCCTCGGGAAATATCAGGTATGTCCCGTGCAGTTTGAGTCATAGTGATATCCTAGCTAATTTCGTCGCACAGATTGGGCTCGCTCCTAATGGACCTGGATGCCCTAGCTGGAGTCATTGCATACCGCCACACCGGCGACTCGGTCACCACCGTCACGGCCGCCGTGGACCGCATCACCATTGAGCATCCGCTCATGGAGATCTGCGATCTTGAGCTCAGTGGGCAGGTTACGTATGCCACAGGGCGATCCAGTATGGAGGTCTCGCTGCAAGTGGCCAAGGTGCGCTCAGAGGGCCAGGCGGCGACGCCGGAGGATGTATTGATTACCTGTGCGTTCACGATGGTGTCGCTGGATCCCGCTACGAAGAAGTTAGTTGCACCGACCTGTGATTATCAGCTTCTATTCTTGCTAATATACACTTCGCAGACCCGCGTCTGTGGCCCCTCTACTCGTGGAGACCGAGGAAGAGAGGCGTCTTTTCACGAAAGGCGAGGAGAACTACAAAGCAAAGAAGGCGCTGCGCACCCGCAGTCTACTTGAGAAAGCTCCAGACGACGAAGAGAGCAACTTGATTCATTCGATGTGGACCAAGGAGATGTCCTATTTGAGTCAGTATCCTAACATCCTACCTACCTACTACATTCTACTACGTTATCAATCCATCACGCCGCCATCTAACAACCCACCAACAGACCCCCAGGCCCCAGCAACCCGCCCAGAAAACCAAGTCTTCATGAGCGACACAGTCCTCAAATCCGCCATGATCATGCAGCCGCAAGACCGCAACCGACACAACTTCATGATTTTCGGCGGTTTTCTCCTAAAACAATCCTTCGAACTAGCCTTCTGCTGCGCAGCATCCTTCGCACACGCCCGGCCGAACTTCCTGGCGCTGGACCCCAGTACCTTCGAGAACCCCGTCCCCGTTGGCAGCGTGCTCTATCTGCGCGCGACGGTCGCGTACACCGAGCCTGAGGAGCGCGACGGCAGCAACCGGTATACTAAGGTGCAGGTCCGCGTCGACTCCAAGGTCCGTGATGTCGAGCACGGCACGAAGAAGTCAACGGGTATGTTCAATTATACGTTCTTGGTTGAGAAAGATGTGCATGTCATGCCGAAGAGCTATGGCGAGTTTATGCTCTGGACTGATGCACGGCGCCGCGCGCGCAATGCTGCGGCTATCGATCCCGCGCATAAGATGAGTGCGTTGCGGAGTATCCAGGATAGTGTTACAGAGTAGATGGTGTGTTTTATAGACTTTTGGGTGTTTGTTCAGAATAGTATTAGTTATGGAGCTACAACCGCATTTATCCTGTATATGTTAGGAAATCCATGTGCATTGGACAGATAGAATAAGGGTAGTTCAAAGGTTGGTTACGTTGCACTCGACCTTTAATCAAGAAGCCGGTTTTCTCATTCGAGATTGTATGAAGCTATCCCGTTCGGGTACTTGCTTGTACTTGGGTTCTTCAATAACTTCAGCTCAAGGGCAAAGCAATCATTCGGACAGGCCCAACTTGCAACTGAGAGAATGACAGAAGCTTCACTGTCTACCACGGAACTGGAAACTCTTGACCTTGATATGTGCTGTAATTGTCCAATATCAAAGTCTACCCGTTTAGTCCAGATTCATATTCAGTTCATTCAACTCTCTATAGTCCTGTAAGCCCCATTGCCTCTTCAAAAGGAAAACACAAGCAGTCTCTCCGGGATACAGCAGCAAGAATATATCTCAATATCTCGAAACCTTCCATGGACATTACCTGTATATTCAAAACATCTGTACCAGCGGCCAATGAGCAATCACACCCACCCCTCTCCTCTCCCCTCAACCCGAACCCAGCCGGGAACGGAACAACACCCTGCATGCTTGGAAGCCTAATCTGCCGCAATTCGCTAGAAGACAGCGGTATCACAGGGGGTAGAACCCCAGTCAAGCGGCCACGACATTGCCGATCAAGCTATAGAACCCTGCAGGCTCGGACATGTCCGCTTTCTGGCGATATTCAAGAACACAAGAGACATATAAATAAGTATAATACGGGTAAGAAATAAATCAATCTGAAACGCACACGTTCCCAATTCTGTAACTCCAAGACATGCCCTGCACGCCACCACCTGAAGGTCAAATGCCAAATACATTTTATCTTCTATATATATATATATACTTTTCTGTTTCGAATTTGACGCCCCAGCATCGATCAGCCGCCCGATAACTTTTGCCCGCCACACGTGGGGGACTTGTCGGTAAATGATAGTGAGGAGAGTAAGCACTAAGCATAAGCCGGGGCCGAGGGTGAACGAAACTCGAGGGGAGGAAGGGGCGGGATGGGACCTATAGTAAGGGCCTGTTATAGGTCGCCCCCCTCTCCGGGATCAGCTCAGCCCTCAGCTCAGCCCTAGTGGGCTGCCTTATGCCGCACATACCCGTCATTCTGTGGCTTGACTTGGTATACAGGACTAATAAGAGTTGGGCTAGAATTGAGTGAGCATAGTTCTGGAAGTATTGGCATTAGAATATGCAGTTCTTATTGTCTGGCTTGGGCATATAAGAATATAGAATATCGCCGGGTTGATTCAATGTATATAGTGTGGAGACTGGCTGCATTGTATATCGAAAACCGACAGTCTTTCTCAATTAGGGATACACTTAACTTGGGGCTAGTTTCGGTTTTCTCAATCACTTACTTTATATGCATAGAACAGGCATCACCCGCCAATAGTGGTAGTTGATTCCCCTATACTAAAATGTTAACAACCCCCACCCCCAAAACGACCAAAATAGACCATAGCAAGCCGGTCCATTTTCGTTGATTCATGCCCAAAGAAAAAGAGCTGCCTAGCACTCCTGTCATAACTGCATGTTGCATTTGGTGCTGGGATCGATATACTGGTGCCTTCGATCAGAAACTCTCAAATTTGAGTCCATACATACCTCGTGTATATAGAGTGCCGCCTATCTCCCACACTAGATGGAAGTGGCAGGCATAAACAAATCCTAAAATTAACGCGGGTGATCCGGCCTTGCATCATTCTGGAAGCTCGACCCTCCTAAGAAGACGGGCCCTACACCTCTAGCGCCCCAGTAGTGTTGTGTGTATCTATAGATCTCCCGTGGTAGCAGGTATGTAGTGCGGCCCCGGGCAACTAGGAACTAAGGGGGGGGGGGGAGGGTAGGGGGACAATAATGTACAGGATATGGATCGAGTATACACAGATATCCATTCTTGAACCATTTGCTTAGCTCTGGAAAGAGAGGAGGGAGGGGCGGTTTATTGCTTATTCTTAGAGCGGAAATGAGTCGTGTTGGATTCCTTTGGGGTCTATTCAACATCAACTATACATTATTGCTATATATGTCATATTCATATACTGCATCATTCCATCCAAATATATCCTATGTCCATCCCCAGATATATCTAGCTACATACCTTCTATGCAATGTTGGCAGCTAGGCTGCATAACCAACCCCCAGCTCCGGCACCATTGCTCGGCCTGTTGGATGAGTTCCCACAATCCAGCTCCGAAGCTTTGCATATTTATTAATTGGTGGGGAAGGGGGCTGTGTAGGCCATGGGGCGAGAATCCATCCCCCCTCCCTCTCTCTCCCCTCTTTCACTAGCTATGGCGGTTAGTGTATCTAGGCGCTGAAGTTTATAACTGAATGTTGGTGGCTAGAGAAGATACATAAATACACATATACATACAATAATATGTCACAGTAATGATTTTGTTTTGTATAAATTACATAGATATGTGATGTTAGATCTACTGTCGAAGGGATATTCGATGTCTGACTATGAGGTCATCAACCAAGCTTTGTTTATTACTGTGGAGTATATCAACCTCCCCTCTACTAAAATATGACTATAGCCAATACTCGTATATTCAAGCTATGGTCCATAGCCGGCTCGTATTATAGTCCCGCGTGATATCCAAAAGAAAACCAGCGAAGATCGCCAGTTCTATAAGGCCCCCGAACCCGCAACCGAAAGTCAAAAAATTAGGCTGTCACTGATTCTCGACTCATGCAAGGCGATCACAATCAACGCCGTCTTCGGTTGTAAGGAGATTCCAGACAGGATGAATATAATAATACCCACTGGGAAAAACGTGAAATAAAGGCTGAGAAAGAAAAAGAGAGAGAGAGAGAGCTTGCTGTCCCCCTGCAAGGCAGTTTGCACTGCCCCACCCCCACCAGAGCCGGGCAATCGCCAATCATGGTGCCCCGTCGGGGAGCGAGTCAGGTATGCAAGTATAGCATGGTTCCAAGGCTGAGAGGGTTGCCATACAGATTAGAATCTGTTTCTCCCTCCCTCTCTCTCTCTCTCTCTCTTTTCTTTTACTGTGTCTCACTAGCCCAAGCATATATATATATATATACACACACACACGTATATGCACAACTAAAACAATACAGCAATATAACAAGGCGAATCCAATTCACGGAAAAATACCAGAACCAGGCAATTACCCGTAATACCTATACCGCCAACTCGTCAAGCACCAAGCCAATCGGGAGAAACAACATCAGACCCGCTTTTGCACAGCCTCCCTGTAGTGTGTTCCCCCCCAACCCTGGAAAATGCGTCCCCCATCAGGTTATCCATTGAGTGAGATCCACTTTTCTCTTTCTTACTCTCTTTCTATCTCTCTCGTTTTTACGCGCTCTTACTCTCATACCTTCTTTTTCTGGTTAAAAGATAAATTCACTTTTTGATAAAGTTAGTAGGGAAAGTTAATAGCGCGCATGTGGGGCATGCCTTAAATCCAGCCTCGTGGGGAAATAAGAATTGGGAAAACGTGAAAAAGGTTGGGGGGAAGTAGCCGGGATTGGTGAGATCGAATTGTGTGGGTGGAGTCATGTCCGCGCTCGACCAACAGAAGGCGGCTGGTGACATTCCTAGGTTCTTGTTAGCATTATTGGAAAGAGTGGCGCGCGACTAAGCACTGTACATACATAGATAGATGTACCTATCTAAGTAAGTTGGGAGTAGTGCGGTGCAGCCCTAAACCAGTGCCGGATTCTTCGGCCTGTTTCAGACCATACTGATACTTGTATTATTTTATTTATTATTTTAGGTTTTGTTTTTGTCTTGTCTAGGCTACCAGCTTGCCAATGGATGGGATTTCAATTGTGTTTCTTGATATCGGCTACTGTTGTCACAGGGAATATGTGTAAATACTGGTTCCGAAGTAGATCTCAATAGGAAAGCAGATCAGCAAGCGGCTGGACTGGTCTCACTGTGCTGCCTAAGATCCTCCATCCCTTTTGTGTTGCCAGTGTGACGGCAAAGAGGAGAGCCTCGTGTGGACAACGCTAACGACAGAAGTAGCGGAGGGGTCATGCTGGTGCCTGGCCTTGAAACGATAAATTATGGGGTTTGCCATAATTTCGCGCCAACCAAGGATGCCACTGTAGGCAACACAGGATCCGGCAGTCGTGTCGACCCAGAGAACAGAGGACTGAGTATGAATGGACCGCTTTCTATCCACGCAATGCACGCGTCACTTGTCAGGAACAACGACATCCATAATGGCATCGAACCCTGTGCCGTGATAGGGTCATCTAGATCCATTCGATCAAGCCCTGATAGCCTAGAGAACAAGAGAAAGCCGTAGCAGACATCCTGTCAGATTCTTTGCAAGTACCATAACTCGTCACTCTATAGATGCAGGGGCGCAATTTCATGATTCATCAAAGCGTCATTTCAGAGGTTGCCGCGGCCAGCGCCAGACTCATTGGCGTCCCGCATCCCAGGGGGAAGACGGATGCCTAGAGCGGGGGGAAGATTGCCAGGCCCTCGTGCGAGATTAACTCGGTTGGTAACGTCGACTCGAGCTTTGGCAAGGCCGATAGCAGGCACCACCCAGCTGCCGCAGCTGCATTGCATGCCCTGCCAGGCGAATTTCCCAATGTTGGCGCCGCACGTCGTGTTAGGGCAGGTCAGACGCCCGGATAGTGGGGCATCATCGGGATGCCCACTATGTGATGAATCCGCTTCCATTTTTGATCCTTCTTCTGACGGGAAGAGACTCGGACGCATCCATGTCAGCGGGTGTAGAAAAATATGGGCGCATTCAAGGTTGGCCTTGACCTTGGCACTAGGTTGCTTTTTCTCATGGTAGATGATGAATTTAGTAGATGCGAGCTTGCGTCTGTTTGTGATTGCTTAGTTTGATTTCACTGCCACAGTGCCAAGGGCAGGATTGATTTGTTGTTTTTTTTTGTGGGGAGGGGATTTGCAACTAACCGGCATTTGCGACATTTCACCTCGACCGTTCGACCACTGTCCTCTTGGGGCCGCAGGGGCTGCTCATCTTCAAACCGCACTGACTTCATTTCAGGAGCACGGCCGCACGCTACACTTTCCTCGACCTCGCGGCGATACAGCCAGCGCTGGTAAAGCGGGTGTTCAGTGACATCATCAGGACAGCCCATCTCGTGGTAAACCGATAACTGTTCTATGAACCCATCATTAGGCTCACACATGGGTCGGCATTCCTTGAGAGAAGCCAGCGCGGATTGCGGTGTGAGTGCCTTGGGCTGCTGGTGGAGCAAGTAGGCGATGCAGATAGTTGCGGAGCGGGACTTGCCCATCGCACTGGGTCGGGTCAGCCTCCGTGCGTCTTACCCCCTTCCAAAAGAAAGACAATCGAGACACGGCTCGTAATAATCAAATCAACAAAGTACAATCAAACTCCAGCCATGTGCAGATCGCAATTGATAGACACGCCGTGACGTAGGAGGCAGGGTGCCACAAAACGCCCTGTCCATTCGAATAGAGACACAGAAGGGGGTGAAGTGGGGAGCCGGGAAGAAGTCCCTCGGAAAAATCCAGAACAACAACAGGTAAAGAAGGGAGGCAAAAAAAGCAAAGAAAGTAAGAGTGGACTAACCAGTGGACTAGGGCGCCTCCACCGGCATCTAAGCCAGACTGAATAAAGTTGATGGCGGCTGGGAAATGCTCCAGAAGGTTCTCGTCGTCGACATCATCGACTTCTATGCAATGGTGCTGATAGGGTCCAAATGTCTCCTCGGTTTGATTGAGTCGTAGCACCGACAGAACATGCGTGATGTTTGCGCGTGCCAAGGCGGCCTTGTTTTTGAGGCAGAATATACTACAGGTCGGGGGGAGGTGGTTAGCAGTGATAGACATCAAGGCGGTAGGCTGAAGCAGCCTCGTAATTCGACATCCAACAGCAAGGGGTGTGTATGTGTCAGTGGGCGACCAACCCTCCGATATAGATGTTATGGCCTTCGATGCGATTCATGGCCATGATTCACAGGTGTTCCTGATCATGAAAGATGGGGGTTGTTGAATAAAGAAGAGAACAAGTCGTTCCAGGATAAAGAAATTGAGCTGAGCCAGAAAATGATCCGTTTACTGGTTCCCCAGGCTTCCCGATGTCTGCTTCGATAGGGCGGAGGTCGAGCCGCCGAAAAGAGTCTGCTAGGGCAAGGGCAAGAGAAAAGCAGGTGACTTCAGTGATGCCTGAGGCATGACTATCCCCAGCTCTCTCTCTGTGGAGGTCACTCGCTCTTTGCCAGTTAAGACTGCACCACGATTGTACATTGTCTCACTAAGCGCTGTATAATGCACTGCTGTGGGCTGATCCAGGACCCCGGAGCTACCCTCCGCATTTTGGGTTGTACAAGACCTCTACTAACTTGCCGAAGTATGCAGTGGAGCCCGAGGAGAAATCCAATCCATTCCAGCTCTGACCTTTGGGGTAATACGACGCGATGTCTTCTCGAGACTGCCGACAGTCCCACCACCGTGTCCTCCGATAGAATAATAACCAGGGATTGTTGACAGAGCTGATGGTCTATAGGGACAATGGCAAGAAGTCTAGCCGAGCGGTCCACGCCGCGAGTGGAGCCATTCGGTTCCCGACAAGCTCCAAGCACCGAGGCATTTGCCATGCGCACTGCAAGGGGCGAGTCTGGGATTGCCGCGGGAAACTTGGCTGTAGGAACAGATTGAATAGTAATAAACCTGTTATATTATATTATATTATCTCACATTATTAATGCTATCAATTGATCTTCATCTTACATGATTGCTTATGCTGAGATCATAGTTATACAAGCTGACTCTCGTCACACCCGACTCTTCCAGGGCTGCAGCCTTCTAAGGCTTAAGGCCGACACTGTCTCGCAGAGGTATGCGCGTAGCCGTGGTCGTGGACTATGGATGTCAAATCTTGCGCTCCCTTCTTTTTTTTTTTTGCCATGCGCGACAATCCCTACCGAAATGGAAGTGCAGAACCACGCACATCGATGGAGTAGTATGTTGCTTAGCCATCACCGAAACGTGTCGAATGCCCAGAGATCGAAGGCAAAAGGAAAAAAGGAAAAAAATTAAAAATTAAACGGGACTTGTGGATAGCGACGATCGCTCAGGAATGGCAAACTTTATTGCGACTAGTCTGTGTATGGACCTGGTGGCATTTGTATGGACTCTGACCGAGCACTGAGGTAAAAACAGAGAAAGTAAAGTAAATAAAGGAATAACCATGCCACATGCCAAGACACCTCCTGAGCTGGAAACCTTGAACGTGGTTACAGTACATGCCCGAAGACTAGCGGGGACTGTCGTGTACTATAACCATACTATGTCGAACTAGATTGCCTCACTTTTGAGAGTTCCATCAGAAAAGAGAAAACAGAAAATAGGCACTAACTTAAGTCATTCTGTGAAAGTCTCAGATCTAACCTGCAATGTAGTATAGTCGATGGCGATGGCGATGTGTTGGCGTGATAGGGCTTACTTCGCCTGGAGGACTAACCTAACCTACTGTAGGTGTGAGGAGAGTCCCGAAAGAGACTAAGCCCTGTCTGTCAGGGTGAGATGGCCCCTAATTTCGTGCCCAGGCACCTTACCCGAATATAGTATAGATACAATGGATGGGATTGGCATGGGAAATCCCTTGATAGTAACCAGCTCGCGTTTCAGCTGCAAAGTGACCAAGAATCCGGTGAAGCGCATCAGAAAAAGAAAAGAAAACCCTTGAAGCTGGTGTGGAGAATTGGGATTATTTTCCCTTTTTTTTCCCTCCTGGCAAAAGTACGCATTGATTCTCTGTTTATACCAACGATATACCAGAAATATAGAGTCCATACCTTACGCCCAGGTGGAACTTGGGCAATCCCATGTCTCATCGCGAACACCCCCCTGTTCGCTCACTGACAGCGGCCATTGTGGCAGTGCATGCAGCCTGGCCCCAAGTGGAGTCCACTAGCAAATCAGTGGGGCCTCTCTGTCAACGACTCAGCATTACATGTACTCATGTGGAGATCAAGAATGTTCTTTCTCAGCCTATACTCAACTTCTCTAAGAATGTCGGAAATCTGAGTCTTCTATGGAGAGAGAAGGGTTATTACAGCGCATAGGAAGAAAAAGGTACAAGAGAAATATCAATTAATCCAATTTCATTTACAACCGTCCGTATCTTTCCTGTGACACTATACCCAATCTTGGATCTGGGAGATATTAAGCCTACTGCCAAGGCTTCCAAGACTCTGGTGCATATTTGTCCATTGCCACGATGCAAATCTATGTATGCTCTGTATGCCTTGTAATGGGATGGTCGTCCCCCTCTTCTGCCTTGCTCACCCGTGGTTCGATAGAACGTGTCTCTACCTAAACCCGGTGCCTGTCGCGTTTTATACCCAAGAATGGTCCTGCATGCGACATCCTGCCTAAAAAGATCCCCATATATACCGGCTTTGATTTCTGGAGATCTGACCTATGGTGAGTCGTCCAGTATACGAGGGACGAGGGTATAGAACAAAGGCCCCCCACTTTACCTGGAGAGCACGGGATATTTGATATTAATATTAATATTAATATTAATATTTCTTTTGGTGGTCTGCTTATGACGGGGTCATTATTGATGCCCCGTGTTTCGCCCTGTCCAATTTTCTCGAAGCTTCCCGGTTCCTCGGTTCTGTACCCGACAAAACCATGGCACTTCAGAGTCTGGACACCTACCAGTATTTCTACCAGAGGCAAATTACCGGATTCACCGGTGTGCCTTCTAGGGCTGAAGGGGGGTACTGTAACTGCCAGAGAGCTTAGATTCCAGCCTTGTGTCCCTAACATGCTGAGATCCCATTTCAAATGGCCCACTGGTTCGCACCGTTGGTATGGGTATTGTCATTTATCCAGGCCATACATACATATACACACAATACAGACATATACACCTGGGTACGTCAAGATCTGGTTTAACTCGGACCCATTGTGGATTTCTTTTCTTTTCTTTTCTTTTTTCTTTTGTCTGTTTTTGGGGAAATTCAGCATGTCATCATTCACATTCCTCCTTTTACCCTTTTTTTTTTCTTTTCTTTTTCACTTTTCCAATTTACTCGGATCGACGGGCGAGGATGAGATCACCCCAATTGCCCCTCTGATACTTCCCAAGGTCGAGAGACTCTTGGATCCAATTAAACTGCTCCGCCCCGGTTTCCGAACCTCTGCGTTTCATTTCTTCATCTTTTTTTAATCTTTTTCTCTGATTTGTTCTGGACTTGGTGCCTTTTCAGCTTTCTTTTTTTCGCCAATTTGCCGCTTTCTCTGGGGGACTGAATAGAATCCACCCTCTTATACTTGGCACACTTGTTGCCATCGAATCGCATAGGCTTTCCTGTCTTTCTCTCTCTCCTCTCCCTCACTCTCTCTTTTTCTTTCTACCATGTGCCGTCCCTGTCTCATTGCCAGCCATTGAATCGCCACAGTGGATTCTATGGGACACAGACGGCTTCTTCCCAAGGCTGTGTGTCACGATTGCGCGAAACGTTTCATCCCATGACCGTTCGCCAAAGGGTCCTGAGCAAGGTTGGTCTCTTTTTCTTATTATTCAATCATATACTCCCTCAGCCCTATTTCACGCAACTCATGTCACCAAGTCGCCTCAAACCCTGCGGTCCCACCGGATGGCCTGACACTTATTTGGAGTAGACTTTCTCCAGCCGCATGAACATCGCCTGCGACACTTGACACACGTCACCTCTTTGATTTTTTTCTTCCATTTCGCCTCTTTCGATTTTGGTTCGGTATTAGAAGCTGGTTCTTCTTTATTTCAAGTCCGAGACGGGGTGAGAGATATCGGCCCGCTTAAGAATCGCCGCGCCGGTTTCACGACCGTTTGCACTCAACTGGATTGGGTTATTGCTGCGACTGTTATCGTGATTCGACCCTTATCGCGACTTTTTTTTTATATCTTTTGGATGGTTGATATTACCTTTCGCCCGGTTTCATGTTGGACGCGCCGGCTATCGATTCGATTATAGCATGGACCCTCGACTTTCCACGCCGAGTTTCCATGATATCAGACAGAACGACCGCCACTTCGTTCCTGCCCACACTATGCCCGAGCTGTCCTTTGCTTCCCACGGCCCGTTACCAATCCCATCCCGCTCCACCATGACCAATGCTCCTCCCCCACTGCCCCCGCCGCCGAGAATCCACGATCTAGAGAATGGCTACGACGCTGGCTGGCACCACGCGAACTCGGGCGACTCGGCCACTATTCTCCCTCCGATAAACCCCAATTCGAGCTTGTTTGGCAGCCGCCGTTCGGAGGCTGTCCCGCAGAGTGATCCCATGGCGTTGGATGATTTGGAAGGACGGCAGAGTGGAGTGCCGGGATCGCGCAGTCCGGAGACTCAGATTAAAATCGAGCCGCCGCCCCTAGCCGACGAGGGATTCCCGAATTCCATGTCTGTCAACCCGGCAGGTCCAATGTGAGTTTCGAAATGAGGATCCAAACTGTTCCTGGCAGCTACCTCTGTTTTGTGCGATTGTACTGACTCTATAACTCCCAGGTTGACGAGTGACCGCAATTTCTCGCTACAAAGCGTCAAAGAGTCTTCGAATGCATACGACCAACATCTGCTGTCGAAGATCGGGAAACCGCTGTCCCCGCGGGGATCTGTTAGTATGGGGACCGACAACCGAGGTTCGATTTCCGCCCTCACGGTGCCATCCCGGGGTAGCAGCAATCTCCCCTCGCCGGGGCCATCTGAAGGCTCAACGCTCGATGTGAAATGGTACAGCAGTCCGCAGTCAGGCGGAGTGTCTCCGAGAAGCAAAATCGGCTGGAGAGACTCTGCAGATGGGCGGAGTCCGAGTGTGGAGAGCATTGCGCCCTCGGCGGCATTGGACTTTGATCACCCAGGTTATGTGCGGGATATGGGCCGGCGTCGATATCGCAGAACGACTCCCCAGCGAGAGGACAGCATCAGCCTGCCGAGCCGATCCAATCGGGGCAGCTACGACCAGGGCGTCTTTTCAGATATTGAGGGCGAGTTCTCTACCGATGAGCCCGCTCCGCCGCGACAGTTCATTCTTCGAGAACCCACTCCACCATACCTGGATTCCTCTAAACAGGGCATGAAGCGACGAGCATCGTCTCCCCCGCGGGAGCCGATGGGCGACGATCGACATACGCTGCATGTGGCCACGAGCAATGGGGACCTGTCGCAGAGACGGACAAGCGGGCAGCCATTCAGCAATTCTCTGTCGGTCGCTAACACCTATGCGCCGAGCCAGCGAACACTGTCTGCTACCTCGTCTTTGAGCATCCGAACATCCGGCTCATACTCATCTACGCTTTCCATTGGAGGCAGTAGCATGACTAGCCTCTCGCCATATGATCGACCTTCTCCTGGGGGCCTTTCGCCCAGCTCCGATCTCGATACCTTCCACGAAAAATCTATCCTCAACCCCAGCTCACCCGCCGCTCTCGTCCAGCCAATCACTGTCAGAAACCCCCAAGGCTCCAACTCTCTAGAACCGCCCACGACGGATGCCACAGGCAAGGTATCCATGCCGGCAGCCCTGGACGTTCCCAAACCCGCACCGAAGATAGGCGGGCTCTTCATCTGCGACTGCTGCCCCAAGAAACCCAAGAAATTCGACAATCCCGATGACCTCCGGTAAGTTATAGCCATGATTACAATTCATGATAAGCTCCCCCCGCAAGTATCCGTTTACTAACATCTCATCCAGTTCACACGAAATGGAGAAGCAATATTCATGTCAATACTGCAACAACCGCTTTAAGAACAAAAACGAAGCCGAGCGCCATCAAAACTCCCTCCACCTCCGCCGCCACTCCTGGTCCTGCGCGGCGCTGCCCGGATTCCAGGCGGCATTCCACGCCTCGGGGGCCGCAAACTGCCAAACGAACGCAGGGCCCTCGCACGACACGTGCGGGTACTGTGGCGAGGAATTCGCCAATTTCCCGCAGCCCGACTGGGATCGTCGCTTCGAGCATCTTACCACCGTGCACAAGTTCGGCGAGTGCAACAACGCCAAGAAGTTCTTCCGCGCCGATCATTTCCGGCAGCATCTTAAGCACAGCCATGCGGGAACTAGTGGCAAGTGGACGAATATCTTGGAGAATGCTTGTATGAAGGAAGAACAGCCTCCCGAGCCTCGCGATAAGTCTGCGTCTGCGTCCATGGTGGCGTCGAATTCTATTGGCCAGGTTCTTGATGAACAATGACAATTACTTGACCGTGCCGTGATGCTTTGCATACCGGCTTTAATTTGTTGGTTGTCTGGCACGCGCTGCACGAGACCCAATATGCCTTCGAATATAAGGAGGTGTAACTGGGTTTACGAACTGACATGATCTTTTCCTGGGTTTTCTCTTTCTTACTCTCTTTCTGGATGACACAGGGAGTTTCCTGGATTTTGACAAGGGTTTTATACCAAGGGGGTCCATCCGTGAAAGCGCGCTCGGGTGTATTCATTCCCCGGTTGCATTACCTGGGTGGAATTGTCATCATTCTACATCGGCGGAGTCGGTTGTTTTCTGGGTTAAGCTCGGTGGTTGAAATTCGACGATTTCTGGTTGTGTCTGTCTTTTGTCTTCTTTTTGTTTATCCCTATACATATATCCCCCCGTCCTGATACATCCCACGCCGGAGAAAACCTGTTTGTATATAGATTCTTTGCGTATAGCAGCCCCGACAAAAAGAACTTGTCTTAGAAAAAAAAAAGTACGGATAAGACCCAAAGCTTTTCTGTTGTATGCCAATCAAATGACCATTGACTTTGTCATAGTCATAGAACTTGCCGGAAAAAAAGAAATAAAAAGCTGGTCATAAACGACACAATGCCCACTGCCATTCTCGCACACCTGGCCCAGGAGGAGCATAGCATGTCCTTGGCGATGTCTTCTTTTAGAGTGACTGGCGAATTCAGTCGACCGGCTTGAGCCTGAAGTATACAATCGGCAATGGCCTCCACTACAAAAAAGAGCCTGTCTAATCATTATTCTGTATCCTCGAGTAATCGCCCAACCTTCGTAGGAGGGAGCAACGGAAGCGCCACTCGATCCGGTATTGTATCTGGACACCAGTAGGCAATCCCATGTCGAAGCCAGGCAGCATATGTGCCGGGCACAACATCAGAACCGGGGTTATCCCGCCACAGCGAGCCGAGAGTGACCCGGTTGACGCGCAGGATAAGACCATGCGCCAGCTTGAACCCAAAGCTGCGTGATAAACAAGCCTCGACAATCTCGCGGGCCTGTCGTTGTTGCTGTGATTCGTCTTCCTTCTCCCCATCTTCCGGTAAAGATAGCGACAGCAGATCAAAAGCCTTCTGTCCATTCCAGGCCGTCAACTCATTGACGAGCTGCGACCCCTCCATAAACTCAATTGCATAGAAATGCTCCATGCAATACGCCGGCCCATCCCAATTACTCTCCGCATCAACCAGCCCCATCACCGCCGTAGCCACCTGTCCTTGGATGATATAGTCCGTCAGCATCCGGCTCACCTCGTCCGGCCCGATAAACGTCCCATCGTCCTCCGTGATCGTGAACTCGCCTCCCATCAGGGGTACCCCACGCAGCAGCGGGTTGGCATGCATCCCCTCGGTGGTGGTCCTGTTGCCGTCAACACTCCACAGAGCAAGCAGCAGACGATGGCAGCGCGCAAAGAGTGCATTGTCGGGCAGCGCTGCCAGGAAATAGTTGCACAGGCTATAATGGGCCGCGCCACTAGGCGCGTAGGAGAGGATCTCGTAAGGCGAGTCCGGGTTGGCGATTGTCGCGTGCCAGAGTCCGTCGAGATCGCCTATCTGCATCATTCCCACGTCTGCGTACACGCCGCCGTACCGGAGGAGCAGCGGCCAGCGCACAAGGTCTGAGGTGTGCTGGCGTGCGTAGGGGCCCGTTAGGGTCCCCTTGGTGAAGGCCTCTGGGAAGAGGGTAGAGTCGGTGACATCGACGAAATTCGCGATATTGCCTTTTGACCCTGGTTGTCGGTCTGTGATCCGTACTATCCAGCCTTGTTTGGTGAAGCGGCGGTGCCATGCTCGCACTGTGCGCTGTGTGTATGGGTGCATGCTCGCGTAGCCGGAGTGCCAGAAAAACCAGATGTTCTTGACCCCTGTTACGGGCGGCGGATGGAGCAGGTCGACGTCGATGTCTGCGTCGGGGCGTAGGTCGAGCTGCTCAGAGGGAACGACGTGCATCCCGGATGGAAGAGGATATTCCATCTTGGTATTAGAGGCTGACATGGATGCAATTAAGGTCATGTTAGATGCTAGCATATTTGTACATGTTGTTGTCTTCGAACCGGCTGCTTTTTATAGATGTGAAAATCTCGGGGATTTCGGAGTCACCAATTGCAGTGTGTGTTGATCAAGCGTTAGCAATGATGACTCACGTCTTTTAGTCCACCTGGGCATAGGCTTGTGGTCGATCGGATCCACTTGCTAATGAAAAGACTAGTATGAACAGGGTCTCTTGTATTATATCTACAGCACATGCATGATTCTTAGTGCCCACTCTGATACTCGCTTGATTATCCTTTTGACTCCTTTATCCCCGGTCTCTCCCCTTACCGCGCTGATTCCCGTGTCCACCACGACGAGCGTTGTGACTAGAGCCGCTGGCATGGTTCCCACTCGAGGTGCGCTGGGTCTGTACCGGAGCATGGCCATTCGTGTCTTTTTTAGGTGTAGAATGACCAGGGGCTGGGCCAGATAGAGACTTGTGGGCCTTGGAAGTAAAGGAGTCATCAGCAGCTGTAGGAGCAGGTTTCTTGTTGCCCCGTCGCTTGCGTGAGCTGCCAGCGGCGCCAGGTGCCTTTCCACCTCGCCCGGATTTCCCTCCACGAGGCTGCTGATCCGAATCAGGCTCGATGAGCCCTTGCACACGCTTGCTTTCTTGATCCCACCACTGCTGGAACTCCTGCTCGGCCTGGATGTCTTGCAGATTGTGTTTAGCCGTGGCAGCTTCGCGGATTTCGTCTTTCTCGCTTTGCTGCTGGTGCAGGATGGTCGCGAGGGACAATGAGCTGTGGGATGGTGAGCGTGATCCTGGTGCGTTGGGGTCTGGGCGTGGGATGTGGCGAATTGACTGGATGGCTGGCTGTGGGGAAGTAGACGGTTGGGTGGGCTGCGGAGGTGTCGAGGGCCCAGAGGTAGGGGTCTTGGAAAGGGACGGAGACTGCTTGATATTGCCCGAGACGCTGCGCTTTTGTGTTTGCTGGGGGGTAGCTACTGGCTTCGACCGCGGCGGCGTCCCCGCCACGGTCTGGCGAAGAGTCATGGCGGGTTTCTGGACGGCCTTGGCTGGTTCCGAGGTAGGAGTGCTCGGCCCACTTTGACCCGGCAGAGGGTCAAGTTTGCCTGGCGTCGCGGATGAGGCTGGCGCGGGTATCTGCCAGGGATTTCGCGGTACTTCTTTCGCTTGTTGCTTTGCATCCAGCATCTCTTGCATCTGCTGCTGCTGCATCTTCTTCCGCTCTTTCTGGGACGGCTTGGATGCAAAGCTGCCGCTGCTTTCGCGACGATCAGCCATTCCCAAGGTGAGATTCGATACGCGGGACTGCGATGTTTCGCCCATGATGTCCTTGAGGTCCTTCTTAGAGTTCGAGATAGCAGGTGAGCTCCAGGGTGCCGGTGAAGGGCCTGGTGGGGATGCGAGCGCCCGCTTTTGGTTCAGGGTCATGGCTCGAGATTCCGACGGCGATTCCGCTAGCAATGTCTCCTGCGGCAAAGACATCTGCTCATCCAAAAAGCCTCCATCCCCAAGGGACTCGGCTTCTGGAATGCTTCCTGTCAGAGCAGGGGAGTCGGGGTAGGATCGATTCTCACGCATGCCTTCTCCTGGTCTCGGTGAGCGCATCGCACTCTTCCCTTTCATCGAATCAACGATTGACAACGCGGGCTCCTCATCCATTTGAAACATCAAGTCACTAGTGGACTTTCTTGGCCTCAAAACCGGGCTCAGAGCAGCGTTGGAGACATCTCGAGAGGCGATGCCCTTCCCCTTGCGGGCCGTCGGGGAAGCAATGGCCTTCTCACTCGGGGCGGCTCGTGGTCGCACATTGTAAGATTCAACCTGGTTGACTCGGGTTTGCAAGGTCATTGCATCAATCCTTCGTTGCCTATCCGTCTCAACAGAACTGACTATCTCTGGGTATTTCTCGAAGATATAATCTTCGGAATTTCGTCCTCTAGAAATAGGAAAGCATGAGAGCTGGTTCTCATGGCAGACCGCGTCGAGCTCACGGAGGATATCCTCGTCCAGATCTTCCAGGTATCTGTTAAATCCAGGTCAGTCTTGGGGTCAATGTAGTAAGATTGGACCTATTTACCTGTTGGCAAGCATAGCCTCGAGATTGAGACAGATATATTCCAGCGCGGCGTCTTTCAACTCGGCGACATAGCAAGGAGCGACCGAATTGAGAAGATGACAGACATTGCGCGAGTTGACTGTTTTGGTTAGACTTTTAGGCACAGAAGAAGGGAAAATGGCACTCACCAAATCGGCCGAGCATCTTTTGGCAAACTTGCGATAGTCGGTCGATCATCAACTCGTTTGCCACGAACATCACGTCCAGAAGCAAGTCCACAAAATCATCAAGATCCTTGGTTCGAACTTCGTCAAACAAATGCTCCTCCATATCTGCGTACAAGTAACGCAAGACAAAATCAAACGTCGATCGGTCAACGTGTTTGAGATCGACATGAACGCTCTCCCCTGGATTGATACGGCGCATGGCTAACCACTTTCCACCCGAGCGGCCATGGAACAGGGCATCGAAAAAAGGACACCTCTGGCAAATCACTTGGCTGTGGACTTTGATACTTTCCCCGTTGAGCTGGACAACCACGTCCGCATTGTCAAAGAAGGAAGGCTGATTGATCGCGCGTGCCAAGTCAGTCTTCAAACTCGGTTGCGGCTCAACCATCAATCTTGCGGCCCGCTCCAGGGTTGGAAGACCAAGCTGCGTGGCAACTCTCATAACTTCGGTGCGAACCTGGCGGAACCGGGTTGTATTTTGGGGCGAGCTCCGCACCTGATGCCACACATCGAGAATGCTATCAGTGTACAGGAAAAAGACCAAATTCAGAACGGTCACAAAATCCACTCCGTGAAGTCGGATTTGGGTGTGCCCGTCTTTTCCGTACTCAATGTCCAGGACATCTGGTATAGATGCGTAGCATGATTGCCGAAACTCTTGAAGCAGATCCTTGAGAACGGGGCTGCGGCCCATCAAGAGAAACTCATGGACAGGTATGCGAGCATCTGACAGGGAGCTCGTGGCCCAAACAGTTCCTCCAGACCGCAAAGAAAGAAATTGATCTTCGATATTTGCGGCAGAGAGTATAGCTCTTTTAATGGACAAGGTGGAAGAGAGCGCAATCGGGTCACTTGCGGTATTTCCATCAAGAATCGACTCGATGTCTTCTGGCCCAGGCGTTGTAAACGGCGAGAGCGGTAAGAGGTCATCCCAAAGGGTACTTTGTTCGACGTGAACCTGTTCTCTGGTCACATCACAGTCTCGCTGAGCGACAGCGTATGCCCCAAAGGCATTGCTTCGTACTGCCACAGCACTCGAAAGACCCGGTATACGAGCAAATTTGTATTCTTTCGAGGCACCTTCCTTATTCTTAACTCGCTTTTCTTTTCTCCAAGCCGATCCCGATGTCGTGCAGATGATAATGGAGCCGTCTTGCCCTACATCAACATCGCTGGCGGCCATGTGGGATTTCTTTACTGACCACGCCCGAACGGGGGCCGCCAAAGAATTGCGAATCTTGGCTGGATTAGTCGTGGATGCCAGGGCCGAAGAATTTTCTGGTTTGTTGGCTTGAACCGTGAAGACGTCACCTGAACTAGCCAATGCACAAATTGTACTGCCACCAGAAGCGAGCTTGACGACATGATTGACGGAAGCATCGTAGCGCGTGGTCATAAAACTGTCGCGGATGAAGCGCGAGCTCACCTCCAGGGGGAATGACACTTTCGAGTATCCATATTGGGAAAACACCCAGACCTCATTGTTTTGCAGCAAAATGGCCGTTGCACGGTCGATTGCAGATACCATCTGAATGGGGCAGTTGAAGAGGGAGGCACCGACGCGTCGAGGAGTGACCTGGACCTCAAGCGAACGAGCATCCGAGTCCATGAGACCAAGCTGGCCTTCATTTTTGCCAAAGGTGTAGAGACCCGAAGTATTAAATACTACCGAGTGAATCGCAGAAGCCGCAGCCCCCAAGAGTGTCTCCTTCTTGAAGGGATTGAATATCTGCCGCGGCGTCGTCTGAATTGGGACATCATTTCGGTTGCTGGTTCTCGGGAGGCTGTACCCAAGCTGCCCGAATTTGTTGCTCCCCCAGCTGAAGATTTCACCATACTCGGTGATAGCCAGACTGTGGTCTTGGCCCAGGGCAACCGACACAACTTTCTTGCCAGCCAGTCCACCCGTTTCAATGCAGACAAAGCTGAAGCGAGTCGATTCGTCACCTGTTCCCAGGCGCCCGCCAGGTCCAAACCCAGACATGAAGAGGTTGGCCTCGGGGTCCGTTGTGAGGATAGCGGTGTGCAATTTCGACATGACAATGTCCTGGAACTTCAGATGCCTGTTTTGGATAAGAGTTGGCAGGTCTTTGGAGTTAACATGACCGAGAGTGTCTTCCAGTCCAAGACGCTCCATGTGTTCCTGGTATTCGCGGTAAAATCGTTGTAGAAGGTGTTCCGGGCGCTTCAAGGCAACGCGTTCGGGATACTGCCGATCGTCCTGGTCTCCCAGGCCCAAGCTCAGATTTTTGTTGCTTCCCAAAGTGAATACTTCATCAGCTGAAAGATCCATGCGTGGTTTCAGGGCACTTCGGGAGACGTAGACTTCATCCTCATAACCGTCTCCGTAATTTGAAGCAGTATTGGAGGCAGTATCACTTCCAATATTGTCCGCAGTCAGAAAACCTGGCAATTTCGCTGTCACCTGCTTGATATCGCGAGATGTAATGGTGGCACCATAGACATCAAAGGGGCTGTAGCCCTCTCGATCCTTGATCTTGATCAAGTTCCCACTCGGATGATTCACGTTTCCCAATTTATTGAAGTCGGTCGCATCGTGCATGTCGCGCGCCAGCAATGCCTGCGCAATGGTGGCATTGCCAGCATAGAGGGCTCGATGCAAAGCCGTCCACCCACTTTCCCAATCCTGGGCGTAGATATCCAGGAATGGAATTTCGAGCAGCGCGAGTGCGAAATGAGTGGCCGTGGGTTTCGGAGACGAGGCAACATGGTGCAGCAGCGTCCTGCCGTAGTGATCCCGTGCGTTGACATCGGCGCGCGACAAGGTCGTGTTGCTTCGTGGAAAGCCTGGCCGCTCCGGCGCAGAGCTTCCTGGCGAGGGCGCACTCTTCTTAGATTTCGGCGGGTTCGGCGATGAGGCGATCATTGCCCCAGGGCTTGCCATCTTAGACAAGTTTGCCGTGGCGCCGGTACCGCTGGATGCAGTCGTTCGCGGTCCCGCAAACGTCGCGTTCGCCAGGAACTGTCGGAAGCCCTCGACATCATCTTGAATGAAAGATTGCCAAAGTCTGCTCATGTGCTCCGAGGGTGAGACGCGCAGAATCTCTTATCTAGCCCGAGCCGAAGCGTCGCCGTCACCAACCGGTTGACCGCGACGGAAGAGCCGGGTGATAAGAGAATTCCGATTTGGAGGAGGGAACAGGGGATGTCGACGGGAGGTCCAGTCGACGTGGTCTCTGCGATTGTTCGGGGATGTCTGGGTGCGAATTTGGTGACACGAAATCGATTGTGGGTTCAGGGCGCGTGGCGATGCTTGCTTATCTCCGGTCGCGGGGATAGTGCGAAACGACGAAGCGAGAGTGAGTAGTGAGGTGATGGCGATGAGGAGAAAGAAAGATGCGAGAAGCTAAGCACCAAAAAAAAAGGTGACGAAGACGAAGAAAAGAGAACATCGGAACCATTAGAGTGCAATGGCAGGACGCACGTTCCTCCATGCGCCCCGGACGAGAGGCGAACCGTTCGATCGACGGTGCAACGCGCGTGGGGGAGCGATAGGACGAGAGACTTGCTGATTTTCATTCTTTAACTATCTCTTCTAAGCGCATGGATACTAATGCTACAGCAGAATCTTTCGCCCCGCCTCCAACTCCTCCATCTCCCGGCGCAATTGCTTGCGTCGGCGGTTGAGCCCCACGTCCTCCCTGGCTATCTCCATCAACTGCGCTTCAACCCGGTGACAAACTGGGGCGAGAACAGCCCCAGGGGATTCAGTGGCCCTTTCAAAAGACAATAACTGGTGGCTTGCATGCACACATTGTCCACAATTCGCTTGGATGCCACCTCGTAGTAGGCCTTGAGGATATCATGGATATACCGGACGGTCTGCTTGATGTTACCCTGGGCGGTTTTCCGGTACTGTCCTCGCCCGTTGGAGCAGAGTCAACAAGGCACTCCCCTCAACATTGAGGATGAAATTAGCGTGGGCCATCGCATCCCGATACCTTTGCGACAGATCGTCGGTCACGGCAGCCCAGAGACCCAACCGGATCTGCTCATCGGGGCACGTAGCCTGAAGAACCTTGACGATGAAATTGTGGATGATGGCGATCACATCACTGACGTATCCCAGCGCAAGGTCGCTCCATCGGGCCGACTGCTTCATGATGGTGAACAAGAGCGACGGCTGGAATGTTCCAATTTCAAAGCCACGCGAGGCGCGTGATACAACTTCTCGATCCAGATGAGAATGTCGTCATCGCTCGGTCTGGGGAGAGTCTCTTGGTCGTGCAAAATGCCCTCGAGCATGGCATCACATCCCAAGGCCGTGTTTGTCTTGCGAACAGGAAGTCTGTCGGGATCACCCTCTTTTTTAGCAAAGGGATTCTTTCCGTCTTCCATGTCAGAGTCTCCCCAGAACATTTGCACCGCCTGCAGTCGACTTCTGAGCGAGGAAATTCCAGTCTTGTGCTTGTCCAGAGAATCCCATGGAGAGTTGTCACGAAAGAATTTGACTTTGGCAAAATCCGGGTCCTCCTTCTGGTCGAGCAACTGTTGCTGCCCTGGGTTGCGCACAACACCCCATCCGAGCTTCAGAACAGAGGCCCTGCCTTCGATCGAATCGATGACTTTCTTCTCGGCTCCCTTGTCGACCAAGTCGGGCTTGGTCAAAACTCCCATCCCAAAGTGCGATTCCCTTCTGGGTCACACTCCCGCGCCATCTCCAGGATCTCCTGCGTGGCGATGTCCACGTTCGCGGGAATGACAGTGAGCATGATAGAACGAGGGTTCTTCATGTAGCCGAACACCATGTCTCTCACCAATTCGATGTCCTCCTTGGTGGTAAGACCCGTGGTAGTGTTCTTGAAGATACCCGGTACATCAATCACACTCAGATGGTCTTTTTCGGGGCCACAGATCTCCAGTCAAAAGACATCACGGGTGAAGGTGGGTTTGGGCTCATAGGTGTCGTTGTTATTTGTGGTTGATAGACCCATGATATCGTGGATCTACTCAGAACGACCATGACTCGGAGTCTCACCTCCTGCATGGTTGCGGGAAACGATTCGGCATCGAGAGCCTCCATCTTCGCCGTCTTCCATGATCTCAGGCGAGCAGTATGCTCCGGATCAGTCATGAGCAGGAACCAATGAGGCGGTGATGGTCCTGTGGGTGCTTGCATTGGATCTGCGAAAGATGATTTGGGTTGCGAATCGCGTACAAAGCCCACTGTCTCTTGGGAAGGGAAGCTTGGTGAGGCCTTCGAGGACAGAGCTCTTTCCACTGGATTGACACCCACAACAACCAGTTGAGGCAGGTCGATCTTTTCCAGCAAGACTGGATCGCCAAGGCGTTGGCGTGTCATGGTAGCAGAGGGTCTCCAAGTATTAGCCTGATGATGATGATGATAAAGTGTTTAAGGGGTAGAAATAATATCAAGAAGTTTGAGAGAAGAGAGGCCAACCGTGGTTATGTAGGAACTAATCGGCAAATGCCATGACAGTCGTTTGCTATGGTCAAAGAGGCCGAGGAGGCAATTCCTATGCAATCTGCTTGGTAGTATCTTTATAAAATAACAGTTCTTACTGATAAATGTCTTTCAAGGGTTAGTTCTTGGACCAGGCACTAGCTATACACAGCCGTTGTAGACCTTAAAGGAATAAACCAAGGAGCAGTTGCTATACAGAAATAAGTAGACCTATAAAATACGTCATATTGCAATAGGTAAATCCAGAGGCGGCACAAAACATATTCATTGCTTTCCTTATACTCCTCTACTGGTCTCCTGTATGATTTTCCTTCTTCCCGCCAAAATTAATCGTAACAAAGCCAGAGCTTCTTCAATGCAAGATCAAAAAGAATCAAGAGAGCTCCTTTTTTTTCGTCTTTGTCTTCGAGTGGTTAACCAATGCAAGTATCTCACAATTGGGCCCAATGTATACAGAACAGATGACATGATAATTGGCCTGGCGCTCTTCTCGGTTCTTCCAGATCATGGTTAACTATATGAAGTTGGATATCATCTTTGAGTGGTGGGTGGATATCACACACTAGATCAGGTAATTTTTTGCTAGATATTAGGATTGATTTTCGAATTTCTTTAACCCTCCGGACATGGCATTGGGACCAAACAATAAGAGACAATAAAAAATACCTAAAGCACTTCTTTTACTCAACTGCACATGCACTTTGCTGGATCCATGGATATACATAGAACTATGTCCAGTGGAGTTTAGTAACAAAGATGGCCAGAAAACATGGTCGCCATGTGACAACATCACTTTGAATTTTGGAGCTACGGATGATCGTATATATATTTATTCTCTGTATTGTATACGCCGTTGACCTTGACTCCAGCCTCGGCAAGCACGGCAGTGCCCTACATCCATGGATTGTCGATCACGTCCGAGATAAGCCCTAAGGAGAAATGTGTGCGGGGTTTAGCACAGATCGCCCCGGTGTTTATCCAACTCGGATTCACTCAAGATCCTTTTTCTGCTCGAGTCTATATGGCAATTTGAACTTGTGGCTTGGTATGGTAGTTGTTGAATTGTGGGTTTATCGATGGGAGACCACCATTGCGCTAGTGGGCCCTAAAAACAAACGAGTAACGACACCGATTTTTCAGACCTCTTGACGGTGTTTTTTCAGGGGTAAAATGATCAACCCCAAAAAGCTGCCTCGGTACCATGGTTGAATCACATTCATACTACAGGGATGGTGAATATTTACATAGCTTCGATCCCTTATTTTCCAATTCCCCAGTGCCACTTTCCATAGCCTGGGTCTTCCTCGCCGTGTGTTTTGACCATGGCCTCTCTTCGTGTTCTACCAATGCGCCTCAGCATCATGACCATGTTGGTCTTGATGTTGACAATGGCTTTGGCTCGTCCTGCTACAGGGGCTGTGACTCGGGGTCTTCCCAAGAATCCTGAGCACGATCCATTCTACCAGCCTCCTGCAGGCTTTGAGTCCCAGGCGCCCGGAAGCATTCTGCGCCAGCGGAAAGTCGGAGCCGCGATCTTCGGCTTGATCCCTGACCCGGTCGAAGCCCATCAGCTTCTGTACCGCACCACGGCGATCAATGGCTCGGCCATTGCCACCGTGACGACGGTTTTCAAGCCCAAGTCCCCCAAGAAGGACCGCTTTATCTCGTTCCATACGGCCTACGACAGTTCTGCGGCCATCTGCAATCCGAGCTACAACTACCAGCTGGGTGCACCGCAAACCGACCTGATCTCCTCGGTAGAGATGTTCATCATCCAGGCCTACCTGCTGTTAGGCTATGTGGTTGCCTCGCCTGACTATGAAGGCCCCGATGTGGCATTTTCTCCCGGTCACCTTGAGGGCATGGGTGTCTTGGACAGCATGCGCGCCGTGTCCAACTTCAAAGACACGCTGGGTCTTACCAGTGGCAAGCCCATGATTGTCGGCACCGGGTACTCTGGCGGTGCCATTGCCACGGGCTGGGCTGCTTCCCTGCAGCCGGCCTATGCGCCCGAGCTCGACATCAGGGGCTGGGTGCAAGGCGGCACACCGGCAAACCTCACGGGCACCCTGCTGTTCATTGACAACACCGCCTTTAGCGGCTTCATCCCTGCAGCCGTGGCCGGACTCAACAAGCCAAGCACCTACGCCGCACAGCTCAGTCCTCTGATCAACCGCATTTTGACCCCCAAGGGCCGAAAGACGCTCGAGTTCGCCAATTCGCACTGTGCCGTCGGCGACCTGCTGGGCTTCGCGGAGCAATCCCTGTTCTCCAAGGACATTCAAACCCTGGGATGGGATCTTCTGAACAACCCGACCATTCGCTCAGTTCTGTCCCAAAACACCATGGGTGTCAACAAGAAGGAAACCCCCACGGCACCCGTGTTCGTGTACCATGCCACCCAGGACGAGATCATCCCCTACAGCAACGCGACGACGCTGGTGACATCGTGGTGCCACAACGGCGCAGATGTCAAATTCACGACGTATGGCAATGGAGGCCATGCCACGACCGAGGTCATTGCTCTTCCCGACGCGATCAAGTTTGTCGAGGCCGCCTTTAATGGCACCGCGGCCCACGGCTGCTCGCAAAACACCGAGCTCAAAAGTACCCTCAACCCCGTCGCGCTGGGTGTCGAGTTGGAGCCGGTTCTCACTAAGCTTCTTGAGGCGCTTGCGTCGGCAGGGAAGCAGGATGCCAATATCAAGAAAAACATCGATGTCCTAAAAACGCATGTTTCTTGAAGCACTGCGATACCACTACAATACATTGTCAGAGTATCATCCGTCTGAAATTTTGTTTCTATTAGACACTGCCATAGTGTTAGTGGTTTAAGTTATTTATTTTCTTATACTCCATGACTCACAATGTTATCTCTCCTTATCGACCAAGCTTATCGCTGGATTAAGCGACGATCGATGACGTGAAAGAGAGAACTTAATCAACCTTGCAAGTAGAGAGGATGACAAAAGGCAAAAATACCAAAGTAGCCATAGGGACAAATAGACAGGGCTTCGCAGTGCCTCTCGAAGCCAGAAAATCCCCGTGGACGCTGGGCCAAGGCATCAGCAGAGCCGCGCAGGCACCGCCATCACTCGTCGATCGTGCGTGATCTCTTATCTGCCTGATACTAGGCGGTACGCGTACCGTAACGGCGAGCTCTTCGTAGAATTAGAGAATCAAGTTGAAAGAGATGTTGACAGCTGAAGAACAATTAGTTTCAAACAAAAGTAATTGATAAATAGCTTGTATCGCAATACTGAGGGTGTGTATGTGTTCGTGTATGGAGAGAGAGAGAGAGAGAAAGTGGAGAATTGCACGATCAGCAGGCGGAGACCCTCGAGACCCGAGTCACCGGATGTGCGTCACAGCGCGACTCTTCCATTCCCCCTTCTTCGCCCCATCTCCCCTCGATCTTTGGCCTCATTCTTGATCGTGGGCCATGAAGGGTTTCTCCCTCTAAGAATCACATCGTGAAAGCGCCGTGGACTGTCTGGGTCGGTCTCCCCGTCGATGCGGAGAAGCTCCAGACCTGCTCCGAAGGTCCCAGTCCTGAGTCCATCCCAAACGATGATCGTGGAATCCTCCACTATCTTGCCATCGGTTGATTAGCGTCTCACATCCAGACTGAATCTGTTTTTCCCCCTCTGTTAGCATGGCCTGCACTGGGTTCATCGCGGTCCCGTTGCGCTCCTGATAACAGAATCCTGCGGTGATAGCCCTCGCCTCCACCAGCTCACGGGGTACGGTCTACTCCTGTGGCATTTGGGTTTGTTACCATCACTAACATAGCCCCTTTTCTTCGGCTAGACGCCCACCATGCATCAGCATCCTCGATCACCGGCGGTGCCATCGGCACCCAACGTCCCCAGACTGACGTCGGCTCGGGAGGACCTCAGAGAGCAGGAACTAGCCCCGAGCTCACCAACGGTGGATATAAGGACCAACACCACCAGGGGCTTGGGCATCGATCCGGGAACTGAACCTTCCGAGCAAACAAGAAACATGGCACCGGGGAAAGAGGCCATGGCCAAACTCAACCAGATAATATCGGTATGGGAATGAAGATCGCCACATCTGCCATCTTGCCCCAGAGTCCTGCTGATGGTGACTTTTTTTCTCCTGCAGAATTATCATACAAAGGCCGCTTTGATCGTTCTTCATTCGCGGATCGACCTGCCACCTTCCTTCAACAAGGGTTCTGACACCCCAAGAGTGAACCGCTGGGTATGTCTCACCCCCTCCTCGTTTCCCTCTACTCAAAGCCCATTGTTCAACCCATGACCCATACAAGCCACAAACTATCAGGCACTAATTCGCTGGACTCGTTTAGTTCAACGTTGAATTAGATGACACCGATGTTCTTCGGGAACCCCTGCGCACTTGGAGGACATGCGATGCGATCGACAACCGGCCACCACCCCTCATCATCGAAACATTCCTTGATCCCAAAGGTCTCACAAATAACCAGAGTTTGGTGGTCCTGGATGATAATGGGAAACGGTGGGATGTGCTGGAGTCGCTCGCCGCGTCTCGGGATGCCTCTGCTGTCAACCCATACCAGTCGGGCTCCGATGATATCGTTTTGGAGCGATGGAGGATCGAGTTGGGAGACTCTTCTGACAGACCTCCTGCCGATTTGGGCTCCATCTTGCCGACTGTGTATAAGAAAAGCATTGTCCTCTTCCGATCCCTGTTTACCTACTCTAAATTTTTGCCCGCGTGGAAATTCTCCAAACGCAACACTAAGTTGCGGCGGAGTCCTGCTCTACAGATCAAGTACCGCGTGGTAACTGGAGGAGCTCCTCCCAGTGACCCTCTGCCCGATCACTTGACTACTCCGTTATATGAGGGCAATACCAAGGTCGTGGATACATACAGCTTCGGAGTTACCGATTCCCCCGCCGGTCCCTTCTCGGTTCAAGTCACCTATCGTACTAACTGCGATTTCCGTGTCGACGATTCAGAAGCTTTGTTGAGCTCGCGGTTTATGGGCGCCGATGATGAGATCTTCCGTCCCTCGCTTCCTTCAGATGGCATTGAGCGACCCAACCCCGATGTTGGCTCTGTGCCGGTGGAGAAAAGAACCGTGGAGAATCCAGATTGCACGAGAGCGTACGGAAGCCTCTCAACCTTCCACCAAGTCGGCCCGACAACAGGCGCGAGCCCTATCTCAGCACTTCGTGCCGCCCGAGATACCGGCGCCGGGTCCCCCTCACCCTCTGATTCATCCTCCAAAAAGCTACTACCCGCTGCGAAGGTTGGCCCGTCTGGGCGTGCTGCTCAAATTGCGGGAGGAAGTGGTGGCTCGAACTTTGCTCGACGCCCATCAGTGTCCTTCCAACCATTTAAGGCCCCCCCTCTCTCTGCATCTCCTGCCGTGGCGGATTCTCCATTGGGAGCGTCACCTCGCACCGTATCTGCTCGGGCTCCTACAGGGACATCGGCAGAATCTCGAACAATGCCGCCTCCCTCGGTGGCAGCTTCTGCACGCCGATCTGCGGCTGTCACGTCTGAGCAAACGATATCATCTTCCAATTCAGCTTCTCCCAAACCTGCTCCAATATCCAGATACAGCAGCTCTTTCAGTCATCGACGTGGTCGACCTTCTTCTGGGGGGACAAACAGACTTGAAGATGACAACTCGAGTGGTAAAGCTAGTGCGACATCTTCAAATGCTCAGCCTGGGTCCGGTCTACTAGCAGAAGCCACGGGAACCAGTGCCGAATCAATACATGCAGACGATGAAAACATTTCCGAATTTCTGAAAATGCTCGATTCGAGGAAGGACCTGATGAACTTGTCTAGCTCCACGTCGCTTGAACCTGGTCCCCGAAAGGCCACGGCGACTTCGGCTGCTCTTGCTCGCTTCCAGCGCATGCGAGATTCCAACGCTGCTCTGTCTGAGTCGATGTCATCGTCCTTGCATCTGCATCGCTCGTCAACCTCTTCCAGCAAACAGCTGTCAGGAGTTCCGCCCATGGTTGCCGGTACTTCAATATCCACGGCGTCTTCACCTGGGAAGCCCATGTCCCCTCACACACCCCACACTCCCGCCATTCGATCTCGCTTGAGCTCCAATAGCGTTGCCGATGATCTTGAAACGGAACACGATCGCCAAAGAACCACGCGAATCGAGCACGACTCACCACTCGAAGAAAATCCAAGCGTCGAAACAATGCAGCGAGCCACTTCCACTGCCGCTGCTATCGATATTCCGACATCCCCGCGAATATTCGCCCCTGCCTATCGTCGTTCAAGCTCAGCCGCCCAGCGCCGACCACCCCCGCCTAGTGACGATGATGAGATCTTCCCATTTGGCATGCGCAGTGTCAGTCTTGGAGCCGAAGAAAGATTGCACATGAGTCTCAGTACGCTCCAGCGACAGAATGACACCGATACTAATTATCGGTCTCACCGAGAACGGCCATCGTCATCAGCAGAAGATCCCAGTGTTCCATCTGGGTCTACAACCGGTCCATATCGCGATGAGGCGTCGCTCCGGGGTCAAATGTCCCCTGGGCCAACGGTAGCGTCGTCTTCCTCCAATCCCCACGCCTACCAGCCCCGTTTCGCGAGCTCGCGTGGTCGAGGACTCTCGGGTGGCCCTCATTCGTTCGGCTCCGCATCCAGCAGTCTCGCCCGAGGTGTCAATATTCCGCCCCACTTGGCTGAGCGTGATCAGGATCGTGACGGCAATGCCAGCGGTAGCAACAGTGGCAATTCCACCATGGAGATTCGCCGTGGTTCCGGCCAGCGACCTGGTGCTGGTCGCGCTCACCCATCGCAAACGTCCTTTGAAGAAGAAGAGCCGTTGCTCTTTGCCATGAGCGATTTCGGTGCCTCTCGCCGCAGCTTAGAAGAAGGCCGCCATGGCAACCACGGTGGTGCCGACTCCAGTGGTGGCTCGCGACGTGGGAGTGGCAGACGAGGAGCCGGGCTTCCAGGCTTCCATGTTTGGTCATGAAGAGTCGAGTCTCTCATCCTGCTGTTGCCTCTTACATCTCTATATTCTTGAATTACTTGTGCCATTTATGGCAGGTGATAGTGGTATCTGATCTGCCACGTTTTTGTTTCGCTTTTTCTATACGCGTCCAGCTTGAATTGAGCTTTATCCGACGTCCGCTCCGGATTCATTGTCTGGTCTTTTTTTTTTTTTTCCCTGTTTTCAAAACTTCCCTTTGCTTTCTCATATGCCCACGGTTGACTGCTTTCATAGATTGAACGACACCAACCCATCAGATTGAGTACGGCGATGTGCATAGAACCTGGTCATTTTTCTTTCTCTCTGTTTTTTTTTTCAGCTTCTTTTTCTCGGCCTTTTGTGTCTCTCTCTTTTCTTCCAGGAGTTTTGGTCCAGCCTTGCTACTACACTGCACTCCCTACACGATCGATACGAATTGATGCCACCCCGAGAGTACTGGGTAACTTTTGCTTTATTGCTCAGCCCTTGGGTCTTCTTCTTCTTTTTCTTTTTTCTTCCCATCTGCGCTCCTTTATGACAGCATGATTCGTTTTCTCTTGCCTTGGGTTCGTTTATGATCTTGGTCTTTTGCGCGCGTGAAAGGGGTTTTTTATTTCTGTCGGCGTGAGTGTCATCATGAAATGGGGCCTTTGAATTCTTTGGTTTCGACCTGGGGGGCGGCTTTGGGTGTTTTATATCCTAGAGCGCGCAAGCTATATTTACCACTTTTGTTGATTTCTTTTTTTTTTTTTCTAATATACAGCTGGAGTCGTCAAGACGGCCTGGTTTTCTTCCGTTCAATGGAATATTTTTGATACTCTGCCTCAGAAGCTTGGACTATGCACTTGGATGTAGCTAGAACATATGGATTATTTGCAAGTTCGTGTCTATTAATTTCTGAGACATGGTATCATAGTATCTAGCAGAGCAGGGCGTGCTGGGTGACGCTGTCATCAGACAGACAGCATCCATGGGATGTGTCGAGGCTCCGATCAAAACCTCAGAGAACCACAATTTTCTTTTAGGTCCAAGTGGAATTGGATTTTTGTTTTTGGAAAGCACACCCGCCTCCAGAAATGAGAGGAAGGGGTTGTAAAATCCAACACAGGGTATCTTGGTGCATCTCACATCCTCTGGGCAGCTGAAACATTCGCGGAACACGAGCTGGCTGCGGAGCCAATGCGAGACAGCACAAAGTGATTGGCATAAGGCCGTATAGTGTTTCATCCAAGGACGCGAGGATGGAAACCACCCAGTTTGAGTAGTATACTCGAACAGAGCTAGGGTATAAGAGAGGAACGTGATTTGAAGTAAAGGTCCACAAGATCAAAAACATTACATCTTTCGGAAGGTATTCCCAGATGCGCTGCGCCGTTCCTTAGCTCGGAAGCTGCCTGAGCCGGTGTTATCGTAGCGCACCGCGGGTTCGGCCCGTTTGGATTTGCCGGCCGGATTGAAACTGATTTCCCTCTCGCCGACGACACCGCCCCGCCGCTGGGGCTTCTGTTTCGTTTTCATGTTCTGGGCGCGGGAACCGAACGAGCGATCCCGGGCAGAACCGGTATGGGTTGACGAGGATACCTGCATGCGAGGCGGCGGGCGCTTCGTTCGTCTGTAGTCTGCGGAGGAGATCTTGCCCGAGGACTGGATCTTCACGGGCCTTTCAGGCTCACTGTCGGAGTTGGAGTCGTCGGAGCTCGAACCGGGAACATCGTCGACCGCCTCTTGCTCGACCGCCGTTAAACCGCGCTCCTTTCTCTCGGAAGTCTCGGGGGCGGTGCTGGGGTTCAGCAGCTGGAATTCGCGGGAGGTCTCGTCGACAGCGAAGTCCTCGTCCTCGAACAGCTTAGCGAAACGGCTGTCGCCCAACACACCCTTGTCTGCGATCTCGGATGGAGCGGCAGCAGGAGCGTCGGCCATTTCTTCGTCGCCGCCTCGCTCCAGCACACGCTGGGCTCTCCGCCGATCCTTCTTCTCCTCTGCGTTCAGCAGCCTCTCGGCCAGTTTCTTGTTGACCTTGACGGCCGCCTTCTTCTTGCCGCGGATGCGGCTCTCGCGCTCCTTGTCAATCTTATCCTTCACTTGCTTCGCGCGCTCTTCTTCCCAAATGTATGGGTTGCTAATCAGTCTTGCCTCCTCATACAATCGCTGGGCCACAAAGTATCCGTGCATGTAAGGTCGCAGGAGGTTCGTCCGACCGATGAGGTGCTCCAGGTTCAGGTTGCGAAGCTGTGGAACCGTCAAGAACTTGAAGTTGTCGTAGACTGCGCCAGTCTGGGCGCTGCTGAATGCGTTCGGATCGTTGGGGTCCTCAGCCATCTCCTCGACTAAGTTGTCTAAGAACGAACACCACTTCGGAGCGGGTCCGAGCTGTGGGATGAAGAATGAATGTTGCTGTCGTCCTTCGTTGGCTGTCAGGATCATCCCACTGTCTTTGCACCAGGCCACCGAGTTGATATCGACGGCCGGCTCGACAGAGGTCCAAGGGCTACCATCGCGTGGATCCCAGATCTTGATGATACGCTTATCAGCCGAAAGAATCTTAGGGTCCATGGTTGCCTCACGCGTCGCGGACGAGGGCTGCAGGAACTTCAGGGTGTGGATAGGGAACCCGTATCCTTGATCCTTCTTCAGGAGAGGGACCGGAGACCGGAGATCGTAGAGATGAATCAGGCCATTCGATGAACCAGTCCCCAGGGTCAAGCCAGAGCGGTGAAACTCCAGCGCAGTAATTTCCGATCGAGCCTCGTCGGGGCCAGCCAGCTTTGGTGGCAGTAGCACTCCAGCTCGACCCTTGGCCCGGGAATCCCAGAGCTCGACTGTCCCTGCTGTTGTTCCAAAAGCCAACAGGTTATGACTTTCTTCCGCAATCGCACCCGTGTTAACCGCGCCTGTATTAATGCCACCCTGTAGAGTCCCGCCTCCGGCCGATGTAAAGTCATCACCGCCAACATCAACCTCAAAGCTCCGCATATATCGTCCAAGTTCCAAATTCAATCGGAAGACCTCGCCCATACCATCCTGGTTGACACCGACTGCAGGGACCAGCGCTTCAGTCGACTGTCGATCATAGACCAAGTCACGTCCATATCGGGGGAGCCGGGTCGTGTAGTGGCATCCTTGCGGGGTGTGGAATTCGAGCGAGCGGTCTGACTGCAGGTGGAGGGACTTGGAGTAATCGGATGACAGCAAAAGAAAAGTCGTGTTCAGTGCCACCGTATGGCGCGCCCAAGAAAGAGACAGTTGCGGTAAATAGTGGGTATGGATCTGTGGTTTGTATGTCCCTAGAAGCGATCTAGTTAAAATTTGCGCCGATGGAAGGAAATAGGGTTGCGTTGGCTCAAACCTGTGCTCATGACCCATTCGCCATCTTCACTTGCTCTGACACACTGACTCGCTTCCTCAAACTCAAAGTCTTGCAACAACTCAACACGATTCGCATATTCGGGATCGTCTTTCAAGCTGCGCTTGCGCCGTCTTGCGAGCCATTCGGGCAGTGGCCGTGCCGTATTTGAGCCCGAGATGGTATAGACCGGGACCTCGGACTGGTTTGACAGCTTCATGATGGCACTGAACAGTTCACCTCGCACTGTGAAGCTGAGCTGCGACCTGCCTTGGAAAGATCAAAAAACCATTAAAAAAAAGGCGATAAAAAGCGATAGGAGTCACGTGATAGCCCATCGCCATTGGTCCGAGCGTCCCCTTCCAACGACCCCGGAAAATGCGCCGGTCGAACTTCCTGTTGACTCGTCCCCTTCGTGCTGGTACATTTTCTTATCATGGCCTTCTCGTCTGCATATTGACATTGCCTATCTCTGTCTATGGCATCCGTGTCGCATCATGGCATCAACCAGCTGATATATCCTTGTTGATCTCCGCGCGCATTTGGGTCCCGCGACAAGTTTATGCAACCTGGTACTGGAAATGAGTTCCCGATTAGACGTTGAACGTTTCCTCTCTGTCTTGAATAGCATCCGGGGCTGTCCACCATCATTGAACCATGGACTTTCCTGGAGGCGCACCCACCAACATACATCTAATTGTAAGTATCTTGGCAAACACTAGGCGTGTACAATATTGACTCGGGCTTCAGGATGGCTTCTCCAATATTTACTGGAGAATATATACTGAAGAACCTGGCATTGTCAATCAGTCACCAGAGAGTCCGGCCAATGGCTACACTATTCTCAAACATCTCGGTCGTCTGAAAGACCTGGAGGCACGCTTGAGGAATTTGAACTGCCTTGCCTCATGTCCGAGGCGACTTGGACTTTGGGTTTTCTCCTCCACGCCTGAATTTGAAAGCCTGAACCCCCTTTACTTAAAGGAGGGTGACGAAGGATCGAGCAAGATTGTTGTTGGTGCAACCACCTTGAAAGGTATATGCCTGTCCCGTAACACCTCTATCAGAGCCTATCTTTTTTACCTTCTTACTGACTATATGACATAGTCTCTGCCTTGGGGAATATTACAGCGTCAGAGTTGGTCAAAAACCTCACATCAGAAAGTCAGACCAATGGTGCTCAATCTTCTGGACCGCAGAGGCCACAGCAGGGACAAGCTTCTTCTAGGCGCTCAGATGGTTACAACAGCTCTGCCGCTATATACGCCTCGTTTATGTCTGCGATAACTGCAACCCTCGGTCTTCAGCTCATTCGGCGCCACGGTGCTTTGCCGCTCGGATCACGTACCTTCTTTACTGCTGTGGAAAAGCCTGGCTATGAAAGTCCTCGCATCGACAATGAAAGTGTCTTTTCCAGGCCGTGTTTGACCACATTCAATATTCAATTGTCTTCGTCGGGGACATTAACTGTTTCCCCGCAAACAGTCTTCCAGGCTGGCATCGCACGCTTATACACTCCCCGAAACGACATTACAGAAGCCCTTGGTGTACCCCCAGATACCGACTTGTGGCTTTGTCCCAATGGAACTATTGCTAGACTTGTCACCCCTAATATTCACTCGTCGACCGTGCCATCTCCGAATTATGAAGCTACTAGCAATGTCCCTGAGAAACAAAAACAGTGGAAGCTTGATGTTTTACAGTGGCTAGCGCATTTTGGCTTACATGTTGATCTTGTTGATGAAGAGCCATGGGTTGAGGTGGAGGTGTGGGAACCATTCTTCGCAAGGCTGGCCGGCGAAGCATGGCGGCAGAGTGATGCTTCTACATCTGCGCTCCCATTGAAGCGGATGCTGTGGCCAGCGAGATTTTGCTTCAGAAGACTGGGCCCTCCAAATTCGGCACCGATAGCCCAACCTTCTTTTCCCAATGATCCTTTGGAATTCGCAGATCAATGGTCTTCAGTGGCAAACACCCTGGACCTAAACCGCGATGCTCGAAATATCCCCGTTGCTGAAGAACCTCGATCTAAGGATCTTGAAATGTCATCTCCAAAATTTGACAACACGGAAAATATAGAAAGTCTCTCCCGAATCGCGCAATATCCTGACTTACAAACCACACACCTCGTCTACCCAACACCTCCGGATGGTGCCACTGCGGTGGGTTTGAATAATCCCAACCTCCCAGATGCCTTCCCCGAGGAGTCCGACTTTGGGCTATTGCAAGCCTCACAAAGCGCCGCAATGAATCGCCCTGGTACGGACCTTTCGCCTGATCTTGGTCGAAATCCTGGTCTGGAGGTTGGCTCCGGCCGATATGATGCAAGTGATGACGAAGACCTCTTTGGGGACATGAATGAAAAAGAGTTTGGATCCAAAGGAATAACCGATGATGACTTCAACTTCTTTGACGATCCTGATCTCGAGGGCATTGATGATGATGCTGGAATTGACGATCCTGAGAAGGCTCCACACGATACTTTGGAAGCAGATCAACCTGAAGCGCAGGTTTTATCTGATGGCGATCCGCCTAAACAAGATCCTTCAACGTTCAATGATCTCGAGGCCGAAGAAACACATCTCCAGCAGTCCGAGGCACGAGATTCACCCTTTGATGAACTGATGGATCAAGCTGAACCCGCCCAGTCGACTCCAGATCGTACGGGCCAAACCATCAGTCCACCCTTAAGCCCCGTGGAAATCAAGAAAATCCTGTTTCCAGAACCGGGTCTAGACAATCGTGAGCATCCTAAGGACAATCGTCTTCATGGCCACTACCACCCTGTTGCCTTTGAAAAGAAATTGGGAGATTGGGAGCAGAAGTATGGAGCGACTGGCAAGTTCTGGTTTTCAACTGGAGGTGCATCGGGCGCTTCGGATCAGGCTTCCAACCCCATCCCCACCATCGGTCTTCCTCATCGCGGCAGACATGGGGCTACGAAGACAGGCCCCTCTCCGCAAGCAGACAAAGCCGGTTCCCCGTCAGCACTGACGGACAAGCGCTTTCGGTCCTTTTCGGCCTCTAGCAGTGACAGCGATGACAGCCGTAATCTGGTTTCAGAGCACGTACCAGTCCCGGTAGTCATACCATCATTAAAGCGAAAGCGTGTTCCTTCAAGCTCCGACATTTTGTCCGCTGTTTCTCCTGATAAGTCTCCGCTCAGCCCTGAAGCGATCTCGGGCTACAAAACAGAAAATCGAGCGTTTCTGGGCAATTTCCTCTCGAATTTCTCCGATTGGACTTTGGCTGGTTACTTCTCTGCTTTCCAACCCCAGCAACTGCCTGTACTTCTTCGACGTGAAGAACAGACTCAGATTGCCCAGTTAATGGTCGATCAAATCACCCAGTCCTCTTTCGAGCATTCTCTAGATGGCCAAATTGGCCTCTTTGATCTCGAAGGTGACTTTCCGGCATTGCGGACGTATCTTGACGATACAAGCTTGCTGGGCGACGTTGTAAAGCTTGACTTGAAGAAATACACGTCCCTAGAGGAACATAAAGCGGCAGCGTCGACACAATCCCAGGTAAAGGACACGAGGAACGGGTCTATTTCGAAAGTTGGAGCACCGCATGTGCGAGTCCGCCGTGGCAAAGACTTCTTAGAAGCGCTTCCGCCTGCCGTTTCTTTCTGGGAAACGTTTGGCCTTGAGCCTGCACATGGACCGAAGCATATCTCGGCCTATTGCATTCATCCTCACGCTGCAACGAAGACAGCAGGTGCATTTCTGGATCGCTTTGGTCTTATCTATCAGAGTTGCAGCTTCGGAAGTCATTCTCGAGGGGAGAAATCTATGTCATTCGAACAGGGTATGAGGCTGTGGGACTCAGAATCCTCTCGTTATGGCTTTATGATGCAATCTCTGAAGGGAATCCTAGAGGAACTTGGTATGTTTTCCCCGTAGCATTGATGAATGTTCTAACCTCTGACAGGAAATGACCTATTTCAATACCCGCCCTCCACGGACAATTGCGTTGTCTATATCATTAATCCATTTCCTCAGGCTGCAGCTCTGGCAGACATATGCGCGGCCTTTTGGCGCCTCTTCCAACAGTTAGTCGCAGATGCGGAACGTCGACAGGCTCGCCGGGTCAATGAGCTGGTTTTGCAGATCATCCCGATGGACTTTGTCACCTCGGAAGACTCGATGGTTGTCCCATCCCAGGCAGAATATCTGAATTTGGCACTGGAGGTCTACAGCCGATGTAGGCCGGATGATGCCAATTTTAACCCTCTGCTTTGCGCTCCGCCAGTCCTTCTTTCTGATCCTCTTCCGAAGGCCATTAACTTCCGTCTTGTCCCGGAAAAGGGCTCGCCCTTGCAGGACGGGCGGAGTCTCCACATTGCTTGTTCAAAAAGTCTGACCCAGCGCTGGATATCGGTGGCATGGTCGGACGGCTCTGGTACTCTTCAAAAGACCATGTCTTATTGTCTGCGCTATCGAAATTCGGGCGTTGCCAGGGCGGTCTTTGAGGTGCGCAATGAGATATGGGCCACAACCAAGCACATTCTAGATCAATTCCAGGCTCGGTGGAAGGTCTTGCTGGTGGCTACCGAGTCTATGGATCTGGATGACGTTGAAGGTAGGGTCCTGTCTGCGAGAAGCACCGAGCATGCGGCTAATCAAATCGTGCAGCATGGGCTAGTTTCGCAGAACAGCATAACAAGATCCGCCCGGGGTCTTTGGAATTGACAATCCTGACGACCAGCACCATTCCCGACTTAATCCTTGGGCCCCCAGTCTCAGCAATGTCGATGGCCGTCTTCAATCCACAATATTCTTTTACCCCTGTCTCAACTCCAAACCCAAGCGCCAGCATTGCCTCCCCAGAACAATCTGGCAATGCCGCCACGCCGACCAGTGGCGGGCCTGCCGCTTACAATGCTCTTACCCCAACCGACACCTCCCTTGAAACCGATTCGGAGTCTGTACTCGCCGATATCTGCGATGAGTCTTGGGTAGCCATCCTGTCTCATCGCCTCAACAGCTCTCCCCACCTTACCGAACTTCGCCCCGCGCTAGCTAGCGGGTATCTCCTCCGCCGAAAGGGCGCCACCGACAGCGAGGGCGTCTTTGCAATGGCGGTTAATCTCATCTACTCGCAGCGGCCACCCGCATCCCATGACAACATCCTGAAAGAAACTCTGGAAATGTACCGGGACCTGGCATCTCTTGCCCGGGCCAAGGGCATGCGCAGCGTGCAAGGCAATACGCTGCCTTGGCATGTTGCCACTGCTCTTCGCGCTCAAGAGCTACTTAGCTATGTCTTTTAGTTAGGGGAGGTTGTAACATTTTCCCGGCGTTCTGGTTTATTTAGGCTTTGTGGGGCAATGTTCGAGGCAGGTAGATATAGCATTGATAGCAATGCATTTCATCTATTTTCATTCAGGCGCATTCAAAGAAACAGAAACCGATGTTGTTTGGAAGTATCAGTCAAGGCCAGAGCCTGTCTGACCATTCATCATTGATCATATAGAACATAAACAGAGTGCATGTATATACTTGTTGACGTCACTCCAGTCATTTCATCAAAAAGTACACAGGAGAAAAAAAAAAAAAAAAGAAAAGCATCCCAGCCCAAAACTCCCACACAAAACTCCTGCAAAACATATATATCAAAACAAAGTATATCTAACATTTCACCCCAAGTCCAACAAAAAAAAAAGAAAGAAAGAGAAATTGTACAAAAGCAAGTCTTTGGTTTTTCTGCGCAGAACAATCATCTCGGCGCTCGTCATCATCGCAAAGTAGAAATTCGACCGTTGGGATAGGGGGTATATATCGTATCAAAATCGTCGTCGTAGGAGGAGGGGTCGGTAATTATCATGGCATATCAATGATCTTTGATATTTGACTTCGGTCACCCTTCGTCGGCGCTCTCTTCATCTCCACCGCGCTTCCGCGAGAAGAACGAGACGTGGTTCTGCATGGCCCAGATAGCGAAGCCGGCGATGGCAAGCACGAGGAAGAGGACGATGATTATTATCGCAATGGCGATGTTGCGCTTGACCATTTTGAGTGGAGAGGACCCGGCCGGTCTTGAGGATTCAAGTCGAGAGGTGGAGGTGAGATAGCTCCAGAGATTTGGGACTCGGTCGAGAAGATATGTGTTTTTGTGGTTTATAATAGACAGAAACTCAAGGTGTCGTAATCGTGTGCAATACTCAAAAAGAGAGAGAGGAAATCGGCCCAGTGTGCTGTTGATATATATGTTGCAGCCGCAGGAAGTATACACCAGCTCAGACGTGACTGGTTCTGCTCAACCCACAACTGCCCTCTTTTGGAGGGAACGTGGGGATTATTTCGAGGACCGGAGAGCGATGAATGGAAGCAGAAGGAAATCTGGAAGCAAAAATGACATCCGTTGGAATGCGAACGCAGGCCTTTTAAACAACATCTCCCAGCCATGTGCTTTTTTGCCTTGGGGGGCTGGGGCTGGGTCGCGACGGTACCGGGTACTTTGGGTGCCACGCTAACCAGATGGGGTATGGAGGTACCGGCTACCTCAACATCTCCCTCAACTATACAAACTACTAAATAAAGAAATGTCTTTCGATTCTGCAAATGATATTCCAGTTACGGTCAATTTGAAAAAAAAAAAAATTCAATAAAAAAAGGTATTATCCAATACATAATCCTCGCCATGACGCCTTCCATTGTCCCACCGGGTCGCGAGCATGCGAGTGACGGCTTCAGGTGAATAAATACAAGCGCCCAAGATCAACCCAAAATCTTCAATCCGCCCTTGGTCTTGCCCGACTTCTTGACACCGTCATGCTTCACCTTGCTGCCCGGTTGGTTTCCTCGAGCGCCACCACCGTGCTTCTTCCCGTTCTTCGGGTTTGTGGGGCGGACCTCCGTCGTAGCTCGGCGAAGCTGAATCGGGTGCGAGCCAATGTACTTGTTTTGCATCTCTCGCGCCGCTTTGAAGTAGTCATCACCATCGCTGAAACTGATAAACCCATACCCCTTACTCTTCTGCGTGCGCTTTTCGCGGATGACCCGTCCTTTTTGTACTGACGGGTATTGGGAAAATGCCTTGACCAAGGACTCGTCCGTTACTTCGCCTGCCAGGTTACCCACGAACAAGCGGAAATGGGCCGGGTCCCATTCCAGCAGCGTAGAATCAGTCCACGTCTGACCACCGCCGGATCGAGCAACCGTCTTCTGCGACTCGGGCTGGGGGAGAGGAGTGCCGACCCCCACAGTGGATGGCGTCACAGTCCCTGTATTGGCGCCAGTTCCGGGCTGGTTGCCTTCCCGGCGTCTGCCGGGGTCCTCGTTGGGATTCGCGTAGGCACTCTGCCACTGCGCGATTTGAGCCTCGGTATCATGGTCCACCCCAGAGTCACGGCCAAAGTTCTGTCGCCCTCCATAATTAGACTGGTTGGGAGTGGAGCCGAAAGGGTTTTGGATGTGCGGTACGGTCGGACCGTAGGTGTTCTCGTTGTACTGGGCTTGTCCGTAGTAGGAGGGCCCGCTCTGGTAGGATTGAGGCTGTTGATAATAGTTGGTATAGTTGGTCGCCGGGGCCGCGTACCCAGCGGAGGAAACGGGTGCTGCCGACACCGCCAGGCTGCTGGTGCGGTATGGCTGGCTGGAGGCTACGGAGCGCGGCTGGAACGCCGTGAAGGCATTGTAGCCCGATGGTCGCGAGTTGCCGCCATGGCTAGCAGCCGCGCCGGCAGAGGGCTGCGCGGTGGATGGCGGTGGTCGGGGTGGGAGTGATGAGGACGTCTGTTTGAGACCTGGAGGAGGTGGAAAGGACATGATGAACGGAGAGTTCGAAAGGAGAGACGGTTGGGTGCTGTGTGCAGAGTAGCAGCCGCAACGTACCTTCAGGGCCTGACTGGCGCCGCAGTCTGCCAGCCGTCACACCTTAGACAGGTCCCGAACCTTGGAGCGAGCGGCCCCCGAAGAGTGAGCACTGCAAACGTGATACGTCGGTGGGTTAATGCCACCGGTCGCAAAAATTCAATTTATCAGTTGGCGACTGACGGGGAGGTTGAGATCAGAGGTGGTGTCGGGCAGGAACCGAGGTCGCCGTCGTTGGCTGGCCACTGCAAGAAAAAAAAAACATCTGTGGTCTGTTGAGGTTACCGTAGACGGAGACTCACCCATGACATAAGCTCGCAGACATCATGCTGACTCATCTCCGGTGTCCGGCGCAACCCCCACTCTAAGCCGAAAGAGGTTTAGCGGCGCCGAAGCCGGCTATGCACGCCCATCGGCAAGTGAGGCAGTTTCTCCGTCTACGCCTGAACTGTTCACCGATACGTGGGCGGAAATTAGGGGTGTCGGGAAATGAGTTGTCGGGTCTGTACAAACTCCTCGACGGACGGCTATGTGGAAAATGACCCAGGGGAGTGCGTTGTTTCAAAAAGAAAAGTTCCGAACAAAAAAAAATTGCCCCTCCATTGCCCCGCCATGCCGGAGTATGCATGGTTAATGCAGTCATAGAATCCTCCTGATATCACTCACTAGTCAGAACTAAACGTTTCAATGGGTCCCGAGGGAGTTCCCGTCGTTGCAGAAGGAGGTTCGGATAATCCTTTTCAAGCCAAACCGAGCAGACCCCGGATACTCACCGGACGACTCTGCTCCTGTACCGAGTACTTGGCGCTACACCGGAGCGAGTAAGGACCTCAGAGTATCTGGTACACACCCCGCCGGCATGTCCCACCATATGACGGAAGAGTTGCTCCGTCAGCCGGTTGGACTCTGCCATCTTCTCTCCCCTCTTTCCCTTCATCTTTTTCATTCTCTTAACCTCCATCTGTAGTTCCTCTCTACAGCCTATTTTCCATTTATCTCTAAACTCCACTCCATCATCATGGCTGACCAGGCTGTGTAAGTCTTCAACTCTTCCCCCTCGGGTTTTTCTTTATACCTTGCCATCGATCGCACCATCCATCATCCCCAATGGGGTCAATGCCAGGTGCTTTACCCGGGGCAGGCGGATATGCTTGAGGTTCTAGAGCTGGTTGAGCATTGCAGCCACATTCGCATCTACATCTGGTTGATGCCGATGCAAAACGCTATCCAGCAGAGAACCTCGGCGGTCCGTCGCTCTCGGGTTCGCACGGAGCTCCCTTCATCTTGCCTGTTTTGTCGCGTTTACTCGGCTATTGACAAGAGAACATGGTCACTGACAATAGCGCCCGTCTCGCCGGCATCAATGTCGGCGCTCCGGTGCGCCCTGCCCCCAGTGCTGATTTCGGCCTCATCGGTCTGGCCGTCATGGGCCAGAACCTGATCCTGAATGCTGCGGACCACGGCTTCACTGTCTGCGCCTACAACCGTACAACCGCTAAGGTCGACCGCTTCCTGGACAACGAAGCCAAGGGTAAGCGCCAGAAGAGATGGATAATTAAACTCAATCAAAAACAATTCAACCCACTAACTGGTCACCAGGAAAGCCCATTGTCGGTGCGCACTCCGTCCAGGAGTTCTGCTCCAAGCTCAAGCGCCCTCGTCGTATCATGCTCCTCGTGATGGCTGGCAAGCCCGTCGATGACTTCATCGAGTCCCTCCTGCCGTTCCTCGAGAAGGGCGACATCATCATTGACGGTGGTAACTCCCACTTCCCCGACAGCAACCGCCGCACTCGCTACCTCTCGGACAAGGGCATCAGCTTCGTCGGCAGCGGTGTGTCCGGTGGTGAGGAGGGTGCTCGGTACGGTCCCTCGCTCATGCCTGGCGGTAACGAGGCCGCCTGGCCCCACATCAAGGACATCTTCCAGAGCATTGCCGCCAAGAGCGATGGTGAGGCCTGCTGCGACTGGGTCGGTGACGAGGGTGCTGGCCACTACGTCAAGATGGTCCACAACGGTATTGAGTACGGTGACATGCAGCTGATTTGCGAGGTATGCTTTCTTTTCCCCGCCTTCACTATGGAAAAAATGGGCGACATATTCACATCCATTTTAGGCCTACGACATCTTGAAGCGTGGTCTCGGTCTATCCCCGAAGGAGATTGGCGATGTCTTCGCCAAGTGGAACACCGGTGTTCTCGACTCGTTCCTGATCGAGATCACCCGTGATGTCCTCTACTACAATGACAACGATGGCACTCCGCTCGTCGAAAAGATCCTCGACAAGGCCGGCCAAAAGGGTACCGGCAAGTGGACCGCCATCAACGCCCTGGACCTCGGCATTCCCGTCACTCTGATCGGTGACGCTGTCTTCTCTCGTTGCCTCAGTTCTCTCAAGGACGAGCGTGGCCGTGCCAGCCAGATCCTCGGCGGCCCGTCCCCTAACTTCACTGGTGACAAGCAGGCCTTCATCGATGACCTGGAGCAGGCTCTTTACGCCTCGAAGATCATCTCGTACGCCCAGGGCTTCATGCTCATCCAGAACGTAAGGGATTTTTGCTTCGATCATAAATCTTGGGACTTGCGATAGCTGACTCATTTTTCTCTCTTTATAGGCTGCTAAGGAGTACGGCTGGAAGCTGAACAAACCCTCGATTGCCCTGATGTGGCGCGGTGGCTGCATCATCCGCTCCGTCTTCCTTAAGGACATCACCAACGCCTACCGCACCAACCCTGACCTCGAGAACCTGCTTTTCGATGGCTTCTTCACCAAGGCCATTCACAAGGCCCAGGACGGCTGGCGTAACGTGGTCAGCAAGTCGGCTCTGTGGGGCGTCCCGCTGCCGGCCTTCAGCACTGCCCTCAGCTTCTACGACGGCTACCGCAGCAAGAACCTGCCGGCCAACCTCCTCCAAGCCCAGCGTGACTACTTCGGTGCGCACACCTTCCGCATCAAGCCCGAGTTCGCCAACGAGAACTTCCCGGAGAGCAAGGACATTCACGTCAACTGGACCGGCCGTGGTGGTGACGTGTCGGCCTCGACTTACGTGGCATAAGCGGGAGTCAAGGAAGAATAGAAGGGTAAAAAAAAATCCGGAATGTCTCAAATGTATTTAGATGCCAATCATGGAATGTCACGAAGTCCATTTCTGCGAGGACGAGTGTATATTCAGGCCATAAGGCCATATAGGTGCCTCAGGCTTTACTATAAAGCCTCAGGCGGTAGTCACTATTTGCGCTAAACCCGATCGGGTGGCCAGCAACGTCGACCCTGCCATCTTATCGTGTGTCGAGTCCTTCCCTCCCCCTCGATAGTCTCGTGGCCCGGTGGTGCTTGTTGCTTGATTGTTTATTTGGTGCTCTCTCAGTTTTGTATCCCCGTTGCTCCATCTGAGCTACCTTCGTTTCGTCATCGAGGAGCTTCATTGGAGCCCGCACCCCCGAACTAGGCGACGTTCCGGTGTATATACCGGGGTGCAAGCGTAGCTCCGCAGGAGAGACTCCGGCCTCAATCGTTTTTCGATCGGCTTCCAATGTCCTGAGCTCATCACCCGACACTGGACCACAGCACCGCAGACCGCCAAGACGGCTTTCTTTCATCGTGGGGGGTGGTAACTGGGCCGGCTGAGGAACTCAACCCACTCCGTTCGTGGAGATTTCCAGGCCGATGGCGGAGAACAAGCGCCAGAGTGCTGGAGTGAAGGCACCCGCGCAGGGATCATCTAATAACGCAACGGGCCCCGGTATGGCGGCGGCTATGGTGCCCTTGGAGGCAGCGTTGAGCGGCGCGATCGGTGCCCGGTGAGTCCCTCTTTTTTCCTCGAAGACAACCATCCGCGCCCCCCCTCTCCCAAGGATCCGTCTCGCTGACTGTCCCTGTTTGTTTGTGAACTTTCCAGTATCCGGGTCTCAACCACACCGCCGACTGTCTCGACCTTCGAGGGAACGCTGTTCACAGCATGCCCCATCACCAATCTTGTCGCCATCAACACATCCCCTTCTCTACCCTCCAGGGATCCCAAGCAGGCGCAGAATGGTGACTATCGTGTCATCCCCGTCTCGCGCATACAGTCTTTCCAGCTCCTCGCTCTCGGCCCTTCCGCCGAGGCACCCTCGTTCACCGATGCGCAGCCCACGATCCAGGCGCTCGATACCCGTACGCTGAAGACACGCGAGGCAAAGGCCATCGGTGAGGCGCATGACCGTGAAGCACGACGTGGTAAGGGCGTCACTCGTGAAGCCCAGGATATTTTCGATGCGTTCAGTCGGACCATGCCCGCGCGATGGGCTGGGTCCAACATTGTGGTCGCCGATGCGGTCACTATTGCTTCTCCCTACCGAATCGATGACTGCCGGCCACTGGTAGAAGGAGATACAGCGGCGCTCAACCGAGTGCGCAAGGTGGTAAGTTATAGTTGAGCTAGTCGTTTTCTCCCCGTATATGATCATTTTATACTAACGCGCATTGGCTGCAGCTCGAGATGGAGCGCAAGAAGATTGAACTCCGCAATGCTAGTGCTACTATTGGATCTACTGGCGCCTTCGCTCGCAACGCTGGTCCCGCGCAGACGGCCGCCAACATCCCCAGCGACCAGCGCAAAGGCGGTTAGATTTTCCCCGCCAAATCTTTCGTCAAACCTCTTCCCGTCGAAGACATGAACCGCTATGAATGGAGTCTGTTGGCCCCGGGATTGAGTAAGTTGATGAAATTTGAATATTGCGTTCACGTTCGATGAGCGCTCGAATGAAAAAAAAAAAATCGCTATGGAATTGAGATCAAGAGGGGTCGATCTAGAGGAGAGAGAGATAGCTGATCTCATGGATTTATGTTGTGCGGTCCCCAAACAACCACAACGGGGGGGCGCTTATGTCTAGTGAGAGGGTGGACTTTGCTCAGTGGCTTCATCGGCGGCAGTGTTCATTCCCTCTCTTTGCAGGCTATGAGTGAAGCGAGTTGGATCAAAGGATTCGACATTTTCGTTCTGCCGGGTGTTGTAGCCTGTACTTTCTGCCATATTCTCTGGATTATGGGCGTGCGGTCCACGTCCAGAGGTCTATGGGATAGCCAACACGTTTTATAGTTTTGCATTCTAGGTATTCCCTTATAGGGTCTATAGTAGGATGTCTCAGAGACTCTGGCGTTTAAATTCATTGTTCCATTGGTGATATACTGGTGCCTTCATTTTTTTGAGATATCGAGGCTATTCTATAGGAGAAACATAAATATGTAAAGCAAGAGAGATCTCCCTGGGAGACAACGCAGGATCATAATCAACGCAACATTGAACAGAGTCATCTAGGCTCAAAATGGCCAAACCAAATACAGCGAAATCGAGATCAGAACAAAAAGGGATATATACGAAATCGAATGAAACATTTGAAACACATAAGACACAAACTAACAAAATCATTGTCATTATCATCATCATCATATGTCCACTCCAAAGAATTCGTCTTCGTTAGACTTCAATTCCCGGAATTTTTCCCGACACGACATCGCACACGGTTCCTACGAAACCCTCGAGGCCAGACATCGGCACCGTCCCAGCCGCAGACCCAGACTCCGCGGCCGAGGCCACCGCAACGCCAGACGAAGACGCCATGGAGACCCCGGGCATAACGAGGACCTGGGAGCCGAGCTCGATCCACTCGACGGAGGTGACAAAGGTGAAACTAATTTTCACATCCTCGCTAAGGGGCTGGTGGGCGGATGGAGCGGTCCCAAGGGCAGCAGGGGTAGAAGAGGCCGTGCCAGCGACGACCTTGCTGATATCTGCGGTGGAGGAACGACGAGTCACATCATGACTGGCGGTGCCATTCCCGTGGCCATGGTCGTGGCCAATGCTACTACCACCACCTACATGCACAGATGTGGAACCCGTCGTCGCACCATTACTACTGCTGCTGCTCGGCTTCTCCCAACTTGGCGAACCCTGGCCGTCACCGTCGAAGCTGAAGAACTCCGGTTCTGAGGGGGAGGACGGGTCGGAGGGGCGATCGTCGCCGGCGCCGGCTAGCGCCATGCACACGACTCGCACGGTGGTGCGGAGGTTGGCAATATACGCGATGGCATTACCACCCAGCAGGAGAGGGGGCGAGCGTGGGGCAGAGAAGGCAGAGGCGGGGAATGTGGCGCAGAAACCAGTGTGAAACGGCAAGGGTAATGTGGAAGAGGGAACGGACGATTGAAGTGGAGCAGGTTGAGTGCCGAGGTGGCTGAGGAACGGTAATTTGTGCAAATCCGAAAGAACCATGCCCTTACGGATGCGGCCGAGACGGGGCAACCGCCCATCATCTGCAGAGGAAATGAGCTCGATGCCAATCGTCCCGACTTGGTCTTCGATAAGGCGTCGGACTGGGAGACGTAGATCACGCACGCTGACAACGCGCACACGTTGCCACCTTGCTTGTGCTGATGTTGGATCCTTGGCAAACAATAAGCTCTGAGCGAAGGATGCCGAAAACTCGGTCGTGGGGCCAGGTCCACCCCGGGATAGTGGCCCCGGGGGCGGAGGCTCGTTGCCCGAGTCGCTTGAGGTGTCAACAAGAATGGGGCCGATGACCATCTCGTCGCCAATTGAAATGCTGCCATGTCGGACGAGACCGCACAGTACCATACCACGTTCGTTTTGGGCGGCCTTAGTCGTGGGTATTGAATAGACTTTGGAGGGGGGATCGCGAAAACTTCATCCACGGCGAAAACGTTGGCAGAGATGCAGGGCGCAGAAGGCTCTGTTTTAGGTAGGCGTAGAATGCGCTGAGGTGGCCGCTTTGGTATGGGTAAATACCGCAAGAAAGCATGAAGCTTTCCAATGCCCGTGCCATCGACGGCACTGGCGAGGACAATGGGCACGGTGTGCGACCAGTTCCCATCGGCCGCCAGAATCGTCTTCTGGGCGTCTTTGGTGTCTGCGGGTTTGATTTGCTGAAGATCAACGGTCTTGTCGCTTGCAGGTGACGCTGGGAGCATTGCAGGTTTGCGGCCAGCGGCCTTGAGAGCGGACAGAACTCTTGCCAGATTTTCTCGGAGCCCTCCCCGGGAAGCAATGTCTAGCTTGGTGATCACAATCAGAACAGGCACCTCTAACTTCAGACATAGATCTAGATAGGATAGACAAAGATCGATCTCGGCGTGCTCCGTTCCCGTCGGTTCATTTTCCGGTGTTTCATCGCCGCAATTGGCCGGGATACAGAGCAACACGTAATGCGGTGCCCAGCTGACAAGTCCTCGCAATGTAGACTTGAGGTATCGAACAGAGCCTGGTAGATCAGACACAAAGGCTAAACGCCCCCCGAGTGAGGCAGCGTGAATATCATCCCACCCGGCGACGTTTCCGGACGCATAGTTGACTACGGTGGACGGCACATCCTCAGTATATCCGAGCAACTCTTGAGCGACAGAGCTGGTGATACCAGACGAAATCTCGTGGCGATGTTTGAGTAGACTCAGCCGACTCTTGCCCCTCCCATTATCAAGCGATGAAGAGGTCAAAGTCCCCAGTAGTGAAGACTTTCCTGCGGTGCTGGGTCCCGCGATAGAGACCCGGATTTGCTCGGTGTGAGAGTAGTCCTCTTCCGAAACAGGCCGAGGTCCCGATTCAATGACTGCAGAACCGTCGGGTTTTTGTCGGGCCTGAACAGGAGATAGGTTGTAGAAATCCAAATCGGGACTGACCAGAGCCTCTGCGACCCAGAGACTCTCCGTACGGTTCTTTGTCAGGTCAGACGGCGCCAATGGCGAGTCTTCGGCCCATTCACACTGGCCGACGATAACTCGACGCAGGATCTCGACCCGGCACCCAAGACTCGCAGCCATGGCCTGCAGATTGGTCACGCTCTCGTCGAGCTCATCCTGCGTAAGGCCGACAAATGTGCCATCATCGGCAACCCCAATCTCATATAGCGCTCCCTGGCTTTCCTCGAGACCCGGAAGGAGACGAGCTGGCTTCGCCGGCACGCCCAATTTCGGTGTGGCCTCCGGGAGAACAGGGACCACAAGGTTGGAGGTCGTAGAAGAATGAAATGGAGAGGACTGCTGCAGACGCCATAACAGCTGCGTTGTCAGACCCTGGAGTCGTTGCTGGCGGCTCTGCGAGGACTTTGCCTGCATGGGCCTTAGGGGCGTCTCCTGGCCCGGAGACGCCGAGTTCGATGTCGGCGGCAGGCTGGCCCGCGAATGATACGACCCAGCAACTACATTCCCAGTAGACATGGCTAGGTACGGACGCCGGGGACGGAGCAAAATATGCAGTTTGTACTCTGTGGGACCCTCTTGGGGCTCCGGCTCCAGTTTGGTGATGCCATAGTCGGACAATACATCTGGGTCCGCACGGTCCAGCGTGGTGCTTGAGCGGGCGCGAATAGCCAAGCCACGGCTGCCTTGGGTGGTAATCTGGGGCGTCGAGGACCCCGAGGTTGACCAAGGGGATGACACCCGAGGAGGGTCCGGGTCATACGTAAAGATGGATGCCATGACGAATCAACCTCTCACACTGGTATTAGAGGTAATAGAGATATTTGGTGACGCAATAAACGAAGATGCCATAAACAGAGAATTGTCATTGAATTCAATGGATCAGACATAGGCATTCTTGCAGTTGAGGAAAGATGGTGTCTTTCAGATGGTGGAGGACGACCTCGTTCTCCCCGACTGAGTCACGGGTTGATGGCCTGAGGCATCACATGTACAAGAGACATCCAACTTTTTTGTGGTATTTACAAAACGACGATTACATTATTCCCTCCCAAGCAAAAGAAAAATCCTCTAGTAATGAAACACCCAGGGAAAAAAACAAGGGGAAAAAAACTCCAAATCATACATCTTGGCAGCCGTCTTTACTCCGTTGAGGACTCTCGCCCGGAGCTTTTGCACTTTCCCTGGGCGACGTGAATGTTGCGTGCCGTCGTGCGAGTGAAGACTGCGCCGCAGATAGGACACTCTGCCTTGGCAACCACACCGGATTTCTCACGCTGATGGCGCAGAAGGTTGCTGAACGTAGAAAACTCGCGACCGTTGCAGCCATGGTCCCAGCATTGCGGTCGCGGTCTTGAACTGATCACTCGGACCTGGTGCTCCGGTTCTGTGGGGGGCACAGAATCGGGCGAGGAGTACATCTGGTCTGCGGCGACCATCGACGGGGCCTGAGAACTCATGGAAGACTGGTTGGAAGTTCTAGCGGGTTGGGTTTCTGGTTAGTACACTGTTCCCTTCTCCATAGGACTGCCGATTCAACTTACGGGATGGACTGTGCTTCGGGCATATAGTAGGCAGGTTGGTTCATCATATACGGTGAAGAGCTAAGCACTCAGGTTAGTGGCTAGATCTAAAAGAGTGACTTCGCGGTCTTTCTTTGGACATGTCTGGTTGACTTACGAGGTCATAAGAGATTGATCGGACAGAGGAGGTGTGCCAGGAGCAGAATGAGGGTGAAAAGGACGGGCCAAGGAGGGACTGTTCACCATTTCATGTCAGTCCTGCGGGTGTGCTAGGCAATTCTTCGTCCTGGAATCGGCATACCTTCGAGAGTGAGTCTGGCGAGGGGCATGTCCCGGTGCAGCGGCCAAATACGATGCCGGAGCTGGATGCGAATCTTGCTGGTAACTAGGCAGCGGGGCACCGTGCTGGCCATTGTAGCCCACTGAGAAACCCGACGACGGGTATGGATGGGAGGGCTGGTATGGCGGGTTCATATGTCCCGTCGGCGGCTGCAACGACGGGAATGGGCGGTTTGCCCAGACATAATCTGGCAGGCGTGAGCACATCTCTCATCATAGAAACCAGGCAACTTTTTTGGGGGAGATTTGGACTTACGATGGGAATTTTGCTGCATGGGGCCAGCAAAGTATGCACTTGATGCTACGGACATGGGGTAAGATGTGATCCCAAGGCCGCTGTGTGATGGGAGTATCTGGTTAGCAGGTCCCACTTAATGGAAGGGGATTAAAAGAGAATAATGTTACAACTCACTGTGAAGATTCGGGGTTTGGCTCCTCTTTAGGAGGCAGATGATCGAGAGAGGACTGAGTGACGGTCCCAGCAAGTGGAGTTTGCGAGTCGAGCAGGGAAGCTGACTGACTCGCGTGGGACGGTGAATGATGCGAATGCAATGAGTATGGCGAGGCACCAGGGATAGGCGGTCTATGAATGGGCCAAGATCTTGAGACGGGCAGAGAGCCTTGTTGAAGACTCGGTTGAGAATCAACGGGAATTGGTGGCAAGGCTGGGGCTTGGGACAGAGCCGTGTGATTTCTGTGAGATGGGTGCTGTGAGCTCGAGTCCCCGGCGAACATGGAGGGTTTTTATCTAGGTCATGGACCTAGTGTCACAGAGACTACAAGAGCAAGAAGGGGGCGAGGGGGCCAATTGAGAACTGGATATCAGGGGTAAGGAATTGGCTTAAAAAAAAAGCCCAGGGCCAACCTACAATGCGTATTATCGGGTTCCCGATGGTGGCTGACACGGCAGATTTTGTTTTCTGGACAAGATCGGGCTGCCAAACGGGCGCAAAGGAGTATTTAAAAGAGTATCAACCAAGCTGGCAGGGCGTTACAGGAGAAAACAGGTCCCCGCAAGTTATGATCTGAGGGCCCGGTTGGTTTGAATGGCCCACTGAACCAACTTGGGCTTCTAGAACTTCTGGTTTGTCTTGGACTGGGCTGAAACTGGAGATATACCTCGAGGTGATAGTGCTGTATAGTTGTATATCCTTCATTCTTGTATGGTTGTCCTCTTCTTTCTACTAGGAATAATAATGATGATAATGACAATCATCATCATTAACATCATCACTATGGAATTACCTATCAAAGATACTGGCAGAACAAAAATAAGAATTAAAAATAAATAAAAATAAAAAATCCCCTAGGGATCCCATGATCTTCAAACAAGGTGGGCCGATTTACACTATCACGAGGCGGTATTTGACCCCCACAAATGACACCGGATCCTCTCTAGCGACTCAAACCAGTGCCGAAAAGGAAAAGAAGCTCGGGAGGATTGGGGACGGGGGCCAGGGCGTGTAATGATCCTTGAGCAGTAAAGGGGAGCTTGGTCAGGGCGTTTTAGCCCCAATTTATCCCGAAATGGGGCGTGTCCTGTTACTTGGGGGCCATGACGCTCGGGAGAGAAAGGTTGGGTTTTGATTTGATTTGATTTTCTTAGTTTGGTTATTTCTGTTAGTTTCTTTTTGGTATGATTACTTTTTTGTATTTCAAGGCTCACGCAAGCGTGCTTACTTGCTTAGGAAATACTGTAGTAGAGACAGCCTTGGCCCCCACGAACACACTGTTGGAACTGGGAAATTCAATTGTGGTTTGGTACACAATTCGATTGGAAGAGGGTGGTTAGTTGTTGGTTCATGGTCAGAGTGGCACAGTAGAATAATCCTTATCCTATACCCAGAGCATGTAGATGTGCATCCAAGTATGGATGAGTATGCAAAGTACCAAGTACCAAGTATAAAGTATACAACGCGGGAACTCCCAACTGGGTGAAATGCATATAGCTATCAAGGTCGAACCAAAGGTTTGATTATTGCCATATAATTGAATTACAATTATAATTAATTATCATGCTAAGAATAATCACGGTAATTTTTGCCGTATTCATAGCTTGGCGGAATCAAGCGCCTTCACGAATCGTCATGTTAAGCTGAGCCACCGTCAGACACACAGATTTTGGGGGCCACAGAGTCAGTCACACAACGGTGGGGCTGCATTACAAGAACCCGGCATTGTGGTAGCAAATCAAGGAGTCTGACAACAATCGATTGTGGGTATATATACAGTATATACATATCATAAATATATATCAAAATATCTAAATATTAAAATAATTCAAATCAATACTGTACTGGTAAATGGGGGGTAATTTGTCATAGGGGTTTCCATAGTTTCGGGTGGTTTTAGCGTCTCCTCGCGGGATTTCTCGCTATGGTTAAGTAGGCGTTAGATCGACCGGCCCTCTCTCCACAAGATCCACAAAAAAAAAGGTGAGAGTGAGAGTGAGAGAGGGGTTGGATTCGGGCCATGTGTCGTTCTGCATTGCAAATCCTAGGTTCTGCATATTATTCCTGGTCCTTTTGTCGGTGTCTTCACTAGTGGCAATATTCATACTTCTCCTCTTCCCTGCACCGATCTTATGCAGGCGATCGGATGTTTCCACCTTATCCTAGTCTTGGGTTTTTTTGCTTCTGTTGCCCAAGTCATATCCAAGGGTGTATCTATCTTCCCTTTCCAGGCTAACCCTCCCCGAGGGAACTGGGAGGATAGTGAAGGGGGAGAAACGGGAAAACCCCCATTGGAACTCAGGGTCTTACGGTGACATTCATTTCCGGGGCCTATCAAAGTCTTAATATGACTGAGATGGGGGCTATTGCCACTGTAGATCGTACCTCTCCATATTCCGCGCGTCCACACTCGACATGGATAATCAGACAGCGATAGACATGTCAGTTTGATTATTCGGGGGCCAATAACTAAGAAAAGGATAGGAAATAGAAGAAAACTGAGTTTCTCAAGGATCGATCTCTCCACCGCGAACCAGCTAAGCTGACATGAAAGTCAAAGGATTTCGTCAGGGCAAGGTGTAGGAAGGATTCGATCCGATCGTAGGTCGTGCGACAAGACTCGCTCGTGGATATGGTCATGTGATGTCACGTGGTGCGATCTTCTCGGCACCGCAACTTTGACGCCTCACCACACGCCATGCCCACCGCGCCCGGACTTCTCCACCATCGGCTAGCTCCCTGCTGGCAACCTTTTCTTCAGAGATCCTCCTGCATCTGCGGCTGATTCATCCACCATGAAGCTCGTCCGGTACGTAATGTCCACAATCCCCGCGACACGCGCAACCATGCCTTTGGCCATGGGAGACCTTTTGATTTCCGAGCGGATGGAGCTGATGTGACCTCTTAGCTTTTTGATGAAATGCGCCAATGAGACGGTGACCCTTGAGCTGAAGAATGGTAAGTTTGCGCGCTCGATGATTGAGGTCTCGATAGCTCCCAATTCTGTTCTCCCCAAACCATGGATATCGAAGATCTCGGTTTGATGTGGTCTGGCATCAGAATTAACTTTTTTATTCAATTCATTATAGGCACAATTCTTCATGGCACCATCACCTCCGTCTCCCCGCAGATGAATACCGCCCTCCGCACCGTCAAGATGACCCCCAAAGGCCGAGACCCAATCTCTCTCGACACCATCAACATCCGTGGCTCCACCATTCGCTACTACATTCTTCCCGATAGCTTGCCGCTGGATACCCTGCTTGTGGATGATGCCCCGAAGCCCAAGAACAAGGCACGCAAGGAGGCAGACCGTGGTCGCGGCCGCGGGGGACCTCGAGGTGGCCGAGGCCGGGGTCGTGGCCGTGGGCGGGGACGAGGATTTTAATCTCATGTTTTGACCTTTCTTTTTGTTGAGAGTACCACACCGGCGTTGACTTTCATCTGCGAACCTTGGTTTCTTATCCAGCTTGCATGATCATGGGATTGCCATCCGTTGTTTTTTTTTTTGTCTGTTTCCTTACCTGGGGCTGCCTCTGATCTTGATGGGACAGGTGAAAACAAAAAGCAGCTGTTCTTTTTCATCATTTCTTTTCAGGCTTATACTCCTGGCTCTCCTCGGTTCAGGGTGCACGAATGCGGGTGAGATAACGGGGAGCTCTCTGGCTGGGATGTTGAAGAGAGATATCTAAGAAGAGGGCTGATATAGTCAGTGGACTAACTTGCATCTACTATGCTTGTTTCCAAGACCACTGTCGATCCATCGTCCCGATACCAACCTGATATATGGGGGCATTTGCACCCTGCTAGACACAATCAAAACCATTCCAAGCCAAGGGCTATTCTCCCCTAGTCACCTATGGTGCCTAATTGTCTAGGCTATTCGAGGCCAAGTGGACAACCTCGAAGACATCGCTGCCCGTAAGAACTTGGGTATCAAAGCTGTTGTCCATGGCATGAAGTGCAGGGATCAGATCAGGTGACTAAGCGGTTCCCGCGGGTGCATCCAATCCATGGATATATTCGAGGGACGTGATCTACATAAACCGATGCCGATCAGTTGGAATGATCCCTACTATGGCACCTTCTGCCGATATTAAGATGTTGTCTCGGGGGGGGGGTTTCAGGGCTTCACCATAACACGTGATTTCTATCCACCTACCCCCTGTGACTACAACAGCCAACCAACAATAGGGTTGACAATCAAACGGCTCTCTGGACCATTTTCTTATCTACAACCTACCTGACTAGAAGTGCGTATTTAATATCCACTAGTGTGCTTGTTTCAACCCCCCAATCCATTACCATCCATTATCAAACAGCTAGAGAATTACTTTACTAGATACCGATCAACCTACTGTACTGTATGTACCCTCCCGTCGATACGTATCTATAGAACCTTGGTAAATCTTACTCGGGCTGTATGGATGTGTATACAAAGATACCGATCACCTTTCGGGTCCGGATGCCGGCCCCGGGGGTGGCAGAGCAAGGATATTGAAGACTGACAAGAATCCACCAGAGTGGGCGTATATTATTTATACGCCAATCGACACAACCCTTCCCGGCCAACACTAACTTTCGGAGATCATTTCCAAAAGACATTTTCTCATTGGTCTCAAGAATCACAAGGTGGGGGAGGGAAATAACTTCCTCACGCTAAAGAACAAGAAGAAAAAGAAAAAGAAAAAATCAAGGCTTGGCTCTTCCTTCTCTTCCTTCGTGTCAGCAGAGATTCCTGTACAATTACATGTCCGTTCTTGAAATTGCCCCTGGCATCCTGGACCAAGGCAGCCCTCGTGGGTGTATATACAGTATGTATGTGTGTTTGTGAGTGTGGTCGCCCCCAAAAATTTCGGGCCCTTGGTGGCTTCATTTTCCCCCCTGCCCCGGTCGGCTCGGTCCAGGTCGGGCGCCCGATTCCCCAACATCATCGCCAGGCACCTCTTTCTGTGTCGTGACGTTTGTATGACTGGGTTGTGTCTGTTGAGGTCCCACAGGTAAAGCCGGGCGTCAAAATCTGCAGATGTTGCCGTCTTATTCCTCTACTGTTCTTTTTTTTTCCTTCCTCTTTTTCTTCTCCCTCTTGATTTGTGGCTCGTTGGGTCCAAAATGCAAGCCTGTTTACTTCAAGGAAGCCGTGAGACGATCGTATGCAGTGGCACCGGCACTGCATCTTACTGAGGAGGTTCATTTGGGTCTCTGAGCATGTTTCAGAATTTTCTTTCAATAATAATAATAATAATAATAATAATAATAAAATAAAATAAAATAAAATAAAATAAAAACAAAGAATATTATTTCTATCCTCTGCTCGGTACTTCCCTATTGAACTAAACTGCCCCCATCAACACCAAGCTAACCCTACTTGCTCGAGCGAGTCGATCAGGGGTCTTCTGAGTCAGATAGTTAGTTAACTAACTACATGAGTTACTTAGTTACTTACAAGCCACAATGTCATTCACTGAGTCATCTTCCTCCCCCTGGTTTCCCTCCCCCGGCCTTGTCCCCCTAGTCCTTGGCATAGCGGGGGCTAACAGGGGCCAATAATGGCGGGATGGTCGAAAGGAGTGAAGTGCCACGCGTTGACTCGTTTAGGTCAATGGTCAAGATTACAAGATGATTCCAGGGAGGGAGAGCACGTGCGTATCCTTGTGGCTCTTCATAGATATATATAGATATAGATATACATCCATGGATAAGTTTGATTTATTATTATCCATCTTTTATGTTATATCCATTTCAGGGTTAGATCTATATCATCCCTAGCGTTTAGCCCCTAATCTATTTGCATACTATGCTTACTTCGGTTCTACATCATATCCATGGGTGTAGCAGTCAATCTACACACCCCAACTGTGATCTAAATATAGAGTAACACCAAATGAATATCCCCATTTAACCAGAGAATGGCGATAGAGGCTGACAGTGTCCAGTCTGCCGTAGAATCCTCGGAGTTGGAGTCTCGCATGCCCCGGGTTCTGTCTCCTCCCTCCAAACCGTCCTTGTGGCCAACACCATTCCGAAGCAACGAGTGCCGATTCATTTGACCCTAGGCCAATGCACATGGTACATGGTTGCGGATCAATAAGGCTCTCTTGGGCCGTTGTCAAGCCTGTGGATCCAGTCAGGGGAGGGGCCCTGGGAATTGGTGAACTATTTGTTGATGTTCTGCTAATGTACTAATAAACACTTTATAGTTTATAGCTTGCTCGTGATTTGTATTTAAGAAAAAGGGATGAAAAACATACTAGTGGATATTGCCCCTTCTTCTTCTCCCTTTGTTCTCCATAATCACTATCTTCTCTACTGTCAGCTCCTAAAGGTAGAACTATAATAGAACCCCCCCCCCCCCCCCCCCCCCCTTTCAAACTGAGCGTCATTGCACAAGCGACCACACGGACCCAGAGACAATTTGACCTATCCATACCTATTGCTAGCTTGTGGGCGGGGGGCTTGTAATGCCTTGCGATTGAATAATGGGGCTAATATTTCTTGTTTACAGTAGAACCTTCTTACTTTTTTTTCTTAGTATCTCCCCCCCAATTTGTCCACCATGTTGCACTTGACGGGTCAGAAAAAGAAGCAGAAGAAAAGAGATTGCGGTGCCAGAACAACTTGACAGATACATACTATCTTTCTCTTTGGCTGGTTGTTAAACGTCCATAAATTTTGGCTCTTCGATATTTCGGGGCGAGTTGCTTCATCGTAAAATCGGTCTTGGAAACGCCCCCAATAGCACGGGTGTCCACCTTCTGATTTGGTCATATTTGACTTGGTGCTTGTTGACTGTCTTTCCAGCAATTGTATAGGGAAAACTTGGGTAGTTGGGTATCCAGGGTGTTCATCATATCCCGAGTATCTATGGCATCTATAGTAAAATGGCCTCAATCTCCATATATCCAGTAGTTAGATAGAACTATGAACCAGCAGTCTAGGCTCATATCAGAATAGGAGACGGCCGATCATCTCCCATATACCAGGGCAGACCTATCAACCAGAAATAGGAATCCCAACATCAGTACACAGTACACGCACATACACGACAAAACTTTGTACCTCTGCTACACCTCTCTCCAAATCCGCACAATAACCAATTTCTCCCACCCAGCCTGCATCCCACTCGACCCAACCGTCTCCGCCCGCCACCCACCCCAGCCCCGGATGCGCTCTTTCACCTCCTCAGGCCGGTTCTGGCGACATAGCAGCACATACGCGACCCCGCGTGCAGCCAGCACGTCGGGGATAGCGTCCAGCAGCTGATTAGTCGTCTCCATGCCGTCGGTGCCGCCGGCATAGGTCAATGACAAGAAATACGAGTCGCTGTCGAATTTGGCAGAACGGGACTGCTCCAGAGATGCAGTCAAAGAAGAGGGGTCGTTCTGCGCTGCCGAGGGAAGTTGCGGTACGTCCTCAGTGGGCACGTATGGCGGGTTGAAGAGGAGTACATCCACGCTGCCGGCGCGTAGTGGCGTGCATAGGTTTGCGGTTAAGGATGAGATGTGAACGCTTTGCAGTGGTGGATGCGCCGCTGATACTGACTGCTGTTGCTGGGACCGGATGGCTGCTGTCACGGTTTCGCGGGTCGCTGTGCATGCGTTCCGGTTCACGTCTGTCCCCAGCGTGAGCACATCACGCCGGCCGAAGATCTCTTGGGACTGGGCGGCTGCAAAGGCCAGTACCACCCCGGAGCCGGTCCCTGCTTCGACGATTAGGGGTACGGTGTTTGGGGTGGTTGGGCTAGGCTGGAATCTCTCAGTGAGCCATTTTGACTCGGATGCTGAGGATAGCGTGTCCAGGAAGAGGTACGAGTCCTCAGCTGGCTCGTAAATGGTGTCGAAAGAGACATGTGAGGTGTCAGGTGTAGGCAGCATTGGGTTAAAGGTGAGAAACCTGAATATCTTCGCCTGGCTGCCTCTTTGTCTTTAGAAATGATTGGAGCTGGTGCTGGCGTAGTAATTCGCATGGATATATATCTCGTCGAAGTGGGGTGTCGGAGTCACTCGAAGACAAAAAGTGCCGGAATTAATCGAGAATCAAAGAGATCTCACGGAAACCAAACCATCAAGTATTTCGCTATGCAATATAGAAACCTCGTAGCATTGTCCATTTGAACAAGGCGTCGTTCATGAAAATAGAAAAAGCTCTCGGGCCGATCGCTCGCCGCTTTCGCGGATCCCCAAGAATTATGTCATTCTGCACCTCTCCCCCAAAACTCCATCCTCCACTACACAACCATGCGTCTCGCCCACCGGTTACTCATGGCCACGCCGACCTCAATCGGCTCCAAATCCAGCCTGAGCGAAGCCCTCGCCCTCCTCCCCCCGCTGCAGCTCTACCGGCGCATCCTGCGCGTCCACCGTAAACTCGACCCGGAGATGCGCGTACTGGGCGATTCGTACGTGAAGAACGAGTTCCGGGCGCACCGAAACGTGGATAATCCATTGCATATTGTACGTTTGCTCTTTTGATGCTTCATTCCCGATTTTTTTTTTTTTTCTGGGTCTGAGGGCTGGGTCTGAGGGCTGGCTGCGGAGAAATGGGAGTTGGAGAGCTGACATGGGATCGGTGGCAGATCGGCTTCTTGACCGAGTGGCAGCTCTACGCGCAGAAATTGGAGGGCGACCAGTGGGCTGGGGATAAGCTGGATAAATCCAAGTTGGATAAGATGAGTGGTATGTCTTCTTGTGGAGGGGGTGCAGCTTGCTTGGTTGATCGGGTTGCATGCTGACTCGGGGTGTTGGTAGATCAACAACTCGGACAATTGTACGAGCTCATGCAGGCTATTCGCAATAAAGATGGAGAGGAGAAATGAGGATCCAACTTATGCCGAGGTCGACGCTGGTACTCTAGGGAAGGGTGCGAGGATTCCCCTCGTCCTGCCCTGTCGCTGACCCCAGATGACCCCCGAGGGTTCGACTCCCAGAAACTAGGTAGCCGCAGACGGCTCTTGGTTTACTTTGCTACATTACCAATGGACCCGAGAAGGTGTGGTTGCCAGGAGATGCGGGCGTCTCCAACATCCAGCCCAAGGGTCTCTGTACATATGCACTGCGAAAGAGATATAGGATTGGAGATGGTACTTGGCAGCTTGTCCCAGTAGCATCTGCATTTTTATAGATCTCTATCTGTGCCTAGCTCTGTGCGGGGATCGTGTTTTGTATATCGCAACTACAACTGGTATGCCTTCTAGACGATGGAATTGAAGATGTCTGTACAGCCATGAACACCAAAAAGATCAGCATCTACCCAAGATCGAGCCAATTCAACCAGATCTGCATACTCTAAAAAAAAAAGACCATCCAATAGACAACCCTTAACCAGTGGAGATCGGAACGCCCTGCGAATGACAGGCTGACTCATCTATTCTCCGCGGACTTGATCCGAGAAATATAAAAACTGGCTATCCAATTGTCCAATTAACCTAGAAATACTATTCTTCCTGCTATATACACTCATATTCATACTAACATCTATCCCTCTTACCCACCTCTGATCCTTTCTTTCCATTCCATCTTAACCTGCAACCAAAATGCCCGCTATGCTAGAAGACCCCTCCACCCGTACCCCCCCCACCCCCAGCACACATCCAAGCCGCACACCACATCTCCACCCAACACATAACCCTCCCCAAAGCCAGCGGCGCCGGCCTCACCCTGCACCCGATCACCACGGGGCCGGGCAGCGTGCCGGCAGATCTGATCCGGTTCCTGCACGCCGAGTTCAGCGCTGAGATCCTACGCGGCGCGACGTATCCTATGGAGCAGCCGATGGCGCTGGATCAGTTCGCGGAGTATTGGTTTGGGACGTTTGCGGTGGTGGCGGTTTTGGATGAGGAGGAGCTCAGCGGGAGTAGTGATGAGCTGCGCGAGGGCAGGCAATGGGAGAATGTGTGTCTGGGTACGTTTTATATCAAGCCGAATTATCCTGGTATGTATCACTTGACACCCTATTAATATCTATACCTATGAATATAGCTCTTTAGACTTTAGAGTGTCTAACATATCCATATATATATATATATATGGATATAAACATGCTAATGCTAATTCTCCAGGCCGCTGCTCCCATATCTGCAACGCAGGCTTCCTCACCACCACCGCAGCGCGCGGCAAGGGCGTCGGGCAAGCCATGGGCGAGGCGTATCTAGAATTCGCGCCGAAGCTGGTATGCTTTCCTTTCCTTTCCTTTCCTTTCCTTTCCTTTCTTCTTTTCTTCTGCTTTATCCATTCATACCACCTTCATATACCCCAATATAATGAATATCCATTCAATGCTAGAAACCAGATCACAATCAACCACTAACTGACTCTATACAGGGCTACAAATACTCCGTTTTCAACCTCGTCTTCGCCAACAACCCGGCCTCAATCCGCATCTGGGAGAAACTCGGCTTCAGCGTGATTGGGCGCGTGCCCAAGGCGGCGCGGTTAGCGAACAGCGAGGAGCTGGTAGATGCGTTGATATTCGGGCGCGAGCTGGGCAGTTGATTTGCGGGTTCATGCTATAAGATTTCTAGATACATAGAGATTTCCTACTTCCATACCTATATTACCTACATTACCTAATTCCTTTTTATAGGTATGTATACTTGAGTATTACGCTCATTCAATAAATCAAGGTTATTGTGATAGCAGATAAAAATACAGAGAATATTCACATCGGCCGAAGAGAAGAAAAGACAACACGAGATTAACCGAGTCAAACATGAATGAAAAAACCCCGACGCAGATGGTGACCAACGCTCAGAACCATGCAAAGCAAAACAATGGGGGATATCACGCAAAATCCGAACCCACAAAGAATCAAAAAGAAAGAAAATATGCCTTTGTCTTTCTTGCTCTCGCCCTCACCTCGAACACCGGAAAACCATATTCAAATCGACGTCGGAGAGAAGAGGTAAAAAGACACAAGCCAAGAAAGTTAACACACACATGGAGAGAAGAGAAGAAAAGAGCAGAGAGGAAATAGTAGGAAGACGAAAGGTAATTAGGTGAGGATAGGGAGGAACAGGTGTAAAATGAGTCTTGGGACGGGTGAGAGAAGAAGACGGAAATTAACGCCACGGCGGCCGTTGATCCAGCTTCTTCTGTGCTGCAGATCGATCCTTTTCGTTTCGCGGCTTCGGCAGAGGCAGGAGACTAGTCCGGCGATTGCTGGAATGTCCTAGCGCAGTGCCGGGACGAGTCGACTTGCTGGGACTCTCACCTGCATCGTGGCTCTGCGAGGCGCTGCGATTGGCAGAGCCGAGGCCCGCAAAGCTCTGTCGGCTGCGAGGAGTGTTGGACATGCCTGATGGCCGGCGAAGTCGACTATACGGCGGAGGATCGAGGAGAGAGGATCGGATCGGGGTGGGAGAGGAAACGTTGCGTCCAGGGCTCCGAGAGGTGAGGCGACTGGATACACGGCTGACCGATCGACCGGCACTGGGGGCCGGCGAGGTAGAGAGGTCGCGGTGGAACGGAGTGGGAAGTGGGATGGTCGATGATGGCCGCGATGAACGGACAGGGGCGGATGATTTGCGGTGTGTAGAGGGAGTTGTGGTGCTGAGAGGCTTGAAGTTGTGCCCAGTATCCAACCCTTGGGTGTTGGTGCTGCCGTTCCAACGTGGGCGATTATTCGCCGGTGATGGTGGTGGCAGGCGAGATGTTCTGCGTGCGGCAGGCGTCGGTGTAAGTGCGGGATTGGTCCTGGATGGATTTGGAGACGCAATCCCATTGGGCTGAGGGAGGGAGGACTTGCGACCCGTCAACGTCGACGCCGGCTGTGGCACGCCCGAGTAACGACGGCTCTTTGGCAGAGCCGAGCGTGTGGTAGCGCTGCCGACTGAACTTTCTCGGCGGCTCGAACTGCCCATGGGCGTCGAAGAACCCTTATATCCACTCCCACCGAGAACCACCGACGACGCGGGCGAGCTGCCAGGGGTTTCGATGGCACTACCCGTCGCAGGACTGTCCATGGTGATGATGCTGGAGATCGAGTCACGCAGCTGCTGGCCCTTGACAATCTGCACGTCTTCAAGAGACGAGTCCATCACGCGAAGACTAGCCTTGAGCGCGTCAGTCCGAGATGTCATATCGGATAGCAGCCGCAGAATCTCGCCGTTAACCGTCAGGCGGTCGTTAATGCCCTTCTGGATGATCATGATCACACGCTCGATAGCCGGAACGTAGTGCATCTTCTTCGCCTCGTAGTTCTCGATGCGCTTGGTCAGAGTTGCCGGACTGTGCAACTGCACGCCGGTCTCCAGCCCCTCTTGCAGCTTGGCGATGCTGCGCTCGACCGAGTCGAACATCTTCTGGGCCTGGCTGCCCGCGTTGCGGAACACCAGAATCCACTTGTCCTCTCCCAATTCCTTGCGCAGAGCTTCGGCATCCGCCTCAAGCACTTTATAACTCTTCTCCAAGCGACTGCGTCGATCGTCAAGCTCCTCACATGCACTCGGAAAGATTGCTTCGGCCCGCGACTGGAACATGGAAAGCCGCATGGGCAAGAAGTCCAGCGACGCCCGCAGAGGTTGCATGCGCGCAAACAAGGCCATGAGGTTGGAGTGACTGGAGTCATCCTGCGGTGTCTTGATGATAGGCGTGCCTGACGCCGCCGCCAAGATGGGCCCAATACTCAGCCGGTTGGTCGAGGGCGATCGGCCCTTGGTGGGAGATTCTTCCACGATGGTCTCCAGCTCATTGATGTCGAGACCGCCATTGGATTCGCCGTTGTCCATCAGGGCTTGATGTCGCTTCTCCTCCATTTCGAAGATCAGCCCACTCAGGTTGTCCACTTCCATGCCCACATCGCCCAAGACGTTCGACCACAGCTCCTCCCATTCCATTGCCAATTCCACCTGCTCTTTCACGCCCCTGAGTTTGGTTTTGATCTGTGCCCAGTTCTGCAGGATGCTCTCCATTTGGCTCACAATGTTTTGCAAGCTCTCGGAGTCGACGTTGGCAATGTCCTCTCGTAGCTGTACGTTTTCAATAGCTGTCACATAGACGTTGACCAGGGATTCGAATCGTGTGATGGCCTTGTCCACACCATCCAACCCTTCTCGGCCGCCGGCCGCGGCCCATTCCACATCATCCTCCGCATCCAGTCCACTCAGCACATCCGACGCCTTCTTGATCCAAATCTGGATTTGCTCGGCAGCCCCGTTCAAAGCTCGGACCGCCGCAAGGGCCGTGGAGATATTCGCAATACTCGCCTCGAGCGACGACGGCTGCGGTAGAGGAATGGCTGTTAGCTGAGACAGCTGGTTGCTGAAAGAGGCACGAGAGAAGGAGTATATTGATTCCGTCCGTTGAAGCCCCTTCGGGTTGAAATAAGAAGACTGCGGGTTGGATGAGGATATCAAATAGGCTGACGGAGAATCCGCTGCCGGGGAGTCTGCCGACGGGTGTGCCGGCGCGGATTGCGCTTCGCTCCTTGCCGTGTCGTCGACATATTTTTCGAAGTCGGTTCGAGTATCCTGGACGGGATCATTGGGCAAAGCCTGTGATTCGGGGTCAGCGCGCAGCTGCGCGGGAACCGGCTCCGCAACAGACATGGAGGACGTAGGCGGGTTGCTGGTGGTAATTTCTGGGCTCTGGGTAGTCGCCAGGTTCTGGGCGGTGGACTCAACGGGGAGTTCCGGACTGTCCACGATCGCGTTGGCGTAGTCTACCCCTTGCCCGCGCGCCTCTGACACCTCTCGCAATAGATCGCAACGGGGCAATTCCAAGTTGTTAGATGCGCTCCGGGTTTGGTGCTCCGATTGGAGTCCCGGAGACGTGAGTGACGGGCCACTCCACGCCTGGCCTTTCCTCTCAACCTTGATCGAGAGGTCCTGGTGGAGACTGTCGAGCTCCTTGAGGTGCTTTTCCGGGATGCGACCGACGTTGGGATTCCGAGACGAGTTCGTCGCCTTGTTGCTGCCGTCCAGCAGCTTCACCCGGGCCGCTAACGCGGGAGACAGACGGCGAAGGATTGACGGTCGGGCCTTGTCGGACGCGGACAGGTTTGTGGGGGAGGGCTCGTCGTCGTGATTACTGCTCCCCAGGCTCCACAGGGAGGATTTGGATTTCAAGCGGCGGAGAGTGGAGGGACCGGGATCATTGGGGGAGACGGAGACCGCGGGGGAAGGGGACGGGGGGATGCGGACAATACGGACGCGTTGGATGGGTGCGTCGCGCGGTCAGTCGCAGAAAAAGTTGGACCGTCAACTGTGGCATGCATGGATACAGGCCCGGGGGGTTGGAAAGAGGGAAAAGGGAAAAGATGCGATTCAGGCAGGGATGGACAAGGAATGTTTCGTCTCGTTCGGTAAACGATAGGGCCCCTTCTGGCGGCTTTCAGGGTGGAAGAAGCGACAATTTGAGCAATCAAATACAATAAAGAGAGAGAAAGAGATTGAAGGCTACATGGCCAGACCCTGTATATATTCCATGAGAAAGAAATTGGGCAGCAACATAAAAAAAGGCGTTTGAGACAGAAACGAAAAGAGGGATGAAGTGGCCAGTTACGTCGGCTGTCAGGGTACATGGCACCCGCGGCGGTTTACTATGGGCCCGGATGTACCCCCCCTCGGTATGTAATTCAAGGGATCGACAGGGCGATCCGATGAAATCATTCCATATTTCTGCAGAATCACTTCTTTTAGAATAAACCCCTGTCTCATTTTAACAATGAAAGACTATGAAAGACGTTGCAAGTTGAGAGGTTGAGCATGGCCCGATCTATAAAACGCCAACCCACTGGACGAGTCGCCTTGGGTCAGGGGCATATTTCCTGTGGATCAGCCATGTGGTTACCGTTACAATATCCAACTCTGATATATGGGTACTTTCCAGTACCTAAGAAAGGGGGTCAAGTAGTCCCAAAAAAAAGAACAAAAAAAAAGAACAAAAAGCCAATGCTGAGACCAAGAGATGCTCGTTTAATGCGGGCAAATGCAACAGATTCCAAACGAGACCAACACCAGATGCGGAGGAACATATCGGGGGGCAATTCAGGGGTATCTAGTTAAAAATGCCCGGGGAGAGAGAAAAGAAAAGAAAAGAAAAAAATCAAAAAATCAAAAAATCAAAAACAAAACCGAAAACCAAGATGCAAATGCACTTCATCATTTCCTTCAAATCAGACCGGCACTCGGGGGCCGCCCCGGGTTGGCCGCCTGCCAATCTCGCACCAGCTCCTCGCGGACCGTCTTGCACCATGCCAGCAATGCCGTATCGAATTGCTTCCAGGCGACTTCGCTGTTGCCCTGGACGATCCCCATCACGTCCACCCCAAGCCGGAGCTCCCATCGCAGCTCCGCGGCCTTGACCCAGAACCGGAGGTTTTCTGCCTGCCGGTAGGGTTTGGCGATGTCCTGGTGGAAAGCTTTAATTTCGCCGAAGGGCCGCTTGGACTTTTTGATCGCAAGGTTGTGCAGCTGCACCAGGACCCGGCCATCTCGGAAGCGGTCCAGGAATGGGGTCGGCAGGGAGTCGGGGGCCGCCTCCTCGACGGGGGTCCACTCCGGCAGGGAGTCCCCATTTTGCGCCAGACTACGGAGGAAGGACTCCTCACGGGCTCGCTCTCGCCCTGTCCAGTCACCATTGGCCCAGTCCCAGCTCTGTCGTTCCTGGGCTTCAAGGTCTTCGAGCGCCTTCTCGCGAACCAGCATGGTTCGGACATTGGAAATCCACCCTTGAACCACGACACGTTCCTCCTCGCGCAGCCCGCTGGCGAAATGGCGCGCTGCCCATCGTTTCAGGACATCAAGCACATGGAAAAGATCCTTGCGGATCTCGCGCTCACTCTTAATGGAGGCCAAACGGTCCGGGCGTTCATGAGTAGTATAGTAAATCTTGGCTGCCCGGATGGCCATAGTCACATCGTCGAGAATGCACATGCCCTGCGCCTCCTCTTTGGTTTGAGGGGCCAGTGCCTCTCGCGATTGCTCATCTTCCGATGGCTCGGGGACATCGCCCGGGGACAGACTGGATCGCAGCGGTTCCCGCGGAGGAGGCTCCGCGCCATTCTCGATAGCCTCGATATTCTTTTCCGCCTTGTCCAGCGCAATCATTAAATCGCGGCGCAGGGACATCAGATCCGGCGGAGGCGGTATGTGGTGTGTTTTGATGCTATATGTGCTCACGGTGGGCGGCAGCATCACCTCGCCGTCCTCATCTTCGTGACCGGGCTCCAATTCCGCCGAGTCCGTCATTTCCGTCGGGCTTGCGGTGAAATCATCCATATTCCGCTCGTTAGGGGTGATCAACACCCGGGGCACATTCTCCTGATTCTTCTTCTTTTGATACTCGCGACCTCGGCCACCTTTCCCGTCCAACAGGCCCGTCCGAGCAAAATAGTATTGTAGGTGGGCAATACTGCCCAGGCTCATGACGCTGTCGCGGTGTCGGGCTGATTCGGAGAACTCGGCTCCAAAGGCGCGGATGTATCCATGGCGGCGGGACGAGGTCGAGATGGTTGACCGTGCATCTGCGGAGGTGGCGGAGGATGTGGAGCGGGAAGAGGTGGAAGAGAAAGTGCGGTCTGGGGAGGAGTACGATGAGATGGCGGGCGTGGGTGGAATTGAGGGTGAAGGCGAGAAGGCCCGGATGGGCGGCGAGATGGTTTCAGCGTCCATGGGCCGCGACTCGTCCATGGGGGATGGGGGATGGTATCAGAGAGATCGGGCTCAAGTCGATCGATGCACGCAAGAGAACTAGATGCCACTGGAATGTGAAGAAGAGACCAGTCTGCCTTCTGGCCACAAGAGAATCAATTCGAGCCCAAAGAAAGAAATGAAACTGCTTTAATGAAACTCGACCGATCGTCGGGAGAATCTTGGACAAAAGGGGGTTTCTAACGGGGGCTAAAAGGGGGGAAAGCGGGTCAGGGCTGATTATTCACGAAACTCCCCGTGCTCTAGCCTTGCACTGACATGGAGATTCCTGCTATTTACTGCTATCTACTGTAGTATTAAATGATATGGCTAGCTTTATCTTGATCTGTCATTAATGATCTCTTGTCTATCCATGGTTACCTCCGAGGTCGGAGTATACCGGTACACTATTAGGCAGTGTTTTAGGGCTAATTTATTCTCTGGGTTGACAATGTTGTGATATTTCCTAAGTGGGAATCAAACCGTCATCCATCGATGTATATGGATGTCTCTCCATTGCATAATCAGAACAACAGTCGTGTCTACCGTGGAAATGACGGGACCATCCCGTTGATGGCTTGTGGGGGTCTTTATTAATATGCGCCCCCACGTTTCTAAAAAAACAGAACATTCCATGGACCTTCCTTGACGTGACCCAAACCCCGCAAATTCAATGAGAGGAGATGTCTATGATTTTTTGACGCTTCCACAACGCCGACCTTAACGCCCGAAACCACCGTGAAACTCCCAATACCACCCATGCTTAGAACACCTCCTTTCGTTCCCATCCCGTCGACCGCAGGTTCTCAATGCCCTTGGTCGGATGCGCCTTGGTCGGGTCGGAATACTGAGTCTGATAGGGGTTGGGATCCGCAGCCTGATTCAGGTTGCTGAGGGTGTGGTTTACCTCGCGGTGCTTGGCTTCGTCGGCACGGATGTACATCAACAGATCGCGCATCTCGCGTTGGCCCTCGGGCATTTGCCAGTACTGCACCGCAATCGCGGGTGCTTTCAGATGACTCCATTCGGGCAGTTTGCCCTCCTCGATCTCCTTGATGGCCCGCGTGTAGGTGATGACCGCTTCCTCTTCGAGGTAGCCGACGAATCGGTGGCAGATCCGCGGGGAGATCAGGTAGGATAGGAAGAAGCCGTTGAAGAAGACTCCTTGGGCACCGAGAACCATCATCCGCATGAACCACCCTGGCTCTGCGAGCTTGAGAAATGTGAGTAGGTGCATGCGCTCGTTGAACGCTTCTTCGAGCAAGGTTTCGATCCTGTTGGAAAGAGGGGAAAATGTTAGGGTGAATCCTAAAGCAAGATACTATGGTCTGGGTACGTACCATCCATTGTCCCTCTTCATGCGTCGCAGACTCCGCAGGTGTCGCAGCATGCCGCCGACCATTCCTGGAACACCGGCCACACTTTCCAGGAAAATAAACCGGGCCATCCATTTCTTCTCAGTCATCTTGAACTTGGCGGGCGGTTCCTGGCCCGGCTCCGGGTGTCGGTATCCAGTCACAAAGTCCATGCCCCATCGAAAGACGCGCACCGTTCCCAGGGCGACCCAGTCCGACCAGTTTGTTGCCTCCCGGTGAGCAATTTTAACATGGCGCATCTGATCTTCGGTGTACCTGGAAATTGCTATCAGCCCGGGTCCTCAACCGCTGTCGAGTCATGAGAGAACGTACACTGGGTGTTTCCATGCCGATGCCACCTCCTTGATGTTTGGGTCTTTGGGAGGCGGGAAGAATTCCTTGATCTGTTTCTGAGGTGTGGAGGAGATGAGGCGTTTGGGCGTGTGGGGGAAGAGTGCGCTGTAGGCTTGACACGAGCTGTTGAAACTCATGACGGCAACCCCAGAGTATGTGCGGACTGCCAACTGAAGGTATTGCGGACGAGCTGCAGCCCGGAAGGGCGCGGTGGAAAGTGAGTTCATTGTGGCAGAAGGTGATAAGCGAATTGTATGAAGGTAGTGGTAGTGTGTGTAGTATGGTACGGTTGATCTCTGAGAATTCAAGTGATGGAGTGTTTTGGATGATCTCAGCCAGCGTCACTGGAGAGTCTTTATAGGAGAGACTGCGCAAATTTCGACAAACCCGATTTTGCACGAAAAGGGTCGGATCCACGTTCAAAGAGGAATCTATCAACTGAGTTCTTTATTTTTTTTTTCTTTCTCTACATCGCCGTTCCTGGAAGGATGACATTCCGTGGGGCTCATTGGCTGTTCCCATACAAACATCGTACGCCTTCTCCACCGGCGATCATCCACGCTTGGCCTCCGTCGACACCACAGGCATCTCTTGCCTCTGCACGACCCTGCTCTACCTTCCATCGTCGAAGAAGAATCAAGCTCATCAGCCTTCCCATTATCTTTGCAAGATTCTCTCGGTCTTGTCGTACTCTTGTGCCTGTCATCCGAATACCGTGTCGCCAGCGCAGGTGACCTCGGGAGGAGTCGGGATGGCCAACTATGACTCAGCTCATCTTGCTGTTTGAACGAGCATCGCCTCAAGAAGGCCGCCCGATCCCCGAGAAAAGATCGGGCTCGGGGATCGACTCGCCGACTCTGCCGTTTGTGTCGGGATTTGTTTGGTTTCAAGAGTTCACCGGTGGCCGAAGGGATAATAACCCTGTTGGAGGCCTGAGAAACCGGTGACAGCCCCCGGTTCCCGCCGATGATATGGCGTATGGTTATATCAAAGTCTGACTTGTAGATCTTGGTTCTGTGGGCCTGATATCATAAAGTCTTGTATATTGGTGTTGCCGGTTATTCTCTGAGGATTGTTGTACATTTACTGCTGTTATTACTAACTAGGGATACCCTCTTTCTCTGCTCTACTACTCAGCCATGACTGAAGAATCCAAGCATAGAATGAAATATGCTCAATTGACCGCCCCAGAATCCACCGCAGTGGGTTTGAAGGATTTCCTTGGCTTAAATAGATGGACCTACAATGAGCAGGTTTGAGAACAATGATCGACAAGTGTTCCAGAGAGAGAAAGGGCCTGATTCATGAAACGATATCTCTTCAAGGGGTGGACACGAGAAACAGTCATAACATTTATGGATGCCATCATTCAAACGAGAGAAATCAAATTGTAAACATGATCCCCAAGTCAGCTCCTCGAGTGAAACATCGACTCCGCAGTCCGCATCACCGCGAAATGATCCTCGCCATCGCGCGGCTCGAGCTCCCGCTTCTCGAGCTTGACCACATGCGCCATGCGTGGGCCCTTGTTGACCTGCTGGAGTAGCTTTTTCAACGTCTCTTCATCTCCCTGGGCCTCGCCTTCAACCTATCAACATCAAATGTCATTAGTTATACACATACTTAGATATCGCCGGATGGTATTGTCCCAATGGAGCATGCACCCACCTTTCCGCACGTGGTGTTTCTGACCCAGCCCCTTAGGCCGTAGCTGGCAGCACATTTCTGTGTAAAGTCCCTGTTGGGAATGGCAGGGTTAATGACCTGCTCCATCTCGTAGATGACGTCATCGGATGAGCGTGAGGGAGGGCTCCTTACCGGAAGCCAACACCTGGGAGTTGATGTTAGAAGGAGAAGAATGCACATGAAAGAAATTCAGATATATAGCCCGTTGGTTTCATCCCGGTATATAGATGACTTACCTTGGACAGTGCCGTGGACTTTGAACGCAACCTGAGAGGAGAATATCGTCAGCAAAGCAATCCTGCGGTTGATTAATCGATCTGGAAACACCAAAAGGGTCCGATAAACCAAGACATCCAAAATAAACAAGAGAACTCACTCGTTTGGTTGTCATGGTGGATGTTGGATGTGAACGAAGTTGAGTGGAGGATGAGTGGGAGGCGTGGAACTGATGTATGCGTGCTTCGGGGCGGCTTCCCCGTGTAAATGGGAATTAGCTAGATATCAACACACGATTACTTTAAAAGAAATCGATCAATTAGACTCCCTCGGTATACTTTAATTTAGTACAGATGTGATATTGGTGTGTGCTGATTGGGTGTAATGGCATGGGATCTACAAGAAGCGCAAGTCCAATTTATACCGAATTTACTCCTAATAACCTAACGCCACATGAACATTGGAGAAAAAATTGCAGGAATAATTGTCACAAAATACTCATTCATCCAAACTAGTCATTTATGGCGTGCAGCAAAGCAGCGTAAGGATCAGCCAGTTGACGGGACCTCGGCCCCCTGAGTAAACAGCGGCCTTTCCACCGACTCCGAATTTCTGCCTCTCCAAGCCCGCGCCATGCCAATCTCATAAAATGCCTTCGCTCCTTTCGTGGCTTCGGCGCCTCTACTCGCTTGATACACTCGACACTCGCTTCACTACCTCCGCCTCCACCTCTACTCAAGCAGACGCGCGACCCCCATCCGCCAAAGATGCCCGCGCCAACGCCGTTGCCCAGGGCGCGCCCGCACCCCTCTGGCGTACCCCGGAATTCTTCGTCTACTACCTCTTCTTTATCACACTTGTACCGTTGATGTTCAAGACTGTGGCTGATGCCTCGAAGGGTGAGTTGGGTCTGTGGAGCGGGCGAGGGAAGTGTGTTGTGTTCTGTGGCCGAGGGTACTGATTCGGTGCCACGAAACCAATAGAGAGCCACCCGATCTATTCATCCTACTCTGACCTCTTGTCACCGGGGTGGATCCCTGGCCGGAAAGTGGTGAGTGCTCATTCGCGATACGCACTTGATGATCCCTGTTCAAGGCAATCGCTGTTCGTGTCCCCAAACCGAGCTCCAGCTGACCTCCGCGGCTTCAAATGATACCAGGACAACTCCGACGCACAATATGCTAGCTTTCGCGATAATATCCCTTACCTTTCCTTGCTGGTGGTTGCTCATCCGCTGCTCCGCCGAGTCTATCAATCGTACACGAGTCGGACCGGTGCCGAAACGAAACCCGCACATCCCTCCGTGACTGCGGCGGGCGACGCGCAGTTCGAGCAGCGCATGCGATTTGATTTTGGATTTGGGCTGGTGTTTATCACGGCTCTAAATGGGATTTCCGCCCTAAAGGTGCTTTTGATTTTGTATATCAACTACCGAATTGGGAAGAGTCTCCCTCGGTCCTACGTTCCCGCCGTCACTTGGATTTTCAATATCTGCATCTTGTTCGCCAATGAGCTATGCACTGGATACCCCCTTGAACGGATAGCCACGGTGTTGGCTCCGGGATCTGGGTCAGGAGAAAAACGAAATTTGTTGGTTCAGTGGGCTCAAACACTGGATAGCTTTGGTGGAATCATGCCGCGGTGGGAAGTCCTCTTCAAGGTCACCGTGTTGCGTCTTATTAGTTTCAACATGGATCACCACTGGAGCGTTGACTACTCCGCCGCTAGTCCAATTGAAGTTTGTCTCCCCTACGGATCTTAGCTGCGAGCTGAAACTGACTGAATTCCACAAGAAGAAGCAACTTGATCCTGCGGCCCTGTCGGATCGAGACCGGGTGAAAATCCCAGCCGAACAGGCCGTTTTCAACATGCGCAATTATATTGCCTATGTGCTTTACTCGCCGCTGTACCTGGCGGGTCCGATCCTGACGTTCAATGACTATGTATCCCAGCAGCGATACACGCCACCATCACTGACCCGCACGCGCACACTGCTCTATGGCGTCCGTTTCTTCCTGACCTTGCTCTGCATGGAGCTGATTCTCCATTACATCTATGCAGTCGCCATCTCCAAAGCATCCCCGGACTGGTCCCTCTTCACACCCGGCCAGCTCAGCATGCTCGCCTTCTTCAACCTCCATATTATCTGGCTGAAACTCCTCATCCCCTGGCGCTTCTTCCGCCTCTGGGCACTCATAGACGGCATCGACCCGCCCGAGAACATGGTCCGCTGCATGTCCAACAACTACTCCGCCTTCGGCTTCTGGCGCGGCTGGCACCGCTCCTTCAACCGCTGGATCGTCCGATACATCTACGTGCCCCTCGGCGGCGGCGGAGGTGGCGGCAGAGGAGCAAGACAGCCGGCCGCCGGGAAAGCAACACCCGCACCACCGCAATCCAGCTTCAGCGACAAGGTCCAGCGCATCCGCAATTTCCTGTTGGTGTTCACCTTCGTCGCGCTCTGGCACGACATCAACCTCCGCCTCCTGATGTGGGGCTGGCTCATCACTCTCTTCGTGCTGCCCGAGGTCCTGGGGAACATGTTGTTCCCGGCTCGTCGCTGGCGCTCTCGCCCGACGGCGTATCGGATCCTCTGTGGTGTCGGCTCCGTCGGTAACGTCCTGATGATGATGGTTGCCAATCTGGTTGGCTTTGCGCTGGGCCTGGATGGGCTTAAGGATCTGCTGAATAGCCTTACGGGATCCTTCTCGGGGGCTGCGTATTTGGTTTCCTGCTGCGTGGTGCTGTTTGTTGGTGTGCAGGTCATGTTTGAGATTCGCGAGGATGAGTTGCGCGCTGGTATCAACTTGAAGTGTTGACCATTTTCTTCCCTGTTTTGCATATCCAGTCTATATAATCAGTTTTGCATTTTGCATTTTTTTTTAAATTTGGGAATGGAATGGCATTAGTGTGGCCTTGTTCTCTATCTTAACTATTGTACAGTGGGTTTGCCATGCGAGTCATCCAATCATTAATAAAACAGAGAATAAAAAGTACAGGTAAGGGGTACAAGGTCAACTCAAACCCCAATTCAGAAAAAAGCACCGCACCGCGAATCCTCATGCACCTTATAGCAATCCAGCCCGCACGTCCGCAAATGACAGGTCTTGCACCTGATCTTCCCCCAGTACCCACACAAACAGCAGAAATGGCGCGGCGGCTGCGACGAGGACGGCGGCGCCGCGCGGGCCGCGTTATAAGGGAGCGGCGGCTCGGCTAGCAGCAACTGCATGATGCGGTCCGAGGGGGCCGACGGCGCATACGAGCGCAGGAGGGGGTGGTTGTCGTGCTCTGTTTTGATGAGTTTTGGTTTGGGCTCGGCGTCGGCGGCTTCGTCATTGTGGTTATTGTTGTCGGGTGATGTTTCGGCTTCGGGATGGGTGTCTGCCGTTTCGGATACTGATGGGGCCGGTGTCGGTGTCGAGGTAGCGGTAGTCGTGGTGGCAGCAGCAGCAGCAGAGGGACGTTTGCGGCGCGCAGCACTAGAAGAAGCCGTCGCAGGCGTTGAACTTCTCCGTGCCGCAGCACTACTCCCACTCCCAGCAGCAGCAGCAACTTTCCCCGTCTTGCCACCCGCGCCGCCGGTCTTCGCTTGGAGTATGGCATTCACATTCGCACCCCCGCCACTACCACTGCCAACACCAGTACCCATCGCTAGCGCCGCCTCCTCATCATCCAAGTGATTCCGGAATGTTTTCTGTGACTGCAAGATGCGGCGCACGTTCGAGGTGGTCTTGGCGCGTGTTCCCCGGGACCCGGCCTCCTTGGCCTGCTTGACCGGCACCGGGATCTGCACATCGCGCTGGTTCTCGCGGTCCAGCTCGGCAAGATGGCGCATGATTGCGTTCGCTTGGCGCGAGGACACGTCGCCGCCCTTGCCGGCGTCGCGGATGCCGCGTTTGCGGCCGAGTGTGGGCGCCATCGCTGCTTGTGCGGGGTTGAAGCCCCGGTCTGCGACGTAGGTGTAGCCCGGGGTGGCTACTGAGGAGGAGTCTGGGAGGAGCTCGACGCGGAACATTGTGGGTGTTGTTGAAGAGTTGAAGATGGAAGAAGGGTCGCGATGTTGGATGTTTGGCTGGAGCTGATAAGCTTTTTATTTGTTCTGTTTGCATTGTGCGATAGCTCTCCAGCTTGGAGCTTCGGAGCTTCGGATAGCTGTGTGTACGTACATAGAGCTAGCTACTTGATGTATGAGGAATTCCCAAGATAATGATTTCAACATAAATACAATATTTGAAGAGACTTAGTCTTGTTGGAGACAGCCAGTTCATACAATGTCCAACAAGCATTCAATCCATGAAGAGACACCGCGAACACCTCGAGATAATTACAATTTTTCTTTCTTTTTTTTTCATTTTTAAACAAACAGCGAGCCCAAAAGAGCACCTCATTTCTTCTTCTGTAGCTGATCCACCTTGCCCTCCAGCTCCGTAATGTACGATTGAAGCTTGAGCGTGGCCGACTGCAGTGCCTGTAGAAGTAACAACCCAAGCATCTCCCCCGGACAGAACCGGAGAAGATATCATGACTGAATCAGCGTACATAAACAATAAAAGAAGCATTAAAAAATCGAAGGGTTTCTTAAGAGCAGTAATATAAGAACTTACCGAGATGTCATCCGACAGCATCTCATTGGCAACGCGGTAGTCTCCTAGCACATAGTAGTAGACCGACGCGCCCGCGGCAACCGCCCCGGTCAGAAAGCCGAAGACCCTAATGGCATTATTAGCAAGGAAAACCTAAGAAATGAAAGATATCTATACATACCCTCCTCGGAAAGCTCCCACGGGCTTCCTTGCCGGCAGAGGCGCGCCCTCCCAACGGGCACGCGATACCGAGAACGGCCGGATGACGACGCGTCCGCGCAGAGGGAGGAGTAGCTGGGGACGAACGATCATAGTGACACGAGGGTCAGCAAAATAAAATAAAATAAAAAGATAGTTCAAAGGGTGAGATCGTGCGAAATGCAGAGGACGAAGTGTGAAGTTGAGGGGGGTGACGTTGACAAAGGGTGGTCCGGGCGGCGTCGGAACTGGGGTTGGAGGGTTTGTATAGAGGGAGGACAAGGACAATAACAATAACAAAGCAGTAACTCATATATATTCTGTACAGCTACAAACCAAAAAAAAAGCAATGAATATGATATGCCTAAGTATGATTCGCCATAGTACTCTCGTTGAATAAATCCGCCAACAGGTCATCGCGACAAACGGCAAGATCTGCGCTCTCCATGCCGTACGTCCTCTCATACACACGGATGCTCAGCCGGTCAAAGAATGGTCGGAGGACCTGCTCAACAATCTCGTCTTTGGCCATCTCCCGGATCTGGTCCGATATGAGCCACGGCCGCTTGAGGCCGTGGGAAACAGACTCACTGGGCTCTTCGGGAATCATCGGAGAGACCACCTCACGAGGCTTGAAGCTATGTGACACCTCATCAGCCAGTGCGACCGGTTCCCAGCGGTTGGGCGGGTAGACCGCATCGATAGTGTCGGTCACAAAGAGCCATTCGAGGAGCTGGAAGTCGTCTGGTGCGAGAACAAGCAGCGTGTCGAGCAACTTGCACCCCTGAAGCAGTGCGTAGGGATTGTACAGCTCGGACGGTGGGTTTTGGGGAACGGCCGAGAGGACTTCTTGTAGCTCGGCGTTGATCATAGGCCAGAACGGTGCCATGGCGGAAGGGGAGGTCTTGAGCGTGAGTGCGCGGACAACCATGAAGATTTCTGCCCGAGTTGCCGAGGAAGGAGACGACGAGCTAGTGGCAGGAAGCAGGTCTTCCAGCTTTCGAAGTAAAGCCGGAAGCTCACCCACAAAGTAATCATCGCTGGCAGACAGGATCAGCAGCGCGATGCGCCGCAGGTTGAGTTGCGCTTTACGATCTGCTTCCAGCCGGGCGGCGGAAGCCCCCACGCCGAACATAATCCCTGCTGTGCTGGGTGGCGGAAGGCGACCCAAGATCTCTGCCAGACGCTCCTTGTCGGCGAGAACCCACTGCCGGAGAAGATCCATCCAGTTGTCCTTGACCCAATCCACCTGCAATCCAAAGAAGCGAGGGTCGTTGAACGCGTCGGAGATGTCCTTCTTCCACATCTTCGCCGCTGCCGGCACTCTGGCCATTTGCTGGAGAAGCACCATAACATTGCGGCTGAGACTGTTCGGGAACAGACGCGAACGGATGAGCGGCCCGACAACGTTCGTCGACATTCCCGTGATGGCAGTGGTGATCCGGTCCGAGTCGCCCAGGGTCGTGATGAAGGACGGCATGGAAACCGCAAGAATGCTCAGGATGTCGTCGGGTCCAGTATGGGACACGGAAGTGCGATCATACTCGAAAGATGATCTCGCCAGGAGACCGGAATCTTGATTGAGTCCCAAGGGCTTGCTGGTGAACACAGCCGTGAGCAGTCGCAGTAGAACCTCCTATATTTCGCGCAGTTAATAAAATAACGAATCAAAAGAGAAAATATGGGACCACATACTCCGAGTTCCTTTCGCATGCGCCGGTCCTCGCCAAAGGTTGTGTGCTCCAGCTTTGCGCCCAAGATCGCAGCGAATTCAATCAGACGTGGCAGAATCTGCCGATGCGGGAAGGGGTTGCTAAGTACATCGCGTAAAAACGTCATGCAGTCGGTCCAAATCTCGTCGAGAACGTCATCATCCAGTGAGCGTGCATAGGTGACCAGGAAACTGGCGAGCTCGGATTCGGAAAGGTTAGAAGCCAGCGATGACTTGCGGCTGTGGTCCAAGGCACTCGGATTGGTGCGAGTATAGATTGCGTTGAAGATGGCGGGAATCGTAATCTTCGGCCGTGACCCATCAAGGGTATGAAGCAGGTTGAAAATAAGCGCTGCCGTCTCTGTGTCAGACTTAGTCCACAAATCCACCAGCGTCTCGAGACATTCAAGAGCCTCCGCAGTGAAAAAGTGCTCCAGGAGTCGGCGGGATCGGTTCCTCATCCGCAGTGACGTATACTGGAAGGACGCCATGGACTCAGAATCGGGAGCAGAGCCGCTTCGATCCCCTGCACCCCATTTCCAGATCGAGAAGCACAGACGCACAGCGTCTTGGAAGCAGAGAAGCACCGTCAATCGATTGTTGGCGGTATTGGGACGTCCCTGGTTGCCTTCTGAATGGAAAACTCCCGACACCATGTTTCCAAAAAAGCCCTGTGCTTGGTCCACGGGGCTTTTGACTGCTGGTGCATTGGCCTCTTCTAGAAGGAGGCGCTCGTGGGCATTCGCAATGCAAGTTTCGAGGCCGGTAAGCAATGTGATAGTCACATGCTCAGAACGGTCTTGCGGCCAGTCTTCTGTCTGCTGGAAAGCGAGCTGGAGCCTCCCGTAGGACAGGCGGATTTCCCTGCAGAAGCATTCCACCAGCATCAAAAGAATCTGGAAAATTGAGCCAGAGTAGAGAGGGAGCACTTCACAAAGTAGCCCGATCCACTTGTCCACAATTTCCCTGGATTTTGGTGAACTGATTCCTTTAAGAAGACAGTCCAAAAGCCGCTCTGGAGGCTGGGGCAGCTGATGCAAGGAAGATGCCCTGTCTGCTCTATCACTGGTGAAAGATAGAATCGATGGGCTTGTCAACCGATCACGAGAAGCTGCTCGCTGATGCTTCGGTCGAGGCGGTTGTGGTGGTAAGTATGCTTGCGCGAACCGCACCTTCAGTGCTGCGAGAAGTGCATCAATGATGGCTCCCTGGATTACAACGCTGCCACCCTCATCAGCTGCCACGAGGAGTCTGTCCACGAGGAAATCATCAATGCCAGTTTCTGCCAAATATTCCGACCCCGGGCCGAGGAGAAGTTGTCGCATCAGATGAAGAGTATCTTTCTGCAATCGCTCTCCCTCCGGACTAATCTTCGTACAGCTTGGTGCTTTGTTGACAATATGAAGCGAGGAATCAAAAATAGCAGAATGAAGGGTTTTCATATCCACATCGTCTGTTATCCACCAGATACCGATTAGCGACTGACAGGCTCAATTGATACATGGCGAGCAGACTAACCTTCGGATTTTGATGTATCTGGTCGCCTTTCTGTTTGTCCTAACGTATGGTTGAGAAGGGTAATCCATCCGCTGTGGGAAAGCGAGGAGATAATATTCGAGGCTGTTCGTAGCAGATAATTGCACTCCTTGTAATCGTCTGGGGAGATGGCCTGGATGCCGTCTACTGTGTCACTAGGAGCATCACGCTCGAATAACTCCTCGAGTTTTGAAACGACGACAAGAAGAACCCTGGTAAAATGTCAGCTTTAATGACGTTCGCTCAAGTGCTTCAACAAAAATATTACCTGTGGATGGATGAAAGGTCTTGAAGCCAGCGCTGAACACTTTCGGAAACATCGCTCGGCTCTTGGGATAGGAGATCAAGCACAATAAAAAGAGGGCGCTCAAGCATTGAGCACTGATAAGAGAATAAAGTCCCTCCAAGTTCGAATACTTGCTTCGGGGGTTGCTCATGCGTGTTGTGATGGCTGTGATTCCAAAGGACATAGAACCGCTCGGCTTGTTCCTCGGAGGAGAGATGACCTGACTTTGCCAGGGACGTGTTGACCATCAAAGACGTTATAGATGCTTCAACAAGGTGATCAACCCAAGAAATTGAATGCAAAAGCCATAAGCAGCGAATGGCTTCAACATGGAACTTGGGACTGAGCGGAGACAAATATTGCCAAAGCCGATCAACAAGCGTGGGGATGAGATCGCATGTATCCTCGTAACTGAGATAGAAACCGGGAGTCTGAACGAAAAACAGGCTCGCCACTGCGGACGTGATAGTGGAGGTCACCGCGAAGACAGCAGTCGTCGGTTTGTCCTGTCCTACATCCAGTCGCCGAGAAATGGCCTCGTACAACCGTCTATCTCGAAGAATCCGCGACTTGGGAAGTTTCCTGAGTAATGTCACAAGGAGATCGAGTTTTTCATGAAGCGATGAGGTGTCATCACGGCTTTCCAGCGCGGCAATGGTCAATTCGTGGGCTTCTCGAATCATCATCTCGCTCAGATGTCTGAAAGCGAATGGCAGAGGTGGTAGGTCAAGGCTGTTCTTGCTATGCTCATAGAAACGATGGATCTTCTTCAATATATCAGTACTCTTAGCCTTTCCATCTCCGGCGACGGCCTTTTCGGAGCTCGTCTTTTTCGAAAATGCTCTTTCAGTGAGCAGGCCAGTTACAGACTTCAGCACGTTGTTCAATTCACTGGACACAGTCCGCTTTTTGGCAATATTCTCGGACGACTGTCCCTGGGATGATGAAATTTCTCTCATCTTGACGAGGGCGGATAATGCCAGCAGAGGAATATGAACTTGAAGCATCTCTTCTTCCCGCACATTGAAGTTCTCAAGTATGAACCACGCAAGGGTCAAGTTGTGCAAGATTCGGTCATCGTTGCGGTTTATATCACTGAAGCGGAAATCAACCAGGCCCAGAAGCTCCGAGAATATTACTCCACTCTCGACCCCGTCAAAGAAGGCGCTCGCGCTGCGAAAGACCTCCTCAAAGTGACTCGTGGGGGCTTCTTTTTCAAATGCTTGAACACTGCGCATGGTGGGTAGGAAGACCGCGGGGACGATATATCCACCAATCTCCCAGCGATCCATCAAGGATAACGATATCCGGAATGGCTTTGTTCTCTCTGTTGGGACACTTGGCGCGTGTTTGATCATTTCCAGTAACCCGGTAACCAACGGCTGCAAACCCACACGGCTGAAATATTGTGTTTGCGAATGGTCCTTCCCATCGACTAGCGAAGATCGAGCGGCGTCTGACGAAAATTTTCGTTGATCTAGTGAAGGACGATCGTTGGCAGGTTCCGGCCCAAGCATCCATGCCCATAGCCGGCGGTTCAAGCTCATATCTCGCCGGGTGACTACGCCCACCGCCGCAATGATCAATGTTTGAAGGTCGCTGTCCACAATTTTGGACCGCAAAACCGGAGAGTTAAGAGGCAGATGGGTGGCAAGCAAATCGAGAAAGTTGCGCTGAACCAGGACTTGGTCGTCAGACAAGCCTGTTGCAAAGCACCGAATTAGCAGGCCAGGCTCCGGTAGGATGACGGAGTCTGCGGCTGCTAGCAATTCAGATGAAGCCTGGCTGTCGCTCGTTTCGGCTGCGCTTGGGCGGTCCGCAATGCCAAGTCTCGGGAGACAGCGATTCAGATACGCCAGGACACCAAGCCGCCGGCTGGGGTTGGTGATGGACGCGAGAAAAAGACATTGCCAGAAGTATTGTCCAGAAGCCTCTGTCCCGGATGTCTTCTGTATCTCAAGGCACCCGGCAGCACTGCGCAGCTTGTTGATTGTACGAAGCGTCGGCTCAAAATCATCGCTCGTTTCTTCTTCGAGACCCGGAAGTAGTGCTAAGAGAGTTGCTTTCAAGGCTGGGCGGATGGCTCGCGGTTCCAGATCAACAATATATCCCTCCACCAGCGACAGAAACAGTGGGCGAACGGTAAGCGAGGCAAAGGTCAAGGTGGGTGCCAGACCAGGCAGATACAATGGCAAGTCGTGCGACAGTCCCTCGTGCTGGTTATGAAGCCCGTCAGCGGTCAACTCTCGCGGCTCTTTTGTTTTGATAAAAGCCACACACCTTTATAAGCCCAAATATGTATGTATATACCTCGAGGGCCTTTTGGTGTACGCCTGATGGCAACGAGGGGTTCATGCATTGCGCGAGCCGCTTTGCAACGACCACCTTATGGGGAACGATTGGTTGATCGGGCGGATGTGTTTGGAGCGCCTGGTAACGCTGGGATCAGTAATGACACCCAAAGCAAGCCCTTGTAGAAAAGACTCACCTTTAGAAGGCGACTGAGGAAGGAGATATAGTCGGCCCATTCCTGTAGAGCATTGTCGAACAGCGACAACGCTCGCTCGACGCTGGAGGCATATCGGCGGTAATTCTTGTCTTTCTTCAGAGAACCTGTATTCGGCAGACAAAATTAGACACAGCGCCACTTCTTTGCGGAGTTTTCAGAGAGGGCGCAGACCATCTTTTCCCTGTAGGCGGGTGCGCGTCAGGGAGCTCTCGGAGCTTGCGGGGGAGTTCGACCTCGGAAAGGCACTGGAATCAAGGCTCATGGTGCCAATGTCTGACGTCGAATTGATGAGAATGTTGCGGACTGCCCTCCTTCATATTTAGCACATTGAGCACGACCCTGTTGGAGGGGGAGTTGGGGGTTGAAACTGATCCAAAGGGCCACGCACGCAGTCGATTGTTTTGTCCGCCTTGGGAGCTTCGGCTGTCCGATCGACGTCAGCGACCGACCACTTTCTTGGATGACACACTGAGCTCAAAGCTCCAGGGATTCCGTGATCTTTGAATTTATTGATTATTACCATGCGCTATCTATAAACCAGTTCCCCGCGACCTGCGACTGCGACAAAGCGCATGCCCGCAGCGGGGATGAATCCACACCAACGCGATAACCGGGACGGGCCTGCCCATGAGCACTCAGAGACCCTGGCTGGCTCAAACTTGCCGAATGCTGATCGCAGTGCCAGTCCAGAGGGAGAACGGCCGCCTCTGCCCCCGCGACCAAATACACTCAGCCTGTTGGACGATGAACCGGCGTCGCGAACAACCCTGCAGGCGGAGGCCACGACGGCCCTTTCGCGAACGGATATCGGTACTCAGTCACCAGGAAGAGGGGGAAGCGCACAGCCCGCATTGGCTGTCCGTGGTCTTCCTCGAGTATTGAGAGCACAGGCAAGCCTCAGCCAGCTGGCAAGCCCGCGGGGAAGCGAAGCAGGCGACACGGCAAGTATCCGCAGTTCAGTCCAAGGTGGCGATGCGGGGGATATGGAAGCCTTCTTCAAAGATTTTGTTGCGACAGCTCCTGGGCAACATGAGCAAGAGGTCACGAGCCTACTCCATTTTCCTGAATTCCCCGCCGATGATGTGGACGACGATGGGTTTTTGAGCGAGTTTGAACCTGTCGGCGAGCTGGATGAAGATGAAGGAGATGAAGGTATGAGTCGTACAAGGAAAAACTCTCTACTCTCGGTGCGAGACTGACCTGCGGCAGAACTGCTCCTCCAACGGTTGAAGGCCAAACAAAAGCACTATCTCATTCTGTCTGCTGCCGGCAAGCCCATCTGGTCACGGCACGGAGACAGTGGGTTGATCTCTAGCTATGTCGGGGTGGTCCAGACTATCATATCTTTCTATGAAGATGCAGATGATCGCCTGCGGAGCTTCTCTGCTGGAGATACCAAGTTTGTGATCGTGACTCGCGGTTCTTTGCACATGGTTGCAATTAGCCGCATGATAGAGAGCGAGAACCAACTGCGACTTCAACTTGAAGCATTGTATATGCAAATCTTATCGACCTTGACCCTTCCATCCCTGACCCATCTTTTCTCCGTCCGGCCTTCCACTGATCTGAAACGACCTCTGCAAGGATCAGAGACTCTTCTTTCTTCCTTAGCGGACAGCTTCACACGAGGATCACCATCTACGCTGCTGTCAGCATTGGAGTGTCTGCGAATCCGCAAACAACACCGGCAAGCTATTAACAATGCGCTCTTGAAGACGAAAGCCAGTTCCCTACTATATGGGTTGGTGGTGGCTGGTGGGCGACTTGTCAGCGTTGTCCGGCCGAGAAAGCACTCACTTCACCCGGGCGACCTACAACTTCTATTCAACATGATCTTCGAAGCTGAAGGAGTCAAGGCCGGGGGCGGAGAGAGTTGGATCCCCGTTTGCCTGCCTGGCTTCAACAGTAGCGGCTATCTATACATGTATGTCAGCTTCCTCGATCTTCGAGGCGATGTCGACGACAACGAAGAGATCACCAAGGACGAATCCGTCGCCATCATCCTCATTAGCCCGGACAAAGAAAGCTTCTTTGATATGCAGGAAATGCGCGATTCGCTAGTCGAGGTGAGTACCATCGAGCAACCAAGTCTCTCCACGATAATTAATCTGACATTACTGGCACGGCAGCAAATGGAGAGAACCGGCAGTCTTAAGGTAATCAAAGAGGCCATTGACGCGGGTCGACCCACAACGACCGACATCGTGCCTGGGACGGTGCTCCATCATTTCCTGTATAAATCGCGTGCCAACGTGCAATTCACCATGTCATCCTATGCTCCCGAGTTCTCTTCAATTTCTCGTCGACGAAGGTTGGTCATCCTAAGAACATAGGGGGGGGAAGTCATTTCTAAGTATGACTACGCTGGCAGAGAGATCTGACATTGTTTCTAGGCTGATGTCTATATACAACAACCTTCATGCAAGCATCCATACCAAGAACACCCATGTCAAAGTTTACCATTGTGTCTCTCGGTCCGCCAGCTCGTTCGCATGGGTGACTCCAGTATTCGAACTGTACTGCGTCGCCGAACCGAACACGAACCGAAACGCGCTGGCGCAGAGTGCTAGCAAAGTTGCTCAGTGGGTGCAGCGGGAGGAAGAGAGACTATTTATCATCGGCGGTGCGGTATGTATCACCAGTTCTTTTTGGTTTGGTATTGAGTGCCAGAAACCTGAAAGCTAATGATGGGGCCACAGATTTTCTGATCACCACACAACCCCCGAGACTTCTTGATTGCTTTTTTTTTTCACTTTTATTATACCCAATACTGCGTCAATGATAGACTCTATACACTGATGGTGTTGTACTATAGCAAGCCGAATCCGCCATGATTCCCAATAGTGTTGGCACGGTTCCTGGATAGATTTTCTTGGGCTTATTCGAAATTGAGTCTCCAGCTGTCTAGTAGTGCAGCTAATCGATTGAATCATCCCGGAGGTTGAAGAGCTGGCGCATGACCTCGCCCGACCTGCTGCGCAGCGCATCATGGTACATGGTGTTGGTGATGAACTGCTTGGTGCCCTTGATCTTGACGGCAGTGCTGGACGCCAGATCGAAATGGACATACATGTCGTCGATGTAGGTTGCCGCATATACGGGCACTTCGTTTTTGGCCAGCTGGGCCTCGTCATAGAGCGCGGGCCAGTCGATGTTGGCGAGAATGGCTGCCGTCTCTTGGACTTGTTTGAGCTCCGAGTAAGAGTCAAACATGTCTTTGTAGACCTATAGAAACATATACGATATAAAATTAGTTGCGGTCCCCTGATACTGTATCTAGGGGGCAGTATGCAAGCCTGCCGCTTACCATTTCTCCGGTAAAGTAGATCTCAGGTTGCGATTCGTCGATTTGGAAGATCGGGTTGGCGGCGCGCAGCCTGTCCGCAGACCACAGTGATGGTTGTCTATATTTTTTGTTAGCTATATCTTAGAACCCAAAAGAGGCGCCGTATGCTCACCTTTGACAATAAATGGCCTCGTGCAAAATAGCATAGATGATATTCTTGTCCATGCCGCCGTTGCTGTCAACTACAGACAAGGTCGGGAGGGTGAGAGAACCAAATATCTCCAAGTCGTTCCATACTCGTAGCACGATATCTGTAGCCCAGCAAGTTAGAAACGCTCTTCGTGTCAGCAACTATATGGAGAGAGATGCATATTCACCATGCAAAGAATCGAGACCACCTATGTTGTGTTAGAGCCACCACATGCATATACCGAACAAGGTCCAAAGGTCTCTTACCATGGAAGCCGAACAAGATTCCAAACTGTTGGAAACGAGATGGGGTCAACCATCCCGAAGACAAGGCAATCTTGTTTTCTGCCAAGTAGCGCATAATCTTCTTGACGCGGTCCACGTCCTCGGGGAATTTGGCATAGTACGCCCGGTTTCTCTGCTCAACCTTCTCTGGTATTGAATTAGAAATCGCCCGAGGAATTTCAAGGAAAATCCAGTCTACGCACCATAGGTTCGCGAGTAGACGGGGTCCGGGCCATTAACAAGGGGAGGCAATCCACCACACAAGAAAGCCTCGTTCAGTCCCTCCGGGCTTCAATGGGAGTACAGAAATTAGCAAAATAAGACATCGATGATATCCGGGTATTAACACATACAACTTCGACAAATAAGTCACCGCGCAGAACCCACCAAAGCTCTGGCCGATGATACTCCATTTGCGCTGGTTTTCGGGATAGTCCTCGGTCAAGAAACGACGAATCGCTTCGCAGTCACGAACAATGCTGTCCGCGCGGAAGTTCTTGAGATACTCGGCCTGTTTGATCGCATTTCCGTGGCGAGCAAGGGTTGCTGCCGTGATGGTAGAACTCAAGCCTGTGCCACGTTGGTCCAGAAAAAGAACCTATAAATCTAAATCAGAAACCGAATTCCGGACAGAATTCTTCTCATACAAGACTTTTGGATGATGCAGTCACCTACCTGGTACCCTTTGTTGAGCGCCAGCTCAACCCAGCCGTAATTCTGCGGGGCACCGCATCCAAAGCCCGGGCCGCCTTGAAGATAGACCAGCCAAGGAAGCTTGGTTTCTTCCTTGGTGGGCTCGACGGGTTTATTCAGACGACTCACGCTGCGAGCAAAAAGTCGCAATGTGCCATCATTGGGCTTACTGTAGTCGACGGGCACGTCGAAGAAGAGCTCCGCGACCCGGAGCTTTCCTGGACTCGAGTCAGCCTCATCTCTAATCTTGGGTTGATTTGTCGCGTCATCGCGTATATAATTCAACCAGACGTACCCGGTACGTTGTGGAATCGGCGATCAATCAGTTTCGCAGCCATTGCTGAGGATGTTGGGGTTCAAGAAGGTTCACGATAAAGGGGATGCGGAGAACCACATTTATACCACTCACCGTCTCTTGCAGTCTGCGTTTTATTATCTTTGCATGTAAGACATCAAGATATCAAGACATTAAGACATTTTACTTTTACACAAAACTAGACACTGGTTAATTGTGTTAATTTTTTAGGCTTAAACTCCAACATATCAGTCTTATAATATGCCTCTCTCACCATATCCATGGACATATCGCTAGCATCGGTATCTCCCAATGCTAAGCTTACATTGAATTTTTGAAGCATAAATCATGACTATCTATGTCGAGGTGATCATCGGCGACGGCCAGCTCCTCCCACATTCTCAGCTCGGTCTGCCATGCTGACGACCTCTCCAATGCCCGCGGCTTCTTGTTCGTCCTCGAGGGCCATGATCTCCTCGCGGCTGTCCCACCACTTTTCTTCCGCCATGTCAAAGGCTGCCTTTCGCAATTCCTTGATCGTCTTTTCGGCGGACTGCTCTCTCTGTCTCATGGTGTCAATCAAGACCTTCTGCCACTCTTCCGAAGTACGAGTGAAGAATTCCCGAAGGCTCTCAAATGGACGTGGGAGAGGTTTGCTGTCATCCACAGGTTCTGTCTCTTGCTCCTCTACCTCAAGTTGCTCCATCTCCTTGGTCACCGACGGCACCGTCATATCTGTTGGAGCAGGTGAAGAGGTGTCAAGAGACATAGCATCTTCTTCTTCTTCATCGTCCTCCATTCCTTCTTCGTCGTCCTCCATCTCTTCATCACTGTCTTCATCCTCCATCATAAGATTCCAGTTCTCGGGCTCCCTATAGAAAATCTCCTTGACGCCGTCGAGTTTGACCAGATCAATGGAGTACATGTCGTCGAAGGTGAATTCTCGGTCTCCCTTCTCGAACGTGCCACCATAGACGAAAAGCGTGTCATCCTGCACCGCGAGTTGGGCATTAAACCGCCTATGGGGCATCTCAAAGCGAACCACAGCCGGTTTAGTGGGCTCCACAGGCTCCTCGACTTGTGGCGTGCTTGATTGCAGGTCCTCGTCTTCATCATCGCCGCAGATTCCACCCTTGGCTTCCAGAGCCTTCAGATTATTCAGCAGCTCCTCCTCATCCGCCTTGGTTCGGTCGCGAGACTTCATGGCCTGGTTTGCCTGCTGTTTCTTGCCCGGCGCACGGGGCCGGCGCAAACTCAAGGGGAAAAAGCGGTTCCTGTCGGTGTTCCAGGCAAAGAGAGTGTCGAAGAACTCGCTATCAATTCCCTCTTCGCTCAGCTCCACATCGTGAACACCACCGAACATAATCCCTCGTCCTTTGTGGTACGCCATGGTAGTGCCAGCACGCGCCGGGTTGGGCGTATTGGCGGGCTTCTTTCTTCGCTCCCAGCGGACGGCAGGGCCCGCTGAAGCCGCTGCATCAGATTCAGGTGGGGTAATTCTGAGAAACCAAGTATCTTGGTGGACCATGGGTCGGAGGGTCATTTTTTGAGGACCACCCTTCACCTGCTTGCCCCCTACGCTGACGGAGGCCTTGACTCGCGAATATCCGCCATACAAAACGGCACCCGTCTCATGGGGCAGCAGACTGAATGACGAGCGCGGATCCGGCTTTTGTGATGCAATAGTCAACGTCGGGTTGAACCAGGTGTATCTCTGGCAATCGTAGATCCACAAGTCCTGTAGGTACTTGGTCTGTTGCGAGGTATCTTGGAAACCACCAAACAAGATAATGTAATTCTATCTCGTAATTCAGCTTGTGTACGCCGGGAAAGAAATAAAACATTGATGGGTGAGGATACCTTGTAATAAGTCATTCGATGGCCACTTCTAGCGGGTGGTCCCTTTCCTTTGGTCTCAAGGCGAGTCCACTCTCTGGTGGCCGGATCCAAGTGCCAGAAGTCATTGTAGTGATAGAAGGTGCCTTGTTTCGGCGATGAAAACTCCCCTGTGGTGCATGGTTAGTTCCCGCCTGGATTATATTCATGGATTTCCAATGATTGTGGTGATCATCTAACCTCCGAACAAGTATATACCACCGGTATTCCCACCCCGGCACCAGGCATGACCACTTCGAGGAAGTGGACTGTTAGGGCTAGTCACCTCCCTCCACTCACCCCGATCAATCAGGTAGACAAAGAGGTTATTGAAAAACGTAGCATGAGTCCCGTCAAAGTACTCGCCTCCAAAGAGCAGCAGCTCATTCCGGTTTGATGGAGACGCCAGCACCGCCGCCGATGACCGCGGCTTTGGTGGCTCCGAGACCACCTCGGTGACCTTCAAGAATTTGGTCTGCTCTTCGGCGTACTGGGCAAGAATGGCGTCCAGGTCCGCATCTTCGACGTCGCTGTCTGCATCTTTGCCCTTGGTCTTGGTGCGTTTTTCCTTCTGCGCGGTCTTCTTGGACTGCTTGGCCGCGACACGCTCTTTGTGCTCGGCGGTCTTCTTGTTTTTCTTGCCCATCTTGCGTGGATGTTGTCCTCTATGGTGGTTTTCTTGTTTCCTGGTCTTCGCAAATCGCGGGGCATAAAAAAAATATCTGGTCTCCACACGGCGATGCCCCTCTTATCTACACAGTCCGATGCTTGGATCGGACCCCCCATACGATGCAGATGAGGATACGACGAAGAGATGAAGAGATGAAATCAATTCATAGCAAAGCATGTATTTTTTATATTTTTATTATTTATTTTTACAAACAGTTGTGTCGAACGCAACCATCAGTCGAACCACTGTAGATCCGACTTGGCCGCTCACGTGACAGACGCGTCTTGCTTTCGCGACGCAACGAGACTCGTCCACCACGTTTGTCGCGAGCTATGAAAGCAACACGCCTCTATGACGAAGAATAACTTGGCCACTCATCTCAAATGGCTGCTCGCCCGAGGCCCCTCCTTGTACCCTTCGCTGACCGCCGACTCGACTGAACGCGACAATCGCGCCCCTCAACAACCCACTCCGCCAGTAGACAACCTCGACTTAATTGTCAAAGTGCTTGATGATGGCGAAGACGTGAAAGATGACACAATGGCAAAACTGCTACTTGCACCTCAGTCGGCGAGCAAGCCTCGCATGCTCAGCCGCCCCGACACGCTCCCCGAGAAGACGCCGTTGACTTCGAAGAAACGGTTTCCGGTAATACAGTCAAGCGTGGTTCGAGAATCTCACCATGAACCCCCATCCTCATCCTATAAGAATTCTCGGACAAAGGCGACGCCGCGTCGGCCCGATGACCGTTTTGATACCTCCCCACTAGGCCCCGTTGAATCCATTGATTTGACGGGCGATCTCGATCGGTCAATTCCGTCCTCGGGGACTCTTGAGTTTGGAGAGCCACGTCGATTATGGACCGAGGATGATGCGTCGCGCGGTAGGGCGCGTGAGAAACGGGGAAAGAAACGGAAGAGTGACGGGTATACATCAGATCTTCTCTCCCCGTCTAAGCATGCCACCAAAGTCCGAACACCCTCGAAAGCCACCAAGCCTTCGACATCTGGAGACACAGTCTGGGCCAATGCTCGCTCTTCAGTGGCACGTGGTGCTAGCCAAGGGAATTCCTCAAGCGCAGTGAAACGGCTCGACCGAGATTCGCCTGTTCCCCCGCGGTCCCAGCGGAAGCAGGTGATTGCTGACTCCGACGATGAAGATCCATTTGAAAACTGGGTTGAGGATGACCCCGTTGATGACATGATGCTGGATGCAGATCCGGGATTGTACCCAAAACTGCCCGAAGTGAGCCCAGCAGGGAACGAAAAGACTCCGTTGCCACTTTCTCGACCACCAATTGATAAAGAGAAGGAAGCAGTAACCAAAGATCCAGCTCCTGCTCAGCTGTCCCCATGGCCAAAATCATCAAGTTCACAAGAGAAGGACCCGGATCTCGTCCGTTTCTTGGCCCTTGCCCATAACTTTCTTCAGCAGTCGATTTCACAGTTGAAGGCTACGCTGCAAAAGAATGCGGAGGTTGTATATCAACAAGCAATGGAGGGTCGACCGGCGCCAGAGCTGATTGCCGAAAACAAACATCTTGTCTCTCAGATCCAAGTCATCGAAGTGCTGCAAACTCATCGAGATGCGCATAAAGATCGTGTGTCTCGCAAGGAAAGTCTGAAGCAGAACTTGATGCGTGTCATATCACAGGGTCTTGATCCAACAACCATGCCAGAAGAGCTTGCGCAAAGTCGAGCTGTTGAGACTGAATTAGAGCAGATTGAAGCAAAGATCTGTCGACTTCTTCCTGAAGCTAAGATCCTTAATTTCGCACAGACTTCAAAGCCTGAGTGCTCTGCTTCCCCGGTGCAGACCCGCTACCCAGAGACTTTTTGTGCCACGCAGCCTGGAAAAGCCTTTGGGGATATTGCCGCTACGAGAGCCTCACCACCCGCCTTCCCATCACAAGCATCTTTCAAAAAAGAAGCCCGCGAAGACCGATCACGTTTCTCGAGCCCCAAGAAAGCAAAAGAGTGTAACAGCTCCAGGATATTCGATCAGGACAACCGGACTCGCCATGACGGGGAAAATTGCATCTCTCGAAACATGGGATCCCCGCCGCTTGCGGCGATGGACCTTGATGAATTTGATTGGGGTGACAGCGACGATGAAATGCTCGAGGTAGCCGGCAGCTTTGATGAGCATCAGACGCCGGTTCGTGAGCAAGCTCCTCAAAGCCGCAAGGTTTTTGCCGAGACCTCTGGCAATACACCCAAAATTCCAGCCCCGAAGAAGTCACCTGGCCGCAGCAACTTTTGGTCGAACCACCCATGGTCTCAGGAGGTGAGGACAGTTTTGAAGGATCGATTCCATCTGCGTGGATTCCGTTCAAATCAGCTCGAAGCCATTGACGCTACCCTTGGCGGGAAAGATACTTTCATCTTGATGCCGACTGGAGGTGGAAAGTCGTTGTGCTATCAATTGCCCTCTGTTGTGACTAGCGGTCGTACGCAGGGAGTGACTATTGTGATCTCCCCGCTGCTCAGCTTAATGCAGGATCAAGTGGCCCACTTGCGCAAGTTGGACATTGAAGCATTCTTGATCAACGGTGAAACCGACAAGAATGAGCGCTCATGGATTCTCAGTCAGCTATCCATTGCCGGCGGGGAGGGCCTGGACCTGCTATACATCACACCGGAGATGATCAATAAGAACCAAACTCTCGTCCGAGCCCTGGAGAAGCTACACCGACGAAACAAGCTGGCACGCCTGGTCATTGACGAGGCGCACTGCGTCAGTCAATGGGGACACGACTTCCGTCCCGATTACAAAGAACTGGGAGAAGTCCGCGCCAAGTTGCCTGGCGTACCGGTCATGGCTTTGACAGCCACTGCCACGGAAAATGTGAAAGTGGATGTGATGCACAACCTCAAGATGCGTGGGTGTGAGGTGTTTTTGCAGAGTTTCAACAGGCCAAATTTGACATACGAGGTGCGGGCCAAGGGCAAGAATGACGAGGTCCTGGCCAGCATTGCCGAAACTATCACGTCTTCCTATCGGAACCAGTGTGGAATTGTGTATTGTTTGTCGCGCAAGACGTGTGAGAAAGTTGCTGAGGATCTTCGCAAAAAGTACAACCTCAAGGCCGAACATTATCATGCAGGCATGAAGTCCGAGGCCAAAACCAAAGTGCAAAGCCAGTGGCAGGCGGGTCGGTGTCACGTTATTGTGGCTACCATTGCTTTTGGAATGGGAATCGACAAGCCCGATGTTCGATTCGTCGTACATCACAGTATTCCGAAGAGTCTCGAAGGCTACTATCAGGAGACAGGACGCGCTGGGCGAGATGGCAAACGCTCTGGTTGCTATCTTTACTATGGCTACAAAGACACAGCAACCCTCAAACGTATGATCGACGAAGGAGATGGCAGTGGCGAGCAAAAAGCGCGTCAGAAACAGATGCTTCGAAATGTCGTCCAATTCTGCGAGAACCGCAGCGACTGCAGGCGCGTGCAAATCCTTGCTTATTTCAACGAATACTTCCGTCGAGAAGACTGCAACAACTGTTGTGACAATTGCAGGTCTGATTTGGTGTTTGAAGTCCATGACTTTTCTCAGCACGCATCCTGGGCCATCAAGATCGTGCGGCACTTCCAGAACGAATTGAATGATAAGGTGACCGTGCTCTACTGTGTCGATCTCCTTCGCGGAGACCTGAAAAGGGCCAAATCAGCCACACACAAGCAAATCCCGTGGTATGGAAAGGGATCCTCTTTGGAGCGTGGGGAAGCCGAACGGCTGTTTTACCGATTACTGGGCGAAGACGCGCTGGCCGAGGACAATGTCATCAACGGGAAAGACTTTGCCGTTCAGTATATCAAACTTGGACGGCGTGCCGTTGAATTTGAGACTGGCCAGCGCTCCATGAAACTGCAAGTGCGCGTGTCTCCAAACGGCAAGATTCAGGCCTCACGACCCGCGCGGAAATCGAAAACCAGCAGCCAGGGCCCCCAGTCCACTATGGTCTCTTCTCCCATTCAATCTGCCAATGACCGCCGCCAAGCGCGCGCACAGCTGCCCAGTGCCAGGGCCAGTCACTCTTCTGCTGATGAGGACAGCGATGGCTTTGAACGGATTCGAGTTGCCGGAAAGCCGCAGCGGCAGAACATGAACCAAATGGGGCCTCCGATCACCACCGACCAAAAGTTGGACCGACTCGATCATCTGCACCGTGCGGTTGTGGAGGACTTTGAAGTGACGGCCAAACGCTATCTCCAAGATGTAAGGCTTCGCTGTAATTTTTGTCCATGCTCATTGCTGTGCTAATATATTCCTTTAGATTGTTGTGGAGAAGGGTCTTCGTTGCCAGCCATTCCCGGATCACATTTTGCGCGACATGGCCATTTCGTTCCCAAGAGGTAATTATGATTGTCTATAGAAGTGGACCAGACTGAAGCTAACTTCGCGATCATAGATCTTTCGGCACTGTCTGCCATCCCAGGGATTGATCAAGACAAAGTCAAACGCTATGGCCGTCAGATATTACGGCTGGTGGATAATGCCAGGCGGCGCTATGAGGAACTGAAGCAAGACGCAGAAACCAACGGCATTGTTCCGGATCCCAACCACCACAACGTCATCAACCTCAGCAGCAGCGATGAGTATAGTGAAGACGACGATCTGTTCGCAGACCAGGCCTCCACACTCGATCTGGACAATCCCGTGAGCACTGTCCCCGGCAATATCACCAGTCGCTACTTTCCTCCACCTCCGTCCCCCGGATACAACTCTGCCGATGACTTCGAGTCTGGCCCAGCTGGTTCCACCGCGAAATCTCGCAAGCGTGCATCCAGCAAGCGGCCACGACGAAAGAATGGCTCGATGGGCAGCTGGAAAGGCAAAGGCGCGCGATCCAAAGCCAAGACGGGCGATCGTCCCCCCAGCCGGTCTTCGGGGACACGAAAGAATTCAAAATCCAAAACCACCAAGTCCTCGATTGGTATGATGCCGGTCTGAATTTTTTTCTCTTTTTGCGTTCGTCATGATTGCGGGTAAGCGTTTTGCGCATGATGCATCTGTAGGCGTTTTCATTTTTTTACGAGTCCACATAGCGCGATACTCGAGGTGTGTAATTTGGGTTTGTTCATATTACCATTGCAAACTTTTAGGGATATAGCGAATAGTCATCAATAATACCACCACTGTTCCTGATTATTCTACCAAGATCTCTCTAGTTGTCGAGTGAACGTCCGAAATCAATCAACCGTAGCCGCCGGGCGTCTCGTGGATGGAACTGAGCCACCTTGGCTCTCACCAGAAACCTCGATGCGGCCGAGTCGCGTTGCAAATCGATATAGGAGGTACCGGCCTCCAGCAGGGCATCGAGAAGACCCTGCATCTCTGTCGCCGCTGCTTCGCGCTTATTTGTGAGGTTGGCTCCGGCGGTGCTGCGATGCAAGAATTGATCAATTCGCTGCTGCGCACCATCCTCGGTGCCAGCTGACTCTTTTTGTTTCTTGGGTTTCCCGTGGGCCGTGTATCCCGCCTTCAGCGTAGCGTCCGAAACCTCCTGGGCATCCCCGACAGTCGGACCGCCCAAGTCTTCGGCCGCGAGCATCGGCGCCAGAGTGTCGTCAAAGAACTTGTCCAGGGAAGCCTTGAGGTCTGTCGAGGCACGATCGAGCCCCTTGTTCCTCTTCTTCTGCTGATTTACAAGTTCCCGCGCCACTTGCGAGGGAGACTGCTCTTCCTTTCTGGAGCTGGCATTTCGTATCCTTTGCAGGCGCTCCCGGAGCCCGCTCGCAATGGATCGCGAGTCCCGCAGGTTGGCCTCTTCTATGCGGAAACGCTCGCGGTCCACAGACAGTTGGTCTGCGGTCACCGTCACCGACGCCTTGTTATCTTTGACAAGCTGCGAGGTCTCATCAATGGCCAGAAGCAAGGGTAAGACAGAATCAGTGGTCGGGAACTCGTCCTTCGACTGAAGAAGGGAGTCGTACGCCTTCTTCGCCCGGCGTGTCTGCGAGACACGCATCCAGGGATCTGTTCCCGTGCTTGCGAGATCAACAGAACTTGACTCCCGGAGCTATTATGTTCGATGTGAGTCATGTAGTTCCTAGGATTCTCAGGATGATCTCAACGTACCTTTTGTAGTTCTTCCTCCTGGTGTCGCACTTGCTCTTGGAGCCCCCGAAGAGTCACGTCCAGCCTTCGTGAATAGGCTTGTAATGCCGTAGTACCAGCGGGCTCCATATCAGACTCATTCTCTGCATTTTGGCGATTTTGTGCAAACTTCTGGATCTTTTGCACTGTCTGTTCGGAGACGTCCATGTTTGGGTGTAGACAATGGAGACTGGTAACAGCAGAATCTTCCTTAGATCGACTAGACAAGAATGTTTAATCCTTCCCAGGTCACCTAGAACCTTCCTTGCCTCGACTGCCGAAAATCACTTAATCTATGAAGATGTGAAACTGCCTCGTCCCGCAACTATGAAAGTCGCGTTCGCGTTCCTCACGTGACTCGAGCACCTCCTCTCACTTCTCCCCGGATTTTGTCTCGCTTTATCCGCCATCTGCATCACCTTTTCCCCATTCGAGTCCATCGAACTCTTGTCGAGGCTCTCATCCCCTGACGGGTCCTTATCTCACTCCTCGCCCATTTTACTCGGTGTGATCGCGGTGTGATCGCCCCGGAGGCAACAGTGGTACAGCAGACGGGTACTAGCAACGCTGGAGATCCTCCCTAATCCCCCATTTTCCCGGCGCCAGTCATCTGTCTTTGTTTGCTCGCTTCCATCAAGACCCTTCTCCAACCCTTTCTTCGCTTTTACCCCCATCTCGAGTATCCCCGACAACCTGTGAAGCTTTCCTGCTTGTTCCTGGAAGGGCCCCCCCTCACCATCTTGAACCTGCACTTCCCGTCCCGTCGGCACTACCTCAACACCACCTTTCTTTCCACACCAGCCTTTCCAACCCTTCAAAAGCACCAGATTCCCTCTCCCATCGATCGCCAGCACCAGCAAGTCTTCTTGGGAACATCTGGTGTACATAAACGATCATAAAAAAGAAAGCAGATTTGATTCTTCACCGTCCGTCCGACTTGTCACGTAAGTGAGACAGACACAAACACAGCACAGTGAACCATGTCGGCCTCTCCATCCAACTTGCAGTCGACCAAGCGTCCTCTCGAGGACCCCTCTTCCCCCTTCCGGCCCCAATGACCAACCGGAGGCCAAGCGTCCAGCGCTGGACAAAGTAGTCAGGAATGATCCCGAGGCTGAAGCGAATGTGTCGAGCAACGAGATTCCGTCTGTGGATGGCTCGAAGGACATCCAGGGAGACACTGTTGTCCCTGATGCCCCCAACGGCAAGGGCCATACCGAGACCCAGCCCATCCAGTCGACCGCTTCCCACGGGGAACGGGCCGGCTCCCAGTCTGATCAACATGCGCCACAGGATGAATCGAGCTGGGTCCACATCCGTGCAGTGATTTCCAGCCCGGAGGCTGCCACCGTCATTGGAAAGGGAGGTGAGAATGTGTCCCAGATTCGCCGGTCGTCGGGTGCCAAGTGCACTGTCAGCGACTACTCGCGGGGTGCTGTCGAGCGTATCTTGACCGTCAGCGGCCCCCAGGACGCTGTTGCCAAGGTAAGTTTAGTCGCATGAGTCTTTCCGTATCTTTGAAATCTTCGGATTGCTAATAATCTGCCAGGCATTCGGTCTGATCATCCGTACCCTGAACAATGAACCCATCGATGCCCCTTCCACTTCCCAGTCCAAGACGTACCCTCTGCGTTTGCTAATCCCGCACATTCTCATCGGCTCCATCATTGGGAAGGGTGGTAGCCGCATTCGTGAGATCCAAGAAGCATCCGGCGCACGGCTCAACGCCTCGGACGCCTGCCTGCCGCTGTCCACGGAGCGCTCGCTTGTCATCCTGGGCGTTGCTGATGCGGTGCACATTGCGGCCTACTATGTCGCCGTCACCCTTGTTGAGCAGCTGACTGAACGCTTTGGCGGCCCCGCGGCGTCGGCGTACGCGACTCGCAGCGGTGGCCCTGCCGGCGCCGTTCCTGGTGGCATGCAGGTTGTTCCCTACGTTCCCCAGCCGGCTGGTGGTCAGTACGGTCACCCCGACACGTTCAAGCGCCACCACCCCCACCCCAACCGCGCCGGCGGCGGTGCGTATGGCGTCCCCTACCTGCACGGTCAGCCCGCGCCCACCCCAGTCGGCCAGCCGGCTTTGTCTTACGGTGCTGCACCTACCCCCTATGCCGGCGCCGGTCCTCACCAGCCAGCTCCCTATGTGGGCGGACCGCAACCGACCCCCGGCCGCGGTGCCCCTGCGGCTCCTGCCCCCGTGGGTGGCGCTATGCCAGGCCAGCCACTGACCCAGCAGATCTACATCCCCAACGACATGGTTGGCGCCATAATTGGCAAGGGCGGAGCCAAGATCAACGAGATTCGACATCTGAGTGGCAGTGTCATCAAGATCAACGAGCCACAAGAGAGCAGCAACGAGCGTCTGGTGACGATTACGGGCACTCAAGAATGTAACCAGATGGCTTTGTACATGCTCTACTCGCGACTTGGTTCGTACTTTTCTTTCTGTCCGATATTTTTCGACGAAGTGACATTGCTAACCCGATTTTCTTTCGTTCACACAGAAAGCGAGAAGCACCGCATCTAAGCCGAGCCAGCGCTCGGTCTACCAGGGCCATTGCGGTGTTTTGCTGTCTCAAAAGTCCACGGTGGTTTATGATGATTTTTTCTGGTTTTGGATCTCCCTCCCGGTGTTCCTTTTCTCCTTTTTCTTTTTCCCTTCTGGTTGTATCTTATTTGAGGCGTGTGTGATTTCGACCCTGCCTGCATTCTAATAACCAATTTCACTATTTTCCCTTCCCCTGCCCTTATCACGGCTGGTAGTTTTGTCCGTGTCCTTGTCCTTGCCTTCACTCCCAGCCCTGACCCAACCCCCTTCCTCCTCCCAATGAAGAACCTACCGCCCACAAACTAACCCAGAAACCTCTCTAATTCAAAGCTTCTGAAAACTAACATGCTTCATCTCCAGCCCAGGAACAGGCGGCAACATCTTCTCCCGAATAGGCGCAATGCTCTGCACAAACTCCTGGGTCTCCTTAGCCTTCTTATGCGCCTCGACGCTCTCCCACCCCACCGCCAACAGATGCATCACAGCCTGCCCGCTGGGACTCTTGGCGTGCTGCAGCAAACTGGGCCGGTCAACGTGGCCCATCGCCCATGACCGCGGGCCCGTCGCCTGCGGCAGCTGCTCGACCAGCGTCGTGCGGAAGTTGATCAAATCCGCGAACAGCTGCTTGGTCTCGGCCGCTGGCATCGAGCTCGGGAACCCCAGCATGCACAGCTCCGTCACTGGGTTCTTCGCTAGCGTGTCTGTGCTGGAGATCGGCGGGTTCAGGGTCGTGTGTAGTGCTGCCGGCGGTTGGGCGTTGTCCGGCGCGAGGAATCGGTCTAGTTGGTGCGCGTTGACTGAGCCGCGAGCGTCTGTCCAGTCTGTATATTATGGACCATAGCTGGTTAGTCTTGTGATGTCTTTATAGAAGAAAAATAATAATACAAAGACCAAAAGACACAATTAAATTCATAGCGAGGCAATGATATCACTGTCGGTTGTAAGAGACTCACCTACTACCCACACGATCGTGTTGGGGTCTTCGGCGCTGCGACCCCAGGCAGAGCTCTGATAGCCGCTGTAGTGTTTGATATTGCGAAACACGCTCATCAGGGCATCGCCCTCCTCGCTGGACGGGTCTTCAGGCTTGACCGACGGTTTCACCCGGAAGAAGACGAATTCGCTAACTGTTTGCGACATCGTGGGAGAGGGAAGAGGAATGATGCTGAAGTGAGGTTTGGTCCCACAACAAATAGTGGGGGGAGGGAGCATATCACATCGGGATGATGTCAGAGCAGTCTTCATTAAGCATGGCAAAGCTTCATCCAAGAAACGGAGGGAAAGGAAAATAGAAAACTATGTACATCGCAAAGATTTCCACGATCTTATGGATTGCACCAGATGAAACACAAAAGCCAAGGCCATTTTCCCCGCGCTCATAGAACCCCGAATGTCCCCAAAAACAGAAAAAAAAAGTTCCAAATGAAACGATCAGCGTCACACTGCGCGCTACAGGTCGTCCACACCCCGCACCTTGGTCTTCTTGCTGTCGATCGCCTTCTTTAGGTTGCCGACCAGCTGCTGTCGACGCTGCGTCTTCGCCTGCCAGCGTGTACTCTCTTCGGGCGAAACAGCCAAGTCCCCTGTACCTTCGACACTATGGAGACGGCTCGCCTTCGCGGACCCATTGATACTGGCCCGGAAGTTGATGCCACGCGAGGCAGACTCCGGCGTGTGGTAGGCACTACCGTCCAAGGAGCCACGCGAGCCGGGGGTATTGGGGAACCGCCCGGTGTTCTTCCGGGGCGTGGTGAAGGGGGTTCCTTCCCGGCTGCTGGGGGTGGGAGAAGAAACATCGACGCCGAGTTTCCGCATCTGTGCCTCCAGAACATCAATGTCGCTGCTCTTGCTCTCGGCCATACTCATCATCGTGGCAATAGTCGAGCTGACGGCTTCGACGGTAGGCCGCTTCGTCGACTGGCGAGAGCTAGTAGTTGATGCGTCCACGCGCGGGATGTCGGCGATCTTGGCGCGAAGGAGAGACACACCCTGCTCGAGATCGGCCATGCGAGCCTGAATGCCTGTGAAGGCAGTGCGCAGGTCATGCTGGATGGCGGCTTGTTCGGCGGAAAGTGGTGCCGCGAGGATAGCACCGGTGTCGGTGTGTGCGTCAAGGGTCTTGCGGATGCTAGCGAACTGGCTGCGCAGCGTAACGATCTCTTTTGTCAGGAGGTCCCGGCATTGGTCCAGTTTCTCTTCCACTCCTTGCACACGCTGCTCGTTCAGAGAGCCGGCAAGCACGGTCACCACCTCCTCGAGCTTGTTGATATCATGAAGGAACAGCTTCTCATCCAGCACATTTTCCGGCTGCTCACTTTGCAGGATGTCCACCCATTTGGCAACATCGGTGCCCTGTGATGGTTGCTGATACAGAAGGAACGATTCCAAGGACCGGGCGTTGATCCCCAGCGTATCGACCATGGAATTAGCATCCCGGTACAGACGCTCAATCATACCCGGAATGCCTGGTTTGGCGGTCTCGCCCATGTAGTTTTGATGGGGCAAGAACGGGTCAAGTGTGGAGACCGGCTCGACAGGGCGAGCAAGGTCAGCACGAAGCCTCTCGTCCTCGTCGTCGTCGGAAAGAGACAGCGCTTCCTCCTCTTCCTTGCGCTGGGCATCCGCCTGGGCGCGTGCCTGCTCCTCACGGACTATATCGCTAGTTTTTCTCAGTTGGCCATCGCGCTGTGCGATTTGAGTGAGGGAGGCCTTCCGCGAATCCAGAGCGCTCCCGGCCTCCTTGCGGCTTGCAGGTCGGTTAGGGAACATGCTCTTCTGCGAACTAACGCGAGTGGGGCTAGGGGACCGTTCAGGTTCACGTCCAGGAGGTGGGAGGGGAGGCTTCTTAATGATTTCACCGAAGAGATGTCCCGGTGCTTTGTCTTGAGTCGGCTTCGAGAAGCCTTTGAAGAACCCACCCGTGGAGCTTTGCTCAGACGGTGCACCAAATGAGCTTTCTGCCGAAGGCTTCAGGCTTGGGATCTTCGATTCGTCATGGGTGATTTCCTCGCCACTATCGCTGAAATCAGACTCATCCGCATCGGAGCCGTCAGGAACAGGGACGGCCTCATCTGTGGGTTCCTCCTTGACCTTGGAGACCATAGGGTCAGGGGGCAAGGGCGCGTCTTCAGGGACAGCTGGAGGACTTGCGGGCTTTTTGGGTTTGCTGAGGAAATCTGGAGGGAGAGGTGCATCATCCTCTTTCGGAGTGGGCTTCTTTTTCGTGGAATCAGGAGGCAACGGAGCATCTTCCTCCTTCAGGGCAGGCTTCTTCTGCGTGAAGTCAGGGGGGAGCGGGGCATCCTCAACTTCCGGAGGAGTCTTCTTTTGTATAAAGTCCGGAGGCAGGGGCGCATCTTCGACTGAGCTCTTAGACACATTGGAGGATGCCGAAGTGTCTCCAGGGGCATAACTTGCTCGGGTGGTAGAGTCAGGTGGTAAGGGCGCCTCCAATGTCGGGAAAGTAGGAGTGGACTCTTTCTTCGGCGTTGCAGTCTTATCAGATGGAGCCGACACAGGACTCGTCACCTGATTTTGAGACTGAGCAGAGATGTTGCCAAACGAGAAACTCGACTTGTTGGTCTCAATGGAGGTCGTAGTGCCGGCAGGCTGCGTTTGCGTGCCGAATATGGAGGTTGTGGTCTGCGAAGGAGGCTTGCTTGGGGCACCAAAGATTGAAGTGGGTTCGGGTTTGGGGGGCTGTGGTGCCGTCGAGTCCTCCGCATCGTCCATAGACTCAGCCGGAGGGCTGGGCTTGCTCGAAGAGGACACCATCTCATCGAAAGAACCACCAAAGGAGAAGGCCCCCGAAGAAGGCTTGTCGGGCTTGGGGCCATCATTGGCAGCAGTGCCATCGGGCTTGAAAGTAGACCCGAGAACAAATCCGCCGGCACCGCCGGCGCCAGCACCACCGAAGGGATTCTTCACTTCAGCAGGCTTCGGGGGCGAGAAGACCGAGTCAGTTTGAGGCTTAGCTCCAAAAGGTGACGCTGACCCCTTGGCAAAAGCGCTTTCCCCGGAAGCTTTTGCAAATGGTGACTCGCCGGGTTTGGCGGCAGCGAAGCCACCAAATCCAGTTCCACCCGAGAAAGAGCTGAATCCGCCTCCCGTGGACGCACCACCAGTACCAAGAAGGCTCTTTCCTGGAGTGCTGGGCTGCCCAAAGGTCGATCCCATGACCCCAAACCCAGATTTGCCGAATTGGGCTTGCCCCGGAGTACTAGACATACCGAAAGTCGCCCCGGGTTGTGAAGGGGCTCCGAAAGAGGGCGCAGGGGTTGACGACTTTCCAAAAGCTGGAGCAGCTGAGCCTCCACCTAATGGGGAAGGGCTGCCGAATGCAGAGGGAGCAGATGGTTTTCCAAATGCCGTTGCACCCATTGTAGATTGGCTACCAAAAGCAGGGGCCCCTGATGGCTTCCCGAAAGCCGAGGCACCCAAGGGTGACGGGCTACCGAAGGAGGACTGACCAAAGGCAGGTTGCGCCGGAGCCGGCGCCGGGGCAGGAGGCTGGGCCGGAGGCTGGGCCGGAGCTTGGCCGGCTGACACCAAGCCGGGATATGGCACTTTCTGGCGGATAGATTCATTGTAGATAAACCACCAAGAGGAAAGGATGCCGTCGTTGTTGAGGAGGAGCAGGTTCGGCAGTGGCGTAGCGCTCTCCGAGATGTCCTCGCCCGGAATGGGTGCAAGCACAGTCTCGGTACTAGACAGATCAGTTGACAGGCCAATCACCGAAGTCTCGTCGGAGGATTCCTTCAACGGAATTGTGGCCCGTTTGGTGTCGTCGTTAACCCCAGCAGTCTTGAACTGGCCGACGGTGGTATCATCGCTGGCTAATGGTTGATCAGACCGCGTGATGAGACCAACATCCGTAGACGCAGTTGACGAAACAAGCAAAACATCCTTCAAATGAGGCTTGTAATCTCGTAGCCGGGTAATGAACTGGTAAGCTGGCGTGCGTTTCAAAGTGAAGCCGATGGTCGAACAAATTTCTGGCAATTTCTGGGTCAAAAATGGCGCCTGCTTTCGTCTGGTGATAATGTAATATGAAGACGCCGGGGTTTGTCCCATATCATCTTCGAGAGCATTCGGGGTGTAGACCATGAAGAAAACATCGTTTTCAAGCCACGCGACGGACGAGACTACGTATCATCAGCCACAGCACTATAGGAAGGCCCAACACAAATCCAAAACTTACCATGGCATTCGCCTTCTAGATCGGGGGGCCGCGGGACCTCATCCTTCTTTGTTCCATCCGGAGTCATTTGATACCCTGTTCCGTCCGCTAACCCAGCGACTAGCTGCTTTCCTTTGTTGCTCCAACACACACTGCTGACTGCATCCTTGAGGACCAGTCCGCCAGGCCCTGGAACCAAGCTTCCGGCTTTCAGATCTGCGACAAGCAACTCCCCATTCGCAGTGACGAGCGCAACCAAAGTAGAGCTGGGATCAGGGTTCGGTGCCAGAGCGCGCAGCGACGCGCCGTTTGTCGGGACCGACAAGGCCGGCTGGGCATTCCCTTGCACCAGACTGGCTGTCTCAAAGACCGAGATTGACGGACCATTTTCCGTAGCCAGGATCAGCGCGTCTTCGCCTGATGTAAACGCCACATGTGTAGGACGCGCAGGGAGAGGGATTGTTGCTAGTGGTTGGAAGGGTTTCGTTTTGACCTTGTCTTCTCCGGTTGGTGACTCGATAGCCTTCTTGACAGAATCGGTGCTTGCGACGACGAGGGCGTCGGGGCCAGCACCTACAACCACGCCTTTAGTCTGCGCGACAGCTAAGAGGGAAGATGACGGGGCTGGAAGGGCGTCGTCGGGCCAGGGGGATGGGAGGAATCGGATGTTCGCGTCACCGGCTACACCTTTGAAGCCAATTTCCTAAACCAAGGTGAGTTAGACGGGAATCATGGAGCGTCAGTGAAAGCTCTGGCGGGGCAAGCGTACATCTGTAAAAACATCTGAGAGCTCTGGACCAAGCTCCGCCGGAGCACTCCCACCGGCAGAAGTGGGCGTCGCGAAGCTGAACGCCATTCTCAGTCGGTCAAAATCACCAGAGATGGAACGAGAGGGGTCGCCTAGAGGTGAGCCGGTTCGGGAAGCATTGAGCGAAGGCGAGCTTGGCGGCGTGGAAGAAAGAGACCGTCGATGGAGTGCCTGCGGACTCCGGTTGAAAAGCTGCAGAGTACGCGCAAAAATCTTGGCACGGTTCCTCCTCAAAAAGAGAAGGGAGGGAAAGGATCAAAGGAGACCCTGGGAGGATCGATGATGCAGAGGAGTAAAAAAGGTATGCAGAGGAGAAGCGTGAGCAAAGAGATTCAAAGATCCGAAAATGTTCCAAGGCAAAAACACCAAGTGGAGTGCCTGATAGGTAAGGCGTCTATTAGGCTGCGGGAGCTTCGTCACTCCAGGCTCGACTTCCTCCCAACCTTCAGCTTGCCGTCTACGCTTTCCCCCACCTCAGGACCCGTCGAAGTATCTCCCTATCTCTTTGCCTTCAGTGATTGCTTTAAATTCGAACAGGGCATCAACTTCGACTGGATCACCCCCTGCGTTCTCACGATGCCGGGCTTCGACTTCTCCAACTACAACCGCAACGCGGCGCTTCACGCCAGGGGTGTTCCGATGCCCAAAGCGACCAGCACTGGTACGACAATTGTTGGTTGCATCTACGATAAGGGTGTAGTGGTAAGGACCCTAAATGATCCGAAGACGAAGCGAATGCTTCCCGACACAGGGAGCTGACATGAATGGCGATGGCAGATTGCAGCAGATACCAGAGCTACCAGCGGACCGATAGTAGCAGACAAGGTAAGTTACACAATTCACTTTGGAGAAAATGATTCGGGAGCTGGTCCTTTGCTGGCTTCTCGCATCACTTTCTGGCATGAAGATGTTCCAAGTAGCTGACAGGTGATTTTCGGGAGGGAAATTAGAACTGCGAGAAGCTACACTACATCGCACCGAAGATTTGGTGTGCCGGAGCCGGTACAGCCGCCGACACAGAATTCACCACGGCACTCATCAGCTCGAACGTCGAACTGCACTCCCTATCGACGGGCCGGGACCCGCGCGTGATCACCTGCATGACGATGTTGAAGCAGCATCTCTTCCGCTACCAAGGCCACATCGGCGCGTACCTGGTGGTTGCCGGCGTCGACCCGACCGGAACCAGTCTGTACACGGTGCACGCGCACGGCTCGACGGATAAACTCCCCTACGTGACGATGGGCTCGGGTTCACTGGCCGCCATGTCGGTGTTCGAGTCGATGTGGCAGCCCGACCTCGATCGCGAGGGCGCCATCGCCCTCTGCTCCGAGGCTATCAAGGCCGGTATCTTCAACGACTTGGGGTCCGGAAGCAACGTCGACGTCTGTGTCATCGAGAAGGATCAGCCTACCCAGCTGCTCCGCAATTACATGAAGCCCAATGAGCGGGGCCACAAAGAGCGCAACTACCGCTTCCCGCGTGGCACGACGGCTTGGCTCAACCAGAAGGTTATCAGCAAAGAGGATATGAAGAAATATGTTACGGTGGAAACCCTGTCTGGGGACCCTAGCCTGGCTGCCGGCGAGAAGATGGAAGTTGACACTTAAGGTTGTCGCGAGTCTGGGGGTCAAGCAGATAGACCAGTCGTGGAAAGCAATGTGGTTTTTGGGGCCGATTTAATGCCCTTCCCAGTCTTATCTGTCACGCTACTATTGTAACATGGATGTCCTGTTCTTGGAGTTTATGCTTAAAGAGGTAACCAGGATACAGGGCTCGGACTATCGAGACCAAGTAGGTGTATTCAATTGATGGGATGTAGAGCTCGCAAAGCGTGGGTATCTCTATTCTACACAAATGCATGACCATTCAAGGCCAGCGTAACACCATCTCTTTCCTCCTGCAAGTACCAGTTCAAAGACACAGTTCTTCATATAACATGTGTCCATCCAAATCAGGATCCATCGTGACGGCAATCAGACATGGATCCACCGATCTCGGGTGGCAAACTAAGTTCCTCAACCACATCATGGCCCTCAAACTTCCGAATAATCCACATAATATACTCATACTGCGTAGGCGACACCCGACGGCCCTCACGACGATAGCGCACCACACCAGCGTGGTACATAGCGCGCACGAGCTCCGGGTACACAGGCCCACCATGCCTGCGCAGATAATCATAGAGCCAATGGATGAGATGAAATGAGCGGGACGGGGTCAGCTGGCGGCAGCAGGAGAAAGCAACAGCCAGCTGATGGATGAGGTCGACGGCAACATGGGGGTCTGGACACTCGCTGTTGCGGGGACCTGGGTGGTAGCGGACGACGACTTTCTCGTCGGGGTGCGGGAGAGGCAGCCAGGCCTTGTGCAGGCACAGTTTGATTGGGGTGTGGTTTCTGAGGAGGCGGAGGAGGGACCAGATGCTCTGGGAGTCGCCGACGCGGGCGAGTCGGAGGCATTCTTCTACTGAGGCGGTGCTGGTGAGGTCCAGGCGCCGGAACATTTCCTCGAAGGTGCCGTAGAAAAGAGCTCGGATCCCCTTATATGTGGAGGGGTTTGCCCAGACTTCGGCCAAAGAGGTCTGCGAAGTTTCCAATTGCTCGAGGGTTTTGCGGGTGGTTTTGGTGGTGAGTTTCTTCAGCTTGAGGTCCACTGCTAGGATCAGAAGGCTGTTGTATGGGATATTCAGATCATGGATTCCTCGCATCAGGTCAGAGAGAATCGGTCCATCTGTGTGCTGTATCGCAGTCTCGTATAGACTGAGCAACTCATAGATTGGCCGGTCAGTTGCTTTGCAGCTCTGATTGTACATGGGCCCCAAAGATCGGCAAAGAGTTCGTAAACCCCACAAGCGCAGAATAATCTGGTGCCGAGTGGATCGTTTTTGAAGAGGATCAGGCTGCTCGTTTAAGCCTTGGGGATAAGCAAGGGAAAGATCTATCCAAACCGGCGATTCTGCAAGCGCGGACACGTTCGGCATCCTCAACAAGCATTTCCGCCAGAGTTCAAGCAATTGATCCCTGCGAGCTTTGTCTCTCGAGGAGAGAGTCAAGAATTCCGTGACGCGAATGATACAATCGGCTGCACAGTCTGTGTCGATTTGATCCAAAACTTGTACTGGGAAAGGGAGAGATGTTTCTGTGCTGAGCTTGCCCCCAGCCTCCAGCCATGTTTTGATCAAAATAGAGGGCCAGTGGCCGTCAGAGCCGGCGCCGTGGGTTGCAACGACAATTTCCCGTGCAAAATGAAAGCTGCGAGCATGCAAGAGTTCCTCAAGCCATGTATACACGATACCCTGGTCCAAGTCACGATAACCAAGAATATTGCAGCGCCCAATAGCCCTCCACATGGCCCGGTAATGCTTCACTAATGCGATTTGATCCCACGTCCCCAGCGTTTTACTCCGCTCGACAAGAATGCCCGGCATAGCTTTGAGGATCATGCAAAGCTCGTCGGTTGAAACCAATCCCAGCTCCAAGGCGCGGTTGATCGCATTCAGCACGCCAGTCCGCTGAGACCGCTTGGCCTTCCTCCGCACAAAAAGCTCCACGGCCGCGAGGTAATTGCCCGAGCCCCTCGTGTTCAAGAACGGATCTTCCAAAAATGCAATTGCCTCCGTCAAGCCCGAAGTGGAACGCACGAGCAATCTGTCGAATATCTGACGGCTGTACGCTGGCTCCCGTTGGAGGTCAATTCGTAATCGGCGAGCGAAATCCCTGGCATCTTCAATGCCCCAGTGATCCTTGCGTAGGAACTCATCCAGAAGTTGGCCGCGCGTCAACTTCTCCGTGTCAAGGAGGTCCGGCGGCCGAACATCAGGGATATGCAATTCGCTGGGCCCGGGGTTCTGGTCGGAAAAGGGTAGCGGAACTTCAGGGAAACTTGCAGTGTAATCGCCCAGGTCTTTGTTTTTTTCAAGAAATCCAATTAGAACCAGAGATACCATAAGATCATATCTTTATTTTCAAAGGCACATACCTTGAGGTTCGAGTTGCGCTCTCTGCCATGGATGGTCGGTCCATTTCATATGCTCCCTCCCATTGCGCCCAAACAAACAGGCGATGTCTTCAGCCGGGCCTCCACCAATGCTCGCCAACACAGCATTCCGCCGTTTGGCAAGACGGCGTCGCGCCTCCAGGGGTCCGGGGACGCAGCTCCCATGGCGTCGTTGGCCGTTGGCGAAGCGACGAAACGTCGCGGCCAGCAGGTCATCGCTGATCCAGAGGTGGTCGAGGATCGGAGCAGCAGGTGGTTTGAGAGCATGCCGGTAGGCATGCCTACCGAAAGACATGGGGAGTCAGCAATGGCATATAAAAGCCAACGTTGGAATTGAGGACACCGAGTTCGACCAGCGAAGCTTCAGTTTCGGACGCAGCGAGCTAGCCCCGGCAGAAGGGGCTTGGCGTGGTGACTAAGCAGCATCGGGGTTGGCCAATGTGGAAGCTGCAATTACATCGATGGAAGTATACAAACATTAAAAGAATCATGGATGTATACGACTTATTTTCAGTATTTTCGTAGGCATCAGTCTAGGTTTATTTTCATCAGCCATGAGCACCGTCCATTTTTTTTCTCTCCTCCTCGTTCCGACACCATGGCTTGGGATATAGTCGACCCAAGCCCACAGTCATGCGTCCATCGTTGAATCATTAAAGAAATAAAAACAATCAAAGGGGAAGTACATAAAAAATGCAACCCATGCGCGCGCGCCGATGCAATGCAAAGCAACTCTCGCCAATGGTATCTCATGCGAATCATCTCAGCGAAGACATAATGGAAACCGTGTCATGAGCCGTGTAGAGGGTCGTGAGTATATAAGAGAAGAAGAAAGAAGACGAAGAGGAGGGGGGGGGGGAGTAAAAGAAAAGATGAAAATTCTCCTCATGAGGACTTTTCATCCGGAAAAGGCTTTCTCCCCGTTACCACATGGTAGTTCATGTAGGCATGCACATTCCGGTCCTGGATACTTTTCCGCACGTCGACCAGAAAAACCTCGATCTCGGGCTTGGACCACCCCAGAGCGAGGAAGGGCTTGTATGACCAGCCGGACAGGGCCTCAAGCCAGTTACTTTCGCTCCAGGCGCCGATGTTGCGCATGCGCTCATCTTGCGGCCAGGTGTTGGTGGGGATCTTGTGGACGTGCTGCTTGACGTCTACAAAGCCGACATCCTTCATCCACTGCTCGATGCGGTGGGCGATGCGGAACTGGCGGGGTGGGTCGACATCCTGGCTCGAGCGCATATTTAAGTCGAACCAGTCGTGGAGTGCAAATGCGCTGTACCCGTCTGGGTTCTCCGGGGGCATGGTGTTGTCGTCGCATTTGGGTTTCGGGTCCATCTCCTGGCACTCGATGTAGGCGCCGGGCTTGAGGTATTTATATGTCTGGCGCAGCAGGCGTTTAAATGAGGGCATGGCCCCAGTCATATGCGAGATATGAATAAAGTTGAAGTAGTTCGGACCCCACAGCCACTCATCTTCGGTAGCGTCGTCGACTAGAAAATGCACGTTCTCGGGAACTTCGGTCGGTTGCACAGGAGACAGATCCGTGCCTGTAATCTCGGTGTGTGGGAATTGAGTTGCTGCCAATCGAATGTAAGTTTTCAAGCACGAGGCTGGCATAACACCCCTATCAAAGGTGAGAGAATGGGGCATTCCTACCCAATTCGATTGGCCATATTCCCGACCCGGTGCCAATATCGAGGATCTGTTGGGGCTCTTTCAGAGGGACGTTGAATAACCGCCCGCCCATCACCATCTTGAACATGTGGTGCTGCATATCCAGACGATCGAGCTCCTGCTCATCGTTGGGATAGAGATAGGCTAGTCGGCCCTAGTCAGACAACCTTCGAAGAGACGGCAAGTCAAAGAGGACAAACTTACCTCCCTCATGGTACTTGTGATACCGTCTCCCATTCTCCACGGGGTAGTCCGTTACACTGTCAGTCAGTGACTGAGTGTCACTATTGACGGGTTAGAGTCTTCACGCCATGCAAATTGGATGAAAACCACCGGGGAGAATTACCATTCATTCTTGGGTTTCTGCATCAGTCTTCCGTTAGCATTCCTCGGGGTCCTCGCAGGCAAGCAAATGATGAAGCAGACAAGTAGAGCGGCGAAAAGTGACACCAGTTGTGCCAAGTCAAGAAGAAAAGAAAGAAAGAAAGAAAAAAAAAAAAAAAGGGGGGGGGGATGGAACTTACAGGAGGTTTGGGGCCCATCCTGATCACCTCGTCCCCAAGTGGGATCGACCGAGGCAGGTGGGAATTGCAATCCACCCCTCCTGGTGGGATGGGAGAGTCCAGGAATTCCCGACAGTGGAAATCAACGGGAAAAGATTCTGGAGAAGAAAACTGTGGAAATCCCAGGGTTAGACTCGGTTCTCTCTTGTGGATGGGGCGTGCTCCATCGTGCACACAGCGGGGGAGAGCTATTACTTCGTAAATGAGAGGCCCAGAAAAGCCGGCAATAGACCATTTCATGTCCCAATCTTGACTAGCATGCCAGAGAAATCCACAGATATCAAGAACGTCGAGGGAAAAAAATAATACAATGTATCTGTCAAGTTGGTCTCTTGTCGAGCCCGACAGCTTGGGTTAAGTTACCATTTGGCAGGACGGGAGGACGATCCGGACAACTATAAATCAATCGCTGAGTGCCGAGGGGGGGTGGATCGACATTTGAAATGTCTTCAAAATAATAATAATAATAAATAGGTTTTTTTTTTCTCTCTCTCTCTCTCTCTCCCTGCTTCTAATAAAAAAGAAAAGAAAAAGAAAAAGAAGAAAAGCAAAGCCCGTAGGGGGTGAGAAGTGGAGTCATGGTGCGTGCATGGATGGGGTACAAGGTTGACCCAGACTATACCGAGTGGGCATCCATGGACATCAAGAAAACAAGAGTAATAGGAGGGTCAAGCACCTCGAAGCAATTCCTTTCGATCTGGGAGCAACCGAGGGTATGTTTGGTTGAATCGATCTAGTTCAGGCCGCCTGTTTTGCTCTTTTTTTTTCTCGTCTTTTTTATTTCTCTTACAAAGGAATAGAAAAAAAAAAAAGAAAAAAAAAGGCAGGAAAAAGATGATTGGACTCGGGGATGATTCACAGGATACTGTACGGAGGTAATCTTCAGAGAGTGAAATACAGATTACCAGAGAACCCGTATATCCTTTCCCTGAGTTCGAGCGCTATCGGGTTACAAACTGTCTTTTTCCGGCTTAAAGTGACATGGGTTTAGGCAGGATCTACTTCTGCTTGATACAGAGAATAGAAAAGTGGTCATAATGATATTAGCATCATTTGTATTATTATACTATAATAATACCTCGATTTGTCCGATCGGCCAATAACACCGAGTCCCATCAGACTGAAATTAGCAACCGAGCCAGCCACGGGCTCTTGCTGGGAAACGATGCAAATATCTAGATCCCAGAGTGCCGGAACCAACTCTATATATCATGTTTTCTCCGGATTTTTTTTGGGGGGGGGGGGGGGGGGGTGCTATGTATCTAGGTAATAGGGAGTGTTGGCTGTCTGATCGAGGATAACAAATCCTCTGATCGCCCTATGCATTCCGCCCCGCTGCAATCAACACGGAGACGCCCTGGTGGAGCTGTCAGGAATTCATTCTCAGAGCGCGAGTCATGCCGGACCTGACCAGCTCGCCACGGGGGGCCAAGATTTTGAATCTGTCCTCCCGGGGATATTAATCTATTCTAATGATTTTAAGAAGAATAACAATATAAAGATAAAGATAATCAATTCAAGAAACAGAAGAAACAGAACCCTCGAGCCCAGTTGATATGTCAGAATTAGGGCTTGGTTGGCATTCGTAATTAGCTCCTTGGGCTGTAATGTAGATCCATCTGCCCAGGCCATCATATTCTAGTAATTATTATTATAAGATAATTATTATAAGATATTATTATAAGATATTATTATAAGATATTATTATATTATGGGAAAACGGGGCCATGCATCGCGGAACACGCCAAATCCTCCGGCGATCCGGGATTACCCCTTGACGGCTCGTCTCGCTATTTTCCCGAACACACTCCGACACGATGATATGATGATACTCTCGCTATCGGTAATATTTCGGATTAATGAATACACCCAAAGAAAGTGAAATAGTAAAGTAAAAGTAGAAATGAAACAAAAGTAAAAAAAAAAATCTTCATCATCACAGGTTATGATCGGCACACCGTGTCTCGTGCGCAGAGTGTCGATCCAAAGTCAAAGACCGCCAGTTGAGAGGGGACGGGTTTGGCAGAGTTCGTGTCCCACATTTGCAATTAGGATCTTGTTTGGCTGTTTATTTTTTATAAATTTTTTATTTCTTTTTTCTATTGCACCCCTCTTCTGTCAAGGAGATCCGTACTCGGCGTACCCCGAATCTTAGGGTAAAATAATCATGCAGATGGGCAAAAGGAAAGAGAAAATCAGAGAAAATCACATACAATTGTCTACAATTGTTATCCCTGCAAATATAGTCCCCAAAAATAAAACCCCTTAACGCCTTCACCACATCCCCGGGCTTCCCATTCCCAGGGTACTCGACTTTATTGGCAATCGGACGAGTCACAACAGGCCGACCCCGACCGCTGGGAATGTGGTCGGGGGTGTTCCCACGGTATCGGGAACACCGGCGCGCGAGCCAAACCTCGAGGCTGGGTATTGGAGATGTTAAAGGGGGAAATCCCGGTCCTTCTATGGGATCCATTTTTTCATCTATGGTTCTGTAGATAACTAAAAGATTGTTCCTTTCTCTTTTGTCAGTACTTCCGTTTATACCTACTGTGAATGGTACCTCATGTATGGATAATACTGTTGTAAACGGGGCAGTTCCGCTCCAGTGGAGACCCCCCCCCCCCCAATCCTCGGTTCTCTTTCCCCTCTTCAGCTATTGAAGAATAAAACCCAGTCGATAGTGGAACCTGCCCTCTGTATATCCGAGAAGCAGGTGATTTTTAAGGATTGCAGATTGGGGAATCCTAGTTCTACTAGACCAACTCCAAATGGACCCAGACCGAGGCAGTTACACCGATTGTCAGGGTCCTGGCGATCAGATAATGTCCCTGCAGGATCTGTTGAGGAGGCTGAAAGAACAAATTTTTTGAGTAAGGTAAACTGATGCTATACATAGTGGGAGAGGGCGGATAATTCATCCACTTCCTGTTAGGGCTAGATATCAACAGCTGGAAGTATATATATACATGGATGCAAAATCTGCTACACTCATTCCGTAATTTTACCCTCCCTGAATTACTTTCCAGCCGCCAACTAGGTTATCGCTTGCCCGCCCGGCGTCATTTGCAACAAATGCCCCGTCCAGCCCGAATACGACCTCGGAGTCCACTCCTTCCCCTTCCCCTCTGTCTGTACTGTACATTGTTTCGACTCCTGAAAACAGCAAATGACAATTTCCCCGAGCAAAAGACCCAGGACAGACTACTTTCTCGGCTACGTGGTCTTTGCATTCACTGTATACCTCTTAAATCAATTTTCATTTTTCATTTTTTTTTCTTCTTTGACAAATACTATATTCTCCACTACCAATACAGCCTTCTATTGGGCCGAGGCCACCTACGAGACGGCATAGCAGAATGAACAGAAAGAGTGGGTAATCAAATAAATAAAAACCCAAAACTCTGCCACGTTGTTTGGAAGGAGATCTTCAGAGTGTACAACTGCGGGGGGGGTTGCAAGTATGCAGATCGGCTGCGTCCCATAAACACACACGCAGAACATTCGACTTACTACATAGAGATAAGGCTAAGGAAGTCCGTCTCGGGTGAGGACCCAGTTGTTTGTCTAGTAACATGATATTATGGTCATGATTTGGAATGGCCTGTGGATAGAACATGCTCCGCGGAGACTATAAGAACCAATCGGTCTAGAAAGTAAGGGGAAAAAAAAAAAAAAAAAAGAAAAAAGACTGTCATGCAAAAAAGAACAGATCCAAGATCCCAAGACTCCAATGACAGCGAGTTCTCCAGAGTTTCCAGATCGGCCCTCCGAGGGGCCCGAGCTGTGTCATTCCCCCTGGGCCATATCTCAAATCGCATGATTTGTCATTGTCATTGCTCTTCTTACTTCGTACTAACCCCCCCAAATCCATCTGCACTCATGACGCAGGTGGGTATTCCTCCGATCAACCTGAGAAATTACAGGAAACTGATCAAGCCACAGAGAGAATCCTCTCCACCGACGCAACATTGCCTTCCATTGGTTGGACCTTGTCCGTTCTAGGAGCCGTGAGAATCATCGCATATACACACAATTGATAAATAGCACAAAAGAAATAAGAGAGAGAATACCTCGTTTGGATGCGGATGTCTGTCTGGACTCTGGCTATCCCTTGCTGATGGACAAAGGTGTGCGCGAATCCAATGAGCTGGACGACCTGGTCCCATGGTCCCTCTGCGATGAATTGGTCCTTAGCTGGCATTCTTCCAGGGCTCTGCTGGTTATGCTGAACATGAATTGGTCAGGATTGCATGTATCTGCAACATACCAACCGTTGTGCCTGTCGCGTGCATCTGGAACTTCAGCCCGGACTGCTGGATCAGACGCTGGATGTCGGCGATCTGCTGGGCGAACGAGATGCTTTGAGATCCGATCTAGCCATTGGGAACGAGTGTCTCGTTAGCTTGTTTCTGAAATAGTGGATCAGGATATTCTCGGACTCACCGGGATCAGGGAGAAGTCCGCCGTGCACCGCGAGGGGGTTGCCAGAGCCGGGTTGATATACGCCATGGTGCTTTGTTGATACCTTCTGCAATTTGGTTCGTTCAATCGATGTCAATTGGAACAATCAGTGACCAAGTCCAGTATTTATGGCTGAGCACGCAATTCAAACCTATCATGAACGGATCATGGTGACGTGAGATCAAAAAGCAGACATTACGGCGAAAACAAAGAACCACGGAGAGACGCCAGATATATTCTATTCTCTACTTATTTAGGAAAGCCAGGATCAACAGAAACTCGGTTCAGCCAAGTCTAGTACCAAGTCTCATCAACCGTCCTCCCACGCCTCTGCGCTGGCTCACTCCCAGGCACATAAATATCCTCGAACAAAATCCGCGGCGTAGCCTCCGGCGCCGGCATCTGCTCCGCCTGCCGCACCTCCTGGCCGACGGTATTCCGTACCTCTCGATCAATGCTCTTCGCCTCGTCCTCCGTCAGGACCCCCCAGTCCACCAACCGCGTCTTCAAATTCCCAATCGGGTCGTTGGCGCGCTGCTGCTGGAGCTCGTCGCGGCTGCGGTACGCGATGCCCGGGTCCGACATCGAGTGCCCGGCGTATCGGTACGTGGCGTACTCGTAGAGCAGCGGGCCATTGCCGGCTTTGACGTATTCGCGGCCGTGTCGGACGGCGGCGATCACGGCGAGGACGTCCATGCCGTCGACGCGGAGCCCGGGGATGTACTGGGCGCGCTTGTAGTATTCGGTCATGGCGGAGGCTCTTTCGGCGGAGGTTCCCATGCCGTATTTGTTGTCTGCGTGGTGTGAGTACCATAAAAAGCTAATTACTATAGCAAAAAAGAAAGAAAGAAAGAAACTCACTCTCGCACCCAAATATCACTGGCAAATTCCACAGCTTCGCCATATTATACGACTCGTGCACCTGGCCCTGGTTCGCCGCCCCGTCGCCATAGAGGTTGATCGTGACGTTGTCTGTGTCATTGTACTGCTGGGCAAAAGCGATGCCAGTACCCAGAGGCACATTGGCGCCGACAATACCATTTCCTCCAAAGAAACTCCTGGCGTACATATGCATCGACCCACCCTTTCCATGCGCGATTCCATCCCGACGCCCCAGCAACTCTCCAAGTATCGACTTGATCGTCCCGCCGCGCATGAGAGTGAACCCATGTGAGCGGTATGCCGTGATCAGCTTGTCCTCCCTGCTGATGGCATGTTCGATGCCCACAGCTACGGCCTCTTGTCCTGTTGATAGGTGGCAGAACCCGCGGATCTTCCTCTCTTTGTACAGGCCGTCGGCGGCTAGTTCGAGGCGCCTGGATTATACATTAGCCTCTGTGATCTACGCAATGTATGGTCCGATAAATTCCAAACCTGATCATCGTCATATCCCGGTATAATTGTCTGAGTTCATTCTTGGTCGTTTCGACTGAGTACGCTGGCGGATCGAAGTTGTAGGTTTCGAAGCTCGTGTCTGGTATGGGTACTGTGAACTTTTTATCATTTTCCTAGGACAATATTCTTGGTTAGAGAGCGATCTTCTAGGTCCAAGAAGAAAACACAATTAGATTCTCACAGGAGGTATATTGCTAATGTCGGCAACTTGAGCAAGTCCGCGACGACTAATAGAGCGATGGGCTCTCAAGGGTAATAATGTGGCCCTGGTGGCTGTCCACATAATGATGATTGCACTTCAGTTAATTGCAGAGGTTTTTTGCTGAAGAGATTGAAGCCCATTCGAGTTCGAATGCATATGTACCTCTGTGCTAACTAATCCTGATACTGCATCCCTAGAGTGATGTAATCATGAAATCATGGCCGATTGGTTGTTATGCGACTTTACTGCAGGGGTGCCAGGGAGGATATCTTGAATGTATTGCTAATGGATTATAGTGATTATGCTAGAAAGTACTCCAGAGCTGGTCCAAACCATGTGTTTTATGCTTTGTGGCATAGAAATATATCTTGGCAACAAGATTACCGATTGTAGTATATGATGAGGCCATATTATTCTGCTAAGAATAAATCTCTACCACAAAGACAGAGAGTCTATATATCAACTACTAAAATCTGGAACTTGAAATAGTCAAGTATTGATCATTCGCACCCCAACACACTCCCGAATCGGGTTATATAGCAAATGCGATCTCGGCACGGATCAACAAATATCCGATATGACGCATCTTCTCTTCTCGAAAACCCCAACATCAACAGATTGCGATAGACACGGCCATCGTGGGCAGTTTCACAAAATGTGGGAGCAATAGCAACTATACTATTCACTGCATCTATCTACTTGAGTCCCAGGCTCTTGCTTTAAACTTCCCCGCAGTGAAAGCAGCAGCTCTCATAACTTTCTCAGACGCGTCTCACCTACACGCGTATACCCCATCTGAACCAGAGAGCCCCCGGGAACAAATCCTTTATGCCCCTCAAAAAGCTGGTCTGGCATGGTGCGCCGTACCCTAGCGCGCTCCTCGAGGGGACGGGGATCGCGGCACAACCAGCTCAAGCGCGAGCGAGTAAGAGATGACTCAGTCCCAGAGGTCTACCAAGAGATGCTAGAAGAGGCAGAAGCTCGTGATCCTGGGCAGTTTGCCCCGGACAGACCCATTAAGAGACGGCGAGTTGGAGACATGAAGGCAATCCCGGTGGAATCCCAGCCGCTGGACCAAGGCAGTGTCTCGGGCCATGCTGGCAATAATGATGCCCAGCAGGTGCAGACTGTCTATGACACCACTACTACAGATGAATCTGATGTTGAGTGGGAAGATGTCGATATTCAGCACTCTGCACCCACCATGCTGGGTACCCCTGCGTCCCAGGCTGGTGGGGAAACGCTACAGATTACCCTTGATCAAGAACCCGAGAAGCGAAAAAGGACGGCCCAGAGAAGGAAGCCGGTGACAGCAGCAGAGAGGAAAGTGAGATTAGAAGTCCATAAAACCCATCTCCTTTGCCTCTTGGGCCATGTCCACCTTCGCAATCTGTGGTGCAACGATGAGGATTTACAGGTACGGCCTGGGCTGCTTGGGGGTTATTTATTGAACAAAGTCCAATAATTTTTCTAGGCTTTTTTGAAGAGAATGCTGCCCAAGAGAATCCTCACGCTGCTAATCCCAGAAGAGGATAAACCGCAGTATATCAGGTCCACAACATTTGTTGATGGCCTCAATCAAGCCGGCGACATCTTCAGTCGCAGGTTTCGGGTGACCAAGCCAGGCATGAAGCGTGCACACTGGGCTGATGATCAAGACCAGCTGAAACAGAGAACGGTATGACACGGCAGGTTATATGTTGCAATACGTGCCTCTAACATGACTATAGGAGGCAATAATGTCCAATGCCGAAGTCTTCCTGTCGAAAGAGGACTTTCGGATGCAGGCCAAGGCAATGAATGGCTCTCGAGATTTCGGGGCCCAGTTATTCTGCGCTTTGTTGCGATCTGCTGCCGTGGAGGCAAGGCTTGTTTGTTCATTGCAACCATTGCCATTTTCTGGGACGGTCAAAGACATGACGCCATCCAAGGCAAAACCTGGGCCCATTGTTATCTCTTCTGATGACCATGATACTTCCACAGATGAACGGCAAAAGCCCGCGGATTCTCCCACGCCGTCAAGGATTCGACGGATCGGGCGGCCTGAATTTGCTCCTGCGCGCCCTCCCCCCACATCTCCGCGCCCAGGTACGTGACTCTGGATAGTTGGCGCTGCTCCCAACCGACAAAAGGCTAATATTATCAGGCCCCCGTCCGACCCCTCAAGAATCATTGTACCCTGTGCTTTGGGTAGAGGCCTTTAACGAGGCTGTACAGAAATGGGTTGCAATCGATCCTGTCGTGACCAAGTCCCTGGCCAAACCCTCTAAATTCGAGCCGCCTGCCAGTGATCCATACAATCAAATGAACTATGTGGTTGCATTTGAAGACGATGCCTCTGCCAGAGATGTTACCCGACGCTATGCAAAGGCATTCAATGCGAAAACGCGCAAGCTACGTGTCGAATCGACACGAAACGGGGAGGCATGGTGGGACAAAGCCCTGAGAGCATATGAAAAGCCGTTCTTGGAGGATCGGGACGCAGCGGAGGTCGGTGAACTGACCTCCAAGTCGGCGGCTGAGCCTATGCCACGCAATATCCAGGACTTCAAAGATCATCCTGTCTACGCACTCGAAAGACACATTCGTCGCAATGAAGTCATCTCCCCGAGACGCGTTATCGGGTACGTCGGTTTAAGCAAAACCACGTCCAAAAGTGACAATCTGGAGCCCGTTTACCGGCGCACGGACGTGCATCTCGTGCGTAGCGCTGATAAATGGTACCGTTTGGGACGGGATGTCAAACTGGGGGAGCAGCCTCTCAAACGAGTCCCTGCGAGCCGGGGAAAGACCGGAATGTGGAGTGACGATGACGACGAGCCCCAAGAGACAACTCTCTACGCCGAGTTTCAAACAGAGGTCTACCAGCCGCCGCCCGTGGTTCAAGGGAGGATCCCCAAGAATGCGTATGGCAATTTGGATATCTACGTCCCCAGCATGGTTCCACCCGGTGCGGTCCATATCCAACGACCGGAGGCAGTTCGAGCAGCCCGCATCCTTGGCATTGACTATGCAGAGGCTGTGACGGGATTCGACTTCAAAGGGCGGCGTGGCACTGCCATTTTTAGAGGAATCATCATTGCTCTTGAATACCAGGAGGCCCTCGAAGAAGTCTTGAGAAGCCTTGAAGACGAACGGCGCCTAGCCGCCCTCGAAGCCCGGTCTGTGGAAGCTCTACGGTTCTGGCGACTGTTCCTCACTAAGCTCCGCATTGCAGAGAGGGTCAAGAGCTACGCGGGCGAGGACGAAGAACTGGCGGAAGAATTGGAGTCGGAGCTGGTGGAGAATGTGGAAGACGCTGGCGGAGGGTTTTTCCCAGAACCCCATCAGCCGACGAAAAGTCCACCACCACAACTGCCCAAGGGAGGAAATCTGGCCACGAGCACTCTTTCCTCTGGTGATACAGAAGCCAGTCTTCCCTTTGCTCCCCAGGACGATGAAGCCCTAGGCGGAGGATTCATCCCTGATGAACCGGTGGATGACGCGCCAGCTGCAGAGCCAGCTGTCCTTGTCGCCAATGCAAACCCAAGTCCGCACAACAACAGGACCCAAACCTCGAGTGAGTCTCGGTACCGCTTGGTTGTGGTGCCACATCACAAGCCGAGCACAGAACAACAACCTCAACCAAGTACGCCAGAACCAACAGCACCCGCAGAACCCCCGGGATCATCTGAGAAGGTCCCTATTGCAGTAGACTCATCCACGAATGGTGATTCCAAATCTGTCAGCGTAGATCCCATCTCGCGACCCGTGTCTCCCCAGGCGCATGCCCCGGTCCCGGATTCCGACAGCGAGATAGAGAAAGGCTCGCTGCTGTCCGAGGACCCCGAGGATGAAGATGCGATTCCCGAGTGGCTGATGTCAGACTAGAAATGTAAATAGATGATACCTGTGAAACATACATGATGCATGATTCTGTCCTGTTGGTGGGCAAGTAAAGTCGACTCGAGTAGCCCACATCCACAGAGCGTGCACGGACCATGTGTTAGTGGGAGCGACGCGTTGACGCGTCGATGGGCCCAACGTCATCGTCTTTCGTTTTTTTTTTTTCCAACAGACAAACGACTCGAGCTGAACTCTGCACTCACTTGAAGCTGCGATGAAACGCCAGCAGCCCCATAATTTATCAGAGATCGCGCGAGACCAGTTCCGAACCCCCAGCCGACCCAGCCCGCTGGGCCCAGCAGCATTCGCAACCTCAAAAAGCACCTCGAAGCGACGCCGGTCCCCCGACTCAGCAGCACCCACGCGCATTCACAAGAGGAGCTCTTTGCCCAGCGGCTCGCGGGCCCAGCCCACCCTCACCCAGATCGACTTTGTAACGCAGCCCACGGACTCGGATGAAGACCAGCTCGATTACATTGACGAATTCAAGCCTCGTGGCGAGACCGAGACCCAAGACCCAGCTAAAGACGATGACTCTGACGACGCGGACTATGAAACACCCCGGGCTCGGTCGGCTCGGATCTCGAAGTTCGGAATGAATCATCCAGCGCGTGCATCCAACGAACACCCGAAGAAACGACGAAGTGTTGGGATTAAAGGTCGAGACTCTGAGCCGAGAAGCCATGGCCTCAGAAAGAGCGAAACACCAAGGGCAAGTATCGGTGCTAAAAGCCGTCGGAAATCACTGGAGAAATCGAATGGGAAGCCAGACAAGACTCTTACACAAATGGACTTTGTGCGGCGCTACATAACCATCGATGATGATGACGACGACGATGTCAACATGGGATACATACAGCAAAAGCCTACCACAGATAATGCCCATGATGAAGAGCGAAAACCAATGGTTGAATCGAAGGAACCACCTCCGGATCTTCCCCCGCTGTCTGCCAAACGCAACCCCAGGGTCTTTGAGGAAGAGCTGGATCTATCTACAGGAGAGCCCATATCACAGTCAGCCGATACCCAAGAAGGAGATTTAGGTCAAGTTCGTCAAGACGCTCCGTTATCTGGGGCACCGGCGACGCCGCAGAAGCCTCGGAGGTTGGAGGTTCCCTCTTCACAGTCACCTGAAAGCCCCGGTCTGGCGATCATCACGTCGTCCCAGTTTCGGGGTGTTACTCGCTCGCCTTTGAAACAAAAGTCTTTGAACCTCCCTGACCATCTTGAAAAGGCCATTAAAGAGGAATCTCCGCAGTCCGAACCGGCAGCTGAGAATTCACACCATCCAGAAGATTCACTCAATGCCACCACTGCTGGCTCTTCCACTGCTTCTGAGTCTCAAAATCTGCCTCAGCCTACTTCTGCTGCGAAAACCGCTGTCTTAGTACCGCCCCTAAGGCCAACACCCCAAGGATCTCCTGAAGCAAACGGCGAACCGACAAGCGATCAACCCAAGAGGGAGAGGACAGTGGTGTACGAAACGGACGCCGAGACAGATTATGGTGACTTTGACGAAAGGTCAAACGATGGGTCTGAGACCCCATCGCCAGGGATGGGACAGCGAGAGCATGATTCTAGTCCTGGCTCGCCAAAAGATGACTCCCAAGAACTGCCATTGCCGCCGGTCCAATCCACAACAGAGCCGGATTCTGCTCCTCCGTCCAACGTTCCTATGTCGGATGCCTCGATCTGCTACCAGCGAATGCACCCAGCTACACAATTCCCACATGAACCTATTCCGGCGTTGAACACGCAGAAGCTGTCTGAGCTTTTCCCGCATGAGAGCAGCACTCAATACCCCCAACCAGAACCGCCACGACCTTTGCCCCAAGAACCTCCTGCAGCATCCTTACAGACCCAAACACAAACCCAGACTCAGAGCCAGACCCAAAACCAGACCCAAGGGGAAAAGGTGCCAACAGAATTTGTACCTGAATCTTCGCCCACTCGGGAACGAGAAAGCAGTGTTGATGTGCCGGACGCGAGCTTTTCCCGACCTCGCGTGCTTGACTCGGTGGTCCAAGTTGAGTCGTCACAGCCCGTCGACTGGGGCTCTAACCGACCCCGCGGGATTCTTTCTCGCAGTCAGCTACTCACTTCGAGCGTGATGGAGAGCGTTCCGTTGCCAAATTTCTGGACGGGGAGCCAGGACAGTGTGGGAGAGCCGTATAGCTTGCCGGATGCTTCATGAATTATGACCTTGTATTTGCAGCGATTCTGCCATCAGCGATTTATTAAAATAGACAGTTAAATAACCCACCATAAACAAGCAGCTACAGTTATATAGTAAGTAGCCGACAGAAGGGATCAACCGTGGTTGTCCGGTGCAGATCGCCAAGCACAAGCGGGGCGGTCGGCCCATCGAACGCGGAGAGGTGCTGCAACCTCCGAATGGGCAACTTCTCTCCTGCACATCTCACCCGCCATGGACATCGCATACGACCACATCCAGGAGGAGATTCTGACCTCCAAGCAGGACGACGCTCCGTCCAACTCCAACGCTCAGCAGTCCAACATCAACCTCAACACCGAGCTCCAGGAGACCTTCCGCGCTTTCTCTGCCAGCCCGTGGGGCACGACCATTGGAGGATTGTGGGATAATGTGCGCAAGCAGGGCGAGAGCTACTACGAGGGCGCTCGTCAGGAGTATGCAGCCGCCAGCGAAGAAGCCGTCAAGGGGTTCTCCGACCTGAAAGAAAGCCTCGTCGATCGGACAAAGGGACTGTCGCTCAGCGCGACCGGGCTTACAGGCGGTGGCGGCGAGGGCCAGACCGACGAGGCCACCACGCCGACAGCGTCGACTGAAAAGGAGTCTCAAGAGAAGGGCGAGGCGACCCCTGCTGCCGGTGGCGAGGGCTTCATTTCCCGCTTAAAGGCGGAGGCGGCTCGACGACTCAAGGAAATCGAAAAGGCGGAAGAGGCTGCGGACGAGGCGATCCTGCGATTTGGGATGAACATCAGCCAGAAGCTGCGCGATGCAGTAAGCATCGTGCCTCCTGAGGCTGATGCTGAGGGCAAGCTCTTGTTCGAGAGCAAGGATGCTGAGGGCAAGCGGGTCATCCACGCCACGCGGTTTGATGCCCAGCTGCACGTAATCCACTCCAATCTCGAGAGCTTCACAAAGGACCCTGCTAGTGACAAGTGGCCGGCCTTCCAGAAGGAATTCAGTGTCGAGGGCAACACGGAGCAGATCGCTTCCCACTTGGAGAAGTACCCCGAGCTGCGGGCCGCCATGGAGAAGCTCGTCCCGGAGCAAGTGGAATATGCGGATTTCTGGACTCGGTACTATTTCCTACGCCTTGTTATCGAGACTGAGGAGCAGAAGCGCAAGGAACTTTTGAAGGGTTTGTTGATCCCCTAACTTCTACACCTACTGGGCTGAGACTGTTGGCTAATTACTATTCATATCTACAGGCGCCAATACCGAGGAGGAAGAAGAGGTCGGCTGGGACGACGACTCGGACTCTGAGTCTGAGTCTCCCTCGACACCCCAGCTCCGTTCCAGCAACCAAAACCCCGCTCCCAGTCAGGATGCTCCCGAGGCCGATGCCCCCAAGCCGGATACCCCGAAGGCAGGCGCCCCGAAAGCAGATGCCCCGAAAGCCGAGCCTCGCCGGTCAAATGACCAGCAGTCGCAGGCCGATAGCGAATCCAGCTACGACGTTGTTAGCGGCACGGCCAGCCGGACGCCTGGAAGCCCCAAAGAAAAGAGTCCGACGTCGGACGCAAAGGCGGATGAGAGTGACGAGGACTGGGAGTAAATCGGGTTATTCAACGAGAATGGAATCGCTCGGGGTTTTCCCTTTTCCTGCGGGATGCAACTTCACTTTTCATATCCACTTGACAGTGGCCTAAAACCTCGACTCGTCTACCTCAGTTCGGAGTTGAGTCAGCATAACCGCCTTGTGGATTTCCCAGTCGCTTTCTTTGCTGGAGTTCGGTTCTGATGTTTTCGGGGGCTCAATGGTGTTGCAGGGATTTGTTCTTGTCTCTTCTTCTTATTCCCAGCCCTGCTTTTTGTCCCGTGGCTTCAGCGACGTTGCCTCTTTGCTGCCTTTTCTATGATATCTGGTCATGCATATTATTCGTTCAATTTACATATCTTTCATCATTCCTTATTGGTATATATCTCGTATTGGAAAAGGCTAGTCTGTTTTGACGTATATTTTTCGACTACCGAGTCTAAATATTTTCGGGTATGGGCTACTAACGAAAACCGGGCAATGGCAAGCTTGCGTGGTAGATGTGAACAAAGTGAAAGTACCAATAGTTCTCGATTCTACCAGGAAACGCCCCAGGCTTCACAGTGCGAAGTAAATGCAAGTTACATGTACAAGGATCATGATAGCTCATGCAAACGGTCCGAGAGTCATTCCGCAGTCCCAGAACCAACATCTCCATCTTTGTGTTTCGGAGCGGGCCCCGACTTCTTCGCAAGCGGCGAGCCCTGCCTCGAGCTTGCATTATCCGCATACGCTGGCGTGACACCACGGAGACCACTCGGTCCGCGTCTCGGATCAGACCGAAGACCGGGCGACCCTCTCCTGGGAACAGACACGGGCGTTTCAGGGGTATTCTCACGAGAGCGGAGATGGAAGGCCGACGATCGCCCACTAGGCGTGTAGATGTCGTCGGCATCACGCGGGGTTCCCGCGGGACTGCCGGGCATCGAGCCGTACTGGTAGTCCTCGCCGCGGCGCTTGACGGGGCTTTCATCGTAGGGGTCCCATCCGACGCGGCGGCGGGCCTCGGAGCGTAGGCGTTGACGGTGCTGCTCGTCGCCGCCGGCGCCGGTGGTGGAAGATTCCTCGAGGAAGAAGTTGAGGAGTTCGTCGCTGATGGAAAGGTGCGACTGTTGCTGGAATTGCTGGAGGGAGGTGAGCCGAAGTAAGGTCTCTAGGAGGGAGAGCGAGGTGCGGATGTTGTCGAAGAGAGGGTTGGAGACCGTCGTTGTGGCTGCGACTTGCGCTGGTGTGGAGGATGGCGGTTGCTGGGAGATTTGCTTGGGGGTTGATGGCGAAGGAGATGGAGAGGCCGAGGGCCCCTTGTCTTTCAGAGAGAGCTTGGCCATTGCGCTGGGGTCAAGGGACGTTTCTGTTGCGTCTGCTTCGGACTCGGTGTCCGAGGCTTCGTCCTCGTTGTAGACTTCGAACGCAATCCATTCCGGGTCCAGCCCAGGTGGTAATCGCCATTCCTCGGGGATGGAATCTTCGTGCAGGGACATGAAAGGATGATCGGCGCCAATGGTCGTTCCGTTAAGCTGTGCGTCGAGCTGTGCTTGCTCGTCGTCTTCCGGTTCCTCCTCGAATGATTCGTGAGCAAAGTCGTTCATCATGTCCTCGCGCTCCATCATGCGCCGTGGAGGCAGAGCGTTGGTGTCTCGCTTCAACAACAACACCGGGTTATTGGTCTCTCCTTCGGTGCTGATGTTGAGAATTCTGCCTGTGTCGGCGTAGAAAATCTTGGAGATCTGGTGGATGGGCATGATCTCCCGTATTCCTGCTGAGGCGACCCCCTCATAGTGCTGGGGTCGAGGTTCGTTCTCTTCAAATGTGTGAACCCGTCCATCATCAAAGTCTTCGATGATCAGAACTTGATATGCATATTCGTCCACTCCGTCTGATCCTGAAAGCTGTGGTTCTTGGTTTTGATCTTCCGAGTTATAGAGGTCTATCGGGACTCTTCTGAGTTTCAAGCGTGCCTTGTGCATGACCTCTTTCCATGTTGCTTCGCGAACAGATTCTTCGTCGTGGGGCCGTAGATGACTTGCAAAAAGCATGTACATCGACAGGGTAAACGTTGGCCCTATCTGAACCGCCTTGGATTGCGACATGGAATACTGTGTGTCACCAGCCGTCAGAAATGTACTGGCCTGTAATAGTCGAGAGGGCGACACAGTTGCCGGCAAATTGGTGGATAGCTTGGCACCAGAGGTGGTGATTGCCAGGTTCATGAGAGGCACAGCATCCTCGATCCGGGCCAGGAGCTTCTTGATATCCTTGACGATAAACTTGAGCTCCGTATTGTTTTGCGTTCGATCTTTTGCACCCTTGGAGCATTTCCGCATTGATTCTTCAGACGCGGCAGCTCTTGCTAGCCGTTGCCCGAGCGCCTGAATATCCCATCTCAGGGATTTAGTGAGAGCAACGGCAGACTCGAGCGATGTGTTACCCCGAGCTGCACTAGAAATACTATCAGAATCTGTATAATCGTTTAATCGCAGAAGACGACAAACTCACATCAGTTCAATCATGTCAATTGAAGGGGAAATGACCTAGATCCCTGATGGTTAGTTCAGAAAGTCTAGAATTGAGATGTTCGATTGCGTGATTTGCACAGACCTGGATTTTGCTCTCAAGGCGTTGCTGCAACGAGAGTAGCTCATCTCGATCCTCACCATCTACAGTCTGGCCAAGTCAAGACAAAATGATCAGTAGCCGCTCCACGTACACGATGTGCGAGATGATCCATACTTGAAGTAAACGCGACGATTGTCGCATTGCATAGCTGGCCGTGATCGCAATTCCCGAGCTGTAATAATGCCAATGAGCTTGATTTCATCCTATAGTTCCACCAGCAATGATCGTACCGGATGGCATAATTCATCGCCTGCTGGGTAAGCTGTTCGTCATACTTGCATTAGATTTCGGCCACCTATTGCTTGAGACAGGACTGGAGAAATCACGTACGCGAGTGAGAAATGCGTCCATCTTGAATGAGATCACCACGACTCTCAAGAGCCGAGCCGATTGAGCTGGGTGTGGTTATAGTTGGCCCCTGAGCAAATGCCTTGGGCTGTGATATGGAGGGGTGCTTATCGATAACGGTGTACCCAAACACTCTAGAGGGCCCAACGCCGTAGTCACCCGAGGCTCAAGGGTCTGATTGTTTTCGCCGTAGACATCTCATATATAGAGAGGAAAAGAGAGAAATTGAAGCATTAACCACACCTGAAGAAAACGCGCTAGACACAAAACAAAGCCGCGAACGCCTGCCACGTGATCGCATCGCGGGGTGCTGAGTCATCGGTGCAAAATCAAAAGGCGCTGCCCCAAGCGTCGGACATCCCACCATTCTTTGTTTGTCCTCTTCGTGTGGCTTCTCTCCGACTGGTTTCTCTCCCGGTCTTCTCTCAAGATGTCCAACCAGACTCCCGACTCCTGGGAGGATGAGCTTTCGCGACAGGCCGAGGGCGTCAACCTGAACGCACAAGGCCGCCCGCAACCTCAGGCGCCCTCATTCCAACCCGGCGCGGCCTCGTTCCAGCCGGGCGCTGCAGCCTTTGTGCCTGGACAGCAGCAATACCAGCAATATGGCGGTTATCCCTACGCGCAGTATGGCCAGCAAGCCTACGGTGGCTACCCCCAGCAAGGTTATGGCCAGTATGGCGCATATGCGCAGCAGCCGGGTGCCTTCAACCAATACTACAATGGGCAGCAGCAATACGGTGGCTACCCCCAGCAGCCTCGTCAGAACGCTCCGGCAGCTGCGCCTCAGCAGCCTCAGCAGCCAGCGGCCCCGGCCCAATCCGCCTCCAAACCTGCCGCGAACGCGAACGCCGCCCCGCCCAAGGCCAAGGTGTTGTCGATCGGCGCTACCACCTCCACCACCGCTCCGAAAACCAAGGTTCTTTCGATTGGTACGCCTACCCCGGCCGCAAACGCACCGGGCAGCGGCTCGGACAAGGACACCAAGGGCCCCGAGGCTGCCACGGCTGGTGCCAAGGTGACGGCGTCCAAGGCGATCGATAAGACGGAGAACAAGACAGACTCAAAGACCGGTGCTAGTGGCAAGTCCTCGCCGACGCCATCCTCTGGCCGCTCCAGCCCTGGACGTTCCAGCCCCGCGCGCGGTGAAACAGCCAAGCAGGCCCGTGAGGCCAACGTGGTTGCTAAGCAGCAGCAAGCCGATGTTGACGAGGCAACATTGAAGGAAATCTACGGTGAGCGGAGGGAGCATATCAACGTGGTGTTCATCGGTCACGTTGACGCTGGCAAGTCGACCCTGGGTGGCTCTCTACTGTACGCCACTGGCATGGTCGATGAGCGAACGATGGACAAATACAAGAGGGAGGCCAAGGAGGCTGGTCGAGAAACCTGGTATCTTTCGTGGGCGTTGGATCTGACCAACGAGGAGCGTTCCAAGGGTAAAACAGTCGAGGTGGGCCGAGCCTTCTTCAAGGTCATGATCCCGTCCCCGGATGGCCCTATTGAAAGACAATTCTCGATCCTGGATGCTCCTGGCCACAAGTCCTACGTGCCTCACATGATTGGTGGTGCGTCTCAGGCGGACCTGGGTGTCCTCGTTATCTCTGCCCGTAAGGGTGAGTACGAGACTGGTTTTGAGAAAGGTGGCCAGACCCGTGAGCACGCGCTTCTTGCACGGAACACGGGTGTCAGGAAGATCGTCATTGTCGTCAACAAGATGGACGACCCCACGGTCGAATGGGACAGGGCACGATACGACGAGTGCACAGTGAAGGTTGTCAAGTTCTTGGAAGCTCTCGGCTACAAGAAGGATGATATCCACACTATGCCCATCTCTGCCCAGCGTTCCATGGGTATTAAAGACCGAGTTCCCCAGGACCTTGCTCCCTGGTACAGCGGTCCATCACTTCTGGAATTCCTGACGGAGTTCAAGATTCCCGAGCGTAAGATCAACGCCCCGTTCATGATGCCGATTACTGCGAAATATCGAGACATGGGTACCATTGCCGAGGGTCGTGTTGAGGCTGGTGTGGTTAAGAAGAACGGCAGTTACCTTATGATGCCCAACCGGTCAGAAGTCCAGGTCGCTGCCCTCTATGGTGAGACTGAGGATGAAATCCCGACTGCCACCTGCGGTGATCAGGTCCGCATGCGTCTGCGTGGTGTTGAGGAAGAAGATTTCTTCCCTGGCTTCGTGCTTTGCTCGCCGAAGCGTCCCGTCCACTGCGTGTCTGCTTTCGAGGCGAAAATCCGTATCCTCGAGCTGAAGAGCATTCTCACCGCCGGTTTCAACTGTGTGCTTCACGTTCACTCTGCCGTCGAGGAAGTCACATTTGCGTCTCTGCTTCACAAGCTCGAGCCGGGCACCGGCCGAAAGAGCAAGCGCCCTCCGCCGTTTGCGAGCAGGGGCCAAACGATCATCGCCCGTATCGAGGTCACCAGCACGGCTGGTGCAGTCTGCGTTGAGAAGTTCGAGGACTACAACCAGATGGGACGCTTCACGTTGCGTGACCAGGTATGCTTGAATCATTATAGATATGCTTTGGCTATATAACGACTGACAAAATGACTAGGGGCAAACCATTGCGATTGGCATGATCACCAAGCTTATTACCCCCGAAACCGAGAATGCGTAAGGTACTCTTGGCAACGGATCGTTAGAGTGCATATTCCCCCAAAAAGCGAAGCGAAGCAAAAGGCCGAAGGCTCCCTGCGGTTAGCTTGCCATGGCCTCTTCTGTGCGGTGTACTTCCGCTAGCGTTGGGAAGGACCTCTGAGCAGGGAGGTACGGGTGGGCAGAGGATACTCTAGACAGTCCACCTTAGCTGATGATGATGAAAACTTCTCTTATCTTTCCTATAGATATTGCGCCTCATACCTGGGCTAAGAAGCATTTTCCAAGGTTGCTTAGTTGACTGTTTACTTGGATGTGGTGAACAGTCCCATGCGATTGAATACCTCCGTATCTACTCGACAGGGAGGCAAAAGTCGTCTATGTAAATAAATAAAAAAAGAACTCCATGCGTGGATATATTCGCAGAAGCAGAAAAAGCCAGACAAAGCCCAATCTAGCGCTTCTTCTTCCCAACAACCTTCGTAAACCCATCATCATCAATCTCAGGCTCGACCTTCTCGCGAGGAGCCCGAACAAGAGCAGGCGCATCCCCCATCTCGACATCCCCAGCATCCGCACCATCACTGTCCTCCTCATCATCAGTCTCCTGGTCCTCGTCATGGGCCTCAACCTTCTTAAACAAGCCCGCAGCCGCCGACTTTTGCTGACTCTTCCGTTGCTGCCACGCATCCCACATTTCGCGCACGGGGCCGAAGTCGCCGCGAGCCGTCTGAGACTTGATATCCATGATCTGCGCCGCGACGGGCGCCGCGCTCTCGTCGTCGACCACGACGTCGAACTCGTCGTTCATCACCTGCACCAGCACGTCCTCCAGGTCCTCAGCGTCGGTTTCCGGGCGTTCGGCCAGCATGTCGGAGATGGCGCCGCAGAGCCAGTCGCGCTTGTCGGCGGAGGTCGGCCCGCCCCAGCTGGATTGTACGGCGAGCGTGAGCGCGGGCCAGTTGTTGAGGGCCAGTGTGATGCCTAGGTCGAGGAAGGACGAGGCGGAGTTGGCTGGGGGTGCTGTTGAATCCATTGTGGGGTTTTATGTGTATGTGTGGAAATATATTTTGGGGGAGAAGGGAAAAGAATCGAAGGAAAAGGATGTCTTCGATTTCTGTTGGAGGTGGGCTGTGATCTTCTCGTCGTTGACAATTGCCCCGCGGAGGTTCGTAGGTGGTTGGGTTGGGGAAGGGAACCCAAACTCTTGCCGACAGGAGAAAAACCCGGTTCAGGTAATTGGATATGAGGAATCAATATGCGTGCACTCTGTGTACACCAAAATAAAAAGTGTTATGAGCAATTGAAGAACCGAGTCTCGTCGCTGTGTTTATCGTCCAAAAATTCTTGAGCGGCGATTAGATACGATAAGCCCCGTCATGTGACTGCACCTTTCCAGTTGGTATTCACTCAAAGGAACAGAACAAGGCCTATGAAAATAAAGATAGAGGATAAATTAGATGAGATAATATAGAAAATGTCATAAAAAAGGATACGAAGAACATATCATAAAGGATCCATTGAAGAACAGATTGAATATAAAACAGACAGAGAATTCGATAATTTGGTAGGGTGAATGAACAAGAAGGGTGTAATAATGTAAGCCAATCAGAAAGTGAAAAAAAAAATGTCAAAATAAGACAGCAAAATAATATCTCCGATAGGGGGAATCGAACCCCCGGCTGCCGTGTGAGAGACGGCGATGTTAGCCACTACACCATATCGGACCACTATGGTGGAGCCTAGTCGGGTTTAGTTTTTATTGACTGGTTTAGCCCATGTGTCCCTAGGCACGTCCCCGCGTGTGTATATCACTACGCGCCCTCTTTCCCCTCTCAAATCCAACAGTCCCCAAAATCCGTTACCTTCTTTGCCTATCAATTTCACAGCCCTTAATTGCCTTTGCCTTCTTTTCCCTGCCCTTTTGCAGCTGAGGCATTTCTGCTACTGATTAGAATCGCCGAAAGCTCTGCCACCCGTACCTTTACCGCTTATCGGCGATTCCAGCTACTGTGAATTCGACAACACGGCCGCATTTTGTGTTTTAAGCAGGGCGTCAATTGCATAACACAGACACACACACATCATATGATAACAGATTAACCGGGTCGTAGCATTTTCATGGTTGTATAACTCTTAACTTCTTGAAAATTTGCTGCAAAATACTATCCTAATAGCCTTCATGTGAGTCATGTCTGAAGAATCCTCGACTAGATACTTTGATCGCTCTTATTCAAACACTAGAGTGCGCTTTAAAAGCTGGCTTGTTCCACGACGGTCCCCTCTTGCCTACAGAGCGCCTTTTGGAATTTGATCGTCATCGCTATCTGAAAAATCGTAATCCTACAGCTCTGGTTTCTGTTACCGATCTGAAAGCTTATCTTCCAATCTAGATGTCTAAGAATAGAATCAAGTGAATGGGCGCTTATTTCATGTAAAATACTCAGAACATACGTTCAGACAGAGCAAACATGAAATTTCCATAGAGATAAAGCTTCTCTGTTTGAATTTATGTGGGATAGGTGACAGAATTATTGACTAGTGCCCTGGCTGCGCCAATAGTAGGATCCGTATACTGCGGAACCTCGGCGCCAACACCATGGCCCGCACTACATAGTACCCGTGTATCAAGCTATACTTCAAATCCGCGAGGTGTACAGGCGACGGTTTTGTTTTCTTGCGCGCACCAAAAATCGTCGCTATTCTACCGTCATCTATGTTTATACTATATCGGAAGGTCACGGTGAATTATGCAAAGAAGTTTAGTCTTATCCCTTCCGTTTAAGCGTTATAAGTCGCCGTGCGTGGTTCTATTAAGTCCATCTATTGCCGCTTCAGCTTTTTGCAGTTCTTCGCCCTGCTCTTCCTTCTTCCCGTCCTAATACATATCCAGTTAATAAGGTATTTTTGCTATTGATATATATATCGCCGAACCCTGCCACTCCCTCTCCCCCCAATACTAGCTAGCTCGAAATGGTTCGTCCGCTACGATCCCCCTAGTCTCCTCCGTTATTCTAGCCTCGAAGAGGAAGAGGGTTGAGTTGATCAGCTCTTTGAACCGACAAGACTATTTCGACCATCTAATACGCGTCTACAACAGCTTATAGGTGATTATAGTACTGCTTCGTTCTTTCGCAACGATTGCGAGATTTTACAAAGACCATTTCGAGACTTTGGGTCGGGTTTTAGGTTTAAACAGCCACACGGCCCGTCGTCCGATCGCCTGCAAACACTACATATCAAACCTTTCGAGAGGCTATGCTTGGCCCCTGCCACCGAGCACGAGCCAAGTAGCTTAACCCGATAATAATAGATCTTTGCTGTATAGCTTGCCGAAATAGCGATTAATAAAATAGCTTATTACTTATTCTAGCTACTAGAATCAGTTTCACCCAGCCGATCTCTAAATTAGGGGTGCCCTGCTGGATTGAGCTGCTATACAGGATTTCTTATATAGGTTTAGCGCTATCGAATTATGCAGTTGAGGAAGGGGGGCAAAAAAGGCGAGTCGAAGAATTCTAACGCTTACCAATAGACCTAAAGCGAAGATTGCTAAGGATATAGTGGATCCACACTCTCTCGACCTCACTATTACTAAGAAGAAAACTCAGTTGACAAAAAAAGGGGGGGCCGATTCTCAAACGGATCTAACGTACATAAATCGGCCCATGCACAGAATAGCGTATGGATGAATATGCCAAAATTAGATTTGTCTATACTACATATAGTAACCGGCAAGCTCAAAGCCACCTCTCGGGTTACGATCTGCGTCGAGCGCGTATATATAACTGAGATAGATGGCTGTGTGCTCTACGTATATTTACATCATTGGTCATGCATAGTGTTCGGGGCCACTTTTAAGACGAGGCTCGCAGAGGAGCCTCCACCAGACCCTGACTCTGACTTCGTTCTGTCTCTCTCAGCTATCACTCTCATTGACACAACGCGCCCTACACAACACACCCTCGATTCTCCATTATATCGCACAGCAATGACGATACATATCGAAGGCGGCTACGCGGCTCGCCGCCCAAATGGTTGTCTTCCAAATGAGAATAAAGCAGAGGCTTGGCAACCAAGATACTGGGCATGCTGTCCAGATGGGCAGTATGCTACGCAGAATTCCGAGGACAACGGGAACTTCTTCTGCAAAGGCACAGAAGCAACTGCAAATGACATTCCCCGGCTTTGCACGAACTCAACCTGGACCCTTTACTACAATACCGGGTTCTTCTGTTGCGACCAGGGCATGGTAGCATATTTGGCGAAGTCAAAGAACGCCGATTCTACCGATGCGACCTTTGGCTGTGATTCCCAGGCCTACGTGAACCAGCAGATAAATAACCATAGCGACTGGACCGTTCAACCTCTCAACCCTTATACTTCTCCCGGTATGCCCGAGTCTCCGTTTGTTTCTTTTCTTCCTTCTTACGGATTCAAGAATATTGAACAAAACAACTAATCTGTTCACCAAAAAATAGACAAAAATTCAGGACCAAATAAAGGAGCTATCGCCGGTGGAGTTGTCGGAGGTGTTTGCGGTGTGATTATTATCCTGGGGCTCGTATGGTTTTTACTACGTCGCCGCTCTCGCTCGAAGGTATCCCACAACACCCCGGGCGGTTCTGTCGTTACGACTTCCGACACACCTTCATTATCCAAGTATGGACATCAGCCATCTGAGATTGAGGGGGAAAACAAACCAATGGGCGAATTATATGATCCTGCTTCAATGCGGACTGAGCTTGAAGCCAACAAACAAGCTCGCCACGAGCTTGCCAGTAACGTACCGAAGAACGTGAGGCAGGGCCCACCTTCCGAGCTTCCTTGATGCATTTGCTTGGACCAAACTGTCTACCACGGGATCAAGCGTTTACTTCTTGAGTTGAGTTGGCCTATTGTTTGGGGCCTGAAGTCAAAGTTAATACTGTAAGGTAGTGATTTAACTAAAATACCCATACCTGTTTTGTTAGGCAAATTCATATCCAAGTTATAGTAGTAGCAATCACATATTCGTATATTATATTCTTTATATTTTTTTTATATATAGCTATTTTAAGAAGCAGGAAGGTGGAATATCATTTTGGTGGCTGGCTCTGGGTTAACCAGCTCATTCGCATCCGCATCTTCGACGCCCAAGTCTCCAATTCGCCGATCCTTGGACGGCTCAGGGGGACTTTCTTTCATGGCCATGATCTCCTCGATTTTCTCCGGGGTGAGCTTGACATCGTGCTCCCATTCAATAATCCCCGTCACAATCCCCTTCATAACATCTCTGTCCCACATGGTCTCCCTGGGGCAGCCAACAGTCGCCAGCATCGACAGCGCTTTGAGACGAAGAGGAAGGTGGCGGCATTTCAGAGCGACGAAATACACCGCGCTCACAAAGCCCATCTCGAACGTGAATTTGGGGAGTCTCGGCGAGGATGAATCCTTGGCCGGGGGGTCCGCGTAGCTCGCTAGCTCAATAATTTGCTCGAACTCATCCATGTATGCGTTGTACACGCCCTCCCCGGGAGTCAAGCAGGCACTCGACCAGATTTTACCTGCAAGCCATCGTACCTGCAGGATTCGGTCGATAGTCGCATGTGCTTGGGGTATGGGATTGCGCGATTTGAATTCGGTCATTGCTGACTGCCACACCTCTAGGCCCCTGACCACTCGCTCTTGTTGTTTAATGAGCGGTGTCGGAGGCCATGCAGAAGAGGATATATCAGAGGCCCTACAATGGTCCTTTGCCCGGAAGAGCCCCACTATATGGTGAGTGAGCCTATCTAGCGCCTCTTGTGCCTGGAGCAGGGACTGAAATGGGCCGGTAGTAATCGGAATTTGACTGGCGCTGAGAGGGTGATCTGAATGTTTGTTGGCAGCGAAGAGCGGGAAGATACCCATGTGGCGTAAGATGGCCAACAGCTCTGGTTGAGGAGTGTGGAAGGTGAGAATCTGAGTGCCGTGCCTGCAGTGCTGGAGGGCGGCTTCGACGTCCCCCCGAAGAAACTCGATGCAGGTGAACAGAACGCATATGAGCAGTACTGTATCGAGATCAGAGGGTCCCGGGGCTTTCAACGCAAGAACGGACTTAATTGCTTGGTTATAATGACGAAGCATAAAGCCGCTGTCATACGGGACTACGGAATCCTGGGGATTTTGGTCGAGCCGTTCGTACAGGACGCTAATGGCCATAGTGGCATGTCGGGCAGCGGAGTCTTGGTGTACCACCTGGATAACCATCTGGGTCCAAAACGAGCGGCCTAATGGGCCTGAGAGAACCGGGGCCACCACCTGTTGGAAGAAGGCCAAGCTGCGTAGTTCAATGGGATTCACATCCGGCATCATCGTCGGCTTCAGCGACAGCAGGCCTAGATAACCATCGCATTTTCGACTAGTGCATGTGGATCCTGTGTAGTGTGGATATGTCTCATCGCACTTGGCTTTGCGTATCCTGCTCTAGCGTGAGTCACGGGAAGGACCTTCCACAAATCCATGCATCACACACACACTCTCTCTACTTACGTGGTGATACATGCCGGATTTAACTTGGTCACGCGTTTCTCCTCGGTTCGTTTGATCGTCCGGTCAGTCTGATCGCGGAAAACGAGTTCCCATTCATCGCGGTACCCCGGACACTTCTGGCGCGCCCGGATGCACTGTCCACAATGGGGGAGCTGCTGGTCGCACTAGACGGTAGTTAGCACGAGAAGACGAGAAGAAGAAAAGAAGGACAGAGTCCACGAACGCGGCGCTTTATTGCGCGACAGTTGGCGCAGTTTCTTGAGATTTTGGGCATTTTTGGTTAACAAGAGGGGTGACAAAAAGATTAAAAGCCTTTAAAGCTTGAAAGTGACGACGAACCTTGGAAAGTTCCGCCCCCAACAACCTTAAATAACCCCCATGCCGAAAATAATTCGGAAGAGTGGATGCACTCGTGAATTTGAATTTGAATTTGAATTTCGCGTACTTCAATTTGCGCGGTGACCCCAGCTCCTGGATTCCGACTCACAAAATTCAGATTCTAGTGATGGAGATCCCGCTTAAGGAGATCATATCCTTCCTGGATATAATTTCCAAGTCTGCGGTTCCTGACTTTATGGCCCCCAAGCCTTGAACGTTCTCGAGAGCTGAAACACCCTCGGTAGACCACAACGGACCCTATAGGGCGAGACGAGTCTGGAGTCCGTGAGTGGTTTATAGCGTAGAAAGTTAGAATATAGAACCTCATTTCGATTTAAAGAGACACAACACGACTTAGTTTTATTCTCGGTGGAGATTATTCAATAGCACATATAAGGAACCCGAGAACTGGAGATATTAGAGTTTCTCTCAATATATGCTTAGGATGATGATAATAACGATGCGTTTATTTGCCCAATAAATCTAGCCTATATACAAACTGCTATACAGGAACTGGGCCTGTTTAGAGAAACCAGACTAGAGTAGATATATGTAGTATCCCAGCTGAAGTTGTTGAATGAAAACTGCGTCCACGGATGAAACACACAAAATTTCAAGTAAAAAGTAAAAAAGAATAAAGATAAAGACAGAAACAGGTCTGTGGCTAGACGCAGAAAGAAGAATAATTTCGAACCTAGTCTTTACAGAGCTGTATCTTCACGATATCGTATGCTAACACATCGGCTAGTCGAGCCTTTTCCCTAGGTGTGTTTAGCCTAAGCCTTTTCCATATAATTATCTCTCTGTTTCTCATATTTTCATTATCATTTAATTGTTGTTATTTTTTTTTATAGCCCTTCAGACTCTATATCAAGCCTTGTACACATGATATAACGGGGCCTTCCGGCCACTATTACTAGCTCTGTTCCGTATCATTCTAAGCCAAGCCTATCTTCAATGATCTTAACTATATCAGTCCATTCCAACATAGCACCACCCCCAACATCTCCACAAGCCAACATCTTCGACGCCTGCGGCGGCAGAACCTCAAACCACCCAGTCTCCTCGCCCGTACCCTCATCTCTTCTCACACCCCATTCCTCCCCAAGCACCCGGATCTGCTTAGCCGTCACCGGATGCCGCCACATAGCGGTATTCATAGCCGGCGCGACAAGAATGCGCTTCCGCTGCCCGTCCACCTGCCCATCGGTATCCCACGCCCGACACACCGACGTCAACAGGTTATCGCTGACGCCGTTGGCGAGCTTCGCGAGCGTGTTGGCCGACAGAGGTGCTATCACCAGCAGATCTGCCCACCGCCGGAGATTTATGTGCAGGATGTCGGCTCCGCGACGCCAGGGCTCTGGGCCCCATTCTGCGGCGTCGTCGTAGACGGCTTCTACGCCGGGTAAGGAGCGGAGGGAGGAGAGGGTTGGCTGTTCGGCTGATTGGCCGCCGAGGAAGTGTTGCGCGTGATGTGTGAAGATTACTCTGATTGAGAGCTTGTGGGTGTAAGGTGCTAGGGCGCTGATTATCTGGGGTATCTTGATTGTTGCGACGGAGCCGGTTGCGGCGAGGAGGAGGTGGATGCGATTGTCGGAGAGTGAGGCTTCCCAATCCTCGGTGGGGTCTTGGTTGGGTGTGTCATTGATAGCAATATTAGGTTGGGTTGCTTGAGGCATTGTGTGGATACACACACTCCTCGAAGGCGTCCAAGTTTAGTCGGAAGGTCGTGGCAAAGTTGCGGAGTGTAGAGCCCCGAGGCGGGGGAGTGCGATAAGGGCTTATCGATAAGATATGTGCATAGATGGCTGTCAAGGCTCAGAATACCCATGGGTTGTTAAGGGTAAGGATGATACTCTCTTAGATCAATATCTGATTTTCTATTTTGCTACTACAAATGCCAATCTCCGGTTGTTGGCTCATCAAAATTCCTCCCCCAATGAACGGAACCACTAGAATGATCGGCTCTGCAGCCTCAAAAGTTCCTGCCTAGCACTGGAAGCACTGGGAATACCCTTGATTCTTCCTCCTTTGCTTTGCTCCCCGGACCTGGGTTCTCACCTAGAGGCTCTCTTGAAAGTCCGTATCAGATGAAGCAGGAAATCGACACTGGTCTAGGGCTTCCCTTCACCTGCGGGTAAGCCCCTCTGAGACGGCGCAGGCAATTCGACAACCATAGCGTTCATGCGGATTTACTATTTATCTTAGGGCTCTGGGTATGCGTGTCCTGTCGGTCCTAGCAAGATTGCTCGACACTACGCAAGTACGGCTGATTTCAGCCACCCTCTAGGACCGGATGGTAAATCGACAGCATTGGAGAGACGCGTGCAGAGGATGGATGTGGTCACTGCGAGGTCTTACATCCTTTCGGCCCAAACCAAGGCCATCAGTAACCATGTGACCACATCTCGAAATCACTCTGCGCACTGGTCATCTATTGAGGCCCAGAATGCTGCATCTCAGAGCCTCTAGTTCTCCTAGAAAGCCACAGGGGAGAAGAAAAATGCAAGCCCCGTAGACCGAAATACTCGAGCACGAACTCGGGATAGAAGATGAAGGATTTTTTTCATTTTCATTCACCACATTGTACCTGGTTCCAGAATGACAGATGGGACCCCCTCTATTTTCTTTTTTCAAAGGAGTCCATTAATACACCGCGCCGTTAAACTGTCATTTGCAAAATGGACCTGAACCCCACACCGAAGAATTCCCTTAAGCCGACTTGCTCTGGACGGCCTCACGGCCCTTGGCGATGCGCGCGAGGATCTCCTCACGGTCCTTGTCCATGTGGAGCTTGGTGATAACGACCTTGGAGGGGGCGATGGGGATGGGAATGCTCTGGCCATTGGTCTTCTCGCGGACAACACGCTCGACGTGGATGGCGAATTTGAGACGGTAGGACGAGGTGACCTTGCCCTCGCGGCCCTTCTGGGAACCGCGGGTGATCGTGACGATATCGCCAACACGGATGGGGATGGCGCGGACCTGTTTAATGCCCTTCGGTTAGAATCACTGGGCCCTCTTCATGCTTTCTTCAGGTCTGGACCGGATTCGGGTGGCATTCAAAACACGTACGTTCTTCTCCTGGCGCAGCTCCTTCGAGAGAGGGGCCGACATCAAGATACGGCGCTGGCTGGAGGGCGCGGAGAAGTGCGCCTTGCGGGACTTGCTCCGCGAGGAGGCGATGGCTGTGGCACACATCAGTCAGTATGGAGAAAGAAAATTGGAAAAAAAAAATAGGTGAAAATGATTCCAATGGCGCGAACAGCATGCAGGACGAGGAAACACGCACCGTGGTTGCGAACAGTCATCTTGATGGGGCCTCCTTCAGGGTGTCGTGGATGGGGGTTGTCGTAGGTCGGGGATGAGGAGTCTTGCGTGGTTTGAATATTCGCGGGTCGCATTGTGCGTCACATGATGTGTCGCTCCGTAAGTCGGCTAGGGCTGCTATCTGAACTTTTATTGGTTGCAGAGACCCACATACCAGATTAGGTACATCGCCATCTATTGCCAATTGGTATCAATCTACAATCACTGAAGGAGCGTTCAGTCAAGATAAACTAGCTGTAATTATTCAATGCTGTTTAGATATGCCCACAGGGATATTTTGGTCAATCTCTTCCAGACCTACCAACTGCTTCTAAGACATCTTGATCGTAGTGGTTCCATACCCTATAAATATGACTACAAATACTCATATTCCTAAGAAGGTTTCGTAGCATACTAAAGAGAGGCCGGTGAAATGATCTTCTTCAAACAAATGAACTGTACAGTATCAAGTAGCAAATTCTGTCCATTGCAAGAGCAAAACACTAAACCTAACCATAACCCGGAACCTCAAGAGAGGAAAATCTGCGGCTATTCCCAAGACTGGTTGCTGGTTAGGAAACGCTCGATAATAAACATGCTGTCCCCTTTGCCGAGTTTTAACACCGAGCGCCATCGCCTCATCACAGATATCCATGTTCAACACGTTCATGCGAATATCATACTGCCTGATTCTCCTCTCCATTGGCGCTGACACCGCAAAGAAGTCTTTTTCCACCTCTGCTTTCTGGCGGTCATTGTTCCCATGTAGACTCGTTTGGGAATTCCGCAAAATGGAAAAGAGCCGGTCTAAGTTTGCAATCTCGCACTTGTATGCCTCCAGGATCTCGACCACAGACTGAAGCGTCAAGAATGACAGGTTCTCGAACAGCTTCAAGCTGGCAATGCCGCTATTGATACTCCATTCACTTAAAGAACGGTTGAGAAGATGAAGCTCGCCTAGTCGAAATTTGTGGGTCAATCCGGTGCCCAGGTAGAGCGCCTCGAGCCGAATGTAAAGAGAGCGGATCTCTCTGTTTTCGGCCTGATACAGACCTAACCAGACATTCTTCCAGAGTTGGACGATCCGGGATTCCAAGTCCTCGCGGGTGGGTGTCTGCCTTTGGGATTCGACTCTGGCACAATATTGAGGAGGGTTGTGGGGGCGTTTGGCCACTTCGGCATGATTGGGGCGGTCACTCTCAGCCGCTGTGCCGCTATAGATAAGGGGGTGCGGCGTCTGCGGTATTTCCTGATCTAGATATAGAGATGAGTTGATGAGTTGGGCTTGCTGACTGTTGTGGAGATGGGGAATGTCTACCTAATGCAAGAAGTAACCCTAGGATTGGGTATCGATGAGGATAGATGGAAAAAGTTTAATAGTTTTCGAATGAGCTTGTGAGCTCGACTGGGTCTCGTTGCGATAGTACGAATAGGCTCGCTTTGTGGAAAGGTTGGCACAATGCCACTCGGATAATTGAATTTGTACTTCATCTCTGGTGTTGTGTTTAATCTATAGATAGATTTACATTTGGGCTATCTTATGTATTCCAAGGGCTCTTGATTATGTCAATGTTGTAATGATGGCGTCCATGTCTACCACCTCATCGAGGAACATCAATCCGGCACTTTCTGCGCTTCGCAAGACTTATGAATCGAAGACATCATTAGCAGGTATTTGCTAAGTATACATGTTTTCTCAGGAAGAGTAATTTTCGGCTTTTTGACAATAGTGGAGAGATTGACGTGATAGGGCTAGCATGAAGATGCTGGGCACTTCATAGTATAATTCCTGGATCACTTAGATGTACTGGCAATGATGGCGAGATTTTGACGGGGAATTTAGGGCTGTCTCACTTGCATTATCTTGGGACGCTACATTCTTCTTGGCCTTCTTGTCTGAAGAAATAGAGATTCCCCATCGATTGGTAATAGCTTCGTTCCCGAAATATCACCGGAGATATATCACATCCACAGTATGCACGGCAATATCAAAAACCATGAATCCCCAAATGACCGCCTTCATTCAAGCTGAGATTGGGGTCAGGTACAATGTACAATACTAGTCAATTCTCAGATAAAGAATCTTCATTGAATACAAGCTACTAACCCCCACTTGGCGAATTATGAGGACTACTTAAACTAAATATAAGAGATTTTAGGCGATTTTATTAAGGAGGTTAATAGATTACCCTATCGAGACTGTACCTTCGAGGCCGGCTACGGCGACTACATTAAATATAACCATGACCTATATCTAACTGAGAAAAGCTTCGATAAAGGGATTGTTTAAGCTTTACGTGATCGACTGCCTTACAAAGTGCTCAAACGTAAACATAATATCGAATCGAATTCTTTGAATAGTAAATATATATTATACTAAATGGTCCGAGTCTAAAAAGAATTATAAGATCATGTTTACGCACGCGGATTTATATCCAAGGAATATCCTCGTTTGGCTTAATAGAACGGTTATTCTATTAAACTAGGGTTTAACTGGATTCTAGCCGGAGTATTGGGAGTTCTACCGTGCTATGTATAATCCACCCGAAGAGCCTCGTAGGATTGTATAGTAGAGAAATTTATTCCGCCTTTTTAGATTGAATATAGTGTGATAAAGAGAATATTTGGGACTACGTGGAACTGAATAGAGGAAATAGTCTCCTGTTTGCAGGAGAGGGCTTCTTGGAATTTAGATCTGATCATAGTTGACATAAAATACTACAATACTATACTATCTCAATTAGAATAGGGTCTTTATATATGTTTCTGGTTTGTCGTATAGATTTAGAAATTGCTATGAAGGCCTCACCACATAAAGCGCTGGATCTGACCCAGCTCCTGCGGCCACTCAAATTCCTTGTAGAGGAAGACATAACCGGCCACTGCGTTGATTATCATGAACCACACGGTCTCCAAAAACGGAATACATTTCACTTGTTTTAGGTAAGCTTTCTCTAGAATTATCCGATATTTAGCACTAGGGAAGTTAACCGAGGGTGAGACCATGCTTACTGCGCAGTTTCTTCTAAAGTCCGCTTGTTTTCATTGTTTTTACGTATATATATCATCAGATTGGCCATATTTGAGGTGCAAAAGGGAGTAAAATAAGGGGGTGAAGCAGTAGAGAGAGTACAAAGTACAAACTTATTATTTAACGCGTTTGCTGAGATTATCACTATAGCTATGGCCCTATCTACGCGCCAGAAGCGCTTCTTTACGGCCCCTAGCCTCCCCCACCCTGCTCAACAGACTTTTTATGCACCCGCTTAGGTATATATCTTCGCCCAAGGAGCTGGCTATTACAAGTGTCCTGATGTCTCTCTTAGACTCTTTCAAATTTTCTTCTCTTTATCTATCTTCTCTCCGATCATGCAGCCGAGACTTTTTGTGCACTCGCTTGGGTGCATATCCATTCTTGGGTATTTTCTCGTCCTGGCCATGGCAAAAATATAACATGGCCTAAAGGAGTACCTAACATCGGCTTTGCTCTGCCTCTCGACAAGCCATCCCATTCCCATTCTTTGCATTCAAGAAGAAAGATGGTACCAGACAACCACAAAACAACAATTTACATTTATTTCGAACAACAAGCTCGGTGCTCCTTCGGCATCTCTCGCTTTCAGAGCCGATGATAGTGGTGGGAAGGGTGTCGGACTTATGTTATCGATTTTGCATTTGTATACTGATTCGCGATCTCACTTTGCCTACACTATATCTCTGTACGCCTGCACGCAAGACAATTGTCGCTGTATCTCTATAATCGGCAGCCTAGGCTAGTAGTAACGTGCGGAGATACCATCTTTATCTTTTTAATAGCCACTGAATAGATTAAACAGAAAATATTGACACTGGTAAAAGAGAGCGAGGTTGTTATTATCAAATGTTCAATTCGCCTAAGTGAAAAGGCATCGGAAAAGCTTGGCGTCTCCTCTCCGACCTCCCCATCGCCATAATTTCCGTCTTGCGCCTGATGTCATGAGTCACCCTGTATAGATTCTCGCTTCAAGTCCCCGCCTTTGTATTTCAACGTTCCTCCTATCCGCCCTCATCATGAAAGAAGAAACTCCTCGCGACACGTCCGAGGATTTGGGCGACGAAAATCAAGGATCCAAAACTGGAGGCAACCCGGCCCTCAAGGACCGCAAATGCCAGTACTGCCAACAGGCGTTTACCTCCTCCTCCCTCGGTCGACACCTCGATCAATTTCTCTTCAAAAAGAAACCCGACGGGGTTCACGATGTCGAGGAGATTCGGCGCATCCGCAGTGGGATCACTCGTCGCCAGGGCCCGCACCTCGTCAAAGCGCGAGGGTAGCCCGGACCACACATCGAAGAAGAGTTCTGCCGACTCATACACAGGCGAGTCTGCGTTCAAGCCGCGAGACCCCTCGGTGCGCATGATGTTTAATACGCCCACCTGGCATGCGACTGGGGTCATCAACGACATCCCCAACCCGAGTCGCGCATTGGACGGACCTCGACAGCCACCATCGCAGTCCCGGACAGCATCGCTGCAACTGCCCGACTATGCAAGCAGGGGCGCCACCGCCAATAACCCGGATACGATGAAGGCGCTGGAGCTTGCATTGCGAGAGGTGCTCGACAACATCAAGGCTGCCACGTGAGTGTGGGCGAGCTAAGCTCCAGGGAATGTATTTGCTAACACAAATATGCCCAGATCGCGCGCATGTCCTCCGCTGTCGCCATTTGACATCGATATCCAAGCTCAGACGTTTCCTTCACTCTGCCTACAGCTCCTGCCGCCCCCTCCAAGCCTATTCGCATCGCACCCATTCCCTTCTCCGTCCTCCTTCCCGCTCCAACCGCCCGGCGCCGAACACCTCGACATTGTGCGCCAAGCATTACATTCCAAAATCGCACAATGGCAAGCCGATCAGATCGCCGCGGACTCCTCAACACCGCTTCATGCGCGACCGTCGAACAGTAGCGTCGACCGCGGCATGATCCATCGAAGCGCCCAACAACACGAAGAAATCAGCCTCCGACACCTGGGGATTTCCTTCGATCATTGGATTTCCTCCCCCTCGAAACCCGCAACGACGCATGGAAACTAGAACTCACGCGTGCATTTGCCCGCGAGGCCGAGAAGCGCAAAAGTCTGGACGAGCAGCTCGTCCGCGTGCAGCAGGAGGCAAACCAACTGCGCGCGCAGGTCGAGCGTCTCGGGTCCTGCCAGTGGCCCCGCGAGTTTGCGCTCTTCCCACCAGATACCCTCCCCCTACCCCGCGACGTGGCCCGGGAACTCGACGGGAAGGACAGCCACATCAGCGCCGACTCCTCGAGGTGGGACTACGACAATGTGGTTGCTAAGTGGCGGCGTGTCGTCATGCACGACAAAGGCATGGGCCGTATCGGTGTCGGCTATGCCAACAACAGTCCCCTGATGGATTCGGATCAAAGCTTGCGCCATAGCCCCGACGTCCGACCCTCGCGTCCCGGCGAAGACACCTCGGCTCATCCGAATCGCCTTCGCCCCTTACAGTCTGCCCCGGCTATGAGTCCCGACCCTGCTACTGCGTCCACCCCTGCCTCCTCCACTCACTACGCCTCCCCTTACTCGCACGCCGATCCTCGAAGTCCGCCGAGTGCGGGTGCCAGTGGTGCGCCCCAGGCTAAACGCCCGCGCTTGATGAACGGCTCCGAGAGCCAGCCTGGTGCTTTGTCGGATGCGGGCTCGGCCAAATCCACCTGGCCTTCGTCCACACCCGCTCTGTCGAATCTCACTGCGCCGTCTGGTCAGACACCGCCGTCTTCTGCTCGAAGGTAGTTCGGCTTAATATAGTTGATTTATATAACATGGGCGGAAAAGGAGGTGAGGGAGTTTAGGAAATACTCATTGTAAAATGCATTTGATTCACATATAGTCAATTTATGTTTGTTAGCAGGCTCGTCTCGCTTCTCGGGCAATCTCCTCGCCCAGATAATCCGCCAGTGTTAGCATCTTCTCTTCCTGTAGTCGTCCCAGCAGTTGAACTCCCACGGGAGCACCATCATAGGTATCCGCATTGTCTGATATAATTAGTCGGGTATTCCCACCTTTTGTTTTGGCTGGGGGACGAAAGAAAAGAGAAGGAAAAAGAATAACATCTTTCCTTAACGAAGATGGAACTCACAATCCCATTCTACATGCTGATCCGCCGCCACTAAAGCCGGATCAGATGGACGCACGTCCACCGTCTTATCCGCCAAGGTCATCGGAACCGTGACACAGGTATAGTCCAGCACATTCACAAAGGACGTATACCCACGAAATCATACTGGCCCGGGATGACGGCGACATGCGGCACCAGTGGACAGAACACGCCATTGACGGGGCAGCCGGTGCCGGTCAGCGTGGCTGTGCTGTTCCAGTAGCCCATGTAGCGTTTCTGATACTCGCGCTTGGCGACGTTCAGTGCGGCGATCTCGGATGCAGGCAGCTGCGGGCCGGCTGTGTTGATGATGACTTGGGGCGCTTGCGGTTCGCCAGATAGGCCGAGGTGGTGTCTGAGGTCTGCACCGCCGTCCATGTTGAAGGTTTTGGCTTGGGCGCGGTCAGTACTCATTTCATTTTTGTGTATGATTCCATATCAGACCCCCCCCCCCCCCCCCCCCCCTTTCTGTCTTTTGTTTTGTTTTGATTTTAGGGTTGGCATAGCAGGTATAAACATACGGCCAGCTTATGGGCGGTGACATGCGACGGCGGGTCCCAGGCAATGACTAGATGTCCCAGTCGCTTCAGGGTTTGTTCAACCAGCTTCAATCCCCTCGCAACAAGCGGGTGAACCCGCGCCACGCCGTTGTAGTGCATGATCGCAAACGCGAGGGACGACAAGCCTGCCCTCGCTTGTTCAATCAAGGCACGCGTCTCGTCCACGATGGCCTCCCGCCACGGCAGCTCGAGAACCAGCGGGTCATGGTACCAGGGCTCCTGGTCGAGGACAGCCCGACACAGCATGGACAAGGATCGGGCTGTGGGCGCGAGCGGGCCGATCACAGACAAGATGGTATTCTGGCCATCGATGGAATTCGCAGCGCCCTGGTAAGGGATTCGGCCTGACGAAGAGCGCAGCCCAAATAAGTTGTTGAATCCAGCCGGTATGCGCACGCTGCCGCCAATGTCAGTACCAAAGCCGGCCGGCGATGCCCTCATCGCAATTAGTACTCCTTTGCCCCCGGAGCTGCCGCCGCTGGACAGGAGCCGGTTCTTGGGATTCCATGTGTAGCCGATGACATTGTTGATCATCTCAGTGGCCACCAGCGTTGCTGGTACGCTAGTCTTGCAGTATAGAACCGCTCCGAGATTGCCCAGTTCTCGTACCAGCTCGCTTTCGTCAGTCCCACGACGGGGGTCATCGCGGTGACCTTGGAAAGTGCTGATTCAGCCCACGTAGACCATGGTCGTCTTTACACCCTTGACATGAAATCAGTCCTTTATGCTGATGGGAAGTCCGTGCAAGGGACCCATGGGGGCTTGGTGCCCCGCGAAGAAGGCATCTAATTGTTTAGCGTTTTGGATCGCAGCATCGAAAAAGATCTCGTGCAGACAATTGACCTCCACGGAAGCAGGTCAGTCTTCTTGGGGGTTGAATTGGGTTCGTCACAATATACCAACTGATGAGCCAATGCGGCGCGGTGACAACAGGCCTAGGTGACCCCAACAGCCGACCAGCGACCTGATGTGGTCTGCGTTGTAATATCCACGGCATCGGACTCCGTGATCTCGATCTCGCGTGTATTCAGGAACTGCTGGATATGCTTGGTTACATCCTGTAGTTCTGTGGCGGGGGGCACGGGGTCTTCCAAGCGTCATTTCTTGGGGATGGCATTAAGGATCAATTGGCGTTTAACTTCACCTTGTGCGCACCAGGAATCCGTGGCCATGATGAAGACTGAGAAAAGAAGCAGAAATAAGGAGTGACGCTGTTTACTTTCTGATCGGGTGCGGGGCCGTTGGAGTCATTCTGCGATACCCGCGCTATCTACGGAGCGCGATTCTGCGGTTGCGTTACCTCGGGACGATCATGACTGGTATTTGGTCTATCTGAGCCCGTGGGTTTCTCCGGACCTTCGGTGTGTAGATCCCATCTGCTCATCAGCTTCCCCTGTGGAAGGCAATGGCGGTTGCCGCGAGTCGGCCCTTCTGGCGTGAACACAGACAGGGCTCCCAAACAGCATGGGCATGCAAAGGTCGCCATGTACTGAGAGACCCTGGTGGATTGTGGGTGAAGCTATAGCATAGCAGCCCAATAAGGGATATTCCTTAGCCAAGGAGCTCCGGGCTTATGAAGCGGAAGAACTGGTCATCTGCCGCACATTGAGATTGATCCGTTTACCGGACATCCAGCCCTTCCACATCTCAAAAGGAGCGGGTGGAGCTCCCGGCACATTCTCCCCGGATGATGGCCAGTCGGTCAACCATTGGGGACAAGTCGATGGCAAAATCTTGGGAACGCCGTGCCAGGCAAACCGCGACTTGCCATTCATGTAGACCGCATCGCCCGATCGCAAGCGAATGATCTCGCAACCATTGCCATCGTCATGGCTCACTAGAAATAATCCGTCGCATCCAAAGCTCACACTGATCAGACCTACGTCACACTTCTCGCTCACGTCTCGGTGCACATTGAGGGTGTCTCCGGCAGAGTAGAGATTCAGAATCGCTGCTTGGGCTTCGGTTTGCGGGAAGGCAGCACGTAGTAGCTTGGCAATGTCCTGTGGAAACACCCGGGGAGCCTCCGAAGGGTATACTTTGGCGGACCAGTCGTACTGGCCACCCAGTGTAACCCAACGTAATTTCTTTTCCAGGACGCTCTGGACGGTAACGGGCTTGTGAACCTGGGGATCCTTCGGATGGAAAACACGAGTTGGGTCGTCCGCGAAGAACGATTGGCCCGAGTCGGGGTACGTCACATCGTAATGAAGATGAATATTGGTTTGATGCTCATGATTGGGCAAGTCTCGATGGAAAAGACGCGATAGCATTTCAGTCTGAATTGTGGGTGGGAATAAAGAGGGGATCAACAGAAGACCTGTCAGGGGTCAGGAGTCCGTTCTTTGATCCTGCTGGAGTCAGTCGCGAGGGGAGTGGAGGCAAGACAATGCTGACCAGAGACGGAATCGTGTGTCAAAACAGGGATATTCTCAGCCAAAGGCGCGTCTTCTTTGGCCGCTGCATGGTTCCCACGGATAAAGTCATCGAACGCCAGCCGGAGATCCTGACTGGACATATACTGTGAGAGCGTCAGTCCCTCCGGCAGGTTGTCCGGGTCCAGTCGCTGCAGGTCGAGAATCCCGTGATCATGGTCAATATCTGCTAGGGGGATGCGGGAATATTTCTTATAGCAGAGCTGGAGCACCTCTGGAGGGCGATCGTGGGCACTGAGGCCTACGATGTGAGCCATGGCGAGGTCAAAAAGCCGCCGAGTTGGCGTAAGAGCGAAAGAAAGGGACGCGCTCACCGCCTTACGCGGGGGTTGTTTGTTTGTATCTCCCCACTATGTGGATTTGCTGGTTTCTCGACTCATTCACTTCTTGACCACCGTTTACCAAGACAATTGGGGTTCCCCTGCTGTGTCGAGATCGACAGGTGCGTGGTTGATCCCTTACTTCCCCAAATGCCTCCTGGCAATCTCCAGGTGTCACCTCCATTTTCCTCACCCCAAGTTCTCTAACTTCCCTTTACTACCAGAAACCAATTGGTAGTAACGGTCACCATGGAGAACTACCAGAAGATTGAGAAGATTGGAGAAGGTAAATGTCCTTGACGCGGTTGGTTGCATTGCAAAACTCACGCGTTGCTCGGTAGGGACCTACGGTGTGGTCTACAAGGCCCGTGAACTCAACCACCCCAACCGTATCGTGGCCCTGAAGAAAATTCGACTCGAAGCCGAAGATGAAGGTGTTCCTAGCACGGCTATCCGCGAGATTTCCCTCCTCAAAGAAATGCAGGACCCGAACATCGTCCAGCTGCTGAACATTGTCCACGCCGATGGCCACAAGCTCTACCTTGTCTTTGAGTTCCTCGACCTCGACCTGAAGAAATACATGGAGGCTCTGCCCGTTAGTGAGGGTGGCCGCGGAAAGGCTCTTCCGGATGGTATGAAGATGAGCACGAACCTGGGACTGGGCGAGGCTATGGTCAAGAAGTTTATGGCCCAGCTCGTCGAGGGCATCCGCTACTGCCACAGCCACCGGATTCTGCACCGTGATCTGAAGCCCCAGAACCTGCTGATTGACCGTGACGGTAACCTCAAGCTGGCCGACTTTGGGCTGGCTCGTGCATTCGGTGTCCCATTGCGAACCTACACCCATGAGGTATGGGCACAGCATCCCCGGTGAATAGCTGCGGCGTACTGACTCCTCTAGGTTGTGACTCTCTGGTACCGCTCCCCCGAGATTCTGCTGGGTGGTCGTCAGTACTCTACGGGCGTGGACATGTGGTCCGTTGGGGCTATTTTCGCCGAGATGTGTACGCGCAAGCCGCTCTTCCCTGGCGACTCGGAGATCGACGAGATCTTCAAAATTTTCCGGTAGGTGTGGCTCGAGCATATTGTATGACATGTGTTTACTGACGCGTACCTGCAGGGTTCTCGGTACCCCTAGTGAAGACACCTGGCCTGGTGTGACCTCATTCCCCGACTACAAGCCGACCTTCCCCAAGTGGAAGCGTCCCGATGCAGACCTCGTCCCTGGTCTGGAAGAAGCGGGCTGCCAACTGCTGGAGGCTCTGCTCGAGTATGATCCCGCACAACGGCTTTCGGCCAAGCAGGCCTGCATGCACCCATACTTCCGAAACGGCAGCTCGTACTACTCGGGACGTACCCAGCGCAACGGTTTCCACTAAGGACGCACTTCACCATGTCGTTCTTTTCTTTCTTCTGTTTCCCGTGTAATCTTATTCACTTCGGGGGTGACGATTACATGATGCTTCTGATTCACCGAGAACATGTACTGTTTTTTATGTACCTGGCGTTCATTAGGGAGTGATTCGGAGGGCCGGCTGACTGGGATGTTACAAGTGCTTTTAGTTAATCCAGGCGTACATACCCACACTTTCTTTCTCTTTTTCCCTTGTGGCTGAATAGTAGGGTGCAACACTGTCGTGTTCTACATCACCCAGGGTGTCGGTTTTCAGCCTCACGGGGTCAGGCACCAATCACGGCCTGAGTCATTCAATTCTTTCCCAATGTGACCTGGGCGCACCCGGCCTGGGAATGAATCATCTTGACGACCAGACCAATAAGACTCGCGAGCGAAAAAAAAAAAACGCCCAACTCGTATCAGAGCTGAACTTGAGAAGCCCCACATGGAGTGATGAGGCATCCATCAATGCGGAAGGCCAACACTGGACAGAGAGTGGTTTATTCTTGGAAATCAAAGGAAGTGGATTGCATCTCGGGCCAACGCTAACTGGGCCCATCTGCAGAAACGCATCCTTATTTTTGGGCTGCTGAGGGGGCCGTCTGAAGGAACCGTTGCTCCCGGCTGAAAGCAAAACAACCTTGAAAGAAGTTGGGGGGCCGTGCTGTGCTTGGCTGTGCTGTTGAGGCGGCTTATTCGTGGGTCGTGGACTCACGGCCACTCTAATGCAGCCCCCCTGCAGCCTTACGATAGAGAAACCACATGGAAAGGGTAAAAAAAAGAGGGCGACTGTGGCCAGAGAAGCCGACTGATGACTCTTTTTCTCCCGGCATCGGATGGGTGGCCGTGCAGGGGGATTCAAAACCCAGATGTGATTTGGGTCGAAGGCACGGTGGTCAGTGCGATATAAAGGGTAGATCACAGCACCCCCACTTCGGTCGTGTTCTTTCTGCAGTGGCGCAAGAGAGAGAACGGAAGAAGACGAAATCAAAGGAAATATTAATCGAGGCGACCCCGAGCCAGGAAAAAAAGCTAGTGGCTTTTCATCCCACTCAGCATAAGCAATGGATTACGACGACGACGTGATCTACGGGTCCTCGATGCCCCCGGCGTCTTCGCGCTCCAACAGCCGGCCGCCCCGTGCACGCTGCCAACCTCCACAGGAGTCGGTCAGGCAGTTCTGGGAGCAATTCAACACCAAGTACCCGGGGAAGGTGTACACGGTGTTGCCAGACAATCCGTACGCACGGACGCGGGCCAAGCGGGTACCCAACGGAGTGATTGAGGGCCACGAGGCCGTCAAATCGTACGAGCAGGCACGGCGTGAATGCGAGAAGTCGGTTGAGCGCATTGTCAAGGAGTGTGAGCGCGTGAACCAGAAATACACGGATCCGCACTTTGACATCGAGGTCGATCTCAAGTCGCAGCGGCGCCATTATCTAGATGGCCTCGATAAAGTCAATGAGGAGATGAGGCCGCGTGGAGTGAAGCGGGTGACGGTTCGTTTCTAACCCCAGAGTGGATATGGATGTTGGGGCATTTCACTGATTGAAACCGGGTTGGTGTCTAGGAAATCTTCGAGAAACCCCAGTTCTTTGTCAATGGGCCGACGGCATCAGATGTGCGCCAGGGCCATGATGGAGACTGCTGGCTCATGGCTGCACTGTGCACGATGGGCAACAAGGAGGGCCTGATCGAGAAGATGTGCGTTGCCCGCGATGAGAAGATCGGCATCTATGGGTTTGTTTTCTATCGGGGTAAGTGTGCTGGTATCGCCTTCTTGGTGGAAGGAATCGAGAGCTAAACCAGACTACCAGACGGCGAATGGCAGCAGTGCATCGTTGACGACAAACTGTATCTGCGTGCCGCCGATTATGATGAATCGGTGGATGAGCGACCTATCTGGGACGACATCAATCGCACCGACACTGAGGAAGAGTACCGCCGAGTCTGGCAGACCGGGTCTCGGGCGCTGTACTTTGCGCAGTGCGTGGATGAAAATGAAACCTGGCTACCTCTCCTGGAAAAAGCATTCGCCAAAGCCCATGGTGACTACTCCGCGATTGAGGGTGGCTTTGTTGGCGAAGCCATCGAGGATCTGACCGGTGGTGTGACGTCCGAGGTTCTGTCCAGCAACATCCTGGATAAGGACCGTTTCTGGAACGAGGAGCTCATGAAGGTCAACGAGGAATTTCTCTTTGGATGCGGGACAGGCCTGTTTTCCAACTGGTTAGACCCCAAGTACCGTGGTCCTCCGCGAGATCGAAAGGGGATCTCAGAGGACCATTCGTACTCGATCATGGAAGCCCGGGAGATTGACGGTCATCGCTTGTTGCGGTTGAGGTAGGTTGACAAATATATGCGCCCGATCTGAGTACACCCAGCTTACATCTATCAGAAATCCTTGGGGCAGGAAAGAGTGGCATGGCGCCTGGGGCGATGGGTCCAAGGAATGGACTCCAGAATGGATGGAACGACTTGGTCACAAATTTGGCAACGATGGCGTATGCATGTCTGATATCCTTCGGGTTTTTCTTGACTAACCTGCCAGTACAGTTCTTCTGGATCTCCTACCGCGATCTCCTTCGGAAATACCAGCACTTCGACCGGACGCGCCTTTTTGGACCTGAATGGACAATCACGCAGCAATGGACAACGTTGAATGTCCCGTGGTCTGCCGACTACCACAGCACGAAGTTTATGATGAATGTCACCAAGAGTGGCCCGGTCGTCATTGTCCTATCACAGGTTGGTCGTAACTCGTACATTACACATAAAACTCTAACTAACGCATGCCAGCTTGACACGCGCTATTTCAAAGGACTAGTCGGCGAGTACAGCTTTGTACTCAAGTTCCGCCTCCAAAAAGAAGGAGAAGAAGACTACCTGGTGCGCAGTCACAACAGCCACTTTATGGGCCGATCAGTCAACGCAGAGATCGCACTGGACCCAGGCCGCTACCACGTTCTGATGAAAATCACCGCCTTCCGACACGAGGACGTGGAGTCGACCGAGGAGATAGTGCGCCGGCTCGCCTCAGTCCGACGAGAGAAGCTCGTGCAGGTCGGGCTCTCGTACGATCTCGCACATGCCAAGGGGCTAGTGGGCGAGACAGAGCAGGAGCGAACAGAGCAGGAGCGACACAAGGCGGCAAACCGCAAGAAGCTGCGCGACGAGGCCAAGAAGCGGCTTCAGAAGGAATGGATTCGGGAACGGAAACTGGCAGCGCGACAGCAGCGCATGGCGGGCCGACGCGCGGGCCGTATGCCCAACGGTACCTCGCACGAGCGCAGTCCCGAGCGCGGACCTATTCCAGGACAAATGTTCACTGATAAACCGGTCCAATCACCCACAGACATGGGAAGCATTTCTAGTGAGAGTAGTGACCGCCGGCCGGTCACTGCCAACGGTTCCGTCCCGACTATCCAGTTCAACGGCCTGCATATGCGCCATGCGAGCGGATCTCGTCATCGCAGAACCGACTCTCCGCGCCCCAGTCTGGATACTCGCTTGGCTACGGACGGCCTGGATCTCAGCGACTTGGAGTTGCTGGACGGGTTCGAATTCGACAGTGACCTGGACATGCCACCCGATGACCCCGACGCAAAGAACCAGTCACAGTTCTCGGAGCTCGACGGACCGGCTGCTGATCCATGGAACGCAGTGTGCGTCGTCGGGCTGCGAGTTTACTCCAAGGATCCCAAGCTCAGCCTGGAGGTCGTGCGGCCTGTGCCTGAGAATGAGGTCGAGGCTCCTCTGGATCGAGACGATCCGGCGGCGTCTGCAACCATTGAGAAGGTCTCTTGGAACAGTCGCATTCCGATCTAAGCTAGGGGCAATGTGTATGTGTGTTTTGTTAAAACGAGGTGTACGAGGATAGACTGTCATTATTTAGAACTGTTCTATAAAATCGTGATTCATGCAATGGATGTGCTATAGGCCGAGTTTGATAAAGAGCTAGCTTCGCAAGTAGTAATGGCTACGTGAATTGAAAACTGAAAGTGATAAACGCACCGGTGGTTCACTCTTGGGGGACCTCACTGAAAATCAACGCGCGCACTTCAATACTCTCCCGGGGAATCACATTTTCAGGCACATTCGAATGCCGGAATGATGCATGCGGGCAGCCTAGAAATGCACTCCAAAGGTTAGAGGTTGGTTCCATCTATCACTCGATACCTTCCATCATAGCAAGACTCACATTTACCCTCAACCTCCGGGTCTGAATCAAACATCTTGAGCAGAGTGACTTCATCCTTTCGCTGCCGATGCAAATAGTACCACCGATACTTCTCCCGGGCCATTGCATACATCGTAGCCCCAAGATAGTGCTTCCGGACATGGTCCGTTTCAAGCATGTCGTCGAGGGTGATGGTCCTAGCATCGCAGAGGGCTAGCGGTACGTCCTCGACGACGTCGGCGATAGGACGCCAGATACTGAGATCAGATGTCAGTTTGACTCAGTCTCTTGATTTATGTGCTAGGGCCGTACTTGACTACTCGGACTCGGCCTTGTAATAGGTGCTCTGCCTTATCTGGGAGATGAAGATGAGCTCGAGAAACCACGGCAGATGGCGCCTGGTCTAATTCAGTGTGAGGAAACGATCCAGTCAAGTGTCAATGAAAGTAGTGTTCTTCATGCATACCGACATGGACCTGACTAGCCGGAAGAAAAGACCGGGTCTTGTCGGCGGCATTGATACACGTCTCGACCTGCTTGCTCATGTCTCTATTCTTCCTGATCTGTGGGTATAGTCAGTGAATGTACCTTGAGAACGGGATATAGAACCAAAGCAAGAAAAGAGAAGGAATAAGCTTGCCCTCCAGTCAAAAAAGCAGATCTCATCTAGATCCCCCAGCTCATCACGCAGCAACTGCTCCAGCTCCGGCAGGTACGTATCCTCGACATCGGCAGCACTATCAAACCGCTGAAACCGCGTCGGATAGTTGCGAAAAGCGAACCCATGTGTGTCCAGCGAGTACGAATCTATATCCGGTCTGGCATCGATGATTTTCTCGGGCTTCCCACACACAAAGTGGATATTCGCGCGTCGCTGATCGGCCGCATCATCCGGGATGGGAGAGAAGATCTGGAAGGGTTTCTCGGTGTTGTAGAGGTCATCCCATTGGATATACATCAGCGATGCTTCTTCGTCGTGAGCCATGATAGCGCGGTAAGTGCCAACAAGGGAAGAATACCAGGGGAACTGGTTTGCGCAATCTCTGTGCTTCTTGATATCATCTTTAGTTCTCTTCGCCGGGATTCCAATCCTCTCCTGGCTGTGTTAGGCTATTGCATCCTGCCGTCGGCCAAGTAGGCTGTGTTGCACCCCCGCATCATCCTGTGCCCGGGTAGGGCGGCTACAGGATTCAGAGGCCCGTGTCCGTTGCCAGGTCTTTCTGTGCCCGGATGGGATGGGGTTGACGCCACTCGGGGGTACTGCGGGGAATGGGTCGATTCAGAGTGCCTGGATCTATCAGGGGCGGTTCTCGGGACTGATAATTCCACAAATATGCATTGGTAGTCACATCCACCGCATGTATTACGCCCATTCTAGCTCATTAAATGATCAAACCCGCCGTCTTATTGTGATATCTAGTTTTTATCATAATTTCTTATCATCCCATTCAATATAAGCTTGCTAAAGTTTGCAAGAGTAAGACAGAGGCCATGCTTCGCTCTTAGACCTTGTATATCCTCAACCGTAACCCTAATTCACACCCGGCCCAGATTAAACCACCTATATCTAATGTTTTAGGAACTTGTTCGAGTTGAAAGCATAGATATGAGTGTAAATTCACTGCGTAGATAAAATAATATGCTACCTCCCTCTCTGGCTCGACAGGCCTGGCAAAGATAAAATGGATCCAAAGCCCTCAGCCAGCAATCCCAGTGCACTGCACATTATACTCCTGCTTGAGATCAATCCAGTCCTCTCCATCCTTGCCCTTGTTGTAGGATTCACCCAAGGTCTTCTTCCACGGCTGGGTTCGAGCATCTTTCTTGGATTGGGCTTGGATCTGATCCACCCAGCTGGACTTGGTAGCTGGCTTCGAAGGCATCTTGGTAGTAATTCACTGGAACATATTTGTTAACCGTTGTCGAGATATTCCCAAGAAAGCCTCATTATACCTCGATGGTTTCCGCTCGGTGGATAAGAACTGCTTGACTGGGAGGAGCAGGTATAGTTTCTAACCAACAATCAACATCTGTTTCATGCGGGGGATCCGGGTGATTTATATAGACTGTCATATCTGATGTCAGAATACCACACCCCCAGAAATCACTTGACTTTACCAATCCCGGGCTGCCACATGGCAGAGCAATCACCCGGGTGCCGGTGAGGTGCAAGGCCTGTGACCAGTCTACGCGCCAGCCCCAAGCAGGCGTTGAGTGAGGCGCCCTCAACATGGGGCGGTGATCCTGCAGCGTACTGCAGGCCCCCCTGCTTGACCCCCTCACTTGTTCAGCTGCGATGGAAATAGCAGCGATGCACTAGTGTTGGGATTCAACGTAAGTTCGAATCCTCATTAAAGAGAGAATATCCTGGTCGATGAAATCCAAGCAATGTATTGAGTCGTGAGATCTTACATCAGGCAAGATGGCATCGCTGGTGCGCCATCTATGCTGTTTCGGCTCACCATCTTCCAAATCGACCAATTCGAGGGAGGAAGCCGTCGCTCTCGAGAAGAAACCAGGGAACAGTCGACAGTCATCCGAGACCGAGTTCGACCTGTATATCGATGAAGGAATCAACCTCCAAGAGAAGCTGTGGCAGGCAGCGGTCAGCGATAAGTCACAATGTATCGCGATCAGCCAGCGACAGAGCCTGGGAACTTTTACCACGGCCAGCTACGAGAGTTCGCTCCAGAGTCTGCGCGGCAAATGTCGCTCGAATTCGCTCTCGCGATACCAGCCCCATGTCGAGAGGGTGCTCGGTGGAATCAAGCCCTTTGTCGGCGCCTTGAATACAATGGTCTCGTCGCATCCGGAGGTCGCAGGTCTGGTTTGGGGCGCGACTCAGATTGTCCTAGAGGTATGAAGTTTTTTGATGAAAGTCTGCCGAAACTCAAGACGCATTTGTCTCATTAATATATACAGGGTGCCCTCCGCTACACTTCGATTTTTGAAGAGATCAGCCGAATTATTGAAGATCTGGCGCAGGTTCTTCCACGATTCGGGGCGTTCCTGGATATCCTGCGGACCCCGAAGTTGCACACGGCGCTCCGAGAGGTGTACTGCATTTACATCGACTTTTGCTCGGTGGTGATAAGTTTCATTTATAGAAACTCCTGGAGTACGTTGTTTGGACTTGTTTTTGTTTCCCTTTTTCACCATCCAAAGCCTGGTCTGATACCCCGTAGAAACGTTCTTGACAATTCACTGGTCCTCGGTCAATGCCAACTTCGAGGAAACCAAGCGCCTCTTGAGTCGGTCCAAAGTAACCTTCGAAGATGAGGTACAGCTCGCAATCGTCCAGGTTGAAGCGGCGCGCCACCAGGAACTCTTGTTGCGATTGCCGCATGGCAAAGAAGACCCCGACGAGCCAGTTACTCAAGGTCTCCTCGCACAGAATCCTCGGTTCACAGGACGGAAAGCCATTCTAGAAAGGATACACAGTCGTTTGGATCACAGTGGCGAAACGTCACCCGAAGACTGTCGAATGCGATCATGTACCGTCCACGGCATTGGAGGAATTGGAAAAACCGAAACAGCCCTAGAGTATACCTACCGGTACCGGTCTTATTACACACATATTTTTTGGTTCCGAGCCGATTCGAGCTCAGATTTGCTCGACTCATTCTTGAAAATGGTAACGACCTTGGGACTAGGCAAGGAGGATATGTCGTCAGAGAAACTGGTTGCCGAGGGACTGAGGTGGTTGAGCAACACAACTGCCAGATATCTTCTCATCTATGACAATGCAGAAGAGCCGCGGACCATCCTTCCTTTCTGGCCCAGTGGAGTGCACGGCACTGTTCTGGTGACCAGCCAAAACCCGGGTTTAAGCGATATCACTTCGTCTGCGGTCGAGCTTACCTCGATGACTCCTGGCGAAGGCAGTTTGCTGATTCAAAGTTATTTGCAGAGAGGAAGGTCCGAACAGGCGGAGGCAAGAGCCCTCTGTGAAGAGCTTGGCGGACTTCCTCTTGCCATTGCACACTTTGCAGGATATGTTGCAAAGTCTCAGTGCTCACTGCAACAAATATCATCTTCGCTCCAAGAACGTCTCAAGTCAAGTCAGATCTGGTCATCGGACAGCGTGGCTTCGAGAGACATGCATGCGCGGACTCTCAGCACCGTGTGGGATCTGGCGATGCACAGACTGACGCCGGATGCATATGAGCTTCTGCGTCTGTTGGCATTTCTGAGTCCAGATTCAGTCCCAGAGGAAATGTTCATTGGCCCCGGGCAGGAAGAAACAACTGAGGAATGGGATTATTGGAGTGTTCACAAGTATTGTTTACCCAGCTGTCCACGGAGTGACTCGGTGGCTAATGGAATCGTCAGGTTCAACGAAGCCGCCAAAGTCCTTAGAGAACGCCACCTTGTCGATCGACTAAGAATGAACGATGGCAGCGCAGCAATCAAGATTCACCGAGCTCTGCAGCGAAGCATTCTCCACAAGCTTGATCAGGATCCAACACTACGGCAGCATGTATTCGATACCGCTGTCTCGATTGTGCGCAGGGCCTTCCCACTTCAGAGTCTGGCCAAGAAGGGAGATACCAGCCAGTGGCCCGCGAACAAGAAATTCCTTCCTCATGTCAACAGCCTCAACACCTGTGTTACGCAGGCTGACCCGCCGATGGGCCATAACCTCACGTTAGCCGAGCTCGAACGGGATGCCAGCTGGTTCTTGCTGAACTGGGAAGTTCGTCCTACTGCCATCCCATTGCTGGAGGGAGCGGAAAGGATCTGTCGTGGAATGATCGCCACAGAAAACCCCAAGATTGCTTCAATCTATGCTGATGTGCTCTGCACGATGGCATCCTATGATCAATACGACGGCATCGAGGGCCGAGAGCGTGGCCTGGAACGCACTGGGATGGCATGGGAAATCCGCGAGAGAGAGTTCCTTGACAAGCCTACCGAAGATGTTCAACCCGAGGACTACATTAACCTCGGACGCACGTTGGGCGATTACGGATGCTGTTATGCCCAAATGGACCGTATACACGAGGCTAATGAATGTTGGGAAAAGATGCTCGGTTTCTACAAAAAGGCAGGCACGGAAAAGACCCTCACTGCGCGATTTGGACAAGTATATGGAGACTTGGCGATGGCGCGTGCCGCACAAGGCAGACATGAGGAAGCAAAAGCATACGCAAGGAATAGTCTGCGGTTACTGGAGCAAGCGCTGGATCCCGAAAACCATTTCCGAGTCTTCACGACATTCATACTCGCTTTCTCGACGTTCGCTGCTGGTGACATTGAGGATGCTCTTCAATTGCATCGAGATGCTCTCAGCCGGAACCTGGAAGACTTGGGTCCATCACATCATCTCACCTTGGCTAGTCGTTACAATGTGGCTGTGGGTTTGCATAGAGTTGGGGATCTCGAAGGAGCGGAGTGCGTTTTGTTCCCCAAGCGCTCCAGACAGGGATCAAGCTGACTGTTATTTTAGGGAACAACTCCGTGAGATTTTGAACACCAACAAAACCCTCGACCAATACCAATGGCGAAGAGACGACGAGGCACGGGTCTATTTCCGTCTCTCGCTCATTTTGCGAGCTCAGCATCGTCCTACTGAGTGTCATTTCTTTGGGACGAAGGCAACCATGATGCATGACCAGGAGACTGGAGAACTGTCCATAGCTCCCGATGGAACCCAGCCCAGCGATGAAGAGCAAATGGCTCGCTATGATTATCGAGTTTCTCTTTGGCATGGCAGGACAAGTGGGCTTTGGGGCAATGGGGGAAGATGGTAGGGTCGAGCCGGATTTTTATTGAAGAGCGTATGATAGAAAGCATTATTATCGGGTCTTTCAAGCACGACTCGATGGGACAGTCTCTGGTTTTCGGGCAATTCATTCTTGTATGTTTATGGTCAGACAGGGATCAACGATGTCTATTTACACAAGCAGTCTACATACTGCCATTGCAGTAATTCAGGCTGTCTTTTATTACTCTACATTCTTTCTAGAAAAAGGCACCATAGGTTCTGTATGAGAAACAGTCCCTTGATGTGCGACAAAAAAAGAGTAGAGACGACCGACGAGGTTGCGGGAGAACTGCAAAAAGCGGCAAGGCTTAATCCCCGAGAAGGGTCAATTCCTCACTTGGCACAACCTCCCTCGAAGATCCTTAGCAGAGCCTAAATACATCAAATGGCGCAATGCGCCCATGGATTTACTCCTCCAGTCTTCGGCTCTTGCGTCCGCGCAGAGGAGTTGCCACCGCGTACCGGGGCGCGCGGTTTCTCTCGACTTCGCTCGACTGCGTCGACGAGACCGTGTCGATTCCTGCCGGAAACAATGGATTAGTGTCGTTGCAGTGAGTTCCCGTGCAACACGTCCTGATCATATTTGGAGTCATTCAATGCTAAGCCCATCCCCAGAGTGACGCGTCCAACCGCGTCAGGCCCATCCCACGGGCAATCTTCGCGCCCGAATGTTATTTTGTATCTCCCACCCGGTCCCTTGTTTCAGGAGACGGGGACAAATCAAGAAAACCCGCAGGATTCGAAATCCTCGGAACCAGGGAGTCATTATGGCGAATGGGAACTCGCATCCCCATACGCAAAGACTCTCCCCCAACATGTCCTCGCGTCCACGACGGCCGCGACAGTGGTCACGGTCAACTATCGCCTGGGAAAGATAGAGGCACCGCGGATCTCATCCCTGGAACCAACCCCGGATTCCCAGGACTCGCTCGCCATCAACGATGAGGCACTCCGTGCATTCAATTCCCGCCCCAGCTTCTTTCAATATCCGACCCCGGTCCATGACACGCTCGCCGGGTTCGACTGGATCCAGACCCATCTCCAGCCTACGCACATCGCAGTTTTCGGCTCCCATATCGGCGGATCCCTGGCTCTTATGCTCGCTTTGACCGAAGCACAGTCGGTGCGGGCCGTCACGGCATTGGAACCAGTCTGCGACTGGCCTGGCTTGGATGAGTACTGTGCAACCGAGGTTGAACCAGCACATATGCCTCTGGATTTGAATGACACTGGTATTCCCCGTGCGGAATCCTCAGTCACCGCATATACGAAGCAAACGCGACCACCTAAGAAAAAGACCGCAAGAGTGGCGTCGCCGGACCTGGTCCCGCTGCTTAAGGCGCGCGAACAGCTTTTCTCGTCCCCAGAACGCTGTTTCGACGCATTCGCCTCCCCGATTCTCTTTCTACGCTCCGCAGGAAGAGACGTTCCCCGAAAATTCCCTCGCTATCTCACAGGTCCAGAGTATCCGGTCCCGGTCTTGCAAAGCTCTCCCATGACAACCACCACAGAGCAAACCGCCGCTTCTGATGACGATTCCTGGGACCGGGAACCGGACCCGTCTCTCGAGTCTGACGAGGAAAAAGCCATCTACGGAAAGTCCACGTCCACTCTCCCCGATAGTTCCTCGGGAGTGGCTCGCCGCCGAAAGGCTCTCTCCCGCTGGCCTCCATACGGACTCGATTACGGGCTCAGTGGCCAGACCTGGTCAGGCCCGGGAGATGGAATCAGCCGGCTTGAGCTGACGCTGCCCTGGGTACGGGTTTTGCTGCGGGAGCCACTGGCGGGATTGTCACCCGCTGCCCTGATAGACTCATCATCTTCGTCACACTCAAAACTGTCCAGGTCTAACCACCCTGGCCCGGGTCCTACGGTTCTTGCTCGGCAAGCGGGTGAAATGGTGTCTGTTATGAGACGAGCTTGTTTTTGGGGTCGTGAGAAGGGGTTCGGGGAGCGGAGAGTGACCTTATCGTCCCTTCAGAACATTCAAACTCAGGATGCCGATAGCAACCGGGATGTTATAACACGAGAGGTGGGAGAGTGGCTGATAAGTGTCTTTGAGGAGTCTATTGAAAACAGGGAGTAAGAATATGAAACCGATATATGAAAGCAAAATTGATAGGTGTGATTTTAAAGCCTTATCAACTAAATAAGAGGGATCAAGACATTGTTTCTTTTGATGTGCGCAGGGAAGAAGAATAAGAAGTACTATCATGATTACTGTACTCTGAGTTCAGGTTCGTCAAGCTGCTTTCATCTGCAGAATTGAAGGATACCTCGTTACTTGATATAGGGAATGTCTATATTAATATCAGACACAACTAGCTATTGGTAACATATCGAAATAAAAAAAACACACGTCGATGAAGTCTATATATACCACAAACAAGTCCCATCCCCAGCGGCAGACCACGCTATACTGACGATTCCCCCGGTTCCGGATTTCCATTCGGCGAACCCCACCACCCGTCAAGATCCCCCAGATCCGGGAGCATACCCGGGTCATCAACAAAAGGGGGCGAAGATATCTGGCCAAGACCCTGGACATGAACCCCATGATCAACCTTCTCTTCGGGCAGAAAACGCAGGTCGGCGTTACGGATCCAGTCCAGATCGCCCGGCTGAGAAGGAGGTGGGGGAACGCGTTGGCGGTGATAAGAAGAAAGCGATTGCGGCTGCTGCTGCGAAGGAAGAGGAGGCGGTTGATACGGGTGGAAAGGCGGAATCGTAGCTGAGGAAGATGGCAACTCGGCAGAGGTAGAAGGTTGCTGCTGTGACGGCAGGTCAGCAGCATTGAGGCGTGATTTCTTCCGGGGCACGGGTTTGGTCTGGCCGTTCCGGTCTGTCTGTGCCAATGAAGAAGATTGCTGTGAGGGTACGGATTGCAGATTTGCGCTGCTGATCCGTCGCTTCGCGGCTGGTCCTGTTCGGCGCATGTGCGCTTGCCAACGGCGCTGGAGGGTGACCAGGTAGTCGCGGGTACGCTTGGCGTTTTCAAACGATTGTCCTAGCTCATCGAGGGCGCGGAAGCATAGGTTGAGGTAGGCCACCATCTCGGCGTTGCGTGGGTGGTGCGGGTTGCTGTCACCGGGTTTGCCGGGGGTGAGAGCGGAGCTGGACACCGTGACGAACAGTAGCATCAGGGCCGCGCTGAAGATGATGGCTACGACTTGGTTGTTCATCCGGCGGAAGGTGTAAAGTTTTTCGTAGAGGTGAAGAAGACGCGCGACGGCGGTGGCGGATTCGACGCACATGCGCCGCGCGTGGTGGTACCCGGGCCCTTGGCGGGGACTCCGCGGCTGGATATAGCTCTTAGAGACCCATGGTCGGTGGATGAAAATGACGATCTGGTGATATTGCATGCTGAGGGAGTTCGTGAGAAGGTGTTCCAAGTAGATCAATAGACTGTCAGAAGCTTACTGGAGTAACAGCAGATGTGGCAATTTGGGGGTTGTATCGTCATTCAGGTCAATTTCGAGACTGGAGGGAAGATTGGATTTCCAGGAGAATAGATCTTCGGTCACTTGGTAGCAAATCCGTTGCAGGTCATGCCGAGATATGTCGGAACATCCATACCTAGAGATATGTTAGCGGTCTGGAGTAGTACACATTACAAAAGCCACGCACAGGATATGCCCGACTGGCGAGATCATCTCCCAGAGCACAACGAACTGCCTGCAGATTAGTTCTAGAGGATTTTTCAACCCCCTTTGAAGCACATCTGAGCCGGTCTGAAGCCCATAAGGATGCCAAATTTCTTCCTTCTCGGGCCCCAGCGCAGAAGCGCGTTTGGGAACTGAAATATCTCCGGCGTTCATGCGGAATGGACGACCCAGATAGAAGCCCCAGAAACTAATGTCGTTAGTGAGAATTCCAATGAATGATACAAGTTGGAGGTACTGACTGGTCTGCGACATAACTCCCCCAGAACGCAGCTCGACGCACGTCGGCTTCAGATGAGCTCATGTGGCCTTGGTTGACATACGGCGTCATATCCAAATGCAAGCCGAGGTCAAATGCAAGTCGCATGGACATCCCTGCAGAAATAATAAGTCGTTGACTCTACCATTCCATCTTCTGTTTTTTACTTACCACTGTAAAGCCAACCTCGAGCATCGCGGTTCGATGCACCTTCGTGGCAGCTCATAATGACAAGCGCTTGGACAGTAGCAACACAGGGCGAATCAAGTTCAATCTCCAACAACGCTTTCGCCCTGTCTGCGAAGAACTCGGAAAGTGACTTAGGGAAAGTGATAAAGGTTGGATGGTACCGTGCCTCGAAAGCACCCCCAATAGCGCACCTGCAAAACGTTAATATCTGGAGCAATCAAACAGCCTCTTGAACACATACATGGCATTGGTCAAAACCTCCGAGTAAAAGGGGGTATCGTCATATTCATTCCGCCATTTTGATCGTGCAGTCATGAACATCTCCTTGTCCACCACGTAGATGCTGGGGTTCTGCCAGGTGAAATAGAGCTCCACCAAGTGGTCCTCCATGGCCTGATCAACGGGTTGACCCACCCGGAGATGGTTGAGAATATCCTGACCATCATGCCGCACCGTGCGTGCATCCGGCCGTTGTCGCTGTTGCGTTGCAGACACATCCACTAGGTTGAGGTTGGATGTAGCGCCGTAGAACCGGAGATGACCATCCCCCGCGATCTTTAAGGTACCAATGCGATTCGAGAGTTGTTCAATCACGTCGCTCTCGGCCTCGTTCTCTTCTCCACTATCGGAGTCGTGATCACCGTCCTGCTGAGATTGACCCAATAAAGCCCCAGGCTGTTGAGCCATGTCCATGCCCAGCTGGAAACTGTCCGGGCTGAGCCCCGTATTGAGCGGCATTTCCGACCCGCCATGGATATTGGCGTAGATGGTATCCAGGCTTTCCGCCGTGGGAAGAGTGAAACCCCAATGAACGAAATTTTGGTTTCCAAAGGGGGTCCAGGTTTCCATAGGCGGGGGTATTTGCTGATTAGGAACAATGCTCTGTGAAGGAGACGGACCAGAAGCCACTCCTTCACTTGTTGACCGGATCTGCTCCTGAGGAGTGGTAGCAGGCGGGCTCTGCACTGGGGACGTACCCGGCACCATCGGGCCGGGCGTTTCAGGCACTGGCTTGACCGAGCCAGGGAGATCTGCATCTTTGGCCACCCCCCGCGGGATTTGCAGGGTATCCAGAACCCGTTTCATGCCGGCCTCATCCTCCGGCTTCATTGGGGGTGGCTCGAGGCCTTGGTCGTTAATAAATTGACATAGCTGATCAATCCTGGCAGAGAATAGCTCTGTCGCCGCTCGAAGAGATACCCTGGGAATCTGAATTAACCACTGGGCCTTTTTTGCATACCCATGTGTCATGCACCATGCCTCCCACATTGGCGCATTGTTCAACGCCAGATCACTTGTACGAGGACAGTTGAACAAAGCAGTACTCACTTGCGCTTGTCGTCTCCATGTTGATATTTGCAATCTTTTCCTTTTCGCTGGCAATTCTGACAATGTGGAGTCGCCCCATCGCACTGCGAAGAATGAGCGCGCTGGTTTACTAGAGCACAGCATGCATACATACTCTGATCTTGCTCTCTCGGCACGGCACACAGGCCGTCGTAACATGCTTGCGGGGTGCCTTTTTCGGGCGGTCGGGATTGGGCGACATGGCTCCAGAATCGGTCGGCCGTGCCTTCAGCACGTTGTCGGCAACTGGCGGTTTTCGGTCTGGAGAGATCCCCGCAGGCAAATGGGTCTACCCGAGTACGTCAATCATCCCTCATCCATCAAACCCGACATTGTCGAGGATGCTCGGGTTTATGTTCTCGAAGAAGTTGGAGATCAAAATGTTCTGGGGGCGGGGAAGAAGGGTCCACCACGTCCGCCTATGAGACGGTCGATGATAAGCCAATGCCAATTCGGCCCGATGGACTACGGGGAATATTGCAGGATGGAATATTTGAAATGTATTTTTAGATGCCGGTAGATTTGAAAACTACTCGTTCTACCAGTTGGAGGTGTGCTTGATCTTCTCGTTCTGAATCACCTCAATCCAGTATCCATCGGGATCCAGGAGGAAAGCGATGTTGTGCATCCGACCGTCCGTGAGACGCTTTTTGAAGTTCACATTGAGCGACTCGAAGCGCTCACAGGCCGCTGGAAGGTCATCCACCGAGACACCTAGAAAAAAAGAAATAAGTTGAGAACCAGACATTCAATCACTGTGGCACTTACAGATGTGACCAAAACCTTGGGGCTCGGAATTGCCGTTGTGGTAGACCAGTCCCTCCTGCTTCTCTGTCCCATAGTTCCAGGTTAACTCAAGCAGGCCTTCCCACTCGGCAACCCCATTGCGCACACCCTCCTGGATCTTGGGGTTGGCACCGGGGTAGCCGAGGAAGTACAGGTTGAAGCCGTTGTCCTTGTTTTCAACGGTACGGACCAGGGTCATACCCATGGACTCCTGGTAGAATTTGAGGCTGGTCTCGGCATCCTTGACACGCAGCATGGTATGGTTGAGACGGTAGGTGCTGGGGTCGGTGGTAGGGCTCAGGTCCTCGTCGGCACGCCGGATGATCTCCACCCAGTATCCGTCCGGGTCCTTGGCGAAAGCAATATGCTTCATGCGACCATCAGTCAGTTTCTTTTGGAATGGGTATCCGGCATCCTCGATGCGCTTGCAGGCGGCTTCGATGTTGTCGACCGAGATGGCGATGTGGCCGAAGCCTCGGTAGGGCTCCGTGTTGCCGTTTACGACGCTGTAGTTGGGGTCATTTTCCGTGCCGTAGTTGTGAGTAAGCTCCAGCACAGCGTTGCGGTCCGTCCAGTGGCGGTCACCCTGCAGGGAGGAGGGGCCGTTGTAGGTCAGGAAGTAGTTGCAGAACTTCCATTCAGGCATGTCAAGCTTGTTGATCAAGCTGAGGCCGAGGAACTTGTAGAAATCCACCGATTTCTGCGGGTCCTTGACCCGAATCATCGTGTCTGGGAAGCATCGCGATCCGTCAGTGTCGAGCTGACTTGCTTGGGAAGAAGAGACGAACGGTGCAACTTGTAGGTGGAAGGATCGGATGCCATGGTTGCTAGAGATCGCGCGCCTGCTGGGCCATTAGTGATTGGTCGAGTGGAGCTCGAGGGCACATACGGGGCACAGAGAATCTAGATGTGAGGACCCGAGGGGAAAGACGCGGGCGAAACATGAATCAAACGAGAGGTGGAAAAGAACAATTCGGAGGGGCAGCTTTTGTCAGCCGAGGAGGTCCACGGGTGGGGCCATGACGCTATCCATACAGATGGGCTTTGTAGAACATAAAATATCTAGTGATTTAGGCAGTTTATAATATAGGAATATGTGACTGCGAAAACACACAATGTGTCGTTTTTCGAGTTTCATCGTGCCTACGTGACCTTCATCTAGCAATTATCTTAGGCAAACAGGCTCTCTAGGTAGGGCCCCCTTACTACGTCTGTAAGATCAATAGTAGTAAAAACACTTAGAAAGACACTTAGAATATTATCTAGAACAAGAATATAGAAAATTTAGAGGAAAAGAGAGAAAAAATAAATAGAGAAAAAAGAGTAGCAATTATCGTAAGCTATATAGTAAGTAAATAAAAAGCCTATAAAAGCTAATTCTCGCTCTTTACTATATCCCCTAAAGCTCCCGAGTGAAGCAAGGGTCAATAGCTTGTGATTTATATAGTTCATACCATGATATAGACATTGTAATCAATTTGGATCAATGATCAAAGCATCATGGACGTAATAACTACCGGAGATAGGGTTTTCGTCCTCGGAGAACCGTTGTAAAAGGCCCAATCTTGGATAGAATATAAGAAAAATGCATTCATATAAATTAGAGAATAGAAATTTGAATAGTAGCCCAAGTACCACCTACCGTGTCAATATAAGTATCGGCGATATCGAGCACATTCCACCGTGAGGGGTGCCAGCGCATGGCCGGTGGAGCGACAAGCAGTTTACCCCAACCGCACTCCACTCGATCTTCCTCTCTTCCCACTCCAGCACTTTGCGACAATTCAACACAGCACAGGCCAGGTTCGTCGAATATGAATTGTTTCCTCTTCACTCGCTCTCCGCATATCCCCCCCCACCTCCCTCGGCTGATCGTCCTCTGGCGATTGGCTTGCAGCCACCCCTCGACTTCGTGTCTTGCGCCCGCTGGAACGATCCTTAACCTTTGCCTTTTTCCCACTGCCTGATACTCCCGCGCTTAGCACGCTGAGACTGCCACATACCCCTTTGCCCCCCATGTTCCCCTCCCAATCAGATGGACACCTGTTGTCACAGTGGCCTCCAGTCTGCAAGATGGGCCCTGGCGCCTTGACTTGCGGAGCCTCTGGGCACACCTCATATGACTTGCAGTCCTACCTGACTCCTTGATAAATGCCGTTCCCTCCCCATCCGTGTTTCCGCTGTGCCACCGGGCGCGGTTGGAATTATCGTGACTTGCCATTTGGGCCAGGAGGCCAGACGTGTGTTGAGTCAAACGCTTCCGAAGCCCCTCATGGTTCATCGCCCCCTCGTCTGCCTGGCAAAGCGCCCGCTATGACCACACTGCCTCTTGCCCTCGTGATATCTGTTGGTTGAATTCAGGCGGGTGGAATTCTTTTAAAGATAAAAAGCACAACCGGCATATTCTTGCTGCCTCTGTTGCGCGCGCTCTTGTCTCAATGGGTAGGAAGATGGCTGAATTCGAACCTCCTCCAGTCACCGAATTTTTCTTTGCGAAGCCGAAGTGCGCGTTGACCACCTTTTCCTCTACGGAGAAACCCGACGACCCTCCGTTCCTCCCTTACTGGGCTCGTTGTAGCGCGCAACACGCCCAAAACCTGCTGGACTACTCGGACGAGCCGATCGAATACGACCACGACGACGAGGATTATCGCGATAATTGCTTCTTTTTCCCGGAGGACTGCTCGTGGACACCTCCTAAAGACTGGGTTGTGGAGGCGCATCGCCAATTAGCGGACCCAGAGATCGCTGTTGAGGGAACCTGCCAGACCGGCCGAGATACCGACACCATGATTCCCGGTCTCCCGGATATTAAGATGCTTGATGCTGAGGCGCTAAGTGATCTTCTCGAAGATAACCTGTCCCCGCCAGAGATCACGACTATTCTGTATGGCACCGTGCTTCTATTCCAATAGCATTTCCTGGGCAGTCTGCTGATACATTTCGTCCATAGTGTCTTCGCAACCAACGGCGCAGTGTTCGCATATGGCTCGTCCCTCCCATCCCGCCAGCTGCGCAACCTGAGCGCAACCTACGGCGCTGCATACACCTGCTACGCCAAGACTGCGTCGAGTGGAAACCTGACAGGCGTCAACCCCGCCAGCCACCCGTCCTCATACGTGACGGCTCAGTCTATGTCGCTGGGAGATGTGGGGTCAATCGTCTTTGAGCTAGACGACTCCGTCGCCGTGGTCACGCGCATTGCCGACAAGGTGCTTCTGGCTGCAGTGGGACCGTCTAAACTCGACCAACCGGATGCAAACGGAGGACCAGATGGCGAGCATCTCACTGTGGATGGAAGCGCAGTGCCAGCTACAGACTCTGCTCCTGGTCACGGGTCTACGCCGGATGGATCGCAAGGCGACGGTCACCGCACACCCACGGCCTCCACATCCCCAAATCCACCTGCGCGCAATGGCCATCTCGATGCGCAGCATGAGATCGACCGCAGCGCTGATCTCGCGCGTCTGGAAAGCTTGAACTTGTCGGCCTGCCCTGCCGTGCTGCTCGCCCTGGAGTCGAAATGTGCTGCGCTTGGAAAGTTCCTGGGACAGAAATTGGATGATCTGGAAAGCCCGGAAGATTTCTGATGAATAGGATATGTGCTTAACGTACACGACCTGTACTGCATGCACCCTGATATGAATTGATGACTTTTGCGATTATGACCCTCAATGGCCAATGGGCAGTAGATTTGAAGCATGTATAGACGTGAACATTAACCGTATTTGACAAATCTTCTTTCCAACATTCCAACATAAAATAGCCCAGTGGGACCCATTATTCATCCATTATCCACCGTTATATATCCCCTCCCAACTCTCGAAGCAATCAAAGAAAGCATCGATCACTTGTTCAAGCTCATCGTATAAGGACTAACCGTAAACACAGCATTCGACCCCGTAAACGGCTCCGTACCCGCGCCCACAGTCTGCAAGAAGTAGTTGGCCGGTACGCCCTGGGTTTTGGTAAGGAACTTGAAGAACTCGTTCAAATCCGCCGAGAACTGCCGCGTCTCGGTGCGCGCCACGAAGCTAAATACCTCCCAAGGGTTGGTGCCGGGCTCGCCTCGGCCGTGCCACAGGTCGAAGACGACGCCGCCGATAGTGAGCGGTTGGGCCAGCTGGACTTGCTGGCCGATCGGCTTGGCGCCGTTGAAGGAGGCGAGCCAGACCATGACCTCGTAGTCGTGGGGTTTCTCTTTGGTGGCTTGCTTGGAGAAGAAGGCGTCGTAGGCGACGTCGCCGTAGAGGCCTTGGCCGGTGTAGCTATTATATTGTGAGTATCCTCGCCAGATAAGGTATTCATGGATGTTGGGTAGTATGGGTTGCGGTTAAAGGCGAAAACGTACTTCCAGTGCCAGGTCGTCGGCAACCCCTTGATAGCACTCAACTGAATGGGTTCGATGTTCAGCACGGCATTGGCATAGCTCTTGACGGCGTCCGGCGCTTGATTCCACGTCCACTGCGTGTGCCACGAGATGACGCCCCGCGAGCTGTAGTCAAGAACCGTGCACTGCTTGCCCGAGGGATCCGAGTCCTGGCCCCAGAGGTTATTGTACAGCAGGAAGTTCGACGCAGTGGCCACAGGGTTCTTGTCACACATGGTGGTGGTGGCGCCGCGCGGAGCCAGGTTGACCTTGGACGGGGGCATGATCTGGGCTCGCGAGGGTGCTGCTTGCGACAGGGGGATCATGGCTGCCACCGCGAGGGCGCAGGCTGTCAAAGAGGATCCCAAATACATTGTTGAGAGAGGTTGCACTTCGCAGGATAGTGCAAGTGTGGTGAAGGAGGTATGAGGTTGAGGAAAGGAAAACCGGATGTGGAAACGGGGATACGGGGGAACTATAGATGAATAGAGTTCTATTGAGATCTGCAGAAATGCCTATTCCCTCAGGAGCAGAATATTCTTCGTCATCGGGCTCGGTGCTTACGAGTAAACACGATAGACTGATCCGTCGCGGTCTCAGGATCAGCCCCGGGGGCGATGAGATTTGGGGTCCAGGGGCACAACGTGCATAGTATGGTAGCTCAGTAGCTCTTCCGACATTCAATCATGTCTTTCATATGGCCCATGAGTCCACAGAATACCAGAATTCCAATTGGGTTGGACACACCGACCTACTATCCCAACATAGTCAAAACGATCTGGCGATGGTTCGTGGTGTTCGTCAATAGGGGGCCAAAAACGCCTAGGCATAAGAGCGGGATCGGAGGATCCTATCGCCCCTCTTCCACCCCCCCCCATCAAACGCTGTTTAAGTGAGACGCTGCCCTGCTAGAGGATTGTTCTTGCTCCGTTGTCATCGTCTGTGTTTCGAGTTCGAGGCTTGGTTTGTTGCGGGGAAACTATACAACTCTTGGCTTTTCTTTTTTCCCGTTTTAGTCCTCACCCCTCGCCGCTTTTAGATCCCTGCCTTAGGTGTCTTGACATGGCTACCGTAAGTTTACTTCTGCTCCAAGGGTAGCGTAAATAAAATGGAACCACTACTCGTCCTTTCTCTACCACGGGCTATATATATTGTGTCCTGGCCCTAGCCCCCAAGTGGCTGCTTACCCAAGTCTACTATGAAAGATTCCCTTCATACGCAGTAGCAGATTACAAATGAACAGAGGTTTCCCTTTGAAGGATGACTACTTCTTTAAGCTATTTCTCTTATATGATTGCTACGACGACCTCCACCTCCTTCGCTAACCATGTACATTTCAAAGTCGTTGGCCCTGTTGAGTGGATTTGCGGTCTATGTACTTGCAAAACCCTCTCCCGACAATTCCTGCAGGGGACGTCCCGAAGCTGAAAGCAACGACCAAGGCCGATGACAAGGAAAAGAAGTGCTACGTCGAATTGGACATGCCGGAAATAGGGTGCACGAGCAGGACGAGCGAGTTGCTGGAGTATACCCGGCCCTCGCACTCCCTGCCTCTTGCTTGTCATGCTAAGCGTAGGTTTGGATTTCACACTTCTTTCCTCTTTCTCCTCTTTATAGTCTTCTTCTCTTTCTTCTGCTTGTGGGATATTTTTTTTTTTTTCATGACTCATGCTAATAATCAAAACGGTACAGTCGTCGGAGACGGCCACAGGATTCAGTGGTCAAAAACCGACGGATCAGTTTCCGGATCCAGCAAAGCGACAAATGCACTGGGGTGATGACAACAACGGGGACCTGGAGTTCACGAATACCAATGGCCAGACCGTGTTGTTCTCGTTCAAGCATGCCACCAAATTCCAAAGTATCTGGATTGATCCCGAGATGAAGGGAGTGCCGCGCCTTACTAAAGAGCGCTCGTTAGAGGATGAGGGACTACAGTGAATTGGCTGTTTTGAAATGGAGCTAGAAGCGGGGGTGGGAAAGGGAGGAAGAAGAGAGGCATTGAGAGAGGTGGGCTGGACTGTTAGGTGCTTCGCAGCCTAGCTTAACGTTGAGTATACGGATACCTGCTTGTCTCTTCTGTAACCAATAAACTGACTTATTCTATAAGTATATAGAATGCATATCTTCAGGTTCATTAATAAATGCAAAACAAGGGGGTGTTCGTCTGAATTCAATCAATGCTCTACCAAGCCATTACGACTTCTCTGATTTCTCTGACTTCTGCTGGTTCTCCTGCACAGCCGAGCCACCGGGGGAGGTATGGAAGTGGCTAGCCGTGCTGGCAGTGCGGCTCAGACCGGGCTGAGAAGTCGGGCTGGGTGCAAAGTCCTTGGAGTCGGTGATAGGCGAAGCAGCTGCCGGCAAACCCGCCTCCTTCTCTTTCTCTGCCTCCTTCTCCTTCTCGGAATATATCGGGGGCTGGCTGTGCTGAGAGACACTGCGGGAGGGGGCAACGGAGGCGATGGGCGAGGTGACGGTGGGCGAGGACACGGTCAGGCCGCGGGTGGCATCCTTGATGACGGACCACCACTGCTCGGCGTCGGCCGGGGTGTGGGCCTTGAAGCTGAGCTCGGTGCTGGTGTGGAAGGCGTTGCCGACCTTGCCGCTGGAGACATCCTTACCCTTGACGTTGAACTTGACCCCGTCGATGGCGCCGACCACACAGTCGGGCAGGTACAGCGACAGTTCGGGGGCCGGATCGCGCCGGAAGTCGTCGTTGTCCTTGAACTCGTGCAGGTAGCGGGCCGGGGTGACGACATAGTAGCCGGTGCTGTAGCCCTTGATCACGGCACGCGAGCGGCGCTCCAGCGAGCCCTCGATCAGGGCCTGGGTGGAACGGTGCTCCTGGTTCGGGAAGGTGATGCTCGAGAACGTGCGCGGCGGCGAATCGGGATTCACCAGGGTGGCATCGTTGCTCACGACAAAATTGACCCATTCAAAGTCCGGCGGAATGCGTTGAGCCGTGCTCAGGATATCGGCGTACATAGCGCGTTGGCGGTCCAGCTGGCCACCCACCTGCTGGAAGAACTGCTCCAGGGCACCCTGGATCGTCTGCAGCACGTGCGCCTCGAACTGCTGGAATGAGTTCTGCACGGCGAGGATATCCTGTCGGTGGCTGTTCTCCTCGTTGACTTGCTTGTTGAGCCGGTGGTTGATGCCTCGGCGTAGGAGGTAGGGGTCGTGCTGCTGCTCGATTTTGTTGGCAGCGGCGGCGTCAAAGGATGCCGAGTTTTGGCCGAGGAGCTCGATGTGCTTCTGAGTCAACTGCCGTGCCTTCTCAACGGCCTTGGCTCCCTTGGATGCACCCGTCTGAAGCTCCTTCGACTTGTTCTTGATTTCCTTGTGGAGACGATCTAGAGTCGGGAGCACACCGCTTCTGAGGTTCTTCTCGGTCTCGAGGTACATGTTGATCATTCCCTGCAAGTATCACTGGTCAGATGCTGCAACCGACGAGTAAGACAGACCATTCCATACCTGGGAGTTGTTGCGGATGTTCTCAAACAGGCCAGTCACGCCTCCTGCACTGGAACTGAAATGATGGCCCTCCCTCAACGGATCGCTCACGCTCTATGGCACAAATCGTAAGTCAGCTCGGTAGTCGAAGCCTCCATCACACCGACCAACACAAACCTTCAAGATCTTCTCATGATCCTTCGACTGCGACTTTTGGATCTTGGCAGTAACGGAGATATAATCCTCGAGATTTCCACACATGTGCTTCCATGCCCGCAGACGTTCCAGCAGGAGATTGGTAGCCTGAAGAACAACGACGTCAGTTCTCCGACCTTGTATAACCAACAAATCATACACACCTCGCTGCTATCGGTATTGGGGATCGCCTCATCCTCACTCATGGAGGTGCGACGAGTGATGCTGCTGCTTACGGTGCCCGACCGCGAGGGGAGTTTGAACTCCGCGGGGCTTGTCGTCGTCGACATGGCTGCACCGGGGGGGGGGGGGAGGTGGAGAAAGAGAGACTGGACAGTCAAGGGAAAAGGGGGAGTAGGAAAAAAGAAAAGGTGGTTTCCCTCCAGACCAGAAACCCCGATGGATTGGAGCACACTAGTCTATGGCTGGACTAGTCAGGCGAGTCGATAGTCGGAGGGGCAGTAGAAAAACAAGGTGGGATGATCGGACTTCTTAAACCCTTGCGATCGGCAGATGAGGTCACCCCTCGAATGGTGCAAATTGCGGTGCGCCACAGACGTACTTTCAACCCATGTATGGATATTCGAGTTTACAATGTATTTAATTATAGGTATTATAGATATTAAAGATATGTAGATATATCTAAGAAATATATTCTTAGTATACTGGTTATCAACACCCCCATATTCGGTTTCTTTGGATAATCTGCAGTGTCGCTTCGGGAAATCGGATGGCACGGTGGATCCCCCCAGACCCCAGGCATCGCATGCGGTGCCTTTGCCACTGCTCACTCCTTGGGTCGCATTATGTGGACCTCGAACAATGCCATTGAGCCCGGAAAGGGGGACTTTGCGGGGATCGACTGCGACTTACTAGACTCGAGACACGATATCACCTACCTCTTCGAGGTTATAGTACCTACACCGGCTTGGGAGTCATGCTGATCATGCAAGAACACGGTGGAGACAAAGAGCTGGATTATATTACATATAATGGATGCGGTATATGCGTGACTCGTGTGCTGAGAGATAATCCTCTTCAGCGGACTCGTATCGAGATTGCGTTCGTGAGAAACTCGGAGTAACCCTCTCTATGAAGAAAAACCAGAAATCAAAACACCAAAGCAACCCCCGATTCCGTCTATGTGGTTTCCAAACGCCGAGCAGAAAAGGACAGGAGAGAAGACGCCTCTGCCGGTGCCATGCTGTGGGACGAGTCAAGGATCTATGACAGGACTCATCAACCCGCTTTCACGAGAGAGAGAAACAGAGTGGCTCCAGTGGCCCGCACTGGAGATCGAAGGATTTTTGTTGTAGTTCGGGATGCAAGAAACGCCACGGTTTTACACTCTAGCTCTAGCTTGCGCGAGACGTAGCCTGCGGTCCTCATCATCAGCACTGGAGCCATGCGAATTGAAATAGCCAGAGCGATTCTGCACCTCTAGAGGAGTCGTCACCCCACTGGTCCGGCCACTGCGGAGGTAGGCCTGTTGCGGGGACTGGGGAATCGACAGCGTGGGCATGCTGCTGGCCATCACGGCATTATAGTCAGGCAGACCTGCGTCATGATACGGGCGCACGGTGGTCCGGACGGCGGTCGAGTAGCTGGGCACCCGGCTCAGAGTCTCCACCTCGGCATACTGCGGATGGAAGGGGGTCGCCATGCCCGAGGAAATGACATCGTGTTCAACTTCGTCGGACGCTCTGCGGGACAGTTCCGGACTGCCGTGGCTGTGTGAGTTGGACCCGGATGTCGGGCCAAAGTAATCAGGCACGCCCAGCTGGCGGTTGTTGGTTTGTCCCTCGGGAGGAGATTCGTGTGCGGGTTCATTGGGCGATGGATGCCCGATCGGGGTCATCGGGGTTGCGCTTAGATTCGTCAGGCGGCTGTGCAGCACGGATGCCGAAATGTCGGTGTTGGTCAGGGCATTCATCGAGGCGAGGTTCTCCGATGAGAGATTGCGGCTGAGTGTGCCGAAGGGCGTTCCAGGTCCACTGCCGGGTCCGGGGGTGCGATAACCGTTGGGGTCAAGCTCGCTGTAGAGCTGGTCGAACTGGTGCTCGCCGTACAGAGGCGGGGCTTGCTGGGCCAGCTCATCGGCGGCTCTCTGGGTCGACTCTGGCATCTGGCCCGTCAAATTATTATTTTCGTCAATGGCGATATGTGGTGAAATGAAGATAGAGACCGGGAGCGTGGCGCGCAGCTGGATTCGAGGTCAGAGGGACTGCCCAAGCAAATAGATACACGATCGGATGAACTTACCTCACTGATGTGGCCATCTGGGTTGTGCAGCTGGATGCGGAACTTCAATTTGTGACGGATTTTAATGCCCTTGGTGTCTGTGTCCTGCAGGCAGCGGGTCAAGGTCCGCGGCATATCAAGATGACGCGTGAACTCGTAGCCTTCGGCCACTTCATCAATGATCTGAACGTTATCCGCGTTGAGGTCATGATCGTCCGTCAGGATAGTTCGCGTAATCTTGTAGGTATTGCGGATGGAATCGTGGTCCTCGGGATTCAGGGTTAGATCGTGGCTTTCGATCAGCTGGGACGTAATTTGGCCGATCCGAAGGCCTTTGAGGAGAGGAATCAATTTGAAGTCGACTCGAAGGGAGGTACCAAAGATGACGGCTTTAGTGGGGGTGCTGATCGAGTATTCAATCTTGTTCGGCCAGATATTGTCGACCGACTGCACGGGGATAGTCAGTGCTGATCACCGAGTACCTCGGGGAAAAAAAGAAAAAGAAGAAATCAAAGACGGCCTTACCATCGCATGTGACAGCTCCAGAGCACTGGGATCGAGCGTGCGAATAATTCGCAGCGGTTTCCGAGCCACGATGTCTTTGGCGTACTTTCGTCCGATCTCGGCTTTGAAGCGGTACATCACCCACGTCTCGTGCAGCCCCTCGACGCTCTCGGGCATCGACCCGTTCAGCACCACCTCAAATGGGTACTCGTAATTTCCCGCAGCCAGGACTTCAGTCTTGCCCTTGCCAGGGTCACGGAACCGCCATGTCTTATCGTAGAAGACTCGCTCCCGCCACGACTTGCGGCCGCCGCCCGCGGCAGTGGAGGGAAGGTGCCAGCTGGATGAGAAATTTGTTAGCATTTGTGTTTCACCTCTTTTTGATCCTCTTTCTTTCATTTTAATTTTTGGGGTTCTGGAGGAAATTTGTGCAGATGATGACGTACCAAACCCGAGACATGCCCGTCAGCTCGAGCCGAAGGTGTTTGATCGCAAGCGGCTCCGATAAGCAGAGCACCAATGTGCCCTTCAACAGCGCACTGGCAGCTTCATGTTCACTGCCCCGAAAAACAATATAGTCATCATTCAGCCTTGAAACAGAAGGTCATTTGTTAGCTTTGAAGATGTGCCATGAAAGTTACGGAACCCCCCACTCACCGAATATCGAAGTACTTGGCGTTGCTGGCGCTCCCGCCACCACTCAAGAAGCTGAGAGCCATCGGGGATTGTTCCAGCAGCTGCAATCAAGCAGCTGGGGGAACCACAATAAGGAAGAAATTCGCAGGTTGGAGAGAGAGAGAAGGGGAAGAATGTGGGATGGAGGGGGAGAAAGGAAAAAGGGTTCCAGAGGTTCCAGAAAAATAACCAGATATGACACAGATTAGTTTTTTTTCTTTTTTTTTTTTTTTATCGCTGATCTACCGGAGAATCACCAGATTCGCAATCCGGTCCGACCAACGCGGGTCCCACTGGGTGCCGTTTTCGGGGTGGCAAGACGGAGATGATGCGAGATAAGGATTATGGAGGGAATGTTCTCTGCCTTCTAGAAAATATTCCTTTGACTTGACAGTATACAAATACTGGAATTAGAAGACTAAGAGGGGGATCATTAGGGGTGAAAAGAGATTTACATTTACGTCATGGCAGATCACCAAATAGTACATAGTATTTAGTATTTAGTATTTAGTATTTAAATATTCTATTTCAATGTTTCAATATCATTATAACATGACAACTTACGTACTTGACTACTTTAATAAATAATAAGGTGTAAACATTTTCCCCCCGGGGCCTTGTTTAGCCATCACGCCATCCTCTCAGGATCGCCCTCTGATCGATGATCGTCCCTGCACTGCACAACATCCATGTTACACGACCTTGACGGCATTGGGATCTTCATGGGAGCTCCGACTAATCTCCGTGCTGTAATCCAGGACCCTGTCTGTGTATTAATTTAAATATTTCAGCAAGTATCCACAGGTATGTACAGTACCTAGTATAGAGATCTTGGTATGGTGCCTGAAAATCATGGTCGGAATGCGATGCCGCCAGAAAAAAAGCGGCAGGATTCGGGGTTTTTCCAGTAGCTCCCCACCGCAGAGTTTTTTTTTTTTTTTCTCTTGTTTATTCCATCGGAGCTATCCGTGTTCTTACCCATTAATCCAGACCGCGGGAAGAGCGGGAAATGCTTCTTTGTACAGTAAGGGACCCGATCCGCCATCGGGATCCACCAAGGTGTCAACTGCTCTCACCGGCCACACCATCCCAGTCAGGTTCTGATAGGCGTGACAGCTGTTCGGAGTTGCTGCGATAAGGTCTCGAATATCGCCTTAGTCCATACAGCTGGACCGCCTATCTTTGTGGCGTTTCCTCTTACAGTAGGTCTGCGTCGCAGGAATATAGCAGTATGCAGCCCGGAACTCGCAAGATGAAAGACCAAACAGAAATATACGGACGCCACTGATGCAGAACGCACGGACTTCCTTTCTGTGTTGGGAGTATGTCCACGGTCCCGAGGCGCGTCCCGATGGGTTCTGCGATTCTGCGATGCCGACCACGGCCTCTTCGGGATGTACCCTCCCTTTTGCCTCGCGACTCGGGCGATCCCGCTTTTCACCGGGACGGAATCCCGACCATGTTCCCCGGTTGCCCACGCGCGATCTTACCCGGGTTGCAAGTGTGCGACATGTGGTACTGTTCAATTGTGAGTTTTTGTTGTCCTCGGTGTGAGTTCAATGAGCTTGATTTGAATTTCTATACAATGGTGGACGCCTGGCTTCTATTTAGGGCAAGCGGTTCCTGTCAACTTCTAGGCACTGCCTAGTGATTATCGCCCAATATTTTTCAATTGGATGGAAACACTGTGGCATGGCTTTGTGTGATAAGTGTCGTTTCGACGTCAGCACCAGAGCCGATGGTTGTCTTTCTACCATACCATAGTTCCAACGCAAGCTTTTCGAGTTATTCCCATGTCTCGATCAAGCCTTTTTTTTTCAACAGGACCCACCCAGCAGATGAGATCAGGGATGATGAGTTTTGCAGAGAACCCACTGATTTGCAAACATCCTTTCGCAGCAGCCACTTCCAGCATCCCGGTGTGTCTGGGCCATGCCCTACAGTAGTGACAATGTCTCGACAGCTACATCACATCATCCGAGTCACCGAAGCTAATAATGTGGATCAAGATGAACCATTTTTTATTATTTCATTATTTTATTATTTTATTATTTTATTTTGGCTGTCTTCTGAGGACCTCTCGCGCGACACAGATGCCTTCCACGTAATCTCGCACTTTGCCCAACAACGAGATCGACCCGCCAACCTACTTCCTATGAACAATCTGCAGTCGTAGAGTTTCTCGTATCCTCGGGGAGGAGTTTACGCCCTTGGCCTACCCACCCATGTATATGTCATGCTAAAATCTCTTTTCTGGAAAACTCGACGAGCACCCCTGCTGTATGATGTACATAAAGTAGACCTACTTTACATACAGTAGTGTACATGTACATGTAGCTGTCCCTGCAAGACGACAACGCCACACCAGCTGGCGTAACCACGCCTTATCAGCTTCGCCTGGTTGTCTCCGAATCCACAGATAACGTGCCAATAGCCAGACAGAGTTGCGGCACGCACACAGGAGATAATCGACCCACCGCGGGTGGAAAAGGGGATGTATTTATGTTTTTTTTTCTCTCTCTCTTTAGAGTGGGTTTATGGGCAAACCGGGCATCAGTAGTATTGACACTCGGGCGTTCACTATTTGCCTCCCCCTTTCCTAGCAAGTCAATGTTCTCGTCAATTATTTCCCTCCATCCTTCCATTACGCTGTCTCCACGGTAAAATAATATTTCATTGGGGGCGTTTCTCGGCAGATCTACTGCCGAAGACAGGAAGCCGAATCCCTTGTTTTCCTCCGATGATCGCCGTAGGGCGGGTTCTTGGCCCGCCCCCGAATAGTGCCCCGTCGATGTGGTATCGGCTCAGGGACTGTGTAGCGGGATCGGAAACCAACTGGTCTATACACTTTAGGGGAATCCTGGCTTGGCAAGATCGCTAGTAGCCAAGAATACATAGCCCCGGGATAAGGATTCTTGCGGAAGCGCCTGTTACGCCGTAGGTCACACAGTCGTGGGGGCTCTCCTATGTCGGATATTCCAAACGCCCTGAATGACTCGGCATGGTAGCTCTCATACAGCCTCAATTCGCCGTCGTGGCGGTTGCATCTTTGTTGAGCCTGGATTGCAGTACTAATGGCAGTATCATTTTTGATGTCGGCGCACGAGGTGGCTAGCAGAAGGTTTCTCATGGATTTGGTTTGACAAGTCCGTGGTTCCAGCTGTCGGCTGGATATAGATGGCATTTTCAAGCTCTGAGTTCTCGTTCCACTGACGAGAAAAGGACATCCGAGTTCATATTATCATCCTATCAAAGAAGTCGCAGTCGCTTAGAGCCGTAGTGACACTATATGGACGCTGGTTGCCAATATCTGGCATGCGGCATAGACAATCGAAATAATGGATTAAAGGTATGGCCAATGAAAGGGGAAATATCTGAGCAAGAATTATTTTCGGCAGCCGCGAAGAATTATGACAACAAAAAACTTCGCACCGCAAAACGCCGGCTCCGCTCGAGTTGGTTGAAAGTCGTCAGAGCGTCAGTTGAGAGGTGGGTGATTAGGCTGGAGGGGTGATGTGTGACGCAGTCGCAGCGCCAGGCTCCCAAGCCCCAAGAAGGGGAAACACAAGGGAATATAGAATGCAATTAGAAAGACCCCGGCGCACGATTATGGACTCGGCATCTGACGCGCCACATATCAATATCGAATCCAGACGAGGTGACGCGACCGAGGGGCAAATCAAGAGAAGGGATACGGGTAGGGCGCGGCAAGTCGGGACCATCAGACGATCGAATCGAGTCTCGAACCGGCAAGACAATCAACCATCACGATGTAGGCCAAGGGGTGCTTCGAGCCAGCACAAGGGATCAGAAAAAAGCGCTGAAAAAAGGAAGCTTTTTCTAGAAAATCCAACTCAGAATAACGTAAATTGCCACCCCAGCCGCGACACAGATGCCCGCGACTTTCAAGACAGCCACTGTGTCGCCTTGTTTTGCCATTCGCGTCAGCCGGGAGGCACTGCCCTTGAGATTCGTGGAAAAGGAGGAGAAAACATCATTCTGCGGACACGAGATCGTCAGCTCGTTGGTTCCATGTTTCACTGATCGGCCAAAATAGATTCCAAGACTATCGCAATCTCATCAAAACTTCTGAAAGGAGGCAACAAGATTTGGCGTACCGTATGGTCAAGGGTATCTTGATTCCGGGCGTTGTCGTGGATATTGATAGTCACATCATGGAGGTTGGTGACCTTGCTCCTAAGAGAGTTGAGAAGCGCATTGTTCTGCCTGGACCCAAGTTGTTAGCAAGGTTGGTTTCCATAGCGTCAGATGCATGTGGGTTGTTCCAGAGCTGTCTGGGGCTAGTCTGATGGGGTGAGGTGAAGACATACTGCTCGCGTTCATAAGCGTCCGTCATTTTGGCAACTTGACGATATTATGGCTGTTGTGCTCGAGTGTGTGAAGTGCACAAGCAGGAGTTGGCTGTGGAGGCGGTGGCTCGGAGTCCGGGGATTTCGACACCGACGTCAACTCGGATATTTCACGTGACATGGGTTGCTACTACGAACAAAGGAGAAAAGGGAAAAAAAAAGCAGTGCACCCTTCATCTATTCTAACTTTATCAAGGCACACAGAAGCTTATCATCCTTCCAATCTTCGAGAGCCTGTTTCTTCCACAGTCCCCATTTCTCTTCAGTGGAAAAGGCCCGCTGGAGCCCAGAAAACAAAAGATGCAGGGTTTCCATATCCAAAAACGAACTTTCAGTACCAAGGGAAAAAAAGAATCTTTGGACCTTTCTGCCATCAACGACATACTTAGCAAGGTCTTCACGGCCTTTTCCCCGAAAAATTGAAGCTAATCGCAATTCATCTGTGCCGAGTTCATTGGATCCCTCATAGAATTTTTCCAATGGCCACATCATGCAGGGAGAGCTGAAAGCTTCGGCCTTGGAAACCGTTTGAGACCATTCCCAGTCAATGATCCCCACGATATCAAAGGATTCATTGACTAGGATATGATCGCCCTTGTCATCAGGGTGCTTAAGGAAAAACTGGCCCGATGGCGTGTCTCCCCAGAGATCTTCTAGAACATCTAGGCGAAATCGATGGACGAGGTAGGTATCGACTGGACAACGGGCATCGATTTCACCATTCGCGATCATTGTAAGATAGGAGTTGAGGATGGCCTTTGATCCCTCTAGCGATGAGGAGAAGGGACCTAGTGGTCCACGTCCTACTTGGAAGGTTGCTTGATGGGCGAGGCCTTGGACCTCTATTGTATCTCTCACAGCAAATCCAAGTGATCCTAGTTTTTCAAAAGGATATTTCTCGATTTCGAGAAAAATGTCGGCTAGTTGTTGCATGACCTTCTCTTTCTGTTCAGAGTTTGCTTCTTGCCAATCAAGGGATTTTCCGTTCAACTTTTCCATCAAAATATAGCTCACTCCAATAGGGTTCGTGGGATCGGATTCGCATGCCCAGTCAAAAATTTTGGGCGTTGGAATAGAGGTGTGCTGGAGATGGATCATGGTGGTAGCTTCGCTTCGGACAATCCAGTCACGGACTTCCTGTGGTGGAGAGGATGTCTTGACGAGGCGAAATCGCCCAAGCCACTTGACACTGTCTTCAAAAGTGATCTCTGCATGGCAGTTCTGGTTTCCCATCATAGTCGCTAGGTTCTTGCGAGATATCTCCACAGCGCAAGGAATACCTCCCCGAAGACTCGATGCGAGAGAACACAATTTGAAAGGGTTTATTTGACGGCATAGCCTGTCTATATGACGAGACTCAGTCGCTGCGTATTGAGCGCAATAGGCCGCCCAATCTTCCTAAATCAAGGTATGAGAAGGGTTTCTATAACTACTTTTTAGGTTTTTATATCACTAACCTCGGGCTCTGGGCATCCATGGTATGGTTTTTGGCGGTGTGTGCGACACAGATGTTTATCACACAGCAAGCAATCTCCTGCAGTCTGCGCAGCTGGTTTCTCACAATTTTCCCAATCGCATGACCACAAAGGCATTGTCAAAATATTTTCGAGAGTAGGTGAACCAAGCCAAAACAAGATATTGGCAATAGTAGTAGTGAATTAATAGGAGTGAAGGGGTAAAGTAGCAAGGGATCTTGCGTCCATTTTATCTAAGCGGCTAAGATCATGTTGGACACAGCTATTCCCCGCAACCCTAGCCTATTATATCCCTCAATCACCACGCAGTAAACAATATAGATATAATTTACACAACTAAGAAACAATTTGACTTTTATGACTCGCTTAAGAAAGTAGATTACTAGTGCTAGTCACACCGGAAACTCTTATCATGCATAATAATATATGTGGTCTACCATGACTGGGCCAAGAAGTCCTAATATATAAACTATTAGTAAGGGGTGCTTCATCTATGTCGATTTCCATAACTGGTCCCTGCTGGGATCCAACAGGCTTGTCTTTGAGAAGTCAGTAGATTGCCAGAAGAAAATCCAAGAATAAGTAATACCCACGGCTGGAGCAGTAACGGGAACCACTACGTGCCCACGCGGTACATCCGCTATATTCACATTTGCCCGCCATTTCCAGATGAAATGATAGAGAGATTTCAGAAAAAGTGGATGCTGCATTTTGGGTTTGATAAACGTATATTGAATTTGATCAGAAAGAATCCTTGGAAATGTTGCAAAAGGGGGGAGAGGGAGTAACAGTTTCAGCCTTTATATAGCCAAAGAGAACCACCAGAGATCATTTTTGTTACAGCGCATTGATGATAGCGTGCTGTTTGGCATGGTAAAGCGTATTAGATAGGACAGGAATTTTAGACACACAGTAGAGTCACGATTCGCGTTAGGGGGTTTAGAGTTAGTTGGTCGCGGCTACAGATCATGCGGGGTTTTGCTAAGCACCAATGACAGAGCGCCAGTGATTACGAGCCGCACTATCGACATACGTTTTACGACATAATTTTCCACTCAGGCGGCTTATAAAGGAAGCAGCCCAATAGGAGCGCTGAAAGAATACATGCCAAGACTCTTAGAATAGTCGATTTTCGTGTAATCCTGATAGTATTGCCAATGAGAGAGATAAATCGTCGGCTGATAGTCAGGCTTGCGTAACCGCTGTGAAGCGACTGCATTAGCTCTTAGCAAAACGCAGAGTATTGGGCAGCGAAACGCGCAGGTTGGGTATCAAGACTCCATGGTTATTGTTGTCTCTCTAGGCAGCGGCGCAGGAGACAAAGATCATGGTACGGGACAACTCAACGATGTCAACAACATTGATCCTACGCTAGGTCACACCAAAACCACTCACTATTCGTTGTGCCGGCACCTGCAGCAAAGGTCTTTATCCTTTCAAGGAGTTCCAGCCAGCGCCGTGATCGCTCACAGTGGAGAAGGTGGAGAGAGATACGAAAAAGAAACCCAGGTATATATATAGAGCTTTGAGTGGGGGTAGATAATAGGGAGAGGGAAAGAAGTTATCGATCTACGCCAATTTTCTTTCTTCATCCAAAAAGCGAAGACATCGAGGAAATGCTGGGGTTCAAACGAAGTTCCCTCCTTATAGCTCATCATGGGGAAGATGGCGGAAATGGTCATGATCATGACTATCATCCAGCAGCTCCGGTTCGTGAACATATTTCCGCGCACGATGAGCAGCACCAAAAGCCCCAAGGAACATCGGATCAATGTGGTCTCGAAGTAGAGACTTGAGTCTTGCAGGAAGAGCATCCTTGACAGCATCACGAATACTATCCAATGAGGAGGTATCACCGCTCACAATCACGGCACGGACTTGAGCCTCTTCGGGAGCTAATTGCTCTGAAACGAACTTTCGAATGGCTTGGATCATCTGATTTGGTCAGAATTATCATGGAAGAAGAAGAAGAAGAAAGAAAACACACCGTCTCATCAGCCAAACCAAAACCGGAATCCCCTACTTTTTTGTGATGAGGAGCTCGATGGTGCACGAATTCGTTCAAAGTCATCTCGGTGACATCGGCCATCCATAGGTCCAGGTAGTGGGCATTATAATCAACATAGAAGATTGTATGACTTTTGTGATTGATGTTACAAGAACTGGCAAGTCCCAAAGACTGGCATGTATCGAGGTGGTATGCTAGCCGGGCCGTGTCGAGAAACTGGAGTCGTTGCCACCCATATTGAAGGGCTGAGGCGTCGGTGTTGATCAGAGCGTGATAAAGATGTCTGGTAGCGATACCATCGAGTCCAGATGGCACACCCGCCGCAGTAATCTCAATCGAATAGCCCAGAGAGCGCGTGGCATGATCCGTCACTTGCCGCAGATAATCTGAAAACATCGCTTGCTCAGGCTCGTCGTAGCCAAGATATTCCTTTGGGGCTGGAGTCAAGTCGGGGCCATCTTCGATGTAAACTTCGCCAAGATGCATCCTACACACTATCAGTTTGCTGGTTTGGCAAAGTTGCCGACAATTGTGCTGGGCAAGGTTTGACGTACACTCGTTTTTGGGAATCGTCAACCAGTCTCTTCATGTGGGTTTGATACTGCTGGGATCCTTCTATCTTGACCACTGGAACCGAATCGTTGGACTTGGTCATGTACGCAGCGGTACTGCAGGAAAGTCGTCAGTTCTCATGCGAACTATGTGGCTTCGGCTCTCTCATGCTAAAAGGATGCATACATGTACGTCAATCCGAAATTAACACCGAGAGCTGTGTGAATGATTTGTGTTAGTGGTGCAGTAGCGTATTGCATTGTTAATCACTGACGATAATGCTCGGCCGCCAGACTAGCTGCCGCCCATAATAAAAACCCCTGGAACGCCCACATGGTCTACAGGAGTTGGCGAGAGAATACCACATAATATAATACAGTAGACTGTCGCCGCAGGGGAAACGGTGATTTAAATGCCCATGAGAACTCTGGGTGGGGGCCGTGCCAGTTATGCCAAAAGCAATAAAAGCTCAGATGTGGATCTGAGTCTTAGAATGGAAATGAAAAGACTTAGAGGCCCAGACAAAACAAACTCTTTCAAACCCCGAAAGTAACCCCGAAAGCGAGGGCGAAGCCGAAGCCAAGGCGCTTTAGCCCCCATGGAGTTTGATAAAGCTAGAGGCACTTGGGCTTAGGGCATAGAAATAGACCCTTTTTTTTGATATCCCCGACCCGACGCGTTTATGTCTTCCCCTTGAGGCTCAATTTAGATAGCAATATTAGAGGCCGAGGTCTTCTATAGAATATCAATACCGAGCCGAAGGATCTAGGAATGACTCTTTCTAGTATACTAGTGCCCCCCGAAAACCCTTTCCGGGAGGGTCCTATACTTCGGTTATCCCCGAATCATTCTGCTTTTATGTAGTAGGAGTGTGTGCCCCTAGTCCAATGTATTTAAAACAGCATCCCCTGACCAGGTTTATCATTCAGCAAAACTTTCCCCATTGCCCAGAAAGCAGATTCCATCATGGAGATCCGGCCCCTTCTTTCACTCTTCTTCGCTTTTTTTATGGTTGTTCAATCTTTGGCCAACCCGATCACTGCAATCAGAAAGAGAGGAATTCCGCGAGTTGTCACCCAAGAGAGACTCGATGAACTGCATGGCACATACAAGGGCATCTGGTTCGGTGACGCAGCCAAAGAATGCAGCAAGCAGCAATTCGACACTTTGACCAGCGTCTTGGACAAATCGGTCGAGGTCCTTGACCTCAACGGAAAACATCCCGTACATAAAACCGCAGGCTGGAACCGATACTTTATTCAAGATCACGAAGTGACAAATCCGGATGACAATGGCTGGCGTTCTGTACGTCTCCCATTCCTTCTGAGGCGAAGTTTGATACTAACGAGCATTCTATTTTTTTCTCTTAGAAAAAATCTAAAGGCAATCCCTTCACAAATGCTCTATGTTAGTATCGCATACCTGGCAATGTCATGTTGAGTTTATGTCACTAACTGGACTAGATAATTTCAACCAGGTCATCAAGTTTCCCAAGCAAGGAAAGGGAGAAGAAACTGAAGAAGTCAAACACAAACGAGCCGGGCGAGTCACTTTTACCTGCAAGTATAATATGGACTTCGGACGCACAAATCGCTGTGACGAACATGGAGTGGGTGGTGTGACCTACAAGGCACACTTTACCAACATAGGTATGGCCTAATACTTTTTATGCTTGGAATGGCTGTCTAACATATCCATGGATATCCTGGGATTAGGAAATGTGATTCAATTTTGTCCTTTATTCTTCAGCCCCAACATGAAAACCATCGCCCAGTTTATCAGTGAGGGTGAGAAGGAGTATACGCAAATAAAGGAAATCCTTACGAAAGAATATATCATGGTCCATGAGTTTTTTCACTGCGAAGATGCTGCAGAGACCATGGGTTATGGTGAGTCGAACTCTGCCCGCCACTTTTCTGTTTATTAACCAGGCGTGCCATAGTCGTGGATGTGCATGCCATCATCCCAACTGAAAAGAAGACCAAAATGGTATGGACCAAGCCACCAGACTGTCTTGAGATATCGAGATTGAGCTAACAGCCGTGGCTTAGGGCGTGTACGGGGGCGATAGAACCGCCAAATGGGCTTGGAAAAACTTCTATCAAGGGTCATGGCCTGGGTTAGAGATCGACGTGGGCAAATCAGTCAATTTTAAAACCATCGAAAATGGTGAGCCTGCCTTCTTTTCTGTGATATACTAGTTTCTGATCACCAAGCTTAGCGGACAACTTTGCCTGGCTTCTCATCTTCAATTATTTCCACCATTGTTGGAGTTGGAAGACCAATGGTGCTTGGAAATGGCCCAAGGACGAGTTGAAGCGAGGCATCGTCCAGGTGCGCACAGATAATTCCACAGTGCCACAAGACTTCGAAAAAAATCCAGATCTGGCGGTCGATGAGGATGATATCAATCTCGATAACCTAGAAACCCCCAAGTGGTGCCACCAGGTGGGATCAGACCCGGAAAACATCCAATGCACATATAATGCCGGCAGCAGCAACAGTGCTTCTATCACTGCCGCCCCATCTGCGACCAAGACTCCAGCTTCGTCCACTTCGTCCACCAAATTGACACCGACTCCTACCGCCACTCAAAAATGCAGGCTTCACATCTGGGAGGAGTCACAAACCCCAACCGATTTAGACCAAACGATGTACGCCAAGTTCACTGTCTACGATGGCGCCGACAAGCAAGTCTACAACAACGACGACTGGCAGAAGCTCCAATGGGGTGGCTCGATTAACATCAACCAAGATGACACTGGTCTGGCGCATGCCCTTACAGTCACATTCAAGAAGAAGGATGCCTATGAGAATACAGACGCCAACTATCAGAAAAGGATTTTCGATGTTAACTATGGGACTACTTCCTGGCGGAGTGATCAAGCAGGGAGCTACGATGACATGAACTCGTTCCCTTTTTGTGGAGTGGGTGAATGGGATCAAGCTGGAGGCGAACTTACTTCCGAGGTACAAGATGGCCCGCAGCTACTTCCGGTGTGTTTTTCTTCCTTTTCTTTGTCTCACCTCCCCCGGTTGATTCTTCTTGCCGGTTCATACTAACTATGTTTAGAACCGACAGAGTGACTGCTACTTCAAGTGCTGAGAGTATCTCTAGTTCTTGCGCTTGGATATTCGAAGCAATGCTATGGAATTTGAAGGACCTCGTTTCGTATTCTTAATGACTCGATATTATGTACTTGATGTAATTAATTCGATTCGGTCCATACAATGGACTCATAGTAGACAGATTTATATCAATCACAACAGAACAGTCCTAGATATATTTATAGACATCCCAAGAAACAAGGTCAAGTCCATTCCCTCCCTGTACCATTGTCTTTACACACCAAATCGGATCCTCTTCAGAAAAAAAGAACATGTGGACAGTCTGAAATACAAAAACTGCGATCGTTTCATAAATTGATCAGGCGCTTTGTGCCAATCTCCGAAAACTATACCAACGGCCGATCTAGTGCAACTACTTACGCGTCAGGTAATATGATCAATTTCACGAAATTTTATAAATCTCAGATAGACAAAAATAAGTTTACAGTCTAGGACTCGAAAGGGCTACCCAGATGCCGCGCCCATGAGCTAGGCTATTCGATACACCCCAGATCGATCCTCAAAGTACCTGGGAATATTTTAGTTTTCGAGTTTGCAGTAGGTAAGGGCTCTTTTTTTTTTGGCCCTATCCTCCTAGTCATGATATTAATAGACAAGCTATCACTTAATTGATGTATCATTATTATAAGATAAAATAAAATAAAACAGAATAAAGGGAAGGAGAAAGAAGGGAAGAGAGAAAGGGGAGAAGAAAAAGAAGAAGAGACTATTTAGATATCAAATCACTAAAAGTACTCGCTCTTTAAAAATAGTTATATTATAGGGGCTTGTCTAATAACTCTAGATTGTTCACCTCTAAGCCAAGATAGCAACACTATACTCAACATTAATTTAAGAGGCAAATTATAGATCACTTTCTGGTAGAGCCTGGGGTACAGGCATGGATCACACCTAGGGATCACTTGTGCATAGCTCTACCTTGCCTTTTACTTAAAATCAATATACATAGGCGTAAAAGGTGCCCAGGTGTGGTGTGACTGGGGGCACAAGTAGGGGTTCTAGCAAGTCGACACCTTAAAATAGTTTTTCTTGCGTCTGTTCCTGGCAGCCCGGTTGCTATCTGCTACTTTGATTAACGATATGTAAGTACAAAATGAAATTCTCAGTTGATATCTTCTATGGTCTCTACGCTATTTTCATCGCGTATAGCCTCGCCGTTTACGGCAATAGCGCTTAGCTCCGCATAACATAAGCCACAACTAGAATAATCCTCTACTGCTTGTCTTTTTCTTTTTTTTTCCCTATAAATACATATTTCTCATAAATTATCAAGATAAAGGGGTCTGTAAATCAGTCTATCTTTTCTTAGCTACAGCGGTCAATGGTTCCCGTTCCAAAGGGATGTACACCGTGATCAGCAGAAATGAGTTGTATAGCGGCTGAGAACACCAGAAAAAGAAGTGCTCCGTTCCCGCCGATAGATACAACTCGCGCAAAGATTTAGATTAATTCAAGTTATTCTTTTTTTGTGAACCCGAGTTTTCGCGCGGACTCTGATGACACCTGCCCAACTACCCCATTAGGAAAGATCCGATCGTGTGTGATCGCAAGATCCCCGGTGGTTTTGCTGTGGATCCGGCTCGGCGATGACCTTTCACGTCCCATTTCCGAAGAAAAACGCGAGTCAGGGGTTTTTTTATTGCAGTATAGGGCAATGATCATCTCTGGGCTGAGCGGTCTATTTTTGTCAGTTGGGAGCCGTGCTTGGCAGACCCTGGAATGCGGCACGTCACTATACCCTACGATCTCTTGTGCCGATGAGAGAGGGAGAGACTATGAGAAAGGAGGCATGGGAACAACTAATGCAGCCCCATGATCGGTGCGACTGGCACAAGCCGGGTGGCTTCGCGAGCCTTGGTGGGTAAGCAACTAATGCGCCAAGTGAGCCCTGCCGCCCTCTCATTTTACGCAATAGCGCAATGGATCCTTGTTGGTTCACCCGTCAGAGGCTGCGGTACATCCAACTAACCACCAGGCTGTGATCCTAGATCTACCTTGTGGGGGAATCCAAACCCTGCGCAAATATCCCCCATTGGATCTCATCATCGGGGGCCATGTATCGCTTGGCATGCGCTGTCCAGGGCCCAACGTGGACCCCTGATGATCGCTGCATAGCCTTGTTGATGCATTGGGTAGTCTTATGGCTGCCACGGATTGCTATAAGAAGAGAGTGCTTTCGCATGGCAAGGTGGAACAACAAGCTTTTCTTTTCTTGATCCATTCATTCATTGTTGTATATTTCCTTTCAAATCGCAAAGATCACTGCATCTGATATATCCATTTCGCCGCAACTATGGTCCAACTCGGCTTGATCCTTTTCCAGGCACTGGGCTTGTCCGCTCTTGCCAATGCCGGCCTGATTCCCCGACAAGACACGCGGCCCATCTATGCCATTGCCCACCGAGTGATCCGAAACTCGGCCGTGACGGCGGCCCTCGACCACGGCGCCAACGCCATTGAGATCGACCTGACCCCCGAGAAGAACGGATGGTACGCAGACCACGACGGCAAGGGTACGACGGCCGGCGGTACAGCCCGCGAGGTGCTGGAGTTCATGGCGAAGCAGCGGGACAACGGCAAGGCCCTGACATTCGTGTGGCTGGATGTCAAGGACCCCGACCACTGCGAGAAGGGCTCGCCGTGCTCGATCGAGGCGCTGCGCGACATCGTCCGCGACACGCTGGGCAAGTCGGGCGTGCGCGCGCTCTGGGGCTTCTACCAAACCCAGACCACCCGCTCGTTCAAGGTGATCCGCGACGGGCTGGACAAGAACGAGGCGATGACCTTCTCGGGCGAGCACCAGGAGATTGTCGACACGTACAGCAAGGACGCACCGGACGTGCCCATCAAGCAGCGGGTCGGCGACTACGGCGCCGCGCACATCGCCGATGGTTTCGGCGACTGCACCGAGAAGAGCTACAACACCTGCACCGAGCTCAAGCAGACCAGCGCCGAGCGCGACGACGGCAAGCTCGGCAAGGTGCTCAGCTGGACCAGTGACAAGACTGACACCAAACGCGTCGAGCAGCTGCTCGGCACCGCCCACATCGACGGCATCATCTACGGCTACCACATGGCCGACTACGACCAGAACGCCAAGCAGGCCTTTGACGACATCAAGAACTACGTCGACAAGAACAAGGACACCCTCCGCATGGCGAGCCGCGATGACGTTCCCTGGTAGGAAGACCCCAAGCCGCGGGCGTCCCATCAAACCACCTCGCCACCGGTGCCTCGTGAGACTCAACCGTCAGGGTCTCAGGCCTCCGTTTCTCTCTTTTCGCCGTGGCTGCGCGGTCGGATGTCCACGGCTTCTTCTGTTTTGCTGTATATATCACTGATTTTTTTGATTCAACTGTGGGCGGAATGACTGGAAAAGCTACCTGTATATTAACCCAGCTTGGACATTGCATTGTAAGATTTCTTTCTTTTTCTTCTTTCATAGCTTTGCTTGGTCCAGCGGAGTGAGCTTCCTCAGTGGAGGCCCTCCCCTACTTCCATCACCGGCCATAGCAGACCCCGAAGAGCCGTCCTTGGGTAGATTCAGCCTCCACTTGGCACGCAGTGCTTCGGGCGCTGTGTTCTCGAAACACTCGACGATGTATCGGCCCAAGACCGGTAGAAATTTGAATGCACTAATATTAGAGCATGTTAACATCAACTCCCTCTCAAAACATTGTCTACAGAAAATCAATGAACTCTTCAACTTACTGTCCCGCCCCGCCCGTCGCCACGAACAATCCCTTCAAAGTTGGGTGGTGGTCAATGATGAAATCGCCATTCGGCGTATCCGTATACCAGCAGAGCCGGCGATTGATCCACGGCCGGTCAGCCAACCGAGGAAAGAATTGCCTTAGACCCTGGCGAAGAGACGCATCCGCGTCATCAGGGAGATACCCCGATGCGGCGTTGTTGCTGTCAAACTTGGGCGACGAGATGGACCGACTGGCCCCGTCGACGTCGACGGTGACTTCATTTGCGAATCCGTATCCATGACGTGCGAGCTTGAGGATATTGGTTCCCGGCGTCGGCGGGAAACAAAACACCCCCGTGCTCATGTTGATCATCACGGGCGTCGAGTCGAGCGAGCGGGCCTCGGCCTGCGTCAGCTGGATGAACCCAACAGGCTGCCCCGAGGATGACGCTGAATTGCCCACATTCAGCAGACGACTCGTCCACGCTCCTGTACTTAAAATGACTTGAGACGCGAGCAATGTTCGTCCACCGAGGAGATTAACTCCTACTACCCGCTCGCCGTCGCGACGCAGGGAAACCACCGTGCCCTGCGGTCCAGTGATGATCGAGATGCCCGCTACACTGCACTTGGATGCCAGTTTCTGGATGCTGCCTCCTGCGTCTGCCCAGCCACCGACTGGGTTATGGTACCCATTCAAGCCCGACAGGTTGGCCTGGACGTTGGGGTAGGTGTTGAGCAGCTGGGTCGCATCCGGGAGATCGTCCACTTTACCACCCGAGGCACGGATAACCGCCTTTGACTTCTCCATGTATGTATTTTGGGGAGTCTCTGAGAGTAGAACAAATCCGGATTGGTGGTACTGGTCCTGGTACTCGGTAGTCCAGCCCTGGTATGCCTCGCGGGCCATCTGCGAGTAGATGGGGTCCGCGTAGTCGCTGCGAATAATGCGCGAGATGTCGACGCTGCTGCCGTCTACCGCCGGGGGCACATATCGGTCCACAACGGTAATGTCACTATATCCACGCTTTTTCAGTTCCAGTGCGGTCGAGAGTCCGAAGACACCGGCGCCCACGATCAGGATGGAATCGCTCTTTGACGGTGACATTGCGCAAAGCAACAACCACATAAATAAAATGCATGTACAGAATGTCAAAAGAAGTGACGGAAGAAGAAAAGAAGCCCACCTTCGTAAAATGTGGAGGGGCATAGAGCATACCCGGTCCAATCCCGGGCCTTGGCACCCGGAGAAGACGGACCCGGGCCGTGTTCCGGGCGGTGATGCCGGAGACAGCCGGCATCAAGTGGAACGCAAGTAATAAGAAGACATGTCTTCAAACTCATGTGGGTTAAGACTCAGCCAGTCCTCAAACGCCCTCCCATAATCTTGGAGCTGGAGAAACAACGCCTCTTCACCATCGAAGTCCAAATGCTGGTCGTCGAGTTCAGGGAGATCTATCGTGGGTGAGGTATGAGCTGGTCCTTGGTCTGAATGTATTGGATCATGAGTCTGCTCAGGTGGATATGTGACACACTCCGAGGCCACGGTTTTGTGTCCTGAAATGCCAGCAGACCCGATCAAAGAGAAGCCGGGTTCTTCAAGGGCGTTGTTTGACGAGAGCCATGGTCCCTCGATGCTGTCCTTGGCCAGCCCAGGGCCAAAGATATCGCTTGTAGCATCATTCGTCTTGCTTGCGTGGCTATAAACCAAGATTTTCCACAACAGCTGCAAGTTGACGTTCCATTTTTGGCGGAAGTTGGGACCTGTTGCAGCGCTATTGTCGGTCATCAATCCACCAGGTGAAATGCTGTCTCGCAATTGTTGCAACTGTCGGGCCTTTCTTGAGGTTAACACGACATGAGAAAGATTTGTTGGATGTGAAGACCAACGTACCTGTCGCTCAATGTGAGGCCATTTGCGACCCATCCCCTGTAAGAATTTGACACACTTTTCAAACCCCGAACGTGCCTTACTGCTGAAAGCCTGGTCTTCCACAAAGCTATGTTGGAGGTATATCGTTGCGACAACAGCAACACAGTGTCCCAATGTCGGATCAGACACTTCAAAGTTCTTGAGCTCGGTGAGGTCAAGGAAATGCAGTATCCAGCCTGAGTGCAAGGCAAGCTGTTCAAAGGAGCTGCGCAAAAAGGACTGGGGCATTGTCCGCCTAAAATTCCGAAGTCGCATCGAAAGAAGAAATGGATGGTTCAATATGCAGGGAACAGCATGCCAGATCAGCTGGAAGAATAGCCAAGGGCCCCAGTAGTCTCGGTGTGCTTGTAGCTCAGCCGGTGAATGATCTTGAAACCGGCTTGCATGGAGTCGAAATTTCAATGGCATGCGGCTTTCATGCTCTGTATGCTGGTATGTAATCGCGGCATACTCAGAGTACGGAGACCAAGGGGGATGCTCATCACCACCAACGTGGCTTGCGGCGTAGTTGCAGGCCAGAGCCCAAAGCTCGCTGGAAAGGATGTTGCTTGCCCTGAGTCCAATATCCAGCTTTGAGTCATCCCCAATTCTTCGGGACGTATCTGAATTTGATAAAGATGACCAGGGAATGGAAATTGGCCGAGGAGAATCGCCAGATGAACGGATCCCTTCCTCGGGTGGCACCGGGGAAGAGCCATGGAGATTTCTGAGCATGATAACACTTGCATGGCAAAGCTTCTGTTCGTCTTGCTCTGATTCTAGATTTCCCAAGAACCCTAGATTGCCCGTCCTGAGATTCCGCATGAAATAGCTCGCAAGTCTGCTATAAAAGCCTGCACGGATGACATGGCCAGCTGATGTTTTAACAGTTTTTGTAATTAGCGAGCGGACACTAGAGCAAAGGAGGTATATCTCTTACCAGTGAATTCGAGCATGCTGAGGAGACAAAGCGTTTGAACCGTCGATAATTCCACCTGCCCTTCTGTTATACGAACCATCACCAACTTGCTTGCTTGCTCTGTCTTGTGCTTGATTCGAGATTCAATTTGCGTATCATTTACCCTCCTGCCGTGAAAGCGGATTCCGATCGCTTCAATTGTGAGCAGAAGCTCATGATCCCGCTTTTCCAAAGAAGCAAGAAAGGATCGGTGAGGAAACAGTGGAAGTGGTTGGGAGTTGCAAAAGATCAAATACAGCTGGGCTGCAGACATATCAGACACGCCATTTCTATCATCAGTTAGAGAGTCACTTTTTCCAGAGTGTTTAAAAGTCACTTACGAGGATATATCACTTGTTGAAGGCAATTCGGGACTTGGTGCATAGTTGTCCTGCAGATGAGCGGGTGGAGAAATTCCGGGACGAATCTGCTGCTGGCTGAGCCTGTACCAAATCAATATGAGCAGGGAGTATATTCACGAGCCGTTCTAGATACCTACCCAATGTATTCGATCAACTGCTCCAATTTGCTTTCGATGCTAGAAATGCGCTCCTCCTAGCGGTTGTTATTAGCTGATGCATGTTGAATGTGCTTTGTATCTCTACTTACCATTCTTCTGCCAAATTCTGATCCTTCCTCGACTGGCTCGGCACCTGAATACACGCATTTCTGTCCCAGACGCTCACAGAAGGAGCAGATCGGTCTCTCACCGGGACAGCGAGACTTTTTGCGACTAGGCAGTGGCAATCGAAATCAGCAATTGATCAATTGGTTCACTGTCAACGGACTTACCGACAAGGCTCACAGGCCTGGCGGGCACGTTTGGATGGCCGCTCGTCTCCGATGGAAGTCATCGTGGATCTTGACACATAAGCGTCGTGAGGCAGTTTCGTGCGGTTTGTAGTTTTATATAGCCCTGTGGAATTGCTCGTTTGACTGAGCTCGCAAAATAGGATAGTTCCAAGCTTGAAGCTCCCCACTGAAGGGTGATTGGTCGAATGTGGCGGGTTTCGTGTAGAAGAAAAGGCGGTCCGAGGCGGATCGCCGAATTGTGGGAAGCTGGCGGGATGCGGGTAGCCGCCGAGTTATAGCCATCGGCCATATAATGTAGACCATGTACTTTCTAACAACTGGGGAAAAAAGAATATGTCTAATAAAACTTGTATCATGAAATTGGAAATAGATATAGCTCAACATAAAATAGTAAAACAGGCGCCAATGAAGCCGTTGAAATCAGGAACATCGCTGCAGAAAATTCCAATATCAAATCACACAATGCACATGAGTGCCCTAGACCTCACCATTCAACGAGATGTTTTCTTTTTCCTGGGGAACAGACCGGGCATTAGAAGCCGATCCCTTGGCGAAGCTGCCATCCTCGCAGATAAGCCACTCCTCCGGCCGCAACCAATACTTATCATGCGAGTCGACACCTGACAGCATGCCCTTGAAGTCAAACGGGTCTACAAAGGTCTCCCACGACGAGCGACGATCGAGCCAGCCAGGCCCGAGGCGCTCGGTACAACCGTCCGGACAGAGATAGCGTTCTTTCTGGCTGGGCAGATACCGGCCGGGATGGAGCATGTTCATCCAGTAGGTAAAGACCAGCATAGGGCCAAGCTCGAAGGCATAGAGGAACCACTCGTTGCCGAGGATAGGCCCGCAATTTTCGCGGCAGCCGAGATTACCGAACATGTCGAAGGCCTCGATGGCACGGCAAATACAGCGCAGCAGAACGAGAGTTGAAGTACCGTACAGCGTGAAGCAGACCATGCGCACATTCGGCGGGACTCGGCCGGCGCGCGCGCACCGTCGGTGTACTGCCGCCACGATAGCTACTACCACCAGCTCGGCGACTGCTTGGAGCACCAGCCCGGCGGCAATCAGTGCTCCGCCTGTTTTGTATTCAGAGAGATCGTTGCCGGCCGCTGCGTTCTTGGCGGCACCTGCGGCTGTAATCCCTTCGACGGCGGCTCCGACGTAGACGAAGAAGGTAAGCACGCGGTTGGGATTAAGAACGGCGTGCATAGGGACGTAGTGCATCAATCTTCCGACGATGTTATAGGCTGCAGCCGAGTACACTGGTGGACCGACATAGATCATGAACGTCTGGGCGATAAAGATATCTTTGTTAGAGGGGTGGTAGCTGGAGATACATCGAAGTATCCAGCCCGCTGTGAAAAGAGTACCACCCCAGCAGATGAAGAAGGTCACCCTCCAGAACCTGTAGCGACTATCATCCACGGAATGTTAGAAATGCACATGCGCCAAAGGGAGTATGACACCCACGTGTTCTGGTAGATATGCAAGAGCAGCGATATTCCGACGAGAGCTGCAAAGACCGCCGGTAATATATGGCTGGGGTTGTAGAGATACAAGCTGTCCTCGGGGGTATTTGGGCCCATGATGTCGCCCTGATTTGAAGATTGAATGGAGAATAAGGGATTGAAAAACATCGAGGTGGCAGCAACATTTTATATCCATCATCCATGGCCATGTTGATTCTAGGGCTGAGCGGCACGTAGATCCGAATAAGGTTAGTGGGGGCTCTGAGGCAGTGACTGCAGATTCACGAGCATTCAATCCAGCCCGATTAAGCTAGACAAGCTCAGCGCGAGGAATAAAAAAGAAACAGCGACGATCGCTTGTCAGTGGCGTCCCCATAGATGTCCCGCCAGCCAATCACATCGCGTAACTGGACGAGCGCCGCATCCGACCAAATCGGGTTAGAGCGAGTCGGTGATGCTGCGCCTGGGAGCCTCATCTTCCGCGGGGTGAAATAGACCGTCTCTGCGATCTCGAGGCGGCGCGTAATTCCGCATTTGTCTTTGCTTTCTCTCCCTCTCTGAAGATCTCCTAGCACAAGTAGGTTGGCCCCACGTTGCTTTTCTGTATTTAGATCCCCCTTGCATTCCCCACAGCAGCCATGCCGGGTGTACCATCGGGACGGGCCTGTGAAGGGTGCCGTCGGCAGAAGAAAAAGGTACGTGCGCCAGAGGTGTGCGGCCTTCGCTTGGGGCTCTTAATGACGCGAATTAGTGCGACGAGAAACAGCCCGCCTGCTCACGATGCATTCGTCTCAACTTGGACTGCGTGGGCTCGGGCCAGCAGCGGTTCAAATTTAAGCAGGAGCGCGGGTTCTCTCATGATGTGAAACGGTCCGGTCGGGCCCTTTCGCATAAGGCTAGCCCAATGCCGACAAGCAACATAGTCGCCGTGGGCCCGTCCACATGTCCCAGCAATAACCTTACTCTCTTGACGAATGCCTTTGTCGGAAGCATCAAGAGATCAACCGACCTACGTTATAACCTCTGGTGGTCCTTTGGCATGTTCCTCGAGGAAGTGCCCCGACGCCTCGGCAGCAATGAGGCCCTAGACCGTGCGGTGGACGCTGTGACCAGTGCACATGCGAATTTCTGTGCCCGTCGAACCATGTCGGTGAATACGCTGTCCAAATATTCGCGTGCTCTGGTTGCACTTCGCAATTGCTTGGATGACTCTGGCACTGCGCAGTCTTCTAACACGCTTTGTGCCGTGATGATACTTCTGGTCTGCCAGATCTTCCTTGGCCCGAACGGGACCGGCTGGACGGGCCACGCCGAAGGTGCGGCGCATATACTTCGGGCCCGGAAGGATTTTGGGCCTCGAGATGAATTCGAGGGTAAATTATTTCTATCTCTCCGTGGCAGCGTGGTATGTTGGCACATCTTTTCTTGATTATGTTCGCTTGCTGCTATCATCGTGTGAGACTGACGATGTTATCACAGCTGTTTGAGGGTATTTTCAACCACAAAATATCCCTTAGCACAGAAGAGTGGGAGAGTCTCGTTCAAAATGACCTCGACAGTGAACGTCCCGAGGGCCAGATGTTGAAATACCTGGCCCGGGCCCCCGGGTTAATGCAACGCGGCAGAGATATTCTACAATACAGGGGCGACCCGACAGACCTGCATGCCGAGACGTGGGCCGTGTATGAAAAATGCAAAGAATTGTTGGCGGTCATGAGTGCCGATGCGACAGCTAGTGAGGCCGCTGCTCCAGGCCCAGGTCCCGAGACGTTGCTCTCCCGGATTCTGCGCGCTCACTACCAACGCATGTATGGAATCGGACTCGCAATTGTTCTTTTCTTCAATTGCATGCTTGGTGCATTGGATTCCGCGAATAGCATTGTTATGGCTGATGCGGCCTACTTTGCCCACGAGGTCCTCGTGCAGGCTCAAAGTGCAGCGAGGTATCGGCCCGTTGGGGCTGGCTATCTCATGGCCTGTCTGCCAGCTGCATGGGCAGCCACAGCAGACCCGGAGCTACGGATTTTGCTCGAAGCAGAGCTTCGCAATTACCAGGAGGACTTTCATCGGCTGCCTTTGGCTGGTCAACGAGCTGAGCTGGAATGGACGGGTCGGCATCTACGACTCGGGAGGTCCTGCTACGAGTCATAAACTGAATGTGCTAATAGTACGGAGACAAGACATAAATATAACGACGAGAATATAGAGCCGGGGAACTTGGTGCATCGGAGATGCCGAATTGGGTTCGCGGGTCGGGACGATCCCCCACTTCACATCATCTCCACCCCGACGGATTGCAATGAAAGTAGATGGATTTGAGGTGATTGAGTGATCCAATTTGAGGGAATTATGACATCTTACCGACTCGCTGCTAGTATGAATCAGGCTATCTAGTATCATGTCGGACCGGTCATGAGTCATGGACAATATAAAATCCCGGCTCCCCCAACCGTGCTGACGGTAGAGGACAAGTACTTGACCGTTCCTGATTATCTCTCTCTCTTCTTCCTTCTCCAGTCATTGGAAGAGGAACAAAAACACTGCGTAAAACCCAGTTACTCCCGTCCCACCCATCATGGCCACCCCATCCGGTACGTACATCCACAACCCAACAAGAGCACAAGAGCAAGATAGCACACGACTAACAAGGAACCCGGCCCCCAGAAACTAACGGCACCAATCCCCTCCGCCTCGGCATCGTCCTCTTCCCAGGCTTCGAAGCCCTAGACGCCTTCGGGCCTCTCGAGGTCTTCAACACGCTCTCCCTAACCCACAACGTAACGCAAGCGATCCTAGCAACCACCCTAGACCCCGTAAGCACAAAGGCGCCAGGATTCCCCAACTCCATCGAGCAGCGCATCGTGCCAACACACACCTTCGCCAACGCCCCACCCCTCGACATCCTCCTCGTGCCCGGCGGCCTGGGGACGAGAGGCGATAGCACGGAAGTGCAAACCGCCATCGCGTTCATCCGCGACGCATTCCCGGGCCTGCAGTACCTCATGACCGTGTGCACGGGGTCCGGGCTGGCGGCGCGCGCGGGCGTGCTGGACGGTCTGCGCGCGACGACGAACAAGCGCGCGTGGGCGGATACCACGGCGCTGAGGCCTGATGTGCAGTGGGTTGCGCGGGCGCGGTGGGTGGTTGATGGGAAGGCGTGGACTTCGAGTGGGGTGAGTGCGGGGATTGATGTGGCACTTGCGTGGGTTGAGGAGGTCTTGGGGAGTGAGGTTGCGCGGAATGTGATGCGGCGCATGGAGTATACGCGGCATACGGATGCTGCGGTTGATCCTTTTGCGGAGTTGTATGGGTTGGCTTGAGCGAGGATCGATGTTTGTGGGTTTATTATGGCGCTTCTCTGCTCCTTGTATATCATTCTGCATCATGGCATACCGAAACTGGCTTTACGGATACCCCGATCAAGACTCCGAGTCAAATGCTGGTAGAAGGTATGATGCTTCAGGCAGTTATAGAAGAGGCGCCTCAAATTCCTATACTCTTTGCTGATACTCGAGACAAACGCAACTCAGAAAGAAGAGCACCTGTGGCTGGAAATGAGCCTCGGTATTCCAGTTGTTGTTACCAGCATCACCAAAGAGGGATAAGAACTTGGATTCTGTCGAACAGAAATGGTCAAGTACGAAAGAGAAAAGGGAGAGAATACAGGACATAGTCCCATGCGTGGATGAATAGAACCAAGAAGACAGAGAAAAGAAGAAACAAAAACAAAACCCCAGACGCTATGCGAAGAAACATCAGACCATGTGTGTGTGTGCAAAACAAACTATATGGCAGTGCGGCCAGGAGCACGAATCCCGCAGGAGTAAAGATGACCCCAGAAAGAGTAGAGACTGCCCGACGGAAAGCACTGAAAGAAAGAGAGGAACATCTTGCTAAGGATTGACATCCCAGGCAGTGGGTTATGGATGCCCCGGCGTATGCATAAAGATACGACTCGGTGGCCGGTTAATCGGAACTATCAAGGGAAAAGGGAAAATGGTAAGAGAATGAAAAAGAAACGGGGAGATGAGGCTCGAGTGTACAAGTTCTAGGAACCAGAACTGATAAAAGGTATGGGTATTTCCGTGCGTCGCAGAAAACAAGGGACCAGAATGTCGAGGAAATAAGAGACAAGAAAGAAAGGAAAAGAAAAAGAGGAAAGGAAAAGAGACAAGAAAACATGCAGGCGCCGGCTCCTGATTCACCACATATCATCGTCATCGTCGTCATCGAGTTGGACATCATCGCCAAAGGATGAGTGTCCATATTGGTAATGTCCGGAGTCGTAAGCGTGGCCATTCTCATAGCCGCGGTTATGGCTCCCTGAGTGGGACCGGTAGTGATCGTGCGGATCGTCATCGTAGTCGTACATAGAAGGATCGTCATATGCGCTATCCGTGTATTGTTGCTCCTGTGCCTGCGAAGCCCGCTGTCAGTCACCTGGCGCATCCTTGCGACGAGCATTGGCTCCACTTACTTCTTGGTATCGCTGATACTGGAGGTACTCTTCCGGCTGGTCCCTGGACTTGGATTGCCTCTGTGACCCGGAGGACGACGCAACCAGCATCTGGGGGTGCATCTGTTGCACCTTGGCCAGGTACGAGTACATGAAGTTGCTCAGCAACACCTGGGAGTGGAGCGCTCGCCGGGGATTTGCAAGCTTGATGTGCGCCATGCGGTAGATAGCCCGCTCCTCCAGAATCGAGAACCGGCTCCACGGATAATCAACGTCAGCCCGCAGCTGTCGCACCGGGGGATCCGGAGACAGATTTCGAGACGAATTCTTTCGGTGATGTCCGTCTCCGCTGTGCTTCTTTCTCCCGCCACCGAAGATGGACGAGAAAATCCCGGAATCCTTCTCTTTCTTCGACTCTCCCGAAGCCCGTCGAGCGCCGTCCTTCCGTCGTTCCTCCTCCAACTTCGGATCCAGACGGTCCAAAATGAGGCTTTCACGTCCCCGCTGGGTGCTGTCAAGTGATGATGATGCTGTATCCACACGTGTGCTGTCTTGGACCTTCTCGGCGGATTTGGATTTCCCTTTTTTCGAGTCGCTGTCCTTGTCCTTTTTCTTATCCTTATCCTTGTCTTCACTGCCTAGTAGCCAGTGCCAGCTCGACTTCCGGCCACCCTCCGAGTCTTTTTTGTCCTTCGACTTCTTGCCTTCAGACTTGCGCTCCTCGGGTTTGCGCTCCTCGGGTTTGCGCTCCTCGGATAGGGTAGGGATGAATGAGAGGCTATCAGTCCGCGTGCTGTTGCCTGGTATCAATTGGGGGTTATTGGCGAAGTCATTGAGAGTGGCGGTAGGCTTGGCGGTGCTCTCTTTGCCGTATTGACGGTTGCTCAAGGATCGTTTGCTCGAGGCCGAGTCATGCAAGGAGGATGATTTGGTAGGGAGGGACGGGAGCGTATTTCTCTCTGAAGTGCGACTGCTTTGTGATGCCGAGCTTTGCGGTGCCCGGTTCGCATCAGCCGGAGGGGTTTCAATGATAGAGGGAACCTTTTGTTCGGGAGGAGGCAGAGTCAACGTGGATCGGCCATTTGAGCTGATGCGAGAATGCCATTGCCGGCCGTATGTGGCAGCAGTCGCTCTTCCCTTGGAATCCGATCGATCAAGGGTGGTATCTGGCTGCGCGTCAGCCGAGGCTTGTTCCTGCTCCGCCTCTGGTCGGTCGAGGATCAAATCAAATGTTGAACTGGTAGTGGCCCCAGGAGCAAAGGCCGTGCTATGAGAAGGGGCGGAGGGCGCACGGGCTGTTCGGGTCTTCGGGGTGGGATCTGTCGATACGCGAGTGAGACCCAGAATTGGGGCTTCCTCCGGCGAGGGAACAATCGCAGGAGGGGTATCAGCGGATTCCGAGGAGCCTCTACCGAGGCGTTTGGAGTATGGTAGTTTTTCGCCCTTTTTCAAGCTACCCTTCTTGTATTGAGTTCGAGTCGAACGCCGCAGACTGTGTCCCAGGGGAGCGGGTGGTAAAATCGGCTTGTCTTCGGCTGTTGTGATGTTCATATTCTGTATGCCCTGTGCCATCGTAGAATCTTTGTCCACCGGCTTCGAGTCATCCACCAAGGTCTCCAGCTCTTGCAAATTGGGACTCAGCATGCCATCTCGTTTCCTTGACTGCGAGCGCTGGTGCTCTAAACGATCTGCACCGTCCGTATAACCGGAAGAGCTGTCGATTTGCCTCGACAGCATGGATCGCTTGCGGCGAAGGCTGCCTCCGGAACCCTGGCGCTCGGGACTCAGCGAAGAAGAGAAATCCCCCGATTTGCGCTTGATATGATCCGCTTTGCTTTCAAGAAACGATTTGAATTCTGTCGGAGCCAACTCCGGGTGTAACCGCGCGGGAACCCAGAATAACCGAGATGCATCATTTTCGTCGGCCGAAGGCGAGGGTGGTAGGGTCGGGATCGCGGGGTTTGAACCGAATCCTGGAAGGTCAGGGTCGCCGGCAGCCCCCACATCCATGGACATGCGCCGAATGGCTGCCAGATTGTTTAACTCCTGGGCCACCGCGGCAGGGTCTGATTCATAGTCGATATCGTTGAGAGGAAAGGAGGATGTAGCAGTTTCCGACGGCAACCGGGTTGCATCTTGAGAAGCAGTGTCGCTTTCTCGCTCAAATGATCGGTGAGTAACCAGTGACGGCCGCAGGTGCCCATTAGTCGGGGCCAGGTGTCCCTCCGACAAAGAGTTGGATGGTAGTGCGGTTGAGGAGGGGGGGGATTCTGAACCGGCGGCGGAGCGCGGAATTGTGGTAATAGCCTCGCTGAGGGGCGAGGATATGTAACTGAGCCGTTTCGGATCGTTGCGATCGTAGTCATCCCCATACATGTGCCCAATTGCTTCCGTCACATGGTGGCTGGGATCGCTAATCGAGAGATGGGGTGAATGACCTCTCCGCGTCGCGTGTCCTCCGCCGGCCTCAGGGGCACCCGTGGAAGCCTAGTGAAAGAAAGAAATAAGAAATCAAGAAAAACATTTTCTCGGACATGCTCCCGGTCGAATAAGGATCATCCTAGAGCCCCAGAGTGTCATCGTGGTCAAGGAGTTCAAGGTTGAGGGGGGATCGACCCAAGAAATCTTGCTCCGACACAGGAATCCCACAAAATGGAAGATGTCAAAGACATGACAGAAAAGCACAACACACCTGCATGGAAACCAGCTGAACAAGAACCAAAGACGTCCCAACAAACCCTGGAGACCGCAGGGCGGAACCTTCACCAGGAGGGGGAGTAGGAGGTCAATGTACCACCTGGAGAGGCGAGCGTAGGCGAACAGTCATCGAAGCGCGGGGTCCAAAGAGAATCGAGGGGGGCTAGGCATTCGAAAGCTACCGGTTGAGAGGGGTCATGAAGAAGTAAAAAAAAAAAAAAAAAAATTTAAAAAAGGGAAGAAAATGAAGAGAGTCTTTTGATGGGGGGAAAGAGAAGAACGAGGGTTGGGGGGGGGACTCGGGCGGAGTGCTGACTTCGCAGCACCTGACGTGCGACTCCCTTCGTCTCCATGCATCATTCAACGTTCAACCTAATTTGTTCTTGACTCAAGAACCCCCCCGGTGCCTGGCTCCACATGAAAATAAGGGCGATCAATGGAGGATCTACACACCCTTATTCTGGCTTTCTGCCCTCCGTCCCGCTCTCCCGTCTTTGGAATCTATATTTCCTATATTTCCTATATCCCTACTGATTCACTTTTTGGTTCGGATTCCAACCTGCTCGGACTTCTCACAGAGGATATGGCCAACCGGTGAGATCATTAGATGTCCTGGACTCGCACAACATCCATGCAGGTCGCGGCCGAGTTCACCGGTCTCTCCAGCCAGTCTCTTCCGTTGGGGTTTTGTTCGATTCTTGTGTGAGGGATGGACTGAATAGCTCCTTTGACGTTGTTGTTCAGGACAGGCAGATGGCAATCAATCATTGATCCAGCCTTGGACGAGCGTGGCTCTGGTCACTGATGCTGATAACATGCTCATGAACGCCGTGTCACTTTGCTGGCTACACCCCAGAGCGGAACAGGGAAGACACCGGCTCCACTCCCTGCAGTTGTGCAAGTGTTGGCGTAAGCCGTCGAGGCCCTGAACACCCTCAAACCCTGGTAGCTACAAGTGACACAGCTAGATATACACAGCCCTTACAATCATCTAGACAGACTCAGCGTGGTATTTCTCTCAAACAGAGAGCAGAAATTTCATTCAAGTGGCCTCTAGACAAAGAGGCTTATCAAAGAGCACGAGTGGCAGGGGGGGAAACAAGCTCTTCAAGGAACAAACTGCAATCAAATGGGAAAAAAACCACTGCACAAAACCGAAGATACCTCAAGAGCCCCGATGCCCCAGAAGCGAGCAGTAAGAACGAGAAACTCCAGCGCTCAAGAATGTGAAGCGGTACAAATGGCAAGAAAGACGGAGAAGACACTGATCCGAAGACTCCCTAGATATATTCAAGCCAGCCGAGGCAGTTATGTCCATGGACGAGGTCACCGATCAAGGCGTGTCTCTCGCTTGATTCATCATTGTGCCGTATGAGCCAGCATAAAACAGGCACAAATCTAGGAGGTGTCGACATAGTTGCTGTGATTTGGTTAGATCCGTCATGTCATATCGAGTAGCAACAGAGCAAGACTTACCTGGGGAAAATGCCAACCCGGTCGCCGATGCGACCTGTCCACCAATCCTCCGCCTTGTCTGTCCGCTTCAAGATGGTAATGATCTCCCCCTTCTTGAATCCCAGATCACCTTCTTGGTCCGCATCAAATGTGTAGAGCGCGACAACTTGGTCTTGCCGCAACCCGACACCCTGGCCTGTCCGTTGCCCGAAGACCGGCTTGGGGGCACTTGGACGAGTGGGTTTACGGTCGGAGTAGACATAGTCCTCCTCGAAGGGTGCGGTGTTACTGCGGTTGCGCCCATGCGTATCCCAGGAATTGGCGGGGGATGCCCGCGTGGTCGCAGAGCGGCCGATTCCCCCGGAGGGTCGATCGTATACATCGTCTGCCCAGGTATTTGCCCGGCGCGGGCCCCGGTCCCGGGAATCGTAGTCGTCGTCGTACGTGTTAGATCGGCCACGAGAGCCTTGGCCATAGGCTTCGCCCCGTCGACCCTCCCAGACCACGTCGTCATGGCTGTCGTCGTAGACAGGCATATCATTGTACATGGCGTCTCCATACGCCCTCGAGTTTCCTTGGAACGCACGCGAGTTGAGAACGCGCATCAGGGCATCGGCGGCGGGCGGCGGTCGAATGCTGCCGGTAAGGAGCTGGTTCGCAGTCACGCGGCTGTGGTACAGTTTCTCGTTGGCATCCTTGCGTTCCACCAGCATACTTCCTTCTAAGCTGACACCAGCGAAGAGACCCTTGGTTTTTGAATAGGCAAACACGGCGGCCACGCCGCGAGTGCTGGCAGCTCCGGCAGCTTCCGCGTTTCGGCCGACCGGTCCAGCGGCGATCGAGACGTTGCCACCCAGCGTGAGCGTGCCAACTTGGGAGAATGTGCGCACAGCCGCCGCATCGTTGAGAATAAAGACGAAGTCGGTCAATTCAAACCCAATCTGTCCTCCGATTCCCGCACCGGCGGTCGCAATAGCTGAAGGCGCGGACCAGGTGCCATCGGCGAGACGGGCCACAACAATGCCCGATCCGAATCGGCCAGATCCCAGGAAACCTGCTTTGAGGACGGTGAGAACCGCAAGACCCTGAGACAAATCAATATTCAACGATTAGCCGGACGTGTATCCCTTCCCCTCCAACGGCGAATGCTCACCTTTGCACCAGCCAAAATCTCCGGAGGAATGACCTTATCCGGACCGAAAGCTTGTCTGGGGTCAATAAAGGATGTCAAGATCTTGCCCGCCTTCTTGCATTCGCCTGTGCACACGGAACTCGCAGTCAGTGGGGTGTGCCATTGCGGGGAAGTGGGCAGAGAATTGCCGGTCACACGTACTGCTCATCGACGCCGGCAGCGGGTTATGAATGCCGAGAGGCATCTTGGTTGAATTTGTCGAGGAAGAATGAACTAGAACTCGACTGAAGGAGACAGGGTAGGATGTCGGGAGGAGGCTCGGATTCAGCGCGACGGGGTTTAGTCAGTGAACGGGGCAGATGTGGGCCTGATGACAGTTGACGCGGGACTCGGGTTCGTGGAGGCACACCCGCACTGTGGCAGTCGGAGGATATTCAGGTCCCTAGCAGCCCTTCTCGGTGTCAATTGCGTATGAAAGAAGAATGTATTCCTTGATGGGGGCTAACCTGCAAGATCTGAGATGGTTCACGGTCTTTCAGTTGGCAATTTTCCAAAGGTATATTCGCTCGATCTTCATGTAGCTCGGCATGGAACTACCGCGTGGCGATTGGTCTTCAGACTATACAGCCATAACGCCCATAGGCTCTCAAAACATGAGGAAAGAAGTGGGATACGAATAATATCTGCTCTTTCAATCGGGGAAAAAAAAAAGACAGAGCAAGTTGAGGACTTTCAACTTTCAGCCAGCGGTTTCACGTGCGGAATGGATGCCCCAGGCCAAGACCCCTGTTATCATATCGCGTCTTCTCCTAGAATCATCACCGACCCGGCGTCAAGGCCATGGACTTATAACCACAGCGCCTGTTATCTGCGCAAATGGCCACAGGTGTGCTAGAATGATGCCCGACCCCTTATGGCTCCGCTAATACCGTCCTAGTCCGGATTTGCGTCTGCGGCGACGAGGGCACTGGCAAATCCAGCCTCATCACCTCGCTTGTCAAAGGGGTGTTCGTCACGAACAAAATCCAGCCGGTCCTTCCTCAGATTACCATCCCTCCGACGATTGGAACTCCCGAGAATGTCACCACCACGACCGTTGTCGATACATCGGCCCTCCCACAGGAGCGCAGCAACTTAGCGCGAGAGATTCGGAAATCCAACGTGATTCTACTGGTATACTCGGATCACTACAGCTATGAGCGGGTGGCATTGTTCTGGCTGCCCCACTTCCGGTCACTAGGTGTCAATGTCCCTGTGGTGCTGTGTGCCAACAAGTCGGACTTGTCGGCGGAGCATAGCGAGGCACAAGTAATTGAGGATGAAATGCTGCCTCTGATGACAGAGTTCAAGGAAATTGATTCCTGTATCCGCACCAGCGCCCGCGAACATCGTAATGTCAATGAAGCTTTCTTTGTTTGCCAAAAGGCCGTGACGCACCCGATCGCGCCGCTATTCGATTCGAAGGAGGCTGCCCTGAAGCCTGCGGCCGTGGCAGCTTTACGGCGCATTTTCTACCTCAGTGACCAAGATCGGGATGGATACCTCTCGGACAAGGAGATCAAAGATTTCCAAACGCGCTGCTTTGGGAAACCACTCAGTGAGGAGGATCTGGTCCATATCAAAGAGACCATCCAAAAGAACTACCCGGAATCTGTCACTGATTCTGGAATCGATTGCCAGGGCTTCATTCATTTGAATAAGCTATATGCAGAGAAAGGGCGCCACGAGACAGTGTGGATTATTCTGCGCGCGTTCCAATACACGGACAATCTGTCTCTACAAGAGAGCTTCCTGCACCCCCGGTTCGAAGTGCCGCCATTTGCCTCCGCTGAATTGTCTCCAGAAGGATACCGGTTCTTCGTGAACCTCTTCCTCCTATCGGATAAGGATAACGACGGGGGTTTGAACAATACCGAGCTGGTATCATTATTCGCTCCCACCCCAGGCTTGCCGGCCTCATGGGCCGATGGGTCATTCCCGTCCTCGACAGTGCGCAACGAAGCTGGACATGTGACACTTCAAGGATGGCTCGCGCAGTGGAGCATGACGACCTTTTTATCACCAAAAACAACGCTAGAATATTTAGCCTACCTGGGCTTTGAGCCGTCCGATCGAAGTAATCCATCCATTACCGCTGCATTAAAGGTCACACGACCACGCAAGCGGCGGCGACGTCCTGGCCGAGTGGGACGAAATGTCGTTCAATGCCACGTTCTGGGAGCCCCCGGGTCGGGGAAATCAGCCCTTCTCGACGGCCTACTGTCGCGTGGATTCAGCACCACGTACCACCCCACGATTCAGCCTCGCACCGCGGTGAACACAGTCGAACTTCCCGGCGGAAAGCAATGCTACCTCATCCTCGATGAGCTAGGTGAACTGGAACCTGCTATTCTTGAAAACCAGGCCAAACTGCTGGACCAGTGCGATGTGGTCGCCTACACGTACGATTCATCCGATCCCGACTCCTTCGCATACATCCCAGAACTGCGTGCCAAGTACCCGCACCTTGAGGAACTCCCAAGCGTATTCATTGCCCTTAAAGCTGACTTGGATCGAACGACCCAGCGGGCCGAGCATCAACCCCACGAGTATACAGCTCTGCTAAACATGCCCAGTCCACCGCTCCATGTGAGTGTGACTTGGAGCTCGATCCCAGAAGTGTTTGTCCACATTGCGGAAGCGGCTATGGAGCCCAGCACGGCATTCCCCCGCAGTGAGGAGGATGAAGAAGGCAAGTGGATGTCGTGGGGCATCGCCCTCGGAGCGGTGGTTTGCGCGGGGGCCGCTGCGGTAATGATCTGGCGGCGGGTGAGTGGCAGCGGGCCTTGAAGAGGATGTAGCCAGATTAGCGTGTTATAATGATATCCCATGCATACTGCAGCTGGACTTGCTAGGTATAGTAATCATCGCAATCCGTGGATAGTCAAGTGTTGCATCATAAGGTTGGCGCTCGGGTGGCCCGGAGTTAACCCGGCGCCCCCGCCAGGCACCGCACGCTCCGCTCGAGTTACCCCAGACATCATCTCCCGCTGATCTCTGCGTCGCACTTCCCCTCCCCCAACTCCCTTCGAGTCCCGTTCTTGCTTTACGCCAGTGCGATGCTCTTCGCTTGCCCATCTCCGACCGCTTGAATACTCGTACCTTGTTCCATCCCACCATTGATCTTGTCCATCTGAAGCTTTCGTCCACCCATCCTCAATCCACTCGGTCTCCTGAACAATAAGAAGAAAGCACCGCGCCCGCGTGTTTTCGTCTTCCTACGGTGGAGATTCGGACATTTTCTACCTCGAGATCCTTATCGCCGATCGGAGACGTGCCTGTCAACCCGCTGTCGTACACCGATCGAGCTGGTCCGAACTGAAATTGAATCCCAGTCGTCTCCACCGTCGCGATGTTGTAAGACTCCCCTCTCTTCAATCCCCTTTCTTTTTCTCGTTCCTCCCCAGTTTGTTCTGTCGGCAACTCCACGATGAAGATTGCTGTCGTGCCATGCCCAATGGTGCATCTGGAAAGCCTCACATCTACTGGTTTCATTTCATTGGATCCCACGAGCGATTCCACCGAACTTTCTCGCTAACTTTGACAGCAGTGTTCTCCCACCTCCACCACCCCGCTACACTATCCCCGTCGCTTATGCGGCGGGGGCTTCCAATGGCATGGCGGTCCCTGTTGTCGAAACGAACAACACCATCTCTCATCCCGAAGGCGGATGTTCATTGCAAGTTGGTGAAGGTATGTGGGCACATATTCGTCGCAATGTGGGAATATTGATCTATTCTGATCCATGGACTTATGCTTGGTCGATGGGATTGCTGATATACGGTATCGTCACAGGAACTTACACTCTGAAAGATGACCTTCTACTCGCAACACCCCCGCCCCATCCATCTGAAGCCCCGATAATAAATCCAAACCCTCTTGCGACGGTCCCAACGCCTCCCACATCCGGTGTCAAGTTGTCTTTGGTTAGTCTTGACCCTCGGAAGAAGCCACCGATATTCCTGAAAGCCGCCGCCGCGGCACCGCAATTTGGAGACGGAAACCCAGCGCTTGCTCCGCCAGCGTCGACATCAAAAGATGGTCTGAAGAGGCGCAAGCCGAAGAACAATATCATCAAGAGTAGCTCCTCGTTTGTTTCCAGAGTCATCACTCACGAGACCTCCGCCAAGCGGCTGAATGACCGTGATCCAAATGGGGTCTTCGCCTTCGCCAATATCAACCGTGCTTTTCAGTGGCTCGACATCAACTCTGCCCAGAAAGAGGAGCATCTCACCAAGGTTCTCTTCACCAAGGCCCACATGCTGTGCCATGATATCAACGACCTGACCAAGACTTCTTCTCATCTGGACATTGTGATGGGCTCTTCAGCTGGCGACATCATTTGGTATGAGCCCATGTCGCAGAAGTATGCTCGGATCAACAAAAACGGCGTGATCAACAACTCCCCTGTCACCCACATCAAATGGCTCCCAGGATCCGAGAACCTTTTTATTGCATCTCACGCCAACGGTGTCTTAGTGGTTTACGATAAGGAAAAGGATGATGCTTTGTTTACACCCGAAGCTATCATTGAAAAAGAGGGCAACCGATTACCCCTGGAAATTTTGAAATCGGTCAACTCGAGGAATCAGAAGACCAACCCAGTTTCACTGTGGAAATTGGCGAGCCAGAAGATTTCGCATTTTGCTTTCTCGCCAGACCAGAAGCATCTCGCTGTGGTTTTGGAAGACGGCTCTCTTCGTCTCTTGGATTATCGGAAAGAGGAGTACGTTGATATCCCATGACGAGAGAACTATTTCTTGCTAACAAATTTCAAATTTCAGGGTCTTGGACATTTTTCGCAGCTACTACGGCGGATTGATCTGTGTCTGCTGGTCACCCGATGGTAAATATATCGTGACTGGTGGTCAGGATGACCTGCTCACGATTTGGTCATTCCCTGAGCGCAAGATCGTTGCCCGGTGCCAAGGCCACAACTCCTGGGTAGCGGCGGTCGCCTTTGATCCGTGGCGCTGCGATCAGAAGACATACCGATTCGGCAGTGTCGGTGATGATTGTCGATTGCTTCTGTGGGACTTTAGCGTCGGCATGCTGCATCGTCCCCGAGCGGTTAGTTGTTCTATTCCCCGATGGTTCTTTTGAGAAAAAAGTGACTAACTCATCCGGATAGCACCACGCCAATACTCGTAACCGCACCAGCATTGTAGCACCCAGTGTTCAACCGTCCAACCGCCATCGTGCTGACAGTGGCGGCAATCGCGTGAGATCGGATTCCGATGGAACCGAGAATTACGAGGCCAACCAGACTACCAGCCACCCTGTTGAGCCTCGGTCCCGAACGGCTTTGTTGCCGCCGATCATGGTGAGTTCCCTCGCTCTAACTTGCTAGCATCTTGCTTTCCTTTGAACCGTAGCTCATTCATATTTAGTCTAAAATCGTCGGAGAAGATCCTATTGCTTGGCTCGGATTCCAGAATGATTGTATCATGACATCCTCTCTCGAAGGTGTGTACCGAATCCTTGGTATTTTAAACGATGAAAGGAATACATTTCTAATGTACAACAGGCCATGTCCGCACTTGGGACCGACCCCGCGACAGCGTTGTCAACCATGACCGTCGTCGCTGATTTCAACCATGACACTCATGACCTGGGTCTATTTGTGGTCTCATTTGGAGGAAATCTATTTTCTTTTCTTGGGGGAACCATCCTACTACGTTGGTGGTATTTGTTTTGGGAATTCTGAGCGTTTTGGGGGGGGGGGGGATATGTACAATTGCTATTTCCTAGATACCCAGTCATCGATTGAATACTAAATTTGTGTTGACCTTTGCCTCGCACTCAGCAAATCCAAGGACTATCCAACGCTTTACTTGCGGGGTGGAGTATATATCATGAGGTCAACGTCGCAAGCACTAATTATTGCATCTTTCATTAAATTAAGGGGGGCATAACATAGGCCCATAGTACCATCATTCATCAAACAACGCATATTGAATCCAGTGTAACTGGAATACCCCCGAAGACGAAGTTATTTATCCTTGCCTTGAGGATCGGGCACCATCATATGGAAAGGAAGAAAATTGCACATAGACACCAAACCAAAACAATCTTTGATACTTCATCTTTCCTTTTCCGTTCATTGCCATTCAAGAACCCCGCCTCCCCAGGCTAACCTTTCGAGGGATTGCTTGCAAGGGAAGAGGAAACTATGAAACTGATTTCACAGAGCCAAAGCAAAAAGACCCATCAGGAGACTACCCGCCTGGACGGGAGCAACGAGAGAAGCAGCCGCGTTGGTGGTAGTGGAGGCAGAGCCAGTGGCGGTGGAAGTGCCGGTGGAGGTCATACTGTCGGTGGTCGTGGTCATTGTGCGCGTGTTGGTAGTCGTGGACTTGGTGGTGGCTGTAGTAGTTTCTGTGTGAGATCGGAGTTAGTTCTCTCGAGATTAAGTGCATTTTGTGGTCGTCAAAGCCAAATTCGAAGTAGTAAAAAAGAGAACCTGGAAGCCAAGGATGGCACCATGTACTCACCAGGAGTAGTGGAGCCAGTGCGGGTTTTGGAAGTGTGGGTGCGAGAGGAATGAGTAGTGGTGGTGTGTGCAGTAGAAGAGGAAGAAAGAAAAGAGGAAAAATGGGTATGAGTGGTATGAGAAGTGGTCGACAAAGTAGTAGGGGTGTGGGCTGAGGACGTGTGAGTGGTCATATATGAAGAGCTGGACGGAGAAGAAGTAGATAGACTGGAAGAAAGTGTAGATGATGACATGATAGAAGAAGTCATCAAGGAAGAAGATAGGGAAGAGGGAGACGCACTTGAAGAAGACGCCGTCATAGAAGAAGATGTTGAAGGGGTAGGAGTAGAAGTGGGTGGAGTACTAGAGGAAGGGGAGGTGGCAGGGGTAGACGCACTGGTGGAAGAGTGAGCAGTAGTCGGAGAAGAAGTGGGAGAGGCAGTCGAGGCAGACATGGAAGCCAAGGAACTCGAGCTCATAGCACTGGTCGAGGACGCTGAAGCAGAAGTGGAATGCATCGACTTCGATGCAGATGCAGAGGTTTCACTAGCAGTGCTGGTTTCCTTACCAGACATAGAAGCCTGGGGCTCCGTCACCTTGAATTGCTGCGATTGTGCCAGAATGCCACTGTCGCTGTCAGAGACGAAGTTGATCTGATATCCGCCGCTACGATGGTGTCAGTGGTTGGAATGGCCAGTAGATTCAGAAAGAAACCTACCCCTTGTCGATGTTCTCCATGGCCTTCATTTTATACGAGCCCTTATCTGAGTCGACATTCGCGGCAATAAGCTCCTGCGTGTTTGGGTACACGTTTTGGTTCACCAAGTAAATGGAGAACGAAGATGGATCGGTGCTGCTGGTGGTTAATGAAACCCTAACCCCAGAACAGCAATTCACAGGCGATTTACTTAACGGCCTGCCATTTGATTGTCACAGGCTCTGACACATCGACCTTGTCACCCTTGGCCGGTGAGGTAACAAGCAGGCCTACAAAGATGTGAATTAGCTCTGATTACCTCCTGCCATGGGCGTCAACGCATACCTGCAGCAGTGGCAGCAAAGGCCATCAGGGAGGGTGCAATAACAACCCGCATTGCCGATAACTGAGTCAACTAGTAGTTGAGGTCAAGGAGGCAAGACAACCAAAAGATATACAACAGGAGAAAGGATGCAAGTAAGAAAGCGTTGTGGTTCGAAGGAAAAGAAATCCAAGCCGACCCACGCTGGATATTTTATAGACGCTATGACGACGGCCCACACCAACCCCTCCCTCTCGCAGGGTTCCGCCTCTTCTGTCATGGCAATCTTCATTTTCGGACCAGGTTCCTCGCCGTGCCTTGGTTTGCCATGTCTCATGCCCCCAGCTCTGGCGGAGCACAGACAGAAATCAGCAAGGGCCACACATGGATGCAGTAGACCCCGGAACCTTTGTCTTTTGATAAGCTCTGCCGAGAAGCAAATCTCTGCTGATGCAAAAAGATCTTTTGCTGCGGAAGCTTTGCAATGCCCATCTCGGCCCAGACTGGAATTTCTCGTCGGCGATTCCACGAAACACAGCCTATGTGATTCCAACCGGCCGCGCGTCAGAGTTCCTGTCTGTATTGCAAACCCGAAGACTTCGCTTGCTGCGTGTTGCCTCTGTTTTTTGCCTTTGGAAGAGATTGGCCCATGAATGGAGACCCCTGGGATCACCGCTGCAGCCCGTTTAGCAATGGTACTTGATCACCCGGGATTCATCCGACCAAGATCGCCGATCCGCCTAAACCCTCCCGAGGCTAGTGCAGCTACGTCTTGATGACCTTGAAATTCTTTAGATTATCATCTTTTCTCATGCCAAGAAAGAGGTCCTCGTAGGAACTGTGAGGGTCATCTTCCCAAAAGTACTGGTAAAATTTAGGCCTTGATCCGAATTAGACACCACGAGGGTTTGGTATTGATCTTCCTCGTGGCCTTCCCTAGATCATCCCAAGTGTATGACAGCAAACTTGTATAGCCTTGGCCCACCAGAACACCTGGATCCCCTGCGCATAGTCGTGGAGGGAAAGGGAGGGGGGCAAGGCGTAGGTGGGACAGAGCCCAGCGCAGAGATCACAATATTGTGTTTGCGGCCCAGAATCCAGGCTAACACAGCTTTAAATGTCATCGTGACTTCATACTTTGAAATGCAGAGACAGCGTCCTTGCAGCGTCTCCTCTAGTTGTATCGGTGGAATCTCGTGGAAATAGCTGTCTTGAAAACAGTTGGAAGAGATGGGCGAATCTCGCACAGCAAGGGGATCCCAACCGGAACAGCCCTAATTGGATGTTGCTGGAAACAGGTTGAGAAGAAACACTCGATAGCTTCGTGTGTCGTTCGTTGGGACACATCCTGGTCGTTCGTTGCAAGGGAAAGGACCCCTCGTTCGACCACGACGCGTGTTTGTGTTCTCCGACGCTTCCATCATGGGTCGGACTGAACTTTTTGTGTGTTCAACCCCATTGCGAAATTTGTATGTTTCCGGCATCGACTTCACTAGACTCTAGGAGAGCCGTCTTCAACATACACGATCTTCAAGCGGACTGACCCGGCGTAACTCAGTCTACAAAATAGGAGAATCTCGCAGTTACAGGGCTTTACTTTCTTTCTGCGATCGGTCCAGATCACGGTATATATGGATTGCCAAAAGTTGCTTCAATTTCCTGTCTGTGAATCGATCATGAAAAGTCTGTATGATACACAAAATGCCTTCTCCCTAGTCACCGGTGGTACTCCTGAACAAATCTCGATGGCTGCCAAAACCATCCTCTTTTCACCGTTCGATGATGCTTCGGCCTCCATCCGCAGTGACCCTCTGGCGAATCCGAATGCGAATATGGCCAGTGCCGAGTTGAACAACTTGGTGCTGCTCGGCATCAAACTGGTCATCATCAAGCGAGGCATCTGAGCTTGGGGTCGAGGCAGTCGAGGAATCTCCATCTTGGTCCACTTCTACCTTTTTCGCGGTGTCTAGAAAAGCACTGGCACAGAAAAGCAGTGCCTCACCGGTCCCCAGGCGCACAATTCTGTTGAAGAGAGCGGACGCGGCGGCTGTCTTCGAGCCCGAAGCGTCAATAGTGGCACCCGCGATGCGTGCTTCAAGGGCCTTGAACCAGGCGGGCGACGTGAAGCGATGAATGACGGTCACATTGCATAGATCAAGCAAACTCGGGGACACAGTCGGCTCCTGGGTGGCGATGACCACACGAGTACCCAAGTGACGCTGCTGCCGCACAACAGAGAGCAAAGTCTCCGTCAGGTCCACGGCCTCGGGAGTGGTCGAAGTGAGGAACTGGTTGACCAACGTTTTAGTAAAATCCAAAGGGTATTATTTCAAGGCGTCGACGTGCTGAAACAAAGTGCACATACCCCGTGGGCCTCGTCAAGAGCAAGAATGCGGCCCGCCTGCTCACGTCCCTTCAAGAACAGCGAAATGCAGATGTTAAACAGTGCGCAAGCATCGTCGGGGCCAACAAATGGGCAACTCAAGTCGATGATAGTCAGAGTCCCCTTTCCAAACTCCCAGCCATTTTGTACATGCTTCGTCTTCTTGGGTGTCGATCCGGGCACGGTTCCAGGCTCGAAAAAGGACTCCAAGACCTCGAGGCGCATTCTAAGTGGAGCCTCCTGACCCCTCACAAAGGTTTCATCCAACAATCGACGTTTGAATGCGGCATAGTTGAACTTGTTCTGGCCCTGGTTGGCGATGGCCATTTCCCGGAGGATTTTCATGACGACCTAGATCAAACTGTCAGCGCAATCATATCGCAGCGAGCTTGCCATCCTATTGAACATACCTCGACGTACAACGGTTGCTCCCTTTTGTTGTTGATCCCCATCAAAGTCTTCATCATGCTGATGTTGAGATCCCTCTGTGGAAGGTACAGGGGCTCCACCTTAAGCAGATGCGAAGTGCCGCGCAGGGCTGGGAGATGGGTGTACGCATTCTCCATTGCACGGTAATTGGTGGGAGAAACCAGGATGCGAACTGGAATCTTCGAGGAACATAGATATGCTGCCTCGCACAGCTGAGTGCTCGAGAACGCAGTAAACTTGTCATAGTGAAGCACAAGGCCCGCAAGAGGCGAGGTCAGCTGGTTTGCGGGAGAGGAAGAAATCAGCGAGTTTTCCAGGAGACAAGAAAGCGTGTGGCTTTTTCCACTGCCCTGGCTGCCACAGATGAAGGCAGACCATGGGGCCGAGACGTTGGAATAGATGAGGTGATCTTGACTGGAGGTCATGGGAGGGTCTTGAAGACGTAGCCCAAGCAGCCCATACTGCGGATAGACTTGTTCTTCCTCATCACTGTCGCCGTCCTTGCTGCACTGGCGATTCAAAACAACACAGGTGAGCAAGGAGAAAAGAGGAGCAGACGATAGCTCTTCATCCAGATGAGTCTTCGAAGCCTTGGAAGCTCTGCCCTTATTGGCCTTGACAAGTCTCAAGTGATTTGCCGCCTCCTTGGTCCCAAAATCCAGACCAGAGGCCATTTTGGTGGCGATAAGAGAGAGGAGGGGGAGAGTGGAAGGTTGTTGTGGAGGATTGCGAGGTTGAAGTTTTGAATGTGAGAAAGTAGATCGGTCTTGAAGGACTGAACAGGCGTCACTTTTTGGAGACTGTTTTAGCCTCATCTAGCCATGCCAGATCTTAGGATTTATTTCTCATTTACTCATCAATCCTTCCTGGAGATCATTATATGGACTCGACTGAGACATAAAAGCCTATTCAGGAAAAATAGGGAATCATGTAGTAATTGCCTGTAGGTTTTTATTGTTATTCATAAATGCTGTGATACGGCACACCTTATGAATGAATATACACATATGCATGATTTCTTGATAATATTGTCTAGAAAAACTAATTTTAAACAATATAAGATGACCCTTGCTCTTGATTCCTACAATAAAGAGAAAAGAAAAAAATCGTTTCATGCTAATTTTCGCTACGACAGCAACAAGAGTATATCTGTTTTTAGGAAATTAATAAAACCTACGTCATAATCTACAATGCCAGAAGATACCCCGCATTCCACGTCCCTTGGATGGCTACCTTTTTTACATTCAAACGAAAGGCCATGAGCAGTTATATTCCAATTTGAATTATTCCTTTTGTGCCTTGTCTTGCCTGCGATTACCTCTTACCAAACCCTAGACAACCCTAATTTCACCCCTGCCAATGAAAAAGACTAGGTCGATAATGAGAGATTACGCGAAATAGCCCTAGTATAGAGCTGCGACAGCTCTTTGAAAACAGATGCTTTACGGTGCCCTATATGGCCATGAGAACCTAGGGCCAATCAAATACAGCAAATCCATAGGTTCTGGTTGTGTATTTTCGATTATAATTTTTCAGCAGCCCCTAGATATGCTATAGCTGATAGAGGATTTTAGTAACCTAATGTAGAATCTGGTTTAAGAAAAGTTGAGAAATTTCCTAGATTAATCTTAGACCATATCGGTGTTCTCCCACTTATCGTTTCAGAAAAAGAACAAAGGAAAAAGAAGGAAAGAAGACATACATTAAAAAAAGTCCTGCCAGAAATTGTCCCATTTTCAGCAAGGCCATTTAATGCATGACTGCATTTTAGAACAAACCCAGATATTTAATGATTGAGCTTAACCCGGGAATAACACCCGTGTCCCTGTCTGTAGACAGTATGACGCAGGAACAGCAAGACGATTGCAGTCGGTGTCGATCAGCCCGACTGCCGAGGGCGGTGGGAGTTACGTGAGGCGGTGGCACCCTAGCACGGCAGTACTTTCGCACTCAATCGCGGCGGCCTGCATGTTTTATCATCCTGACTGTGAGTCAAGTCAAAACACAGTCACAGTTTGATCCTGATCTGGGCTTGGGGGTTGCCTTTTTCTTATATCTAAGTAGCCTGGACTGACATTCTTCTTCCCTTCCTACTTTTTTCTTCTGGTAAGGAATGCACATCGTTACCCCGCAACGTTTCCTGGTGGACAGCCTACGACTTCACGATGGCGGATGCTAGTGACGCGTTTCTTATGGTAAGTGTCTTCTGAACAGGAAATAGAACTTGGTAACAGACGACCTGTGGCGATGGAAACTGATATTTGGATTTCGCCTTCTCAGGAGCTTGAGAGTAGCTACTGTCCTCCCATCGACTCGGCACTGTTTGCTGCGATAGTCTCCGACTATGACCTGACCGTTTCCTCTCAGGTCCAGGATCTGTGTGATACGCTTAATCTTCTCAAGGACTCTGCGCTGCAGCAGGAAAACCTTCCCTTTGACCCCTCAGGCACCGCCAATCTTTACCAGGCCGATGGTGACCCATCCTTGACCCCGCCTGAGCACACGCCCTCGCTCAATGGGCATGATACCTCCCAACTCCTGACTACTGCTACTGAAAGCAGTGACAGGACTCTCCAGAACACGAGCCATGGTACGTCTCGCACTGCATACACGGTCACGGCCGATGGCTCACTGCAGCTGTCTGGCGCCACACATGAGGACAAAGTCAATTCTCTGCGAGAGATGTTCCCAAATACCTCGCATTTTGATACAGAGCAGACACTGCAAAGGTGTGGCAATGACATCAGCAAGTCCATGGATGTCCTATTGAATCATGCATTCTTCGATGAGGCTCAGGATACCGATGGCGACAGCCAGATCTCTATTCCCAAGGGAATTGATGGCTTCCTGGCAGAGGAGGGATATGACTTTGGTGGCAAAAAGGGGCGCAAAAACAAGCGCAGTAAAAAAAAAAAGCTTCAACTTGAGGCATCTGCCAGATATGGGGATGCCCCCACTGACCAGCTCAACACATGGGAGACCGCCAAGAGGGACATCGACTTTATTTCCTCTCGAATAACTGCTCTCACGCGGGAGAAAGTGGCATCTGCCTATCACGCAAACTCAATGTCCTCGTCCGCCACCATCAGAGCACTTGCACTTGCTCATGGTCCAAAGAGCACCAAAGACATTGAGAGTGACTCGGTGATGGAAGCTCAGCTTGCCGAGCTCTCCCATGAATTCCCTGGCCTTTCCGCAACCACTGTCGTTGGGCTGCTCAAAGTAACCCAGAACATGATCTCGGCAGCGAGTGAATTGGCCACTGTTATGGTGCGTGAGCCATCCCCAACTCCGGTCTCTGACTTGATCCAATTCAAGTCAGCTCCACCCGTCCTAGAAGAAGAGGGGTCCGAGATCGTCGCATCCTCCGGTAAGCGTGGAGCGAGTTCTCGGATGGGCGGGAGCTATGAGCAGGAGCAGACGGCGGCCGGGGCTCACTTCTCAGCCGGAAATGAGGCGTACTCCCAAGCCTCCCAGGCTGCTCGGCGTGCTCGATCGAACCATCTCTACGCTGGTGCCGCGGCCTACTACCATCAAGTGAGGCGAGAGCAACAAGCATTGGGGCGGAGCCACAATGCGGCAGCCTCAGACCGACTGGTGGATGGCCAGTCCACGGACTATCAACTCGACCTCCACGGCGTGACTGTCCAGAACGCCGTTCGCATCGCCCGCGAGCGAGTCGAGGCGTGGTGGGACTCTTTGGGCGACCTCAAGCATGTGCGTGGAGGTGGCAAGAACGTGCATGGAGGGTTCAAAATCATCACCGGCCGCGGTCAGCACAGCCGAGATGGCACCTCCCGTCTTGGCCCTTCCGTCAGCAAGATGCTGGTCAGCGAGGGGTGGCGAGTGGAGGTGGAGCGAGGATTCCTTGTGGTGGTTGGGGTGGCTCGACGATGAAGGTGAAGTGAGCAGAGAGGGAATCATTCCGGCAGGTACATCATGCTCACCTGGTTTCCTTTTTTTCTTCTTTTCTTTCTATTTGCGCATGTGGATTCATTTTCAAGAATATTGTATGAGATACCCCTAGCACTGTTCGGAGTTAAGATTTATGCATTCGGGAGGAATTGTTAGATGTAATGTAGAGTGACTTGAAGCATTCGAACACACACTCTCACACCGTAGAAATCCTCTACCCCCCTGATAAATGTATTTTAAATGTATGCTCGACTGTTATCCGTTGCGTATAGAACTCCCCGCATGATGACGTAAAGGCGCTGTGAGCATCTCCCTCAATTCTCGATGCGCTTCGCTTCTCCAACTTGGCCAGCTATTGCACGTCGATTCCATGCGCTATCAAACTCTACGAAGCTTCACCTCCCTCAAACACCAACCCTTCCCTTTCAGGCACATAGCCTCATCCTACCCTGTCCGTGCCCATTCAAGTTTCACGTCTAGGACTCTTCGTTTCCCGGGTTCCAAAGCACTCCGAGCTGCTCCGACGATCCCCTTTTTGGGCGCGTTCTTTACCTCTAATAGCAAAGCCGAGGAGCCCTCTGACAGCATGTCGTACCCCGACCAGCGAAGCGATGACCAGTGGAGAGCGGTGTTAAGTCCCGGTCCGTACCCTTTGCTTTTCGCAGACCCCTACCAGGTGACCCAGGTGTTTTTATTCTGTCCAGACTACTAACCTCCATCATTGTAGATCAATTCCGCATTCTTCGCGAAAAAGGCACCGAGCGCGCCGGCACCGGCGAATACGATTCTCACTATCCGTCCGAGGGGGTGTACAACTGCGCCGGATGTGACACTCCGCTCTACAAGGCGAGCCACAAGTTTAAATCGGGCTGCGGCTGGCCCGCCTACTTTGACTCCATTCCCGGCGCAGTCACCCGCCATGTCGACAACACGTTTGGGATGAAGCGCACGGAGATCGTGTGCAGTAACTGTGGAGGCCATCTCGGTCATGTCTTTGAGGGTGAGGGGTATCCGACCCCGACCGATGAACGGCATTGTGTCAACAGTATCAGTTTGCGGTTTACCGAAGACGAGGGCAAGACGGGCGAGGGACAGAATGCCAAAGCCAAGGCTTAAAAGGCCCGTAGACCATTAGACGATGTTTGGGTGTTTTGGGAGCCACACTGTGTGGGTTTTGGTGATGCATTGGCCGAGGAGTAGAATGGTGGTTGTGGATAGAGCACATTGTATTTCAAGATTGACAACAGCAGCAAGTTGAGCAGAAAATTCCAGGAGCGCAACCGTAGACCGCGTATCAAACGGCGCAGCTGGCGCTCCTCCCCGCCCGTATGCCATGTTGTCGCCTTAGGCCACAATACCGACCGCCACCCAAGATTAAATTCCAGGCCCTCATTGTTTCCCTCCCACTACCTTCGGACACCAATTTTCGAGTCGCCTGCTACAGATTATGTCTCGACGTGCCACTCCGGGCCAAGCAGCCCAGAACCAGCAGACCATAAAAAGTCTTCTGAAACTCGAGCCTAACAAGATATGTGCCGACTGCAAGCGCAACAAGCGTCCGTGTTCCCTCTCCGAGATTCTACAACAAATTTCCGCGCGCTTTGGCTAGGGCTTAGATGAGGTGGCTAACTGTGTCTTGTCGTCAATTCAGATCCGCGATGGGCTTCCTGGAATCTGGGTATATTCATCTGCATTCGCTGTTCGGGCATCCATAGGGGGATGGGCACCCACATCAGTCGGGTTAAGTCCGTGGATCTCGACGCCTGGACCGACGAACAACTTCAGAGTGTGTTGAAATGGGGCAATGCAAGAGCCAATAAGTTCGTCGCGAGCCATTGACGATCTGTGTCGCCCACGCGCTTACGCATCACAGGTACTGGGAAGCCAAGTTGGCCGCGGGCCATATTCCGTCGGAAGCGTGAGTGGAATAATTTGGCAGTTATTGCGATTGCAGGATTCTAATGCCGCTGTCGACAGCAAAATTGAGAACTTTATTCGGACCAAGTACGATACCAAGCGATGGGTCATGGATGGCGGAATGCCCGACCCCTCCACTTTGGATGACGGCGACGACGATGTGGTGAGTGCTTAATCAAGGCGCGCCATTTCTCCTGATCAATAACCACTGACCTACCAGCCTCTTGCGGTTGTACAGGAAAAGGCAAAGATTGAACGCTCTGCTTCGCAAAGAGTTGCCCCCAGCCAGCCGCCGCCCCGCCAACAGCAGCCCTCGATTGATTTGTTTGGTGACGATATCATCTCTCCCCCATCGCGTCCTAGCACGACCGACCTGGCCCCTCACCCGCCACCGAAACAGGCACAGCCCGCGCAACCTGCGCAGCCGAAACCCCAGAAGCCGGGCGACTCATTGTTGGGACTTGACTTCTTCGGCAGTACCCAAACATCCACTGGTAGTCGCCCAAGCAGCACGGTCTCCACGCCCGCTGCGCCTACGGGCATATCTCGGCCGGATCTCAAGCAGTCGATTCTGTCTCTGTATTCCAAGCCGCAGCCCGCTCCCGCTCAGCATGAGCGCACAAGCTCATTTGGTGATATGGCTGCGCCCGCGCCCCCGTCCGCATCCTCAAACATGAGTGGTCTGACGGACGCCTTCAGTGGACTGAGTTTCCCTTCCACGGCCACCTCTCCTCCGCCCCCTAAACCAGCGGAAAAGCCATCCCCCTTTGCAAACCTTACCAGTTTCGCCACTACCAAGTCGACTCCTGCCGCCCCGAAAGTCACCTCTCCAGCTGGATCCGCCAGCGGCGCTAGCGGGGATCTTTTCGATAGTCTGACCTCCCCTACTCTGTCTGCGCCCAAGCCTCAATCTCGAACCACGTCCGTCTCATCGAATGGACAAGACTTTGGATTCGGGGGGTTCACGTCCCCGACTGCTAAACCCAACCCTCCGTCATCATCATTGTCTAACGACCTTTTCGGACTTTCTTCGCCACCTCCGGCGCAGGGTCCAGCCCCGGCTCCGCCCAAGCCTAGCGCATTTTCACCCCAGCACGAGTTGAATTCTGCCTTCAACATCTCCAGCCCTCCCCCTCAGCCTCCAGCGCCCTCCAAGCCTGCAGCCCCAGCCGCAAACGCTGCCACTGCTGGTATGCTCTCAGCCAGCCTCGACCCTTGGGGCGGCAATGCATGGAGCACCCCCGACCCAACACCAGCGCCAGCTCCGGCTGCCCCTTCGCCAGCATCGATGATGAAGGTCCCGGACACGTTAACCCCCAACGACATTGGAAGTGGCTGGGGTGCACCCAGCGCAGCTCCCAAGCCCGAGCCCACCGTTGCGGCCGACGAGGACTTCGGTGGCTGGACCAGCGCCGCTCCAGTCACTTCTACCACCACTACTACCAACTCCAAGCCGGCCGGCGGGTTTGGGGCTGACGACCTTTTCTCTAACGTCTGGGAGTAAGAAAGAGATTCTTTGTTTATTTCAAATAGATTGACGAGTTGAAACCCACATCTGCATCTGGTTTGCATGGACGGTAGCTCTCTTGCGCATTGGACATTGCACATACCGGTGTTTATGACTTTGAGACTATGCTTTGATGCTTTCCCCGTTTTTTTCTTTACTTTGTTCTAGAGGCTTTCGGTCTCGTTGAATTGCGGGCAATTGTGTAAAATGGGCGGGTCTCATTCTTTCCATATCCACTTTGGCATGTATACACCGTCACAATTCATTTTAATATCTTCGATGATCACTAGGACCTTTGGTTAAGGTGATCTACATGACGGGGAATAGGCGATCCCTGACAGCCCCATAGTAGAGAGCCCCCTCATACTGTATCCTTATATTGTAAAATGAGCACCATTGAATTTCCTTTTTGAGGTTGGTTTTGCCTTTTCCGGGTCCTCGAAAAACGTGCTGATTCACTCATAGGTCTTGCAGCCGAATTTGGATTCTGGCCTTTGGAAGCTCTATCTTCCACCACCAGCGTGTTTCATTTAGATCCAGCTACCTCAGGTTCTAATCATTCAATTGTATTCAACTTTCCAAAAAAAAAAGAAAAGAAAAGAAAAGAGAACTCAGATAAAAGCTTCGCGATACAACACTGCCCTCTCGCCTTCCTCTCGCCTTCTTTCACCGTTTTTTAGTCCTCACAATCGTAATCCGGCGGAGCCCCAACGGTACCAAGGGGACTTTTATATATGTCGTTGACCTGGTCGATATCGGCTTGATTTGGCCCGCTCTTCCAAGACGAAAACGGCACAGTGCCTCCGTCCTTCTTATTAAAGACTGTCTTTTTCTTCTTGGCATCAACGGGCCTGTTGTAAAACGTGATCGAATCCCAATTCACGATTCTCGGGAAAAAGTCTGTGAGCAGTCTCAGGGGAGCATTAAATGGGGCATATCGCTCCGGCTCCCGACTGAATTCCGTCTTAAATCCTGTACTCGTTGAGTACGACTTGGCATTCACCATGTCTTGACATGCGTCCGTGAATGCTTTCTTCTTTTTTGATGAAATACTACTAGGACAATCAGATCTATACACGGGATATAGTCAGTTCAGTCATTTCTTTGCTTATAGATGGATGGGATGTCTCACAAAGCCTCAGAATTAAGTTCCATCTGGTCCAAGGCATGCGGGCTTTGGCTTTGATGAGGTAGTGACAAGACATGTGAGATTTCATGGGCAACCACCCCAGCCCAATCGTCCAGGTCTGGGGTGTCTTTTCCAAAGTCATATTTGCCCGCCATGGTCAAATATTGGGGGGATCTCCAAAGTCATGTATCATTTGATCGCCCTTGTAGCCATTTGTGGTCATGCAAAGTTTGGCCTTCGGGTCCAATCGCACACGAAGGAAATGGGCAGATTCCTTGTTGGTTGCAGGACATGCGTCTTTCCTCTGGAATTTTACCAGAAGATCGGTATAGTCGGTCCATAGTTTCAGACCCTTCTCAAACCTCGCTTTAAATTCATCACTGACTGCATATTTGCCAGTAGATTCGAAGCACCACTTGACAATTCCGTTGGGCCAATAAGGGGACTTGCGCGATAATCGTCCGATGTTTGCTAAAGTCCCCCAAGGTGCGTAATCGGTGAGCTCACTCATATCAGGACAGGAAGAAACCAGTGTCGCCCATAGGCCTAACGTGACGATTAGAAGGCCGAAATGCATATTGCAAAATTTGGAAATGGTGAGTGATGATTGTTTAAGGCAAATGCAGGGGGGGCTTTCCTTATAAGTGCTTCAAGCCTTGACCCTGGGGCTAAAACGCTACATATTTTAGTAGGAACCCCTTTCCCTTTTTCCTTTTTTTTCGTTATATTCTCTACCCACAATAACTAATGCTAGGGTTAATACGCATTAATGCTCAAGATCTACACGGGCACACGGCTAAAGGCACACGACTAATAATAGGGGGCCAAAATTTGACCCGCTCTTTGGGCCCCCATCGACTCGCTTAGTCGACCGGGGCTCTGTAGTGATTCAGGACACCCAATCCAAAAAATGCATACACCCTCAGGAATATGCACACACAAGGACTTTAGTATTGAACAAGGCAATTGTGCGGTTGCATGACTTACAGCGAGATTGTACAATATATCCTTCACAGCTGGAGTCTTTTGAAGAACATGAGACGGGTCTCACGTGACGTGGTTAGAATGACCTCCCCATAGTGGTTGCTAAGAATCTTTGATCTGGATTTATCCTTTCACTGGCGACGCAGCTGGTTTAGTTAATCCGAAATCTATTGGATCGACGAATATTCCGGAGAACAAAGACTCCAAACGTACATCAGTCGAGGGGGTGGTCACATGATGTTTATGTAACCCAGACCCACCTCTCAGCTGAGATCCATACTGAGTCCCTACTTTATAGAGTGATTATAGGTCAGGGGGACCCCCTTGACTCAGTAGTATGTTTTGAAGAGTCATGTGTTTTTATTATAAGTATCATTCGGATTATTTGCTATTGGCTACGACGAAAGTCCACTCTCCATGAAACCCAAAAAAAAAAACAAGATTCTAGATGATGTATCATCCAACTATCAATTACAATGGATGATATTACGAGCTGGGTGTATTTCAGTCTTTAACGTCATACTGACATAATGACATCCACACTATATCAGTTCTTTGTTGGTGAGATAAATAATGGACCACATCAAACCACAGTCTTCAACAGTTCATTTCTCGAATTATACACTCCGGATATGGGATTGCACAAAGAAACAATAAGGGCTGCTCAAGGCCCCCAGGCTCAGTTCCAACAGGGTGAGAATCCTTTGGCTTACTTACAACTGAAATTCAAAGCTCATCTGATTCGTTCATCAGGACATCAGATTCCAATCCAACATCAGGAGCAGCCTGGTCTTCAGCATGAAATGGAAGACCCAAAGCCCACATCAACACAGTTCCCGACTGAAGACAATAGCTATCAGACATACAAGCCCGCAGGAAAGTTGGTCGGCAAGAAGGCTTTAATAACCGGAGGAGACTCGGGAATAGGTCGAGCTACCGCTATCCTCTTCGCAATGGAGGGTGCATCCATTCTGATCACATGTTTGCCTGAAGAGATAACAGATGCCCAAGAAACGGTTCGTTGGGTTGAGGAGAAAGGAGGGAAGTGCCATATTTTCAAATCGGACTTGCGAGGCGCAGGAAATTGCAAGAAGGCTGTCGAGCAGGCGCTAGAGAAGTTGGGCGCTATCGACATATTGGTCAATAACGCTGGCACACAGACTATGATCAAAGATATAAAGGATTTAGATGAGTATGTCTGCTCGCTAAGTATATTTCAAAAGTTGTTAATCATCACTGCAGGGAACAGTGGGAAGCCACATTCGACACGAACATCCACTCCGTCTTTTACCTCTCCAAGTACACACTTCCCCATCTTAAGAGCGGGTCGAGTATCATCAATTGCGCCTCTATCAACGCCTACATCGGCCGGCCAGACCTACTAGACTATACGTCTAGTAAAGGCGCGCTTATCGCCTTCACTCGAGGGTTATCCAATCAACAAGTGAAAAACGGCATTCGCGTAAATGCCATATGTCCCGGACCAGGTAAATTACAAGCTCATTTATTCAATTTTAAATTTTGCTCATTCTTTTCTAGTCTGGACCCCACTCATTTCTGCGACTATGACCACTTCGGCCATGGAGCAATTCCATGAGACCCCTATGGGTCGACCGGGTCAGCCTAGTGAGGTTGCTTCATGTTTTGTCTTCCTCGCGAGCCAAGACAGCAGCTTTATTTCCGGACAATGCCTGCATCCTAATGGGGGCGTTGTAGTTAATGGCTGAGAAAATCGGTGATGACAAACATGGAAATTGAATTTTCTATCCTAGTCTCTTGTTTTGATACGGGCATCGCCGCTCTCGTAGAATCAAATGGACCATGTGCTGTTTGTCTCTTAATTGTGGGCTTCGAGACTTTGATATCAATCATGACTTGGAAAATGATCATCCTTAACATCACCAAAGCCCCTGGGGAAACGAAAGTGGGGAGAAAAACGTTGAAGAGTGTAAACGAACTGGTAGGTAGGAACCAAGGTTCGGTACGCCATGTGCCAAGCTTAGTGAGCTAACCAGTGGACTATAGCCACCCAGGGCTGTCCCTACCTGATTTTGCAAGGTTCAATTCTTGATATAATAGGGCCGTCCGTGTAGTACCATGTCTATTCAAAGGCATATGGTGTCATACTTGCGTAACAACTCACATATAAACGCCCCAAACAACGCTCAGCATTTTTCCTATATCCTCTTTATTTCCAATATCATAATAATATGTCATAATAAAAGACTTTAGATATATAAAAAGAATCTCTAAAATAAATAATTATAAACTTAGGAAAATTATACTAAAATACGTTCAAGTAGATTAACCCATAGGTTAATGGGTTAATCTATAGACAAATCTGGATTTTGTTAACCCAACCTATAGGTCATAGGTTTAGGTTATAGGTCAAGACCTTTAACCCATAGGATGGGTCTGTCTATATCTTGATAGTATTTTATATAGCTTAACTAGACTAGATAGAGAGAGAAAGAAAAGAAACTACTTCTAGCATTATTTTAGTTACAAGTAGAAATAAAAAGAATAAAAGCTAAAGGTAAGAGTTAATATTAGGACTGAAAAAAAAAAAAAAAAAAAAAAAAAAAAAACTAATAGTACTGAACCTGAACAGGAATAGAATAGTAGTAGTCTAGGGAATAGGCAGTCAAGCAGTGAGCCGCTGTTCAAAGTTATAGGTAGAGGTAGAAAGATCACTGTTTCTAGCGTCAGAAAGAGCCATTTTCGGCGTCAATTCATGGGTCCCCATATTCTATGTGTAAATACTAAACGCGCAACGAAGCCTTGCGAGCCTCACTTGCTGGACGTTGTACCCCCGCGATGGTCCAATAACGTTACCGCTGGCGGTGGGTCAGAAAGGCAAGCTCGTGGGGGCCATCGCCCGGCACATCCCACCATTTCAGAACATCTCGAACTATGGCAGACTTGAAAGAAGCTCTGTGCTTCAAGTGACACTCTCATCTATCAGTGCCTCTGCTGCCTCTCTCTCTGTCCAGTCCCTTAGTTCTGCGTCCACCCTGCGCGGCATGAACTCCCATGTGGAACCTCGGGGTCCAACCGAACGAGCCCCCGTCCCACACCGATCCTCGGCGCCACGGGTGCGGCTCAGCTGCGAGGCCTGTCGCCAGCGCAAAGTGAAATGTGACAAATTGAGCCCGTGTACCAGCTGTCAGCGGCTGGGGTTTGTCTGCGTGCCGGTCGAGCGGGCGCGACTCCCCCGCGGCCGGGCGAGAAGGAGTGCGGAGAAGGCATTCGGGTCGGACAAGGAGCTTGCAGACCGTGTCGCAAAACTCGAGAAGCTGCTCAAGACGGTCGCCAATGAGCGCGACAGTGACTCTGGCCATGGAGTGCCCCCGTCGGTTGCTCCGTCCGATTCCATTCCAGAACACCCTCCTGCACCGGAGATTCAGACCCAAACGGCCTATGTCGAGTCCCGGAAGGATCAGACTGCCATGTATAGTGTCAGTCTACCGTATCGCCCTCGTCCCCGTCCGCCTACAGCATATATGGGCAGCTCTTTTTGGGAGGATATTATGCAGCAGGTACGTACTTTGGTCTTAATCTCCTCCCGCCAGGCAATATTCACCGGGATCGATTTTGACATATTGATGGATAGACCCAAGAGCTTCGCACCGTGCTAGATGACCGTCTCGAGAACGCACAGCCTGATTTCAGTGACCCTTCTGGCTTTGGTCATTCCTTGGTTAGCTCAGAAAGCCCAGAAAGCACAACTAACTCGCCCCAATCCAATCGAGGAATTACTTTATTGCCATCAATGCGCTCGAAGTTGTGCGATATCTACTTGCATAATGTTGATCCTCTGTTCAAGATTCTGCATGGGCCGTCACTAAGTGCATTTTTGCGAGATGGCAGGCCCTATCTTGACTATGAACCTGAACACCAGGCCCCTGCCACCCTCGCTTCCGCCGTTTATTGTGCTGCAGTGTGTACCCTCAGTGAGGAAGAGTGCTTGTCTCTCTTTGCTATGGAGAAGAGGACGGTCGTTGCGGATTTCCAACGAGAAACGGAGGCTGCGCTGGCGAGGGCGGATTTCGTGACCACCAACGACGTGACCGTTCTGCAGGCGTATGTACTCTCATTGGTAAGTTTTATTCTGAAAATGTGAAGGATTATATCATTTCGCATGGTTGTATACTGTGGAAATAGATACTAACCGTCTCCAGCTCGCTGCCCGTTCGCAAGATCAAAGCCGACGAGTATGGACCATGCTGAGCATGGCGCTCCGAGTCGGACAGGCTTTATCGCTTCACATACCCGATCCACCATTTTTCGTCCCGCCGTTTGACCTGGAGATACGCAAGCGCGTCTGGCTCGGCATTGGCATGTTGGACGTGGCGGCCTCGCTCGACAGGGCCTCCGAGCCGATGATGCAATCGGCGTGGCTGGAATCACATTCCCCAGCCAATATCAACGACGAGGACATCTGGTTTGGGATGGATGGTCCGATCCCAGAACACAAGGAAGGCACATTCACAGATATGTCACATACGCTGGTGATTGCCGCGTCGCAATCGGTTACCCGATCCATCGCCTTTGCAGATTTTATCGAGCCCTCGGTCGGGGGAATGGGCTTGCGGCAGCAGCTGGTGCAAGACTTCCAGCAAACAGCGCTGAGCCTTCTCAGTGGCTGCGAGCCAGAAGTTTCGGCCTTCCAATGGTTCGCGAAAAAGTCCGCTGGCATCATGAGCAGCTGGCTGCAGCTGGTCTGTCTGCGGCCTCTGCAACGAAGCAAAAGCTTCACTCCGCCGGCCATCCAGGGCGATGCGCTCCTCCGCCTGGCAGCTGATAACCTGCAGTGGTCGCAGGAAGTCTACACGCATCCGGCCACGACTCCCTGGCAGTGGTTCGGCTGCATGTGGGTTCCGTGGCACGGGCTGGCCGTCGCCATCGCTGAGCTGTGTGTCTGCAAGGACCCGCTGATCATGTCCAAGTACTGGGCCCTGATCGAGTCGGTGTATCAGCGCTCCCGGTTCCTGATAGCAGACTCGCAGCACGGAATGTTGTGGAAGCCCATGGAGAAACTAATGACCCAAGCTCGTACTCGCAAGAGAGAGTTACTAGGCCCGGACCCGGACCCACTAGTCCCCAAGCCGACCTTCCCCCAGTTCCCCTACAGCGTAGCCACTGAATCTACTCCTGGCGTGCCTCAAGTCCAGTCGACCCCGGCAGAATTCTCCTCATTGGGTTTGGAAACGACTGCCGCTCCGCCTCTCGACCCTGCTACCACCATGCCTCCATTGCCGCCTTTCTCTGTGCCGGATTCCTGGCCGAATGTGTGGGATGCCATGGACCTGAGCACGTCGGGACTCCAGCCGTCTGGCGATACTGCATGGCTGAACTATGAGAACTTCATTGGAGATGTATATAACAGCGTTGATTCTATGTTTTTGCCGCGTTGATAGGCCGGCACTTGATGATACTTTTTGCGAGGCGCAAAGGGGGCCGGGTGTGAGTTGTATATATTGGGAGATATCGGAACACGGAGTAAGGCATCATCAACAACGCCACTTTTTTCTTGAAGAACTGCAAAAGTCAAGAGTTGTCTATTGTTTGATAACACTATCCCACTGTTCTAGCGGGCCTATCTTGTAGTTTTATTTACATCCACAATCCAACCATCCAAGCAGAGTCTCATTGATATCCCCGCCCCGTCAAGGCAACCCCATCAGTAAAATGCTTCAAAAATCTTCCAGTAACAACCTGCCCCTGCCCCCCAGTCCCAGTCTCAGACACAGCAACAGGCCACAAAACACGCGCAGCCCCATCGTCAAATCCAATCGGACACCCCTCATCCCGCTGGCACTCGGGTGCCGCACTCATATACCCCGGATCAACGGAGTTAATCGTGACACGACGCCGCTTCCACGCAGAATGGGCCTCCGTCTCGGTGATCATATTGATAGCAGCCTTGGACATATTGGTGTGGACGTGGTGGCCGGCCTTGCTGCGTGAGCGGGGGACATCCTCGAAGATGCCTTCGCGCGACGAGACGTTGACGATGAAGCCCTGGGGATTTATAGTTGAGGCTGGGTCATCGGTGCCCATGCAGGCGAGCAACTCGCGGCACAGGATTAGTGGGACGAAGGCGTTGACGGAGTGCGCGCTGATCAGGTCTTCGTAGGGAATTTCGTGCAGGGACTGGACCCAGGAGGATTTGTCGGGGTCTGTTTCGTTTGTGCTGCGGAGGCTCTTGTGTGTGATCTCCTTCGCGGATTCATTTTCTGGAGCCGAGGGCTTGTTGTCGATCTGGAGGGGTGTTTGCTCGTTTTCGATGCTTGGGATCCACGATGCTTGGAGGCCTCCTCGCACTCGCGGTAAATAGCCTTGGTCTGCACCGCCGGCGAGCAGGGCCTTGGTCACGGGGAGGTGTCTTAGTTGCTCTTCTCGGGAGATAGCTCTCATCTCCGCTTTGACGGGATCTGTTAATGTCTGCGCGGCGTTGTTGATCAAGATATCGAGGGTTTGTTTCGACGCGGATTCAGAGGTTGTCGCCCAGGTAGAAAGCAGGTCTTTGACGATATAAACCAGTCGAAACGCATCTTGGGCAGTGCGGAAGTCTGCCCCGACAATCTTCAACCGCGACGCCCACTCTCCAAAGTCGGTCTCTTTTGCATATCGCGCTGCTGCATCTGCGGGATACCGAGATGAGACGATGACCCGGGCACCGCACCGGAGCAACCGTAGAGCAGTGTGGTAGCCAAGATTAATCCTGCCTCCGGTCACCAGGGCTGTCTTGTTGGCCAGATCAAGCTTCTCGGGCAGCGAGCGCTCCGAGCATCTGAGGTTGAATAGACCGCAGGGTCGGCACAGCGCCGGATAGAACTCGTGTGCTTCGGATGCCGAGAAACAGTAGCGACAGATATAACACCGAAGTTGCCTGGGGTTTGGTTTCCCGTCGTCCCCGAATCTGCGGGACATGTTGTAAATCTTAGATCGCTCAGTGCTGTCCAGAGAGAGCTGGTTTTGCACGGCAACAATCACGTCCGATAATGGACTGGACGACGATATCTCAGATATCGACCCATGTCTCTGGAGATCCCCCAGCACTTTCAGGGTGGTCTCGAGCTCCTCGTTCGTTGGGGCCACGTCTCTTTGCGCCCATGGCTCATTGCCGCGGTCAGAGTTTAGTATGGTCTGTTGTCCGTACGCCCTGATTCCCTTGATGATGCTCTCGCATCGCATCGAGCGCAGGGATTTGGGAATCTCACTATGAGGCGTGAGATGCCATGCGACTTTATCCAGGAAGGAACTTGGAGCAGAGGGCAGGCGAAAAGCGACATTGCTGGGCCGTCTGTTCTCCCAGCATAGTTGCTGGTCACGCCTCAAGCACTGGGCAACTTCTTCGGGGTTGTCCAAGTCGACAGACTGCAGAGATTGATTTTTGCTAACCATGGTCTTTTTCTTCTGCCCGCAATCACTGTCAATTGAGCACTGGCTTCATATATCACTTGGAGGACTTGAGACTGAGAACCCCACTGCCTGATTTTACAAATAGAATACGAGGACCTGTGAAATTAACGCCGAAAATGACCGCTTTGGGGGCCAGAAATGGCGGGGTTTCCGCCCGTAACTTCCAGGAGCGTCGCAGAATCCAGATCACCTGAGCTTTTGGTTTGATGTAGAGTCTACATCTGGGATGTGGAATTTGATTATATATGCACATTCTAATTAGGGGGTATTGATAGGAACACTACATGTTTTTCGCTATTGGCACTCCAAATCTGACATAATCACCTAGCTTATATAATCTGGTTTTTTATCTACACTTGTATATTAAGAAGATTGATTATTATAAAAATTATAGAGTCAGAATTATTAAGATAATTTATACTTTACTTTCTAATAAGATATAAGACAATTAGAGATAAGGGCTGTAAAATATTGAATTAAGGTATATGATACATGCTGGATTCAGGGGTCGAGATAGACTATAAACGCACTTCCTTAGTCACATAACTATTTTCGCATTCAATTCTTTTTTATCGCTTTTGGAGCTAAAAATAGAGATTATTATAGTTTAAGAATATTAAATATATATACTATTAATCTACTAAATCAAGGCTTTAATTGCTTGAAATAGTTATTACATAAGAAAATATAGTGCCAACAGCGGACATCCTGTAGTGCCCCTATCAATACCCGCGAGCCGTTACGGTACGTACCCCAAAACACATAATTCGTAAATCCGATAAATTACTCACCACCTCTATTTATATCTGTAAGGGATACCTAAAGTATTCCTCCGTCGGTTTACAAGAGGTTATACATACTTAAGGATGCCTAGCAAGGAGCTTTGCGCCAAGAATTCTAATTACAACATAACTGCTTCTCATCTCATACCAAGGGGAAGTGGTAAAAGCAACGGGAGAATACTTGAAGAAACCAAGGGATGTTTCTGGGTCCAAAGGAAACTAAATTGAATGTCTAACACTAAAAAGGGAAGTTTCTCAATGTTTAGACATACTGACCAACGACCCCCTGGAAATAAAAATGATATAAATCAAGCGCAGGCTGTTTATTCGCCTATTTGGTAACTTGCTTCACGTACGCAAGAATATCTCTTATGATGGCGATGTCTTCGTTTTTCGGCAAACCTTCGGCTCTCAAATCCATGTTTGCTTGGTCGCACTGGAAGAAGCATTGTAATTCCTCAAAGGCAAGTATCTATTTTATAAACCCCCCAGAAGGCGGCTTGCTAATAACGGGTTTACTTTCATAGTCCACCAAAAGAAGGATTCAACGGCTTCCTCGGGCCCAAAGTTATTCTTCGACCTCGATTGACACATTCACCTTAGAAGTGATGGACACGGACCTCAATGCAGACGAAGGATTGACGCTATCAAACCCTATCCCAAGTCCTCCTGATTTCGGCGACAGCGATTGGTCGACAATGTCGAGCTCAAGAAAAGAAGTCCATGGTTCAGTGGTATCTGGTACTTCGAGACAAGATTCCTTCTCTCAATTACAAAGCCCGACTCTTCAAAACTTGCCCTCCGTCCTCAATGGGCCTACGGATTTTGATTATTTAACCAAGTATCAACACGTCGAAGATCGAGGAGCCAATGGGTTGCTTCAATGGTGCAAGAAGTTACGCTGCAACTTTTTCAAAAGACAACCAAAATGATGCTTAGCAAGAATAATACGTTTCTAAGGAGATTAAGCTTAAAGTATTTTCCATTGTGAAAGATCTTCGTGCTTCCTGTACTGCAATATTGAGTAATAAACTGTCCAACCCCCAGTTTCATATCTGGCATGACTAGTGAAGCAATGTTCGGTCAATTCGTATTCAAATCTAGTTTTTTCTGAATCCATAGACAAGGTCTATCTAGTTTGAGCCATTCAATCCAATCATGGGCCATCAATATGCTTTAAAAAGCTAATGCTTGCGCTCTTGTAGAAGCTGACTTCTTAGTAGGGGGCATAGACCATATCACCCTAATATAATAGAACAATCATGCTACTCAACCTGTATATAGTTAAAAGCCCAATATACACTTACAAACGAGCCCATATACTGATTTTTTATGATTGATTATACCTTTGTGCGTTACATGAGCCTCTGTTTTTTGGTCTACAAGCTAGCCACCGGAACATGACTCAAATATATTTATCAGAACAAAATCGCACCAGGTAGTATGGATTATATGAATTTAAATCGGATTTTCTAGTGATATCTAAAGAATTATCGAAAACTTAACTTTTTAAAAATGCATTAATTACGAATCTTATGGCTACTATATATCCCGCTTTATATTCAATTATTTTGGTTGTAAACCAAGATTCTCCTAATATCTGACTAGCTTTCTTTTTTCTTTTCAGAAAAATATTCTTTTTTGTTATATTAGTTCTTTATTTTAATATAAAAAATAATCTATATATATAGCTATTACTTAGTATACTAGCCTTCTATCTCGTTTACTGCCCTTACATAGTTTAGTGTCGAATTCGATATATTTCGCAAAGCCGTCTATCTAATAAGGTTCCATTTTTCTAGGAGGCTTATACAGGAAACTTGGGCATAGCCTTATTATTAAGTGTGTTTATCTAATAGCTTTGGTAAATATCATAGATTTTTATGTTTAATAAAGCCTAGACGTTCTTAGTTGAATTAACAAATAGAGACTGAGGTATTCTGAACTATGGCGTATTTCTACTACTATTTTCAAAGGCCTATCTTAGTTGAAAAAATTTCGAATTAAGATCATTTCAACTTTATAATCGATATCGGCAAGTAGATCTTCATAGCGCATACAAGTGGCGGAAGTAGCTTTCTTGTAATTTGATCACCGTGATTTTTGGTAAACTCACGTGGTTAGCCGGGGCGATATTTGAGAAATTATTAAATCTCTCGTTTTCTTTGATCATAGTATATCGAATAATCAATAGAGGAATCGAAAGGCATATTTTTTTTTGAATATACTTATAGTAGTTAAATTGAACTCGTATATTAGAGTATGAGCATATAAGTTAAGTTCCTTACCGCGAGGTATCAAAAACAAGTATATACTAGTAGAGAAAGTAAGAATTCAGGGGTAAATATAGATAGTAAACGCGTCTACTCGTAGATATCGCGCGAGATGGTTAGCTATATTATTAGATAAGTGATAGACAAGTAGCGTTTAGAAAATATAGTAGGCCTAGGGGAGGGGAGCAAACAAAAAATAATCACCCACTATCTAAAGGTGCAAAAAGCTGATTCTATTCGCTGTTACATTACTATACAATTGTTATGTAGGGGTTGTATTATCCTGGCTTTTCATGCTTTATGATTGGTCGGACTCAAAAGCCGGAGCTGGCAGAACCCCATTATCAGCAATCCTGAAGAGGCCCAGACTCACTAGCTTCAAGCCACTTTCCTGGCAAAAATTTATGGCGGAATGTAAAAGATAACAGAGGATATGCATTGTAGGCTCTTCTGGCTTACGAGAAGCGTTAATAATTTGTGGTTTAGTCGTCGAACTGCAAGGGACGGACACCACTTGCGTAAATAGGGGGGTATATGATATACTTTTTTGGGGTGATATACATACTTCAATTTCTTTAACACAGTAACCATGATAGTGTGTAGGAAGAGGTTTTCGGCGAGCTCTGCTGATCCTTGAGGCCTAACATTATAAATATCGAGGGCCATATTAAGATCCGCCAAAGCACTGAATGATCACAACAATCTGGTACCAAAATTGAACTTCAAAATGGACGAGACACCAGATCAATATGATGCTTCGTTCCTTGAGAGCTTGTCAGATCCTGATAGTTTCCGTGTTCTGGACTCCGAATTGGACGAGTCTTCTCAGCCTGTTGACCTCCCCGAAGATTGTCTTTTCAATGGACCTGCCAGAAATCATGTGGATCGATCAATAGAAATCCCTTTCAGACGACTTCAGCCCGAGCCAAATCATAAAGTTGCAATACCTCGCGCAAGCACAACGAGAAGTCGGAGCAACCGAGCACGGGTTTTACAAGCATGCAAATCCTGCCAGGAGCTCAAGACTAAATGTAGCGGCCACCGACCTATCTGCCATCGGTGCGAAGAGCTCGGACTGGATTGCAATTATGGCGAGCGAAAACGGGAAATCACTGCAAAGTATGTTCACTACTAAAAGGACCACTTAAATTCAATGTTAACCCAAGATCGCCGATTATCAGGAAAATTGAAGACCTAAGCTCACAGGTCCATATTTTGGGAAGTCTACTATGTGAAATTTACCCCAGGCTTGACACTGAGTCTGCTAAGCGCGTTAGTCAATCACTGAACAAGGTCGGAATTGTCTCCTGTCTGATATCAACCCTCCCGGAAACATGTATATGAAAGCATTTCTTCTTAAGCTAATCTGTCCTATTATTATATGCCCGATCAGCCCCCGCTAGCCCGTTCAACTATTACCGACCTCTTCAACGCGCCGAATAGTCCTTTTTCTGTGCCTGACTCGACGCAAGAAGACTTCAATCGCGAACCAGGAATTCAGGCGATCGGTTTCATCGGAGAGCATTCAGCAATGGCATGGCTACATCGACTCAAGTCCATACTCGAACAAGACCCTATCACGTCATCTAGCCCTCTGGGGCACTTCAATGCCCCATCCTTTTCTTCAGTTGATTATTACGAGAATGGATATGAGATAGATGTTCGAGAGGATTTAGATGTCTTTGAGCGACCGAAACAGGCCGAGGTTGACGAGCTCATCGACATATATTTCCAAGTTATTCACCCTTCATTTCCAATCATTGGAAAAGCAACCTTCCTCGCGCAATACCGATCGCTTTATTCAAACCCAACTGCAAGGCCTGGAAGACAATGGCTTGCGGTGCTCAATTTCATTTTTGCTATTGCGACAACACACTTCTCGCCGAAACGAGAGACGACTGTATGTGACAGGCAAATCCGCCGAGCTTACTTTTCACGGGGATGGATTCTTTCTATTGACAAGACATCCCTACGGGAACATGCAAACTTGCAACAAGTGCAGGCCGAAGGATTAGCATCGTTCTACCTACTATCAGTTGGCCAGGTCAACAGGTGCTTAGACCCCCGAAACTAAAAACTCTGGCCACCTTTCTTTGCTAAATAAGTTAGCATCTAGATCCTGGAAATCCTGTGGTACTGCAATTCGCTCCGCTTTAGCCATGGGGCTCCATTTGCGCAACGAAAGTCAGATTCCTCTGGCTTCGAAAGAGATCCGATATCGGGTATGGTGGGCTTTGTACATGCTGGATACTTCTCTTTCTGAGCTCACAGGCCGACCACCAAGTGTTGAAAGGGGCTTCTGCACAACACCGCTTCCCATACCCTTTGAAGAGGAGAGTCTATACACTGGGCCCTTTCGAAAATATGTTCAAGACGTGGCGAGTGAATTCACCGAAGACGAATCATCATATCGTCAAAGCTCGAGAAAGAGAGCGTTAGACGAAGGTGAAAAAAACGCTATTTTGATCCCAGAATACCCTCCACCGAGCAACTCGTTATGTTTCTGGTTCGCGATGAGTCTCTCGATGATTAAGCGTGAGGTGATAGAAAGCCTTTATGCGCCTAGTGCACCGCAAAAGCAGTGGGGCATACTCGAACTCGCGATATCTTCCCTGAACACCAAAGTCGATACTTGGATAGCATCACTCCCTGCGTCCTACAATTTCCAGACTGCGGGCAAACCGATATCTTCCAATCGCCATTCAGCCAACCTTGCGTTTCAATACTATTGCACCAAGATCTTGATCACGCAGCCATGCCTTCGTCAACTTATGCATTCCTCAGAAGCTCCGAAGAGTCCTGAGCTTTCATATGACTCAACACCAGGGATATGCATTCATGCTGCAATCCAGATGATTGAACTACTACCAAATCAACCGAACTTGACTTGGCTTTATGGTCTGTTCCCTTGGTGGAGTGCCCTTCAATATATTGTTCAGGCCATCACTATCATGTTGACTGGGTCCTTTTTGCGATCGAAATTTGGCTCGTTGTGCCACGTCGGTATCCCACAACGCGTAAGGAAAGCTCAAGAATGGCTCAAGGAGTTGTGTAAGGTTCATGTTTCTGCTCGTAAGGCCTGGTTGATGTTCTCGGATATCATCTCAAGTCACGGGGCGAGGCTTGGCTTTCCTGATTCATGACCACTGTTATATCTGACTTGACTGCTTTTTTCAAATAAGTTTTGACTTGATCTCTTTGACGAATACAATAATATCAAAGTTAATTTCGATGTCAAGGAAGGTAGCGAATACAAGTACCTAATGCTATGTAAGAGGGGACTATCTCGAGTATAGGAACAAAACATTTCTACCAGTCTGCTTTATGCAGTATGTTCTATGAATCTTATTCGCCCTGTTTTTAAAGCCTTGATAAAGACCTAAAACTGCGAGAAACAAAGAAACATGTATAAAATTGATGGGCTTTTAACCTAGACATAGGAAAAAAAGGAGCAGAAAGATCATGCATAGAAATATACCGGTATTTCCAAGGACAGGCACCAGGGCAGATTAATGATGATAGAAATCCCGTGGTAGAAAACAGAGAAGGCTAATACTGTTGAGGTTTCGACACCTTTAATTGTATTGATGTCATGTGATACCAGACAGCAGCGGAAGCGCGGGAGACCCGAGGCGCATGAGGATCGCCAGTGGTGCATATGTTTGTTTTCTGCAGATATTTGCTATGCGGATGGAGGCAATCGATGTTCTATGGGAAACTGTATATAGACTTTGATATCGAATTTTCTTGAGACAGATTCTCGAGGACATCCTACATTTCGCAATCAACCAAGTTGTGGAAACTCCTTTTTCTCATACTGTCTTTACTTCCCGCCTCAATTCAAGAAAGAGTAGAGCGGACAAATTTAATCGTCGTTCGAGATAAAAAAAAATAAGGCATATACGAGACTAGGGATTCTTATATAGCAAATGAAAACGAAAATCATCGAAAGAGATATAAAAGACCCGAGATATCTAGATACGTTAATCCGAAGCTATAGAGCTAGATAGGTATTTCTAGAAGAGAAAGATTATCTATACCGCGTTACTCAGTACTATACTCCTCGAGAAAGTTTACGGTCCACTATGTTTAAGAGCTATTCGAGTCGTAGATGAATCATAAACCAAGAGTGGAGGTAGAGACAGTAAAGGCCCAGCCGCAATTTACGACCGAAAATAAAGAGTAAATAGGGCAAAAAGGGTACCTACGACGACGTATATCTACTGGGCAAGTGTAGAATAGAGAGGATAGAGAAAGGGAGAATTAACAAGTTAGAAAGGAACAACGAGAGCGGCAGATCTTATATATAGGGGTTTAGTGGGCGATGTTACCGGACGGCGTATAAGGACGTCAAACCAGAAATAGCCAAACTAACCACAAAAGGAAATTCACAGGTCCTCGTTTTACGCCCCAAAATATTAATAGCCGCACATTGACTCACTTGACGATCGCTGTGCGGCGAAGCATGTCGAATGGGGCCTCTGGAGGGGCCGGGCCATTTTTAAGCCGCTTCTCCCCCGACCAGCAAATCCCCGGCTGAACTCACCTGGCAAAGTCGACATAACCATGAGTAACCTGCCGTTTTATTCAATCGTCAACGCCCTGGCCACCACCCCACCAGAGCTCGTCCATCAAATCATCGATGATCTGCGCGTGTGGGATGTATTGAGACTTCTCTGCCACAACAACGAGCGCGTCAATGCCAGTCTTCTATCGCACCCCTTGTGCCGGAAACTGCTGGGCCACGATGCCGAAGCACTCTCCAAAACGCGGGCAGTTGCCCAGTTCTACTGGGATTTCTTCCGTGAAATCAACGTGTGCCTAGCGAAGTCTGACTATTACTACTACTGGCGGACGGCCCCGTGGGTTCTGAACTTGAATATCCACTGCGTGGAGCCAAACGACTACAAGCATGTCTTGTGGAACATGCTCACGCGTCTCTATGAGAATATCCGGCAGCAGGGCCTCGTCGTCGACCTCAACCGGTACTTGCCTCCGGGCACGGCACCACTGCGTTCGTTCTCCTGCTTCCCAGAGGCGGGTGAGTTCCCGTCCTTTGAGGAGCTGAAGGACCACTGGCAAATCATCAAACAGGCCAAGGCCAATCTGGTCGCTCAGACCTCGTCGCAGCTGCTCTGGGCGGCCGATCTCTTGGAGGCCAATCCAGATATCTTGAAGCGCACGCTGGACCCAGAGCAAAAGCAACGGCCCAATACCGCGCACATCGTGTCGGTCATGAGAGGCAAGGCTGCGAAAATTGTGCGGACAGTCAGGCGGGCACCGGGAAAAGTGTTCACACCGTCTGAGCACTTCCGTTACCATTTCTTTCCAATCATTCCTTTTGATGCGGTATTGACGGAACTGTTACGCCTGATGCAAAAGTACGGGATCACAGCCAACAACCAGCGAGTTTCAAAAGGCGAAGAAAGCCAAAGTCATCCAGGCCCGCACTCACATCCGCCGTCAATTTGGCTGGCTGCTCATACCCTGATCAAGGGGATGCCCTATTTCTTCATCTCACTGCCTGTGGACCGCCAAAAGCTGGCGAGCGAGCGGGTTGCAAATGACGACGGCGATGTTTTCAGGACAGGCAATACGCCTTGGTCGGACAAGCCGCAACAGTATGAGTCTGTGGAGGTTGACACGCCTTATTTCACGCCACACCAAGCCGGAGTGGACGTTTGTTTCCTTCGGTGGGGCTTTGAAGGATATGAACCTCATGACAAGAGAGAGATGAACTGGCTCGAATCGTTTGTCACTATGTACCGTTATTTGAAGAGCTTGGAGGATAAGGAATCTGGTGCTAGCTGAGTATGCGATGCCTAAACGTTATGTATTCATTTGGGTCAGTGGGGGTTTGAGACATTGGACCAGGATGCGTACCAATCCAGAAAGAAATAGTCTCACATTTGGAATTATTTCACGATGTCAGGCTGATTGAAAAGATCGTATACTTCGGTATTGTCCAACCCACTGGGGGAAAAAGGTTGCACGGTTGTTTTGTTCAAGTCGCATAGTTATATCGATCCTTAATCCGCATCGATGCCTCTCGGGACGGATAAAAAGTCTGAAGCCCCAGACTCCAGGGCTGCTCACTAGCACTGGATCCAGAGACGACATCCATCTGCGAAGCTCGATCCTGGCGCTCCAAATTCGATAAGATCCGAGACCCAGAGCCCGCAGGATCGTCCTCTTCTCCAAGACGCTGGTAGGTACATCTCCGGTGACGATGGCCGCACTCCGAGCATGGCTGCTCGCCATTGCAGGCCTTGCGCAGGCCTGCACAGCTGTCACAGGCCCGTTTCTGCTTTCCGCTTCGGAAGGGCGCGGGCATTGCGTGGCCGGCTTCGACGCGGGCCTTGCATGATTTCCAGTGTCGGCGTAGCACGTCCCTGTAAGCTCCATTAGCTATTTTACTTTGTATAGGGATAGGAATGACCCCCAGAAGCATAGAAGCATAGAAATAGAAATAAGACCTACCCGCGACTAAATGAAGAGCTGCAAAAGGAACAGACGTGGTTTTTCTCGGTGTTATCTACACTTAATATTAGTTATTGTTTCCTTTTCGCAAGAATGCTACTTTCTCGTGGTAGTCGAGCACTAACGTGTCAATGTATGGCGCTTGAGATGATCCTGTCGCCGGAAGATTGATGCGCACTCGCTGCATTTCCACTGTTTTTCGGCTGTGCTGGTTTCAACTCTCGCGGGCGACGTCTCCTCCATCATGGAGGTCCTCAGCTTGATGTCTTCTCCAAAACAAACAATCTGTGTCAATATTCACGTTGAATTCTGCGGACGAAAGCAAAGTTCGTAATCGAGCTGGCGCTCTTCATGTATGTCCTTGTGGGGAATTCTTGCTAAGAACAACCCCCCGGCAATCTGGACAACTTGTTCTGAACATATGAGAAGCTCGAATTCATGTAGACTCGATCCAATCAGCCGAAGATCTCGGCATAGAGAGTGTGGGTTGATTGGTATGCCGGAGCCACTCGGTGATCGCGGGTCGTTGGGAAAGGAAAAAGAGTGTCGCAGGCCGAGGCGGGGGATCTACACTGTCCCAACGGATCTTTATCATCTTCTGCTTCCGCGATTCCATGACGCTCTCAGATATAAGTGAACATTGCAATAGCAATGTCCTTGATATACGTCCAATATTAAAGGCAAGAACTACTAATACGGTAGGCTACGAATGCACCTCAAGCCAGGGATCAGATCCATTAAGATAAATTAAGGCTATAGGTAAAAATATGTGTATGTACATTTCAGAAACATTTCAAGCCATTGCAGGATGCCGATCATAAAATAGGTCGTAAATATGGGAGGGAGCAGATCGCAATCATATTGAACCATCGTTCTTCTCCGCCTGACTCGGGTCGGTTCTCCGCTTCTTCTGTGCCCGGTAGTCATCGATGACACGGCTCTCCACCGTCTCGTCGAAGACATCGACCTGGGTAGAAGCAAACTTGCGCGCGCTGACCCCACGCTCAAAGAGCAAGTCCAGCTCGGCGAACGTGCGACCTCGAGGCTCGGGGACGCGGAAGTAGGTGTATATAATGCAGAGGAAGCAGATCCCGCCCCAGAAGAAGCCCGCGTAGTTGCCCCAATTCCAGGCGGTGGGGTTCAGCATGTACGGGGTCAGCACACCGCAGATGATGGCGACGATGTTGTAAAGGTTCCGGCCCAGCACTACGGTTTTGATCTGTAGCCGCCGCGTCGAGAGCTCGGCCACCAGCGAATAGCCGACCGTGCCGACTGTCAGCTGGTAGAATAGTGCCCAGATCAGCATCAGGGATCCAGTGGCCAGCGAGCCTTGGTCGCGGTGCTCCCTGGGAACGAGACCCAAGAAGCCCATGGTGAGCAGCATCGCGCTGAGCCCACAGAGACCGTACAGAACCAGGGATCGGCGACCGATGCCGAGAGTCATGAGAAACCATGCGCCAAACACGCCGAGCATGTTGATCCCGTACTGGCCCATGGCAAAGGCATAGGAATTCGATGGGTCGAGCCCGGCCTGTTTGAGGAAATAGGTGGAGTAGTTGGAAAAGGAGTTCCCGCTGAGGTTCTGGATCGCCCACACCATGCAGATGATCTCCGTACGGCGACGGTCGGTGCCCCGGAAGCAGTCCAAGTAACTGGCTCCCTTGGTGATCTTATCCTCCAATGCGGTGGTGTGCACCATCATGGCAATGGTTTCATCGGCGTCGAAATCTGTCTCACGATCTTGGCTAGTCAGGCGTAAAAGGGCACATTTCGCGTCTTCGGTTCGTCCCCTTCTCACTAACCACCAAGGCGACTCGGGAGCAAGTAATATTCCAATGAAGAGCGGCAGGGGCCACATCCACTGCAGCCCGTACGGGATTCGGTACGCCCATTCATCGGTGCGGTTCAACATGGCCTTGATCACGCCAACCCCAATGAGCTGGCCAAGACCCCAGCAAAAGTTGACATAGGTGGTCAGATACCCTCGTAGAGCCACGGGACACACCTCGGAGGCGTAGGTGATGGTCAGAGTTTGGAAGACTCCCCAGGGAATTCCACACAAAATCTCTGCAGCCAGGAGGGCTTGCACGTTCGGGGCCGTGAAGAAGATGGCGGTCCACGCGGTCACCAAGATAAGACAAGCCATGATTGTGTAGCGATACCCGAACCGCTCCGACGCCCAACCATTGATAAACAAGCCGATTATCTCGCCCGCGTAGGCACCGTTGCTGAGCCCTGCTTGCCACTAGATATCCGGGATCGTATCAGTTCCATGCTTCCATGAAGGGGATCCACCCGACTTGGGTATTGTGCTCGACCTACCGGTGCAGAGACTTGGTATTCATTATTTGCTCCTAACTCGCCGTATTTCCGATTGAACTGCGGGAAAGCGTAGAAATTGTTGACCAGACTGATATCGTATCCCTCCATGACAATGCACGTCGAGATGAGAACACTCCACGCAACTGCCTTGGGGTACAGTCGAATGCCTTGAAGCAAGGACATCTTCTGTTCCTTTTGTGTGGCGGCTTTGGCATTTTGAATGACTTTTGTCATGGACGAGTCGGAGGCAGGTCCCTCGGTCGAGGGGTAGTGGTGGAGGGGCCCATCAACCGGCATCACGGTCTCTTGTGCCTTGGGATCGGCCATCATTAAGACGAAGGCAAGCACCAGAGGACACGAGGAGAATTATGAGGACAGTAGGTGAGGCTAAGACCAGATCAAAGTGTGCGGTCAAAGATTAGACCCCCGGAGAACTGCGGAAACCAAGGCGTGAGAAAAAAAAAAAAAGAGAACCCCACCGAGCGCAAAGACATTGCACGCGATCAAACCCATGCAACAATCCTGACGCCTCCCCGGGGTAATGGAAGCGGCTGGAAGATCAGAAAGCAAGCTAAACAGAATTCGGTCAAGACAGTAGTCGACAAAGTTGCGGGGGGGGAGGTTGGCTTCGAAACGCAAAATCTGAAGCTTGGCGACGCCGGATGGGGCACGGGTGGATCAGGGGTTTATGACTGCCATTTATATTCTTTTTTTATGCTGACTCTCTTCTTCACTTTGTTTTATTTTATTTCTACACTGCTAGAATATAAAGTAAGGTCAATTCAATCCAATTGGATTACCTCCGATGCATTCCACGTGTTTATTCTCCGTTGTCCTGCAGTGGACATGCATTATATCCAAGTAGCCAGTGGGATGAAATGCAAATCAAATAATGCTAAATTAGTTCGAATATCAAAATATGAGTTCTGCATAGATTCTATGTCCTATTATAGCAGAAAAGAACGAATTCGAGAGATTTCATAGTGGCAACTCTTGAAGCTAGCCGAATGCGGAAGTCTATGGAATATTCCACGAATGTTCTTAGCTGCTTAATTGTTCAACACTGGCTATGCTCTATATCTACTCAATTTCCTGATTATGGCATTAGGCCATTGAATCCCTCCAATTTCTCGTTTTATCGGAATGCAGAACTCAGAGCCCTCGCGTTGATTCAGATCAAGTAAGACCTTATAAGTTGGTATACTGGAACTCATTAACCGTCGTTTTCCAGGTATCAAATTTACAGCGGTCGAGAGAACGCTGCGAGGGATGGCAAAAGATCCAGAAGGCGTAAAAAAACAAAAAAAAAAAAAAAAAAGCGAGGCGCAATATAGTAATTCCTCGCTGTGCCCGACAAAGTATATACTCTAGACTTCGGGTTTACCCACATTCCAACTCCCTCGATCACAACTGGAAGGACCAGAATACTAGAATATCAAGCGATCCAATTATAGAACGTAGAATGGAATCGATGACTTCAGGGTACCTGGCAAGTCGATCGATCAATCGTGCCATGGAAGAAGCCAGAGCTAAAGGAGTACGCCCGGTGGGCCTCTTCCAAGGGTATGATATCATCGCCAAGGGGGGGGGGGCATTGACGTACCTATAAAGCTGCTCGAGTCTTGAATTGAAGCACTTCAATCCAACAATCCATTTTCTCCCATCGCATCAACTGTGTCCTCTTTTGATCATTTTTCCAATCAATCCTCGCATCTCTACATCAAATCACTCAAATCACTATGTCTTCCAACGATAACAAGGACAACCGTAAGTGCCAACCAAGCATATCCAGGATGGGTACAGTCCAAACTAACACCCTCTTCATCCACAGCTTCCTTCTTCGGCGGCCTCGGTAGCATGGTTGGCAAGACTGCCGATGGCGTCGGCAAGACGGTCGGCGGGACCGTGGGCGGGCTGGGTAACACGGCCGGCACGGCGGCGCAGGGTATGGGCCAGACAGTTAGCGGGGTGACCGAAGGACTCGGCAATGCCACCAAGGGCCTGGGACAATCAGTAAACAATGCCGTCGGGTCTGGGCAGAAGAAAACCGGCGACGGGTCGAGTGAACAGGCTTGAAGGGAATAAAAAGGACAGGAGGACCTTAATGTACAGTATTTATGAGCTGTGATGAGAACACGTGTATTTTTGAGGATTTAGTTCTCATCAATATCATCAAATCAAATATTTGTCAAGGGTACTATCCCAAGTATATCGCTATAGTTCGGTTCCATCGCGGCAATTCCTCGCACGGAGACTTCCGCGGACCCCCGCGTTCAGGATGCAGGAAACTATGGAAAAATATAACAAAATTAAAAATGGTCTTTGAATTACCAATTGCGCGAGTCAATTAAGAATTAAAATCCAGAAATTCAATGTGCTCCCTAAACATGTATTCCTACTATAAGAGCGTTCGGATCGACTTACTCGATTCGACATGACAGCATCGCCTTACCCGAAACGGGCAATATACTACAGATCTATGAATAAGAGCAAAGCAGTGGGGATCTCCCCAGCTTGCCCAAGTCGTCCCTGACTAACACCGAGCATCTCGCCCGAAGCTTGAATTGGGACCATAGAAACAACCTTGGAATAATGGGATGGTCCTTCAACAATTTTGGTCTGGCCGGGGTCGACTGACAAACCGCTCCCCGGACCCCAACCTTCCTGTTGCGCGTGGGAGATGGGTCTTGCCCAGTTCCAACTTATGGTACAACACAGGATGTCCAAGAAGGAGATCCGCCGACATCGGTAAATTGCTGGATGGGCTAGAAGTAGAAATTTGCGGGTGTTGTTGTAGGGAAACTCGAGACGTACAAGCAGAGAGATAGAGATAAAGTGGGCTGAAATAACCACCAATCAAAAGCTCCGAATTTCCATATCAACAAGCTGGTTTACCACGTGTGGGGCCCTGCGGTTTTTCCATGGATCCCCACCAGGCTTTTTTTTCTTCAGGCCGATATAAAGCTCCTCCACACGCCTCCGCATGTTTTGTCTGTTATCTTCTTTCTCTTATATCTTCCTCTGTGCTTTGTGTTACGCATCAATATCTCGCCACAATGGGCCAAGACGACGAGCCGAGTACGTGAATGCCGATCTTATACTTCGATGATAGAAGCTAATCTTCTCTGCAGAGACCTACCGCTACAATGAGACTCCGGTCTACACAACCTCCAATGGCTGCCCGGTACGATGAATTTTCTGTCAAGCAGATCCGATATTCTGGTCTAACTTCCTCTTCTGCTAGGTCATGGACCCCCAGGCCTCGCAGCGCGTGGGTTCCAATGGCCCACTCCTGCTGCAAGATTTCCACTTGATTGACCTGCTGGCACACTTTGACCGCGAGCGTATTCCAGAGCGTGTGGTTCACGCCAAAGGTGCAGGTGCCTATGGCGAGTTCGAGGTCACCGATGACATCAGCGATATTGTACGTTTCAGGTCTTCTCAGTGACCATATATGCCACCTAGATCATGAGCTAACATAAACTGGCGCAATTCATAGACCACGATCGACATGCTCAAGGGCGTCGGCAAGAAAACCAAGCTCCTCACGCGCTTCTCGACCGTCGGCGGTGAAAAGGGATCCGCAGACAGCGCGCGCGACCCGCGAGGCTTCGCCATGAAGTTCTACACGAACGAGGGCAACTGGGACTGGGTGTTCAACAACACACCCGTATTCTTCCTGCGCGACCCAGCCAAGTTCCCGATCTTCATCCACACGCAGAAGCGCAACCCGCAAACCAATCTCAAAGACGCAACAATGTTCTGGGACTACCTGTCAACGCACCACGAAGCCGTGCACCAGGTGATGCACCTATTCAGCGACCGCGGCACGCCATACTCCTACCGCCACATGAACGGCTACTCGGGCCACACATACAAGTGGACCAAGCCCGACGGCACCTTCAACTATGTCCAGATACACTGCAAAACAGACCAGGGCAACAAGACCTTCACCAACGACGAGGCCGGCAGACTCGCCTCCGAGAACCCAGACTGGCACACGCAGGACCTCTTCGACGCCATCCAGCGCGGCGAGAACCCCTCCTGGACCTGCTACGTGCAAACCCTCTCCCCGGAACAAGCCGAGAAGTTCCGCTGGAACGTCTTCGATCTGACCAAGATCTGGCCGCAGAGCGAGGTGCCACTGCGCCGCTTTGGCCGCTTCACGCTGAACCGCAATCCGCAAAACTACTTCGCTGAGATCGAGCAGGCCGCCTTCTCGCCCTCGCACATGGTCCCGGGAGTCGAGCCCTCCGCCGACCCCGTCCTGCAGTCCCGTCTCTTCTCGTACCCGGACACCCACCGCCACCGGCTCGGCGGCAACTACGAGCAGATCCCTGTGAACTGCCCGCTCAACGCCTTCAGTCCCTGGCACCGCGACGGCGCTATGAACGTCCACGGCAACTACGGCGCCAACCCCAACTACCCCTCCACCTTCCGTCCGCTCGCGTACAAGCCCGTCAAGGCGAGCAATGACCATGAAAAATGGGTCGGTTCTGTTGTTGCGGACCAGCTGCCTGTCTCGGCTGAGGATTACGTTCAGGCGAACGGCCTTTGGCAGGTCCTTGGTCGCCAGCCCGGTCAGCAGGATCACTTTGTTGCTAATGTCTCTGGACACCTCTGCAATGCCCATGAGCGGGTCCGCAAGCAGACGTATGGGATGTTCCGTCGTGTGAACCGCGATCTTGGTGCTCGCATCCAGTCTGCTACGGAGGCTAATGTTACCAAGACCTCGGCGCGGCTATAGATGACTGTGCTCTGCTTCTTCCTGGTTGTCGCATTACTAACCGGAGTTTCTTATTCTTCTTTTTCTTGACATTGTACTCTTCTGTGCCATTGTCCAGCCCGCATTCATGGATATCCCATGTTTGACTGTACCCTAGCTGAACTTGACCAATTTGAACATGGATCATGACTTACGATGAACAAACATCTATAAACTGATCATAGTCGGTAGTTGATGTTTAGAAATACTCCGCAGTATGAGTGGTATCAAATACAGCACATGGCAACTTCTATGAGACAATTGTTAATTTCCAGAGCTAACTGCAAGTCTAAATGTGGGAGTCAGGCTTCAGGTACAAGGGGCTTCTCGGCAGAGGCTGCTTGCTCGAGAGAACGAGAGAGGCATCGTCATGTGCGCCTGGCGGAGAAACCTGGATGCTGATGGCAGCGTAGTATGAACCTAAAAGGAAAGAGAGAGAGAGAGAGAGAGAGAGAGAGGGAAACCTTGAATCCAAAATCCCGAAAGAAAGACAAAACTCCCATGGTCAGAACGCCGGGAAAAGACCACCCCCATCCGATGCAGGAAGGGGCAAAGAAAATTCCAAATATGAAGAAATGAAAATGCTCGCTCATGTGCGGCCGTAGATCTGGTATGTGTCATGTAGAGTTTCCAAAGAGAAAGAACGGCCCAGTTTAGGAGCAGGAGAGTGTGTTAGTCCTTTGGTTTTCTCAACCTCGGCATTACGGGACGAGGCAGATCAAGCCAAAGAAGACGTGCCGGGTGCAACTTGACTCGGAAGAGGATGTGGTGGTTGGGAGAGATGTGGGTGGGGACGTGATGGCCGGGGTGCTGGTCGGCTCGTCTTGACAACCCCAGAAAAACCCGGGTGTTTCGCAGGTTGAAGATGTTTCAACCGGCGTCGAACTAGGAACATCTGTGTTTGCGGTGGTACTAGTGGGATCCCGACACCCGAACCAGCCTGGGTCGTGGCAGGTTGTCGTGGAAGTCACCGTGGGCTCAGTATTTGTCGCGGTAGGGGCGGGTGTTGCTGTGGTGGTTGTGGTGGGGTCTTTGCAGCCGAACCAGCCAGGTGTCTTGCATGTTGAGGTTGTAGTTGTGGTGGTTGACGATGTGGTCGTGGTCGTCGTGGTTGCCGTAGTAGATTCATCAAGACACCCCCACCAACCGGGGGTTTGGCATGTCGACGTCCTGGTATAAGATGAAGTTGTCGTGGTAGTGGTGGTGGTGGTGATCCTCTCGGAGCCATTGCTGCGGAAAAACTTCCAGAGCTCGCAGTCAAGGCATTCTTCCTCCGCAGCACATGACGGGACCTCATCGTACACCTCAAGAACGTCGGAAATCACGTTCTCAATCTTATGGGTTCCAAGACCCACGCGCCAGCCTTTATCTCCAACAGTATCATATGCGCACATCTGGCCAGTGTGACAAGCCGACTCCAACGCATATCCACCCCATGTACAAATCGAGTTAATCCCATTGCAGGTCCCCATGTACACCGGATCTGCTGTATGTCCGAAGTGGTAGGATCCGGTATGTTGGCGCGCCTGCGGAAATCGTGCGTCATAGCCTGGTGGGCTGGGAAGGCCCAGTCGAGCGGCTGGCAGGGCCTCCGGAACAGCTTCGAAAGTGACCACCGGTAGCCCGTAGGTCAAGCCAAGCAAGCTCGTCATCGCACCGCCCAATGAATGGCCTGTCAACCAAACATTCGCCTCGGGGTATATGTCGGTCACGTTGGAGTAGAGGTCGAGCGCGGCTCTATAATACTTGTTTTCGTCGTTCATGGCTTCGACAATGCAGGTTAGATTTGCGGTGTACGTCGCATTTTGACAATCGCAAGACTGCCTCCATAGGTATGATCCTCCTTGGCCGCAGCAGCAACTGAAAAACAGATTGTCGTTAACTTTATCGTTCGTGGTAGTGCCGGCACCATCAAAGAGGGCGGGGGAAGTGCCCTTCAACGAAATGACGACAGTCTTGTTCAATTTATCGGAGTAAATATGACCCCTCAGTCCATCACTCTGCCACCCAAAACTCGTAGAGTAATTAAACTTGCCGTGGATGGTGTGCCATTTCCCGGTGCCGGGTTCCTCGATATAATCATTTGCAGTCATCCGTGCAAAAGTCAAAACGGTTGTTCTATCGGTTATATTCGGTCCTGGTAGGGTGTCCATGACCCAGTCCGACGGTGACAAAGCCGTGGCTACGCCAGAAGACCGCGCAGCTGCCAGGTGACCCTCGATAACTGATTGTCGCCGATCTGCCAGGCGTTGGATCGTAATCGGGCTTGATGAAGCTTTCAAGCGTGGGTATGATGTAACAGCTTGGTTCTCGGTGCCATCCTCTGAAACAACCCTAAGTTGAGTCTCCGGTTTGACGTCTAGTCTTGCGTGAAGGTCTGGATGTCCATAGGTGCCCCGGTGGAATATATGGCGGAGGGACTACCAAGTGTTAATGAATTCCAACAAAAGAAGACCGGAACCTTGCAAGCAGCTTACAAAATCAACGGATTCTGTCGCAGGCTCGAGCTCGTTCAAGGGTATTTGAGGCGGAATAATGGGGGCCTGTAGGGGTGGATAGCCTGAAGCCAAGGCCGTGCCTAATAAGAGCACAGTCGACAGAAGCAGGCTACAGACTCTCGATCCAAGCCAGAACCGCTTCTGGGACCGCCGCTGGTAGTGAGACATTATGGGAGATGGTGGACAAGATGATGCTGGGAGACACCAGACACAAGGCCGGCGTTATCGAGGGGAGTCACTTATGACGCAGTGCGGAGGGCTCCGCACGTGATAAGAGCCCCGTGACGCGACGTCGACTTCTTTTGTGAACAGCGAAGCGTGTTGAGAATTCTTTCCAGTCGACCTTGCAATTCTTTGGCTGCGATTATCCGAACTTCATTCCTCGGATCGCTTTCGTTGCACGGCACAGGGAATCAACCGACTCGGGGAGCTCGGGCGATCTGCATGAGCCTATCAGCTGGAGCTGGGCGGAGTCATCTTAGTGTCGTCTGGGACCAGCTTGCCCCTTGAGTGAGAATGTCTGGCCCCGATGGCTCCGGTCCACCTTCTGTGCACTCGGTGCGATCGTTCACCAGAATGGAGAGTTCGGACGTGAACAGGACCAAGGCGTCCACCGAACCGGTCGACGCCAACGCGGGCCCGTTGTCAAGGTCTACCAACAATGAGGGGCAAGATGCCGGTCCCGATGTGTTCGAGCGACGCGGATCTGCGGATTCTGGCGCTGCAACGGATGGACAGGGAGAGGAAGGCTTTGTGCTCTCGCGGAGCTTGCAGGATCCCTCGGAAGAGCTTCCAATCGAGCTGATCAGCTTGACCGATCGGTGAGTTTGCTTGTTGACTGTCAACTATTGGACAATTTGTAACTAATAATCCTTTTCTTTGCTAGGTTTGTCAACTCGCTGAGCGCCAAAGTACACAACTCGCCTCCTACCATCGAAAAAATCTCTGAGCTCTTCCAAGTCTTCTACAGCCGTGCCGAGTCTCACATCGCCACGCACATCTCCGCGCTTGCATCTCGCATCAACCGTGATTCGTCCCCTCAGGTTCCGGCACGGACTTTGCGGGGAAGTGGTCTATCAAAACTGAGCAACAAGCGGTCTCAAGACAATGTCGAACAAGGTGCTTCGGGTCGCCAAATGCTCACTGCGTCAGAGGTGGCAGAGAGACGAAAAGCCCGCAAGGCTCTTGAATACAAAAGAGGCGCTCTAGAAGAGGCTGCCGAGCGAAGAGTATGCGAGCTCGTCTACGACAAGATTTGGAGGCACAGGAGCACGTTGGATGATGTGCGAGATGAGAAGTTACGTTCAAAGACAGCAGCTTTATTGCTGGTGGAGATAAATTTAAAAGACCTCGGCATCGACATCGACATGTCTTCAATCGACGAAGGAAAACAGAACGAGGCGAACGAGTATTTGGCTCAGGCTCGAGAATATCTCACGAAAATGAACGAACAGAAATATCCATTGGGAAAGCTTCAACAACTAGCGGCCGCGCACAAAGCCATCGTGGATGCCCTCACCAAGCTTCTTCCCTCCTCATCTTCTGCAGACGAGATCCTGCCCACCTTGATCTATTCACTTATCACTTGCCCACCCGAGGGAATCAATATCATCAGCAACCTGCTCTTTATTCAGCGGTTTAGGTCTTCCAACAAAATCGATGGCGAGACGGCGTACTGTTTGACCAACCTCGAGGCTGCCATTTGCTTTTTGGAAAATGTCGACCTATCCAGCCTGCGTGCCGACGTAGTACCAGAGGGTGCTCTCAAGACCCCGAGTGAGACTACACCATCCTCCGAACGAGTCGATCCCTTCCGTCCAACGAAGGAGTCTGCAACCTCGTCTGTAACAACATTGTCCGCTTCGCCCGAGCTCTCGAAGCCCAACAACAAGGAAATCCCTTCGACATTACCCAGGCCACAGCCCCCTGCTGCATCACACCAGCGACGCATTAGCAACCTTTTCCAACCACCTGCCAAGGTCCTTGGAGCTGCCAATGACGCCGTGCGCAACACCGCCGATCAGAGTTTGAAGAACATCGGCGCGACGCTGGACAGCAGTTTCAACCTCCTTTTTGGTCGCCTCAAGGAAATGCAGATCAACCAAGGACCTAGTTCACAGGGAGGCGGCCCGGTGCTGCCGAAGACACTGGCTGAAGCCCGTCGTCTGGTCACGCTGCCATCCACTTCTACCAATAAAGACATTGGCCAGGATGACCTCTTAGCAATCAACCCTTTACCTATCGACGATGGCCCCCAGACACACAGTAGCCCCAGCGGCGCGGGGACCCCCATCGGAGGCGGCACGCCGCGTGATCGAAGCGTGAGTAGCACGCGAACTCAAGAGAGCAGCAAGCGCTCGATTGTGGCATCATTACGAGACGAGTCTGCCTCGACTCAATCCCAAACGCCGCCTTCGACAGCCAGCCCGACTCCGCTGGAATCGGTGCGAAATTTCGGCAACACCTTCAATCCCCTCAACCGCCTCCCTGGCATGATGAAGAACTTCGGTCGCAATGCTTCAGAGGCGCCCAGCACCAGATCCGTATCTCCAGCATCGCTGGACCGCATCAGGCCGTGGCCTGCCCCTGCCCTAGCAGCAGCAGATAACCGCAGTGGCACAAGCAGCCCGCTCCCTCCGTCTTCTTCGAAGATCGATCCTCCGATCCAGCGTTTTCTGGACACGCAGGACGCGTGCGACCTTCGCATTGGGGATGTGGCTGCCCTCCTGGAAGATTACAAGAGACTCGCGGCGGCACTCTCCAGGCCTACCTCGGAATCTTGATCTGTGTTTGAAGATACTTTGCATCCTGGGTTATCAATGGCGTTATATGTATTTGGTATCTCATGATAACCCTCTCATCTTGGTGGATACATGTTTGTTTTTTTCAAATGGCTAGGTCTGCCGGATTAAACTATGCAATTTTGCATGTCATACATCATTAAGCCGACGTAGGTGCTTCCACAAGAAAATAAAATAATCATTCCAGTTTCCTTCCGTGCAAATAAGGTTCCAATAAGAGAATAAAGACATGGCTTCGCAAGCGTAAAGGGGGGTATTGAGCATAAAATGCAAGATCGAGTTCCTCCAGACACTTTTTTCCGAGATGCAGCACGCAAACTCCATAGACATGAATCGACAGTACTTTGAAAAAAAAAAAGACAACAGCAATAAAACAAGTAATGGGAGTGGCAAGCCGTTGCTCATTGGTTTCGTCCGCGCAGAACCTCTGCACCGCCGGTTCTCATCTCGTTCAACTTCATCGACAGCTCCGAGTCTTGCGCTTCAATTTGGTCATGTCGGCGTTTAACTTCGGCTTCAAACACAGCTGCTGTGCGGCGGCGGGCACGGCGGAAGTTCTTCATCTCAGAGAGTAAATGGGTGAAACGGTCGATTATCTGGTCTCCACAGTCTTCCCATTCGTCGACGGACAGGCGGGACAGGTACGCGCGACGCTCTTGGTCACCAACACTCAAAAGCCGCGAGACTGTGTTCTCGGGGGACTGCGAGTCGGAGACCAGGGGCAGGTTGGATGGCATTGCAGGGGATTTGGCAGGAGGAGGAACGGGGGTGGGAGCTTTATCGAACGGCTCAGCTTGCAGTTCGGAGAAGGATTTCTGGTACAGCAGTTGCGGGGGATAGTCGGCTTCGTCGAAGTGCCGCTTTTTGGCATGGATGACGGTGTTACGCCGGCCGCGTCTGGTGATGGAACTAGTGGAAAAGGGGTCGAGGATGGTTTCGTCGTCGTCCCCCTCCATATTACTCAGGTTGGTAACATCGAAAGCATTGGCCGAGTGCCCGCTTTCTCGTCTGCTTTTTGTGTGCAGGGTCTGGTTCATTTCATCTTCGCTGTCGTCTTCATCGTCGCTGAGTTCTTGAAACGCTGTCATGCTCAGAGTTCGACCCGCTTGGGTCGCGTGATCGCCGTTACGGGTCGGTGATATTTCCAGTTGGTCAAGGAGTGAGGGCTTCGGTGGACTGAAACGGGTTCTTGGAATTGCCGTCGCCGTCACACTACGGGGAATTGGGATCTTCCTGGGCCCAGTGGGAGGAAGCATCTGGCCCAGCTTCCGTGGCGGGGGTCAGAGACGGGGTTCTGGGCAACTGGTAGCCGCGAATCTCCACGGGCCGAATCCACAGCCTTGGCTGAGGCTCTTTTGCTAGCAGACCAGAAGTTCTCCAAGCGCTTGCTGAGCGGTTCATCGGTCGATCGGTGCCGGTGAGACACATACCAACCGTTTGCTTCGTCGGGCTTCTCATCGTCTGCACTGACAGACGAGGTCACTGGACTCCCGATATCATCGGCATCGTCGGAATCAAAGCCAGCCTTTTTCAAGGCCTTATCACCCAGACCCTCATACCAAGAAGCCCTGTACAGACGTCGGGCCTGTCGTGGGTAGGCGGGCGGCGGGTCAGGGTTGGCATAGGCGGCATTCGTGCTTGATGCTGCCTGAGACTGATTATCATCAAGCCCGAAAACACTAGTCCCCGCGATGGTCGAATCATCGGCTGCCTCCACATCGGTATCGAACATGTCCCGCTGTGTCGCGGGTTGAGGCGTAAGAGACTGGCCCTGGAAATTCGTTGGTCCTTGGAGATCCGATGAAATAGCATGTCCGTTGGGTGGTTGGGCGGGTGGCGCAACCAGTTTCATGGCAGGCACTTCGACCTTGGCTTGTTCCGCACGGAGCTGGCGCGACTGCGATGGGGTCTCAGAGGTTGCACGAGGCCCAGCCTCCTTGGAGTGGACGTAGTCGCCCACTCCCATGGTGAGTTGGGGGGCTGCCTAATAAAATTATAGAAAAAAAATGACCGACCCCCTTTTCTCCATGGGCTTTCAGCGATGGTGTGCAGTGTCTGCCTCGAGTCGAGCCGCCCGACGCGACAAGACCGCGTGGACACGTGACCCAACATGAATCCTTGACCTGCACATTGTACAAACAGAATAGATGTTGGCATGGGTCTCGCTCACCCAGTTTTACCCGGTTTAAACACAGCTTTCCGTCTTCCAGTAGTGTCCCCTCCCTTTATTACATGATCATAATGCAAATGACCGAGTGGATGCCACTATACAAAACCTTCTATGTAGTCTGGCACTGGCCAATCAGACATGGCTTGGGGTTAAAGGGCAGTGGAATCTTGACTGAAGAAGAGCTCGTTGCAAGTATAAAACTAGTGCTTCACCTAGGTACTCGGGCCTATTTCGACGATATGTTTATTGCCACCATTCGGCATGACCCCCCGGGTATTCCTAGTGGTCGATTAATTCACATACACGTAGGACTCTTTGCGAGTTGTGACGTCAACCCAATGCTCCTACACAATATATTGCCTGGTGTATTGCTGGGGATTTCAAAAGACAAAATTGCAAATCGAAAGCTCCTTGAGATCTTCTTTCTAGCATAACCAGAGCATAATCTCTAATTGGAAACATCACACTTTGGAGACCTTGCAATATGCCTGCCGCCTACAAGCGCCTCGATGTCGACAATTGTGTCTTTCTCTTCGTTGACCACCAGGCAAGTAATCTACTCTTATCTGTATCTTGAGTGGTTGCCAACATGATCCATGTATATTGTATAGTCGGGCCTGATCCAGCTGGTTCATGATTTCGAGCCTAATCAATTTCACACCAACGTCCTCGGGCTGGCCAAGATGGCTCAGTACTACAATGCCCCCGCGATTCTCACGTCCTCGTTTGAGACAGGCCCAAATGGTCCAATTGTCAAGGAGATCCCTGAAACTCTTCCGAAAGCCCCGATCATCCGACGCCCCGGTCAGATCAACGCCATGGACAACGAGGACTTTGCAGCCGCAGTCACGGCAACGGGCAAGCAGCAGGTGATCATCAGGTAGGTAAATCCTCTCAAAGGTAGCAACCAGTGGAGATTGACAGGCCGCAGTGGCGTTTTGACCGAGATCTGTGTTGCTTTCCCTGCTCTCACTTTGATCGAGAAAGGGTACGATGTGTTCGTTGTCACCGATGCGTCGGGCACTTTTGCCGAGCATACGCGAGAAGCGGCGCATAAACGAATGGTTCAGGCGGGGTGCCAGTTGCTGAACTGGGCGGCTGTTTCGGCAGAATTGCAGAGGGATTGGCGCCGCGATGTGGCTGGATACAGCAAGATTTGGACGAACCATGTTCCCGGTTATTGGTGTTTGCTGCAGAGCTACCAAGCCAAGGAGGCGGCACAAAAATAGGGTTTGGTGTCCACATGCCTTCGGGGAAAGTTGTATTCAGGCGTATATTGATCATGGACTTGTATCGAGGCCCCCGATACTCCCAAGGCAATTCAATCAAAAGAGGTATCGTCAATATGTAGATGCTCGAGGTTATAGGCAACACTCCTGCCACGTTTCTTTGCCTTCTCAAAGAAATCAATCGACTTCTGTACTTCCGCCATCCTTTTCTCTGTGGCAATCCTGTGCTCGCGTCTTACCTCGAAAGAGCTCGGTAGCTCATCAGTAACCATTGCGCCGGGGTCATAAACATCACTAGTTTCCGGCTGTGTCGCCAATGAAGAAACGAACAAATCGCCAATCCAGAGTGAAACCATCCCTCGGAGCTCCAGCAATTCAGAGGAGTCCGAATACGGGGGTGATGGGAGGATCGCGTCCATACGGGCTGCAATCTGCTGCGCTTGTTCCAGCTCCTGCGCCCTGGCTGCTGCGATGAGAGTCTGCTTCTTGTTCGGCGATCCCCGGCGATGCCCCGAGTCAGACATTGAATCGTCATCATCAGAGAATCCATCTGAATTCTCGTGGTTGAGTGTGATATCATTCCGCGTGGCGCTGCTCTCTTCCTGGGCGACATAGATCCATAGTCCAAATATTGCAGGGTAAAAGTGCAAAGGCGATATTGCGTCGGGTGAGGATCTCGCGCCCGGATGATTCAGAATCAGTCTTTCGTAATATTCTTTAGCCTCTACAAAGCCCTTTTTGCTGAAAGGTAGGGGGGTGTTCTCCGAGTCAGAGGATGTCCGTTGAGAGTGCGTGGGTGTGTCGCGCTGACTTCGTCGGAGTAGAATTTCAGCACCGATGCCCCATCTGCCCTCGCTACGTACATCCATTGGAAGTCCCCTAAACTCTTCACGCAAAAGAAGACCCCACGCTCTTCCGGCTCGTATGTAGTCACCTTGCAGTAGACAACGGTGCAGGATGGCCGTCAACACCGCTAGATGCTGGAAGCGAATGTTGCCCTGTTGTGCCGGCGACTGAGGCGGATAGATTGGGGGCGAGAGGGAGGACAAGCCCTTGCGAAGATGGGCAGGCATGTTCTCCTTACTGGGGCGGTCATCCTTGGCTGGTCCATGGGGAAAATGGCCACCCGGTAACTCTTGGTTCAGAGGGAGGCCGGCGATACGGTATTGGTGAGATTCATTTGGCGTCAAAATCAGAGAGTCCCCGGCCGGAATTGATTCCACTGCCGATGGAGCATCCGTGGTTTCAGCTCCATCTTCATCCTCATCGCTCCATTCATGACTCTTGCGTTTCTGGCGCTCATATTGGGCCACACGAGTACTCGGCGGCTGGGCCCAGGGCGGCAGCGGTAAAGAGAAGAAGGAGGCTGACGGGGCAGACGCCATGTACTCAGGAACAGACAAGTTCCATGCGAGGCTGCCTTGGAAGAGAGAAAACAATACTCGAGTTCACCGAAGAAAAGTGACGATGACGGAAGATAGGCCGAAGTTGACTAAGAAGCCGAGTCCGAGCAAAGCGGGCAAACATCACTTATCGCCCTCATATCACCCTTCCACCTTCACTCCTTCTTCTGCCTTCTACCTCTCTCTTTCTCCTTTTTCCTTTGTTCCTCATCTCTCTCGCTGTCTTTTATATCCTATTTGTTCCCCCGTTTGTTCTTCGCGCCTTCGGTTCTGGCCAACCTCCCCTGAGTGTCGGCATCGGCGGTTAGTTGTGGCCTACGCCTGAGCTCATCAGGTCTGACTTAAGCCTATTGGCCACGGTTTCTCGTGTTGGGCAGTGGTTTTTGTCTCACGCCTGTTTTCTTCGTTACAGCAAGGCCATTTATCGCATCGCCACCTCCTGGCTGCCTTTCCGCTCCTTTGTCCCGGCAAGCCTTCCCACCCGTCTTTCTCGACAACGTGTGTCACCTGGACGCAGCATCCGTCAGATTGTCAACCGGGGCAGCTATCCAATTCTTGATCTGCTATTCTCCAGAGACTACCACACGGTACGCCCATTTTCGTGAAACCAAGCCCACGACGAACCGATTGTCCTCGGTACTAATACGGTCGCCACCAGCAGTCATACATACTTCTATGGCAGTATACGGTGTCTGAAATCTTATTCTTCCCTCTGTGCTTTGCTACTATGGGACAGTCTTCATCTACGCCGCGTGAACCACAGAACATTTCACCTTTTTCGATAGAGCACGACCCAAGCACGAGGGATGAAGAAATGAACAGCAGGCCGACGGATGCGCAGGGTGGAGAGGGCATTTCCTCATCCGGCCTGGAGATGAACCCCCACAATCATCAAGATGCATCAGCAGATCAGCCAAATGATTTACTTGGAACATGGCAGCAGCCCCCGCGACATTCGGGCGGGTTCTCCCACAATATGCGAAGTATTGAGGAGGAGGACGGTCCCGAGTTTGAACCAATGCAACGTGAATACCGCTCTGCAGCGTTCGCTCGAATGGCAGCAAGGAGACAGTCCACTATGTCAAGACTCGGGTCCAGGATTCTTCCCAACTCAGTTATTCGTGGGCTTCTTAGTAGTCAGGAGGAAACTCCGGCAGAGGGCCATGCGCATCGGCATGGGTTAGTTTCAAGGACAACTCCGAGGACCGAGACCGCTCATAGCACCGGTCGGTTCAGTCCGTTCAACGCGCTTGGCTCAAGAGGCATCACTCGACGGCGTCTTTCCGCCCGAGGTTCTTATCTTATTCCGCCGCGCGCGGATTCATCAGCGACTTCGGATGGATTAGTGAACCCAGCATATCTTGACTCGACCGCTGAGCCATTACCCGAGCCCACCCGGGCATCCTGGCGACGTAGTGCTCGCTTGCACCGGATGCGCCATTCGCTATCGACACCCATTTCTCATATGTTTGGTCAGCCGCACTCAGACATGTATTCGCCCCATGAGCGCTCGTCACGTCAGTCTCTAGATGCATCACTTGGCGCGAGCCTACCAAGAGCAATGGACACTCGTTTGGACTTTGGGGAGTCTCCGCACGAACTTGATTCAGTGGAGCCGGCAGTGCACCATGGAGGACCAATTCCACCAGCGTCTTCTGGCCAGCCCAATCCCGGGTTGGCAGGAATGCGCCGCATACCCGGTCTGCTCAGAGCACGATCTTCTCGGGCGGTACGGCGAGAGGAACAAACACCTCTATCACGGGTCCTGCAGCTTGCTGCTGCCGCAATTGCTGCTCAGCTTTCTGGTACTACTGGTCCTGCTTTACCAAACATACAGGCCTTGGGCAACGATGGGCTGGACGGCTCCCTGGAGAACTTTATCCAGAGCTTGCAGCATGCCACGTCTGCCCAAGCACAACCAACCGCACCGGGAGAAGGGCCGAGTAACCTTGCAAATCAACGGCCGTCGCCTCCTGTCAATTTCCTGCGGGTCTTTCGATTTGCCAATTCCGAGTCCCCGACAGGCCCCGGTGGCCCTGCGCAGAATGGGACTGGCTCGGAGGCTCAGGGCACCCAATCCGATGGAATGGATGTTGATGAACCTCCTGAAGGGACCGAAGGACGCACGGTAACTCTCGTTGTGGTTGGGGTCAGATCTGTGCCGGCAGGAAATGCAGGCAACAGTGAGCGTGAACCACAAGGCCCTCCGGTACCTGGTGGCCCTGGCCTGGATGCTTTGCTTGGCCTGCCCTTCCTCCCGCAGAACGCCATTCCGCGGCCGCAGGATTTGCCGGGGGATCTTGCACATCGAACGGATGGTCAGTCAAGATTGCAAGCGCCGCGTCCTCCTGGCTTCCATCCGCCTAGCGCATCCCCAGACCTTTTACGCCAGCCTGGCCCGAGCCACTCCCGAAGGTCGTCAGACGCCGGGCCTCGCGCCGGAGCTCCTTTTTACCCTCCCTCCGCTCTTTCGGAAAGCCCCCGGGGCCTCACCCACCGCCGTCGACGCCTGCTGAGCAGGGTATGTCGGCTGTATCTTCTGGCACCTCAACTCCGAGCCGTAGGCCATCCTCTGCATCAGCCCTTTCCCCCGATGCTTTACCCCAGCTTCGCGAAGGCCAGTCTCTGCAGCCGACCGCAGACCTTGCTGATGAATCTATTCCCCTCAACGCGGCTCGTCAACGACGCCGAAGTGATTCTGAGTTTGCCCGCCACCGAGCTCTTGGGTCCGGTGCCGTTCGACGCAATGGTGTGGTTGAGCCCGATCAACCGCCACCGAGTGGCGGTCGAAGCTGGTTGATCTATGTTGTCGGAACCAATCTCTCGGAGAACCACCCAGCCCTGACGACTCCAAGTTTGTTCACCGATGTACGTTTGACCTCCGAGTCGTATCTGTAGAAAACGTTTCGCTAACTTGCTTCCCCCAGAACCCTACATACGAGGACATGATATTGTTGTCGTCGCTGCTGGGCCCAGCCAAGCCGCCAGTCGCCAGTCAAGCCGACGTCAACTCGGCAGGAGGGTTATTCCGCCTAGTGGAATATGGGGGCACGTTGGTCGCAGAGGCCGTGGATGGCGCAGGCGTCATTCCAATCCAGGATGGGGAGCGGTGTCTGATCTGCCTCAGTGACTATGAAGTGGCTGAGGAGGTCCGAGAGCTGGCTCAATGCAACCATGTCTTCCACAAAGATTGCATCGACCAGGTTCGTTGTCCCATCCGTTGTATCATTGGAATTAGTACTGACTAAACGTACCAGTGGCTGACTACCGGACGCAACTCCTGCCCACTCTGCCGAGGCCAAGGTGTCAATGAGACCTCCAGCAGCAATAACACCGCCCCCGATCCTGCTCTGGACAACGCTCCTGTCTGATTCTATGCCCGCTACGCCGATATTTGGCTAGCACCGCACTGGCCTAGATGGTCCACTGTTTTGAGTCGTGCACTTTCCTTTTCTCTTCCCTCTTTTGAGCCTTAGCATCAAGCGTTTGCTTAGAACTATTACGAATTTTCTTCATGGATATCCCCTTGGCAATTGTTTGATTCTGTTGATTTTGGGCACATTCGTGACCCTGTCCTGTGTCGTTTACTCTCGAGTCGAGCCACTTTCAGTCCAGGTTCGCCTGGTTCCCGTCTTAAGACCTTTCTTTCGTTGGCCATTGTGAATGTTTGGACCTGCTTCAATCTCGGGTGTTGCAGCTTGTGGATCCGCGACAGGAAGTGCGGGCGCTAGGCCTTTCATTCCTACTGTAGTTAATCCATTCAGGATCTCTTCTCTACAAAATAATGTATGCCTTGCACGTTAGTCGCCTCTATGTGTAGTTCGACGAAACGTCTCCAACGGTCGGGTTACAGCTGAGGGGGCCCCAAAAAATACTGAGCGGGCCCCAAAAATCGGTGGAATATTACGCCGACTTTTGGGGCCCCCTTAGCTCGCTAAGTCGACTGGGCCCCAAAATATTTTTATTACCTAATCTTATTTAATACACACAAAAAGAAAATTCTCAACTTTATATTATTATCACCTCACTATGTCATCTGCACAGTACTTCCATAGTCCGTCATTCGGACCTCGTTTTATATTTTCGCTTACCCCCCTTATTTTCTTTGTTTGTACCGTTTCTAGGTTTTGCATATAATTTGGAACACAGATTTTTTATATGTATTCAATAAAAAATCACTGTAAATATCATAAATATAGAGATATAAGGTTATATAGAGTTGATCCGTGGATAATGAAAGCATTATTAGTAAGAATTTTAATTTTTGCATAAAATATTTTGGGGCCCAGTCGACTTAGCGAGCTAAGGGGGCCCCAAAAGTCGGCGTAATATTCCACCGATTTTTGGGGCCCGCTCAGTATTTTTTGGGGCCCCCTCAGCTGGGTGCCCTCCAACGGTGGAATTTGCCCCGCAGACCCCCTCGGCTGACTCAGCCCCTCGTGGAGAAAATCTTCGAGTCCGCGCTGGAGCTCTGCGAGTGTATTCAGAGGTTCAGTGATAGCTGGATTTGTCGAGTACGAGTGTGCAGATCCATTGTGTGTTGCAGAAGTCAATTGACCGGCCCCGCGACCGAGAACCTCCCATCGACGCGAAAGGTGCCTCTCTAATCGTGACCGCCGGCACATCTCCAACCCCACGAGAAACCAGAGCAGAAATCAGTGCAATACACAGAATTCACGGCGACAGACAATTCAGCAATTCAGCACATCCGCTCCCCATATAGTCATACCCAGAGAAAGAGAGATATGGCCTCCCCGATCCGAGTCACAGTGCTCATCTCCGGCAACGGCTCCAACCTCCAAGCCGTAATCGATAAAGCCCGCGCCGGCCACCTAGGCAACAACACAAGCCTCGTCCGAGTCCTCTCCAACCGAAAGGATGCCTTCGGGCTCGAGCGCGCCACGCGCGCCGGCATCCCAACGCAGTATCACAACCTCGTCAAGTACAAGAAGCAACACGCGGCGACGCCGGCCGGCGTCCAGGCCGCGCGCGAGGAATATGATACAGAGCTGGCGCGGCTGATTCTTGCCGATGCGCCGGATCTGGTCGTGTGTCTCGGCTTCATGCATGTGTTGTCGCCACGGTTTCTGGAGCCGTTGCAGGCGGGCAAGGTGCGCATTATCAATTTGCATCCGGCGCTGCCGGGGGCTTTTAATGGGGTTGTAAGTTTCTCGGTTTCTCAGTAGGGGTGGATTTATTCTGTTGTTTTGGTTGACTGACGGCTCATATTCTCTGCTTTTCAGAATGCAATTGAACGTGCTCATGCTGCGTGGATGGAGGGCAAGATCGATAAGACCGGCGTTATGATCCATGACGTGATCTCTGAGGTGGATATGGGTCAGCCTATTCTCGTTCGTGAAATTCCCTTTCAGAAAGGGCGCGATGAGAATCTCGAGGCTTTTGAGACGCGGGTCCATGAGACCGAGTGGGAGACGGTGATTGAGGGAGTGGGCATGGTGATCCGGGAGTTGGAGGCTCAAAAACAAAATACGAGAGCATGATGGGAATATCTCCCTAATTGTCTTTGTTGGTTGACGATTGATGACTGCTACTATATACGCCTGTTGATGTTCATATCTATATGATTCTCGAGTTCTAGAAATGATTCTAAACCTCATACTTCACCTTGTATAGGTTGCGAGTTACTTCCTCAGGGTTACTCCACACATGCCAAGCAGAAGAGCACAAAATTGCGACTGAATATCGACAAAGGCCAAGCCCAGGCAACCCACTGGAGGAAAAAAGAAAAAGCCTTGTCTCAGTGGCGGACACTTGGCTCGCAATGATCCGTCCACCCAGCCCACTTTCTTCTGTATGGAGTCAGGGATGGGCGATGGCAACCACCTCAACGGTCCGATGAATATCACATGTTGGGGCGAACAGGGGTGAATTTCTTTCTTTTCTTTTTCTCCGTCTCCTTGCCTCGAGGCATCAGGCACCAAATATTCCAGCAAATGCAGTGCAACCTACCTACAGCATCTACAGGGATGTTTCTATACATAGTGTGTCTTGGGGAAGTGAGCAATCGCAGATGCAATCCCACCCTAGTCACTAGTCACCGTTGGGCCTATGACGATTGACAGGCACCGACAGGGGGTGCAGAGAAAAAAAAGGTGACAGATCAGAACCAATTTTCGTGCTCTTGTCTGGCCCACAGTACTCCATCGGGGCAAAAGCACAGGATGACTCGCGGACACCTTTGCTCCACCGTCGCAGCCCCCGGTCAAACTCAATTTGAGGGTGAGTTTCCGTGGAATGTCAATGCCGGAGTGTGATCTGCCTCCGTGGTCTGAACCGGCCGTGGTTGAGCCGTTGTCTATCGGATCTGGTGTATGTTTTACACCACACTTTGTGTCGGTGGCTATGGGAAGAGAGATTGCTGGCTACACATGGGAACAAGATTATTTTGGGTATGACATTCTCGATGATTGATTGATGACACTTGATCGTGTGGCTCAACTAGGAATCTCGACGCTGCAGCATCCTCCAACGCCATATTTAATTGCACATGTTTCAGGATGATCAAAAATAATGATCTTCCTTTGGCCCACTTGGCCTTTTGCCTGACAAGCTCATGACTTACGGAGTACATCGGGGTTCTCGAGTATCCTATGGCCTATAGCCTATAGTATAGTCTGGTATAGTCCGCACAGCGATAGAATAATGAATTGAGACCACCTCCCCACCACACTAGGCTTATAGCAGTAAACAAGACGCTCCAGTTCTTTCTGTCTGTTAATAATAAGGCTGGTTCCCCCCTCTCAAGGCTTACTTGACTGGGTATAACAGCACATGCACTCCCCCTCCTCAGTGGTGGGGGATATCCACCTACTCTACCCCGACTCCTGGGAAATAACGATCAGATCTGGGCCGGAGATATTACCCAACACAGCTCATGCTGCCAGAGAAAGGGTGGTACTCAACGGCATCCACATGCCGGGTGGACCGGGGCGCCCCACTGTCTGTCAAGGAGCAAAGGTGTTAGCGCCTGTCTCTGCTGGTTCATCCTTCATCCCATACATTTGCACAAAAAAAAAGGGCCCATGCGCAGGTGTCTGTGCACGTTATGATGAACATCGAAGTGTGTCTCATCGAGTCTCCATAGGGGCAATCCTTATGGTGGGTATACTCCCGGGGCAATAGCCCCTGCCTATACTTGAGATAGTAGACCCTCACCTCTTCCCTCCCCATCAACTACCTCAACCACATCAACAGGTCGTATCTCGTATGTGGGATGGGCCCAGCGGAACTCCGGAACTATGGGCTGGATACATTAGCGCGCCTTTTCGATCTGCCCTCCGGCCCACTGGTCTCCCCTGTGCACCTGTCAAACCATCGTCGATCAGGGACACTGCCGATTCCTCGTGCGCTCTCAATGGATGTGCTGTGCATGTGTATCAACAGATGGAGAGTGGAGTGACAGGGGAAAACATACCTATCATACCTATCATGTCTCTCAGTACTAGTATACTAGTATACTAGTACAGCATAGCTGCACATGCGTCCCTCAACGTCAATGTGACTCGGAAACAGACACACCGATCTTTTCACATCCCATTCACATTCATACAGGCACAAATGGATCATCCGGAGGCCGTCTACGCCGGCTGGGCGGCCCCAGATGATAGACAAGGATTGGACACGCTATCGTTTATCATTGCCCAAAGGAGCTTCTGTCGACTCCACTTGGACCCGATCTCTCCAGCGGAATGCTGTTCGGCATTGTCTTCATGCGCCAGGGTTTGCCGACTGGGTAGTCATGGGCGGCAGACTCCGATGAGATTTCATCTCGTTCGGAGCTGGACAACTTTGCTGTTATGGCCGAGGCATTTCCAGGCCCAAGCGCAACAGGATCCACGGGAGAACCAGAAAAAAAAATCCCTCGATCATCTCTCTGTCATACTCTCTCACACTTATTCTCACTCTGTGTCTTATGACTGACTTTCTCGACAGTTTCACCCGAAAGGGCAAGACGTGCCATGAAGTATAATTCCATGGAACGTCCATTCTCCAAAGGATCGGTCTGATTGCCCTCGGCAAACTGGGCACCAGGGCACAATTGACAGATGCCATGCGGATCACCCCTTTCTTCTAATTTTTCTTCCATGTCCATACTGTATCCATGGATATGTATATACCGAGGCACTTGTACAGCTATTCTCCTGTATAAACCCACCGGCTTACGCCAGCCCTAAGGCAGAGGAACGTGATGAAATGGCCCAGGATCGTCACCTGCGAGTGACTCTCCCCTTTCAAGTTCACCGAGACCCGAGGTTCATCCGATCTTCGTTCTGACTAAGGATTAAAGATAGAAATAAAGGACGGATGCCGGTGGAGAACTAAAAGGGGGCGGAAGACATGAATACGACGTGGGATATTACTGACCTGATTGATTTTATGGTCTTTTTACTGGGATTCCGGGGCCCACGGAAGACCCCCTGATCCTGGTGAGCTAGAGTCATGGATCTCCACCGAGTGGGAGATGCTATGGAGCCTACAGCTACACATCTTGTATGTAGCTCGTGGAAGAGTATGCGTTCAGATCAGCGATCCGTGGATGATCCATAGATCCTCCCTCCTCTTATGGATTTCTCCTGCCCTTGATTAATTTCTCGAATATTAGAGAATATTAGTTAATAAATAGAAATATTAATAGAAAAAAAAAGCAACAAAACAAAGTCGCTTTTAATCTCCGCACGGTCCGACAGTTTGGGTCCAACTTGCGCCCCCCCGCGGTTTCTTTTCGTTTCGTCATTCCATCAATGCGACATCCGTGACTCTTCTTTTTCTTTTTCTTTCTTTTTTCTCTTGTTTCTTTGATGCGGCAATCCGGGGCAAGAGTGAGGGCATCGGGTTCGCGACTATGGCGCACTCGTATCACCCGCCTCAAACCGCCCTGACGGGCTTCATCGATTCAATGCAACAGGAATCCAACGTCTCCGCATATTCACTGTTCGGTCCAACCCAGTACCCCGAGAGTGTTGCGTTCTGGCACGACCCGTCCGCCCCGGTGGCGTCCGCTCCGACATATCCGGCCAAACAGCCGACATTACTCCAGCCCATCGACCAGAAGAAGCACAAGCGCACCCGAAGCGGCTGCTTCACATGTCGCGCCCGCCGGGTCAAATGTGACGAGTCCCGGCCCGTCTGTGACCGCTGTCGAAAGGGCGCCCGGGATTGTGTCTACCCATCGCCGGCCACTTCCTCCAAGGCTGCGGCGGCCCGGGCGCCCAAACCGCGTGGCCCGCGCCCGCCGTCGCAGGGCAGTGACTCGTCTTCGGGCAAGGTCGATCCCGACGACGTCAGTCCCCTCGAGCCCATCCTGGATGAGGAAGAAGAAGGAGGAGGAGAAGAGGGGACCGCGGCGGCGACGCGGCCGTCGCCGACGCCGACGAGCGGTGCACCCAAGTCCCGGCCGGACTTGCACAAGAGCCATAGCACGCAGTCATTACCCAACCGTAGTGTGATGCCGGCGTCCGAGTCTAGTTCGTTCCATCCAGATCAGAGCAGATCGCCCTCAACTGAGTCGTCACGTCCGGAGTCGGTGAGCGTGCGATCGGCCAGCATCGGTCATTCCCTCGATCTGCTTGCCAATGCCCGGCTCCCGGAAGACTTGCAGTTCTATCTCAATTTCCATCAGGAATATTTTACGCATCATCATTACTTCATGAGACCAAACAGTACTCGCTTCATCCATCAGAGTATCATCGAACTCGCCCTACAGTACGAGCCGTTGCTCTACGCCGTGGTGGGCTTCGCGGCCTATCATCATACCCTCCACAGCCCTGGAGGCAAGCTCTATACATTTCTCAAATACTACAACAAGGCTTTGATTCTTTTACGCAAGTCTCTAGGATCCGGGGAAGAACACAATGAGGCGACCCTGGTCACCGTTCTAGTTCTGACAACATTTGAGGTAAGTGTCATACTTATCGAGGTCTTGCTATCACATTTATTTCATGTTTAGTTTCTGACATTGGCTGCCAACCCAGGAATATATCGGCGACTGGGTCAATTTGATCGACCATCACCAAGCCGCACACGCCCTGATGCGAGAATTGCTGACGCCCGAATCGGCAAACTTGTACGAGCTACACAACAACATCTTTCTGTGGTACGCGCGCTTCGACGTGGTTGCAGGAATCCTGGCCGGCACCGAGACGATCCTAAGCCGAGATTGGTACCTGGCGAAAGAACAGTACGATGCCGAGCAAGCCGCCCTTTACCCTGACGACCCATCCAAGCAACTTGCCCTCGTCGCGTCGATAAACCGTCGCTTCGGGCTAGACATGGCCTCGTTGTATGCGAAATTGTCGCGCGGTCTCATCCCCATGGACGAATTTGCCGTGCAGAATGGATTGCTGGGGCAGACTATCGAACGGGCTAAGACGATCCTGAAAGGCTTCAACGAGTCCGAATACACCGTGCGCGACTACCCACACAAGCAGCCACTGGCGCAAGACGACATCGTGGATCCGTATGTGCCGGGTGGTCTGCACCGCGGTCCTTTATGGGAAATTAATTCTGCCTGGATCGATATCCTCTCGACCGAAACCATGTTCAAGTACCAGACCATGCTCGCCCTGAAGCAGCCCCTGCTCCCGGAACTACAGACATTGGCGTTCGAGCAATGCCGACTGATCGAGACGATCGACCGCTGGCCCGACAAGGAGAGTGGGTACTGTATCGCGTTCAAGAACAGCTTGGGTATAGCCAGCATGTTTTTGCCCAAGGATAGCAAGCATCAGATGTGGGCCCGGCGCAAGATGGCGCTGATGGAACAAAACGGGTACGTTTTTCCATCAATACCATGACAATATGCTCCCAAAGGAACAAGAAACAAGAAGCTAATGGATTAATGGTTTTTCTGTCTGATAATAGATATATCATTGCCCCCCGATTCCGCGCCGGCCTGGCCGCGATGTGGCAACTGCCCGAAATCCACTACTGGTGGCTCCCCAATGACGAAGGATACCCGGACATCGTCCGCGAGATCCGCTCCATGACCGAGGAACGCATGAACCAGCCGCGCGACAATTTCCGCGAGAATGTGCGCGATATGAAGTCGCTGTTCTGGAAGCTGAATGTCGATGACGCGGAGGATGACCAGAGTCCTGCTAGCAGCCACAGCGGGCTTCCTTGAGTCTGTTCTGTTGTTCTTGGAACTGTTGCAGATGCCAATGGAAATTGCACATACTGCCCAGTCGTGCAATCGAGCCTCTTTGCGTCCGGTATCATTTGACATTCGACGTGCCCTGTCGATTCACACAGAGACATACATACATCCTGCTATATATCAGCTGGCTACACCATCTGCATTTCAGCAGCCCTCGGGCTATGTACACTCTACACCAACTCTATTCCACCCACCGGCTGGACGAAATGGGGCGAAGCAGTTCAGAGCAGAAATCAGAAACCAGTCTGGTGATGCTGTCTCTGACGTCCCCAGCTCGTGTGCCATCTCCACTTCCTCGCCAGGGATCATATCTTTTCCTTTCTTTTCTAATTACCACGACCACCCCCCTTTCAAAAACCGCGCTTGACACAACAGCATATGTTGCACATTTCGTCCCATTTCTATCCTCCATCCTCTATCTATCCCGCCTCATCATACTCCTTCCACACACACACACCCTGTGATTTCATTTTCTCGCTCATGACTTGATGTGTAGAACAATTATATACCCAACCTTGTGACTCGATAAAAAGAATTATTCATAATGGCATCTTGCTTAGAGGACCGAGTTAATCATGCTACTGGACAAGAGATTGGACCACCCCATATTCATGACCTGGCGCTTGACCAAGTGAAGATATTGTACAATAGACAAGGATGTTCCTCGCAAAAGAATGCAGTTTACTTGCTGACTTGGTAGTTCGGGCATCGGCCCTAAGTACAATGAGGAAGTAAAGAAAGAGGGGATAAACCGTGATAGAGAATGTGACGGTACATCATGATATCAAGTAATCCATCTATCTACAATAATTCCAACATTTATTCTCACTCGGCCCACAGCCCGATTTCCACGGCACCTCCCCAGCCTTGACCACCGTCTCCAGCCCTCCAGCAAGTTCGCCCAGGTCCTCACCATCGACATCCTCGCCCCACGGCAAGGCATCCACATCGACATCCCAGCCAATCAAACACCGCAAGACAACCCCAGCGCCGGCCTTGCTCATCACGACATTCATCTCCTTGCACCGCTCGTCGCAGACACACTCCACGCAGCCCTGCGGCGACATACACGAGCAGGCTTCAATGCGCGCGACGGCACGTCGGAGAAGTAGGCCAATGAACTCGAATGCCTTGCTCGCAATTCCGGAACCGCAGGACCCGCCCTTGGCGTCGTAGAAGGTAAGACGGGCGGGGCGTTGGCGGGAGGGCGGTTGGAGCTTTTCTTGGAGGTGGGGTGGAGGTTTTTTAGAGTTGGATGAAGACGAAGAGGATGCTTCGTGGGCGCGGCGGAGAGAACGGCCGAGCTCCTTCTTTGCGACCTTGCATTCGGTGCGGACATCGCCTGGCGAGGAGATGACAAAGGACGGGAGCAGCGACAGGACGGCGTGTTCGGCGGCGTGGATGGCGGCGGCGATGTTGAGCCGGTGCGACTCGAGGATCTCGATTGCGCGGCTAGGCACGTCGAGCCACATGCCCTTGGTGAGGAGGTCGATGGGCGGGTTGTCGACGGCGACGGCGTCGAGGACCCGGCCGCGCTTGTCGACTTTGAAGAACCCGTACACCACGGCGTGGATCTGGACTGATCCGAAGAAGGCGCGGCAGGCGGCTGGACCAACGCCGACGAGCCGCATGGTTTCCGTCTCGATCGGGTCGATGTCCGTGAAGTCGCGCTGCATGGTATTCCAGTCGACATGGACGCGGACCACGCGGGCCAAACAACGCTCTGGGTTGAGCTCCTGGACCAGATAGGTTTGGCCTTGGTGCAGGAAGATTCCGCCTTCGTAGATGGTGAAAAAGGCCCGCGACGCTTCGACTTCTTCTAGGACTATGTTGCGATTGTTCGTGGTATCGATTACTGCAAAGTGCTGGTCCTCCGTGTCGCGAATGCAGACGCAGCGTGAAGGCTGTGGCCGGAATCGTTCATGGCAATGATAAAACCCGAGGCTATCCTTTATCAGGCGTGTTGCGGTCAGCGCAAGGAGCTGCTCGCCAAAGTAGATCTGGTCCTCATCCGGCCGGATGGGCATCTCAAAGGCAGCACACTGGACATGCCCTTCAAGGATGAGCTCGTTCGCCAGGTCGATCTGCAGCTCACAGTTGGGACGAGTAAAAATTTCCTCGGGATTCTGCATGTAGTGCTGATCGGTTGGGTACCTATCTCCAATAAGCACCGACAAGGAATCTTTGTTACGCCGTCCGGCACGGCCGCTCTGCTGGCGCAAATGAGAGATCGAATAGGGAAATCCCAATGTGAGGACGGCATCCAAGGACCCAATATCAACGCCAAGCTCCAGAGCATTGGTCGCGACGATCCCCATCAGCTTGCCTTCAAACATCTCCTTCTCGATTCGGCGTCGATCTTGAGGACTATAACCGCCGCGGTATCCCATGACCATCTTGCCGACTTCTGTTCTCTCGAGGGCATGGAATTCATTCCGCACCGCCTGCAAGAGGATCTCACACAGCTTTCTGATCCGGCAAAAAGCAATCACTCTAACCCCTCTCAGGATCAGTTGGCAAAACAGACGCGCAGTCTCAGCGACGCTGTCACCACGCCCGGAAGTCGGGTCATTGGGATCTTTAAAGGGAGTATTCCAGCAAAGAAACTCCTTGCGGCCGGAAGGAGATCCATCAAAATCCACCAGCTTCACATCCTGCACATTGAAAACAGACTTCATATGCTCTTCTGGATTAGCAACGGTAGCAGAGCAGGATATGAACCTGACATGACGGTTTCCCACCGCAGCACAAATTCGGCGAAGCCGTCGCATGACGAAGGCTACATGGGACCCGAACAAGCCGTTGTAGACATGAAGTTCATCGACAACCACGAACTTCAGATTCTTCAGGAAAGTGCGCCAGGCGCTCTCCTGCGGTAGTATCGTAACATGTAGCATATCAGGATTGGTAAAAATGATCCGCGCTTCATCGCGAATCAGGTTCCGACTTTCCATGGGCGTGTCCCCGTCGAACGTCTCAACCATCGTCTGTTGCAAGCCATCCATATACTGCAGGAGATCTGACATGCTGCGCTTCTGGTCCTGTGCGAGGGCTTTTGTGGGAAAGATGTACATGCCTCGGCTACTGGGGTCCTTTTCCAGTTCGTGAAGCATGGGGATCTGATAGATGAGCGATTTCCCGGAGCTGGTCGAGGTTGACACAATCACATTGTAGCCGTCATACAAGTGATTTATCGCCTCAGCTTGGTGAGTGTATAGCTGGGTGATGCCTCTGGTGTTGTACAGAGCGTTGACAAGGTCTTGCGACAGTCGAAACGTCAGATCCCCATAAACGGGCGACTGAGCATCAAATACCCGGTGGCCTTCCGGGACAATTTGAGCATGGTACCACTCCATTTCCCGAATCTCCGCAATAATCTCTGCAATTGACTTGCGTTCCTTGGGGATTGTAGCCGGAGCTTTAGCCACTGTGGCAGGGGTATTTGCACCACTGCCCGGTGGCGTGGGCAACAAGGAATTTTTCTCATGCTCGAGAGACTCAACCGGGTCAATACCTTGATCCTCACACCGGACAAGGAATTTATCGGCGGCGTCAGAGAATTTCACATTGCGCTTCTCGATCAGAGCGAGCATCTGCTTTTGGCTATAGACCGGCATCTTCAGATCTTCGTCCTTCATTCGGCGCACGGGTTTAGTGGGTTGCCCGGTCTTGGGATGCTGCACTTCCCGCTTCAAGTCGCCGTCCACGAACTCAAACAACAGGACGTCTTTTGTGGCACCCGAGTCGTCGAGGCCGTTCTCCATATCTGCGCCCGTCAACAGACCGTGCTGCTTGCGCAATGCATATTCGGATGTCTCCTTTTCCCCAGTCGTCATAACCTCCAACTTCGCTTCATCGACATACTCGAGCCGCACGGCGCGAGGAACCAGTACTTTCACCCGCGCGACATCTTCAACCGTAAGCTCCCGCCCCTGGCCAAGCTGGGCCTGAACCGCCTTCTTGATATTGTCAAAGGTCGTAGCAAAGTGCGTGCGTGTGCAGCAAAAAGTATACACGACGTTCAGGGCGCGATGTATCTGCGCAAGACGCTTGAAGGACTCTGGCCACGGCGCCGATTGTGTCCTCTTCTTTGATGCTTGTGAACGTGGATTGGACGAAGCAGACTTCCTGCCTCTACCAGTGTTTTTCTTGTCGGCTTTTGGCTCGGTGGAAACTGAGTCTTGGGCATTAGACTTCTTTGCCAGAGGGTCGGCCGGGGTCGAAGTGGGTTGCGCGGGAGGGTCTAGAGGCGACGCGTTGGGGGTTGGGGCCGCTGCAGGCTCAGTGCCTTGAGTATCGTCTTCATAGCTTCGTTTTCGCTTGAGAGACGGATGGAACTCTGGTGCTGACACGGATCCCGCCATGTCGAAGCGCCATGCTGATATTGTGGTGACGGCGGTTCGATCGACAAGACATGAGCGACGCGAGGTCACGTGTGGCGATATAACCCAACTGGGTAGAGGATCTATGGGATAAGGGTTGGTCTACTGTTGATACTCCCGACAGACACATATCAATTCGTAATCGCTCATAATCAGATATCGCTCGCCACATCCTCAATGATAAACTCCTAAACACGAACCCCCCAGTGCGCTCTTTCGAGAAAAAGAAAATCTTTGAAAATCTTTATCGCTCAACTCTTCTTCACCCCACTGATCTTCTTCAAGCTTCTTCCAACAGGTCCTTGATCACCGAGTACAGATCCTTAGCAAGGGATTCGTTCCCAGTCTAAGCCAGATGGTTAGCACGCTTATTGTAACAAGACGGATTGAAGCACGGAGAAGGAACTTACGCGAAGCAGCAGTGGCACGGTGCGGTTGTCTTCCGTGCTGCCCAGGAGAATCTGCTTAGTTGAGGGAGCCTCGCCCTTGGGATCTCCATAGTTCATCCCCTTGAAGATCGGGCTGTTCAGCATCACACGCCCAGCGCCGTCCGCACGCATGATCATCCGGCCAGATCGCTTGCCGTTGGGACCCCGTCGCACGTTGACCTTGAAAGTGCCGATGCCACGCTCCTTCCATTCCTTGTTCGAGAAATTGAACAGCTTAGCCTTGCACGTAAAAGCGGTCTCCTCTTCTTCCTCGCCAGTTTCAACTGTGATCGTGTCAGTAAACCAACCAACGAATGCAAAAATGTAGATGAAGATGCATACTGGTTTGTTCAAAGAATCGCTCGTCGGTCTTTTCCGCTTCAAACGTATCTGCTTCTTCATCGTCGTTGTTGTCACTTTCCTCACCCTCAGATTCTTCAGCTCCAAATGGTTTGGCTTTGGATTCACCAAAGGTAGCAGGGGAGTTGGGAGACGCAAAGCTGGTTAGACCACCTGGTCTAGCAGTCCCAGAAAAACCGCCACCGACCCCGGCGAAGCCAGTTCCGAGAGCGCTAAATCCCGAACTGCCCGAGGCCGAGGCAAAAGCTGATGGAGTAGAACTGGCGGACTTGAAAACAGAAGGGGTCGATGCACCCAAGGTGCCGAACGGGGACTTTTCAGAGCCGGCAAAGGCAGCCAACCCAGACGATGCAAACGCAGAAGTGGAGGTAGTTTTGTCAGCATCCGATGGTTCATTAGCAGTAGTCTTAGTCTTCGCAGCGCCCAACGAAGCAAATGGGGAAGCGGCAGATGCATTCCCGAATGCACTCGCAGCAAAAGCCTGCCAGGGAAGAAACGTTAAAAATTGCTTTGAAATATCGGAGAAAAATTTAAGACACAAACCTTGTCCGTCTTGGATTCTCGTTCCTGGGAGTTATCACGATGTTTTTTCTTCTCAGGCTCTCCCTCGACTGTGGCTTTCTCGTCAAGAGGGGCAGACTTGGGTTCAGTGGTAGTCACAGCCCCGGATCCCTTCGAATCGTCTTCAAGTTGCTCCCTGCTCCTCTTCTTCTTGGGAACCTTTGCGGCTTCGTCGGCATTGTCGGGAGGATTGGTGGTAGCGCCGGAGGTGCTCTCGGCCGCAGACTTGTCGGTGTCCTGTGAAATTGGGTTGGTATCATCATCATTCTTGAGATTGGCCTTGTGCGATTCCTGGGTATCCTTTGGAAGGATATCTGCAGGAATTTTGGCATCTTGTTCCTCAGGGATTTTGGTGGTTTGGATCTCCTCCAGGGTGGTGTCCGGGGAATTGGTGGCTTCCAAACTATCGGATTCAAATTCAGAGTCACTCACATTTCGCGGCGCAGTGCTGGTTGATGCGTCCTGGTATCGGCCAATTGCGGGGAATTCGTGTTCGGAAGCCTGGGATTCAGAGTTGGCATCATCATTCTCATCGCTGTCTGTGTGGTCTTCTGAAGAGGCATCCTCGTCGGAGTGATCGTCCGTGGAATCACCGGAAGAAGCAGTATCATTCGAGTCATCATCGGTTGAGTCTCCAGAAAACACAGAATCATTCTCGTCACTGTCCACGGAGTATCCAGAGGAGGCAGGATCAGTCTCGACAATGTCGATGGAGTCTCCAGACGAGGAGTTCGTATCCTCTTCGCTGTCCCTGGGGTGTCCAGAAGGGGCATCTTCATCCTGCTCGGATGGTGCGGTGGCTTCATCGCTGTCCTTGATTGTTTCCAGGAGGGGGGCCACTTCAGGGTTGGTGGATTCAGGGTCACTCACATTGTGAGAAGCGGTACCGGCATTTGCCTCCTCATTCTTGACCGACTCGGAAGAAAGTTTGGGGTCTTCGGGGGTGCACTCGCGCGATCGCTTTCGTTGGTTCAAACCGTTCTCGTTGGGATCAACAGCCGCGCCATCCTCACGCGACTCTTCGATGGAGCGCTTCCTGCCGCCGCTGCTGGATCGGGTATTTCCACCAGCTTGCGAGGTCGACTCGATGCTGGTTTCCTTGAGCTGCTTCCGCACAGGCCGCTCACCTCCGTCATTGTCCGAGGGAGGCGACTGCGCGTGTTCGGCGCTCACTGCAACAAACACACACACTCGGTTAGACTAGGCAGTGATAGGGTTGTAGGACTTCGGTCATACCAGTCGGTTTCGCCATTTCTTTTTTGCTCGTTCTTCAGAGCTTCCATGCAGCGTCAGCAACAAGTCTCCAAGCACCGCGGGGAACTGCTCCCCCTTCCTCTCTGGAAGCAGTCACTTACCAGGTGTCCAGGCCTTGGATTCTTTTTAAAATAAAAGCTCTCTGACACAGTTGTCTTGTACAGAGAGCCGACCGAAGGAGAGAAAGTGGTGGGTATCGCAAACGCACAAGAAGGAGAGGAGCTTTGAGGTGAGGGTGAGGGGAGCTTGAAGAGACACAAGTAATCGAGGTAGGGGAGTCAGGACGATTCAGACCAGCCGAATCAGAGTCGAAAGGGAGTTGTAGCGGGTGTTGGGAGGAAGAGAAAGAGACGATGAAAGGAGGAACGGCGAAGATAAAGCGTTGTCCCGGTCACCGCTCCGCCCCGCAGCAAACGAAGTCAATGGGATCAATAGACAATTAGAGCGATTAAATAGACTATTAACATTATTGAGATTATTGAGGTCATTCAGATTATTCAGATGAACAAGATAAATGAGATAAATCAAAGGCTGCATCGAACAATCAATAGGAACAAAGTACATTGCATACATTGAATAGGATATGCCGGTATCCAGGTCTAATACACAGAATGCTCAATGGGAGTCATTCTTCCCCAGCCCTCGATCATGTGATAGGGCTTCCTCGATGCTGCAGAGGGTGCGAGACCACCTCTTTTTAACTAATGAAACAAAGACATCCGATCGCAACATAGAACACAAAAAGCGGGTACACCGCGATGCCGACTCGGTTTCGTACCACCCCCGAACCACCCAGGATGCTGACGCCTGCTGCCAACGACCATGCCACCAGGACAAGGTAGACTGGTATGCGAGCAATTGTAGGAAGGCCCACGGCGCTAAGAAGGGAGGCAATGACTAGCGGGAAGAGCGTGTAACCGATGATGCAGACGGACTGAAAGAAGGAACTAGAGGCCCGTCGTGTCAGTAGACAAAACACCCCCAAGCAGAAGGGAAATAGAGAAACCACACGTACATCTTGCCACCAAGAAGCTTAATCTGAAGCGTCACTGCGGCCTCGCCGATCCAGACGATACAGAAAACACCCGAGAAAACCAGCGACGCCTGATCGCCCTTGGCGACGGACAGGAACAAACTCAGGACCAAACAGAAGATCAGCGGACCCCTGCAAGTAGAAAGAAGAGACGATAGTTAGCTTTTGAGGCCAGGCACAAAGCGACCAAAATGAGTCCTGCTGGAATCATACCAAAGATCCCAATCGCGCAACCCCTCACTCATTCCACCCTGCAGGACCACGTCGGGATCGGGCCAGCGCCCAACCAGTCCGCGCAGGTTGCGACCAAATCCAGTAGCTTCGCCTCTCTCAGCATCGTTGATACCACCGCCACCGCGCTGCATCATGCCACCCAGCAGGTACTTGGGCCAGAGCACCTGGCGCATCTTCTCCCACACGGCAACCAGGTCGCGCGACAACGTCGCCCAAACCGTCTCGTCGATGGTGTTCTGTGTCGCGCGACGGTCCTCGCCGGGGATTGAGGAGGTCAAGTAGTTGCCATAGCCAGAAGCACCGCCTCTGGATCCCGAGTCGGATTCAATGTTGCCTCGCAGGGGAGCCGTGTCGGAGGTATCGCGCAGGGGGTCATCGGCCTCGATGGCTAAATCAAACACGGGTGAGAATCGTAGCAGAGATAGATAGAGAAACAGAGACACAGGGAGATAATCCAAGACCAAGACCATTGTCAGCACTCACCATCGTCGGCCATCAGGTCATCTTCCAGCAGCGAGTCATCGTCGCGCGAGTCGTAGGGCTGGCCGTGCTGTACGCTGGCCATGATTGCGATTCAATGAAAGATTTAATTCGACTTGGAGCGCAGAAGCAGAGAACGCTGGAGAAGCAAAGGGAGAAGGTAACGTGTAGCTGTCTCGGAAAGGCTACTGTAGGTACTAGGTAACTTTGGGAACTGTCTCTAGGTCACATGACCTTTCCCTACCTCAGTTAGGAAAAGCTCCAAACTCCACGTGATGCATCCAGGGAATTCTTTGAGGGGAAGGTTCAATTCTCATCTTTCCTCTTGTCCATCTATCTTCTAAGCCCCAGAGTCCATTTTCTATTCCTGGGTCTTCCATTTTCTAAGGCTCTGTACTCATTTCCTTCTGTTGACATTTCCTCTGTACTTTCAGGTGCGTTCTGTTATCTTGCCCGTACTTCGGACCCACTACGTCTCCTTCGGACCCACTACGTCTCCCCCACTCACGATGGATGCTAACCCATCCCCAGAATGAACCCAGCAACAGAGCTAGACGAACCTTTGAGGGTGTCCCTGATTGAGCGGCTACAAGAAGCCACAAATTTACAATCCATCGATTCCATGGCCTGGTCATGTCTCTGGCTTGCGGAACTGAGTGCCCTTGAATCATTCGTTCACAAAGCTGAAGCTGGCGACCCGAGTGTTTCAGTATCACTCCGGAGTCAGGACATCACACGAACAGCCAAAGCTTGTGAGATATTATCTTTTCTCTCCCTCTTTCTCTCTACTCCAAACTAATATTATGCTATATAGGGGCAGCTCGTACTCGGGAGACACAGGATACTCGATCGAAGAAACGGACAGCTGAAGAAGCTTTCAATCCAACCTCTAGAATCCCTCGACCTATCTCTCGCTCAGAGTCTGCAAAAAAAACTGTACGCCGGTCACTTTTCTCCTCTTTATTTATCTTACTTATATGAAATACTAGGTTCTTGAACGAGACAAAGAGACCTGCATTATAAGCAAGGCAGGCATTCCGATCGAAGTCGCCCATATCTATTGCTATAGTATGGGCAAAAACGAACAGTCCGATCAACAACAAGTTTTCTGGGATATCCTGACTCTTTTCTGGGGTCCAGAGAAAGTCAAGGAATGGAGAGAAGCCGTGCTTGGTCCGCAAGGGACCGAGGTTCCATCCAATTTGCTTTGCTTAATGACCCTTGTGCATACACTATGGGGCAAAAGCTGTTTCGCCCTCAAACCTCTTCAGGTAGCAGATGATAGAAAGTCCATGCAAGTCCAATTCTGTTGGCTAAGGCCAGCTACATACCGATCTCAAGTCCCGATTACCGAAAAGCCTTGTCTCCCCCGCAACCTCGACTGTGGTCCGCGTAATATCAAGCTCTGGAATTGCTTGACCGAAAAAAAGATTTGTTCCGGCGAAATAATTGAGATCCGGACTGACGACCCTGAGCTTCGCCCGCTTCCTTCGGCCGTCTTATTACAGATGCAATGGATTTTACACAGAGTCCTTGCAATGAGTGGAGCCGCAGATGCCCCAGACGAAGAACTTGACACTGACTCGGAGTCAGATGTTGCGTCATGGGAAGCGGATGACCTCCACATATTCCCCGTACCGGGGAAAACATCCCCTCCGCCACCGAGTTCGTCTATGTGAAATCTCCACAGAGTGTAGTGACTCCTCCTGCTCCGAGATCTCCGTCTAAGGTTCAGCGGGGAGACCAACACAAGCCCCTCGTGCTTCGAAACTTGGACACAAATACTGGCGGTTGACGCGATTTGTTTATCCTTTCTACTGGCTGCGAACGCGATTTGTTTGTCTTTCCTCCTGGCTGCTGACGCGATTTGTTTATCTTTCCCCTGGCTAGTCAAACACTGCGTACGGGTTATTATTGTTATTATATCGTTGCATTACGAGGAAAATTCCATCGCTATTCCCTAATGTTATTGGTACTAAGACCGTTCCAAGGTTAATCTACCGTCTATCCATAACGCAATCCAGCCATCCAGCTTCATACCCGGTAGGTGTTCAAACCAGGGGTTTAGTGGGTGTAGTCATTACTATCTGGTGGAGAGAGTGAGAAGAAGTGAGAAAGAAGACCCCCAAGGCGAAGATGTAAGTCACGCACATGTTAGAACCGGGGTTCTAAGGGGGTCGAAGAGGTCCTTTAAAACCGGGATTCCAATAGACATTGCAGTCTGAGGCCTTTCTCGCTCCACTTTCACCTGTTTACTTCGACAACTTCGACAACTTCGACAACTTTGCACATTTATGCTTCAGAAAGCATACGAATTGACATTACGATGTTATCCACTATTTGTGATACTGTTCAAGTAGATTCAACATGGTCATGTCATTGACTCGCGACTCGTATCAACTCGTCTCGGCCCCAATGTAGGGCTCTTCCTCCTGGTACACGTCGTACTTGAACCGACTCCCAGGGTGATCAGCCCGGAGCTCTTTCTGACCCTTTCCATAGATCTTCTCACGAGCCGTAAGGGGTTCCTCTGAAAGATCTGGGTACACACCCCGTCTTCTAAGCTCCGGGATAAGCAAGTCAACCAGGTCCTTGAAGGAACCGGGCGTGGTAACATAGCCGATATTGAACCCGTCAAGGTCAGCTTCTCGAATCCAGCGCTCCAGCTCATCTGCGACAGTCGCAGGACTACCAATTGCCACGGGGCCCAAGCCACCAATGGCCGCCTTCTCGGCGACCACGCGCGGCGTCCAGCGGGGGATGTCCTTGCTAGTCTGGAGGAGAGAATCAAGAAGACTGGTCACTTTACCGGCCTCCAGAGAATCCGCAGCTGTCAGGTCCTGATCCAGCGGGATCTTGGAGATATCGATGCCCGTCCAGCCACTGAACAGGACCAGGCCGCCAATCACTGACGCGTACTGCTTCAGCTCCTCGTACTTGGCCCAGGCGGCCTCGTCACTCTCGCCGATGATGGGCGTGAACGTGCCAAAGAACTTGATTGACTGCGGGTCGCGGCCCAGCTCGGCGGCTTGCTTGCGGATGTTTGCGATCTTGGGCCGCAGCACCTCAGGCGAGTGCGAGGAAACAAAAACGGCTTCTGCGTGGGTCGAAGCAAACGCTGACCCGGCCGAAGAAGTTCCAGCTTGGAAGAGGAACGGCGTTCGCTGAGGCGATGGGTCGACTATGTGCCGCGTGTTGAGAGAGAAGTACTTCCCTTTGTGGTTGATCTGTCGGACCTTGTCTGGGTCTATGTACGAGTCTGTCTCGGGGTTGGGAGAGAGCGCATCAGACGCCCAAGAACCTTCCCAGAGCCTGTTTCAGACAGACGTGAGTTCCTCTTTTGCGATCTACTGGAGGGACTGGTACACACTTGTAAACCACCTTGAGGTACTCATCCGCCTGGCGGTACCGTTCATCATGCTCAATCGGACTATCCAGCCCAATAGCCTTGAAAGCCGCCTTCTTATAGGAAGTGACAATATTCCAGCCCAACCGGCCATTGGTCAAGTGGTCGAGGGTCGAAAAGCGCTTTGCCAACAGGAACGGAGGCTCGAAGGAGGTTGAGGCTGTGATCCCGAACGCCAGATTCTTGGTCACAGCAGCCATCGCAGAGATCGGCTAGCCTCGAGTCAGTTCTTTTCTTCATTCTATTCTTCGCCCTCTTTGGTCAACTCACAATGGTTGGGTCCGTCACCGGCCACTGCGCCGCTCGCCGAATACACTCGTCCACTTTGCCCTCGTACGTATCATAGCCACCGGTGGTATCCGCCAGGAACAAGGCGTTGATTCCGCCACGCTCCAGGAGCTTAGCTAGCTCGACCCAGTAGTCCAGACTGCGCTTCGTGGCTGATTTGTCCTTGGGGTTCTATGCGTGCGAGGGAGAGAGATGGTGAGTGGTTTGTTCTTTGTCTTCACGGGGCAATTGTATTATACCAACCTTCCATTGTCCAGGAGACAAGTGTCCCACGGTCGACATGTCAAATGCATTGAGGAGGATCTGTTTCTTGCCAGTGCCAGTGTCAGTGCCATTAACCGGGTTATTCTGGCCCGTTACTGCGCCCGTGTCTCCCATGTTGCTATAGTTCTGATCCTGCTCTCTATAAGACTCAAAACCTCCCTGGCAACAGAAGAATAGATATAGGAGTCGTCCGAATCAATTCGAATAAATGCCCAAAGAAAAAGTTACTCCATATCCCCGCCTCGGTCATTGCCATCGGCCTCGGTTCTCACGCCATCGACTTGGAGAGGGCGGGAAGTACGGAGGATCCCCGAATACTAAGAAGCTACCCCTGCTATAGACGGATGCCTACCCTGCATGATTCCATGGATATAGATGTGCAGATGGCGTGCCGCAGACGAAACCTTCGCCATCATCTCCACTGCCTCAGATTCTATGGGCAATCGATCTTGTCGCACCGGCATCGCATATTCTCGCGTCAAGTCCATCGTCAAGAAGTATCAATTGAGTAAGAAGTCGGGGAAGAGAGGGGCAGGGGAGATATTTCACCATCTGATGCGCGATTGCGTGACGCTGCCTCGTCAGCAGTTACAGCCCGCAATCAAGGCCCTAAGAAGAAGAAAAAGCATTCAAGACTTAAATCGAGTGGATTGATATATGTGTAGAGGAGAATGGGCCCATGCACTTATATAAGTTGGGTGGCCAGTGAGAGGATTTTGTGTTATCACAATTAAGAGGGAAATGAAATTGTTTGGTTGAGTTATGCAGAGGCTGTACTTGTAAAGTAGGGCCATACTATGAACCATTCATCTATACATACTCGGATATTGACTTTGGTGTGTCCAGGTATTGTGAATATACTTCTCTTGACTAGAAGAAAACAACCGCTCTGTGGTTTCTCCAATGTACTACATTGATATCAATATCTTACCAAGATCGATCTTCTTTCCCCTGCACCGAATCCGCAGGGACTCCAGACTCCAAAGTACCCGAGTCTCCTGTAGTCGAGTCAGACGCACTGTTCCGTCGAGCATTATTCTTCCTAAACAGAACATCAGTTAAAAGGACAAATTCCCAAACTCCAACCCTATACACTCCGTACTTACTCTTCCCGCGAAAGAAAGAACTGGATGACATGCGCGAGCACAATCAAGCAGATAGCATTCCCCAAAACAAAAGAATAGCCCTTCATAAAGCGAGGCCCCTCAACGGTTTTGAAAACCAAAAGCGGCGTCCAAGCCGTCGTCGACTGAGCAACAGCATTAACCAGAACAAGTGTCAGAGCACGCTCAACGGGCGAGTACCGTAACTGACTATTAACCCAGCCATACAGCACACTGGACATAGCAACAGCCGAGTATGTAGTAAAGAAAGCAAACCACAAAGCTGACTCCGGAACGCGCCAGATAACCAAGACGACGATGCCGATGATATTCCAGACATGGGACACGGTAATCGCCCAGGCGGGTCCAAGCAACAGATCCGAGGAAAAGCATACAATCAGCGTATAAAGTATACCTAACGCCGGCGAGATAGCCGCCAGCTCGTTCAGCCGGCTCGTCGAGAACCGGTCCAGACTCTTCAGCCACAGCTGGTAGCCGCCGGTCGTGGTGTTGACGCTGGCGTTCCAGAAGAAGATGTCCAGCCAGAGCAGCGCCCAGAACTTCCAGTTACGGCTGACTTTGGTGATAGTATGCCATGAGAGCGGGTCTTCTTTGATACGATGCGAGGCGCGCTCGAGGCGCGTGCGCGCGAGGGCGATGTCATCCTGTTTGAGGACGAGTTTGTTGGGCTTGTCGGGCGTGCCTGGGAGAATGAAGTAGCCCAGGATGGCGATGGGGATTGTGATTATCGCGCAGATTATGTACATCCATCGCCAGCCGGCTAGGCCGTTGACACCGTCGAGTCTGCTTGAGGCGCCTGCTTGGATGAGGCTTGCTGTCAGCGTGCCCAGGGTCAGGCCGACGTAGAAGCATCCGCCTCGTCGGGAGATCTCGTCGCTGCGGTACCACGAGCCTGTAGTATCAGAAGTAAGAATTTGTCTGGTTAAAGGAATACTGGAGATTTCTTGGATTTCTTACCAAATATATAATGCATTCCAGGATAAAAAGCAGCCTAAGCACAGGAAAAGCAACAAAAGAATGAGTAATGTCCATCTGAGCCCATTCTAACATGTACCATGATCACTTACCTCAAACCAACCAACAAGAAACCGATACGCCGCCAGCTCCGCATACGAAGTAGCCCGATACTGGACCAGCGTAAAGATCCCCCAGGCAACATCCATAAATGGGATGACCCACGACATCGGCAGCTTAGTGAACAAATACGCAAAGGGCAGCTGGCCAACCACGGCGCCAATGGTATACATAGTCTGCAGCTGGACGAGCTCATTACCATGCAAATTCAAGTCTTCTTTGAGGCCAGAGACATAGGCGTTGTCTGTGGAAATCCAGTTAAGTTAAAGATATCTCTGGCAGTAACATGAGAAGGGGCAAAAATCCACGTACTGATATTGGCCTGGTCGATATACTTGGTCCAGTAAGCCAGGAAGGCATAGGGGACAATCAACAGATCAAGTTTGAGGAGAAGCCATCTCTCCTCTTTGGTGTCGTGGTCTGCAAACCATTGTAGTTTATACCATTTGCGGCGTTGTTGGGGGCCGGCCATCGTTTTTTTGGACACTTCTCTTCTTTCTTCTGCGTGCAGAGAAGAATGTACAAGGACAACTTAACAGGTGTTGAAGGAATTAACGTCCGCTGCCACAGTCATGCTAGTAAGCCCCTAGACTAGACGCGGTTTCAACCGTTAGGGCACGATGCAAGATGCCACCGTCGATGTGGATTGCGTGACTGGGTTGGGAAAACTCTAAACAAATCAGTAACCATTTTCATAGATAGAAATGAGAATGTTTATCGTTCTTGTCATTCTTGCAAGACTGTGGAGACCCTTGGGTCTTGGAAGAGAGAGTTCTCTCGGCCAAGGGACGTGTCAGAAAGTGGAGAGAAGACGTGCTAGAGATCGGCGGGCTATAGCAGTTACAGCCCGCAATCAAGGCCCTAAGAAGAAGAAAAAGCATTCAAGACTTAAATCGAGTGGATTGATATATGTGTAGAGGAGAATGGGCCCATGCACTTATATACAAATGCAAATGCAAAACGCCGTCTAAACCCCCAGACACGGTGACATGCAGTGATAATATACAGATCCCAAGCCCATGCACAGATCCCAAAAGAAAATGAGGAAAAGAAAAAGGAAAATACAAAAACCGCGTAGATGCAGAACACTCTGGCTTTTTGCTGCGTGTTTCAGTATTTCAAGAGCGTTGAAGGAACCTGTTCTTCTGCTCGATGGTAGGGAAGATATTCTGCGACCTGAATTTGGCGACAGTTTCCTTGTCAGAGTACTTGCGCAGCATGCGCGACTCTGACTCCAGGGTCTTGCGGTCACTCTTCGGGACGAACAGCATGTACTCGATTTTGAGGGTATCGTCAATCAACATGCGCGCGCGGGCCATGACCTTAGCAGCAACCATGCCAAAGACAATCTCGGGCTGATGGAGCGCGGACCAGCGGCCCTTGGGCGACGGCTTGCCGTACTCCATGGCCTCGTGCAGCTGGTTGATGTGCGGACGCAGCGTGGCCAGAGCAACGAGCCGCAGCTTGACCTGTAGCTTCTTGCCCAGATTCTGTAGACTGCGGGCCTCGAGGCCTTCGTCTGCGCCCAGGCCGTTCATCGCTAGCAGAGACTCCGGGTTATTGGAGAGGATCTGGATCAGCTCCAGATACCCTTCCAGGGCTCGGGGGTCGGGAAGAATCAGGGACTGGTGCATCAACGAGAGTAGTTCATTCGCATACAACAACACCGAAGGGTTGCGGCGGTCACGACGACAGGATGAGAGAGCCACGTGGAAGGCTTTTCCGTTAGCTTGTTTGGAGGCGACCATCTGATCCCGCATAACTTTAACTGCGGCGAAGCTGGACCGCGAGATACGGAGAAGACGCAGATACTGAAGGAAAGAAACAGGGTCGGGAGCGACGTGGTGGTCGGTTTCGCCCAAGGTCAAATGTCTCCAGTAGGCCATGCCGGCCGCCGTCCCTTGGGTCATGGTGAAACAAGCATCCAAAATGACGGTGAGGTCCTTGTTGTCGGGTTGGAGGTATGATAGGTCTGCTTCCTGTGGAACGACAGGGTCAAACAAGTCCTCGAAGGATTCCTCTTCCTCCTCTTCCATCTCCTCTTCTGGTTGCTGTTCATCAACAGCAGGCTCAACTCCATCCTCTTCCGCCTTTGCCAGTTCCAGTAACTGGTTGTCGTCGTCCACGAACGGAACGTCTTCCACCGGCTGCCTCTTAGGAGGAGGGGGAGGAGCAGAAGAGGTATCTTGCATAATCCGTCCAGAATTGACCCTGGCCTTAAAAGAACTGGGAATTGGGGGCGGCTTCTCTTGCAAAATTGGAATACCCATGGTTTGGTTATACAGTGTCAGGACGTCGTAGCAGTCACGGTCACTAGCACCCTCCAGCAGCAGAGTAGCCATGGCGTGAACCACCTTGTTGTCCAGCGTCAAGTGTTCGTGGGTCCATCGGTACACAATATCGGCCCAGACACGCTTGCCTTCTCGGACAGCTTGAGCTTTTCGCTCGAGGATCTTATCGATTTGGTCCGGGCCCAGCGCCTTGACATCCCTGGCGGCGGCAAATTGCAGGGCTGTCAAGATAATAGTGTAGGTCGCCATATCCGGTGCTCCTGGTCCCTCCTCCGGAAGATCTCCGGCAATCCGCCACAGCATATTCATATCTTCGTGGCGATGGCAGACGGTAAGCATGGCATTGGTGTGGATGGTGCTGCGCTTGACAGCCGAGTTGGGAGCAGAGATCGAGCGGTAGACGGAGTAGGCGGTTTTAACAACTTCCTTGGACTTGGAGGCCCGACTAAATCCTCGAAGCATGATGGTATACGTCGTTTCCTTTGGTTTGCGGCCGCGTTTCTTCATCTAAAACGAAAGCAGTCAGTTTCCAGGGCATATGAAACAACAGAAAAAGCATATCCCCAAAACTCACATCATTATAGAACTTGAAAGCCACCCGAGGCTGATTCCGATCCATACAATACGCCAAAAGATGGTTCCAGGCAACATCACACTTCATCTTATTTTTCTGGGCGCCGCGAATGAGCGCCACCGCAAGCGCTGGGTCGCCCAGCTGCAAGACCCGCCCAACACGGTCCGCCAACTCGCGCGGATCCTTCAACCACTTCAGCTCGATATTGATGCCCTTCCGCGAGCGATCCAGCTGGGACGCAAGCACCTTGCGAGACAGGCCCGACGGCAAGATCGAATCGCCAGGCGCGTCGACATCGGGCGACAGTCGCGACGCAATGGCCATCAGCAGATCGCCTTCTGCCTTCTCGCCGAGATTGCGAGTGTCCAGAAAACTAAGCCGGCCTGAGCGGTTCGCAAAGCGGGCGGGCTGCTGTGGCATGGAGGTCGGTGCGGCGGGTTGTTGCTCGGGTTCTTCATGGTCGGCGGCGGCAGCGGGTTGTTCGGCGGGGTCGGGGGCTGTGGAATAGGCTCGCGCAAGGCTCGGTAATGATCTCGCTGTCAGGGACTGGGGTGTGCGCGCAAAACGCTGCTGCTGTGCGACGACGAGTCGGCTGCGCAAAGCTCTGCCCCAGAGCGAGCCCGGGATCCGGGCTATCATCGCTCAAGCGTCAGGGGGTAGGGTTGGCGTCACAGCCGAAAAGCCAGAGCAGACCCAGAGATCCAGATCGGTCTGAATAGCTAGCCCGAGGAAATCAAGGGAAGGGAGGGAAGGGAAGAGCAGCAAGCTAACCAAGAAAAAGAAAAGAAGACTAAACCTGGCAATGCGGACACCTCCGAATCTCCGGCGAAACAATAATTTAAGATAGGCTAGGCGATATCGGGTTTAGCTCTCAACCCTTATCTTTCAGGCAGAGATCTTTCACCAATTGTTGATGCCTCAGGCATCAACATACACATCACTCACGTGGCTCCTCCGATCCATCTAAGCCGCAAGCAGTTTAGTCCACCAAACAACCCACGTTTCCCCCGATGGAGCCGGGCCGGAGACGCTAGAGCATATTTTTGCCCCCCGAATTCCATGACTTGCCTTAGCTCCTAGACTACATTAGTTCCCGGGGGTTCAACTGAGGGACGGATGCAGATCAGTGTACCGAGGGTTAGGTTTATTTCCGCATACTAGATCATACAAAGCCACCAAGAGAGAAAAAAATATACCTGCCAACCTTTCCACTATAAGTGAGTCGAAAAAGACAGGACTTTATATTTGGTACATATTACTATAGGGATAAATGTTCTTTTTTTTGCACCCTTTTATTCCTATTTTTGTTTTTCCTCTTTTATTTTAGTGCCTTGAGAGCTGACGTCGACACTGACTTAGCGCCATCCCACTAGCCTACCGCAGTTACATCTCGCCCTAGGTGTATCTGCCTAGTACGAGCCGTCGGCCACCAGCAGGATCTAAGCCAACTTTAAATCGCCCAAAATTACTAGGGGCTGAGCCACCATCCCTGGTGGCTGATCCTAAACTAACCCTATCTATACTCTATATGTATGTATGCAAGTATCCAGGTACTGTACTTTTGTCTGCTCTAAGCCAACGTACCTATTGATCATGACACGCAGATTCTTCTTGTATAAATCTGCTTTGTTTCTAGAGTTTTTCTGGCAGGACAATAGAGAGCCTATTTTAATAGGGGAAATAATAATTGTTCGGTCAATAGTGTATATAACAGCTAGATCATTTACACGCATGCTCCCTAAACGCAATCTAGTCATTCACAACCATAGAATTACAGAATAGAAATAAGAGTTGTGAGCTTCGTAGAAAAAAGAAATCCCACAAAAATACACATCAAGATCGTCATACACAGAACCACCGCCACGCCACCAATAAGACAGTCGGTCCTTAAGAAAAGTTACCAGCGAATGAATATTGCACAGGGTCAAATTTGCGTCAAGGCCCAGCATAGCACAATGTACGTTAAAAGAGAAAGACAGAAAAGTGGAGAGGCATCGAATGACACCTACACAGCAAAACTCCATACATAAATACACACACACAGCAACTAATCAACAAGTGAAAGACAATCAGAACCTCCCAAAGAAGAAAGAAAAGAAAAGGATCTCATTTTGGGAGAATGCTGATAAAACAGAGAAAGAAACCCGATGCGTTATAAAAAGGAAAAAAGAAAGACAGAAAGAAAAGAATCCGCCACCCAGTCAATTCTTAAGTCACAGCCCCGGCAACCAGCATCCACAGGGATCTCTTGTAAGCCAAGGAGAAAGGCACACACACAGAAGAAGAAAAAGAAGAGAAGAGAAGAGTCTTCTGTGGAGCTTGGTGCACTCTAATGTAAGAGCAAGGAGGAATCACAGGTTGAGAACAAAATTGGAAAGCCACTCTTTGACGGAAAGAATTAAAGCTGCAGAGAGGAGGGTGGTATCATTTGCGCGAGACTTCAGAAGACGGAGATGAAGGGGGTGGGATCATATCCGCGACCAGAACATAAAAAGCAGGGATATCGTGATTAGAAAACAATGCAGTTGCCATCCATAGCGTGGGAGAGAAGTTCGATTATGGGATTATTGCGGGTAGTTGGTCGGTTGAGGCTCTGGAAAGGCGGAACGAAAAGCAATCAGCCGACCGGTCAGGGCGAAGGCGAGAATGACCGACTCGAAGAGAACACAGAACAAGTCCAGAGGGGGGGAGAGAGAGAGAGTCGGGATGCTGGCAACAAGCAGGTGGCGACGTTTACTCACGTTGCTGGTACACGGGGCCACTCTGGTAGGGAGAGTGGGGGTAGTTGGGAGGGTAGCCCATCTGTCCATTGTTTTGGTAGACCATGCCACCACCAGGAGCACCATATTGGCTGGGGACCTGGCCATCGGCAGGTTGGTAACCGATCGGGGGCAGCTGCGGACGAACTCCACTAGCGTAGGCAGGCGGCTGGCCCACCTGAGAGGGATCAGAATGACCAGGCTGGTCAACCTGGCTGGGAGTAGACTGAGCGGCAGCACGCTCGCGGTCCTCGGCGGCCTTGCGCTGGGCCTCTTCCTCCTTCTTACGAGCCTTCCATTCCTTGCGGATCTCCTTGAATTCTGGGAGAAGTCAGAAAAGTCAGAAAGAGACGAGAATAGCCAACGAGGTAAGTAAATAATGAGCCCGAGAATCGCGGGGATCGCGGGGATAACAGGGATAGACCAGCGGGGCTCAAAGGGATAGACAAGCTTAGCTCGGCATTTAGTGTAACTCACTAGCGCCGCGTAGCCGGTACTAACCCAAAGGAGCGATTTGCGACACAGTCTATATGCCCATCCCCAAAGCACAATACCTGAGAACAAGAGATTCACATACCTTCTGGGGTCCGCTTAGCACCGTGCGACTGCATCGTCACATGCGCATTCAGGTGGTTCAACGTTCCGTATGCCTTTTCACAGCCATTCCACCCACACTTGTACATACGCTCAATCTCCTCGTAGCGGCGACGGGGTCGCTTGTGCTGCTGTGCACCAGGGATCGGGACAAAAGAATAGACCTAGAAAACAGATAGGTGGTCAGTCAAGGTCCCAAAGCAAGTATAAAAGCCATCTCAACCACTAGAATAGTCGAGACCAAAATAAAGACCAAACAAGACAGTTTTTGACAAGTTCCTGGGAGGGTAACTGGGCCAGTCAAACCCAGCAGTGCCCCCAAGACAACGATGATAGAACCATGCGAAGCCTTTGAGAAAACACACCCAGAAACCATCAAAAACATACCTTATCAGAACGCGGCACGGCGGTCGCAGCAGGGGAGGCAGAACCAACCGTAGTAGCCGGAGAGGCATAAGGCCCTGGCATGCCATGAGGCTGTTGGCCATAGTGGTGAGGCCATTCTGGACGGGTGTACATCTGGTGAGGCGGGGGGTGACTCTGGTACTGAGCCATTTCGTGACCCTGTGGCTGGTAGGGAGAGTAGGGGGGAGGGTAGGAAGGGCTGTTGGCCGGCAGCGAGGGATCTATAGGAACGGCCGCGTCAGACTTCAGGTTCGAGGGGCTGCGCTGCCCCGCAGGCAAGGTGATGTACGGACTGGTAGCTTGAGCCATACCTGCCGCACCGCCTGGCTGGGTGTTTGGCGCGTACGACGGTGGGCGCGGGAGGTAATCCTGGTAAGCGGGCGAACGGGCGGCCGGGGGGTTCAGACCGTAGTCTGGTTGCGGGGTGTTGGATGCCGAAATGTTGGCGGGTCGCACCTCAGGCTGCGGGGTGTACTGAGTTGGGCGGACCTCTGGTTGAGGGGTATAATGAGCAGTGGCTGCAGCAGAAGTCTGGTCTGCGGGTTGTTCAGAAGGTGTGTCGCTGGGTGGTGCTGGGTGGTGCGAACCTGACTGCGCGTACTCGGTCGCCGGTCGGTTGTCCATATACGTGAATCGCGCACAGGACTTTTGTGTTTGTGTTTTTATCTTGTGGCCCTAGGTTCAAGAAATTCGCGTTGGCCTAGAAAAGACGCGTCGAAGAAAAAAACAATGAGCTTTCTGAAGGTCGGGGAAAAATTGACCAGTCGGTCCGACACGTTTCAAGCCAGTTCGAGGTCAAGCAAGGGAGGGACTTGGGTTGCCACGTTGCAATGGTGGCTTAACGTCCTTTTCTTTTTTTATCGCGAAACGTACTCTGGCTGTAGAATTCCTCCTCTTTCAACAGGTGAAATGATGAAGGGATTGCGCCTGGAAAGGCGAGGGGAAGGGAGAGATAGGGAAAAAGATAGAACGAAAAGGTGAAGAAGAAGAAGAAGAAGAAGAAGGTCGAGTATCAAGCGAGAAAGACACCAGATCGACGCGTTGTGGAAGTGTAGGTCCAAGCGCACGAAGATACCAAGATGCTTAATCTTAGCTCGCTTTTTGAGATGCCGTGCAGGCTAAAAGCACAAGGCACCGGAAAAACAACGGACGAAAAAAAAGAAGAAAAAGAAGAAAAAAAAGAAGAAATACAAAAAAAAAAGGAGACTTAGACTGAAACGGTGCCTCTTTTCTTCCTAGTTGAAAGAAAAGAAGAAAAGTCCAAGGGAAAGGGAACAGAGCAGAAGCGGCCCTAAAAGTGCCAGAGAACGATTCGGCAGGAGAGAAAATGGGCCTCGTGGGATCCGAGGATGCGGTGGATCCATGGTGGAGCGTGTAATTTTGGAGGGTCAAGTTCGTTGGTCGCAAAATTACCATTCCAAGAAAGAAAAGAAATAAAAAGAACTGATTTATTTAAGTTTCTGATTTGTCTCTTTGCACTTGAGACACGGAGTATACTTGGTATACTTAGTAGATAGTATAAGGTACTACCTAGTATAATTACTGGGGCATATTCGCAGATATAGGGGATATAATGGATATGGGGATATGGACATTGGACAGGAGAATCGCTGTAATACCAGTAATTTCTTTGATTCTTCGACTCGGACCATTCCCTATTCCTCGCAATACTCCGGTTTCTCTGGGTTGGCCCCTTTCCCCTCAATGTAACTGCTTTTCGTTACCGGCTAAGCTTTCCACAATTCTCGCAAAAGAACCAGCAAAAATACAAAAAAAAAGAAAAAGCGGATCCAATCAATGTAAGGTGGCAATCAGAAATACACATATAATAAAAGATTGGGGGGAAATAATACTAAAAATAATAAATAATAAATAATAATCCCCCCTTTTTTTTATTCTGCTCCTTTCTCCTTTTTTCGATTCCAAGAAACAAGAAATAGGAGAAAAAGAGGGGAAACGGTGGAGAGAGAGAGAGAGATTGCATTGCTATCATACTATCATAATTGTATACTGTACAATTAACTAAGTAGACGTCCCTAGTGTAGAGCAGGATATACTTCAATTTAGCTTGCCCTTTGGAGCGATAGTCTACCCGCAACTCGGGTGCACGACAGTGAACCTAGCGTACTATCGCCCGTGGGTACCAACCAAGATCGCATGAGAGTACCGGTCAAAGAGGGGGGTTGGGTCCAGGGGGTAAGAAAAGAAAAAAAAGGAACCTAAGACCCAACCGGGCCAAGAGGGGGCACTAGGCAATGGCGTGCCCGAGGAACCTCAACGGGGCCATGGAAACGAGCGCTGAAAGGGGATTAGGGGGGAGAACGGAAGTGTACTGTAGGGGGGGGGGGAATCAGGAGAAAAAAAGATGTAGGAATACAATCAGGGGCCAATTGGACAGGGGAGTGGAGACATGGTAATTTAGCCCCAAGGTCTTTCCTGCGAGTAAAGCCGAGAGGCGGCTGAAGCCGGTGATAGCTTCTTTGATGAATTCGGGGGCCGATATTATCTTTGATTATGTCGATGTTTTCTATGCTAAATACCACTAATACACTATTATAGTATGTACTTAAATTAAGTTAAGAAGATACGACTACCTAAGAGCAGTCAGACACTATACATAGTATACCTAACAACTCCTTATATACTCTATTGCGGCATTTCTATATACGCCCGGTCGCCATACCCAGGAACCGCAGTGGGGACCAGAAACAAAACCCCGTGATCGGAGGCTATCTGCGAGTATATCCATTATTCAATGATTCAATCTTGACCCCCTCTTCCATGATCCATCTGTGATACTCGTAACAATTGCGACCCCCCCCCCCCCCTCTTTTTTTTTTTTTTGTTTTGGACTCGGGTTCCACCTGCAGTGATACCATGTGCCCGCCAGGAAGTGGTTCCTGGATCAGAGTATCCAGAGTCTGGTATAGATACCTGAATAGGTAGAAGAGAGGGGTGGTTCTGATTTACGCAGGTTAATTATAGGACAAAAGAAAAGGGGGCCTCTTCCCTCTGATGGGATATCCGTGGTACATACTGAGAGAATCAGCAATTATTGGCCAGGTCGAGAGAATCAACAGAAAGAGTAAAAAAAAGAAAGAAAGAAAGAAAGAAAGGAAAGAGAAAAGCGGAGTATCGGCGGCTCTCCGGTATCTATGGTGGGTACTATTACCTGAGATTATCTTACTGTACAATATGTTTCTTTCTCTTTCTCAGCCTCGCATGATAACTGAATAATTGAATATTGGGAATAGGAATATAAAATATAAAATAGAATATGCAAAATGAGAGCGCAAAGTGGAGCCCGGGCACTTTGATAGGAAGAAAACAGGGACCAAAAAAATGGAGAAAAATGCAGAACATGCACGACTCCCAGCTAGGAAAAGAGCGTGTCTCGCCGATGCCACGATGATTGGCGCAGGGCGAGTGGGCTGAATCTCACCCCGGTGAATAAAAGAACAGTGAGTATCCAGGCTGATTTTGTTAGAGCTCACTATCTAAGAGGATACTAGGATGCTATCACCTCAATATCTCTGAGAATTCCAAGGGTCTATCCACTACTTCAATCATGATAAAGGGGGGAGACACATTATTGTATACTTACTGTATGTATGTCCTTGCTCGGCGAGTGGGTCCAATGCCATGAAAGGGCCAAGTGACGGCCAAGCGATACGGAATATCGGGGAGGATTGAAAGAATGGAATCTCGAGGGGAATAAATATGAAAAGAGTATAAGCTATTAGGCACAGTTCTACTGTACTATATCCAGGGGCATTAGATCAAATCCGGCACATCCTATGTATACCAGTCAGAAGTACTGTACACTAAACAATAATTTCCTCGGCGATCAACATCTCCAATGATCCCCAGCTTTCATGTCCAGCCCATTGCCCACAGCTCCGCCGGAGTAGCCTGGGATGTTATCAACCTCTGTTTGAGGCCCACAAGCTTGGCATCAACTCGACTTCATTTCGATTGTCCACGACAATTCCGCTCGCGACATTCCCGATATATGTATTTTTTTGGATTGGGGAGAGCTGGCCATGCTGTACTATTTACTGAGGTACAAATAGGAAGCGCTTTTCGCGGTTGGTGCTGATATGTATTTGACAGGATGTCTCAGAGATGCATCCCCTGAACTTGGGCATGGCATCGCATGCACGTGGAGCGCTTTCTTATTCTTTAATTCCGGACAATCCTACTCCGGGGAGTGTTATTTATTTCGTGATTTATAATTGTTATGGTGTACATAAAGGCAGATCTTCTCCTTCGCTAGAGACATCGGAGAACGGGTATACTCCGAAGCTCGAGAGCTTGGACTAGAGTGAATGCCGCTGGCACCAGACGATCAGACAAACAAAACAAGGCTTTACTCTCTCTGTCTTTCTCTTTCTCGTCACGGGAACCCGTAACTGGAATTACCGATGATCCCCCAGGCGAGCCAGAAAAAAGAAACCCCCCTCTCCGTACCCATCATGGTCCGTTCACATATACAGAACACGCTCACTGGCCTGTTCAGCACTGGTGCGCCCCACGGTCATTTGCCGAGCTTACTATTTAATAATTTCATAGGAGGGACAAAAAAGCAAGAAAAAAAAAGAAATATCCCGCTTGCCAATTGAATTCGGTGCCCCATGCTCAGAATTGAATTTCTTGAAAATACAAGACCTGGAATAGCCCTACTGTGTACACATATACACACAGGCGACTCCACTCCATGATTCAAAACATAAACAGCAAGTCTCGTCCGGAACTCCCGTCGGGAGATCTCGTCTAGTCTCTTTTCTTTATGGATGTTTTGGTGGGGGAAGTATTGGACTGGTATTGGTGTCTCCGCGGATATGAAGAAACCTACAAAAACCCCAGATGATAGACAGTTCATTTCCTGTTCATGAAAAGCGGAGCGATGGAGTAGCCTCGGCTCGAGAGTCAATATCATATTTAGCGGTCTGGGGATGCTGGAAAGCAATCATAAAATTATGACAGAAAAATAGGGGAAAGGAGAACCTGGAAAAAGAGTAGATTCCTGGATTGCTTCTTCCAAGGATTCGCATCCCGAGACAGGGGGAAGAAACAGCACGGTAAAACAACTCCTCTCATGGCAGCCTGCCAAGGCACTCTGACTACATGGATGGTTTCCAATATATTCATGGATTTCCAAGTCCTTGTGTACAATACTCTGTAAGGGAAAAAAAAAAAAAAAAAAAAAAAAAACCACAGCCCTAAGAACCTGCCATGTCGAGCCAGCCAGAGTTACATTTTCCATGCAGTTTCTACGGCGCCTCTCGACCTCGACCGTAACCCGAGACGGGAAAGGGTGGAAAAGAAAAGATAATCAGAAATAATAGAAAATTAAAACAAGGAGACAGGTGCATTGCATGACAGGGGATGGTTTCTTGCTAGTGCAATCCTGCGGCTGCGGCCTCCTGTTGACCATCGGGTCGGTGTACATTGTATTGGAGGGCTTGACGCCTGTAATGAGTCAAGTTATTAATATTAGTATTATTATTATTATTATTATTATTATTTTCATGCCCTCGGGATCTGGACCGGGTGTCAGAGGAGGGGTTATGCCATGGCAAGGACTGGTGCATCCACTGGGATTTGGGACAGGCGTAAAATTAGATACGTCGAAGTGTGCAGGAATCATCTGCACGATACTATCTTGGGGAACTTCTCTGCATATCCAGGGCGGGTACATGGGACGGATGGGCGGGCTTGACTCAATATATATATATATTTTAGGGGGTCTGCTTGTCTTTGGTGTGACTGATACCCTGAACCCATTTTTGAGCAGATCAACATAACTCCCCCATGTCTGATTGTCGGTCGCGAGGACTGTGGCTCGCTGAATGGGGCATGATGCAGTTGATGCAGGTTTTGATAACAAGAGTAAGACTCGAAGAATCCTGCTGTTAGTTTGCTGAGTGTTATCTGGTACAACTACCTCGATATAGGGTGCTGTTCCCCATACCTCGCATGCAAGCACTCTAAAGAAACAACAAGCACAGACACTACCCCCACAGCTGTCACTTTTAAGTCAAGTCCACTCTTTTACAGTAGTCGAGTCTTTAAATCGAGCCAAACTTCCACTAGACGCAGCCCACCACGCCTAGCATCCCGCACAGCCTCCCCCCCCCCCCCCTTGTGGACCGTTCATAAGCAACATGCTACGCTTGCCCAGTCGAGTTACGTCCCGAACTAAGTTCTCGGCGATTTATTTAGCACGATCCATCGCACTGTAACGCTAAACTTTTTTTCTTTGTTTTAGAGTTAGAGGTCCCTTATCAAAAATACTTGTGCGCTTAGGCCGAGTGAGGAATGGTCCGTAGGGCTTAGAGGTTCTGTTTGCTATATACGGCACGAACTATTGACCATGGGTCGATAGTTACTTGACAGTACCTTAGCACTGTTCTTTTTTTCTGTGGTATTTTACCGTGGTTCATCGTTCGGAATTTTCATTGAATTTTGGGGATCTTTTATCCAACCGTGGACCGCTATCTCTACAAAGTTGGCGTAGATAGATGAACGTGCATTTATGAAATCACAGGAATAGACCAATAGACGAAAGACTATTTCCTGTTTATCAATGAAGATAGACTTGGTTGTAGTCGAGCATCCTACTAGAATTATAGAAATAGAAATATTCTTATTGCAGAGTCCATCATACATAAAACAATATAGATAAATCCATGAGCAACACAATGGCATAGAATGCCAAGTCATACCATGCCGAATTAAACCCATTCTAATCAAAGCTTGTTCAAGTAGACTGGAACCTCGGATGATCTAAAAAGCACCAAAGAAGCAAGAGACGGTGTCATCAACCGGGCCTAAACTCTCACTTGCACAATTTACTCAAGTCATACCTCATTTCATTCCTGACTTCACTGGATCGCAAGCCAGAGAATTATGAAACAGAACGAGTTCTGACAAAAACAATAAAACCACATATCTAGAGTGACCAACACAACGCTACTCTTACTCGGCACTCACATTTCAAAAGGAAAGACAGAGAGACCGGAGTACCTTGATGGGTAACCAGACAAAATGCCATGTAAGAGAACCTAATGCAGGATAAACTCGTGAATACAACTGGGATTCTACATGGCATCAACCAGCTTAATATCAATGGATTACATCGAGAACCGAGTCCGTCAAGAACATAACTCTCAAGACTCTGACACATCTACCAGACCAGACTCAAACAATAATCTTGATTATGAACGTACTAACATGAACAAGCCAGAAGGACTCCCCGTGAGCCCTGGCACAAATAACTTTTGCAACTGATCAACATGGCTGGTGCCATCAAAGTCCAAGCTCTAGAACCGCAGAGTCGTTGGCTGTGGCGAGAAACGGCCCGGTGGATAGACAACTCCCGGTGGAGTCTCCAGACCGATAAAAAGAAAGAAAAATCATGTAACTGTCTATGACATCGAGAATAACGCCGTCCGTACCGTTACGCAGGGAACCGAGGGGGAAAAAAAGCAGGGTCTACCGGGGGTTGACAAGACAATACAAGCTCAATGACTGCACACGGGCAGCAGCAAGGCGTATCTACCAGCGACGGTTGCTACCGATGGGTGCAGCGTTGGAGGCAGTGAAACCGCCGCCGCGGCCACGGCCACGGCCACCCCAGCCGCCACGACCACCGCCCCAGCGACCACCACCGCCGCCACCGCTGTAGCGAACCATCTCAGCGAGACGGGGGTCGATCTGCTGCTTGGCCTCGGTGAGGATGGTGACCAAGTCACGAGCCTGCTTAGAGTCTGTAATGGTAAAAAGACAGGTTAGCAAAGAAATTTCTCAAGTCAAGCGAAAGACCGAGGGGAAGAACATACTGTCAGTGGTGAAGAAGGTGATGGCAGTACCCTTGGCACCGGCACGACCAGTACGACCAATGCGGTGAACATAGTCCTCCGAGTTGCTGGGGTAGTCATAGTTCAGCACATGAGTGATGTCGCGAACATCTTTGAAACAAGTTCTCGTTAGCAAACCGAGCATTAGTGTAAAAAATCAAAGTGGCCATGAAGGGCCCTCTTCTCAGTCGTGAAGGACTTGATGCATCACTGCTCTCTTCATGGGCTTCTTTGAAGAAGATCCCAGGGGAAGCGAGTCCATGGGGTGTGGCGATATAATCGCGGTCCTGGAGTAACCTTGGAAATGCAGCTTTTAACAGGTCAACAACAAACGTTGAGGTGTGAAACTCCAACTCTCCTTACAAGTCTCGGGGACAGGGGAATTGGAGAATCAAATCAAAGATCGCCTGCTGCTACGCTGCACTGTGAGTCCAAGGTCCTCCTGGCATGAGAACCATTTGAGTTGACCCGATGCGCCTGGACGGGTCATGTACACCAACATGCTTCGAGAGAGTTGAGCACCGTGTCATTGTGTCACACAATATCAACACGGGTGAGTGTTTTCAAGGGCCCCAAAGGGTGGGGAAAGGGAATGGAAGGGGGAGGAGGGATTGCAATCTGATCATACCAATACCACGGGAAGCCACATCAGTGGCCACCATGATGGGGCTCTTGCCCTGCTTGAACTCGTTCAGAACCCAGTCTCTTTCTTGCTGTTGCTTGTCACCGTGGATGGCTAGAGGGTGTATTAGCAAAGGGCTTTTAGTAGGAAAAACGGGGAGAGGGGAAAAACTCACAAAGTGCGGGCCATCCGTCCTGACGGAGGAAACGAGTGATCTCGTCGGCAATGCGCTTGGTGCCGGTGAAGATCAGAACCTTGTTAGAGCGGGTCTCCATAATCTTCTCCATGTGCTTGATCATGCGGTCGCGCTTCTCAAAGTCCGACATAACCTCAACAATTTGAGTGATACGGTGGTTAGCAGACAAGTCCATCGAACCAATGTTGACCTGGATGTAATCGTTCAGGAAGTCCGAGGCAAGCTGGCGAACCTCCTTGGGCCAGGTGGCCGACCACATGCAAGTCTGACGGTCCGGACGAATCTGGCCAATGATCTTGCGGATCTGGGGCTCGAAACCCATGTCCAGCATGCGATCAGCCTCATCCAGGACGAGGTAAGTGACGCGGCGGAGGTTAGTGCGGCCAGCCTCCAGCATATCGATCAGACGACCGGGCGTGGCAATGCAGACCTCCACACCACGGGACAGGTCACGGATTTGGGGACCCTTGGGGACACCACCGTAGACACAAGTGTTGCGAATCCGGGAAGACTTGCCAAACTTGGTGATCTCAGCCTGGATCTGCACAGCCAGCTCACGAGTGGGAGCGAGGACGAGAACAATCGGACCATCACCCGGGGCAAGGAGGGGCTGGGCGTTGATGTGGACGATGGCAGGAAGACAGTAGGTAAGGGTCTTTCCGGAACCGGTCTCGGCGATACCAACGACATCACGACCAGAGAGAGCCATGGGCCAGCCCTGGGACTGAATTGCAGTCGGGCGATCAAAGCCCTGGGACTTCACCTCAGAGAGCACATACTGGGGGAAGCCAGCCTCATCGAAGGTCTCAACGGGGCGAGGGACATTACGACCCTGCACAGCCATCTCCAGTTTCTTGCGGAAGTCTTCGACATCGCGATCAGAGCGGTCAGAGACATCGGGGTGCTCCTTGTAGAAGGACTTCTCGAACTTGGGGAGGGAGTTCAGGTCTGTTCAGAAGAAAAGGATTAGTACTGCGATCGGTGCATCGGATGATGACCAAAACTTACCCCAGTCCTGTTGTTTGAGGCCGGCGCCCAGGTTGGACATGCGGTCACCACCCTGACCACCGAATCCACCGCCGCCACCGTAACCGCCTCCACGGCCACCACCGTAGCCTCCACCTCCATAGCCCCCGCCGTAGCCGTTGGTGCCACCGTTCGAGTAGCCATTTTCATAGCCTCCACCACGAGAGCTAGATAACCAACAGTCAGCCATTCGATTCATACATAATGAGATGTTGCACGCTGCCCAACGCCACCCAGGCATTTTGTGCCCAGAGATGTGTTTTTCTTTACCAGACAAGTTCAGGATTTGACACATAGGCATAGAGTAACACAGGAAACGTGCAGAGACACTTGTTTGAGGAACTTACCGGTAGGAGTCACCGCCGCGCGAGTATCCGCCACCGTAAGACATGATGGGCTGTTGTTTTTGTCTTTTGGGGTTCTTCGGGGGAAAAGGGAGATGACGTGAAGGTGACAGGGAAAAGACGTGAGAAACGTGAAAGTAAGGACAAGAAAAGATCGGAAGGGGTCGAGTTCACGAAGGAACTTGACAGGAAGTGAGGTGAGAGAAGGAAGATAAAAGGAAACGGGAAAAGAAGGCGCCAGGGGAGGAAAAAAAAAAAAGGTAGACACCCAATTAGGACTAGTGCAGGCACTTTTTTTTTGCCATCCAAGTCATGTGACCTAATCTGGACTATTGGCTCAGCGCTGCCTTAGGTGATTCGGTCGGTTTTACTGACCAGTTGCCGTGGTGGAATGTATACATAACGTAGAAGTAACGTGAAAGTAACGTATTTATAATGCTGAACACCTAGAGATCGTAGTGCATCTCAATTCACTTTCTGATTCACTGGGTCTATATTCCCCGTCCCTCATGCTCCATTGCCACCGAGTCCCATGTCCCAGAAGCTGATCTCTAGCTCTGTAGCTCGGATAAAGATTCGGATAAGTTCTTCCATGCGGCTTGGTGATACTTGTTGCATGTGCTCCTCCAACAATGCTGTAAACGAGTCAGCAAAGGGACCCACCCATGGAGTATTAATTGACTCACCAGACCCCAGTCGCACGGCTTCAGTATAGTCCTCGGCGACATAGTTTTCAATCCACTTCCAGTACTGATTTCCTTGTCGAAGGGTCCCTTCTTCGGTGTAGAGACGCCTCGCAATGGCACCGTAGCCGATCAAGCATGGTGCCAGGGCCATTTGCAGTGCGAGCCAATCTTCGGATTGACCCACATCGAGGATGTATCGGCTATACGCAGTGCATGCTGTGTAAAAGCCCCTAAGTTAGAAAATGCACCCAGGACAGCATCAAAAGAAAAGAAAGAAAAGGTCACATACCGATGGTTTCCGGGTGATCTTCCATTTCCTGCTTGGAGAGACCGAAAGAGGCACAGTAGTCGAGATGCAATGCCATTTCTTGTTGAATGTGTAGCACAATTTGGGCCGACTAATATGCTACAGTCAGAATTGATCATCTCCGAGGAAGGGGCGAAGAGCTACCTACCGCTGCTATTGAATCCATACTCTTGGCCTTGTACGACGCTAATGCGTTGCTTCGGGCAAATTGGACCTGCACAAAGAGATACAATTAGCAAGAATCTTTCCCCATCGGCTAAAAAAAAATTGAAGTCCTCACCAAGTAAAGATAGTCTTGAACGAGATACTCTTTGAACCGCTCAAGAGGGAGGGTGCCTTGGCCTATGCCCTCGACAAACTCATGGTAAGTGAACCGTTCCCATACGCGCTGAACATCCGAACGATCCAAGATATATTCAAGGAAACGCCCACTAGAAGTAATTCGATTAGTACCAGCACCAGCAGTTGGATTCCACATGTATATGTCACATACGGTACAAATGGCATCGTGTAAATCGAGTGGAAATGGTTAATTGGTCCACTTCCCTTGCCTAGGTCCACGCTTGTCTTGATGCCCGCCTCAACGAACCGCACGGCACCGCGAACAGCTCGCGTCATGTTCTTGCCCATTGCCAGGTTTGCCGCAATGGCGGAGGCAAGTGAGCAGCCCGTGCCGTGAGTGTTGCGGGAAACCAAGTATTCCGTCTCGAATAATGTGACAGACTTTCCGTCGAAAAGGATATCGACAACCGTAGTTGCTTCTTCCGGGGTCTTGGCCGTCTTGTGATCTTTGGTGAGCGGGAGATGCCCGCCCTTGAGCAGGACGGCTTTCGGGCCCAGTGAACAGATTCGCTTGGCGAGCTGGATCAGTTCGTCGCGGTTTGTTGGTTCGGGGACATCTGCCCCAGAGTCTTTTAGGAGGAGTTGAGCTTCGGGAATGTTGGGGGTAAGGATGGTGGTGAGAGGGAGTAGTTTTGTGCGGAGTTCCTTGACTGCTTTTTCGGGGAGCAGTTGTGATCCACTGGTCGACACCATGACCTGTCAGTGCTTATTAGCATGAAGCACATAGAAAGGGAAAGACAGACTCAATATACCGGGTCGAGCACAATGGGCGGATCTCGATGAGCCTGTAATGTCTCTGCAATGACATCGATGGTGTCGGCAGATGAAAGCATTCCTAGTGAAACCATCAGTGACTGTTCATGTCCATGCCAGACAAAATAAAAATTTCCGTGACTGACCCAGTTTCACGACATCGGCACCGACATCCTCGAGGCCAGCATTGATCTGCTTCCTCACAAACTCCGAGGGAACGACGAAAATGTCTTGCACGCCCAGGGTGTTTTGTGCCGTCAGCCCCGTCGTGGCAGTGAGGGCATAGCAGCCATGGGCTGCAAGCACTCTTTGATCGGCTTCGAGGCCACTGAGATACGTTAGCTGCTGTTAAAGCTAGCAATTATTCAAAACAATAGAATATCATGAAATTGCATCATGGGGATGATCAATTGGCACCATTCCCGAGTTTTTTTTTTTTTTAATGGGCGGCGCAGGATATTGCGGGGTGCAGGGTTGGGATCAACGTACGCGCCACCAGAGCTGTCAGATCCCGCAATAACCAGGACCCGCTTGACTGACATGATCAGAGACCACCTGGAGCTCAACTGTTGGTTGGGGATGAATTGGACCAAGTGGGAGCTGTGAAGAATGACGGAGGTGGGGAGCGGCAGTCGCGACTTCGATAAGATAAAGCATCGCGATGAAGTTCAAAACCCACAATTACGCAATTCGATATCTCATGATCATAAAACTGTTTGTCCGATGTCCCAAGGTAAATATTTACAAAAAATCAGACAAGTCGTGCACCTCTACTGCAACATGAAGCGGAATAGCCCATCCATCTCGACCCATTGCCGACCACACTTCTTCAGATAGCCGTCGACCACCCCCTTGATGGTGCCGAAACGCATGCGGTTGAATTCCACCAGGGCCGAAACGCTGTCCTTCTTCTCTCCGATTTCCTTGGCCGCAGCGTCCTTGGCCTTGTCCGCGTCCCAGAGACCGGCAAAGTACAGGAGCTGGTTGTAGATTTGCTTCTCGGAGTATTCGTACGACATCCGTCCCAGGCAGCCTTCAGCTCGCCCACGGGGTCCCAGACACCGGTGTCCATACACGCTGATTTGTCGCGAGCGGTTGCCACACGCCGAATCATCACAAACCAGCCAGCCCTCGTAGTACCGGGCAGTCTGCTGTCGGATTTGACTTTCCAGTTGTGCGATGATGGTCAGCACCGTAAAGGGTTTCTGGCAGCTCTGATTCGGACACACGATCCCGTGTGGTGTGCACATGTGCGACGAACCCACCAATCCCTCGAACACCGACTGCTCTTTGCAGGAACGGCACCGCAGTGTCAGGCGTGCCGAGTCAGCAAATCGAACCGAGTCCGGAATCTGCGACTCCAGCGGGAAGATCTCCGTGTTTTGCTGGTTGTTACTCGATGTGTTGATCTGGTACTTGCGGACATCCAGACCCAGGCATTCGGCAAGACGGACGGCATCGGTGCCGGGGATTGGCGCGCAGAGACGCTCAATGGGAGGAAATATCTGCTTGAGAAGGTAGAACTCGACGTCTGGCTTCAGGCCCATATTCCCCTTGAGTACATCCTGTGGACTGTAGGACCGCTTGGCTGGCGGTAAAGAAGATGTTTCTGAGTCCCCGTTTGTCACAATGTACGAGATGACATCGTTTGGCCGAACGGTCTTGCCTCGGGCAATATCACGAAGTGCGACTTGTGCCGGTGGCATGCTCTCCTTGTTGGGATACTCATCCGGTCGTTTAGACAGTTTCTATGGGATAAATAGTTAGCACCAGATGTGATATCAATCTTAGAGTCTCGCGTACCGTGTAGATCACGTATTTTTGAGCAGGAATGACATATTCCTTCATCTTCTCCGCAAGATCACGCAGGTATTCATGGACCCGGTTGAGAACGACTTCCTGATCCTCCCCAGACAAGACTTCGTTGAGAAGCCTAGACGATACCTCCTTCGAAAGGGCACAGTATTCACGTCGTTTCATATCCAGACCTTTGACCTCCAGCTGCTCAACGTATTTGCCATCCACCTCAGTGAGGTTGACAGCAGCATACTTCTTCTTGGCATGTAGCAAAAGCCGACGGAAGACATTGTCAATATCAATCTCTAGCAGCCGGTATCGCTCGTTGACTGATTTCTTGAACTCGTCGCCAACCTTGAGGGCATCACTGAGGTTATCCATGTTGGTGTTGATCATGACGGAGTCAGTATCACCATAGATGACTCTCAGCTGACTGCTTTCTGCCAGATCCTTGGTGCTTCTCAAAATCTCACGCCCCTTGAAGGTGGTGAGCATGGCGAGGGGCCGAGCGTAGAATCGACTTTGAGTGTATCCCAGGCACCCATACATGGAGTTGGCGGTCAGCTTGAAGGCCAGCTGCTTGGTGTCCCACAGAGCGAGTTGATCGGGCGTGGCACGCTTGTCTTTCATGAGCTTCTTCACTTCGCGTCGACGACCGACCAAAGTGGCAATCAAACGAGGCAAAATGCCTTGTTGTTGATCCGAGGATGGGATGTCGGGCACTTTCTCTTCGTTCTCATTCTCCGCCTAGATGAATTTGTTAGATCCGCTGCAGTGACAGTGAGAAGATTTACAGTCATGCTCACCGAGGCTGTTCGATCTACTGTTGTGAAGCAGATGTTGTACTCCTGGATGATGCTGGGGTACAGACTGTTGAAGTCCATGACCAGAATGAACCGGTCGTAAAGGCCTTTTTCGGGCTCGAAAACCAGACCACCCTTGTATTTGTCCTTCTTTTTCTTGTCACCCGCCTCATCATCATCAACCTCCTGCATCTTCTCCTCTGCCTTCTGCAAACGCGAGGAGTATTTATCAGGGCAGATGTACTTGTTCCGGTGGAACTCATGAAGCAGAATGTACTCGTTGCGCTCTGCTCGGGTACCGCTGAGTGTGCGAGCCCATGAATTACCAGCGATGTTAGTCAGGACCTTGGTGAGCGGCAGCATCTGTAGGCGCAACACGAGTGCGGCAATGAAAAATGTATCCGTATCGCAGTGGTTGACGAAATTCATGAGACCCTCCTTGGTCGTGGCCCAGGTCTTCAACGCTGCTTCAGCATCGAGGTCTTGTCTCGTGTTGCCTTGGCCAAGATACAGCTGGCACATCTCGGTCAAACTCCACGATTGACATTTCATCATGAGAGACTATGGAATGTCAGCACTGTCCAGTTGATAGATTGACAATGAGACTTACCTTGCCCATATCATTCGCGGTGTCGCACATCAATCTTCCAGCAATCAACTGCCTCTCCGCAAAGAAGCCACTGCCCCTGTTGAAGTTTTTGGGCCAGTCTCCACGCTTGAGCCGGCCGATGCGGTGCCAGCCAGGAGTCTTCTTCTCACGCATCCGGTTGAGCAGGATACTAAGATCAACATCCTGCAATTGATGACCCATGATCACATCGGGGTCCATCTTCTCGAACAGCGCCAAGAATTTGCTGAGCAAGAATTGCTCGCTCTTCTCGAGCATGAACATTCCCCGCTGCTTCCGGGTTTCGGCCTCAAAGTGCATTGGGTATGATGCACCAGCGGGTCGCATGACCGTAAATGTTTTGCAGGGAAGCTTCTCGGGGGGGGTTGTATCCGTGAGAGAGACGTTCTCATACACCCGGGCGCTTGCAATCAGAATCTCTTGCTTGTTCTCCTTCACATTCAGCTGGGTTCGGAAAGAAAGACTCATGAGGGTCAAAGGTGGAGTGTCCAAGTTCTCAGAGTCTGGCACCGGGCTGATAAGCGCAGGCTTGGAGGCCTGACATTCAAATTTGCACCACGATGCATTGTTGACCGCAGAGAAGTCGGCTTCGTCGATCCTGAGCCAGCAAGGGCCCATTATGTTCTTCCAGAGGACGAACTGCTCAAACAGGGACGTGTTGGTGCCGAAGACATGCGAGAAGGTCTCGCCCTTGACATCCATAGGCAGAGCAGGTTTATCGTAAGGGTAAAGCAGCTTCAAGTACTCTGCCTCTTTCGGGACACCGGGCATCTCGAATGCATACTTTCGAGTGGACGGCTTGATTTTGTGCATTCCAACCCGCAGGCGGGTCATCATCTCGTCGACTTCCTGGTAGACATCCTCCATTTCCACATCCTCTTCGGTTTCTCTCCCTTGCTTGCGTCGGTACTCTCGAGGGAGAAAGAAGAGCTTTCGCAACACGTTGTCGACTTTCACAAAAGCACTGGTGAAGGAACCATTCTGTTTGTTCTTGACTTTCCCAAACAAGCACAGACTGCCATTGACTTCGGTGTAGTCCAGCCAGAACATGCGTAGACTGCCATCTTCTTCAACAACATCCTGGGCCCGCAATTTGCCAAAAGTGCGCAATTCCGGCGCCGGGCTGCTCAGGACATTCAGCTTGCTCCTCACATCGTTCCAAGAAGCATCCATGACTTCTGGCAAAGCCTTGACCGGTGACGAGCTTGCCGGTGTCGGGAGAACCTCTTTCTTAATTTTCGGAGGCGGTCGACTTCCGGTCATGTTGACAGTTAGTGTCTTCGTGTCTGAGTCTCCGGTAGCTTCCGCAACGTCCATCAAGTCATTGTCTTCATCGTCCGACACCTCAGTCTTGATCGGCGTCGTGGTTTTTCGCTCGACTGCTTTGCTGATCGGGGATGAGGGCATGGGGTCGCTCATGTGCACATCGTCGTCATCCGCCATGGGAAGCGGGTCGTCATCGAGATCGTCAGAAGGAATTATGGGTTGTTCCTTGATGGGCGAGCCGGGGATATTGTTCTCATCCTTCGTCTGAATCTTTTCCCGGCGTCGTTTTTCGGACAACGGAGGAGACAAGACCCGAACTTTTCGCCGAGTCTCCGACTTGACGATGTTTTGGGTGGGAGCATGGTTCGACACGACATTGGTGTCAACTTCCCCAAGCAGGTCGGCCATGAAGGCATCATCTTCGGCAGTGGCAACGGGCTGGTACTGTTAGCCACCCTCTCGGTTGCAATAGGCGAAAAAGAAACGGAAACTGCTTACTCTTGGCTTGGGAGCAGTGGCTGCAGCGGAACCGCTATTGAAATATTTGGAGATGCCGTTGTTTATCTTTTCCTTTCGCTGTTGCTCTTCCTCACGTTTTCGTTTGGCGGCCTTGCCTCGGGCGGGTAATTCGTCGCTGTCATCGCTCTCGTACTCCACGGTCTGTTCGTTCCATACTTCGCGGCCGTCGTCCGCGTATCCAGCCCCGTTGTCGTCGACGACAAAGTCGTCCTGGTCGAGTCGGTTCCGGATAACCTTCTTGTATCCGTCATCGTCAACCTCGTCGTAAATGTCGCCCTGATCCTCGACCTCGTAGGTCGAGAGACGCTTCTTCCCCGAGGCGCGGAGGGCCCTCAGCTCCGCCAACCTATCGCGAGCAGAAGGCATGGTAGACGAATATTAGGGGAAATAGCCCATTCACCCAATATAGACACAGAGCGTCAGAATGACAATCGGATGACAATTGTCGCGGGGAAAGGGAGGCCGGCGAAAGGGAGGTCGCGCATAAGCTAGGGCGCGCGAGACACGCGACCGGACGCGTTAATTGGTTGTGTTGATCAGGTGGGTTATGTAATATTTGATGCCTGTTATATAAGGCATAAATACTCACACTAGCCCTATTTACCGAAATAGGAAAATCAGCACAGAAAACAATTGAGCCACCACGCTGATAGACCAAGAACTGGTGTTATTTTGTTTTTATTCCTGATCATCGTTTCCGAGAACACCTTCATAGTATCAAGTGTGTACAGCAAGTAATTGGTTTTGCAAGATTCGGGAATCTGGAGATGATCAAACGCCAACCGATATAAATAGCTTTTTAGCTAACCTTTCTAGATGTCCTATTAGCTTAAGAAATCTATATGGTCAGACTCAGAAAGATGTGAGCGTCGTGCCTGTTGATAGTATGGTCGTATGCTGTTCTAGGGAGTATGAATAGCCTGTGTAGTTTTGACATTTCCACTGGGAAGGCATCCACTGATAGGTATTTCATCTTGCTATAAAGTATGCTAGTATCTTCAGATGTCAGATGGTAAAGTGACAGGCGGCCATAAGAATACGCGCTAACGTCGTGACTCTGTCTTATTTTTGAATTCGTTTTCGTCCTTCACCTTTTTCATTCCACTCTTTCTTTTCGCCCCTCCCTCACCCACCCTCATTTTCTCGTTTGTTTATCGAATTTTCTTTTCTTTTCTTTTTTGCAGCCATGGCTGTGTCTAATGTTGTGAAGCTGTCTGGGTAAGTATATTTATCCCGGATTCTCTACCCCGGATAGATTAGGCGGGTAGTAAGGCTAGGTTCGGCTGAGTCGTCGACGACTAAGCATACCTGGATTCACCTGCTGACCCTTCTGTCTATTGCTTTCTTGATCTTATCTTCTTCTTGCTTCATTCATTCCTTGTTCTTACCGATGAATGACTTGTAAATCTGATCCTGTCGCTAAATGTTTACTCGCAACCAGGGAGGATCTGGTAAGATCTTGCTTCTTGACGATATATCCTTCCTTTTTCCCCCAGAACTTTTTCTAATTAGCTTTTACAGGCGGGCTTGCGGGGTGCGGTGTCCGGTAACGAGGACACCATTCAAATCCCCAAGTGGGAGTATGAGGGCCTGGTAAGTAAACCCATCACTTCTTAGCAAGAATCGCCATTATCTAACCATCGATTACCGATATAGCTGGAGGCTTTGGCAGAGTTGAGTGAGTATTTCGTCTTCTTTTGTCGTGCTAATTAATCACATTCAAGTGGGCATTCTGGCTGACGGTATCTCCAACATCATAGATCTGCTGAAGACCTCCCTGGCGGTCAACGAGGAAGTCCTGGATGAGGACAAGGAGGTAGGGACATGCCATGATAAAAGAGTATGCAATTAGTTCTAACTTACTCTGTGCTTCAGGAGGTCATACAGACTCCTGAACTCAGCGTGGCTAGCTCAGCCGTCCCCTCTCCTCGTCGCAAGAGGGCTAGGGCCGCCAGCTCGGCCAAGGACCAGGATGAGAAGCCCATGGACAACGAAAAGCCGGGCAATGTTGCCGGCAATGTTGCTGAGGGTGTAGGAGCTCCTTTCCCTCTGAAAGCCAAGGGCCCCGGTCTGACCATCCTGCCTCACTATGACCCGAACGCTAAGTGCACCGTGGTCATCAAGTCGTCCAACACCATGACCCACGCAGACGTCGCGGCCGTTGTTCGAGGTGGTATCGTGGTACAGATCTTCATTCGCCCAGGGACCAACTCTGCACAAGTCACCTTCCTCGATTCGGAACAAGCCAACGCGTTCCTGAAATACGCTCAATCCATCCCGTTCCATGTTGCTGGTTGTCTGGTAAGTTGCCTAGAGTACCCCAAGAGAGAGAAAAGAAACCACCCCCCCTTCAAGCTTCTCTTACTAACTATCACAGGTTACTGTCAGATGGTCGAATAGCTCCTGGGTTGCGCCGGTGTACGTGCGCCGTCAAGCTTTCGAGGGTGCTACCCGCAACCTCTTCATAAACAACGTTCAGTCCCACATCACTGAGGCTGTCATTCGGGAGAACCTCCTCCACATTGAGGGCTTGGCTGTGCTCCACGTGCTTTTCTCAGGAGGCACTGCCTACGTCAGCACGAACTCCATCAAGTACGCCCTCGTCGCTCGAACCTGTCTGACCTCTCGAGCTATGTACAAGCATATGAAGATCGGGTTCTACGATGATGAGTGTGCTGCTCCTCTGCCTATCAGAGTGCAGGCCCAGCTGCCCCAGCCTCAGGCCCAGCGAATGTCTTATTTCCAGAACCGTTACGAGGTTCTGGCGCAGCAGAAGCTGTGATTCGAGGCCCCTGTGGTTCGAGCACACTTTGAGTCGAGGATACTGAGGAAATGTCGAGGATTGTGCTATGAGCATCTGCCCTATTTTTCAAGTGTTTTCGGTATGGGCATTTAAGGAAGAGTTAATCTTTTTTTTCTAAGGGCATCTCGGATTTTCTTTTCCTATTATTATTTCACGTCACTTAACTCGTACTTTCACGTTACTTAGTATAAGTGCACAACAAAAGATTCAATTGAATGACATTAATTTACAGTGTAACACTGTGCCCATGGAAGAATTTAGTTGCTCTACAATCCATCAAAGGACGAAGGTCTGTAAGTAAAATTATCTGCGTTACCATGCAACGTTCCAAATTCCACTACTCACGTAGACATTTTTCATATTATAAGATCAATTTTATTGAGTACGTAAAGCCACAAACATGATCACCTTTTACATGAAACAGACTCAGCTCTATGGTAAAGACAACTTCGACCAATGGAAGGAAGACCCTGTTGGGGAGTCTTTCGAGTAGGTAGATGAGCACGTGCCTCGTCAATGCCCTATTTTTCTACGATTAAGTGACACAAGAGAAGAAGAAGCTACAATACTGGAGTATGCTAATATTCTACACCAAGCAGAACGTAATTGCCGGTCATGGCTGTGCCTTAGCAGAGAAATAGGCTGAAGCCTTGCGATCACCTAACCCACTCTCAATAAGGAATAGAAGCACTATTAGGTGAAAGCTGTGGTGTAAACCCACGAAGCTTCTGAGTACTGAAAGGCGATGCATACAATGGGATGGGGATGGGGATAATATGCCTGAGCAGTATCTCATCAAGTATAGGACTGATTGAAATAAGTATTCTTAGAATTACCGACGAGCGTGCAAATCGATGGTCATGGACTGCCTTTGACCATGCCGAACTCGGCTCCAAGAATATCAAGGCAGAAGATGTTTTAAAACAAACTAGATCTGTCGGCATCATTGACTGGGAGGCTGCTGGATACTTTCCTAGATGATGGGTCCAAACGAAGGTTCGGATAAGCAGTGGATGGAGTTCAGGAACAGATAGACATTAGTGGCGAGCGGAAGTTAGAAGTCCCTTGAGGCACATTGATTCAAATCTGGTTCAGAGAAATAGGAGCCGTGGTGGTATTGGCGTCCCGAAGTTGTATGTCAATGTCCTACACATGGCGCTTGTATCTCGTCAAATGACATGGTTTGTTGGCCTATTTTCTAGTCCATCCAGAGTGGAACTTGGCACAGGCTTAAGCGTTTCTCATCCTTGATCTAACAGACCCAGGGCAGGTATTGGGGTCTTTAGGGGATTCAGTCAAGGACCAGGCGACGATTGAGCCAGAATCCGCCCGTGCAGTTAATCAGCAAGCCTCGACCACCTGGACACGCAGATAGCAGATGTTTGAACAAAGATAAAACCCGGTGTTATTCGAGCAGATTTTCCTGGCCTATGCTAGGTATTTTTTTTAATCCAGCCATGTAGGACAAGCGCCAGTGAAAAACCATAGGATATCCATCCTCTCTTCACACACACCCACCCAGCACCGGGACACGGAAGACCATTCCAACAGACGGCTCGAAAGGGCTCGAGCCCCGGTGTAGTGTGTTTCCATTCTCATGCAAAGCAGCGGCCACTCCGAACCAGCCGCTCAATGCAAAACCCCAGATCCTCCCAAATGCACCATCCAGACCACCAAGAAGGCCCATAGAAAAAAGAAGAAAGTCGTGACTGAGTCGACAAGAAAATATTGAAGAGATTTCTTTTTTCCATGTCCTCCCCGCATCCATCCCGTTGCAATTCCTTTTCCCACATAAATAAAGGGAGCAAGGAATTTAACGGTAGGACTTCTGGTAGCGCGAGCGGGCACCGCGACCACCGAACTTCTTGGGCTCCGTACGGCGGTTGTCGGCGACCAGCAGCGTGCGGTCGTACTGGGCAAGAGCCTGCTTGAGCTGGTTCTTGGAGTGCTCGTCGACGTACTTCTGGTAGTAGGCGACGATCGACTTGGCGATAGCCTGGCGGATGGCGTAGACCTGCGAGGTGTGACCACCACCAGTGACGCGAACGCGGATGTCGACACCGGCGAACTTGTCGACGCCGACAATCAGGAGGGGCTCGTAGACCTTGAAGCGAAGGATCTCGGGCTGGACCAGGCCGAGGGGCTGGCCGTTAACCTTGACGAGGCCCTTGCCTTGCTGTAATTGCAGAAGAAAAGTCTCAGCATTTGTTCGGATATCGTTCCATCATTGCGCTTTGTGTGGTGCTTCGTCACTTCGTCTTCCGACACCAAAGCTCTTTTCCCCTTATAACTATTTTTTTTCTTTCCAATTTCTCCAGGCGCAGCGGGTGTATATCGGGGAATCGTCTTCATACCTTGCAGTGGGCGACAGCGGTGGCTATAAAAATTAACAGTTTAGCAAATTGATTCCAGGTGTCGCTTGCAACGCAGAGACAGGAAAAGGGAGACTCACCCGTCTTCTTCTTGCCGAAGCATTGCACACTCGGGAGGGAAGCCATGGTGGGTGAAATGGCCCTGGTTGTCGATGGGAGGAGTGTGTTGTCGTGGATGAAGGGAAAACCGCAAGTGCACCGAACTCGCCTGATTTCCCTCCTTCCGTGCGGCCGTCGCTTATTAGGCGCTAGTCCCAAAGGGGTTAGTGAGTTGACTAACTTAGGGCTTGGTCACGTGACCGGAGAACTTCAGAAGCCGCGAGTTGGCGGTTCGGGCAGGAGCCAGCGATCGCGCGGGTTGGTCGCAGTCTGCGTCTTTTAGCAATCGAATCTTTTTCCTTGATTTATTCTTCTCTAAGTCAATTGAAAGATTGTCGTATCGTTGACAAGATGTCGCAAACCATTGGAAAGGTAAATACACCATGCGCAAACATTGTCGCAACAACCCAACATAACATTCAAAGTCCAACCCTATCGATCCAGACCTGCTAACTTTCTACTGTCTCTAGACTCGTCTTGCCTATTCCCGGACATGGCACTATGTCGATGCCGGCTCCGACCCGCGCTCTCTCGGCCGCCTTGCCTCGTCCATTGCCCTGGTCCTCATGGGCAAGAACAAGCCGATCTACGACCCCTCGACGGATTGCGGTGACTACGTCGTCGTGGTGGGTTGCCATGACCTGCACACTACGGGGAATAAGCGCCTCCAGAAGAAGTACTACACGCACACGACGCGGCCTGGTAGCCTGAAGAGCATGACTATGGACCAGATGTTCGCCAAATGGGGCGGTGGTGAGGTGCTACGGCGCGCAGTGAAGGGCATGCTGCCTAAGAACCGGCTCCAGGAGCCGCGGTTGGCTCGACTCAAGAGTAAGTTTTGGTCTGGTGGAGATTTGCCTCGATATGGCGTGTCTGCTTTGCTGGCTCTTTGCGAATCTAATATCGAATGCTGTTTTATGAATATTGACTGACATGCATGGTTTAGCGTTCGAGGGTCTTCGCCATCCCTACAAGCATAACATCATCAAATTCGGCAACCAATCGGTCCTGGGCAACCTACCCGAAGTGCAAGAAGCCTTCCAGCAGACCAAGTCCGCATAACTGTTTCGTTGTGTTTCTTTCCCGTCGACCTCGGGTCTCCGCCTGTTCTGTAATCTATTGTCGATGTTATGATCGAAACCGCAAGCGCATGGGTGTGGAGTCTTTTTCTTTTGTTCCTGGGATGTTTCTGATATTTTCGTTGACTACCGCTTGGACTGCGGGTCTTTGAATGTACTTATAGAACCAATTACATAAATCAGAGCGCATTTAGCCATGATAGAAAGACATGGGTCCTGAGTTCGATGAGCAGAGGATAACTCATTTACATGCATATGGAATCCTGAAGGAGTCGGGCAGCAAAGAACTGTGATGATCGACAGGGACATGAGTGAAATTGAGCACATTGAACCAGAACATCCATCTGCAATTTCGCAAGAATAGGGATGAATCCTTCGTCTCTGGCATCTTCGACCCAACAACCCTGGAAACCATCGCAAACGTGCTCATTCCCACTCGTCCCTTACAGCTACGCATGCTACTCGCATTGAGGACCATCCGGGTGAGTGTAGGCATTGGTACATTGCTTTATGTGATGTAATACTATATCCATGAATTTGTGATAGAAGAAACCCAATACAAAAACAAGGCCATGATAGGACTACTTGTACTTGTTAGAAGAAGACTGAGACTAGAATCTGTTCTTTAACAAAATGCGCAGTAAAGCAACAACCCCAATCTTCCTTCATCTACACTCCCTCAAAAAATCAGCCTCTTTCCACCGCATGGCATCCGACCCGCCAAACCCCAAGCATACCGATTCTATCTCTCGACATAATCCACGAGAACCAGACAAGCGATTCCCGTGGCCATCAACACAAATCCCGACCCCATATGAAATTATCGGGATAAAGAGGGGCCAACAATATTCCAAGGCAAGATACTACGATCTCGTGAAGGCATATCATCCAGACCGTACGATAGTATCTTCTCCTGGCCATCTATCCAAAGAAGAACGAGCAAGGCGGTACCGACTGATTGTTGCCGCCCATGAGATTCTATCAAACCCCCAGAAACGCGCTGTCTACGATCTATACGGGCTTGGGTGGCTATCTCAACGAGGGAATGGTATCCAGACACAAGTGCATAGATCTGGGGACAATCACCGGGATGCTGTTGATGTTGATCATCCCTGGTCCTTTCTCTCGGCACATAAATACATGATCCGGCTAGTGGTGGTGATCTTCACGTTTGGGGAAGTATGTCTCTTCCTGGTGATGTTGTTCAAGGCAGAGACAGAGTTGAAACGGCTGGACACGGAATGTCGAGAACTATTACGTCGCCGTCGACAGAGGACACTTGACGCGGACTCAAAGATGCTGCAGATTGAGCGTTTTTTGCTCAAGAGGGATCCTTCTGGCGTGGGGCTTTCGTTGAGTGAAGAGGGTTGTTACCGGGAGGTGATTCCCTTTTGTATGCATTTGGCATAGCTAGAGTTGGTCGTATATTTTAACTTAATTAGATCTTTAGCATAAGGCATATAATTATATAGATCAATGATAAGCTCTTATCAAAATGAGCGAATTTGCGCTCGATTCTGGGGGGATATTCTGCTCTAAAACACCCCAGTCAGATTCTTATTTATTGGCCCCGTTTGAGGTCATAAGAACCTGAAATTGCGCGTAAGAATTGTTGGTGTTGGTTTTCAATGGCTGCCAATTATATCTAGGACGAAGAACGGTGTAGACACGAGGGCATTCATCCTAAGTCGGGTTTCTTCTCTGGTTCTACTTCTTCCAACAATCAATTCTCTTGTCTCTACAACGAAGCAAATGACACACGTACATAAGTCCACAGAATCGGATATGGCAGACACCAGTGACAATTACAATTCCAGCATGGCCATGCCCATGTCCTCCGTTTTCACAACCAACACCAAAATCACACTCCTCTTCGCCGGCTGGACAACCACCTCGTTGACACAGTACATTCTTACACTCGTCTGCCTATTCCTGCTGGCGATATTCAACCGCTTCCTCGGCGCCCTTAAGTTCCAACTCGAGCGAGCATGGTCCCATCAAGAGGCCGGGCTACCGTCTATCAACCTGAATGGTACCCACAGACAACAGAGATCTATCCCGAAGGCAAAGCTGAGTCCACTGCCACTATACATAAACACAGCCCAGGCAGAAGAAACAGCAGCAGCAGAAGATTCTTGGTCGGTTACCTACAATAGCCTAGATCGAAGACGGTCCTCTACAACCGGTTTGATCGAACACAGCTCCCCACGAAACAGGCTTATTTTTTCGTGGAGGCATCTACTGCCACCATGGAAGGCAACAGGGGCATGGAGTTTCCGCAAAGATGGGACTCGCGCTTTGCTGGAGCTTGTGAGGGCTTTGGTGGGATACTTTCTGTGTGTTGCCTCGAGTGAGAAGTCCCAAACGAATCGAAATCTCGCTAACAATACTGGACAGCATGCTGGCCGTCATGAGCTTCAATGTTGGTGTTTTGATCGCTGTGCTTCTCGGGATCTTGTGTGGGGAACTGGCTCTGGGGAGATTTTCTGGGGGATTGTCTGCGTGGCAAGAAAGTGTTTGCCATGACTAGGTAGAGTTGACTATGTAGCATCTAGGGATTACATTCGATTTCTTTCGGTATTGGCGTGCTTATAGCTCACTCACGTTAAAAGATAATCCAGTTTCTATTCAGGGCATTTTGAATATCAAAGGCAATACCAAATGGTTTCATCGGTATATATCATTCAATTCGGCTCATTTATATGTACAGAGAAAATAGACACCATGTTGAACTCCTGCGTTGCTGTCGCTAAATCTAGCATCTACAGCTTGGCCTTCTGGCCGGAGCGGCCCACGGTACACTTGATGAGACCGTTGGGGTTGGACTGCGGCGCGTACACCTCGGCGTCCTTGCCAGTGTTCTTGGTACCCTTGTGCCAGCTGAGATCTAGTAGGAAAAGTCAGAATATTGGAAAGGTGAGAGTAAGAGGGATAGAGAGAAAACATACCGACTTCAAAGTAATGGTTATTGGGCAACGAGTACTCGACAGTCTCGAGCAGCGGGACCCGAGCGAGAATCTGCTCGCCCATCTTGTACATCGTATTCTGCACACTAGCGCTGTTATCCTCAGCAAAGGTCTTGAGGGTGATGCTGCGGGCCGCCTCCCAGGCGGGATTGAACTGGGCCGCATTCGCCTGGACATCCGCAAGGCGAGCGAAGCGGCGCCACTGCCAACTAGCCGAGACATCGGTGCTGAGAATCCGGTCCCAGGTTTCCTTGAGGGTGGTGTATTCGTCGCGGATAAAGCCCCAGAACTGTGAGTTGGTGCTCTTGAGCACGGTCAGGCCCTGGATGGCGGAATTGATGTCGATGCCCTGGCCCTCGACGACGTCGACCTGCACGTTGCGCGTCTCGGCGCTGTCCTTGACAAACGAATGCGGGTGCGGCTTGCCGTCGACGTCCATGCGCACCCAGCGGTGCGTCACGATATTGACGTGCGCCGCGTGGATGTGTCCATATTTCTCGATGAAGTGCGTGCCCAGGATTGACCCGAAGAGCTCGGGCGGCGTCACCGGCTGCTGCTTTGCTGTGATGTAGATGGTATTCTTGATCGAGTCTGTTGCGACTACCACGCTGTTGTCGGCTTTGGTGTAGCTGTGTTCGCAATGGAGTCAGCCTTGTTGTCGAAGAAGCTATGTGTGGCCTTGGTACTCACGAGGTTTCGATATCCCCCTCCAGCAGCACACACACCGTCATCTCCACCACTGTCTGCACTCCCGTCTTCTCATCGCGATGCACCTTGTACACGCGGACATTGTCCTTGCCGTAGCGGGCGGCTGCCAATGCGCTCATGGTGGAACTGGTGATCAGGTCGGGGAAGACAAGATAAGAGATAACCAGCTGTGGGAGCGATCAGGGAGGGCTCGACTAGGCTTGGGTGAGAAGACCAAAAGAATTAGAAACTGGACGAGAAGCTGAGAAGCTGAAGGTAGAAGCAGTCTGGACGGGACTCTATTTATTTGAGGGAAAAATGGGCTGAGACGCTGAGGAAGAAGGCCGTCGGGCACCTCCGATGCCCGCGAGTGGCTCTCTTATCGCAAGCAGCTTCAGCCGACGCCTCCTCACTTAACCTCACGAGAAATCCCAGAATTTAAGCAATTCAAGAGATCTAAGCAAACATAAGCAAGTTTTCTTTTTCAGTGGCCACAAAGAATCAGATGGGGGAAAAAGAAAGATAGAAAGAAAGAAAATCCCCTATACTACTGCCTGAGTGTTGAGCTTCCCCAGACTGCGATAACACACCTACATGCTCACCAAAGGATTCCCCCCTCCATGATCAACTACTCGAATACCAAATGAACCCATCATATCCAAACCCGAACCCCGAATTTCCGACCCCGAGCCTCTCCCGGGATTTGAAGGTGGCTACCTTGTTAAAAAAAAAAAAAGAGAGAGAGAGAGGAGGGAGATCCACTTCGCAGCCGGGTCGGCGACCTCCACCGCGGCTCAGTGCAGCTGTCACGGCGAGATGCGATGGAGAGCAACTAGATGACGCTGAGATGGTGCTGTCGTACTGTGCGGGGGATATGGAATTGTCTGTGACGTCCATGCTATCTTCTGACTATGAAGTAGCTACGGAGCTATGTAGATAGAGTAGAATATCGACCTTGTATAGTATGGACAAGCCCTACACTGCGCAACAACTCATACCGCCTACTCGTCTACTGCATCGCCAGGTATGTAGAGACAGTGAGACGCGTCGGAGCACATCTTTCTTCTAGTCACACAGCAGCAATGCCATTGCGAAACTGAGCTCGACTTACATACGTACCTAGGGGATAATATCTCGTCTCAATCCATTAAATCTCAGACTGGTTCTGGTCAGCGGATGAATTATCAGAGAGCATCAAACTTGTCATTTTACAGCAATGGAATGAATATCAGGATTCAACTTTGCAATTCACATTACTCTACCGTACCACTTTAATCAATCTACTATCGCACCGTCAAGTATAGCCACCAAAAGCAAGAACCAATGAAGAGGCCAATACCCAAATCCAAGAAAGAAAAGAAAGCGCACAAGCAAGTCGAGCAGCAGAGCCAAGCGCGGTTTCGTTGCCAATTCTCGAATCGGAGCCCGAGGTTGCTGCTCAACGCGGGTGCATCTGATCGTTCTCTGCAACGTTGACTTCAACGGGGGTGCCAAGGACAGACATGGGTGGAGGGGGCTTGTGATACTAAGACAAACAGACTCAAGACTGCTTCATCCCCAACCCAGCTTACCTAGCTGCAGGAGCAGTAATCAGTGTCTCGGGAGATCTCGAATGGATACCTCTCTTCAGAGTCAGCGGGATTTCTCGTTTGGCTCATTTTCGCTTTGATCTCTTCAAAAGTACCATAAGAGTGCTTTGTCTGCCCTTGAAAAGCACATTCTTGGGTTATCATAGACCCGGATCGCTCATTGTTGGCATTGACTTTGCTGCACGCAATTTAGCAATAATCCGCCATGACGCCAACCTCCAAGGTCATCCCCGGCAGTAGCAGACCGCCATGGCTTCTCAAGCTACGTTCCTCGACGACATTCATTGTAGCGACAGTCTGGATGTCCACATTCACGGTGTGTCCGAATCCCGGGTTAGGAGAGGCCATGCGCTAACGGGGCCGACTGAAACAGGACTTTCTTCTCTATGCCATGGTAAGCGAGCACTTTTGAGCATGGCGTGAAGACTCAAAAGTAACAAAGATTAACACCTGCTAGATTGTCCCCGTCATGCCCACAGCCTTGATGGATCGGGCCAATGTCGAGTACAGCGATCGTATGTCGTGGCTCTGCACCTGCGAATCAGCAAGTACCTGAAGAGCAACACGGGTTGACACAAGCAGGCGAATACTGGATCAGTATCCTCCTAATGTGTGAGGCCGGTACGGCTCTCGTCCTCTGCCCGGTCTTCGGATACCTCGTCGACAGCGCGCGCACACGCCGACTACCATTCCTGAGCGCACTGATCTTGCTCGCGGGCTGCATGGTAGTGCTGCACACAGCGCACTCGCTAGCCATGTTCATCACAGGCCGGCTGCTACAGGGCTGCGCGGGCGCCATGGTCGTAGTGGCAGCCTTTGCGCTGCTCCACGACTCGGTGCCGCAGGACCGCCTCGGACAGACGATCGGGTACCTGGGCTCGGCGATTGCGTCCGGGTTCCTGCTAGGCCCGTTTCTGGGCGGCGTGGTGTTCCATGCCGGCGGGTATGACGCGGTGTTCTGGATGGCGTATTCCATCATTGCGCTGGATTTGGTCATGCGCGTGGTCATGATCGAGAAGAGGCAGGCGGAGCGCTGGGTGAGTGCGTCTGATACGAATTCCGACCCGGAGTCGCCTGTGCAGTCACAGGAAGAGCAGCAGCAGCAACAACAACAACAACAACAACAACAACAACAACCGCCAGAGACTACTGCAGCATCGCAACCTCCTCAATTCAATGGCCGCTTTGCCATGCTTCGAATCTTGCGACAGCGTCGCGTGCTGATCTCCTCGTGGGCCCTACTGGTGCATGGGATCTTGCTCTCGGCTTTTGATGTGGTCTGGACAGTCCACCCCTGAAGAAAGAAGCAGGCGCTAATGTGTTGCATCATACAGACCCTGTCCATCTTCGTCGAGACGCGGTACGGGTGGTCCGCGCTGGGAATGGGGCTGATATTCCTGCCGATGGCGATACCAGCCTTCTTCGAGCCATTCTTCGGTATGTCAGCGCCCAATGGACCAACCTTGAAAAGGTCGCCCACAAAAGGCGATTGAATTGTCCCATCTGATAATCCGTCTTATCTTTCTCCAGGGTACATCACCGACCGATTCGGCGCGCGCCTCGTCGCCTTCGCATGCTTCTTCCTCCTCACACCATCACTGATCTGCCTCCGCTTCACCGAACCCCACTCCCCACCGCACATAGGCCTGCTGATCACGCTGCTCTTCTTCATTGGCGTGTTCATCCACGCGTGCGCGCCGGCCATGTACGTCGAGACGCAGCGCGCGCTGACGGCGCTGGAGCTGGCGCAGCCCGGGTCGCTGGGCTCCAAGGGCGCGGTGGCGCAGGGGTTCGGGTTGCAGAGCATGTGTCAGTTTGCCGGGGTGTTCTTTGGGCCACTCTGGGGTGGGTTCGTGGAGTATCGGTTTGGGTGGGGCGCTATGTCGGCGACGTTGGGTGGGTTAGTGGCCTTGACGGCGGTGCCGATGCTGTGGCTTGGTGAGGAGGTTGAGGGGCATGAGGGAGAGAGACAGCCGCTGTTTTGTGGGTGAATTGCTGGAATTGCTGGATTGGTGCTTCACTTCGCCTCCTTTGGGCTTGGGACAGGGAGTGTTCGACAGTTGACGCAATGGCCAGTTGGGTTGTGCTGCCTTCGTCGCTTGGACTATCCCGTTTAGGCGATGACCTCAATCCTGGCCTTGTGTCTCCTTATCTCTCTCCTCTGCTCGCCATCCATGGATAAATAGGGTCGCATCGCGCAGTTCTGTGTGACCTTTTTTTTCCCGCTTGCAATGTCCACACTTCTCTGTGCATTCTCACGCTCGAGTCTCCGCGTTCGGGGGTTTCGGTCATCCATCGACGTTGTAAGCAGAAGAACCACCTTCCCCTCAGACAGGAAATGGCAAGGCGCATGTGACTAACTATGAGATAAGCGTCTATTATATTGCGCATCCACCACGCCACTACAGTCCACATTCGTCCCCAAGCTCCCTCGACAATCCAACATCATCACCGGTCCTCCCAAACACCGCAACATCACATCCTCAACCCGCACCTCCACCATGCCACCCACAAACAGTCTCTGGCACGCGCAGCAGCGAGCAAGCAAAGAAAGCAACGAAAACACCAAAAAGCAATATATCTGCCCCGCAGAAACAACGCCGCACCGCGCCACAATCCTCGGCTTCCCCTCACGCTGCTCCACGCTCCCGGGCCTGTACAAGCGCACCTGCAACGAGATCGTCGACCTAGCCGGGACGATCGCAGTCTTCGAGCCCGTGCGCCTGCATGTGCGGCCCGAAGACCAGGCGCGCGCGCAGACGCTCGTCAACCAGCGGCTGCAGGCGTCGTCAGACGCTGATAAGAACAGACAGCAGGGGCGCATCTCGCTCGTGCCGTGCGCCACGAACCACTGCTGGGTGCGCGACACGGGCCCCGTGTACGTGCGCGGAGCCGATGACCAGCAGCGGTATGCAGTCGACTTTGGATTCTGCGAGTGGGGGAATAAGACGGACGAGTGGATCTATGGTGGCAGCGCGGAGACGAAGACAAAGACAGCATCAAAGACAGAGAGTGAAACGCCTGACGACTGGCCCGAGATGGACGAGTCATCCCGGCGCGAGAACGCAGTCTTTGCATCGCGCGCACTAGAACTCGAGAACGCCGCCGACCCCACGAACCCTGTGACACGGGTACAAGCCGCGATCCGGCTCGAGGGCGGTGGCCTCGAGTTCGACGGCGAAGGCACGTTCATGGCAACCGAGAGCAGCATCGTCGAAGCGGGGCGGAATGGCGGCCTCTCGCGCGCAAACTGCGAAGCCGAGCTGCGCCGGCTGCTGGGCATCGAGAAATTCATCTGGTTCCCCGGCCGTCTGGGGCTGGATATCACAGACTGCCACGTCGACGCCGAGGCACGGTTCGTGCGGCCGGGCGTGGTGGTGCTAAACCGGCCGCGTGGGTCTGCCTCTTCTGAGTCTGCTGATCCCGTTTACTGGGAGATGTATAACGAAATGCGCTCGATCCTAGAGTCCTCGACCGATGCGCGCGGCCGCCGCTTCGAGATCCACGATGTTGAAGAACCCGATCTGGCGCTGGTGAAGGGGACGCTGGCGCACGAGGAGGAGGCGCCTGCGGCGTCGTATGTGAACTTTTATTTTGTGAATGGCGGGCTGGTCATCCCTGCGTTTGGGGATCCCGTTGCGGACCGGAATGCGCTCGAGGTGTTGCAGAAGCTTCTTCCTGATAGGGAGATCCGGCAGGTTGCTGTGAACGCGCTGCCGAGGACTGGGGGCGTGCTGCATTGTGTTACGCAGCAGGTGCTATAATGTATTGGCCTGCGAGGTGTAAATGTACTTTATGGTGGAATATGGAGTATATGGAAGAGCGAATCCCATCTCATGAGACTCATCCTCGGTGTCTTTTAGGGCTAGTTGTGTGTAGGCTAGATATGTGTATTACTCTTTGCAAGGATGAGATGGTCTGGTAACCAATTGTACATTCATGCTCGTCTTCACTGCCAGAGGATGAGACAAGAAAAAGGAGTGGAGAGACAGAACAGCCCAAATCATCAGTCATGTAGCATCCGTGTAGATGTATGTCTTTTACTTTTCAACGCCCAAGTAAACCAGAATAAAAGTAAGGAATAAGAAACGCCTTTCCAGACACCCAATGATGCCATACGCCAGAATGGACACAGAAAATGTAACCAACCAAAAAAAGGAAAGATAAATAGATAGGAGGGAGGCATAAGAGTCATGAGAGGGATATATCGAGTATGGGAGTCATAGAAAGCAGGGGGAGGGGAGAGAGAGAGAGAGAGAGAGAGAGAATCACAGACTCAACTGATCAATACTCCCCACCCTCCCACTCCCCCCAACCTTCCCCCACCCTTGGTCACCATCCCAAGCCGATAGAACCGCTCCTCGCCCGCCGGCGTGCGCCCCCCGACATACCACTTCTCCGGGCCCAGCGCATCGCGGAACCCGCCCGAACCACTGGAACTGTCGCTCCCGCGGCGCTGACGGTCTGCGGGGCCGTGGTTGATAGGGATGGGGGTGGACGAGGACGAGGCGGGTGTTGTTGGGGGCGGGGAAGGAGTGGTGGATGTAGAAGAGGCTGTGGCGAAGGGGGAATCGGAGGCTGTTGTGTGGTAGTGTGTTGTTGTTGTAGAAGATGTACCCGGATGAGGGTTTGATGATGCTGTGGCGGAAGGTGTGGAAGGGTGATGGTGGTGGTTGTGCGTATTAGACGCAGAAGATGACGTACCCGCCCCTGTAGTAGGAGAAGAAGAAGACGCTGCTGATGAAGAGGCAGATCCCACAGCCTTGGTGGCTATAGCGCGGGCACTTTGCGAGATCTGGCCCGAGGAGAGCGACGAGGACCCGGTGGCTTGGGAAGAGGCTTTGTAGGTGGACTGGGCGCGGAAGGCGGCCAGGAAGTTGGCCAGGAAGGGGCGGTTGGTGGACATAATGTGAATCCCAATATGGACGCCAATATCCTGAGATATGTGCAGACTTGTGTGCTGTGTTGTAGGTTGAAGGAAGAGGGAGAGAAAAAGCACATTGGCAACGGGTTTGAACGGCGGGGAAAGCCAGCGATCCCGAACTCGCGGGCGCCGCGCCAATCACAGACGCTGGATTATTATGGACATGACGTCGATCAGGAAGATTCCGGACACGACCCTTGCCTGAAAATTCGGGTATATGGAGAAATGGAGATTATGGAGGATACGGGGTTTTGTAGTTTTAATGCAAAGATAATCTATGCTTTTCGTTGGGTCTCGAGCCCAAAGGCATTTATGTCCGTGCCGTGCCGACTCTCTACTTACAGGAAGCCCATGCAGATGCACACACCGAGAAGTAAAAAAGAAAAGGAAAAGAAAAGAAAACCAGAACAAAAACCAAGACAGAGACAACAAAACACAGGCAACACTGAAAAAAAAGAAAAAAAAAAAAAAAAAAAAAAAAACTGATTCGACAGAAGCCTTCCCGCAAAGCTTTTTCTTTCTGGGGTCGAACATCGCAAAAGGAACACATGCCCATGTCTATAGTGTGGACGCCGAACAAAAACCACCCACCATACCATCTGCCCACTCATCAGAGAGGAAAACAAAAACACAATCAACCGACTCGAGAGGAAGGCGGTCCCACAGATGGGATCAGACCAAAAACACATCGATACTAAAACAAACACCGCAACGTGGACGCCAGAAGCACGAAACGCCGCGAGCTCGAGCGGTGCCGATCGGGTCGGAGGCAAGAGGCGAATCGGAGATTGCGAGAGAAAGGCAGACCCGATAGTCGGCGTCAACACCTGTTTGCCATCTCACTCCACCGCTTGCATTCCGATCGAATCAGCCGTCTACTGTCTCGCGGGCTGGACGGTGCCTGTAACATTCAGTATAAGGATAGGTCTTTGAAGAGATAGACGCAAGAATAATAACTTACCGTCACCGCTCAGCGTAGTCGAAGCCAGATACAATCCGTTCATACCGCTCTCGGGGCCGCCGGCGGTCGTGGCGGGGTAGAACTTCCGGTCGGCATCGACGGGGGCGTGGATGGGCTCCTGGCCGGCAGCCATGGAGTGGGCGAACACACTGTTCATGTAGCCATCCGAGGGACCGTGCTGAAACATCGAGGTCCAGTCAACTCCCGGCTGATTGGAATGGGGGCCGGGCATGACCGGGTGTTTATGGTCGGGAAGGGCCAGGGGCTTTACCTGTTCAAAACGATCAACACTCAGTTGCTGGCCATGGGCATGGGGACCAGACGGCATGAGGTACTGATTGGGCTGGGGTGCAGTCATCCAGGGGGCTCGCGCATGCGACTGGCCAGCAGAGAACGCGTCGTCACGGGGACGGTTCATGCCGTTGGCCGACATGTTGAACCCCAGTTGCTGCTGCTGCTGCTCCGGGAACCCAGGACGGCTGGCCCCATCGCCGAATTGCGTACTCATAGCACCATGGGACGGGACGGGACTACTAACCTCATCCTGAAGAGGCTTGGCGGGGTTTGCCGCCGCAGCCGCTTGGGACCGTTTCAGATGGGCTTGCGGGTGCGACAAATGAGTCGCCCCAGTCGGGTTGCCCCGTCGTATCGAGCACTTTTGGAAGTGACGCTTCAAGATGTCACTGCGGGAGAAGGTGTCTTTGCACAGAACACACATGTACGGACGGTCGCCAGTGTCTGTTTATAGTTGACGCGTCATTAGCCGCGACTGAGAAGCAAAAGGAAAAGAAAAAGAAAAAGAAAAGAAACTCACGTCTCAACAGATGGCGCTTCAGGTGCTTCGCGTGAAGATACGTCTTGTTACAGTGCGGGCAGGGGAATTTGCCATCGGCGTCCTTGGCCGGAATCGTAGTACTCTTCGCGGCGCCATTGACACCGTTGGAGACCGGAGTCGCGCGTCCCGGAACACTCGGCAGGATCCCACGACGGCCCTGAGAACCGACGACCTGCGTGCGTGGCGGTTCCTTGGATCCGTAGGGAGAGCCACCGTTCGCGCCGTTCACCTCCGGGCCCATGCCCCAACCCTTGCCATCGGAGTAGCTAAAGGCACCGGACGGGAGACCGTTGAAATCCGTTCGACGGTCGCGTGGGGGAGCCGGCGCGATGGGCTGCGGGTAACTCTGCGCGGTCGACGCGGGCGGCAACACGCTCGGAGGCGGGGGGTAGGATTGGGTCGGGTGCGCCTGCGTCTGGTTAGGAGGAGGAAGCAAAGACGATGAAAGGCTACCGACAGTCGTGTGCGGCATGATTGGGGCCGTAGAGGCCCCGTACACGTCGTGAGTCGACGCGGGAAACCGCGACAGATCCGGCCGGTACGGCTGGCTCATGTAGGGGTGCGGCGCGGGCGACTGAGGGTGGTGAGGCTGCAGTGGCGGCAGCGTATGAGGCTGCGACACGGGATACTGAGGCTGCATCGGATATTGTGGCATGTGCATACTCGAGATGGGGGTCGAGGAAAGAGGCGTGGAGCCTTGAGGCAGGCTGGTGGACGGAGGCCGGGAAGGGTGCGACCTGGGATCCATGGCGATTGTATTCGATCTGGGGGAGACAGAAAAGAGAGACAGAAAAGAATGAGAAGGGAGAAAAGATCACGGTAAGTCAATCATCGAACACCCAAATCTCTTTCTCTTTTTTTTTTTTTCCTGGTCTGGTTGAACCCAAGTAGCTCCTTGTTTTCTTGACGTTGAAATTTTCCCGAGGTGGAACAGAGTCACGGGGGAATCCAGGTCGAAACTGACTCCACTGAACAAGCGTTAGGATATTCGATGCAAAGGGAAGAGAAAGAAAGCAGAGGGTTGATCTGAGGAGGTTCCCCACGGTCACCCACCAGAAGAATCGTTGTGTGGGAACTTGATGAATTATCCGCACGTTGTCACCTCGATGGGTTCTTGTATCCACCAGGGAAGCGGGCGTGCAAGTGGGTCTCACGCAGCACAACAACCTCCAGATCTGCTTCGCGTCACGGAATGCGAGACAATCGAATTGAAGATCAAGCTGTGAAATGAAAAGAGTTGGGGGGGAGTTGTAGAGATGAAGAGAGCAGATGAGAGAAGAGAAGAAGAAAAAAAAAAAGAGATAAAAAAAATTTGAAGAGGCGAAAAGAGAAAAGGAATTCGAAGTTTGATCGCAGACGGGGGGAATTTGGGGGGGGGGAAGAAATGGGGGGGCGGCCAAAGTTCACAAAAAAAAAAAAAAAAAAAAAAAAAAAGTAACGGAAGACCGGGAAAAGGACGATCGCGCTGAGGCAAAAAGGCCCTACCCAAATAATGGGTTTTCTGGAACGTATTGCAATTACCAACGTTACGTGTAATTTATATCACTTACCCTCGATTCTAATATTCGAATATTTGGATATTCTCATAGTGATTTAATTTATGAGTTATGAGTTAAATGGTGAAGCTCTAAATTCTCACATTCTCATTGTTCACTTGTTCAGTGAACCTTCTACCATTTGCGTTCAGCCAACCCGGATCGGGACGTCGCATTCGGATACCATTCTGTATGCCGACTCTCGCAATGGTTCCTGGATCAAGTGGAATTGGAGTAGCCGATACAGGATTTATTGGAGACTGTTCTCCCCGAGATCTCGTGGATTCTCCCGTCCCTGACAGCCCCGCCGGGATGACATTCACCATAAGACATTGAAGATGAAGAACAGGAATGAAGAACAACACTAATTGAATTGAGATCAAAGGCCTCGACTCGCACCGATCTCGCGCCACCTCCGCTCGCTGAGAAAGAACCCGGAGCTCCGACAGCCATTCATGGGAAAAGCCTCATGCATCCTCGATCCAGCCTGCATGCTGAGTGTTGCTCTTGCATATTCAAAAGAGGGGAAGAGTAGGAGAAAGAAACAGAGAGAGTATGTGGAAGTCGAGTAGCTTAGGTGCTTAAAAAATCCTCTGCGACCGGGGGAGGTTGGTAACGGCGATGCATTGTTGCCCTACATACCGGAATTATAGGGTACCTACATTACCTACCTGGGCCAAGTACTTTCGTCGGATGCGCCGTAGCCGCCTGGTCCAACTTGCCCGCAAATGATGGGTTCTAACAGGGGTATTTAATGAGCCACAGGAATGCACATCAGTTTCTTACAAAAAAAAAAAAAAAAAAAAAAGAAATACCAAAAAAAGGTTCAGACTGATGCGAGCATTCAGGGGGTTGATTGGCCCGTGTGGCTACTTCCAGGACCTGGCATAAGCTGCCTGTTTGGCGGTTCGCATTGGATTGGATATTAGTTAATGAAATCTCTCCCGAGATCATTGTTTCAGCATAAAAAGGGGGGAATGCATGAATTTGGACTGATCATAATACAGTGTATATCGTGGACATGTAAACATGTTTATAGTAGAGACTGAAATAATATAGTAGAGTATACATACTGTAGTATTCACATGGATGATGACCCTGGCCCCTCTTGTCTCCACCAAAACATTCGCAAGAGCTTCTCCCGCTTCGATTGTGGACCTGGAAGGCTTCGACCAGGGTTCTGCAGAAACACGATCAAGCATCATCTATTCGATTCATATGGATATCCATATACAGACAAATATATTATATGATCATGCTCTGAAAATAACACATAACACATAACGCAAATAACACACAATACCCAAGAATCGGAAGGCTTCGGGCCACTCGCTTAACCTTCCGTTTTGTCTCACCTCGGGCCAGGACTCGGGAGCGTGTTTCCGGGAAAAGCGTGTACTGTATTATATGATAATAGAATTATAGAATTATAAGATTATAAGATTATAGAATTATCATTATGTTATATTATATAATCAATTCTCTGACTACCAAATCGAGTCTCCTACACGGCGTGTTCCTGCTTTTCCAGCTTTCTCCAATGCCCGATCCTGAAGATCCATCGGCATCACTGTCGGGACTTGCAGCAGATCCACTCAGGCACCCGAAACGCGGTCGGCCCAACCCAGGCACAAACTACGGTGAGAGAGCGTGGTCGGAGTCAGGGGCCAATACCTATCCGTGGATGGCTGTACAATGTATCCCTACATAATAGTGGCAACTGCAGAAATCAAAGATCCAGTGGATCGACACCGCGTTTTCATGGTTTAAAGCTTGGCGGCTTGGGGGCGACCCGTGGACAGTTCCATATGCTGACACCAGACGGAGGGCCCGCCAGTAGGGCTAAAGGTGCAGGACTATGGATGGAGATTGTCATAGTTTAGATGCTTTCAATGGTATCTCATTAGTGGGTGGAATAGCGCCCCCAAGTAAAAAATTTAACAAATAAAGAAGGCAAGAAAAGTAAGAAAGTAAGAAAAAAGATCACGTCGATCCCGCCCCCAAAATCTGTTCTTCTTTCTTTTCTGGGTGATTTTTCTGCCCAAAAGAGTTGGAAAAAGAAAAGGAAAAAGAAAAAGAGAAAAAAGAGAGAGAGAGAGATAAATTCTGAGGGCTAAATGGACAAAACTCGGCGATACTTAGGTATGAGTTGGGGTCATCATGTTGAACAAGGCGCGCGCTCTCTCCAACGTCGTAGCAGGATGCGGGCCAACTTGCCCGACAGGAATCTATTTTGGAATTCTTCCTTTTCTTCTATTATTATCACACATCACACCTACAAACTAAACATCAGTCATGATTACTGTAGGAGAAAAATTACACCCTCATGATTCTTACCCGAGAGCCTTGCCTGGTATAAGCCGGATACTGCTGAAGCCAAGTCCGGATCGTCCAGTTTCAGGATATGTAGAAGCCAGTCACACCCGGAAATTGCCCCCAGCCGACGAGGGGATCGCGCGCGCCACCCACCTCATAGGTGTGTACTGTCCATATAGCCTCGAAGGTCCTCTGCTGTATGCAAAATACGGTTATCGATACATCTGTAATATATACTATTTATTTATTTTGTAGCTCAACTGGGCAGATTGTACACCTTTAACTTTATTGAAACGAGCAGAAAAGAAAATGACAGAGACGCATTGAATAGTCGGATCCCAATCCGTGGAACACCCGTGTTCGCGATGCCATGTCCCATGTCTCTCTTCCCAGAACCAGGAGTTCTTCACGAAGAGTTACCATGGATTTGGGAACCACGGACGACTGGCCTTAATTTACCCTGCGATCTATCGCCACGCCTTGACCACTCACATACTTACTTATACTATACAAGTCTGTACGTGTTCTCGATGTGATGAGCCGAGGAAACTGGCCGCGTCATGCGTTTCAGACTCGAGAGTTTGGCGCGTATGATGAGTAGGTATTATTATATTATTATTATATTATTGTGTATATCCATGGATGGTATGAATCTATTAATATTCTCGTCTACATGTGACTCGGCTGTTCTCCTCGAGCTGCAGACATGGAAGTATTACAGTTCGGACGCTGAAATACGTCCGTGGTAACAGCGAACCATCTGCCGTTTGCAGGAATGTGTGGCTTGCCTGAAGGTATGCCGTCCTCGGAGAAGTGCAAGCATCATGAAATCTTGTCAAGTGATCATGATAATAATATTATAATTACAATTGTTATTATATGTTATAATGTTCTTACAATATGAGAAGTAAATATGAGAGTAATATGAGAGTAAATATTGCAGTAAAATACCCTGTAAAAAGGCAAAAGCCGCCCCCAATTTTCATTACAGACATCGGCTCCCTTCCGAGGCCACCGAGGCCATCGGAACGCGGCTTTTCTTGGAAATGAATACGGCGACCTACAAGCACTACTAATGTCCCAACCCCGTTCTTCCCTTTAACAGTTCTCAAATGCAAATAGTCTACAATCTATCCTATACACGGTCAAGAGTCAGCAAAGTAAGCAAAGTAAGCACTATCGACAGACCTGGACAGAACCAGAGTACATGACGTAGGGTGCCAAGGCAACATAAGACAGACAAAGAAAAAAAAAAGCAAAAGAGAAAATGGTCCCTAGACTTTTGCCCACTCATCCTCGGCACAACTCGCCAGTCGCAATTTCCCCCCCCTGACAGCGTCGATCGGGCCTGCGCGCAATATGGGCGCCCGTGTCTGGGACGGGAGCGTGCGATCCTGCGAACAGGCATTCCGTCCCCGAATAATCAGATCAGAATCTCCTTTTTTTTTTCGCGCAAGCAGAGTCTTTGACATCATTTCTTATTTCCTATTTCGTTCTTTCTATAAAAATATTATTTTTCTCCTTGTTCCAGCTGGGCGATGTTGTGCCGTGTTTCGCGGTGTTCGCCGTGCTGGGAGGCCTGGCGCTATTGACTTTGGGGGAGGTCTCCGAACCCCTGTTTCTTCGTCTTGTTATTATTATGATTATTATTTACTTGGCTATTCACGGCTCGTATTATCCCCAAATCATAGTTGTATTTGTATTTCTCCCTCTATATTATGAGAGATATTATCATACATCCAAAAAAAATATCTTGAATGAGGTTAACAGAACATGTGGACCCCTGTCAGGGGCAAAGAAAAAGAAAGTGGGTGGATTGCCCACATCCACCCTCATCTGGAGTCAGTTTAAGCATATCTGCGCGTGCCCATCGAATCTGAATTTCTCCGTCGCATCCATGTCCCCAGTGTCCACCAGGCGCCGCCAGTGGGACCCACCCCCTGGACAGGAGGGGGTGAGGGGGGGCACCTGGTGGAGCGATTTGCAGGATTCGGAGATCCCAGCGCCAGTGGTGCTGAGGCGTACTGAGTACTTTGATGATGTGGATGAATTTGGGCAAGGTCCGATAAGTTTGGATGTGTATAGGGGGGGTTCTTGGGTATGTTTTCTATGTTGATATCTGTCTGGATTCGGGCTTTGGGGTGACTTAGGGCTTGAATTGTCGAGGATGTTGCTTTGGCACTGAGGTACCTAGTACATCGAAGGCGTGATTGATTATCTGTGCTGCTGTTTGATATCCCAGGACTTTGAGTAGTGCTTAGATGAATGATTAAATAGTTAACACGGGGTGTATTGTGAGGTTATGCTATGTTGATTTACAATAAATAGATATCCCATGTACATATACCTGTTGAAGGTGCTATATATATATATATATCGTGATAACCCTAAGTACCTCCACCAACTCGACGTCGTACGAATAGCCAAAACCCACCCCCCTCAAGAAATTACAGAAAATGCCACGATCCATGATGCTTTAGTACCACAAGACAACTAAAGACACTCTCATCTTTTTCTGGGTTATGCATGAAGCTATCTCGAGCATATGGAACCGGTGGAGCAAGCCCACTCCATCACGGGGAACCACATGGCATGCATACCTAAAAACGAGACTATCGGGGGCCCGCTCTGCAGATGGGTCCAAGATGCGGCTACCCGTGTAACCATTGATGTTGCTGTTCAACCTAAATACTACCTTGCTATGCCCGACTCTATATCGTGCTATTGGCATTGGTTGACAAGCCCTTCCATACCAGCCTGACAATATGAATGCTTGCTGCCCTTCAAAGCCCATACAATCGAGTCAAATGAATTTGACTAACAAATTGTAGACTTGTTTGATTTGACTCACATACAATCCAGACTACAGATGATAGGGCTAAACTCCACATCTCTAAAACGCCTTGCCAGCCTATATCTTATATCTCCCCATCTATGACAAGGCATTATCTGACTTGCCCAACACTGCAGGCGCATCACCTCGATCATCAACAGGCTCCACACCCTTACTGATGACAGCCTCTTGCTCCACCGCATGAATAGCATGCTCCACATTGACCTTGGGACCCTAAACCAGCGACAAGCATCAAGAACCCACCACACGATCACAGCCAGCATCGGCGTGAGATGGCCGCCCGTCACACTGGGCAAGCACAAGATCGGAACCATAAGCAGGACAAAAGCAACCCCGAACCCGCCAATATACGGCTCAAATGGGCCCAGACGCCACGGCCCGCGGCGGAAGCGGTCACTAACAAAAAAAAAAAAAAAAGACGCGCACAGCGATGGGGATGCTAAACGCGACGAATTGCGTGATGGATCCGATCGAGAACAGCGCGCCGATGGCGACGTCGCCTGCTAGGATCAGGAGACACATCAGAATGCCGAGGACGGCGTTGAGGATCACGGCGTTTACGGGCGTCGCGGTGCGCAGGTGCACTTGTTTCCAGAGTCGCGAGAGTGGGAAGCAGTCGTCGCGTGCGCGGGCGTATGTCACGCGTGATGCGGCTACCATGCAGCCCTGGCCCATAGAGAAGCCACAGAGGATGGTCAGCGCGAGGATGGCCATTGCTGTGCGCGCTGGCAGAACCTGGAGTAGATATGATGCCCATGGCTGGCCCAGATCTGAGTCGATTACAGCCTCGATGGCTACCACTGTGTATGCCACCACTAGCTGCAGGAACTAGCCCATCAGCCCACCGACGCCGGACGTCATCACGATCGCCCGCGGCGACGCCACGTTCGCGTTCGAACAATCCTCGCTCAGATGGAAGGGCGAGTCGTACCCAGACATGGTTCAGATAACGCCCACAAAGGTCATCAGCACGGCCACGCCGTCGGGGAAGTCTGTCAGGTTGGTGTGATGTGGCTCCAGACCTCGTGCGACGACGTGAACTTCGGGGCTGTTCTTGGTTCCCACGGGGATCGCGATGAGCGTCGTCACCAGTGCGAGGAAGTTGAATGTTGATCCGTATGAGTTGAACTGCGTGACCCGTTTCGTTGGCAGACTGCTGATGCCCGTGTGGATGATCATGATCAGCGCCGTCAGGAGGAATGTTTGCCAGCTCGTAGGTACATAATTTGGGTTGTTGATCGACCCAGCGGCTAGGATCATCGCGGCCAGTGAGTAGTCGACCGACGGTGCTGCCGTGATCTGCCCGATTCAGTTGGACCAGCCGGTGATCCAGGCAGCCAAGGGCCCGTAACCGGGAGGAGCGAGCACCGCTGGCGCATAGTAGAGTCCGCCACTACAAGACACATATATTGAGTCAGCGCATGCTCGACGATACAACTGCACACACAACTTGCCATACCTGGTGGGCATGGCCGAACACAGCCCTGCCATTGACATAGCAACGTACTGGATAAAGGCCAAGGTAATGATCCAGCCCCAGACCATTCCCGCGGTTCCTGCATACCCCATTCCTTCAACTGATATCAGTCTCCAATACAATAAACCGCTCTCTCTATGAGTCTTCGTACAGGGGACATTTACCGTAATACAACGTGCTTGCAAATGATGACAAGAGCCCTAAAACGGCAAAACTGACACAGAAAGTCGACCATAACGAGAACTCGCGCCGGAACTCCTGTTTATACCCCAGCACCATGATCACCCGCTCGTCGGCGCTCATCTCATGGTCAGTGTAGGGCACGTCGCCCTCTGGGAGCACCGAGGTGACGGGAGCATGGTCGACATCACTGTAGACAGCAGGTTGCTTGGAGGTACCCGAGTCCGATGTTTTGGTATCCATTCTTGCGAGGGGTTTTGTGTCCATTCAGGCACTTCCAGCCTGGGAATACCTAGTCCACAAGTCAAGTAGGCTGAACTGATGGAAAGCAAGACAACCTCGACTGCATAATAAAATGTTAACCACGCAGGCGGGGATGAGCGGTATTGGATTTGCTTGTTTTTCATTTCTTTTGCTTGAGATCCAACCCAGCACAAATCGAGGGAGCTTGTGGATGTTGTAAACTGGCCCGGGTTCTGGTCCCACAAGGAAAAAGGTCGAGCCAAGGGGAGGAATGTACTTTATCTCTCTCTGTCGGCATGCTGCAGGTAGTACATCCCCGCAATGACGATCGCGACAGGGAAGCAAGACCAGCCGGGACTTGACATCAGCGCCACCGGACATCCCGAATGCTACTAGAGAGGGAGGGCTCAGGTGAGGGGGAGTGCGCAGCTAACAGGTTGAAGCGCATGCTGTACTCTCCAAGGCTCTCGACATAGCAAAGAAAGCCCGTGATAACAGTGATACTCGGAATCGGACTTAAGTTGAGAGAGATGTGGATGGAAAGCCCTCGAGACTGGATTTGCTCCGAAGAGCTGGTCTCCGCACGGCGACCACTGTGATTCGCAGAGAACTCAACAGCCCCTCGAGTATCCGTGCTACGGGGGAAGCTTGGCAGAAGAGCCAAACCCACGAGGGAAGTTTGCGGCGTCGAGGTGAACTTGTGATAAGCCGAGATAAGCCGTGCCTGAGCCCTTCTCTTATCAGGATTGGACCTGCCCGTTGAAGACTGGCGAGTTTTAGATGTATCCATGGGATGCTTTGTTGAGAAAATTCGAGAGTCTTTCATCGCTATTCTACACATACAGCCCCGTTTATCAGCCGGTCAGACTGAAGCACATATATTGCCCTCCTAGCAGCACCTCCAGATAGAGCCAGGCCCCGGGTATAATTTAGAAGGGCTGAGACAGTGTTAGCATCCAGATCTATGGTCAATCCACAAAGAAAAAAAAGCTGGCGGCCACTTACGTTGTCCTCGGGGGCAATGGTGCGGTCAAAGTACGTGTCGAGGAAGGGCACCTTCTGCAGGATATCCTTGCGCACACGGGGGATCTCGCCGAAGAAGAAAAGCGCGAAGGTACCGGCGGCAACACCGAAGCTACCGGCCAGGGTGCCGCTGTGTTGTGTCAAAACATCAGTATATGAGTGTTTTGTGGGCGAGTGCTTCGCATAGCAAGACAGTTTGAAAAAGGGAGGGTGACTTACATCCGGAAGGCATCACCGAAGCCCAGACCGTTAACATTACGGGGGGTGTAGTACCTGCAGCACGGGATGTTAGCTTGGTCGGTTCTTCTTGGCCGTGTCCAATTTGTGTCAAAGTGTATGCCAAGCGAGTTTGTGCTCTCCGCAGACGGGTGCCATTCTCCATCGTTGGAATAAATCGTCACAATGGAAGGTCTCATGCAAGAGTAAATCTCATCACCACCAATTCTTTATTAAGAATGCAAATCCACCGAGGCATTAACCTGATACAAGGACTTCGGATCCGGGGCAGTCTCACTTGGGCGCGAAGGCAGAGGCCTGAGCCGCAGCGCGGCGGAGGGTGGGAGTGAATGGCTGTTGAAAACACAAAGAATCTCCAAGTTAGCAACTGACTCTTTATCCAATGCTGGGTCCATGTTCATGTGGGTTCTGGAGGTCGGGGGTCATCTCCACGGATGCGATTGCTGCCCCGACCACAGCCATGGGTGATTGGAGACAGGAATCCACGGAGAATGCAGTCGAAATCTCCTCGAAAAGAAACATGTACGTACCATTGTGTCTGACACCAAAGGGGAGCTGGTCAATTGCGGCGAAAGCGAAGACAGCCGATGTCGACGAAAACCGGGAGCGCCCGAGCATGGACCACGTGATACCAACACAGCCAATCAGACGCACCACAATTGGTTCAGGTTACAATGGGATGCTGATGGATAATTGCCTTGAATATCTGAGCAATAGAACAGCCAGCTAAAACAACAGCCACAACAATACCCTACAGAATCTGTGTCTCGAAAAAAACCCTAGTTTGGACTATGCAAAAAAAGATGAACGGGATACAGGACAAACGGGAAACATCAAACCAGCCCAGCCTCAGATCAAAATACCAGTCGAAACAGAAGATCATAATAACCATGCAGCCAAACACCTTAACTGTACATGCCTCATTAATCGACTTTGCCGGTGGAGCCCCCGTTCAGGAAGCTTTGCTTGTTATCCAGAGCGAAGAGGCCACCGCTGGGGCTAGTGTTGCCCAGAATCCCTCCACGGCTGGTTCCACCACGTCGCAAGGAGCGACTCCGGTAGATCGTGACCCCAGCCACGGAAAGTACCAGAAAGACAAGAGAGAGAATGGGGTGGCCAGTAAGGAAGGTCCGCGTCAAGAAGATGACCGACTCAAAGGCACCGATGGTGGACTTGGGGGACAGCTTGGTAGGCGAGGAGACGACCAGAGGAATAGTTTCAAGGATCGAGGTCCGTGAGGCTATAATCGGAGCTCCACTGGACGCAGTATCCCAGTAGCGACGGTTCTGCAGACAATGAATTAGTTTGAGACGATCACCACTCGGCATGGGGTCACTTACATCCTCATCGTTGATAATCACACGATCGCCATTCTCTACATCTATCCCATAGGTCGTGCGCAGCCAGCGTTCCCAGAAATCGCCGTCGACCCAGGCAAAGGTAACTGCCTTCTTGTCGTCCTCCCGGATCGTGATGCGCGTGTTTTTGGCGGCCCGCAACGCACGCTGGTCGTTACGATCATCGGCCTCCTCGATGCGCAGTTGCTTGGCGTCGCGAAGTTCCGATCGCTCAAGCCGGAACAACTGCACCTGCTTGTCCATCCACTCAAGGGCAGCCTCTTTCAGTTCCCGCCTTGATTGCTTGAAATCGTCGGAGCGGCGTCGACTCAGAATCCCAAGCACCACGAATTTACCGTCCATGATTTCCCGCGCGTTGGATGCTGTGAGCTCGGGAACAATGGGCAGCCACACAGTTTGCATCCAAGAAAGTAGTTGGCGGACGTCTCGCATGTCCTTAGGAGCGAGAGCGTTGTAGTAGTTGGGTCGTCCGTCGCGGACCACCAGGAGACGAGGCCAGGTAGAGATCTTGAACCGTTCGGCCAGAGCAGCACTCCTGGTTTTGACGATGCGGGCGTGGCCCACAAGGCTAAGAGTCAGACGCTCTATGGCCTTGAAGTCCTCGGAGGTGGTCGCATGGTCGTAGAAGTACAGGAAGAGAACTTCCTCGGTTTCTTCCAATTCCTTGAATGCAGCTGTGTCGACCTCCTGAATTTCAGAGTGTGGGCCAACGGCCTTCTTCGAGTACGCGAGCAAATCTCCCAGGCCACGTAGACCGGTGTATTCAACTCTCTCGCCGCCGCGGAAGAAATGGATGGTCGGGAAGCCTTCCACGTCCGCTTCTCCGCAGAGCCGTTCCTCGACATCGCAATCCACCTCGCCCACGTTGAGGGTGTTCTTCATCTCCTTTGCCATCTCTAGCCAGTTGGGAGCCAGATCTTGACAGTGAGGACACCAGGGAACGAAGAATTTGATGAACCAAGGGTCTTGCGTCGTCGTTACGAGCTTTTGGAAGCTCTCGGCAGTAAGAGGAACAGAAATACCCTGGGGATTAGGGGGCGGTCCTTCATCCTTGGGCTTAGTGTTGGACTTGCGAGAGACGCCTTCGGGTTTAGCAGAGCCGAACTTGTCATCATTTTCGATGTCGTCCTTGGTATCGGAGTTTTCAACATCGGCATTCTCTGAATCATCCTTTGCCCTGCCGGTTTTCTTAGTGTCGCCCGTTTCACTGTCGGCCTTTTTCACTCCATTCTTTTCAGTGCCGGCCTTCTTAGAACCGCCCTTCTTCTCACCATCTTTTTCGGCGTCGGCCTTCCTGGAGCCACCCTTCTTCTCACTGTCTTTTTCACTGTCGGTTTTCTTGGAACCACGCTTCTTGGAGCCACGCTTCGTCTCACTGTCCCTTTCGCTACCAGTCTTCTTCGAGCCACTCTTTTTCTCACTATCTCGTTCACGGTCGCCCCTCTTGAGCTCACTTTTCTCGTTCCTGGACGACGACTTGCGGCTATACCGATCGTCGAGATCGTCGTCGAGATCGTCGTCGTCATCGAGATCGGGCCACAGATTGGAGAAATCATCATCGTCCTCATCCTCATCCTCGTCCTCGTCATCATCCTCCGGTTCTTCTGGTACCGGCTTCATGCTGATCGCGCCAACCTCTGGCAACTTGGGCCCGCCCTCAGGACGAGACCCAGGTTTAATCGCTTCAAGTTTCTCTTCAATGAGTTTGCTCAATTCTTCTGGTGGCTTGTGGCCAACGTGCGACTCTTTCGGTGTACCATTGTCGTAGAACCCCCAGACCGGATAGAAATCAATCCCAAGCTTCTCGCAGAAGTCTCCATGAGCAAGACAATTCATCGACGCAAAATGGAAGTTGTAGTATTTGGTGAAGGTGTTCGGAGACTTCGGATCTGGGGAATCCTCCGAGTTTGGTGACAAGGGGTCCGAAGTCTGCCATGCATTAGTTCATCTGCCCTCTCGTTGGGGCCTTGAGAAATACTCACGTAGTAGTATTCATACAGAGTTTGGTAGACCGGCGCGGCCTTCCTACAATGGGGACAAGAGGGCGAGTAGTGTTTAACGAGCCTGGATTAATTAGTGTCATGAAAAAACATGTGATGTTGCGAAAGGGGAGATGCTGACCAGTAGCCATCCTTCGTGACTTCCTCAAACATTTCAGGGGTCAGCTGCGGCAATGGAGGCACTTCAACACCGTTGAAAGTCGTCGGTGTATCCGGGTCGGTTCCTCGGAAACGCATGGCCAGAGTAGGCACAGCCCACAGTGAGAAGAGGGACCACCCCAGCCACGAAGCCTTCATCCTGGCTGCTGGTTGGCAGGATCCTTGATCAGATTCAATAGAAAGTAAAAAGAACTGGCAGAATAACGTGGAGCCAAAGAGGCGAGGCCTAGGTCGAGAGGAGCCGAAAGGAGAATGCGCGAGATGTTACAGGTGGCCCATTGAACGGGGCAAAACGCTCCCAGTTAATAATCAATAGGGAAGAAGAGAAGCAGGGAGGGACTAGAGTGCCCCAAGCCTGAAAAGACCAACGAGAAATGTGCAAAGGAATCTGATGTCCATCAGTTGAAAGTTGGCCACAGGACCCCTTCCTCCTGGGAAAATCTGGTTTATCCGCGCCGATCCGACTTCGACAGTTCCCGCGCTCCCTGAAACTAACAGCCTCCCATTTCTACCCCAAATATCAACCACCATGAGGTTGACACTTCGGTTGCTGGCCAATGTCAAGCCCCGGTACCTGGAGCCCTTTGCTCCGACCGGATTGACTGGCCTGACCACTCACCCCAGTCCTCGCCCGACTTTGATTTACCTCTATTCAAACACGCTGCAGAAGCTGACGGCCTTCCCCGAAACCTCCGCTTACCGTCAATCTGCTGAGGCATTGACCCGCCACCGCCTGCAAATTGTCGAGTCGAAGAAACCCCCGGGCTTTGATGCTTGGTTAGAGCGTGTAAGGAAGACCGTGGGCGCCGAGCCCGAGCGGTTTGCCCGACTCCAGCGCTCCGATGGCACCTTCACCCATGCCGCTGCTGAGCAAGCGGATGGAAGTGACAATGTCCGTGGGGAGGAATGGGACGGTGAAGGGCTGTCGGCCTCCACCGAGGGTCCCGCCCGCACCCCGCAGGAAGAAGCCCAGTGGCATAAAATCATGGAAGAGTCGAGCGAGACTACCGAAAAGGCCGAGGCCGACTTTTACAATGAAACTATGAAGTGGGAGAACGAGCCGGCTCTGGAAGCCCAACAGTATGTGATATGATGTCCATGACCTCCATCGGGGAGGCCCTGAAGCCGAGTCACCTGCTAATTTTCCCCACACAGGATCTCTGAGATCGAGCACGAGATCGGTGCTGGCCTCATTGAGGAGGTCATCCAGGTTGCAGAGGCAGAGATGAAGCTCGTGGATGATATGTACCAGTCGAAAGTGTAAGTCTTGAGCTCTATGACTTCCCGGTCGGGAGATGCCGCTGACAAGTTTGCAGATGGGAGGAGCTCGAGGAGAAGCCCAGCCCTGGTCAATGGTCCTACTTTGAGCGCGGCAACTAAGCCGGCCATTTGAGGAGAGGGTTCAGATATCTCTGTAATGATTAGAGGTCGGTTTGTTTGAATACAATTTTGGCTGTTTGCAAGATCTCTCGTAGAGCTGCACCCCAAGACTAGGTTTCAGTAATCATAAAAATATGGGTTGAAGAAGCCATTGTAAGCCATTCCTTTCTATCAGCAGCAATATAGTAATAGCAACTCCATGATCGTCGAGGTCGAAAGATCCGTGGACATCCAAGGCCATCGAGGTGAAGGCGGTGAGCCGAGCCGGGAATCCCTTGTGGACACATACATTGTCCCTGAGCCCTCCAGCTTTCCTCCCCGGGAGTCTCAATTGCGGCACTTCTTTCCCTTTCTTTTCTTAGTTGATCCCGAGGATCCTTCTCTCTTTTCTCGGGCTGTCTGAGCGGTTTGTGGAATCTCCTCGCTCTTGCAGGCCCAACGCCGCACACATATTCGTCCCATCCCCCCACACAACATGCGGCTCGACGTCAAGGTACGCAGACACGGATGATGCGACAGCTTTTACACCTCTCCAGTCGCATATGCAATATGATTTTCTCTTCTGGGAGCGTGGAATTGACGGATTAGCTGACGGATTTGGTGTCATGCAGAGGCAGCTCTTTGCCCGCTCGGAGCGGGTTAAGGGCATTGATTTCCACCCTACGGAGCCATGGGTAAGCCAAGAAAATGTCCTGGGAATGCCTTGATCCAAGCTAATGGCTCTTCAGATCTTGACAACCTTGTACAGCGGTATGCCTAAAGAGTACCCTCTAACCAAACATTCAATGCGCTAACGGCTCCGGCCACAGGTCACGTTTACATCTGGTCCTACGAATCGCAGGTAAGCCTAGAGAGTGATGTGTTGCGTTACCGAGAAAGATGTTTCTGACATTTCCTGCTCTTTAGTCCATCATCAAAACCTTCGAACTTACCGATGTCCCTGTGCGCGCCGGTCGATTCATTGCGCGGAAGAACTGGATTGTCTGCGGTTCCGATGACTTCCAACTTCGTGTGTACAACTACAATACATCCGAAAAGATCACCACCTTTGAAGCACACCCGGACTATATCCGCTCAATTTGTGTCCACCCGACCCAACCGTTTGTGCTTACGGCCTCCGATGACATGACAATCAAGTTGTGGGATTGGGAGAAGGGCTGGAAGTGTGTCCAGGTGTTCGAGGGTCATAGCCACTATGTGATGGGTATGGCGATCAACCCCAAGGATACCAACACTTTCGCATCTGCTTGTCTGGACCGGACCGTGAAGATCTGGAACCTGGGCTCTCCTCATGCCAACTTCACTCTGGAGGCCCACGAGGCGAAGGGTGTGAACCACGTCGATTACTACCCGCAGGCGGATAAGCCCTACCTTCTCACTACCTCGGACGACAAGACCGTCAAGGTATGGGACTATACGACCAAGGCACTCATCGCAACCCTGGAGGGCCACACCAGCAACGTTTCCTTCGCTTGCTACCACCCCGAACTGCCCGTTATCATCTCGGGTTCCGAAGATGGAACAATTAAGATCTGGCACGCGAACACCTACCGGCTGGAGCAGTCATTAAGCTATGGCTTGGAGAGGGCCTGGTGTATCGCCTACCAGCGGGGTCGACAGGGAGTCGCAATGGGTTTTGATGATGGGGCTGTGGTTGTGAAGATGGGTCGGGAAGAGCCCGCCGTCTCGATGGATGGCTCGGGCAAGCTCATTTGGGCCCGACACAGCGAGGTGGTATCGTCAGTCATAAAGGGTAGCGAGCCGTCTATCAAAGACGGCGAGCGTTTGTTGTTGCCGACAAAGGACCTGGGACAATGTGAGGTGTACCCGCAAACTTTGTCCCACTCGCCGAATGGTCGTTTTGTTTCTGTCTGCGGTGATGGCGAGTACATTATCTACACCGCATTGGCATGGAGAAACAAGGCCTTCGGTCAAGCCCTTGACTTTGCTTGGGGCTCGAAGGACAACAGCAATGACTACGCAATTCGCGAGTCTACAACAAGTGTCAAGATCTTTAAGAACTTCAAGGAGCAGAGCGGCGGCCTTGATGTCGGGTTCCAAGCAGAGGGTCTGACTGGTGGTGTTCTTCTCGGTGTGAAGGGGCAGGGCGGTATCGGCTTGTTCGACTGGGAGTCGGGCAACCTGGTTCGGAGAATCGAGGTTGACCCCAAGAATGTGAGTATTACTTCCACGGAAAATATATACGAAGCTTGTGGTGAGCTGACCACATTATCATAGGTCTACTGGTCTGAGTCTGGAGAGTTGGTAACCCTGGCCTGTGAAGATACCTTCTATGTCCTTCGTTACTCGCGAGAGAACTATGTCAATGGCATCAACAACGGCGAAGCCGATGAGGATGGCGTCGAGGCTGCCATTGACCACGTCGCTACCATTAGCGAGACCGTCCGGACCGGAGAGTGGGTTGGTGACTGCTTCATCTACACCAACTCTACCAACCGCCTGAACTACCTGGTCGGTGACCAAACTTACACCATCTCCCACTTCGATGATTCCATGTACGTCTTGGGCTACTTGCCTCGAGATGGTCGGGTCTACCTGTCCGACAAGGATGTCAATGTCGTTTCCTTCGGTCTTTCTCTCAGCATGGTCGAGTACCAGACGGTGGTCTTGCGCGGCGACATGGATATGGCAGCAGAGCTGCTCAGAGATGTGCCCCAAGATCAGATGAACAAGATTGCACGATTCCTCGAAGGCCAAGGGTACAAGGAGATGGCGCTGGAGGTGGCAACAGACCCGGAGCACCGTTTCGACCTTGCCTTGTCGCTCAATGACCTCGAGACTGCCCTCAAGATTGTCCGCGAGGCCAATGTGGACTCCTCACACAAGTGGAAGATTGTCGGAGATGCTGCTCTGGCTGGCTGGAACCTCTCCCTCGCCCAGGAGTGCTTCACCAACGCCAAGGATCTCGGTTCCCTGCTGCTGCTGCACACCGCCAGTAACAACCGTGAGGGTCTTCGCGCTCTGGCCACCCAAGCCTCCGAGTCCGGCCTGCACAACGTGGCCTTCTCTACACTGTGGTCTCTGGGTGACATCGACGCCTGCATCGACCTCCTCGTCAAGACCAACCGTCTCGCCGAGTCTGTCCTCTTCGCCCACACTTACAAGCCCTCGCGCGCTCCCAAGCTCGTTGTCCAATTGCGCGAGTCGCTGGAGCAGGCGGGCAAGACCAAGTTCGCTCGTCTGATCGGTGTCCCGCCCGGTGCCCCCGACGTTGCTTCCACCGACGACGATCTTTTCCCGGAGTGGGAGGAGTACATCCGCCTAGAAAAGGAAGGCATCGTACCCGAGCCGCCTTCGTCCGAGTCGCTGATCGACGTCAACGCCGACGGCGATGAGAAGGAGCCCGCAAGCGCCACGAACGGCGGTCCCGAGGTTGAAGCCGAGGCTGAACCCGAGCCCGAGGCCGATGCCGATGCCGCGGCCGCTGCGGAAGCCGAGTAAACAATGAAAGAAAGTGAAGAAAAAAGAAAGAAAGAAAGAAAGGGTGGGTGGACGCGACCCGTTTTCTATTTGGACTGCTCAAGCGATGGCGATGCGAAAGAAGAGTAGAGAGCTTTTGTTTCCGATTGACGAGTCGGCTGATTCTTGATTGCGAGCGGCGTCTTAACGTGTGTCCGATTTCTGTTTTATTTTATTTTTCCCCCTGTAATTTCGCTGCGACGTGTTTTGTTTCTCGGCTTGAGACTGAGACTGGGTAGATAAATGCCAGGAATTGTTTCTTTACATGGGGAGATAGATTTCCTCTATTTGATAGACCATGTTAGATTGCTATTGTCATTCGAATGGATTCCCTCTGATTGTAGCCTCATGCCCACGATCTCGTTGATAGTCATCTATTCCAGGAATAACCACAACGAGGGCTACCGCTGAAAAGGAACTCGTCTTCGCAACACCTGCTTCGAATTGTCTCATTGGGACTTTGGTTTTGGAGAATACACAGAGAACACCTCACTCACATCAACGAAAAAAATGACGCAGATATAGGAACCACGGGGACGATAGATGATAGAGGACACAGGTAAAGACCGCTTGAGAACATCAACACAACAAGAGATGGGAAGGGACCTGCCAAAGAGAAACAAAACCAAAGCGCTCAATCGGGTGTGGGTTCGAGAGTAATCTCATAGGGGAGAGGGGAACACCGAGTTCAAGATGCCACGGACTCCTGCGTGATGAGGGAAAGAAACAAGACAAGAGAAGAGAAGACAACAAGGCCAGAGAAACGAAACGAAACGAAAAGAAGAAAATGATCAAGATTGGTGATATGTGGATGAAGACAACAACACAGTACATAGGAGAATCGTGTCTATGAGGACCCCCCTTCTCTCACTCGCACATGGATCATTTCTCGATCTAGTTGGAACATTCAAGAATTTACTCCGGGATGCTTCCGAATGATGGGTCTTTCACGCTGCCGCCAGCATCCCCAAGGCCGGCCACCGGCCGGTTGTAGGACCATCCGGCAAACTGTTGTTGCATGGTCTGAGACAGGACCGGCCCGTCGACATATGAGTCTTGGGGTGCTTCGGAAGTGAACTCGCGGTCAAAGTTTTCTGTATCACGGGCGTCCAGCTGCGAATAGTTAGCGTCGATAGAACAGGATAGGAACAGCAAAGGAGAAGAAACATACCACATTCGGTCGGAAGCTAGGTTCGTACTTCCGCTGAAGAAGCTTGCGCCAGTCTATGTTGGCAAAGAAGTGATGCGACTTGATCTCGGCGGCTCCGTTGGCACCCAGCCGGCGCTGAGGATCCCGGTCCAGCAGTCGCGAGAGGAGATCCCGCGCGGCGGGTGGGACAACATCGCTGCTCGGGAAGGTGAGAGGTTCCTGCAAGATCTTGCGGTACATCTCATTGGTGTTCTCATCGTAGAATGGCGGCAACCCCGTCAGCATCTCATAAAGCAAAACACCCAGAGTCCACCAATCCACCGTCTTCGTGTAGCCATTGCCAAGCAGGAGTTCCGGTGCGAGGTACTCGGGAGTTCCACAGAACGCTAGGGTGGGTCAGCAATGATTTGCATACAGAAGAGAAAAAGAAAGCATCTTACTGTTTGTTCGATCCTCATCCTTCATGTCCAGTTTGCAAAGACCGAAATCACACAGAGCAATGTGGCCGGTATAATCAAGAAGAATGTTCTCGGGCTTGAGATCTCGGTAGATGACCTTAAACCCATGCAGACATTCAAGAGCGCACAGCAACTCCGCGGTATAAAATCGGGCTCGGTTGATGTCGAATCGCTGTTCTCGTTGGAGGTGGTGGAAGAGCTCTCCACCATTCACGAAGGCAAGGACCAGATACAGCTTTTCGGGTGACTGGAACGAGAACTTCAAGGGAACAATGAACGGATTGTTGATCTGCGCAAGCACCGATCGCTCGGCAAGAGTGTGCGTCACTTCGGATCGGGAGATAATGTGAGCCTTGCGAATGGTCTTGAGGGCGTAAATTCGGCCAGTATCTTTCTTCCTGTTTTCCCCCAATCGTGGTCAGCGTCTAGAAAGAATATCGTTGAAGGGAGATTGAAGGGATCATCGTACATGACCTGCATGACTTTGCCGAAACTTCCCTTGCCCACAACCTTCAACAAATCAAAGTCCTCCAGCTTCAAGCTACGTTGCTTATTCTCGACAAAAGAGACACCGATCTTGATCGAGCCGGTCCCGAACTGGAGATCCAGCCACTCGGCACCCTGCTGACCCTGCTGGCGGCCCTGCTCTTCATGAGCGGCGGCCGCCTTCTGGTTGTCCTTCTTGCTCAATTTCGGGTCCTCCACAAAGGGTTGAGATTCTTCAAAGCGGGGGTGAACCTTGACCGCACCCAAGAAGATGTCCTCACTCCGACCGGCACCAGGCCGAGCCGCAGGGTTGCGCAGATACAACTGTACGTTCAACTCAGTCTTCCGGGACACATCGAACTTGAAGGCTGTACTGTCACCGGCCCACAGGGGATTCTCCGGAGTCCCCGACACGGCATCCACGAAGACCTGGTTCTTTTCGAAATCAAGAAGGGCGTATGGAAGATACTTGGTCGAATAGCGGCCATGAATGGTCGGGGCGGCATTGATCCCCCCACTGGTGGATTGCGGACGATTGGACGGTACGAAGGAACTCGCTTGCGTCGAATGTGACGAAGAAGAAGTACTTGGGCGCAAGGAGGATGGTGCGTAGGAGTTGTTCTGGAAATGCGAGTTGAAGATCTGCTGGAAGTGGGGGGACAGAGAGAAGCTCTGGCCTTCGTGGAGGGTGACGATGAGAATGCCTGGGTTGAGAAAAGCAACTGGAGGCGAAACGAGTGACTCGGAGGCGGCTATTTTCAACCAAGAAAAGGTCAATCAGCGGCTGAATGTAGATTCGATATTTTCAAGTTTACATACCGATCCCGTTGGTGGAGGCGGTTGAGGGGGTCGAGGCGGCAACACTGGGAGAGGGGGCGGCCACCGGAGTCTCCTCAGCACCATTTGAGTCACCCTTGATCGTTGAGGTCGAGGATGACCGAGTAAAGGTTTGAGTCAAGGGCGCCAGGTGCGTTTCCTTCAATTCTATCAAGTGCGCATCATCTTAGCAATTGCCCCAAAGGCCTGACAATTGCCCAGGCATTGTCAGGGAGGAGGGGTGGATAGGGAGACCAACTGAACATACTTTTGGTGAGTTTCCAGGACATGATGGCGGGGTTAGGGTCAGGGAATCAAGGAGTAAGAAAAGAATCAAAATCCAAGATGCCGACCGCAATGCAAGGTGTGCAGACTGCCGGAATCACCAAGAATCAACATCGAAGTTCCCAAAAATGAAACCTGGGGCCACACAAGAATAAGCAACACATACACCCACACAAGGGAAGGGAAATCAGACAGAGGCAACCACTGCCTATTTCACCCAGGGATTGGAGGTACACAAACCTGGGAATCCAACAGATAGAACGAACAAAAAGTCCTCTCGAGGAGAGGAAGAGAGGAGAGACGGGGAGGAGGGGAACCCCGTGCCTGTACGGCCGGTACATAGAAGACATCTTTTGATTGGTTTGTTGGTGATAGGGTTGTAACGAATGTAATTTAGGCGCTTTTCAGGCATCTTCAGGCCACACAAGGCCCCAGTCTCAGCCACCGACCGAGGCAGTGCTACACCGCCACATCCAAGGGGACTCTATTCATCGAGGCACTCCACAGCGCTCTTGCCCCCAGAATCGCGCATTTTAACTTAACCAACCAAACGAAACCGTTTCCATCCACCGATCGATCGTGGTGAAACCTGTCTTTCCATCAAATCTCTCAGTCTCGGACTATCCCCCACCCGTGTGCGGAGAACCCTACCCCAGGATCACCCACCTAACTCTCGTCGCAACATCAAATCTTCGATCCACATCTCAAATTGCCCTCTCAGACCTCTGGGGGGCGTGTTTGGGCTTTCGAAACGGCGTTGGATTCAGTGGAGGATGAAAGGGCCCAAAGACCGATGGGTGTAATACGCAAGAAGACCGCCTCGCGCGGCACCGAGGCTGGTACTAAGTTCCATTGCGATGTGTGCTCGGTCGATGTCACATCGACGGTAAGTTCCCAGTCGGCGAAGCTTGGTAATAGGCTTATTGCTGATTCCTGCTTCAATCTGTAGGTACGCATCTCGTGCGCGCATCCTGCGTGCCATGAATACGACCTCTGCGTCCCCTGTTTCGCCGCCGGAGAGAATTCGAAGAACCATGACCCGGCCACACATCCGTTTCAAGTGATTGAACAGAACTCAGTCCCGATTTTCCAGGATGACTGGGGGGCAGACGAGGAGCTGTTGCTGTTGGAAGGCGCGGAGATCTACGGGCTGGGCTCATGGGCAGACATCTCAGACCACATTGGCGGCTACCGTGGCAAGGATGAGGTACGCGACCACTACGTCAATACATTTGTGGACAGCCGACACTTCCCACTGCCAGACCGGGCAGACCCGGCGGACACGGATCTCCAAGAAACCATCTCCAAGGAGGAATTCCAGTCACGCAAGAAACGACGAATCGAGGAGCGCAAGGAGGCGGCCAAGGCAGCGCCGCCCACAACACCGAAGCAAAAGCCGACTGCCAGTGTGCCAGCATGCCACGAGGTGCAGGGCTATATGCCGGGTCGTTTGGAGTTTGAGACCGAGTTCGTGAACGAGGCAGAGGAAGCCGTCCAGCACATGCAATTCGAACCGGGGGCGGGTATCAACGCCGACGGCGAAATGGATGCTGAGGCGGAGCTCAAGATGACTGTTGTTGACATTTACAACTCGCGACTTACGGCACGCACCGAGCGGAAGAAGATTCTATTCGAGCATAACCTTCTGGAATACCGGAAGAACACTGCACTTGACAAGAAGCGGTCCAAGGAAGAGCGCGACCTACTGAACAAGGCGAAGCCCTTGGCGCGGATGATGAATCGCAAGGACTTTGAGGATGTCAACCGGGGTCTGGAGTACGAGCACAACCTTCGCCTTGCCATTTCACAGCTGCAGGAATGGCGGCAGATGGGGATTGGCGATTTGAAGGCGGGCGAGAAATACGAACAGGATAAGCAGCAACGTGCACAGCGATTACTACCCCAGGGTTCTTTCGATCGCTTTGCCAGCGCGCGGCCCAAGCAATCGCAGCTGCCGGAGCTGCCGGCGGGTGCGACTCAATTGACAACTCCCGACCTTCCGCTGCGGCTGCAAAATGCAGCGAATCCCAACAAGCCGCAGGAGCCTAACAACGTGCCTCTCAACGACTTCGACCGCGCCTTTGCTGTTGATGGCGACGCGCCTCCACCCCAGCCAGCCAAGACTAAGTACGTGGTACCGCAGCTTAGTGGGGTGCCTCCATGGAAGCTGGATAGCGACAGTGCTGCGGATCTGCACCTTCTGACGCAGGAAGAGACCGAAGTGTGCAACGTGCTCCGTCTCATGCCCAAGCCGTATTTGGTTGTGAAGGAGACGCTGCTGAAGGAAGCAATGAAGCAAGGTGGCAATCTGAAGAAGAAAGATGCCCGCACGATCTGCAAGGTATGTCTTATGCTCTTCTGTTCCTCGCTGGAATTCTTGTCTAACTTGTCACAGATCGAGGGCACCAAGGCCAGTCGCATTTACGATTTCATGGTGCACAGCGGGTGGATCAACAAGGCGTAGCTTGATGTGGAGCCAGTTTCGTTTCTTGTTTTCTTGATGGTTGATATCTACATGTACTTTTGCCTTTACTCAGGTAGCGTTTGTTTCTGGCGTTGAGGGCGGGTCCTGGAAGAGGGGTGGTGTTGATCTGAGATGTTCATATGCCGAGTGGATTGAATATCACGAATTCATCTGATCTTCAGGTTGGTAGAGTATTTTTCGAGTGCACTATACCGGAGCGGGAAGACAAAGCTACCTACTGTAGTAAGCCCAGCCAGGACCGACAGTCTTAGCACGGAGTAAACGCGCGTCAGGGTTTGCATGGACCACAATGGATCTGACGTATAACAGAAATGTAAGATTAGCCCGATCCACGAGTCACCCACGAGGCACCCCCGATTCATTTTCTGCATCTCACAGAATAAACCACTCAAGAAATAGAAAGTGGATATCAAAGAAAGAGATGAGTGATCCACTCCGCATCGGCCCTCGGCATCCCCCATCTCCGCATAGATCGGACCCATCTCTATCAACTCCTTTCTCACCCTCCTCATACCTCCCCAAAGATTCCACTCAACGACACAACACACCCCCAACAAATACAAGACCTCTAAAGCCATCCTTTACTTAATTACAGCTTCTGAACCATGCCGCAATTCTCAACACCTCCACCCACCCCACAACACGCCCTCCTCTCGTTCCCAGCCCCACACGTCCTCCTAGTCACGCTGAACCGGCCACGTGAGCTGAACTGCATCAATGCGCAGGGCCACGCGGAACTACACGCGGTGTGGGAGTGGATGGACGAGGAGCCGGGGGTGTGGGTTGGAGTGGTGACGGGGCGAGGGCGGGCATTCTGCGCGGGGGCTGATTTGAAGGGTGAGCAGGCCAATAAAATAAGAAATCAATAGAAAGCCAAAAAAAAGTGAAAGAAAGGAAAGACAACTGATATAGATCTAGAATGGAATAACCGCTCAAACAACACTACCAACACCAATACCACCCCAATGCCACCAAGCGGGTTCGGCGGCCTCGCCCGGCGCAAAGGCAAGAAACCCGTCATCTGCGCCGTGAACGGGATCTGTCTGGGCGGCGGCACAGAAATGATCATCAACAGCGACCTGGTCATCGCGGCATCGCGGACGACGTTCGGGCTGCCGGAGGTCAAGCGCGGGGTGGTGGCGCTGGCGGGGGCGCTGCCGCGGCTGGTGCGGACGGTGGGCAGGCAGCGGGCGATGGAGATGGTGCTGACGGGGCGGATGGTGGCAGCCAGCGAGGCGGAGCGATGGGGGCTTGTGAATGGCGTCGTGGAGGTGGAGGCGGGCGCCACGGATGAGGAGGTTAGTCGGCGGGTTGTGGAGCGGGCGATGCGGGTTGCGGGGGAGATTGCGGGGAATAGTCCCGATGCAGTGCTCGTTAGTCGTGAGGGCGTGAAGCTGGGCTGGGAGGGGATTGGGGCGGATGAGGCGACGGCGATGCTGAGTGATACGTGGGTGAAGCGGTTGTATGACGGGGAGAATATCAAGGAGGGATTGCGGGCATTTGTGGAGAAGAGGAAGCCGGTTTGGGTGGATAGCAAGCTGTAGATAGGATTTTACAGATACTCAGATACCTTACAAGCATTCCAGACAATACTGACACATTCATTGTATTCATACTACAGTCGTTAGTCATATCGAAAGCATCCAGTCTCCATCACGCCGTGTATTCGCCATATCCCATGCGAGTTAATATTTCATGGCAGCTCTCAGATGCGCGGTTGACCTCCTTCCCTGATCCGACAATGAGCGACACGCATTTGATAAGGGTTGGGGGCCCTACTTGGCCTCGGACTGGACCCGGTCCACCACCTTCACAACGGGTTGGAACAGCGGGTGGTTTCGGTCCAGGCCAGTCAGTTGGATTGTTGCATCACTGGGCGAGTTCTCCTTGAGAATCTTGGCCAGCTCCCCACTCTCTTCATCGCCCTCGATGTTTTGGAAGCGCAGTGCCATCTCCACCGAGCCCAGCAAGGCCTCGCACTTGGCGTTGCGCTCCGCCAGTTGCGAAGCCGGTCCGATGAATCGCTCCTTGCGCGACAGCTTGCGCAGCGGAGCACGGCCGACACGCTCGACGCTGTCTTCCAGGTAGGGATTGGAGATGCGGCTGATGATCCTTTCGACGTATTCCTGCTGCTCCGGCGCCGGAATCTCGTGCTTGTCGACAATCAGAGAGGCGGTCTCCTGGAGAACATCACGGACCACTGCCCGAATGCGGGAATCCTTCAGTGCCTCGGCAATGGTCTTCTTGCCAGCATTGTAGCCGTAGTACGCCGCGGTGGCATGTCCGGTGTTGACGGTGAACAGCTTGCGCTCAATGTAGGGCTCCAGGTTGTCGACCCAGTGAATGGCCGGGATCTCGGGGTGGCCGACACTGCCAAAGGGCGTCTGCTCAACCACCCACTCGTAGAACTTCTCGATGCGGACGTTGAGCCCGCTGCCCGGGGCCTGCGCGGGAACAATACGGTCGATGGCCGAGTTAGCAAATTGGGCGCGCTCAGAGAGGGAGTTGAGCCGCGCAGAGTCAGTCTTTTCCTTGATGTAGCCGTGCAGAGTGTCAGTGGCCCCGATGGCATTCTCGCATGCAATGACTGCCAGCGGCTTGGCTGCGGTGCGAGCGTCGATACCCTTGGCGATCACGGGGGCAATGAACTTGAGCACGTTGGGACCAACGGCACAGGTCACCACGTCGGCAGAGGAGATCTCCTGGATGACGTCGTTCTCGTGAGTCTTGGAGTTGATGGCCCGGTAGTTGGTGATCGTCTTGGTGGTCTCGCCTTGCTCGCTGACTTCAGTGACCTGGTACGACTTGTTGTCCTGCAGAGCCGAGATGATATTGTCCATCACATCGATGAAGACCACTTCATAGCCAGCCGTGTGAAGGAACTCGGCCACGAAGCCGCGGCCGATGTTTCCACCACCGAAATGAATTGCTTTCTTTCCCATGGCTACGGCAAAGGAGGTGGCTACGGCAAGAGAGGAGAGGACAAGGGCAGGGGAGAAACAGGATGATGAAGGGAGAGACAAAGAAGAGACAGGGAGATACGCCCGTATTTAAAGGAAAAGAAAGAGGGGGGGAACCTTAAAGGGGCAGGCGCAAACCAAGTTTGGGGATGACTTCATCGAGACGGAACTGGCCTCCGCCTTGTTTGGAATGAAGACATCATGAACAGTGTGACGCCCCCCCCACTCTACCGTACAATATCTCTCCCGAGGGTGTCACGAAAAACAAAAGGAGAGAAAGGACGATCGAGGGTTCTAGCATTTTCCGCTGACCCGACCTCTATCTCATCGGGGGCTATCAGTACCACATCCGGGAATTTCCGTCTCAGACTCATATCCAACCCGATCACCACATGCCCTTGGCAGCTCAACGGCAATGCCAGCCGACGGGGAAAAATAATGCGCCGGATTACAGTGTTCCTAGAAACACATGGATATGGAGTCCAACGTTGATACTGGCTGTCGAGACAACCTCGTTGATCGTCCCAGCCCATCCCCACTTGTGACGTCGGATAAACGGGTGACAGGCCAGTCGGTGCCAGACCCAGTTTTTTTGTCTTGCTAGTCGCAGACGCCCGACTCCTTCGAGGTCTATATGAATGTCCATCAACTTCCATCGCTTTCCAAAGCATCTGCAGAGAGCATCTAGAGGCTTCTCGACATGGCAGTTTGCCGGGAATTACTCAAGTCGCATTGATAATCTCACTCCCGACACAAGCCGCTTCCGCCATTTTTACTTTCGCCATGATTGGCTCGAATGGTTTCATTAGGGTGGTATCGCTGGTCATACAATGCAAGAGATGAATCCTGTCCTGGACGGCTCTGCCCGACTCTCCCCCACTCTTTCTCCCCGTGCCTCATTCTTTCTGACTGGATCCCCTTCTTTACCCTTCTGCGTCTTCTGCTTCTTTCGGTGCGGGTGTGGGTGCCGACCCGCGAACAAAGACGTTCACGAAACTGGCAAGGCTCCCCACAAGCAACAGACCCACTGCTGCCCAAGTCATCCCGAGGAATTTCTCGCCATACTTGGCAGACACCTTCGACCCCTTGCCGTGGGCGTTGATCAAGGCCACAAACTCAAACGCAAGGACAGTCGCAATGATCGACGCGATGCTGATGCTGAGGGTACCGAGCTGGTGAACACCAGGGATGAGTTGATTTTGCCAGAATGCAGGGGAGATCAAAAGCGAAACTTACCACCAGAAATCCAAATTCAAGCAAGCCTTGCTGTGGCTTCGGCTTGAGGGTCATCCATACTCGTACCAGAAGCACGACGCCCATCGTGGCCACTCCAATACAATATAACACAGCCATGGCCTGACTTGTGAGCCGGAAAGCATGGAAATCATCACTGATTACACGCGGCCAGGCCAGCTCCGGTCCCTGAGTGATCTCCTTCGGCCACGCCTGAGTCGGATCAAAAGAGAAGGGAATGCTGCGGCCTGAACATTTGGTCACATTACGTGATGCTCCGGAACCAGGATCGGGCGTGCTCAATGTTCCCTGACAGTAGGACATGACATGGACCGAGTAAAACTTGTGGGCCGCATCGGAGGTTTCTGGGGTATAGAGCTAAACCAGAACCAAATTTACAGCATCAGAAACTGACAGAAGCAGTGGAGGGGCAGGACAGGACTGTTAATTCCACACATACTGTCAAGACATCAACAGTGTCCAGGAAGTTCTTCTGGGTACCGGCGAAGAGACACAAGATCGTGATAATAAACGCGATGAATGTCGTCACCGTCGGGAAGAAGGGCTTGAAGTCCGGCATCTTGGCTGGTCTGGCTGATTATTCTGTCGCGAGGAATAAAAAGAGATTGGTTCTATCTAGATGGATGGCCTGTAAAGCTGGACGATCGGTTCCGTTCAAGAAACGGGAGGACCTGATCCACGTTTGGATACGTGACCTGCAAGCTGCGATGGGATTGTCTGATCTGTCTTTCTGCCAAGCTATCGAAATCTTCGATTTGGGCAACTCGCCTTGCTCTTTATATTATCTGTGAGCGCGGGTGTGACCTGCCAGCTGTCATTCCTGGCGTGGGCTGCGTGCGATCAAAGGCGCGAGTACGCGGGCCCGCATGTCGAGGACCTGTGAAATTCCCCGGGGTCTGTGTCTGCATTGTATGACAGCTCAAGGAAATATGACAAAAACAAGATCTGAGCCAAGTATCCCAAATGCCTCGAGTGGTTGGGGTACGAAGGGAGGGAAGTTGACGCGATGGTCGTCCCTGAGGAATGTGGCCAGCCACCGGGGGGCTTGCAAGCCACCAGCAAGCAGTTGAAAGACTATATCAGTTGGAACTAATCATAAAACAGGTTTAGTTAATTGACGTATAATTTCATTCCTTTCCAGTTCGTTGATATTTAGTTATCTCGGTCATGCGCTGCCCATTGAGCGTCGGTGCCCCCAGTCCTCATGTCGACAGCTCTGACTGGATGTTGTGCCCTTGTTCATTTCCATAAAAAAAAATTAGACCTTTCTTGTATCTCATTCTATATTTACCCAATGATTCCGAATAATTCAACATGAAATCCAGTATTTGCCCAATTCACATACAGAGCATCTCTCGCTGTTCACCCAAATTCCCATCAAGAAAGCCTTATTTACACGATTTCTACAAAGAATCTAAGCTTCGATCGCTTTCAAGAATGCAGGGCTTTCATAGCCCTGAACAACCTTTGCAATCGGGGTCAGACACGCGTCGGAACTCTGCTGTTCCTGAAGCCGACGGATGTAAGCCTGGGCGACCTTGAGCCACAAAGCCTTCTCCTTTTCACTGGCACCCAAGCCCTGCCAGACCCACAGTCTGTTACCGACGTCATAAAGGAAGACGTCGTTTCCATCGAGATCGTTCCGCTGCACGCGCTGCCCATCCTTGACCAGATCAAAGGAGAGCGACCCCGAGGCATCGCTGAGCCGGAACAACTTGTGCGAACGAGCCTGGGCGTCGTCGTGGCCTGCACTCCGAGAAAAGAACCCGGGCCGCGGAGCTTGGAGTTTGGAAGCATCGACGTCCTTGCCTCCGAGTAAGTCCACAATGATCTTGGATCGCGATTCAAGCTGTGATAGAACCTCCACGTCGATATGCTTCGCTAGAGTCAGGTCATGGACCACCTGGGCAGCTTTGGCCTTCTCCATCGGGCTGCAGCTCTTGCCCTGCCAGACCCAGATCTTGTCGCCCTTGTCCAAGATAAAGACATCGTTCTCGTCGAGGCTCTGCCAGGTCGGTTCGACCTCGTGCACGATGATGGAGTCGATGCGGCCCGCGCCGGGGTGCTTGAAGATGCGGAGCAGCATCAGCACCTCCTTGGGCGTCTCGGGTTCGACATGAGTGAATCCAGAGCGCACGCCGCCTGACAAGATCGAGATACGGCGGAACAGCGACAGGAACTCCGCTGAGGGACTCTGCTGTACCTCGCGGTGCTGGGTGGCTGCGCCATGCAAGAACTCGTCCAGCTCGACTGTTTTGTAGGCGGCGGTGCCAGCCTCATCTTGCGTGGTCTTGCTGCCCAGCCAGAAGAAGATGTCGTGGCCGAGTTTGTCGCCGAGCTTGTATGAGTGTAGCACAATGTAGCTGTCCCCGTCGTAGAACTCGCCTGTGCGCTCCTTGGGCCATGGGATAACTTCGAAGTTCTCGATCCGCCAGATCAGCAGGCCCGGCTCCTGGCCCACCTTGCCGTTGTTCCAGGCGGGCTCTGTCATGGCGGACTTGTGTTTCACGCGGTGGTCGAGGTCCGATCCGATCAGCTCCACATTGCTGTCTTTGATGTCATATTCCTTGGGATGGACTAATCCTTCGTGGGGTGCCATTGTCGTTGGGAGTTTGATGGTATGTGCTGAGTGTTGATGGAGATGGAACTGTTCACCCAAGGGAGCTGAGGGGTACTGATTCTGCCGCCAGTATCGGCTCCGCGTTACCGAGGTATTGAGGCGGATGGAAAGGCGGTGGAACTATTAACTAGGAGATCTATGCTCACAGCGGATAGTTTCAAGATAATGAAGGGCTTTGGTTGTAGTGGCGTGAAATTATGAAATCGCTGGAATATTACTCAGATGAGGTCTAGAGCATGAAATCTGGGTATCTCTGTTGAATTATTGTTGGTATTGTTGTTATTTGTCTGCCTGACTATGCCCTGTCTACTTTTGATATTGAGCACAAGTACAGCAGTTAAGACATGTATAATGATGAAAGACAATTACTCGATTTTTATTTTTCTAAATATTTAAAACCAGCCCAGGAAAAAAGAAAAATTGGTTAGATGAAGATAATAGGATTAAAGTACTGCCTTGCCTACTGAGCCACATATAAAAATTTGGATAATTCTCTCCAACACATTATGTAGACGCAAAGATTTAATAACAGTCTCGCCTAAGTTCAGTAGAACCAAATCCATCTTCAGGGCAATGGGAAACTACAGCATTTAGTCCATATGGGGTATATTAGATGCATGCGATCCAATCAAACGGTTCATTTGCTAGCCCAAGTACTAAACAGCTTAGATCGACCCACCATCGCGAGTGTAACTGGTGAGTATATCAACACCAACAGTCCCCTCTCCACCCCAAATCTAAGACACAGGAGTATCCTGGGAACACCTCGGGAACTTCACTGGCTCATTTAATAAAAGGGCAACCTCTCAAGAGTTAATTGAGGGATTTATAGTATTTAAAGGAGTCCTTAACCGAACTTCGTCTCATCCAGCCCCTCGGGCTGAAATAGCCGCCAGTAGTCACTCCAACCCGGGGCCCGTCGTTTCTCCTAAGCCGCTAAGTACTGGTTTTTTTTTAGGGGCCAAATCCAGTGACTCTTTTTTCTTTTCTTCCTCTCAGTATTCTCCTCGACGATTTGATTCCTAGAAACAACACCATGAAGCTGTCTACGCTCTTCCTTGCTGCTCTCCTCGGAGAGGCAGTCTGTGCATGGAAAACCGGCGACAAAGCCACAGGAGAGACCGATCCCAATGTGACCCGCCGCTGCTGGCTCTGGGCCAACGATATTGCTTCCGGCGATAGCTGCAAGGCGCTCGAAAAGCACTTTAATATTGATTTCCTGCAATTGCATGAATGGGTGAGTGTGGCTTATTATCCTCACTTTTTTTTTCTTTTTTTTTTCTTCCAATGTTGGCCAGAAACAACTAATAACATGTACTTTAGAACCCCTCATTGGTTAAGGATCCTTGCAACCCGATCGAGGGTTGGAGTTATTGTGTCAAGAGCCCCCTGGCGACCAACATCCGTGCGAAGCTCACTGGCACCGACGCGCCTGTTCTCCAAGATCCCCAGTCTGCAGATTCTTCTAGTGCTGCGAGTGCGTCTGCTACTTCGACTGCCACTAGGACTGCCGCTGAGACTACTACTGGGACTTCTGCTGGGACTTCTACTGGGACTTCTACTGGGACTTCCGATTCCACTTCCAGTCCTACTGGATCCTCTTCCCCTCAGCAAACCGGCGGTGCTGCTAGCTTTGGCTCTGCCAATATTCCTGGGGTCTTATTCTCACTTGCATTCTCTATTTTGTTTGGACCTGTTGCAAACTACTTGAATTAGGGAAGAAGGGATCATTTGAAGAATTATTGATTTGACCTGCTGCTTCCGGAATGGGCTGGCCTACTTATCGTCATTATCCACTATGCTTCCTCTTTACTTGGTCGATGAATATCTGAAAGGAAATGCGAGGGTAAAGACTAGAAGCACTTTTAACAAACGCTCAAATGAATCATAATCAGAATACTCATAATTATAATTGCAAACCCCAATCTCTGCTCTACAAAACCATGTTTCTTAGCCTACTAACATAGATGCTGCCTCTATATCAAGATGTACCTGAAGCTAAAATATCCTGTGGATATTTCAGACTGCTGTGACCAGCTGATTCCTTTTGTTTAGTATGCCTACTTTGAGGCTAAAGCGGCACTCACAAGCAGCAGAAGAAGTCCAATATATCTACGGAAAGGATGTGATTGATTCTGACCTTCGACCGGATAATTCTTTTTATTGTACAGCACCACCGAAGAGAAGCTGGATCTTTTGCTTACTGACTTTGGAGGATCGACATGTGGGGATATTGATGGTGACCATCTCCCTGGTTTCGGATTCTTCAACCTATACAATCCCTGTGTGTCCACGGAGGCGACGGATATCTTCAGTCTTGGGTCGATCTTTTATACGATCATGGCTGGCAACTGGCCCTATAAATCTCCCGGTCTGTTCAAATCCATGGAGGAGAGGAGTGGTTATAAGGACCGGGTAGAAAGTCTCTTTGCGGCGAGAAGGTATCTCTCGGTCGACGATATTGTTGATGGTACTATGATTCAAGGCTGTTGGACATGTGGGACCCTGTTTTCGAGCTCGCCCATAGATCAATGTCGATGCCAGCTGGTCAAGTCTCGGCCAATATACTGTCCCTATCCTGTTAATAAATAGAAATGGAGAGGAAGTATTATCCATAGATATAAATGTGGGAAAAGAAGACGAAGAAGAGGAGGGGAAGAAAAAGAAGGAAAAGAGAAAACCAATATATTGCTTATTGTATGTTGAGCAATTTTATAGAGAGAAAAAGAGGTGAGAATGTAGCTTGATTCAAGGGGGGATATACAAGAAGAGATCAAAAAACAAAGAAGCTCCGTAATAAGACAGTCACATCAAAGTCGTTTCCTTCCAACAATCAAAGTCAACAATACCAGCCCCGAGGCCCCAATAATAGTTGTGACAGGCCACTCTCTGATTGAGTCCTTGAGGGAGGCCAAGAAGTGAGTGATAGGGGATTAAGAGATTGAAGATGTAAGGTATGGATCGACAGAGTTTAGTGCTTGCAGAAGACTGTGGGCGCTGCGGAATTTTCCGTTCCAGCAGCCTTCAATAATCGAGCCTAACCAGACACCCTGTGTACTTGGTAAAGACTCCCTCTTTGGCCAATAGGCTCGCCCGTCAGTGGGAGAGTTGTCTTTGTAGAGATCGATTTCACACTTGTTGCCAGTCACGACTTCATATATGACTTTTCCAAGAAGCCTAACATCAATTTGAGTCATATAGCCGTTATCATCAACAGCATCTATATCAGAACCCAAGGGCAAGAGAGATGCTTCTGAGAAATCGCATATTTTAAGAGACAGATCGGAATCAAGAAGAAAGTTTCGGCTGGCGATATCTGCGACAAACACACATCTGTCATGGATATATGCGAGAGTGCGGTCCATTTCATAAAACCATGCAAGTTGAAGTTGACGGAAAGGTCGGCACTTTGCAAGATAAGCCTGAAGATCTCCATTGACCATATAAGCAAGCTGGGTGGCCTCAGGTGAGAATCCAATACAATGGACAACCCCACTAGAACGGTCATCTTCTGTGCTTTGTAAGCGACGATAGACATCTTGCTCGCGTCGAACACTTTCAGTGTTGACGTTGACGTCCGAATTTGAGCTCCAAAGATATCTCAACGGGGTTTTGACAGCTACACCATTTCGAAGCAGGACTACTGCAGTGCCTCCGCTCCCGAGAACCTGTTCTAGAGGAATCGAATCGCCTCGAATATCGAGAAAGGGCGAGGACATGGCAAAAGGAAGAAAGGCAGTTGGGTTGAATTGATCGAGAATAACGGGGTGCGAGGTTAGATACATTCATCCGATCACGTGATTGCTCTATTGCCCGTATCATTCCCTCGTTCGTTCAGCGCATCTTTTTCATCAACACCTCCGTCGTCAACCAGTCAGCAAGGCACCATCGAGCTCAGCTCTTGCGATGAGCTAGGCAGTCATGACCACGCTTCGTCGAGCTCGCTTATGGCTTCGGCGTCACAGGGTTGCAAATGCTGCCTCTTTCCTCGGCCGGTATACACCATTGAATATGGTCATGGGTGGGATCAAATGGGATACAGTTTCCTTGGCCCTTTCCCTTGCAACCGGGAAATTTGGCGGGGGTTCTCCATCTCTCCCAGCACATTTTGCTATCTAACTGTTAGCCAACTTATTAACCCGAAGGCTGAGCTGAGGTGACTGTACCAGGTTTGATTTGATGCTTTCAGTATTTGAACAATTTCAGTGATTGCGGTATGCTGTGTTGTTGAAGCATAATTCTCAAGGAATATCAGGGCTTTAAATAATCTGCGATATCGAAGACAACCTGGCTGCCCCAGTACGATTGTTGAAGTGTGAGTAGCCTATGAGCTGTAGAAACCTACAACGCCACCACTGTGGGTGTTCCAGATCTGACACTGGCGGGACTCTCCACAGATGCCATTACATAGGCATTATTACAGTACAAGGAAGAATGCGATGATGTTCCCCAGTCTCTACTGGCGGGCCACTATCATTGGAACATGGTGGCCCACTGAACTATACCAAGTTTGGCAAATCCCTTTGGCAACAATGAGATTCCCCTAGAATGGAGGTACATCCCTGAAACCCTCTATTTCGGAGATCATCAAATGTAGCTATGCGAAAACAATAACGCTTTCCATCAGCTGGCTTTCGAGCTGAGACCCACAACAAGTATCGAGTGCATGTATATGATTGGTAATTTACTAAATCAGCTCCCATACTTCGATAGTCAGTGAACAAGAATCTGCGGCAGAGCTACAACTGCTGGCTTTCGCAAAATTAATTCGACTTTGAACCAAAGGGAGCTACATAGAGACGGGTAGTGGGTGGTATACCCTAATCAATTGAGTGACCTATGTATTCCGTAGCACCGACAGCATTGGTAGTATAAGAATATGTGATAGTGGGAACGTTGCGCTTCAATTAAAACTATATGATGTGTTGTTCTCCGAGTTTCTTGGTGCTTCCGGGATAATCATGTAGCAATTAAGCTTAGGTAAATATTCCCTAGATAGAGCTCCCTCTAGAATAAATATTTGAAAAAGATATTAAGATAAACACGAAGAAAAATACTTCGAAAAACAGGATTGAGGTAGAGTGAGAGAAAACCAAAGTAGGAATTATTGTAAACTATAGATATTAAGTAAATTATATAGCATTTTGAACAAGATAAAGTCAGATTATCATCCTACAAAAAACCAAGTAGAATTCCTACTCTAGAATATGTCTCCTAAAGCTGCCTGAGCGAAGCGAGGGCCAGCGGATCATCCAACATAATACTATGATCCAGCTGCATCATAACAAAAAAAAATCAGATGGAAATGGCCGTCGGCCACTAAGTCTTCAGAACCTCTTCGTATCGTCGATCTTGAAGATAGGCGAAGTTGCGGGAGGGACGAGCTTCTAGGGATTGATCACTGGAGCAAGCAGTTTCAAACAAGACCCGAGGACTGATAGCCATGTCGCTTTTTTCCAACCAAACCGGCCCTTTAGACGTTGGCTCGCGAGCATGCATCAACCATCGCGGATCGAGCGGATCTTGACCAGAGCCGAGGTTGATCCACCTGGTGACAACGAGAGCTCGGGCATCGCCGAATGGAGAAACCTTCAACTCATAATCAGTATTGCAAACCTTGCAAGTATCCGCAGAGCGGAACTCTGCATTCGCGTCTTTGGAGGACAATGCCCCAACAAGAGGTTTCGCCGATTTCAACCACCACGTATCATTCATATGGAAACAGACTTGGAGAGTGGATAGAGGCGGTTCATCCCATTCGATTTCCCTGTTCTGGGGAGCCACAATCATATCTTGCAGTCGGAGGTAAAGAGCCGGTGGCTCAGAATAGATCTGGGCTTCACTCGAAAAAAATGTGGTTTAGTAGCGGTATTCTCTGACTTCTGTGTATGATAGCGATTCCAGAGAGATCCCGGCTCCGGGGCCGTGGGTAAAGCATCTCATTGCAAGTTGAAGATGGAGGAAAGTGAAAAGGTAAGAAACATGCCGTGGGATCCGATGGGTGCTCATGATCTTTGTATATCGTCTTAATAGTGACTCGTCCGTACAGGGAAGCCTACATCTCCAGCGCCAGAACGGGCCGGCGATACCAAAGTCTTCGGATCCGTCGTATTCATGAAGAACGAAAAATTTGTAGCAGATGAAATGATTGAGGTAATCACGTTCACGCCGGCATAGAAGCGGCAGCTAATTCCATCTTAGTATTGGAAGATGTTTTCTTGCTCGATCAAGGACCGTGAAGAGCTGACGGTTGCATAGTGACAGACAGAGGATGTCTTCGGGCAAGAGGAGGTCTGTTATTGAGAGTAATACCTCCACCGGAAGGGCAGTCAACGTAGTCGAGCCCTGAAGTTTGGGCTTGGGATATGAGGCCTTCTGTTTTTCTTGGGAGCAAGGAAATGACATGAGAGAATTACGCTGCAGATTTGCCATGGTTGCAGTATGACAGTCCAGAAGAAGTGAAGAGGAAAAGGGAAGATCAAGAAGAATAAAACATCAAGTGTCGTATTAGAGCCAGCAGGATCTCCTCACTGTCATCATGCCCAAAGCGGAATAGTATAGTACTTGGGAAAGAGCTTCCAAGTCTTGTAGACCAACATGCTTTCCAATAAAAAGTATGCTGAAGATTCATATAAAAATAACCCTGAAAAAGGGACCGTTAGTTGAATAGCAACAAGAAACTGTAGATGCTTCAAATTTACAAATTAAGATCAAACGCTAGCTAGGGTAGAGAGTAGAATAGTATAATAGAGGCGTAAAAGCATTCCACTCTTTAAACAATACCTATTTTGCTAGCAATCAAAGCTGATAATCAGACACATAAAGATGATCAACTAGTTTTATACCCATTAGGCATTAGAAGATCATAGGTGAAACAGAATGACTGAAGGTAGTCTCATTATCTCTGGAACAAGAAGACAACAGGACTGAGATGCTACTAGCTACTGTCTCAGATTGTTTGACAAAATACTGTAGGCAGGTTCCTTCAAGAAAGACACCGGCTGTAGCTTCCCATTGCAAACAAAGAATATGCGACATGGCCTGAAGAGGCGCTGATTCTTCCCCCATCTTCTCTCACATCTTCCTTAAATTATCCCCATCCCCTACCTTACAGGTCCACAACCCTTCATCTCACAATTCATCTCAAGCATCTTCATTGCCCCATCTCCATCGATCTATTTTCCATCACCCTATCTTCTCTTACTCCATTGGCCTGAGCTCCATCCGGAACCCATCGCCATCATGGGACGCTGGGGCTGGCGTACGTCTACAACCCTCTCCCCATCAACTCTGCTATCACTAAACATACTCTCCTGCAGGCCTTTTCGAAGGTGACATGGACCTTGACATAGCTCTTCTGGTGATCACAGATCTTGGAGTCGGAAGTGAGGACGATTGGAAGTGGAAGCCAAACATGATGATCTCCCAAACCGATATGCTTGCGCCGCGTGAAGCCTGAGCCTGCTACCGAACGGCCGATTACGCCGACTTCTTGGCTAACACCGTCGTGCCCTATGTTCGAAATAAGTTCGACAGTGACAGTCTTGGAGATAGACTGTTTGCCGCCTCTGTAGGAATGTCAGATAGCCAACCGCCCAGAGCACCGTCCCAGCTGCATGCCCCCCGAGAAGCGCCCAATGATCAATGTCTGAACAAGCAGGGGGTCCTCTATACAGCTTGGTTTGTTGTCGGGCAAGCTCTGCGACTCTTGTTTATCTAGCAGGTCAAGAAGTTATGACTGGGATTTCTAGTTTCGTTTAGAAGAGATTACTAAATGGTGGTCTTGCAGTGGTGTCATTGTTCTTCGTATCGTAGTGACCCTCCTTGTCATGTTGGCACATCAGTCGAGGTGACAACAGGTGTTCCCTCCTTTTCAATAAGAGATATCCGACTCATCTTCTGTTTTCACCTTTTTGTCAGTAGGTTTCCTCGCCCAGACTCTCCGACTGTAGTAATATTAGCATAGAATGGGAGAAAAGCAACATCTAAACAAGAAGAATGAAAGAAGAAGAAGAAGAAAACTCACGCATAACCATAAATATGCTGACTAGGCCTCTTCAACTCCGCCCTCACCTTCGCTAAATAAACCTGCACCTCCTCCTCCGTCCACGGCGCCGGCGCCCCAAACTTGGTCAGCAGCCACATGGCATACCCCTCGAGCCCAGACGCCCAGTGGTGGTAATTAAGCTGCCCGGCCTCTTTCAGCGCGCGGTCGCGCGGCCACGGGCCCATCGGCACTTTATACAGGTCCTCCTGCACGTCGACGAAGCCCGCGCGCTCGATCTTGCCGCGCATTGTTTCTTGGGTTGTCAGTGAGCGGCCGGCGCGCTCGGCGCACCCGATGAACACGTCGCCCCAGCCGGCGAGCGCGCTGTCTGGCGGGAGGGAGGCGTCGTCGCTGTGGACGCGGACATCGAATTCCATTTGTTCGATCCATCCGCCGGGGTGGAGGTTTCTGTATTGAATTTAGTTTCTGGGTTGGGGTTTTTTTAAGGGGTTGAAGATGAATCATTCGGGTTTTTGAATGGTTATACTCACTCGTAGCACTGCTTGTACAGTGCTTGCCACCCGTCTTCGGAGAACGCTCCTAGTAGTTGTCGCAGGTGGATGAAGTCGAATGGCTCGCGCCAGGTCCATTCGCGCTGCACGTCGTCCACCTCGAAGATGCAGTTGGGGGGCATCCATGTCACGGGGGTGGAAAGAGGTCCACGCCTCGGACAGTTGCTTTGTTGTAAACCAAGTATTAGGCCTATTGAAGCGATCAAGGAACGGCTTGGTGGGAATGCCTACCAGACGGGTACATATCAGCGGCATCTCTTGATGTGCGTTGGTAACATTTTACAACAAAGTCAGGAATTTTTGTACTTACATCGCCCAGCTTCCTTTTCCGGTCCCGACATCGAGAATATGCTAATACATACAATCAGCATGATGCCCAAGAAAAAAAAAATATATGGGTTTTTCTCACTTTGGGGAAATCGCCAATCGGGGCTCGATGCAGAGGATTCGGCTGGTGGTAGTCGAGCACGAGACAGACGATATGGCTATCCACATATATCAAAAGTGAGTAAACATGGTATATCCTTCAATGGTATAGTCTTCCCAGTGGGAGTCTTACGCAGCCTCAAAGGCTTCAAACTGCTTGTCATCCGAGGGACTCCTGCAGAAGGTTAAAAATAGAACCCCCTGATAAAGATGCAGCGTCACTGACCAGTAATCGTCTTCTTTCATTGCCTGGTATCTGGTTTATAGTTGAGGATGATGATATCCAGCGGGACTGGGTCGATCCCAGGTTGCCCCGGGCACCTTACCGTCGGCCATGTTCCATGCGGCCCTTGTGAATCTCCGACGTAATGGAGGTGGTTTCACTAGAGGGTTAGCAAAAAATAGAAGAAAAGAATGGCGTAATAGTTTCAACTTACGACTGGAAATCTTCGAGCGCATATGGCTCGTTCAGACTGTAGAAGTTGGGGTCCTGGCAAACACTCGGGGATCAGTCGACGCGATCACGCAAACGACAACACAGCAACTTACGATATCAATCGGGGTTTCAGACATGGCTGTGCAAAGACACACCAGCAGGCAACAAGCAAAGCAAAGCAAAGCAGCAAAAGCTACAACTTGCAGTTTCGAAGACGGCAATCCGATGGATGCGGGAGGAGACCCATTTCTCGGGCACAAGTCTCGGCACTATTCCCCCGCCTTGGTTGATAGTCTCTCCACTGCGATCTGCGCCCACGTCACAGCGGAAACTTGGGAGTGGCACATGCCTGGTTACTACATGTTTTTATGTTCCCAATGTTTGTGGTAGAATTTACTGGGAATTTAGTTATTTTTGAAGATCGACATGAAATAATTAGTAGAAGGTGAAGTCCATATGTAGTGGGTATACTTCGGCAGAGCCTTGGCATGCGAATCCATGCGCAAGACCACACCGCTAGTCCAGACGAGGGTCATTGCAGCACTTTTCTCTGCCAAGGATGTAAGAATAAATCAATATAGAATTAGACATCAGACTGTCTTCACTATTAGAGTCCATTTACTGGATCGCAATATGCAGTGTCTACGCATGTTTATCAAATCGCCAAGACTGCCGATCCCGGCACCGCCACGGGATCATCCAGTGCGAACAACCGTAACACTGGAGACTCGAACCATTGATGTTTCTGGAGGTTTGCCCGGCGAACTTCATCAGAGGAATGATCTGCTGAGAGAGAGAGAGAGAGAGAGAGAGAGAGAGAGAAGTGAAGCATTCTTGCCTGAGGTTTGTTTCAAGTCAGGTGATATCAAGTTACCTATCTAGGTAGGACCTAGGTATCACCGGAGCACCTCGGAATACATTCGTCTCACTTTCATCTATATCCATCTCGAGAAATCCGCCGTGATAAAAAACAGCGACACACTACACGGCTCACCAGCACGTGGTGACTTTTCCTTCCATCGCTCCAGGGCGATATGGTCCAGACGTTGCCTACCAACTAGTCCAGTGAGAATGGGCTGAAACATCCCGGCAGGGCAACCTTCTGGAAAGGAACGCGGCTCCTGATGCATCGCATGCATGCAGCAAGGGAGTCCACCTGAGCCCACCCGAGCCCACACCTTCGAAGGAGTGATTCGGCAAAAGAAGAAAGTAAAAAAAAAGAAGCACCAAGCGCAACCTTCTGTGCATGTCATCCAGCAATCACCATTGGCTGGCTGGACTGGCGCGCGATCCGCGGAATGGCCGGGCAGACACAGGGATGGCCCCCAATAGAACCTTGCCGTGTGCGAAATGAAAGATCACCGCGTGGTCACACCCGGACACGCGAGTCGCGGGTCGAAGGCTAGCCATGCGGCGTCTTGCAGCCCGGCCCCGCTTCTTGGAGTGGAGCGGCATCTATCTCAACAGTCTGAGACATCCGTGGATGGAATCGACTTGATATAAGATGGTCTCATGCTGCCCACGTGCTCTCTCTCGATCAAGCATTGTATGAAGCTTCGCTTGGCGACGCCTCCGTTCTTGGAACCGCAAACTTGCATCTCGGCGACCGAAGCAAGCATTTGCCAAGGGAAGTCAATTGGATATTGAGCTTGATCGCAACCAGAGAGACAATAGAAAGCCTATATTGAAATGAACCAGTGGTGTCGGGCACTCCAATTTGCACCAGGCCGATCTCGACCAGCAAACTCGGTTTTCACCGGGTCTCCGGCCAGTCCACTGCGTCTTTTTGCGAGGAAAGGGATGACCACGTGTGGTTGATGGTTGACAGAGGACTGGCGCGTGCTGGAATCCAGCGATATGACTGGCCCGAGCGGGAGTTTTATATAAGCCACGTTGGAGATCCACAGAACGTCAGATCGGAAAGCCCGCAATGAGCCTGCCCAGGTGGAGGTCTCGGGAACTGCAATCTCGAGGGAGTTTCATGAGAAACACGAGAAACACACATTCCCACCCTGTGATGAGTTTCCCTATTCAGTGGACTAGACGAAAACAGCCATGTTGCGTATCATCGCACAGAAACACCACAATGCATCAACATATCAACCAGCACCCCTTCAATTCAGCCTGGCCATAACCGGCAAAAGAGAAAGGAAAAAGAAAAAGAAAAAAAAAAAAAAAAAAAAAAAAAAAAAGGGAAAATAAGAAAAGCATGATGACACTCTCAAACGGTGGAGTCCGGCCGATCTCTCTCGCCCCACTCTAGGCGGTGGCGACCCTGAGGATTCTGCCACCACGTGCATCGCCCATTGGCTGCGACACAATCGCTGAATTCGGAGACGGACCACCTTCAGACTTTTTTTATTCTTTTCGTTCTTGGGGGGACTCTTGGGTGTGGACCCCCCATGGGTCATGGCTCCCCCCGGGCACATCTCTCTCCTCTCCTCTCCTCTTTCTCTGCTATAAAGGTCCGATCTCCCTCTTGCTCGTGCTGGGCTGGTATCCTGTCAAACTCTTGTGGCCCTGCCTGTGTGGATTTCCTCCGGGACCCAACACACCTTCCACCTCCCCCAAGGCTCCGGCTGTCATCATGTCCGACTTTGGCCCTCGTGCCCCTCATGGGCCCGACATGTCGGGAACCCATAACCCGCTGGAGGATATGGATGTTCATGAGAAGGGTGCTTTCGACCAGCTGATCCGACCCGACGATTGCTACACCCAGGACGGGATCTATTGGGCTGATCTGCCGCTGATGAAGAAGATCAAGTTCGTCAGCTCCTACGATGCCCTTGAGGCCAAGCGCGAGCTCAAGGGCATTTGGTCAATGACCAAGACCGACCCGCTGTCGCCCATCTCCCATTACTTCCGCAATATGGTCCTGCCCGGTGCCGGTCTGGGTCTGGAGGGCTACGTGCTCTTCTCCATCGGTAACCTCAAGCCGCTGTTCGAGTCGACCTTTGCCAATTGCTGGAAGAGCAAGCACGGGATTTGCAACCCCCAATGGGTGAACGCTGTTGACTATCTGGAGATTGCCGGTATTATCGTCGGTCAGATCCTGGTCGGTTTCTTGGGTGACTGGTATGTTTCACATTGAGATTTCGGGAGAACGAGAAGAAGAAATGAAGCTAATTGAGCTCCTCTCAATAGGATTGGTCGTCGCTGGGGTTTGATTCAGGATGCTACTATCATGTTGCTCGGTCTGGTCATGCTCACCGCCGCCTGGGGTGTCACCCAGAACGGCTGGGTGATTTGCTATGCCTGGTCGCTGTTCATCTACGGTATCGGTGTGGGTGGAGAGTACCCTATGACGGCTACCAGCGGTATGGAGAATGGCGTCGGCTCCGGCAAGGTCTCCACCAAGGAGGACCGTCTGCACCGTGGCCGCAAGGTCACCAGTGCCTTCTTGATGCAGGGCTGGGGTCAGTTCTTCAACCAGGCCCTGCTGATCATCCTTCTGCTCTGCTTCCACCACGGCAGCGGCAACAACCCCTACTCGGCCGTGGCCACCCAGTGGACCTACCGTGTCTCTTTCGCGATCCCCGCGGTCGGTACCCTCTGGCTCGTCTACTACCGTGCCTACCACATGAAGGCGGCCAGCAAGCAGCTGGCGGCGGCCAAGAAGAAGGCCTCGGTCACCGGCTATGATGCCAACTCGCTGCGCCTGACCTTCAAGTACTTCGGCTTCCGCATTCTGGCCACGTCGGGCGCCTGGTTCGCCAACGATGTCTTCTTCTATGGCAACAAGCTGTTCCAGAGCGAGTTCATCAAGGTCATCAGCCCCGAGACCCACTCGGTCATGCCGACCTGGCTCTGGAACCTATGCAACACCGGAGTGTCGCTGTGCGGCTACTACATGGCCTCGTTCCTGGTCGACAGCAAGCTGTATGGCCGCAAGTGGATGCAGATTATTGGATTCTTGCTCTGCTTCGTGCTGTTTATTGTCCCGGCCTTCCACTTTGAGTACTACCGCGCGCCCGAGAACATTAAGAAGTTCCAGGCCATGTACTTCCTCAGCTCCTTCTTCAACCAGTTTGGCCCCAACTCGGTCACCTTCCTGGTGGCCGCCGAGGTGTTCCCCACCCCGATCCGAGCCTCCGCCCACGGCATGTCGGCCGCGGTCGGTAAATCGGGTGCCCTGTTGGCCTCGGTGCTGTACAACTACATCGACACGCAGACCAAGTTCTACGTGGTCCCCTGGTTCGGTCTGGCCGGCATGGTCCTGACGGCCTTCTTCCTGCCGGACACCACCGGCCTGGACCTGAAGGAGCAGGAGCGCCGCTGGGAATTCCTCCGCGCGGGTCGTGAGGACGAGTACCACGGCCCCGCCGTCCACCCCAAGCACCTGTCGTGGTACGAGCGCTGGGTCCTGCGCAAGGGCCGCTTCTACGATGCCGAGCGTGACTACCAGATGAAGGTCGAGGAATACCGTGCCGAGTGGGAGGCCGCCATGGCCCAAAAGGTCACCGAGAATGAGAAGAGCGGCGAGTCTGCCGACACCGACGAGTCTCTGCTCGAGGGCCATGTCCACACCTACTTCCACCGCACCAGCCCCATGTTCAAGGGTATGGAGAAGCCTGTGACGGCCAAGCAAGATTCCTTTGCTCTGCCGCCGGCTGCGGAGGCTGACTCCGAAGACACTTACTCGAACGAGAAGTCTTCGCGGTGATAATGTGTTAAAATAACCTTTTTTTTTTCAACCCCCTTTCTTGTTTGCTTTTTTTTTGGGGGGTCTTTGCTTCCCCTGGTGTCTGGCTATTTGATGAATACGTGTCTTCACAGTCCTTGCATTGTTGCTGTGGACAAATTGCATGAATCGCATGATACATGACGCGGGTGGCTGGGAGCCTAATTGTAATTAGACGTTGATACCTCACATACCCAATCTGCATCCTTGCTATATGACCCTGTGATTGTGTTTGTAGTGTATAAGAATAAATTACCTCGAGTCCTGGTTTGCATCTTTGAACGGATAGTCTTGAACTTCTGTTGGGCTATTAAGCTAACGAAGGTGAACAGGGCTGGCCTTTTGATCGTCTACCTCACAATGTGCCCAGAATCTTATTCATCACGAAAGGAGGGGGGAAGTCACTCTGGACATGGCGTGGTATATTATTCAAATTGGACTAGATCCCGGAACTTGCGTTTTCTATGCCCCCGATATTCCGACGCCCGGATGAAAAATGAAGAAGGGGGATTAAATCATATAGAAAGGTAGTTTGTAGGCCGGGTCATAATGAGAAGTTCTGACTAACCCACGTACATGACTGACGCCTTCCAAGATTCCATGGATTTTTGTCAACAATGTCATAGCCACCATACCAACGCAAAGGAAATGAAGCTATTAGCCTTTGGATCCAATGGGTCTGGCCAACTGGGCATCGGCCACACCGACGACGTTTCCCAGCCCACGCCGTGTCTGTTTCTGGATTCCAGCGAAGACCGGCAGAGCAGACCGGCAGAATCAAGGACAGAAGAGACCGAAATAGTAAAGAAAAATCTCCTTGCTCAAAATGCAAGCCCCGACCTCTTGGATGAAATCGTCCACATCGCCACTGGCGGTAACCACACTCTGGTCCTCACTGCGCGCGGACACGTCTATGCTGCGGGGTGCAATTTGGACGGGCGATGTGGACCAGATTATGATTATTACAACAGCAATGATGAGAACTCGACCTCTGCCTATTCTTCATCTGAAAAGAATCTTCTGAACTTCCGGCGGGTCGTCCTAACGGACCCCGTTACGGGGACTGCCGTGCGCACGTTCAAGCATGTTGCCGCGACGTGGGAGGGGTCGATTCTGGTATCGCGCAGACCTGTCAATGCACCAGAATCAAGTCCACGCTCAGAAAATGCACCCAACTCCCAAGATACAGTCTATGTCCTGGGCTCCACCCCCAAAGGCGAGCTCGGGCTGGGTTCTGGTGATACCCAAGCACCTACATCTACACCGACACCTGCATCTGCATCTATCCCAGCCTTCCCACCGCATGGTACATCTATTGTGGGGTTAGCCAGCGGCATGGGCCATGCAGTTGCCATTCTTTGCACCGGCGAGGTCTATGGCTGGGGCGCGGCGCGGAAGGGCCAGCTCGGCGACGGCAATAAGCCAGCTAAGATTCTGTGGACTCCGACCAGAGTTGATGGGATCCCATTTCGTGCGTCTGGTGCATCATGTGGGCGCGAGTTTACGGTTGTATTCGGGGACTGCAAGAGAGGGGAGTTTGTTGTGTTGGGAGATCGGGGGAACCGGTGGGGGGTTCTGGATGGACCTCTGCATTTTTCTTCGGTGGGAGACACGCCGATGACTGCAAATTTAAGTGCAGAAGAAAACAAAGGCTCTGAAAGCTATTTGCAGCAGAGTGTGGAAGGTCGCGGCAACCCTTACACGTCTCTCAGCACAAGCTGGAACGGGGTGTATGTACATACTGCCCCGAACCAAGCCTTTTCCTCGCTCCCCTCGACCTCGACATCAACACACCTTCCTCCTCATACTTCTCCTCTTCCTTCTGCTTCTTCTGAAAAGTCTGATGCTGGCTTGCTTATTGCCTGGGGCCGCAATGACCGCGGCCAACTGCCCCCTCCAAACCTCCCAACCCCAATCAAGCTCGCCGTCGGCAGCGAGCATGCCCTCGCGCTCCTGGGCGACGGCCAAGTCGCTGCGTTCGGGTGGGGCGAGCATGGGAACTGTGGGCCTGATACTGATGTTCGGGGCAATGTGGCGGGCACTTATAATGTGGTTGCGCTTCCGGGAGGTGTGTGTGTTGGGGGTGCGAGGGTGGTTGGGGTTGGGGCTGGGTGTGCCACTAGTTGGGTGATGGTGACTTGATGTATGTTAGTGGTGTATATAGACCTGGAATTAAGTTGAGCTTTGAGCCGCACTCTGTATATCTTATGCTGTGCTGTGTTGGAGACACACTGTACAAGATTTGGTTGAAACGCAGCCATTATTACAATATGGCTGGACTGGCTTCCCGTATTTTTCTCTTTCTATGGTCTACCGAATACTCCTTGGTTGTTTATCTTTGGAAATATATCCAGATCTCTCTTTCTATTCATTTTGTGTACTGAGTATACAATCCCACATGTTTAGATTGATGTCCCGAGTATAAAAATCCTCCGCATAAAAATTCCCGGTTGTATTCTATTGATTCATAATTGGGTATCTGATAATTCTTCACTAAAGAATATCGTATCTCATTAATTGTGTGGCCATCTGTATCATCCTGACCTCGATCACACAGCGCATGCATATCTCGTGCACCAGCGAAGTCACAACATCAGTCAAAAAGACCAAGCCCACGTATCTATCCAGAATTAGCCGAATACCCCCACAACAAGAAGAAAGCAGAAGTACACACCTGAGACATGCGCTGCGTAGGCGGAATCGCCGCCTCGTCTCTCGCTCCTCTCTCAATGCGTGACCCGACCAGCCGAGAGAAATCGGGCTCCTCGTCACGCAGCGTCGGCTCGAAAGTGTCCTGCATAATTGTCAAACAACTTGTATCCCTTGAAAGTCCAAAGCGAAAGCTCCCACATACCAGGTTACCCGTAGCATCCCACCCAAGAATATCCTGCGGCTCCTCCTCGTTCATTTCATCCCATTGCCGATCATCGTCCGCTGGCACAAACAAACTATCAAACTCCATTGATCCCGCCGCCGACGCCGGAGGCTGCGCCGTACTCGTCCGCTGCGCAAGATGCTCCTGCGTCGACGAGCCCTGGAGCGGACGAATAGCCCTGCTGCGCTGGGATGCCGGCGGCGGCATCTCCGTCTGCATCTGTGGGGTGGGCGTCGGGGCCGCAGCCGCCTGCCTGCTATTAGGCTTAAGCTTGCGTGCAGTTGCTGTTGCGACGGGTGCAGGGGTAATAGGACCGGGGTCTGGCGCGCAGCGAGCTGCGGAATCGTCGCGCGCGAGGAACTCGGTCCATCTTCGCTGCCCACCTCGCCGCGCGTCATGATCGTGAACTCGGCGTTGATGCCCTCGAACTCGTATGCTAGTTGCAGTGGTTTGCATGGGCGCGTGTAGCGCGCTGTCACGGTGGCGTTGGATGTCTCGGCGTGGGCGACTGCTGCTTTGAAATCTTTTAGGTTAATTGCTATGTGCATGTGGTCTTCGACTAGGTAGTCTTCGAAGTCGCGTTTGTCGGTGGCCACGGATGTGTGGACGGGGTATTTGAGGACTTCTATTGTGAAATTAGTTTTCTTCTTTTGAAGATATCATAAATGCGCTTCATGCAGCCAGACAAGAGAGATCCATCTTACCTTTGCCGTCCGTCACTTTCGTCGTAAAACTCGTAAACACAGCCCGTCCAGACTCCGAGTACATGTCCAACTGCTCCGCCGACAAACTGAAATGATCAATGACCTGCCTTAGGAACCGCGGGTCGGCCGTCCACTGGTTCGTGGTCCTGGACCGGTCGAAGACGGCGTGCTGGATAGCCGCTGGCTCGTAGGTGAGCTTGTATGATTTGATAACACCTGCTCTAGAGTCAGCATCCAAAGTAATTGGTCCAAGCTGTCTGGTCACAGCACAACTGACCCAGTCCGCAGATCATCTTCACGGTCAGTCTACACTCCGCCTGCTGCGGATCTTCGTGCAGCTCCATGTCGCAGCGTTCCACGGCTGTGTCTTTGTTGCGGTCGATTCGGCCGCGGAAGACGGACAATAGTGCCTAGTATATACTGGGTTAATCAATTGTTTTTTATAGGTCATTCACCAGCTAAACATAAGTCATACAAAAGAGCTTATATAGAGGCAGCCACCGAGACGAATTGGGACGGGATCTACCAACTTACCTTGAGGTAGATCTGACAATAAAACCGATCCGTAGCCGCGCTGCCACTCGTCCTCTGAAACTGACGCGCCGAGCGAGCATCTCTATGCACGCAGAACGAATACGCTTCGAAAAAGAAATCCTTCTCGAAGGCAAAAGATGCGAACGCGGTCTTGGTTGAGTTGAGGGCGTTCAGACGAAGCTAGATACACGGTCAGCAGAGCTGGTTAAAGCTTTTGTATCTGCCCTACTATAAAGCACCATACAAAGAAAGGGAACAAGAAATCCAGCAAATGAACACACTTACAATGTCCGGCTCGGCCTCGATGGCGACGGTGTCGCTGAATTTGGACAGGCATATTAACACGTCGTGCAGCCGGACTAATGCTGGCGGGCCCAATGACAGAGCAAGGGTTGTCATGGCGATGATTCTCTCCCCTTTTTTTGGGATATACTGGATATCTCCTCGAGTCTGTCGCTGGACAATGGGTGAAGATGTACACGCGAGGGCGGCCATCGACGAAGCGGACAAATAATGATTACTAAGCGTCTCTATATCCGACTTCCGTTTGTCTTCAAGACGGCTTTTGAGGAAATAGGAGTGATATGGAACAGATGTTACAGGTATAGAAAGATGCTGTATTAACACAAAATCCTATGTACCAATAAATGGCTGGATATACGTCTGACTGGTCGTAACGGGGTGTTGATATAATCGCCGGACCGCTACCCAACACCAGATGCATGTCAAGGGACAGAGCGTCCCTCTCCGTCATTTTGTGCATTGGGTACATCCCCGTCGTCGTGATTTATTTGTGTATCTCTGTTTTGAGTTCGGCGTTGACCTCGATCTCGCTGCGGCAAAGGCTGCGGAAACTGCAGCTCCATCGCCTGTCGTCGGCGCCGTCCGCGTCGCACAACCTGTAGAAAATTGACACCCACCTGCGCGAAAAAGATGAGTACAAACGCGCCCACCACCAGGGTCTGCGGAATGTACGTCTCTGACGACTGGTCGGCGCCGGGGATAGGCGGGCTGGTTTCCAGGAACGCCGCGGGTCCTGAGCCGCCAAAGGATACTGACATCGAGAAGGCGAATGGCGTTAAGGACATGAGATTGTCGGGGGTTACTGAAGTGAAGAGTGTTGAGAATGGGTTGAGCACAAGTGGGATTATGCAGAAGATGAGGAGCGGGACGGCTAGTCATAAGACAGATTGGAGTGACGAGCGAGTGGACCTGGACACACTATATTAGATGGATGCAAAATCAACAGCGAAAGAAATATGGATGCATACCTATCTCGGGCCTCCAGCTCCCGAGCCCACCGGGCAGTAATCTTCAGCCGCTCCCTCACGCTGATCGCGGACAATAGAGAATACTTCTCTCCTTCGGATATGGGCAGTATACTCCCAAACCACCACGGGAACCGGGCTGCATCGGTTGGGACAGGTCCGTATGCTAGCATGACACGTGGATGAAGCCATGGTGCACCACTTCTGCGCTGTCTGGTAATAAAGTCCCGCCCCAAGTCAAGGAGCTGCTGAGTAGACAATGACTCCAGGGGGGGTTCGATGGTGGTATCCGCAGAGACCGGAGTAGGCACTGACGCCGTCTGAATCGACTCGAGTCGCTCTTCTTCCGCCAGAGGAATATCATCCACGCGCTCTGTTTTGGCCACATAATATCCATCCAGCATCTCCGATTCGACGACCTTGAACCGCGACACCCCTGTCGCAATCACGAGACTGCGACCATCCGGAAGCAACTCATATCGCTCGACCATCAGTTGCGTCCCATACTGCACAAACGGGACATTTCCCAACCTCTCGCCCCGCGGCCACCCGTGCCGGCTATACATGACCATCCCAAATTTACCACCTCCACCCTCGACCACCCGCCGGATCATAAGCCGATATCGAGGCTCGAAGATATGCAGGAAAGTCGGCATCGTCGGGAAAGACAGCGTGCACACGAAAAGCGGCAGATTATTTCCAAGGTCTGTCCCAGTCTCATCTTGATCGGCGGCCTCCCGTCGAGCGGCAATCTGACTGGGGAAGAAGGAATCGATCACCCGCACCAGGGTGTGGTTCGCAGGCTCTGCTTGCATGGCAGCAGGCATTCCTAGTTTCCGGCGGCATATCGGACACAGATCGGTATGGTCCAGGACCCGTGCAACACATTTGCGACAGAAAGTGTGGCCACAGGGTGTCGTGAGGGGATCCAGAATGAGGGCGTAACAGACCTGGCAGTCAAGCTCGGCCCGTAGGCTGTCTCGTAATGAGGAAAAGATGGCGTTATCCCGCTCTGTTCTTCCCTCTATGACTGCACTGTCCTCATAGACGACGTCAGAGGCATCGCAAGGGAACCGGCCCTCAAGTGCCAGGCTGTATAGACCCTCCAGCGGGCCACGCCGCGCCAATCGCGCGCTTTGCACCGTTCGATTCGATGAGTCTTGTTCCTCCACCTGCCATCGGACCATCAAAGCATTATCCTCCATCTGCTTCCGAAACTCCGCGTCCACTGCTGGCCTGGCCAATACCTCATCAAACACCCCGACCACCTTGCCCAGCAAGACATCAACCCCACAATCACCAACACAGTGTTCCCCAACACACCCCTCAATCCCATCCCAGTGACAGTAAAAGCCCTGCTCCCGTTCCTGGGCCACGGGATACGTAACCCCAGTCCGCGGCCGAACGGGCGGCAAACACGACCGACACACGGTATTCCCGCACGGCAAACGGAGCGGGCCCCGGAGTGGCCGCGAGCAGCGGCGACACTGAATCAACCGGACAACAGTGTGGGGGAGAAGTAGTTCCGCGCTCCCAGCGTGCGCTTCTTCTTCTTCTTCAGAGGAAATGTCCGAGTTGCTCGCCATTGTAGTAGTGGTCGGGTCGCGGTCAGCCTCGGCTGGATGCGGGGATGGCGAAGACGGGGCGGCTGCATTCTCCATGGCAAACGCTTTGCCTATAAGCAAGTCGCTCGTCAAGACTCTCAAGCTCCAAGACTGAGGGTGCGGTGGGACGATTTCTGAGGCATTCGGGGGGAGTTAGGTGGGCGATATTGGGGGTTGGAGCTTGGGGTTGGAGAGATCGGCGATCAGCAGAAGCGGGTCAACTTTAGATAATCTGACACCGCACTCCTTCACGGCGGTTGCCTACTAGGTAACTATGTAGCTCGCTATCTTTAAGAATATCCAGATGTCAATAGGATTATCTTATCCTCAATTAAGCATTACGCAAAGAGTAAAAGGCAAGTCGCATGCAGTGATATAATTTCATGTCTCGTTTCCAAACCTGCCATGCCAGTACAGATGCACACAAAAAGAATAAAAAAACCGAATCGTCAAGTACTCGTCATTCAGGCCAAGGCATCCAGGTCCTCTCAAAATCATGGATGGAACATGCATATATGGTTGCACCAGAAAAGGCCAAACACAGCACAACGTTTTCAGGGGTATATCAGGAGAGGGAACAACGCCCATGGTTAAATAAAGGGGGAGGGGGAGGGAAAAGGAAATCAGCCGAGTCGCTGCTTCTTCGACTGCAGTAAAAATCAACTCGACGAGTCCGAGTCGGTGTCGGAGTCTTCCTCGAGGACGATTCGCCGCATCACGCTCTTGTCGAAAAGATCCAAGGCAAACCGCCTCGCCGGTAACCGGAAGTGATGCCTTTCGAGGATGCACAGAGCTTTGCGGAAGAGGTGGGCCTGGTGGAATCGTTCGGGTTGTTTGGATTTCAAACTACACCCATGCATGTAAGTCGCTAACCGCATCTCAGAGGAAGGGAAGATAGTACCTGTGAAGATCTGCGGCCGCTCGCTTGGACAGAACGGTGTTTCCCATGTCCACAATCAACTTTAGTATCTTCTGGTTGGTGGCGTCCGGGTCCGTGGTGGCTTCCCTGAATTTCTCGCGAGGGGTACGTTTCGCGTCGGCATCATAACCAGGGAATGAGATCTAGACCTGGTGAGCGAGTCGAAACAAAAGAAAAGAAGCCTGGAGACTTACCAGGAACAGCTTGCGGAAATCCGACGGCAAGCAAAAGCCCAGCGAATCTCCCTTCTGGTCAACCGCCGAATCCCATCCCAGATCTCGCAACACTCGAAGCCCATGCCGACTGCGGGATACAAGGCCCAAGACAAAGAAGGCGGTGCCTCGCATTGTCAAAACCCCTGCGCTTTCTGCAATCTGCACGATTCGCTGCACAATCTCGGGCTCCAGGAATGGAGCACCGAGTTCCATGGATCCGACATTACCGACAGCCCACAGGCATCCTTTTACCTTGAGAAGGATCTCTATCTCTTCCTCCTCTAGCCGGAAATCGCGAATTGTCCAAGCAAATTCGTTGAAATGGCCCGACTGCTCCAATAGCCTGCAGCCCTCGGCCGTTCGAGCAAGCTCTCGGTAGAAATGAGGCGGGACCAATCCGATATCCTGCATGTCGACCAGATCCTCGGGCGCAAAGCTACCGCGTCGTGGCTGATCGACATAGGCGCGGGACAGAGCGGCCTCCACGAGGCCAACGTAGGTGTCATTGCGACCAAGGAACCAATCATCCATCTCCTGAGTGATATAGTCGAGGCCATCCAGGTAGTGATAGCCGACCGAGGTTGACAAGAATCGTAGAAGAAGTGGCGCGCCAATCTCGCCCAGGTGATCAAGAGAGGGCCGGCATTTGACGACAAACTCGAGATAGTCCCGCTGATTACATGCCTCTTCCAGAATCCTCACAGCAACCTGACAAACGGTGACATCGGGGTCATATAATTGGGTCACCAGCAGTTTGATGACCCATTCAGCATTACCAATCGACACATTAGGAGACAGCGTGGCATCCCCAACGGCGTATTTCCGGAGAATCTTGGTGGCGAAAATCCGAATATCTTTGGAGCCAATGGTGAGGGCCTTGGACAACATCACCCGAAGATGGCTTTCCCGGTTGTAGTCCATATTCCCCAAGAGAGTTTGAATTAGGTCATTTCGGTCACGCAACTCGATTATATGGTAGCACATATTCAGCATGTGCCACCGCTCCATCATGATGAGGCCATTTGCATCAGCACTCAATGTTCCCAGCATCGCAAAGTAGCCTCCGCTCAATGTATTAGCCATTTGGTCTCGCGAGAAAAGTGGCGACTCAGAGGTCAACCCGCTCATGCGATCGAGTTGCGCCAGGCATTCGGCAACTTGTCGCAAAAACTTGTTCTCGGCAAGATACTTGGTGCCTTCGGGGGTCTGCACAAGAGTCCGCATCAGGGCACAACCAGTTCGCACATAACGCTGGTTTGGTTTGGTGTTGGGGACCATGGAAAATCGGTATTTGAAAGGCCGATAGAATCCAATGAGACGTTTCATGAACTTTGAGCCTTTGATCGCCTCGTCCATTCGCTTGGAGTTCGTCAGAGGACCCTCGACCAAACGGTGAATCAGATCCCATTTCCATTTGATGTAATTGACGGTGTTCAACACGTGCGTTTCTAGAATTGCTGTGCGAAACTGGGTCTCATCCATGGAAGGACTCAGCTTGTCTTTGCTCTGTTCACCAGGTAGCAAGGAGGCCGATAAATCAGCATCCATGTTGTATCGGCCTACTGCACTGGGAAATCCACCGGAACGTGCGAGTGTCCGGTTGATGCTTTCAATTTGGAAAATGGTCGAAGTAGAGACGTCATGGTTTTCAACGTCGTATTTGATTGCGGGTGGGATCAGGTGTGGGAGGACTTGCAGCTTTGCACTGGTGATTTGTGGCAAAGAATGGTGAGCTAGCTTGAGAACTTCAGTTAATAGCAGAGTTGCTTTGCGCCTAAGAGCAGGATCTGTTTCTTCCTCGATAAGATCAGAGAGTGACTGCAATAAGTCAGTCCCACCACTATTTTGACCAGAGAAAGGCAATACCAACCTTTGCCAGGCCTGAATCGACCAAAGCTGCTAGGATTAATGTCGAAAAATGCGCCGTCAGATCAAATCTGCTACTATTGCTGCTATCGGAGAAGCCACGGTTGTTTTTGGGGTCCGTATCAGAACGCAGATGTGAGACTCTGCCATATGTCGTGAGTCTCCGGCCGGCAAGGAAAGATGAGGACCATGACGGGGGCTTGATCCGCAAAGCATCAAATAACAGCTCCATGATGAGATCCCGCGCCTGAGGATCAGGGTAATGAAGTGAGTCGAGGAGAGAATGGAGCGGTTGTGCTTCGTGTCTTGCAAGGATCACAAGACCTGGCCAAGTTTTCAGCATGGCAGAGATCGCTCGGGCGGCAGACTTTAGCCGGCCATGGCGCAGTGAATCGGACAAAGAGTCAGTGAAAGGCGCCAGAACAGCCTCCAGCTCACATCCCTGGAGATACTTCCGACTCCGGGGGTGTCCAATACATGCAGAAAGCTTGATATCAGACTCTCCGACGCACCGAATGTCCCTTCAGCCAGAGAATCATGCAGGGCAGCAAAACCACCTGCAGAGGCCACCAGTTCTGGGTCCTTCACCAACATTTCGGCCAGGGTCATGATGGTGATATTCCGGAGACGGTCCTCGTGGTTTTCGGCAATCGCAACGATGGTGCGGACAATGGCGCGCGAGATCTCCCGCACTCCGTCCTTGACATCGAGAAAGGCTCGCACGAACTTGAGCGCCTGTTCTCTTTCGATGCTCGCTTTGCTTTCCTTAACCAGGGACAAAATAACCAGCTCGTCGGTGTGCAGGGCGCGAATTGTCTGTAGTGATCTCCGATCCGCGATTGCATAACGAGTTAGCCGATATCCAGCCGCGACTACTTCTTTGCTGTCGCTCAAGAGCATGACCTGAACGCGCAAGCCAAAGACAGACCACGCAAGGTCGTATTTGAGGGAGGGATATCGCTTGAACAATTCCACCAAGCTGTTGGCGCGCTCGACATAGAAATCAGGCGACATGCCCTCGATTTCCAGCGCTTGCAGTGTTTCGGTTAGGACATAGCTTGGTGATTCCATGTCACCCTCCCTATCTTCCTGCGCTTCTCCGTCCACCGATCCACCGGTGTTGTTATTACGCGACGGCGAGCGCATGGGGCTACCACGAAAAAGACCGGACATGCGACTGCGCGGGGGAGTGGACGACGGCGCCTGCGCGCGTAGCAGCTCCTCTTCCAGCTCGTGTTGCAGCTGGACCAACTTGCGATTGGATGAACTCAATTCCGACTCTACTCGCAGTCGCTGATCCTTGGTCTGCTTGGGAGGCTTTGCCAGCAGCGCCTCCAACATGTTCTCCGTTCCAGATTTGATCTTCATTTCCTTCGCGATCCTGTCTCGAATAACGGCCTGGCGCTCCTCGGTGGTGTGCAAGTCGTCTTCACCGATTGATCGGCTCGCTCTTCTCATATACGAGCCATCCGGGCGGGGCGTGACGCTGCGAGAATGCATACTCTTCAGCTCGGCGCTGAAGCTGCCCGGCCCACCAAAGGACGGAGCCAGAGACCCTCCTCGGGCACCCATGGTGCTACTGCCTCCGGACTCGGACCGTCCATTCCGTCCAGGCCTCGAAGTGCCATCGTTCCAGCTCCCGTCCGCGGAGCCGCCATCCTGGCTGAACGAGGAGCGCCCTTCCCCCAAGACGCGATGCTGGGTCGACGCGGAGTATGCTGAGTTATGTCCGGACGCCATAGAGCTCCATCTAGCCGCGGAGGCTTTCTATGACCTGTCGCAAGTGTACCGAGTATCGAATTGCCGCATTGAGATCAGTTCCGGATGGGTGGGAGGGAAGGTCGAGAGGGCGTGGAGCGGAGCAAGGGTTCACGGACAGCGTAAGGGAGGGGAAACCGCAGTCACGGCTTGTGCGGATGATCAAAGAGAACCAGATGCCATGACCATTGATCGGGTGGTTCAGGAGTAAACTGGGGGAAATAAGAGAAGGAAAAGGAATTCTACACAACGCGATCGGCCGGGGATCGTCGAAGGACGTTCTGGACGACTGTCCCACTCGGTGCAGCCTGCTGGGCTCTGCGAAACAACGGCTGACTAAGGCCTTATCACCGGGGCCCCAACCCGCATGCCCTGAAACTGGAGAAACTGGAGTTTCGAGTATATATTCCTTGGGGTTGACGGAGGAGAATATCTAGGAAATGTGTTGTAATTCTGTGTGGTAAATTTTTGGAAGTGTCCTGAAGAGGCTGTACAAGTGGCGCTATATATAGGGCAGCGCCTTTTACTTCTGATTTATAGTCATTGAAAGAGTTGGTATAAGTCAACTTGGAAGTATTGCAGGGAGTCGTTAACGAAATTAAGCATAGGATTGTATGCTAGCCCCAGCTACAAAAAGAACCCAATCTAGTACTGATATACCAGTCATCGGGATATCGCTGGGCACAATCCAAGACAAACTCATAATTCCGACCATCAATATTCGGCACATCTGTCTCGGCACCCCTCAACAACAGATTCTCCATGGCTTCAAGCTCGAGATTGCGGGCCGCTTTGTGCAGAGGGGTTTCACGGAGTCGCGCATCTTGAGGATTCGGGGAAGCGCCCCAATTGAGCAGCAAGTTGAGCTCATTGACCAACCCTCCCGCGGCAGCTAAATGGAGGGCAGTCATGTCCTCGAGCATCGGGATGTCAGGATCTGCACCCTTGGACAGAAGGAGCTTCATGATCTCGATATGCCCCCATCGAGTGGCTATATGTATTGGAGCACAACCCTCGGGGTCGTGGATGGCGGGTACATCGAGTAAAGGGTTATACTCTAAGAGAATCTCTAGAACCTCGACGAGATTCCATGTGGCAGCTTCGTGTAGGCCTGACCAGCCCTATCAATTGAATTAGCAATTAAAGGCCAATACTACTAATCAGCATAGAGGTCAGACAACTTACCCCATTGTAACTCCTGGCATTGACATCAGCCCCATACCGCAGCAAGAGCCGAACTGATTTGGTATCGTTATTCATACAGGCATCCTGCAGAACCGATCGACCAGAGGTATTTCTGGCATTCGGATTTGCCCCATATTGCAGTAAGATCTCAGTGACCTCACTGTGGTTATTGGCTACAGCCCAATGAATCGGCAATCGACCACTGACTCTCATCGGCCGGCTATTCCCGCCATTCTTATAGGGCTTGCTCAGGCTGTATTGTCGTGTATTGGTGTCTGCTCCTCGTTTCAGGAGCAACTTCACCATCTCGATATCACCTCTCTGTGCCGCATATGAAAGCGCTGTGCGGCCATCTCGAAGGTCACGGACGTTGACATTCACGCTGTTTAACATGATCTCCACCAGGGAAACAGAGCCACGCCGTACTGCTCCCATCAACTCTTCCACGTATTTGGGGTCGGAAAACCCGTCCCCTTCTTTCGTTGTCGACGTGGGGATCAGGGTTGCATGTGTAGATGCAAAGTCGGCAATTGCAGATCCGGCATCATCATTGAAAGAATGCCTCTGAGTGGCTTTGGAGGTTTGATCCATTGCCATAACAGGCTGTTTCAATGTGAGAATCCTGGGAGTTGTCAGATATTGTCATGTGCGCAAAATGAATCGAGGAAGAAAATAGCGCATACAGTGTAAGGCTTGACATGGAATCCGAGAAGATTGACCTGGATCGGTCAAATTCAGTCATCATGGCGAAGATTTCTCTTCGCCGAAATGGCCACATCCAGTCTCGAACCCAAGTGCGAGATTTCTTCGGTTCATCACTAGATGCATTTTTTTCGCTCATGAGTCCTTCACCCTCTGGATCGGTCTGAAAATCCAGCAGTTTCAATTTCTCGTTCACCTGGTCGCAATTGAGCTGGCACTTCGCCATGGGGACAAATAGGTTTTTCATCGCCCTGTTGAGTTGCGCGTCCTGGTCCACGAAGCCTCGAATGTCCCGAGATTCGAGTGCGTCGGTGAGATTGTTCACCAGAAGATAAAAGTTCATCATATCAGAACCCAGATTCTCGATCTCTCGGGGTGCATTCTTGATTGTCGTGATGAATTCGTAGACTTGGAATGAGATCTTGGTGGCAGCCGATGCCAGCTGCAAAATGGAAGCAGCCGTCCCAATGCCGGACATGATCTATTGTCGTCTTGTTTTCTCAGAGTAAAAGTGCTATATGAATAAATAGTGCCTTGATGAATTTCAGTAGAATTTTCCTTGTCGCAACGGTGTCATAAGCGCGGATATTCGAAGAAAAAAAAGTAGGGATCAATGCGTATAGAGAGGGAGGTTTTGAGGGGAGAGAAATATGTTGAGGCTTCTATTTTCGAGTCAAGCTTTGCCTCACAGCCTCACGAGGAAAATAGAAACCATCGCCCTCTTTCACGTCATATTGCCGATTGGTTTAGGGCAGTGCCTGAGCAGTGTATACTCCGTGGGGCGACCCGAGAGCGCGCCCTATCCCCATATTCTATCACTCGCAGCTCAAAAGCTGATGGCGAAGTACCCTCCATCAGCCAAGAATTGGAATGCACAATGGTTCTGGTTGTCAGCATCTTTGGATGGTAAGGAGTGTCGGACTTGGGCATTTTCGGGGCTCGAGTGACAGAGTCGTGACAACGCTGAGCTCGCAGTATGTGGGGCGCGAGCTAGTGGGATGCGCCGGGAGTACCCACTATCAATACACTTGACCGTCCTGTTTATTGAGCAGAAACGACGAGGGCGAGCACTAAAACAGACAGGAAAAGCCGATCTTATTCTTTCTAAGGATTATCTGGTATATATGCATTTTTACTGTTTATTTTTATTATAGGCAAGCTTTTGCCGAGAGCAATAACTGATCTTGGTCTATATATCCTCCACATTGTGGGATAACCAAGTTATCATATGCTACAACCTATATTCATGCTGTTGGGTTAGCTACTTGGTTTTGTAGTACATCAACAGATCCATGGATCCTAAGGTTCTCAGATTATTGGATTGGATGTCTTGGAAACCTGGCATCCAGGCCATACACCCAAATCTCAGTGACCGACAAACATCAAGGCCTGAGGACACAACCAAATATTTCTACTTGGTAACAGCAGTGGAATAGACCATGCAGATAATTGCTGAACTACATACCAGATCAGTATTAATGATGAGTGACAAGCTGAAAGTCAAGGTCAACTGAGGGTACCAAATCATCTACGAGTATGGGATAGAAGGCGCTGGGGGGTTGAGTCCACAGATTTCAGTAATTTCAGTATCTGCATCTTCCTACGAGAGGGACTATTTATATCACTTCCGAGAAAACGAATCAAACGCTGGGCCTGGAGTGTCCAGGGGAAACTGGTGCCCTGTTGATTGCCTTTCTCTTCGGAGGTGGGAGAGTCAAGACCTCTTCGGGGGCTGGCTCACACGGGTCCAGTGTTCAAACCCGGGTATCTTTTTTCTTTCTTTTTCCTGTTTCTCATTTATCTTTCCCCAAGGGTCATAGAAAGTGACCCCAAGATCTGACATCAGAAAGTCTCGCTCTTGAATCCAGAAGACAGCAGTAATATTGAATCATTGCATTTCCAAGCCAAGTCTGAAATCATACCCAATTCCTAGCCAAGTCCATGAAATGGAACTCCAAGAAGAGTAGACGTGATCTCTCTCAGAAAACACCGGATTCGGGACCCATCTTAGTATACAAGACGCCATGCACCTGGCTGGAAGCAACCTCATTGTCCCATTGCCCATCATTTCATGACTTGTCCGAGCTGGTCTTCTCCAGGATAGTCTTCATCATTTCGTTGCCAAGAGTGGCAGCTTCGGGGAAGCGTGGCGCGAAGTACTGGGCAATTCGCTCGAACCGGTCACGGTAGGATTCGAAGTCTCCAAAGGAGACGCAGTCGGACCAGGCCTGGTAATTGGAAGAATACATTAATTAGTACCAGTGACTTAGAACAAAGGACTAAGACAGCTGTAAACAACTTACCCGTGCAGCAAATGTAAACTCGAGATCATCCGAACGGAACGTGGTGTCGTCAATCGCTGTATCAAGGGCCTCGTCGAGGAGATCGGGGTTGCGGAACAAGTACTCGGTCACACCCAGCCACAGACGAAAGAGCTGCAGGAAGTTAGTATTGGAAGAATCGTACCGCCGTTCAGTGACATACCGGGGTGGAACAGATCATATGGTCGTAGGGAACAATGCCGAGCTTGGACCAGCAGTCGACAATAGCCAGCAGACTGAGATGGCTGTTCGGAGGCGACGTCTCGCGCGATCGGTTGGACAGAGAAAACCGATCCAGCACTTCATCCTTCAGCAGGAGGTCTTGACCCTCAGTGCCAGCCCTAAAGACCGAGGCACCAGCCGCTTTCACTCGTTCCTTGAGTTCCTGTCGATGTCCTCCAATCATGAGTTTGTACATCTCCGTGACCGACTCGGCATACTGGCGGATCTGTCGCTTAGCGGCCGGGTTGAGGATGGCGAGTCCGGCGTAGACGTGCCATTTATTCGAGTAGATGCGCAGGGTGATGTTGATCTTGACGTTCTCGATACCGCCCACCCAGCGCGAGATCTCCCAGGGAAATTGCTTGTTGGCGCACCACGCGGTGCCCATGCTGAGGAAGGCTGCGTGGGTGACGGCCTGCGTATCGGCAGTGATGCGGTCATGCATCTCGCCGGTGAGATAGACATGCTTGGACCCGAAGGACGACAGGATTTCTTCCACGAATCGGAGACTCTCGTCCGAGGCGCGATGTTGAATCAGGACCTAAATCGTCGCGTTACCTCATGCACGCCCAGTCAAAAATGAAATCGCAACTTCGCGCTAGTTCATACCAGGGGCTGCCCTTTCGGGTTGACTTTGGGGCCGTGGAGCGAATGGCAGGATACGATTTCTACATCTGGAGGAAGGTGTCGATCGAACGCTGCAAGTTCCGGGGCCTTGCAGGACGTTTGGCCGCCAACGATTGCACCGACCTTGGTTGCTTTTTTTGGGTGTCCACGAGTCAGAGATATACTGGTCCTGAAAACAAGAGAGGGGGCAATGGCCGTCGACACATACATGGCCCGTACTGTGCCACGACCTTGTCGATGACGCCGGCCTCTACACTGTAAAGAATGAAATCGCTAATTCTTGAAACGAGATGCCCATTCGGGAATATGGTGACTCCTTGCTATATACGATGAGCTTCTGGGCGGTTTAACCCCGGCCGGGGGACGTACTTGAGAAGCGAATTCTTGTTGTAAAGATTCATAGTTCTCAGGTTTGTCACACGCGTTTATCCTTGATTGATGCCACGTTAGTTAGCCATACTTACTGATCAACATGCGAATTCCAGGATCCTGTTCGAAGCATTTGTTAGCAGATGCTTTTGATGAACAGAAAAAGTGTAAATCCAAAACGATGAGTTTGAACAAGATCAGACAAGAAAAAGTAAGGTAGCGTGGTTGTTACATCATCGACGAGCTGGGGGGTAAGCTGCCGACCAGAATGGCGAGACAGCAACCCCCAGATCATACTCGAGCCAAATGCACTCTAGTCATCATGCGAAGGGGGAGAGTGGGAGAATTGAAAAATCAAGAACCAATGGCTTACCTTCTTTCAGGGTCACTGGAACCGTCGAGAAATCGACACAAGGGGAGGTATTGACATAATTACCTCCATCCTGCATCGCTCAGGCGCTGGGTATACATCTTGCCCATATCGCCCATCCCGATGATACCAATCGAGACATCTTGTTTGGTGCGTCGCATTCTGGTAAACAATCACGAGGATTGTGCTTTTAGGCTCCTGACAACCGAATGTATCGCCGGTAGAAGAGCACTGTAGGAGAAATTCTGAGTAGAATCACCAGTCTCGCCGGTGTCATCCGTGTTGGAGATCAATTGCAAGATTGCCGTGAAGGAGGTTGAGGGCGAAAGAAGAAAAATTTAAATACTCGACGGGAGCTTGGGCCTTCACCGCCTGCCGGGCCGACCTCAGCCCCGGTGTAACCCGCCTCAATTTTCAGGCAGCTCGCTTGCTATTTGGGCCAATCATGGCCGACTATTGGGTCTAGGGCACACACCCACTCTTTTTTTGTTCCTCGCCGGCCTCACTTCTTTCTTTCTTTTCCATATTCCACTAACACCACAGTCGCCATGCCTCCCAAGAAGACCCCCGCGGCCAAGGAGAACGTCTCCCTCGGCCCCCTTGCCGGTGACGGTATGTCCAGAATTTTTTCTTCTTCTGTCCAAAATGCAAGCGTGAGATCTGACTAGTGAAACAGGCAAGCTCGTTTTCGGCGTTGCCCGCATCTTCGCCTCCTTCAACGATACCTTCGTCCACGTCACCGATCTCAGGTTCGTGCACAATTTTTCCCGCTGACTTGACTTGTTTGCGAGATGAACTTTCCTCCGGCCCACGCCGATTGGAGGGGTAGTCGAGCACTGGTCAAGGGTTCAGCTCGAATATCTGGATGACATTGGCTGACATTTCCTGTCTTACTACAGTGGTCGCGAAACCATCACCCGTGTGACTGGTGGTATGAAGGTCAAGGCGGACCGTGACGAGTCCTCCCCCTACGCCGCCATGCTTGCTGCCCAGGACGTCGCTACCCGCTGCAAGGAGCTGGGCATCAACGCCCTGCACATCAAGATCCGTGCCACCGGTGGTAAGTTTTGCGCATGCAGTTGAAATCCCTCAAGGAAAGGAATTCGGTCTAATTGTCAATGACAGGTAACGGCACCAAGACCCCCGGCCCCGGTGCTCAGTCCGCTCTCCGTGCCCTGGCTCGTTCCGGCATGAGAATCGGCCGTATCGAGGACGTCACCCCCACCCCCTCCGACTCTACTCGTCGCAAGGGTGGTCGCCGTGGTCGCCGTCTTTAGATCTGTGCGGGCGTGTCATTCTTTCCCGAGTGCAAGTCCTTTGCATGCTTGGGTTGGAGGCTACTCGCAGGGTCTTCCTGCAACTGTGGATGGAATAAACGCGAAGAACGGCCCTTATTGCCTGGTCTTCATTGTTTTTCATACCCTGAAAAATTTGTTCTTAGGTTTAGGCTGTTGACTTAGGGAGTCTTGGACGACTGAATCAATAACTGGATCTGAGTATTGTGTCGCTCTGACAGCTCAATTGTAAATCTGCGTAGTGTAGGTCTTGGTAAATATCAATCCCTGTAGGGCTCCACGGCTGCAGGGCTGTCTTGCGTAGTTGAATGTGGGGAGCTGTGGCGGGGCTTGCTTCAACGCGCGAAAACTTGGAACCTTCGGACTCTCACTCAGCAACACCTTTAATGATTCCCTTCTCTTTCGCAGCCCTGTCATACACAATGCCCAGTCGCTAGTCCGAAACCTACGCACTCCGCGCAGTGCTGACATCCCAACACCGCAACTCAGCCGGCCACACTCTGACCGGATTCACCGGACCCGTCCCATCTCACAGCAGCCGCATAGCTCTGAATCCCTCCCAGAATTCTGACCAGAAACCATGCCTCCCCTCCTCCAGCCGTCTTCGACCATTCTCCTCCCCCAGCTACCCCCGAAAACCCTTGTCGGCATCGACCTCATCACCTTCACCTCGACAACCAACTTCCACGGAATCCGAGATCTGCCCCACGGATGGCATTTCCTCTATACGGGGACAACAGAGAGCCTGTCGCTGCGCTGCGGAGCGTGGTTCTATGTCGGTGATCTCCGCACTGCCGGCAATGGCCGCGATGATAGTACTGCGCTGGTCGCGGCGCACAGCCAGAACACAACCCCGGAGATCTATATCTGGCGATGGAGCTCGGAATCCGAGGCTCTAGATACACTGAAGCATGGTAGCGATGCCGATCGCCAGGAGGCCATGCGCTACAAAGCGAATCTGGGCGCAACCTGGCAGAGCGGGGGCTTGTTCCGGTATCGTAGTCGGGTGTCGCCGTCCCTGTTAACTGCTCAGCCGGGATCAGGACAGACTGTACAGAAGCAGGACGAGGACGAGGACGGCGAGACTGAAGAATCTGGTCGGCGGGACTGGCAGGGTCTCACGGACCGCATATCGCCGAGCCTCCTCTCCCGGATTGTGGGAAGTCCTGAGCTGGATGTGGACGGGCGTCCACGCTGGGCTGTGACCACGGCTAGTACTGCCAGTCGTGACGCAGATAATATCCCCGGGCTGGATCCATCAACAGAGGGACCAGACGGAGTCTCAGAAACTGGCGGCGAACAAGAAAGAGCCTTTGGCTTTCTACCCATCGACTTGAAACGGACATGGCGAGAGGGCGCCGTGGGCCGGGAACGGACAGAGGCTGCCCAAGACCGCTCCTGGGCGCTCGGGGACCTAATCAACCGGTGTTCCGCCGAGGCCATGGAAGATGGCCAGACAGGCGAAACACAATTACTCGGAGAACTGCAGTTCACGTTCCTCATGGTTCTGACCATGATGAACTACTCGTGTCTGCAGCAGTGGAAGCGCCTCCTAGAGCTAATCCTGACATCCAAACAAGCCATCACGGATAGAGAAGGGTTCATGAGCGACGTGCTTCGGCTGTTGTCACTGCAGCTGCAGCGGTGCGACGACGTCGAGGGCGGAATCTTTGAGATCGACGGCGACGAGGGGGGAGACTTCTTTCGCAAGCTGCTCATGAAACTGCGGGCTTCGATCGATGAAATTCTTGGGAACGATGTCCAGTCAGCTGTGAAGTCGGAGCTCGAGAAGCTGGATGCTTGGGTTAAAGAGGAGTATGATTGGGAACTGCATCGCGAGGCTATTGTCCGACGCGGTATGGTCCAGCTTGAAGATGGTGAGGAGGTCGAATTGGAAATGGATGGGCATGATGAGGATGAGGAGACGGGCGAGTATGCTCCGCTTGTTGTGGATTTGGGTGGAAGTGGCATGCCGGATGATGGGAATTTGCAGGATACAGAAATGGGTGGGTAGACGTGAGCGTTTGATCCCATCGATGAAGGGGTACCTACTTTAACGGTCAAGCATATCTCAAACTTGTACATTAATATACGACCTCATTTTGTGAGTATTTTCTTGTTGATGTGGGACATATAGCCCTAATTCCCTCCGTTAATCTAGCTTCACCGAGATATATCCCCGGGGTTGCGAATGGCATCTTACACGGTGACGTAGATACAAGTTGAACGATATAACTACTTTCTTAAAAAGCCAAGATCTTTTTTATCAATCTAACTCGAAATCTATATACAAAGAAAAGACCTATTCCCAACCCGCAATGAAAAGGCGGGAAATTGCTGATGCAACAGCCCAACCCCCAAAACAGATCTATCTAGTTTATATGTCTATTTCTCTTCCTCGATGACATAGCTCCAGTCGTGCTCTTCCTTGCCATACATAATAGCCTCGAGCCAAGACTTGATCTGGGCAGCATAGCCCGCAGGCTTGCCACCCTGGCCGAGGGTGCTGATATCGAGGTCGTTGTTGCGGATCATAGCGACGGGGGTGATGAAGTACTGCGGAAGTCAGCAAGCACGCCAAAAGCATAAGCACAAACATAAGTATAACATAAGATATACCTGCAAAGGTAGAAATGGAAGGAAAGAAACGAGTAAGCACATACAGCAGTCCCCGACACAAAAGCCTCGACAAGCCGCTCCTCCCTCGACGCCGTCTCAATCTCATGAATAGTCAACGGGCGCTCCACAACCTGCAACGGCGCAAGCGACGAGCCCTCAGCCTGCTGTTTCTCCGTAGAAAACCTCTCCCGAACAAGCTCCAACACACTGCGCCGCGTCACGCCCGGCAGAATAAGCTGACTCTCCAACGGCGCCGTGACAAGCTCGAGCTGATTCGACTGCGCATTGCGCCACACCACGAAGAAATTGCTAGCCCCGGCCTCAGTCACCTGCCGATCCTCGCCGAACAGCCACAGGATCTGGTCGAAGCCCATGGCCTGCGCCTTGCCGTGCGCCTGCAGGGATGGGCCATAGTTGGCGCCGAGCTTGGCCCAGCCGAAGCCGCCGGGCCAGGCGCGGATGGCGTCCGGGGTTGAGGCGAAGAGTTTCAGGCCCTTGGGTGCGGGGGCGGACGAGTCGTCGTTTTGGTCTTGCTTGAGTTTGGTGAAATCGGGCCAGGGGACGGCGATGATGAAGAGGAGAGCTTCTTTGGGGATTTGTACGCCGAGGTGTGGGCCGCTGCCGATGATTGTTGGGCGGATGTAGAGGAAGGAGCCGGGACGGGATTTGGGGAGCCAGCCTGGTGTGTATTAGTATAACCATATATATAGATGTGAATCACCGTATACATCGAGGATATAATATAAATTACACCCCCCCCCCCCCCCCCCCGGATATGGAGAGAAGAAACATACGCGGTCCATCAATCTGCAGCAACTTCGCCACAAGCTTCTTCAACTCCTCAAACTTGAACCCAGGCAACGACGACCGCTGCGCACTGGTATTCAGCCGCTCGCCATTGCAGTCGGGCCGAAACAGGCGCAGCTTACCATCGTACCCGCGGTACACCTTCATGCCCTCGAAGCACTCGGTGGCATAGTGCAGACACGACGCCGTCGGCGGGATGCTCAGGTTCTCGTACGGCTTGACCTCGGGCGTCTCCCAACCCTGGGCGGCCGTCCACCGCACCGTGACCATGTGGTCGGTGCAGTGCGAGTGGCTCAGTTCCTCGGCTGAGCCGGGCTCCGGGACCTTGCGGGGGCTGGTGGTTCGGGTGATCTTGAAATTGGAGCCGTTGAGCTCGGCTTTGGTTGGGGCGGTGGATCCCATCGTGATGAGATGTTCGAGGAGGTTCAATTGAATGAATATGGGGGAGGTGGTGTTTTGTCTGTGGGAGTGGGGTGTGGTGAGTCACTACTCAGTAGAAATGGGAGTATATCAATGTCAATTGGGGTATGCTTGGCAAGCAAAGAGGAATAAGCAGACAAATTGCCCTGATAGAGGGGGGTTTCCACAAGAAAAGAGAAGAAGAAAGAAATTGAGAAGAACAGAAACCATCAATCTTATACCCGCGGCTTGCCCCGGACCGTGGGACGTGAGATTCGAGAGTGAAATTTCTTTTCCGAGCGGAAAAGACCCGCGACTTCTTCCCATCGACCAATTTGCCTCTAAAAAAGGACGAGTACACACCGACCGGAATATCGAACCAGTTCTTTTTCATTACGCATATTACTTCGAAGAGAGACATTGCGACTTCGGCGTGGTGTATGCACGCCTGAATCCTGCGCCCTTCCGATGACAGCGCGGAGGGGAGAAACTCTGATAAGTCTCTCTGCGTGGTTATCGGCCCCACGCCGATGATAGCCGGGCAGGAAGTATGGGGGCCATCAGGGGGTCCTGTCTATCTTTGATATTTAGTAGAGAGCGACTCGAAATGACTTGAAATGAATTTGGGCGCCAGTTTATATAAGACTGGAGATGGGCGCATACATAGAGACATTTTTCTCGGATCAGTTCTTTGCGGATTGATAAGCTGCAGTATAGATCACTCTGGAGGCAAGTCAAGAAGACAAGAGAAAAAAGATAGAAAGAAAGATAGCTAGAAATTGACCGTAATAGCTCACTAAAGAAAGGAGAAAGGACAGCGACGTCGAGATTAAGTATTCCCTCGAAGACAATTCCTGCAGTACCGAGCCGTGCTGGAGGCTTGGGAACGAACTCAAGCCAAAGAGGGACTGTGGATTTGATTGAATACGGGCAAGCTGCCGAGTAGCGGTCCCCACATCGATTCGAGATGAACGAAATATCTCAGCCAAGGGAGCTGGAGAAAAAGCCATCCGTTGTCTCCAGACCCAAAGTCGCTCGTGAATGGCTGGCTGTTGTTTCCGGGTGACATAAGCGATCTGCCCATGAACGCCATGCAGATCGGCCAGCTTTGCAACGGGCTTCTTCTTTTCTTTTTCTTTTTGGCGGTCTCTTTTTTGGGAGAAAAGGGAATGCAGGCTTGGCCATCCCTCTCCACTGGTCCCCTGTACCAAACAGTGACATATCCCTGGGGGGAAGGGAAGTGCCTATGTGTGGCAACACACCTCGGATCTAAATTCCGACCTTTCCTACCGTTTCACGAGGTGAACCAGGGATTGCGAAACAATCCTGTTAGGTTAGATGCCACGATCCCAGAAGATGGGCCAACCCCCACTCTCTCGGGCCAACATTACATGGCCACCGAGGTGAGCAGATGCAGCTCAGGAGACGCAGATCGAGTCGGCTGTGGTCCAGAACCAGTCTCATGCCTTGCGGAGTCTGACAGCCTGGCCGGAACGGGCATGCATAAAAATACACGCTAGGTGTGACGGACGTGACAATATAGAACATTTAGCATTAGGTGATCCTCCGATACATGAGTTCATCAAGGCCGTCAGGATGCAGCATTCATGTCCCCGTCGTACGCCAAGAGCCAGTTAGCCAGGGGGGGACAAAAAGCAGCAGTCGATTCGGCGGGTATAACCCTAACAGCCGTGGCGTTGCTGGTGGACGGGGGGATCTATTTCCAAGGGGCTGTTCAGACCCGATGCTCATGCCTGTCTGGGTAAAGTGGGCGGGAGAGCATTTGTCAAAGTATTGAAAAGTACCCGTTGATCCTGCTGCAGTCACACTCCCTCTCCCCGGTCGATCCATTGAGTGTATCCCAACGGAAAATGTCCCCCTCCCCCCCCCCCCAAGACCTGCTCTGCCATACCCAGCACAGGGGTTTGTGTACCACACTGTGTGGCGGATCTCGTGGTCGTCCCATCAACCAGGGCCTTGGAATTTCGCCACTTCGTACAAAACCCCGATGTCCAACGTCTGGGGGTGCCTCCAGAAGACCTGATTTCTATTGCCCAAGTGGTGTTTTTGGGAGTGCGTACGCTACCAAGTAGTTAGTCCGTTCATGACCGTCAATCATTGACTGATTCGACAAGGCATGACATCAAAGGCAATAACCCGTTGTTTATGAACCATACCATTGGCTCGCCGGTGTATCTTACTGGAGAAAGGAAGGTGGACACGGGCTGATAGAGCAAGCTCTGGACATGGGCGAGTGAAATTGTGAGCCGGCATTTGGAAGGGGCGCCGTGCGTCGGAAGCAAACAAGATCACCGGAAGGAGCCGACCTTCGCGACGAAGAGAGGAAGGCATCCCACGGGCCAGCGAGGATGGGCTGGTTTAGTGATTATCATCTCGGTCGCGGCCTGCCGAGCCTCATTGGAATAAAAAAAGACCCTTCGCATCAATTCCCTCCAATACCAGGTCTGCTGTATCTCTCGCCTTTGCTCGGTATTGCCGTGTTTTGATGGTGTTTTTCCCCTCCCGCCTTAGCGTCTTCGGCTCTCAGATTGGGTTGCACTTGGGCTTTTGATGCCAATCTCACGCTGACTAGAGACTAGTCGCGTATTGATGGAGGCCCCCTTTCCCGTCTGCATGCCATCAACGGTGGAAGTTGCGAGCGACTAAGCCCGGTTTTTCCTATCATCGTGGCATTCAATCTCGGACCAACTGGAGCACCCTGGTTGTGTGACGAGCGAACCCCTGTGTTTGCCAGAGAGACGAGCCCTCTCTCATCCTTCTGGCCCTCAATCTTGTTTCTTGTTTCTTTTTTTTTCTTTCGCCCCCTCGGTTCTTTGCCACCTGCAGACGCCGATCACTGCAACTGGTCTTCAAGACAATTGCTCCCCCTCCCCTTAGCCTGCCGAGGATATAACGCAACAACCTCCCGTACCGAGACGGGCGGAGTCCAACATGAAATATTCCCTCTGATACCATATCCCCGAGAGGTTAGGCAATCGGATGCTGGAGAGACAACCATAGGTAGGGGTGTCGTGCAATGCCATGAACGGTCAGCCTGCTTTGGTCATCGTGGTGACGAGAAGTATCAGACGCTGATAACCGGCAGATTGCATAGTCAGGAATTGACCTGTGAACGCCAACCTGAACAGACTCGATGGTTCAAGTCCCATATATCCCAAAGAAGAGGTTGTTGCTATATAGGAAGATGAGCCACCACGACAGACAATTCCAACCGTTGGCTCCGGGGCCGCCACGAATATTCGCCCCGCAGACGTCGACAGCGATTACTCGGCCAAAGAAGAATTCCACAGCTTGCCTGGCCTGCAAAGCGGCGAAACGAAAGGTGAATCAGGCAATGTGACCCTAAGAGAGCAAGTGCTGACCAGAGTGGTTTGCTTGATCTAGTGTTCTGGTCCCCCGGAGCCATGTAAAGCGTGCCGAAGTTCCAACACCGAATGCCATTTCGACCCAAGCCGAGATCTTCGACGCAAAGTCGCCGTGAAACGAACAATCCAGGAGCTCAGCAATTACAAAGAGTTGCTCGATTCCTTGCTTAGTACCCTCCGATCAGCGGATCAACCCGAGATAGACAAGGTGATGAACCTGATTCAAAACGATCGTTCGCTGCAGGAGCTCGCTTGTGCCGTAGGATGTTCAGCCACTACCTTCGAAGACGCTGGGACACTGTCGGCGACAAGTCACTTGGCAATTTCGGAAGATGGGGACCATCCTATGGAGATGAATACTGGCCAGCTGAACACAAAGGTCGTATCGGCTTCGGATACAGAGGTAACCTCACCAGATGAGGCCCATCCCAAAGAGGGCTCGCAGACAGGGTCGAGCCCGTATGCCCGTATATCATTGGAAAGCCTATGCGATAACCCCCCTTTCATGGTGCCAGCGAGGCCATGGACGGAAGTTACCGATGACGAGGCTTTAGTCTCGCATCTTGTTTCGCTGTACTTCACATGGGATCATCCATGTGCGCAATTCGTCGACCAAACCATTTTTCTTGAGCATATGAAGCTCCAAGACCTGAGTTCGGAGTTCTGCACGCCACTCTTGGTTAATAGCCTCTTATCGATGGCAAGCGTACGATGCCCATAGGCCCCCATCACAGGAAAGCAACTGTTCTGACTCCAACAGGCTTATTCTGATAGCCCTGATGTCCTCTTCGTTCCTGATAATGCGTTTTCCCGCGGAAAAGCCTTTTTTTGGAAGCCGAAAGACTATGGCGAGCTGAGGAAGGCCGCCCCAGACTAGCGAATGTCCAGGCGCTTCTGTTCATGTGCCGTGCGTATGTTATCCACAGATCAGCCCGTCGCACATTTTCGTCTTTGGCAAAGAGACTAAAGGCCTTCGCAGGTTGAAATGTCAAGGAAAAATCGAACTGGCCTGGCTGATGCTCCGGCAGGCTGTCCAAATAGCCCAGGGTATGGGGTTTTTTGGAGCTCCGCGGGTGTTACATCAATCCACGAAAAGCATATCACCAGAGATGCAACGTGTCCATGCTATCACTTCCTGGGGCATCTTTAACATGAACTCGTAAGTAGCGCCTGTGACCCAACTTAAGGACCAACGCGCCACTAACAACCCTGGAAGAGAAATGTCCATGGATCTGGAAAAGGGGGCTCATTTGGAACGGCCTGTATCAAGAGTCAATTCAGGAGGCGACGAGGATGTACCGTGGATTCCGTATCCGCGGTCCAACCATATCACATATACCAAACAGCCTGCCTGTCTCCCCGCAACCAGGGAGTTATTAGCCGAATTAACCAATATCACGGTGGATACCCAGGAGCTTTTTTTCGATCAAGGTGAAGGACTACCGATCGGCTCGGATGTCCTAAGTGCCAAAGCAATTGAGCTTTATAATCGTCTGCAGCAATGCCTCGAGAGCTGGGCCAATGTGTCACGGATGGCAAAGGAGTTCACTCCTCAGCAACTCGTCGTACGGTAAGGGTGCTCTGACCCTTTTTTGATCACTGTTATGTTCGAGATGCTGACCCGTGGCGAAGCATCAAATGCCTGCAAGCTATGATAGCTCTCCACCACATGCTGTCTAGCCGTGATCAACGGGGACCGGTATCGGCTCGTTGGAAACAGTTGCAGCGGTACCAGAGCAAACTCGCCGAGGAGATGGCTCAGTGTCTCCGTATCCAGCGTCAGTCGTATGGGCTCAAGTATATCCCCAGCCAGATAGTCGACGCCACGGAGTTTTGTTTCCGAGTGCTAGTGTGGCAGCTGGAAAATAGCGATGGGGCGAGACAGGCATTTATTGAGTTATGTCGGTTTGCCGTGGCTCTCAGTGAAAGGTTTCAGGGAGCAGCCGTGACGATTCAGAGGATCCAATCTCTCGCGCAGAGTCAGACCCTCAGGCTACCTCCAGAAGCCATCAACATCCTGAATGATGCAGAGAACTGGAAGGGTATCGACCCGTAATAGCGGTGATGGTAGCCCTTTTCTTTTGTTTTAGCCTCGTGCTCGCCCTGCCATAGCGTGTGTGGAACGAGTCGAACATGGTGTTTGCCAATAGTCGCGATGATGCATAGCTGTGGCAATCTAGACGGAGCACTTCTCGAGAAGAAATGGAGCCACGAGAACGGTGTGGAGGGGAATCGTCGACGCGTAGGGTTGACCGGCAAGGTTTGCTGGAAGCCCAACGAGGGTCATTCTAACAAAGTCAGCACCATGAGCTGCATCGTTACTCCAGTGGGTCAAGTTGAGTGCGGTAAAAGTGTCAAGACCATCTTCAAGTTGGGATGCTCATCGAAGAAGGGCGATGTGGCATCGAGTTGGACGGGAGGTCCTTCCCGGACCGTTGTATGTGCAGACCCGTGTGGCCGGAGATCTTTTCCGTCTCCCTTCCACTCGAAACATCAAGCAATGGGATTTGAGAGGGGACGTTGCTCACAGTCAAAATATCTGCGTGTGCTGTGAGAGACTGATTGGACTTGACTCGACTGTGATCCTTCCAAGGTTTGCTTGCTGCCAGCCCAACGAGGATTGAGCTAAACTGCCGAGCTATGACGGGAGAATAAGCTTCGAAGGTGGACTATTATTGTCAGCAAGAGGGAAGTTATTGACAGGGGAAATGGTAGAATTATGCTTTGTAGATAAAAGTTTGGAACCCGTATGTATGTTCGAAGTATTTTCAAGCTGGCTTCCTACAGTAAGCCTTCATACATGGTAGGCCCCTATGTGTAGAGCAGTAACGATCTTTGGATTGAAAATTTAGAATTTAAAATTTAAGATATAAGATATAAAATGAATTAACTACTTATTTTTTTCAAGCTCCGTGGCCTCTGGAAATGGATTCCATGTGGGATGCATCAATGTCAAGAAAACTTTAGTTCAATGGACGAGTAGAGGGTACACAGAGTATGTGCAGGACCAAGTAATCAGGCCAGGTACCCAGTACCTACAGGGAAACGGTCCAATAGGTCTTATGCATAAATTCCAAGATAGGCAGACATAGCTGAGTCAGCTCCAAGTTGTGTGCAGATAAGATAAGCACAAAGCCCAAGCGAAAACCCTCAAAATTCGACTTCTTTGGGCAAATCCCACAGGCCGACGCTCCGGACGTGCTCCAATTCCGCCCCCGACTCCCCACGCTTTTCGGCGTTTCATCCCCCCCCATTCCATTGCTCTCTTTTCTTCTTTCTCTTTCTTTTCTTTCCCCCTTCCGTCCTTACCAAACATGTCGTACGACGACCGCGCCAATGCGCGTCCCAACCTGAACGACGAGTCCGATGTTGAGGAGGAGGCTCTGGTCAACGACTACCGTGAGCAGGTCAACTTTGAGGATGGAATGAGCGAGCTGGACCGGACGACATCTCTCGGTGGAGGTTCCCAGACGCAAGACCTCCAGGCCCAGCTGGCCGCCGCCGCTACCCCACTGGAATACCAGGCCACTCTGGAGACCAAATTCGCGAGCTACGACAACTACTGCAGTCTCTTCCATTACATTCTGAACTCGGAGGGCCCCGTGGATCTGGAGGTTCCCTCGGTAGGTGTTCCATTGTTCTGTCCATTGTTGATGAATGGAAGAAAAAAAAGCTTGGCAAAACTGGAGATGAGACTAACGAAACCGTGTTTTGCATTAGTATAACTGGGCTTGGGAAGTCATTGACGAGTTCATCTACCAATTCGAATCGTTCTGCCGCTACCGCACTCGGGTTGCTCGCAGCGGGTCCAACGAGGAGGAGGCCCAGCTGCTCCGCGAGAACCCCAATACATGGGGCTGCTACTCGGTACTGAACGTGCTGTACTCGCTCATCCAGCGATCCCAGATCAATGAGCAGCTGGCGGCGATTAAGCGGGGCGAGGACCCGATGGCGTTCGCGGGCGAGTACGGATCGCGGCCGCTGTACAAGATGCTGGGCTACTTCTCGATCATCGGGTTGCTGCGCGTGCACTGCCTGCTGGGCGACTTCAGCCTGGCTCTGAAGACGCTGGATGACATCGAGATGAACAAGAAGGCCATGTTCGCGCGAGTCATGGCCGCCCACTTCACCACGTACTACTACGTGGGCTTCTCGTACATGATGATGCGGCGCTACGCCGACGCCATCCGCATGTTCAGCCACATCCTAGTGTACGTGTCGCGGACGAAGAACTTCCAGAAGGGTGGCAACAGCTACGACGCCATCGCCAAGAAGAACGACCAGATGTACGCCCTGATCGCCATCTGCGTGGCCCTGCACCCGACCCGCCTGGACGACACTATCCACTCGGCCGTGCGCGAGAAGTACGGCGACCAGTTCTACCGCATGCAGCGCGGCGGCCCCGAGGCCCTGCCTGTCTTTGAGGAGCTGTTCCGCTCCGCCTGCCCTAAGTTCATCAGCCCAACGCCGCCCGACTTCGAAAACCCGGCCTTCAACGTCGACCCCGTCGATCACCACACCGCCATCTTCATGGACGAGGTCAAGAACACCCTGTTCAACCCCACCATCCGCTCGTACCTGAAGCTCTACACTACCATGGACCTCAAGAAGCTTGCCGGCTTCCTCGAGGTCCAGCCCGAGCAACTGCGCTCTTGGCTGCTCGTCAACAAGCAACGCAGCCGCCAGATCCGCTGGGTCGAGGGTGGCCTGCTGGATGGCGAGCCTGTCATTGCTAACGACCTCGACTACGCTTTGGAGAATGACCTGATCCACGTCAGTGAAACCAAGGCCGGCCGCCGTCTCGTAGACTGGTACCTGCGGAACCTTGCCCGTGTCTACTAGAAATGTCAATCCTCCCGTTTCCTGGACACCGCTTGCCTGTCGCATGAAATCATCTTTTGGCAAAGCGTATCCAGGGAAGAGGACAAAAGAATGAAACAAAAAAGAGACGCCTGGAGAGAGATGCATGCCGGAAGGAATCATGACATGAGATGATTTTGTTTTTCTTTCATATTTATTTGCTTATTCTTCCCCCCCCTTTAACTTTTGTCGAGTATTGTTTTTTTCTGTCCCTTATTATAGTTGTTTCTGGTTTTCTTTTCCATGGCCACCATTTTCCTTGTTTGTGTTTTGCCTGTCCATGGGGCTTCGGGTGTCGAGGCTGCATCATGGATTTAAAATCAAGTTTGAACTCTTGCACTATCTATTGGGGCGTCTGATGTTTCTCATGTTCCCTGGTCTGCTGTTTCTGCTTCCTGTCGAGGGAGTAAGTGGGTTCTTCCTGCCTGAAGAGGGTTGATTTCATGGTTGAGAGAAAAGCAGAGACTTGATGAAATAACTAGATCAATGAGATACTCTTTTATATTCATTTCGACTTGTAAACTTAGACTCCTGATGACATAGCTCTATCTTTATGCAAATTTGGTTTCCAGCCTCGTAACAAGAGAAAATGAGAGAAGAGGGGGTATACCATGCGATTGATCTATCCGTCCAATGAGCAATAAGTGATATCATGTACATATAAAAAGGGAAAAGAAAAGAACCGGAAGAAAAGAAAAGCACCATCTGTTTTACTTGCCCAGTCCAAGTGCCCCCCTTAATCCGTGACATCGAAACTCGTCCCACACCCACAATTACTCGAGGCACGCGGATTATCCACGATCTTGAACTGGCTGCCAATCAGCTCAGTAGTATAATCGACAGTGCTCCCCGACAGCAACTCAAGAGACGGTTCGTCCATAACGACCTTGGCTTCGCCGGCGGCATGTGATGTGGACTCGGAAGAGGCGTCGGCCTCGCCCTCGAAGACGGTGTCTTCTTCGGCGTCGATCTTCGAGGCGGACTCCAGAGACATCATGTACTGGAAACCGTGGCAGCCACCGCTGGTGACGGTGATGCGCAGGTGGTGATAGGGGTTCTCTTCCTTTGTGGCGGAGGGAGAGGAGGATGGGTCGGTGATTTCGCGGAGGCGCTGTTATTGTTAGTTCAACCATATATAAGTGACAAAAATATCAAGACTATGAAAAGAAGAGAAACGAAAAATAACACGAAGAAAAAAAAAATGAACAAGAAAAGAAAAAGAAAAACATACAACAGCCAGGATTCGCTGGTGGTCACCCACCCAACTACTAACTGGCCGGCGTGTGGCTTAAGTACGGCTGAGCGGACGGGAAGCCCTGTTCTCCACACCCTGTGGTCGTATGTGCTAGAGAGACTCGGAATAATGGCTCATGCTGGGACTGGCACTGGCTCCCTTGCCTCATGGCCGGAGTTTGAACCAGCGCGCATCCCATATACAACCATTTATTCCTGCCCATACCCATAGGCAGTGTTGTCCGCTGCCGCCATGCGCCTTGTAAAGCAACAACGCGCGCTAAAAGGAAAGAAACATTGTTCAACCTACCTCAACTGCCCGAGGTGAGATCTCGATCACGAGTGCCTGGCCTTCGTCTCCGGTCCTGGGATTTTGTAGGACTTTGGTTGCTGGACGAATGGTCGAGGAAGAGAAAGAGGCGTAGCGCTGACAGAAACGAGAAAGAGGCGTAGAGGATCGCGGCGCTGAAGGTCTAGTGAGAAACGCGGGGGATGCTGCTAGAGAACTTGGCCGGCGAGTAGTGAGTTTCCCGGAGGATGCGGAGAGACGGCAGGCAGGTCGGGAGGTTGAGAGCTGCCGGCAATGCTGGAAGGGTGATAACCGTCGAGCGGTTGATGATATGAATGGACGTGACATGATGAGTGTCCTGAAGGAAGGTCAAAGAGAGTGTCGAGAGTGAACTGATAACTTTGTAATCTTTCACATCGTCGGCCTCGACGAACGGCGAATTAGTCAGTTCGGCAGTGACGCCATTGGTCCGCGACGGGCGGCAGATAGCGGCAGAACCACTGCTAGAAAAGGCAGCGATCGGCAGTGGTGGGGGAATGGCGCTCTTTGCGACGGCCTCATTTTCATTTGTATTTTTATTGCATATTCGTTTATATAGCCCTGGTTTGTTCAGTCATGGGCTCTCGAGTGCATCTGCGCGATATTAAGAGCGGGCCTCCGCTTCCATACACTGACGATGTCAGAGCGTACACGAGGGAGTATGCGGAAGCTCTCGACGCGCAAGATCCTCTTCGGCATTTCCGGGAGGAATTTATCATTCCCTCGAAGAAGGACCTGAAACGGAAAAGCCTGGCAACAGATGGGGGTATGTTTCCAGTCGTCTTTACCAGGTAACCCTTCCTGCGGGACTTAGTACTGACTGTTGACAAGCAAGCGACGATGCCTCGGACCCAAGATGCATCTACTTCTGCGGCAACTCGTTAGGCCTCCAGCCTCGCAGTACTCGTCGATATATTGAGCAATATTTACGTGCTTGGGCGACCAAGGGCGTGACTGGCCATTTTGTGCCCCATGACGACCAATTGCTCCCTCCTTTTGTGGACGTCGACACGGCCGGCTCCAAGCTGATGGCGCCCATTGTTGGTGCCTCCCAAAGAGAGGTAGCCGTGATGGGGACGCTAACTGGCAATCTACACCTGCTAATGGCAAGCTTCTACCGTCCGACCCAAGAGAAGTATAAAATCATCTTGGAGGGCAAGGCGTTTCCCAGTGACCATGTAGGTGTGCATCCTTGGGGTTTGACCGATCATTCAAATACCAGTGCTGATATTTATGATGTAGTATGCGGTTGAATCTCAAATCCGTCATCACAACTTTGATCCCAAGCATGCCATGGTTTTGATTGAGCCCGAGAACCTCGACCGCCCTACCCTGATTACGGAGCAAATCCTCAAAGTGATTGACGATAATGCCTCTAGCACCGCACTAGTACTTCTCTCGGCCATCCAGTTCTACACAGGACAGTACTTTGATATTGAACGGATCACGGCACACGCGCACTCGAAAGGCATCCTGATCGGCTGGGACTGTGCCCATGCGGCTGGAAACGTGGATTTGCGCCTTCATGACTGGAAAGTTGATTTTGCGGCATGGTGTAGCTACAAGTACCTCAATAGCGGGCCGGGTGGGATGGCAGCACTGTTTGTCCATGAGCGACACGGCCGTGTGGATGAGAAGCAGGCCGACAGCGAGGAAACCTTTCGCCCTCGGTTTTCGGGGTGGTGGGGTGGAGATCTCAAGACCCGATTCAACATGGAAAACAGTAAGCAATTGCCGGGGCGATAAGGCCAATGCAAGTGAGATGCAGAGCTGACAGCTTCAGAATTCACCCCACAACCCGGTGCCGCTGGCTTCCAGCTGTCTAATCCCTCTGTCCTGGATATCAATGCCGTCGTTGCCTCACTGGAAATCTTCAATCGGGCGAAAATGCAGGATATTCGACAGAAATCGCTCAACTTGACCGGGTATCTGGAACATCTCCTTCTAAAATACCCACTGGATGCACCCTCGGCAGACAAACCCTTCACCATTATCACGCCATCAAACCCTGCCGAGCGTGGTGCTCAGCTCAGCCTCCGCCTCGCGCCGGGATTGTTAGACCGTGTTTTGCATCATCTGGAAGAGAATGGGGTAGTGGTTGACGAGAGAAAGCCCGATGTTGTTCGGGTTGCCCCGGCGCCTCTCTACAATACGTATGTGGAAGTATGGGAATTCTGTCTGATCTTCTTGCAGGCATGTAGAGCAGCCGTTCAGCCGCAGTGATAATGCCATCACACGAATATGAGTCATGCATTGAACTATACAATCAACAAATGTTTTCCACTGGCAAAGTACTCGGTGGAGTCGGCATTAGCGCGGCCAAGATTGTCAATGACAAGATTCGGCTCTCGGCACAGACTCCGCAACGAAGGACTCAACCCACATGCGGGCGAATGGCTCGAATTCAGTCCAGCAGATTTTTAATATTTTCATCTGCTCTTAAATCTTCACGCGTGATGCTTGTCTCTGAGAACGATGTCTCTCGAGAAAGAAACGGGGTCTCCTACACCAGATCCTGAAGTGGGCCCGCATACGAGTGGGAGGAGTCATGGCGGGGATGTCGCTGATGTTGATTATTCGGTTTTTACAGAAACCCAGCGGTGGTATATTGTCTTCATGGCATCGTGGGCTGGCTTCTTCTCGCCCGTGTCCTCGCAGATTTATTTTCCTGCTCTAAATACGTTGGCACAAGACCTATCAGTGTCGAACTCGCTAATCAACTTGACTCTGACGAGTTACATGGTGAGGCAGCCCGGTCGAGACAATGTCGGTATCGTATATATTTGGGATCGAGACTGATATGAATGTGACAGATCTTTCAAGGGCTCTCGCCCATGTTCATTGGCGACTTCGCCGACAAAGCCGGGCGACGACCGGCATACATAGTGTGCTTCACTTTGTACATTGCAGCCAACATCGGCCTCGCCCTGCAAAGCAATTATGCCGCGCTATTTGTCCTGCGATGCCTTCAAAGTGCTGGGAGCAGCACCACCATTGCCCTCTCCTCGGGTGTAGTCTCGGACGTGGCCACCGCGTCCCAGCGAGGCTCGTACATGGGCTTTGTGACAGCCGGCTCTTTGATGGGCCCTTCAGTCGGACCGGTAATCGGTGGCCTACTGTCACAGTACCTCGGCTGGCGAGCCATATTCTGGTTTCTCGTCATTTTTGCCGGCGCATTCATGATCCCTTTCTTGATCTTCTTTCCTGAAACCGCGCGGGGCGTTGTAGGAGACGGTTCCCTGCCTCCACAGAAATGGAACATGTCCTTGATCAGCTACCTCAAATCCCGGAAAGCCCGTGACGAGAGCATAACCTCCCCAGCGCATTCAGCCAAGCAGAAACAGAAGCTCCAGTTCCCAAATCCCTTCCAGACACTCGCTATCGTGTTCCAGAAAGATACCAGTATCATTCTATTTTGCAATGCGCTGCTCTTCGCTGGATTCTATGATGTCAGCGCGACCATTCCCTCCATCTACAATGACTTGTATGGCTTGAACGACTTACAAATCGGACTCTGCTACATCCCCTTCGGACTCGGCGCCACCATCGCCTCGATTGGCAACGGCAAGTTCCTGGACTATAACTACCGGCGCATCGCCAAGAGCCTAAACTTCCCCATGGTCATGAACCGCCACACAGATCTGCGCAACTTTCCTATCGAGAAAGCCCGTCTTCAGATTGCGTTCCCGCTGCTTGCAATAGGAAGTCTCAGCGTTCTGGTGTTTGGCTGGTTTCTGAACTACGGGATCCATCTCGCAGCACCCACCACTATTCTCTTTGTCATGGGTCTGACGCTGACGGGGTCTTTCAATACCGTTAGTACGTTGCTGGTGGATCTATATCCGACGCAGGCGGCCAAGGCGACTGCCGCTAATAATTTCGTGCGCTGCCTGCTCGGCGCGGGCGCGACGGCGCTTGTGGATCCAATGCTTGCGGCTATGGGCCGCGGCTGGTGTTTTACGTTTATTGCCCTTGTGATGCTGGGTACCTCGCCACTGCTGCTATTTGTGATTCGCAGGGGTCCCCAGTGGCGTGAAGAGCGCCGATTGAAAGAGGAGATCCGGAAGGTGGAAATGTGATACCGACCAGGACTTGGGATGATTCGATTGCATACATTCAGTAGATCTTGTCGCCTGCACATAGATCGAATGTGACGAGTTCATGAGAAGATAAACACCTCGTGCCCAAAAAAATGGCTTAGACCGGAATAAGATCTCTCACAAGGCTTTTATAGTCGCCGGGAAAGGCACATTATCTAAAGCAAAGTGGTTTTCATGAAGGCTCGCATAGATCCTATCCCTTCAAGAACTACTCAAGATCCATGAAATAAACATGCTAAGCATGTCAAACTTATCGATAACCCTGATTATGCTTTCCAATATACACACTTAGACATCAATAATAGTCTTGCAAGAGAAAAAGGCACAATCTGCGGCCTGGAGATTCGCTCTAAATCAATTCTTGTGGCTCGATTTATTTTTCTGCAATTTCTTTGATAGTTGCACCGCATCATCTCAAGGCAAAGTAAGATCGTTCCAGAGGCTCCCGTTCCGACTCCCATGCCAGCCAATCTGATCTCGTAGTCCTGGAGACGATGTTAGCTCAAGTCGATGGCCAACACTAAAGGAGGCAACATACGGCAACAAGCCCATCGCATTGACCTTCCAAATTCCCAGCGCCAGCAAGGCAAGCTGCATCAGCACATAGACTGCCTTGACGCCCAGCATACGCGAATGTGTCGTCTCAGTGTCGTACTTGGCGAAGACAGCATTGGTATTGATCAAGCCTTGGATGGGACCCTTGAACAGCATGAACACCATCATGATACTAAAAATCTGCAGGCTATTCCCGGACATGTACATCATGATGGCGTTCATGGGGAGTTGCTTTGACGGGCCCATGGCGATCTCCCACGCTTTCTTCAGTTTCAGGGAGTCGGTGTCCTCGGGTTTCTTCGCGGCGGGTTGTTGCTGTTGCTGCTGGCGCTGAAAAAAATAACATATCAGGTCAGCATATGACCCCAGGGATGTTTTGGAGAAATCCGGTCGAGGGGCTTACCTGTTTCCCTGCCCGGCTGCTTGAGAACCCCGGTGGGTCGGCAATGCTGGACGCCGCCTTGGAAGGACGCGGCATCGGCGAGTTCATCGCGACAGCCCATTGCGGCGGAGGCGGAGGTGGAAGAGCCGCCTGCGACATGATGGGATTGATGGGGGTGGTTTTGTTGTTGGGGTTGGTGTGGAAGACGACGTGGAAAGAGAGCAGGACGAGAAGTGATGACGGGGGCACGACGGGCAGTTCCCTCCGCGCCCACTCCGCCTTGGCGCAACTCTCCTTTCCCTCGACTTGGATCTTTCTCTTCCCTTCAAGCCAGCTCGAATTCTTCTTTCTGCATGATCTGAGCAATGCTCACTCGATGATTGCTATATCCGATTTTCCCGAACGGGCCCCAGTCGTGGTGCATTGAAGCGATCCTGCCCTTTTTCTCGACTACCCGGTCCCCTCCACGAAGCCCAACCGGCCCTTTTTGCTTTTCGGCGCCTGAATTTACACGGCTCCTCTCGCCTTGTCCTCGTCGATCTCCAATATCCCGCTGCATGTGATTGATCGCACGGGCACCAACGAAGAAACTAATCCCACCGGACCTGCAGCCCAAGGACCTACACCTCAAACCCCCGTTCTGCGCTTCGTCTACGCCGCAGCTATGAGTACCGGGGGAGATGCAAAGCTGTTCGCGAGGGTAAGTCGATCTGCCCTACCTGATCCTTAGACCGTCTGATCCCCTCCGAGTTGGTCGTGTCGTGGCTTTCCCCCTTCCCCTTCCCGCATCTCACCAGATCCAACATGTCGACCCTCGAGGACTGCGCTTGCAGGCTCTCCTCGCTATTAGGGTCGGCTTCCCTTCTTCTGCCCTCTATTTCCTTGCGATCATACTCTCCCAATTTTTACTCCCCATTTGCCTCGGATTTGCCCCCTATGCACCGTTACCCAACTCACGCTTTGCGCCAACTCCACAGGGGAAAGTCGCGGAGCTGCGGCAAGAGCTCAGCAGCGGCGGCAAGAAGGACAAGAACTACTCGGCCAAAAAGATCGCCCTGAAGAAGGTTGTCGCAAACATGACTATGAGCAACAATGATATGGTTGCACTATTCCCGGATGTGATCGGCTGTATGAATCTGCCAAGCTTGGAAATCAAGAAGATGTACGTCCATGTCGAATAATGGCGTTGCTTTTTTATGGCACTTGGATACAATTTACTGATGTTCCTTCTAGGTGCTTCTTGTTTCTGGTCAACTATTCAAGGATGAAGCCGGATGTTGCGCTAAAGGCGCTGCCTATCCTGGTTGATGTGAGACTTCGATGTTGTTCGTGAAGCAGATTCGAAATGGTCTCTAATTTGTTATAAACAGGATATGGGAGATACAAACCCGCTTGTGCGCGCCCTCGCATTACGGACCATTTCCTATGTGCATGTGCGCGAGTTTGTCGAAGCGACCTTCCAGCCTGTCAAACGCCTGATGCAAGACAATGACCCATATGTTCGCAAGACGGCTGCCTTTTGCGTTGCCAAACTCTATGAACACGACAAGAAAATGGTTGAGAACTCGGACTTGATTGACCGACTGAATCGAATGCTGAAAGATGAGAACCCGACTGTTGTTTCAAGTGTCCTGGCATCGCTGGTGGATATCTGGGGTCGAAGTGAATCGATTTCTCTCACCATAGACTACGTCAGCGCTTCGAAGCTGGTTTCAATTCTGGCAGATTGTTCTGAGTACGGGACCTTTTCCGGCATTTAGCTACCTGATGGGCTTGGTTGCTAACAGTCTGGATAGATGGGGTCAAACCTATATCCTCGAAGCCTTGATGTCTTACGTGCCCCAAGACACCGCCGAGGCGCTTCTGCTGGCAGAGCGAATTGCCCCGCGGCTATCTCATTCGAATTCGGCTGTCGTTCTCACTTCATGTCGAGTCATTCTCTATCTCATGAATTATATCGCGGATGAAAAGCACATAACCTCTTTATGCAAGAAGATGTCACCGCCCCTTGTTACATTGCTTTCGAAGCCGCCAGAGGTGCAATATCTGGCATTGCGAAATGCCATTTTGATTCTCCAAAAGAGACCAGAAGTCCTACGGAACGACATTCGTGTGTTCTTCTGCAATTACAACGACCCGATCTACGTCAAGGTGACCAAGCTGGAGCTGATGTTCATGCTCACCACCAAAGAGAACATCTCGGTGGTATTAGCAGAACTTCGAGAGTAAGGAGCCTTCGTCATTGAATTCATCGCCCTCGATGCTGATTTTCTTTAGATACGCCACCGAAATCGATGTGCATTTCGTGCGCAAAGCGGTTCGCGCCATCGGCAAACTCGCAATTAAGATTGAGTCTGCGGCACGGCAATGTATCGACACACTTCTCGAACTGGTCGACGCAAAGATCCCGTATATTGTCCAAGAGGCGACAGTAGTGATCCGCAACATCTTCCGCAAGTATCCCAACCAGTACGAGGGTATCATCGGACACGTGATCAGTAACATCGACGATCTCGACGAGGCTGAAGCCAAGGCGGCTATTATCTGGATTATTGGTCAATATGCGGACCGAATTGAGAACTCAGATGGTCTTTTGCAAGATTATCTGGCGACATTCCACGACGAAACTATCGAGGTGCAACTGGCGCTGCTCACTGCAACCGTCAAGCTGTTCATCCAGCGGCCCACCAAGGGCCAGCAGCTCGTCCCAGAGGTGCTCAAGTGGTGTACTGAAGAGACGGACGACCCGGACCTGCGCGACCGCGGTTACATGTACTGGCGACTGCTATCAACCGACCCAGCCACGGCCAAGCAAGTCGTCATGGGCCAGAAGCCACCTATCACAGCCGAGAGCGAGAAACTGGACCCGCGCACCCTGGAAGAACTGTGTCTAAACGTCGGCACCCTGGCTACCGTCTACCTCAAACCCATCCACCAAGTGTTCCGCGCCGCCCGGCCCCGACGCCTCCAGCCCAGCCCAGCTCTCCAGCGACCCCGCGTCGAAGACGGCACCGCCAGCATGCTGGAATACAACCCGCCCTCAGCCGGGCCAGCCCCTACAGCCGCCTCCACAAGCAACAGCGGCCTCGCCACCATCACCACCACCGGCACCCCCATTAGTCCTGTAAACGCTCCTCCCCCGCCTTCATTCCCCGTCGGGCCCGGCGCCCCCGCCGATCCCGCCGCTGCTGCAGGTGGTCAACCGGCTATGAACAATGCCATCAACGCCGCCGACAACTACTTCAACAATATCGGCTCCCAGCAAATGGCCGCCCTCGATCTCGGCGGCCGCGGTGACGGTGGTGCTGGCGGTGGCGGCGCGTCCCAGACCCAGTATGTTGTGACCCAGAACCATGCGTACCAGCCGCAGTTTGCTGGCGGCGCTGCTACGGGCGAGTTGTTACTGCTATAGTTTATTGTGCGGTCTTGTCTTGAGGGGTGTGGTGTACTTGTAGATAGATAGTGGTTTGTTCTTAGGGTATTTATGGCGATGGTTTTAGGGGGTTTTTTTTTAACATGCATGGATTTGGTTCATTCTGCTTGCTTTTTGGCTTTTGATAGCTATTATTGTAGGCCATTGTCCTCGCTGTGTAGAGCTAGTCTGCCGAAGTAGGTAGCATTGTGCCCTAGAAGACAACGGTTGTATGGAAAATAAAACTGGATGATTGAAGGCCATGTCATCGAGATGCTGAATACGGACGCTCAAAGGTATTCAACTACATACACATACTAGGTACAGGCGATAAAAAGGTAATGATGCCACGCTAGAGGGATGTTCACAGAAACAAATAAACGGCAAGAGGCAAGAAAAGAGAGAGAGAGAGAGAGAGAATAACGCCAGTTTCTCTGAGCACAAGAGAAACCATCTCAATCCTCGTCCATCTTCGACAGACCACCGCGACTGCGCCGGATCCGCTCGTCCAGGCTATCCTCCTGCGCGCGCTTGTGCATCTGGGACATGAACTGACCGCGGTCAGAACGCTGGCGATCATCGGATTCTTTCTGCTCTTCCTCCTTAGCGGAGATGTCGGTAATGCGCTGGCGTCGATCAGTCTCCATCTCGTTGGCATTCGACTGCATCTCGGCGAGCTTGCTACGACGCTCTTCCTCTTGTTCTTTGGGGTCGGGTCTGTTCAGGGGTGGGCGTGTAGAGGGCGGGCCTCGGTCCCGATTGTTGAAGTCCCATCGCGGTTGCTTATCCCGTCGGGGATAGTCCCGACGGTGGTCCGCATCACGGCCGTTGCGGTTTTGAGTCGGGCGAGGGGACGGAGAGCGTCGACGGGGCGAGTCTCGTCGTGGGGAGGGGTCGTAAGCTTGATCCCGATCGCGCCTGTCATCCCGGTCCCGAGGCCGACTAGAGTAGGAGTCTCTCTTTTCTCGATGGTCGCGACGGTCTCGGCCCCGGTCGTCTCGGTGGGATCTAGTATCGTCGTCTCGCCGGTCACGTTCACCCCCACGGTATTTAACATCACGGCGCTCACGGTCGTAGCCACGGTCGCGCTCACTGCGGTGTCTGCGATGCGATCGCTCGGGCGACGCAGGCGACCTGGAGCGATGACGATGCGACGATCTCCGATGGTGACGGTGCCGACGTTCATCCTCCACATCATCGCTATATCGCCTGCGCTTAGAGTCATGCGCATGACGACGACGGTCACGATCACGATCGCGGCCCGGGCCACTACTATCGCGATTGCGTCTCTCCTCCCTCTCCTTCTGGCGAACCCTCTCCTTAACCGCCGCCTCGTACGCAACCTGCTCCCTCTTCTTCACCTCCAGTAACGGATCGGCCATAACCTTAGACATAGTATCACGCGCAGACCCAACTGACGGACCCGGCGCAGCGCCCGCATCCGGGCCCACCATGTCGGAGCCCTTGACAAGCTTCTGGCTATCCGCGTCGTTCTTCAGCAGGATCCCATCGATGCGTCGCTTGCCCAGCAGGTACCCCTCCATCTCCTCGGAATATTGGCCTGTCGCGCTGGACGGCGCTTGGTACATCCAGTCGACACGGTTATGCTGCTTGGCCTTGCCGGAGCTTTCCTGCAGTCGCTGCAGTTCTTGGATCTGGCGTTCCTCTTCGCGCTCGCGCCGGAGCTGGTCGATTTGCTTGCGCTCCTCGAGCGCGCGCTTTTCCTCCGCCCATACGCGCTCCTGGTTGCGGAGCAGCGATGGGTGCCATGACCTAAAACGTTGTTAGTTCTTTCTGTCCACCCTGTCGTAAATGCGGTACGGAATGGGGAGAAGGGATATTGAAATCAGTAACAGGTGCGCGAGGAAGAAATACTCACTTCTTCAGGTTCAGATCGCCACCCATCTTGCAATTTGCGGGACAAGGGAAGAGGTTAAGAGGTTGGAAAGAGATGGGGGTTGGATGGTTACCCGATGGGGAAAGACCGCCACTGGTGCCTTGAGGCGCATGTCATGTGACCATATATAGTTCGGATTTCATACAACACCATTATCTTTGTCTCAATCAAGGAATACAGCGGAACAAGGCATGAAGGGATACATTGCAATAGATACAGATAAAAGAGAGGAAAAGTTCCCCGGGAATGGAACCGGCAGAATAGGTGCATGCAAGATTTACCATGGACACGAAAAGAAGAAAAGCACGCTCGCTCAATTCTCCATCAAAAGGGACATCCTGGCTCTCCCATTGCCACACGGAAATAGTGGCCCATCATCGGGCAGAAAGGACAAGGAAGGGGCAAAAATAATATAGAGGACAGGAGAAGAGTCACCGTTCACTCATACATGATCCCACCCAATCTAGAAAGGGGAAGAAAAGAAAGACAAGAAAAAAAAGAGGTCATCTGCTCATAGGGCGGGGATTTATGCGATGGGCCAACCCGCAAGACGTAGGCCCCAAGGCTACTTATTTGTTGGACTCCCAGCCTACCCAGCTCCGGGGCATGACGCGCCAGACCTTGCATTCGCCGCTGCGGAGGTCGTTCAGCTTGAAGCTTTCCATCTTCACCTTTTTGCTCTCGCGACCTTGCTCCCAGGCTCGAATCTTCTTCTTCGTGCCATCCCAATCGACCACAACTCCCACATGATCAGGCTTGCCTACCTCGGCGCTGTACTTCTGATGCATAGTACCACGGTGGCCTTGGAAGCGAGCATTGCGAAAACTCACAATGTCGCCGGCACGGATCTCATCATTCTGTGAGACGGAGGCATTCGCCAGGTTAGAGTAAACCAAGGCGCCATAGGCCCGTGTCCCAACAGGGAGAAGAGAGTCGGCAAGCGGATGCAACAGATATTGAATCAACCCGAAGGGAGTGCCGTCCCCAACGGTGGAGTTTTGAACAGAGGTGACTGACTCCGAGATGCGGGTTCCAAGCTGGACGTGTGCCTGTTCCAGTTGGTCCTGGCGGGGCTGGAGAGGCGGGCCTTCATGGCGCTGTTCAAGTGAGGCGTCCGATGGGTTCTTCGCATCGAATTGTACAGCCACGATGGTCTGAGAGTAGTCGATGAACAAGACATAAATGTCCTTCGTCACTGTTGTCTTCCCGCCCCGTTTCGAGGAGGAGGTCTCCTCGATCTCGTACAAAAGATCTTTGCGGTTTTGGAAGGCCGGTGGCGGAGTATTGGGCTGGGTCCACCAGATCGTACTCTCAGCAAGGTCAACGTCGCTGGCAATAAAGCCCTGGTCCACTGAAGGACGAGAAACATCCATGGACCGACGGACGCTTGGCTGGCTTCTCAAGACATCCATGGATGTTCGCTGGCTTCGGGATATGGAGGGGGACGGCAAAGCCGAAGACTGGACTGGGGGGCGGGGGTGCCAGCGACGGTCGCTTTTCATGTTGTGTGACAGACTGGTTCTCCATCGAGGGGCTTTGTACCAGCGAATCGTCATACAAATCGTCATAGCCCTCGGTTGGCGGCTGGGGTGGGGGAGGAGGTGGCACTTCTGGTCGCCCACTTGTAATGGGAGAAGGAGGGGGCAGGCCATGTTTTGGAGCCGTGTAGTTGAATGGATCATACTCATCGTCATTACCACGAGACGGCTCTTTGGTTGGCGGAGGTGGAGGTGGTCCCCTAGGGGTCTCCATGGACGAACGAGTGTTTCGAGGCGGCAGGCTCGGCGGCGGCGGCGGAACTGCCCTGGGAGCAGTCGGAGGAGGTGGGGGTGGCTGCCGAGACTCCTGAGGGCTGCGCGGAGACTGAATAGAATGATCGTCGGTAATAGTACCTTCATCGAAGCTGGAATCACGCTCATGAGCCTTCAGAGCGTCCTTGTGTTTCGCTCCCGAGGCAATATCAGTGTCATAATCTCCGTCGTACTCAGTGACCTCCCCCTCAACCTCTTCCCCAGCCTGTCGAGGCGCGGAGATCGCACTTCCACGACTATCCGCAGTGGATCGACGACGAATCTGTTCCGGGGGTGGTGGAGGCGGCGCGCGGCCTTGCGATGGAGGCATGGGTGGGTTTGTCGGGATAGGAGGAGGAGGTCGGCTGACCCTCTTTTCGGCTGCGGAGGTTGCAGTCTGTGGAGGCGAGATCTCGTATGTCGAGGGGCGCCGAGCGTCAATGTGATCTGGGATTGGGGGCGCGGGCACCGCCGGGGGGCAGCTGTCGGTTGTGCTTCAGGAGCGGCATTCAAAGACAGGTTTCTCGCATGTACCGACAATTCATCATCGGATTCGTCGCCTTCGTCGGCCGTTGAGGGTCTGGGTGGGGGAGGTACCGGTCGACCTTCGCCATTGTCAGTATGTGTAAAAAAAGTGTTTGGGTGGAGTTAGCTGCGGCCTACCTCCTGGAACTGGCGGGGGTGAAGTCGGCTGCTCGACCGGAACGGGAGGGGGCACAGGTCGTGACTCAGGCGTTGGCGGAGCGGGCGCTGCACGGTCTGCCATATTAGAATATTGGCCATTGAAGTGAAACGGCAAAAAAGGGTCAAGGTATCTCACCACTAGACGGAGGGGCAGGGAGCGGTCGTTCAGTGGAAGCGCGAGGCGCCGCCCCTCGTGAACAACCTCTTCGACATCTGGAACCTCGCGCGCAGAATGTTGCTCGGTGATCGGGGTTGCCAGAGGTTCTTCTTCTTCCTTCTCAACGTCGGCAGGGGATGGGGCCGGTTTGTTGTTGAGATTCATGCCAGGCATGGGGACCATAGGGACTGGGGGCGCGTTGGTGGGCGACGTGACCTCAGACTTGTTCTCCGGCTCGGTAGGAGGCTTGGACTTGCGCGCACCAGCACCGGACATGCCTGGCATATACCCCCGGAGGCCCAAAGAGACCCATCATGCCCATACCGCCACTCATCTTGGCCATTCGGTTACGTAGCTCCATTCTGCGTTTGGTTTCAGGATCCATGTCATCATCATCATCCTCCTGGTCGCCTTCCTCTTCCACATCTGCTTCATCACCCTTTTGTTCGACCGAGAGAGTTGATGGCTGACGCTGAGCGCTCGGGCGAGGGGGCTCCTCTTCGTCGTCCTTGCTGGTAGAAGTTTCTCCCGCATCCTCGGAATCCGCGGCGGCAGAATAGTCGGCATCATTGGTATCACTCACAATTTCCTCGTGTGGGGAGAAGGGAGTAGGAGGCTGTGAAGCAGGGGGAGCGGCTCTCAAAGTATCAACACTAGGGTCTCGTGCAGTTCCTGACGCCTCGGCAGGTCGAGGTTCCAGCTCGTCTCCGGGCGTTGCCGGGACGGAAGATTCCTCTGCTTGTTTCTTCGGTGGGCGGGCAGGCTTCTCCTTTTTCTGGGCTGCGTCCGCGTGGCGCTGGGCCTGCTCCAACTGTTGCTTCTGAAGTAGAGCAATGCGATCTTTGAGGCTAGTTGGCTTGGGCTGGTCTTCCGCGCCCTCCTCGGCCCCTTCAGTAGGGGCAGGGCGGCCTTCGGAAGCCGGGATTTCGCGCGCAACCTGCTCCTTCACATCCGGATCTTCGTCTCTCTTGTAGATTTTAGGGGCCGGCTCTCTGGGAGGAGGGACGTAGGCATTTTTGCTGGGAGGCGGTGCCACGAACGGTTTCTTGATGAAGGTGGTCGATGGCGTTGCGCCACTGCTCGGTTTGAAAGGCGCGATGGGCGCAGCGGCGGGTTTATTAAACGCAGCGATACGATCCTTGAATGACGATCCTGTGGGCTTCTCTGCCACCGCCGGAGGGAGGGGTTTGGAAGACGGAGCCTTGGCGGGGGGGAGACGGGGGCGGCGGGGGGAGCGGGATGGGGCTCCTGTTCTGGCTGCGGGGAAGAGTACGCAGCTTCGGCAGTAGAGTTACTGGCAGCGAGCGGGAGAGGTTGGGGCGGGAGCGCCTGCTGGGATCCAGTGTCATGGACTTCCTCGACAGGCTGCTCCACCACCTCGGGCTCGGGCTCGGGCGGGGGTTGAGCTTCGGTCACAGGGGGCTCCACGGAGGTCGGCTCAGGCTCCTTCTTGGGTCTGTTGGGGCGCGACGGTCGTGGGGGAGCGGGGGGCTCGTACCGCTCGACAAAATTCTTGGGGAAGATGCCCTCTTGCTTGGCACCAGAGCCGTCTGTGTATTCACCAAAATACCAGTCGGCATCCTCCACAGCGGTGACGGTCACGATCTGACCGATGGGGAATTTGAGGTCGTCATCATGGTCTGAAGCATACTCGAAGACCGCTCGAACCGTGAACGGCGGACTGGACATCTGGCAGGTCAAGGCCCAGGTCCGGACGGGGAAGACAATCGGTGTGGGGAGGATGCTCGAGAAGTGTGACGACAACCGAAAATTACTGTACAAGATAAACAACCAGCTCCAATATCTCTGGCATGCAACAGTACGTAAGTTGGCAAGGTCGATTAATTCTCTTGTACCGTCATATGTTAGCTGGGATGGAACCGGGATGAAATGAGTGATGCCTACCAGGAGGTGAGGGGAGGGGGGGTGTGAAAGAGAGGAGGGCCTCTGGTAGTACTTACTGCAAACTGGAGGACCGACCACCGTAGCCAGGGCCAGGGATTGGGAATCGATGCAAGAAAATATCAGGCCGTTGATTGAAAGAGAAGAAGAGAGGGGGAGAGAAGGATGAAGTAGTGAGGTGGTCGTCACGGCGGGACGGGGGGCTCCACTGAGGGATCGGCGGGTAAGGAACACAGCACATGGAAGTCGCCCAACCCAAGGGCAAATATTAAGTGACAGGGGGAATATATCTATGAGTTGTGCTGGGCTTCTGCTATATCACTTGTGCTTTGCCTTTTTTTTCTTCTCTCTCTCTTAGTTCAGTTTTTCTATCTCTTTTATTCTTTTTCTTCTATATAGTGTAGATCTATCGATAAGTCCCAATTAGTATTTGTATGTCTCTGCAAACTTACTGTATTTTTTTTTCTTTTTAGAAGATTTCCAGCTGACCAGAAAGACACATAAAAAGCGTCTGACGCATACGTCAGAGACATGGGTGAAGTGTTCATCGCGGTGAATCCGGGGATTTATTTTTTTTGCCTCCCGCCGGGACCCAAGCCTTGGCCCAAAATTTTGAATCTTCCTCTGACTCCGCTCTCAACACCCAAACCCGCCAAAGTTGGTATCTTGTTAGCTTACAGTGAGACCATTTATCATGACTACACCATCAGGGCCACCAAAGCCCGCCCTCAAGACCTCCCTCCCCTCCGCCTTCGCTGCCACCAACGCCCAACAACCAAAACCATCTTACCCAGAACTCTCTCAAGAACAGCAAGAAAAGTACCTGAGTGCCAGACCCGGGGCAACCCCACATCATTTGGGCGTCGCTCTACAACATGCGCACCAGATCCAGGCCCAGAAAGATGCCGAGGATCTCATCCTTGACCATATCCTGAATCTGCTAGAGATTCCCTCCTCGCCCACCGCCGATCCTGCAGCGCCCTCCACAGAAGACGCACAGGCATTCAAGTCAGTGATGGCACCATTCCGACCCAGCGATTACGATAATCTCATTCTGGAGCGCAACTACAATCAACAGTGTGGGTATGTGCTCTGCCCTCACCAGCACCGCAAGGAAGACGCCGGGACGGGCTCGAGCTTCCACTTTAAATGGGGTGCCAAAGGCAGTGGACCCGGTGGCCGGGGCCGCAGTATGGATATTGTGTCGCGGGATAAGATCGAGAAATGGTGCTCGGATGAGTGTGCAGAGCGGGCTCTCTATATACGCGTGCAGCTGTCCGAGCAGCCGGTGTGGGAGAGACGGGCGGATGACATGCGGGGCAAGCAGATTGTTTTGCTTGAGGAGGCTCGGGCTAAAAAGCAGGCCAAGTCTGCGGCGCCAACATCCCACAGCCAGGCTAGAAAGGACGTGGCAGACAAAATGCAAGAGTTGAAAATTCAGGACCCGGAGCGCGCTCGGGAACTCGCGCTCGAGCGCGGCGACACCAGTGCGGCACTGCGGGATGGGCGCGTTGATTTCCAAATCAGGGAAAATCAGCAGGGCTCGCGGCGGCCCGTCACCACTCCGCAGCGGCGGCCAGAGGATACCACCGGAGGCTCCATTGAGGGGTATGTTCCCAAGGATCGGCGAGACCAGCGCACAGCCGACCATGAAGACGAAGATGTGCTTGACCAGATCTGAACTGGACGAAGATGGCAGAGGCCATGGCATGATTGGGGTTTGGGGGCGTTCTACTGATTATACCCAATGAGCAATATTGATCTACCAGAAGTCAAATGAGCACTACGCAATGACCAATTGAACTTTTATCCGGCCAGCAAGACTCTAGAAGAACCCAAGCATAGCCTGGATCAAGATCAAAGATCATGGGTCCTACGTAATTCAGCCCGGGGGACTAAACCCACACGGGCCAACACGAGGAAGAGCATTGGCAATCAAGCGTCATCTCCATCAGGAGAATCAGCGACACCTTTCTCAAAGAGAATCATGTTTCTTCATTCCACATCCGTAGACAGCCTCCGTCTAAGCTAAACCATGGTAAGCCGAGGGAAGCCAGCCAGGACAAAAAAATCGTCGGGGGAAACGCCAGGATTCGACCGAAGATAAGACATGAACTTTTGCTGTTTTCCGGTGTGGTTATCCCAGGCGCTGGATTTAGCGGGGGCCGAAGCGGCGGGGGCGGTCAGCCTGCTGCTGCTGGGTGACGTTGACGACATTGACCTTGAGGTTGTCGAACTAGACAGCCAAGAATTGTAAGTAAATGATCGGACAGTTTCTGCATTCGTACGGGATTCACTTACGCCCATGGACTTGAGCAGGTCCTTGGTCTCGGCGTCGACGTCGAGCTGGCCGGACTCGGTCTGGGAGACGTCCAGAGCGGAGACCTCAGGGACGTACTGGTCCTTGCGCTCACGCTCCTCCTCCTGGAGCTTGAAGGAGATACCGCGGACGGGGCCACGCTGGATACGCTTCATCAGGTGGGTGGTGTAACCAGCGATCTGGAAAGAACAGTAATGTTAGATTCTAATGTGCTTCTCCGGCTGTCGGGCAAACAATCCCACCTTGTTGCGAAGACGCTTGGAAGCGATGATAGCGATCTCATCGCAAATGCGCTTGTTGGTCTCGAAATCGAGAGTCAACTTGGGGTAGTAGCGCTCGATAACGACCTTGGCGGAGCGCTTGACGGTCTGTGGGAAAGAAAAAGTGTCAGATGAATGATCACTGCAGGTTCTGTGTAAGTTGTGGTGCTCATTGCACTTACCTTAGTCCTGACGCGACCCATTTTGGCGGTTGGTTAGCTAGCTGGATGGATGTTCAGAAAGAAACCGAATTGTCGTGCCGACTGAGTTGGATCGAGGTGCCGCTCTCGCTTAGTCCAGTGCGCCAACGTGCCCTATGCCCTAACCACTCACGTGATCTGTCTTAGATGACATAAGACACTCATTCGCTCAAAATGGCAACTGGAGTATGTTCCCAGGGCCGGGCCCAGGTGTCCAGGAATTAATTTGACGTGAAATCATTAAGAAACTTTCATAGCTGACGGCTCATCGCTGGAGTAATATTGATTGCATCTGATTTATATCACAGGTTCAAAATGAAATAGGAGTAGCTTTACACAACCACCAAATCTAATCATACATTTCTGTGCCCAAGAGTGATCATCTAAGACGATCTGAGGCTCTCCATAAGGCTGCGGGCAATATCCTCCGTTCCCCTCGCAGGCTGCCGAGACTGGGAACCCGACGCCTGCTTGAATTGAGCCTGGTTCAAAGGCTTCCGATCCAGCATGGGGACCATCGTGGCATGGTCACGAGCGGCGTCCGAAATGCTCGCGGTACCCGGCTTCTTGTAGTCCTCGATTCCATAAGGAGCCTTGGCCGTCGCGCTCGCACGATAAGAAGACAGACCAATTCGGCCGTCGGTATCGACGGAGGCTCGGATCGGGGTAACCCAGTATTTAGCTCCACCGGGGATGGATGCGTCGAAGAATGTCAGGCCGGGGGGTGTGCCTTGATCAACAAACGTCAGGGCATTCAAGTCCTCCACAGCAATACCACCAATACCCGCAATGGCCTTGTTCACTCGTCCCTTGAATCTACCCTTCGGGCGCAAGATACGGGCCTCGACGGGGCGTTGATAAGCCTGCGGACCGTACTTGGGGTGGTTATGTATCGAAGCGTGCGATCGGGTGTATGACAGACCGGCCGATGGATGTGTCTTTGGAGGACCCGAGGTCGCGTATTCGGATGCCGACATTTTGTTGGCAGTGGATTGGTAGTATTTGCGCCCGATCCGCTCGCTGGGCACGGCGGGAGGCGATGGCAGGTCCAGCAGGTCGTACACAATGGGGCCGAGAGCAAATGGATCATGACGCAAGGATTTGATATAGGCTTGGAATTCCTCGTCGGTAACCTTCGTGGGACTGAGGGCCTCCAAGTCCTCTCCATTATCCTGGGCCTGTTTCCGGGTCTCGGCGAAACGTTTCGCATCAAATTGCTCCCGAAGCTTTTGAAGGAGCTCGGGCTTTCTTTGTTTCACTTGATTCAAATACCCCAAGAACTCTGCCTCCGTCAAACCAGCGAGCCATGGCCCAACATGCCGGTATCGTTTGGCGCCGGGTTCCCTAAGACCCTTGCTGGTTTCCGAGTTATCGACGTGGGTTTCGAACGGGCTCTGGTGTCGAGGGACCATGCTTGTCGCATAGTTAACTTTGGCAGGAAGTGACATGGGCATGTGCAATTCTTGGAATTTCTCCAGGGTCACGGTGTGATCGGCAGCGGATTCAAAATCGGTGGTGTTTTCGTAGGTATCCAGAGTGTGCACCCGGACGACGGGTCTCGACGATCTTTCCGAGGTTGATTTGGCTGGCAGAGGCCGCTTCAGACCCCAGTCACCTCTAGCTAGTGAGGATGGGGGTGTAACAATCGAGGCTCGAATAGGGTGAGGCAAGGTAGCGGATTCGGAATCGTACACCAGTCTCGACGCCGGGAGTTCCTGCGGCGGTTGAATCGTTGGAGGGAGTGAGAACAAGCGGGATCTCCGCAGAAGATTCGCCGTTGGCGACAACCTGGCGGACGCCATCCTGCTCAATGGCCGTGATGAGCTTGGGGGAAAGACTCGCGCAAGAAAAGTTGGCCGAGACACGGGCCAAATCTGTACGGCGGGGATTAGCGACCCAACGTGCAGTTATCAGAACTAGCCAGCTTTGGTCCACTTCAATGCTAAATCGAAGATTCTTTAACAATTTATAACCTCAAGAAGGGTTTTCGGAAATTTATTCTCTCACAAACTGCCTGTCCATTCTCTTGCGAAAACCGTTTCGAGGCTCGTATTTTGGTCACGTGACCTTTATTTGCATCGTGGATAAAGGATTTCCTGGATATGGAGACCAGAATTGACGAGGTAGTCGTAATATTTTTAACAGGCTGTGATTTAAACAGGCTTTCAAAGTTGAGTTTGCATATTGGAATGTTTATTCTTGGCGATCATATCCAGAAATTTATATCCCCCCGAGGTTGATATTCCAAGCCAAATGTGAATCTAAGAATTTGGTACCCTAAGCACCAACGGCCAACAATGAATCGACAGTGTCCGAGACCGTCTGTTCGAGCGAGCGGTATTTGATTCCCAGAACCTCCAGCGACTTCTTGTTGTTGATCCCATAGATATCGGCCGGGAAGTCGCTTGGAGAATCCTTGGGCGGTAGTTTGGGCTCGAAGTTCGGGTGTGCCTCCCGGATGATGTCGACGATCTCTTTGTTCGAGAAATAGCCACCGGTCACGAAGAATCGCTGGCCTCCCGCCTCGGGAACCTCAATGGCTCGAACGTGTGCCAGAGCAACGTCGCGAACATCAACCCAAAGGAAGGTCCCCGTCGGAGCAATCTGTTCCTTCATCTGGCCCTGGATAATGTTTCTAAAGCGCTGGTTCGATGTATTAAGGGCCTCCAGGGAATTCAGGTAGTGGACAATGGGGCCGAACACTAGGGGAGGGTTGACAGTCGCAATGTCGAAGTTGGGCTTTTCTTTTTCAACAAAGTCCCAGGCTGCCTTCTCAGCAAAGGTCTTATTTTGTGTAATGTCATATTAGCTTGCATTGTTACCGGAAGACAGTTCTGGTGAATTTATAGCCGGCTTACCTTGCTTGCCCGATAGACATTGGAATGATCCAAGGCTTCTTCCCAGGTCACCGGGTTCCATTCCTCCTCACTGTAAACCTTGGGATGCTGCTTTGAGTTCACTATCGCAGCAAAGGACGAAGTAATGACCACTCGCTTCACAGTTGGTGCGTAGGTCTTGATGGCTTTCAAAATGCCCGTGGTTCCCTTGATCGCAGGATCCAGGAAGTCTTTGACGGGATCCTGGACATTGAAATGGAAGGGCGATGCTGTATGAAGAACGTAGTCGAATGGGGGACTGGATTTGATAGCCTGTTGCGTCCTGATTAGTTTCAAATAGCTCTTGGACCAGATACCGGCCAGATATGGAACTGCTGCTGCTAACCTCGTCAAATGCACCATCTTTGGCCACATCCGGGACAATCACATAAGACAATTTCTCTTTGGAGGCCTGGGGGTGGGCGTCAAGGATACGCTTGCCCTTGTCCTCCGATCTGACTGTCACAACCGTGTCGAAACTAGCATGTAATTGTCAGTACTCGAGAAGCTAGGTAGCTGTTCCATAATGAATAGATCGCACCCATGCTGCAGCAAAATGTCGACAACGTGGGCGGCGATAAAGCCACTACCACCTGCGTATCAACATGTTAGACCCATCAGGCGCCATTGGGGTGTTCGCGAAACGACTAACCTGTCAGTAGGACCTTGACCATTGTGTGTGTGCGCGCGCGCGAGAGAGAGAAGACACTAAATCGAGGAGTTCTAATGATTTGCGGGATTGCAATGAAGTCGAGATCGAGGACGTGCTGGGATTTATGGTCGAACCCCTCGAACCCCTCAATCCCGTCATCGCTCCCCACCATGGCCCACTGTCGCAGATCGGAAGGCGATTACAAATAAACAGACGGACTTTGTCGCTAATCCCCGTTATAACCTTACAGTTGAAATGCATGTCATCTTTTAGAATTGCTGCTAGGCCAAAAGCCAAGTCTGGTTGTACGCTGGTTGTACAATATATACTCAGAAATCGGCGCTTGTGTGGAAATAGACATCACGGAACTAGACAGTTGGCATTTAGCATTGATGAAAATCATGGAATAGAGATCCATATGTGTAGAAAACTTACCTCTGTCTCGGACTCTCCTCGATCAAATAGAACCACTCCTCCAAACACCCAATATTCCGCCCAGTAGCCTACCATATCAGCCACATCCATCGGATACTGATCGTGGTCAATATAGTCCTGGTGAAACAGATAAGTTGGGATAGTGTAACCCTCCCCCACCAGCCCCACGATATGCTCAAGTCGTGGGCAAGGAGGTCGATTATAAGGTGGCTGATTCGTGTGCAAAAAGAGATGGGCTGCAATGGTATGGATTGCAACGGCGGTTATCTCAAAAAGACGAAGATGAAAGTCTCTTGCTTCAATGGCGGTGTTCTGGTATGCCTGAGATATCTTAGAGATATATATTAGCCCACTAGTTATTCTCGTTCGCAAAGGAGAAACTAACATCGGAGTCGATCTCAAGGTTCTCTGGTCGGAACATTGCTCGCCATGCTGTGACCACGTCTAATGCTATGCTCGTGAATTTCCGCGTATGGATGCCTCTTATATCTATCGACATCTTGGCTAGAAATACCTTCCACGATTTTGGTAAAAGTATTTTGGATCACCTGTGTGGACAGGATGTTGTGAAGAGAGTGTAAGATGGCTTCCAAATGACCCGGGTCTAAACTGTGAAGGACCATATTGCTTTCTGTCATAGAGTCGACAAGCAGTTGAAGAGAGAAAGAACAAGGCAGAAAGATATGCTGATGATTGATGGTTGTAAGAATGAAGAGGGGGGAACGAGGTGACAGGGATGATGACTAGACGGCGGGAGAAGCAAAGGATTGGTCTATTAGCCGCTGGGCTATATCTTTAGAATGTATATAATATGTGATCGTGGTATAACACTTCTCTACTCCGAGTTTCTGAATGCTCGCGATAGGATAAGTATAGAGAACAGGGTGTGGATAGAGATTAAAAAGATGATTGGAAAAAAGAAAGAAAAAAAAAAATGATAGGAGTAATTAAAAAGCTATCTAAATATTAAATAGGATAAACAAGGCTTCAAAATCTAATTTTTAGTATCTACTACGTCTCCTAAAGCCACCCAAGCGAAACGAGGGCCAGCGGTTGGTAGTATCTATAGCTTATTTCTATGGCAAGACCTGCTATACTCTTTTAACGGTATCTAAGCTATATTAGAAAAAAAAAATTACCAGTTGCCGCCTGTTTTCTCAACTACATATTTGTAGACAACTAGGCAGCCGAAACCCTGCGGTAGAATCTTAATTGTTAATTTGTATCAGCCAGGATTGTTTTCGTTGTGCAGCAAGAACGGCACTCACGTGGAATTCACCCAGACGCTCTCGTGCCCCAATATGCTTGTGATGTGTCTCACAGCTTTCCTTATCCTAGTCTAGTCTCTGTATGCTTACCTACAGGTATCCATATACATCTATATCACTGGAACCGGGCCAGTGATACACTATTAGTATCAAGAAATGGGTATGCTCTACTAAATTTGGCACACTCTAATAGCCGGTTGGGGGATATAATTATGTGAATATCTCTTCTTCCGGTATAAAGACAAATATTAACTGTCTAATATCTATCGATGTACCCTATATACTTCCCCGTGACTTGACTGCAAAGCAGACAAAGGCGAGTCCTCCGAGTGGCCCGTGCACGACACTCGACCCAGGCTCACACCTGACCCGCATTCTCCCCTTCTCTCTGCTCGACATATCGGAGGCCAGCTTCCAATGTCCATCCTGGGGTGTGGTTCAATATGGCGCAACCAGGTCCGATCACGGACGTGACGCAGAGGCTATTCGTTGAGCTGAAATCGAAGAACGAGGAGAGCAGGGTCCGAGCTGCCTATGAGCTCTACGATAATGTTCTTTCTGTGTCGAGAGGTATCGATCGCGACGTTGAACCTTGGGAATATTCTTTAGCTTGCTAACTGATTGAACTCTGTTTTTCAGATTGGCCTTCGGAGCGATTCGTGGAATTCTACAATACTGTCAGCCAACGCATCGCTCAGCTGGTGGTTACCGGCAACGACGCAAATGAGAGGATCGGCGGCCTGCTAGCGCTCGATCGGCTTATTGATTTTGATGGAGTGGACGCTGCACAGAAAACGACTCGCTTTGCCAGCTACCTGCGCAGCGCCCTTCGCAGTAATGATAATGTGGTCTTGGTCTATGCCGCCCGGTCGCTCGGCCGTCTGGCAAAGCCTGGGGGAGCTCTCACAGCAGAACTGGTGGAAAGTGAGATCCAGTCGGCTCTAGAATGGCTGCAGTCAGAGCGCCAGGAGAGTCGTCGTTTCGCCGCGGTGCTTGTCATCCGGGAACTGGCGAAAGGCTCGCCCACGCTTCTCTATGGCTTCGTGCCGCAGATCTTCGAGCTCGTCTGGGTTGCCCTTCGCGATCCCAAAGTTCTCATTCGGGAGACTGCTGCGGAAGCAGTGGGCGAATGCTTTGAAATCATCGTCGCGCGCGATGTTCAAGTGCGCCAGTCATGGTTTGCCAGGATACACGATGAGGCACTTTTGGGCTTGAAATCCCACAACGTGGACTGGATTCATGGATCATTGTTGGTCCTCAAGGAGTTGATTCTCAAGGGCACGATGTTCATGAAAGAGCATTACCGGGACGCCTGTGAGATTGTTCTCCGTCTTAAAGACCACCGGGATCCCAAGATTCGCACCCAAGTTGTCCTCACCATCCCAATTCTCGCATCCTACGCCCCTGCCGAATTCATCGAGATTTACTTGCACCGATTCATGATTTATCTCCAAGCTCAACTGAAGCGCGACAAAGAAAGGAATTCTGCTTTCATCGCCATCGGGAAGATTGCGAATGCTGTGGGCCCAGCCATTGCCCAATATCTGGATGGCATCATCGTCTACATTCGCGAGGGACTTGCCATGAAATCGTAGGTTTTGATCCAATGCGGTACTCGTTTGGATGCTAACCTATTCATAACAGGAGGAATCGAACAGGCGTCAACGAGGCGCCCATGTTCGAGTGCATCAGCATGCTCTCGTTGGCAGTGGGCCAAGCGCTCAACAAATACATGGAGGCGCTGCTTGACCCGATCTTTGCTTGCGGACTCAGCAAGTCGTTGACGCAAGCTTTAGTGGATATGGCTCACTACATCCCGCCAATCAAGCCTACCATTCAGGAGAAGCTCCTCGACATGCTGAGTATCATCCTATGCGGAACACCATTTCGACCCCTTGGGTGCCCCGAAAACCGTCTACCTCCGATGCCGTCTTTCGCGAAAGACTTTGCACCCCACGAGCTCCATTCTGATTCCGATATTGCACTGGCTCTTCACACATTAGGGAGCTTCGACTTCTCCGGCCATATATTGAATGAATTTGTGCGTGATGTGGCCATCAATTACGTCGAGAACGACAACCCCGAGATTCGCAAAGCTTCAGCCCTCACATGCTGTCAATTGTTCGTTCATGACCCGATTATCAACCAAACCAGCGGACATTCCATTCAGGTCGTCAGTGAAGTCATTGACAAACTCTTGACTGTTGGGGTCGGAGACCCTGACCCTGAAATCCGGCGCACTGTGTTATGGTCATTGGATCGCAAATTCGATCGTCACTTGGCACGACCGGAAAATATCCGGTGCTTGTTCTTGGCGGTCAATGATGAGGTATTTGAGGTCAAAGAAGCTGCCATATGCATCATTGGTCGACTCTCTAGTGTCAATCCTGCTTATGTCTTCCCACCGCTGCGGAAGTTGCTGGTCAATCTTCTGACGGGACTGGGGTTTGCAAACACGGCCCGCCAAAAAGAAGAAACCGCCCAGCTCATCAGCCTGTTTGTCTCAAATGCGACCAAGTTGATCAGATCCTACGTCGATCCTATGGTCACAGCTCTGTTGCCCAAATCGATTGATGGCAACCCTGGTGTCGCTGCCACTACATTGAAAGCCGTTGGCGAACTTGCCAATGTCGGTGGCGGGGAGATGAGACGATACCTGCCACAAATAATGCCCATAATCCTGGACTCGCTGCAGGACCTTTCTTCGCATGCCAAGCGGGAAGCGGCGTTGCGAACGCTGGGACAGTTGGCTAGCAACTCGGGCTACGTGATTGAGCCATATCTCGAGTATCCTCATCTGCTCGCCGTGCTCATCAACATCACCAAGACCGAGCAAACTGGTTCACTACGGAAGGAGACTATTAAGCTTCTTGGTGTCCTTGGTGCCCTTGATCCCTACAAGTACCAGCAGATCAGCGAGATTGAACCTGATGTTCATCATATCAACGAGGTCCAGAATGTCTCGGATGTTGCTCTAATAATGCAGGGACTCACTCCGTCCAATGAGGAATACTATCCCACGGTGGTCATCCACACTTTGATGCAGAACATTCTTCGAGAGAATTCCTTGGCTCAATACCACTCGGCCGTCATCGATGCCATCGTCACTATTTTCAAAACTCTGGGTTTGAAGTGTGTGCCGTTCCTCGGTCAGATCATTCCGGGGTTTATCTCTGTGATCAGGGGCTCTCCTGCAAGCCGTCTCGAGTCTTACTTCAATCAAATGGCGATTCTTGTTAACATTGTGCGACAACACATCCGCGCTTTTCTGCCTGAGATCATCGAAGTGATCCGTGAGTTTTGGGACGCCTCATATCAAGTGCAAGGGACCATCTTGTCCCTGGTCGAGGCCATTTCCAGATCATTGGAAGGAGAATTCAGGAAGTACCTCGCCGGTCTGGTTCCTCTGATGCTGGACACCCTTGATAAGGACTCCACCCCTCGTCGCCAGCCATCGGAGAAGATCCTGCATGCATTCCTGATCTTTGGGTCAAGTGGAGAGGAATATATGCATCTTATCATTCCTTCTATTGTGCGCCTGTTTGATCGGTCTCAGAACCCTCAGAGCATTCGGAAGTCTGCCATTGACAGTTTGACGAAGCTGTCTCGGCAAGTCAATGTTTCTGACTTTGCATCCCTCATGGTTCATTCCCTGTCACGAGTTGTCGCCAGCAGCGACCGCGCACTGCGTCAATCTGCCTTGGACTGCATCTGTGCACTCATCTTCCAGCTTGGCCAGGACTTTACACACTACATCCATCTCTTGAACAAGGTTCTCAAGCAGCACCAGATCAACCATGTCAACTACCAAATCCTCGTGACCAAGCTGCAAAAAGGGGATCCGCTTCCACAGGATTTGAACCCCGAGGAAAACTACGCTTTCCCGGCCGATGACACCAGCTTTGCGGAGATTGGTCAAAAGAAGATTGTTGTGAACCAGCAGCATCTCAAGAATGCGTGGGATGCATCACAGAAATCCACCCGCGAGGACTGGCAGGAATGGATACGCCGCTTTAGCGTTGAGCTTCTGAAAGAGTCCCCGTCTCCAGCACTGCGAGCATGTGCTAGCTTGGCTGGTATTTACCAACCGCTGGCACGAGATCTTTTCAACGCGGCGTTCGTGTCATGCTGGACCGAACTGTATGACCAATATCAAGAAGAGTTGGTCCGGTCGATTGAGAAAGCACTTACCTCGCCGAACATCTCGCCCGAGATTCTGCAGATTCTGCTTAATCTTGCCGAGTTCATGGAACACGATGACAAGGCTCTTCCCATTGACATCCGCACCCTTGGCAAGTATGCCGCCAAATGCCATGCCTTTGCCAAAGCTCTTCACTACAAGGAACTCGAGTTCGAGCAAGACCAGAATTCGGGTGCTGTTGAAGCCTTGATTACTATCAACAACCAGCTTCAACAATCTGACGCCGCCATCGGTATCCTCCGCAAGGCACAGGCATACCGCGACGTGGAGCTTAAGGAAACATGGTTCGAGAAGCTCCAGCGTTGGGACGAAGCACTTGCTGCTTACAAACGACGTGAGAGAACCGATCCAGATTCCTTTGGCATTACAATGGGCAAGATGCGGTGTCTGCATGCCCTTGGCGAGTGGAAGGTTCTTTCGGATCTTGCACAGGAGAAATGGAACCAAGCGTCCCTGGATCATCGCCGAGCCATTGCCCCTCTTGCAGCCGCGGCGGCTTGGGGTCGAGGCCAGTGGGAGTTGATGGATTCTTACCTTGGTGTTATGAAGGAACAGTCCCCAGACCGCTCCTTCTTCGGTGCCATTCTGGCTATTCACCGCAACCAATTCGATGAAGCAAACATGTATATTGAGAAGGCACGCAATGGGCTCGACACTGAGCTGTCGGCTCTTCTTGGGGAGTCGTACAATCGTGCCTATAATGTCGTTGTCCGTGTCCAGATGCTGGCGGAACTCGAGGAGATCATCACCTACAAGCAGAATGTCGGCGACCCCGAAAAGCAGGAGGCCATGCGTCAAACTTGGAATCAACGATTGCTCGGATGCCAGCAGAACGTTGAAGTGTGGCAGCGCATGCTCAAGGTCCGGGCCCTTGTGACTGCTCCGCGGGAGAACCTGGATATGTCAATCAAATTTGCCAATCTCTGTCGCAAGTCCAACCGTATGGGTCTCGCGGAACGATCTCTCGCATCGCTGGAAACGGTGGTTGTTGACAGTAATGGTACACGTACCATTGCACCTCCCGAAGTCACATACGCTCGGTTGAAGTTCAGTTGGTCAAGTGGACACCAGCAGGATGCCCTCGAGATGCTGAAAGATTTCACATCTGGGCTGACCGACGACTTTTCCCGGTTCAATACTCTCATGGTATCACATGCAGATCACCATGGAATCAACGGCGTCAACGGCATTGCAGACCCGACCCACCCAGATGCAATCAGTCTCCGTGAGCGCATCGGCGATGCTGGAAAATTCAGAAAGCTTCTTTCGAAGAGTTACCTCAGACAGGGCCAGTGGCAGACAGCTCTCCAGAGAGGAGACTGGAGGCCTGAACATGTTCGCGATGTCCTGAGTGCATACTCAGCGGCTACCCAGTACAACCGGGACTCATATAAGGCGTGGCATGCGTGGGCGCTCGCAAACTTCGAGGTTGTCACGACCATTGCCAGCCAAGCAAGCCGCGAAACCCCCTCCGTGCCTGTTCCCGCACATATCGTGACAGAGCATGTCATTCCTGCCATCCGTGGATTCCTTCGATCTATTTCCTTGTCCTCAACATCCTCACTGCAAGATATCCTGAGATTGCTTACTCTTTGGTTTACCTACGGCGGCGATCATGAAGTCAACACAGTCGTCACAGAAGGATTCACGGCGGTGAACATCGATACTTGGCTTGCCGTCACTCCACAGTTGATTGCTCGAATCAACCAACCCAATATCAGGGTCCGGGGTGCCGTCCACAGGCTGCTTGCCGAGGTTGGCAGAACACACCCGCAAGCCCTGGTGTATCCGTTGACCGTGGCTATGAAATCGAACGTGGCCCGACGTTCTCAGTCTGCCAGCAACATAATGGAGAGCATGCGGCAGCATAGCGCCAAACTAGTCGAGCAGGCGGATCTTGTGAGTCATGAATTGATCCGGGTCGCGGTACTGTGGCATGAGCTTTGGCATGAAGGTCTTGAGGAGGCGTCTCGCCTCTACTTTGGTGATCACAATGTCGAGGGCATGTTTGCAACCCTTGCACCACTTCATGAGATGCTGGACAAGGGCGCCGAGACACTTCGTGAGGTATCGTTCGCACAGGCTTTCGGGCGCGATCTCGCCGAGGCTAAACACTACTGTGTGTTGTATCGCCGAACCGAAGAAATCGGCGATCTGAACCAAGCGTGGGATCTTTATTATACTGTCTTCCGCAAGATCAGCCGGCAGCTGCCGCAGCTGTCGATTCTCGATCTCAAATATGTCTCGCCCCGATTGAAGGATTGCTCAGACCTCGACCTTGCTGTTCCCGGAACATACCAAAGCGGCAGACCTGTTATCCGGATTATGAGCTTCGACCCGATCCTGCACGTTTTCCAGACCAAGAAACGACCGCGACGAATGACTCTCACGGGCAGCAACGGAAGCTCCTACATGTATGTTCTCAAAGGCCACGAAGATATCCGACAAGACGAGCGTGTCATGCAACTCTTTGGCCTGGTCAACACTCTCCTTGATAATGACAGCGAGAGCTTTAAACGCCATCTCTCGGTCCAGCGCTTCCCTGCCATTCCCTTGTCTCAGAGCTCCGGTCTCTTGGGTTGGGTGTCCAACAGTGATACTTTGCACGCTTTGATCAAGGAGTACCGTGAAAGCCGCCGGATCTTGCTCAATATTGAACACCGGATCATGCTGCAGATGGCACCTGACTACGACAGCCTCACTCTTATGCAGAAGGTTGAAGTCTTTGGCTATGCTATGGACAACACTACCGGCAAAGATCTGTATCGGGTGTTGTGGCTCAAGAGCAAGAGCTCCGAGGCCTGGCTTGAGCGTCGCACGAACTACACGCGGTCTCTTGGAGTCATGTCCATGGTCGGCTATATTCTTGGGTTGGGTGATCGGCACCCTTCGAATCTGCTGCTCGATCGCATGACCGGCCGTGTCGTTCATATTGATTTCGGTGACTGCTTTGAGGTGGCGATGCACCGCGAGAAGTACCCCGAGCGGGTGCCCTTCCGACTGACGCGCATGTTGACCTTTGCTATGGAGGTCAGCAACATCGAGGGGAGTTACCGCATTACTTGCGAGGCAGTGATGCGGGTACTGAGAGAGAACAAAGACTCGTTGATGGCTGTGTTGGAGGCCGTAAGTGATGATCTTCCCGATCTGTATGACTTGAAACAACTGACCCCTCCGTTCTAGTTTATCCATGATCCTTTGATCAACTGGCGTCTTGGCGCACAAGAGTCGCCCGATCGCGAGTCTCTTACCTCCGAGCGGCGCCAGTCGATCATCGAAGGCATCCCCATCGAGAACAATAATCTGCAGCCAAGCAACTTCTCTCGCCACCGCCGACCCTCCATCCTCGAGGGCGGTATTCTCGATGCTCAAGAAGGCGTCCCGAACGAGGCTCGCGAGGCACAAAATGCCCGCGCTTTGCAGGTGCTCGCCCGCGTTAAGGAGAAGTTGACTGGTCGCGACTTCCGACACTACGAAGAACTCAACATCTGTGACCAAGTCGACAAGCTTCTTGCGCAAGCCACGAATGTCGAAAACATCTGTCAACACTGGATCGGATGGTGTAGTTTCTGGTGATCGGTTGCATGGTTTTTTTTTTGTTTGCTGGGCTCGGGCCTGTTTTCATGCTGGAGTTAGCTGGAGTGGGTTACGATGGGACATGAATTTCTTTTCATTTTCATTTTTTTTCCATTTTTTTTATCCATCTTGTATGTAGAATCCACTGGTGATTGCCTACGATCTTGCCATTTTTGGTTGCTTGTTATTACTATGCTTACGCCCTTCTGATAGTGGCTTCTTTGTTGACTTTATATGCTCCGTGGAGTCGAGGAACAATGCTCGTCCACTTGATTTGCGTTTTGGTCCTCTCCCTATGGGATTTTGGCGAGTCAACTCAACATGGCTATTATCCAATCGGTACAACCGGAGTATAGACCCACCCGTCGCCGCCTGTTTAACAACCTTGCCTCCATCGGCCATAGCCATACAATGATCGAATTATGGAACTAACGAGCCATAATATTCGGGATTTCCTATAGATAGAAAAGCTCACCCAGCCCAATAACCAGGCCCCCATGTGGCGCGCCACCATCACCACAAACCCCCACACTGTCTCAGACCTACAAATCATACAATGATCCGAATTACTCTAAAGCAAAACTCCCACGTGTTGGGGAAATCCTTCAGGATCTTCCCATCTTCCCATCTCTCTCACGCCTTACAATTTCCCTGTTTGAGCCGACACGAACACCACTTGTAACCACATGGAGTCTGCCAATCGGATATTTCGCCCCCAAGCGATCTGTTCCATCCCCACTCGGCCGTGAGCTCTTCCCAAGACCTTCTGTTGCCCACCCGTCAGCACCAACGGCTATGCATACCCAGCCAAAAACAAAAAAAAAGAAAGAAAGAAAATGGGGCCAAAGGAGGAGAGAGGGGACTTGCGCGGTCTTAGATCCTTATCACCCATGCGTGGCCCCATTTGCTTCCCTCTTTGGGGGCGACCCCCCGGTTCCCTTGGGATGATGAGAATCCTTCTCAACTGACTTGGGTAGGGCTCCCGAGAGTATATCACCGTGCGCACCCCGGGCCCTCTTTCTTTCTAGTTGCTTTTGCCCTCTTTCTTTCTTTCTTGGCCCTTTTTTTCACCTGTCCAATATCAATCTCATTTCCACGGCGTTCAGGTTCAGGTTCAGGTTCTGCTCTGCTCCATGAGCTATGGATATCTCCCTCGTCCTGGGGCCGCCTCCGCCGGGGACCGACCTCAGTGATAATCGTACCCCGAAGGATAATGCCGTGGTCATTACCGTCTCTGTTCTGGCTATCATTATAGTGGCTCTCCGCTTCTTTGTCCGAGCCAGAATCCAAAGGTCGAGGCTGGAAATCGATGACTGGCTGATTTCAGCTACTTTGGTTGGTCTTTTCCTCTTCTTTCTACTTTTGAGTCTCAACTGGCTGGGGTGAGTGCTAATGATTGCAACTATAGATTCCACTCATCGCACTACTGATAATGGCTCTGATTGGTAAATATTGCTGCTATTTCGACTCGAGACACTACCAAAAGCTTATATTTCTTTTTCTCGTTATTAGGAGGCGAATACGGTCTAGGAAAGCATGTCTGGCGTGCATCTATACAGGGCATGGTCAAGATGAAAAAGGTAGGAGACCCTCGAGAGTGTGAAAGAGAAAGAAAGAGAATCTTTGATTCTAATGATCTGAGCAGATCCTCTTCGCCTATCTGTTAGTATACCTTCTCGAACTGTTCATGATCAAGATCTCGATCCTGATGTTCTACCGCCGCATTTTCGGGATGAACTGGATGACATGGGCTTGTCTCTTTTGTGCCTGCGGCTGGATGATCGGGAGCACAATAGCCGTCCTGACTGCTTGTCAGCCCATCGCATACTTCTGGACATCCACCGTGAATCCCTACAGCGGACATGAACGCTACAACTTCTACTACTATTATATTGGAAACGGAGCCGCCAACGTTGTCACCGATTTCCTGATTCTGCTGGTACCTCTGCCGATTGTGTGGAGGCTTCATATGCGGACTATCCAGAAGGTCATGGTGTGCAGTGTATTCCTGCTTGGTGGATTGTACGTGCTGAGACAAAACCCCTTACCCCTACTACTTATACTAACCCTTTTTTTTTTTTTTGTTAAAGTGTCTGCGTCGCCAGCATCGTCCGTCTCCACTTCCTAACCTTCCTGGACGACGACGTCGACATCACCTGGAACATGGGCAACGTCTACGTATGGTCGACCGTCGAAGCGTGTCTCGGCATCGTTTGCGCCTGTCTCCCAACTATCCAACCATTCCTGCGCTCCGTCCTCAGAATGTTGCCCGGCCTGACAATGGGGCAGCCTCTTGTTTGTTCACGAAAGGTCATCTCGCATTCTCGCCGCCGACCTCGTGCCGGCAAGCGCGCCAGCAATGACCATGGACTGCAGACGATGGGGGGCCGCAGTGACTCGAAGCCGAATATGTGGGATGGCGAAGACGACGAGGCTATTCTCACTACCCGCGTAGAGCCGGATCACTTCCACAGAAATAAAGGTCTGGAAGATGAATTTGGCTTGATGTCTATTAGAGTCAAGCATGATTTCCATTGGACTGTGGATCCATTGAAATGATTCCCGTTTTTTTTTTAATGACTTTGTGCCGAAGAAATATAATATGTGTGCCATGTCTCATGAGTATAGTGACAAGACCTGCAGCTTTGCTCTTTCCTCTACAAATCAAGAGATTATAGACTCTATAGCAGAGTACCAAAAAAAAAAGCATGATAAAGTAATTAATGTACGTGCCGATTGTGGATGAACTACTATATATAATCTGTGAGCCTACTGGCGCCCACGGAAAATAAAGTTGAAATTAAAATCAGAATTCAAGGGAACCAAAAGATAGAATATAAAATTAAACACCTGCAAGTTTTCATCCACCAAGCCAAGTGCAGCGATTGAATGTATAGTCGTTCACCCAAGGGCAAGTTGTGGCCAACAAGGGATTCCTTCGATCGCAGTCACACCACAGCGGAATTCCACTTCCTCCAGTTTTCGCCAACCTCCATTTCTGTCCAGATGACTACTATGATGAGTTGCCATTCTGAAGATCTATCCCTCAATCGCCACAATTAACCCTACTTCCATGGATACGGCCTCACTGGACTCCGGTGGACGCCAACCACACCAAAGCCGGCAAAGAGTCAAAAGAGCATGCGAGACCTGCAAGGTCCGCAAGCGCAAATGCGACGGCCGCGAGCCTTGTGGATTCTGTCTTCGCTATGAATATGGCTGTAGCTATGGGACTCATGCCCGAAGAAAGGCAACTGTCTCCAAGTCCCCGCGACCGGCATCCACGACGGAAGCCATCCATCACGCAGACGCAGACACAGACGCTAACTTGACGGAACGCCCTACCCGGGCGGAGAGCCTTAGTCAACAGCGCATTGAAGCAAGTTCGGGGACGGCCTTCCCTCAAGTACTAGGGCTGGAATTGAGTCAAGACGATGCCCCGAGAGTCTACGGCGTGAGCTGGAATCTCGGGCCTCGCAAGGAGCTGGCTCCATCTGTGACTAGGATTACAGCTCTGCTTTCCATTGATGAGATGGAATCTTTTGCTGAAATCTACTTGGCGCACATCCATCCGATTTATGCCATTTTGGACGCGGATGTTTTAAAACATGAAATTGCGACGCGATGGGAGAATCCTCATGTCACTGACGACTATGACCCGATATTATATGGCGCTGCAGCTCTTGGGTCGCTGTATTGCGGCCATGACGGCCATGTGCGAGAAGGAGAACTGGTTCAATGTGCAAGGAACTTGCTCGAAGCCACCAGTATCATGAGAAAGCCATCGCTACATCATGCAATTGCTTGGGTACTACGGACTCTGTATCTCCGAAGCACCAACAGTGCGCATGCGGCGTGGATGGCCAGCTGCATAACGATCCATGTCATTGAAGCGACTGGCGCTCACCGGGACTCGGGATTGGAAGCTCTACTTGACCCGGAGACCACGTTTTCCAAACGGGATGAGGAGACCCGGCGTCGACTGATCTGGGTTGCCATTACGCTCAACGCCTGGATCTCTTTTGAATATGGGCGGCCGCGCGTGTTGATGAATGGGGTCGCGTGCAATACACCGTCACCCCGGGATGGCGATTTCACTGTGGATCTGATTCGGATGTATCAGATATCAGAGAAACTGGACCCAAACCATGTGAATAACCCAGTTGATCTCCAAGAGAGTCTGAGCCAAATACAACTTCTGGTCGTGGGCCACGATGTCTTGGCCCTTTCCCGCACCAACCTGGCTTTCGCCATCTACCGACGTCTACGAGTCGCGTCATCCGCGATTCCAAACGATGTTCTGACCCGCGTCATCGAGCTGGGAAATCTGGGACTCGACGCTGCCGTGAGATTGGCCGAGGCTCGCCGGCCCTGGTGGCATGTCGCCAACGTGCCCTTCCAGTTCGTGTGTACCCTGCTGGCCATGGATACGCGAGAGTCTCTCTTGAATGTAGGCCATGCACTGCGGGCATTCAAGACTATTGCTCAGTATTTCCGCACCCGGAATATTCAACATGCGCTGGAAACGGCCGAGTTTCTGGTTCGTCTCTCGCAGCACAAAAAGAAAGGCGACCTGGACGCCCTCAATGGAGGGCTGCAAGAAGTGGAGTTTTCCGAGCCAACTCAGAATATCGCGATGATCGACATAATGAATGTCTGGGGTGATCTTGACTGGGATGCTTTCTTGAATGCCGATATGCCGCTGTTTGACGAAACCCAGAGCCAGCGATGAGAGCCACACCGCTGCAACACAACTATGATGCAAGAATCCACCCTCTCAAATCCTCCTTCTTTGTTCATGAAGGAATTAGTCTTATTTCCTTTCCATCTGGACCTCGCGTGGGTGCCATGATTCGATCAGGCGGGTATGGTGGAAAAGGTGGATCGAGCGGAACATTGGGCGGATGCCATCCACCACGATGGCTTGATGGTATATATTCTATAAAGAAATCCGCCGATGTGAGGAGTAAATTGACACACCACGTTTTCCCTCGTTCTATTCGGAAACTTCTTGCTCAGAGCAATATGCAGAGCTTCCTCCAATATCGCCAGCTCCGTCGGGACCTGGAACGAACCATTCACCCCGGTGATCTTCATACTACAGCAGAGAATGTGGGCCCAGAACCGAATGATAGAGTCATAAGTCATCTCGATGATGGGAAACACGAGAAGCCGATTGTGCTGCATACGGGCCAAAGTGTGGTGATACCAGGCGTTAGTGTCCGACAAGTGCCCAGCATCTCCGACAAACCCGTCTTCATCGTCGGCTTCGAAGGGCCTGATGATCAATTCAACCCGCGAAATTGGTCCTTGGGACACAAATGGAAGACTCTGGCAATCGTGGGAACCACGGGTTTTCTGGTGGGATGGGTGTCTGCCATCGACTCGGCCGTAATCAAGCAAGGCCAAGAAGCATTTGGGGTCAGCAAGGTTGCTGAATCTCTCGCCACGAGCCTCTACCTCATCGCATTTGGCTTTGGATCTCTCATTGCTGGCCCATTCTCCGAGACTGTTGGTCGGAATCCCGTCTATCTGGTGACCCTGTCACTGCTCATGGTCTTCATAATGGCATCCGGCCTAGCACCGAACTTCGGCGCCCAGCTAGCCTTTCGATTTGTCGCGGGCTTGTTCGGTTGCACACCATTGACGACCTTTGGCGGTAGTATGGCAGATATCTTTGACCTGCTCGACCGCACCTATGCGTTTCCCGTATGCTGCACACTGTCATTCATTGGCCCGTTTCTTTCACCCATGATCGGTGCCTTTATCGGCCAAAGCACTGCCATCAGCTGGCGCTGGTCGGAATGGGCCTCCCTGATTCTGGCCGGGTTAATCACCATGGCCATTTTTTTCTTCGTGCCCGAAACCTACGCGCCGGTACTTCTGCAATGGAAAGCCCGCCATCTGCGAGCCATCACCGGCGATCAACGCTTCCTGGCCGAAGCAGAGCTGCACCAAACCAAGCTACACACCCAACTCCTGTCAAGCTGCGTGCGACCCTTCCAGCTATTCTTCGGCGAGCTCATGGTGGCTCTGTTCACTCTGTATCTGGTGGTAGTATACATCGTCCTATTCGGGTTCCTCACAGGCTACGACTTCATCTTCGGCGAGACGTACGGCTTCTCTCAGGGATCCGTAGGTCTCACCTTTATCGGCATGAACATCGGGTTCCTAATCGCCTTCGCCCTCATCCCACACATCTACACAGCCTACAGGCGACGTCTGAAGACTGCGCTCACCACCGGCGACGACGACGGTCACCCGCCCGCCGAAGAGCGGCTGTGGTTCGCCATGTACGCGGCGCCGTGGTTCCCAATCTCGCTGCTCTGGATGGGCTGGACCTGCTACCCCGGCGTGTCGTATTGGTCGCCGCTGATCGGGTCCGTGGCGTTTGGGTTCTCGGTCCAGGGCATTTTCATTTCGAGCTATGCGTATCTGATTGACACATATGAGCGCTTTGCTGCTAGTGCCCTGGTCAGCGCGACTTTCATGCGCTATATCGCTGCCGGCGCGATGGTGGTCGTTTCGATTCCCATGTATACGGATCTCGGCGTGCATTGGTCCTTGACGCTGTTGGGGTTTTTGGCACTGCTGATGACGCCGGTACCGTATGTCTTTTATAAGTTTGGACATGTGTTTCGAGCGCGCAGTAAGGCTGTTGCGGCGAGATAGTGGAGGGCCGGTACTTCTATGGCGGGTGGGAAGAGATCTATGTAATTTATTTACCTGGATAGCTTAGCTACATAGGCCGACGTGCAAAACTGGTTATTAGCTGGTAGGCGTTGTGTCTCTCTTTACTTTGAATTGAGAAATGAGATATACGACTACATAGAATGGTTTTTGGGTAGAAACTGGAAATTCCTGGCGAGGGAATGTGTATAAAAGTGCCCCGTTGTGGGCCGATGCTCGAAGGATGTGTGTTCTAGATTTTTCCTGGAGTCCACGGCATGTTTGGCATAGATTAAAAGCCCATTGCAGGATCTACTACCCGTGGACCTGTAAATACATCCTACCAGAAAACACTTCAGATCCTTCACAGATGGGCAAGTAGTTTTCAACAAAAGAGTCCACCAACAGCCCATTTATAATACACACCCCAAGCAATTTCAACCGTTAAACAACGGCCCCAGACAATCGGGCATTCTCCAGGGGGAGAGAGAGAGGGGCGATACCCGAGACGAACGGGAGGTAATCGGGGTCCCCCAGCCTAACTTCTGACAACCCTGGCCAATTTCCCACTGCTGAAACAACGGCTCCGACAGACATGTCCATTCAGCAGAAGGGCTTCGACGAACACCGCCCCAGGGATCGTTCCAGGGCGATTTCACCAAACCGTGGTCTTGACCAGGTCAAAGACTGGGGAACATACGCCCGAAAGCAATTGGCGCTGCTGATCGATCGGGTCCGGAATTCCGAGTCGATCGGAGGCTGAGGCTTGATCATACTGAATACATAAGTATACATACGTATGTATATAATAGACACAGGCACTTTTCGCTCTCTCCCTGAATTGATGCATGAAGGGTTAGTGTAGGAGATTCTTGCCAGACCACCATGTCTAATCCCGAGCACCTGGATTGAAGTCGGAAATTAATCAGGGCCTCAAAGTCGAGCTCTCATTTTCTTTTTTTTCAGTCTCAAGGCTCCTGTGGATCAAAAGTACCGTTACCGATGGATCCATACCGGCATTCTTCACCAACGTCGCCTAACGGACTTGTATATGAGTTGTCTTTTGATAGAATTATAGTAAATGTATGTGCATATTTAGAGTAGACTGGGCTAAGATTATTGAGACAAATAGCTTAGCCTATATATTTTCTATAGAAATAAGTGGAAGATACTCAAAGTATTCTCACGCCTGGAGACACTATGAGTCCCATCGGGACTAGTCAGGGGCACTACTCGGTATACGAACACAAACCCTCCAACCACTTGCCCTCCTCTGGTCCCCACTCGGTTTTAATTATGCCTTTGATTATTATTTTTTTTTCTGACTAGCATTCATTACCGACGGGGAGGGCGCTTCGTAGCTTTCTTTTTCGGTGTAAAAAAAAAAGCTTTTGTCCACTGGAACTTGGTCCTACAACGGCTGTCATCAGCCCCTAAACGCGACTTGGACCATGCTAAATGAAAGGCCCCGTTTTTCGCAAGGTTTGGCTTTTTCGGGGACGTGGATTTCCTGGTGTTTATCTTACTAATTTTTTTTTCCATTTGAATTTTCTTAGCTTTTCCCTCGGGCTCTGTCGGGTCCATTGTTCCCTTTGATTATGATTTCATAGATCCACAGTGAGAAGGATCTGGCGATGATTTTTTCGCTTGTACTACATTTGAGGCGGAACTACCACGAAAACTAATTGCTGCCATTTATGTATTCTGTGTATACAGATTGTCCATGTACTGTAGGTATGGCTTGAACACAGGATTATTATTAATATAGACAGGTGGACAGGTGGACTCTGGGTCGCGCCGTGTGGGATCCACGAAAACAAAAGGAACCATGGAAAGGAAATTAAGAGGCACATACAGTACGTAGAGTCGAGCAAGTTGTGCCCTCTGCACACCATTTGCATGTCACCGGCCTGCACGACGCAGGAGGTGCTGCATCATCGGAGAATAATTGCAGACAGGCCTCGATCTAACGCAGCTGAGCAAATGATCGATGCTGTACCCCGGGTTCAGCAAGGGATACAATATCGTACATAGTAATAATAACAATATTATCATAATATAATATACATACATGGATGCTGTAGTATAGTTAACTAGTATGTAATGATGATTCATGAATTCAGGCCAAGACCCTGTATTTGGGTTTTCCCGTGTCCAGACCCCCGGAGCCGCTAGTGATTTCTTTGATTTTTCTTTTGCTATTCTCGTACGGTTGATACTGTTGATACTTTCGATACACTCAATTGCAATGACTTATGGATATAGGTATATATACTATGTCTATAGAATAGAATAAGATAGATCACAAACATAATTCCAGTCTTAAACACTGCTATGTTTCATCCCTACCAGTGGCGCTCAGCCTTCAGCCCCAGAGATCCACATGCCAAACCACACGCGAGCTGAATTCCATGTTTACCGTACCTGACGCCTGCAAGGGATGGACACCTTGAATACGTTGGAAAATACTCAAATAGAATCAAGAGTAGAAGAGAATAGTAAAGAATAAGTCAAAAGTGGAAAATAACAAAGTAAGAGAATAATAAATAATAGAAATAGTATGATTGACGTAAAGAACCTGAAGATCGAACGGTGGGCATGTTGGATCCTTTTTTTTTTTTTTTTTCTTCCTTCGATACCATTCCCAATCCCTCTTTTCGATTGATCATCGCATTCTTCGAGTGTCATCTTTTCCTTCTTTTCGACTCTCTGATCCCTCTCTTGCATTTTGCATTTTGCATCTGTGTGATCCAAACTACACATCTACCTACGTATCATTGGTGCTCGCCCCGGATCGGCCGACCATCTGTACACGGTACGCGAAGTGGAGGGAACCGCGGGTTTCGGTTGTCCTCGACGCGACATCCAGGAGTCCCCTCTTGCTTCCTCCCCAGCCTGTGTTTTGCGCTGCTAGGTCATGCCGCTCCTTTGTTTGTTCTCTGGATAAGAATATCCCGTAAGTGTGTCGGAGGACAAGTGTCGACGGGGGGTGTGAGGCTAACAGCAGGCTGTCAAGTTTCTCTCGCTTTCGGCGTCACCAATCTGTCTCTCGTTCCATTCGATTGTGGCGTCTCCTCGACGATAACCGCTCCGTTCTTTTTCTTTTTCTTTTTTTTTTTTTTTTTCGTACCGATTGCGACCCGGAGAATTGTCACCCTAGCCCCTCACAATGAATCGCTTCCGCAAGAACAAGAAGGTCAAGGAGACCTTGGACGACCTGGAAAGTGGCCCGCCGACCTTGAGTTTTAGGTCCAAGAAAAAAGAACAGCCGCAGCCGAAACCTGAATTGGACCTATCCGGCGCGCTTCCCTCGACAGACGACTTTCGGACTAGCCTGCTCATGCCCAAGCTGTCTGCTCGGTTCAGTATGCTAAGAGAACAGGACGACCCGGACTCCAAACTCGGCAAGGCGAGCGATGACAGTGTCCTCTTTCCCAAACGCGCCTCACGACTCAACCTGTTCGGTCACAACCCCAGCGTGTTGGCAGATATCGATGAAGTGTCCTCGAACGACGGCAGCCGACCCTCGATCGCATTGGGCCGCGCCGATTCCTATGCGTCCGGCGGGGAGGGATATGGCACCGACGATGACCGATCCCCCAACGATAGCATTATGAGCCGAGCGCGTCGCGCCGAGGGCAACAACTTGTTCGGTGGTCGTCAGAAAGTGTATAAGATCCCCGTTCGATCCCCAGGGACATCGCCTCATCCGACCGAAAATAGCCGTCGGGGAATCAAGGCAGTGTATGAGAACGATGTAAAACTGTCCGCTTTCCAGCGATTGAGACTCAAGGAAAAGGAGGAGAGGGCTGCGGAGGACGCCTTGCGCGAGGGGGCCCGCTCGGGAATCGGAAGATGCCACTTCGTCTGTCTCGTCCACGAACCGCACCACCTATTCCTCGACTGCATCGGGCCCTGCGACCGATGCCCGCACTTCGACTGCTGCTACCTCCATCGATGAAACGCAAGCTAATGCACCCCATGCGGAATCCCCTTCGAACCCAACCCCCGAGCCCCAAGCCGAGGCTTCCAAGCCACTCACTCCCGCGGTTAACTCGAAGCAAGGGTCCGTTCGGTCCCGCCGCCTCTACAATCAAGGATTGAACCAAGCTGTTCAAAACCAGCAGTCCTCGACTTTACACCGGTTGGAGAGTCTGGGTCGTCAGCGCGCTGGGACACCGGATCTCCCTCCTTTGAACCGGAATTATTCCAGGAGCGCAACCAACCTGCGTGACCGGTTACAAAAGCTTGCCATTGCCGAGCCAGCATCTACATCTCGTCCCACTAGCCCTCCCTCGTCTTCGACCTCACCAAAGCAGCGAACATTTGTGGGGTTGACCAAGGAAAAGAACTCTCCCACGGCTGCGACTTTCGGATCTGTGCCTCCAATTAGCCCCCCTTCAAGTGAAACTGGCGATAGTACCTCATTGCTGGCGGCCGCGCTGAACCCGGAAGACTATGGCAAGGCGACAGCCATGGGCCTGTTCAACAGGCCTGCCACGGGATTCGATGAACAGCAATTCTCTCGGCGCCAGCAACAAATGCAGCAGCAAATGCAGCAACAGATGTTACAAGGACGAAAGACGCCCCCATTGCGCCGGTCCTCGCCTCCGCGGCGTGCACTGCCACCGGATCCCCCGAACCGCCCCAGGGGCTTCTCCAAGTCCAGTGTCCGGTCCCGAGCAGAGTCGGCTTCATCGCACTACAGCAGTGATGTGCAGCGCGGAGTTGACCATTCTCGGGCGTCCAGCGTCGAGGCCTCTCCCGGAAGACCTGGAGTAAGTGCCTTGTATGCCAACTCCACCGCAAGCGACTCGGGGGATGAGGGTGACGAGACAAACTCCCGTCATGTCTCGTCTGCGACATCTCTAGCCACGGAGTATGGCCAAACGCTTCACCATTCCGGTGTGGGGTCCAAGTCACCCACTTCCACTGGAGACCATCTTGAAACTCTCCCGGAAGTGCGATACTCAGACCTCGGTGATCTCAAGCCTATTGAGGAGAACGAAGGCGCAGATGGCAATGCTCCTGTGACCGAGAACGGCGGACCCGATCAACAAAGGCCAGACTCGTCCGTTTTGCAGGCGCCTGCTCCGGAGCTTAGTGGGATGGTTCGGTCTCAACTGCGTCGCATCAGTGACCGATCCGTGCCCCCTCTTTCCCCACGCTTCCCAGTGCCTCGGGAGGATTCGCCCTGGGACACCTTGAATCCACAAGCATCACAACAAACTACTGGTAATCAAGTTGCTGAAGAGTCACGCGACGGGGCCGTGTCGCCTCCCGCTGTGGCGCCCAGCTCCAGACCTTCCCCGGAGACTGCTCGTGTCAGTGGAGACTCGTCTGACGCCCCCGTTTCGCCTGTTTCACCCATGTCTAGCTCGACCCTGAACGGCACGTCGTGGAAGGATGAGCTCTCTCTCCACCGACGCGACGCAAGCACCGAGACACAGAAGGAGCGCGAAGACTTTGCCACTGAACTGGCGGAGAGGCGGAGAAAGGTGCAGGAGAAACTGAAAAACGTCGCAGAGACTGAAAGCCGGTCAAGCAGTCCCATTTCTGGCCGACAGACACCGGAGCCATCTCACATTAAGACCGGGAACGCGTTTGCTCTCCTGAAACAGAAGTCCAGCAAACCGAACCCCTTGCGACAAGACCAAAGCCCAAAGATGTTTGGTGCTAGCAATGGCTCCACTCCTCTCCTGTCGGATGAGTCGTGGCGTGAGGAGGAACGGCCCCCTTTCAGCTTTGGCAGATATTCCAACTCCAGCTCTCCACATGTTGGATCGGAGCGATCATTCCGATCTCGTGTGCCTACCACCAGTCGCGGGAGCCACGAGGAATCGAGTGAGTCGAGTCGCAGCCGTGGGCCTTCTCCCCAGCCACCATTCCGTTCCCAGCGAGACCGCTCCGCCTCGGATGCATCTGGTCGGTCCAAGAGCCGGCCCAGATACCCCCAACGAGACGATCTTGGAACCGTGCAAGAAGGAGCCGTCATCGACCACGAAAACTTCGTTGCGCCGGACAACTTCGAACACCCGGCCCCTGCCTCCGTTCCTGTTTCAACTCGTCCATCAATGGAGGAGCCTGCCGGATATGACCGATCCCCGTCCGCGGCTTCTGGCCGGTACCGCAGTGCCAGCAGGTCCGGCACCCCGAGCTTCCAGTACGAGCGGTCTTTCCAGCTTCCCCAACAGTCCAACCAGCCGGCAATTATTGGGGCTGCCCCACGGCCCTCGCCCGCCGCTCCTCCCTACTCTGCCAACGCGACTCCCCCACTGCATGAGATGTCTCCCAACCAATCTGGATCTGCATCCCCTAGTTCAGCCGCTGGCGGCGCCCATACTCTTCCTCAACGTGCCCCCGGGCACGCCATGCTCCAGAAGCGTTCGGTGAGCAAGAAGCAGATCTCCGAGCCCACCTTTGTATCCTGCACTTCCAACGTACCCACTATTGGACTTCCCTCGGGTGCGCCCCCTTCTCAAGCCGGTGCACCCCCTCCCTTGCCTCCCATGAACCCGCGCCGCCGTCGCGGGACCACCACCCAGACCATCCTGGGTGCTTTCAAAGGCGACAGACATGACTCGCACCGCGTCGCCTCCCCGGCACAGAATGCCGCCGAGGAACACAGTGTTTTCCCGGACGATGAGAAGCGACCTCGTTCTCGCAATCGTCTCCGCAAGACCTCGAGCGAGGGCGGCAGCCTGAACGCGCGGGCGCGCCAGGAGGCCATGGCTGACCCTGTCCCAGCTGTCCCTCAATACCCTCCCCCTGCCGTCCCGGTTGATGGCGGCATGTTTTGATCTTGAATTTTGGATACTATCTTTTGTTTTCTCTTTGTCCTGTCATCTTGTTTTGACTTATCCATTCCCTTGTTTCGGCCTTTTCATGACCGGTTCCTTTTCCTTTCTCTTTCCCCCCCCCCCCTCTCCTTTTTGACATCCTTTTTTCTTTGTTGATGACCATATACCACCTGGTGCATTTTGTGAGCGTCTGTCTACTTCCGGTCCCTTTACTTTTTCTTTTTCTTTTCCTCATATTCCCAGTAAAGGTGTGACCAGGTGTATTTTGAGTTCAAACAGATCAATGTAACTTGTGTCTATCAAATATCTTATTGGATTTATTTAAGGGCAGAATACAGCTGCAGAGGGACTATTTATATTTTTTGACATCCTGCTATTATAGAGAATAATTGCTGTGGGCAGTAGCCCTATAGTAATAATTCAAGGCAGCAATCCTTGTCACGCGATCTACCCTCGTTTCAAAATTGATGTTTACTATGTGAGATGGCACGTGACATCCAAGCCCTCATCCCTAACTCCGACGTCAGTACTTTAAAGTCCGTACTCTAGAGCCTAACCACTTCATTTTGATATGGAAATAAAGCATGAAATAAATCAATGCTCAAACTTGATCCTAAAATTCTAAATAACTGAGTTTTATATAGACAGATGAGAACTTGCGGATCCTGGATCACACAAGATCTCGCCTGTGTCAGTGATGGGACAGTAGTCGGCTTTGCTGGACATTTCACCAATCCTTAGGAATTTCATATCGGGATGAATAGCTTCGATAGTTTATTTAATGGATTTCTTTTTGAAATCTCTTTAGCAGCCCCCCTCTACCCATTTGCATACCGTTCTTCCTCTTTCTACTACCCTGTCTTGCCTTATTCCTCTCCTATTCATTATCATCTTCATCGTTGTGATCGCATCTGATATTCCCGTCGACTATTATTTCTTATATTGCTATCTTCATCATTAGCATTACCACCTCTCCTTGCTTTACTGCCTAACCCCAACCACAAAGTGAAGCGGACCGGACCTTTCTCTTCTTAACTCCCTCTGCCTCTTTGTCCTCATCTTCATTCTTCAGAACTTCCAAGTGACCAAAGCACACCTCCGTTGACCCCTTTCTTTACTCTCTTATTGCAATTAACAAATATCCTTCAAGTGAGAACTTTGAGAGTTGACGAGATGCCGCCTACCAAGCAAGGCAAGAAAAAGCCTTGGAAGAAGAGGTGGACAAAGAAGACCAAGGCTGCACAGAAAGACGGACAGGCCACCAAGCAGCCCCCTCGGCTGAATATCAAGCAGGAAGATGGCCCTGATGGTATGCCATCACAGGTAAGCAACACACCCTAATTGGAACACAGATTATAGAAAGCTTGGCGGCGGCGGTGGTATCTAACATTTGCTTCTCAGCAGCAGCAGAGTCCTTCACACAAACAGCAGCTGTTCCGGCCATATTTTGCATCAGAGAATATGGGACTCTCGAACTCCGCTCCCGTGTCCGGTAATGCCTTCAGCTTACCCGACAAAAGCTACACCGCAGCCTGCTCCGAGATGGCTTATGGCATCACCCCGACCAATCTTTCTCGTGGCAATGCCACAGACGCACATGACCTCCCAGCCCAAGCCCTGGATGTGCAGAGCTGCGCAGGAAGTGAATATCTGTTTGATCGAGCCGGCACTGTACTGGCGGGCAGCATGCCGCTTCGCCATCCGCGTGCTGAATATCGCGATGCCGTGGTGCAGCAGCCTTTGGTGCAGTCACACCCGGGCAGTGAGCATCTGTTCGAGCAGTCTAGCAACACTCTTTCAAGCCCTTTTCACCATGCCCGCGTCCGCACTGTATGCCAGGGTATCAATGTGCGTACGCCTCAAGTCCAGAGTGGCTCGGGCAGCCAGCCCCGACACCCACAGCCGATACCAAGTTCGATGAGCATATCAAACAATCAACACCGGTCCGTTGTTACCCATAGATCCGTGCCACATATATTCACTGGTGTCCACCCTTTGCCCCGACGGCCCGACCTCAATTCAGGGTCCGATGTCGAACCCGACCAACTGCGTGCCGCCTGCAACTTTCGAGGCAAACAGCCGAGTACCCACCCGCAGAGCGCTTTCCCTTATAGCACTCCGCCTGCTGCGAACCAAGGCGCCATGATCAACAGAAATGGGCCTCCCCTACCTCTGATGAGTGGGCATTCATACAACCAGTCCAGCATTGACCTGGGCCAGCCTTACCGCCCGGGGTACCAAGGAAGCAGAGCAGGCAATGGCCCCTTGGACCCAAGGGTTTCAGGCCACCAGAGATGGATGATCAGTATGACTGCTGCGGCCAATACTGAGAGAAGAGAGCGGATGAGGGCCCGACTGGCGCGTGCGCTGAATACGATGCTCCATGATTTCGTGGAGCAGCATCCTGATGGGGTCGTTGATGGCGAATTCCAGCTGTGCATGGTGACCCCCAATGAGCGTGTCCAGGTCGTGATTTCCCATTGGTATCCTGGTTACCCTCCTGTCTAAGATACCACTGACTTTTCATTTGGATGGTGTCTTTTTGAGAAGATATTAAATACTTCCTCGGATATGCCCACCATCCAATGTGAATGTGAGCGAGGGGTGATGTGGAACCGAAGTGGGAAACAGAGGGAGGAGGGGGATATGTCAGGAGAAAAGAGAACGCCGAAAAGGCATTATGTAGCATAGTCTAGTCTTAAGTGAATGTGAAGTCAGTTCTGTTCAATTTTCGTTTTGGTATCTATCATAGCACAATTGATGACGCCCAAATCTTTATACACAAGGGTCTTCGAGGTTTACAGTCACAAGAAATATGTAGCGTTATTTACAGCTTGTCCGGGAAGCCAAAGTTCACTCCGAATGGCGGGAATACAAAGCGCTGGAAGCCCTTGGTGGCAGCGAGCTGATCGCAGTACTGGGCGATGGTAGCCATGTCCGAATCGTCGAGATGGATCAAGTCTGTGCGGTTGGCCTCGATGCGGGCCGGGGTCACGGACTTGGCGAGGACCGAGGAGCCTCGGGCGACTGTGTAGCTGTGTCAGACTGATAATTTCAAAAAGAATGGGGCGAGGTTTAATATGAGAGAACTTACTGTGCCAACTGAGAAGGATGGTGGCCGGGCTGACACCGCGCTTCTGTGCCACGGCAACAATGGGCTCGGCTGTGAACAGCGGGCTGCCGGTGCTGCCGAGCGGGCTGTATGCAGTGATATGGATGCCGGCCTTTTTGCAGAAGTCGACAATCTCCTGTTGTGGCAGCGAGGGGTGGTTCTCAATCTGGTTGACCGCGGGCACCACCGAGACCTGGGGCAGGAGCTCCTCCAGATACGGGACACTGTAATTGGAGACACCGATGGCCTTGACCCGTCCGGTGTCCAGCAGCTTCTCCATGCTCTTCCACGTTGTGACGTGGGAGTGGCTGTGGTCAATGTCGCGCGAGCCATCCGGGAGCTTGGGGAAGATGTTGTGGTTTCCTAGGGTTAAGTTAGAACGGTCAAATTTTTGGAAAGAAGCCGAGGAGCTAGCTAACCCTTGGGGTTCATGGCCAGTGGCCAGTGCATGAGGAACAGATCCAGGTAGTCCAGTCCAAGGTTCTTCAGGCTCTCCTCAAGGCCCTCTTCGACGCGCGCGTGGAACGAGCACCACAGCTTGGTGGTGACGAACAACTCTTCGCGCTTGACCTTGCCCGTCGCGAGAGCTTCCCGGATACCCTGTCCGACTTCGTGCTCATTGCCATAGCAGAGGGCCGTGTCGATGTGCCTGTAGCCTACTGAGATGGCATGGCTAACTGCCCTTGCGACCTCGCCGGGCTCGGACTTCCATGTTCCCAGACCCAACGCGGGGATCTCAGCGCCAGTGTTGAGTTTGAAGCGAATGTTGGCGGCCATTGTTACTGAATTTCGATGAATTGAAGAGTAAGAGTCTCAACGGAATGCAGAGGAATTCCGAGAGAAGAAAGAAAGCAAGAACGAAAGAAGATTGAAGAGAAGTGCCAAACGAAACATCGACTTCCCCCCACGCGGGGCTCTCCTTCGGCCCCGGTTTTCCCATCAATCACACCCATCCCAATTCTTCGCATCAGCAACCATCTCCCTCAGTCCCAAATGCCCCGCATATCGGCGACTGTGCAGAAGCCATGGCCTCCAATGTCCAAGGAACCAGGAAACCCGAGGGTGCAAGCATCTCGGAAACCAGAATCCTGAGGCCCTGTGGCATCGTTTGACATCATCGCTTCCAATCATGGATCGGCCTGGTGGAGACTCGTCCACAGGGCCGCCATCGCGGAAGCCAGAATCCGTGCTTCGAATGTTCGATCTGCAAATCATGCGGTGCGAACTGCCTGGTTAGCCGCTTGATAGCAGACTGTCGGAAATCCAGAAGCGATCTCGCCTCTTATATAGAGATCCTTTTCCAAGAGACTTCAATTCAACTACTTCATCTGTGAATACTTGATATCCTGTTGACCAACAAGAACAAAAACAACTTGACACGAATCGAGGAAAATTATACATTCTTTACCTTAATCACATCCACCATGGCACCCGTCGCCATCGAGTCTCCAGCGCCCGCCTTCACGAAGCGTGATGGCCAAGCCCTGGAAGAGCTGTCCGACGCCATCGACGAAGTCAACGTGCTCAAGGCCAACATGAAAAACGAAAAGGGGCTGTACGAAGAGTCCGAGTTCGACAAGAGCAAAGACAAGACACAGTTCCGGCAGTACGAGGATGCGTGCGACCGAGTCAAGAACTTCTACAAGGAGCAGCACACGAAGCAGACAGTGGCCTACAACCTGAAGGCGCGCCACGAGTTCCACAGCAAGACCCGCGCCGAGATGACAGTGTGGCAGGCGATGGAGAAGCTCAACACGCTGATCGACGAGTCCGACCCGGACACCAGCCTGTCGCAGATCGAGCACCTGCTACAGTCGGCCGAGGCCATCCGCCGCGACGGCAAGCCGCGCTGGATGCAGCTGACGGGCCTGATCCACGATCTGGGCAAGCTGCTGTTCTTTTTCGGTGCCCAGGGCCAGTGGGATGTCGTCGGCGATACTTTTCCCGTCGGCTGTGGCTTTGACGAGCGCATTATCTACGGCCGTGAATCGTTCAGTGAGAACGAGGACTTTTGTCATGAGATCTATGACTCCAAGTTCGGTATCTATAGTCCCGGCTGTGGCCTTGACCGAGTCATGCTCTCTTGGGGCCACGATGAATACCTCTACCATATCGCCAAGGAGCAGTCGACTTTGCCGGACGAGGCCCTCGCTATGATCCGCTATCACTCTTTCTACCCCTGGCACAATGCGGGTGCTTATCACGAACTGATGGATGACCATGATCGTGACATGCTGCGCGCTGTCAAGGCCTTCAACCCTTATGACTTGTACAGCAAGAGCGATGGTATTCCCAGTCTGGAAGAACTCAAGGTATGTTTGTGCTGTACTGGAGGGGAAAAAAAGGATTCTATGAACTGTATCGCTGACCTTTCTCTGCAGCCCTATTACCTCGACTTGATTGACGAGTACTTCCCCAACAAGGTGGTCAGGTGGTAGATTTGCTATATAAGGACCCAGTGGGCTTAGATATTGTTTTCATGTTTTGTTTATGAGATTCCCATTTGATGTTTAGTGTCTGCCATGAAGCGACGATACAATGAATGATTATAGCTGTTGCTCACAACTTGGTTGATGATAGCATTATTTAGCAAGGAGTATGAGTTTGTAGAGTTGGATTATAGGCATGGAATGATATTCATATCTCCAAGAACCAGAGACATCCTAGCCGACTTATAGGTAGGCAATGCATCGCAACAGCCACAACCCTAAGACATACATATTGCTGAGAGATTGATCACATCAATGGCAAGATCTCGAATATTTTGAATAGTTTTTGATCAAACGAAATAGGATGCCAACTCTATATGTAAGCCATAATCTAATCTACCTATAGTCTAGCAACCTCAGTCCGGTTCCCATTCTCATCAAAGAGAATCTTCTTCCCCGTAATCAGCGACTCCTGCAACGCCGCCCCAATGCGAACCGCCTGCACCGCAGCCGTAAGATCCAGCGGAAGGGGCTTATAATCAAGCACAGCAGCAGTAAACTCATTCGCCTCGGTAACAAAAGCATACTCAAAGCGATCATAATAATGCTGCGGGATCTCGCGCCGCACGCCAGAGTCATCATAGATATGCAGGTGATTCAGCGCGGGCTGCGTGTTGACTGCCAGCTTTCCGCGCGTGCCAATGATCTCGGTGGTATCCTCCTGCCCCGCGGCCATCATGCGCGACGCATAGAAATACGCGATTCGTCCGTCGTGGAACTCGACCACGCCTACTGCATTGTCGCGGTCATTGTGTTTGCGCAGATCGGGCTCGACGGCTGTGATTCCCACCGCGGACACGGACTTGATCTTGCTGCTTGGGCCGAAGAACCACAGCGTTAGGTCGATGTCGTGGATGGAGCAGTCGACGAAAATCCCGCCGGAGAACTGTGCGTACGCGACGAAGAACCCCGATGGGTCGAGCTTGTCGCAGGTTTGGCTGCGCAGTACGGCTGGCGTTCCAATCGTCCCGGATTGCATTTTGTTGTAGGCGTCGCGGTAGGAGACGTCGAAGCGGCGCGAGAAGCCGCACATGACTTTTAGGTCTGGTTTCTTTGCGGCGGCATCGACGACGGATTGCGACTATTCACAGAGAGTATCGATTAGCCTTTCTCTTCGTCATGCAATTCTTTGTTTCCTTGTTATTGGGAATAAATACCACATCAACACTAGTCGACAACGGCTTCTCACAAAGAACATGCTTCCCCGCCTCAATCGCCTTGATCGCCTGCTCAGCATGCACGGCCGTCGCCGACGCCACAACCACCGCTTCGAGTCCCTCGTGCTGGAGCATCTCCTCGTAGTCCTGGTACAAGCGCACGCCGAACGGCTGCAGGTGGGTCTTGGCCCATTCCAGCTCGGCCGGGTCGGGCGAGCTGGCGGCGACGAGGTCGGCGCGGGGTGTGCGCTCCAGGAAATTGAGGGCGTGGCGCTTGCCCATACGGCCGAGGCCGGCGCAGCCGATTTGGAGTTTGCGGGCGGACATTGTTGGAGGAAGAAGAGGAAGAAAAGAGGGAGGAGAAAGGATAGAAGTGGAGAGAGAGGAAGGAATTGAAGGAGAATGGCGAGGTTAAAAAGAGGAAGAGCAAGGTATTATATTCAAAGAATCTCTATATTGGCTCATCCAAGGCATCGAACATCGAATTCCGAGTGGAGATGCCGATTGCGGGGATTTGGTTCCCCGGAAACGTGGAGACCGCCCGGAAAGTGAATCCCGCGTGGGAATATTCACTTGTCCAGATGTTTAGTTAGTAATTAACTATTGAGAAGCATAGTGTGCACCGAATACTGAATATTGATTAAATGACCTGATCCCATAGAATCGAGCTCGGACATAGCCCCGATCTATAGAAGTGGGGGTAGTCAGAAACAATTAAGAAACATACATCTGTTAGTAGACCAACACCAAACACCCTATGAACATAACCCATCACTGCTACAAAGCAGCCATGCAAATTACCCACGCTTCTCCTGATCCCGTACCCGACGCGCCTTACGCTGAGCCACAAGCTCCGGATCAACAAAACCGTCTCCCCGCAACCAAGCCAAGCCCTTGCGCAACCCAGCACCTTGAACCGCCTCTGGCCGCGCCTCAAGAATCGAGCCCATGAGCGCCCACGAGAGCACAAACAGGCACAGTTCGCCGCCGCGGCGACCCTTCCACAGGCCGCGCTTGACGCCGGTTTTGTACGCCGAGTCGATGGCGGCGCGGAAGAAGTACAGGAAAGGGCCGCGGCTGTTCCCCAGGAACAAGAACGGCAGGCCACCCAGGGCCCCGCTCAGGAAGAAGCGTTTATTGGGTAGTGTCGAGCGGGGCAGAGTGCTGTTTAGGAGACAGACGCTGCCCCAGGCAGACCCGATGGCGGCGGAGAGAACCGCTGTCATCGTAATAATTCGCTTAGACAGTTGGTTTGCCGACGAGATAGGCTGCAAGAGAATTCCCTTAATCTTAGGAATGGAAAGTGCCAATGTCACGGTCGTCAGGAACCGGGCCAGTGGTGGCACCGAGAGGAGGATGTGGTGTAGGAAGGCTGTGCTGCAGTTCGGCAGACCTGGGTGCAGGAGGGCACAGGAAAGACTCGAGATAGCAGGGTGCGCGGGGCCGGTGATTGGAGCGATGGATTTCACCGACGACGGTAACGTGTTGGCGTCAGCCGGGTGGAGGATGGGCGAGACAAATGCCCTAAATCATACTTGTCAACAACAGACAAAAAGAAAACATCCAGAAAGGTAGACTTACGGCCAACGCAAATCTGCAATGGAGGCCAGCGAATCCACAATCTCGTCCTTCTCCGGCCAAGGCACGTTGATCGGCAGCGAGTCCGGTCGGCCTTGGATATAGCTCGGAGAGAGTCTCAGAATGACATTTCCAAACCACTGCCGCCTTGGTCAGCCACTACCAACAAATTAACCGCAACATGATAGAATGGTCTACCAACCTTAGGGGTCGTCTCTCGATCAAACACAAAGGCATGGAAAAGCTGCGCACACGAAACCGGCATCAGCAGCCAGCTCCCAAACCACCACGGACGCTTATCCATCCAGCCCTTCAAGTCCACGACATTAAACAGAAACTCCAAGCTGCGCGTGCTCATATAGATGGCCGCAGTCAGCCGGAACTGGTCTTGCGGGCAAATCCCCAAGGCAAACCCCGCCAAACTGGCCCCGACCGCCGGTGCAAAGCGCGAGGTCAGCGCGCGCGAGATGCGCGGGTTGCGGTCGCGGAAAGGTTGGGCGTCATCGGTACGCAGGTTAGCGCGCAGCCGCACGAGGAAGCGATAGAGCAGACGGTGGAGGAGGAGTAGCAGGGAGAGAGAGATTGAGAGCCGGAATTTGGGGGACTGGAGGAGTGGCGTGCGGGTTTTCTTCCTATATCAGCACGTGAGTGAATTGTAAATTGCATCTAACAACGCGCAGAGCTTTGAGCTTTGGCTGCATCGTGGGTTCATCGTGGGCAATCAAAGAGGCAAGTCGTCATGCTTACTTTGCTGCGGCGCCTTGTATCCGACTAACAATCGAATCCGCCAGCTTCAGCACGATTCCGGACCCAAAAAACACCCGCAGAGACGCGCGCACGGCGGCCTCGCCATGCCGGTTCTTCGAGCGGACAATAGCGTCATATCGGGACGGCGAAGGGACCTTGCTTTGGACGGCCGGGGCGTGCTTGATTGCCGAGTTGTGGAGGAACCTGTATTCTTTGGCGCTCAGACAGACGCGAAGGGCATCGCGAACAACCGGAGGAAGATTCGTGTCATCCCCATCGACTGACATGGTGGGCAGTGCTGTCAAGCCAACGGCATGGCCGAGGTGTGGGAGGTGCAAAGATGGGGAAGGGGGGAGAGTCTCCACTTCAGCCCAGGCCGACCTCGGCAACTGAAGCGCACATGTTGATCAGACCAACAGAGGTCAATAATACATTTACAGGATTCTCATATACACAGAAACGTATTGTTCATACAAGCTATCTGACACCGACTGGTCCATCGGAGAGAAGAGTTCAATAGAGAATCTCACATATCATCAAATCCACGGATCACGGCCCGATCCCATTCCTGGTATTTCCCATAACATACGCCCCATTCCGATGCGCCCGGTACGCCACAGGAAAACAAAGAAACCGTCAAGCCAGACGGTCCGAACGCCAGTAAGACAACAAAGCCATACTCGAAAACATTTTTTTTTGGGTCGTAAGAAACGTAACTCCCTAGGGCCTTGCGGGCCCACCATCACCACCATGCGACACGCTCGCGTCACGAAGATATGGATGGGATGTGTGCGGGTGTCGACTCCGGCGCGTCCTTCATGGGGACGTCGGGAGAACCAGAGGGTTCATTTTTGTGGGCATCGGAGTCCGACTTGGTGGGCGTTTGAGCCCCGTCTGCAGTGGCCCCTGGCGCGGAACCTGGAGTGGATGGTGATTTCTGAGCAGGCGGCGCGGCTGTCGCTTGAGCCTGGGTCTTTTCTGAGGTTGGCGTGGTCGCCATGGTACCGCGGCGAATCAGATAATCACCAAGACTGAGTTTCTTCTTGGCAGGTGTGGGCGCAGGCGCGGCGGGGCCGGGGGGTTGCACACCAGCTAGTGCAGAAGATGTGTCGAGGGTGGTAGGGGACGCAACACTCGCTGTGGATGCGGAACCAGGGCTGATTGCGGGTGGCATGACCGGGACACTGGGCGGTGGCATAGAGACGTGCAGACCGCGGTCGGGAGTGGTTGCCCCAGGGATGCGCGTGTTGTGAGCAGCCGTAGATGGCCATGGGGGAGGGACAGGTGGCTTGCCCAAGTCACGCCCCGAGGGCAGCGAATCGGAGTCCGTTTTCAAGGACGAGTTTTGCATGGCCACATCGCGCTCCATAGGGGGAGCCGACGGGGTTTGAGAGGGCTCTCCATCTGTCATCGTGACATCCGGCTTCTCAGTCGTGATGATCGGGGAACGGATTAAAGCGGGGGATTGGGAGCTAGCGGAAGCCGCGGTATCAGAGCCAGCAGACGATAGCTGCTGTCGAGCAAGCTCTTCAGACCTGACGAGATCCATGCTGTACCGCTTGAGGAGTCGCACCGTCAAGGGGACAAAGTTGGGGCGGCGGCGTGATGATGTCTCGGGCGGCTCCTCATCATCGCTGAGATGTGCCTGCACTGCCGCGTCCACGTACTTGGGACGGCTGAGAGGAGAACGGCCAAACGGAGTACTAGACCCAGATGTTTTGCGAGGTGAGATTTGGCGACCAGTCGGCAACGATCCGGGGGACAGGGCGACGGGAGACCGAATGTGCCCGGCAGTCGTATCCAGGCGGAGCGACTTGGCCGACGCTCGTTGAGACGCAGAGGATCCAGTTTGTGTAGTGCCTGTGACAGCAGTAGACGATGAGCCTACAGAGGGGCCACTAGTCCGCTTTTTCTTTCTAGGACCATAGCCCTTACCGAGCTGCTCGAACTGCTTTTCGGCATTGGCAATCTTGCGTTGTTCGCGACTGGAGTTTTCGAGACCTGCAACATCCTGGAGGTGCGGCACGGTGGGGCTGAGATCACGGCTGTGAGGCTGTCCACGCGCAGATCCAGATGTCGACCGACTGTCCCCAGCGTGGTCGTCGTCTTCCGGGTGTTTCGTGGTCTCACTGCCCGCGCGGCTCGTGGACGCGCGACCGAAGTCCATTGGGGATGCAGTTGCCTTTGTCCTCGCCTTCTTTCGTTTTCCGTTGGATTGTTTTGTGTCGAGCGCTTTGGGATGTCGTCGGCGGTCGAGGTTGGCTAGCAGACAGTTTTGTGGGGGCTCACATGCGCAACCACCGAAGTTAGCGAGCGCGTTGCTGATGCACACCGCCGCCGCCTCCGTCGCGCTGTCACCTGATTCCTGCTTCACCAAACCATTAGAAGCCTCGGACAACTGCGCATCCAAGTACCACATGGTGGTAATTTCTGAGTTCGCGGGAATATCCTCCTTAGCGACGAAGCAGAAATGGTACTCAACATCGTTTGTGATGAAGATCTTCAGAGTCACGTTGGCACGGCACGAGCGCCGGATATACCGAAGCTTACTGCCTTCGTGACGGCTGTCGATATACAGTGGAAGCTGTGAGCTGAAGAAGACGAAGGGTTCGGGATGGCGCAACTCGGGCCATCGGTTATTCGGGTCGAGGCAGTAGTCGCGGAAGTAGCCCACCTTGCCGGTGATCTCTCCCACAATTTCATCCTTGTGTACGGTATCTTTTGATTTCAATATTTTCCACATTGGATGTCGCCCGCCCATATCGACATTCGGATCGGTGATGGTATCTATGGCCAAGGTGGGCCAGCGAGACCGATCCAGCGCGGTATCGGACCAGTTGAAGGTTTCTTCAGCACGACGGCCATTCGCGACTCGCGCCAGGGCTTCTGGGTTCTTCAGCCACGAGGTTGTATCTTCCACCAGACTCACGTTGACAAAGAGGTTACTGTCCATGTCAACGTGATCATCATCGCGGTCGTATAATTGTAGGAATTCGTTCGAGTAGAGAGGTATAGAGGGGCCAGAGGATTTGGTAGGGCTCATAGCAACTGATGTGGACGAACGGCGTTTGCGTGAATCGGGAGCCAGAGATGGCGTACCGGATAGACCGCCCACGGACGCGGACGACCGATGAGACGTCTTCGCTTTCTTCGCGGGAGGCTGATCGCGGGTTCCCGATTCACTGCGCTGATGACCGAGGCCATTCACATCACCGTCCTTGACCTTTTTCCTCTGGGTCTTAGCCCCCGGCCGCCTAATTTTCCGGTCGCTGTCCTCGCTTCGCTCTCGGATACGCCGTTGCCGCTGCCGATCAGCCGCACGCCGGTTGTCCAGCGGCCGTGGCTCACAATCGATACAGTTGTGCACATCCGGCACCCTCTTGTCGGGATAGTAGCAGACAATGTGCTGCCACGTCTCGCACCCCTCGCAGAATACCGTGCTACCATCATCTTCGTCGAACGAACAGATGCATTTGATGGTGTATGGTTCTTCTTCGTCGGGGGCGCCCGAATCAGAGAGGGCGCCGTTGGCGGCTGGCGAACCCAGAGGAGCGGGAACCGGATACGGATCCGTGGCGTGCGTGATGGCGAGGGAGGAGGTATCTGTCATAGTCTGACAGATTACCCCCTCTCAGGTCGAAACAAAATATGTTCTTGAACGAGAGGTGTTGATGACCTGGCCGTCACTATCTAACAAGCATATCACCACTGGGCTGAGGGGAAAAAATGGATCCCTCTCGAGTCTTTGATCGATGGACGCGTTGGAACCGAGGAAATGGATCACAAGAGGACCCAGAACCCGCGCAAACCAGCAATATTCAGATCAGTGACCACGAGAAACGATGATACCACGCCGCGTGGTGATTATGAGTAGTCTTTCGAGGAGGGTAAGATGGTGGTGGAGGTGTTGAAGATCCTGTCTGAATGCGCTCGCCCGGCGTCCGGAAGGGTAAAAGACCGAGAAAAGGGAAATTCTATGAGGCAACAGTAGGGGTAGTCGACTGTGTAGCAGGCGATTGCAGATCGAGAAGTCGGTCACTTGCGATTGGGGGAGATCTGGCCAAATCGGGAGGATGGAGGAGAGACGAGGCAGGGTGAAAAGGGTGAGCGAGATCGCGAGGGCGGGAAGATGAGAAAGGGGAGAAGGAATCAGAGGGTGGAAAAAGAGTATCGGAGGAGATAGAAGCGGGATGAGGAAAGAGAAGTGGAAGGACACGCGAAAAGGTAACTGGGAAAAAAAAAAAGGAGAGAAAAGGGAAGAGGGCGAATTGAGCGAGTGAACTGGAGAGAGACCAGAGGAGGAGGCCACGCCTAAGGCAGCGAATGGGGCCGTTCAAGCGGCGAGCCAACAGGCGAAAAGGGACTAGCGGCAGTAGGGCGAGACTCGAAAACGACCAAAGGCGCGCTGTCTTCAGAAAAACCTGACTGGGAGGAGTTCGGTGTTTCCGCCCGGCAGAACAGTAATGTGGTATTCAATACCGGGCCGACTGGTTCCAGAAACCCGTGATGTCGCTAGGCCTAACCAAGAATAGCGCCAGTCCCAATGCAGCAGAGTCACGGGGATGTCACGTGGGCAGGGTTCACGACGACGAGGTATCATGGATATAGATCCCTGTGCTGTGCAGTAAGCATCTTCAAGGGGCTGGGTTAGTCAGAGAGCAATTTAGGGGGGGATATTCAGGGTGGATCAGAGAGCAACATTCTTCTCTCGGGCCAGATTGGGCTGGAGCCAACCATGCGGCAAACAATTATGCTGATGAGGAATAGACCGGGCATCATAGGTTGCCAGAAGATATTTTTGGTGTGCTTGCACAAAGATGCATAGTCATCAGTCGAGGACCCAGCAGAGGAGCCACTTGGTAAGACAAGGCAATATCCTGAATCATCATGGGGAGCGAAAAAGACAGGGCAGTGTGAAGAGAAAAGCTAGGGTTGTGGGGAGACGATGAAAGGGTGGATAAGGGGCCTTAGTGGGTTAGTGGGTTTGAGGGAAGATTAGCAAACAGCAGCTCCCAACACCAGAAAAGAAAGTATACAGGTGACTTGGAGAATGTGGGTACCGGAGATGTGATCCCATGGAAGAAGGGAGATCATCCGGGGCGACGGGTAACTGGGGGGGAAGAAGTGTGGCGCAGAAAATGACTGGAAAGGGGTGGAAAGAGAAGAAGTTGTCTTTTGGGGGGGGGGCTTTTAGTTTTGAATATACCGCAAGGGCCCTGGAGAGACTGTGAATCCAAAACCAAAAAAAAAAAACCAAAATCTATCGATGCCCAAAGGGAGAGTGTTGTTAGTCAGGAGAAAAGAAAGGGGGGGGGATTGGAAGGGCGTGTCAGAACCTGATAATCTTTTGTAATTTGGCACTGTTTCTGCCACTATCAAGGGCGAGACGAAGGAACAGGGCTAGTCAAACCAAACGGTTCCCGAGCCTTTAAAACCCCGTCGATCATGGGCGTCAGGTAATGCTGTAAGGGTGGAGTGGTAGGCTGAAGGGTTGAAGTTGGTAGAGTTCCAGCAACTGTATCTTTGAAGTAGGAATGAACAGACTCTGGGGGAGAATCCTTTTTTTCTTGTTTATTCCGTTGATGCTGCCAGCATCATCTGCATGGTCTATTGACTTGCGTTCTCTTGGCAGAGTAAAATACGGTCGGGTGGTGGAGCCGGCAACACTCGCGGTATACTCCGAGCAAAAGGACGGTGTGGGAGGATGGGAAGTTGCTCGATGAAAAATCATGCTCTTTTGCATGCTTCATTTACACTGACACTAACAATAAGAGTGGATTTTCTTTCAGGAAAACAGTACACCCTCAACACTGAAGGGTTAGTACAGGCAAGTGCAATCTTCTGCCACAGCCAAGGAAACCAAACTATCCGCTTTGTTGCGACATTCAAGCTTCTGTAGCCATTGCCTGAGTGGGCTGGAGCTCGAATGCCTGGGAAATTTCAGGATCCGGGCTGGATTTTGCTCGAGCATGCACCTGAGTACGGCGTTCTGGAGCGCTTCCATGACCTCTCTCTTCTCCTCCATTGGGTTCGTTCGATCGTCGCCAGCGACGGGGAACAAGGAATTGGAACCGATGAACCCCATACAGACAGCCAAACACTGCGATGCCGAAATACGCGGTGAACATTCTGACAACTCGAGGGCCGATTAGAATGCCTGGAGCTGCCGCGCTTAACCCATTTGCTGCAAGCAGAACGGCGCTGCTGCCCATTCCAAGATACGTGGCAAATGGCTGGACAGAAAAGCGATATCGATCGGTAATTCTGTTCGCCTTCATGCGTTGACGGAAGTGGCGGTAGACAGTGCATGAAACCAACCAGGAGAGATATCCAGATCCTGCGACGAAACGAAGGAAATAGTTGCTCACGACCGAGCTGGAAATCCCCGCAGACAGAAACGCAAGACTGCAGAACGAGGCAGACATAGCGACAGCGGCGTATGGAACATCCCAGCGATTGCGTCTCTTGAGCCATGCGGGGGCATGTCCAAGTTCGGACATGGCAAATAGCATACGCGAGGAGAGGTAAAGAAAGGATCGCCCCGAAGCCACAGATGAAAGGAGAATTGCGATCATAGCCATGACGGGAACAATGCGAATTTGGGCCGCGTTGAGCCCAATCAGGAACGGAGAGAGCCCGGCACCGGTTCCATTGTTGGTGAGCATTGGGTCGTTGCATGGAGCCATCACTCCCATGGCCAACGAACTGAGGATATATGGAAACGCGGTTTGAACAACATCGGTAACCACGCGGCTGGGGATGGTAAAGCGGGTGTTGGGTTCCACGCCTTCGGTGGCTTCCGTGTGCCTGGTCAACTCTGGCGTCTCCGCTCGGTGGACAATCAACTCGGGGGCGAAAGTGAAAGCAATAGAACTGTCAAGAAGACATTGAAACAGTCCCCAGAACCGTCCTATTCCACCAGTCGTCAAGTACTCGCGCATGGCACCCGGGTTTCTCCAGTATTTGAATCCCCAGCGATCGTGTCCAGTGGCGCCACCCAGTCCAATGGACAAAGAGAGTACCAGCAAGCTGATCATTGTCCCAATCTTGATCCGCGTGAAGATATGCTCGGAACCCCGAAAGAGTCTCTCAGGTAGGAAGTTGAACCCAACGATGATGGTCGTGATGATGCACATTCGAATGGCGACAGTGGAACCCGGATTCCACAGGCCGAGATTGACCATGGCGCTCGAGATCTCGTAGGGTACCAACATAGCCATGGAGTACCAGCGGAGGTATGCGGCGGCGAATCCGAGGCTGCTTGACATGTACAAGTAACCATTGGTGACCATTGTTCCATGTCGTGAGGGCATGTAAGAGGCCACCTCTGCCGCGCTCGTGGCCATTGAGTAGGTGAGTAGCGATAATAATACATAGGAAATGAGCAAAGAAGCCGGTCCGCCCACGGCCAAAGCTTGGCCGGCGCCGATGAACAGTCCGGTGCCGAGAGTCGGTCCAACAGCCATGGCGTTAAGAATGGGTATGAATAAATAGGTTTATAGGGGATGTAGAGAAAAGGAGAGAGGAGTAGATTGAAAATGTCGGAGGGGGTGTTCGCTGTCAAGGAGCCAGGCACGTCATCCAGGAAGGTTGCTCTTGCCCCGAACATCATGGCCATCATTCAAACCTACAACCCGGTGTAAGGACTATGAGACGCAACATGCCAGCAAGAATAAAGGGTATCACTGTACGGAAGGAAGGGAAATTGAAGAAATGGGAAGCGAAAAAAATAAACCTCATCTGTCCTTCGAATGAGATTTATGCTGGTCGCCTCATTCGAGACATCATCAAATGAACCACAGGCGGAGGATATTTGGTCACTGAGACGCCATGTCGGTCTCGGCAAACTCGAGCCACTCGCCTGATAACGACTTCTTCCAGAACCGGACTGCCCCATCATCCCCTGCGGAAACAAGAGAGTCACCTAGCAGCAAGTTAGACCAACGCGCATGTTACTGCAGAGGGGGCACGATGCTCACCGGAGAAAGAGAATTCAACTTGCCACACATCGAGATGCTTACTATCGATACATGCCACTTGCTTGAATGTGTGCCGGAACTGAGAGTCGCCGCTGGCCTGGCGATTGGATATAGATTCGGGGGCGCGATTTGCAAGAGCAGAGCCGATCCCAGACTGGGATGTTGCCCGCATCGATGGGGGGTTTATTCGGCCTTCAACCTTCCGGCCGTTGGCATTCTGTGACTCTGGACTAGCCGGGGTGGTGTATACTTCGAAAATTCGAACCATGCCGTCTTTACTTCCACTTGCAACTAGATCATAGCCCCGCACAGAGCCATTGGCCCAGGATATGTCTCTCACGAGACCCCCATGACCATTCAGCTCAACCGCATGGTAGAAGCGCCGGTTCGCATCCGTGCGGTAGACCTTGACGGAGTCCATGGCTGCCACAACAAGCGACAGACTCTTCCGGTCCGAGTCTGGGGAGATGTTGTGGGTTATATCTGTAGGGTCGTGATGGAATTGAACCCGGAAGCTCGTTTCCTCGCCACGCTCAGGTGCTAAACATACTCGAAACTGATCCAGAGGTTGCCAGTCTGAAAGATTGTCTGCACTGACGGGTTCCATGACCATGAGATAGCCATCCCGGGTGATAAGGGCCAGCCACGACTCCAGGTCAATGTTGCGAAAGTCCAGAGACACAAACGGATGCCTCTGCGGCGCCGTCATGCGGAAGATGGATCTGAACCGTCGGCCCGAATTGGGCGGTTGTGTGACGTCTTCTTGCCAGATCTTGAACTTCATGTCCTCGCCCACGCTGCCGATATGCTGGCCTGTAAATGGCCCATTCCATGTTGCCTGGTACAGGAATTTAGTGAATGGTCTCTCTTTTTCTCTCTCAGTTGCCCTTGAAGTGTTCTTTTTGCTTTTTCAAGACTTACATCGCGAATTTCAGCATCATGGGCGCGCCAGGTGTCGGTTAGCTGCCATTGTCCGTCTTTCAGATCCCATACTTTCATGCGGTGGTCCGACGAAGCAGTGACAATACGATTCCCATAGAAGTTGAATCGAGTGACTGTCACCAGATCCCGATGGCCGGCATCGAAGTCCGCAAACCCGCCTGTCATTGTAGGGTGCTCCACAGCCCCTATTAGGCTCGACCACGGTGTTTTATAGGTGAGGCAAAAAGAAGCAGGGCAAACCAATCATGAGTCTTATCGATGCATCTGTATGTTATCGACTGAGACCAAGACGTGTCTCGGTTGACTTCCCTTGCCGGCGTCACGAGGTAACTTCACCGCTCTCAGGGCGGTCAGATATTACGGGCAGAATAGGGCCTGGTCGGTTGTTTTTCGCGAATGAAGCCAGATTGCCTGAGCTCTGTTGTCTGTGGTAGAGGTGTACTGAGGGCAATCACCCACCATGGATACATCAAGTACCCTCTCCCACACCGAGACCTGGTGTTTACTGGCTCTCGTGGGGGCCAGTATCAATATTCTGGTTAACACGGTTCAGGGTGATGGCGCCCCCTTGGTGGCTTCTATTGCACTGGGTGGTATTTCCTTTGCAACTGCATTCAGCTTGATCCGATGGCTTGGACCGGTGTTTCTGAAGGCAGGATTAAAGGGAAAGGATATGGCTAAGCCCAGGAGGCCTGAAATGTATGAGTATGCTTCTCAGGTTTGAAGATCAACGGGCTAATCCTGGGGTTTAGACCTGAAACCATGGGTGCAGTTTGTGCTGTGGTATATCTGTTAGCACTGATTGTTTTCATCCCTTTTGCCTTTTACAAAGACATTGTGGCAGCAACATCCGGTGGAGGCAACCGGGATGTCGTGCTTGAACCACAACAGGCTGAGAACGGGCGATATTTGCACCGGTTCCCTCACGGCAAGGTTTGTTATTAAAATCTTTAGATTCGATCAGACATTGTACTGACCATGATGAATAGCTTGCATCCTACCTCTCGGGACTTCTATCCCTTCAATCCATTATCATTCTCGGAATCGGGGATGATCTGCTCGACATCCGCTGGCGACACAAAGTTCTGATTCCAGCATTTGGATCAATTCCCATGCTCATTGTGTATTTTGTTGACTTTGGCGTCACTCATGTCGTCGTTCCGCTGCCGCTGCAGCCCTACCTGGGCGACTCCGTCGATCTCGGCTGGCTGTACTACACGTACATGGCTGCTGTAGCGATCTTCTGTCCCAACTCCATCAACATGCTCGCTGGAATTAATGGGATTGAGGTGGCTCAGTCGCTCGTGATTGCAGCTCTCTTGCTTTTCAACGATGCGCTGTATCTCGCGCCGATCACGCCATACCCACACCCTGCCACCGATTCGCATCTGTTCTCGATATATTTCTTGCTGCCATTCGTCGGTGTCTCTGCAGCTCTTCTCTACCACAACTGGTATCCGTCCAAGGTCTTCGTGGGGGACACCTACTGCTACCTCGCAGGAATGGTGTTCGCCGTCGTGGGCATCCTCGGTCATTTCAGCAAGACTCTCCTGCTGCTGTTTGCCCCACAGATCTTCAACTTCTTGTATTCGATACCACAGCTTTTTAAGCTTATTCCTTGTCCTCGTCACCGACTGCCAAGGTTCAATGCCGCTACGGGGTTGCTGGAGGCTTCTGTCACCGAGTGGACAGTTCCTCCTTCTCAGTTTATCGCCACCGCCCTTCACCTTCTACATTATCTTCATCTGGTACACATCACCAAGAATAAAGACGGCCAAATCTTTGAGTCAACCAACTTGACTATTCTCAATCTTTGGTTGGTGTGGATGGGGCCCATGAAAGAAAACCGGCTCGCTTGGCATATGGTTGCTGTCCAGACTGTCTGTGGAGCTCTTGGGCTGTTCGTACGGCATCGTCTGGCATTGCTGGTGTTTCATCATGATAATCGGGCGTTCGGTATCTCGTAGCTCTTGATAATCTTGAGGGTCGCTGTGAAGCAGTCTCCGCACCGGGCTATCATACCATTCTTATGTACATATTTTCTACCAGCCGCTGACTCTCCCTTCGATCACGTAGCTTGAGCAAGCATAGTAAAGGGTAGATATCGGATTTCAGCGACTTATTGTTATCTTTTTTCTAACCTTATCTAGAATATTTGATTATCTATTTGACACAAGGTCACCATGGTTACAGCTCTTTTCTATTCTCTTTTGATATCTCGATTTTTCTATTATTTTCTCTATTAAGCGGGCGGGTAGCTTCGGAGTAGAAAAGGGGCCCTATATCAAGAGCAGTTTTGCTTCTCTAAAACAACCCTATCCTTAGAATCTTATATTATAAATCTGCTGGTTGGAAGTGACAATAATGCAAATAGAGACTGGCTGATCCTTCCTTCTACAACTTCCCGTACTAGTTAATGATGGCCAAATGACTCATTCCCAATTACCTCGTGTAGCACGGGTTTCTCTATCAATCTTTTTGTCCCCAAACTTCTTGCCAACCTCTCTAATGATGAGCCATGCAGGAAAGATCGCAACGGCCCACAGGCCAAAATTGAGGTATACATCCCCCACCGAGGCCATGATGGACACGCTGCTCAGGCCATACTATACACTATTAGTCTCCAACCAAACCAAAACACAGGACACCAACAGGAAAATACTCACGCTGACAGTCTGAGCCGCAGACTCGGTCCCACGCAACAGGCCTGCAATCCGCACCACCTCTTCATGGTCGTCAGCCAGATTGCCGACCAAAAAGAACCTGTTTTTTCCCATATCAGCTTTGATTTGTCCCCAAGAGTCAGTTTCAACGATTCAACATACAGGTACATATAGTTGATCTGGAACCCCACAACCCAAAACAAGAAGAGGGCAAAAGCCTTCCCAAAGCCTGGGTCAACCCAGTCGAACACCGGATTCGTTTTCTGGAACTCGGTTGTCACGATCGACGCCCAGGTCCAACACATTCCTTGCCAGGCGATGACAAAGAAAAAGGCAGACCGAGTTCTCGTCTTCAGGGAAATGGACTTGTTATCCAGAAACGCACCAAGAACGTTCCCAATAACCAAGGCAATCACGCCCGCCAGGAACGAGCCAAGCGCTCTCGCGCGCACCGTGAACCACAGACCTTCATAAGTGAACATCACCGCCTCGGTATAGACTGCCTGATAAATGAGGGGAATGATGCAAACGAACTTGCGACTGATGAAGAGTTTTGCCGTACTCATCAACTCGAACCACACGCTGTTAGTGACCTGGAGCTGGACGGGTATTCCATCCTTGCGCTGGACCTGGGATGGGTTATTCAAGAGCAGCCCGGCGAATGGCCCGAGGGCCTGGAGCGCAATGAAGACCAGGTAGACGGTATAGGAGATGCTTCCTGCGGTAGAACGATGGGCGTTGATCGCCAGGCTGATCACGCCGCCCAGGATTTGACCTCCAACGCGAAAGCTGAGCCAAAACCCCAGGAATCGCCCCTGGTTGTATGGCTCGGGGTATGAGAGCGCAATAGCTGCCTCAGCTGCCCAGAAAATTCCCGCAGACAGGCCGCAAAGCGCGGCCCCCAGGATTATTAGCCATTCCTGGCCAAACCGGTTGTTGATATACAGCCCAGCCGCATAGGGTGCGTATCCCATTGTCCCGACGATCAGCGTCCATTTGATTCCGATGATGCGAACAACAACACTTGAGAGAAAACAGGACACCACCATCAACCCAAATGTCAATGCGTTCGCTGCGTTGACGAGGTATGGTTTTTCTTCGCCTCCTCCACCTAGCGAATTCATCGCGCCCCAGATGCCAGGAGCCAAAAAGTTGCAGAGGCCAAGAATGAGCGCATTGTAGAATGTCGACCGGTACCATTTGACTGTCCAGTCAGTTAGTAATTAACCAACCCTCGAATAATACATTGGGGTATAAGAGCATGGGACATGCGACTCACTTTTCCGGGGCTCCGAAATTGGGGAATTTACCGAATCGCTGTTTACTTCTTCATCTTTGGGTGGGATGGTCTTGTCCACGCTCGCCATAGTTCAATATCCTCAATTTTGGGGTTCCAGGGACGGGCAATGCTTGACAGGCGCTAATAATGGAGCTTTTACAACTTTGAATCCTGGTGCCGGTCAAAGTTATATAAAAAACTCTCTCGACCATAGCATCTTGACTAGGTGATTTCGTGCTATGGCGCCATTGGGGTCTTATCGTCTGTTCTTATTATTTTAACTTTGATTGAATGTCAGGGCATCGCAGATGTTGTCGTTTTGGACTAAGATTACGTGCTTGCTCGGAACTCCAACAGGGAACCAGGCATGTATCAACATGCCAATTATTACTGTTAATATCACATATATTCAACTGAAATATCCAATGTTATTTGTCTGAGAAAATTGGGATAGGCCGCGAGGAGAGCAAGTGGCTGTGATAGTATATACCATATTATTAGTAGTGCTCCTGTACAAAGGTGGCCCTGGCCTTTTGTGATCTAGTGGTAGTTTTCACGTTTCCATGGCTATAAACCCTGTTAGCCTTGATGGGAAGCCTTTTGCCGTAGCAAGATCAAATCCCGTCGATATTCAGTCTACTGCTATTCGAGTCTATTAACTCACGCGCTGTCTTTCTGAAGGTACTCCAGGAACATCAGCTCACCAACCGGGTACTAACTCACGACAGATAATGCATCTAATAATAAATTATATTATGTTGGAGATTCTTTCCAGTCACTTAAAATCGCCAATAACACTACAATTGTCGAATTTCTATGTTTGGCCCATGCCATTCAACTTCGTCTTCAGTAGTTCTGGGGCAAATAGAAGCAAATCCTAGAAACGACACACCCGAAATACAGTGACCCAAGACACAAGATGGATTGATTTGTCCAAGCAGCTAAAGACAGGAGATCTTTGATGCTCTAAGAAAATGTCTTTCCAAGTGGTTGGAAAGCTAGGCTGCGGTGACCGTTGTATACTGAGGCTTTGAAATGTCATATAGCAAGTCTTTTTGCTTGATTCAGCGACAAGTGTTGGGAGCTAACTAGCCCAGGACGATATATTAATGTCGTAGTTCAAGAGATTTAAATGCGAATGCACTCCTAAACAAAAGATATATATCATCAAAAACTAACAAACTACTCACTCTGCTCCTTACTTGGAAAGAAACAATATCGATTGACTACCCCAAAAGCCCAATAGCTTTGCCTAGAAATAGCATTAACAATAATGCGTCTGCTCTGTGTAAACAAGAAAGAAGCGAAGAAGAGCATACTCTGTCTTGGCGTGAGCCGTAACCTAATCTGGAGAAGTCGACTACGTCATACAAAAAAAAATACACAACCATTCATAATCGTAAGCTCTGCAATAAGAAAAATTAGAGAGCGTCTATTGCATAGATCGGTCTTCTGAGTCTGCAATTTGCACAGACCTCGACTGGTCCGTTGTCGCAGGGACTGAGTCAAACGGGGCGCCCGAGGCAAACGCAGCGAGCCGCCGAGCCCCCCGACATCGGCCCCCGCCGTCTTCGCCACCGCAGCCAATCGCGGCGTGCGTATTGGTCGCTGACCGACCGAAATCGGCGTTGCCCCTCGGCCAGCGGCCCAGCGACATCGCGGATTCCTCGCTGAAAAATCCTATAACAAGCATTTCAAATCCCTCGAGACATTCTTTAGGTCTCTTAACACTGGTTAATCATAGCAAGGCAATTTGGTTCTTGCTTTTGTTTTTTTGATTGTTCTTCCCCATACTCATTATGCCTTCCGCCGAGACAAAACCGAAGACCTTGTACGACAAGGTCTTCGATGCCCACGTTGTCAATGAGCAGGAGGACGGCACGGTCTTGCTGTATATTGGTATGTTGAATTACTGCTGTACAAAGAGTCTTCCTTCTGACTTGATCGCAAATTAGACCGCCACCTTGTCCACGAGGTGACTTCGCCTGTAAGTACTTGACGCGTCCTGTGCAAAAGAGATACCTGCTCACAATCCGTTTACAGCAAGCCTTCGAAGGTCTCAAGAATGCTAGCCGCAAGGTCCGCCGGCCGGACTGCACCCTGGTCACTGTCGATCACGTATGTCACCTTTCTCGATCACTCAATGCTGGATTACTGACCGTTGTGCTTCTTGCAGAACATCCCCACATCGTCGCGGAAAAACTTCAAGAACGCCGAGGAATTCATTAAGGAGAACGACTCGCGCCTGCAGTGCACAACCCTCGAGGAGAATGTCAAGGACTTTGGCCTCACCTACTTTGGCATGGGCGACAAGCGCCAAGGTATTGTCCACATTATCGGCCCCGAGCAGGGCTTCACTCTGCCCGGAACGACCGTCGTCTGCGGTGACAGCCACACCTCCACTCACGGTGCCTTTGGATCTCTTGCATTCGGTATCGGAACCAGTGAGGTCGAGCACGTCCTCGCAACCCAGACCCTCATCACTCGGCGCAGCAAGAACATGCGTATTCAGGTTGACGGGGAGCTGCCCGCGGGCGTTACCAGCAAGGACGTTGTCCTGCACATTATTGGTGTCATTGGCACCGCGGGTGGCACGGGTGCTGTGATCGAGTTCTGCGGATCCGTCATTCGTGGTCTAAGCATGGAGGCGCGTATGTCCATGTGCAACATGTCCATCGAAGCCGGTGCACGTGCAGGCATGATTGCACCGGACGAGACGACGTTCGAATACCTCAAGGGCCGCCCCCTCGCCCCCAAATATGGCAGCGCTGAATGGAAGAAGGCCACCAACTACTGGTCGGGCCTGAAGTCCGACGCCGACGCCGCGTACGACATCAACGTCTTCCTGGACGGAAAGGACATTACCCCCACCATCTCCTGGGGTACCTCTCCGCAGGATGTGATTCCGATCAGCGGTGTTGTTCCCGGCCCCGATGACTTCGAGGATGAGAACCGCAAGACTTCCTGCAAGCGGGCTCTCGAGTACATGGGTCTCACGGCGGGTACCCCGATGAAGGAGATCCCCGTGGATAAGGTCTTCATTGGATCGTGTACCAACGCTAGAATTGAGGATCTCCGGGCCGCGGCCAAGGTTGTCAACGGCCGCAAGATCGCCGACAACATCAAGCGCGCTATGATCGTGCCTGGATCGGGTTTGGTCAAGCAGCAGGCCGAGTCCGAGGGCCTTGACAAGATATTTACTGATGCTGGGTTTGAATGGCGTGAGGCTGGGTGCTCCATGTGTCTAGGCATGAACCCGGATATCCTGTCGCCCAAGGAGCGCTGTGCCAGTACCTCCAACCGGAACTTCGAGGGACGCCAGGGTGCTCAGGGCCGCACCCACCTCATGTCGCCCGCCATGGCAGCCACCGCTGCGATTGTCGGCAAGCTCGCCGACGTTCGTGAGCACGTCGTTCCCAGCCCTGTCCTCGCCAAGGCGCAGCCCAAGGTGGATGTCGAGCCGGAGGTCGAGTCTCCCGCGACCGAGGATGAGCTTGACCGGGTCCTGGACCTGCCCGCCGATGACGAGCCGCACACCAATTCGTCCGCCGGTGGCAGCAGCGAAGGACTCCCGAAGTTCACCACCCTGAAGGGTATCGCGGCACCCCTGGACCGCGCTAACGTCGACACCGACGCCATCATCCCCAAGCAATTCCTCAAGACCATTAAGCGTACGGGCCTAGGCTCGGCCTGTTTCTTTGAGCTCCGCTACACAGACGGCCAAGAAAATCCTGATTTCGTGCTGAACCAGGGCATCTACCGCGATTCCAAGATCCTGGTCGTTACGGGTCCCAACTTCGGGTGCGGTAGCTCGCGTGAGCACGCGCCATGGGCTCTGCTCGACTTCGGTATCAAGTGTATCATCGCGCCGTCCTTCGCCGACATCTTCTTCAACAACACCTTCAAGAACGGCATGCTTCCCGTCGTGGTCTCGGACGAGGCCGCTCTGCAGAAGATCGCCACCGAGGCCCGCGCCGGCCGCGAGGTCGAGGTCGATCTCGTCAGCCAGGAGGTCAAGGATGCCGAGGGCAACAAGATCGTCGGCTTTGACGTCGACGGTTTCCGCAAGCACTGCCTCGTCAACGGCCTCGATGATATCGGCCTCACCCTCCAGATGGAGTCGAAGATCCGCACCTTTGAGGCTAAGCGGAGCCTGGAAACCCCTTGGCTGGATGGCAGCGGCTACCTGAGCCGGGGCCAGCGCGGCGCCACTAGAGTCGATGCGGCCCCTGTCCCCAAGACCAACCGGGGTGACGTGAAGAATGAACCCCTCGAGTGGTAAAGTTGCCCCTCTGGTTGCGGTGCTGATGCGGAGGAGGTGCTTGGATAGAGTAATAAAGGATCTACCTGCATCTTGCCTGTTTTCCTTTCTATTGTTTCCCTTTGAGTCTCAAAAGCTATATCCCCCTGTTGTTCGTGGCTGCCCGTCCTATCTTGTTTTGGACATGGCTATCTCTGGGCTGTTGGCCTGCTGGAGTAGTATACGAACTGAAATGAGAATGAATGACGATCTTCGATCAAACTTTGCAATTTCCTCACCGTAAGCTATGTATATTCACTTGATTTTCTTTTGCTTTTTGCTTTAGAGCTCCACAAAGTGTGGCCGAGAAATAGCATGAGAGGTCATTACATTAGATAGTAATTAGTGCAGACCCAATTGACAACAAAGCAACTCTCGAGATCAAAATGACATAGGAAAGAGAAGTGCGTAAGAAAAGTCGTTCGTCAAAGATGAGACCACTCATTATAGAAACCACTTTGCCGCATCCGAAGAATCCCAAACAAAGGAAATCCAAACACTCGCTCGCCACTTCAAGGCTTCGAGAGCTGCTCTCTGCGGAAGAAGAGAAGGAAGCCGCCGCTATAATGACCATTGTTAGAATGGATTTCAAGACCAGGGTGATGATCACCAGTAAAATAGAGAAGAAGAGACAACATACCAAATGAGAAGCTGGAAAATCAACGCAATCCAAAACCACGCATTCCCTAGCGCACCCGCACCAGCCGTGATATCCGGCGAGATAGGCCCCGGCCCGATTTTATTAGGTGCAAAAGTTCTGGCGCAGATCGTAGCAATGGAGCCTAGCACCTGCGACACAAGAAGCGTGAAGCAGATGTGCATGCGGGTCAAGGTCTGTAGCAGGATCATGCCGAAGCCCAGGCCCTGTAGCGCGTCTAGCACGCCCAGCCAGAGCCACAGACTCCGAGAGACCAGGGCTCCAGAGGTGTAACTCCCTGCCCAGGGCAGGAATAGGCCTGACCCAGAGGTTCCCCACCAGATCTGGGCCCAGCGTGGTGCTCCGAGACCGCAGGCGACGACGGGTAGGATCCAGCTGTGGGATTTGGAGAGCCAACCCAGGAGGAAGAGCACAGCGATCCAGATGAAGCCGAAGAAGGCGATACAGAGGAGGAGGATTTGCCATGGTTTGGCGTGGGTGGAGATCCAGAGGACTGGAAGAGAAGAGATGTTAGTGATCTGTAGTTGATGAAAGTAGGGAAGACAGAATGAGTTCCAAACTTACAGTTCCAGTTCCGACCATAGGGCGCACTCAGGAAGAAATTCTGTAGAATCACCACCACCCAGTTCCAGAGCACGATCTTGCGCCGGAAGACGGATTTATAGAAGGAGGGGACCTTGCCAGGTGTCTGGCGATAGTAGTTCGGCAAGCCAAAGTAAACCAGTAGACCGACGGTCCATAAAAAGACCGTGATGGGCGTACAGATTGCACTAGTCCAACTATTAGCAAAGCGCTCAATCCAGGACAACATAAGAAGATAAAAACATACGTCATTCTCCAGGTATTGGTGATGTTTCCCTGGGCATTGGCGATGCCGGCATTGGTAGCCTTGGTGAGAGTCGAGCCCCAGTACCAAAGCGCAATGACATAGGCCTGCTGCGTGCCCTGGATCAAACACGCACGGAACACCCACTGCTTAACCGGGGCACCGCTCTCGTCACCAAAGTTCAGCGAGAAGAAGATCGAGCCACTCGACGAGGCAGCCGCGTAGACACCACTGCCGACATTCTGAATCCAACCACGGCTGTGTGAATTAGGCTCGAAGTGAGCAAGTCCGATAATCAAGAATGCCAGCCCGTACAGGAACCACGGCACCGTCAGGACAAGCACTGACTTGAAGAACCGGAAGAAGAGCCACCACAGAATCGAGGTGATCAGGTACACGGTTGCAATCCCATACAGCTTCTGTGGCGTCTGGCCCACCTCACCAGTGAGCAGGGTAATCTGGTAGGAATTGGCGGCGATGATCTGTCCGAGACCCAGGAAGAGAGAGTAGACCGGCCACTCCCCGATGCGCATTTGCATCCATTTCTTTAGACCAGTTGGAGGAACGTAGTTTTCTCCCAGTTGGAACTCATCGCCACCTTCCTTTCTCTCCTGGCCTCCGCCTTCGTACGATGTTGTCTCGTCGTTGGCGATAGACCCCGTTGGAGACGCGCCGGCCTTGTCATGGTGCACTGAAGGAACGGGGGATTGGTTGCGGCCCAGACGTGCATCACGGAATTTGTCATACCATTTCTTCTCGCTTTTCTCGAGGTACTGCTCGATGCAGAGCTGGGAGTCGGAGTTGGTGCCATTCAGCTCTTCGAGTCTCTTCTCGAATGCTCGATAGTACTCGCCGTTGCTGTCTGTGAAGAACGGGTCGACCTTTTGCAGCTTGAAGTCTTTCTTGTCGCCCACGACTAAGTCCACTGATAATACAGATGAGCTGCTAAGGCGGCTTCCAGCCTCCGCCCAAGGGCGCGATGGAGGAAGAAGCGTGTCATCGGTTCCGGCAGTGCTGGGGGCTGTCGAACTCGAGGGTGTGTTGATCGAGCGAGCCAACAGGGATCCTTGACTCGAGTGTCGATTCGCTAGCACGTCCTTGGTGAGAGGAATCCCTGCACCCTGGGGGGTCTGCGAAGAGCCCTCCAGTCGCCGTCCTGACTCCGACTCCGGGCCCATGGTGTCCTCATCGTCTCCATAGCAGGTGGACAGCATTTCGTCGTCGCTGTTGTCTTCTGCATCTGGCGATGGAGCTCCAGCATGTTCCTCATTCTCAACAGTGCTGCCCTTGCCGAGGTCGCGCCGGCCGCGTGGTTCCATTTGACCAGAGACAGGCCGCAAACCAAATGACATCTGACGACTCAGCCCTGACTTTGGTCTGCTGTCACCACCGGGACTGGGGTCGCGACTGTAGATAATCGAGCTTCGTTGCAGTGAAGCTACCGTGCCAGGGCGACTGGATGACTGCAGCGGTGGAGTCAATGTGCCACTCGAGGTGCCGGACCTGGTCGATGCAGCAGCCTGTGGTGCCTGTGGAGTCATCATGCCGTAGATAGCATTGTATGCACCCGTGGAAATCGATGACTGACTCTGGGCTTTGGTACGCTCCTTATGATGGATGCGAAGAGCCGTCGACTGCAGGATTTCCAGATCCTCGATCCACTGGGCAACCGGGAAACGCTGTTTGGCTGACCGAGCGCGCATCATCGCTCGTACCTCCGGTTTGGAGTTTAGCGCACTGTCAATAGCCAGTTTGAACTGCTTGAGGAGGTGCGATGTGGTGGTCGACTCGACAGTATACCACCAACCAGGCATCTGACCCAGTCCTCCCACTCGAGCTCCAATACCAAGAGCGCCTTTGCGGCCAAATTCAACAGCGACAAGACCGAACGGCTCATCACGCGAGGGGATCAAGGCGAATTCTGCACCTGAGAAAATGAACGAAGGCAACACAGTGAACTGGGGCTTGGAGAACACGCGGCCAGGATACAGCTTCATCATCCGATCGAGCTTCAGCGCCGCAAACTTGCCATACAAGTCAATGACAGGCCCCACGCAGATCAATTGGACGTTCGGTCGAGCTTCCAGGACCCCCGGCATGACATCGGCGATGAGATCGACTCCCTTCTGCATAGACCACCGGCCAACAAAGACCAGAAGGTCGGCGTTGGGGTTTTGCTGAAGACCAGCCCATTCTTGCGCCTGGCGCTTGAGCTCTGCGCGGCGAGACTCATAGTCATTGTCGACATTGATGTCTCTCTCCTTGGGCAGCTCCTTGTTCCACTCGCCAATATCGGAGGGATCAGGATTCGGTAGGTTGCCGACCTTCTTCAAGCCCCAGAAAATAGGATACCGCGCGTACGAGCGCTTCCCGTACTTCTTCGACACACCAACAGCTCCAAAGCCTTGCTGGTGTAGACGGAGATAGCTCGCGCCGGCATGTAGCAGATTGAATATCTCACCGAATTGGACATAGCGAGTGACGACGTCCATGTCGAGGTTGAACACGGAGCACACCTCGCTCTTTTCCTTTTGGGTCCGCATTGGCCACAACCCTTGGAACTCGGCATTGTGGAGCGACAAGCAAATGGGAACCGTTTCGGGCAGAAGATACAGAGGAGCAATCGAGCCATGGTAGTCATTGACATGGTAGAGGTCCACAGGAAACCGTTTGATAGCCTGCGCAATGCACTGGTTCCAAGCCGAGTAGTAAATGGCACTATCCAAATCGTCCATGCGGGCTGGGTAGGGCTCGATGACCGACTGCTGGCGGAAGACGGGAGCATCCAAGAGGACAAACGTGATGTTCCTCAGGTAGTGGTACTGGATTTTGATCTCGTAGGAATTCCCAAGGATCATGACGAACATGGACTCAGCGGATTTGTCCACTGGGTATTCCACGCCACCGACGCAGGGAATGACCCAGATGAGATCCTGGTGCCCGAGCTGTTTACCCATGAGCTGGGCCATGACGCCCAAACCCCCGATCTTGATTTTGATGCCCCAGTCGTCAAGGTCGTACTCCATCGTCGCGACAAGGACCTTTCGTCGGCGCGATGTCCGGTTTCCAAAGACGGAGGTGCTCTGGAGGAATCGCGACTTGTTGGCTAGCCGTAGGAATGGGTTCTTCGACCCCCACCCTCAAGGTCGGAGACCTTGAATCGGTTCAGGATATCCAGCGAGATGAGTGTTTTCTTTTCACTCACGCCAACCTGGTTGAACTTGATCCGGTAGAAGGTCTTCATGAAGATGTAGGCGCAAGTAGTTGCGGTGATAACCGGTACAATCCAAAGTAAGAAGTAAAGGGCCATCTGGACATATTTCGACCCCGTAGGAAGCAGCTGGAATCGCAAATTCGAGTCGTCCAGGTGAATCTTCCAAGCCAAGTGCGGATTAGGTGGGTGTTGGGTGATATTGATGGTTGTCACACTGAGTGAGGACGGGGGAAGACGGTCAAGGACCGAGTCTCCATCGGAATCTCCGTAAATATAGCTTTGATCGGGCTGGCCGTCCGGATTGATGCCCCAGACGTTGAGTTGTCCCTGGGCGGGCCACTCGGCCATGAAGCGGAAGTTCCACCTGCCCTGGTCATCTTGTCTGACGATGTTGTCCAAGCCAGCATCGTAGCCATACTGGTTGAACGGGCCGTTGAAGAAAAGATGAGGGAACCGGCGCTGAATTGCTGAATTCCAGCCGGTACCGTCACCCTCTTGGAAGTAATCGCTGCTACCAGTGAAGCGACTCCAGTATTCGACTCGAACATGCTTTCCCTTCCACTGCTGCTTCTTTGTCCCTGACCATGGTAGCTCTTTGATTGTTTGGTTTCCACCCTTGTATGGGAGCCAGTCGGAGTATGTGCTGCCCCAGTTGGTGGAATAGCGATACTTGTCAGCCCCAGCCGCGTGCTGTTGAATGTAGAGAGTGCCATTGGGATATTCATGGAGCAGGCGGCTTGAGTAGTTTGCCGAAGTGAATACTAGAGGGTTATCGTTCTGTCCAACCCGGATAAGGAAATGATCAATGGCGCCAGTTGTTCTTCCATCAACACTGGTTGCGTTGCTAACGGTAAGCTTGTGCACACCGTTGTATACGTCGGCGAGCTTAGCCGTCCAAGCCCAGACTGCGGGGATCTGGCCAACGTAAGTGGTGTTTTCCGTAGTGATATTCCGACAATTGATACTATTCAAGTCCACGGAAGGTGCAGTTCCGGGTTCAGTGGATGACTCGAGCGATACTGAGTTTGTGACTGAGGTGCAATTCATCTCAGTTGAGAAATATAAACCGATGTCAAGACTTTCGCTCTGACCCGACGCAGCAGTCGAAAGCAGTGGAATGTCATGTCCCGGGGTAAATTTAGTGATCATTGGCCGAGGGGGCACGAATTTCTGTTTGGGGATGTAAGCCCTAAATTCGTAGGGCTGAAGAGTCAAGCTGTCAAGACAGCCATTGAACTTTGAGGATCCATTCAAATGAAGCTTTGTCGGACCTTCCTGAAGCCTGAACTCATCATGGGGATAGAAAAGATTTTTGACTGTGGTATTAGTATCAAATGGCGCAACCAAGGCTGTGTCTTGGTCACCGCAATCAAACTCATAAGTGACCGTGCGGTTTTCATTCTGATACAACATCCAGACAGTCTGGTTGCCAGTTTCTCCCAGATCTTGCATTTGGTAGTAAGGACTGCGCAACACAGACCACATGCCGGTTTCAGTGGGTTCGCCATTCGAGCCGGGGAGATAGACGTTGCGGGTGTGGTTTGACAGTAGTTGCATCCACCAGCCATCATTCAGAGCCCCGTAGTCCTCTCGCATCTGGTACATGTGCTTGATGATATTTCGCATGGGGTGGGCGGGATCACGGTGGTCGTATGTGACACTATCATCATGGCAGCCCAACCGTCCTGACTGAATAGGCCACTTGTAGTACTGAGTGGAGTTGAGCTGGAAGCAACCATGAGTCTTCCATGCCGTTGCCGGGGACATGGCCTGGCGACCAAAGATATAATTGGAGGCCGAGGCATCCAGGACATAAAATGCCTGCTCTTCTCCCCAGAGAAGCAGAGGAATACCTGGCATGTGCAGGGTCGTGATGAACAGGGCTAACAGCTGTCTCTCAATACCCAGTTCGATGGTCGGCCAACGGAACACGTCCTGGTTTGTGGCTCCATACATGTGGCGAGGATCAAACTTGCCGGTGTTGGCATTTATCATGTCATTAGTGAGTACCATTTCATACCAGGCTTGGGTCCAGTTGACAGGGACATCGTAGCCAGCAGCAAGGTTGCCGTCCATGCCCAGGAACCGGGTAAGGGAGCGATACACCGAATAGTGAAACGCAGCGCCATCGATGGCCTGCTTGTTGTCATCACGAATGAAGTACGTCGAATCCGAGGAATTTGTCATGTGGAATGCCTTGTCGAGGGTGTCCGGCTGCATGTCTGGCTGGCGACCACGGCCAAGGAAGATAGAGCCAAACGTGTTTCCACCGGTGATTTCCCCGGGGAGGAAGAAGTTCTCTTTTCCAACTCGTCGAGCACACCCGCGGTACGCACCGGAGATATCACCCATGGCATCCACTGTGGCCTGGGTGGCCTTGTCATATCGGAAGCCATCGATGTCTAATGAGGAAATGATCATACAAGAGTGACGGATGAGCCGCTCTCTGACGCTGGGGACCCATTCTCGCAGACGATCCTGCACAGAGGCGAACTTGGCCAGTTCACGCTTCCAGTCCGGGAAGACTCCAAAGGCTTCAATGTCACCGTACTGATCGAAGTCGCTGTCGTAGCAGCCACCTAGCTCGTCCCACACGTATTGGTCCACGGGGTAACCTGTTTCATTCCAAAAACGAGGATAGTCGCATGTTTCGTTGTAGGTGTTGCCAAACTCGAAATCAACATAATGCCGGTCTGATTTCCACATGGCCTTGTGCTCCTTGAGAGTGAATGGCGTCGTGGTATTGAGGTAGCCCTCAAAGCCGATGAGGTCTCCCATTCTAGATGTCAATTAGTACGCTCGGCTGAAAGGCAAATTGCTTGGTTCCTGGGAGTACTTACGTCGACACGGTGTTGTCAAATATGACATACATCCCGCGGTTGTGGATCTCCGTAATTGCATTTCTCCATGCTTGCAGAGTCCCGAAATGCTGATCAAGCAGAGTGGTGTCGAGAGCCGAGTAGCCATCAGATCCCCATGGCTGGTTCATTAAAACCAGACCTGCGAGATAGATACCCTGGCAAGGCTAAGATAAGCAAAAAGACATCAATGAATTAGATCTATGAAATTATACTTACCTTGATCCCCATTCCCTGTAGATAGTCCAAAGTATCAATCAAGCCAGCAACGTCGCCGCCATGGCGCATTTGATTCGAATTTAGATCGTGTTCAAAGAGAGTACCATTAATGTTGTCGTTCGTGGGGTCACCATTAACGAATCTGTCCAGGAAGAGTGTATATACAGGGAAGCGCCAATTTTCGGGCGAGGGGAAGTAGGTGTGGTTGGGCCATTCTCCCCAGTATTCGGCGGGATTTCTGGCGGCTTTGTTTTCATTGAGGTTGTATTCAACCAGGGACTCGTCGTAGGGCCAACATTTTACCGTTGCTGCATAGAGGGCAAGCAGGGCGCTTGTATACCTCCAATGCATGGTAGCCGATCACTCTCAGAAGCCGGTTGCTGCGTTTAAACTGACAGCATGTGTTGAGGGCGTGAAGTGGAGATAGGAAGAAAGTGTATATCAGCTTTTCAAAGAGGGAATTCAAAGCGATACTATGCCTTGTTCTTTGGTCAGTGCAAAGTTGTCGAGCGTAAGGTGGCCCGGGGAGACAGGGAACTACAACCCTAGACTCAAACAAAACCTTTGCTCATAGCAGCAAAAGAATAAAAGCAACTCACCACCAATGAAACCGAGGGTCTGCTTGTCAGAATACAAAGCGGGATATTGCAGGACGGGGAGAGACGACGAAGTAGAAACCGAGTATCAACAATGAGCCACAAGCATTCTCAACCGCAATGGATTTTACCTAAGGTGCTTTCCGGTTGAGCTAGTCCTTGGCTGAAGAGGAAAAGAAAAGAAAGAAAAGAGGAAAATCGACGAGTATAATAGAATTAATAAAAGGAATCGGAGAATAACAAGTGTGCGTTGGACACCAGCAACTAAACCTCCCAGCTGAGGTCGGATCCCACAGCATACTGGAAAGGAAACTTTATGTGCCTTTTTTTTTCTTGTCTCTACATCACACAAAGTACACAATTGAATCGCCTCGACCTGTGTCTGAAGCTTGACAATGTGGAGGCTTTCGCGGAGCCTTGAGACCGGAATGAACGGTGAGAGCCGAAGAGACTTGCTGATAGGGGGCAGTGACCTCGGGGAGGTTGTCTGTCTAGATCTTTCCGTGCTATGATTACAAGCACCCTGGTTGACAGAAAGCTATTTCCAGAGATTGTGGGGCTTGGGAAACGCCCATCCAGTACTTGTCTTACGAGATGTCGCCTACCGTTCGGGGGCTCCCAGCAACATTGGTGTTTCTGCAGTGCCGAAAACCCTTCTGGGATGGTCTTGTCTCGACAATATCTACCGTGCAATCCATGTAATGGATGTACGACAGGGCTCCGTGATACTCGATCATGGATGGTAGTGACCAAAGCAATGGTTGAGTGATGTAGATCGGCGCGGAGTATGCATCGTTGGTCCACGATCGGTCCGATTCAAACCTCAACTGTCAATAGATCTGGATATTTTTTTTGCTTCCGATCAACCTGCTGCACAGGCTTACATCATTCGATTAGTGATGATTGCATTGCCCAGGTGGAATTGGATCTTCCCGAAGCCCTAATTGCAGTTTGGGTCCGGTGTTGTTTTTGTAGTGTTGAAACAGATAACGTTTCATGTGAGCAGCTTTTGAGAATCTTGTACCATCAGGAGAGAAGAAGGACACAATACCTAGTAGGAAAGATAGAGGAAAGTTTGGTCTTCCCCTCAGGGGACTCGTCATGTCCGGGGTTGCTATCTCGCCTGCCATTGCATCGGCGCCCAGAGAGATATGGAGTACCTATACAAGGTCCGTGCCTCTCTTTACTCTGCAAATGATGGATCTAATTGGAGACTTTCTGCGTATCATTTCCACTTTGGGCCATGATATTTGATCCCTGGACGAAGTGGCCAGGTAACGGTGACATTTGTCAAAGCCATTGCTAGAAAACCCTTGGTTTAAACCAATCAAAGAATCTATCAATCGTGCTTGTTTCTTCCTCGCATACAGTACTCACATGGTTTGGTGTCTCTGATGGTCCATCGTGGGCACCGGAATGGCCAGCCGGTGTTGATCGGGCCCATCCCTGCGTTTCCTGGCATCACAGCCTTTGAAGCTTTTGCAGTGATTGTCTCGATTTCATTGGCTTTCTCTATTCCATATCCTCCTATTCCTCCATGGCTCCCATTATTTTACAATTGCGAAGTGCTCCCAATCTGAGAGGAGATGGTGAGGTGAGGTTGGCGCGGGATTGGATTGATTGGTCGATCCTCATACCTTCGACTCTTGTATATGAAAGTACTGCCATGTAGCTATCGGCATTTGATCAGTTTGTCTCAGTAATTAGTAATGCAGGGAATTGGAACAAACCCAGTTTATCTTCCATAAGCTTGTTGTGCTGTGGATATGCTCTGCGCAGCGGAGATGAGCTTTCAACGGAACCGTTGGGGGTATGAGGATAGAAACTTTTGTGCTCAGCTGAATATTGTGGCTACTTTCTGGGAATGAGACTGGTCTACACACAGCGGGATAGTCACATCGTGAATCTTTGACAGGGTCCAGATCCTCAGCCAGCATAGTACATCCTCTATCCAGGGAACCATGGCAATTTTGGAAACTAAAGTATAACAAATGCGAGGCTGTTCACTCCTACACTGTAGCTTTAAGGGACGAGAGGTTTATGGTTGGCTAGCAGAAGACCCATAATGTTTACATCCGTTCATTCTTTATCTTCCAAACTATACTTGGGGTCCGACGAACACCATAGCAAAGGCCTTACTTCTATCCCGACATCAAGTCAGTCATCGGGATTTGCAATCCAGAATCCACTCTCCAGGCTAATGGATCTATTCACAAATATTATCAAGCATCGTTCTCATCGGCTGCGATCATATCCACAACCAGGGCCACTTTGAGCCTCTCGATCCGTTAATACACAAGGAGTGCGTTGTCGCTAGATGGGCCATATCGAAAACTCCAGACCTGTATATAAGGCTTTGTGACACGTCGAGAGCCACTGGGAGGTCACCGGAAGCTGTGCTCTCTCACGCCTCTCGCTAGACAACCCCCAATCACAAGGTGCAGTAGCCCATCCCCGTACAATCTTGGGCCATGCTCAACAAGATCCAGATCTTATTCGCCATCTACTTCTTTTCGCAAGCCCTCATCTGCAGCCAGTGCTTCGGAATATTTCTCCCAAGGGCGTTCGGTGATTCTGTTATCTCGGCATCTCGAAGGGTGCATGTTGACTTCCCCACTCGTACGGTACATGCGCGGCCTTTGTGGATGTGTCCTCCAGAGTGAATGGTCTGAGCGCGATCACCTCATTACATTCACAATGAGGAGTTGGTCCCTGCGATCGAATTCTGTTTATCTCGGGAACTTCTGTCCAACCCGGCTGAGGACATCCAAGGGATCGTGCTGTGAGTGTGACCTTGTTCGCGCAACCTGATCGATCTCGAATGCTTTGACAAATCACGGCACACAACTTCGTCAATCGCCATTGGGTTTTCTCTGATACATGGATGTGCTATGCAGACATTCCGGCTGCCGGGTGCAATGACGCAATCAGGGGGTGTGTTGGACGGAGAATATCTCGAGGAATTGCTGGAGATTTGAAGAGATAACAATGTCAATCATCGAGGTTATAGTTTATAGTTTCATTTTGCTCAAAAAGACTTGCCTTGAGGGTAGCACTTATGATCGACCTTCCTGGGTCCCCGATTGGAGTGAAAAAATAAAAAGAGATCTTGTCTAAGAAGACAGTGCCACCTGTTCGTGGGAGACCCTGGTCCAACATGGCTGATCGACCAGTGAGCGGCGGTCCTCCGGCGATGATCATGTTTTAGATCTGGTCAACATAGAGATCTTGCTATACATGGAGACTCCTCTCTCGTAATTAATCTTTGTCTAGAATATATTGCTATTAATCAATGCTAGAGACCCCTCGAAGGCCCTGCAATGAATGGCCATACACTATCTTCGAATGTATATGGTTCAATCATTCAATGGAGATATTGCGAGGCCAACTCCAAACTACCCTGGTATCATTTGTCTTTCTTTTTTTCATATATCCGTTGATCATGTCTATCAGATTCCATCGGCCGCAGTTTACTCTGCGCCGTAGCGGGCACGGTAATCCTTGAGCCGCTGGACCTCCCCTTCGCCGATCTTGTCACCCAGCTTCTCAATCAGGTCATGCAGACCAATCACCGAGCGGATGGGAATTTTTCCACCAAGGTCCCGCTGCGCCACACCCACGGCGCTCTTGGGCTCAGCATCACTGACCCGCTCCTCGCGATCCAGCAGGACCACCACACCAGCGACGATACCGCCCTCGTTCTCGATGATGCCGACGGCTTCACGCAGCGCCGTCCCGGCCGTGATGACATCGTCGACAATGACCACGCGCTTGCCCTTGAGCGGCGCGCCGACGATGTTCCCGCCCTCTCCGTGGGCCTTGGCCTCCTTGCGGTTGAATGAGTAGCTGACATTGTCCCAGACACCCTTGTCAGAGCCAGACAGCGAGTCGCGCACCGCGAGCTCGTTGGTCACGGCCGCGCTGATCGGAATGCCCTTGTAGGCGGGCCCGAAGATGATGTCGAAGTTGGGGGTGGTGATGCCGTTGGCGGTGGTGACGAACGGTTCCGACGACAGCACACTCGCGTAGGCAGCAGAAGTGGCGCGCAGCAGCGGCGCAGTGTGTAGGAGAGAGGAGGTGAAGAAGTAAGGCGACTCACGGCCGGATTTCAAGACGTAGGTGCCGAACGACAGGACATTGTTGGACATCAGCAACGGCAACAGCGTCGCCTTATAGTCCTGATCGGCGGAGGGAGGAGGAATGGCCGACATTTCGTTTTTGCTTCTGCTGGTTTCGTTCGCAACAAACGTGGTTCGCAGAGGAAGAAGAGAGAAATGATCGCGGGCGGGGACCCGATAAGAAGGAAAATTGCCCCCCTCGGAAATTTTTTTTCATGGAGGGGCACGAGGGGCCATGCCAAATCGCAGTGTCGCTCTCTCCATCAAGTGAGAAGTCCATTCGAGTCCTTTGTAGCTTTCAACTTTGAATTCTTGCAATTTGTATAAAAAATCCCTCGATCGCCAGAGACCACGTGCCTGGCCTCCGAAGGTCGGCCTTCCCCGCCAACTCACCGGACTGTTTTTTCCCTCAACATCCCCGCCAAGCTTCATTCTCTACCCATTCCTAACTTTCCCCTTCTCCTTTCTCTTCATTCCTTTCGTTCTCCCTTCCTGGGTGGTCCTTGTTCCAATCTAGGCTTGGGTGTCACGGTGCACAAGTCGGGAAACCCGGTGATTGCAAACCCCGAGACGCTGCAAGCTAGCTGCAGAAGAACGTGTCTGATCTGCAAAAGTGCCGCAGTCCTGGATGAAATCAATTGGTTGTTGTTGTTATCGGTATGCTTATTTATTTTGAGGAGTAATGAGGAACCCCTCTATCCCTTGTTGACCTCGAATGGGCAAGTTAGGTTAAGATGCTAATAGAAACCGCGGGGGCAGATTGACGCGACACGATGCATATCCGTGAGAAGCTCGCGCAAAAGGAGGCCGCGGGGGAGCCCGGGATCTCTTTTGAGTTCTTCCCTCCCAAAACGGCCCAGGGTGTACAGAATCTCTACGACCGAATGGACCGTATGCATGGATTGGGCCCCTCGTTCATCGATGTCACCTGGGGTGCGGGCGGTCGCTTGTCGGATTTGACTTGCGAGATGGTCGGTGTGGCACAGTCAGTGTATGGGCTGGAGACATGTATGCATTTGACTTGCACGGATATGCCGCGGGAAAAGGTCGATGAAGCGCTCCAGGCCGCCTACAAGGCCGGCTGCACCAATATCCTAGCGCTACGAGGTGACCCTCCCCGTGAGAAGGAGACATGGGAGGCGGCTGATGGGGGGTTCCGCTATGCTAAGGATCTGGTCAAGTATATCCGCGAAAAATATGGTAACCACTTCGACATTGGTGTGGGAGGCTATCCCGAGGGTGCCGATGATAACCCGGACGTGGACCTTTTGATCGACCACTTGAAGGAAAAGGTGGATGCGGGCAGTTCCTTCGTGATTACTCAGATGTTTTATGATGCCGACAACTTCATCGAATGGGTGAAGAAGTGCCGGGCCAAGGGAGTCAATGTGCCCATCATCCCCGGTATCATGCCGATTCAGACCTATGCTGCCTTCATTCGCCGATCGAACTGGACCAAGACTCGCGTGCCACCGGAATGGATGGCCGCTTTGGACCCGGTGAAGAATGATGATGCTGCGGTCCGCGACATTGGGAAGAACTTGATTGCCGAGATGTGCAGGAAGCTCATGGCTTCGGGTATTAACCATCTGCACTTGTGAGTCTCTTTTTTGCTCGCCTTCAAATATTGAAGTCACTAACAATTGTTGATTAGCTACACGATGAACTTGGCTCAGGCTACTCGGTTGGTCTTGGAAGAGCTGGGACTTGCACCGTCCGAGGAATCTCCCATCCAAAGACCTTTGCCGTGGCGGCCGTCCCTTGGTCTCGGCCGCCGAACGGAGGATGTGCGCCCAGTGTTCTGGCGCAACCGCAACTCATCGTACGTCGCTCGCACGCAGACGTGGGATGAATACCCCAACGGCCGCTGGACCGACTCCCGGTCCCCTGCGTTCGGTGAGCTCGACGCCTACGGTGTCGGCCTCAAGGGTACGAATGAGCAGAATATCAAGCTTTGGGGCGAACCCAAATCGGTCAAGGACTTGTCCGATATCTTTATTCGCTTCCTGAAGGGCGGATTGGACCGACTCCCCTGGAGTGACAGCCCGATCTCCACGGAAGCAAATGATATCAAGGACAGCTTGATCAACCTGAACCGGAGGGGGTTCCTCTCCATCAACTCTCAGCCGGCCGTCAACGGGGTGAAATCCTCCCACCCAGTGTACGGCTGGGGCCCGAAGAATGGATTCGTCTACCAGAAAGCCTATCTGGAGCTTCTGGTGCCCTCCTATTTGATCGATGAATTGGTCGCTCGCATCGAGAAGAACGAAGACCTGACGTACCATGCCGTCCGGAAGACCGGCGAGCTGCGCACCAACACAGAGGACAGCCCCAACGCCTTGACATGGGGTATCTTTGCTGGACGGGAGATCATCCAGCCGACTATTGTCGAGACCGTTAGTTTCATGGCATGGAGAGACGAGGCCTATCGACTAGGCGAGGACTGGTCCAAGTGCCATGATGCCGCCAGTCCCAGCCGAAAGCTGATCCAACAGGTCATGGACGACTGGTACCTGGTCAACATCGGTAAGCTACGAGATAGAATGGTTTGATCTAGTGCCTCGTTTTACTAATGTTTGTTCTAGTGGACAACGACTTCCACCGGACGAATGTTGTTTTCGACCTCTTCAATGACCTGGAAGTTAAGGACTTGAACGTCGAGCTGCCCGGCAAGCCCGAGCAGAATGGCGTCGCCGAGCAAAACGGCACAGCAAAGAACTAATGTTCTTTCTTTCCCACTTCAACCGGGACTTGATGCCGGTCATGAGAGCAAGTGCCATTGTCCACCCGGCTCCTACCTTTCCCTCCATTTATTATAAACCCTTTCCCTAATTCAACATCTACTCATCTCAACGATAATGAGTCCCGATCAACCTCAACCCCCATTCCAACAATCTCCACCTCGGGCTCCCCTGCAGTGTTTTTGTCATGGCATTACGACTGAAGACCTCTCAACGATTTCTTCCTAAGCGTTCACTTCTCTTTTCTTTCTTTTCACCTCTTCTCTCTCCTATTTTCAACACACAACATTTTCCAATGTACCGATACCCCGTCTCTTTAACAAAAGGCGCTTCAAATATCCAGTTCCTATTCTGTTTAAGCTTCGTTTCTCCACGTCACGAGAAAGGCCCGGTGTCTTCTTGTGTTTTTCTTTTCTGGGTGGGCTATCTATCCGGAAAGAGTTGAGTGGTGAAGCAGCAACAGAATGAACAAAAGACATAACCCAAAAATTCAACATGATAATTCTTCCTCGGAGGTTTTCCTCCTCTTCTTCTCTTTTCCGTTCACTTGAGATTCTCGCGGCTGCAATGGCGGACATCTGCCTCGTCGCTTCCGTCCGGGTTTTGATCATTTTCCGCGATCTATATGTCCTTTTTCTTTTCCATGTGCCTCTTTGTTTTCTGTAATTTGTCTTATTTGTGCAATCATCTCTCTCGGGGCTTAGGTAGCATAAAGCACTCATTCAACACCGGGACGGAGTCAGGTTTCTACTACAATATAGCATCCACTTCTACGAAACCACAAGGATCCAATGCAAACCAGGGAAAAGAAAAAGAAAAAGAACAGAAAAAAGCTTCATTTTCTCCCTCTTCAACACGGGAATGTAAAGAGGTACTGAAGAACAGCTAGACCGAAGGACCTGAATCTGATCACTAGAATACCAATGCCAAACCCATGTTTGAACTATTGAATAGCCTTATTGAAGCAACCCCAGAGAAACCAAAAGACTAGAAAGAACAAGATGTGAGACTATCAAGGTTAATTGCGTATGTAAATAAAATAAGAATGACTTAGGAATAGACAAAGACAAAACGAATGGATCCAAGTCCCCTCGACGGCCGAATTACCCCAATAGAGCAAGAAACCAGGCAAAGATAGAGAGGCAAGGAACAAGACAAATGCGATGCTTTCCAAAGCCAGACGTACAGTACAGCAATCTTACAGGGCATCTCAACAACAAACCCGATGAACTAGGCAGGGATAGCAAGGGAATCGGGCTCAAGTGAACAGAGCCCGGCCGACGCACTGAAAAGCCCAAGCAAAGGGCCTAGCGAACCAGAAGAGCCAACTGCCAACAAGAACCACATAGCTTGTAGCGCGGCTGACGACAAGGGCTCCAAATCCCAAAATGACGAGATACACAACTGCCTGCAGGAATTCAACTAGAAAGCGGCTGATGGCTTGGTCGTTGCGAGCCTTGGGCCAGGATCCCGTGGCCTGGTACCGCGAGATGGCAGAGTAAATCACGCGAAAGGTACGGTAGCAATGGCGCGTCATGTTCAATACGTTGCTCAGCACAAACTTTGTGTAAGGACTATGCGTCCACTGGCGGCCGCGTTGGTGCATGTGCGACACGGCGACGACGAGCATCTCGAGCATGGCCGAAAGGGCCAGGGGATTCACGCTGTCTTTCTCCGATTCCTCGGCTTCCTGCGAGTGCAACTCGTGCGGGTCTGCGCCGACGTCCGTGATGTTCGACTGGAGGGGCTGTTCTTCCTTAGGACTCGCTACCTGTTGGCCATCTAACTCGGCGATTTCAACCACTTTAGTGGCACGGACCGGTGGTTGCAACTTGAGCTCCTTTTTTCGTGATAACGATTTTTCTGAGGAAGCTGGCTTGGATTGGGCCGGTTTGGAGGGTGGCGATTTGGATGATGGTGGCTTGGACGACGGCTTGGATGAGACCGATGCAGTCTCATTTGCAGACTGAAATGATTTGTCGGACCGGGATGATTCAGAATTGTCCCGAGAGGGCACTGTTGCTGGGGAAATTGGCGACACCTTTCGGTCCTGGCGGTTGAGAGACCCATTGCCAGTGCGCAGGGACTCAGCCCGGTTCCGCAAGGACTCCGTCCCATTACGGAGGATCGTGGCGAGGCTATCGGTGGGGGATCTCACGATCCCGCTGGATCTTGCCAGCCCGGAAGTACGGATGAACCCACGGATAGAATTCGGCACTTGGGCGCTGGATCGCTCTGGCTCGGGTTTGTCTTTCGCCGTGGGGATGCTGCTGAGCTGCGACGTTTTGGAGGATGGCAGCGAGGGCGTGGTCGATTTCTCGTTCGCGGCTCCTGTCGCGGGTCGTAACCCGGACGGTGTAGAGACCATCTGAGCCTTCGTGCGAACGGCCTTGATGGCTTCGGCGGTACCGGAGGGGGAAGTGCCACCAGGACGCCGCAAGCCTTGCGGCTTTGGCGCGGAAGCCTTGGATTCTGGCGTGGGAATCATAGTGCGCGTGATAGTGGGTGTGATAATGAACACATCGTCTTCTCCGCGGCCGTCTTCCAGTTTTTCGGGTGGGTTTGGTGAGCTGGCTGTAGGGCGGGAATTCTCCTTGCACTGGTCCTGGAGTTCGTTCCTCGTTGCGGGTTGCGGGCATTTGAGATCCTGGCACATCATCGTTGACTGCTTCGAGCATTGGACATGCTTCAAATTCTGAGAAGTTTGTAGCCTGTCTTCTTGCAGAGCGGTCTGCTGTTCTGTGGTCGTCGCCGTCTGATATGCGCTGGCCTTCTTCTCCTTCTGCTTGGCTTTGGAGGCTGGAGCTAGTGGACGAGGTTGCAAATTGGAGACATCTTCGGTTGACGAGAACAGAAGAATCTCGTCTGGGTTTTTCTCGTCGGGTTTCTTCTCGCTGGAGCCGTTGATTTCCTTGCACCCTAAAAAAGAACCATCCATGTTCGTATATCGCTTTTCTCTGCCTTTATTGGCAGGAGACTCCTCCCAGATGGTGCTAATCCGGCTTTGCCCAATCTCGTCCGGGCTATAGTAGTGGCGTGCGCCCTGCGGTTGAGTCGCTGCGGGCTGTGGAGGTGCCTGCGGCTGGGACGGTATGGGATGCCCATCGTAGGCTTGGAAATGCTCTGGCTTTTGATATTCCTGCGGCGAAGGACTCGTTTTTCCTTCAGGGGTCACGTTTCGTGGGCTGGGATTTGCCTCGGGGTCCAACATGTCACCACCTCGTTGGTGCACTCGCTCAATACTTTGCTGGTACTCGGCTATTTGCTGTGCAGTCATTGTGGGCGGGTTGGGATCTTTGGCTGTTGGCATATTGACGACGAATCTGTCCTCCCATTCGGTCATGGAACTATCATCGGCAGACACCGGGGAGACGGACGGGTGCGAATATGGACTCGAGTCTGTAGTCGTGTCCGTCTTCTCCGACTTTTGTGGTGTAGTCTCACTGACATCCATGTTGACCCACTGGTCGCCTTGCATCCGCCACTTTTTCTGACTTTCTCCAGGACAAAAGCCATCAGTGCGTGAGCTGTATGCAGGACTGCTGTTGTTGGCACTGGGGCTCGAGATTCCGGTCCGATGACTGGCCCCCGGGTGTGCATCTGATCCTCGCGAGTCGTACGCGCGGTATATCTGGTCTGGTGCCATGCTGATCCATAGCTCGGTAGATCGGTCTTCTCGTGCTCGTTGTCTTTGTCCTTGTTTCTGAACTTGTTGGACAAGGGTGATTCCTTTTCGAACTTGTCTCGCAGCTTTCGCCAGTACTGGTCCCGGTTTTTGGACTGGTCTCCTGAGGACGCCGACGAGCCGCCTAGGGGTGCCGGCTTGGGGATCCCAGTTGGGCTCGGCGTCTCACGCCGCCCATCCTTGTTTTTCTCTGCCCAGGTCCTAGGGACGGGAAGCTTGGTTTGCTTCGCCCGCTGGAACATTTTTCCAGATGGGTCTCTCGATTCAGCGTATTCTGGAGTTCTTACAGAATGAGTGACGTGAGGCGGCGGCGTTGTTGACGGCTCCGTTGTCGTTGGATGGTATTCGCCTCGATAGGCTCGGTATGGGCTTTTGCGTTGGGGTCGTGGTGAAAGATTCACGAGGTGACCATCAGGCAGTTCGACACGACTTGCAGTGTCCATCTTGGATCGAGGACAGCAATAGCTAATGGTCCCGACTCTCAGGCCAGATAGCAACCGTGAACAGGCCCATGCCGTCCCAAAACAGTCGTTTCGGGGCCTTGGAGTGTGAGGGATGTCGCGCGTTCGGCCGTGTTGTCGACGTCGGCTGTCTGGCTAGAAAGGATCGGTGGCCACCGGGGCTAGACAAGTGACAGAAGCAGAGAACGCGCGGGGTCATGGATCCCAGAGCAGCCAATTCAAAGTTCTGGGCCAGCGGTCGCGATTCTCAACGCGTAAGAATAGGGCGTTCTCGTTGGTTGGAATGGTATGCGGCCACCGAGGAATGCCCATCCCCGGGGCGGAATGCTTCAACCCGCCGAGTGGTGGAATGACGACCTTATCGGTCGCAGGTTGCTCTTGCCTGAAAATCACATTGTTTGTAGAGAGAAGTTACATGGTCGGGCAGAAAGTGCGATGCACCTGTCTGATATCAACTCATATGGCCAGTCGTCGGATAAGAGCATTCATTGGGAATGAAGGACCAAGGCTCTAGAGTGTCAACCCACATTCTCCGACGAGGCAAAGCTGTCGATAAGAGAGGGAAAAAAATGGCACACAAAGCCACATGTGGTAAAACGTCAATGAGAAATGTACGATAGTTCTCCCAGCCTGCTTCAAAACCGAGCAAGGAGATATAGGGTGTGTCTGTGACGCATATCAGATCTCATAACAGGGAAAAAAGGCATTTGATCATTCATTTGTTTTAGAACCGGCCCGTGTCGCGACGGATGTTGAGGCTACCTGGTCTATGGACTCCGGCCGGGTTCAACGGTGCCGCTACGCTGCTTCGTTTGAGCGGGCTGGGTGGTCGCTTCAGCGGACTCGTGCCTTGCTCCCTGTAGAAAAAGTCCCCGTTGCTTTGCACTCGGCGGTCAAATGCAGTCGTTGCCGACTTCCTCAATGGAGAGTTGGCATGCGAATAAACTCCAAGACTCCCTCCATCACCTGTACGGGACGAATTGGGTCGGAATTGCGGCTGTCGCATGGTGGTGCTGCCGGTTCTAACAAGAGGGGAAGCATCGCGAGACAAATTGGGGGTGTTCAATGATGGCTGGGCTTGGAAGATCGAAGAGGAGCTTGTAGTAGACGTGCTTGTTGGTCGTCTAGGGGAAATTCCTTCGGGATCGACGTGGCTGGCGTAGTTCGGGTTAGGGCTGGTCTTGAAGCCCCGGTTAATTATAAAGGTCGGGGTGTACACATCGACCTTGTTGTCTTTGGTCTCGGTAGCCGCTGGTGTGATACTTGCATCTGAAAACTGAGTACCGACATCCCGCATCAAGGGCTGTGTCCGAGGGTGAACGTATTTGGTGTCGTATTCCTTCAACACTTCTTTGTGCACCAACATCGAATCTTTCGCTTGCTGTGTATATAAAGAGGACATGAACGAGAGCTGCACCGAGAGTAGGGTTGTCAAGACGATGGTCGTCACGATTGTCACGCTCGGGCGGGGATCAGAGAGCTGAGTCGGCAGGAAGAGCCAATAAACCAAGACGTGACCAGGGCTAAACAAGCAGAATAGCCGCAGACAGAAGGCCGGGGGGTCCCAAATGGCAAGTTCCCACACATCCCGGCGCGCATCCGGGTGGGCTCTCGACTCAGCCGATTCAGTTGACATCGCATTGGCAAGGTATCGCAGGGGGGACGAGGTCATCGGACTGGAATCGACTCGCACGCGGTGGGCAGACGGTGTTGCCGGGGTTTTATCAATCGGCGCCTCGAACATGCGGTAACGTCGTGTGCGATAGAAGGTGTAGATGCCATTCGCCGCCGAGCCCAGAGCCAGTAAATGAACAACGAATGAGGCCTGGACGAAATTAGAGTCAGCTAGAGATTCCAACCACATAGATTGATGTTGTATTTCGACGATAGAGGCCAAAACACAGTTCTGTTGTTGCTTCACGTACCAGCCAGCTGAGCCAAGGCACGCCTTCCTCCTCTCCAAACACATCGTCGATAGCCTTGCTACCACTGGATCGGCTATTTGCCCGCGCAATCAAGAAGACCACATTGATCATGATGCCGGTGGGCAACGCCCATTCTTTCTCCCGTTGATCCCAGTCACTGGCGTCCATCTCCTCCGACAGCCAAAGTAAGAAGTCCCACGGGTTCAAGTAGGATTGAATGCGCTCCGCCAGCGGACGGCGGCGCACGAGACGAGGCATGGCAGATGCAGAGAGATCAGAGACAGAAGCTGTTTCTCAGCTTCGTCTCATGCGACAGGTCGAAGCAGAAACATCCAGCGCTGAAAGTAGAAACAAAAAAAAGGGTCGAGACTGAAGTAAACAAAATTGCATCAGCTTACGTAAACGCCTCTCGGCGATAACCCGCGATCAGCGGACCTCTCCAACAAGCTCTTTGAACGAGTCTCCATTTCGAGGTTCGATTCTGTGAGAAGCGCTCTTTGCCCAGTTTCTTGATCTTGTCACTCCTTACGCTTTGATCATGGCGGCGTCGGCCGCAACTCACAAGGTACTTAGAACCAGCCTGAGGCAACTGAAGCAACCCCTCCGATAGCATGGCTAACCGTCTTGGACTGCAGGAGCGGCAATTCCTTGCCGTCATTGGCGATGAAGAGTAATAATTGCCCTGCTTCCTCCGTCTCATGCGACTGCGATTATGGCAAGCTAACTAGCGGCAACTGTGCAGCTCCGTCACCGGTCTTCTCCTTGCTGGTATCGGGGTATGTGTCCCAACGATATTCTAGAAGCTTCAAGTGCGACTACGAAGAGCACTCATACTAATCATGGATCTTTCATTCCAGCATGTGACCGACGGACCGGACGCCCAAAGAAACTTCCTCGTCGTCGATTCCAAGACCGAAACCTCCGAGATTGAACGGGCATTCCAGAGCTTCACCCAAGACCGGAAAGATATTGCCGTGGTCCTGATCAACCAGCACGTAGGTTGAGGCAGTTTATTTCCACCTTTTTTGCTGATGACATGGATTGGTTTACTGACACTGGCCCCGTCTATATAGGTCGCAGAGCGCATCCGTCACAGCGTCGACGCATTCGCCGAACCCTTCCCCGCCGTTCTGGAGATCCCCAGTAAAGACCACCCCTACGATCCCGAGAAAGACAGTGTCCTCAAGCGAGTACGACGTTTGTTTGGCGAGTAAGCCCGAAAATATTCAAGTGATTACGTCTGTCTTTGTACCATTGTGTTTCTTCGGAATCCTCCGGCGCTCTATTATCTGCGATTTCGGATTTTATGAATCTCTCAGCATTCCTGTTGAGACCGACTGTGAGGCAAGAAGGGCGGCGAGAAGGTTTAAGAGGGAAGATACCCAGCACGTCTGAAATAAGCATGCATATACAATCTCAATACATTCAATCTCGGACATTTCTATGGATCAAGCTTTTTCTACGGTGTCAGCGCAAATATCTAGCCACCTGCTCATAACTTCGATCACGACCTGTAATTTGCACGTCTAGATCCTTGTAGATGGTAGCAGTGAAAGTCATTGTTGTCCAAAGATACACAAAAGCAGGATGAGTTGCAAAGTGGGCTTAGAGGGCCCTTGACGGAACAAGAACAGAGATGCATAGCAAGCGGCGACGAAAGTAAAATCATGGTGATATCCGAAAATACTGCAGGGCGTATCGAAAGGTAAAAAGATGACATATGGGGAAAAGCAGCCAAGGTCATAAGGAAGCAGACATAACAAAAAGAAGATCGTTGCTAGCGTTGAATTCCCGAACCAATACAGAGCGAATGGTCCTGCGGTTTAAGCAAACGGGAAGCGGCCACCTGATGCATGGATGCAAGGATATCTAAAAGATCAACGGCAACATTACAGATGGAACTCGATGTTGTCCGCGCGCAGGCAAGTAACCTGCCTCTGATCCTTGGTGTAAACATCAGCCAGGACGGAGTATTTGCCCTGAAAGAGGAGATATTAGCATGGGTCCTCAGCTGTTCGAAAAATCCTCGACCTACCGGTGGGATGTTCTTAGGCAAGTCCACCTGCTTCGTCAAGGTCATCTGACCCTTCTCTAGAGGACATTTCAGGTCGACGTTGGAGATTTGATCACACAGATCGACCGTCTGCTTCAGCAGAGTGATGATACCCCATTTCACTTCCAGGCTCACGGTAGCGCCCTTCTCGATCCGGTCAAGGAAGGTGCCCTGGGCTTTGATAGTCAAGGTTTGGCCTCTGTCACAAAGAAAATGTCAGCCGAATGTTTTTTTTAGTGGGAGCAAAATCGCATAATATCCGGAGAGCTGTGTGACGTACGGTTTCGGGGGTTGGGCGACAAATTCACCGATTCGATCTGGAGTAGGTGGTTGGCTGGGTTGGCGCAGTACAGCAACGGGTTGTTCCCCTCGACGGGGAAATCCTGGACGGGATCGACTTTGAGCGGAGTTTGTGAGGGATCGAAGAAGGAGAAGGAGGCAGCTGTGGTGAGGGGAGCCGCCAGGATGAGAAGGCTGGAGGTAGCTGATAAGAACTTCATGATTGCAGTAGTCCGGTTCAACCAAGGAAACCAAGAGAAAAGTGGTCAAGGATCGAGTAGGGATCGCTCTGGTCAATATCACCAACCTGGGGTTCAGAGTCAACCAGGCAGCTTGTTCCTGGTCGAACTGTGACGAAGCAAGGAGCGGGCGGTGCGAGATGGTGTCACTTGATGACGCCGGGCACGTGATCTGCGATCGTCGTTTTGGCTGCTGGATTGGAGGCGGTTTGTACCTGCAGCAACCTCAGCTCGTCCGGTTCGCCTGTGCGACCGTCCACGTTGCCTTCATGAATATGATATCGAAGATGATGCGTTCCTGGATATCAGTCGAGATGTCAACTCGATCAAGTGGAGTGCACTTGACCCACCCGACTCCAAGGGATTATCAGTCCCCGAGATGGCGCTCACAGGCATGCCGATCCCGCTTCGACCGTGTGAACAGTCCGGATAATCCAGAAACCACCCAGAAGCCGAGCTATCCAGGGTCACGAATATACATCCTTTATAAGCTACTAACCGTCGCTTTGCTCGGCTGTAGGAGGCATAGTAAAGAGGAAGAAGTAGATTTCATTGGCTTATTATTTACTTAATATATAGCTTAGAATAATAATTACTCTTTTTCTCTCCCTTTATCTAGATATTTTTTGAAATATCTTTTAAAGTGTCTTTCGGAGTATCGTTCTAAATACTTTTGCTACTATTAATCTTAAAGACCTAGAGAGGGGGAGATATCTAGAGAGAATATTTACCCAAGATAATTGTTAAATATATATCACGACTCCCGTCTTATATTCTTATATTATTAAGTAAAGATGAAATTTCGATATTAGTCGCTTTAGCTATCTGCGTCCTCGTCCAATGCCTGCTACCTTGAATCAGTATCGCGGTGAGTATATATGTTGGGATGAGAGTCGAAATCGCTCGACCCTCCGTTTTCGACGCTTTCAAAAAAATGAAACCACTCGGCTAAATGGGAGACCTGCAGAGGGCAGGCTTCCACGACCAGGAAAACTAAGCCCAGCAGCGAGAAGTTGTTATACGCAGCATCACAGACCAAGAAAAAAAGATCCATCAGTCCTCTGCATCCCAAATTGTCCGCGCTATTTCTTGCAGCTGTTCCTGTGAGATCTTGAGATCTCTTTCCCCCGGGTGAGATGGGGGACTACGGAATAGACTTTCAAACGGGATGACGTTGAGGAATTGCTGGTCTCCGTGGTATATGTGTCTTTTGATTGAAGGAGGTAGATTCTTTAAGAAGCTCCCTTCGAAATCAAGGTCGTCGCTGCCTTGGTGGTTCAGCATCTCAGCCATGGTAATCCGAATAGCCCTGGAAGACAAAAATAAGGAGAAGGATTCGAAGCGTAAAACTGGCTAAGAAAGACAAAGAAGAGTTCAAGTTCAAGTATTCGAGTATGTTGATGCTATAGTCATGTGACCCGTCGGGCATTTGATCCGAGTTGGGGTTTCGCACATACAGTATACAAGAAGATTTTAATAATATAAGATGTGAAGTGGGTCGTTGAAAAGTGGTAGGATTCGACTTTGCCCCCCTTAGAAAATAAAGAAACTTGGTTAATTAATCTAGGAGAAAAAGTATCAATAAAATAATAGTAATAGGAGTACGATAGCTATCTATATATTAATAAAGAATAAAATTCCCCAAACAGGATAGAATTCAGTCAATACATCTTGTGAATCTAATTTCTATTTTCTAATATAACTTTCAAAGCCGCCTGAGCGAAGCGAAGGTCAGTGGCTTGTCTACTAGGTATGTTCCCTTCTCCATCTTCTACATACATACACGTCAAAACTGACAAAGTTGTCGAGCTGGGGCCCGCTCGGCCGAATTCGTCCGTGAGTTAGGGCCGGATGTTGCTCCAACCCGCCTCGGACCCCCGAAGTACCCGATTCGGAGACGGCAGCATGCTGGGCCGTTTATCATGGATTTGATATATAGTTATCTGTGGAGCAACTTATTTATTGACATGATTCTTGATTCAATCGACTTCAAACAAGCTCTTTCGTTTTCCAGGTGACATCTGTCTACAATAAAGAGAGACCAAGCCTTGTTTTTACATCCTATCTTTGCCCATTTGCTTTACTATTCCCACCACAATGGCAGAAAAAATCACCTCAACCCCGGCCAAGTCATCGCTCAGCACATTCTGGTGGGCCTCGAGACACCCAACCCCCGACCCGACAACCTCATTCGTCGGCAAAACGGTGCTGATTACTGGTGCCAATGCCGGGCTGGGATTCGAAGCTGCGACGAAATTCGCAGCGCTGGGTACATCCAAGCTCATCTTCGGCGTGCGATCCCTGAAACGCGGCGAGGAAGCCAAAGCACGCATCGAACAGAAGACCGGCTGCGCGGCGGACGTCATCCAGATAGTCCAACTGGACATGAGCAACTATGCCTCGATCGAGGGATTCGCCAAAGAAGTGACCACCGAGTTCTCAGATATCCACGCCGCAGTCCTTAATGCAGGCGTCGCAGCACCAGCACACAATCTTAGCCCCGAGGGCTGGGAAATGTCGCTGCAGGTGAATGTCATTTCGACAGTATATCTCAGCCTGCTGTTACTGCCCATCCTGCGCCGGACTGGCGAAACCACAGGGCAGGCCACACACCTGGAGTTCGTGACGAGTGTCGGACACGGCGATGTCAATATCAAGAGCGTGCAAGACCCCCACAGAATCCTGGACAAAATCAACGACCCCAAGAATTTCAACTTTATGACACAATACACCATCACGAAGCTGCTGGAGGTCTGGGCCGTGCGAGCGATTGCGGCCAAGGTGCCTGCCTCGCGGGTTATTATCACTGCGTCTTGTCCAAGTCTTTGCAAGAGTACGTTGGGCCGCAACTTTAACACTGTGCTTCGTATTCTCGATGCACTGATGAAAGCGGTGTTTGCAAAGACTGCGGAGCAAGGGAGCCGGGTGCTGGTGAGTGCTGTTACGACTGGGCCAGAGGCTCATGGCGGATTCTGGTCGCATGACCGGGTGGCAGAGTGAGTGTCTTCTCTTTATACTTTGAGGCTCTAGGTAATTCTTGCATTAAGGTGAACTCTCACTGACTTTTTAGACCTGGGGCTTTGATCACCTCTGATGAAGGGAAAAAGCTCGGCGAGCAGTTCTGGAAAGAATTGTGTGAAGTGTTGGAGGCACATAATCCCGATGTCCTAAATATTCTGGATCAGTAGTTGGTTTTCTAGAGATATCCAAATTGCTCCTGTTTATGGTCAGATGTCCCAACCCTGTCAAGACCAGGCTCTTCACCGCAAAATCCGGATCAATCAAGTCCAGCCAAGAAACAGAGGAGATATTCAGACCATGTTCAATAGACTCATTGTCGATATAAGACAATTGCCGTACAGAAAGATCCGAAGACCCAGGGCCATCTCTCATCAACCCCAACCCATTATTATCCATAGCCTGGAAGGACTGCATATCTACGCGGCCCCCGTGGGTCATGATCAGCACGCAGCCAGGATCCAATTATCAGTCTCGAAGGATTCGGGGGAGGGGGGGGGAGGTCAAAAACAAAAACAACTGGCACCGACACCGGCAACCCCCGGATACTAAATTCGATCCGTCTGCTTCAGCCTGTTCGATGGAAATGACATGGGTGTGGATGGTGAATGCGCGGGCTGCGCGGTATTAGTAGTAAAGATGTCCATGAATTTGTTGGAAAGATTTTGCGTGGATTGCTCGTGAAATCCGAGGTACTTCGTTACCCAAGCTCCTGCCCAGTATCATTGAAATGTTTATGCTTCCCTGCATAGGGAGGTGTCTGACAGGAGCTGACGGCCAAGCGGCGCGGTGGGTCCCGGGGCTCAAATAGTGCAGCGCCTTACTGTATGCCAAGGCATAAGTCGGGGCGTGCAGCCGGATCGACAACAGCCCGAATGGACAAGTCATCCAAGGGGCAGAAGTGCCCGAGTGGAGAATGATCTCTCATGTTTCTGATCTATCTTAAGAACAGGATCTGGTTGATCTACGTGGAGCAATTTGTGGTACATGTCAGGGGTGCTTTGAAACTACAATCATACAAGGATACCAGTGATGGTCGAAGCTGGAAAATCCATGTACCACTTGCAGATGTATTGAGAAACGAATGTGAGAAGTAATACAAGTAATACGTACAATAAAAAAAGGGTTCCAAGTGCATGTACCGGGGAAGACAAGATCTAGAGGGAAATAATCTCAAGCCAATCACGCCAGATCGCCCACAGATGAGAGATTTTTACAGAGCGACAGCCACGGCGAAGGCAGCGACGACGGCTCCGAAGATGGAGCCAGAGACGCGGCCGGCCGAGTTGGGAGCGGACTGCGAGGGCGAGGCACCGCCGGCAGAGGACGAGTCCGTGGACGAGCCACTGCCCGAAGAGCCTGAGCCCGAGCCCGACGAGCCCGACGAGCTACCGGGGGCGCCGGTCGCAGCGGGGGCGTTTGAGGCGGCGGCAGAGCCAGAGGGAGACACACGGGGCAGGGCCGCTCCCTTGATGGGAGACCACTGGGGCTTGGTGGCGGACATGAAGCCCTGGCTGGTGGCAGCGGCGGACGAGGACGAGACGGTGCCCGAGGCGGTGGTGGAGCCGGACTGAGCGGGGGCCGAAGCGCTGGCGCTCGAGCCAGAGCCAGAGGCGGAGTCAGCGCTGGAGCCGGACTCGGAGCTGCGGCTGGACTTGGAGGACGAGCACGAGAGGTCGAACAGAGGGGTGGTGCTCAGCTTGTTGCCGACGATACCGAAGCTGGGGTTGGGGATCGACTCGCCCTGGCCGTCCTGGAGAGTGTACCACCAGGTGTTGGTGTTGCCGAACAGGGGGCAGCCGACCTCATCCCAGAAGCGCTTGGCGTTCTCCTTGGAGGCGACGGCCTTGTTCACGGTCTTGCCGCCGACGGGCCAACCGGTCTCGGTGATCCAGACTTCCTTCTTGCCAGCAGCAGACTTAGTCTTGGCGACGGCCTCGTCGAACAGTTTCTTGCCGTCGTCGATCGAGTTATCCATGGTACCCTGGAAGTAAGGGTAGCCGTCGAAGCCGAGCCAGTCGACCTTCTCGACGACCTCGGCGTTGCTGTCGTTGGTCCAGGCGGTCCAGGTGTCGACGTGGCCGATGGAGGCGCCACTCAGCGGGGTGCCCTTGATCGTGTCCCGGACCTGGTCGATGAATTCGGCGAGGTCGTGGGGATTAATACCAATGCCGGCGTTGGCCTGGGCGCCCTCCACTGAGTTACGGTACAGGTCCTCGCTGCCGACCGAGATACCAACGACCAGCTTGGCGAAGTCGTCGCCGTACTGGTTGATGGCGCTCTTCAGCGCAGCCACCTCGTTTTGCATGCCGTCACCAGAGGCCCAGAGACCCAGCAGGAGAGTGGTCTTCTCCTCAATGGCGGCGGGAATGGCCGAGATCGGGGTGTTGGTGGTGCCACCTTGCTGGAGGGGAGGTCAGTGCGGTTCGCTTTGTTTTTTAGGAATCAGTTTCACTTACGATCATGGTGTACAGGCGGGCACTGTTAAAGTCCTTGACACCTTTCAGCCCCTTGGCCGTGGCGAACTCGGCCTTGAAATCGGCCTGCGCCTTGGCGCTGCCATCGGGCTTCATGTTGCCATAGTTGAAACCCTGGTGGACGGCCTCGGAGGTCGCGAGCGACAGCGCAAAGGCAACAAGGCGAGTGAGATGCATGACTCTATGAGGGAATGAAACGAATAAAAAAAGAAAACCCAAACGAATGTAGGAGTTGAAGAGGATGAAAAGAAGAGGGAGAGAGAGAGAGAGACAGAGAGAGAGAGAGAGAGAGAGAGAAGGGCAACGGGGCAAGCATAAGAATAGAAATAAAATGGCCTACAGTCCCGTTCGGTCTAGAATCCGCCACCGTGCGGTGGATCGGTGGAGCCGGGCCACGTCTGCCTGACCCGGTCAACCGATTGGCTCCATTGTATCCTAATGAGTGCCCCCCGGATCTAACATGTCTGGTTCGGCTCGAATTTCGTCTTTATTCATTGCGAAGAATTTTCGGGTGTTAAGTCATAGACCCTGAGAAGGGGGGCCATGGGTAGGGGGCATATGCCGAGGACCCCCCGGTGGACCCTCTTCTAAAAATGGCAGTAAAAAGAAACACCAAGTTAGAGGCCCTCCTCGGTGGTTTTCCCTCCCAACGGACCTTCGAGAATGCAGCCAGCCGTGGATTTAATGCAGGGGAGAGGGAGAGCAACCACTCTCATTGGCACACACAATTATCAAGGCTTATTAGTCATTTGGTGCGTTATGATTTGCTGGGAAGAAATATCCTGATTGGCTGTGGGATTTGAGTAGTTGACGCCTTATGGCCTGATTGCTGATTGCTGGTGCCTGATGCCTGAAGGGACCCATGAATCTAAATAGATTGCTCATCTACAGTGATGTTCTATGTATTCTATATATAGTCTGAAACAATTTATCATTTGGAAATCAAGGGATGGCTCATCCTATTCCAACATCAGAGTTGGTTTAACGGTTATTATCGTTAACAAGAGCCCTAACGATATATCTTTATTTCGAAAATTCTCTATCCAGTCACATTGGGGCTTATTTTTAGCCAGTCAGTGTTATATTAAAAATAAACCAACAGCCATAAAATGCTCGAGCCCAAATAGCGGTGACGGCATCAGGCGTCCAGCAACGACCCTCCTGCCATTCAGAAATCTGGGGGCCAGCCACTGGGGAGGTCGACTGGCTGTACCCCGGACGCCACAAGACCCTGATCAAGCACAAGCTTCTATACGGTATACAACACCTTGGCTGCCGTCATCTGTCCAGTGGTTGTCTTGCCTAGTATAAAGAGCATGAACTTCTAATAGACGAGATTACAATCTACGGGGACCAGAAACGGAACTATACTCTTATCCCTGCATATTTATCTACTTGACTGTCAGCAATATACATTCGTGGACCACAGAGCAAACCCGTAACTTGTCCTATCTACCCAAACTATATTCGAAGAAAAGCAACTTCAAACCAAAACCAAAATGGAAGGCGCCGTCGGCTGGGAAAACGGCTTCCTCAACCGCCCAAACAGCACTCACAAACTGAACCCCACTGACGTACCAGCGGTCTGCAATAACCAGGTGGATATCGCCACCCAGCCCGAGAATATGAATTTCACTTCACTGGCGCTGTACCACATCAACATTGGGAACTGCAACATGACCGACGTCCTGCAGTCCTGCTGCAAGCAGCCCGTGAAGCTACTCCATGAACCGACGCCCTGCCAGGCAGAATGTAATTGCACTTCAATCGACGGGGTGATGAGGTCGAGGATGTGTTTGAAGAAGGCGGGGGTGCCGTTTGTTTGGGCGAATAATTATACTTCGGAGCATGATGATGCTGCTGTAGTGCATGTGCCGCAATATAAATCTGTTTTTGGGGTGTTGGTTATTAGTGTTCTTGTGCTTTCGAGTATGTTTTTCTAATTGTCTTGCTCTCTGTGGATTTCCGTTTATTATATGACTCAAGTGTATACGTTTTCTTACAAGCAGATTATTTTGATATACGAATGTGCTTGATTCAATAGGCACACTTCCCTTGAAATAAAGATCATAATACAAACAGATATCAAGGATAGGCTACGGCTCCAGCTCATCACTATCGCTTCAAGCCCGTGCCCATCGTATTTATAAAGCCTATCTACTTCGAGTCATCCCAGGTATCTTCCTGTTCTCCACATATTAATGCTCAGACACAAAGATACCAGCCATACCCATGCCCTGATCGACTAATTAGCATTCAAGTATACTCCAAAGTCAAATTTTGGGTGACTACTCACGGTTCCCACACACATGGACGTCACAGCGACTCGCTTATCCTGTCGTCGCAATTCTGACAGAGCAGTGACAACCTGTCGTGCACCAGTAGCGCCCAATGGATGACCGAATGCACTGTTGCTATTAGCACAGAACCATTGAAAATTGTGTTCAGTGTGACTTACATAGCACCGCCACGTGGATTCACCTTGGACACATCTAAGCCCAGCTTGCCGACACAGTAGACACCCTGCGAAAAAGAATTAACCATGGAACAACTCCAGCACACACATCCAACATACCATCGATGCAAATGCTTCGTTAATCTCAAAAATATCAATCTCCTCCTTGCTCAATCCGAACTTATTCAGAATCTTGGGAATAGCAAGAGAAGGGCCAATGCCCATGATTCTCGGCTCCAGCCCAGACACGGTGGCACCACAGAACTTGCCGATGATCGGCTGGCCCACCTCCTGGGCGCGCGACCGCTTCATCAGGAGCAGTGCAGCTGCCCCGTCGGTAATCTGACTGGCATTCCCACCGGTCGTGGCACTGGGCGCCCATTGCGGGAACGCCGAGCGGATCTTCCCAAGAGACTCGGCGGTGGTACCATAGCGAATACCGTCGTCCCGGTCAACCACAATCTCTTTGACCTCACCGGTCTTGGGATCCTTAATCTGGGTCTTAACAGGGACGATCTCGTCGTTGAACCACCCGGCCTTCTGTGCGTGCTCGGCCTTTTGGTAACTCGCCGCCGCGAACTGGTCGTGTCGCTCGCGAGGAATGTTGAACTGCGTGGCCACGTTCTCCGAGGTCTGGCCCATGGGCTGCGAGTTCTGGGAGGCTATCGGGTGTGAGGTGATACGCACCGACATCTCGGGCGCGCCGCCGTCTGCGTTTGTGCTCATGCTCTCCGCGCCCACTGCTACTCCGACATCTATCGACCCGGCGATGATCTGGTTGGCGATCTGTTGGATAGCCAGTAGACCGGACGAGCAGAAGCGGTTGGCGACTGAGGCCGCCGCGGTGACTGGGAAGCCTGCTGCCAAAACCGCGGACCGGGCGACATACCCCGAACCCGGGCAGAGCACGTTGCCGATGCAGACATCTTCGACGAGATTTGGGTCGATGTTTGATTTCTTGCGAACCGTCTACCGCAGGGAGTCAGCGATTTGGTTGACTGGCAATGAACCGATCAACAAAGACAACTCACCGACAGCAGCGAGACCAGCAGTTCGTCCAGCGGCGTATCCTTCAACCCACCCTTGCGGGCCTTGGTGAGCGGCGTTCGTGCCAGATAAGTAATAACCTATACGTGTGGATTAGCCGATGGTATTGATGTCGTTTTGTCACAACGAAAACCTACGACGTCATCTGGATTCTTCGCCAGGATCTTCTGTCTGGCACCACCAGGAGCCGATAGATGGCTGGCGACCGAGTTGAGCCTTTGCTGCGGCGACGACATTGTTTGTCTTTTTGTATTGTTTCCTGGAGTTGCGACTGGAACAGGTTCAAGAGGTAAAAAGCGCCAGACGAAACCGGAATGACCCCACGACCGATTTAATAAATGACCGTGGAGAAAGAGCCGCGGCTCTCAGACCTCTCCCCCCGTGATCCATTGACTTCATCCGAGCCGAGTCAAACCGATCAAGACAAAAAAAGGAACATGGCAAGCTTCGAACCGAGCAGAAGTGCCGTCGTGTCCGGATGGTTCAGTGTACGATACACGTATTGGGTGGTCCTCGGCACCTCGGGCAACCGTGGTGATTGGCGTCAACCGACGTATTTTACCATCGCCCCCAATGCTGGCAGCGATGATCGTGCCGATCCAAAGTAAATCTCGAATTTGGTGACTTGCGAACTGGAGGTTTGATATGCGTGATCAGAGATACTAATTCTCCTGATTCTACAGCTGTGAAGACCATGCGGTGGGAAGAGCTCGCATCATTCCCTGCAACTCGCAGACCCCATCCAAGTCATCATGATCCAGGGGAAAACACCACAATACACTCCGTACCGAGCAAGGTACAAGCTCCACGAGGGGCTCCACTAGGGGCGATCCTCCTCACGAAAAAAACGAGGCCCGAATCTCGTCTCGAACGGCAGATTGGGACGGGTCACTTTCCGTGGCTTGCGCCTCAGGGGCAGATTATAGTTCTCCACGCCTTGCGTTGGATTTAAGAGATCGCTTCGCCAGAGCACACTCTGATTATTTAACCCCCCGACGAGCGTCTTGTTGATATCGCATCGTGTTGTTGCGGGGACATCCAGTGACGCCATCAAGTTGCGACAGGACGCGCGCTCACATCGTGGCCATGGATTTCTTTTCCGAGATTAATGCACCCACTGTGGCCATGGCATCCGCCTTGACGGCTGCTATGGGCGCTTATCTGAATGCGAAGCTGTCTATCTCCACGGATCTGTCCGCGCTATCTAAGGACCGGGCCTGGGGGAAACGCCTAGGCGAGCGCATTGCTCAACTTGGTGACTCGACGACGATCTACCGGATGTTGGAGCGCGTGGTCGAAGTGGAGGGCCAGGCTGCGGCGGATGCACTTTGGTTTGAGCACAAGACGTGGTCATACAGCCAACTGAAAGACTGTCAGTACTATGCATGATCTCTTTCGTATGCGATGTGGAGTGGCTGATGTCCCACAGTGGTCGACCGCTTTGCTGCGCTTTTGCAGGCGCGAGATATCAAGGCGGGGGATTTCGTCGGTGTCTTCATGTCCAACTCGCCCGAAATGGTGGTTGCTTTGTATGCGCTGTCCAAGCTGGGTGCAGTGGCTGCCATGATCAACACCAACCTACGAGGTGAGGAATTGTCCTTGCTCTTTTCTCTATTCAGTACAATTCAGCTAATCCCATATCCCAGACGATACCTTCGTCCACTGCCTGAATGTGTCCGGCTCCAAGTCGGTCATTTCCACCCCGGATCTGTCTCAGTTTGTATGTGTGGAGCTGCCACACATCTCATTCAATTTTTCTTCCTTTGAAGGCGTCTCTGCCGGCTCCACGGAGCTTGTCACATCAACAGAGCTGCAGCAGTTCTCTCCAGCGGGGCTGGCGCCTGCTAAGCGTACTCCTCGGGACTTAACCGCGTTGATCTATACCTCCGGGACTACTGGCAAGCCCAAGGCATGTGCAGTGCGAAATATGATGACACTCATTACGTCCAATCCTCAAACAAGCGAAATCAACAACCTTGCCAAGTACTATCCAGTCCGCACATACTCATCACTCCCGCTCTTCCACGGCACGGCCTTCTTCACTGGACTCTGCTATTCCGTTGGCAACGCCGGCACATTATGTCTCAGGCGCAAGTTCTCCGCCTCCCAGTTCTGGAAAGACGTGCACGACTCGCGCGCAACGCGGATTCTGTACATCGGCGAGCTCTGCCGGTATTTACTATCTACCCCACCCTCCCCCTACGACCAGGACCACAACTGCATCGTCGCAACCGGCAACGGGCTCCGCGGCGAGATCTGGGACCGCTTCCGGCAGCGGTTCAACGTCCCCGAGATCCGCGAGTTCTACCGCTCGACCGAGGGCGTGGCCAAGTTCGATAACCACGGCGTAAGCGCCTGGGGTGTCGGCCGAGTAGGATTTTCAGGCCCGATTCGCCGATTCTTAGAAGACGACACCTTGATTGTGCGCTACGATCCCGACTCGGAGATGCCGTTCCGCGATCCTGCAACGGGGTTCTGTGTGCGCGCCAAGCTGGGCGAGGAGGGCGAGGCGATTGGCCGGGTCCGGGACCGTGGCTTGCTCACCGAGTACCTGCACAACGAGGAGGCTACCGAGCAGAAGCTGCTGCGCGATGTCTTCCAGAAAGGAGATTTGTTCCAGCGCACAGGTGACCTGGTCGTGCAGGATCTGTCTGGCTGGATCAAATTCCAGGACCGTGTTGGTGACACGTTCCGCTGGAAGGGCGAGAATGTCAGCGCGGGAGAGATCCGTGACCATATCTGTCGCATTGACGGCGTGCACGATGCCGTGGTGTATGGCGTTAAGCTTGGGGGGTATGTCTGAAACAGAAGGGATCTCTTGATTTGTTTGAAATCTTGGAACTGATAATATTGTGATTCTCTGCAGATACGATGGCCAGGCCGGTGCCGCGGGCATCACCCTCGAAGACCACTCGCCCACTGCCGAAGCCCAGCTCACGGCGGCTCTCTACCGGGAACTCAAGAAAAAGGGCGTACCATCGTACGCCCTGCCTCGGCTGGTCCGAATCATTGAGAAGTAAGGGCCCACTAACATCTCTGCTGACCAAAGTGTAACACGGAACTAACCATCTTTCTCTCCGTGCAGGGTTTCCACCGGCTTTACATTCAAACAGACCAAGGGCGATCTTGTGAAGAAGAGCTGGGATCCGCGCACGGACGGGGCTGGTGACTCGCTGTATTGGTTGAATGGTACTAAATATGAGAAGCTGGATACGCAGAGCTGGATGGAGATTGAGAATGGCCAGGCTAAACTCTGAGGATGGTTGGCATGGGGATATAGATTTGTACATAGACAGACTCAAACCAAGGCGTAACACGATAGAGCTTTTCAGAGTTGAAGATGAGCGGGGATGGTGATGTATGCGACATTGTGGCACGTGTAGTGTGCCCAGAAGTATGCAAGTAAGATGTTAAGCAAAGGACTCGATCTACGAGATCAAAGGGTCGAGAAGTTGGCAATCCTCAACGATATTGCATTGGCTATTCGCAGACTGTCAGACGTCCTACTCTTTGCATACACTTCTCATCCAATATGGATTTCACCCAGAAACCCCTCGCAATCCTCGCCTTGAACGCGGCCATTGTCACGGGCCTTCCTCGAGCAGAAGAACCTCAGGATGGTATGACTACTCGCCCATCCAACCTAGCAAAATACATTTAGTAACTAAATTCCACATACAATATTTATCTGTAAGCTCTCCATGTAGTTGGAGAATGCTTCCTTCGTAGTTCCATAGTATGACAGTAGCTTCCTGCGGGGAACTCTCCCTTGTCACACCCTCCACGCTGCTGCCTTCTCCTCACAGTCGAAGAACTCCAACCTCGAGTATCTGAGCAGAATCATCTTTGTTGGAAATAATGGAAGACCAGCGTCAATCTCAACTCCCCGAGGGGATCTGGATGCTCGATGCCAGCGGCAAGAGACTCCGACAGCTGTCCGACGACGAACTGGCCCGCGCCCCCAACGTCCGCGATGATACCACCAGCCCCGACTACCCGTCGTCAGAGACCATCGCCGAGTATCTCTCTAGTCTGTCTCCATCCCAGCAAGGGATCTGCGATGCCATGCGCGGCATGGGCTGGCCCGACCCCGCCATCCACAATCTTCTGACTCTGGTCGAGAATACCCAGAACCATCTCTGCGCTCAGCTACGCATGCAGGGGGTCGACGAGACAGAAATTCAAAGCTTGGATGAAATTTGCAACCAGGATATGCCGGACCTCTCGCATCTTCGAGACCCCTCTGCTGAAGCGCGGCAGAGGGATTTCCAGCTGCAGCTCTATTTGCTTGATGATGTGACGCGACGACGACGGGTGATGCTTGGAAAGGAGTAGTTTTTGCTTTGTTTTTTTAACGAGGGATTGGTTTATATTTTCTGGGGTTGCTGAAGCTATGATGAGAGTGATGCTACTCAGGCTATTTATTTTAACCAGACTCCACTCTGCTCTGCCAGTGTCTGCATCGAACGAGTTAGAAGCGTTTCAAAAAGCAGCTAAATCCCCGTGCTTCGAAAGCTGACCTGCTAATAGGCCAACAATCCTCCTTAAGGCCGCTAAGCAACGGCTATGCCAAATCGAGGGAGCCGGCATCGAGCCATGCGGATTTGCTTGGGTGATCGGCGGCTTCATTCCAACGCCACTGGCTGCCCACTGGTTTTGCAGATTTGCACGCGACTTGACATTGCGGGGGTTCATTTAAAGAGAGAAACCCCACTTCCCTTTTTTTTTCTTCTCTTTTGTTACTCTGGTTTTCAACGGCCGGCTTTTCCCTCGGAGCAAAGCCATGGACAACTCCAAGAACACTCCCTCAGCCGAGGTAGACATGGACCCCGGTCTTCCCCAGACCGACAGTAGCAAGACCGATCGCCCAGTTGCGCCAGATCAATTCGACGAGAGATATCGCACGACCCGCAAGGAAGTCTGGGCCTATTATGCGTGCGTGTGGATTGTAAATGGCTAGCCCTGAGCGAGAACTAAACAAAACCCGTATGACTCTGTAGCTACTACATTGGAAACAATGGGTTGGGGCTGTTCAGTGAGTCTACACTTCTTCTTGTCTCTCGCGATTGTCTCTGGCTTTGCAATGGTTATCTGACTCCAAGAGCCGTCGCCTAGACTTTGCGCCTACTGCCTTCCAGAACCTCTTATCCCAAGCGGCGTCTTCGGAGGGCATGCTCGATTTCGCAGGCAGATTCCGGTCAATCAACAGCATCGTGCTGCTCTGCAACGGCATATCGTTCGCGATTCAGGTCGTGGTATTTCTCGTCATCGGCAGCTTCGCCGACTTCGGACAATGGCGCCCCAACATCCTGATCGCGCTGTCGATCATCGCCTACGCCATCGGCTTCGGCTGGCTAGGCGTCCACGACGCAGACCAGTGGCGCGTCGGCGTCGGCCTATACATTGTCGGGCTGATCGCCTACCAAACCACACTGACCTTCTGGACTGCCGCGTTCCCGGGCCTGGCGCGTAACACCTCCGAAATGAAGGATACGGCCGACGCCTATGCGGTGGGGACCATTTCGCGCGACGAATACAACTATACCGACACCATGATGCGCAGCCGCTTGGCCAATATCGCGTTCTATGTGCAGTCTGTCGCCGAGATCGGGATCCTGGCTGTTATTGTTGGGATCATGTTCGGGCTGGATGTGAACGCCGGCGAGGCGAAGAATAACTGGGGGTTGAGTGTGCTGATTGCCTTTGTTTCGGGGGTTTGGCTGCTCGTTTCGATTCCGTGGTTCTTTCTTGAGAAGCGGCGTCCTGGTCAGGATCCTGGTCAGAGGTCTGTTCTTATTGCGGGTTTGTGGCAGCTGTGGCATGCGATGCAGCAGATCTGGAAGCTGAAGCAGAGTCTGGTTTATTTGATTGGTGGGTGTGCCTTGCGATATGGCAGCTCTATTATGCTATATTCTTGAGTGTTGACCTTCTTTCACCAGGCTACTTCTTGCTCGGGGATTCGCTCAACACGACCGTCACTGTCATTGCGACTCTGCAAAATACCGTCGTGGCGTACAATACACTGCAGCTGACATATCTTCTCATTGTGGGCATTGCGGCACAGGTGAGATCAACATATCCGAATACTATTTCCATTAGTACTTTCAAGTATACTAACATCTCAGGCTGTTGGTATCTACGCATTCTGGTTCACCCAGCAGAAATTCAAACTCGGCACCAAAACAATGTTCAACGCCATTGCCTGCGCCATCATCCTACTCGACGGCTGGGGCATGATCGGAATTTGGACGCAGCGCTTCGGCTTCCACAATGCGTGGGAAGTTTGGGTGCGTTTCCTGGCAAATATGCCAAATCCCCAAATAAAATAAGACGCTGACTCCCTTTATTTATCCATTTTTTAGGTCTACCAAGCATTCTACGGCCTCTTCGTCTGTCCCTGGTACAGCTACTCGCAAATCATGATCTCCGAAGTCACTCCGCGCGGCCACGAGTTCCTATTCTTTAGTCTGTTCAGCATCATCGGCAAGACTTCTTCTTTTATTGGACCTATTGTCTCCAGTGCTATTATCGACGCTTCTCCGTCGGGAAATGTCTCGACCCCGTTTTATTTTCTGTTTGCGTTGAGTGTGGTTAGTTTTGGGATTTTGGTTCTGGGCGTGGATCTGAAGAAGAGTCAGGTTGAGCAGGAGCGATTTCTGGTGGATAAACTGCGCCGGTTGGAAAGTGAATCTTCTTCGGAGAGGGTTTCTAGTTCGGTTTGAAAGTTCTGTGTGCAGCCTTTTGCATGGTGTGGCTTATTTTTCTAGATGTTGTGCATTTTTATATGGTAGATTTCAAGATAAAGCATCACTAGCATTTTGCATCTAGGGTGCAATGACTGCAAATATAGAAGAATTATATCAAATGTATAATTAGTATTATGAAATAATTTAACGAGATCATACTGATGTTTGTTAGCGCAACTTTATGAGAAGTCCGAGGCGGATCAAGTGGCGATCTGCTCGGCGCCGAATACTCGGTGCACGCCAACCTTCGGCGCCGAAGCCCTAGATCCAACACAACTATATAAACCAGTTTCGACGCAGTTCGATTCACTATCCATTACCTCATCTATCAATTCCCAATTCTAAATTCCAATTGATTATTGCTTTACTTTGTTATCCACTTTCACCCATGGCCTCATCTTCCCAACCCGTCATCGTGGTCGGCGCCAGCCTAGTCGGGCTGTCCGCAGCCCTATGCTTGGCCTCGCAACAAGTGCCAACCATCGTCCTGGAAAAGCACGGGGGGGCCTTCATACACCCCCGCGCCATTGGATTCACGGCTCGGACAATTGAAATCTTCCAGTCTCTGGGCCTCGACAAATTGGACCCCATTCCTGAGGATTTCTCCCTCACGCGAGCGAAGGTTGAGAGCTTGACGGGCCAATGGTTCGAACATACTTCCTGGTCTGATACAGACAAACAGCAAAAATACAACAAAAAGGACAGCAGCGGAGACCAAAAGCCATCATCGCCCAGCCCCAAGAAAGAATACTCGGCTAATCGTGGCTCGGCGATTCCGCAGGATCAGCTGGAACCGATGCTCGAAGCGCTGGCTCGCGAGCGCGGAGCAGATATCAGGCGCCAGCAAAGGGTTGTCAGTGTTGGGCAAGACCAAAATGGGGTTGTGGTTACAGTGCTGGATGCCAAGGGCCAGCAGCACCAAGTCCGAGGCTCATATCTCATCGCGGCGGACGGAAACCGAAGTACCGTGCGCGAGCTGCTTCAGATCCCGCGACAGGGCCGCGGCTCCATGCAGAACATTCACAGTGTTCTCTTCCACGCGCCACTGAAAGAATATACTCGAGGAATCGTTCAATTCGATATCAACCAGCCAGGTCTCAGCGCCTTCCTGACTTCATATAATGACGGACGCTGGGCACTGATGTTCCGCGACGACGTGGAGCGCGACGAGGATGCCCTCCAATCAGCAATCCACAGTGCCATTGGGAGAACCGATATCCCCATTGAAATCATCACGACTGGCCGGTGGGAACTCACTGCCCTCGTGGCTGACACCTTCCAGGCGGGCCGCATCTTCCTCGCCGGCGATGCGGCACACACTCTCCCGCCGAACCGCGGCGGATACGGTGCCAATACGGGCATCCACGACGTACACAATTTGGCGTGGAAACTCGCTGCTGTTCTGTCTGGTAGATCGGCGCCGGAGCTGCTGGATACTTATGATGCGGAGCGTCGTCCTGTGGCGCTGCTTCGCCATGATCAAATCTTTGTGCGCGCAGACTATAAAGTCTATAATAATTGCTCACCTGGATCTGGGGCTGAGATGATCGACGATGATGCTATGGAGTTTGGGCAGCTCTATGCGTCGAGTGGATTTGTTGGTGTGGACGACACTTTGCCGCGGGCGAAGAAGCCTGATGAATGGGCTGGCCAGCCAGGTACCCATCTGCCACATATCTGGGTTACCAGGGACGGTGACAAGCTTCCTCTGTTGAAGGTTGTTGGGCAGGGTTCGTGGACTTTGGTTTTGGCGGTAGAGGAATGGATGCATATTGTTTCTGGGGTCAATAAGAGGTCCTCCATTCCGATAAAATCGGTTTGTATTGGCCGTGATGTACAACCTATGCAGCAGGAGGACTTCTGTCAATCATTTGGCGTGTCCGCGACAGGCGCTGCGCTCATTCGACCAGACGGATATATCACATGGAGGACACCAGATCTCCCGTCGAACGGGGGGACGCTTCTCGACGACGTCTTGTCCCAAGTCGCGTTTCGGACTTGAGAGTGAGAAAAAAGGCCATTATTTTGTTCTTTGTTTCTGGTAGCGTGGAGATTGGGTATCATGTATCATAGCCAAGTAACCTGTTGCGGCGTTCTAAACAGCCTCAGTCAATTCATTTCTTGAATTTGCAGCTTGTCTTACCGTAGTTCCTTGTTTTTTGTTCAAATGCCTTTGGTAGGAATAACTTCTTCTGGTGGATATCCCTCCACGGAGCCTTCTCAGCACGAGGCAGTCCATCAGCTGCGTTCTGTGTCGCCTGTCCCCATCGCCTGTACACCGTCGGGTTTCATCTTGAGTCCCGTCTGGTACGACGTGTTTCTACCGAGAAGGATTTCTGCAGTAGGCCGATGTGATACTCGACGAACAGGGTCCAAGATAAGAGCAGTTTCTTGTGTTGTTGTTAGGGGAGGGAATGAAAGAAAGAGAGGGAAGCACATTCAAGTGAAGAAGCAAAAGAGTATAAAGCCGTCACGCTACTTCAAAGACAGCAAGTCATCATTTTAAATTCTTAAACCTCAGGTATCTCAGCAGAAACATTGATAGCACAGTTCTACCCAATCTCTCTCATCTCCATCTCCGTCTCGCGTTGGACGCTGGTGTCACCGTTGCCTCGAGCGATTCGCATTTGCCGGCACCTTCCTGCTTGATCGTGTTTATCTCTTCTTCTCTCTCACTCTCACCTTCATTCTCTCCTTCTCTATTCTTCTCCCTCTCCCGCCTCTCACACTTCCAACTTCACTGACCCTTTTCTCTCACCATGGCGAATTCCCAGCACCTCATGGGCACCACTGACCTCAACCTCATCGAGGCGCCTGTCACCTGGCGCGCATACCTGATCTGCGGCTTTGCCAGTTTTGGAGGTCTGTCAAGAGTCATCCTCGATACTCACAACCAAGGCCGAGCTAACACTCATCTTTTCCACAGGAATCCTGTTCGGCTATGACTCTGGTTACATCTCTGGCGTGCTTGGCATGGAGTATGTCAAGCAGAGCTTTGGTCATGCCGTTGGTAAGAGCGTCGACGCTTCTGGATATATCATCCCCAGCGCGCGCAAGTCGCTCATCACCTCAATCCTGTCTGCTGGTACCTTCATCGGTGCGCTGATGGGTGGTGGCATCTCTGAGAGCATTGGCCGTCGTACCACCATCATGATATCTTGCCTCATCTTCGCAGTCGGTGTGGCCGTCCAGGTTGGAACCATCAACATCAGTGGACTCGTGGCGGGCCGATTCATCGCTGGCTTGGGCGTTGGTGGCGTTTCTGCGACTGTGATTCTGTACGTCTCTGAGATTAGTCCTCGCAAGGTTCGTGGCCTTCTGGTCTCTGTCTACCAGTGGGCAATCACCATTGGCTTGCTGGTAGCATCTGGCGTCGATCAAGCCCTAAAGGACCGAACCGGCCGCTCCTCGTATCGAATCCCCATTGGCTTGCAGTTCATCTGGGCAGCAATCCTCGCTGCTGGCCTCTTCTTTTTGCCCGAATCTCCTCGGTACTACGTCCGACGTGACCGCATGGACGATGCTCTACGCTCCCTCGAGAGAGTTCGTGGCCAGCCTGGTTCGGACCCTGGCATCCAGGCGGAACTAGCAGAGATCAAAGCCAACTTCGAATACGAAAAGCAGTTTGCGAGCACCTCCTGGGCTGATTGCTTCCGGGGTGGCCTTTCTGCCCGTGGAAATCTTCGCCGAGTGATTGCCGGGACTTGCCTGCAGATGTTCCAGCAGTCGACGGGCATCAACTTCATCTGTAAGTGTTTAAACAATTTGATGATATGACACCCGCTAATATAGCAATGTCAGTCTACTATGGAACCACCTTCTTCCAGCAGGTTGGCATGAACAATCCTTTCCTGATGTCAACCATCATGAATGTCGTCAACGTTGCCACTACCCCTGCGTCGTTCTACATGATCGAGAAATTTGGACGTCGTACTTTGCTGCTCTGGGGTGCTTGCTCGATGTGCCTCTGCGAGTTTCTCGTTGCCATTGTGGGCGTTACGGACGCCTCGGGTCGTACATCGTAAGTAGACAAGACTATGGAGTCTACGAGACAATCTACTGACGCTTTCAAACTGCAGGAATCTCTGTCTGATTGTCTTCACTTGTTTCTACATTGCATCTTTTGCGACCACTTGGGGTCCCGCAGCTTGGGTGGTAATTGGCGAGATCTATCCTCTCCCGATCCGAGCCAAGGGAGTCGCGCTCGCCACGGCCTCGAACTGGCTTTGGAATTGTATCATCGCCGTTGTTACCCCGTACATTGTTGACAAGGACAAGGGGAACCTGGCGGCCAAGGTGTTTTTCGTCTGGGGCAGCGCACTCGTGCTGTGTTTCTTGTTCGCCTTCTTTTTCATTCCCGAGACCAAAGGGCTCACGCTGGAGCAAGTCGACAAGATGCTTGAGGAATCTACCCCCATGACCAGCTCCAAGTGGAAACCTCATGACACCTTTGCGCAGGAAATGGGGATGGCAGAGAAGCATGAGGCGCCACCTGTCGTCGAGCAAAAGTCCATTCCTGTGGCAGAGCAGGCCGAGGCGGTTTAGGGGATATTGAGAGTTGATCGCCGGGCGAGTCTGCCAGCATTGATGTCTCAGGCTTGTTACAGCTGCAAGTCAAATTGGGTTTTGGCACGACTTGCATCATTGGACAGGGGAGTTGGGAGAACAGATGATTCATGGGGCTTATCACGGTGTATCTTACAGATTTATCATCTCATAGCTCCATTGAGTGAACCAGTCAATAGGTTTAACATTTCGTACAAATTTTAAGAGATAGCGCAGTGCGCCTGGTATTGAATGAATTTTTGAGATACACAACCCATCTTGAAGGGGCATTGGAAAAGAAAAGACATGATCGAGGAAGAGACAAGTTCAAACGCCAGATCCATGCTCTGCCATAAGCGCCGAATATCAAAAACCACGGGCGATTCACGCCTCTCCATCGGAAGAAGCATCCTTGGCCTTGCTCTTCTTCTTTTTCTTCTTTTCCTTGCGGTGGACGTCGTCTGCCTCGGGATCGGCCTCGGCGTCGCGTTTCCGCTTGCTCTTTTCCTTCTTCTCCTTCTTCTTTTTGAAGTCGGCCTCGGCAGGAAGCTGTTCGTCGGGGGCGACAAAGTCCTTCTGGCGCTCGCGCATCTTCTCGTCGCGTTTCTGGCGCTGGCGCTCGACGACCTCTTCTTTCTGGGCGCGGTCCTTGGCCTCCTTCGAAAGGAAATACTCTCCGGACTCGATCTGCAGATCGACCTTGCTCTTCTCAGGCGCCGGCGGGAACGGCGTGTAGACCTTTTTGGACTTGTCGGCGACCTTGAACGGGGTGCGGCGCTTGGAGAGCGTTTGCTTCTTGAAGTTGGGCAGGAAGCGGTCCCACGACTCGTTGACCAGGCTCGGGTCCTTGGCCAGCTCGCGCTTGATCATCAGCTCCTTGATGTGGTAGATCGGGTGGATGTTGGCCATGCAGTCGTCGACGATGCGCCGCACCTCCTTCAAACCCTTGAACGGGCCCATCGCCGCCACCGTGTTACCCTGCACCAGGATGTACGTGCTGGTCAGGAGCTCCAGTGCCTTGAGCGTCGACCCGCCGGGCCCCAGGATCCGCTGCCGCCGCTTGACGAACCGGTCCTTGTTTCGCACCTGGCTCCGGATCTTGATGATGTCACATGCCACGCCGTCCTCTAGGATCTTGAGCGCCTGCGTTACTGGCACGCTGCGCGACAGAAGTTTAATCAGATCCCGCGCTTTGAGGATCGCCGCCGGGTCGAATGTCTTCCGCGTTGTCTTCACTGTCATGCTGCCCTCCACCAAATCCAGCGTGCATGCGATCCCCTGCTTCTCCAGCGCCCGTGTAATCGTCGGCCATGCCTCCTTCAGGTATACCTCGCGGTATTTGGGAAACAGTGTCATGAACGATGACTCCTCGGCGAAACTGCCTGCCGCATTGTCTTCGGCTTTGAACTCGGCGATCTGCATTGTCTGTATCAGCGTGCTTTGCTCTTCTTGCGAGTAATTACGTCACAGGTGTCTTGATGCCTACCTCCCACTTGTCAATGTCGTCCGTGTCCCACGGCTTTTCTTTTTGTATGTCGAGGGCATCGTGCCGGTGTGGAGTGTGTTGGTGATGGTCGGAGCTTCCTGACAATTCAACTTTTTTTTCTTCCCCGACCCGCTTGTCCCGATCGGGTAACTTTGTATCCTCGTATTTAAGGCCACAATTTGGGGCTGCATGTCATGCATTTTCTGCTTAGAGCTACTATGTCGACCCATAAGGCATTGAGAGTATAAAAAAATCACAACTGGACTCTAGCTCAACATATCCTGGAGCGAATACATTGAGTCTACTGGGGCATTACCAGTGAAAATGCCCTATATTTGCCGTCTGCTTCTATTCTTGGATAGAAGCCGGCCAATGCCCCCTCTCGACACTCTCGACTGCCATCTTGTGGCTTGACAGTCGACCAGAACTTTGTAGCATCTGTTCTGAGAAGTGTGGCCGTACGTTGGAGTTGCGGTGGCAGATCCATCGCTGGCGGGCGCAATAGTCTCGGGTAGATCTGCGCCCAGGTCCGAAGACCGTCGACGCCCTTCTCTGCAGGTAAATCAGTCAAGCGCCGGAGAATGGGTCAGGTACAATGAGCAGAGTGGTTTGCAATCAAATGCCCTGACTTGTCTTCAACTGCCCATCTCCCCATCTCCCCCCGTGGAGCTCCCCAGTTCAGGGGCATTCCGGGGCAAACTCTATTCGGGTGTTTTCCCAGCGCGTAGGAACAACGGCGCCTCCCGAATCACCGTATTTTCTGGCGCAGACGATGGCCCCGTGGGGACTTGTTTTTGAATCGTTGCGTACCGTCAGTTCACCCTAACGGTTAATGTGGTGCATTTGTGAGAGCTTCAGTCTTTCCAGCTGGGACAGTCGCAGAGGATTGCAGATCTAGGGCATTAAGTTGGAGCTTGCTGCCCAAGGCATTGATGCCATAAGGGGGGGCCGGCGTAATCCAGGAGTCGGTAGCTCGAGGGTTGACGCTTCAGGTTTCAATTCCTCCACTGGAAAGACTTAAAGATCCAGGGGCAAAATGCTGGTCCTCGCAGCTAGGGGGAGGAAAGTAGTTTGCACATTGGAGATCTGCAGAGGCTCGATGTCCGGCCGAGTCAGGCGGAAGGCTCCCCCGGCTGCTTTCCCGTCAGGTTGGTTCCCCCTCAGCACCGCTTTCTTCTTATTTCTCCTTTCTCTCCCGACTTCATTTGTCTTTTGCCCTGCTTCTCTTGTCGGTCATCTCACAATCCGCGTCGGGAATTGATAGGAGTCTTGGTCAGTCTTGCCTTACACGGTATGGTCGGCCCGGGTTATCGTCAACATCCAACACGAACCCCCATGGGGATCACCTTGAGCCCCAGGGATACGGTATGATTTGCCGGCAGCCATATCTTCCATCGTCTGGGCACCAGCAACTTAGGACTGCCAATCTGGAGAAAGTAACGACATAGTCCCTATATTGACAGGGAGCACGGTCCCCCGGATTGGCACCTGAGATCCTTCCGATCGATCGATCCACTGCGATGATCTGAAAGCCAAGTCTCTTGACGAACTTCGAAGTCACTTGGCACTTGACTGGCATACTCGCCGGAACCATCGTTGGCGGTTACCGACATGTGTGTTAGTGCGGGTGGACTACAGGTGGCCTCTCACACGTACCACACGTCGTGTTGATCATCCCATGTGCTGCTGTGTGACCATACAACCCTATCACAGAAACTCGCCTGGCGAGATCTTCGAATTATCGCCGTGAATCTCAGCAGACAACATTTTGTGGCAAAGCAGTCGGATACAGGTAGTGAGGTGGGATATTTGTACGGTCAAGAAAACTTGGTTGACTAACCATCATTCGCTAATTCGACATGTAAATGCGAGTGCAATGCGAAGAAATCATCGTCGATCAAAACACAGGGCAACCTGCTCCATGTGAAGAACCCATATCGCTGTCGACATGCAACCTGGTGATGCAAATCCTTTCTGCCCTAGAGATTATGCCGGGATCTCACGGCTTTCGACCAATGCAAACATACCTTGTCGAGTCAGAACTGGTTTTCGGGTTTCTTGCGGGGTTGGAGACCTACAGAGGGAAATACGCTTTCAGGCTGTGGTCCCTCGCCTCCTGTTGTGCCTCCTCCACCAGAGCATCGAAGTTCTCTACCGACATGTGCAAGCGTTGGATGAGCGGGTAAAGCGCCAATGATCGAAGAAGTTGGTGGATATTGTCACTGTTGGACCGACCAATGTCTCGCATCCTCGGGTCTGCACTGAGTCAGAGCTGACAGTCACCGTTTGACATGCGTGGGAGGGGTTACCATTCGACCACGCCGACAACGGCAGAGGGATCATCTTGGTGTCAACCTCTACCAAACCACTCCCTGTCAGGAGGTTTCTCATTCTCGATCCAATCCGAAGATCCTTCCGGTCCTCCAAGGCACGCATGTAGTGGGAGCTCCATCTTCTGAGGGCATGCTGATCGGTGATGGAGCCGTTGTCAGATTGCACGTTGAAGTATATCTCGATCATCTGAACCCAGCCTCCTGGTTTCAGGACCCTTGAAAAATCGGGCATTAGTGCTGGGATGCTCAGGATGTGAGGCGTGCATTTGAGAACGGCAGCACTGCAACTGGTAGGGGTCTTCGCACCTAACTATGTCACGGATATAGGATGACCACCGCGCTCGGTGGATGCCGGTCGCAAGGAGTCTCGAGTGCACAAGGTCAAAATGATTCGAGGGGAATGTGAACGTTCGGTTCAAGTCATCGACCTACTCAGGGTTAGGTCAGCAATCGTTCTTCAGACGCTACAGTCTCTGCTGTCACGCCGTCGACGCCATGTGCAGACCCAGGAAGAAGCTCCGAAGCCAGCAGTACGAGGCGGGTACAGAGTTTGAGTCGTTCATTGCACAAAATCATCTCAAGGTAAACAGGATTGACTCACCTGGAGCCACAGGTTCTCGGGCACATCGTCTGGGCTCATCTGTGGGGCAATGTCCACGCCGGTGACCTGGTAATAGAAAGAGGTTCAGTGAATGCCGACAACAGACATGGAAATGATTCACCTCGCAATCGGGGTACTGTTCAGCAACACCCAAAGCCCAGGCTCCAGACCCGTGGCCACAATCCAGAACTCTTCGAAGTCGAGGGATGGGTGGGAAGATCAGCCGGCTGTCGAAAATTCTCTGGAATACTCGCTCCTGGTCGTCGAGCCGCTGTGCTTCCTCCTGGGCTCGGCGTCAGTTGAAACGACAACCGAGAGATCATGTTTTTCTTACCTCATCGACTGGCCCGAAATATATGCGGTGTTCGATTGAGTATTTTTGATACTCACGGCCGTGTACCGTGATGGTGTCGAGATATTCACCGTCCAGCTCGATTGTCTGTGAATCTGGGCTCCTTGATGGGTCAATATAAATGTCAGTCTTTTCCAGCCTCGAGCATGGGCAGCGGAGAGGGTGTCAGTACGTCATTTTCAACCGATTTCTCGTCCGTTGTGAACGAGAAGATCAATCTCAGTTGGGCTATTGGAAACGTTTAGCCAGTTCGTCAAAGGGCGGGGCCGGAATCTCAGAAAGTCAAGGGGGGCATCTGCGTATAGTATTCGAAGAGAAAAAAATTTGTTCGGCTGTGATTTTCATGGACGCGATCGGGTGCGGCCTAGCAGACGTCGGCGGCAACGGCACCCTCAGACAGGATGGCGGCTCGCGCGAGAATCGTTCACCCTTGGGCGTCTGCGAGAGCTCAATGAGGGGCCCCAATTATACAAGGTACGTACGAGCAATGTACGAATGGACAGACCAGCTTCCTTTTTCTTTCTTTTTTGTCCTTCCAAATTCCTTTCGGAACGTCTGAGGGCAATTGGTCAAATATTGTGCCCCAACGGGGGCTTTTGCGATGGCTGAATACAATTCGCGTGGCCGCTCAGTCCTCTCCAAATCGCTCCTGTGGTACCTCTCTTGCCACCGCGGACTACTGAAATGAGTGCAGTGGAGGAAACACTGTTTTTTTCTACTCCGAACGGAGAATGGCACATGGAAGGGGTTAGAAAAAGGCGGGTCGGTTGAGTACCCGAAGGCTGGTTCACGGACTGACACACCCTACTGATGCATCAGAATAGACTCAACTTGGGTCTGCTGCTTTAAGGCCAGGCTAGCGAACCTTGAAAGTAGGTGGCCGTGCCGTCAGCTAATGCGCCGTTCGCCGCCTCGCATAGTACCTACTTTTGGCCTCGAGGGTCCAAGAGCGCCCGAGGGAGTGGATCGAGTGAAACCCGCCTGCTGCATTGGACTGGGGGTCTCCATATCCAACCACATCGAGCCCGCTCCTTGGTCCCGAGTGCGGGTAAGGCGCGAGTAGATGGAAAATGAAGGGCCGTCCATGGAACGCCCCCTATTATTATTCACCACAGGATCCTCCACATCCTTCAGACCACAATGAGATCATCAAAATGGAGCAACGACTTGGAGACGCCGCACAGTTCCAGAATATCACGCCCACTCTGAGACTATCAACCCAACCGCGATGCGAAAAATGAACCAAAAGCAAAGACAAGCAGAAGAGAGAAGAAAACCGGAGATTCTGATAGAGCCAGCCCAGGGCGTTGGCATTTGGACCAGGCCTTGCTGGAGGGCCAGTCGAACCCTGCATTGCGAAAATCCCAGAAGCACGGGAATGGATCTTCGCCGGCTCCCGCTGTCAATCGAACTACGAACTAGCCTAGGACCGGGCGCTCGGTGACATTTCTCGCAACACATTCAGACAACTTCCGGAGTAAGTCCGTCATGTCCATGTGAGCCACTGCAATGCCAGGTGGCTTGTTCAACTCGCAGGCCCCCGATGGCAAACCCCTCCCCTCCAATTCAAGTGGGGTCAGATCAGCATCATCCTCGTTGGGCTCCATTCTGTCGGGACTCTGCTGGTTTGAATCATTTGCCCCTCTCTTCTCCTTCACCGCTTGTTCTACGGGCTTATGAGAAGAATAGGCTGACGACCAGGTTGGTGTGCTACAGGTGTGTTTCAGGATCTTGAGAGACTATGGCTGTTGTTTTAAGTAGATGGAGGGTCCTACCTCTTTTCTCTCCTTCTCTCTTTCCAGGCTCGTCCACTCCAAATCGACAGGACCAAGGCAGTCTGACTAGCGAGCGTAAAAGACATCCATCGCAACAATCCTATGAGTGTTCTCACATCCTCCTCTACGGGTTAGTGTCCACGCCACTCCGTCGGCAATCCACCGTGGAACCCCCCTAGAAATTCCAAACGAGCCTGGTGCATTGCACTAAATGGATCCCCCAGGGGGCAAAAGTCTCCAGGCCATATGAGACCCATTCCGACGCCTTCTGGATCGGACTCCACCACGACCACGCACGACGCAAACCACCCTGTTTTTGGGGGCGACTACGTGTGGAGGAATTCACGAGGACTTCTAAGCCGGCATGGATGCGTGGACCGTAAGTATAAGTAAGTTATGTTATATTCTCAATAGCAACGGTTATTATTAGAACATCCGTGGTGCACTACACAATCAACCGGAGTCGGCACGATGTTGAAGTTCATGCAAGTCGCGATCCACGTTGTCGGGTCTCGACAGGGGTTGTCCGGGGGGACAAATTTGAGCGTTGGCCCTGAACCCAGCGCCATGGTTCATTGCTCGGGAAGACACGCTGGCGGTACTAGTCTTTAAATATATATTGATTTATCTGATTTATAACCTTCATGAGAGTGCTTCGAGGGATTCTTCTATTTCAATACCCACGGGCATTTCTATTGCCGAGCTACGAAACAAAGTATGAGACTGGCCGAAGAATAGGGGTTTGGTGCGACCCCAGGGAAGTAAAATCTGATCCCATAGAAATAATCGTATTTAATAAAACAAATGTAAAACATAAATTAAATACCATAAATTAAAAATAAATCAATATTAAAAAAAAAAACCAGATGACAAACCAGACTGCTGGGTCCAAACACGCGAAATTTAATATGGTGGAGCTCGTCCAGCACACCGGCGCCCTTGCCCCAGCACTACCGAGGCAGAACATTTCATCGTGCACGCATGATACAGTCGGGATTGTATGCCCCTGGATCAAGAATTGTATATTTCCTCTCTATATCTAGGTAAGAACCAAAGACGAGAAAGAAAAGTAATCATATAATTGTGATTATTATGATGATGATGATTAGTTTAGCAATACTAACCCTCCCGAATAAATATTTCTAGCGTACCACCGCCGTGGGTCCCGCCCCGAGTATACGCAGACATAGCCACAACCCAGTGAATCCTGCGGCTGAAATTCGGGAAATGAGTCTCGGTAGAGGATACCTAGAGAGGAAAGCCATCGAACGGGGGATCTGTTTTATGTATTATTGGTATTATCAGGATATGGTTAATCGATGGTGGACCTTGCTGGGAGGTATATGTCTCCAATTCTCCATTTGAGAGCAATTCATGCTGACCAACTGTCCACGATTATGTATATACCAAACTCAAATCAATCATCACATCATGATTGAATCGTACATAGAGGGGGGGGGGGGTATGTAGCTAAGTAAACCAGAACCGAAAACACCAAGACGAAAAGTAAACAGCAACAACAATACTATATAATATAGTAATCAACTCATTCACCGCACATCCTCGCGTCCTGTCGCGAACTTGACACTCGCCGCCACTATCTGCATGACCGTCTCGATCTCGGCCTCGGTGCGGGGCGCGTAGATGAGCAGATATTCCCACGGGATGCCGGGTAGCAGGCCCAGAGACAGGATCGACATCGCGGCGGTGCCGGAGAAGGCGTGGCGCTGGCCCCAGCCTGCGTCAATGACTTTCTTGCCTAAGTGGTGTTAGATTGTACACATTCAAAGAAATGCCTCGGCCAATCTTTGTCTATCAAGACATAGAGACATCGCCATGGGATAGTAGAGATAGAGCAAGATGGAAAATAGAACATGGAACATACAGTCAGCCGGCGCGAGAATTACATGTAGCGAATGGTCCTTCCCGGTGTGAACATGGGAGATCTCGCCGCGCGTGCGCTGAGTGATCTCAGTGGGACGCAGATGATCCGCGAGGAAAAGGGCGTCGCTATGGCGCTCGGCCAGCGACTGGCTCAATTTGACAAGATGCTCATTGCGCCGCCCAAAGGCAAGGAAGGAACCGCGGAGTTTCTATACAGCCTAGTCAGTAAACACACACAAAGCATACCCTAGATGCCAGGCGCCAGGCGTAAATGTATAATCAAATACATACCTCCATAATCGCCTGCTCCGGAAGCTGCGTCATCTGCCGCTGCGGCACCACATGAGGCCCGACAAACGGCCGTGCCGCCGCACTCCGCGACGCCAGTTGCGTCTCCGAGACCAGCAGATACCCCTCGCTGCCCGGGCCCTGGCCCGCTGTCGCCGCGACGCGCCGCTCGTACTCGTCTGTGCTGAGCATCTCGCGGCCCAGTGGTTGCATCAGCAGGCGCACGATTAGCCATCCGGCTAGGTTATTTGGGATCCCGCCCTGGCCGTAGGACTTGAAGAGCTGGTAGTCGCGGTACGCGGCCGGGAATATGAGCGATGTTCCCAGGACGGCGGCGCTGGCTAGGATCGCGGTGCGATGGTCGTGGAGGGGAGATGGGATTGGGATACGGCGGAGCGCCGTGGTGAGGGAGTCGGTGAGGGACATTTCTGTTGTTTGAAGAATATCTGGTCTTTCGCTTCTGATTTCTTTTCTTTAAAGAAGTTGAGCGCGTGTTGGGTGGGAGCTCGTGAATGATGCGGTCATTAAATATCGCGCAGAATGTCGGAGCTGCGTCGCTATGCCGATGCCGACTGGGGCTGTGCGGCTCAGCTGGCTCGGAGGCCCGCAACTTGCGAGAGCGACTCTACTCATTTTCTACTCGTGTAAATCAGCTACAAAAGTTGGTATATGCTCCATGATTACTGAAGCAGTTGTCTACCTACTTCTTCTACCAAAAGAAAAAGTACTCGGTAACATATTGCATTCAGTTCGTGGATCTACTCGACCTAACCGCTATCACTGACGAAACCGCCCCACCAAACAGGCTCGGTGATGTTCCAGTAGGCTTGAGGCGGATTTGGCGTGAAATCCGCCTCTGTTCCGACTGGTACATTTGAGTGTAAGGCGTGCCGTGCGTGGACAAGATTACCCAGTGACTGTCCATGGGCTGAGACTAAGGCATGCCACCAGTGTCGGTAACGCATGCTCTGATTATGTCGTGCTGGTCCGGACAGAGATGTTCCTGGCTTTGGAACGGTGCCTCAGTCCTCTTTGCTGATCGAGCTCAATGAGTGTGCCAGCTTCAGGAGTACCACACTTTCAGTTGCGGCAAAGTAGTTCAAACTAGACCTTGTCAGGAAATTCATTCAATCACCACCTCTAGACAGGAACAACTCACCTGTCCATCAAGATCCGCAGGTGCCGGTTGAAATGGTCCTCGTAGCGCTTGAGTGTGTCCTCGAGCTTGCCGATCCGCGATGGATCATACCCTCTGGCATCGGCGCCTGGCGCCTTGCCTCCCGAGAGGTCGGGGTCGGCTGAGGACAATGTCCGGGAGAGAGAAGCGGCCGTCCATGATGCAAACATGGTGCAGCAAATCATTAACTTGGAATGGATCTGGAATGATACACTGTTAGCACTGATTCCCCGGTGCAGAGTTACCGCCGTACCTTCAACAGCTTGGCCTGAGTAAGCATGCACTCCTTGAGACACGTATCCAAGAAATCCACATGGTCCTGCATCAGCTCGTCGACCGTCCGATTCACCTGCTTAGTGCCATTTACGGTCACTTCCGACCCATTGGCATCGGCCCCATTGACCCGGTCCATCAGACCAAGCCAGTTGGGCTCGATCACCTCTGCCGTGCAGAAATACAGAAGCTGCTGCACAAACACAAGCATCTTAGCGCGCAGGTTCCATGCGCGCCGTTTCCATATTTCCAGTCGTCGGTCAGAAGACTTGTGCCGCCAACTAGTCACCTTGTTCTGATCCGCCCAAGACGTGACCAGCAGCGTCTCGAGGTGGCGCAGTGACAGAAGATGTCGGAAAATGAGTTGATAACGAAGTACAGTCTTGCGGCTGATCACCAGCGACAGCGGGAACGGTACCGAGTAGTCCAGCTCGAGCGCATCAAATCCCACAATGTCTTTCTCATCGTCGGCGGCCTGTGTGGCAGACGTCTGTTGCTTTTCAAACGCCGCTTCTGGGTGATCTTGATCAATACCAGAGACACTCACGACTTGCATCAGCCATTTCGTGAGTCCGATCTTGTTCATCCGCACTTTGACATCTTCTTTAAATGGATCCTGCGCTGCAATGCTACCTGGCTGCCGCAGCACAAGATCCAATAATGACTGGAGCTTCCCTTCGTTGACCACCCGTGCTGGCTTTCGCAGCTCTGATGCGCTCAGCTCAAGAAAGTAGGAGAAGAAATCCGAGCGGTCGAGAAAGAAATAGTGTTTTAGAGAGCGGAATCGAGTCGTGAGCGAGTTCTTGGTCAGAAGGAGGTTCAACAAAGACGCGTTTGCATATGTGTAGGCCCCATTGACGTTGTCCAAGAACCTGGGGTCGTCGAGCGTTTTTGGGACATCTTTGACGGCTTTGCTGACATCGACACCGCCGCATTCTCGCACCACATTAAGATACTTCCCTGCCAGCAAGACCTTGTCTCGCACACTGTCCAGCTGTGGAGGAACCTCGTTGTCGCGGATTGTGTAACGCTTCTCCCAGTATTCATCCGTGTAATCTTCTTCGAGTTTCTCCCGTTTAATCCATTTCTGCTCTTTCACCAGGAACTCCGCGTGAGGGTCTTTAATACCTCCGTGATGGAGCCACTCGTTCAGCATCGTCATATAGGGGCGGCTGGCGTCACGGAGCAGCGTCTGGAGCAGCGTCTTCGTTGTCGGGTCGCCCGAGAACGTGGCCAGGCGCTCAGTCAATAACCGCAGCACATTACCGCCTTTGCAGATTTTCTTGCTCGCCATGGCTCCTGGGACCAAGTCGCCCCCTTCTTTCAGTTGTTCCAGAATATTGTCGACGTCGTCAAAGTCGTCAATCGATTCATCCAGATCTTGGTCCAGAAGCCCATTGCGTCGGAGGAGTTCTTGACCCAAAGAGTATAGCTGAGCTAGACATTGCCCTGTTGGCATCGTGTGGAGGTGGAGGAGGTGTAAGGTAAAGGTAGGGTTGTTCAGCAGCTGGCCTTCCAGCTGCGCGATGAGGATCAGGTAGTCTTTAAGGAGTTTTCGAATTGATGCGCATAGCGAATGGCTGACAGCTCCATACTCGGCGCGGCTTTGGATTTCCACAAATGCCTCCATGGCACTGTAATGTGTGGCCATCTTCAACATTGACTGCGTGAGGTCGCGTAGGGTGGGATCCAGACCGGGCGCCAATTGGAAGACAGGACCCATCAGGCGGTCCTTCTCAACAGACGGATCATATGAGCCTTGGTAATGGATGTATTGCCCTTCGAAACCCATGAACACAAACAGCAGATCCTCCAATATCGCGGCCTCTTGGGCGTCCGACGAGAGCTCCCGAAGAGGTCGGGGATGAAGTGACTGCGGACAAGCCGATGCCAGTGGAGGAACAGATACACGAGAAGCTAACGGCGCGGTCGAGTGAGGAATTAAAGAGGCTTGCGGGTCCCATGGTGCTGAACAAGAGAGTCATGGTCAGTCTGGTTGTTGCAACCCCACACGATGCGACCCAGGTAGGGATATGATCACTAACCATTGCTCGTATCTTTCTCCGCTCGTCGCGCATTTGGACTTGCGCCATCTGCCATCTTCTTTGGCTTTATCCTATCCCAATCCCCTCGATTGGCCGCACCGGTGGATTCCTTGACAGGGTTCCTCCGCACTGCTTTCTCCCTTGTTGTCACCACCATGCGCTCCGAGCGCTTCTCGGACATGGTCTTCTGATCTCGGGACATCCTGTGTTTCTGGCTGGAGGTGCTCGTGCGCAATGGGTCCACGTTATCGGGTTGATGCGACTCCCCGGCATCAACGCGATTGGAGACAACGCGGGGTCGTGAAGCGCTCATGGAGCTGACGCGACGGTCATTGACGGACATAATCCCGCAAGGGCGTGGCGAGGATGATGTAACATAGGCGAAAACTACCGGTTGAATAAGACCACGAAGATCATAAGCTAAGCCAACGATGTTGCGCACCTTCAAAACAATCCGCGGGTGTTTGGGCAGCGCTGATGCCTTGGTGCCTGAACCAGCCGCCAGGCAACTCACTTGCGTAGAGCTTCCGCCTCGAGCTTCGGTGCTCTCATCCACACCCTCTCCGCCCACGTCTCCCTCTCCTCCCTCTTTTTATCTAGCCATCTCCGAGATATACGCCTCGTGCCATAATCGATCAACATGTTCATTGCACGATCTGAATATGGTAAGCCCCATCCCGTCCCGCCAATGCCCTTAGGACCGACGTCAACTGACAGCTCTGAACAGACCGTGGAATCAAGTACGGGCCCCCGGAATCAATACTGCCCCTCCCTGTTCGAAGCCCCCAGTTTGACAATGAAACCATCGCAGCACCTTCTCCCCCGAAGGCCGTTTGTTCCAGGTCGAATACTCTCTCGAAGCTATCAAGCTAGGCTCTACGGCGATCGGTGTACGTTCATCCTTAGATTCCCTCGTCTTTTTGGTTGCCGCCACAATAATATGACTTTTATCATGAACTCGCTATTGTGACCGGAAATACGGGCCGACTATCGCAATGGCCGTGACGACACCCTATGCTGACATTCGCCTAGGTCGCAACATCGGAAGGTGTCATCCTCGGTGTCGAGAAGCGTGTCACATCCACGCTGCTCGAAGCCTCGTCCGTGGAGAAGATCGTCGAGATTGACCAGCACATCGGCTGCGCCATGTCCGGCCTGCAGGCCGATGCCCGGAACCTCGTCGAGCACGCCCGGGTCGAGTGCCAGAACCATGCCTTCCACTACGCCGAGCCTCTGCGGGTCGAGAGCACCACGCAGGCGATTTGTGACCTGGCCCTCCGGTTCGGTGAGAGTGGCGATGACGAGGAGAGTGTCATGAGCAGACCGTTTGGAGTAGCGCTGTTAATTGCCGGTCACGATGAGGATGGGCCGCAGCTGTATGTGATGGCATTTGAACATTTCCATGCGCGACTCGCTAATCTCTGTTTACCTTTTAGATATCACGCCGAACCGTCGGGTACGTTCTACCGGTATGACGCCAAGGCCATCGGCTCCGGAAGCGAAGGCGCCCAGGCCGAACTGCAGAATGAATACCACCGCTCCTTGACGCTAGCCGAGGCCGAAACGTTGGTTCTGAAGACGCTGAAACAGGTCATGGAGGAGAAGCTTGATTCGAAGAATGTCCAGTTGGCAAGCGTGACTAAGGAGAATGGGTTCCGCATCTACAATGACGAGCAGATGTCCCAGGCTGTCGCACAGCTGGGTGGGAATCAATAAACGCTTACGGGTTGGAAGATAACCGGTGATCGAAAGACTCTGTGTTCCTAGCCTGCTGGTATTTCTGTTGAGATCAATAGAAAAACTAATGACGATGTGGTCCTACGCTTAAGAAACTTGCAATATGCCCAAGTCCAGGTGATTGTTATGCCGTGTATCAACTGTAGATTTACCACGATCGATGTTGTAGGATGACCTGATAGTCAAATCTATATACAATGGCATGCACAGGCAGCGCCTAGCGGATCTTGTAAACACACGGCTTCAACACCTGAGCCTCCTGATCCGGGGTCAAGTCATTCTCCGTGTCCTTCTTCCGCTCGACGAACCGCTTCTTCCCACCGGGAGCAGGGGCACTCAATCCAGTGGCGTGTTTACCCTTGGCGGGAGCACCTCCCTGCTTGACAAACTCCATCTTGACGAACATCTTGTTGGACTTGTCCACCGACTCGGGACGAAGCACGAACCCACGGGTCCGAAAGATCTCCACAAACGCCGAGATATCCGTTTCGTCGTTGTCAGTCGGGCGAGCATCCTCAGCGTAGATGTCCGCATCATCGACATCCGAGTCGGCATCATCGGCAGACTTCTTCTTCGCCTTCTTCTTGTCCGCTTTGCTGGGTGGCTTCTGGGCCCCGATCTGGGCCTTCTTGCGCGTCACTTTTCCGTACCGGCTCTTGACCTCGCTGACCCAGCATTCACCCTTGCCGTCACTGCGCAGCACACGCCAGGCCTCTTCCACGAAAGACACCCAGTTCGTGCCCATCAGACTCAGACAAAAGATGGCTACATCGACGGTCCCGTCCTCCACAGGAAGGTTGGAGATGTCCGCTTTCGTGATCAACGGGTCTGGCGCCTGCAGGTCGTAGCTGGCAAGTTTCAGGTTCAATTTTTTCGCTGACGGGGTCAAGGCGCGCGCAAGCTGTGCGTCACCGCAGCCCAAATCGGCAATCGTGCACACCCCGTTGGGCCGACGGGGCAGCGGCTGTCCTTTGCCGGGCTTTTGCTGGGGTTTGCCACCTTTTTTTGGGACTGGCACTCCTCCACGAGCGCGAACCGCCTTGATATAGCCATCGACGGGGTTGGAGGGCCAGAATTCCTTCACCTGCCGCGAGAAACCCGCGTGATATTCGTCGAATAGTTCAGGACTGTTATTGAACAGCTCGACAGCCTTCGAGGACGGCGTGGTGTACAGGGTTTCATTGAGGTGGCGGAACCGAGATGAGATCAGTTTTTGTCGCATCGCTTGTTGGAGAGGGGTCAGCGTCGCGGACGTTGGGGGCGGTGCCGGCGCAAGCTCTGCGGCAGCAGAGTCAATGGCTCCATTCGGGCCTGAAGTAGCCTTGCCTTCCTGGCTCTTATCTTCTGCATGAGCTTCCTTGTCTTTGTTTTTCTTGTTCTTCTGCTGCTTGGCTGGCTTTCCATCTGCTTGCTCGGAGCCGCCATTGGCAGCCTTAGCGGGGTCATTGGCAGGCTTTGACTGAGGTGCTTTCTCGGGCGTTTTGTTTTCCTTCTTTTGCTTCTTGTCCGGCTTCATAGAGTCGCCTGCGCCCTGTTTTCCGGCCTTGCGAGGTCCTCCAGTGTGACCCTCGATGTGCTTTCGGTACATCTCGCCGACATTGCCGGAAGTGACATGGTCATTTCCACGCTTGCGTTTGTTGTTCTTTGCTTTCGAGCCTGAGCCCTCCTTGGTTGACTGCGACTGGTTCTGGGACTGCGCTTCCGGTTCGGTCTGCTGCTTGAGAGCAGAGCTCGAAACCGACCACCCTGGGACTGCGAACATGTTGCAAAGGTGAAAATGTATTATCCACTGTCTCTTCTTTGCAACGAAAGGTCGAACTGCAGAATCAGCCTCTGGTTGTTGGGATGTGAAGCAGGGATCGAGCTCTCCGATGGAAAGAGAAAAGAAAAAGCAAAATTTCGTTATCGCTGATTGGTATTTATATTACCAATGTTACGATACAGCAACCTCAGGCATCAGGCGTGTGGTTGAATATTGTTCATGTTATGTGAATATTATAGGGAAATATTTAAAATATTTGAGGTATTTCAAGCATTTTAAATATACTTTATGTCTAAGGTTTCTTCTTATTCCATAGCTGAATTCCCTGGTCCCGGCGGATATCCGGTCCAATGCACCCTCATCTCTCAACCCTCTGTGTACAAGAACTTGTCCTGGCTTTCAACTGGGAAAACCAAGAGAAATCGCGTGGACAAAAGACACCCTCAAGCCTATCAAAAGGTCGTACAAAGCGGGTGATCGACTGTCGGTGTTCGGTGGAGACGGGGAGCTCAGTGATTAGTACGCCGTATCTGATCTGCCTCGTCCACTTGCTGCCCCACAATTCGATCGGACTATGCACCCCGCTGTCAACTGCCGGGACTTCTGCAATTCTTCTCTCGGGCTGGCTCAAGCATCATGACAACCCTCGACATGGAATTGGATGCGTCACGTTCGGATGCCCAAGTCACAGAGGCCAATGCCGGCACTGGGGATTCAGCTGAAGCGTCGACAGCGAGGGATTCTGCCCCCCGCAGGCTTCCCAAGAAACGGACCAAAACCGGTTGTTTGAGTAGGTCGCAATTGCACGAAAACCTCCTGCTACAATAAGACCTTCGGTTGACCAAGTGTTGTAGCATGTCGGAAACGCCGCATCAAATGCGGTGAGGAAAAGCCCACTTGCACCAACTGCGTCAAATCCAAGCGCGACTGCGAGGGATATGCCCCGCGAGTGGTTTTTAAGAATCCCATGGGAATCATCGGGGCTTATAGGGCCGATCACAGCCAAAATCCGCCGATGCAGACCGCTCCCGTGAGGATGCAAATGTCGAATGATTCCAGCAGCCTGCTTCCGCCCCAGCAAGCCGCTGCTGCTACTCAGCATCTCATTCTAGCACCACGGCCCGTGGAAACGGGGGTAATAGACCACTATACACCTCTGTCATCTAAGCTGGCTACGCCTGACGGGATTCAATTGGACACACCTCCCCCATTTCGCTATCCTGCCGTTCCCATGCAAGCGCCCCCCGATATGTGGCCAGCCCAGTCAATGGACCAGATTGGACATGTACCAATGCCATCTACCATGACCGACCACTCACAGTTTCAACCTCAGGACATCATCTTTGATCAAATGGGTGTTCGCCATATCCCGGACATGGGCATTGAAACGATAGATCAGGCCCACGACCCAATACGACACCCAGAGCAACCATATGCCACAACCATCTCATCGACGCCAACTTTCAATGAGACACGAGGCCAATACCAGACAAATCAGGCGCAAGTGCTTCAAAACCCTCAAACGCATGAACAATTCACTTCACAGCAGCCGCAGATTGTGTATGTGCACGATGAAGATGAAGACTTGTATGACGTGGAATCCGACGAGGATATAGCACATCAATCTCAAGCCGAAGGCTCCAATCAGTTAACGCTGATCATGGCCTCTGCCAATCATGATGACAGCCAGCTTCGCTCGTTCACCACATACTTGAACGAGCCCAACATTCTCGCCTCCTATCACCCCTCGTTGGCATCCTCTCCCCTGAACAATCCCAAGACAGCCCGTATATTTGCTCACTTCATACACTCAACCGGTCCCTCGTTGTCTATATTTGAACGACACGCGACTGACCCCTCTATCGTTCTGGGAACTCCAGTCTCGGCTGCCCAGCAGGGCTTGTGGACCTACACACTCCCCCTCAAGGCCTTGGAACATCCGGCGCTACTACAGGCCATTCTGGCAATCAGTAGCCTGCATATTGCACAATTGCAACAAGTGCCAACTACTGTATCTCTGAAGCACTATCACTACGCACTCAGGCGTGTCGGCCGTGCAGTCGGCCTTCCATTGCGGCGTAAAAAGATCGGAACCCTTGCCGCCGCTTTAGTTCTAGGGTACTATGAGGTGATATCTGCCGAGCACTCGAAATGGAACAACCATGTGGCCGGGTCAGCCCAGCTCATCCGGGAAATTGACTTTGCCGGCCTCACCCGAAACCTACGGGCTCACCGTCGCAGAGCCAGTGAGCAGCGGCGTCAAATGAGCTGTTCGGCGTGGCAAGGATTGGGTTACTACCCCTTCGATAGCGACACCTCTGAGGATGACCCTTTTGCCGAGAAAGAAAGCAATATCGACGAAGGGCTCATTGGCTCGCTGATAGGCCGAGCTGTCAACTACGATGAATTTGGACGCGTCAATGACGGGCATCTACAAATTCCTACGAGACACTTTTCTCGCAAAGACATCGAGACCTTTCGCATCCAGTGCGATCTTTACTGGTGGTTTATCAAGCAGGACGTGCTCCATAGCTTGGTCAGTGGAAACGGACTCTTGTGCGTCAAACTCTTTCTTATATATGAACGGGGACTCTTGCTCACTTTTCCCCTAGTATACCATATTATCAACTGGGCCAATGTCCGCCTCGAGCAAGAATTGGGAGACTGGATGCCATCTACGGCTCGGCAGATCATATCTGGCTGATGCTTGCGCGGATCACGGATTTCGGTGCTCGTGATCGCAAGCGGAAATTAAAAGCACTCAAAGCAGCCGGCACAGACTGGAGGCCAACCCCAGAATTGTTCAAGTTCATAGGGCGCTTCAGTAAACACGATCCCACTCAAATGCCAGGTCCATCCAAGCCTTTTGGGCCGAAGGGACCTCCTGGTGGCTCTTCTATGCCCAAGGAAGGAGGTCCCGTACAACAGGCAGGAAGACCTACGGCAGATGGATTGCTATCCCGAGGTCCTCCGGCACCCGCCCAAGCTAGTCCTCCGATGTACGGGATGATACCCCCGACAGGCCCAACCCAGCTTCCGTCTGGATTCGCAGACAAGCCCCGCCAGGAACGGGCATCTCCAGATAGTGATGACTCTGACTCGGGCGCGACATACAGCGAAGCAGAACAGGAATGGGAGGAGATCTTTGCCACCATGGACACCTTATTCCAGGCGCTGGGCAATGATTTCCGGCCTTTACCAGCAGACGTCACTCCCCCCATCTCGACCCCGTTCGGGCCCGCTCTTCAATATCGCACGCATACCATCGCGGTAATCTGGGGGTACTACTACGCCGGGCGCATTCTGCTCAATCGTTTGCATCCATCAATGCCCCCAGCCATGATGGTATCCGCTGGAGTAGCGGCTCCAACGACAGCAGAGTACGCGCAGATCATTGGGAAAATCATTGCCGGCATCTATTACCCGCAGCGCTACAATCTCGCAGCCGGCAGTCTGAGCCCGACGCTCGGGTCGTCTCTGACTGACATGACCGTGCCGGTGTTCTTCGCTGGTGTGCAATACACAGATGCCACGCAACGTGGTTGGACAATCGCAAAGTTGCGCGAAATCTCCCGCCTGACGGGATGGAAGTCTTCGGACGCTGTCGCCGGGGGCTGTGAAAGAGCATGGGTCACTGCTGCGGAGCATGGTCGCGGGCCGCCATATCAGCGGTCTTTTGAAATGGATCGGCATAGTGAAGTAAGTCGTGAAGTTTTGGGTGGGTGAGTTATGCTGACTTTTGTCTTCTGTGTAGTACCTCGAGCGCAAGGCGGGGATGTCGAACAACGACCTGCGCTTCGTCACGATCAACGCCTCGGATCATGTCCAGTACGGGTTTGGAATCTTGAGCTTGGAGGACGATCTGAGCGTCTTGGAGTTGTAGCCTGAATCATTCACATGAATATTCTGGATATCTGCAGAATCGTAGGGTGTACCTACATTAGTTCCCACGTCGGCAGTGCAGTGTGGCGGAGACTTCCCCCACATGTCATCATCGCTTTCATCGCTTCTGCCTGACGCATTGTAAGGCTGATATTTGGCCTTGATCTTTCTTGCATAATCTTCAACTCTCCCTTCATCTCATCCGTTGGCTCTCGCTTTCTCTCTTTCCTTTCACCTCTGTCTCACCGTGGTTCCTCCATCTCCACCCGCGGCCCGCGAGTCAGCCGCCCTCGTCATCCACGGTTCCCTCATTCTCTCCGAACCACCTGCGACTGTGATTTGTTGATCAGGCGATAGTTCTCGGTCATGTCTCGTTATGACGATTATCGGTCGTCGACAGGCACCCTCGACTCCCGCGACCGCTATGATCGGTACTCGCGGGGTCCCCCGGTAGCCGAACGACCCCGCCACGCCGAGGGCGAGCGATTCGAGTCTCGTCTGCGCGAAGACGACCTATACGGCCCGCCGGCACGGGCTCCAGGCCGATACTATGAAGACGACCACCTGGTTCAGCCTGCTGGTCCCCTGGTGGCGCATGACCGCCGTCGTCGCCGTGACGAAAGCCCCTCCTTCCAACGACCCCGTCTCCTTAGGCGGCAGTCGTCTCTTGATACCTTCGATCGTCCTCCACGCCGCAGAATGGATGCAGACCGCGCCCCGCGTATGGCCCGGGTGCCTGCACCACCGCCCCCTCGGCGATACTCGCCGGGACGATATCGTGAGCGCGAGGTCTACGAGGATATAAGAATCGCAGAGCCCGACTACTACGGCGATGAGGAATACAGAGAACTTCGTGACAGAGAACTCATGGCTGATCGTCGACGCCGTTCGAGTAGCGGGGCCCATCACCGCGAGAGGCACGAGGACAAGCCGTATCCGCGCAAAGGCAAGACTCGTCTCCCACGCCGGCTTGTGCATATCCATGCCATCCTGGATTTGGGGTATCCGTTCAAGGAGGAAGTATGATCTCCGCTTTTTCCCAGAAAGGTTTCCCACAGTACTGACCTGAGACAGGACGATGTGATTGTGATCCAGGTGGCCTTATCCAAGGACCAGATCGACGAAGTGATCAGTCTGAGTCGGGAATTCCGCCGGCCCTCTCCCACGGAAAGTGAGTGGCACTGTCGATTCTCTAATATTAAGGACAACCCCCCCATTAACCATCCTTCGCAGCCGAATTTCTCCATATCCCCGCTTCCCCGGCTCGAGATTGGCCTCGGGAGCGCTTAATGACAGAACACTTGACTGTCGATGCCCATTCCCCGCGCTCGAGCCACAATGCCTTTATTGTTGAGGCGTCGCCATCGCGATATCGATCCCACTCGCGCCGTCCAGATATCGAGTATGAGGAGCTGATAGAAAGACCCCGGGTACGAGGCATCTCTCGACCGCGGTCCGTGTCCGTCCATGGACGCCGTCGGTTGTCATCGCCCGTGCAATTGATTGAACCACGACGCCACGAGGAGCGCCTTGAGTCTGACAGGCTTCACCCCGGTCCTCTAGCCATCGTCGCACGTCCCCGCCACAGCGATAATGACGTCAGTAACTATATTCGCGATCTGGAAGAGGAGATGCGACTCCTTCGACTGGAGCGACAAGGCGGGATAGAGATTACCCAGCGGCGCGAAATGGACACCATTGACAATCGGGGCAATGAGGAGGAAGTGACCGAAATCCGGCAGCAAGAGCGCAAAGGTATGCTATAGGAAGCTCATTTGGTTTTGATTTTCTAATGCTCTAACCCTTTTTAGAACCGAACTCCCGGATTATGCGTGCGATGATGGCCACGCTGACTTGAACGGCCCCCATGGTTACTTTTTGATTTACGCACGGATGATTTCTATGTGATTTGGATGGCATGACTTGGGACAGGCGAACAGGATGTTCTGTATTTCTTACTTTGATTTCATTTCTTTCATTTATTTCATGGATTTTTGATATCATAAATCGACGTCCCGTAGATGAAACAGTGGCGGTGCGGCTGAGGCGGTGCAGGGCCAGTGCGGGATGGCAGCCTCCAACAGGGCGCGATTCCCTCCCCATCACCCTCTTCTCTGTGTTTCTGTATCCTTTTGCTTACACTCTCAACTCGCGGAAAATAACCAATCATGGATCGGGTACAGGCTTTCGGGAAGAACTTCAGGTGAGCGCAGCCTCAGACCTGACACCCCCTATATCTCACTGCCCCGGATGGCGTACCCCGTCTCCTAGTCGCGTGGGAATCATCGCCTACTGACACGGTGTTGTGTGTTTTCGTTGGGTTGAGTAGTGCGAACTTTACGCCTTTCGCGCAGCGCACCCAGCAGATGATCAAGGAGCAGCTGGGCCAAGCCGAAGACAAGACCCAGCTCCCCGATGAATACATCGAGCTTGAGAAGCGCGTCGATGCGCTGAAGCTTGTCCACCAGAAGCTGTTGCAGGTGACGTGAGTATTTCCCCCACTATTGATAAAAAACCGCGTACCCCTTGCGCTGAAACGAAAGAATTCGCTGACCCGCGGCGGGGGTGTCCGCAATGTCCAACCCACAGCTCGCAGTACTCCAACGAAGCCTACGACTACCCGCCCAACATCCGCGAATCCTTCAATGACCTGGGCCGCACCATCAACGAGAAGGTGCAGCTCCTGTCGCAGGCCGGATCTCCCGCCGAGGCCCAGGCCGCGCTGACGGCGCCGCCGTCCGCCAAGCCGCAACCCAAGACCTTCAACCACGCGATCGCGCGCGCCTCGCTCGCCGGATCGCAGACCCTGGTACAGAGCGTCGAGGGTGAGGACCCTCTCGCCACTGCGCTGGAGAAGTATGCCCTGGCCGAGGAGAAGGTCGGCGAGGCTCGCCTGTCCCAGGACGCGCAGATCCAGTCTCGCTTCCTGGCCGGCTGGAACACTACCCTCAACACCAACCTGATGTTCGCCGCCAAGGCCCGCAAGAACGTTGAGAATGCCCGTCTGATGCTTGACTCGGTCAAGGCGAGCAAGAAAGCTGCCGCCCACGGTGACCTTGACAACCTGGGCGAGGAGGCCCGCGCTGAGATCGAGCAGGCTGAGGATGAGTTTGTCGGCCAGACTGAGGAGGCCGTGAGCGTGATGAAGAATGTGCGTTTCTTTCTCCGTCTAGTTGTTATAAGAACTGTGCTAATGTCGCCTGCAGGTCCTTGATACCCCCGAGCCCCTGCGCAACCTTGCCGACCTGATCGCCGCCCAACTCGAGTTCCACAAGAAGGCCTACGAGATCCTCAGCGAGCTTGCCCCGACTGTGGATGCACTGCAGGTCGAGCAGGAGGTAAGTGTTCTTGTGGCTGAAAAGATGGACACCTGAATCTAACCACCCCCTCCAGGCCAGCTACCGCAAGAGCCGTGAAGGCGCATAAGTGCTTTGGGTATGATTTTTTTGATTTTTGTTCCAGCCTCTGAGCAGCTTCGGCTTTCTCTGTATCTAAACCCTTCTGCTTCTGTTGTCCAAAGGGATTCTGTTCAGTCTTGTTTGCGCCTGAAATTGTATACATGTCGTAGCGCAGTGCAATGACCTTCGTCTACTCTTTCGAGGGGGGAAGTATTACTATAATCATCATATTGTAGTGGTATCCATGAATAGTGTACAAAATAGGTCTCAGTACTTGGAGGCCCAGTTTAGTGACCGCCCTGGTTGCCTGAGGCATCCATATCCGGCTAGCTCCAGGAGCTCCAACATCAACTCGCCCTCTTCCAACCCACACCCCGCCCAGCCCATTCCTCGAGGTTTTCGTGTGGATATCTGTGCAGAAGAATTTCGGTCTTTGCTATCGCTGCGCTGATCGTTCAACCATCTGAGCTGTCGACTGTAATTCCTTCCCCGACCTCCGTCCTCACGCCATCAAGTGAACATCGCTCTTGACTGTCCTTGAAGCGCATTCGACTTGAATAGCGTCTGAATACTTCAGCACACCCAATATCATTGCCGTCCGAATTCCATATCTCAAGCGCAACGCCCTCTCCGACGCTCTGCCACCACCCTCGAAACTCCAGATTCTACAGATTACCCCTCCAGTCACCCGACTTTCCACCCGCAACGATTGTATGTTCTTGGACTAGGATATTATTTCGAGGATATACACACGAAAAAATAAGCTCCAAGCACGATATTTATTGCGGGGTCCTCGAGCTCGGCCACTTCACTTTCTACCCTCGACGCATACACCACACGTTGGAGGGATAATCGATCTTATTCCGATATTGAAATTCACTTGAAAAGAGACGAAACAGCGACAAAATGGCAAGCGGGTACATTCTGTCTCCCTGTCGAGATCGAGGACAGGCGGGGGCCAGATTACCAGGCACTAGCACAGCTGGGGCATGGTGATATGGTTCTCTATGTCCTCCATTCCCTCTATCTCTATCTTTTCCTGTGCGACTCTCCGTGCTAACCTTTTCCCCTAGTTGGAGTCTCATCATCGGCCTGATCATCGTTGTGGCTGCATCGCTGGCAGCCTGGTTCCTCAGCCCCAAGGGCGATAACCAGACGTGAGTTTTGCTCTGATCATTATACATGGGCAATTTATACATGCAATCTCCGTGTGCCAAGTCGCCAGAACTCAAAGGCTAACTTCCTCATCCCATACCTAGACTTTGGCGGAACACCCTCATCCTTTCATTTATTTCTTGTTATTTGATGTGGGGTGCGTATCTCTTTCCTTTCCCTCTCTTTAAGTCTATTAATCTCTCCCCACGAGAGAGAAACTGACAAATCCTCGTTACAGCCATTGTCTTCCTCGCACAGTGGCATCCGCTCATTACGCCCAAGAGATCCGATATGCGGCCTGACCGAGTACCGGAGTAAAACGGTTGTAACTCTTTTGTGTTGTTTTCATGCCTTTTGGTGATTTTGTAGGTCATTTGGGTTATTCGTGTTATTCGTGTTGCGAGGGCTAGGTACTGGCGCCTGCGGTCAGATATATTATGACTGAAAAACCCCCTGTGATGGGACTTGCCTACTCTGCATGGTGATGAAATGCAACTACGGGATGCATATGCACTTTTTTTTTTGCGGGTGTTCTGTATGTATAGCCTTTTAGATATGTTCTCTTCAAGTCTGCATTTTCTCAATGGATTCGTCCAATCTATCCCCTCCTTTTAGCTAGTATGGATGCATAGAAGTGCTTATTTTAGGTATGGTCTATGAAGGAAGGGATATCTATGGATATAGTACGAATTAATTTTTAGGTATTATCTGCTATAACGATCCGTAACATCCGAGGCAATCGCATATTCTAACCCTACCCAATGCCGACAGCCCCTAATATCACCTTCTGCACCGCCCAGCGTGCAACCTGGCCCGCAACAGCCACAGCCACAGCACGCAGATAGCCACATCCGAGAAGGATATACAAAGCCTCGATATTACTCAAGAGCACAAGGTGGGTATCAACAACGCCGAGAGAAAGCAGCGAGGCAAGCAAATCAAAAAGACCCGTGAGGTAGCTCGTCGGCGTCGACGAGCGCAGCGACGCAGCCGTCGCCGCAAGCCAGGACTCCAGGAACGAGGCAGATGGCGGCGATGCGGGTGGTGAGGACGACAACGCGGCTTTTGCGGATAGGACTGCAGTAGTGGACAGATCTGCGTGGGCTGCGCCGATGGGCTGGGTGTGCGACCGCATCTGCGCTGCTGTCTGGCTGTGCGCGGGGATGTCCGAGAGGCTGGGGCTGTTGTCTGTGCCCCAGATCACGAGCAGGATGGGAAAGAGTTTCGCGCAGCTGCTGACTAGCAGTGCTGTGCTGATTGCTGCGGGACTGGCGATTGTGGGTGGTGGGAGGGGCTTGATTCTCTGGAGCGGTGCTGTGGAGGTTTGTCGGAGAGGCGGTGCTGGTCGGGGAGCTGAGGCCATGTGTGGGCCTTGCGGTGGAGGGGATGAGTCTTTCGGGGACGTCACGTCGTTAGACAATCCTGAATTGGATGGCTGCGGAGATGGTGAAGCCCAGGCGGTAGGTGTAGGGGGTCCCAAAGGGAGCTGGGTTGGGTCGACGCTGGTGCTGGTGCCATTGGAATGTCCATTATTGGTATCTGTGCCACCTGGTCGACGAGATGCTGGGACCAGGATCGAGGCCAGCAGGCGCACGCTGAGGTGGTGGGCTAGGGTGGCGGTGGCATTTAGGCTGAGGAAGAAGAGGTATTGTACGACGATGGGGGCGCGTGCGAGAAAGGTCGTAGTCAGTGAGGGATCCTTTTCGAGGCGCGCCCAGGTCAAGTAGACATCGAAGAGAAGCAGGAGAATGCCGAGGCGAACAATCGACCGCTAAAATGCCACCGAGTCAGCTGTATGATTCATATCGTCAATGGGGACGCCCACTCACGTCAAACTGGTTGTCGGCTCGCCCTAGTCGGTTAAACAAGAGGTGTCGGTAAACCTGGTCCCGCTGAATTAGCAATCTGTGCTTTCCAAGTTCATTGTCGCTGTCTCTCTACCTGTGGCTTGATAAGGACGAGGTCGATGAAGAGCACGACGAAATCATATTCGACGTATTTGTCGGCGAAGCGCTGACAGCGCGGACATTGCGTCAGTCGCACCCCTTTGCCCAGGGAGCGGTCATCGGCACGACTATACGCGCTGTAGAGATGAGAGACTGGATAGGAGCATTCGATGCAGATGGGCATGGTGTGACGAGGCCAAGTGCATCGCGTGGAGCTCGCGTCTGTGATCGCAGGCGGTGAGGGTCATGGCAGATGACTTTATGCACCTAGATATAACGATTAGTCGTCCCCTGAAGTCGGACCTATAGTATTTACAGCTGTTGGTCCTCCACACCACAACGCAGAAAATTTAGTCACCACCTCAAGAATATGTATACTATATATGTTCATGCAATTGACCAGCAAAAAGTGCACTCTCCGAACACTCTTGTATCCCAGCGTCGGCACTGAGAACACATCGACCATTATTGATACCAAGCCTCTCCGGACTCCTTTAATTCTATAATTTCCAGAAATGAAAAGATTGGCCAGTCAGTGTAGAAGCACCCTCGCCATTGCTTTACTGTCGCAGGGCTTTTGGGTACCCGCGGGTTGACGTGACCCTCTATCTCTCACGGAAATCCACCTCGACGCGTTGCAAAAAAAGAAATCACTCTGATCCCCACGAAAAGCCAAATTCCCTGTAACTCCAGCCAACTTGTGCCATGAACATCGAATCTCAGACCATGTCCTCGCGGTCCATTGATCGGTCTTTGAGCCCCTTCTATCAACTTCCAGTCCTCGGTACAATACCCTCGAAATTGTGAATAGATCCAAAATCCCAGAGACGCAAGCACATACTAACCAGTTAGCCTTTCACTGCTCCCGACGTAGTGTCGACATTCTCGCACAACAACCCTCAACGATACTTCGGTGTGTCGAACCAGACCGCAGAAGGAACTAGATAGTATATAAGCCCGAATATTCCAGGAGGTTTTCGACTCGGTGGCAAAAGACAGAATATGGTCAAGTGCTAAATGGTGATGGATGGTCTAAAATAAAGTTATCGAAGTAACATTGCGCTCAATTTTGTAAGCATTTCGACCAAGTTACGCGCATTGAGCCTGGCGTTCCCAAAGTGGTGTGCAGGGCTTGCTTTACCCTACTGGATCATCCACAGCACACAAATAATGGTACAAGCGCAATGGGAAAGCACCAATATATAGCTCACTTCCCGAAGATATTCTTCAACTTCTCCCACCCAGGGAGCGTATCATTGCCCCCAGGCTGCTCTCCCATGAAACTATGATCCTCGGTGGCACAAGTCGGCTCGCCATTCACAGTTGTCTGTTTGATATCTTGCGTGGCGTGGTATTCCCGAGTATTGTATTTGTCGTCGGCGTGGGCCTTCTGATCGTGTAAACCTTGGAATTGTCCTGTTGTGGTTTTAAAATTGCTTGGCTGATTGCTTGCCTGAAATGGAGACATGTTATTAGCTGGAGTAAGTAGTGAAATCGTGCTACTATTAGACACCTACATCAACGTCTTCTTTTCCCTGGCTATCGATATTGCGTTCTGGGCCATTGACGTTGTTGGCAGGTGTAGGCACGGCACTACTGCCGCCGGCAACGGCGGAGGTTTGGCCACTGCGACTGGGCGTATCTGGCATGTTTTTCTCTTGTTTGGGGCGTTTCGTCTGAGCGGAGATAGAGGATGTAGGAAGTGGTAATGGCCCGTTGAGAGCCAACTAGATGTCAATCTCTTTTATCACACGATACCAATGATGTCAGACTGGCTATAGTCAGTTCATTAAATGAATCTGGGGTCATGACGACAATGGGAACCATGGGAACCATGGCAACCCAAGATGAAGTCATAATAAGTCTGATCCATTAATTCTGAGTCACCTTCGTCATCTAGGGCTTTGCTTTTAGGAGAAATCTAAGTTACTCCCAGTGGAATCATCCACTTCGGTCCAAGTAGTAGTATTTTTCAGGTTATTTACTTAGATCACTTAGATAATGGTTTTGCAAATTGTGCAAAAATTGGAGAAAAGTTTGGCAGAGCTCGATCCTAATGGCGAGGGATATAGATAACTCCAATACATATAAATTTTAGAATGTATCCAATCTCAAAAAGGACTAGGCTCGATTTTCGTTTCATTCATCACAATTACTACTTAATTGGAATGATTACTCCGATCATACTAAAGCACTAGATAAACTTACAAAAGCATAGCCGGAATCACATTATAGCCCGCGAAAGCCTCTGCCTCAGTTAAAACTAATTCTATTGCTCCTGCACAAACTCGGTCAGATTATTTAATTTTCTACTTGATCTCTTCCACGCCAGGGACAAGTATATTGACTTTGCGAGGCCTAATAGAATCGTTATATAGCACAATATTGTCTTGGCTAATCACTGGATCATAATAATTGAGGTAACTAGGAGTCTGGATAGGGACAGCAGCGCTTGGTCTGTTGAAAAGGCATACATATACAATACAAAGAGAAGAATTGAAACCCATGCTAGAACTCATTACGGGAGACTAGTCAACATTGCGCCTCTTAGTCAATATATATGATTTTGAGAATAGGATTATAAAGAGTTTATGCTTGCATTCATGGCAGAGGTAATAGACAGCAGCAAAAAAATCAAGATCGGCCATACAACTTATAAACCTACATACTAAACGAGTACCAAAGACAGCGTAGCCACAAGAGTGACCCGCCAACAAAGTCGTTCGTTATACAAGAGGCCGAACCAATAGCTAGCACCGACAAATTCTAGTTAGTTCGCCTAATTATAAGCATATTTCAAGAAACATTGGCATTATTATCACTCTTCACTCTGATGCTATCTCTTAACCTGTCCCCTCAAATCTAGGCTATCATCCAATAGTCACATACATACTCTTGCTAGCTGAGGTCTAATTCATCTTCCGTTATATACGATAGGAGGAGAACATTAAGAGAGCCTAATTCGGATAGACTAAGAGCCATCCGCAAGTACTAATCGGGTCTAAAATAGGTCAATGGTGCGTGCGAAGCGAGTGCGTATACTAGGGTAGGTGGTGGTATTATTTAGTGCTTCATCTCAAAACTTTCTTCATTTATAAAGCGCTTCCCAAGTTTCTACATAATGATGGGTTTAGCATATGTTCGGATGTCTCCGACATAAGATAAGCCCTCAAAATAAAGGAGTTTAGCCTTCGAATACATAATCACATGAATTGTACATATGGCCCTAGTTTCGGCTCGCCCAGAAAAATAGGTCTATGCCGAAAGAATATATCTACAATATAATAGCCTATTTAAAGCACAAGCTGTATTCCACCAAAGAGCAGATATTATTGAGATTAATTAGTCTGTAAATAGGAAAAGACGAAAGCCCAATTACTGTATCGTAGTACCAAAACTAGTTAAGGGATCGGAGCCTCGTTTACAAAATACCTTTTAAATAAGCGATAGTACTATAAGCTAGAACCACGTATATTATATAAAGACTAGGTCGCTAGGTATTAACTATACCTATTTTCTTAAATAGTTAACGTAAATAAAAAGTGGCGTTAAGAGAATTGCTCCTAACTCGCTAAGTAAATTCGACGGTAAATAGTGATGGATTGTGAATCGTTTAGGTTATAGCGTATATAGAGAGGAGTAGTACTACTGGCTTAGCAAAATATAGTAGAATAGGAATCTACGTAATACCAAACGACTTGAACATTCCAGATAAAAAAGTTTTTATGGACACTAGAACTTTATCTAATCACTAACTTTAGCCTCCAACAAAATTAGGATAGAGCTGATGTTTTTCCTTGCTAATTTTTGTGCTCGCTGATTTTATAGATCGCCTAAGTCCTGTAAGTGTTCAAAATTTCCGGTATTACGTAAATATTCTCTACCCCCCAAATTTCCCTCTAATACCTTCAATTAACCGTCTTCCTCAGCAAGAAAAATCAAGTTTTCTCGTTAGAAAAAAGTCTATGCTGGTTTCCTATGATCTTTCTACACATCGTGCTAAATAGTATTCTATGATCCTCTTATCCAATAAAACAACGGCATAAACACATAATTCGACTACTTGGGTTTCAATTCCGCTTCTCCGTCAACGCATACAAAGATCAAAAATATCACATCGGAGCCTCAGCGTGACTTCACATACAAAGAATGATTGGTAGGATGGGTGGCTCGTATGGTTATAATCCGAAAGAGTTTTTAATAGGCAGAGTCGGCCCAACGTAGAAACAGAAAAGTTGCTCATTCTTACAATTTGAGCAGCTTGGAAGATTGGTATCGCATAACTTTTTTGTCTCTCGGCACCATTTGCAGGGTATACTGCTCTTTCCTAACTGTTCAGACCCTTCGATTGGTGAGCCCGAGCTAGAATTTCTATTGCATAGATCTTCTAATAAGCCGGTGTTGAAATTTGTCTTCCCAGGCCATCGACAAGGAAAGCATGTTTTAAGAAAAGCGATCCAGCGAAAAGGTGTTAGTTTCTGACTAAACCCTTTGACTCTATACCGACATTGTGCCGGACTGTTCACGTAAAAATCCGAGGGCTGCTATTGTGTAATGCCAACTCCCACGCAATTTCTCGAGAATATAAAAGCTCCTATCCGGCGGTCACCAACGCCGACATTATATTTGACAGGAGAAAGGGTGGAAAAAAGTAATAACTTTTACAACATCGACAATACCAAGTGCCAAAGCTCTCTAGTATTTCTAAAGTACGACTTTGTAGCCCATCGGCATAGTCTTTCTTCGTTGGACCCCTTCTTCGATCAATGATACGAGTCGACATGTTGTACTGAGCTGCCCAACATTACCCCAACGATCAAAAGGTCCACACTGGAGATCAGGCCATTGTCAACCGTGATTCTGAGGGAGAGTGAGAAAGACCGCCTCGTCCAGGACATGAGGGACTTTCTCGAATTGGAGACTAGGAGATGGTATGCTCAGCGTTCGATCCCCTGGTAAATTCCGAATGGTTGACCATGAGGAGAGCATGGGAGTAAAATTGACCGAGTCTATCTGGAAAGAAGACTGAAGCTCTCATTTTTGAGAGGGTAGCCTGATGTACCAGCCGTCCGATGTCTCCCCTCCCTTCCTTCCTTGTAAAAGCAGTTCAATAATTCCAAATTGTTATGAGGATGCACGTAGACTTTCGCTATTATCACTTTTATTATTACCTAGTAAAAGATAGTTGTGGAATTTCCAATATTAGCTCCGATTAATTTATTATTCAAGTTCAATAGATCGACGATCGGTTCCACAATGAATTACGCTAAGGATGTGCCACTACCTACTTCAACTTGTCCCAAGATATTAAACCCAGGCTCTACCCAAGGCCAGTCGATTAAATATGTAGAATTCAAATTTGAAAACCCCTACCGTCCACGGTCAGTTGAACAAGTGAAAAGCCTAGGATGAAATGCTGTTGGACACACGGATCAAACAAATGCTCGATATCATTATATGCCAAAACCGAAAATTGAGTGTCGGTGGAGTTTTGAGTTTAGCTTTAGAGGTCCTAGGAACGTGTGGGGTAGGGGTAATAGCTTAAGAATACCGGTGAAGAGAGCTCCCCGCCTTTCCTTCCCGGCGCCCTAAATCAACCTAAAGCACAATGACGAACGGTGCGCAAGAGCTGACATCTCCAGGAACCTTGGACGTTTCCTATACTTTTGCTTCAGGAGGGTTTTCCGAAAGAAACTATGGCAGCCTAGATTGCTTTACCGTTCATGCAAAAAAACCTACTCTATGAACCTGGCTAGCTTGCCTTTGGACATATACGTACACTTTAGTAGTGCTAAATGTTACCTTGAGATACTAGCCACTCGTTCTAACCAGACATATTTAAAGGAGGCGCTCTTTCACTATATATCGAAGGCACTATCGTGAACAGACCTAGTCTAAAGATATCTTTTGCGTTAGTTACCGTGCATTATTCATGACGGTTGATCGATACCCAATTGCCAGCCAGCCACCGTCGGTGCACGGAACAGACAAGCGTCAAAAGTACGGCTAGATACGCATGCCGTAATGGCTGATGATAAATTCAACATCTAACTAGATTTCTCGCCTCTGAGATGGACGGTTTTAGTTCAGCTGAAGTGGATCTATTAGGATATATCGGATGTGTGCTTTGTACTAGCCGTCCCCTCGAGTCGGACCCACAGCATTTTCAGCTCTCTGAGATGGAAGATGGACGGTTTTAGTTCAGCTGGAGTGGATCCATTGGGATTTATCGGATGTGTACTCTTGTACTAGCCGTCCCCTCAGCTGAAAATGCTGTGGGTCCGACTCGAGGGGACGGCTACTATTGAAGACAAATGGGGCCTCCATGGTCAGATGAGGAGACATACATAACAATCTCCATCATCGTGCAGGATGTCCCACAATGATGCACGGCTCCATCAAGACAAGTAGGTACGGGACAATGTGGAAGGCAATCTCGTCTTTTTCGAACCGCAGATCAAAGAGCAGCACCTAGAATCTATGTAAACGCGCAATGTACACAACAAAATCCCTCGACGAGGTAGTAGATAGAGTGGGTCGAACTAGTGGGAAATGTAAGTTGGCTATTACAGCCAAGCTTAGGGAGGAAGTTTGGAAACCCCTTCCATGCACAATCCCGCAGCTTTTGCGCTAGAGAGGCGGCTTCGCGAATGTTATATGCACATGGTATTTATGCCGATGGCTACAATTGATACTTACTGCATCCTGACTGGGTGCTAGCTTCAGTTCAAAGCTTACTTCGTTGCATAGACATGTGTTCTCTCTGGCGAGAATCATCCCCGTTCTCCAGACTTTCCTGTTTCCGATTCAGCTCTAGGCCTGAACGCCAGAAGTTTCCTGCCTTTGAGTATTCTGTCTTCCAACATGCGTGCTTGCTGTTACATAGTTTCGTCATGCCCTCCACAGGAAGCGCCACCGGTATATATCTATGGCTGATAACCTAATTGAGTTCGATTTCTTCGTCCGAGACTACCATATTCTCCTTGCAGAAAAGCCGTTAGTACCATGCTGTCGGATTTTTAAACAATCGATTTGTACACCACCGGGGTCTTATGGTGAGTGCTGGGTAAGTGATTGCATTTTGCGGTGTAATTGGCAGAGAATTTGATTCTATAAGGCCAAAAGTCAATTATTGTGCAAGGATTGTGCCTTTGCCAATTGGAAAGGTGCTAAGTCAGCCTGCTGTCAAATTTTGACAACATATCGAGTGAGAAATTACATATCGCAAATTTCTTGTGATGTATGTTCTAGGTATTTGCTATTTAACGAGTAGTGTAGCCACCGTCAACCAAGATATCTGAGCCAGTCGTATAGGTACTCGCATCACTGATCAGATACACATAAAGACCCTTCAATTCCTTCGACACACCCCAGCGGCCCATCGGAATCAACGAATTCCACAAGTCCTTCTTCTGCTGGGGGATATAATCACTCAGGCCCGTATCAATGTACCCGGGGGAGACCGAGTTGACTCGAGCAAAATCCCTCCACTCATTGGCAAGCGATTTTGCAAAATGCACACAGCCAGCCTTGGCTACATTGTACGAAGTCTGCTCCTGGGGGAAATTCGCAATGTGGCCCGACATCGACGACGTCAGCACAAACGAGCCAGTCCCCCGCTCCTTAAAATGCGACCCAACGGCTTTTGCGCAGTAAAATGGCGCATTCAAATCCACCTGAATAATCTTCATCCAGCTCTCAACATTGCCGTCCAACACCCCCGCATCGGCCGCTTGGCCGGCGTTGGCAATAAAGCCGTCGATCTGACCGAAGTCACGGATAACAGTTTGGACAAGTTTCTCGACTGAGGCATAGTCGCAAACATCGCAGTAATAGGCGACGGCTTTGACGTTAAACTCTTCCCCCAACTGGACCGCGTTCTTCTTGGCTTCTTCCTCGCGGGTGAAATATGTGATGGCCACGGCGGCGCCCATCTCGGCGCAACCGCGCGCAGCTTCGAAGCCGATGCCCCGGGTTCCGGAGGCACCGGTGACGACCACGACCTTGCCCTTTAGGTTGAACAGATTCGCCAGTCGATCGGCTTTAGGGATAGAGATTGGCATTTTGCATATGGATTCGGTGGGCGGGAAGGGAAGGGATTGGACTTGAAAATGGGGAAGGGGCAGTTTCAGGGAGGGCGGTAGTATCGAGAACCCTCGAATCCCACGCCAGCAAATAAATAAACGAGGGGGATCGCCTCCGTTCCAGAACCAGAACAAGTTGAGCGGATCGTCCCAAATCTAGCAAAAATGCCGAGTGGCATGGAGGGCGAAAACGCCAAAATTTCCCGATTGAGAACCATCTCCACCGTCCAATTTGCGATGGATTTGCAAAGCTACGAAGAAATACTCATGACCCCGCGGACTGACGCAGTAAGTGGGATGGGTAGGGACAAGAAAGATATAAAGCAGAGCTGCAAGCATGGAGGGATCGGAAATCAAACCACCCTCATTCACACATTATGGAGGTATACATGACCCCCCCCCCCCCTAGGCTTCCAGTCTGCCGTACCCTTGATTCTAACATGATCATAGAACCCATCATTCGTCTTGCGCGCCGTCAAGGACGTTGTCATTGAAGACCGTCCCAAGCCCGTCCTCAAAGATCCCCACGATGTTATTGTGCATGTCGCGCAAACCGGAATCTGCGGTAGCGATGTACGTGTTCTTTCTATCTACCACCATGAGCAACCTCCCCCAAGAATTCAATCTCACCCGGCCACTGCAAATAGGTCCACTACTGGCAACGCGGCCGTATCGGCGACTACAAGCTGACTGGCCCCATGGTCTTGGGCCACGAATCTGCCGGCGTTGTCGTCGAAACCGGCGACAAAGTCACCGACCTCAAGCCCGGCGACCGCGTCGCTATGGAGCCCGGCGTACCTTGCCGACGATGCGAGTACTGTCGCAAGGGCTCTTACCATCTCTGCGGCGACATGATCTTCGCGGCCACTCCGCCCTGGGACGGCACTCTGGCTAAGTACTATGTCAATGCGGCGGATTTCTGCTACAAGGTGCCCGACTCGATGACCCTGGAGGACGCGGCGATGGTCGAGCCGGTTTCTGTCGCAGCAGCTATTGCAAAGACGGCTGGGTTGCGAGCACACCAGACTGTACTTGTGCTTGGTTGTGGCCCCATCGGGGTTCTGTGCCAGGCTGTTGCGAAGGCGTATGGCGCGAAGATGGTCGTGGGCGTTGATGTGGTGCAGTCGCGACTGGATGTTGCTAAGTCTTATGGCACCGACCATGTTTACACTCCTACTCGTGCCGAGCCCGGCGCGGATCCCATGGAGCATGCGGAGAAGGTGGCGCTACAGATGAACAAGGAGCTGGGCCTTGGTGATGGGGCTGATGTTGTTCTTGAGTGTTCTGGTGCCGAGCCCTGTGTTCAGCTCGGTATTTATGCGGCTAAGCGCGGCGCTACATTTGTACAGGCGGGAATGGGTAAAGAGAACATTGCCTTTCCCATCACTGCCGTGTGCACTCGTGGCTTGATTATTAAGGGATCTATTCGCTATCTTGCAGGCTGTTACCCTGCCGCCATTGATCTGATTGCCAAGGGTCTGATCGATGTGAAGCGGTTGATCACAAATCGGTACAAGTTCGAGGACTCAGAGAAGGCATTCGAGCTTGTCAAGGCAGGGCGGCAAGATGTGTTTAAGGTGATGATCGCTGGCGTGGGCTACTGAACAAACCTTGCGACATGTTGACGATTGATAAAAACGGAGAATCACGAACAAGTTTAGATCGGAGAGAATGGAGCTATAACCAAAGGGAAGGGGCAGATTGTTAGATTCAATAGATTGCGATCGATTCTTGAAATTGATACAAGATGGCAACTTTCATACCAAACCGGGCCCTTAGAGCCGCTCCACCCGGTAGAAGCTCACAGCCTGCTCGGGGATATTGACCTAACAACCATTCCCTAATGTCAGGAACAATCATACTCAGAGCCTCAGACAAATCCCATTCCCCTTAACGACGCCGCCTACGCTTCAGTAATATTGAGTATCATCAAAAGTCTAGTCTAGTCAACATAAGCCGTGTGGGGCAAAGAAGATTCAAATCTCCTGTATCGACTCGAACGCAACACCCCATTCTTCAGACAAGTCCTTGACGCGGTATTCCGTAAACAAGCCAAGGTCGTTTTCAATGTGCTTCAGCAATCGAATGACGATTTGTCTGTCGCCCGAGCTCGATAGACATCGTCCAGCGATGTACAACGGCTGAATCATGTATTTCTGCACCGCGGTGTTGGGCATTCCATGCGCGATGGGAATAATTTCCATTGCGTGGTGGTGAAGGTCACGCTGCAATGCATTGTAGGTGCTCAGCAGATCCCGGTGTTTGCGGGGTTGCATAGCAAGGAACAATTCTTGGGGCTGGTTCACTAGTAGCAAAATCCTGGCCATGTGGTAGAATGCCATGGCGATTGCACAAGTCTCTGACCCGAACCAGGTCTCAGGGATGGAGAGCTCTTGGGGGTTGCCTGTTGAAGGTGGCGGGAAGGTTTGAGTGATTGGGGCCAGGAACTCCGTCGGTAATGCGTGGTACCATTGTGTAAATTCCTCATCGAGATGAGCCCAGTGAGGGGAGGCACCACAATCGTGGCTAACCAATTTGCACAAGAGTCGAATCAGCGCCTTGAAAAATGTGGTCTCCTGATATAGCTCGTCGATATACTCCAGCGCCAATTGCCCGGTGCCGTCGAGGGGAAGGCCCATCTTATGCCAAAGTGTGAAGTCGTCTGAGTCGAGTCGACATGGTTGATGGAGGACCACTGCATGGATTCATTAGTGACTAATTTCGAGTATTTGTTGTGGTAGAAGTGGAAGACGAACGTCCATTCAACATATCATTCAGGGCGAAGAACCAGAAAGATGCCTCAAATGCTCTCATTGGCTGGGGAACCCGGTAGGAGTTATCGGGTGTGATCGGAAGATTGAGGTGGGGCCGGAGCAGCTTGTTAATGCCATCCAAGTGGCCGCTCCACGCTCGCATTGTGCTGCTCAAATCCTCATATGCACAGAGAATGCAGGCCGAAAGAATTTGCAGGGCAGACGACGTACTTTCGTAGTCATCGAGCTGATGCTGGTCGCTGCCAGATGATTGATATATTTCACGGGGAGAAAGATGAGTCGAGGAACTGGGTAGATGGGATATTTGGCTGCAAAGGAGCAGAATTGCCTTCTCATAATATTTTGCCCCGTACCATAAAAAGTCAAGACCAGATTGGAGGAGAGCAGATGCTGTAAGGCTCGATCGACGCGTGTTATCTGTCGCGTGAGTAGAATCTTTCATCTGACCCAACTGCTTCGCCGCGATGGCACAAGCAGAATATCGCACGAGCGGGCTTTGAGCCGCAAGCTGGACGACATATTGACTGAAATAGGATCGCTGGGGAGTAAAGACATCCATCCATTGTCCTGACCCTTCCGCAAAGTGGCGAAGAAAAAAGCCAGCCTCCGCACGATCCTGATTTGTTTCCTCTGGTAGACAGGCTGGGATAGCAGATGTGTGAGATGACGTATGGCTGTTGCCCGTTGAAGGACCTTGAGTGGCAACCGGGCTGGTATGCAAATTGACCGTGGGCAAAGACTGGGCAGACGGCGTTCCAATGGCTTCTGGGAAGGTGTTGGAAGGTGAAGTCTGAACCAGGAGTCCCCCAATTGGTATAGATCCACGTGACTGGATTGGCGAGACTAGTGATCGATCCGGGGAATGATTTCCACAAACGCTTGCATTGTCATCACCCTCAAGGTGGACTTGACTGGTTTAGTGAGGTTCTGTCATTTGCCACTGAGAAAGCATCTCGGGTCTATGTAACATACGCGACTGCGTCGGTGATCCCCAGATCTCCGATGACTCCTCCTGATCAGGCGGCTGGGGCCGCGCAGAGCGTGTCTTTGGGGACCCTTGGACACGGGAAGACGGGGTCGGTGTGGCGAAGGTGAAGCAATGTGGTCGGAAGAGGCCGTCGATGATTCTGCACGCTCGACCACTTTCTAGACACCGGTTGCATTGGGGTCGGTTTTCATCGCACTTAATTTTGCGCGCCCGGCATTCGGGACTGTAGACGTTAGTAGCGATGCAAGAACGTCGCAGTGTCACATACCAGCCTTTGCGGGACCGATGAGCTTCTCGACCTGCCATCTTTCGGGACGAGACACTGTCCTTTGAACCGGGCATGGCGGACGCAATTCCGGAAGAACACAAATATGAGGTATGCAAGACATCGTATACTCCAAAAACGCGGGGGAGGGATTGCAGATGGCTGCTGACTCATGATTTGCCTTGTATGGTTTAGCGTGAACTCTGTTTCTCCGTGTCGTCTAAGCGTTTATCCGCCAATTCTCATTATGCTCATTATTATGCTCTGCAGTGTATCTATTGGGATGCTCTTCATTTTGCTATAAAGCACAGTCACATTCAAATATCTAGAACACCTGCAGAATGCATAAACCGAGAACGTGGAACCGAGAAGCGAACGGTCCTGATTCCGAGCGCCGAACACTTGCCGTCTCGACACCCGCTGGGGCAATTACCGGAAAGGCAAAACTGCCGACCCCAGCAGTTCCAAGTTCCACTTCGATTCAACATTCGCCTCTATTTCCATACACAGTCGGATGCTCTCTCCTCTGTGTATTATCGATTCTGGGGAGAGGCACGCACATGGAGGGGCAACTTCAAGGTCATCGAGTATAATTATTTAAGATGCTGCCCCTCGCTAGAACCAAATCAATCATCATTGTGACAGCATCATCCCTCGTTCCTTGACAAGTTTCCTATCCTTCCCGCTGAAAAATGCCTCTCTACCAGCCCCCTGATGTGCATGCGCCGGTGCTGTCGCAATTTTCCTTGGCCGGGAAAATCGTCGCAGTGACCGGTGGCGCTCGTGGCATTGGCCTGGAAGTGGTCCGTGGCATGGCCGAGGCCGGGGCGGATGTAGCGCTTCTCTACACTACCACCACGGATGCCCCCGAGATCGCCGCCCAAATCTCCAAGGAGACAGGCCGTCGGATCAAGGCTTATCAGTCTGATGTGACTAGCCGAGGCGAGATCGCCGCAGCCATCAACCAGGTTGCCGAGGAGTTCGGCCGACTGGACGTTGTCATTGCCAATGCTGGAACCTGTACCAACCGCCCCAACTTGGAATATGATGAGCAGAGCTGGGCTCGCGACAACCGGGTCAACTATGATGGTGTGATGTGGACAGCCCAGGCTGCTGGCAAAATTTTCAAGAAGCAGGGCAAGGGCAACTTGATTGTCACTGCGTCTGTGAGCGCCATTTTGGTCAACATTCCCCAGACTCAGGTCGCATATAACGCGTCCAAGGCAGCAGCCGTTCACCTGGCCAAGAGTTTGGCCGTGGAGTGGACAGACTTTGCTCGGGTGAACTGCATCTCGCCCGGTTTCATGCTGACCGAGAGTGAGTTCTTTTTTCTCCTGGTTGTATCACATTCTCAATTAACCTTCACATTTAGTGCTCACTCAGCAGCCTGCGGAGCTCATGGAGAAGTGGATGTCGATGATTCCCGGAGGTCGCATCTGTGATCCGGCCGAACTGAAGTCGGTAAGTTGCCTGACGCAAGTAATCCCATCCTTTGACATATATTAATGTTGGCGACAGGCGTATGTTTTCCTTGCGAGCGACGCTTGCTGTTACATGACTGGTTCTAACCTGGTTATTGATGGTGGCTACACTCTGCCTTGAAACACTTTTTTTTTTATCAATGTATAGATCTTTATGACCTAAAGAGGGTCAACTTCCCCATAGCCTAGGTACGGTGAATTTGAATTGGTTTCTTCCCACTTAGACCGTTTCAAACCATTGTAGTGTCTTGAAACAGAAACTAACATCGCTTGGGCAGTCCAAGCTATCTCATAATTTGAACTCGGTCAACTGTTACTTGACTAGGAACCGTATGATCCCAGTCTAATGGTCTCAACCGCCCCGAATTTTGGCCTTGTGAAACATTCGCATCCGTCCCCTTGAATCTTACTTCGGTACTTTGCCACGCACGCCCCCGTCGTCCCCCCGAAAATGCCGCATATTGGTCCACCAAAGCACTCAGTCAACTTTCGGGAAGGCTTCTCTCACAGCCACCCCGAGAATTCACGCAGGCAGGATTCACCCGTTCCGGATCGACAGTTCTGCTTGTGATGTCACCGCTCTCCTAAATTCCCTCTTTTGGAAAGGTCGTGGGGGTGGGGGCAATAGAAGGAACGAGTTTCCCCATACCCCAGAAACTTGCATACGATCAGGATCATGATTCGACACAGGAAAGTCGGCCAATCTGGATCTAGATATGATACATTGCCTTCTACCAAAGGAGTATATATAGTGACACTGAAGCCCCTGGCGTCTCTACGACACGAGCTACGCTTCAATATTTTTTTGGGGAACGTTTTTATCATTTTAGTCGCTTCGCGTTGCCATCGTCGCGATGGTTCTCACTATCAACAGGAATGGGAAGCCCTACTGCGGGTTTACGGGAGGATGGCTGGTTGTTTGGATCACGGTCGGTCTTCCAATAGAATCATCTGTGGAATGGCTACTAACAATGCGCAGATTGCGTGCGCTACTGACATGACCCTTTTTGGGTATGACCAAGGTCTTTTCAGTATGTTCCCCCCGGATCAATTCATTGGGATATCGAAATAGCTAACGCCTTATGTTTTGCTAGGTGGCGTAGTGATCTCGAATGATTTCCTTTTTATTCATGATCTTGTTGGACCGACAAAAACAAAGACACTTTCGACTGTCACTGCGATTTATGACATTGGGTGCTTTTTCGGTTCAATTGCTGCTTTCACTCTCGGAGAACGATTGGGTCGAATCAAGTCCATCCTATATGGAACGGCCATTATGGCTATTGGAACCATTCTCTGTGCGAGCTCGTTCTCTCTGCCCCAGATCTTTGTTGGCAGAGTAGTTCTTGGGTATGTTACCTGTTATACTCGACATATTAAGTCTCTGCGAAGTTCTTACGATTGAAATAACAGCATCGGCAACGGTATCAACACCGTCAGTGCGCCTCTTCTTCAAGCGGAAACGGCCAACTCCCGGTGGCGAGGCAGACTGGTGATGCTGGAGATGCTGATGAACATTGGTGGATTCATGGTCGTCAACTGGATCAACTATGGCTTATCATTTGCTGGCGGTGCAATCTCGTGGCGACTTCCCATCGCCCTTCAGTTCGTTTTTATCTTTATCCTGTTCGGCACAGTCCCCTGGCTGCCCGAATCACCAAGGTAAAGATGACTCTACCTGATCGATATCGCACGATGTAGATGAAAACTAATAATCAAGCTCAAAATAGATGGCTCATGTCCCACGACCGCGAAGTTGAAGCCGTCCAAGTCCTCGCGGCCCTTGAAAACAAGACAGTGAACGATCCCTACGTCTCCACCCTACGAAACGAAATCGGTTACAGTATTCATTTTGAGCGCGAAAATGCCATGGGCTGGTTACAGCTAATTAGCTTCAAGAAAAAGAACAACTGCACCAAGACCGTCCGGCGACTACTCCTTGGAGCGGGTACTCAATTCATGCAACAATTCCAAGGAATCAACATCATGTCTTACTACCTGCCGACCGTCCTGACCACTGCTGTCGGTACAACCGAAGAAATGGCTCGCCTATTGACTGCTTGCAACTCGGTTGTCTACTTTTTGTTTACTTGCATGTCCGTACCTCTCGTTGAAAAGGCAGGTCGTCGTGGTCTCATGATGGCGTCGACTTTCGGCCAATTCTTTTCCTTCCTGGTCATCACTATCTTGCTCCGGTTTGCTTCAACTTTGCCTAAAGGGTCGTCTGTTGCCTCGGCTTCCATTGCATTTTTCTTCCTCTTCTATATTTCGTTCGGTCTCGGTATGCTTGGTGTGCCATGGCTTTATCCGACCGAGATCAGTTCACTTCCGATGAGAACGAAGACTGCCGCCCTGGCGACTGCAACAAATTGGTACATTCTAATCCTTAAGAGTTTACCAAATCGAAACTGACAGCACCCCCAGGATTTGCAATTTTGTCATTGTTGAGATCACACCCATTGCCATCCAGAACATCGGATGGAGGTTCTGGATCGTGTGGACGGTATTCAACGCCGCCTTTCTTCCGGTTATTTACTTCTTCTACCCGGAGACCGGTATGTCTGCTCTCAATTCATTGTAATCAGTGTCCAAAATACAGCAAAGCTAACAACAGCCCACAGCAAACCGGACCTTGGAAGATATCGATGCTTATTACCGCACTAACCCTGGTTTGATTGTGGTAACGGATCCCGATGCTATTTGCGTTGAGCGACCTGTCAAGTACATTGTGCACGAACAGGAGGAAGTTCAAAAGAATGCTGATAAGGGTGGTGTGAACATGGATAAGGGAGGTGCTGAGCACCATGAATAGTCTGTTGGGGGGGAGGGGGGGATGTTTGGATTAAGTACATAGTCTCATTGAATTGCGCGGCTTTTTCAGTAGCGCTGTATATGTAAGGGAGATCATACACTGTAGAGCGCCCGAGATATATCTCGTTGTTCAATCCCATGCTGTAGCTTCTCCATATTAGGAATGGGAAACACGCAAGACACATCTAACCGTGAATACACCTGGTAGTTAGTGACCTGTACATGGGTAGTACATGTCGGACAAAAAAAGATCAATCTATTATATAATATAATTTTTACTTTAAAGTCTTAAATTAAGAACTTAGTATATTATATATTCTAAATATATTATTACTATATAATATTCTTTTTATAAAATATAAGAGTTATAATTATAATTTATATTAGAACAAAAATACTATTTAATAATAGTATATTATCCTAATAACTAAATAGTTTTATAATTAGAATTATATAAAAGTTAGGTCGAATTAGGTTATATTAGGTTTTATTAGGACCCTAATACTAGGTCCGGTTTAGGTCCGGGTTAGGTTTTGGGTCGAGATCTTCGACCCAAGTTGAGTTATACGGAAGTCTACGATAATTAACGCTCGCTCAAGTTCTTTATTCTATAGGATATTGTCACGCCGAAGGTCTTCGTGGAGGATTCCCAAAGCTCTGATTTCCTTATTTAATTAGTGGATCCCTTACAGAAGCTAGGGCATTAGCTCTATCGATGCCGTGTTTTTACCCTCCTAGCCCGTTCTCGCTTGGAGACAGTTCTATCTGCACTGGTCCGCGGGCTTACTCTAACATACGCCTCTGGACTCGTGGCAGTGAACGCGTATCTTGTATTCCTGAAGTCCAGGCGGGTAGCCATTGGGGTTGGCTACTACAGAAGCAGACAGGCCGTCAACTTATACCAATAACTCACAGGATGTGAGATCTTGGACCATGAGGACCTGACTGCACTCCAGGAGAGAGATGCGATCCACCCCGAAACCCCATTCAACCCCACGGGCGAAGCAAGCGGCATCAAGTACTTTGCCGACGAAGCCCAGAGGGGCTTATTTAGTCGTGGACTTGACGTTTGGTCGGCCCGGAATCCAAGATCCGTTTGCTCTCGACGCGGATACCATCATGCATAGCGGGACGAAGTACTTTGGGGGCCATAATGATCTCCTATGTGGTACTTTGTCCATCCCGCCCGAGAGAGAAGAGGCATGGCTGAAGCGCTTGCACGAACAGCGCACCATACTGGGCAGCGTACTCGGTAGCATGGAGGTCTGGCTTGGCCTTCGCAATCTCAGGACGTTGGAGTTGCGTGTTAGACGACAGCGAAAATGCAACCTGCCTAGTTCGGTGGATTGCTGAATTTCTGAAATCTGTGGAAGACAATGCCATGAAGTCAACCGTCTCCGCGGCAAGACACGCCAGCCTCCAAGATGCGGACATGGATTGGTTGCGAGAGCAGACGCCGAATGGATTTGGGCCTGTTTTGGGGTTGGAGATGAAAACCGAAGGCATGACTCGTCGGCTAACTGGGCTTCTGGACTTGTTTCAACATGCCACTAGCCTGGGCGGCGTTGAGAGTCAGATCGAATGGAGGAGGCTTATCGATCCGTCATCGAGGCCGACTCTTCTTCGTGTTAGTGTTAGCGTCGAGCATATAGATGACTTGAAGGCCGATCTCCTGCAAGGGTTTGAGTCAATGTTGCAGCCTACGCGGGTCTAACAATTGGAAAGAGAAAGAAAACACAAATGCGAGACCGAAGTTTTCTAAATTGGGATTTGAAATTCACGATCATCAAAATAAGAAGCCGAGAGCCTACGATTGAATAGCTCGAATCATCCGATTCAGTCCCTCCTCCAGCATATTCTGCGGATGCGCAAACACCATCCAAAACCACACCGTCTCTTCGGCGGCATATGCCGCCCCAGCCGCGATACAAACCCTTTCTCTTCGAAGCCTTGTAAGAATGTCCTGATCTGTAGCTGCGACAACATCTCCTAGGTTCATCCAAATGAAGAATACCACGTTGCACTCCATATAGGGAATCTGATGACGCCGTAGAAAACCCGTTGCTAAACGGTAGCTTTTAGCTAAACGATGGCGGTTGGTTACGGTGTACGACCTGGTGAAACCGTTATCGCATAAAAGAGAGGCGGCGACGTGATCCGCCAGGTTCGAGGGAAAGTTGTAGAGACTTGTTCATCGAAGCAATCAGCATAGATCAGTATATCGTTCCAATATAAAGAATAAAAAGAACTCACGATATGCCATCTACTGTCCCCAAGAGATGATGCCTATCCGATTGACTGATCAAGCAACCAATTCTCAATCCCGTTGCGCCGAAATCCTAGTACGGCAAGGAGTCAGATCTATTTTCTGGTATAAGAAGGGACTGTGGAGGAGAAAGGGCTTCATACTTTATTTAATCCCCCGACCACATGCACCATGCTTGGATCCATGATATTTATGACATCCATGAAAAATATCGATTTGAAAGCTGGAGCATTTCATTCGGCAGGTGAGGATTTTCCCAGACAGACAGTGCATAGACCTCGTCACAAATCAGATGAAGTCCGTATTTGGCACACAACTTTATATACGCCCGAAGAACACTTTCAGGGTAGCAGCGCCCTAGAAAAAAAATCAACAAATCCACAAGTTGGACAAGACTAGTAAATAGGAACAAGCCGAGAGGATTGTGCGGTGAACACAATAAAAGTGCTCTGACGCAACATCCGTTCACCTTCGCTTCAACGTATGCTTGCTCATACTTTTCGACTGCGGCCATGCTAAATGGATCTGTTGTTGCGAAAGCAATTTCAAGGATTTTAACTCTGCAACCTTTAGTGAGCTTCATCTAGAAGTTTTGGTCAGGGCTTACCCTGGCCGTGTGCCAAAAGTCGTCTTCAAGGTATTGAAGTATGGAGGTCCAACGAGAATGTAATCGCCAAAATCAGCTAATGCCCAGGTACAACATTCGACTGCATTGCTGACGCCAGTTGTAACTGCTAGATGAGTGAAATAGGGCGTGATCCAGGGAGATAAATGGTTGTTCAACAAGTGGCAGATGGGGTCTTTAAGCTTGTGAGATCCGCTGAATCCGTCTCCACGGGTCAATTCATATAATGAGACATGCGACTACAGGAAGCAATTTAGTGCAAAAGTTCTGATTTGGCGATAGTGCAGAGTAGGAAGTGGATTAGAACTTACATTATTGATAAACTGCTCCATTTCTGCGTGCATCAGAGTCTAGGCAGATATTAATATCGACAAAATTGACGACGACAAGTCCTTATATTTTCGGCAACACCAAGATTGACGATTCCATCGGGTTTGGATTTCGGATCCCACGCGTCGCTTAATACGTCGAGAACAGTTGGTTTCTGTATCGCAAAGGCTTGGCCTCGCGCAGAAAGGCTTCCCTCTATGCTATTGATCTGACGTTAACAGCCTGACTGGTCTTCAATGAATGTAAGAGGTTTGTGAGATTACAGGGACTTTCTTTCTAATTTTAGTTTTGCTGAGTGTGGGTACATGTTCTGAGAAGACGCCCAAATATGACGGGACCAGTGGAAAAAGTAAGAATAGAAGATCATGCATTCCTGTGATATGTTCTTCAAATACAAGAACTTGGAGGGCTCAATAGACAATCCGAAGGACCTGGATGATTTCACCTCTCTCAGACATCAGTTCCTCTTATTCAGTCGTAAGTTATAGAACCAAGATAGAGATGGATCTGTATTGTAGACACTTCCTTCCATGTAACTTCCGCCCTTGATATCGCATTGCCTTGAGATCTTTGAACATTACATCAAGAAGAACACGTTCCAACCGGCTCGCTCTTGTTAGTGTGTGGGTATAGTATGCAGGTCCCCGAACAACAATCCGGATCCTGGTGACATTGCTTATGAGCTATATATGAAAAGAAAAGTTAGTGACCATCACTTTGGAAGCAATCTATGCTGATCAAAAGAACACATAATGTGGGAAGAGACATGGGCCTTACCCTGCAAGCAGCGCGTGTCAAGAGGGTTGGATATGGCAGCACCGCTAGTGAGGGCGGCAAGGGCGCTGATCAGGAAAAGACTGAGGAACTTCATGGTAAATCGGTGTAGAAGGTAAGAAGTGATGGTGTGGATTCATTCTACGCGGGATGGACAAGCCATTTTATAAGCCAAGTTTAATGAGCGGCCCCTCAAATTATTCCTGGGGCACTCGTCAGCCTAGGTCTACCCTATCTATATTTGGGTTATCCGAGTTAACAAGACTGAAGTGCTGGTGCTGACTCGCTTCCGGTGAGGTTTCGCCCCATCCCCACAACTAAGTGCCAAACTAGAACTCTTAGCTTTTCAGCCTCGTCCAACCAAATTACTAAGATGGGTCAGGAGCTGCAAATCGTAAGCCGCGAAAGGGGTTAGCTGAGAATATTCTTAAAGAGATGTTGGAGACGAGCACATTGACCTCTACAGGATCAAGCCTACACATATTTTACCTTTCGCCGGTCTTACGTGAGATACATTGTGGAATGGGTAGTCACTTACATAGGCAAGTGGCTTGAAAGGACTGGGTTTCTATGCTGACAAGAGAGAGATATAAGTGCATGATGCCCCATTACAGCCCTTACTGGCCCTACTGGGTCTCTTCCCGGGTTGTCAAACGGTATTGGAGTTGAACGTAATATTAACACTTGGATATGACTACTCTTTTTTTTTTTTTTTTTTTGTCATGATCGTTATTAGTGAGGGGATGCTTGAAACAGCATCAAAGGCCACCGTTTCTAGCTGCCTATTCACTATTTATCTAATCCATTGCAGTTATACCTAGGTCTAGGGTCTGCTTCAATGAATATATAGTTGAACGGTTGGATTACGTCCACGAGCAGAGTATCAAATAGAAATAGAGGAAAGAAGGAGAAATCACTGTAGAAGAAATCAATGCATAAACAAGCCGTCAACAGACTCGAAGACGGTGGCTGTGCGAAGAGAATCTATTGTTGGATGAGGCAAAGCGGTCTCTGCGAACAGGCTGTTATCCAAGATTGCCGGAGAGGCTCAAGCCGGATGAGATAGAACTGCCGAAAGAGCGAGCCCGATGAGTGCTGTGTGGCTCGTGATGGGGCCTGCGATACCAATCTGAGGTGGAGCTCGCCAACTCGATGTATGGATGCTAACCTACCGGAGTTTGTCAACCAAGAGCCAGCTGTCAGGACCGAGATCGAAACTACAGGATCTGTTCGCAGTGGGGCAAGATCGAGCTGAAATCCCCGGCGACGACAAGAGACAAAAGAACATTACCTATTATGTTTCTGACTGCGGTGGATGAGCGTAGTTGCTGGCGTACTGTACCATTAGGCTTGTGTTCGTCAAATGTCTATCCGACTTATATCTCATATTGGAACCTGACATTAAGCCGCGGAGTGCAGGGATTCCTTTCATTCCTGCCAAATGAGATGATTACAATTAGAGTACGCAGAGTCGGAATAAAATTCAAATGCTTAGGAAACATTGATATATGGTGAACTCTCATTATATTAACATTAGATGCAATCTTTGTACAAAATCGTAATGCTCATGCCGCGCAGACTGCCAGAGTATGAGCTTGCATAGCTCACCTTATATGTGGACCCAATTCCAGCAATTTGCTGGTCGATATGCAAGAAAGACTTCGATATATATCATTGACTAATTCTTCCGGCCACTTATCGCCGACTTCCGCGTGTTGACCAAGTCCAGATCATACGGGTTCTCCTCGTACTGCGTCGCAGTCGGGGTGCGATGCATGGACCGCCCCGACTGGCGAGAAGCGTGCGACGCATACCGGGCGATGGTGTTGCGGGGCGGCATGTGAGAAAGACTCCCGCTGTCGGAAGAGACTTGATCATCGTCGTCGTCGTCCGAAGCACTGGGCTCCGAATCGAGCTTCTCGGCTTTGTCGTCTTGTTTCTCCTCGCCGCGAGTCTCGACCTTGTTCTTCTCCGCCAGCCGGCGCATAAACGCATCGGCCTCAGCGGCGAACGTGCAGCGCTGGCGGATGCGAGCGCCGTATTTATAGAAAATAAACGGGAATGGCACGCAGGCTACCGCCAAAAACGCGGGGATCGACGACGCCCAGTGGATGCCGAGATTGCGGTACATATACGTTGTAAATAACGGGAACGCCATACCAAATAAAGAGCGCAGCGCCGAGTTGGCGGCCAGCACCGAGGCAGCGAAGATGGTATACGAGTCGATGAGGTAGTTGAACACACTCAGGAACACGAGCACCATGCCGAATCCGAATGGCGCCCCCGCTGCAACCGACACCATCCAGTGGATGCTAGGGGAGTTGGTCCAAGCAAACCAGAATAGACCAAGAGGCAGCGCAATGCCCCCGACCATACTCGGAGGTAGGCGCACCTCGGGAGGGAGTCGGTCAGTGGTTTGGCTGCACTTTTTGGCGTAGCGCATGTTCTCGGGGAAGGTGTAGAGCACGGCGGCGATCATACCGACCATAATTCCTAAAAAGGCGAGGCCGCCCACGCCTTCGCTCCAGCCGCGCACTTCTTGGAAGACGATTGGGTAGGCGGCGAAGAGCATATAGAGGGTGCCATAGATTATGGCCATATAGATCGAAAACAGCAGCACGATCGGCTCGCGGAACAAGAGAATCCATGGACGCGAGAGCGCTGTTTTCAGGGTCTTTCCCATGGGTGCAGTTCCGCGCTCGATATCCAGCTTGCTTCGGTACACCTTACCGGTCATGGCCGATAGCTTCTCCGCGCGCCGGCGCAGAAGAACAGGGGCGTAAGTTTCTGGCAGCAGAACAATCACACAGATCCAGAGTACGCCAGCGAACGCTGCCAGAAAGCCCTCTACCCACCGCCAGCCCGCCCCCGTCGCGAGAAACCCGCCAATGACCGGGCCGATAGTCGGGCCCAGGAATGGCGCCGCGGCGAAGAAGCTAATCGCAATACCACGCTGGGACGCTGGGAACATATCGGCAATCGTGCCACCACCATTCCCAAACGGCGAGGAGCCGAAGCAGCCAGCCAAGAATCGCAGGATAATCAGTGTCTGAATGTTCTTCGCGCCCGCTGCGCCCGCGTTAAACGCAGTCAGAAACATATAAGTAATCGTGAAGATGTGGCGCCGGCCAAATATCTCGCTCAGCGGTGCCCAGATCAGCGGGCCAATCGCAAAACCAAGCACGAAGAGCGACACGCCCAGAATAACCACTTCCTGATCAGCGCCAAAGTCCTCGATGATCTGGGCCATGCCACCTGAGTATGCGGACGAGACTAGCGCGACGGCCAGCGTGACGAACGAGACCATGATCGTGATATACCATTTCTTGAAAGGGCTGAAGTTCATGGGATTGCGTGGGTCGCGTGGGACCCAGTTCACGGCGTACGGGTCGGCCTCGGTGCCGGAGCCATCGTATGAATATTGGGCGACCTCGTCGGTGATCACTTTTTGATCGAAGACCAGACGCCAGAAGGGGATTTTGGAGGGCAGAGCTACCTCTCCCCCGGCATTGACTGTCATCGCTGATGACTTTGGTCCTTTTCTGGGAGGAGTAGACCAGATCTTGAATAGATTGATCAACTCGCTGGGGTTGGGAGGTTTGTGAAAAACAAAAGACGATCTTCATTGATATGTTCGTGCCCATATAACTGCAAAGAATTGACCGAGGCCCCACAGCCGAGCGGAACCTCGGGCTATCGGCACTAAATCACATTGCAAAAATAGCAATGTGCCTGGGGGTTCCCCTGCTTCCCAAGATAGTTAAAAACTCGGCATCGTCGGGATCCAATGCCGAGTTGATTGTGGACCCAATAATGGGTTCTCAGAGTTTTTTGTGGGTCCTTTGGCCAAGGCGCTGCGCGAGGCTAGAAGTATAACGTGAATAGATGGAGATCAAGATGAAACTTGAATATCTTATTACTATGCCAAAGAGAGCCGAGTGATGATCAATTGTCGCAGATAGATCTATAGCTGCTAGCATTAAAAGGTCCCGCCCCATTCTCAGACTGGAATTAGCCCCAAATGACGATATTATTGTCATAGCTGTGTTGGCAGTCTAAGTACTTGACACAGTAAACGAATCAATAGAACAGGAAGTTAGGGCAACAGAGTGGAATGCTTCATCCTCGAGGAGCGATAGTATCCTGCACCAATCTATACAACTCTTGGCATCTTGTATTTCCTTTTTAGGTAAATTAGTGGAGTTGGGCTGTGCAGCTGGATGACAATCTTTACTTTAAGTAATCGGAAGTATTTTGCTCTTTATTGATAGTATAGAATGATAGTTCTATATTCAGGCTACCGGGGCTGGATAAGCCCCAAAAATCACCGCATTATTCTGGTACTGTTGTTGTTCCTCCTGGGACTGCTCCACCGTCAACAACAGCCGTGTGGAGCGGATATGTAATTCTGGCAGATCAGTTGAGAGCACAGCCCATGGGGTTCTACAACCATAACTCACCTCGCAGATCTACCTCATAACCAACCCAGGCACCCTCATCACGGTCGTCATGGTGCATCAGAATGGGAAAAGCAGGGTTCCATGCCTTCGCGCGCACGCGCATCTTGAGCCCTACCGTCTTATGTTGATCGACCCATAGCATGTCGTCCCAGTCCTGGGGTATTTGAGCCATCGAGCCCTCTTCTTTAGCTTGCTCAGCGGTGGCTTTCCACCAATCGCATTGTTTGCGTAGCCACTCTCGCCAAAGGCGGATGACGCCGTCCTCGATATTCAACGCGCTCAGTAAGAGGCTCGTCCCCGGCATCACCTGCACAAGATTCACCACCACACATAGCTGCGAGAAATCTTCGAATCCCTCTAGATTGACTTCGCGCGTCACGCCTGTGTCTGTGCCATTGGTGTTAGCACAACTTCCCGAGGTAACCCCACCACTCCCCGTATGAGGGGTCCTACCTGACGATGGTACTCTGCTTGCCTTATCCTCGTCTCGTGCCTCGGGTCGGAACCGTGAATATAGTCCGGTCAACCGGCCCAATTGCTGGGCTGGGTCAATCTCGAGCTCGTTATCCTGGTCACTGAGCCCGTCGGTGCCAATGTGTTTGCAGAAAACGTGGGGCTCGGTGAGCTTCGAGCTTGGGTGGAAGCATTCGAGTAGGAGCTGGTATTCCCGCAGCGAGGTGTCGACGAGTAATCGGTAGTGGATGATTCGCAGGACCAAAGCATGGAAACGGCGGCACACGGTCGCTAGGGGAAGTAAGGCCCGGGTCGAGAATTCAGAGAGGATTTGCACGAATATCTGGAGGGGTCAGTTGACAAACCTGTTAAGTCGAGGGGTGAGCGATCGTACCTCGTTGGGCAGGGAATCGACAGTTACCGCGGGGGCTGCGGTCATTGTGTCGCATCAACAGAATATACGCCATTCAGGCGATCTTGAATGTTTGCGAGAGCAGAGTCTCTGGTCGCTGAGGGGCGATAAGCGATAAGGTGACGTCATTGCACTTGTGGACATAGTCCTGGAGACGATGTTTACTTTATTGTTTTTGTTTTTTTCTCTTTTTGCTTATAATTTACGTACATTGTTTATTGGCTAGAGAGTATAGTAATGAATTTCATTAATGTAACACCCCGCAACGGCATCCCGAGCGATTCCCTTCCGGCTCACCGAAGTGCTATTCGGAACGACTAGCCCGCTGCCGGACGGAAATGTCAATTTTGCCCGTCGGCGCAGACAGCATTCCTGGATTCCGGAGACCCCACCCCCGCCGTCGAAACCGGAGAACCCTCAAATCGCGAATCTTTCCCGATCCCCGGCTTTTCTTTTCTTTCTTTCCTTTTTTTTTTCTTGCTCTCTCCCAAGGTACTCTCGGATCGTCAGTACTTAACGCCATGGAGAACGTCCTCGACGACATTTCACATCGCCGATACAACCCCCTCCGTGGGTCCCATATTCTGGTCTCTCCGCATCGCACCAAGCGTCCTTGGCAGTGAGTTGCAGCAAGATTGAGCATTATCAGAGAATATCTCCAGGCTAATGCGATTCATCGCAGAGGACAACAGGAAAGCCCCTCCAAGACCACCCTGCCCGACTATGATCCCGCATGCTATCTGTGTCCCGGGAATAAGCGCGCTCAGGGCGATGTCAACCCCAAGTACGAGAGCACCTTTGTATTTGTCAACGACTACAGCGCCGTGAAAGAGGAGCAGGCCGAATACAATGCACCCAGCGATGATGGTATTTTTTTTTTTTTTCACTTCGTTTCCGGCAATTGTCTTGCAGCGCTCATATCTCCCAGACCTCGAATCGCGCTTCCTCCGCGCCGAGCCCGTGACGGGCAAATGCTACGTGCTGACATTCTCGTCAGCGCACAACCTCACCCTGGCCGACCTGTCCCCGCGCGACATCGTACCGGTAATCGACGCATGGACCGAGATCTACGCGGCACACCTATCGCCGACGTCCCCGCTGGTCGCGAACGCCCCGACAACAACGCTGCAGCCCACATCGCCCAACACCAGCGTGACTAAGCCCAAGGAGCAGTACCGCTACATGCAGATCTTCGAGAACAAAGGTGCCGCCATGGGATGCTCGAACCCGCACCCGCACGGCCAGGTGTGGACCACCAGCACGCTGCCCGAAGAGCCGGCCGCCGAACTGGAGCAGCTGTGCCGCTACCGACAGGCACACGGCGGCCACCATCTGCTGGAGGACTACGCCGAGCTGGAGAGCCGCAAGCAGGACCGCGTGGTGTTTGAGAACGAGGCATTCCTGGTTGTCTGTCCCTGGTGGGCGACGTGGCCGTTTGAGACCATGGTGGTGAGCCGCACGCACAAGCGCGCCCTGGTTGATCTCTCCGACGCCGAAAAAGTCCTGCTGGCCGAGGCCATTGCCGAAATCACCCGCCGCTATGATAATCTGTTCGAGACCCATTTCCCCTATAGCATGGGTATCCACCAGGCGCCTCTAGATGGCTCGCCCGAGGAGGTCGATGCATCATACCTGCACTTGCACTTCTACCCGCCGCTGCTGCGGAGTGCTACCGTGCGCAAGTTTTTGGTTGGGTATGTTCCATCTGATCTTCCATCTTATCATCCATACAATGCCGCTAACTTTATCAGATATGAACTCATGGCCGAGCCTCAACGTGATATCACGCCAGAGCAAGCTGCTGCCAGATTACGCAACTGCGGGGGCGAGTTGTACCGGAAGAAGCTGGACGGGTAAGGGGTAGCATAATCCAGGACTGGCGTCGAATCGTTGAAGCATCGAATCACAAGTGTAGGCATGACCACGAACGTATATATTTTATTCGACTGCAAGTAAGAGCAGTGCAGCTGCTAGCAAGGCAAAACCATAGTCCACCGCCCCTATCACAGAGGGCTTTCTAGGCATTCAAATAAGCCTCCCGCTGCGCCAACATCCAGACCAAGGAAGTCGGTGCAACAATCAAGGGGCTCACGAACCGCCCGTGCAGAGAAGCATCGCCGACCACCAGCTCGCCGATAAAGTGGACTAGCGCAATCCCGTACGTCCAGGCAGCCAGATCGTACGCAACAGGCGTGGTGATGTTGTAGGCGGCCGTCAGGCGCACCACTGCCGAGAGCAAGGTCCAGGTGCTGAAGAGACGGGTAGAGAGTCCACTAGCGGGCTTCTGGCCGTTGGTGTAAAGCTGCGCGGTGTATTTGGTGGAGCGGTAGGCCTGGAAGCTGTTGACGGTGGTGACGACGGAGACCTAGCAAAGCGTCAGTCGGGAGTAGCTACTCGCAAGACAAACCAAACATACTAAAAGCAGCCATTTGGGTAGCAGGCCCTCGAAGGGCGGGAGATATGAGAGCAATTGGTCCATTGTGTTGTTTTGGAGGGTGTCGAGGTCGAGGGAGTTCTCTGAAGAAAACAAGGCCTCGGCGACCAGGTGCTTGGCGCGGGATCGTCCCCCAACAAAGCTTCTCCCCCGTACACCTCCCCCGTTATCATTTTCTGCTTTATTCCCTTCCGCACTTTGCCATCATGGATCTGTCGAAATACACCGAATGCCTTTCGCAGTGGCCTGATTATCTGGCTCCAGGCCTGCCGACCGTCGGAGCATCGCTGTTGCTGGCGACAGGCGGGCTGGTCGTCGCCAGCAAAGTGTGGACGTTTCTGCGGGTGCTTCTGAGTTTGTTTGTGCTTCCGGGCAAGCCGGTATGATTGTCCCCACTACCAATGGAAAAATTGGCAGTACGGCTGACCTGCATACCTGATATAGCTCCGCTCGTTCGGTCCGCCCGGTAGCTGGGCGGTGGTGACAGGGGCCTCGGATGGACTGGGCAAGGAGTTCGCGCTGCAGCTGGCGCGGGCGGGATTCAACATTGTGCTGGTCTCGCGGACGGCGTCGAAGCTGACGGCGCTGGCGGAGGAGATTTCCGCGCAATTTCCGGCGGTGCAGACCAAGACGCTGGCGATGGACTTTTCACGCAACGCCGACGCCGACTACGCTGCGCTGGGGGAGTTGGTTTCGGAGCTGGACGTATCGGTGCTGGTCAACAACGTGGGGCTGAGCCATTCGATGCCAGTGCCCTTCGCCCAGACGCCCGCGTCCGAGCTGGCCGATATCATCACCATCAACTGCACGGGCACGCTGCGCGTCACCCAGCTGGTCGTCCCCGGCATGACGCAGCGCCGCCGCGGTCTTATTTTGACTATGGGTTCGTTCGGCGGCCTGCTCCCTACTCCGCTGTTGGCCACCTACTCCGGCAGCAAGGCCTTCCTGCAGCAGTGGTCCACTGCGCTGGGTGCCGAGCTGGCCCCCTATGGCGTTGACGTCGAGCTCGTCCAGGCGTACCTGATTACCTCGGCTATGTCGAAGATCCGTCGTGCCTCCGCGTCCATTCCCACGCCCCGCGCCTTTGTTCGCGCCGTGCTGTCGAAGATCGGTCGCCACGGTGGCTCGTCCACGTACGCTTACAGCTCGTCTCCCTACTGGAGCCATGGTATCATGGCGTGGTTCTTGACCTCTGTGACGGGGCCTATGAACGGTTTTGTGCTGTCCCGGAATAAGGCCATGCATGAGTCTATCCGCAAGCGTGCTCTGCGCAAGGCGGAGCGTGAGAGTGGCAAGAAGAGCACTTGATTCGGTGTTTATTGCCGCGGCTCAGTCGGGAGTTGTGAGGCCCTGCCCGCCTTTGTGGCGACATTCTTAACGAGTGGCCAACCTGTGAGATGTTAAGCAAACTGGATGTTTCGGCCGTGGGTGTACTGTCCGGCCTCAAGTCAACAATGATTATCAAAAATAGCCAATTGGAATTAACCATATTTACGCATGACCTAGGCATTGGGATCATCCTATCAACGCTTCATCAAAACAAGACTGAGGCTATGGACAAAGACTTTTGACTCAATTTCGTAGTCTAACTTATATAGACGGGATGCTCTATTAGCAGATGCAGCATACACCCGAAACAAGTACAGTCGGGCGGTGCAGCGTCCAAATCCAGCTGGGATCTTTCCAGCCTAATTCCGGAGCGAGTAGATGCGCGCCTCGTACGGACGCAGTCGCAGCTTGCGCTGGAGCGGGTCATCCTCGACATGGTAGTTGGCGATGAGCATGACCGCCAGATCGATATTGATTTCCTCGGGGATCTCGAACTCGGAGTGCTCGGGCGCCCAATTACAGAACACCAGACTGCGCCACGGGCCTTGGGTCCGGAGGAATGAGAATACTTTGGGCGCGGTTGGGTTGACGGGGACGTAGGCACCGTAGAACTGTGGTGGCGTGTTAGTCCTGACCATTCCGCCATACAACTTCATTCCCTCCCCCAATCTTTCCCCTTTTCCTCTTCCTTGGTAAAATTGAAATTTAACAGAGAGGCTTACCATCAGTGGGTGCTGCTTGCGGATATGTGCCAGCTTGATGAAATAGTTAAGCACCGAGTCCGGATCGCGCTCCTGCGCCTGCACATTGATATCGGCATACTCCTCATTCAGCCGGATCCACGGCTTAACATCCGCTGCCGTGAACCCGCCGTTGGCCGAATTGTCCCACAGCATCGGGGTGCGGGCATTGTCCCGGCCCTTGAGCCGGATGACGTCCATAACCTCCGTCATATCGGGTTCCTTGGACGGGTCGCTTTCCTTGCGTATTTTATGCTGGCTGTGAAGATGTTAGTAAGAGCATCATATGTGTTTAATCGGGAAACATCACGCACGCTTTGTACCACTCCTGCGTCTCCACGTCTGGATAGTCTTCGATCTTCCAGTTCTGTGGATGCGGCGTGCCCAGCTCTTGACCCTGGTATAGGAACACAGTCCCGCGCAGCGCCAGTAGGAACGTGGCAAGCATCTTGGACGATACGGCACGGAATCGCGGGTCGGGGTTGCCGAAGCGCGAGACTGCGCGCGCCTGATCGTGGTTCTCCAGATACAAGGAGCTCCAGCCTAGAATTTCGTCAGATACAGGGCAATACTAGCAATGACTTCAAAAAGCACTCACCGTGATTTCCTAGCATATGCTGCTGCCACACACGAAGCACACGCTCATATTCCCACAGCTCGAACTTGCGCGGCTGCCACTTGTCGCCATTGGCGCCGTCCAGGTTCATGTGGTCGAACTGGAACACCATCGAGAGCTCCTGGCGTTCCTTGGCCACATACTCGCTGGCTTCGTATTCGTTCACGCCGCATGGCATCTCGCCGACGGTGCAGTTGGTGTATTTGCTCAGCACCTTGCGGTTCATCTCGTGCATGTACTTGTGGATATTCGGGCTGTTCCATGAGTTACTAGGGCGTTTTTTTTTCTGAAGCAGACTCACCCGTTGGTATACATCTCTGTAGCCGGCTGCTCAACTTTGTCCGGATTTTTGATCGGCGCGTCGGGCAGCCCGGGCATTTTGGAGACCAGATTGATGACATCGAACTGAACAAGATATCAGAAACTACTCTTACTGAAATGCAGTGCAAGCAAACTCACCCGGAATCCATCCGTGCCCTTCTTGCCCCAGAAATCGATCACGTCAAAGACCGCGTCGCGGACTTCGGGATTGTCCCAGTTAAGGTCTGGCTGCGACGGCGAGAACAGGTGCATATCTGCGATGGTTAGGCCGAATCAATCCTTCAAGAAAAGAATGACCTACACCACTCGTCTGTCTTCTCATCATATGTCCATGCGGGCCCTTATTGAATATCAGCATTCACCCACCAAAGTCAAGGAGAGGGAGGGCATCCTACCGCCAAACATGCTCTCCCAGTTATTTGGGGGCATCCGCTCGCCATTTTTGCCGGTCTTGCTCTTGCGCCAGAAATACCAGTCACGTTTCGGGTTATCTCTAGCTTTCTTCGACTCGATGAACCATTCATGCTGGAGCACGTGTCAGCGGATACTCACCCTTTTCCCGTCATGGATGACATACCTGGGAACTGGTATGGTTGAAAACCATGTCCATCATCATCTTCATACCGCGTTTATGCACCTCGGCGCACAGGTCCTCCCAGTCCTTCATCGTCCCGTACATCGGGTTGAGCTCCTTGTAGTTGGCGATATCGTACCCCTGGTCTTCCAGCGGAGACACGTAGATGGGCGTCAGCCAGATCATATCGGCACCGAGTTTCTTGATATAGTCAAGTCTCTGGATGATGCCGCGCAAATCACCAATGCCGTCATTGTTACTGTCCTGGAATGACTGCACGTAGATCTCGTAGATGATGATCTCGCGCCACCACTGCCGGTCCATATCCATGACCAGCGGTTTAAACGTGTCATCGGTTACAGGCATGGCTCTGGTATTTTTGGGGATAGCTAGCGGCTGAGTTTGGGCTCGAAGTCTCGGCGATGGGGTTTTTGAAAGCGATGTGTAGAGGCAGCTTGCACTTGCGTTACTGGGACTGGTGTAAAGGGGGGTGCTCAAATTTCGCAACCCACGGCGACAGGCTCTTGATAGGGAGAAGGTCCTCATGTGAAGCATTCTGCTCACCAGGACTCTTCCGACGCGAGCTGCGAATGACCCCCCTTCTAGATATACCGAACCCCCAAAACTCGCCACGCGCATGCCCCTGCAGTCATTATTCGTAGCCGTTTGATCCAATTATGACTTTCTTGGCTTTGTTGACAGCGGAACCGACATACGATGGAACATATCTCCGAGTCGGTTAAGCGTCCGCCAGTTTTTGCCTTACATTACCTTCCTATGACTTCAACGTACGGCCACTGTAGTCAGCCTAGATATCACATAGATCTGGAGATCCTTTGGGAGCTAGTCAATATTAGTATGTTTTGTTTGGATTTTAAATTGATTGACCGTGAATTACGCGGCTGGCAACGGCCCGCAACGAGAAATTGGCTCAATGGACAGTAGTCAACGATGCGAATTCGATGCCACAGACGACTGCGGCGAGATCGACAATCTGGACAAGCTGCACTGGTGGCAGAAGGCAAGTATCTATCAGGTTCTGGTCCAGAGCTTTCAAGACACCAACGGTGATGGCAAAGGCGATCTGCGCGGTGTGGTAGAGCGGCTTGATTATTTCGTTGCCCTGGGTGTGGATGTGGTATGGATATCGCCCATTTATGAATCGCCTATGTGTGATATGGGGTATGGTCCGCATTTTCACCTTCTAGGATGTTAGCTAAAGCCTGTTCAGGTATGATATCAGTGACTATCGAAAGGTCAATCCGATCTTTGGATCCATGGAGGACTTGGAGCTCCTTGTTCAAGAGGTTCATCAACGAGGTCTGAAGATTATTTTTGATATTGCGCTCAATCACACCGCATCTACTGTGAGTTTGACTGTAATTCCTGGCCACAGGTGCTGATTCAACCTAGCACGAATGGTTCCAAACATCCAGAAAGGCTCGCAAGAATCCTAGCCTGGGGAAGCGGGATTGGTATTTCTGGAGTGTGGGAAAGCTCGACGACAACGGCAATCGGGTGCCTCCAAACAATTGGGAGAGCACATTCACCGGTGAGAACCATATTCAAGTTGCATTGTCCTCTAACTGACTGTTCCCATCAGGCTCAACGTGGGAGTATGATGAGCTGGCCGGGGAATTCTGTCAGTCCTTGTCAGGATACAGCCCTATCCGGCGGTTGTAGGAAAGGGATGCTGACTTACTTTACAAGACTTACATATCTTTGGGAAGAACCAGCCCGATCTCAACTGGGACTGCGAGGAGGTCAGACAGGAACTATACAGCGTGTTGAGGTTCTGGCTGGACAAGGGAATTGATGGGTTTCGAGTGAGATATTCCCGCTCGTGTTCGAGCTTTAACCTGACTTCTCATCAAGTTAGATACGATGAATTTGGTCTCCAAAACCTCGGACTTCCCCGATGCGCCCATCTCCAAAGGTGGTTGTCACTGGCAGCCTGCAAACTATTTGTTTGCGAACGGGTAAGACCGTCGACCACGGTTCTGAATATTACTGATGTGACAAAGTCCACGCATCCATGATTATCTACAGGAGATGTATGAGCAAGTATTCGCTCATTACGATGTGGTGACCTTGGCCGAGATGTCCTGCGGCGTCACCCCAGCTCAAGCAGTTGAGTATACCTCCCGTCACAAGCCGCGACCAGAGTTGAACCTCATTATTCAATTTCAACACGTCGAGCTGGACTGCCATGATGGCGACAAGTGGATGCTCCGGGAGTGGGAGCTGCCGGAGCTGAAGCGCGTGATTGCCGAGTGGCAAGAAACACTAGTCAACAATGGTGGGTGGAATACCGTGTGGATGGAGAACCACGACCAGTCGCGAGGCATCTCGCGATTCACCACCAACTCGCCGAGATTCCGAGCGTTGTGTGCAAAACTTTTGGCTCTGTGGCAGTTCACTTTGCAGGGGACCAACCTGATCTTTCAAGGGCAGGAGCTGGGGATGGTCAATCCGAACACCTTTTCGGAGGACATGAACCAGGATATCGAAACAGTCCAGTATTGGAATGCGTGAGTGGATCAGTTACCCTCAACTGATGCCGCCTGACACATCGCACAGGGCATGCGAGGACGCCATTGACGGCGAGTCTCACAAGCTCGAGCTGGCGAAAAAAGCCATCGTCCAGAAAGGGCGAGACAACACCCGCATACCATTCCCTGTGAGTGTTTCAAGCCCCGGCGGTCCGCACCGATGACCCCAATTGATTTATGTTACAGTGGTCCGACGATCCCCACGGCGGGTTCTGTCCCCCCAGCAGCAAGCCATGGATCCCAGCATTCAACCACGAAAGCGAGTGGTGCGGCGCCCACCAACAGCGATGTCCCGAGTCGGTGTGGTCATTTTATCGGTCGATGATTCTGATGAAAAAGGCACACCCCTCGTTGGTAAGCAGGACTTCACCCGAAGCTTTGATAGGTGCTGATGGTATTTCTTTCTGCAGTACCATGGGTCCTTCGAGTGTCTTGATTTCGATAATCCGCTTGTTTGGGCCTACAAGCGGCGGTCAAAACATACCTGCTATCTCACAGTGCTCAACTTCAGCCCTGGGGCCACTTCGTGGCGGTATGTGGATCATGGGGTGGACCTGGCGCGGTCCAAGATGCTCATCTCCAACCATCAAACGTGCGAGGCAACATTCACCCCAGATATCATCTTGCTGCGGCCATTCGAGGGACGCTTGTATCAGCTTGCAGTGGAGTAGATTCTGTTGTCATGCTGCTCTCATGATCGGGGTAACCCAGAATGGTCCCAGAATGGAAATAGAGCCGTTCCTCGCACACTCTCAGCGTGTCTCGCGCCCTGTGGATGTGGTAGACGGTGTGAGGATGTGCGAATTCACAGTGTTGAGGTGGGGCAGTTGGAGACGCGATGGCTTCGAAGTGAAACGCGAGTGCGTCGGATAGAGTGAGGTGGGTCGGGCCACAGTGACGTTTCGGATCTTCAGACAAAAGACTCGCCCAACATTCCTGGCGGGCCTTGTTAGAATGTCCAATAATATCCTGAAGAGCAGCTTTGACGTTGTGTAGCGTAGATGAATGTTCGAAACCACTCGATGTTTTGATGCCCGAGCGCTCTTACCAGTGCAGCGCGTTAAATCAGAGTCTTTTTCACTTTCCAGCTCTGCAATGGTGTTTTGAACCTTGGAAGCTGATTTCGATATGATTTACCATATGAAAGCCCTTCCTGGCGCCCAAGTTTGACATATCATCCATTCTCAATGTCAGCCCAAGATAACTTCATCCACTCTCTCGACCACAACCTGGGCAAGACCGACATTGCTATCCAGTCAATTCTTCTGGCGATTGGCTTTGTCGCTATAGGGCTACGACTTTGGTCACGGCACTTGCAGCGCGTTCCGCTACAAGTTAACGACTGGCTAACCTTGGGGTCAACGGTACAGCCAGTCCTTCCCCCACTCTTGTCTTATCTATATCTCGGTTGTCCAAGAAGCTGACGGTGGATAACCAGCTTTGTGTGGTTGGTTGCTATGTGGTAGAAACCATCATGATCCTGCTCTGTGGACTAGGGTCAGAAGCCCGCGTTGGAGAGCACGAGGTGTCTGTTCGTTTCAAAGAGGTTTGACCATTGACCCCACCGTATAAGGTATTTGCAACGCTAATCCTTAAGTTAGTTGACGTATGCCGGTGACCTTCTCCGGGTGACGGCAGTTTTCTTGATCCAGTCGTCTCTCTTGCACTATTATCTTCGCATGCATCCGTGTCAGCCGCTGAAGTGGCTTATTTACGGAACCCTGAGTCTTTGCATCGCATTGTGGATTGCAAGCTTGCTGGCAACTGCGTTTTTCTGTACGCCACCAAGGAGGTTCTGGCTCGACATATCAGGGCATTGTGGAGACCGCAAAATATTTCGTACTGGCTGCGCCGCGAGCGAGCTTATCCTCGACATGTTCATTCTGATTCTTGCCGTGCCTTTGGGGTACACTACTCGGATATTACAGATACATGCCAAACGTTTTGCGTGGGGGATAGCTTTTACCCTGGGACTCTGGTAAGTGAGCTCTTATCTGATTCTTGCTTCACAGATCTGTCTGTCTGACATTAAGTCAACAAGCATCATCGCTCTTACTGCTCTTCGTATCAAGTTTGGGCTCGATATCGACTCTGAGTATCCAAGTTACAACACACTGCGCCTATCACTGGTTTCAAGCATGGTACCGCTTCTGGGACTAATCGTTGCGTGCCTCCCTTTCATGTCACCGGTCATGGAGAATAATTTCCACACCTCCACACTATCATCCACAATCCACAGATCCGGCTCTGGTTATGTGACCACAGGATATTGGAAAGCAGAGGAGCTTGATGTTCCTCTAGTTGGTTTTGTCCCACCCGCTGTGCTCAAAGCCGGTCAGATTCAAATCACTTCAGACTGGGAGATTCATTCAACGCGGGATTCTGCACGACTTGATCGAGGGTCATTGCGTCAGGTCTGAATTTTTGTTATGGCCAACTGGACGCACATTACCCTGGTTTCGGTATTGTTTGTCTGTGTATCCTTCCGAATAACAACGCTCGGAGCTTTTATTTATCATCAGTCGAAGCCACACAAGGGGTTCTCACGCTTCATACGAGTGGTACAATCACAGGTAATGATACCCCGCAGTCATTCCCAGTCAATTCCAGAAATATTATCCGAATGCCTCTGTACTCGTTGGAAATTCCATTTGAGTGTCGAATGTCACGACACAGCCGAAAGTGGATACGATCAGGATTAGGGCTGTGTTGATCCAGATGACACGCTGTTAGTCTTTATATTACACTTTAAGTATGATTATTCTTTTCCAGTATTCTTTTTTGTATATTCTAAATATTTTAACCCTAAACAAGAATAAACAAGAAGTAATATCTTCAAAAGTCTTCAATAAATTACGCTTCTCGATTAAGATTAGTGAAGTCTTCATCTTAATACCTCATTTTCGACTTTTAATGAAGACACTTTTATTACTAGCTAATTACTTTTCTTCTCACATACTGCTTTTTCATGGCTTTTAAGTTATGAATTTATTTAAACTCGGGGTATATCAAAGTTCTCCTTAAAAAAGGTATCAGTTTCTTCGTGGTAATTTAGTAGGATGATATACATTGAATAAATGTTAGAAGGCTAGGGTTATATATATCTCTTATCATATTACGACACTCCTTTTCATATAGATATATATATTTAAGATATCATCAAGCTTATTCATTTGTTACTGAGACAAATCCTAAAAGGAGATAAAAAGTTAGTGGCACAAAGAGAGTATATAGATTTATTTAAAGGCTTTCTTCATGCAGAGCCACATGTGACCTATAATATGTTAGGACACATTGAGCTCCCAAACTCATTTAACATGATTTTCTGGGGATAGTAAACTAATTCCAGGACAAACTTGGCTATACCACAGACTATATTTAGAGTCAAATAATTGATAGGATTAATCTTGCTATTTTCTAGTTGGTAATAGATACCCTACTAACCATCATGAAGTGCTGCCTTCTGTATCCCTATTAATAGGCTCAGCCCGTCAATATCTAGTAAATATTTTATACCATGATTAAATAGCTAAGTATGCTAGTAAATTAAAATAAACCAGTTTAGTCAATTATTTAATAACTATTAATGATACTACTATATTAGAGAAATGAAGTGAATTAACTTAGTTGATTAAAATTCAGTTTACTTGAATACGTAGATCGTTAGATACTTCAACATTCGGCCGTATGGCCTAATGGCTAGGGCATTCGCTTCCGGTGCGAAGGATTGCAGGTTCGAATCCTGCTACGGTCGATTTCTTTTTGTCCAAAACATACATTTTTGTGGGTCAGAGTCGCGCTGGTGTCAAAAAGGCGGCTGGTGCGGGTAATCCTGATACATGCGGGTGGGGTATCTCGTGTCCCATATTAGAGTTCTGTCTAACCGAAAGAGGATAGCCATACTCTAACACGTGATATATCAATGATGCCTAAAAGCTTATTGCACTCAACTACTTATGCACCATTATTGGATCACGATGGCTCGAAACAAGAACTTTGAATTGAGACTTATTTTTCCTTCTGTTTGCTACTTGAGGTATTCCAATCCTTGACCTAATTCTAATGCAACAGTTCGTAAGCCTTATTGGCGCTGACATATTTTATCAATAATAGACTACTTTTATATAGATGAACACAAATACAGTTTGCGAACTATTGACACATGAGGCATTTTAGTCAAATAGTGTGTCGAAGTAGCCCAAAATCGGGTATGATCGATTAAATTCGGGAACTTCGCACGTGATCCCATATTCCGTTCAATTTATGTGACTCAGTCCAGATAGTAAAAAGCCACCCCCTAATTAATGTAATAAATATCCAACTCAACGCTTCAGCCAATATACCCAAAAAAGGTGTCTTCTTGGGAAGGAGGTTATATACTCCGATATTAAGGATAAAGAGTTTAATATTATCTATCAGCTTAGGTATTATACTAAATAAAGCTGTTTCTTTGTTTACTTTCTCAATAAACGTGACTAGATAGAGAAGGTTGTTGCTTCTTACCTTAATCCATCCTCTACTATAAATTATATTATAGGCATTAAAGATTAGCTTTATAGTTGCTTCAATATCTATATTCCGATGTTACGCTGATCTAACTAGTCACTGTGAGTCGGTGTTAGGGGGTTGGACCAAATTGTGGGCAGATGAAGGGAGGACCACAGCGACTGTCACAGCCACGGAAGGATGTGTCGGGATCAAGGTGGAGGTTCTTTGGTCAAACGAGTTTGGACAAAATTGGGAAACTGAGTGGATGGCTTAAGAAGTCATGGGCAGGAAGGTACGGGACCACGCTCAATCTGTTGAATGCCATGATGCGAGACTGGATCAGCTTGGGAATCTTGCCGCACCGTCAGCTGGCTGGGTCTGATTCCTATTCCAATGCAACCTCAAAGCTTGACAGATGAAGCAGGCCCCGTGCGATCGCAGTTGGAAGTTGGTGGATCGGGAAATGCTGGGGCAAACGTCATAACCAGAAAGAAGATCATCTGTTCTGTCAATCAGCCGATATAAATCATGTACGATCAGCATTGAATCAATTCCAATCCCTATCCGTCTTCATTTTTCCATGTTTTACAGTGGGTCGGATTTCCGGTACCAAGATCACAGCTTGTGCTGCCCGGGAAGCCCCCATTTCGCTCCAAGTAGTGGCGAAAATCGTCTCAGAGCTGTAAGGATAAGCCTTGTTTATAACGAGAGGCGCCACAGCGAATATTCTGGCTTAGTTCTAAGGCGCCCTCGAGCCGGGGCGGGGGGCGGGTTCCCCTAGGCGACGGGCAAGATTCGCCTCTCCATGCGGAGCCCCCTCCCTTCGAAATACAGCATAAACTGCTTTCATTTCCTCTCCCTCACCACAGGGAAGAGGATTAAATGCCAATTCCAGGACCTTTAGATTTGTTTATATGGGCGATATATCGTTGTATCAGCTACCTTCAACACCGACGGTCCTCGCTGCTTGGTGACTGGTGGTTCCTATTATAAGTATTTTCCCGATCACTCGCACCAAAAGTCTCGATCTGACCCGAAGGCTTAGGCCTCGTGTGGAAGGCTGAAAATTGCAGCCGGCCAGATGACAGTTTTTCACCAAATTGCGAGAGCTACAAAGCCATTTTCAGGTGCTTACCCTGGCTTGCTCTTGTAATGCTCCTTTTTCTTTTGGGATGTGCCTAGCGCGTCGTACCTTTGCATATTCACATGAGAAAAGATGATGTGAGTAGCGACACTTCCTGAGCCAATTGATTCCCCTTGTATCAATCTTGAAATGTTCGATTCTTTATGCTGCTCTGCTGACCGTCTCAAGGTGAGAGAACAATCGAAGACGAAGCTCAAAGGAATTGACCCTGGCGCCTTTATCTACGCTCTGCTGATACGGATGAGGAATTGGCTTTAAGCACGGAAGGTCCCACCGTTCAAACCGGCTTCCGCTCTACAATGCATCAACAGCCACCACACTTGTTGCAGCTGCGCAACATGAATGATTTCGAAAAATAGAACACTCTATCGCGTCATACCTTATCTTGCCACGTTCTCCGAAGGAATTCTTTCAAGCACATAGACTGAATTGGCATCTGACCTTGCTACATAGAGCTATCTCCTGGACGATCTTGGAAAGATAGCACCTCGCGGAAGGAAGGTTGATATCAGGAGTCGATGCTGGTATGTTGGCACTGCGTTGCCCTCGATGCATGTTTCTTCTCTAGGAAATATGACACAGATGTAGTTATCTTTGTGGGTGGGCACGAGCACTAGATTGGATGGGATGGTTTGCAGTGCGTGTTAAAATGCAAACTCTATTGGTAGGTTGACGTAGTTACATCGATACGAGCCACTGGTAGTATGGCATACTGAAAAGCGAACATGACTGCCGATTCCAGATGAAAAATGAAGGCCGCTCCATATACCTGTTGAATCGGTAGACGTCTGACAGCCAAAAGGCTTATTGCAAAGTCTCGTGTGAAGACAGGATCACAAGATATACACACTAAGTACCCAGATCATGGAAACAAGGGGCCGAAGCTACTTGCAAAGACTGCTGAGGTCATTACAGGGTCGGACCTAAGCAAATTATTTAGAGTGGTCCCACAGAAATCTAAGCTCATTTCTTGCCTCCAAGTGGTTTCTATGTTATTGTTGGCAAATTCAATGGATAGGTTCAGAGGTTACTGTTATACAATATGTATTATTTTACAGTATTTTATTTTTATAGTTCCACTTAGTTGCGGTTCGTGGTATCTGTGTCACGCTTTCTCCTTCCTTTGTAGAAAGGATATGCCTAGTTATATCCAAATCAAGTAGGAATAACGCAATAACCGACAAGCATCTCTCAACTAGTTACCTGAAATTGAATCCCCGCTCTGTTCTCATAAAAGACTTTTCTTTACATCATGATCTGGCGTTCTAGTATCATAAAATCAATTTGCTTTGTTTTCAGGCCATTTAGATAGTTCCTTACGTCCGATAGCCACATTTTCTTCTTACTTTAGCCTTAAAGTTCTTATGTAAATACAACCGTATCGATTCCATCCTAGTTTGAGAGGGCTAGGTGTGTGGCGTGCATGAGAGGTATTAAACTTTAAGTTGACTTGTTATAAGACTGTATTTCATAAACCATAACTTTGATAAGTCAGGCAGATAACGAGTGGTTATTGTTCCTACGGCGCTGGACTTAACTTTCGCGCGCTGTCTGCGCCACATACACCACTCATTTCTGGGACTCCAAATTAGCAGTATCTCACGTCTCCCCATTCCATAAACATCCTATTTCAAAACATATTGTGTTCATTTCCCTATTATATTTCCACTATTATGCAAATATGCCTGCCTTCACTATTCTAGCTCCAACTTCTCAACATGCCCTTTTATCCTTTCTAGTCCCGTATATCCTCCTTGTCACGCTGAACCGGCCCCGCACTCTGAACTGCATTAATACGCAAGGTCACGTCAACCTCGATGAGGTTTGGGAATAGATGGACTAGGAGGTCTTAATCTGAGTGGGGATCTTGACGGGGAAGGGAAGTGTATTTTGTGTGGGAGGTGATCTTAAAGGCATGATGTCCGAACACTTTCCACTAAGGCCGGAGAATAATAAAAGAGTTGATCTAGAATGGAATGATTACGTTTCCGATTCAAAATCTTCTCGTACCCCGATGCCCGTTTCCTTTGCGCCGCGAAGGCAAGAAACCGGTATTGTGTGCCGTGAACGGACTCTGTTTTGGCGGCGGGACAGAGATGATTATCAGCAGTGATATGGTGATCGCAGCGTCGCGTGTAGTGTTTGGCTTGCCGGAAGTGAGGCGCGGGGTGGTCGCCCTGGCAGGGGCATTACCTCGACTTGTTCGAACGGTGGGAAGGCAGCGAGCGATGGAGATGGTGTTGACGGGACGGTCGCTTTCGGCAACGGAGGCAGAGAAGTGGGGGTTGGTGAATAAGGTGGTAGTGGTAGACCCGGGAGCCACGGACGAGGAGGGTTGTCAGAAGGTAGTCCCGACGCGGTGATTATTAGCCGCGAAGGGGTCAAACTTGGCCGGAAGGGGGTTGGGGCGGATGAGACAATAGACATGTTGAACGATACTTGGGTCAAGAGGTTATACGAAGGGGAGAATCTCAGGGAGGAATTGAGGGCATTTGTCGAGAAGAGAGCCCCTGCTTGGGTGGTCAGTAAATTGTGAGATTGAGATTACTGTTGACTACCGAAGCCATGTCACTCAGACCCATCCGTTAGAAACTGGGCCTGATCCAAGCCAAAGGCGTCAGGCTTGAGATTAACTCAATAGTAGCGATTATTTTGGTTTCAACCGCTACTATTGAGTTATTGTACAGCCAACTCGTAGTAGAATTGGGCTCCCTCAGTCGTATCCTATCATATATTTGAGCCTATAGTATTATAGGCTTCACAGGAGCGTATAATTTGTATTAGACTGTACTAAGTCAAATCTTATAGTTAAATACATGTAAATAATTATGAATTAATATTTTATAAAGAGGAGCCACTAAAGCGATAGATTTTTAATCTAGACCTTTATTGAGCCTTTCCCCAATTATCTTAAGTTTGTGAAATAGTAAATTCACTGGTATAAAAGAAGTTGTCTGAACTATAGAATGGACGACTGTTTAAAGGGAGATCTAGGTTGTAACTGTAGCTTCTTTTCTTCTTCTTTCCTCTCCCTAGCTTGAGTATTTCGGATTCAAGCCCTGCTTTTGCTCCGCTCTGACAGTGATTGGCTTCCCATTGTCAGTTAAAATGTATTCAGTCTGTCAAGTGGACAACTGATAGGGCTTTTGAACCTTATCTGAAGGGCAAATATGTCTCAAGAGGTACCATTATCAGAAATCGGCATCTTATCAGTTTTTCTGAATTTGTATTACTTCAAACTACGTAACTATGTCTATCTGCTTACAAAATATTATTTTTCGTGCTTTTAAACAATGATATAGATGAAATGGATTAAAAAATGTAGATACTTGGCGATCAGACCTCTCGGCGTCGGTCTTCTTCGATTCTTCTCGGGTTATCAGCTCATACCTATATCTACGTATACGGCCTTGTGGTAGACCATTCAGGAACACCTTGTGACATTTACTGCCCAAATGCCCTGCGTAGAGAAGCGGAATGGTATGAAGAGAAGGGATTCGAACGATCAAAATATCCCAAAAAGAATGGTTGCGTAGTTGGGGAGAACTAACGCCCCACAAGGGGGTTATGGCGGTAACTGGGTACAAATATACAAGAAAGCTTTTATGTGACTATGTCATAATGTCTTGATGTAGACACAAGCATATCCAATGTTGCACGAATGAAAACGTGCTTCTTTCCTGAATAGGTATCAGATCAGCACGATTTACGCAGCTAAACTAGCTTTAACCGAGGTTCGTCTTTAGATCGACATGGGCAAGTTTAGCACCAGTCTTTGCCCTGCGCTAACTGTCGCCAACGGCGAGGAAATAATAGCTTGGAGATGTTATCACTGCGAGGCTTTTGCTATCAGACATAGCCGGTAGGCGTAATAAGAGCAGACACAACCTGCATTATAAATAGTTCGGCATTAACAACAGAGATCAGGTCTCTTCGCCTCGTAAGTAACAAAATAGGCATTGTTAGCCGAGTCGACGGTCTGTGCAATCCTAATGGCACTGTTAGCGACGGAAACTCCATGACAGATCTTGGACGAGTCTCACACGTCATTCAATGCTAGAAATGATAAGTGAGTATTCTATAATAAATTATTTATAAATGTTTATCCGATATACAACGAAGACATATTGTGTAACAAATCGACCATCCGCCTAATCACGTCCAGCTTCCCTTTTGGCACGTGCAGGGATTAAACAAAGACATCGATTAAGGTTCTGCATAGTTTAATTATGAAGGTATCGTGGGAAGAAGACACATCGCCTTGGCCAATTTTCGATTCTACTTCCCTAGCAACAACATTTTTAGTAGAATAGGTATATCGGAACTCTGCACCTGCTTGGATCAGTGGTTTCTTACTATTTGCAAGTGGGGAACCTCAATGATTCTGCTCGATGACCTGGTTGGGTGTCTTTGATATAAGAAAGAAAGAAATACCTAAGCTGATGGAGGGAATCTAGAAGCAGCCTTCCAAGATCAGAAATCTCGCCCCAGAGGGCTATGATGGCGGCGATGGAAAACTTTCTTAATTTTTGTAATATTTTTGTGGCCCTTATGGTGAGATTTTGTATATGTTGTATATTGATGCCCTAAAAGGGCAAGTGTTATGTGCAGTCGACTATTTTGCATAGTAGTTTATCCAATAATGAAGGAATAATCGCGCTATTTGATGCCGTACTCTACCTTAAACCGTCGTCATCTTCATATATACTTACGTCGATGGCAAGGTTACTGGAATTAGCTTTATTTTTTTCAGTTTCGGACGAGTGCTTATATTAGGTAGGCGCTCTTCTCGGGATATGACGCAGAATTATACCGGAAATGGTGACCCACAGAGGAAATGATCTAAACAAAACTTAGTAACCGACATATTACGTGGTCGGACGTAGCCCCCTAGGGGATATATGCAGAATAGGTAAGAAGCTTAGGCGTTGCACAAACCTCGTGGAGTGATTATCAAAGCCAAATGCAAAAGGCTATGCAGCGTAACACATCTGCTATAGTACATAGAATGCACTCTTACAAAATCCACATAGCTTATGACTTCCAAGTTTCCCGATATGGAGTATTCAAGGCGATCTGAGGCATATTGATGCTTAGACTTTACCAAGCATCGAGAGCACATATCTGCTTGAGGAGGGATATTGGCCATTGGCAACATATATCCACAGTGTGTTGCCCAAAAGGGTCCGCCGACAGGATCATGATGTAAAATGACAGCATGAAAAATGATATCTCCTGAAGGCGGACAAAGACCATTCAACTAAGCCCCTGCAGTCTAATGATAAATAGCCACCTACCCCTCCCCCGAGCAGCATTATAGACAAAGTGAGAAAAGTCAGAGCTCCAAGTTTGTGCCAGAAACATCGACAGTGATAATTATGGAAAATTGTCCCGTATTTCCTTCCTCCCCAGAGGCCCTAAAAACAGAGATATGGTCTTCGAGAGGCGTCCCGCCTAAGCCATCGGACTTCACCAAAATCACATCGGAAGATGTGGCCATTGTCGGGATGGCCTGTCGTACCGCTGGTGGCAACGACAGCCCAGAAAAGCTGTGGCAGTTTCTCCTTGGAGCCAAAGATGCCTCTGGCGAAGTACCGCGCAAGCGATGGGAGCCATGGCTGCGGAGAGATGTGCGAAATGCAAAGGAAATAGAGAAAACAATCTCGAAAGGCTATTTCATCGACACTTTAGACAACTTCGATGCGTCCTTTTTCGGTATCTCGCCGAAGGAGGCGGAGCAGATGGATCCCCACCAACGCTTAGCACTGGAACTCAGCTGGGAAGCTCTCGAGGATGCAGGCATTGATCCCAAGAGCCTTTCAAGCTCTGATACGGCCGTCTACATGGGTGTTGATTCCGACGATTACTCGCGCCTGCTACTCGAGGACATACCCAACATTGAAGCATGGATGGGTATCGGAACGGCTGCACATGGTGTCTCGAATCGTGTCTCATACCATCTCGACCTTATGGGACCCAGTACTGCCGTCGATGCCGCATGCGCATCATCTCTCGTAGCCGTCCACTTGGGATGTCAATCCATTTTAAATGACGAGTCCCAGGTGGCTATCGTTGGCGGTGTCAACGTGCTCCTCGCACCATCCTTGACTCGAATGCTGGGCAAGGCCGGAGCTTTATCACCCGAAGGTATCTGCCGCTCCTTCGACGATGCAGCCAACGGCTATGCTAGGGGCGAAGGTGGAGCTGTTCTTATTCTCAAGAAGCTTTCCGCCGCAATTCTGGACGGTGACAGCATCCTTGCCACGCTCAAAGGCAGTGCCATTGCTCAAGATGGTAAGACCAATGGCATCATGGCCCCCAATGCCAAAGCACAAGAGCTTGTGGGTCGACAGGCTCTAGAGAGAGCCGGCATTGATCCATTAACCGTCGGTTTTGTGGAGGCGCATGCAACGTCAACACCGTTGGGTGACCCGGTCGAGATTTCGGCAATCTCGGCAGTGTACGGGAATGATAGACCCGCTGGATCCCCGGTCCATGTTGGCTCCATCAAGCCGAATGTCGGGCACCTTGAGGCCGCCGCCGGCGCAATTAGCGTAATAAAAGCTGTTTTAACTGTCAATAAGGGACAGCTTGCACCCCAGGCACACCTCAACAAACTCAACTCAAGAGTGGACTGGGAGAACTCTGGCCTGGAGCCTGTGCGCGAGACAACCAATTGGTCTCAACAGTATGGACCCAGACGCGCAGCGGTGTGCTCCTATGGTTACGGCGGCACGGTTTCTCATGCCATTGTCGAAGAATTTGCGAATGAAACCATCCAAGACACCCAGAAGCATGATACCGAATCGCCCGTGCTCCTCACCCTGTCAGCTCCCCATGAGAAACGACTACGGCCTCAAGCTAAAGTCCTTAGTCAGTGGCTCTCATCTTTGGTCGGTCAGGCCACAGAGCTTAGCGTTGTTGCCAACACATTGACACAACGCCGAGCACATCATGACTACCGAGTAGCCTTTGTCGCCAAAAGCCACGATGAGGTCATCTCAGCTTTAGACCAATTTGTCTTAGGTAGCGAGGGCGATACTGTGACGTTCATCCAAGGACGAGCCGTGAGCACCATCCCACCTGTCTGGGTTTTCTCGGGCCACGGTGCGCAGTGGAAAAACATGGGCAGAGGTCTGCTGCAGAATTTGGCTTTCTGTCGCGCGATTTCTGACCTGGATGCTATCATCCAGCGAGAGGCAGGTTTCTCGGCCACCGAAGCCCTGAGTAATGACGACTTTGATGCTTCTGAGCGTGTGCAAATTTTGACATACGTAATCCAAATCGGATTGAGTCAAGTTCTCCAGTCAATGGGTGTAAAGCCTCTTGCTATAATTGGCCACTCTGTGGGAGAGATTGCCGCCAGTGTCGTCGGTGGTTGCTTGACTGCAGAAGAAGGTGCGTTGATTGTCACAAGACGAGCAAGACTTTACTCCATAGCCCGCGGTGAGCGCCTTGGAGGAATGGCCCTCGTTGGCATGTCTTTTGAACAAGCCCAAACGACCTTAGGAAACCGAAAAGACTTGGTCGCCGCTATTAACTCGTCACCCACAACCTGTGTCGTGAGTGGCACCGCTGTCGCTGTTGAACAGTTCGTCGAAGATATGGAAGCCTCTGGTGTCCGAACATTCCGTGTTAAGACAGATGTTGCGTTTCATAGCCCCATGTTGGAGGAGCTAGAACTGCCGTTGAGAGATGCTTTGGCCGCATCGATCCATCCTCAACCTGCTCGAGTTCCCGTTTACTCAACGTCAAATACCAATCCTCGTGTCGATGGGCTACGGGATATTGACTACTGGGTTAACAACATGATAAACCCTGTGCAGCTGCAAGGGGCAGTCAGAGCGGCTGCTGAGGACGGATACCGGGCTTTTGTCGAGGTTTCATCACATCCTATTGTTCTTCACTCAATCAATGAGACAATAGCGGATTACGGGCTTAACGAGGACGAGTTTGCTACCATCCCCACCATGAAGCGTAACACATCAACCGCTCAATCTCTTCAAATGGCAGTGGCTCAGCTGTACGTCCAAGGGGCGCATGTGGACTTTAAATCCCAATTCAGTCCTAGGCCTAAGTGGTCTCGAGAGGTTCCTGGGACCCAGTGGATGCATCAACCATACTACAAGCAGGTTGAGACTGGCCCCTTGGAGGACGGCACCATCCACGATGTCGACAAGCACACTCTTTTGGGCTCGCGCACGGTTGTCGCAGGCACAGACATAGTGCTTTTTAAAACAAAGCTCGACGACAGGAGCAAACCCTTCCCTGGGTCACATCCGCTGGATGGAACTGAGATCATCCCTGCGGCGGTTTACATAAACACCTTTCACCATGCCACTGGCGCTAACGTTCTCAGCGATATCAAGCTGAAAACTCCAGTCTCTATGGGCCATGAGACACGGAATCTCCAAATTGTCGTCAATAAAGACAGCGTATTTGTGGCGACAAGTGCTATACCGCAGCCAATATCTACAGAACCGACGGTAGAGCAAACCTGGGTCGCACACAGCTCCTGCCAATGGACTAATCTTGAGATACCCGATGAGATTGTTACTCAGAACCTTAACATCACGGCGATCAAACAACGCATTGGTACGATGCTGCCCAGCAACTTCGCTGTTGAGTATTTGTCCGGGATCGGTGTTGCAGGTATTGCATTCCCTTGGGAAGTAATCGAACACTACGGAAATGCCGACGAAATGATTGCTAAAGTTGACATGGACCCAACTGTGGAGAAGGTGACATGGGACATTCACTCGTGGGCTCCCATGCTCGATGCTGCTACTTCGGTGGGATCGACCATTTTCTTCAGCGACCCAAAAATGCGCATTGTTTCGCAGATTGACCGGGTGTGGCTCGTCTCCAAAGAGCCTCTGCCAAAAATTGGGTATTTGTATATCGAGGCGGCAGCAGACGCGAAGAGTCCAGCTGCTCATGTCAGTGTTCTGAGCGAGGAGGGAGATCTTCTCGCGAAATTTCACGCTATGCGCTTCTCCGAACTTGAAGATGCTTCTCGCATCAGCGGAAGCACAGAAAGTCTTGTGCATCGCATTGCTTGGGTGCCGCCGAAGTTCTCAGAAAAGCCACGTCAATTCAACAATATTGTACTCGTTTCAGGAGACGAGGTAAAGTCTCGTTCCTATGCTCAGCAGCTTCAGTTTATTGCTTCTGGAATCTTCACCTTTCGAAGTGCACAGGAAGTGAAAGACTACGCTGGAACAGATGTACAAATGGCTCTGGCCCAGCGAGGCGCTGCTATTGTCTACATTCCCGCTTCGGTCGAGCTACTCAATGATGTTGCCGCTTCCACAGAGGAATTCATCTGGCAAACTGTTAGCCTGGCCAAGTTCATTGAAACCAAGTCGCTCTCTAGCACTTGTAAACTTTTTGTCGTCACTAACCGGGTACATTGTGGATCCGTGACTACACTGGCTCACCAGGCTTTGTACGGGCTGGCGCGGATTATTGCGTCGGAGCATCCAGACCTTTGGGGCGGTCTTCTAGATACGGACAAGCCTGAAGAATTCCCTTCGATGGCAGCAAAGTATGTCCAAGGGCAGGAAATTGTGCGCATCGTCGACGGACTTCCTAGGTGTGGGGTAATGCGGCCACTCGCCGCTGATCAACGCCATCAGCCCGATGCCATGAAGACGTTGCTTCCGAAGCCAGAGGGTACATACGTGATTACAGGTGGCTTGGGTGATTTTGGCCTGGAGACTTGCAGTTTCTTGGTGGAAAAGGGTGCCCGCCGCATTGTAACCATCTCCCGCAGTGGACTCCCTCCTCGACGCCAGTGGGCAGGATTGGTAAGGGAAAGTGGCAGTAAAATGGCCGAGGTCATTGAGCGAGTGCAGAGCCTGGAGAAGCTCGGTGCTACAATTCACGCTTTATCTCTGGACCTTTCCGCTCCGGATGCCTCTCGAGCCCTTCTGGTCGCACTTGAGGGTCTTGGTCTGCCTCCCGTCTTGGGTGTGATTCACGCTGCTGGGACCTTGGAGGACAGCCTGTTGATGGAGACAACGAGAGATTCATTCGCCAGAGTCCTTGCTCCGAAAGTGAGCGGGGCACTCGCGCTCCATGAAGCCTTCCCTCCCAACTCGCCAGACTTCTTTGTTCTATATTCGAGTATTGGCCAACTTGTTGGCACAGCCGGACAGGCTTCTTATGGTTCTGGTAATGCATTCCTGGATGGACTGGCAACTCATCGTCGGGCAAAGGGTGACAATGCTGTGTCGTTCCAATTCACGGCATTGCGCGGAATGGGCATGGCGAAGAACACAGATTTCCTGGCGGTAGAGCTTCAGAGCAAGGGAATTACCGACATCTCATGTGATGAGGCCTTCCGAGCCTGGGAGCATGCCAGCAAGTATGACATTGATAGTGCAGTTGTCACGCGTTGCATTCCCATCGACGACGACGCGACGGCGCCCATACCCCTCCTTGAAGGGGTCGTTGCCAGGCGCCCCAAGATGCTCTTGACTTCAGTTGGGCCCGGGGAGAGCGTTGGTGCAGCAGAGTCACGACCTACAGATCCACAGGAGCTGGAGAAGTGGATCAATGCCAAGATTAGGGAGTGCATTGCCAGTGTACTTCTGATGTCGGACATCGACGACATAGATCCGCGTATGCCAGTGGCGGACCTTGGCGTTGACAGCGTCATGACAGTGGCTTTACGGGAAAAGCTTCAGTCGGCTCTGAAGGTAAAAGTGCCTTCGACTTTGACTTGGAACCACCCAACTGTGAACCACCTGGTTCAGTGGTTTGTAGCTAGATTCGGACAGGAATAGTGTAGGTCGTCTCGACTGTAACAATGGGCTGGCCCACTAAATTGGGTGACTTGAGGACGCCTACTCTTGTCGCGGGGGACAAGTATGGGAGAAAGAGGATTGTGGTGGGGGATTGTCTATATGTGAGGGAACTGGCAGATTAGGGTGGCACCTATTGACCAGGCAAGAAGATAGTATTCAATAAAGACTTCACGATGGTGTTTCGGTTGATGAAAGACTAAAATCTACCCATCTTCCAGATAGATTGACTACCTTATATCGGGGGCTTGGCTGGTGAATAGAGAGTCAACGCCGCAGTAAGACCGAGTCAGAGTCTAGTGAGCAGCTCCGAATTGTGAACCCACCCATGAATAAACTTCGAGCAGGGATACCCTGCTGACAGATACAATTCTCCTTCAAGCGAGGTCTAATTGCTTTCTGCCGAACCTGTCCGATGAACAGCCTGTTGCGATATGAGGCTGGTGCAGATCGTGAACGAAGCCGCACCCTCGGAAATAGCTCCGAGATGTCTATACAGACAACCAAGTTGATTGGAAATCAACTTGACTGTTTGTTGGATATATAGCCTCATATGTCCCTCTAGACTAAAGAAGGAAAAAAAAAAGAAACATTAATCTCTTTGAACTACAACATGATCCAATGATTTCACGTGACTCCTATTGTCGCCTGGTTCCGTTGGCTGTGATTGCTTCGTGGGAGCATTGTATCCTTCCTAGGAGCAAGCCATCGTGATCCCTGGAAGCGTCCCTTGTGTCTGGAATTGCTCCTCCGTTCTTGTTTCATAACATATGGTACCAAATATGACCTTTTGGTAGAGATATAATAGTTAAGGAATAAGAAAATCTTAACTAGAATTCCTCACAACTATACCTATTCGACTGTTAACTTCTACGTGGTCAATATACTAGCTATATATAGGTAGAATGGATTTGTAGGTCCAATTTTATCTTTTTTTTTATTTTTTGGAATAGTGGGAGAAACCCATCTAGAATTTACTTATGATACAGCGAGTGAGAAAATCATGACCTAAAGTCTTTGACTCAACATCAAATTTACCTTGGTTGCAAACCATGAAGACAAGACAAAAAAGAGACCATCATCAAGTGGAGACTCGGCCTTCGGCCTCAGTGAATCACTGCTTAGAGAGCCGAGTTCGCCTCGTCCCGACGGGATACCGAAGCTACTTGGACGATATTTGAAAGTGCAAAAAAGACATGTATAAAGCCGTGACAGTCGTTGGACGAGAACCCATCAAACATTCCACATCCACCGGATAAGAACTCAGCCCGGTCCAGTTGATCCCCATTTCACCCCACCACGTCTGCCCCACGATCCGCGTTGCTTGGCCTGATCCCATTCCGACTTCTTGGCGATTTGATCTTTCTGGTGTTTCTCACCAGCGATATTAAGAGCACCCGTTGAATCGAACTCCCTTCATTATGACTAGACTCCGTGTAGCATGGATTGGCCTGGGCAACATCGGCCGGGTAAGTCAAGACGAGTACATTTTCACGCAGCACAGCTCGAAGAACCCCAGAACTAACCAAAAATCAGGGTATGAGCGCCAACATCGCTCAAAAAGGTCCGCAAACAGGACCTCTCGTCCTCTACAATCGCACAACTGCCAAGGCGGCCGCGCATGCCGAAACGCTGGGTGACCGTGCGACCGTCGCAACGTCGCTAGCTGACGCGGTGCAGCAAGCCGACCTGATCTTTACCTGTGTGGGTGATGACCCGGCCCTCGACCAGATTGTCGCGGCGATCCTAGATGACAAGACTGCCGACCTGTCCAGCAAGACCTTTGTGGACTGCTCGACCGTCCACCCAGACACGTCGCGGCGCACGGAAACAGCATTTGAAGAACGGGGTGCCGCCTTCGTCGCATGCCCGGTGTTCGGCGCGCCGCCCATGGCCGCAGCGGGGCAGCTGATCATGGTGCCAGCCGGCAAACAAGCAGCGATCGCGCGGGCGCGCCCCTTCTTCGACGGAGTGACGTCGCGGCATACAATTGACCTTTCCTCCGGGTCTGGTGCAGACATCGACGTCGACCGCGCGGCAACCCTCAAACTGCTCGGCAACACGTTCATTCTCAACACAGTCGGTGTGCTGGCAGAGTCGTTCGTCGCAGCCGAGGCATCCGGGCTAGGCGTCGGTCCTCTCAAGGAGTGGCTCGAACTGTTTGCGCCGGGTCCCTTTGCCAAGTATGCGGACCGTATGCTTTCTGGCGATTACTATCAACGTGAGGAGCCGCTGTTCGCTGTCGATTTGGCCCGCAAGGATCTGCGCCATGCGTATAATCTTGCGCAGGGTGGCGGCGCGCGCATGCGCAATGTCGAGGTCACCGATGCGTTCCTGCAGGATGTCAAGGCTGAGAAGGGCGAGAAAGGTGATATTGCTGCGGTGTATGGTGCTGCTAGAAAGAGTGCCGGAATGGAGTTTGAGAACCAGTGATTCTCAAATTGGGTTTGATGCATTTCTATTACTCTACTGGTTTTATTACTGACCTATATGTGCGCAATATAAAGAAGAAATACAAGTGAATATTGAATACCAGTCACTGTTGCTCCACAGGTAGAAGAGAATAAGAGGCCCACGCAGGAGTCTTGGGTTGTGAATCCGAAGCTAAAATCGAAAATGAAACTCATGAGAATCCGATCCTGGTTACCCGATCTACTCATTGTTCGTTTTTAATCTGATCATTATTTTTAACCTTATTTTTAACCTTATTCTGACCCTTATTCAATCCTTATTATTACCTTTATTAAAATCTATACTCTTCTTCTCCTCCTCCCGTCCTCATCACCTTATCATTTTATCAAGATCCTCTCCTCTAAGCCCAGCATTTTTCAACCTCGGTCTCCGAGCCTTGACCTGGCTGGTAAAAGTATTCGTGAGAAGATTTTCTCTCTCGGACCACTTAGACGAGGATGTCTCCTGTAGAATATCCTCGTAGTTATATCCTAACTCTTCCACTAGAGTAAGGAGCATGCTCTTAGGGAGGTACCCCCCTGGCGTTCTCTAGACTGGCTTGCCATATTCATCAGAAACGTGAGTTGAGCTTGCGATTTCTTGTTTCTTTGCCAAGCTCGTCGAAGAATTTGGAGACAATAATGGAAGTAGAGATAACAGCCTCTTGGACAAAATGCCCCGGGTAGAAGAAGATAGCCGACTCTGGAGTTATGTCTGCCGGCTCTATCAGTTGTTTACTTTCGATAGGCATATAAACTAGAAACTTTGGATAATGAGAAGTTGCTCCTTCTGACAACATCACTACAGGTGTTTCTCCGTAAGAACAACCGAATTTAGTTCATTGAATATATGGAGTGGCATATTACATACCGAAGAATTGTTTAGCGCCTTTCTGTGCCCCGCTCAGCCGCACTACATTTCCTCCACATCCACAGTGGCAGTGACGCTACATCCACTGCGTAGTCACCAAGTACCCAAGATGTCCAAAATAATGCGAAATATCAAGCACATGGCTAAGGGGTACTCCTCGGTTCAAATCACTGTGCTAGACGCCACGAGCAGCGCGGGGGAGGGGCCAACGCGGTCGCAGCTGTTGGAAATCTGCAGGTTGACCTATGGCTCGCCATCAGACTTCTACGAAGTCCTGGACATGATCGAGCAGCGACTCTCAGAGTCGGATAACTGGCGGCACACCCTCTATGCCCTGATAGTGTTGGACCACTGCCTGCGTGAGGGGTCTGTGCTCGTTCCAACCTGGGCGAGGAAAAATATCTGGATCATCAAAACTCTTCGTGAGTTCAGGTATATTACGCCAGATGGGGAAGACGTTGGCGAGAAGGTGCGCTCTCGGGCAAAGAAAATGGTTGCCTTGGTTGAGGATGAGGAACGCCTCCTCGTTGAGCGTCAGGATGTGAAGCGCCACCTCAATAGTCGCGGGGGCGCCACGGAAACACATCATATCAGTCAGAGCGCCTTATCTTACCAGGCACCCTCTCCAGTTCGAGAGAGCTCGTGGCGCGGGAAGGCTCCTGCTTTCCAACCAAGTGCCGGGGATCCTTCGGATCGTGACAATGCCTGGAATCGGTACAGTGCCAGGCATGTCTTTGAACCGGAAGTGCAGTACAGTAACTCTTTGAGGAATGAGACTCCCATTCCGCACTCCCGAGTCAGGCAGCAGCGTGTCGTTGCATTCTCGGGTGATACCACTCCGCGTATTGGACCAGAAACTGAAGACCAAGGCACCCCGGAACAGAAAACAGCAGGCGAGGATGTTGTGCCAGATGCCGATGAGGTCTTGAATCCTAACGCAGAAGAGACTCAATACTCGTCCAGATATGGAGACTACGTACCAGAGCAGCAAAGTACCTTTTTCATGGCCGATAATCCCAGTGGGCGCTCTGGAGATGGCCAGCAAAATGCTGTTGCGTCGCCCGAAGATCCTGCCCCGCGGGGTGGATCAGAAACCGAAGATCAGAGCACAGTGACACCTGTCAGTAACAGGGTCTCGAGCCAAGCGACACCTCCAGTTCCAGAGAGAGCTCCTCCCCCAAAGCCTGCTGTGAACGTTGAACCGGCTCAAATCCACCAGAAATCTTCACAGGCACTCCGCATTCGCTCTGCGGTCGATCTGGTCCGCGACTCGCATTTGGAAACGGAAGCAGCAGCAGGCTTCACACGGCACATCGTGTACGTGTCCAACAGAAACGCCCGCCAACGCCGAGCAAGAAGAGAAGAGCGCTGGGAAAGACAACAAGAGCTCGGCACCGGGTCGTATGGCCAGGTGTGGCTCGAGACATGCATTGAGGGCGAGGGGACCGGCCGGCTGAGGGCCGTCAAAGAAATCACCAAGAATGACCGGTCTTTGACCAAAGTCGAGTATGAGAGGGAGCTGGAGGCTCTCGCCAAGTTTTCAAATAAAAAGGTATGCTTGAATGACTGCAGACAGATACGATACACCTGCGCTAACCGAGCCGCAGTATGTCCACTGCTTCGTGCAGTTCTTCGGCTGGTGGGAAACGCCTGGTGCCATCTGCATCAGCATGGAGTATGTTCCGGATGGTGATTTGCAGCGCCTGATGACTGCCCCCTTCCCGGAATCGGTGACGCAGGAAATTGTCTCGCAGGTCCTGGAAGGGCTGGCGCTGATGCATGAGAATGGATTCACGCACCGAGATTTGAAACCGGGGGTGAGTAACTTGCTTTCATCCATGCATATTCAGGGGCCACGATGAGGGCTGTTGCTGATTACCGCAGAACATCCTCGTCTTGCAACAAACACCCGCCTGGTGGGTGAAAATCAGTGACTTTGGTATCACCAAGCGCGCCCTGGAGGAGTCGACCGGCCTGCGCACGTTTGTAGGCACACATGGCTATGTGGCACCTGAAGTCATTGGCCTTGTGGATTTAGCCGACACGGAGCCGGACTCTCAGGACCCTTCCTACACCAGCGCGGTCGACCTCTGGGCACTGGGCGAGATCACCTTCCGCTTGCTCACGCACAAAAGCACATTCCCTAGACCTCGGGGTCTGGCGCGCTATGTCGCGGGTCGAGAGTCATTTCCCCATGCAGAACTGGATCGGGTGGGCGCGACATCCGAGGTCAAGGATTTCCTGGAAAAGATCATGGCAGGCAGTCCGGCGCAGCGGCTCTCAGCAGATGATGCATTGGATCAACCCTGGATCACCAACCCAGTCACAGAATCTGCTGCATATATACCAGTGTCCTCGCTGAATACCAGCTCCCAGCATCCTGTCGAGGATGGTTTGAGGCAATCACCGACTCTCGAAGAACCCTCCAAGCGGTGGTCTGCCGTCTTTGATGATCCCTCCATTGCAACGTCGCGCATGGAGACATCCAGCTACGTTTGATGGAGAAGAACATATTGAATATAGGCATCAAGCCATTCAATTCAGAACTCGCTTCATTGCCAGATAATGGAGCCCGAAGCTAGGAGAGGGTCAAAATATACACACAGAAAATCATAAAACTACAAGACCGTAAAGCGGGCTATCGGTGGGGGGAATGTTTTTTTCATATCCCATCATTTTCAAACCGACACAGGACAAACAGAAAAGCAAATCACTGCTCCTGGATTTCAGCCGGCTCGTGGTGCTGGTGCTGGCCCTGCTCGCCCTCCTTGGGCGACTCGGTGGTCGGGGCGTGCATGTCGGCAACGATGCCTTCCGGGGGGACCCAGCCGGCGCTCTTCCAGGGCTTGACGTGCAGGACGTACATGGTGTCGACCTCCTCGAGGGTGCGGCCCTGAGTCTCGTTGACGAAGAAGAAGACAATGAGGACGGCGGCGAAGCAGCACGCGGCGAACACATAGCCGTAGCGGAAGTCGATGGAGCTCGAGATGAACGGGGTGAAGAACGAGATGAGGAAGTTCCACGTCCAGTTGGCCGCCGTCGCAACGCCCATGCACACGGCGCGGTAGCGGAAGGGGTACATCTCACCGCAGATCGCCCACACGATGGGACCCCAGGTGGTCGCGAATCCGACAATGAAGAAGCAGGTGAAGACGATCATGGCGATGCCTGCCGGGTGCGAGCTCGGGTCCGAGTTCAGAACCTCGTGTCCCACCGACGCCCAGATCATGAAGCAGATGAACATCCAGGCGGCGCCCACCATCAGGCAGTTGCGACGTCCGTAGTGCTCCACCACGTACAAGCCCGGGATGGTCATGCCGAAGTTGACGGCACCCAAAATGATCGAGGTCACGTATGGGTTGCTCAGACCCACGCCTTGAAAGATACTCGTGCCCTGTGTGATGTTAGACTGATCAAGTATCGGGGTACAAGATATGGCTTACGTAGTAGAAGATGAAGTTGGCACCGGTCAGCTGCTGCAGAGACTGCAGGGTAATGCCCAGGAGAGTGCGGTAGAACATGCGCGGGCCAGTAAGGATCTCATGCCAGGGAGCCGAGCCAGCAGCGAGCTCCTCCTCAAGCTTCTGCTTCATATCCTGCATTTCCTGGGCGACAACGCGGTGGTTGGTAGGAACACCATAGAGCTTGCTCATCACCTGGCGGGCCTCATCGACACGGCCATGGCGGTATGCGTAGCGGGGGGACTCGGGCAGGAAAAGAGTGCCAACACCCAGGATCAGGGGCCAGGCAAAGCCAATACCCATGGTGATGCGCCACGAGGCAGTGGACTTGATGCTCTCGGTGCCATAGTTGATCAGGTACGAGATGAAGATGCCGAAGGCGACGAATAGCTGGAACGCGCTGACCATGGCGCCACGCACCTGGCGCGGTGCCGACTCGCTCTGGTACATGGGCACCACGCTCGACAGCGCGCCCACGCCCAGACCAGCCACCCACCGGCCCATGGCGACCTGGTACCACTTGTCATCCGTGGCGATCTGCACGATGATGCCGACGATGTGCAGGAGTGCCCAGAAGGAAATCGAGAGCTTGCGGCCGATGCGGTCCGCAATTGGCGCAGCCACCAGGGCTCCGATCATGGTTCCGATTGACAGCTGCCCGTGGTAGTTAGTATCAACCTACCCCCAGAACTCATGGGGTCATGATAGCTTACCAAACCGACAATAAGGCCGTTGCGGACGTTGCTAAACGCGTGCTTGCCCGTAGCATGGTCGTACTCGGCAAAGCGGTTCTTGAAGTCTTCCATGGTAGTGAAACCCGAGATTTGACCTGGAATCAGATAAGTAGGCTGATGTATAAATGCCCGAATCCCCGCAAAACCCACCAGTCGAGTATCCGAAGATGAAACCACCCATCGAAACACACAGGCCAAGAATAAATGACCGCCAGGTCAAGTACTTGACCGGGCTGTCATCGAGGGTGATCTCATCCTTCTCCACGGTCGAGTCCGCACGCGCCGGGGTGGGTGCCTGCGAAGAGAACTTCGACTCAGGCTCAGGCTTGAGCTTGGAGATGACGTTGTTGAAGCCCATGATGGAAGAGTCCGTTATTCCCACGTGTATTTACCCAGAAGCGAGGGTCGAACACTATGGAAGGGAGGGGCGGCAGGGATGGACAACGAAGGAAGGGGAATAGAAGGAGAAAAGAGAAGGGAAAAAGTCAACGAAAGGGCGAGGCTGTCAAATAAATACAAGGGAGAATCGGATCCCCCCTTTGTCCTGGGGGTACCATGGCAGGCAAACGGGGGCCCGGATCTGGTGTCCCACGTTTGACCCGGGATGGGGCGGAGGAAATTGGACTCCATGGGCACATCCCTCCCTCCGTAGGGGTTCTCCATTGCGGTGGAGAATAGGGGAGTGGGGAATAAAGAAAAGTCATTGTTGGCAAGTCCTTGTCTACGTGAGACCAAAAAAAGTGTGTACACTATGCTCATATAGAGTTGTATAGCCAACTCCCAACTGTGTTGTACAGCATCCTTGGCCATGGTACACTCTGTGACCTCCGTGACTTTTGACTCCACCACCACAGCTAGTATAGGGATACATACCTGCTCGGGAGTATGCGTGAGAACATGCTATTTAGGGATAGGCAAGCCCGAGGCAGGTATGGGCATCGCGGCTGACTTTCCCTCGCCTAGGCTTCTAGAAACCTACGAAATGGAGTTTAGCCCTCTGGGTCTCGGGTATTGCTCTCTACAAATAAGAGAGCAGTGCCTGGCGGATTCCGCCCGTGAAAACCACGCGAGATCGGCCCAAGTCAATGACGGCCACTGGAATCATCGCCTGACCTTCTGGTTCTGGTGCCGACACTAGCGTAGTTCTACAGGCAATGAGAAAATGCTAGAAAAAAAAAAAAACATAAATTTTCTCTTTTTTACTTTTTTTTTTTTTACTCAGGCTGGATCATGTCTGCACAAGTCAGGATTCTGGGGCGAATTTGAGGTAAGAAAAATTCTGTTTACGTTGCGGTAGGTGGGTCACTGAGATTCTTCACTGGGCAAAAGGCTGTTTGGGCTTGGATCAGCAACCCAAAGCTTGGCTCGGTCTGAGAACGATCTGACCTCGGGAGGATACAGGGAAATCGGAACATTCAAAACACCCAAAAAGCCCCAAAGAAACAACAGCCGCGAACCTGGGTTCCTAGGTCTTATTTATGTACCGAGAAGGTCCCGACGGACATAAGAGGACACTGATAAGAGCGCTCAAAGAAAATGGCTAATTATAGGAAGAAGACCGAGTGTCGCAAGGCTAACGCGGCCTGACCCACCATCAGTGAGTCCTCGGACGAGTCCCGCGCAGAGATTTTCCGGCGAGTCGCGGGATTACAGACCCCAATCGGCACACCGAGTCCCCCTTTGTTTTCCCGATAACTCGCCGACCCGAGTGTTCTCCCGAGTCGGCATCGATGCCGATGCTAGTCCGAGACAATGGGAATACCATCCCACACCAGCAATGTCCGGGCGAAAAGCATGGTGGTATGCTTTGTTTATTTTTCTTCCATTCCATAGATCATAAATCAAATCAAATCAGCATGCTTGGGTTCATCCAATAACAGCCCGAAGAACTTGCCCATCGGTATCCCTGGGATTTTTTCAGTGAGATCTCGTTTAGGGTTGGCGCTAGAACTGCGACAGAACCACTCTCCCTTTTTTCCACTGCAGACCCACTCCGTCCAAGCCCTTTCCGCGATCTGCGGTGAACCAGCTGGGAAAATTAATCCCAGAGTTTGCTCGACGAGGCATCAGACCACCCAACGGGCGGGAAAATACAAAGGAGATAAAGGAGCTGAGTGGGTCTGAGTCCCTAGGCTCTTCGAGGTACCTTCCAAAAGGGAAATAGAGAATTCTTAACCAACCAGGGGTTCTCTTTCTCTCTTTTTTTTTCCTTTTCCAGCAGCGAGGAATTTTCTCGGTCGATAGGATATTCAATATGGGTACAGAATACAAGGATTTGCTGGAGTACATACCTACCAGAGACGATCGTAGATTGACGAAACAAAACACATACTTCAACGAGACATAAAATATAGATCGCTGCTGTTGTTTCAGTTAGGAATGTATAGATTTAACGGTGTTTATGGCAGTTGCTGCGATTAACCGGGACACATTCAGAGACTAGTCAAAAGAAATTAACTCAATTCATTGGCCCAATCTCTTCCACTAGAAACATAATAATAATCAAATGGCTAGAACTTCCATGAAGCAGCTCCATCTGCCTGAAACTGATGTACCATAGGAATAACTCATACTCAGATTGTGTCCTCGTGAGATAAAGGATTAGGCCAGACTTTGGGAAGACCTGGCTGGTTGGTGATAGTTTTAATCAAGCCAATTTTTTCAAAAATCCATTTATTTGAGTATTATCCTGGATCTGCACAAGCAGCCATTTTCTCCCAATTTTCCAAAGCTGTATAAGCTGTGTGGGGCTTGAAGTTGAGGAAAACAGTCGAAGAATATATACATCTTCGCGACCACCTCCATCAGCAAATCATCTACAGTGCAAAGATAAGTGCAAAGTCTCCATTTGAAACTACCTTCATCTGTATCTGGTATATATATGGCATCATCAAATCAACAACTTTTTTGGCCTATTGATCAGAGTCGTAAGATGTTCATCCACAGTGTGGTGGAAAACAGAATGCGTATCAAATGGATGACATGAAACATAGGAGAAAAAAAAACGCCCAACACCTTTTTGCACCCGGGAATCGAAGCCAATCGACAATGATTAAGAATGGGTCCTTCACCTGCGGGGCCTCTACCGGCGCTGGGTCTTGCCCATGCCACGCTTTCCAACGAACTGCACAAGATAAGTCAGCAATGCTCAAGAGGAAGAGGGGGGAGAAAGAAATATAAAAATCAAGTGCGGGACACCATACCAGATGCTTGGGAAGAGATGCGGTCGTGTGACGATCGGCCTCACCCTGTCGGGCCATGCGGTTCATCTTCTTCTGGCCCAGCTTAGCCAGACGCTCAGCCTTGTCCCGGGCCGTGCTGTCCGTGACACCGTCGTCACGACGGTTAGTCGCAGCCTGGCTGCGGGCGCGGCTTTTCGCGCGGGCGATGGCCTGGTGCGGGTCATCGAGATCCATGGCGTCACCGTCGCCCACCTCACTGCGGGTAGTCGTGCGACCCCGAGCCTGGCTCTGGGACCGGGCACGGGCGCCAACAGTATCCACATCGTAGCCGGCCGAGTCCAGAGCGGTCTCCATCTCCGACAGCTTCTTGGCCTTGGCGCTGCGGGGGATGGCGGCGCGGTTCTTAAGCGACTTGCGCATCTTGGCTTCGTTGCGCATCAGCGTGCGCTTCTCGCGGATCAGATCCGCCTTCATGCGGATGTCGGCATCCTCGGCATCCTCGACACTCTCGTCCGACTCATAGTATCCATCCGCCTCCAGCTTCTCCTCTTCTTCCTCTAGGGTGGCCAGCTTGGTCTCAATGTCTGGGTCCACAAAGTCGTAGATGTTCTTGCCGTTCCACACCTCGGGGATCTTGTCGTGGTTCCAGTCCTTATCGGCCAGGGTGTAGTCGCGCTGCATATCGAAGCTATACACACCAGCGCCGCCATTTTCTTCTTCAAGGTCACGCTCCAGTCTTCGGCGGTTGGGGTCATCCTTGTCATACTTCTTGAGCGTCTTGACAGCCTCGGGAATAAAGGTTTCGCGCTGCGCGCCACCCATGGGCTGGGCAACGTGAATTCGGGAGAGCACATCACCCAGACGACCACCAGGGGCACCATCGTTGTTGCTGCCCGACTTGAGCTTCTGCGCCACTCGCTCAGCAAGCAGCTTGTCGCACGCGGCGTTCTTTACTGCCGTCACACCCTCTGTCGTGGTGCAAGACACCTGCAGCATCTCCACATCATCCGACTTCAGGATCTCCTGGAGTTGCTCCTGGTACTCAGACTCCAAATCCTCCGGGCGACGAACGTCGATCTTGTTGACCACGATGTACACAATCTTGTTGGCGAACAGCGGCTTGATGCTGTGGAAAAGCTTGATCTGATCTGCAACCGAGTAGCCGCACTGCTCGGACAGATCCATGAAGTACAGAATGGCCGAGCGAAGGTGAGCGACAGCGGTAATCGACTGCATTTCAATGGTGTTCATCTCCTCCAGTGGGTGGTCGAGGATTCCGGGGGTGTCAATGGCCTGGAAGCGCAGGTACTTGTAATCGAAGTGACCGACAAACAAACTCTTGGTAGTGAAGGCGTATGGCTGAACATCGACATCGGCGCGGGTGATGTTGCGCAGGAAGCTCGACTTTCCAACATTGGGGTACCCACAAATCAACAGGGTACGGGTATTCGGGTCGATCGAGGGCAGACGACCCAAATGCTGTCGGACCTGCTCTAGGTAGACAAGAGGGTCTTTGAGGCGTCGGCAGATGGTGCCCATGCGACCAAGACCAGCGCGCTTGAGCTGCTTGCACTGGAACAGCGACTGCGCATACTTGATGAGACGGACATAATCACGGGAAACGGTTTCGATCAAATGTTTCGCGGTCGAGACTTGACCAAGGGCAATGCGGAAGTGGTCGGCATCGTACAAAGTGTTCATCAAATCCTTGTCTGGGAGATGTTAGACCCCACCCGAGGCACAATCAAATGTCAGAAAAACCAAAACTTACGGAAAGGATGAATGTCTTGCAGGCGAGGGAATCCATCAAGGATTGCCTGGAACTTGTCACAGAAAGTTTCCTGGGTATATTTGACCTTTCGAGTGTAGAAGCCTGTGGGGAGAAAATTTCGATCAGCGATGATACTTTATCGATAACCCCGATAGCATTTTTTTTTGTGATTTTCCCATGCCACCATAAAACATGCGCAACCAAACAATGACAAGCATACCTCGAATCCGACTGATCTTGAATCCAGCACGGATCTGCGTCGGAAGCTGTCTTTGGGTCCGACTGAGGACAATGTCGAGGAATTCCTGACTACTGGGCACAGGCGCAATCTAATCAAGCGGTGAAAACGACATTAGTGGATTTCTTCACCAGAGGACTTCTGCACAGGGCCAAGCTCACATCCTTCCAGGTGGTCTTCATGATGGGCCACAACTAGGATCCAATCGCCCGGAATACAGAGTCTGGAGGGGAACCGGGGTGGTGAGGGAGTTGTTGACCGAGCGGGTTTTTCTCCACGAAAAAATTGTTGGATCCTCTTTCTGCCGGGCGGTGCAGCCTTCCCAAGACATGATTCGTAGGATATAACGGATCACGTGATTTGATCCTTTGGAAGTGTTGATTTTTCAGACAATATTTCTACTTTCTTTCTAGCGTTGCTATATAATTGCAGTGTGCAGAGAAGACGCTGGCCTCATCCTCATGTACACCATGTGGTGACTTATGGTACACAAACCTTGGGAAGCCCAAGTCTTTCGCCCATGAAATCCGGAATGGCCATCACAATCCCCGCCCTCGAAAGAACTCCATTGCTTTTCTCGTGAACCCGTGTAGGAACAACCCCGATGACCGGAAAACCATGAACGTAAGGGACATGAAAGAAAAAGATAAGAAATCAAAAGCACAAACAGAACTGGTAAAACGACCAGGCACGGACCACGCCGAAAAGATGCAGGAAAGAGAGAAAAAAAAAAACAAAACAAAACAAAACAAAACAAAAACAAAAAACACGAGACAGCGCAAGGCCTAGTTGTCTTCATTGTCGAACTCCAGTATCTTGTGGTAGCTTGTGTCAGTAGACATAAACAACAGATGAAAGACAAGAAGAGTATCATACCAAATCAACCCATCCACCACCGCCGAATTGGCACTTGCTCAAGCCATGGGATTCAAACCCAAATGATTCATAAAAGGGAACCAGATGGTCATGAGCAATGATTGCAATCCGATCGGCAATCTGAGCTTCCCGAATACGGTTGATGTACGATTTCATCAAGGTACTGCCGACCTGCTTGCCCTGGTGCTCCGGCAGCACTGCTAGAGAATGGATAGCAATGGTGCCACCGCCCTCTTCATGGCCAACAGCCTGGCCCTCCTCAATAGTCCAGCGCTCACTCTGCCAGTTGGTGGGAAGTCGCATCGACCGATCCGTCACACAGGGCTCTGAAGTGCGAGTAGCAATGATGTGACCGACGAGGGTGGCGCGAGGCTTGGGGACTCCTTCTTCGATGACAGGCAGTGTGAAGAGTCCCAGACTGAGCTCAGGGCATCTGCTCAGGCGATAGATGAACTGTAGAAAAGAAAAATTCATATTAGCAATTTTTAATATTCCTATGTCAAAAGCTGAGTCTCCGGGAAACCATCTACTGATAGGGTTTCTTGATTTAATTTCTCTGAACAAAGCAGCATGTTCATACCTTTTCACGCGAGCATCGTTCTGGCTCTGGGAAAGCATTCTCTACCTGCACACAATCATCGACGTTGGAGACAGAGAGCAGCTGCACAAACGGGTGGAGTTCATCCAGCTTGGAGCGATTGTAAATAGGCGGGCGGCGGAACCAGTATGGCATATCGTTGGCATCATCCTGGTCAACTGCGACATAGTCCTCATCCGCGTCTTCATCGTCATCGATCGCAAAGCCGTTGACCAACGCCAAATCAGTGGGATTCAGAATGCGTGCGATTTGGGCACTGGCTGAGTTCGAGAGAGCCAAATCTTCGGCATTGGACAGTGGCTTGAGTTCTGATTCAGCGCGGGGCATGGACTCTGACGGCAGCTCACTAGGGTCGGACATGATTGATTTGGCCAAGGTGGCTGGCCAACCGGTGAAAAATGAAATCGTGTATAGGTGAAATTGAAATTCCGTGAGATACGGCTTGCGCGTGCTTCCACAATCGCTCGGAGTGCAGGGGGCCCGGTTCGGTGGCGTTGATGGGGAACGAGGGATGCAAATTCTAAAGCCAGTGGAGATTAGTCTCATGCAGATCTCAACCAGACTGATCAAATACAAGCAGCTGGCAATTCTCAAGGTCGGGTCTATCTGGAGGTCCTGAAAATGGTGAAGACAGGGTCTCTTCAGCCCCGGCGATAAGAATTTGCGACGGGGCAGAGTGCGGTGTGCGCAAGGAGGGGCAGTTGCTGGGGTCGATCGAATCTGGGGATGCAAGGGCATTGAATGTAGAACTTACTCAAGTTGAACCTGGCAAACTCGAGGGAAATGGGAGAGAAGTGATCGGGTCGGGTGTGCCTGAGATTGGAAGTTCTCAGAGAAAAGACGAGAGGCACGGTGGCGGGGAGTCGCCGATAAAGTAGAGCAACCTATCAGTACTGCAGTCTGGCTGGGATCTCCTTAGATTAGGAAGTACCCCTCGGGTACTGTGACCTATCCCCAAAGCGGTCAAGCGGAAAGGCGAATCTCCACGGCTTCTAGAAAAACGCCAGACAAAACTGTGAAGGAGTGAATCTATGAATCTTGTACGAGATGTTGGTGATCTAATTATTCCATGTTTTTCAGCAGATACAGTTATAGTAGAAGTGCGTGCCGGTTGAAAGATTCAAATAAATACTCCGATGTATCCGAATAACATCAATCTTAAATAACTACTATTAAACTACATGATTTATACACAATTCACCTCTATCAATGCACCTCATATCACCAAGATATCCAATGTACCGCCAGTGGGGACATGCCTGCAACCAATCGAGTCCAAAATCAAAAATGCCTCTTATCGGCCCACAGGCGGTGAATGCGTCATTCCACTTTTTCCTCTTCGTCATCCGACCTGGAGGACCAGACTGCTATTCTCTTCTATTCTCTAAGCTCGATAGCACAGCCAGGTCGAGGCGAGTCCGGCGTGATGAACAATGGGCTCCCGGGCATTGGGCTGGCCACGGACTGCAACGTCCACATTGCTCACGGTGATTCTTTTTTTGGCTCATACCGAAGACCCAATGCCACTGCTAACCACTCCCCAGCAACATGTCGCTCGTTCCAATGACCCTGCCATGAGGCACCCAGCTCCTCAATCGATCGGCATCCAAACCCAACCACTCGCCGAGTTCTCCAGCAGCAGCAAAGACCAGGATCGGCTAGGTCACCGAGCCAAGGAAAAACAGCTCGATAGGGTATGTGATGGGATACAATGTCGTCGCAGTGGGTCGCAGTGAATACTAATGTTGACATCTTCTTGTAGGAATTCTTTTTGAGCTTGCTGAGCTCTGCCTCGACCAAGCGAGAAGCCAAGTCCTACTTGGAACGACTCAAGGGCAATTCCCTAAAGCCAACACAAACCCCCACCGAACCTCCAAGAGAATCACCATCCACCTCTCTCCCCTCCGGTGTAAACTTGGGTTCCTTCTATGGCGCATCCCGGGCGGTATACGACAGCCCGGTGTTCCGACAAGATACAAGCCCCACTCCGAGCGGGCAGGAATTGTCCGAAAGACTACACCTGGCCCTGATCAAGATCACTGCACCTCAATCGCTCGACGATACAGTTATCGATGGTGTGGCCAAGACATTGTCGCAGTTGATTCGCTTGGGGATGGGATGCTGCGTAGTGGTTGATCCGGGTAACGTGGACAGTACAGCTGCGGTGCGACAAATGGCCATCGCGCAGGCAAATCGGATATCGGCGGCGATTGACGGGCAGCCCGACTCGAAATCCTTTCGCCTAGACTCAGCTCTGTCTCTTTCCTCCGAAGATGCTGGCCAGCCCACGGTGATGTCCCGCAAAGCCTTGCTCAGCCCGCTGCGAGACGGCCATGTGGTAATTGTCACACCCATCGCGTACACAGAAGACAATCCAAAGGCTGTTCCGGTCCCTGCCCATGATACTGTGTTGGCGCTGACCAAGGAATTGGCGGGCCTGTCGACGATTCCAGACCCCGATGAAGACCCTACGGTCACTGCGGCAAGAATCAAGGATCTACAGAAGGAAGTTGCACTCGATCGGGTAATTCTTCTAGATCCACTAGGAGGCATTCCGGCCTTCCAAGGCCCACAGCTATCCCATGTCTTCATCAACATGGAGCAGGAGTTTAGCGACGTCGAGAAGGAGCTGCTGCGGACGCGTGGTTCTGTGGCAGGAAATAACTCGACAACATCGACACTCGCAGAAACCACGTCGCCAATTTTAGAAAGCAATCCGTTCTCTAAGTTTGTGAACACAGATGTCGTTTCACCCCTGCCAGGACAGTCGGAGCGACTTCCCGGCGCCGAGGCAATGGGACAAGTGCTGGATGGCCATCTAGAGAACCTTCGGCTGTCTCAACAGACGCTAGCTATGCTCCCATCCACATCGTCTGGCATTATCGCCTCTCCGCACGAGGTTGCCAACTCATCTCGTGCACCCCAAGGCGCGACACAGGATCTATCGGCCGTGGGCACTCGTCGGCAGCGCAACCCCCTTATTCACAGCTTGCTTACCGACAAGCCTCTCCTTTCATCTTCTCTGCCGCCACGCCGCCGAGGTCCAAATAATGGCGGACCAAGCGCAATCAGCCCGCTGACATCGCACACGACATTTGTAAAGCGCGGCATGCCGCTCACGATCCTCCCAAACCCGCGTGTGCAAGCATGGACCGCACAGAGCCAGCCTCGCCTGCAATTAAATGATCCCTCGATCGACCTCCCGCGCCTGGTGCATCTGATCGAGGATTCCTTCGGCCGCAAGCTCGATGTACAGAACTACCTGGAGCGAGTCAACGACCGCATTGCCGGCCTCATCATTGCGGGAGAATACGAAGGCGGCGCCATCCTCACCTGGGAAGCTCCGCCGGGTGTCGTCGACGACGGGAGCCCCGCCAGCACCGCGCGCATGGTCCCATACCTGGACAAATTCGCCGTCCTCAAACGCAGCCAGGGCGCGGGCGGCGTGGCTGACGTGGTGTTCAATGCCATGGTACGCACGTGTTTCCCCAATGGAGTCTGCTGGCGTAGCCGCAAGGATAACCCCGTCAACAAGTGGTACTTTGAACGCTCGTCGGGGACTTGGAAGCTTGCCGAGAGCAATTGGACCATGTTTTGGACTACCCCTGGGCTGCAGGAGGACTCGGCCCGGTTCCAGGATTATGAAGCAGTTTGTCGGGCCATTCAGCCCAGCTGGGCACATGATACTGGCGTTGTTGACTGATATATAAAGATTTTAAATAAACTTTTCGGCATGGTATTAAGAAGGCTCCGCCATTTCTCTCCGGCTATATATCCCTATGCTCTATGATTTCTACATACTGTAATGCTCGAACTTATACTCTGAGTTAATTGAAGCCTGTGAATATCCTTGTGGCTTTCACCACAAACAGCGAGATCAATGTAGGGACCCTGGGTAGGGCGAGGGAAAATATAAGAGTTTTGGCAGGATCCAGTGATCCGTGCGCATCGGGATCCACAAGCTTATTAGTATGGTGACCCACACTTGGTTGAGTGACAGATGCCAAGATATTCTATCTACTCGAATATCACAACTATTAAACCAGAGTGCCCGGCGCCCCCAGGCCCCTAGCCTTCGCTGGGCGGTAAGACGCCGAAGAGGTGCAGAGCATATGTATGTATAGTATGTAGAGCCCACTGCTGTTGACAAGTCAAAAAGCCATAGGCCGGGGATGAGAAGAGAAAGGGGGCGGGTTGACGCTAGTACAGTGGTGGTCAGCCCTTGAAATATAAGGGCTTTCCGCCTAGAAATTTTTATTTTCTTTTCACCTTTACTTTTAAACCTCAATCAAACCTCATCCCTCGCAACAAATTGACCCCCTACAAACTATCCACAATAGACGAACCGCTCGACAAAAGTTATTTCGTATACGGGTGGACACTTGACAAAGAAAGGCGGTGCTATTATAAAAGCCACCTCAAACTATTCCACGCTGTATCTACACGGGGTACGTGGACCATCGGATTAGATATAATTCTAAAGACCGGCCCGACGAGGATCCAAAAGCAAAAGTTAAAATCAAGATATTAAACTATTTAGCGATCTATATCGATATTTCTATCCTAAAGATTTTATATAATTAGATCGATCGAGATAGGCGGTATTTTATTTTAAATAAACGTATTAATAGCTAGACGCTTAAGAAGGTATAGATTTCGTTTTTAGAGCCTTAAAAAATAGATATTACGGATTAATCGTGAAAGTAAGAAAGTAGCTTTAATCCGTTACGTTAATCTCTATTGTGTATATCGATTAAAGTTTATACTATCCGGGCTTATTATTTTTTAATCTTAAGCCCTATAGACCGTTTTACTCCGATTAAAGCTCTAGAATACTCTAGTTTTTAATCTTTATGATAGTATCTCCTTTAATAAATTTTAGAGAACTTAAAAGAAACGTTTACCTAAATACGAACCCTATATATTGACTTATTACGATCTTAATTTAGAAAATAGAATAGTTTAAAATAGAAAGATTGTCGGTATATTTGATTATGAATATACTACCTTCTTTCCTATTTAGTATAAGTATATTTCGGCCTTTTTTGGATTTACGGAAATAGATATAGAATTGAAAAGTTGCTCCGAGAGCGCTTAGACGCATATAGCGAGGCGCACGAAAATACCAAGGTATTCTAGGCGGACATATATAATCTAAGATAGTACCCAAATCTGGACAAAAAAGGCCAGGAAGCTTTAGAGAGATTGTCCTAGACAATCTTGACAGGATGAACAAGATGAATAAGAGATTTAGTCAAGGAATTAGCATGAATATAAGGATCTGAAGCTCTTCAAGAAAGAAGAGACAAGATATAAAATTTCGGATAAGCAACGTTCCAACAAAGCTGTGCATATAGATAGGAGCTATCCCAGCACCGAGAGACATGCCCAGAGTATTATCAGGTACATGAACTTATTTCTGGAAAAGCTATAGTTACTTACGCGGGCAGTGGCGGCCAGCATCTCTTGTTGGATGACCCACCGTTGGCAATTCACGGCCAGGTGGCCACGTTGTTGACAATAGTAGCAGTGATGAGTATCCTATTTTAAGTTAATATACATATACTACAAACCAGGCAACCGAACCATTTCACTTACGCTCTTTTTTTTTTTTTTTTTTTTTGTTGTTGTTGTTGTTGTGTCTTCTTCCCCTTCTTCACCCCCCGATCCTTGCCCGAGTAGGGCTTGTCGGCCGGCTTTCGGCCACCGGGCGGGCCATCTCCCGGAGGGGTGAAGTGTTTATAAAAAGAAGGAAAAGAAGGTGTGGCAATTTACTGGTGCTTTTATGCCTGAAGATCTACGCTCAAATTCACCGGCAGGATATTTATCGTTGTCTGCTGCCTTCCAGTTGGCTTAAAAGTTTCTACTTCTCAATGCTGTCTTATACCCCAGTAAAAGATCGAAGAAAGGTCGATCTTTTCGTCAACTAAGCAGTGTTTTAGGCCTTCTTGATAAACTAGGCTTCAATATAGATAGAGGGAGTATTACGCACTCTTATCATAAGAGTTGGAAAAATGATTGTGCAAATGATATAAAAATTAATGAGGAATGCTAGGTGGATGGGCATACTCTCAACAACTCAAGACAAAGACATCAACAACACCATGCACCAAGAGGTGATAAGCCGATCACCCACACTCATCAAGGCATTGAAAATATCTTTTGTATGAGAGAGCAAATTAATATTGGAAATCGCGAGCACGGAAAGGCCACTACGGGCGGTCGGGGAAGATGTTCGTAGCCCCAAGTCGACCCATGGTATCGCCCGTCGTGTTTACAGTGGACTTGAGACCCACCGATTGATGATTCCAGCCCTTGAAGGAGTCTCTATCCCATTGGAATTCATCACAGCAGCAATAATTGGAGGGACACTGGTGCAGGTACAACGCTCTACACCATCAGACACGATCCATGACGATCATCCCTTGCATGTCCTCCCTACCAACCATGATCGACGGGGTGTATTTCTCAAAATTAAGCATTGGGGCATTCCTGTGGCGTCCCAGGATAACCAACCCGCCCCCTGAAATAAAATCTTCGAAGCCACAGCATTCCCCGCGAGGGATGTTGACATGGCCGCGCGGGCAAGTGTACATAGAGGGGTGACGGGAGGGAAAAGGTCCACGAAACCACTACAACCCCCTTCATCCCAGTTATCCTAGAATGTCACCAAGGCGATCTGTCGTATAAAGACCGCGGGAATTCTTGCCACCCCTCGAGCTTGCTTTTGCATTCCGTGAATTTTCGTTAATACCCCTTTCCCTGCTCTTCAACCCGCTGCGTCTGGTTGACCCGTCGACACTTACTTTCGTTCACACTCACACGTTTCTTGCGATTGTTGAGACACAATGGTCAAGACTACTTACCTTCTTACGCTCTTTGCGGCCGTGAGCTTGGCTGCGCCTGTGCCTTCGGGCCAGGATAATGCGCAGGTGCGCCGTGATGGTCATGGAAACCTCATTGGCGCTGGTGCTGATGGCAGCGTCAACCAGATCCTAAGCTCGCTGGCTCCCCGGGGACAGAGCCGTGGCAACAAGCCGGACCTGATTAGCAGTCTGCCCATCGTCGGTGGTCTGCTCGGTGGGGTATGTGTTGAATCTGCTGTAGTGCATGTCAAGAGCTCATGGTGATACTGTGCACAGAAATCAAAGAACAAGGGTCGCGACTTGGACAGCAGCCAAGGTGGCCTCCCTATTTTGAGCGGCTTGCTCGGTGGAGTATGTGCTGCTGGTGTGTCTTCAAATGAGTCAGATGCTAATCCATTAGCAGGGAAAAGGCAAGCGAGACTACGGACAAAATGATGGCCAGAATTTCGGCCAGAATGCCGGTCAAAACCTCGGGCAAAATGGTGGTCAGAACGAAGGCCAGAATGAGGGCCAGAACGAAGGCCAGAATGAGGGAGAGAACGAAGGCCAGAACGAGGGCCAAAATGCTGCCCAGAACGGTGACGAGAACCAGCGTCGTGACTTGGGCAGTGACCTCAGTAGCCTCCCGATCGTTGGCGGACTCTTGGGTGGTGTAAGTGTCGCTTCCGAGTATTGACGTAGATGAAACCCAGACATGCTAACAAAGACGTCAAACAGGACAAGGACAAGAAGAAGGGTGATGGTGAGAAGGTTGACCAGAAGCACGAGGCGCGTCAGCTCAAGGGCGTCGAGAAGTTCCTGCACGGCCTGACCAGCGGTGGTGTATGTTTTCAGTCTACCCAATATGATTGCATCTGTACTGACTAGATGCAAAGCCCGTGACCAAGAGCCAGCGCCGTGACCAGATGGAGAACCCCCAGTTTGGTCCTCTCAGCGGTGTTGTCGATAAAGCTGTCGCCGATGGATACACTGCTGCTGATGAAGCTATGCCGGTATGTTCATCTTTTCTTCGGTCGTCTTGCCTCGCATAAAGGTGTCATCCTTCACGAAGAGCATCGGTCCTAATACATCGTTAGATGCGCCGTGATATGGACGAGGGCGAGAAGAGCCCGCTCAGCGGGTTGACTGGGAAGGGCGGCCTCGGCTCTCTGTTCAAGACCGGTCACCATGGCTTTGGTATCGGACCGGTGCGTCTTCTGTCATCATGGGAATAGAATCCACATGCTAACATGGTTCTAGCAACGCCGTGACGTCCACGAGCACGAGGAACGCGGCCAGAAGCCTATCCAGGGCTCCACATTGATGGATGTTCTGTTCAAGGGCGGTGCTATCGGCAAGCTGACCAAGGGCCTTTCTCCCAAGCCTGCTGGTGGTGCTAAGGGCGCTGGCGGTGCTGGTGGTGCTAAGGGTGGTCAGTAGACCACACCTCGTAGTAACTGTCCCTCCAGTGTCCGGATGGTGGTTAAATGTGGGCTGTGTGGTGTCAGATGGGGTCAATTGGCGACGCAGAGTGCGATTAAAGAAGCAACGGGTGCGTTGTTTAGTTTTGTCGAATTTGGACTATGCCATGTTTTGTTCTACTTTCCACCTTCCAGTCGTAGCGTGCTTCCATGGATTCTTCAAGGCCCAAGGTAACGCTTCATGGATTTCTTCTGTCTTGTTCTCGTCTAGAAAACCTGGACTCCGTGGAATCGAACACATTTTGAGACATCATGACCAGTTGCCTAGCTCATGGCAGGCGACATTTTTGCAAAGGAAAAAGACAAAGACACAAGAGACGTACGCTAGTTTTGCCAGCACAACTATGAGTCTCGTGAGTGTTGCTGTTGCTCTGCTCTATAACCCGATTTGTCGCTGCTGACTAGTGCTTGAGGGAGGAGGAAATACGGATGAAAAGCAAAGACTTAAAAAGAAAAACGAATATGAAGAAATTTCAGGGCGTACAAGGGGAGAGGTTGCGGATATATACTTCTGGATGCCATCTCCCCGAGATGCTCCAACCCAACCTCAAGTATACTTGCACACTACAAATTCCAAAGTGGAAATTCCAAAACAAATCACCGAGATCATAAATTCGTTTAACGTCAAACAGCCGGATGTCTCCGGCCAAGACCGCCCAGCAAACGAGCGCCTTGGGGTATCAAATCATTACATGCGGTAAAAGCCCAGCCCAAAAAAAAAACGAAGACACCAAACCAAGCTCTCAGTAGTCTCCCATATCCAAATCATCCACTTCCACTGTGGTCCCTAATGCCTCCTTGCCCTCCCGAATCATCGCTTGCAGCTGCTTGTTCAACCGACGGATACTGGCGTCTTCTTCTCGTTCCTGGCGGCGTATCTTGGCCGCCTGTCGTTGCATCTCGGCTGATCCTGGGCCATCCGTAGACCGAGGTGATGGCACACCCGGGTTACGCGCATTCTTGGTCGGGGTGGATGGTCGCACAGACAGCCTCGTCCTCTTACCCAGCCGAGGCATCACCGTTGGCCGTCGGCGGGGACTGGAAGCCTGGTGAGTTTTTGGTGCTCGAAGCGATGGACTGGCGACGTCGCTGCTGCCCACAAAGGGGTCGTTGGGGTTGTTTGGAACGACGATCCAGTTTCGCTCAATGTCGTCTTCGGGGTATTGGCCCGGGATCGGCGTTGGATGCCCCGTGCTGAACATATTCTTCTCGGCGGGACTCGATGCAGACTGCCCGGGATTGGGGTGTGTGGTGCTCATATCGTAGCCTTGACCTCCTCCTGCGTGGAACCCACGGAATGCGCCTGTCCAGCAAAAGTCCAAAACTTTCCCAACTACCTTGATCACAGATCGTCCCCAGCCCGCCTGGGGTGCAGGAGAGCAGCCATCGGCGCTTGGAGACGCGACACCCGAGTCGCGTCGGCTGCGTTTGCGGCTCGCTCCGGCTGACTCGGCCTGAGCTGCGGACTCCATGCTTGCATCAAGAGTGTGCGGCAAGAAAGACTCGCGATATCGGTTTGGGCGACAGTCGAGCTCTGGTGAGCCTTGCAACTCATTGTTGGCTTGGTAGTCGGTGTGGAGGAGTGGGGAGGAAAATTCGGACGGAGGTTCAAAATACGATGAGAGTTTCTCGGTGTCGCGTTGCGGTCGCTTGCGACTGAGAGAGAGCGAGTACAGAGAGGAGGATGCGGAGCCCGAGGACGGGGCATGAAATACCTGAGAGGACGCGCTCGAGAGGTCGAGCTTGGGAGAAGAGGCCGACTGATGAAACACAGTGGGCATGTCGGGCATTTTGATTTAAAAAGAAAGAAGAAAGAAGACAACGAAACACGGGGAGAGAAAGGAGGTTTCTCTCCCAGCTGGTGGGGAGGGAAACAAGGAAGCAGAGAGAGCTATCGATAACCCCAGGCAAATCGACTAGTGTTGTTTCTATAACAACCGGCGTCATCGTGAGACATCTCCCAACTAGATACAACTCCCCCTACATGTGGCCATCGCCTCAACTCCCAATTACAATCGCTGGCTTGTCCATTGCACCCCCGCAGCATTCAGTCCGTCATCGCCATCCACCAACACACACCATCCCTCGCCGCCCTGTCCGCCGTCGCCCGCAATCACCGCTTCGAAGTGTTCGCGCGCAAACCCAAGCACCCGGTCATCAAAAGTTCCGGGTTGCAACCACACTGCAGGGATGCCCACCGAGTGGGCCTCTTGCAGGACTTGCAGGGTCACGGGCGGTGGGGTCACCACGGACAGCGAGGTCTGCGTTGGCGACGACAGACTGGCCGGTGACGGGACCGTATCGTAAGCACGCGAGGGGAGGGAGATCTGCGCCGCTCGTGGGTTGAGCGGTGTTACCGGCAGCGAATGTTGGTGGTACCAAGCGAGGACTACACAGGAATCAGCAAGGCGACAGCCAGAAAGGCATGCGCTCCGTACTTTTGTATCCAAACTTGTTGGTGTCGTTGCTGGCGCCGGCCACGGCGAAGCGTGGGGAGGAGAAGAATCGCTTGACAGCTTCCATAATGAAGAATGTTTTTGCTATTCAATATTGCGCAAGCAGACAAAGAAATCCGAAATCCGAGAGATGTTGGAAGGGGAATTGTAGGTGAGCAGACGGAGCGATAGACTTCCCTCGGCATCCGCCCTTCCTCACCTCCCCGATCATCGGCGAATCCACATTCACCTGCTCCCCCATCACCCACAGCTCTGAGGGTCTCCTGCACATGCCACCGTTCGTCCCCCGCAAGCGATCCTCTTCTGGGGATCCACCCCCGGCCAAACGCCCCCGAGCCGATGCTGCCCCCTCCGCCGTCCTTGACTCTGACTCCGATTCCTCTCTGAGCGACGCGCCCGAGCCCCGCGATGACAGCGGGGAAACACAAGACGAGGAATCTTCTGACGAGGATGAGGACATCGACTGGGAAGACGCTGTTGGACCCAAGACCAGCGCGACCACTCCCACCACCGGCCCGGAGCTACAAGATCTCGAGTTGGTCCTAGACAAAAACGAACCACACGTATCCGACCTCTTAGACGGCAAGAAAGGACCGAGCAAGATCGAGCGCCAGATCCGTATTCAGACACACTGCATGCATGTCCAATGTCTGCTCTTCCACAATGCCATCCGCAACGCCTGGCTCAACGATGCCAAGGTTCACGAGATCTTACGTCATAAGCTGCCTGCGGGCATTCACCAGGAAGTCCAGAAATGGCGAATCGCATCAGGATTGGAGATTCCAGAGCGAAAGCCAGAACCGCCTAAGAAAAAGGGGAAGGGGAAGAAGGCTGCCAAAAACAAAGACTGGAGCGCGGAATCAGAGCGCCTGGAGCCCGGCCAGCCGGACATGAGTCGGGGCGACCCGATTATCTCGCTGATGAAGGTGCTGGTCGCATACTGGAGGAAGCAGTTCCATATTACGGTGCCGGGACTACGGAAGCATGGATATCGCCCGGTCTCATCACTCGAGAAAGAAATCTCTGCATTTAATAAAGAAGAACATGAACCAAACACCGGTGGAGAGCGCATCGTGGATGTCAAAGAATTCCGATCGGTGGCAGAACACATGCAGGGATCGCGAGATGTCGGTGCCCAGCTCTTTACAGCGCTTGTCCGCGCCCTCGGCATTGAAGCGAGACTCGTGTCCAGCTTGCAACCATTAGGCTTTGGTTGGACCAAGGCGGAGATCTTCACCCCGTCTAAGGATACAAAGCCCGATAATCCTGCTGAAGAGAAGGAAGAGAAGTCTGAGGAATCCGAGGCAGAAACCGATTCTGAATATGAATCGACAAAGAGGAAAAGAAATGGCCATTATGACAAGGACCTGCCATTCCCCATCTACTGGACTGAAGTGGCTTCACCAGTCACCAACGAGATCATTCCCGTTGACCCGTTGGTCCTTTCGAACCCGGTAGCAACAACGCCAGAGCTACAAGCAGCATTCGAGCCACGCGGGGCAAAAGCTGAGCGAGCAAAGCAGGTCATATGCTATGTTGTTGCACACTCGGCGGACGGAACGGGGAAAGATGTCACGACAAGATATCTCCGTCGGCGGACATGGCCTGGCAAGACCAAGGGCTTTCGAATGCCTGTGGAAAGGATCCCGGTACCAGGCCGTCGGGGCCAGTTCTATGAGTTTGACTGGTTTCGGATGACCATGCGGGGGTATGTCCGGCCAGCAGACCGGCGAACCACGGTGGACGAGCTCGAAGACACGCGGGACCTCCAGCGCAAGCAACCCGAAAAGAAGAAACCCGCGCAGACGGGGGACACTCTGCAGAGTCTGCGAACATCCACAGAATTCGTGCTGGAGCGATTCCTGCGCCGTGAGGAGGCGCTGCGGCCCGGCGCAGAAGCAGTCCGTACCTTCGTGGCAGGTAAAGGCGCCCGGGCTAAAGAAGAGCCTGTTTACCGGCGCGCGGACGTGGTCAAATGCATGTCTGCAGAGAGCTGGCACAAGGAGGGCCGGCAAATCCAGGCCGGCGCAGTCCCTCTGAAACGAGTCCCCATCCGGGCCGTGACACTCTTGCGCAAGCGCGAAGTTGATCACATGCAGCGCGAAACAGGCCAGAAACCCATGCAGGGCTTATACGCGCGCAACCAGACCGAGTACATTGTGCCGCCGCCCATCCAAGATGGTATCATTCCCAAAAACGACTATGGGAACATCGACTGCTTCGTGCCCAGCATGGTCCCGCGCGGTGCAGCGCATGTACCATTGCCCGGCACCGTCCGCATCTGCAAGAAACTTGGCATCGATTATGCCGAGGCTGTGACCGGCTTTGAGTTTGGGTCGAAGATGGCTGTCCCGGTTATTCAGGGTGTGGTGGTCGCCGCCGAGAATGAGTCTCTCTTGAAAGATGCCTGGCGCGTCGATGCCGCGGAGAAGCAGAAGCGCGAACAGCTCAAGGCTGAAAAGCGCATTTTGCAGACCTGGCGCAAGTTCTTGTTTGGTCTTCGCATTACCGAACGCGTCCGGGAGGAGTACGGCGGAGACTCGGTGGAGGCTCGAGAACGAGACACCCACAATCCCTTTGCTGTCCGCAAGAAGGACCAGCCGCCTGAGGAAATTGATCATGGCGAGGATGAAGATCATGAGTCTTCTCGCGATGCTTTCGACCATGGCGGCGGCTTTCTTCTACCCGGTGAAGATGACGACGCTGACGATGGGTTGATAGTCGAACAACACCCTCCAGATGAGCGGGGCAATGCAGCCGATGAATCTCATAAACAACGCTCTGATCGAGAGACATCGCATCCTGTCTCCATCTCGTCCGAGTCGGGCGAAAGCTAGCCCTGGAGGACGAAGGGTCGGTGTCTGAGAATGCCCCGAACGACCCGTCCTTTATAGTGATTGATTTTTTAATCTGCATACTACTGTACTTTTAGCCATGAGCAACTCTGTGATGTAACGATATTTCAATGACTCGGAGCACATCTATTTGGCCCAGCAAATACAATTCGAGCCAACGTGGAAATGTCCTTCCCTATTGTTCCCTACAACTTGGTCCGCAACAAGAACCGGGGCCTTATAGTAGGAGATTCGTATCTTAATCTTTCCTAGAAGAATATGAGACCGCCATACCTAGCTAGCCTCTTCCAAAGGACTTCATACTCTTTTACCTCAAAGTATATCGCATAACCCCCAAGGCAAATCAGGGACGTGACAGCTCGTCCACACAGTAGAAACAAACTGTCAAGCACGAGTTTATAGATTGCAGTCTTTCTAAAGGGTTTCTAAAGGAGACCGCCTATCTAGTATTCTAGGCCAAGACACAAAGTTATGAGAAGGATTATCCTAGTAGAAGATTATACGATAACACAGTCAAGGGCACTTGAAATTCTTTTTTTTTTCTCTCGAGGTAACTAAACTTGGCTGTTATGCCGCAAGTCCCTCAGCCTTCTCGATCTCCTCCCTGCTTAAGCACCATTTCGCCTGCAGATTCGGGTCCAGACTAAGTCCATATACATCCTTGGGCCACCACTCGCCCCAGCTGGTCAAAAATATCTGCTCGCGGTCGGCGGGGAAGTCGTTGATGGACCATGCGCGAAGAAGGTTCTGCGCTCCTGTACAAAACATGAGCAACTCTGAACCTGCAAGTCGGGATTGGGTTGACGACATACCTTCTGGGATGGCCTTGGCGTCGGGCATATCCATGGACAGACCCATATCCGAGGCCAGCTTGGTGTTGGGGATGAGGCCGGGCGAGACAGCCACAACTCTGCAGCTGGGAAGTTCGCGGCGCCAGTAGTGTGCTCCCAGCAGGCCCACGAACTTCGAGGCACTATAGATGGCGCGAATGCCGGCGCCGGAGTCGGCCTTCAGGCCAATATCAAGATCTCCTGCACAACAGAAACTGTGAGTTACTGTCCCTTCTACAAGAGCTCGTTGGAACTGAACTTACCCAGATCGTTTGCTCCAATACTACGGATAGATCCGGACGAAACGAAGACGAGACGTGACTCCGAGACTGTCAGAGTCTCACGAAGCAAATGGACCAGATAATGTTGAGCTATAGGAACTGGTGAGCCGTCGCTTCGAACATTGGGATTTGATTGGTATTCATACCTAAATGGTTGACGACGTACCCTTCACACCACGATGAGCCATGCGGACCAGGACCCTTGGCGTCATCGAGCGTGCCAGCATTGAGGAAGAGGTAATCCAACCGCTTCCCACCCAGTTGAGCGAGCGCCTGCTGGGCAAAGCCCTGCACACTGCGCAAGTCTGCGAGGTCTAGCGGCAGAACATGGACAGTGTGCTTGGCCGTGTCAAATTCGAGTTCGGTGTATGCAGCCTGGGCCTTTGCTATGCTCCGAGCTCCCAGAATGAAATTGTAGGGCTCTGATTGCTGGAGTAGCTGTTTGATTGCTTCGAAGCCCTGTTGAACGTGTTAGATTGCTGAACAACCACGGAGCTACTTGGAATAGTAATACCAGGCCGGAAGAGGCTCCTGTCGCGATGACATTCTTTGCAGCTGACATCTTTGCAAATTTATAGAGATCTGGTGGCAAAGGAGTTTTCAAGAGTATGGTTATAAAACGAGTCTTCATGCCCCTCCTATGCCCCTCCCCCTTGCGCTTACAAAGCAGATGCATCCGCATTGGCGAGTGTGTTTATTCCTGTTTATTGTGGGTCTATCTTTTCTAAATTGGTTATTTCTTCATATGAGTCCAGGTTTCATGAAGAAATTCTACGATGTGTGGCGGTAGTACATCCACTCAGGGTTCTGTTGCGGACTTGCCAAACCCTAACAATCCCCCCAACTTCAATATTGTACAATTCTCGCACAGCAACCTTCTCATAGGGTATGTCCATGTTAAAGTGGGAATAGTTTCATGGCACCTAAACAGCGAAGGCATTGCAAGCCAGTGCCAGAGAAAATGAACCCGGCCATGTCAAGCACCACACGCAATCAGGATTGAGAGAGAAAGGAGAAGAGATTGCAAGGCAAGTAAATCGTAAATCCAGAACATAAGATCGATAAGTCCCATGTGGGTTCACCGACTACTATCACGACCATCCATGCACGAAATCCCTCCACGGTAAGGGCTTCCAATGGCACAGGGAGGTCGGTGGGCCAATGACGGGCAATTTCCTGACAGATCATTACCTCAAAGCCATGAAGCGAAATGACTCGGATGCGCCCTAAACATAGAAACATGGATTTGAATGATATCGGCTTGACTGAAAAGTTGACGCATTGCTCAAATATTGGGTATAGGGTGGTTGCTTTCGCAGCTTCTCGTAGACTAATATACACGGATGCAGGGTGTGTCTGCAAATCGCATTTGCGATACACCCTCAATAGAATGCCCAGATGATATGCTATCTCACCAGAGGATGTGAAAAAGAGGGCAGATAGAAGCAACAGAGGAACATGGCATTCCTATGACGAGTAATCTTCTCGTACTTCTCCTGTGTCCTGGAGCCGATAAACCTCGTCGGATGGTCCATCCCGAGGAATGAATGGCCGGGACTGGGCTTGTTCCTCGTCATCCAGCTTGCCAAAGCCATCCGCGCCGACAAAATCCGTCTTGTCGTAGGGAATGTCGCAGCGCACAGACGCCAGGGCCGGGTAATAGCGACGGTAAGAGAACCAGCACACTGCCAGGCCCAGGATCGAGCCGGATGTCACATCCCAAACATCGTGTCGGTAGTCGTCCAGACGGGAAATGGCAATCATCAACGCACAAAAAAGCGGCGTCAGAGCCAGTAGACACCGGCCCAGATCGGCTCGAGGACGGAAGATATGCATCTGGCCGCAAAAGAAGCTATGTGTACAAAATTAGCGGGCTGGTTCAGCGCATATCCCGCAATTGCAATTTCGCGTTGCGCGTTCCAACAAGAGAGAGAGAGAGAGAAGACATACAGCGATAAATAGCCCAATCCACTGAACGAGAAGCTACTATGTCCACTCGGGAAACTCCGAAACCCTTCATGCAGGAGTCCATGGTTGGGTTGTGTGCAGATGGTCCACGGTACTAGCGCGGCGTCGGCAGTGCCTCGGGCAGGCTGGCAGCGCGCAAGCAGATCAGGCCGCGGCCTGCCTACCGCGTTCTTGATCAGATCCGTCAGGAGTGATGTCAAAATCAAAGAAACACCAAGTCCGAGAACCGTGGCTTGAGTTTGTTGGACTCCGGGGCGGAACATGGCCGACCAGGCAAGGAGGATCGCGAAGGGAATAATGCCGGCGTAGATGATTGCCCATGCTAGAAACAAATTGGTGGTTAGTTTGTCAATGCATTTGGAGAGCAATTCTCAGCTGTCTTACGCATAGGCACTCGCTCATGCGTAGCGTATGGGTACTGAATGGCGCGGTTGTCGAGGGATATCATGCGGTGGAACGGGTCTATAAGCTGGACCTACACCAACCCATTGGGATTAGCTGACCATATTCAAGAATTGGAGAAAGAAAACCACTGACCAGTAACCACGCGGCCGTCAGAAACCCCAGCGTAACGTAGTCGGCGGCATAGGAGCGCTGCCAGAATCGAGCAGCGGCACCGACAACGCCAACGTGGTGCGCTGGCGAGGCGGAATTGGGCGAATTGCGAGACATGCTGCGCCGATCAATGTATCTCTCTATTATATAGCTACAGCCCAAGCAATAGATATATCATAGAGGCGAGGAAACCTCGGAGATTTTTGTCGCGGAACAGCACCGGGGTACGATGGCGGCCTAGAGACAGATCGCCCCAAAGCACAGACCAGCCGCGTCTCCAACTCGTCTTTCTCCACTTCATTCACTTCTGCGCCGCAACCCACCCTCGACCTTCCCACGGACCAGCGTACTCGCAGAAATATGGCCGATACAGGTCAACAGCGAACCGTCCCCGCGGCCTTTGCACCACCGCCGCCCCTGTGGAAACACTTTACCCGCGACAATCTCGACAAGTTGGAGCGGATCAAAACCGAGGCATCGAAGGGGGAAGATGGCCAACCACGCCCACACAAAGAATGGACACCATCAGAACTGCGCGCTCTGGACCTGCCGACTGAGCTACGGATGCTTGTGCCCCCTGCGATTCCAACGGAGCAGTACAGTGTTTTTGGCGAATTGCAAAGCGTGAGTAGAACCACGACCAAAAGCATGAATGGTGAGAGTGTTGGCTAACAATGTACTGTTTCTCTGTGTGTTCCAGATGTCGACTGTTCTCCCTTCCCTAAAAGACCAGGGAATCGACCAGCTCTACCCCGAGCCTGCAGCCGAAGACACCGGAGACCCGTCGAAACCCGTGGCCCCGCTCAACCACGCATACTATCTGCTGAAGATCAGCAAGTCGCTGCTGCTCAATTTCCTCGAGTTCGTCGGCATTCTCTCCGGGTCGCCCGAGCAGTTCGAGGCCAAGGTGGAGGATCTGCGCAACTTGTTCATCAACGCCCACCACTTGCTGAACCTATACCGGCCGCACCAGGCGCGCGAGTCGCTTATTATGATGATGGAGGAGCAGCTGGACCGCACCCGCGATGAAATCCGGCAGATGGACAAGGCTCAGGCGGAGATTGAGGCTGCCCTCAACCAGTTGCAGGTCGAAGGCCGTCAGACTGGCTCAGCGCAGCAAGCTGCTGAGGAAGCAGGGGTTTCCAAGACGCAAAATTCTCGTGCAGTTGATGACTCGCGTTTGATTTGGGATCTTTTGGATAAAGAGAACTGAATCGGACTGTGGAGTTGGTTTTCTACTACATACGTCGACCGTTGACTGAGAGTCGAGGAAGCATCGCCTCATCCAAGAGTTACGCTTCTGCTTTTGAGCAGAAAGAGGCAACCGTGCATTTCACTTGCCGAACAGGCAGCCTTTCGCGTCTTCTGGACCTGATCATCGTGGCTTGGGTATGCCTTGGGTTGCAGAATACCCATTGCCGCTTACGCTACCACCGGCCCCCTCCATCCCGCGCCTAGCACAAGTCTTGATGCAACAAAGCAACGAGCTTCAAATCTCGACAGCGCTCGGCCCAGGGGGACGTCCGAGGAGGTGGCCTCTCACGGAGTAGCCACGCCCGTGTTCCAGTGACGAGCGCGGCATTGATCATACAAGCTACTATACCCACAGCTAGCGGGTTAAATAAAGAAAAGCATATTGTATACACATACTGCTGTACCTTCCCAATATGGCAAGTCACATGCTAGCCCAATAAAGTTAGTAGATCACATGATCCACGCCTTAAAAGCCCAAATTTGCTGCGCGCCCAACTCTGCCGCGTCGACACCCCAAGAGTGACTTTTATTGCGACTCTCCTCTGCCGGTATTCACTAACATATGGTAAGTTGACTTGTTTATCGTCTTGCAATGATTGTGTACTCGTCCTTCGAGGATGATTGATGCCTTTTTTTTATGTTTCAACCCCATCTGAAAGTACCCAATTGAGAAGGGGTGCTCTATGATTCCACCTACGCATCTACAATCTGAGCTCTGCCCCGCATACATCGAGTCTTGTCTCTATTCTTTGAACGGATATATGCATTGATTCGGTATTGCGCGATGGCATGTGGTTTCTTGTGTCTGCTTTGAAAAATGCCAGAACTTGTGAGGATGCTTGCTAATGGTTCTCAGACTTTCAGGTGCTTGTTTCTCTCCAGTCAATGGGATATCTGGGCTCGAATTAGCCCTTGTTATGAATGAAACATACGGTTCAATATATAATCTCTAGCTGTTCTTGTAAGCAATAGTTCGATACTATAAGATGGAATTGTACTCGGAGATTAGTGCTGTCATTATATCTACTTTAGATTCTACTTTAAAGGTTGTTAAAGGTTGTATCGTGTGCTCCGTCAGTGTATGTACACGCAAGTGTATCCCAATCCCACAAACTCCCAGCGCTGGTAAGGCAAAAATGTCATGCAGAAAGAAGCAAGAAAGAATAAATAGAAAGAAAAAAAGAAAAAAAAAATTTTTCTCATGCCGCCAGATGCGACACGGCCCGTTGCTCGGCCCAGGCCTTGTCAATGGCACACTCGGCCAGTCGCTTCAACTCCATGACAAAATCCGCGACCAGCTTGAATTGCACGACCTCGTTTCCTGGCAGCTTGCGCGAGAAGATACGATCCATCATCTTGGATGCCATCCTTAATCGGTCGAGATCCTCGCGCGAGTGCGGGTCTAGCGGATTCTGAAGGATGCTGCAGAAGATGGTGAGGAGGGCGGACATAGGGTAGAAGACCAGGGTCCTAATAGGAAGCAAAAGTGTGAGCAGAGACATGTGCAAGGTTTGGAAAAATGGTTACATACCAGAAGACACCGTCTACCAACACACGCTCTGCAGCCTCGAGATAACACAAACTCGAGCGGCTCGCCTCAACGGACAGCGCTAAACTCGAGCTGATGCCCTCAGTGATTATCCCGGTCTGGCTCTGGAACCATGCCTTGCAGCGGCCGCTCGCTTGGTGGATGATGGTCTGGCAGAGGTAGTAGTTCAAGCGCAGCATGACCGAGTGCATGCTCATATTGGGGTCTGGGGTCTCGGGCGAAAAGGACATGGTGGGACGCCACGACGGGGGCACGGACAGCCGCCACTCTTCCAGCTGGTCGTCCAGCTCCCGAATCCCCTTCAGGAGCTCGGCGTCGGACTTCTTAAGCGCGCTGACCGAATACAAGGTGCGGTGTGCCCGCGACTTGATCATGCTGAGCCGCAGGTCGAATGGGAATACTGGGCCCTCGTAGGGGGCGTCGCTCTCGACATCTGAGAACGCCCGTTCTAGATAGCCTGGTGGCAGGGTCAGGTCGCAGTTCTCGTCAGTGATGATGGGTGGTTGTCCTGTACGGAGTGCGACATCGCTGTCTATGGTGTAGCATATCCAGAAGAGATTCCGAGCGTGTTCCCGCTTTAGTTGGCCACGCGCTTCGGAGGGGCATGTCCGGGGATTTGTGGTATTGGCACCCAGCATAAACAACAGTCGTACCGCAACCGCGGCATAGTAGTTGGTGGCCCGCATGTTCCCCGAAGACAGCTCAAACATAGTCTATGAGCACGGTCAGATAGCCATTGAGAACCATTTCTGTATCAAAACTTACCAACATAGTCACCGCCTCCGCCCCATGCAAGTTCGCCGGCTCCTGCAAGACCTGAGGCATGAGAAATTGCGCCAAAGTAGCCAGCCCATCCTGGTCGACGGGGGGATGCGACAAAGTCTGGATAAATTCTTTGATGGGAGGCAAGCGTGACACAAAAGCCAAGAACGCCAGCACGCTTGCTCGAGAACTGGCTTGGCCATATCGGAAGCTATCAGGTGGCTGCCGGTAGACCTCGTCAATAGTCTCTTCAAAAAGCATGACATCCACAATCGGGAAGATTCGCCGCATCACTGGACAGCTCTTATAAGCGGCAAAATACAGCTGCACGACGCTCCAGTCAGGCATCTGGAAGGGATTCTGGTTTCGGAGGTTCATCAGCAGGGCGTTTGTGCTCTGGCCACGCTCCTTTTCCCAGGGAGCATGGTTCGGGGTGACTCTGTCGGTCGAGATGGTTTGGCCTGTTCGAGCCTTGATCCACTCCTGGCCCTCGGGCACAAGAAATGGAATCCCCGTAAGGATACTGATGACTCCCAGCTCTTTGCCAGCAAAATGCACGCCCACTGAACAGGGAACTAGCGACTGGCTGGAGGTGCTGGGCGAGCTGCCCGTAGTCGCCGAGCCATCTGAGGGATGAAACAGTTCATTTGGCACTGTGAATGATACATTAGAGATGTCGTTACTTTGGTCATCTCATCAGGGAGAGAAGTCCCATACCAGAGACCGAAACGTCCCGCTTCAGATTCTCCGCGAGGAGTTGCTCGATACGACTGATACGCTCTGAAAGCTGCGACTCATGAGGCCTACTACATTTTGAAGATTAGCCGGCCCACTTTCTCCCATCGAAGACAGCCCCCGGAGTGCAAGAAGCTTACACGTCATCGTCGCGTTCTTTGCGTTTCCGCGGCACAACTCGCTCAAATGTACAGGGAATATTGTGGTGACTGCACCAATTACACTGCGGCTGCACGGCATCGCATTTGATCTTTTATTTTTGTTAGGTTGAGCCAGGCGGTTGGGGATGTGTGCCTCGGGAGGTCCTCTACCTTGCGCTTGTAGCACGAATCACACGCCCGTGCAGTTCGGCGCCGCGCTTGATCCGAGCGGCCATCCATTGTCTGACAGAAGCGGTTGGAGCACCTTCAATTCCTGGTGGATCAGTCAGAGACCCGACAAAACAAAAAGGAATCGCGACAACGAGTCAGGCTGTCGGAACGTGGACAAAAAATCAACCGCTGACTCATCATCCGGCAGTGGAAACTGTTGGATTTTGGTATTTTCCGGATGTTGTCTGTCCAATATTCATATTTTACGCCCAGGTAGAGAATTTATTATCTAAATGCTTTCATGCCTAACTCTTTTATGGTCACTACCCTCCTTGTCCTTGTCACTACTATGACATCGTGATGTGACACCATCTACATAGCTTACTATGAATCACGTGATCCCATAAGATATCAAGTCACCATCAATCCTCACTCGTGACCGATTCCAGCCCCAAGTGAGTGTGATTTACGACAAGGCAGCAGAAGTCCAGCAATTCTTTTCCAAGATCGACACCAGCAATCTGGACCCGGTATATAAGAGATGGGTTGACAATTACCCAGGCAGGGCTGAACCGGTGAATCTGGTTTTCGAGTTGATGCAAAACGAACGCCTTGAGAAATTCCTCATAACTAGTACTTTTTGAATATCAACTACAACCGACTGGATAAAAAAAAAAAAGAGAAACCCATCAAGATATTCAAAATCGTTGGCATTGTATAAGACGCTGCAAAAGGTATAGATTGGGATATCGGACATGAACAAAAAAAAAACTCCCGCAGATACGCAAGCTATAACACAGGCCATCCGCCACAGTCCTCGGGCTATTCACATCACCGTGCAGATACAGCAGTCACATTCCTCGTCGCCGCAGTCGCATCCAAAACACGGTTTCGACACGCCCTTGATGGGCTTCTTGATCGAGCCCCCGGAACTGGTGGAGGGGAGCGTGCAGTTGATCGGCGTTGTAATCGAGGTGCCCATGGTGGGTGGAGGGTTTAAGTCAAGGGCACTATCTTGCGGAATTTAGAGAATGAGATGACGTGCCCCCGAGATCTCTTTCAAGGTTGTATAATAAAGGGGGGACAATTTGGATGGAGAACCTACCTGAAACACAGAAAACTCTACTGGGAAATGAAAGGAAGAAATCAGACGATAATAATAAAGCTCAAGGGGGGGAAAGTGGAGAGAGAGAGAGAGAGAAAGAAGAGAGGAGATTACCCGTAGGTCACGGATGTCGCAGCAGGCAGCCATATATTGGGCCACTGAGACCCTCCCACGTCCCTAGTAAAACTTATTCAAATGCACTGAGTTGGGCAAGGAAGTCCTCAAATATCAGGCTAATTAACTCGAATATTCTCCGTATTGCGAGAATGCCAAATCAAGGTCCGAACTACAGCCGATCAAACATCTTAAGGGGAATACAGCCCTGGAGAATGAAAAACAAATCACGTCATAAAAAGTATGTACAACAGCAACTTTTGGATCATCAATCATGTGCACCGCCGCCGGGGTATCGTCTAGTCATCTCGGGGGGTTTCAAGCCCTGTCTATCCATTACGCATCCATCCCATCACAAGTCGTCAATTCACTCTACAGCTGCTCCACCCAGGGCGCGGCACCCGCCTGCATCTGGTTCAGCCACTTGACCAGCTCGATGAGCTCGGCCCGGCGCTCGTCCTCCAGCTGCTCCTCGTCGCCAGTCAAAACCGACTGGAAGACGGGCAGTAGGCGCTGGGTGAGGTCGCGGATGGTGGGATCTTCCCATTTGTCTGGAACCGACGTTAGCTATCATTCAAGTAAAACAAAGGGGAGTGAAAACGTACACATCTGACAGATCATGCGGTAAAGGGGCTCGTTCTCCTCATAATCGTTCTTGAGGGGCAGGATGTCCACGAGCACGGGCAGAACCTCCTTGGTCGGGACACTGTCACGGTGGCGCAGGATCATGCGACTGACACAGCCAGTGGCATTGTCCTGGAGGCGCGAGACGTTCATTTGCAAGCAAGACTCGAGGCGGGAAAGGATGGTGGGGAACTCCTTGACGATCTCGGCATCCGCGGTCGAGTGCTCGACGAGACGGCCGACAGCGTAAGCAGCGTTGGACTTGGTCTGGGGGTCCTCATCGCCCAGGCGGTGAAGCAGCAGCTTGAGGAAGCCGGACGTGAATGGGGTCACGGCGGCGCCCATGCCATTGATGCACTCAGCCAGCACACCGACAGCGGTGGCACGCTCCAGGGACTCAGTGCTGCCTGCGTAGCGAAGGATAGTCTTCTCAAACACCTTCCACAACTCAGCAAAGCTCTGACCCAGGGCGGCAGCCATGCCCGAAACCACGTCCAGGGCAGTGTCCACGACCACCCAGTCGAACTCAGAAGTCTCGTCACCGGCAACCAGGGTGTCCTCATCGGGGTCAAACTCGATCTGGCAAGGGTGCTGCTTCGTGATGATATCGGTGACCATCTGGATCACATTGTGAAGCGCCGTCTCGTCAGCAATGAGGGCCGGGCCGCAGTAGCGGAGGTTCTCAGCCATGTTGCGGTTGATATCGGCGACAGTAGCACTGGTATCGACCTGTCAGCTGAAATTTTCCAAAAGAAAATCAAAAAAAAAAAAAAAATTGACATGATATGTTTATCAGATAAAGTTCGCGTTTCACATCAACCACACTCTTTGGTGTGTCTGAGTGAGCTGGGTTAAGCGGTGATATCATCATGTAAAACTGAAAAACAAAACAAAACAAAACGACGTGAAAACAAGAAAAAAGATGAACATACCGATCGTCCTCCTCAGTCCACATCTTAATGGTGGCAGTCATGAGGATCTCACCGAATTTCTTAACCTCCTTAGCCGGCTGGACCTGCAGGGGCAGACCAGGCTGCCACTTGGGCATCTGGCCGCTCTCCTCGGCAATGGCAAAAAGCATGGCGTACGAGCGGTGCAGAGTGCTGATGGTGCTCTTGCGAACACCCTCGTAGGGATGCTCGGCCAGAGGCATCACCATCTCGATGGTCTTTTCAAAGTAGGGTAAGAATGAGCTGCGGGTGTGAGTGACGAGATCGCCAATAACCTCGACAGCGATTTCCTTCTCCAGCGACAGGGGAGTGGTGGCGGTGATGTCGTCCCAGGCGTCCTCGTCATCCTCGACATCGACGTCCTCGATTTCGCCTTCGACGTCGTCGTCATCATCGGCACTGGCAACCTTGACCTTGCGGCCAGCAACAGTCACCTCTTGGCCGACAAGATCCTTGGCAGCTTCGCCCAGAGAGACGTCGAGTTCAGTCTCATCCTGCTCGATGCAGGCAAAGAGACCCTTGACAACGCCGTCGAGGAAGGGAGAGAAGTGCTCGGAGTAGACCTTGGCCATAGCACCCCAGAAAATGTAGGTGCTCTCCTTGAGACGGGAGTGACCCAGGTGCAGAGCCTCCTCAGTGGCACGCATCAGGGGCTCGACATACGGCTGGTACCGCTCGGGACCGGCGGCCGCAGCCATCTCGCCCATGGCGTCGGTGACACTGGCGCGGAGGTCCAGCTCTTCCTCGCTGTCTTTGACGGCAGCGAACTCCTGTAGCAGGTGCATCGACTCGTCGAAGAACGACAGGAACGAATCACCGGCAGAGGAAGCAAGCGAGCCAAGAGCACCGGCCGCCAGAGCTTTGATCTTGAAGTCGGGGTGCTTGAAGAGCTTGTGCAGAATGGGCACAAGCTCAGCCTGGTAGGGAGCGACATCATTCTCGTCCAGACCGTCGACAACAGCGTCAATGGCGCTGATGCCAGCCTTCATAATGTCCACGGTGGGGCCCTTCTCCTCACCAGTGTACTCCTGCATGGCGCTGGCCAGGTTCTTGAAAAGCAAGGGCATGAGGCGCTCGTGCTCGGCACTCAGATCCTCGGCCAGGTCATCCGCCAGACGGGCAACAGCATGCAGCGAGGCCTGACGCACCTTAGGCTCTTGGTCTCCGAGGAGCTGAAGGACCATGGGGAAGATGTCCTTCATTTGGGTGCTGATGAAGTCGGGAGCACCCTCGACGCACATTCCGAGGGCCATGATACCGGCACGGCGGTAGTTGGGGTCATTGTTGTTGAAGTACTGGCCCAGCGACTGCAACAAGGGGACGACAACCTGGCTGGGAGGCAGGCTCTGGGCGAGCATGTCCAGAAGACCCAGGGCGGAGCGCGCCGGGGTGATATCATCATCAGCCGAAGGGGAGTCATCCAGTTCGGTGACAATGTGCAGAGCGCTACGGGTGAGCTGCTCACCAATCCGCATGCCCTGGATCTTGAGCTTGCGGTACTGCACACACTGCATCAGGAAGCTGATGGCCTGGGTGCGAGTGTCTTCATCGGCCTCGGCATTGGCAGCGATCTCGTTCATGAAGATCACGAGGTCCTTCAGGTGAACGGTCAACAGGGCGGGATCGCAGCCGAGCAGGGTCTGGAAGACCTCGAAACCCTGCATGACGCGGTCGTCGTCATTCTGGTCGATGGCTTCTTTGAGGACAGCAACCATGGCCGGGACCATGCCCTGGAAGACGCGCACAGGGGCTTCGTTTTCTTCCGAATCAAGGTGCATAGCCAGCTTGCTCAGGGCCAAGAGAGTGTTGATGCGGACCTCGGCGCTCTCGGGGTCCCGAATGGTCTTGTCAAACAGGGTGAACAGATCGTTGAACTTCTCCTCGAAGCCCTCGCCCAGAGTCTCCAAGATAGTAAAGAGGATGTAGATGGAGACAGCACGCTCATCCTGGTTGCCGCCGCTAGCAGCTTGCAACAAGATAGAGGGCAGATCAGCCCACTCGCCATCCTCCAGATCGATCTTGGCTACAGACGAAATGATCCGGGCCACAGAGTGGCGGACAAGCGACGAACCTTCGCCCATGGTTGACCGAAGCAGCTGCTCCCGGATCTGGGGTTTTTGGTCGGCGGCAATCTTCAGCCAGTGCTTGGACACGTTCGAGCGGGCCTCGACGGCAGCCAGCTGGCGCAGATTCGGGTCCTCATGGCCAGTGGCAATCTGGATGAGCAAGACGAGCGACTGGGGCTGGTTGTAGAACTCCTTTTGCAGGATCCCGGTGGCCTCCTTGACATTTCCCTGGGAGGCTGCAGGAAGACGTGAGTTGGGGAAATTTTGTTGAACCTCGACAAGGCAGCGACTTACGGTTCAGGATGGTCTGCAATTGCTGCAGGAATCGTCCTTGATCCATGATGCAAGGGTGTGATGAGTGAGAGGGAAAGATATTTTTTTTTTCACTCAAACGTGGACGTCGCGGGGTTGTCCCAGGCCCCTGTCTCAGAGGTTCGGCAACCGGGGCAAGATAAGCAGTTTGTCTTCGAAAAAAGACAAATGGCTCAGTGGGTATCACAAAAAAACAAAAGAGACAAAAGAGAAAAAGAAAAAGAAAAAAGGAAAGATGAGAGAGGAGGGAAAGGAGGGTGGTGGGAGGGAGAAAAAAAAAAAAACAGCGGCAGAAAAAAAAAGTAGCAGGGGTGGGTCGGATGCATCGGGTTTAGTGTGGGCCTTGGGCACTCATGTTGTGCTTCACATTTGGATTTCTCTCGGCATAGAATGGGATGAAATATACAATTAGATTCATAAAATTAGGAAAAGCTAAGTTTCGAATAACATTGCCGGCAGTATGCAATAAAGAGTCAGGGAAGACAGGATATGTAGTGTGCATGAGCACTCTATATATCGACCCAGGGCATTGTATCAACCGAATTCACTCGAGGTATAAATTCCTCAGTGCAATTTAATCACAACACATCTAGGATAATCGCAAGGGTTGAAAAAAAAAGCAAAGCATATATATATAGTTGAAAAGATTGTAAGATTGCAAATAGGCTCCGCGTAGGTAGATTGATAACCAAGAAAACTCCCAGCCAAGTCCTATAACTCCAATTCTCTGCTGTTGCTTTCGCATTGACCACAGAGACATCTCGTTTACTTGTCCAATTACTCCCAGCACACAAACCCCCATAGAACCTAAACAGAGCCAATATCTAAAGAAGCGCCTAGTAGTCGTCAGAGTCGTAATCGTCATCCACCAGCAATGAACGGTAGCCACGCGAGGCGAGGTTTGCTTCCAGGCCGCCATCCGAGGCAGGGTCGAAGTAACCTGTAGATGTCAACTATTGCTCTAATCGCACTGACGTAGTGGTGGAGGTAATGATAGTTAAGAAAAGAAACTTACCACCGCCGCCAAAGTAGCTGAGAGCCACCGGAAGAAAGATGAGGGCATGAGTCGCAGCGAACACGACCAGTGCCAACCAGACCCGGAAATAATAAATCTCAAAGATCTTGCTCCGGGTGAAAGCAAGGACACAGACGCCCAGCAACTTCGTCACGGTGATACCGCTGAAGACGCTGCCGCCGACATTGATCAGGGCCGTCCAAGCGCGAGCGTCCTTACCACGGAATTTGGGAGGCACTGTCTCCATGACCGAGCGCGACGGGAACATGAATGCACGGGCAATATGAGCACAGAATTCCACGCCAATGCCCACACATATCACCAAATTGACCAGCGACACGGCGTTCAACGACACACCGACAATGGCCATGGTCCCAATGATATCAACCACAATCATGACCACCGTGGTAGTAATGACAGCACCGGTGGCAACCGACCCCAGAATGACAGAGGTCAGAAGGAAAATAATGGCAACAGCAGAGCCCAAGAGAGTCCCGGTGAGTCCGACGATAGAGACATATTGGTCGAAGAAGATGTAGAATTTCGAGTACGGGAAGACATCAATGTCGTGTTCTTGCGAGATATCCTTGGCGATCCGGCGGGCTGCTATATACGCTTGGATGAAGTCGTCTTGATTCCGGAGAGGAGTGTGGCTGGCGCGAAAATGGCTGGCGTTGATTTTGGTGTGTTGCTCGTCGATCACCACGGCATCACTATACGGGGCTTTGCCTCCAAGCGGACAAGAAGCGTCGGTGGGAGCATTGATCCATTTTTCGGCGTAGTGGATGAATTCGGGCCCTTCTGGCATTCCATATAGAGAAATGTTCCATGGCGGGACGCGGTCCTCAAAGCAGAGCTTGCCACTCTCTTTACAGCAAGCTTGTTGAGGGTTCAACCAGTAAAAGAAATCATCGAGCCAGCTGGCAGCAGACCCAGAAATATATGAAACCTCTGGGCGTTTGGACTCTTGTTCCAGGACAAATGGCAAGGAGTACTCTTCACAAGTGGTGAATCTTCCGCAGAGTTGCTGCTGGTGTTGTCGGTTGGTGACATTGACATCACGAGTAACGAAATACACCGGAGGTCCATTGCCAAAATAAGAATCGAGGTCGTTGAAATATGGAATGAGGTAAGAGTCGCTGGGGAGAGCAATCCGCTGATCTAACCCAAGAGCAACCTCGGGAATGAACGCCAGGCCAGCGGCTAATAGACCAAGAAAGACAATCACAACGACTGCCTTCACACGGGGGTCCAGCAGGAAAGGTGCATAGACCCGACGAATGAAACTCTGCAAGGCGCCTTCTGCCTCCTGATCCTCGTAGATTTGCTCCTCGGACAATCCAAAGGAGGTTGCTTTGCGAACACTGAAGCATGGGAAACAATCGGCACGAAGAGCCTGGACTCGCTTTTGGTTCAGAGCGAGAACAGAGATGAACATGGTGATTTGCAGGATGGCATTTATGAAAACAGCCCCTGCCGCGTATGCGGCAAAGTTCTTGACGGCAGGCATGCCGACAAATGCTCCCAGAGCAAAAGCCACAGTCTCGGTCAGCGCCGACAGGAAAATACTAGGTCCGATTCTCGCAACCGCACGAGCGACACGTTCATCAATTTCTTCGTCCGGGTGACTGAGGTTGACCCGCTCAAACTCATGCACAATCAAAAAGATATTGTCAACGCCGACGGCCAAGACCAAGAATGGAATGACTTCGGCGATAATCAAGGTCACCTTGACGCCCGCAGCTGAAAATAATCCTACCGAGGCCGAGACGGACATGAGAACAATCGCAATACCTGCAATGCCCAGGGTGAATTTCGACTGGACAAGAGCATTGGCTGGATTGGTCAGGAGAGACCTCCAAGTGACAGTGACAGAACCCAGAGCCAGCGAGGCGTAAACGAACATGATCACATAGCTGATAACCACGATCTTCGCATCCGTGTTGGTGGATTTATTGAGCTCTTGCTCCAAGCTAACCTCGGCGTTAAAGGAGACTCGAAGACCGCGCTCAGAAGCCTCCTCTTGGACGACATCGAAGACGCGCTGGAAGCTGTTTTCCCAGTCAATGGCCTTCTCTTCTCCCTCGGTCCCTTGTGCATAATTGCGGACCACCCATGTCACAATGAGCGCTTGGGCATCCAGAACATCCCCGGAGCTTTCATATCCGCCGAGAATCATCTCTGGCCGCAGGGGCTGCTGGAAGTCCGGGAGACATCCGAGGTCACCGGGAGACTCCGCGCAGTGCCTTAGCCGATCTTTCCATGTTTCAGGGTCAAGATTCGCGACAGATCCACCAAAATAGCCAGTTAAGGATTGCACGACGCAAGCGTCACCAGTCGGCTTGAAGCAGACATCATCAAGATTAAGACCCTGGTCAAGCGATATCATGCGCCGTACCCGGGACTCCACGTCGAACCACCAAGTGAGGGTATCATAATTCAAAACTGGACCCGGACCCGTCTTTGAGCTGTCGTTGACTAGAAATGCTTGCTCGGCCCGGAAGAATGGTCCAAAGCTCTCGTCGAAAAATGCCTTCTCTTGTGCGGCTGCCGAGGAGGGGCTTACCCAGAGACGAACCGGGTCCGTCTCAACGGTGAATCGTAGCCAGCCCAAACTTAACAGCACCACTACAATCACGCTGGAGGAGATCGTGATCGCCGGGAAACGTGCACATGCACCACCGATGCGATGGAATAGTGCAGATAACAGAGAGTTTGGTTTATACACCCCTTGTGGCTGCTCCAAGTACCCTCCTCGTTGCACGACCTCTCCTTCGTCTTCGTCGTCACTCGGTGTTGGATCTTGGAGAAGGCGAACTCGTTCGGGTTTGCGGAACCGGCGTTCTTTGACCGTGACATAACTGGCAAGAGCCATGACAAATAGTAAAAATGCGGAATAGATGAGGATGACCGTGAAGGACAAACACGGCAAGAGTCCCACATGGCATTCTCGGTGGGTGGACACAGGTGGCAACTCAGGGCACACCTCTGGACAGTCGACACAGGAACAGCGGAATGATTTATCGGAGTCATTACAGGACTTGGGCTTGATCGACAGAGCACTCATACCTTGAGAGTCAGGGCCGCTGGGCTCAGTGCGGTAGTTGATTTGGAACGGGCTGCCCAGCAGCTTCTTGTCTCCCAAGAACTTCAAGAATTGCGAGTAATTTTTTGCACCACCGCCAATGAAATCGATTGCCTTGCCACCAGAAGCACCATTCTTGACATTTTTGCAGCTGTCGAAGAAACCGCTTTGATACTCTTCCGACCAAACATTCTCCAACTCGGTCACCAGTTGCTTGCCCGAGCTGCTTTCCTCGGTCTGTGTCACGTTGACAAAAAGCGATTGATCTGGAGAGCATGTAAAGGTACAAAAGATGTTGAAGAAGTTCTCTCGGCAGGCCGGGCAAGACGCGATAATGCCCTCGGCGAGTTTAAGGTTGCTGGAGAGTGCATCGATCTAATCACAGCATCAGATTAGCGACGATTTTGATCGACTGGACGCTGAGGTTGTCTCACCTGCTTATCTTCACAACAGATCGGGCCTTCCTCCCATTTGCTACCACACAAATCGACCAATTTCTTCCGGACCGGCTCCGCCGGTCGCTGCGCCAGCCCGTTGTCTGGGCACGGAAGCTCGCCCCCGAAGATTGATTTCTTCCCACAGTGTCCGCGGATGGCACACCGGCCCTGCTCATGAATTTTTGTCTCGCCCTGTGCGCTCACAACACCAGGCTGGAGGGCGAGAGAGCTCAGCCCGACGATCGCAGCGATCAACCCAAACTGTCGCATCCTGGTCGGGGTCGGGGTTGGAACGATAGGAAGGAGCTTGTAGTCAAAGCCAAAGCTACCGTGACGGTGTCGGTCGATAGGCACGTCGCACGCATTCAATATCGATGGTCAGCCATGCACCTGTCACGCCGTTGTGGGGACGGTTGAGGCCGAGCTCAGGAGCTGCGGGCGCAAGGAGCGACACTAATCCAAAACAGTGGACTGAGGAATGCGTCTCACGTAAACAACTCTCGGCTCGAGGTCCCAGCGAATGGGGGTAATAATGGGCGGAGGTGGTCCAGTTAAGGTAACAAACGATGAAGAGCTGAAGAAGCAAAGGGCGCCATGACGTGCACTGGACGAGGCGGAGAACCACACGGGTACCTCCGTCCCCGCACAGCGCCCACGCAACCGCAAGTACCTCGGAAGTACTGCCGGGTGCTAACGTCAGGCACACACAGCAATCTGACGCAGTCGTGGTTCGAGTCGAGGCCGGCATTTCCATCGCATGTACATCTCTACATGTTCTCGTCAAGTTGCAACTTTCTTTTGAATTCGGGGTCACCAGGGAGCAAGTTTCTGTCGTTTGACCTCGGGACCCTTGCAACATATACAGCGCTTTCAGGGTGTTCTTTAAGAACCATCGTCCTAACCAAGCCCACGGATTCTCTTGTTTATGCTTAAGATGTCCCTCCATTAAAGTAGGCCAGCCGCCTCTTCGAGAACTTCCACGACCTCCGTCTTGTTTAACTTCTCGACAACTACCCGAGAACTGGCGGTTGAGCCTCACGTATTGGGCTATTAATATCCCAGCCATTTTTGAAGAATGTTTCGAGGACATTCTTTGCTTTAGACGTGGCTGCCTCTAGTGCATAATCTGGCGCGAAGGGCAAACCACGGCGAAGAAGCTCGGTAGTAAATCGTGTCGTCCCGCCTAACCGCATCGGATCATTACTGTATCCAAGTCTTGTATGTCGAAGGGTCCAAGATAGGCGCCTGAGTGAAGCGAATCTAGTACATCTCGGAACCTCTCAATTTGTTTGTCAGCATAGAGGGAGCGCAGCTGGTCAAGGACCTCGATTGGCATTTGGATCGGGAGTGATGGCAATTGATTCGAGTGAGCGGAAAGCCCATCTGATGGAGATTGAACTTCCATTGTGAATGATGATGACACGGGGGCATTGTAATACTTATGAAATCCGCCAAGGGTTACCTACAAGACACGAGCAGGCCGTGAAGAAGCTATTTAACCCTGGCACCATTGAAGTCACGGGACCCTTCAGATGACCAATCACCCAACGGCCCGGGGGTCTCAGGTCACTGATGTATGTACAGTGCACACATTGGGACTATCGAATCTGGCATATGTATATATTCCACACCAAACCCAATGGACTCATCTTAGCTTTTTTATCTTGTGTAGCGGGATACCGTTTCAGCAGCAAAGGAGAGTCCTACCCAACGTAAGACAGCAGAGTCGCTAGTCTCAAAGGACGGATCTACTAGTAAAGATCTACAACATCAAAGGGTTACATCAATCTATGGACAAACTCTGGTGCCGAGGAAAAAGCCAATGAAACTGACTCCTTGCTAAACCGCCGTGTAGTCTATACACAAAACTCCGGGTCTTATGGCAGACCAGACAAAAATGACTGCATCTACATCGCCAAGGATTCAGTTAGCGATGAGACCAAAAATTGAAAATAAAAAACAAGAAGATATCATCAAGTGGGATGTGACATAGCCGTTTACCCAGGACCAGTTGAAATGGAACATTAAAGCTGGTCCATGGGGACATGAAATAACCATTTTAGTAGCCATCATCGTCCACTGGCTGGTAGATATGGCGCGTCCTTGTTGGATCCTTGCGCATTTGCTGGCCAGACCCCGTGAATCCCACTAGAAAAAAAAAAGGAAAGTCAGTATTTGAACAAGTTAGACAGCACGGAGAAGGAAAAACTCACCTCGGGCATTGACGCCCTCCCCGGTCCGGAACATGCTCTCCTTCTTGCCAAATTTCCCCTTGCTCTTGGTGGCAAAGTCCTTCCACTTGTTCTTGCCTTCCTCCAGCTCGCGAGTGGCCTTCACCTTACGTGGCACTTTGGCAGGACGGGCCGGTCCATCATTGGCATGGCTCGGTTCTTTTCGAGCCTGATTGGCCAGCGTCGGGTTAATTTCGGCGGCCGCCGAGATCACGCTGGGGTGTGCGGGTGCGGGTGAGGGTGACGCTGAACTGCCTGAGGTTGCATCAGCCTTGCGCTTTCGCGAATCAGTGCCAGAGATGGGCCGGAGATCCTTGGCCGTCAGGTTCTCCACCGTCGCGTAGGACTTGAATGAGACCAGATAAACGGGGTTGTTGGAGGAGCCAGTGATGGAGGTGATGCGAGCGGGATAGAAGGCGTTGTCCCCCGAGACCCAGCGGGCCAGGACATTGTCATTAACCGAAAAAGAGGCCAGCGCTTGTGCGGCCTCCTCTGTTGGCTCAACGGTGGGTTTGCGACTGGGTGGCTCTTGAGACCGCTTGTCTTTAGGAGGTGCTGGTTTCGGTGCCGGAGGTGCAGCGGGTTTGAGCTCGGCGATGGATGTTTCGGTGAGGGTTATGAGTTCTTCGAGTTCAGTTTTGAGGCTCTGAAGTTCCGTGTTGTCGGGGTCTACCTGCAAGCTCGATTGCACCGTTTCAAGCTATGCGCCATGTCCATTAGTGTGGTCCTTGTAGTTGAGTCGGTCGCACGGTCGTACCTGAAGCTTGAATTCCTTCACTTCTGCCTCAAGGGCAGCCACATCAGACATGATGGGTTGATTAGGAGTGTAGTACTAAGAAAAAGAGGAATGGTGGGCAGAAAGGATCCAACAGGGGGATAGAGCGAAAATATCGAGGCTGTCTTGAAGTGAGGAGTGGGTTGCGCGGAGTCGACGAATTTCCCACATGTCGCCCAGGGCACGTGACTGGACAAGCCTCATACATCAAAAGCGCAAGCTATCAATTTGTGTCCCAAAAGAACCAGCACCATAAGTCAGACCAAGAGATGTCAATATTCGGAAAATTGAGAGAAATATATAAATTAACCGATATCAATATAAGTGTACTTCACTTCAAGAGCGCATCCTACGACCATGGCATCTATATACAGTACCTCGATAAGCTTGATAAGGCGAGGATCGACAGTGGGACCGGATTGATACTTTCGGTCATTTCTTTCTTTTTCCTACTCAGACTTGTTCTTAGTGTTCGAATCCATAAAAAACAAGATATTCTACCCTTCAACCCGCGCGGATTTGTCCGGTCAGATAGCCCTAGAGTGTTTCTGGGTTTCAGGTGAACAATGCCACTTTCAACTCTTAATCTGCACACGGAGCCATATACTGGGACCAGACGCTGGGTAATTTCTTGATCTGCGATAATAGACTGCAATAATAGTCAAGTGATTGAACCACATAGAACCATGTCTGGTTCTACAGGAGAGTTGACCAGTTGGCCCCAGACTTTTTGCTTCCAGATGGAAACGTCATTAGAGGCCTCAAGTTATATCCATGGATTCCAAGGATTGTATTCGCCACCTCACACGAATGGGCTGATCTCGAATATCTCGGATCGTGTGGACCCTGAAGTCCCCGACCGTCAAATCCTGACACGTCGAAGGTTTTAACCTTCCAAGGTTATATTTAATGACCTCAATGCCCAAATGACTCATCATGGAAGGACATTGCCTGAGGCCAGTTCACATCAGCCTGGGATGTACACTTAGGCAGTAAATGATACTGTATTGTTAGGGGTAATAATCCAGAGGTATGAGAGAGGTAAAATGTAAAAAAAAATTTCCAGGGTCAATGGTCGAAACCTTAGAAAGAAGGCCATGGAAGTGGATTTCTAAGCAGCGGATCACCGGATCTCGGGCCAATCCCGTTCCCCTCGCCTTCACCCAATTCTCTCTCTTCTTCATCCTCCCTCTGCTTGCTTACGGTAACCAGTTCGTTTTGTGTCCTAGCCACATCGGGGCGGGTCCTTTGTCCAGCCGCATCTTGTAACCTTGCATCTTTTTCCTTTCACACCCCTCTTTCCCTGTCCAAAATCTCCCCCGCTATTGCATCTTCGATTGGCACCCCTCAATCTCATTGATAGTCACTTTTCTTTCACTCGATAAGCCCATTTTTCTTCAGAACACCCCGTGACCTTCTTTCTAAGTCCCCGCACCAGCTCCATTGGGGGCGATTGGGTTTGTTCGTGATCATCGAACAGACCACCTCAGCAATTTATCGATCTTGAACGACGGGCGGAAAGCCCGACCTGTTTCACCCCACTTCGTCTCGCGTCGACCTTGCCACCTATCTCGATCCTATCCCTCTACTCAGACGGGCTCCTGTCTACCGGTTGAACATCATGGGCGATTACGACCAGCTTTACCAGCAGGGGCTGTACCTCGACCCCAACCAGCAAGATCTCCTTCTGGCTGCCCTCTCCTCCAACAACCCCTCCCAGAAGCCCGAACCCAATGCTTCCTACATCAAACCTGATCACAGCCCGGATCAAGCTTCGTCAAATGGTCCTAGTGGTCCTCCGTCCGACGGTCTCGACGGCAGCTACTCCAACCCCAATGCTTTTCGGTATGCCGATGACGAAAGTCCCTTCCTGGACTTTAACCCCGAGGTGGATTTTGAGTTCCCCAACTCAGAGGATCTGATTGGGGATCTTCCGGGCAGTGCGTCGACGTTCGACTATGAGCTCGGCGAGAAGAGGAAGTCCATGGACGGCAAATCTGAGATCGATGGCGAGGAGAACGGGAGAAAGCGACGGGAAAGCGAGGCGAAGAAGCCTGGGAGGAAGCCACTGACCTCGGAGCCAACAACTGTATGTTCCCCTTCACTTCGCTGATTGATTGGCCGGAACTAATGCCCCAACAGAAGCGCAAGGCTCAGAACCGCGCCGCGCAGAGGGCCTTCAGGGAACGCAAGGAGAAGCATTTGAAGGACCTGGAGACCAAGGTGGATGAGCTGCAGCAGTCGTCAGACACGGCGAATCAAGAGAATGGCTTGTTACGCGCCCAGGTGGAACGATTGCAAGTGGAGCTGCGCGAATACCGCAAGCGACTCTCGTGGATGAGCAATGGTAGCGGCATATCGGCAATGAGTGCCATCCCGGGTATTCACTCCAAAGGCTCCCAGGGCCTTCACAACAGCGAGTTCTTGTTTGATTTCCCCAAGTTCGGGGACTTGCCCGGTGGACATCTTTTCAATGGGCAAGCGGGGAAGAACGACCAGTCCAAGTCCAAGGACAACTCTCCTCGTGCTCCGGGGGTGTTGAGTCGCGACACAGCCAGACCCAACACCGGCACGAATGCCGCGGGTACCAAGGCGAACGGCGCACGCTCCAACGGCACCCCCAGCAGCTCAACCTCGTCCAAGCCGGGCTACAATCACAAATCCCCTCTCGATGTTTCGACCTCAGACTCCCCATCATCATCATCCGACTCGCATCAAAGTCAGCTACTTTCGTCGAACGGAACCTCACCCGAGCCAAGCATGAACTCTCCCCACGACGCAAAGTCCCACGAGGCACATCATGGGGATGCTTGCGGCATACACACCACCATTGATGGTGAAAAGTCTTTCTGCGCGCAACTTGGCATGGCTTGTGGCAATATCAATAATCCCATTCCAGCCGTGCGAGATCAAAAAGCCAAGTCCAACAGCGTTTCCAACAACACGTCTAACAATACGCCTGGCCGAACCGAAGAACCCACCGAGGGCTCTGGAGACGACACTCTTGGACTCGACTGGCTGGCACAGCAAAATGGTGGTCAATTCGATCCAGTGCTGTTTGGCGACTGGCGCGAGCCCCAAGACGCTGTACTCTCTCAGGACTTTGGATCCTTCTTCAATGATGCATTCCCTCTGCCGGACTTGGGCAGTCCATCTCACAACATCACCGAGGCGGCCACTGAGCAACCGCCCAAGAAGGATGCTGTCAGCCAAAACGATAAGAAACTGGAGGATGAAGTCGTTCCAGGAGAGGACAAGTCAAAGATGTTGTCGTGCACGAAGATTTGGTATGTTTACCAACCCCGTACTATAGCTGTTTCTATTTCTAATACTGACATAATTTTGGCAGGGATCGGTTGCAATCTATGGAGAAATTCCGCACCGGCGAGATCGACGTTGACAATCTCTGCACCGAGCTTCGCACCAAGGCGCGCTGTTCAGAGGGCGGCGTAGTCGTGGACCAAAACGATGTCGACGCCATCATGGGCCGAGCCAGAAACCAGCTTTGAGCTGTAGCTCGGTATTCCGAATGGCCCAGCATCCCGACCTCATTTCACGACTCACGCACCCCTTCAATTGTTTTATTGTCATTTTGTTCACTCATACCCACACCTCGAACGCAGGAACGAAGAATATTTGGCTAGGAAAAATACGCATCCTTCACATGGATTTGATTTGGAACAATGCAAACTTGACGCCCTCGGCGCTTCTTTTTTTCAGTCTCTCTCTTTTTGGGGTGGCTAACCTGCTTTGGTTTTTCTGTCTTCTCTCTTCTCTCCATTCCTGTTTGTTTCTTATTGTTTAGTAGTAAGTCTCATTTCATGTTGCCTCGACACCACCTGTGTTCCATTCGATTGCAGAAGAGTGGAACCACGCAGTTTGTCATACGCAGTTTCACCATTGCCTTTTACTTATTTGAGAGACACGTTTTGTCTGGCTGCTGGACGTTAGGACTCGGTTGTATTGGACAGGGGGGTTAATTCAAGGGCGGAACAAGGCGAATTTGATTTCTTGGGTTGGCGTGCGCTTTGATTGCAATGTCTCCTTGCTCTTTTCCTTGTAAACAATTTTTGCCTTTTTTTTTCTCATCTCTTGCAACTCACTGCTGGTAATTGCCCTAGTTTAATCTCTAGTATTTCCTTGCTGTCCCCAAGACTATTCATGACCATAGCTCCCGGGCTAGATTCTTAGTCTCGGGGATTATTGTGAATCCAACTGGGACAACCCAGGATGCTATGTTCGTCTCGAGAGTGATTTGTTTGAGGATCTACACTTCAACTGCATAGATAGCAACCCGGAAACACAAAACGAAGCTGCAAGGGTATCGATGTTGGTCTCTTCTTTCAGGGAAAAGGAGGTAAAGTACAAAAAATGAAGAAAAGATATGAGGATAAACAGGGGGAAAGGCTGATTGTAATTTTTTTTTTCTCTTTTTTTGCGTTCTCTCATTTTTTTCTTTCTTCCTCGGTGTCACAGCGTCAACATCAACGTGCTCTCCGCGGACTTCACCATAAACCCGCTCACCCCCGAAGGGACCGTATCCATATGCCTCAAGAGCCGTGGTTCGACCCCCAAGCAAGCACCCAGATGAGGCCTGACAGACAGGAACATCCCGGGTTTTCTCGAGGAACACGAAAGCAGGACTCAATCTCGCTGGAAGAAAGGAAGTGGTAAAAATCGAGGGGAGTTTGCAAATGTTTCACCAGGGGGAAAAAGACACAAAAGAATTAAAATATGGCGCAAGCGCGGGACATGGAATCAGCATGAAAGGGCGTAGAAGAACGAAGCAGTCGTTGGAGGTCGACGGCCTGAAAGAGATGGCCGAGAACGACAAGCACGGATCTCCGATCAGGCGTCACCAGACGGGGCAGGCTTGTCGCCCGACGGAGTCGACGGGGCGGGAGAGTCGGCTGAGCCAGCACCTCCCTTGTAATTGCCCCGGCCTCGTCCACCACGACCACGGTCTCCTCGGCCCCGGCCCCGGCCACCGAATCCACCCCGACGAGCACCCTCACTGTCACTGGCACTCTGGTAGCCACGCTGGCCGGCGTTACCACCGCCCCGGGCACTGGACTGCCATGTTCCGGCGTTGCCCTGGCCACGAGGACGCTCTTCAAAGAACTTGAAGTTCGGCTTGCGGGGTTGGCCAGGAGGAGTGGACTTCTTGTGCTCCGTGGGTTGGCGATCCAGAGCAGCCTTGGCCTCCTCGACGGTGGAGAATGTCACAACGTGGTTGAATTTGCCGTATTTCTCGATCTTGACCACAGTGGCCTTGTCTTCTTCGGGAAGCAGGTCACGGATCGCCTGCTCATTCTCAACGTTGGACACAAACAATCCGTTGCTGGGCTTCTTTTCTCCACGAGGGGCGGGGGACTCGCTCGCCTTATCAGGCTGAGCCGTGCCGTTTGTATCGGCACCAGCGGCCTTTTCTTCCCCGGCAGGCTGGGCCGAAGCAGCAAGAGGTGGCTGGGGGCTAGGAGCCTTGGGGATAACAGGGGCCGGCGAGGCACGGGCGGGCTGACCCTTGGCTGGGCCTTGCTGGGCAGGCGCTGGACCACCCCGAGCCGGAGGAGTTTGACCAAACTGGGGAGTCACGGCAGGCACCCGAGCGGCACCGGTGGGAGCGGGGGAAGCGGTGGTGGCAGGCAGGCCACTTGCAACGGGCTGAGGAACACCACCGGCCTGGGGCTTGCCACTGCGGTGAGCGAAGTTGAAACCTTGAGCCCGCATCTCCGTCGCAATACGTCCACCCTCGATCTCCAGAACCAGGTATCCAAATGCGGCATCCGCCAGGTTGAAGTTCCACATGTTCTTGAAAGCGCTCTCGTCCACCTGACCAGCAGCATTACCAGCAGCGACGGGGCCGCCAAATGGGTTGCCACCGTTGGCGATGGAAGGCATCTTCTGCACCACATCCAGTGCATTGTCCAACAGAGTCTTCTGGGCCTCGTTGGACGAGATGGCCGACTCTACCTCGCCACGAACCGTCTCCCAGACATCGGTGAACGACGCCTTCGACGCGGCCAGCTTGCCACGGTAGTGATCCAGGGAGGGGTTGACGGAGAATTCGTTGTAGGAAGACCCGTAACGGAAGTGGAGACCAGCCGAGACAGAGAAGTCGGCCTTGAGCGTAACGGAGAGCTGGTTTAGCATGCCCTCGCGGGCGGGCGAGGCATGCGTGACGAATACCCGAGTTTCAGACGGGTCGTAAACGCGATTGGCGGTGTCAATTAGCTCGCCCATCTGGAGGAGTGTGGTCCACATAGTGCCTTGGCCACCGGCAATCGTCGTCTTCCCCTCGCCATTGTCGAAGAGCTTGTGCATCACCACAGCACCTCCCAATCCCAGCAAACGCAGCTTCACGCCGCCGATATCAAGCAGGCGCGAGTTGGCTTCATCAATGATATGCAGTTTGTCGACCTTGTATTCGCCGGAGCGGAACTTTTCCAGCACCCGGACATCCTCACAAGCACCCCACACTGTGTACACAGGAACGTCCAAGGTGATTCTCTTGTCGAGAAGCATGGGAAGCTCGGAGAGGGGTAGCTGCTCGGGTGCGAAGCGTTGCTTGATCGATTGCTGGGGCGGGACCTGTGCAATCGTCCGCTTCACATTCTCGGGGAGCAGAGGAGAGTATTGCGCCACATGCTTGAGGGTCCTGGTTATTTCCGGAAGATTAGCCAAGCGTCCCCGTGAGATTTTGATAACTAGGTGGGCCACCACGCCGTCTTGCCATCGGGCACACCGGACATGTCAAAAAGTCCCTAGGGCTGGACTCACTTGTCTGCAATACGCTCCAGCGAAGTATCATCGTAAAAACCAAAGTCACCCGTGTGGATAATGTGATCTGCGCGAGCTTGCTTGGCCAACTCATTCAGAGACTTCAGGTTTCCTACACCCCAGGCTCATCAGCACCGTTCTTTTCCCGAAAGTGGCCAAGGGGTCTTACCTCGGACATCCGCAATGCAAAGAATTCTAGTAGGGCCATTCTGGATCACTTTGCCATTGTTGGGAAGAAGCGGTGCGGCCCCGGGCACAGGACCAGCGGGCGTCGCACCGTTCGAGAGAGGATAGCCTTGAGCACCGAAGTTGTGAGGGCGGGGCTGGAATTCGCACGAATGGAATTGTTAGTATTTTGATCGTCCAGCTCATTGTGTGGGAGTATTTCGATAAATCAGGAAGTTTGCGGCGAACCGCGAAAGCGAGGGGAGACGGTCTGGAGGAAGGTGCACTTACAGAAGCCATGAGTATCGGCGGAGTCACCACGTCAAGGGCACTGTCTGGCTGGGGAGATGAGGAGGAGACAGAGGAGAAATAAAGACGGAAGAGGGAAGGGGAGATGGAGGGGTGACGTCGAAGGGGAAGAAAGTTGAAGAAGATCAACTTCCTCGCGATGAAGCAACAGGCGTGACATGCAGATTAGGTAAGCACCCCTGGCGACCGCGTTTATTGCCTGTGTACTTGAGTGTAAGGAGATATCCATGGATAGGTCGTTATGTTTATATTTACGAGCCAAAAAACTATTCACTGAGCATCTCCGTGCCTAAATTTTCCTGGCTGTTGTCTGAAAGGTCGGTGGTCACCTACTCTAGAGGTTTGATCTTGTCTGCTCAAGTATATCTCAAGGCTCTGTCGCACTGCGTCTTTTTCCGCAGGCATATTCGGTATAGTATACCTCGGAATTCCGTTATGAATTTTCATACACGTGCCCATATGTAGTTTAACCTAAGCTCTGCAAGTATTGAATGGAATGACACGGTCTTCCCAAGCTCTGTTTATGACTATGTCCTCGAGCCACTGCGAGAGGGGGGGTCAAGACTGAGAATGAATTGAATCAAGGGTAAAATCTCGTCTGAAGTGCTAATTCACTACTATAACAATCACAGCTCCTCAATATGGTTATCGAAGACATGCTGTAGTTTCTGACCCTGTTTATTTACGGCCCCCGGCAAGTACTCAGGCTCAAACAAAGATCGAATTGATCGGGGTCCTTCCAGGGCTAGCAGCGCAAAGTGGCCACCGACAGTCGGACGAGCCCGACACAGCACCGGGACGCCGGGCTCATTGCCAAGTGCCGATGTCGCGACATATCGATCAGAAAACGGCCAGGTGTGCTTGCCGTTGGTCATGAATGCCCACAGGTCGTCGACGAACTCGTCCCGCGTGCTCGTCTCAAAGGTACCGGCCAGCCACATATTCCAGTCGGACTTGGCCCAGTCCTGGCGGTTGTCTAATGGAACACCGTACTCGCCCCGCGAAGAAGAAAAGAACTCGCTTCCCATTTGATACGCGGCCTCTGGGAATGTCTTCAGTTTCAGCAACACATCCGGATAGAGGTTGTATGGGGCCTTCCATGTTTCTGGGAGATCGGGGTACTGTAGCACGAAGTGGGTCTTGTCATCATCGGTGCCCAGGCCTTGCTCGAAGAGCAGATCTGCATGCTGCTCGCCGACTTGGGAGTAGTAGTCCATGCCGCTGAGTTCACCGAACGCCTTGAGTCCCACGGCAGCTTTGATGGCCAGATTGGTCTCGTTGGGGAGAGGCCCAGCGGCGTCATTGGAGGAGAGTTGGTTGGCAATATTGATGCTGTTGTCCACCAGGTAGTCGGCGTATTTCTGGAAGATTTGGATGTATTGAGCTGCCCAGCTGATGTCGCCAGTCGCGCGGACGTAGGCGAGCGCCAGAATTAGTAAGTTACCGCTTTCTTCAATTGGCATTGGCTCGGCCTTCTGGTTATCGTGTCCAATGGCATGTGGATAGTGGAATCCAATATCGTGAATGGCGTAGGGCAGATGCCAGCGGTCCGCAGCCAAGTACTTCATCACGGGCTCCAACAGCAGGCGGATGTAGTCTGGATCTAAGACATAGTAGATGGGGAAGGCCGGCATGATCACATCGATGGTGTTGACATTTCCATCGCTGGATAGTTCCTTGATGAATGCCAGTACGTTGTCCGTCTCAAGCGACTCGTTCGGGATGGTCACATCAATTCCACCGTATGCTTGTCGTGTCGAGAGGGCGACAATATCCGCATATTTGGGACCAGCCGCGGCTGTGGCCGAGCCAACTAGTTCTTGATCCAGCTTCAGGGACTCCAGAAGGGCATTTCCATAGTCCTCCATGAAAAATGAGAGCGCCTCCGGGGTCGTCGGATACCCGGCTCGGTAGTACCCGGTGTATGCCTTACCTAGATAGTTGATGGCCGCCTCTCTTTCGTACCCAACGACAAAATTCACAGAGGCACCACCGGTGACTTGGCCCAACTCATGTGCCAGGCCAACGACACTGCCCGGAGCCCACAACCCTTCCTGGCTAGAAAGCTTTCCCTTTTTCGCAAACAACCCTCGAACCACATCGGGACTCCCTGAGAGTGCAGACAGATTGCTGAGATCAGAAGGGCGGGAAGTGAAGACTACTTGGCCCCATAGAGCCATATCGTCAATCTCGGCATATGTCGTTGCATTAGGTACCGTGAGCGAGTAAATCGCAAGCCCGGCCTTTTCTTCAAAGTCGCGCGCCGAGCCTTCGTCCTGGCCAGTCCACCGACCATCGATGTCGGAGTAAATTTGGATATTTTGGCCTTGCGACTCGGACACATGGACCGTCAAATAGCCTGCCAGCTCATAAATTAGCTTAAAAGAATTTATCAGGAACCATGAGGATGGTTTACTGAAAGGGAGCGATTGCCGAAGATAATTCGAAGGCGAGACCGGAGAAAGAAAGTCCAATGTGACCTCCGCCGGCCCAGCAGTAAGATGGAAGAGGGAGTGAGTGGCGGTATACTCGGCGTGGTGCACGGTGGCAGGACGAATATTGTTGGTGCCTGGGTCTGGCACGCCCATCAAACTGTACGTTTGGCCATCTACACGCACAAGAACCGACCAGCCGAGTTCCTGCCCCGCCCAGAACTGCGGTTCGGCATAAGGCAATTGCTTGACGCGATCACTGGGCATCCAGGTCGACAGATAGGGATTGCGGACGGCCAGCGGGTAAGATGGCGGAAGGGCCGAATGATAGGAGACATGGCCCTGGTCGCCACACAAGAAAGAAAACACCGACGCACAGAGGGAACCCAGTCCCAGGCGACTTTGCAAGTTAAATCGCATGTTAGATGGTCGGAGATTTTGTATCGAAAACTATTCAGACGTTGGATGCTTGACCGGGCGCATCGAGCGCATTGAGTTGTGAGGGAATGAAGTAGTCGGCAAGTGATTGTAAGCCGGAACGCTGCTATGCCTAAAACAGACAAAGAGGCAAAGAGATTAGGCAGAAAAGGAAGTTCTGATGGCGACGGTGCTGATCGCCAATCCTCTGGCGTCATCTGAGACGGGGACAACCCCACCGCGCAATGTCAATGCTGCTGATTGCGACAACACTCCATTTTCGGAATAGCATGTTTGGGCTAAATCCATTGACCCCGGGATGGGTGGCTTGGCGTCGTGGAAGGTCTCAGAATCAGACTGAGAATGTTCAAAAGATGGTTTAAGGCACTGGGAATTGATTTAGAATGCAACTGGGAGAGTTCAGATGGAAAATGTCAATTGTCTGGATCCGGTGACCTTGCTTGCCCTACCTTGCACTGCTATACATGGCATCGTTAACTTCATCAGCCTAGTAAACATAGTGTGTCTGGAGAACAGCATTCATTTCTATTTACTCAAAACCACTACAGCTGAGCCTTTTCGATGCGCCGGCCAATCTCATCGAAGTGGATCTGCTTTCCGGTCACCAAGGCTTCCTGGAGATAGGACCCAATCTCAACGGCCTTGACCGCATTCGTGAGCTTCATGGGAAGAGGTGTGTTATCCAGACACGCCGCCGTAAATTCATTTGCTTCCTGCACAAAGGCGGGACCATATCGACCCATGAAGTTCGGGGGCACTTCGCGCGTGATACCGCCAGAGTGGTAGTGGTTCACCAAGTTGCGCTGGGGATTGCCATTGACCGTCAGCTTTCCCTCGGTGCCAATGATCTCAGTAGTATCCTCCTGGCCGTGGGCCATCATCCGCGAGCAATAATAATAGGCAATCTTGCCGTTTTGGAATTCCACGATCCCGACAGCATTGTCGTAGTCTTTGTGCTTCTTGAGTTCTGGCTGGACGGCGGTGATGCCATGGGCTGAGATGCTTTTAGGGAGCACATCATCCCCAAAGAACCAGAGGGTCAGGTCGATATCATGGACCGACATATCGATAAAGACACCACCGGACCAGGCTGCGTATTCGACGTAGAAGCCCGATGGGTCAAACTTGTCGCAGGTTTGGCTGCGGATGATTGAGGGCCGTCCAATAAGTCCTTGTTCCATCTTATCGTGGGCATCGCGGAACGAGTCATCGAAGCGCCTCGAGAACCCACACATGACCTTGAGATGAGGCTTCTTCCTTGCGGCTTGCACCACTGCTTTGCACTGTCACCCGAGAATATTTGTTAGCCCACGTCACCGAACATAAGTCTTTCAGGGCAATCCTACCACTTCAACATCAGTAGACAGTGGCTTCTCGCACAAAACATGCAGATCTTGCTCGATGGCCTTGATGGCCTCCTCAGCATGCACAGATGTGGCCGTGCCAATAGCCACAGCTTCAATCCCAGGATGTTTGAGAATCTCATCATAGTTGCTGTATAAAGTGACACCATGGGGTTCAAGATTCAACTTGCCCCAGGCAAGTTCGGCAGGGTCAGGGGTAAAAGCTGCAACCAGCTGTGCACGAGGAGTGCGTTGAAGGAAATTGATGGCATGGAGTTTACCCACGCGGCCCAAGCCTGCCATGCCAACCTGAAGCTTTCGAATAGCCATATTGGAAATATCACACTGGATGAATTAACAAAACCAAAGTAGATGATGGTCTCCAAAACTCCATTCTAAGTCCCCTCGAGGGGGTTTAAATAATTCAGAGCGGAGCTGTATTGAATGCATGTGTCCTAGCGGAGCTTTGAGCTTTTTAGACGAAAGCAAGAGTTCCCTGCACCATTGTTTGCGTTCCAACGGAAAGAATTGCTAGATGTGCCTGAATAGGCAGTTCTAGGGCAGACCGAGCGACCAGGGCGGTGAGCTCAGGTTCTGCCGGTCGTCAATTGACTTCGGCTTCGCCCACTTCCTCGGTGGGTCGCGTTTACCCCCCAGTGGGGTTTGGTGCCGGAAAGAATCCCCTCATTTCATGAAGCAATTCTCTCCGTGTCCAAACATGAGTCGCCATGTCTGGACGACTGAGAAGGAAACGGCTTGTTGCAGGGTGGTAGGTGGACCGAGCTTGCTTCTTGCAGTGGATCGTACTAATTGACCCAGTCAGCGATGCCGGGGTAAGTCCCCGTGGGGAGAGTAGGATGGTGTGATACAAAGGACTTGCTGAACCAGCCGCCTATTGGACAGTTCGGCATTTGAAATGTATGTTCCATGCCTGAATTGGAGAAGACAATGAGATTGACCTAATTTCATAGGCGATGCCGATGACCGAGGTTGCCAGCACTGTCGACAAGCGGCAGTAGATTGTGACAGAACCAACCTTCGATTCCGGACCGGCCTGGCACTGCCCAAAGACCCCGATGCTGCGTTTCCTGGTCAAGGCCATTGGCCCCAGCTTCACGGGAAAGGCATGTCTCATCCCCATTAGGAACAACATCATGGAAACCCTAACACCGCGTCTTAGTACGCTTCCACGATGAGACTGCCGAGATTGCCGGTCTGTACTCGGATTGGCAGCCCGAGGGCCCCTCGGGATTGATCTATGATCCATATATCCACGTGGCACAACGAGGCAGAACTGACTTTCAGACGCAGGGGAGCCTCGACTTAAGGCTATCCCATGGATCTGATCTCCCATCTCAATTGTCACCGCACTCCACCACAAAAGACCCATTTTCATCGAAATCATCTTTGGTGCCTGTAACACCCAACAGAACAAGGTCGGGTTCAGAGTCACTCTATAATTTGACGGAGCGGGAAGCTGTTCTGATGAGAAACTTCGTTGAGAACATGGCCTTATGGGTGGGCTGATATAATCCAAGGGTGTCGAATAGCCCCAGCTAACACGCTGGCATCCAGGCTGATATAGCAGACCCTCATCGTCACTTTGGAACAGAGGTGCCAGTGAGGGCCTTCAAAGAGCCCGTTCTGCGCTATGCAATTCTGGCGTTTTCCTCGCGGCATCTTAATAGACAGGCCAGCGGGGATGCAACGGAGGCATTGCAGTATCATAATTGTTGCGTTCAGCTTCTGATCCCGGCCCTCTCAGGGGGCCAAGAGCAAATGACAGAAGATATCCTTGCTGCTGTTGCCATTCTTCGTCAACATGAAGAGATGGATGGTAGGCCCAATGACAAACCTCTGCGAATCTAATGAGATCGAAACTAACACTTTCAAGGGGAGGACAATCAATTTCATCTTACCGGCACCACACATATCCTTAATACGGTGTCAACACTTGGTTCATCTGGTGGTGTAGGGGAAGCTGCCGCCTGGCTTTGTCTTCGTGAAGATATCTATATTTCGCTGACTCGACAACGTCCGTTGGGGACCAATCTCCAGAGCTTTGATCAGTCTGACGTCTTTCAGAGAGATGATGATTTCGCATGGTCAAGCAGAATGGTGTTTCTTCTCGCGAAGGTCCTTCAGAACGCTTTCACTCAATCTGCCTCGACGCATGGCATGGACCTTACAATTGAAGAGTGGTATTCTTCAAAGCCGTCCACGTTTGAACCTATTAGGGTTGTGCCGCGAGGACCAGAGCGTGGCCAACGCTTTCCCGTCATTTGGATGCTCTTACCAGTGCATGGTAAGTAAAAGACTTTGTCCATATATAGGACCATACCGCTGGATTTAAATTGACACCGCTGCAATGAGGATAGTGATTGGTCTTCAGTACTATCACATTGCCAAGATTGTTTTGGCTCTTTCTGAATGCCCAATGGCCTCGTCGGCGTATGAAAGCCTACGGCTATCACGGGCTGTCGAGGTATGCTCTAGATCTCTCTTCTCAGTTGCAGTTGATGGGCTGATAGGTCTAATCATGACCCAGAGAAATATCCGTCATCACCTGCTTGTGGTCTTGGGACTGGCGCAGTCAAACGTTAAGGCCGAGAATACGTTGTTCACGGCGAGGCATAGCTTGATGGCTTGTAAGTTGGCACAGACTTTTGTTGATTCCCCGCCCGTGAATATTAAGTCTGTTCCATTGTGAGTATATGCTAATGATTAATGGAAGGGGGCTGGGTCCTGCGGCATCGCCTTGACCAGGAGACCGCAGAATCTCTGTTACAGGCTATGCACACCAGGACTGGATGGAACATGGACTCACTGGTCAAAGCACTGCGCAAACAGTGGAAAGAGGAGGATGAAGGCAACGAAGGCTAGTGGCCGCCTGTGCTGAAGCAGGGCCTCATGGGACAAGGGACATAGAGAACTAATGGACTGGGGAAAAAGGTTGGGCAGTGTGAACAACACACCCTGATCACAAGGGAGCTATCCCTCCAACAATGGATTGGTTGCAGAAGGCGACTGTTTGAGATGAGGCGTCGTCCTCGATCCTCACTTTCCTACTTTGACCTGCTCCCTCTTACCACCCACACACTCTCCATCTCCATCTTCTACATTCAAGCATCTGCAGTGCTTCTCTTTCATTCAATCTTTATTCAACCATCCAAAGCCAATCTGCTTACGGGATCAAAGTCCCACAATGGCTCTCTCGTTCAAGAAACTCTTCAACGGCTTCCGTGGTAACCGTCAAGATCGTACCCACGAGAGCACGCCTTCAACCATCACCCCTATCACAACTGCCGAGCCCATCATCTTTCCTCCCATCGTGGAAAACATTCGCCCCGACTCAGCTCGTCACACGCTTGCCGTGTCGCTGAAGAAGCTGGCCAAGCGCTTCCGAGCCATCACCCGGCGTGGCCGATCGGCCACCAACATTGTGCCCTTGGCTCCGAGCAAGAGCCGGCCTGCTCCCCTCCGTGGGATTCTCAAGAATCCCACCATCGCCAATGAGGGCAATGTCCGCTCTGTCTCATCCCCCGCCGAGCTTTAATCCCCCTGCGGTCCCAAAGACCGAGGGTTCATTTCGTCAACGATCGCGGCCCAGCACGGCGTGAAGCCGTCGACCGAAGCCGCTGAGGAGTGCGAGTGACCACCACTCGCCGAACAGCTCGCTGAGTGCGCACCAGAACCCAAGAGGTCCGGTGCGCACGCCAGCGACACACCCTCGGTGTGTCTGTCCAGCGGTGCGTTGTGAGGGATGGGAGATGGGAGGGTGGAGGGAGGACTTAGGGCTTGGGAGGAATGGGGCCTCCATCAGCGATCGACCTATGCGCTGACTAGGGGATTGATGCCGGGAGGATACGGGGGGACTTAGGGCAAGGACGACAAGTCTAAGTTCTCGGAATGCAGCTGGTTCCTGCCCTTGAATTTTACATGCCATGGAGGAAGTACTCTGTACTGTACAAGTAAGAATATAGATCTAAAGCCGCGCTGGTTGCATCCAATCTCAGCTTCGGAACAGCCGCAGACCACCCTCTTCCCGGTCACTGTCACTGTCTTCGCCACTAGCACTCTCATCTCCCTCGCCGAGCAATCCACTGGCCGTTTTGCCAAGCAGCGAAGCAAAGAGCTCGTCCCGGGCACTGATCGTCCACGAGCCACGGTCCTCAGGGGCCATGAAGTTCTGAAGCTTTTCGTGCACATTGAATCGCATCTTGCGGCCCTTGGAGGCGCGTGTATCAATGTCCCGCTTGACTTTGTCGTTGCGCATGCCCGTGACGGGGTGGATGGGCAGCCGGGACGGCAATTGGTGCAGTGTGTCGAGGCCGCTGGTCATTGCGTCTGAAGAAGACATGCGCTGCTCCACGAGGTCGCGGAGAAGAGATTGATAGAAAACGGTATCGTCGTAGATCGGCTCCGGGCGATTCTCAGTGAAATTGGTGCCATTGGACTGGGATGCTGCACGAGACCGTTTGGTAGCCCGTTCCCCAATTTCCGTAGCAATTTGAGCATCGAGCACAGCGGTAATTGTCTGTTGGCGACCAGACGCCGAGCCCATGAGCTTGCCTCGGGCGTTAGGGAGAGGAGTCGAAGTGCCGCGGACTTTCTGGGACCATTTGTCGAGAATGGCTCGACGGTGGGTCATTGATTCGGACTCCAGGTCGGCCATTCGCTCCCAGAGAGAGGCTGAGGAAGTCGATGGCGACACTGGAGAGGGTCTTTTCCGCTTTTTAGAGCCTTCTGTAGCCTGGGCATCTGCCAGGGCGGTACGCAGGTCCTCTAGCGTCGACCACAGAGTGAGGGCAGCGGATTCTGCCGATTTGATTGCCTCGGCGTCCACCCCGTTGCTCTCATCTTCATCATCCACCTTTGCGACAATTTCATCCACCGCCGTCAGACCTTTCTGAAGCTTGATCCGAGAATTAAGAATCCCATCAAAACAGGTACGTTGCTCCTTCACAGCCTTTCCCTTGGCAGCATCTGCCTGGGCCGCTTGAGAGAGAGTCGCAGCAATGGTTTTCTGATCAGAGGCCATCAACCTCCGTAGCTCCCCACGATCACCAACATGGCCATCACCGGTGCCGTTCTTTTTGCCATTGCCCTCCAGAAGGGATGGATTCCCGTCGGTTTCGTGACCACCACCCTCGTCTTCACTGTCCTCATCTTCGGTGTCCTCCGAGCCATTCAGAGAGTCTCCACTTTCCTCGGATTCGGAGACCCCTTCGCCTTCCTCGGATAGGCTGTCGCCCGCCGATGAGGCGCCTGAGCCGGGCGATTCTCCACCCGAGGCTTCACCTTCACTGGTGACCTGGTCGGAGTTTTCATAATTTGTTGTAGGTTCCCCGAACGGGTCATCACTGTCTTCCTCCAGTGCATCTCGGCTGACACGAGTTCCAGAATAGTGTTTCCCCAATAACGGGGCGTCACGTTTCTTCCACGTTGATTTTCTTTTATTGTTAGCTTACTTCCGAGAGAAATTTACGAGGCGCTTCTCTTACCCAACTTCCTGATAATGTTCTCTTCCGGCGTCGGGATTTGTCGTCTTGGTAGACAGCCCGGTAGCTCCCTCGCCGTCCGATTCTCCCCCGCGTTCAAGATCCTCCGGATCAAAATCTGCAATCCGTCAGTCATCCACACCAAACCTTGAGCCATTTTACGTGGTTTCACGTTACCTTTTGGGGTAGGATCTGTGAGCTCCGCCAGCTGGTCCGCCAGCGAGCGTCGTGGGCGTGCAGTGCCTGCCATGTTGCGGTGTTGAAAGAAGAGACGTTCTTGCGCAACTTTTTTTTGTATTTTTCCGTTGTCCGGCAGAACTAACCGATTTCCGGCAGGCGGTGTCGATTATCCTGGGCGGTCGGGTGCCTTTTCTCCGGCAGAATCTGCCTCCGCCCTCGGCTTTTCACGTCATTCCGGACATCTCGCATTCTGCGGTTTCAATGCCCTGTCAGTCGCAAGTGTGTTCTGCCTCTTGATTGACTATTATGTGGCCACAAAGAGTTCGAATTGCAGCTGTGCAGTGCCGAACATTTTCTACAGCTAGGGTTCTCCGACATGATAATCCTCTAGTGAGTGATTTGGATACTCCGATACTGCTCTACTTGCCATGTTTTCTGTTTATTTTCATGTCCAACATGGTCAATGGCTGTTTGGAATATTACATGGTATTTCTTTTGGGGTGTTCTCTGATTTGCTTATAATTCACTAGGGACTCCCTCGCTCTGGAACTCCACCATCCTTCCCTCGGCGCCGCGGTCTACCAGAGAAACGGAAGATCCGAGATGTCAAGAAGGTGGTGGCGGTTTCGTCTGCCAAAGGAGGAGTTGGAAAGTCGACTATAGCAGGTTAGTTGAAGCCTTTGTTGACGCTTTTTTTTTTCATTGGTGGTCTTTCGCATCCGCTTGTCGTTTGGACCCGTCTGGATGAATTTAAGCTAACCAGATTGTTGATCACTAGTCAATCTTGCCCTATCCTTTGCTCGTCGTGGTATCCGGACAGGTATTCTTGACACTGACATCTTCGGGCCATCTATTCCAACCCTGCTCAATCTCTCGGGCGAGCCTCGCCTTGACGAAAGTAAGATACACCTTGTCCCATGTCCCACATTATGGTCGGTCAGGTTAGCGTTTGTGTGCAATTCCATGGCAGATGCTTATATTCTGGTTCTGTAACCCTCTAGATAACTGTCTCCTCCCTCTCACAAACTACGGCCTCAAGTCCATGTCAATGGGCTATCTCCTCCCGCAAACACAATCCGACCCCGCCACGGGCGAAGTACCAATGGACTCAACACCGATCTCGTGGCGCGGGCTGATGGTCACTAAGGCCATGCACCAGCTCCTGCACTCGGTGTCGTGGGGCCCCCTCGATGTCCTAATCGTGGACCTGCCACCGGGCACGGGCGACGTCCAACTCACCATTAACCAAGAAGTCATCATCGACGGCGCAGTGGTCGTCACCACGCCGCAGGATATTGCGCTGCGCGACGCCGTCCGCGGCATCGGCATGTTCCAGCGCATGGATGTCCCCGTGCTCGGCATGGTGCGTAATATGGCCTTCTTTGCCTGTCCGCAGTGCGGCCACCAGACCCGTATCTTCTCTCATGGCGAACATCGCCACTCTCGTGGGGAAGACCAAGGTGTCTTGGGTCAATGTAAACGGCTCGGTGTGGATTTCCTGGGCGATATCCCGCTTGACGCGCAGGTTTGCGAGGATGCTGATCGCGGTATGCCGACTGTCGTGGCTGAAGAGTCTGCGGAGCGCAGTGCCAGGCGACAGGCGTTTCTCGGTGTTGCCGAGCAGATTGCTCATAAGATCGGGCTGGACTGGCGCTAATGCTTGTTGATTGTACAATCATTTCTCTAGTGTATATTATCTGGTCTTTGCATTTTTGGCGTGGTTGTTCACCTATATTTCTTCGGTGTTTGGGATTGACCGGACAAGTCTACCACAACAATGGACCTTTTCCTACTCAGATAACTTCTGTTCTATGGCTAATACGAGTAGTCTCATCACTTATTCTTAAGGGATTCCACAATTATAATTACGGAGATACTCGTCAAGATGTACTCGGCCAAGCACGCCGTTCAACCACAGACCCAGATGCAGTCCTAAACACCGAAGTCGACGACGGCATCGGATGCAAAGTAACGGGCTCTTGCAAGGCCTCTTCCCGCCTCTTGGACCGCCTCCTAAGCCAGGGCAAGAGATTGAACACGCCTCCACAGAGGAAAATGCCCAACCAAAGCGCCAGTTCCGTGCCATAGATCACTATGCCAAGTATATCAATAGATGATCCAAACACTATATATACATCGATATCAGCCTTGTCAGTACCACCAATATTCGGGAGGCATTACTCACAAACAGATACAAGAGAAAACAAATCGCCCGCAGCATCGATGCCCACGAAAAAGAAACTAATTCCTCGCACGGTACGGTGGATGTAGATATCCCAATAATGTCTCATCACACCCGCAGCAAGCATGGAGGCACTCAACACAGCCATTAGGATGAGAGGCCACTCGAGGGCACGGGTTTGGGCTTGTCGTAATGCGAAGACGAGTCCTACTTCGATGGCACCGAAGAATAGAAGGAGGGGGACAACAATGGCGACACATTTCAGCACGGAGTATTTCTGTAGTTGAGAATCAATATCAATATTCCAAATTCAGATAGAGAAACAAATAAAGAAATGGGAAATATATAGATAACGGAAGAGAGTTGACCTTGCCGTAGTAAAGACATTGCGCCCAAGTGACGAGACTCAAAGTCGTCAGGATCTGTGGCTGAATTCTCAATGCCACATTTAACTCCTTGACAATGTTGTATACCCCCAGCGGCACGCCCGCTACAGCCCACAAGAGCATCATGGAGTCCTGGAGACCCTCGGTGGTGTGTCTTCTGTAGTTGATGATTATTTGGGGGAGAAGCTGTCCAGATATAATGATCAGCAAGACTCGTTTTCTATTGTCATCTACACTCTCTCAGTCTGTCCTGCTCTAAACATACCTGGATAGACCAGCAAACCTAGAGATTAAAGTGGTCAGTTACATCTATAGAATCACCTTAAGAATCAACGTAGTCCACGAACCGCGCCTAGAGTGCCGAGGACATTTTCTGCTGCTGGAATGTCCATGCCGAAATCGCATTCGATGCTCCTCGTTCAGAGAAGAGAAGTGAAAAGAAGATAGATAACCGGGGATTCGAAGATAAGGATTAATCATGTGTGGTGGGTCCATTTTCTAGAAATATAATTGGGTGTTACGCAGGCAAATCTACTTCCACTTGAAAAGCTACCTAGTTGATTGCGAGAGGCATTGTGTATTTCTGAAATATGGCCGGTGGCAAGGATGCCGGAGATGAGCCAGATATATGGGTATATGCAACACAATAATCATACAGATGAGAGGCATGGAAGATGCCAAGTCCAAGTGCGGGACTTGCGAGCAAGAAAGAAGGGAAGAGAAAAGAAAACTTTAGGTTAAGAGACATGCAAGTACCATGGGGGATGAGCAAGATTAATACCAAAAAGAACGAATCCCAGCTGCATGTAGACCACAATAAATAGCGGGAGATGAAAGAAAACTATAGGTGTTCTTCGGCCGTTTTGAACACGTCTCGGTCGGGCATATCAGGACGGCGCGAGGTAGAGCTTCGACCACCTGGCACGGACAAGGTATCTGTCGAAATGCGCCCGCTGTCGTTGGGGTGAACAATGCCAACGACGCCCGTCGCGCCGATCACAGCACGCGTACTAGCAACATCGGGTACTGTACCAAAGCCGGCCACAGAGTCCTTGTCGCCACCGACAGTACTGGCCGTGTCGGACATAAACTCACTGCGTCCGGCCATTGACCCGGCAGCCGACTCGGGCCGGTATCTGCTGTGGGCCAAGGACGCGTCTGACTTCATCGGGAGGGTCCCCGCGGCATGGAAAAGGGCCCGCGTGCTCGCGCTATCGTCGGTGAGCTTTCGATTGTCCACCTCCGGCAGCACGAGGATTGGGCCTGCACTCTTCTCCGACACAGGCCGAGTAGATACGGAATCAGGGTCGACAGATGTCCGCCCCGGGAGATCCGCAGCCGGCTGTTTCATTTCACTAGCGGTATCCCAGGTGACTGTGCTGGTACCGGACTGGTGCTGGTCCGTAGCAGACTGGGATTTGCCATTGGATTCCCCGTCTTTGCTGGAAAATGTATCCTGCCGTCCATCCTTGGACGGTTTGCTGGACCATGAGCCAGCCTGGCCGGCGTCGACGCTGGTGCGGGTGGAGCGCCGCCCGGATTGTTGTACCTCCCGTTCCCTTTCCATAGTCCGCTCATCGTGCTTGCTCCCCCACCCACTCCAAAGCATCAGACCGTAATTCTTCTTCGCGTGCGACGGCGGTAACACGCCAGGAGCAGCACGCCGGGCGGCAAGGGAGCTCGCGGGAGGGCATTCGCCCTCGAAATCCTGGAATCCATGGGACATCTCCTCGATGCGACGGCTCTGGACTCGAAGCTTCTCTTTGGCAAATTTCACGTCCCACTCTCCCTTTGCGGCGAGCCATTTTCGGATGAGCTCGGGATTAATTGCGCCGACCTTGGCTGGGGGAATATCTAGCACCGGATAGGCCGAAGGCGGATCAAGCTGGTAGACGTGCCCACGTTTGTCGACTCGCTGGCGGAGCATGTGTTTGTAGAAAGGCGGCAAGGGATCGCCAGCTACACCGACAGATGGAGTACCCGTAGGTTCGGTTGACTTCTTTGACTCGGATCCAGGATTCACCGTTCCCGAGTCATCGGAGCTACTGGATGAAACGGGCGAAACAACACTCTCATCCACGATCTCAACCTCGGAACTCTGGGCTCGAGCCAGGGCCCAAGACCCAAATTGTGAGATAGCACGGAACATGTACTTGGCGGGACGCGTGAAGCTGAGAGTCGGGGCCACATGACACAGGTCGTCCCACACCTGCAGTTGCACATAGGTGGGCCCATACTTGTTCAATGTCCCCCGATCCGGATCGTATTGATCGAGGTACACGTCACTGGGCGGGTATGCCGTCGGATCGGCCGCTTTATGAGCCACATAGAACTGCTCGTCGCGAAGTCTCTCGCCGCCGCCGCCCAATATCTGGAGAGGGGGAGACCTCCCAGCGAGGGCTGGAGAATGGGCGACACAAGGGGATGGGAAATAAGCTGGTTGGTCGCGTACATTTGAATCTGATCTTTGAGCTCGACCGTCTTGCCATCCAAGACCACGTGGATATTATCGGGCTCGGTTTGGACAGTGGCAGGATCAGGGTTCTGCTGCTGGCCCGGGTAGGCAGGTTGGGCGGTAGGCACCTCCTTCTCGTGGACCGTGTAGCCACGAACCGCGGTCTCTTCTTCCGCGCTGTTGGGGGCAGGAATAGCTTTCTCAACATCTTTGGTGGTGACCGTCTCCTTGCGAGACATCTTTTTGATATCCAGGATCTCATCGGCATTCGGCGGAGGCCATGCCGTAGAGGGCTTGTGTCTGAACCCATAGGGAGGGATATAATCGCCAGGGTTATCCTCGACAATGCTCGGGAAAGAGTGGGTTAGATCGACCCAGGGCGAGATCAGAATGGCGCCCGCCGGGAGGGGGAATTCCTTGATCCCGCATCATGACCATCATCGACAGGGACATGCCTCCACCCGCGGAATCGCCTGCAAGAATAATTTCATTCGGCTGGTAGGTCTTCAACAGCCACAGATAGGCCGCCATGCAGTCATGCAAGCCACACGGGAAGGGGAACTGCGGTGCCAGCCGATAATCCGGCGCGAAGACGCGACCTTTGAGCTTGCGCGCATGGCGCTGCATCATATACCGATGCGTATCCACGCTCCCGAAAAAGTATGCCCCGCCATGCAGGTACAGCATAACTCGGTTGCTGCGCTGGTTTTCCTTCTTGTTCTGATTGTAGTGGCTGCGCATCTCAATCCACTCCCCCTTGAGACCCTCGGACGGCCCGCGCCATTGCCACCACTTCTCGCCGCCGACGCGAACAATGCCATCGCGCCCGAGTTGCTTGGAAACAACATTGGCGGCTTCTGATAGATGCTCCGCAGGGATAGTGACAGCCTCGGTCCTCACCCAGTGCGGACTGGGTACCGACTGGCGGGTAAATGCCTGGAGATCCTCGACTGGATGTTTCGACGCATAGAACAGGAACTGGCGAACGATTTGGATGCCTTCGTCATAGGTAATGTGGACGGTGGGTTTGTCGTGAAGCGATTTGCGATGCAGGTACTACAAGACGGGCAACGAATCAGCAAAACATCCCTCGGTGTTCGGGTTCTGCACGACCCACATGAGTGATTAGTGTATGAATGACGGTCGGGGTGAGAGCCGCGCCCAGAGCGACAGTATGCAATGGCATCGTGTCGCTGCTCTGCAAGTGAAAGAAAGTGAAAAGCCCGAGACGAGATTAAAAAAAAAAGGTCTGATCAAGGGGCAGACGTCATGAAGGAGTGGATTCGGGGAAAACTGAGCCACTCCAATGGGGGAGTTTTGAAGAAAAGAAACAGCCGAAGAGAAACCGATCTTCAACAGGGGCCGTTCCCCAGGACAATGACGTCAGGATCGACAGGCTTGGCATTTGCGATGATAAACATGATTCTCATTTGCACCTCCACAATTAATATACTCGCAGTCTACGGAGTGCGTACTCGACGGTTGCGGCTTAGTAGGCCGATCACCACCAGATAAACCACCCCAATGACTCCCGCCACCACCCCGTAGGCGATCACCGCCCCCCGCGGCGCCTCTGCGGTATCGATGCCGACCATTTTGAACCCAAGTCCAGCATTCACAATCCCCAAAACAATGATGATTCGACCTAGCCATCGGTGTCCATACGCAAAGGGGCCCTTTTCGCCGGTTTTGCGGTAATGCAGGTGCTGCAGCATCCCCATGGCCGGCTGGAACAGAACCAATGTCCCCACAACCACGATACCAATGATGGGATGGTAGTGATTGAATCGACCAATGTCGTCGGCCATTGAAATCCCCAGCCCAAATCCAACAAGAATCAATGCCACGGTCGTGATTTGCGAAATCGCATGGAGACTCAGGGCCAGCGATGAGGGCAGAATCCGAAGGGCCAAGGCGAAGACGGGGAAAAACACCACGAAAGCGAGGATCATCAGGACCGCATGCGCCGTCTTTTTGCGTTTAAAAGTGTTGAGGTCAAATCCAGGCCCGGCGCTTGCATCGGATGTTTGGCTTTGGAGGTCCAGGAACGGGTTCGCCGAACTGCCGCCGGTTGCTTGCTTGAGATCGAAGAACGAAACGCCCATGTCGTCATGGCGGACAATATCAGCCGACTCGCTGTTGGAATTGAGTGGCCGGCCATACTTGACGGCCCAGAGCCACGAGCTCGAGGAGCTGGTCACGTCTTCGTTGCCCCCGTTCCAAGTGATGCAGCTGTCACATCGCACATTGGCAGTAATCACGCCATCGTGGACCCCGCTGCTGTTGAGGACCGTGACGCGAGCGTCTTTATTATACAGCGGCTCGACGTGCCCTTTCCCCAGACGTGGAGAGACAGTCACGTTGTCGCCAGCAGTATACACCACGAAGATGTTGGCGCCTCGCATCTGTCTCCCCTGGCCCAGTGCAAACCACTCCACGGAGCGAGTGGAATTCAGCTGGAAATATATGGGGCCCGAACCAGAGTCGGCAGTCTTCTGGGGGATGTTGATGCTGTAGGTGATCTCATTGTGGCCAGGGGGCGAGAAGCTCTGGAACTGCGCCAGGGCGGCAAGGGCCCACCCCAGCCAGCAAAGACCGTATCGCAGCATGTTGGGAAATATGGCCCTCCAAAATAAAGGCGGCGATCGAGCGCCCTAAATATCTGGGAGAGAATGACGCTCGAGCTCGCAATTGTGACACGGGATCGAAATTTGTCGCACAGTTTTCATGTTGACTGGGGCCACGCAGGCTAATCTCTTTATGATTTTTTGGGGTCCATGGCAGAGTCCACTTTGACCATGCTGACCGTGTTAAGGTTGGTGCGAGCCAAGAGAGTCCGAGGCTACTCGCTATCTAACTTGACTGGGAATGGTATAGCTGCTGGGGGCCGAATCATCGCTGGGGGATTTGGCAATTCGAAGGAGAGCGCGGGTGAGGCGGAGTTTTGCGGAGACCCGCACTGCGCCACGAGGAGGTTCTGGGAGATGATCGGCCGGGAGGGGAGACCCTGGTCTATCCAACCACAAGGCGCCAGTGGAAATAAGATCTTTTTTGGATTGGAATTGCCTGTAAGCATAATTTGAGTAGGTTGTGGTGTGATTGGCACTCTTTTTTGTTTGGTCCTTTTTTTAGGGTTTTCGCCGGCGAACTATACGCCATTGTGGGAAGGGAACATCATGGGGATGCATTGACTCGGGCGAGAATCTCTCTGCCTAGTTTTTACCTAGTTTTGCATGTCTATCACTTTGCGTGCTCAGCTTTGAGGCGCAGGCCTATATCTGTACTCCAAGCACGATGCCAACTCGGCCGATACTGCGGTCAGATTGGGCATCTCCAGGTTTGTGCAGCCAAGAAACATGATAATGATTGAATATTGATCACCCTACTAACTACGTCATCAGGACTCGGGGACGGAAAAAAAGGAATATCCAGGGGCATTCTTGCAAGATGCAATATCACGCGATCAATAGTCGATCTATAACCGGCCCGGTCCCAGCATGACAACTCACTGGGAGGTCACCACGAGGAACCTGATCTCCATCTCTCATGAGGATCATTCTGGTTTGGTCCAAGGATCTCTCAGTTATTTTCGGAACGTATTCACTACTGCCTTTCTACCGAGGTGGTAGTGCACGGTTTGTTCCACAGAATTGAGGTTGACCGCCAGGTTGACAGGGGGGCTGGGGAGGATTTGTAACGCTGACCAAGGCTTTTATAGCTAGTATATCATCTTGGATTCAAAATAAAATAAAAAGAGCGGGAAAGGCTTGTGTCGAGGCGTGGAAGGGACGGAGATCGGAATATATCCGTCTTGGTTCCACTCAATTCCCGGATTGCTTTGTCGGCCAGGCAAATGAACTGTTCGCCAAGAATGCAAGTACAATCACGGACAAAGGGATCGTCTAGCGACTGGTTTTGGGGGCAAATCGAGATTTCTTCCTCAGCAAGGCTCCGTACTTCATGAAAAGAAGCGGCACCGGCAAGGATAAACACGAAATGCCTCCCAAGCAGCTCGACGCAGAGCCCACCCCCAGTTTCTTAAACATCGGCCGCACAGCCATCGGAAGCGCACAGGCAAGCACAGACCGCAGAATGGTGTTGGCTGACACCGCACTGGCCGCGAAGACGCCATACGTATCCACCAGGAAGTTGAGGCATTGCTGGAACACGATGGTAAATCCGGCGCCGATAAACCCTAGCTTTTGGTGTTAGAATCTGCCAGAGAAACAGTTTATGGGAATATCTTACCTGCTGCGACGACAGGCAATGGCCACAGATACTCGGGAGCTGCTGTTCAGCCAAACCAGAACAGACCCACGGAGATCAACAACCCACCAGTCACCATGGGAGGCAGGCGAGCCTCTGGGACAGCTTTTCTATTGTTTTTCTTGACGGATCGCTTGTATCGCGGTTGATTGACGCAATTGATCACCATGGCACACTGCACTCCGATGTTGAAGCATTGGCGATTTCATACCGAGTAAGCTGTTGGATTTGTTGATCTAATCAGATACATAAAGCGGTGGCAAGTATCATTGACATAGGAGACATTGCAATCCAACAGACAGTGGTTGAACATGATTGTGGGTTGAAACTGAGGCACCCTCTTCAAGCTCAATCACTCGACTGGGCAAGCATGCTCTCCAGATGAGGAGTCGGATCTCCGTTGGGAGGGAGGGAAAGAGATTAAATACGGTAGCCATGATATTGGTGTTGGAAGTCGAGAAATAGAAGTGAAATGATGATGAATACAGGTTCAGGAGATGGAGTGAGGAGGTCATGAGGGTCTATGTATAGGACGTTTGATGGTTATAGGCAGTTTCCGGCTATCACATCTTTGTCCTAGGCAAACTTCTCTTCTTCGTTTCTTTCAACGCTTCAATTATCCAGATGCGCGTTCTCCTTTCAAATTCTTTTACCGGCTTTTCCTCTTCTATTGATTCAAGCTTTTATATATATACCATCCTAGCCAGCTGCTATCCAACTTTCTGTTCATCATGGCCATCCATACTTCGACTAGGGTGGGTGGCCGGTGACTATCACACCCATGCAGCCGTCCACTGATCCTTTTTACTACTCTGTTCTCTCTCTCTCTCTCTCTCTCACTTCGTTTATCCTTGCATAGTTTCTGGCTTTGATCCGGCAGACTGGACACACTATCACCACTCAGATTACTTTTCCCTCTGTAACGAAACCATCAGCTGACTTGAATGTCAACATGGCTGTCAACAAGTCAGACATAAAAATCGCAATTCGAGAATTTACGATAGATTCGAGTCCTCATACTGAGCCTGGCCATGTCTATCCATATGCACATTCCTTTTTCTTCGACTACACAACAGACTCTGAGCTAGAGCCGAACAGTGTTGGAAGTTTTAACGAGCGAAGGAAATAAGTACTTCGATTGCATATATCAAACAGACGGTATCGACCGCACAACTCACCCTTGTCCATGTCACATTGGGGAAATGGCCGATGACTCGTACAGTCTCTATTGGATGCCCAAGGACTCTGAAGAACTCTTTGATACTCTTGCATGGCGTCTTGCGGTCTTTGGTTAAGTTGGGTGTGCAAACGCTCATCGACGTGTGTCCGGCCCCTGCCTGCACGGGCGGCACGAGAAACTGAATTAGGTACCCGATGAAGGCGGATCATGTTGTCGTGGCCGATCCAAAAGATACGATCACGGGGGCTCCCGAGAAGATGAAGTTGCTGCAGAATACTCTGGATGCAACGTACATGGTGGTTCTCGGCGGGAATTCAGTGCCGATGTGGCCCAGACACTCAGCATGCCCGTGACATTGGTGCAGCAAGCTTTCGACTCAATGGTTCAGGTCACAATGGGGGAAACAGCCAAGAAAGAAGACAAGAAGCAGCTGATTATCAACATTATCACTGCTCTTCTCATTATTGTTCCTCTCGTCGGTAAGCTTTCTGTCGCTGCGGCGGGGCTTACGCTGCTGCTCGTGTCATTTCTGTTCTCGGTGAAGCCTCCGATGCCACACTTGGGTTGTACGGTATTGTGTAAGATCCAGAAAGTGCACCAATGGCCATCATGGGGATGCTGCTAGGCGCGGCCGCCCTGCCAGGAACGCCAGCTATGTCAACATGGGGCAACTCGGCGAGCTATGAAGGCGGAAGACGTCGCCGAGCTCGTCGCCATTGCGGTTCAGAAATATGGCCTGCTTACAAGGAATCTGCGAGCTTGCTGTTAGAATTGAGCTCTGCTTGTAGATGAACAGCAACTAACATGCTGTTCAGTGGTCATACCGTGCACCCCATCCTTGACTTTTCGTGCCTTCCCACGAGTGAGATCATCCGATTCCGAGATAGTCCAGAAGGATAAATTTAGTTGAAATAACAAAACACATTATGAGCCACTAATAACTGTAGAGCCATCTTGTCTTTTGCCCCCTGTAAGGACTACTTCTTTCAGTGCTACCTCTCGAGCATCCCCAGCCACTGACTCCCTCGTTGGCTCATGTATCTATTTTAGGCATCAAGAATCTTTGGCTTAGAGAGAGCACTCCCACAAATAGCTGACCAATAAACGGCCTTATAATTACACTAAATTTTCGGTGGACCTTTTGAGCTGAGCCCTGTTGTTGCCGATCATATCGGGTGTCGGTATATCTAGACTAATCCGTATTCCCACGCTAAGGCGTATATACCTTTTCGTATGCGGGAGTTTTGATGTGCATAGACCCTCATACAATATTTTAAATACATAGCTCTGGTTCCAACATACTAGTTCTTCGAGAATTCTTTTTTTAGTGATTTTAGTAGGAAGAATCGATCTAACCCAGATCATATCCAAAGAGACTATTGATGAGTGTGCAAAACCCTTCTCAAATTCCAATAAAGATTCTTATTAAAGAGACTCGCCTAGCTTCTCAATATTCAAAACAGTTTTTCTTTGGGTGTGATCGAAATATTCTAATTTACTCGGCGCACCCACGGTGTATATACGCGTTAGTGTGGGGGCATGGCTATGACCTTGCGTAAATAAGGTCGAAAGACCCCTTTTGACTAAGTTAGCGCAGGATACAAGTGAAATGGCCCCATTTAGACATTATCAGAGCATAACTAGATCCCCAGGTCTATAAGTATAGTTTTGAACCCTCCCTTGTCCCTCACGTTGAACCACGCATACGACCCAAGCAGGACTTTAAACTGTTCTTCTTCTGTTTCTTCATCTGCGCCGCTTCTTACCTTCGATACCCATTCTCGACCATCGCAATTTAGAGGCTCTAGGGGCTGCTTCAAGTCAAAATGTTGTGGTGGTTTCTGCTTCCCCTGTTTAGCCTCGCTTGGGTTGAGAGCACCGCCATGCCAGCGACTCCCGAGATGAAGGTCAAGCAGTAAGTCTGACCTTTCTTACCAATCCTCATAGAACTTTCAACGTCTTGAATGAATAAGTATCTAACTAGCATTTGTATTGCCTAGACTTTTTGCCCCGTTAAGTCGTCGTGGCATACCTATGTTTCAAGGGTATACGAGCGGTGGTGCCAATGAGACCCGCGAGATGCAGAAAATCAGGGAAGGCTTTGGGGATACGGTCTCGGTCATTGGGACTCTTATGAATGAAGTCAATTTTGATCTCCGGGAGAAAGTCGCGAAGAAATATTTTCCCATCCATGGCAACTCTTCGACAGCGAGCTTTGCAGCGTGGAATATGCTAGCAAATATGGTCTCTGAGAACGTCATAACACAGAGGAAAAGCCATGGTCTCGACGGCGATCTTTCCCCTGCTGTAGGTGATCTCAGAATCATTAAAGAGGGTTCTGAAAAGCACGCCAGATATTGCAAAGACACTTCTTGGTCATGGATGTGGCCGGGAACAATCACCTTCTGCGAATCTTTCTTGAAGGCTAAGCAGCTCCACCAGACTGATTGTAATGATATTGGCGACAAACTGAAGATAGCCCCAGCTTGGGCGAAAGCTAAAGATACGGACATGAGCAAGGCAGCGGTTATTATTCACGGGCTTTCGTACGTCTCTCCCCCTTCTTTGAAAGCAGAACTAACTGAAGCTATGCTATTCTATAGGATGTATCCACCAATCGCCAAACCAATCCTTGAGAACTTCTCTATTTGCAAAAATAGGGAAGTAACAGGGAGAGGGGTTAATGAGACAGTCGATATTGCCACCGGACCATACGGAGCGCGAGACTTGCTGAAGAAGCCTCATCCTGAGAAGGCTTTTTGTAATGGCGACAGTTATGTGTGGTTTGTTACGGTGAGTGTTTCATTTGAATTTTTCAAGCAAATTCTTCTGACGTAAAACTTCCAACAGGAACTTTACTTGACATACAAATGCAAGAGGTCATTTCAATAAAGAGTAATGAGACTTTCTCAAGTTTTGTTGAAAAGACTCTACATGGTAATATGGGGTGTTTAGCTTGGTCACGAATCTGAATCTGAAGTGTTTATAAGAGAGGAATTGGCCTTGAGGTCCGGTTAGGGCGTTGCGATTTGGAAACTTTAATATATTGTATTTATGTGATGCCTACTATGTATGTTTGTTTCTTCTATCACTTCTTATTTTCGGCATGCAAGACGACCTGGGAGTATTTCTCTAGCCTATGGTGGGTACAGTGCAACAGATGCATCGGTAGATATTCCTCGCGCTTTGCTCATACTCATTTCTCTATATTTTCCTTAGGCTGTGCGGTCCTACGCCTTTCGCTGAAAATGTCTCGCCATCGCATGCTACCTTATCGCCATTTTCGCCTAGCCGAAATCTACTCTTTCTTCTCTTACTGTACTTCTCCGGTTATTCAATGACATTCCATCAAGATTCACTTATTGTGTCAAGGCTAACATAACTCGGGAATTCCACTTCAATCGGGAGCGGCAAGCAAATGGCGGGACTTGAGAATTATGCCACTCGGGTTTGAACTTTTACCTCAATATATTGGTTATTTCTGTTTATCTGACACTTCAGGTCTCCTCGCCAGTTGCTCCAGGGTATATGGGCTCGAGTTAACTAAGTTAACTACCTCGGATGTCTGCCAGGAAAATTAGGCGTCAACAAACATTTGCAGCGCCTTATCTGATCAACCCATTGACGATCAACCCATTGACACAAGTTGATTTTGTGTGCAAACATCCCACCATCTCCACAATCTCGCGAGAAATTTTTCGAATTCCTTCGACTACAAGGTTGCTGATCCTTGCCAGTCTCTGAAGAGATCGGTCTCCGTCAATGTCAATCCTTGGACAATTCTGCGCATGTTGCGGCAAGTCTTGGCTTTCCACACGGTACTCTCCCGTGTGCGAGACCGGGAGAAAATGGTTGCAGAAGGTGATCAGCGTAGGAATTTTTCTCAGACGGACCGTCCCCTAGCGGAAATATAAGGTTGATCATCAACCGATCGGTGTCTTGGCGCCTCGAAAGGTCCCCAGGAATTTGTTCACAATGTAATGGTTCGCAGCTATAAAGGCTGCTGGGGGAGCTGTTGTTGCCGAAAGACGCAACTCAGTCGACCAACAATGATGGCTGCGAAATCTTGTGTTGCCGTCGCGGCTCTCCTGGTCTCTCAAGGTTTGCCGGTACTCGGCGAGCAAAATAAAGTCCGGGTGACTACCTCTCATGCAGTTCCTGGTAGCTTGGCCAATATTCACCTCGACTGGGTGGACCAGGCGCCAAAAACTATCAAGGCCGACTATGCGCCGTGTGACAGCAAAGGCCAGACTACACATGGGCACAAAATTGGCCAATTCAAGGTTCAAGACCAACCTCCCCAGCGCTTGGCCTGGGCTGTCCCAGAACACGCCCGGAGAAACCAATGCATCTATGTATATGACGGTGCTGGGGATGTTATTGGAAAAAGCAACCCGGTCCCTCTCCAGAAAAGAATGAAGAAGCGATCTATGGCCGATACGAATATTCCGCTACTCAAGGACTTCGATGCGCTGGGAACCTGGTTTGACGGCGTGGCCAAAGTGAGCAAGCATACCGGAATTGCTTCCAAGCCTGCAGCAAAAAACACCGTACGCTCTATTTATTTTCTGGATATTTGGTTCGATGTTCAGTCGCTGATTTGCTGCAGTCAATTGCAATCGTGGGTGCAGGAGTATCAGGACTTGCTACGGGGTTGATGCTCGATAGTGTTGGTGTCCACAACTGGGAGATAATCGAAGCCGACTCTCGTGTCGGTGGGCGCTTCCGATCCAAGTTCATCAAAGGAGAGCTGGCAGAGATGGGCCCCATGCGCCTGCCCCATTCCGGTATGAATCTTCGTCTATATATAAAGAAGCAACTCAAAGCACTTGACAGCTAATTGAAATGTGGACAGTGACCTACAAAAATGACAACAAGACATACAAATACACAGACCATGAGCTGACGTTTCAGCTGGCGAATGTTTTGAACAAGATGAACCACAATGACTCCAGATGGAAGATCGACTTTATCCCTTGGATCCAACATCACCCCAATGAGCTTATTGCCCAGGGCACACGTCGGCACCCTGACGGCAGGATTCCCACGCGGGCAGAGATTGAGGCAGACCCCAGCTTGGAGGAGCCGGATGCGATGAGTAGTCCAGAGTACAAACACACCAAGCATCGAATGAACGCCATCCTCAAAAACGAGACCACACTCCGGTCTATTCAAACAGACGTTTGGAGGGCGCACAAACTCGCCATGGACCAGGGACTGGATGACTGGAGTGAACAGGCCATGATGCGCCACGTTTTCAAAGCTAGCGAGAATGTCACCGATGAGATCTGGACTGCCTCGGACTATGATGTGTTCTGGGATGAGCTGCATCATAACTCCAACCTCGCCTTAGATGGGAGCAAAGACTCCCTCGGGAAAACCAACTGGTTGTGCATCGACGGCGGATTCAACCGTCTCTCGGATGCCTTCTTGCCCCACGTCAAAAACCGACTCACTCTCAATCGAAAGGTCCGGAAGTTGGAGCCCGTGTCAGGAAAGAACGGCAGCACTCACACACGACTCTCTTGGTATCCCAGCGTCTCGAACAGGACCTTCGAGTCTAAGGAATACGATTACACTATAATGGCGGTTCCTTTCACCATGACGCGGTTTATGCAGCTACCAACCTTCTCGTCAGTCCTCAATCGCGCGATTAGTGAGGCTGGCCTGCGGTTCAAATCTGCATGCAAGGTTGCCTTGTTGTTCTCGGAGCGCTTCTGGGAGAAGGGTAAGCGGCCAATCTTCGGTGGCTACTCTAAGCCGCCAAGCGACCCAATTGGTGCTCTTTACTATCCGGTCTACGGCCTCAACAAGTCTGGTCCGGGTCTGATCATGCACTACCGTGGAGGCGACTGGAGCGACCGATTCGTCAGCTTCTCCGACGAGGAATACGTGCAGACGGTACTCGACTCAATTGTCGATCTGCATGGCGAAAAGATCAGGGATCTATACACCGGGGACTACGAGCGTTTATGCTGGCTTCAAGACGAGCATACCGCAACTTCTTGGTGTCGGCCAGATGTCGAGCAGCATAAGCTCTATATTCCCGCGTACCACCAAACCGAGCACAACACTATCTTTATCGGCGAGCACACGGCTCCCACGCAGGCCTGGGTTAGCTCTTCCTTGCATTCTGCGGTCCGCGGCTCGGTCCAGCTTCTTCTGGAATTAGGGCTGGTTGACGAGGCCAAGGAGCTCAATCAGCGATGGATGGGCCGATGGATCAAACTCTGATGTCCATCCGGGAAGAAAATAGTGTCTTTCAAAAAGCTCTCTCTTTTCTTTAGAATTCATGGCTTTGGGCATTATATAGACAAAATAAAGTGGATCTGATAACTGGACTTTTCCGTCTTATCTGATGTAGGCCTTGTAGCCTTCAGACTCTAGAGCACCATCATTTTGACTCTACCTATCTATTTCCATGAACGGGATGGGGGTTCTTAAGGAACGCTATAATTAATCACCACACACGTCTCAAAAAAGGACTTCACACCAAGTTCCTTGGCCGAGCAGAACTGTGCACGATCTTCCCCGTCTGGTCCACTTATTTACCACCTCAAGATAAACCTCGAGAAGTCATTACTTACTGACCCACACTCAGCACCAGTTATCATTGCCTGGCATGGAATGGACGATCGACCCCACTAGATAACACAGTGGGGATCAATTGGGTATCCTCGGGCCCTGCCAAGAGTGCTAGCTTTGACGAGACTACCCGAACTTTCAGGGTCCTCGATCTTGCGGACATGGACTTGAGAGACTTTTTTAACTCACAGGTAAAACTGCAGCACAGTGAACACGGCTATCATGTCACTGCTCCATCTCGGCTTCTGGGGCTGGTACGCCTATATCTTAACACTCTTGACCGCAACGCCTGTCTTCTGTGAGACTTCAATCGTCGACAATGGGAGAGTCGCTGCGGTGAATGGCATCAACTATTACGTCGGCGGCACTGCCGTCTCCAGACTCATGCCGATCAGTGGCCCCAATTCGACGCTGGCCACGGATCTAATCCCAATGACTATCATTCGGACTCGGGAGACAAGGTTTACGGGTGATACTTTGAAAAGGGTTATTGGAAACTATACATTTTCCGATGACGTTTTTCAAGCCGGCTTCCTGGAAGGTCAGTGTGCTCTTGCTTTCATCTCCCTATTTTCCGAATGGGCTCCGTTGTATTGACATTCTCACAGCGATATTGCTGGCCTATGATGGTGAGGGGGAAGGCAAAATTGACCCCTCGGTTAACGGCGCTCTACATGGCGTTGATAACAAAATTGTCATGGCCCTGTCTGGCTACCATCCACGAGGCTCTGTGAGTCTAGCGAAGCTGCGGGATGACATCCCCAAGGGACCCTACTTCGTTTCAACCAGGACCGGGGATGTTTATCAGGCTTTCCGGCTGTATCCTGACCACCAGCTCGCATTCACCGAGGCGGCTCTCGGTGATGGAAAAGGTGGTTTCATCCCTTTACCCGCAGCAGCAGGAGTAAGTGGTGTCTTCTCTTTGAACAAGAACCTAAATCTCTGACCTCGCTAGGGGTCTATGACCAAAAGCGTTGCTGTTCCATCTCGACTGTATTATACACCCAGCTCGAAGAAGCCGCTGGCAGGGGTAAGTGTGTATAAAGTCTCTCCAATTGTTAGAGTTAATGCTGAAATTATTCCAAAGTTGCGTCTGGGTGTCAAGGATATCTTTGATATCAAGGGGCTACGAACCAGTGGCGGCAATCGTGCCTTTTACGATCTCTATTCTCCGCGTAGCATCACTGGACCAGCGATCCAGCGCTTGATTGATGCTGGTGCAGTGGTCGTTGGGAAGATGGGGACCGTTCAATTTGCAAACGGCGATAATCCAACTGCAGATTGGGTTGATTTCCACTGTCCATTCAATCCTCGGGTAAGATAAGATATATCCTTCTTTGATCAGTGATGAGTGATATTGATATATTCGACAGGGTGACGGCTATCAAGCACCCGGTGGCTCCTCATCAGGTCCCGCGGCAGGGATCGCTGCGTACGACTGGTTGGATATCGCCGTGGGAAGCGACACTGGCGGCTCTATGCGTAGCCCGGGTGGAATGCAAGGCATCTACGCCAACCGGCCTTCAACTGGAGCAGTCTCGCTTGACCATGTTCTTCCTCTGTGCCACGTGCTTGATACAGCAGGCGTCTTTGCGCGCAATGCAGATACTTGGTCCACCGTGATGCATGCATGGTACCACAATTTCACAGACTATCAGAAGTACCCAAAACGGATCTTCTATTCCAAGGCCTCTTTTCCGGCGGCTGACACAAAGGCCGGTGCGCTTCTTGAGGGACTTGTAAAGAAATTGGAGAAATTCCTGGGCACGAAGCGAGAATCTGTTGATATCTTCTCGCAGTGGGAGAAAACGCATCCCTCCCACGCCCCGAGCAACGTGTCAGATTTATTAAACACTGTATGTATTTCCTGATATGGTGGTTTCTTTAGGGGGCGAGTGCAATACTAACACTCCATAGACGTATGCCTTTCTTACGTCTGTCGGCCAATATCGATCTCTGGCAGTGCCATTCTACAAGGACTATGCAGCCAAGCATGGTGGCCGCAGGCCCTTTATTAACCCCGGACCCCTAGTTCGTTGGACCTGGGGACAGGACAACGGCGGGAATACAGCCTACGACCTCGCCGTCAAGAACAAAACCGTTTTCAAAAAGTGGTGGGGGTCTGAAGGATTCGGAAAGCCAAATGACAAGACGTGTTCCGAGGGGATCTATATTTACCCTTATACGACAGGGGACACCCAGTACCGGAATGTCTATACCGAGTGAGGCGTCTCAATTGTTTTATATAGGAAGTGGTTCTATTCACAGCGGCTAACCTCCATAGTGCACCCACCATTCCTCCTATGGGCTTCACAAATGGGCGGGTCGCCAACATGGCAGAGACTCCCGATCTGGTAGTCCCCGTGGGGGAGGTGCCATATAATTCCACTGTGTCGCATCATACCGAGTATCTTCCTGTGACGATGAGTTTTGTTGCATCGCGTGGGTGCGATCTCATGTTGGTGAACCTGATCAAGGATCTGGAAAAGGCAGGGATCTTGAATCCTGTGGGCACAGGCCCCAGGATGTATTCTACATGAGATGGGAAAGTTGATATACACTAGGTGTCAAAGACTAATATAGACGGTTAACTTCAGAGAAATCTATCGTATAACAGTTATTGTTCCTTTTTCTCTATGGCAGTCGTTGGGCCAGCATTTTTAGAGATTAGAGCATTGCAAACCACCGCAGACGTGGCATAAAAATCCAACATAGTAGAGTCTCCGGGGAAGATGCCAACAAGAAGCCCTTATCCCACGGTACTCTGCTAGGAAAAGCAAGAACCGGAAATCATCAAAAATATGACAAGATTTACTTCAATGACTATTCCCAAATCTGCATTGAATGGACGGAAAGTATACTTACTGTAGTTCTCGGTAAAATACTCCCAGCAAATGAATTGGGCGTGGAGCAAACTACCGACCGCAGGATGCCTCGACAACGCAAGCATCAAGGGTCACACGTCCATAGTCGGACAGGAATACCTAATCACATTGTTTATTTGGTCAAAATTCGCGAGTGGCTGCTGATCGCAGAAGCAAAAAAGCTCTCACACACCGCCAGTTAACTGCTGCATGTCCCTCCATATTGCGTTTTCCATGCGGAGCTGGTCCCTCGCTATTGAATCTCGCCGGTCGACGATCCCTTTCTACAGACCAAAGCTCTCCACTGTGGATAGCATGACACTCCACAGTGCAACCTTTGAAGTGGACTGCTTGCAGTTTTGGGGCCCAAAATGCTTCCAAACTTCGGACATACCATGGACATCGCCCCACTGCCCATCGAGTTGAGCTTGAGGTTATCGTTCAATTGGCTTTTTGCTATGCATATCCCTCCTCGGGGTACGACAAGAGCTGTATCGTCCGCTGTATTTCAAATCCCAATGCAGCAGCAGCAGCTATCATACATGCTATTGATGAGGGGTTGGCGGAAGCTGTCTATAGGTGTGCGGAAATTGATGAACGGTGGAGCTGAAAACCTTCTCATGAATATATAGATACTCAGTGTCAAATCAGTTCGATAACTGGATCAAGGAATATTTGGTCTGAAAAGACTTATCAAGATGGGATCAGTTACTTCTGAACAGCGAACGCCGTTGCGGGTTCTCGACGATATCGCGGTCCATGAACCGGACCGACTATCTTGTACTCACCCTGTCGCGTCCGACGCCTCAAGGATGGGCCGACATTCGGTTTGCCGCCCTGGCAGACGCGATTAACCGCGCAGCTCTCTGGATCCGCGAAAACCTTGCGCCTTCCAATGAGCCGGAGAGACCATAGCGTATCTTGGTGCCAATGACGTTCTCTATGTGACGTTCGTGTTTGCGTGTATGAGATTACGACACACGGTATGTAATCCCAATGATCTTCATGTCTAATCCATTCTAACACGCTTAGTAGGCACTGCTGTTTTCACCAAAGAACTGCGAGCAGGCCTCGCGTCATGTCTTGGGCGCAACAAACTGCTCCAAGTTTGTTTATAGTGTCGAGCAAAAGTCGACAGATTGAGAAATTAAAGACTGCAGATGTTTCAATTCAGGCTTGGGGGGTTGCTGGCGTGTGGGAAATGTTTTATCGTACTGGAAACACTGCTCCGGTGGTGAGCAACCCAGCAGACGATCCAGAGGATCGCGTGGCCGTTTACATCCAGAGTTCTGGGACGACTGGTATGACACTTACCTTGTTTCTTTTTCTTTTCTTTTTTCTTTTCTGGAAGTGATGACTGACGAAATTCAATTGCAGGACTCCCCAAACCGGTTCCAATGACCAACGGATATATACCCCGACATCCAGGAATGACGTACGGGAGATCTCTTCACTCGTCATCCGGAGAAGGAAGGGCTGTGGCTCTACCATAGCCGACTAGACGATGTTATTGTGCTCAGCAATGGCGAGAAATTCAACCCAACATCGATGGAGGAGATCATCGCCTCGCATCCGCTGGTTGCACGCGCCGCCATTCTTGGTCAAGGCCGATTTCAGTCGGCGACCATCATAGAGCCGGATTGGTCTTTATGGAACGGCGAGCAGAGTGCATTGATTGACGAGATCTGGCCAGTGGTGAAGAAAGCAAACGAAGCGGCTCCTGGCCATGCCCAGCTGATGAAGGATCGGGTTGGAGTTTCTTCTCAGTCCAAGCCATTCAAGCTCACTCCCAAGGGCACTGTTCAGCGACGAGGAGTGTTGAGTGACTATGCAGATGAGATCGATGCTCTGTATCAAAGCGCGGACCAGGCCGATGTTGCCCAAATCGCCAAGGATGCCTCGCGTCCTGATATTGCAGCATATATCGTGACCGCCGGGTCGGATATTATGGACATTCCCACAATTGACGAGAGTGCCGACATCTTCTCTTCGGGCCTTGACTCTTTGCAGACTCTTCGACTGGGCCAAATTCTACAAGCTTCCTTGCAATCAGCACTGCCGGGCTTGGCTGCTACTGCGTTTGTTAGCCAACAGCACTACTCGCGACCAACGATTGTCCAGCTTTCAGAATACGTCTTCGATCTTCTGCAGCCTAAAGACTCGCCTCCAGCCGCAGCTGTGGTGGAGCGACAGTGACCGTGAGGCAAGATTGGCTGAGCTGGTCGACAAGTTCTCGGACGACCTGGGTGAAAGCCATGCAATCATCATGACCGGATCCACTGGTTCATTGGGTGCATATCTTCTTCACGAACTGCTATTGATGCGCCGTTGATGGAGAACTGGGTCAAGCAGTGGAACTTTTAACGTGTTCCAAGAGTCCATCCCTTCTTGGTGCCAGTTTAATCATCTATATATTCTGTTTTGACATGGAAATATCAAACATATACTATGCAAAGTTCAGAACATGAAACATATGTCCCGCCATTCCTCATCGCCATCTGGTATATAATAGCACCCAGTATCCCTTGTGATTGAGTTGGCAATCCATGCCTGAAATGAAGACATGGAGTGGACTGAGATCCTAAAGCGGGTATATGAACTTGAGGTTTTCACGGTCCGTCTTGTCTATATCACGGTCCCCAATTTTGACAAGCTCGCTGCCCGTGTCTATTACCTCATTGTCATCGGATTGCGAGCCTTCTTCGGCAAGCAGCCGCTCCCGACGACGGTTCTCGTGCTGGAGGTAGAAACGGATGATAATGCACATCAACGGCGAGATAATCCAAAATGCTGTCATAAATGCCCATGGGAGCACGTAACGTGGCTTATATTTGGGTTCCCAAAATCTAGTTGGAATAGAATGTTAGATGGCTCTTGATAAAAGGAGGGAGGAAAGGGGAAGAACGGAAGGAATAGCGGCATGTTTACTCACTCCGGTGAAATCATATTGGCAGCTGACGCAGCCACAACGCATGAAGCCATCAGACACAGTTTCTTTGTATGACCAGTGGTTGTTGTACCAGCCCAGTTGAGACCGAGCAGGTATGAGGGCTTGAAGGTTGAGATTTGAGTACCCACTACCAGGGCGACCTTGTCGGACCAGGGAGCGGCAAGCTATTGGGATATTGAATTAGCACTTGCGCAATATATTCAATTATGATTACCCACTTCAATGATCCCTCCTATAACACATGGAATATACGAGATTGCGCACGTGTATCCTGTCCCAAGTCTAGTGCCATACAACATGGCGGCCGAGGCAAGGATCAAGATGAAACCCCACAGCGGTTTAACGATGTTGAATAGAGCACTCTCGGCGGGAGTGAAGCCAAAACCGACGACAATTAGGGGAAGCTGTTGCGAAGTGTTGTTGGGAAGCTCGTTGAAGAACAGGTGAATGCTGCATGATTTTAGCCACCGCTCAGTGTGTTATGACAGGGGAAGAGAATGTGAGGTGTCCGACACATACATAAATAGCCAACTCTTCAAGTCCGTGAAAGACTCGCGCACTTGGGACCATTTGAAATTCGAGTTCGACACTCCGGCATGCGTTTTGCGAATGATCTCAATCGTGTGGACTTTCTCTTCGGTTGACAGCCACCTGGCGTCAAGAGGAGAGTTTGGCAGGAATATGAGCAGAGGTACAAAGACGGCGAAGGTCAGCGCGGCACAGATGATGTGGAGCCATTTCCATGAGTTGATGCTCCCGGCCAGTATACCCGTTTCGTCGTCCAAGATGAGTTTGTAAGAGATCATCGTAAGAAGAACGTTGGCAAAGCTTCCGAATGCCCACCATAGGAGCTGCACCCAGGGGCTTTTCTTGGGCGGGAAGACTGCAGATCATGTTAGATATAGTCGAATGTATGGCGCAGGACCAGACGGGAAGACTCACAGGCTTGATGAACAACGACCGTCGAAGGAATAATCTGGCTCTCCGTCTGAATGTCTCTTAGCACGTTGTAGCTTCCACTCATATGTTCAGGCTTACCATTCCCAAAAGAAACCGCACGGCCATCATTTGTTTTCCCGTCTTGATTGCGCAATGACACCCCAGCAACAATGCCCATAGAAACAGTGAGCCTGTGATGAAGTACTTGTGGCCAACTCTTTGTGATATCCAAGCCCCGGGCCAGAGGGCAATGAGATAGCCGGCGTAGAAGAGGATAAACAGGTCGTTGTACTCATTTTTAGACATTTGCACATCTTTGAAAATTCCCATGGTACTGGCAGAGGAAAGCGTTGATTTATCGAGATGAATGAGAAACGAGATCCACCATGTCTGGCTCAGGAGACACCAGAAATTCTTGCGGACCAGCTTGCCCTACAAGATTGTATAGAGTCAGTAGTCTGAAAGAGGGCATTACTCAACACAACTCACCTCTGCCTCCGGAGTTAGTGGCCGGACTTTGTCCTTGTTGGTATTGTAGAAATACGTCGTGTCATCGGTGTCCTTCTCGTCGACGACCAACGGATCTTGCGAAGATTGGTTGGCCACTTGAGGCTGCGAACCGGACTCATACTTGACGTTGGAAGACACCCGGGCCGGGTTGGAGACATCAACACTCTTCTCGCCGGCCATGTTTGAAACAGAAAGGCTGGCTCGACCGCTCGCCAATCTTGTGAAGTGGACAACTTATAGTCTCGCGATCAACCACACAATAATATCCCCGGAGATGTCCGATGCAAGTCAAGAAAGCTTTTCTTCCAGGGTTCTCAGCGCAAGGCCCATGTCAGTGTTTTATTTTTGGTGTAAATATTGGACCACAGGCCTGTGCCTTTCTCGTTCGTCGACATCCCACTGGCTACATCCATGAAAGTCGTCGCCCTGTGCGCGGTACCTTGGGGGAAACCTCCTCTGCCAAGACACGGCTGCGTCGCAATCCGCGCTTGGCTCGGTGATGCCAAGGCTGCTTGGTTGCATTTGGGGGACCTTGGAAGTATACACCGGAGTAGATCACAGTTATGGAGCAGGGTCTCGAAGGATGCTCCGCGCAGGACGCCTGTTTCAAATTTGAGTAGAATATTTACCAGTGCAAGTTGGCTTGCGGTTATGGCATTCAAGGATTTACGCGCAGTCTTCTGCATCTATAACTACATAGTGCTGCGAAATATCTCGCGGTCCATTGGGGCCTTCTTCGAGGCCATTCCTCCGGGGACAGTCTGGTCGCCAGCGCCAAAAAGGGCGCATATACGAGGAGCTTTGCTCGCCATGTTCGAGGATATCGGCAGCGTGCTTGATCCAATGTCAGCGAGAACCAATGCAAAAAATTAATTAGAGTACCAACATGTCCAAGAACTGGCAGGAATTTGGCCCCGTGGCCACTGCCCCCTGTACAAACAAAGACTGAATTCTCTGCGTAGGTTGGGACGTAGTCAATCTGCCAGTAAATATTAGCACCGGGCACGATCCAGTCTAGCGGCCATACTACTCACCACAAAAGAGTTATCTAGTGAATCAGTGTACCAGCATAGCTTCGTCGAGTAAAATGGCAAGTCATCGAATTCGGGGAGGAAGATCGAGACGAACTGCTTGACAGCGTAGACCGCCGACTCCGGAAGTTCTGAGGACTCGTCAGGAGGGAGAGGCACCGACCATCTGCCGTCCTGCGTGAAAGGTGTTTTCTCCGGTGCGGGTTGGAAGTTGGTGAACTATACAACTGAAAGTCAGCTATGATCAAACAACAAAGATTTACACGTACCTTGATCCCGCGATATCCAATCTTCACCAAGCCCTCCGGGGTCCTGGGCAGAACGTAGATGCTACCCGTATCCTTGCCAGTGCTATCCCGAGGCACACTCTTCCAAGTCATAACGGGGAAGCGTTTTGGTGAATACTTTGCCCATAGGTCAGTATTATTTGGGTCGATCTTGAAAGTGGCAAGGCTGCCTGCGGACGACTCGAGGTGGTAGCTCAGTTCAGGAAGAACTTGCGTTGAAAAGGATCCGGCTTTAACTCAAATCAGTATCTCACAAATGCAAAGACATGTTTGTAGAATGATACTCACCGGCCACAACCACGACTTTGGCATCATGGATTTTGCCGTCTTTTGTTTTGACACCAATCACCTTTTCCTTCCCCGTGTCCACCTCACTTTTCACCTTTACAAGCGATTCAACCGTTCCCTTCCCAGGTCCGAAACGAAACTCCACACCTTTGGCTGCAGCAATCTGTTGATAGTGAGCGCATGCCGCACTGCACCGCACAAACCCCGCCAGCGAGTCCAGCACTGCCTCGTATGTCTTCGTAGGAGAAGTGTGCGGAATCTCAAAATCAAGTAGCTTGGTCTCCCAGCCCGACTGCGCAGCACGCTGTCGGTCTTCGGGGTTGCTCTTGACAAACTGGGTAGGTCGCAAGCCATCGCGCTGCATATTAGCGAGCGTCTCTCTTTCCAACGCTCCAATCTGGTCTGACGGCTGAACTCTCAGCATCCCACTCCCGACAAAGATTCTGCGATCATTTTCTTCGTCGCTCGGTTCAGCAAGCCCCCGTTTCTCGTCCTCGGCCAGCCAGGCACTGCGACTCTCCAGGGCGAGACGCTGATAGTGCAGCTTTGTTCCGTACGATGCGCGAAACTATGGCGTCTTCTCGTTAAACCAACCCTCAAACTGATGGTTGGGCACTTACTATCTTGTTGTGATCCACGGACGCAGCCTGCACGCCGTCGTCCCCTGGGTCATAACCGCTTTTGTCGTAATTGTTCTGATCGAAGACGGTGACTCGGTAATCTCGAGACACTGTCAGCAAGGACAAGCTCCTTTGAGTCTTGGACACATCTTACTTCGGTCGCGGAGGCCAATGGCCAGCGAAAGACCAAAGATACCGGCTACGGACTCAGTCAATTCCACACAAAAAGGCATGCAAAGTGCCAGAGATATCTCACCTCCAATTACCGCAACCGACTTGGGCTCGGTCATGACTGTCGCTCACCAGCTACGTGTGCTCGACAATGTTGCGATGGCCGATCGCCCCGCTTAAATAAACCCCCGCAGCCAAGCCAAGCCCGTCTACCAGGGTCCCTGAGAATACGCCGTGTCACCATATAGATGGCTCCCGCTGGCGATCGCCTTTGGATTATTGGGATATGCCAGGCTGGTTAGTAAAAAGCAGTGAGGATCATCCGCCAGGGAGACCGCAATCGAAAAGTTTCATTGAGTGCTCACCCCCATTTTTAAAAGGGCAGTGGCAAGAATAACATTCAATTCCAGTCACAGAGGATGACATATCGGAAAAAGGGCGCCATGAAAAGCTCGTTGCAGGCCATTGCAGCTGGAGGGGCAACTCGGCCTCGGTCGACATCCTTCGGCGCCGAGTCCGGCGCATCCAGCCCTAAAGTCAGCCGCTCGGCGCCGAAGTAGACAGGTCAACTGGTGAGTTCACAGCACGAGCGGACTTTCGACGAATTTATATACTGCTCAATTCAATATCACAAAATAAGGGACACATTATCTATGTGATGCCTTAATCTTTTCTGTGCGGCAACCATCGACATCATGGCCAACCCTCAGCCCACCGAAACATCTCACCAACATCCAAACAAGAACAACAATGCCTCGACAGACCAGGATGCAGCGCAGAAGACGAAATCAGAAGAGCACATCGTCACTGGCCTACGACTTGCCTTCATCATGGCAGCAATACTCAGCGCTATGTTCCTCGTGTCCTTGGTAAGTTATGAGATACACATGTAACCGTGCAACGTGCAACGACCCCTCAAGCTAACAGTTCCACACCAGGACCGCACCATAATTGCAACAGCAGTACCAGCCATCTCAGACCAATTCTACGCAATCGACGACATTGGCTGGTACGCCAGCGCATACCTCGTGACCAGCAGCGCGACCCAACTGCTCTGGGGCCACATCTACACCTTCTACTCAACCAAGACACTATTTCTGACCGCCGTGATTGTATTCGAGGCAGGCTCCGCACTGTGTGGTGGAGCACCCAGCTCCAACGCATTTATTGTTGGACGGGCCATCGCGGGGATTGGGTCGGCGGGCATCTTCAACGGAGCCACGGTCATCGTCTCGCAGATTCTGCCGCTGCATAAGCGACCAATGTTCATTGGGCTTATGGGCTCGACCTTTGGGGTTTCTTCGATTATTGGCCCTTTGCTCGGGGGTGCGTTTACGGACCGGGTTACTTGGCGCTGGTGCTTTTATATCAAGTGGGCTATCTATCCTGATCGGACAACGACTATGGTAATGCTAATCCTCCCATCTTCTAGTCTTCCTATTGGGTGTGTCAGTCTGATAGTCATTGTTCTATGTCTGCGCGCCCCGCCTCGCTCCACGACCGCAACCTTCAAGCGCCAGTTCATCCGACTGGACCCCCTTGGCACAATCCTATTCCTGCCCGGTGTGGTCTGCTTCCTTCTAGCACTGCAATGGGGTGGAGCCACCTATTCCTGGAGCAATAAGCGTATCATCGCTCTCCTAGTGCTCGCCGGGGTCCTACTGGTCGCCTTTGGTGCTGTCCAGAGCTGGCGCCGGGAAGACGCGACGATTCCACCACGGATCATCAAGCAGCGCAGCATTGCTGCCGGTGCCGTGTATACATCATGCCTCTCCGGGGCAATGATATCCATGCTATATACGCTGCCGCTGTGGTTCCAAGGCGTCAAGGGGACGAGTGCGGTGCAGTCGGGACTAGACAATATCCCAATGGTGTTGTCACTAGTGGTAGCAAGTATTCTATCCGGGGCGGCCATCACCCGACTAGGCCACTACGTGCCATTTATGTTCATGGCATCCACTCTCATGGCCACTGGCGCTGGTCTGATTACCACATTCACTGTCGATACGCGTCACCCAGCCTGGATCGGATACCAGGTGCTATTCGGGCTTGGGCTTGGGTGCGGCATGCAGCAACCGGCTATGGCAGCTCAGACTGTCCTGGATCAAGCGGATGTCTCGATCGGCATCGCTATCATGTTTCTCTTTCAGTCGCTCGGTGGTGCTATCTGGGTTTCTGTTAGCCAGAACCTTTTCACTAATTACCTCGCTTCGGCTCTGCCCGGTATCTCCGGTATTAACGTTGCTGCCGTTCTTAGTTCCGGGGCCACTCAATTGGCGCAGACTGTTCCGCCTGATAAGCTATCTGCAGTGCTGACAGTCTACAATGCGGCCCTCCATAGAGCTTTTATCCTGCCAGTGGCCCTCGCTTGTTTCATGGTGGTTCCCGCACTAGGAATGGAATGGCGCAATGTGAAGCGGGAGAGTGAGAAGAGGAAAGAGGAAGCCCGACAGAAGGACAATCATTCGGAGAAGACGGAGAAAAGGGAGATTTCCGATGTTTGAAACTGGCATGTACAAGGTTCATTGTCGCGGATAGTGTAGGGCTTGTATGCCCACCCGAAGTATATACTCCACTCGCTATTTCTTTTCACACGGGCTACTCAACCCTAATCGGGCAAGTTAATTGCCAGAGTTTATACTCCACCGGTTCTTATTTTCACATGTGCTCCAGTAGTTCGGATTCATTTCGTCGTGGCTGGTTTGTCTAGAGGCTGATTGCAACCTTCGGGACGCAAACCATGGTCTCCTTAAAACTACAGCTGTCAATCCTATTGTTTATTCTCCACCCATATATAGGTAGTGCCTTCTACAGAATATCCCTCAATCTAACCCGTCCCGTTTTAGTGAATAAACAAGTTCTCGAACTTCGGGAAAGTGGGTTACGGCCACGGTCACCGGCCGAGATGAAGATCGGCCCAACTCATGGACACCAGTGGTGCAGCAGTATGGCCTATAGCTTGTGTAAAGTACAGGATACCACTTTACCCTGACAGAATAGCTTCATCCGAGAAACAGACAAGCAATGCAAAAGAAGATCTTCACCACCTTCCTCCACTTCTACGAAATAACCCGCTCTGCTACTATCAGAGCCCGTAACGGATTCTGCATTGACGAAGGGTATAGTTACTTGCTCTGTTCGAGATATAAGCTCTTCTCTTATGTGATCACTAATGTGGTTGCATTAAAGCTATTGGAGGTGTCTTCGTGCCCTAAGTAGGAAGGTGGTTTGTTTTGGGTAGTTAAGATTCTCACCTCGATCATTTCTTTCCTACTTTTACTTTTCCATCCAGTTTACTGGTCTGGATGTATTAACATCTAGCTATTCGCTAGTAGATGCTCCTCATAACCACATGTAAAAGTTCCTTTTTTGATTGCATCCCAGCATTGCCTATCAAGCATCATGGCCAAGTTCCTCATTAACACTCTTCTACTCCGTTATCATCGTCATATGCTCTCCAGTTTCCTGACGGATAGTCCTCTTTTTTCAATTCGTCGAGTAAAAAGGAATTTCTCGACGCCACATTCACCGTGTCATCCGATGTCAATTTGTCTTTTGAACGGTCCCAAACCGTCCTGGGGCGGAACGTAATGGGCTTTTCCGGGCTTTCTTCATTGTCACTAATTGTGACAAGCTTCCCATCCTTATCTTTCTTGTACTCGAATGGATCGTATCGAATGATTTTCGAGACCATCCCACTTTCTCTTGTCAGGACAGGGTATTCGAATTTTCCCCATGTCCTTTCTGGGTTCCAGACGTGGTCATTCGGGGTGCATAGATAGACTACCCCAGCGCTAAGCTGGGCGAATGCAGTCGAAATTGCCTTTTCAAATGGCTCTTTGACCTGCCAACCCCATTCCTGTTTTATATCTTTGTATTTGGGGGCTTTCCAGTCTTTCTCTGCGGCGGTGGCATCTTTCTCTTCGGCTTTCAGGCTGGCTCCCGGCGACTTCTCGAATGGCCTGACGATGCCTGCGTATTTTGTCTCTCGCCATGTTTCGCTGATCACATCGCCAAAAGCAACAAGCTCCACTTCCTGGTTTGGACGGTGTTTGTCGCGAATGTTCTTCTTTGCCCATTTGAGACACATCTCGACGTCTTTCTGCCAGCCCTTGACACCACCTGGTAATCCCGTGTAGAACAAAGATGTTGCTCCCTTCTCCAATTTCCCATTTTCTCTAGACTTGTGGATCACCTTGTCAACACCAGGGACTATAGGGCTGGTGTCCGTCGTATCCCCGTCACTGGGGACAGTGGTATCTGATTTCCTTTTTTTGACCCGGGGACGGTGTCTTTCGTTGAGGACTTCAGGAGCGGGAGAGCTCTGCGGAATCGAAATTTCAGAGGGAATCGAACGTTCGGATGGAATTGAATGTTTGGGGATGTGTTGTATCGCAGGCGGAGATGCTGTCGATTCATGCTTCAATTTGATGGTATATAGCAGAAGGATCGTAACAACAAAGGCAGATGTTAGTGCTCGAAAGGAGCGGTTGCTTGAGATCTTGGTCATTTTGAATAACCATGCCACTATCGGAAGCAGCGAGAAAGAGGAGAAGAGAAGCGAAACGTAGATTAAAAGAGACCTGGGCTCTGAGAAAATTAATAGGTAGTTTATATTGTATTAGCTATAATCCCCCGTAAGCTGAGGCCTTTTCATTCGGTGGGTAACTATGAGTGCCCTGGACCGTACCCATATTTGGGGCGTTGGGTGCACATCCTTCGGCTCCTTCATTGATCTCACCCGCCCGAGCTTACAGAATGCTGTGCGCCCTGCAGAATTTTTTCCGTAAGCTCGAGCTGCTGTATATTATTGTTGAGTCGAATACAGAATCAGGCCATCTAAGATATTTTGCCGGCGGTGGACTACCCTATACCATGTTTGATAGATGGGGTGATCAGACCTGCAGATATTTCTTGGTCAACAATGATGTAAAAGTTTCAAGATACAATATAGGGTTTTTGTGCCTCATAACACGCCTATACTATAAAAACCCATCTTATCCTATTCATGCCACATAATGTGCTTTATATGGAACTCCGTGCTACCTTGCTCTAATAGGGGTCTATATACCTAACATGGTTAGGGCGCTAAGGATTAAGTATCGCCAGGGCGTAGTGGAGAGAAAGACTAAAATCATCATCATACTTATACATACACAAGGGCTTACGGCCGTGCTAGCGCCGCCCGTCACTCCTTAGTTGATCTGGGGCAGGAGGAAGTCCCTGCACGGGGTGAGAAATATGAACAAATGAGAGAGGGCAGATACTTTGGATGATTACCACGGCATAATATTTGCCTCATATTTTGTAGCTCGGGGAATATCATTCCTGTCAGCTGAGCGCCAGGGATCAGCAAGGGTTCCTCTTAAATAGGGGCGCTTACATGGAGGTAGGTGTAGTGCCCCGATCCAGTTCAATCAATTCCACAGAAAGCATTTCCCGCAAGCAAATGTACCCATTCTTGATTCAACGAGAGTGCGGCTTAGAAACCCATCAGGAAAAGTGCCAAACTCGTTGAGCCAAAGAGCTTGTCAAAATTTAAAAGGCCGGCCTCTTGACATATTTACAATAGCTAAGAAGGTCGCGACCGGGCACTTTATCAAGGAAGCAGGACATAATCTTAGTCTTGTTAAACAACGACAGTGCTGAATTTTCTGGACCAGGGAGATCATGCCTTCTGTACCGCCTCAAAGAATTCGACCCCTGCTAGAAGAGTTATGTATGGCATTATTATCTAGCAGAAGGGGCAGATACTTGTTCATTCTTTCCTTGTCAAGTCTTCTCGACAAAAATCCCGTAGATGGGCGAACCTGGATCTGGCAGTGTATACTGTGGCTTTTATAATAAAATTTTAGTATCTGATTATGGGAGTGTCTGGCGTGAGACTATATTTACCTTAGCCCTAAAGTGATAGGCCCTCAGTGTTGCATATAAGGTAGAGCTAAAGGACGATACTACCTTGGGCTGCAGCTAGGGTGCTGTATTGCATATAAGGGTTATATAGATATCGAGCAAATTAGATAGCATCGTATCCTTTTTCCCCAGCTCCCTATAGCCGCTTAGGTCTCTTGGTGTTCGTTTCTGAGGCGACTTCGCCCTATTCCGCTAGTTCAACCGCCAAGTCTAGGCCAACGTATACGCTAGAGGATATTCAGAAGTATTAGGGCTAGACCTCACAATATGCCATCACTAAAATTTCGAGACTAACCATTTCCAAGGCAAGTGTCAAGCATGCCTGCTGGATTTAGCGAATAGTCTTTGAACTCTTCGCAGTCTTGAATCTTATTTTTTTTTTCCGGGATACTAAGGTACACAGGCCGTGTCAGCCCAGTTTGAGATAATAAATCTAGGTCTGAGAGCTGTGCCGGGGGTCCTACGTGAGTTGATGCACTATAAGTCAATATACCCGGTCTAACAAGCGTCGATCTAGCCACTAGGCGCGAACCGACTTTAGCAACGATATGATTAAATTGGTATAATCGGGTACTCAGGACTACCGATACTCTAATATATCCACTAGTTCATTCACTAGCTATTATAAGGTATGCACAAGATTTCATTAGATAGGCAATTCTTAGCATCGAGACGCAGGAATCGGACTCCACTCTCGCTGATTCCCGACTATGACCACCCGACGCCGAGTGGGCCTAGTCAGAGCCCTCCTATTTCTGGGAAGTCGGTTAAGACTCAAAAGCGTCAAGGAAAGAGAAAACGTCGACCACATTCAACTCATGACGGCCATTCACTGGTGAGGTTGAAGCAGGAAAAGATGTCAACGTGGGAAGATGTCACAATTCATGAATCCACCTAACAGCCCACGGCCCTAGCTGTGTCTGCGCTCGATGGGTTCCATCGACTCCACAGGAGTGGCAGGCTCGTGAGAGATCTCGATGGTGGTTTCCTGGTACACGCCGTGGAAAGGGCTCAGCTCCATGTCGTTCTTGGGCACGATATCCTCGGTGGATCCGTCGAAGGGGCTGCGAGGAGCGTCGTTGCCGCCCTCGTGCATACTGTGGCGGAACCGAGAGCCCAGACGGGTTCCTATCCGGAGTGTGTTGCGAGATTTGGATTTGGAGACGGCGTTGGTAGAAATGTGCGTTTGCCAGTGAGAGTCGGTAATGTTGTAGTTGCGGTCGGTCGTGCTGTGTTCGGTATCGAGGAGCAGATGTCGTCGAGTCAGCGTGTACACCAGCACATCGACGGTGCCGGACAACGCCATCAGGGAGCCTGCGATGCCGAAGTAGGTCTTGCTGGGGGCCGCGCCTCGTGCTGTGGCCATGCGGCCGGCGGCGAGCGGCAGCGAGAGAACCAGGTACATCAAGGGGTAGATCACCATGTAGATGACCACGCGGTTCAGTCGGCGGAGACCCTCTTGGTGACCCTGGCGCAGCTTCTTTGCCTGATTCATCTTGCGTCGGAGGTGGAAAAACATGATGGTATAGAGAACGATAGTGCCGAATTCAGAGATGAAGATCCAGATATAGTGTCCCCAGAGACGTTCGTTCTCATGTTCAGGACTCAGCCAACACTGCGGGAGATATTCAATCAGCTTGACACAATCAGAACGCAAAAGAAACACATGGTACACATTCTATCGTACCCAGTTGGCCTCGGAGATAACAAAGACATCGCTGCCATAGAGTCCCACGGGAATGAATCCCAAGAGAAGAATAAACATCCACAGGCCAATGACACAATACACGAAAGTATGGAAAGGCAGCTGGCGACCACGAAGCACGACTGCACCTGTATGCAAGGCGATGGACAAGACGAACAAGCCGCTGCCAGGGTCTCCCGTCTGAATCCACCATCCCTGCAAGTAGCAGGCAGCTTCACCAAAATGCACCCCACCACGGGAAGCCCAGTACAGACTGATCATGAAGGCGATGGCCTGTTGCATATCGACGAGCAGCAGGTTATAGATGAGAACGACATATTGGTTCTGAGCAAGCGGGTTCTTGTAGTATCGTTGCCAGTAGACGAACCGATACGTAAGAAAAGAAAGCAAAGAGACAGTGGAAGCCAGAGAGAAAAGAGCGATCACACCCATGGCAATAAAGAGCGACCGGTCACTGCCCAGGAGGGGAGTTTCATCCCGAAACTCCCAGCGACGACCAAGGGAGCCATCACCGCCAGCGTACATCGAACGCAAGGCGTGAGTGAGCATGGCCATGAGGAGCAGTGTCACCAAAAAAAGAAGGACCGGAGTCAAGCGAATAATGGCACAGTCCTCGATATTAATGAGATCTGGGGCCAGCCCATTACCAAGGCTCTGGTCGCGTAACGGGCCTGCTGTGGCATCATTTTGCTCCACCATTTACTTGCCAAGGAACAAAAAAGCTTGTGGGACTTAGCATCTCAGGGACTATTACTGACTGGTATCGGAAAGAATCCATAGTTTGCGTATTGTGATAGTAGCAAGTCCGGGGGGAAGGACTATTTACTCTTTCAGGAAGATAGTCAACCGAGGCTCTGCTCTGTTTGGCCGGCATAGGTGGTTCCTGAGTGCCTCCCCCACTCCGTATTCAAGCACGCGGGTCAAGGAAGTTTGATGTTCCAAAGAATGCGACGCCGATCGATAGGGAAGCCAAAAAAAAGAGCAACCATTGACTCTTAATGCGAGGTCTGGCAACTCGGCAAGTCACCGTGTTTCCCAAAGGGTCGCTTATAGTATGAAAGTTCCGTGCTGCCAATGCCGCCATTGATGCACCAAGTGGGTTCGCTCGTGTTGGTTTCCGTAATAATAATGATATAGATCCACACAAATGGGCTTCGGAAGGATTGCAGGGTCAACGCTCAGACAGCGCCGAGATCGAAGGACCAGACCTCGGATCCTGGAGGCTGCTGTGCCGTGTGTCGATCCAACCAGATGCTAGAGCGACCTGCCGATCCCTCGACCAATAGGCATTTTGAATTTGACGTTATGCCGCTAGCTTTAGCTCGCTTGGTTGATCGTTTTCTATGCTGGCAGCAACTCATCCGAACTCACAGATTGCCCCGGATCTTCCCCCTCGAGGCCATTTTATATGCTACTAGCAGCAGTTGAACCCCACCTGCTGGAAGTTAAAATGCCTGGCTCATTTTTAGGGGGTTGAGGATTTTGCTTGCCCCTTCAGACAGGGGCTTGTCGTTCCAAATTGACTGTAGAGGGTGCACGGTCTTTGTGTTGGGGTAGAGCCGCGCAAGCATAATTCAAGACGAGATATTCTCCAAGATTACATTCGATCCTCTGATCCGATCGGCGCAAGGCCCAAGGACCATCGATTCATTAGTAGTTCTTTCAAAGAATGCAGAGCGATGTGGGGAAGCGGGTGGCAGTGAGCGTATCAAGAGACAAGTACGACGAATGCTCGAGAGGAGATCTGGAGATCCATCCATGGATGGGCCGATATGAATGACAGTTCAAGTACACTCAGCTGGTCTTAAACCACTTCTCGGGCCTTTTTTCTCAACAGTTGTCTCCGTGGCGCAATAGGTTAGCGCGTCTGACTGTTAATCAGGAGGTTGGAAGTTCGAGCCTTCCCGGGGACGCTTCTTTTTTCGTCATTTTTTCCTCTAGTCATTCATTCTTCATTGATTACTCGTCACTATCTTGATTTTTTTTTCTTATTAAAAAAAAAAAGTTATTTATTCTCCTATAATCTCTAAGTATCAATCGCACCCACCTGTCCAAGTCACGCTGCGTTCCTACAGTGATGTTCCATAAGTTTCGACAACGCCCCACATATCTACACCGCCTATACCGCCTACTAAATATATCAACCCCTGAATTAATATTATCCCCCTTTTTAGAGGCATGGCAGCAGTTAGAATTGAGGCATTTAGAGCATCTCTCAGAGAGTATGCCATATCGTGTTGAAGCTATTATTGAAGGCCAGGGTTGGTATACGCCTTATTAGTCAAATCCATTATTTTTTTCATGTTTTATTTATATTTTTGGACTGGCAGAATATTATATAATATAGGTGATGTGGGTCGGTGTTGTCGAAACTTATGGTACATCACTGTACATCCTAAAAATGCAACCTTGGATACGGCCGCCCACCGGCAAGCCCCAAACATATACTTAGCTCGTTCTGAGTCTAGTAGCAGTACGGTGGATCTACCTCTGATCTGGCAATGCAGCCCATGGGATTTTCGAGACCGCCGGATTGATCGTGTCTCACTCGGCATATGCACCCGGGATTCCCCCGCCTGGTCTGCGTCTTATTGCAGCGTCATCGCTGATGAGAGACAAACTTATTCGGGCAGCGTCAGTCTAAATGTCTAAGACTTTCACCGGATGCAGGACGCCTGAAGAGATCTCGAGGATTGGAATTGGCGGTGCTCAGTTGTAGTAGAGGGATGAAAGAGATATATATATCGAGGCATGAACCGCACTTTGAGGCAAAGATATCAACAAAAAACCCAGGCAATTCACTTCCAGATCTACGATTTGCAACCACTTTTGTTCCAAAAATGAAAGCTACCACTGCTCTGACCTGCGCTTTCCTCGCGGGCCTCCAGCTCGTCGGCGCCGTGCCCGCCCCAGCAGCCAACGCTGCGCAGCAGGTGTCTGTCTCCTACGACACCAACTACGATATCAAGGGAGCGTCTATCGATACCGTCGCCTGTGCCGATGGTGAGAACGGCCTCAAGGGTCGGGGCTATTCCACTCTTGGATCGCTGCCGAAGTTCCCGTTGATCGGTGGCGCCCTCACCATTCCGGGCACCAACAGCCCTAACTGCGGCAAATGTTACCAGTTGCACTACGCCAGCGGCACGGTCGACAAAACCATAAATGTGCTGGCTGTTGACACTGCCCCCGGTGGATTCAACATTGGTCTTGAGGCCATGAACCAGCTGACCGATGGCTCGGCGGAGCAATTGGGCCGGGTGGATGCTACCTATGTCGAGGTGGAGGAAAGTTTGTGTGGAATGTGAATTCGACAAGAGGGAGTTGGGAATTGGGAATAGTGGAATCGTGGAAAACGATCAGAAAGGGGTGATATGAGGGTGATTGGCGTGTATGCGGAAAGACGAAGAGCGGATGCGAGGGACCAGAATGTAATGAGAGAGAAGATAAATGGATGAATGCTTAGTCTACATATCTGTACATGTTTCAATCAAGTGCCTCCAGCATCGCCGAGACACGCCCCAATTTGGCTCGAGGCCTTCCCGTTTCTTTACCCAAGGCCCGTTCCTTCTCGTCGATGCGCTGCCAGTCTTGCCAGGACGTGCGACGGAGGCCGAGGCGCTCGGCCTCGGGCTTCACCCCTCCCAGCCCAGACCGGTACTGGGGTGCGGAGAATTAAGATAAGACCCCTCAATGCCATGGCTGGCCAGGTCTTTGACAATAGCATCAGCGGTGGTAAAGGCATCAGCCATGGTCGAGGCGATGACTCCCGTTGGACCGGTTTTGACCCAGCCGGCACAGTACAACCCAGGTAGGTGTGAGGCTGGCGAGCCGGCAGAAAAGTTCTGGGGATTCACAGACCCAGAGAGAGTTGTGACGCGGCCAACTCCATCATTGGGAATCACACCGCGGAGCTCATCGAATTCGATGCCGAGATCCTGAATATTGGGAAGAGGAAGCGACCGGTAGCCAACGCTCCGAAAAACAATGCTAGCGGGAAGATTAGTCCGTGCGGGCTGTCCACTTTCAGTATATTCGGGGATAGCTTTGGAGCTACGGCTGTAAGGGTTGGCGGGTTCAATGTAGTTGCGGTCAAATTGGACACGAGCGACTTGAGAAGCATCAGGGGTCATCTCAAAAGAGGAGGGCGAAAGGCAAAATTGGAGACTCCATGACTTGCTGGATGTCTCGGGGTTGTTGGTCGATCCTTTGGCCAAAAGCTGAATCAACCGCTTTTGCGCCCTCGGCAGAGCAGAGATGGTCTCTTCTGGTGGAAATAATTCTTTCGGAATGGGCTCAAACGAGACAGATGGCAGCTGCAGCAACTCGCGAACTTCTTTGATGGTAAATGAAGCCTATTCACCTATTATTAGCACCTAGAATAATAAGCAGACCAGCCCTTGTACACACCTGTAGCGGTCCGCGACGCCCAACCACTCGCACCCGCTTGATCCGGCTTTGGGCAAGCGCTGCCAGAGCATAATCGGAAATATCTGTTTTCCGGAGAGCATCGACGTCCGACAGAAGAATGCGAGCGACATCTAGTGCTACGTTTCCGTGCCCGATGATCACCGCATCTTCCCCGCTCGTCAGGTCTGGCTCGAGATCCCGGTGATCGGGAAGGCCATTGTACCATCCTACAAAGGCGCGCGCCGAGTATACATTGCGGCGCGGTTCCTCACCAGGAATCCCAAGGCCTTTATCCCTGGCAGCCCCGTACGCGAAAAGGATGGCGTCGTAGTGGGGCTTGAGCGCGGCAAGCGGCAGATCGTGCCCGAGGGCGATGTTGCCGACAAAATTGAAGCGAGAAGATGTTGCTACTTCCGTAAATTTTTCTTCGCAATTCTGTTTGAACAAAACGTGAGCTCGAGAGCTCACTAAGGCTATTAAAATGTAAATCGCAGTTTTACCAAGAACGCACCTTCACCTCGGGATGGTCCGGGGCAACGCCATATCGGACCAAGCCAAACGGGACGGGGAGCTTCTCATACATATCCACCACTGCATCCTGTTGTTTGGCTAACAGATGGGAGGCAGCGTAGAACCCTGCTGGCCCAGAGCCCACGATCGCGACGCGAAACAGTCGACCGGTCTGAGTGGCATGGCTGTTTAGGCGCTTCGTGGAGGGCAATGAGAAAGGAGAGACATTCCACCGAATAGAACGAGTCAGCCTGGTGCATTGAGCACAAACGAACGCCGGATGCTGGCGCATGGTGTGATGCCAAAAAGTGGCAGTGATATCAGTGAAGATCGTCCCTGAGTCACGTGCAGATCGTTGCCGGGCCGACTATCTGTTGATGACATTCCCTCCTTCGTCCTCGGACATCTCTGACATTTGGCATCTCTGACATTCCTCATCTCCAACATTCCTTTTATTCCAGCTTTATTGTCTCGCGTGGATGCCACGGGAGGCTTCCAGTCGCTACCATGGGGAGATCGTCGCCTCCATTCCTTTACGATCGTCCGTCCACCTACAGCTTCTATGGCCCCACTGATCGCGGCTTTAACCCCAAGGCCGCGACACAGGCGAGCTGGATTCGTGAACAGCCCAAGCCCAAGCAACGAGGCCCATTGGTAAATGTCAATCGCCACCCTGACTCGGTAGGTCTTGCGATGTCCTGCGATTCTTCATCAGACCGAGGCTTACTCGGTTCGCAGTGGGGTAGCTTCGATCAGTCGAAATGGACGCCAATAACGCCAATGAGCCCCAAGATTAAGGATTGGGTTAAGTATGCACGGTCAACCCAGTTTGGCCTGCGAATAGTTACCTTGCTGAGTGCGCTTGCCTCTTTGTTCTGTTCCATCGTCATACAAGGAGTTGCCTCGACAGTTATATGGATCATCCGAGCCGGTGTAAGTGATGGAACCTCCAAAAAGGTTGGATATTATGCTGACGTGTACCAAAGCCTATTGTGGCAGTTCTTCACACAATCTACGGCATCTATCATCTTTCACGCTCTGCTGTTACCCGGCCACCCGCCTCCCAAGCTGGCTACGGGCTTTTTGCCTCGACCCTGGATGCCGGACTGATCCCGTTCTATGTGTTTACAACGTTTATGGCACACGGTCAGTACGCAACTGACGCATATCACTGGGGTACATTATTCAACAACAGCAATGTGACGGTTCAGGTCGCCAAAGCCACCTTCATTTGCGCTATCGTTAACGCAGGATTGCATCTGGTCTCATTCTCCTTATCTATATTCCTCGCAGTCATTTTCCGAAGGATCTCTCACATGCCACCGGATATGAATCCCCTGGAGGACAACCTGACTGCGCGTCCTCTCAGAAATCGCAGACGAATCGAGGCTCATGAGAAGAACCTCAGCGGATCCACACTCAATTCCCATTTGGAGGACCCGCTCATGGAGCAACCTCGCATGGTACCATTTATGCATACACGTGGGCAGTCTATGGAAGGTGATTCCAACCATGGATCTGTGGATATCAATGAGAAGCGGCAGTCTCAAGCATCTTTTCAGCCGCACCGGCTGTCTCACATGGAGCCACCAAGCCCTGAAATGCTATTCCACCAACCGGCCAGCCAGCCATACGATCTCACCTCCCAAGTTCCAGCATCGGGAATTGGTAATGTGGCTATGCGTTCACCCGAGGTAATCGATCCCAGCACACACACGCACCATTTGACCTCGCGGGTTGCCGATCGATCCGACTCTGTGAGCCCACTTTCCGATAATTGGATTGCATATTCCGACCGCTCGCCCTCGCCAGTGAGCGACGTACACAACGAAGACGATGTGCACAATGGAGACACTCCCGATATTCGCCAGTCATCTTCAGTCTACAGTCGGCGCACCAACGTGACAGCGACGTCCACCGGCAGTGGCATCCGAGACTGGTTTGCCTACGGTACAAAGCCCGCACCGAGTATCGGAAGTGTGATCCAAGAAGATACGCGAGGCGAATATGCATCACTCGACACACACGAATACTATGCCAACGAGGATAACGAGCGGGAGCAGGATTTGGGTGACCGGCGCCTCAATATCTTCCCCGACCCCGAAGAACACGATGACACCGATGACAAGCCTGCCGACTCTCTGCCTTTCAACCCACTCATGCTTAATCCTCCTACTCCACAGCCTGTTCTTACTGAGAAACCCGAAAATACTGACCCCGTCCGCCGCATCGCCTTGAGCGACAACCCTAACCTATCCCAAAATCAAAAAGCATATGTGTCTGTTCCCCACGACTCTTCTGATTCCTCGCCGACGAGAACTCGTTTCTATGGGGATTTGGAAGTGGACGGCAAGCCCAGCCTGGACACCTCGCGTCAAGTGAGCGACCAGGGCAAAAATAACCACAAACCATCCAAGCTCTCGAAAAAGCACAGCAAGAAAATATCTGCGTACCAGTCTCTCAAAAAGTACGACAGCGATGGCGAGGACGCCCACCTGTCCCCTAGAATTCCCTCCTCCCCGGCCATGGCCGAGGGTGACCGCAAAGGCCGTGTCGTTAGCAACTCCGGTGCAGACACTCCTCGCTCTGGTCTTGGAGCGGGCGTCGGTGCCTCCCTGTCTTCGTACGGGAGCTACATTGCCGGCCTAGGTGTCGGGCGTCGTCGCGATGTCAGCGGCAAGGTCGCTGAAGAGGGACGCGGTGGCAATGCTGTCGAGGAGCGTCCTAGTCAACCCCAGACTCAGACCCAGAGTCCGAGCTCGAGTCCGACTCGAGCGGCCGGCTGGGCGCGTTTCGCGGGGCTGTGATGGAATTTGAAGGATACCTAGGTTTTTTTTTTCTTGTTATTTGCTTTCAAGGAGTCTACATCTTGAGGATATGTGGCATGTAGCGTGTTTGATTCTTGTTTTATTTCCAGGTCCTGTGTTGACAGGCCTTTTGATGGCTTTTACTCTTTTTTTTTTTTTCTTGGTGTATGACTTGACAAACTGTATGTAGCCCATTTCATTTGAACACATTCATCATAACTGCTTATTGATCATTTCTCGGGACTTGGTGTTTCCAAGTATGCTACATGGTAAAAAGGGGAAAGTATCAACTCGACTAATTTGGTATCTTCGTCACTCTGGCGGACAGGTTCAAGTGATGACCAGACTGACGGCATGTAGACTGGATATTATGTAGCTGACTCTTCCAGAGCCTGAAGATGCCGCACTTCTCCGAAGGCTCCAGCGATTCTTAGGTCTTGCCCGTGCTTTGCAAATTCGTCTCTCGCGCCGTTCTAGCTCAGGCAGGGCCCTTGCGAGATGACGATGCACCGACTATGGCTGGATCATTGGTGAAAACCAACTCGATGCACAAGTCAAGAGGTGGCCCTGACTGGATCGGTATAATCGAATCCAAATGTAGCACGTGATATCATCGTCTAACGACCAGCACGAAGAAGTCGCGCAGTCCAAGGCAGAAGTGCCGTGGGAACGAAAGCGTTTCTTGGGTGACTGAATCCGTGCGAACCCTATAAAGTCACCTAAGAATTCCCGCTCTTTCCATCATGAGGGCACGCCCTCATACTCCCAGCCCTGAATGACACGCTTTCGCCGTCGGGAGTTGCGACGGTTCGCATTGCATTTGACGAACAGCGTCAGAGCGCTGATGATAAAGATCACGATCGCCGCAATAGTAGCAATCAGCACGGTCTTGCGTTGCAGCTGCTGTGGATCTGCTGCGTAGGGACATCTGGCGCGTGGGCCCCCAGTGACCCAACAAGAGACAATGTCGATGGAGTTGAGGTCGAGGTAAATCTCGCGCAGAGCGGGATTTGTGGAGGTGGGGTCAATTGTAGTCGGTGACTGGTCGAGCAGGTGTTTGTAGAGGTATGTGTTTTCCAGACTGGTTCGTGGCACAGCCAAGGTAGAACCATCGGGACAGCTCTTGGAGACGTTGGAGAAGTAGTCGGAAGAACTAGACAGTTCCCATGAGAAGGGTGAGTGGCCCACGCGACAGGCGCCACGTCGCTGATTTGTACAGTCGACTGCGCGCCAGCGACCATTCAGAGATACATCCATGATAGCACAGCGGTAGGGCGCGAGTTGATTATCAGAGTTACCGCCGGCATCTGCCCCAAGGGGCTCACCAATCGCCCAGGCCCAAGCTGTCGATAAAGAGACATTACAGTAATGGGCGACGTTGGCGTCAGCTGTTTGGCCGAAAAGCGTGTTGTTGAGTAATGGCGACAGACCACACGCGGTGATCCCGGATATAGAATCAGCCAAAGATCCCATAGTCTCATCCGTGGACAAGCCGTCCTTGACGGGAATGCGGCTGGTACCTGCCCATGACGTGTTTGCTTGGGAAACGTCCGTCGCCCCAGGACGGTAAAGACAGCCGGATGTCAAACTGCCATTCGAGGCCGCAGAGATATCTACCTTCGAGGTCATAGACCCCGGCGGGAAAATTGCATTTTCATCCTCGGACAGATCATACTCTGCCAGCTGGGGGTCGACGGAGCCGTATTCAATAAGAACGCGGTCACGCTTCGCCAACTGGATGTATTTCGCTGATGGCCATCCGTCCGGCGTACTCTGCTGACCTGCCTTGTTTTCATGCACTGTAAAATACTCCGTGATGGGCATGTAGCTCTGGCTGACCTTATACCAGGATTCGTTGAGGTTGCTTCGGTCCTTAGCAAGCTGAACCGGGCTGTAGATAAAGTCCCGCAGAGTCATGCCGAGATATGAGCCTGCACGCTCTGTCTGCGTCTTGGGCAGCTTGTCCCCTGTGATGGCAGGGACTGGATCGTTTGGCGCAGAAGAACTCGCGGCAACATGCAGATTCAGGACAAGGTAGGTCGTGTATACGACCAGCTGATTGGTGGTGTCTTGGAAGTATCCGACAAGCACCTCGGCCAGAGTTTCCAAGTCAAGGTTGCTGGTGCACCGGTATTTGCCAAGCGCAAAGACCGTATCTCCATGGGAATCTTCAGTCCCTGTGATGACCGGCGGGGCCGTATCTGAGGCCGTCGTGGTTTCGGCTGTGGTCATGGTCGAGGTCTCAGAAGATTCAGTGGCAGTGGATGTAAAAGAAGAGACAGTCACATCGGCCCTAGCCGGGATAGAGACGGGGCAGAAGCTCCATTTCCTGCGTTCCACCGACCAATACAGGTCGAGCACGAGTCGCCGGTAGCCGACGGCAAGAAGGTTGGATATACATTTCGCGGCGGCTTCTCGATCATACAAGCCATCACCGAAGCAGGCAGCCGACAGCGACACAGCCGGATTCGTCACGAAATTGATAGGGATCTGGCCCGCGACATCTCGTTCGCTCTGGATGGTTCATTATGAGCCAGGGCGGTTTCGCCGGGGACTGAGCGTGCTCACCAACAAAACAGCCACCCAAGTAGCATCGACAAGGGTGGCCTCCGGGTCATATTTGACAGACATGAGCGCTGCGCGTCCAGCGCATTGTGGCTGGAGAGAGAGACTGATGCGCGCGAGAAGAACCCGCGAGGCCAAGGGCGGAGCGCCGATCACCTGAGTCGATCTGGCCACTTCAACTTTCTTTCTTTCACCACCCCCCCTGTCCCAACTCGCTCACTCTTCTACGACTCTTTCTTTTCTTTTCTTCTTGTATTCAACGCTTCTTGTTCCAATCACCGTATCCAGCACCATGGCCGCGCCCGGCCAGCCATCCCCCCAGCAGATGGCGGCCATGCAACAGCAGTTCGCCGCCGAGGCCGCCAAACGAGGGATGACGCCCGAGCAATTCGCCCAGAAGCAGCGCGAACAGCTGACCGCCGACGCCGCTAAGCTTGGTCTCAGCCCCGAGGAATATGTCTCGCAGTTGCGGGCGCGAGCAATGCAAGCACACCAGCAGCAGATGGAGGCTCAGCAACAGGGCCAAACATCAGCGCAGTCGGACGACGAGCAGTCGCAAGCGCCTGCGACCCAGCAGCAACAGCAGCAGCAAACACATCAAGTGCCCGTCACCCCGGGCAGCCCACCGGATCCCAAAGCGCTGGCCGTGGCCAACTTCCTGCGGTCGCAGAACCTGAAGCCGAGGACATGTATTATGGACGGGCAGCGGAAGGACATGTTCAAGGGTAAGATTGCCATCGGCATGTCGAATACCCAGGCAGTATATCGGTAACTGACAATCTTGGGCGGTTTACAGTCAAGCGAGCCATTCGCGCGATCGAATCCCCCGCCTACGCCAAAGCCGCCGGCAAGAAGAACTCCCTCCTCCCGCCCGTGACCGACCGCGCTTCGGCCGAGAACGTATTCAAGCTGCTCCCGCTGTCCCTGCTGGCGCTGCGCGTCACCAAGGTCGACCCGCATGAGGGCCACAACCACGCCAAGCCCAAGAACCGCGTCAAGGGCCTGTGGACTGTCAAGATCGAGCAGCACCAGGACACAGAACCCATGATGCACTACGTTTGGCTGTACGAGGGCCCGCAGTGGAAGCAGAAGGCCATGGCGGCTGCCGTCGTCGCCGGTATCTTCGCCGTGGTCCTCTTCCCGTTGTGGCCCATGATCCTGCGCCAGGGTGTCTGGTACCTGAGTGTAGGCATGATGGGGCTGCTGGGTCTCTTCTTCGCCATGTCGATCTTCCGTCTGATTCTTTTCTGTGTCACTGTCTTCGTGGTGCCGCCCGGTCTCTGGCTGTACCCCAATCTCTTCGAGGATGTCGGGTTCTTTGATAGCTTCAAGCCTCTGTGGGGCTGGCAAGAGGTATGTTCCTTTTCCTTATCGGCCGCAGTCCCCGTACTCACGTTTCTTATTTACAGACCAAGAAGAGCAAAAAATCCAGCAAAAAATCTAAAGTCTCCGAATCTGCCCCAACCACAGACGCTGCGCCGTCAGCAACGACCACCTCCGCGGAACCCGCATCCACCTCGTCCGCCGCACCCGTGAAACGAGATTTGACGGCCCGCGTGGAAGAAGTGGAGGAGTAGAGCAGGGGGTGTAGCGGCAAGGATTTGTATTTGGAAGAAAAAAAATATCCCACCAAGGCCCCTGTCAGGTCTGCTGTGGCTAGGAGCTAGGTTGACTTGGAAGATAACCTTAACTCTGATCTTGCACATCTCTTTTCCTTCGGGCTCCTTTGTATTTCACTGTCATAGTCCGGCGTTTTTTATTATAACACTCGCGTTCATCATTGCATAAACCCTGGTTTCTTTTTTTGTTTTATATCGTCTTAGTATATCACCAGAATCGATTTGAGATGACTCGCTTCTTATGCGCTTTTTTTCGTATATAGTCTAACAAATGACAGTTGAAGCAATCCATGAGGCGTAAACAAATATAAATGCAAACATTCAGTTCTAAAGCAGAGGAAGTAATGGGTATATATACACGCGCAGAGAGATAAAACATAAGATCAAGATAATGAAACACATGACTCGAAATGAAAAGAAGAAAAACTACAAGAAAAGAAACCGAGAGCAAAGAAAAGAAGACAGCGCCAAAAAATGGACACAAACGCAGGGATTTTCGAAAGTAGCCACAAGACAAATCGGACAGTTTCTGGGTGTAAATCACTTCAGCCAGATGAGATTTTGCGAGAGGGGGTATTGTGGGTGGAAAAATGCATGAATGAGAGAAAAAATAGTAATAAGAACAGAGAGGAAGGGTAATAAATGGTCGAGATGAAAGCGCGGTTGTCAGGTATATACCAAGTATAGACCATCGTCGTAAGTATAAGGTCGCTCGGATAGCAGACGGGCAAGAGCGGTTGATGCACGGCAGTAGAGCAAGCAAACCAGGGAGTCTACTCCCCGCCAAAGAGAATCCTCGAATGCCTAGCAGCAGCCTTGGAGCTATTTTTCGTCAATTTGCCCGAAGACGGCGGAGGAATGCCAGACACAACCCCGCTCTTTGGCCGGTCACGAACCTGGTCCTGCACATACTGATAAAACCGGTCCGAGGGAGATGAAGAGTACCAAGGAGCCGGTGCCGGCGCCTGCGCAGTAGTCGGAGACGGGATCTTCGGCAGAGGGCAGGTGGGAGGAGGGGCGGATGGAGGTCCCATAGACAGGCCGGGCATGCTCTTCCGGCGAGACATGTTCGATGCGTCTTTGTCGGTATACAGGCTGGAGACGCGGGTGCGTGGTGTTGAGTCGACAGGATGAGCCATAGTCTGGGGTTGGGACTGGGGCTCGATGTTCATCTGGAGACCGAGTTCGGATCGGAACACCAAGCTTTGGGGGCGGGAGGACGGAGGAGATACGGTATCGGGGGCGGTTGCTCGGGGGACACGGGAGAAATTCGGGGCATGGCTGGACCGCGCGGTCTTTGCTAGCACGTCCTCGGAGTTGGACATGCGCAGAGTGCGTCTGCCGGTGCCATCGCGGGCGCCAGGCGCCTCCGAGGATTCAGTGTGCCGCGAGCTGGCCACACTGTAAGTGGGAGATTGTGGAGGCGAGGAGAAGGTGGAAAGGTTTGGGTCGATGGACGCGTCCGCTCGACGAGCGACGCCGGCTGAAGTCGAGGGCGGCGAAACCTGGGGGCTCGTAATCGGCCCCCCTCGGGTGACGAATTTCTTGCTGAATGAAGGGACGCTGAAGTTGGGCGCAGGGGGAGATGTGCTCCGAACGAAAGTGTTGGGGATGTTGGATAGCGGATGACCAGGCTGCGCAGTCTCGCTGTGGGCGGTAGTGGGAGGAGACTGAGGGTTGGGTGACATGTACACCGATTGGCGTTTCGGTTGGGCCGAGGAGGGTGGACTGCGCGTGTAGCCTTGTTCTGGCAGAGGCTCTTCTGAGGTGAACGAGCCATTTCGCATCGGGGGCGAACTGGTAGGATTGGTCGAGGTGAAGGACGGAGTGCGCATATCTTTGGTCATCAATGCCGGACCGGTCCCGTTGGGCGCTGTAGCTTCAGTCCGACTCGTAGACACAGACCCGGAGCGCGAACCGATCATCGAGCGCCGATTGACAGAAACATAGGAGCTTCTCCGGGACTGCCACGTCAAGCCGCCGACGGACTGACCGTCTTCATCCTCCTCGGGAGGGCGCAAGGTTTGCGGCTGGAGAAACAAGCTCGAGATGCGATGCGGATCCTTCTTCACCGTCTGGCGCACGCTCGATTTGACGCGCAGGCGAGGCTCCGCATCATCATCCGAGTGCTTCTCCGCGGTAAACTTGGGCCCTCCCCGGGCCTCGATTTCGGCCCGGACAGCCGTCAGCCAGGAGATCATGGCATCGGGGTTATCAAAAACCAAAAGAAAACTGCGTGCAAGTCGTCGTGCGTTCGATCGGTGAAAACCAAAGCGCGAGAATCGGGGTTTGGGCGGTTCAGGAGCGGGAGAGGCATCGGCAGTCGGGTTATGAGATATTTGAAGCACCCAGTGTTTACCGGGAATGGCATCACTGGCAAACGCAACCGATTGCGGACCGAGTTGGAGCATTTTTTCCGGGAGTCGATCGTGTTTTCCGTCGCCCGCATACTGGAGGATGAATCCAGCGGTAGTAAGCACGTAGATCTTTTTCGACCATTCCACCTTGTTAATTGTGCCCGATAACGTCCGTAAATGTTTTCTCTGTCTTTGCTCCCTCTTTTTTCGGGCATCATCAGGCTCGCCCCGACCTAATGAGCCACGGGGCGCATCCTCAGAGGCTTTCCCCGCGGTCTCGTGAAGACGCAGGATCGAATCTGCGGATACCGCGGGCGCCAAGAGGCAGTCGTGCTTGTAGGACTGGGGATATGCCTGAAACAGCGGGGGAGGCTTCCACCCGTATTGTTCCTGGGAGGAAACAAGCTCAGGTTTCGGCCGCGCCGTCTTCAGTGTCAGCCGTGGTTGTTGTGATGTTGGGGAGGTCAGGGTTGCGGCCGAGGCGACGGTGCGCGGAGAAGCCAATCCAGTCGACATGGTGTCATCGGCCTGAGTTGGTGGCTGGATTTCCTCGATCTCCATCAATGTGGTCTCCGGGGCTCGTGAGGATTTATCGCGACCAAACAGGCTGCGCAGGCTGGTCTTGGAAGATTGACGCTTAACGGGACTCTGCAGTGGAACGGGGTTTTCAGAGCCATTGGTACTCGGGTAATCGGTTGGCCGGGGACGCTGCAATCGAGATTGCTGAGACTGGGCCAATTGAGCAGCTGTTGGTCGGCTGAAGTTGGTCTGTAATGGGGCCAGTCGATGTCCTCGGCGCTCGCCGATGGACGGTTGCTCGTCCTGAGTCATGGTTGGGGGCAGGTTGGGGGGGTCGAGAACCTTGAGATGTAGGATGGAGAGATATATATTTCAACGGTCGCGAATGACTCGTACCATGGCCTTTGTATCATCCACCAGACCCCAAATCCAAGAAAATAAAAAGAAATCCAAATTCCAAAAAAAAAGGGCAGGCAAGGATCATCGCAGAACGTGGCTGCACGACCGTTGCCCCAACGTCATCACAGGGCCACCCGGCGTTCCAGCAGACAGCCGGACGATGCAGGGGACTGGGGAGTATAGAAGGGGAGGGGGGGAACAGAGATAGAAAAAGAGAAAGAGAGGCAGAGAGAGTCAGGAGAAACGGGGACAAGGGGAGTTCCCATTCAGACTAGCCGAGTGGGGGGATCTACTACGCGTTGGGATGTGATGAACGTGGTCACAATACTGAAGAATCAACATAGAAATGGGTAAGATTGAGATGATTGAGATGTACTCTACTCAGGATGCTCAGTAACAAGTATACCAAGGAACCACTCCCCAGACACTCACATCCCATCTCAACTCGGCCTCTGATCCGACTGAACGGCGAGCTCCACTCTCCACGTTAGACGTTAAGAGGTCCGTGAGAGACCATCTTTTGCTTGGGGTGATCAAGGACTTGGCCCGCACTTCAATCCTTGTCCGGTCTCAACTGCTCCCATCAGCCCGGCCCCGTTGTCGCAGTGCTGGGCCATGGCGATATCCTTGTGAGTCAGACCGCGCGGACGATGTGTCGTCCAGTGGACATCAACTGAACCGATGCGCTGCTCGAGTCAGCCGAAACGGTAATCATCCATGGAGATCTCCGCGGCGTCATCTTCTCATCAGGGTTGACTTACCACCGTCATGGTTGGATGATGTTTCTTCGATGAGCTCTCCGATGCAATGAGGTTGACAAATGACTACGGGTTCCAGAGTTGTCAACCACCTTATCTCCCTTTCCCCTAACGGAACAAGAACAAACAGGCGCAATATCCAACAGAGGACCTCGGGAAGCGGATCTCTTGGGATGACTCACCACCGCCTTGAAATAGCTTTTGAAGTGAAACGTCTTGGTTACCGCCATCCCTTCGGCGTCCAGCGCCCATCCTTGCTGCAGGAGACTCTGTGTGTCCAGCCCCAACCGTTGCGGGTCTTCACCCTCGGCAAATCGGGGGGTGGAAGACGCCATTCGGAGCTGCGAGACGGGGCCGGGGACGCGCAGATGCGTCGAGACAGACAGAGAGGATGCTACATTCGGTGTGCGCAGTGTGCAGGAGAGAAGTCTCGGACAAAATCGTGGGAGACCCATCGTGTGGGCGATGTTGCGAGGCAGCAAGTGGTGTCCCTGAGGGTTTTCGAGACTGGCCATCCCCAATCGACCTCCGATTCTGCTCGGTGCACAGACCAGTTGGGGTAATCTTATCGTCCGCGGAGAGAGTCGAAGAATCGAAGAATCTCCAAACCATCGAATTGTCTCCGAGACACGCAGGCGCAGGACCGAGACATGCCAGATGTGTCACCACTTTTTCATGCACCCGGGGTCACTGAGACTATACTGGAATCACAGCCTACGGTCTATACTGGGATGATACTGAAGCAACAGGCCATGTCTCATTCGGAAGCTAATCGATAGAATTCGTATCCGGCACTGTGCCGAAGCCCATTAACGTACATTTCATCCCATCGTCCACCGAAAACAGGGGAAACATAAGCCATTAAGTATGTTGCCCGCGCCCACACCTCCCCCTCCCCGCGACAAATCCTGCCTGGGGGGATGAGACCGGAGCATGGGGGTCGGGAAGTAAAGCATAGCCAGCCACGCACTGCGCAAGGGTTCATGCCGTCGAAAAAAAAAAAGATGCTCAAAGAAGAAATGTGGAAATCATCATATATTTCCGTGGCAAGTAGCAAGTCCCACCGTCATCACAATCATCCGACACCCGTGGGTGTAGTTTCAGCTGCCGCTGATGGACTGGTGCCCTATGCTTCCACACTGTTGCGACGCGAGTTGGCTCGCGAGTTGGCGCGAGAATTCGCACGAGAGTTGACGCGCGATCCGGCACGGCTGCCAAGAGTTGGGCGGATGCGGAGGTCCTGCTGGGAGCGCGCATACGAGTTGGCGCGCGACGCATCGGGCACCTTGGATCGTCGTCGGCCATGGATCTGAATGTCCATCCGAGCCTCTGAAAGTTGCTGTGCGAATGGCGACCGCTTGCGTAGTGTGGGGCCCTTCCAGTAGATGATGTAGACTGCGACCACGAGGGGCACCGAAATACAGACTGTAGAAATATTGTCAGCGCATTGTGTCTTGACCAAGGAAGAAACAGCAGGGGCAACCGGTATGACATACAGAGAATAGTCGATGCGTATTCGAGATGGTACTTGCCGCCAATATCTGTCAGACAAAGGTTAGTCAAGGCCCAAGCCATCTTTGAGAGGGAAGAGGAGATTACTGACTCGTGAAGAACGGCGTGGCCGGGATGGTGAGCACACCAGCCAAGAAGTCTCGCGACCATCCATTGCCACCAGTCGCGGATGCAGAGTACGGTCCGTAGGCGCAGATCATGTAGTCGATGGTGGCCATGTAGATCGCGAAGTTGGCAATGCCAATGATGGCCGCGAAGATCATGGACCCAATCCAGTGGCACTGAGGCAAACTGGTCCAGGCAAAGCCAATCAGGCCAATTGGCAGGCAGGGAGCAGTATATAACAGGAACCACAGACGTGACTCGTATTGTGCCCGCTCGCTTTCGGGGTTTTCGCGTCGCTCGACGATGTTGCGGCGGATCACCGGGAACCACATGAGCCAGGCAATAACGTAACCGACGAGGATGGGAATGAAGGCAAGTCCCTTCTCCCAAGTGTTGAATCCCCATTGACCGTACACGAGCGAAAGTGACTGGATGAACATGAAAATCAGAGCATCACTGAAGCCACTGAGCAAAGAGAGTGTCATCACAATCGGCTCCGTCAAGAACATGCGGAAGGGCCGAGTCCAGGTCACGACAAGCTCTGAGGGCGGGAATCGCTCTCGGAACGACATGCCTTCGGTGGGACCGTAGATGTTAGGGTTTTCACCACTCTCGCGCATCTTCTTGGCGATTCGATCCATGAGGACCGTGGTTCTTGTCTCCGGAACGAAGAAGAAGTGCGCAACTTGAACGAAGCCACCGAAAATCAGCTGGATCCACATACTCCATCGCCAGGGAAGGAAGGCCTCGACAAATCCACCGATGACGGGTCCCAGAATGGATCCACCGACAGAGGAAAACACCACAGCCGCAACAGCGTACTGCTGGGTGTCTGCTTCCCACATGTCTGCAATCATTCCCAGAGTAACGGAGCCACCAGCCGATGACAGACCACCGAGGGCACGACCAACCATGATGGAGGCGAAGTTGGGTGCCAGAGCCACAGGAAGTTGCCAGACGTTGACGAGGAAGAGCGACAGTTGGAGGATTGGTTTGCGACCAAGCTCCTCACTCCATGGAGCCCACAGCTCACAACCAAAGGCGTAGAGAACCAGGAAAATCATGGCACCACATCTAGCAGCTTGCTTTGAGATGCCGAATTCTTCAGAAATTCCACCCAGACCGTTGGAGTACAGCGAAGTGTTGAAGTTCATAGATGTCTGCACCAGGAAGATCACGGTGATGATCGTCCATTTCTTCCACTCAGGGAATGTATAGCCCAGCTGGTCGTAGCACATGTCTTCAGTGAGCTCAATGCGACCCGAGGGAGATGCATGTTCGAGCTGCGCATCCTTGTCCTCATTTTTCTCACCCACAGGGACATCAACGATGGCATCAGCCTGGGTTGCACTGGATGCCTCTGATGCATGCACTGCATCGGCACCCGTCCCCAGCTTCTCCTGGGGATTCGACATGACGGTCTGAGGGATGATCAGCAAAGAGCTTTCTCTAGGGGAGAATCAGGACCACTGCATACATACAATGGAAACAGGAACCGATCAGGATTCAGGCTTGGGAACAAACTGGTCAATCAGACCAGCAAACAAGTGGATGAACCCCAGAAGAACAAAGATGAAGAGAGGCGGAGATGTGGAGATGGAGAGGGGGGCAGGAGGGAGGCTACGTTATATACGTCCGACCCCAAAGAGGGCAGGCACAATGCAACGGCAGGAGCCACTCACATGGCCGCCTCAGGCCCCATTTTACGCCCGGCACATCCCCAGACTTTCCTCTGGGATTCTCCAGATATTCCTCGCCGCTAGGTTTCCTTTTGGCTCACCGGACGGGATGCCGACTGATCGTTTCCCCGTGGGTTACGCATACCCACTTTTCTCATGCGCCCCAGACCAGGCCCCCAATCCCCAGGCTGAATGCTCATCGGGTAGGCAGGGCACCATGAATGCGCTAGACCTGCTGGAAAAATGCTAATACCGGACCACAGGCTTCCATTGCATATTGATTCTGCCCCCAAAAACACACTGCAAAGGGGTTGCGTGATGGAAGTGCCGGATTGAGGGACTCCACGAGTCCCCAACACCAAAACCCGCAACTGGATTGCCGGCTCCACTTTAGAGGGGCCTATGACTGATGGCCGATGCATTGTTTCCGTACCAGGTTTGAATCCCTTCGAGTTCCCCGAGGGCTACCGAAAGATGCCGCTCTGGATGCCGTTCTGGGCCGATATAGCGGGCCCCTTTACCTGCTTCGGGCCAGGCCAAGCAATGGGGCCACGCCGAGGGCCGCTGGCACTTCTGCATGCAACTTCTACATTGACAGCCCTAATTGATTGAGAAAGCTGCTCCTGTCAAGACAGCATCTCAGCACATGCCAGTGCCCCGCGACTTGAGGAGTCGGAACTGTTGCCAACGCCCGGTCCGCATGGTTCCCCATCCAGAATACATGTACATTCTGTGACATGCGTGACGAGATTGACTTACATGAAAATTACTGGGACAGAAAAAAAAAAAAATAGCGCGGACAGACCCCGAACCACCCCCTGACCAAGTCGATGCCAGCTTGGGCAAGTCTTGCTTGTGAACCACTCCCACAGTGACGTCAAGAGGGGGCGAAAAGTACGTATCAGACCCGAGACTCGTTCATGCCTAGGAGCAGGCAGGTACAGCGGCCGGAGCGGCCTAAGAAGCCCAAGGCGCGGTCGATTACAGACGTGGCGCTCGGCGATCGGCAACCAAGCAGGGGGCCCCAAATCTTGTCTTGACCCGGAGGGTTACTTTGCGACAACTGCACAGATCGCAAAATCCATGTCCGTCAGATCCTTCGATCTGCAGAAAACATGCCCTGATCGTTTTGTCCCGTTTAGCATTCCAGAAAGATGGTACCGAAGCGTGTCAACATGTCAACCACACGGACAATAGTATCGCAATCCCTTGCAGACCCCGATTGTCCATGCGGTGTTTCGCATTCTTCGACCCCAAATTTCCCCATCCATCGAGACTGGGGAAAAAGCTTTTGACTGAGTTTTGGAGGGGTCCACCACGTCACATTGAAAGTGGACCGTCGTCTATTCTACAGTCTACACATGTCCGTCCGGAAACAACCACCACTACAGCCCCAGACTCGGTAGGCAAAATACGATCTGGCGCACATGGTCATGTCGCTGGGATCGGCATCTGACTCAAACAGCCACGCGAGCCTTGCGGGATGATTCTCCCAAGAAGAGATTGGGGGTTTTCAACTCAGTCTACTCACCTCTTATATACAGAACCAAAGCGGATCGAGAAAAAAACTTTGTTGGCACCACCCGCCCCACCCGGACATGCCGGATGGTTCGGGCTGTACCTGTCGCCCTGTGGAAGTTGCCTTACACGGCGATGTGGCTTGATCCGACCCTGGCACGCCAAGTCTGGCCCAGGCTCTCGCAACCCCTGAGGGATTGAAACTGGTTGCACTGGGTGTCGTCGGATTGCGAATTGCGCCGGCATAATACCTCACTTACAAATGGCATTTTTCGTGCACTCGAGGCCTTGTGCCGCGCGATAGTGTTTTCTGTGTCTTTGATCCGAACTGAATTTTGTACGCCCTTGTAGTTGACCACGTGAGCATTGAGGCCTCACGCATACATACACCGTTTGCAGAGAGTCATGTGACCATACCCCGCGATCGTATGATGAGTCAGCCGGCCATCATCATCCATGCTTCAAGTCACCAAAGCTTCAAGTCACTCACCTTGCAAACAATTCGATCGCGATGCCACCTGACCTGAACTCACTCCCTCCATCTCGTTCATCCTCCTCTTCTTCATCTCTCCCACACCGCAGCATCCCCCCTGCTTCACCGGGCACTGCACCAGTGACAGTGAACACCACCTCCCCTCGGCCTTCTCGCGGGTCCAGCATAGGACGACTATCGGTTTCCGAGCGACGCCGGTCAGCCGGGATGACTCTAAACCCGAACGAGTCCTCGGGCTCAGGTTCGGGAAATCCCGGCGACGTCCCGCTGTCCGACTACCGCTCATCCATTGGGCATGCATTCCGCACGGCCAGTCCGTCCAGCCACGGCAGCCCGGTCTTCCCGACTGCGGATCCGCATCACCACCGCGCACCTTCACTGGGAGAGCTCCACCAGGAGCTGGAGCAAGAGCAAGAAGCCCAAGTGGTGGGTCCCCCCCTTTTGTCATTGTTTTTACACTAGAACCCAATTTCATGAAGAAAAGCATATGCTAAACTTTGTCTCAACGGTAGAATCGGCTTCTGCAGATGATCCGCAGCCAACAGGCCCAGCTCCAGCAACTTCAAGGCCAGCAACAACACCAGAACCCCCAGGCTGCTCAATCAGCTTCTGGGACGGCTGTTGTCGATGATTTCGCCCCGTCGTCGGAACGATCCTCTTCATACTTGGCCTCAGTCCCTCTTCCTGCGGGGACGGGGGCTGGTAACCGACTATCCATCTCCTCGGTGTCGAACCGCCGGCCGTCACGGGCATCCAGCCAGGCGCCATCCCCAAACCTGCGCCCGTTCGATGCCACGCGAGGGACGGAGGGTGTAGAAGCATTTCCGGGGTTGCCACACAGTTCTTCTCGGCGAGGAAGTCGGGATGAAAGCGCATTTTACCAGGCGGAGGCGAGCATGCTGAGTCGAGAAAATCAGATGCTGCGTCAAAGAATTCGCGAATTAGGTAAGTGTCCAAATGGTACTTCTTATTTATTATTATTATTATTCTTCTTCTTCTTCTTCTTCTTTTCGGGGTCAATTATTCGCGCCATACTTGTCGGCGGAAGACTCCCCTCCGAAGTGGAGACCTTATGAGTTCTTTTTTATTTTTCATTTGGGCATCCCTGCTGACTCGACCACAGAACGTCAAATTGGAGACCTGACAAACTCCACACGACCCTCTGCTTCTCCAGCAACCGGATTAGGTCTGGTGTCCGGGCAAGAGGGGGCCGAAGCTGCGGGCCCACCTCCTGTGGGATCGACGCGAGATGGCAAAGAATGAAAACCCGCACGTTGCGAGCGTTTTTCGGCTGCCAGCCTCGCCCATTAGAGCGGTGATTGGCGTGCCCGGGCTTTCCTGTACATATCCCCCCACCATTCATTCATTTCATTGCAGTGTATTGATTGACACGATGGAAGCAGCAGCGAAGGTCACGTCCCAGACGAGCAGCCTTCTGCGCCCTCTTGGCATCTAGGCTGAAGGATCTCATACCTTGACACTTCCTCCTCATCTTGCTCGTCTTGACCCTTCACTCTGGGATCATCCTACAATGACTCGAGGGATGTGACTCCTAGAATTTTTCATGTTCTTTCTGCCTCGTGGACTTTGCCCTCCCCCTTTCTTGACTCGAGTTGTAGCCCGACGATATTAATCTCGCTGCCTTCTTTGTTGACTTGTTGGGGCTTAGGGATTCTGATCGCCTATTCAGGTTTCTAGGACATCAAGATGCGGTATTATGCTGTGGCAGTTCACAGTGCCCAGATTATGTGACGAGGTCCCAGTCCTAATGCAGATGTGTTGCAATGCCCATGCACAGAGGGAGAGTCGGTTCTGTATTCCATCTCATGTACTCATATGCGGGAACCAAAAACAATGCAAATAAGATCTTGTTTGTAGACAGAACTTCTTCTACTGTAACAAGCTACAAATTAAACCAAAAGTAAGAAAAGGAAACATGGAAGTTCATATTTCATACACAGCAGTAGCAGAGCAGAGCATGATAACACGGTAGAGTAACGTACAAGATCCTTCCAAGACAGACAATGGCAGAAAAGATATATTCATCTATCACAGGCGCTAGACCGTTCGAAACCCAACACAAAAAAAAAAAGAAAAGAAAAACCCCTGTCCAACCAGGAACAGAAGACAGAGGGAGAGAGAGAGAGAGAGAGAGACATAGACCCAATGCATGCAACAGAAAAGGGGAATAAGAGGACTACAGCTTGGCCTTCTCGACCTGGGCGGCCAGGTCAGGCATGAGGAGGTCGCGCAGTTCGGTGGCGGCCTCGTTCAGGAAGTAGCTCATGCGGTGGGCGCCGAGGCGCTTGCAGACGATGTTGAAGTTGAGACTAGGATGTTGTTAGTATAATAGAAAGCAAATGATAATAGCGAATAGGGGAGAAGGAGAGGAGTGAGAAGGGGGAAATACCTGTTCTCGTTGATCATGTAGGCAATACCGAAGCCATCGTCAATAACCTGGCTCCAGCCATAGCCATTGAAGTACTCAGAGCTGAGCTGGGAGGTGGAAAGATACCAAGAGCCAGAGTAGGCGTAGGCAGGGTCCTCGTACAGAGCGGGCAGTTTCTCGCCGGGTTGCAGCAGCTTCTTGAGACCGAATAGGTGGCGGTCAACACCGCGGGCATCGCTGGCCTCGAGCGTGTACTTGGTGTGCTGGGCGAGGGCGGCGCGGAAGAGCTTGACGACCTCCTCGCGGGACACGGCGGCGTCATGATGCGCGCGGCAGAAGGCCACGCTCTCGTCGGAGACGGTGCGCGTGGTCTCGGTGCGGCCCTCCTGGAACTTGCGTGTCGACGCCGACTCGTACGTCGGGCGGTTCTGGCCGTACATCTTGAAGTAGGCCAGCTGGATGACCATCTGCACGTATGCGTCAGGGCTGCACTTGAACTTCTTGATCAGGCCCTTGCCGTAGCCCTGGAAGGCCTGCACGACCAGCTCGTGCGAGGCAATCTGCTTGCGGTGGTACTGGGCCGCAACGTCGACGGCCTCGTTGGTCTCGTCGTTCAGATGGAAGTTCACTGCCTTGGGGTCGGGCAGCTGTGAGCGCACCGACTTCTCCGAAAGATCAATGCGCTTGTTGAAGATCAGGTCGTTGACGAAGTCGTTCAGCCGGTGGGTCGGCGTGCCGTCCATCATGCTGTGCTCGCCCATGAACCCGGCTGTGCCGTTGTCATTGACGATGAACTGCAGCGGCTTGTCGAACCAGCGGTTGCTACCATCGCCGTGCCAGTACTGGTGCGCGCGCTCCTCCAGGGTCACGGGCTTGGCGTCGTCCAGACAGATCAGGAACCCGGCCGACTCGATGTCGCGCAGCGCTTGCTCGTTGGCCGGGTCGGCAGCCACGAGCTTCTTGCGCGCGGCAGTCCAGTGATCGCGGTCCGCCACGGTCAACACGCCGACCGGCGGCGAGGGCTGGGCGATCTCATAAATGCGCTGGTACTGCTTCTCCAGCTCCGACACGTTCAGCTGTTGCCCGTCCACGACGAGTGGCACCTTGAAGAACTGGTTCTTGCGCACGGCAATGATGTGCTGGTTCTCCTGCGCGGCAAACTTGCGCGGGAAGTCCTCACCGTCGGAGGGAATGCGACAGCAGTTGAACATGTACTCGTACGAGCTCATGGCCATGGGCTGGCCGCGCATGTATTCCGGCTCCAGTGACCCGTCATCAACCTGGCGCTTGAACTCCAGCGCAGATGAGGTAATCGCCGCAGCACGCTTGGCCGGGTTGCGACGCTCGCGATCGTCGCGGTAGGAATAGAAGTACGAGACGTAGGGAATGACGGGGTCGCGGTAGCCTAGGTAGGCGGCCTGGTTCCACCACTCGGCCAGCCAATTCTTGATCTTAGGGTCGGCGGCGCGCGCCTGCAGTCGCTTCTGCAGCGTCTCACCTTGGCCGCCGGGCTGAATGAACGCCTCAACGGCGTTCTTGGTGCGCTCGTACTCGGCCTCGGAGACCAGCGGGTGGACGGATTTCAAGTACCGGCGGCCGGTCTCCTCGAGCGGCGGCACCGGCAGGCGCGGCAGCGAGTCTTCAAACCGGAGCATCTTCCCCTTGGAGAGATCCTCCTTGTATCCTGGGGTCACGCGAATCAGCACTGTGGGCGCGAGTCGGAGGGGTTCCGTGCTGGGTCTCTCCCAGATACATGTGACAACTCACCCTCTGGGACTGAAGATGCTTTTCGACTGGGGGCCATGGCGGGAGACTGTAGAGAGTAGGTCAGAACTATTCATCCTGTGCCCTTTCCGTACTATGCATCTTTTTGGCAATGGAAGCGGCCGTTTCTTACCGAGCGGGCAAGCAGAGAGTGTGTCGGAGGGAGCCGGGGCCGGGACAGGGTGGAGAGACGGCTTCGCGCAGAGGCAGTGAACATCGCCTCTCGAAATCAGAAAAACACTTTTGGGAGAGGAAGAAGAGAGAAATTGCGAAAGACGAAGGGAGACAGGAGCAGACATTAAGAAAGGACCGAGCTACGTTGAGCCTCGGTTGGAGGGGGCGATGTAATTTACGTGTTACCGTCGGTCCCGTCCGAGGATTGATTCCCGTGGGGAAACGCAGGACACCGACACTTTGGCGATGGGCTGATCTTGGGATATTGTAGTTAAAAGTACTCTAGTGAAAATTCGAGACTTTTGCTAGAGTTCTCACTCTATTTCAGACACATCGTTCTCTTTTCTAGCTAGAGCTCGCCCTGCCATCCCCGGGCATCCACACTGGTAATACCAATACCGACTCCAGATCCACCCGGCCAGTGAGCCTCGGTTGATGTGAGCAGGTGGACTACGGTGCGATGGGTAGCGGCTACGGCTCGGGATCAGGCTAGAGTTGGGACGCGGTGGCTGAGGGAGACATCCCGAGAAGTCTTGTGGTTCGCCCAGGTATACACTACCTAGTGTAACAGGTGTAAGTGCATGGGTCCTGGACAGGGCTGATCACCAAAATGCGGGGAGAGCTTCAACCGTCTACGAAGTAACAGTCTACTGAATAGTTCAAATGGTCATACTTCGGTAGCAGTAGATAACAGCAAATGGACAACCAGACAACCAATGCCAATACAATTGAGAACCATTCAAGACATGCTTTCCCCGCAGACGTCATTTCCCTTCACCCGCGCCCGCTGGTCCGAACAAAATACACAAAAGTCGCTCTTTGATATCGACAGCCCAAAAACCAGGATTTAGATCATAGAGAATAAATGGTAGATTAATAGGAATAAAGGATGCTAAAATGAGAGGGAAAAGTGAGAGAGAAACCAAAGTGCCAGAGAACTATGACACCGGTTGCACGGCCGCTGGCTGGTTGGGGCCGTTGATCGTCCGGGGAACCTGCACCCCGTTGCGCCGTAGCTCGTCCGTTTTGGCCATCGCGGCGCCCGTGCAGATCCGCCCCGTCTGCATCAACGTGCGCAGACGTTTACGGCGAGCCTGGCCGCTGCGCTCTTCGCCACGGCCGACCCCTTCGTCCACCCAGTCCACGCGCTGCACTTTGAAGCTCATGCCATCGTGGCGCCCATCAAACTTCCGGGACCGCAGGCCAAACATCACGGTGGAATCGTACCGCTCCAGGCGCGGCAATACCAAAAGAGTGATGTGCAAGTCCTGGTCGGGCAGAGGGACGGGCGGCAGGCGGGGCCCTTCGGACTTGGAAGCGTCTGTGCTGGGTGGCGGGGCGTGCTGATAGGTGTCTTTGATCTCCAGATCCAACATGGATTCATCGACCTCTTCGCCCCAGGATCCGCGAATAAACCCGGAGTGAATGGCTGCAGCAACCGGGTCCGAGTCGTCCGTGTACACACCAGTGCCCCAGAGGGCTCGCCGCACGCAGATTTCTTCGCGCCGGTTGGGGGTGATGCGGAACCGTGGCACACGGACTGTGAACGTGCAGTTCTCCCGCCGTTCCAAGTGTGGGAGAGGCTGCGGGGTGCTGGTGTATCCAAACTTGGCACTCTCCAATGAGGCCTTGCCCGTGGGGACGTCAATGCGGGGGGTGTATAGCGTCGATCCAAGGTGATGTCGTGGCAGGTGGGCCACACTGGAGAGAATTGGATCGAGATTCACCGTAGTTCGCGGCTCCCGCATGGGAGAGGCGACTGCCATGGCAGCTGGTCGCGGGGCATGATGGTGGTGATGGTGATGGTGGTGATGATGGTGTCCAGCCTCAGCTGGGGTAGAGGTTTGATGGAAGAAGTTCGTAGAGACGGGACGATGCAAGGCGCTGAGAGCAGCAGCTTCTTCTTCCGCTTTGTGGCGATGATGGTGGTGGCTGCATGAAAGAGTTAGCGTGTCCATACCAAAGAAGAAAATTTGCGTGAAGTGCGTACTGGTGATGGTGGTGATGGGCATGCCGAGCGCGCCGGGTTCCTCGTCCTGATAACCCTGCTCGAAGGTCTGCGGCTTCAAGCTCCAGTTGGGCCTCCTCATCCCGGGATTTTCTCGATCGCCGTCCACCAGCGGCAGAAGTCGGCCGAGGAATCCTGGCCTCATCCATCGTCTCCCCATTCAGAGAGCGACCAGTGAAGCTATCACGCTTGAATGGGCTAGCATTTAATGGCGTAGGCGGTCCGCTGCCGGCCGAGGATGCCGTCACACCACCAACGCCGCTCCCAATTCCCGAAAACACTCGGCCCAGTTCATTCTTGATACCAGATTCACCCGTCGGCCCAATGAATGGAGCCTGCGCGCCCTGGACTGCCTGCGGAATCGGCGACGCACGGCCACCACGTTTGCCCTCTGCGCCGACGGCCAACAGATTCCGATGCTGAAGAAGCTCATCACTTCCTTTGCGCCGCCCATCATCGGTTGCAGAGACAAGGCCGAACGAAGTTGGCCCTGCCCCAAGGCTCGTCGCTGGGGTGGAGCCGAGACGAGGGTGAGTTTGAGGTTTGCCGAGATAGGATGCTTCGTGAGGCAACGTAGGCTGACTGTGCCGAGATTGTAGAGATGGTGGTTGCCGGCCACCACCAGGTTGAGATCCCAATGATTTTGTATAGCTTTGAATCGCCCCGAAGCCAAACCCGGACCCAGACTCCGGTGCTGGGAAGCGTTTGCTCTCGGGTGATGGCGGGTAGGAGCGGCCGTGCTCCCATGTCGAGGCACTCGAGTGTCGCTCGAGCGGGTCTCGTTCTCCATAGTGTGCACCATAGCGCGGGGCCTTGATGTCGGATGAGCGATCCCGGTCACGATGCGCCGGGTCCTCTGAACGTCGATCTCCAAAGATATTACCAAAGCGGCCGTGATGCGAATCCAGACCCATGTATGAAGAAGATGCCGACCGCGGGCCTGCCTCGAACGATCGATCTGGTGCCCCGGTCGGTTGGGAAAGAGGACTGTAGCCAGGTGGTCGTGTCAGGGCTTCGGCATGGGGCGGCTGGCTGCTCGGACGAGCAATGGGCCCACTAAGACTCGTGCGTCGTGGTTCAGTATACGGCAGCTCTGCAGACGAGATATGGGGCGAGGGATGCGTAGAATGCGGTTTGTCCGGAAAATGCGAGGCCGACGCGCGCGACAGGCCCCCAAACTTGGAGGGCTCTCCTCCTGCCAGACTCGACCCTCCACCCGACCCAGATCGATAGGGCCGACCCATCTGGGGCCTAGAAAACGACTTTTCCGGGGTATGTGATCGGCGGAAGAGGGAGTGTTCTAGTGGGGAGGGTCGTGTCGGGGCTGTCGGCGGTGACATTGCGGCAGGTGTGGTCGACGGAGGCGCATTCCCAAAAGTCGAGGATGCCGAGGGACGCGTGAAAAAGGACGAACCTGACTCTCGCGCTGGCCGTTCCGGATCTGAACCTAGCATGGCGGAGATCGACATGCTAGTTCCCGGACGGTGAGCCTGGCCACTGGACACATCGCGTGATGGCGCTGCTGCAGGCGCGTTTGCGGATTGCGCCCGCAACGAGTACGAGCGTGGAGGGGATGGCGGCGGCATTTGGCGGTTCCCAAACGAAGGAGGTGCGGAGTGTTCGTGGGGTGCTGTACCGCGAGGGTGATCGAGTTAGCGCGATGATTTTGACAGGTGAATTTGTGGTTTCCCCCCGAGGATGAATGCCATCCACTGGGGCGGATTCCGTGCATGTGCAAAATGGGGGCAGGGGACTTACCAGGAAACACAGGACTTCCTGACGTACGACGCGCCGGGTCGTGTTGGGAGGTATGGTTCATGTCGCGCAAGGAACCCAAGAGCCCGACATCTGCAAGAGGGTGAGCTCAAATTGCGGAAGAAAGGGAAGGCCGGGGGAACAGCGAGAACCCGTGACTCCGGAAGCTCGACGGCTAGTCCCAGATAGGCCTAGCGTGGGGTGCCTGATCCAGACTAGCGCTCCCGAGCTGTCCAGTGGATCCGCGCTGGGGCTCGGGGCAAACATAAACACCCCGGAGTGGTGCGTGAATGCCCCCAAGAATAAACTCAAGCATTGTGGGACAGACGCGAGAAGATAATCAAAGGAGTGGGACTCGAGCCACGGGGCAAGCCCGATCCTTTATTCCTCCTGAATCCGGGGTGCCCGTCACGCAGAAACGCGGGGGTGATAAAACAAAACAAAGCAAAGCAAAGCAAACAAAACAAAAGGCAGATCCACTTACTTTCTCGGTCAGGATGTGGTTGCGAGTGGTTTCTGCGATGCGAGTGTGAATGGTGTCTCATTTCCAAACTCCCATGGCGACGGTGCTGGGGCGCATATTGGCTCCGGGGCGGCGAATGGGATGCGCTGGCAGTTGGGCCCCGGAAAGAAGAATGCGGCGCACGCGAGGTCCCCCACTGATGGGCGCGCACAGAGGCAGGGGAGATGGTGGAGGTAGAATTGGGCGACAGGTACCCATAGCGGGTCGTGAAATGAGCCTTGTCGGCTTCAGGTCGACTGCGCGGTTCATGGCCGACGAGAGACGCACCATATGGCCTCGTTGGATCGGTGCGAGAGTCGTGAGAAGCCCCCAGGGGCGATGGACGGGGCGGATAAGACGACTGGTGTAAGCGCCGAGAATAGTCCATGGTGAACGTGTTTCCTCGGGAGGTCCTCAGGGAGTGCTGGAGCTTCCACAGAGAAAAAATCAAGGACCCGAACACTTGGCGGATGAGATATACTAAAAGGTCTGGAATAGAATAGCGGTGGAAAATGCAATGCAAGAGAAGAAAAAAGCTGTGGGGATCAGCGGTTGATCGTGCGACCCATACGTCGGAGTTAAGGCCGAGGACGGAGGGAGTGCGGCGATGGGGCGAAAGCGAAATGAAAGTCGAGCAAGTCAACCACGATGACCACGATGCCACGGTCGACAATCTTCCAGCTCACTGACTTCTGAGGGTGAGGAACCGAGGTGGTCTGGTTGGGGGAGAAAAAACGGTGAGTGATGACGGCGTACCTTAGTGTGATGGGGCCAGGGCCAAGACTTAATCTTGCATCTGGAGGCACCTTGTCGATGTAGACTTGCTTTTTCTTTTTCTTTTTCTTTTTCTTTTTTTTTTTTTTTTTTTAATTGAGATCAATAATATATATTGGACTTAAAGATGCTGGATTACAAGGAAAAAGTTATGTTTACCTGAAGGTGCCTGATCTATAACAAGACATACCTAACGGCATTGACAGTATTTACAGGGAATACGCAGGCATGCCCGATGACGATGATCGCTCTATGCAACCACGCGAGCTCATATGTTTATTCATCCCGTACATGCATAAATTGTACAAACTTGATCAGCATTCTCGATTGGCAAAACATGTCACATTGGGTATCATTCAAAGCAGCAAACTATACAAAACACCGAGGCTATACAGGGAGGCTCTTGTATGGTCAAGGACACAAGCCCAAAATTGGATAATAACAAGAGCAGTCGGGTTCATAGGGCTCACGGAGATCTGAGCCCCAACAAGTCACGCAACGCGGTGGGGTGGTCTCTGGGACAATCTGGCAATCAGCGCCAACAGAAAAGAGTGAGCAGAGTCACCCATAAGCGAGTCGACGCCCAACTACCGGGCTTTCTCTGATTCGGAGCCGGTCCCAGGCTGCAGCTCGCCATCCTGCAGCCCAACGTCCCGGGCTCCCCGACAGCCGGCAGACGACAGTGAGAGAGCGTTGGGCCGGACATCGGAAGCTGGGAAAGTGCATGCAGCGAGTGGGTTGCGAGGGTTGAGATGCGAGATCAAAGATTCAGATGGCAGGACGTGATCCGCGGCGAATGGAAGCGCTCGCAGAAAATGGACTACAGCGCTACCGAGGCATAAAGGCATTAGAGGGGAGACACCAGACACCAAATGAAGATTGATCGCGGGGGACGACAACTCACAAACAGGCCAAGAGAAGACATCCGGCGCGGAGCAAGCTCGCCTTCCAGCGTTTTCGAAGTGACTGGCCCCATTCGCCTAGGAATGGCAGCAGTCCCGGGATACACTCGGTCGGGTACGAGCGCAGTGGATGGTCGTCTAGCAACCAGGGGTCGTACTCATATTGAGTGGGATATGGATGTGCTGCGGGAGCCTGGGACAGTGCCATGTCTGCGGTTGAACCCTCAGGGAGAGGGATATCCTGGGAGGGTCATCTTATAAGGCTGGACAGCTGGGCGATGGCGTGCAGGTGAGAAAAGCACGCAATCTTAATTGGCGATGACATCGGATGATTCACATGACCTTCTCCCAACCCAGCAAGGAGGAGGGCCCTGCAGAGGAGAAAATCTGCGAGATGTCGGTCTGGGGGTTCCAGGAATGCAGTTCCTCGTGGGTTGGCGACTTTCTTGTCCACGGGTCCACGGGTGTCTTGATGGATCTGACGATTCAGCTCTGCCAAGCCCATGAGCACGCGACCAGTTTCTACATACAATCACTTGCTCTGTTGATTTGTGTTCTTCACTGGAATTGTGGCCGCAAAATAGAAACTGGGTATATAATTGACTTCATGAGACTCGAAAAGAGTATCAGTTTATTCTGGCCGAAATATATGATGAAGAGTCATCACGGCCGGGCTTGCAAACTCCCCAATGTAGGAACATTCTCCAATGCTTGGTTACGCGAACTATCCAACCGAGCCTGCGTAGTTTGAAATAGCCGCGGTAATCCAGTGTCCATAAACTCGGTCCCTGCGACTATCATCTTGGCCAGGCCTTCAGCTGCGAGGAAGATTTGTGGCATTCCATGTCCCGTAAACCCTGCAAGTATAAATTGACCATCGTGTCCAGGAACCCGGCCAATATGGGGGAAGCCATCTGAAGAATATCCCATGACTGTGAAAGAATTACATGTGAGCTCAATACTTCCAACGTTGGCCGCGCAGGGGTAATCTGTATATGGAGAATGACATACTTCCCGTCCAGACTCGGTCGGTATATGCATGGCTATCCTCCCACCCCACAAAATTGCGCTGCATATACCCATCGAAGTATTGCGCGGCACGTTGCAAGACTACACTGTCGTCGCTGACATTATACCAGCTCTCCAGTTGGTTAATAATAGGCGGCCGAGCACCGCCGACAATAATACTACCGTCAGCCCGAGGGATCAGATAGTCATAGTCCCAGCCGTTCCGGCGCAGAGTATATGTCTTCTCCAGACGAGGCCTCATAGGTCCAGGAGGAACAATGATTCGACTACATGTTCCTCGAACCGGGATGATCTTCTCTTGGTATTGAGGTGCCAGGGCAGAGGTGTAGGCGTTTGTTGCTAGCACGACGACTTTGGCGACAATGGCTCCGCGAGATGTATTCACTTGCCAGTGATGACTAGAAGTGGAGCTGGTAGACCGTGAGACCCCAGAGACAGCCGTATGGGTTTGGAGATTGACACCGCGTGAGATGGCTTTCTCTAACAGATGGAGTACAAATTTGTAGGGCCATACATGTCCGGCATCGTAGGTGAAACAGCCCACGGCACCTTTGACTCCAGAGAACTGTACAGATTCTGTGAGTTGTTTTTGAAGCCGATTCATTCCAAAGAAAGAGAGACCACCACTTACCTTTTGCGCATTACCGCCGTCGATATATTGCGCTTGCTTCGTGGGTTCAAGCCCACTGGCGACCAATCGATCATACCCGTCTTTGAGCTTATCGGAATAACCTTGGTCTAACTGGACATCCACAGCCTTTGTGACCGTGTAATCACAAGCAATCTTCTCCTTCTCGACAAAGTCCTTGATTGAATGGACATGCCTGGCCTCGAAAGCAGCCACTTCGGCAGCTGCCTCAACACCATGCTCAGCCGCAATTCCCGAGATCCCATTGTATAGATCGGGTTTCATATGTCCTCCTATATATGCCAACCATCAGCCTAGTGATTGCTTTGCAACACAAGCAAGGGGCTTACCATTCCTTCCCGTAGCACCCGAACAGGCCTGGCGAGCCTCAAGAATCACAATGGAGGGCGGCTGCGATGTGAACGGTATCTGCTCGAGGATGTGGTGCACGACTGATGCCCCCGCATATCCGGCTCCAATGACGACGATATCGCTCTGCTCGGGGATAGACTCGCTCGATCGATGGCTGTCCAGGGAATGAGGCTCTGTCCGCCAGAATGATGTCACTCCATTGCGGACTGGGAAAGGCTTTGGCATTTTTTCCTTGCTTGGACGGGGTTTTTTTATCGAGAAATGGTGTTTTGTTTGGATTGGAGATCGAGTGTCTCGACGATGTTGGGACCGGTGGGGTTTCGGGTATCTCCCGGACCGGCCCCAAAGAGATAGGAGATGAGGTTTTATTGTTGGCATAGTAATCGAGAGCAAAATTCATGGATTATTAGGGGGCCTCTAGAATTTATCTGGTGTATTTTAAGTAAAGCGAGCAATTCCACCTCGTATCATCTTTATGCTCTCTAGCCACAAGGGCAAGATGTAAACAAGACCTCTCCATTCAGATATATGAATGAATCTATTTTCAATCAAAGCAACATTCAATCAGATGCCTGGATAGCAATAATTCTATCTACCATAGCCGGCAGAGTATCCTCGATCACATCCATCTCGCCGAATAGCTCCTGCAGCGGTTCCTTCTCCAACACCGTACAGTATGCGCCTTTAAACCTACCCAGTAACAAAAACGTTAGCCCAGTCTCCAACATATATCATAAATAGTGCAACGAAGACAGTTATACCCAGTCCTCCTTGCAGCAGACACATCCCACATATGCGCCGCCGCAAACCACGGCGGCTTCCCCTCGTTCTTTGCCAGCAGCCGCTCCAGCAAGGGGCGATACGCCGCAGGTTCCGGCTTGCCCACGCCGTCCGAGTCACACGAAAGCAGATTCTCAGACGACAGCTCAATACCAGCGGTCTGGAAATAAGCACCTACGCGAGTTCGATCCCCCGCCGTAAACGCCCAGACCGTGAACCCGGCATCGCGCAGTTTCTGTACACACTCGACGGCACCGGGGCGCATGGTCAGGGAATCAAATCCTTGCATGATCAACTCAAGGTCCTCGGACGAGGCAAACGCACGCGGCTCGGCAATACCCGCCATCCATAGCACGCGGTAGAAGACGGCGCGGGAGACCTCTGCGAAGATTGTGTATTTGCCTGAGAGGCTGAGGTTCGTGTATTCGCGCTCGGCGGTATCTATCCAGGCGTTTCCCAATAACTGAGGCTTGATGCCCTCAGCGCGCAGACGGTCGCCGAGCTGGGTGTCGATGGCGGCGAAGACTTGGTCGTAAGAGACTAGGGTTCCCACGACGTCGAAAACAACGTTCTTCGACGAGGCCATGTTGTGTATGTTGAGTAAGATATTTCTTCTTGAGTTAGATGTCTGGTTCTCAGTCCACCCCGACAGTGTCTTCACAAGGCGGAGACTTGTCAGAGGAAAGTGGCTGTTGGTACCCCCGCTTGTATTTCTAATCAAGTCCATGACACAGTCACCTCCTCTTCGACGCGGATCCTTGCATTGAGATCTGCCATGCTCTCCCTGCTTTCTTGAATATGCAACAGACGGACTGGCCAGGTGGGGAAAGTTGTCAGCCCGACCTCGTCGCCATGGAGTATACCTCTTCTCTCTCGTCGAGACATGCCTCGCTCTAGATACCGCATCCCAGATATGCCACCTCCGGGCCCATATTCTTCTGTGTGCGGTCTATACTTTCGAGGTGCGAGAGCCTCCCACCACCGACGGAAGAGGGGTGAAACAGTTGGCAGGCATGCACATACAATCCCGATGAAGGGCTCGACGCAGGACCAGACGAAGACTGGGGCTATGGTCCAGGAGGGATCGCTGGAATGGAGGTTCCTGGCTAGCATTACCACGCGGACGATGCCAGCAACGCAGACACTAAATCAATCACATTAGCATTCTGGGGGTTCTACGGTTAGGGTTTAGTGGCTGTTCACTTACAAACTGCCAAGCAGCAGGATACCAGTCACCGCCAGTCTCTGGCTCTTGGGCATTTGCAATTTCCAGATAATTGGAGCTGGCACACACAGGATCAACGCGTCGATCAGGACAGAGGCAATTCCGCTGGCGAAGAGGAATTCCGAGACGTCGATACAAGTGCCGCTGGCTTGGGGGTTGATATAGTGCTCCCAGCAAAAGGGAAAAGGGCGACAAGCAGCTGCAATGGTGATTACGACAGCGACGAAATAACCCAGTATAAAGAACATGGCAGCGTATAGCGAATAACGGAGGTTGAAGATGCGGCGGTAAAACAGGACGATCGAGGTCTTGGTGCATGTCACGGTGCTTGCGTAGATTATGACTTGCGCGAACAGGAGTTTCCAGACGACAGTAAAGTCATCGTGCGTGAGGGCTTGTTGGTGCCATCCGTTTTTGTATCGAGTGCCTACGCTTGTTGTTTAATACTGCTCCGGGAGAATTCCAGGATTGTCAGGTTGTCCTTACTGATAATGACACAAATACCAGACCCATACGCAGAGAACTAGAGAATGCGATGAGTGGATCGTTCTAAACAATCCTTTGAAATAGACTCACCAACGCAGCAGAAATAAAACAATCATCTAGCCCAAATTGGGCCTGCGATGTTTTGAGCCGCGTATACACCCGTAGCAACACCGCCAAGGGGCCGACAACCATTAGTGCTATGACTGCCCCCAGCATCTGAGATTTCTGATTCTCAGAGAGATCAACGCCAGGAGGAGACGGACCAAAGTCTCCAGGGGCCGACATTATGGAGGGCACATTTTGCGGCGGATCTCGGGGTCCAAAGGGGAATATAAGAGCGCAGATATTACTGTCGACCTGGTCTGGAAGGGACCCCATATTGGGCTAATGTTTTAGTGGACACTGACATCGGCGACGATCCACGGTTGAGGATGGGACTATCATATTAAGTCAGTTCCAATCCACGACTAGATGGATGTGTCAATCGTGCCTATTGTGTGAAAATAGGTGTATGAGCGATCGCCACAGCTACAATAGATCCCTGGATTCTATACAAAATCGCAGCATGGATAACTCAGCCCATCTAGCTGCAAGGCTGTATAGATCTAGTGGGTTATTAATAGAATGGCAGATCTGACTTGCTATGTTTAAGGCTGTCACACCCGGCTTGCCAAGCCTATCTATGGCTTCGATTATTTGAGGGTATTCAAAAGTTGTTGAGTCCTCCTAACTGTGCAATATATCGATACACCTCGCTACCGGAAATTCTGGGAAAATCAAGAGAAATAATCAATCTACCGGGTATACAATCTGCAAATATTACCCGTTCCATGGATGATGTCCCCAAGGGGTGGCATCGAGACTTGGCGTGTGGGGCTGGTTTCATCTATACAAGGCAGTGGGTAGCCTCATTGCTGTCGTGTGCTCTGGATGGACAGGGAACTATTTCCAAGTGCCTGTGATATTATTCAATGCTAGCGTGCTTTGAAAATATTAGTTTTGCATATCCTCAAATGGAAGCGAGATGACAGAACTCTTCAAATGTTAGACTGGTTTTGCCTTAGGGCTAGTTCTGTTCTCCTGGAAGCCCAGCGAATATTTACTAACAAGCATCAAGAATATAAAGCTTGTGGACCCCGCTTCTTTTCTTTAACCTTCTATAGAAAGATATCGTTAATTCTATGCAAGAAGTCTAAAATCCGGCTACGGTTTACTAAAAATACCGGCTCGATAAAAGAACTTCCAAAGGCTCCTTGTCAAAGTCCAGTTCTTCCACGTCTTCCACCGGGAACAGAATACGCTTTGAAAGTCGCTCCTTGAGCTTTGTAGGTGCAGCGCGCCGAAGTTCAGAGGCTGATAAGGGTTGCATGCAGAGAATGCCGCACGCGAAGCAGTAGATTTGTGAATCTCGAGAGTCTCCAGATAGGAAGGGAGCCATACTTGTGGCTTGCGAGAAAGAAGCAAGTGCCGAACTTGGGGGATCTTGTAATTGGGTGGTTTATGTATAAATCAGAGATCATCATAATGAGCCTTTGACTTCAGGCCTGAAAACGAATTGAGTATTGTCTCAACAGCGATGTCATCATGAGACTGTGACTTTCCCCTGAAACCAAACACGCTTTAATTCATCTAACGCTAAATACTCATGATTTTATACGAACACTATCACGGTCCCGGTGTCTGCGCTCGCTCCCCCAAGCCCATCAACCCACCCGCTAGCCCATTCATCCGGCGATCCAGCAGATCCTCCTCACTACCCAGCGATGTAATGCTCCGGCCACGCGGCCGCACCTCCACAGGACTCTCTGGGAAGCTGTTGGTATCATCTGGCAAGAACGGGTCGACGTGGGATTCCCAATGTGAAAGTGTGGAGAGGAAGCCATTCTCAGTCTTTCCCAGGTGCTTCCCCGGATGAGCTGGGAATCCCGTAAATTGAGACGACTCAATCGATGATCGCGACCTCCTACGCCCAGGACGAGTTTCCGATGGCGCGGGTGGGTGCTGCTCGTTACGCGTCATGGGCGCAAGCTTGCTGCGGCTCATCTCCAGAGGCCGGTCTTCGTCACCAGACGACTCACCCGTCGAACGGCGGTGATGGTTTCGTTGACGACCCAGGGTATTCGGATTGTGGTTAGCGAGGGCCGCCCATTTCCGGGAATCATTCATCGCTAGTCCATGCGGCAGCTGAGTGAGATTTGCCTCGGAACTGCGCAGCTCGGCTTCGTCGAACAGCGACTCGAGCCATCGGGCGCTACGGTCGATGTATTTCCAGGCTTCGGGGAAAAAGCCGGCCATTTGCATGAACCCGTGCGATACCCCCGGGATCAGGGAGATGTCGATGTGGTCTTTCTCGTGGAACTTGCGCCGCGACTTCTCGAGTCCTAGTTCCTGGCGCTCGCGGAACTGGTGCTGCTTCGCTTGGCGTAGTCTGCCCGCGAAGATTACTGTGTCGTCGACTAGTGGGTCGCGTTCGCCGGTCATGATGTACGTCTTGGGGAATCGTGCGAGCAAAGCGTCTGGTGCCAGGACGGGGGAGAGGTAAAAGTCTGTGTTGAAGTCTGGGCGATGGTGTGGCCCGATGTATAGGATGATCATGGCTCGCATCATCTCGGGGGTGAGAATCCGGTCGTGCACATAGGAGATCATCGAGGAGACGGCCAGTCTGGTTTGGAGTGGCTTCACTTGTTGCTCTACTGCGGCAGCTACTTGAGCAGACGTTCCATGCTCATTGTTGACTGTCTTCTCAAGTGACTTGGCAGCTTCGGTTGCCACATCGGCCTTTTTGACGTCTTGTTCATTTTTCGGAGATATGGCCGTCAGGTCCTCAACCGAATGGCCGGGCAATGTGAAGGGGGTTAGTTTCTTGTATTGATCCTGTTTTCGTTGCAGCACGCTGCGGTTAGTCTGGCGGAAGCTCTTATCCTGGATCAGCGACATCTGCTCATCGGTCATCCAGCTCTCGACCCGCATGTTTAATGCCGGATAGGCGAGAACCAAGCCATCAGGCCGCGGGAGAACATCAGCACCTCGCCAGCCTTGTGCCATGGCCGACTGCAGTACCATCAAGACCATACCCACGGCCAGATTGCCGCCGGCGCTCTCGCCTGTAACCAGGATTCGAGGACGAATCAACCCACCCAGGCCTAGACAGCGCCCCGCCGTGGTGATGATGCTATGGTACACATCATAGCACTCGTGCAGGGCGTAGGGATACGCATACTCGGGCGCTTTCTTATAATCGATGCTCAGTATCGGGACTTTCATGTGCTTTGCCCAGGCCAGCAGCTTGTCCTCTGAGTTCCGCGGGCCCATAGCCACGAAACCACCGCCGGGAATGTCTAAGACCACACAGGTCTGTTCGCGCAACGCGCTCAAGGGCCCATCAAAGTAGAGCCATGCATGCACGGGATCCGTGTGAACCGACAGCGGCGGACGGGGGATACGAATAGCGCGCGGCGGGAACCGGGTCAGACGCGGACGAAGCAAGCTGGCCAGCGCCCACAGATACGGCGAGGTCGCCTTATTCCAGGAAATGCGCAGATGCTCGAGTGTCAACGTGGCTCGCACCCGCCGCACCTTCTCGTCCGCCTGCTCCGCCGCAATCAGGTAGTAGACCGTGAAGACTAGCGATGCCAAATCGCGCAGCCACTTGGGCTTGATCTTCATGGCGGTCCAGAACCCGGCATCCAGCCCCGTGGTAATCCACGTCGCGCGAAAGAAGGATCGCGAGTAGAGGTTTGCCAAGGGCTCGGGGCATTCCAAGCCGACGATTTTGGCAAAGTTGCGGCTCACGTACAGCCATAGGAAGATCATTACTGTGGTCTGCCATGTTGTTAACCTGTTGCTGAGGCGGGAGGAGAGGGATCGGAGGAGCGGCGGGCCATGTTTGTTGGCTCTGTGAGGTGTCAGCTACCATGGTACCATACAGTAGATGGATTACTTGACGAAGTTGAATATATCCCGAGGGTGCTGTCAAGGGCATACCGCAGAAGATAGAGTGACCAAAATGAGACAACAGCGAAGACTTGGATCTTGCGAAAGCGGGTGGAGGGTCGTCCCAGAACATGGTCTGAGAGTGTCAGCGATGGCTGCTGACGGGGGAGTAGAGGCATACCGATCATTTCCACGCACGAGATTGTGTCACCGATCGCACTATCAGTCGAGGACTCTAATAATAAACAATAAATAGCAATAAACAATCATAAGTTACAAGCAAAAAAAGAAAAAAGAAAAAAAGATCAGCTTCACATGAACAATCATGTGAAGGGCCTTTCACATGTCAATGACATCAGGGAAGATCGAAGTATTCAACTATTCAACTATTCAACTATACAACTACACAATATGATATCTTCAATATTATAAAGTATTCAAGTGTATATTGGAGATCAAAGGGTATCAGAATCATCAGAAATGTATTCAAAGCAAGGTCTACGCCTGGCGACAGTACTCCCGTCCATGCCCAACCTGCCAGTTGCACAGCCAAACCTCCCATCCCATACTCAAAAGCCCAGCAATACAAATTCCGGCCGAGTCGCTGACCGTTGTAGCACTCAGCGAGAACTCGCGCTCCTCGGGTGGCACGCGGTCGCCAATCTCCGCGAACGTGTTGACATACACCAGGCCGCCGAGCAGACCCTCCCAGAAGATAATCCCAAATACAATCCAAACGCTCGGAAGAAAATCGAAAAGCGCATGCAGGGTCAAGACAACTAGATTGACCACCTGTAGCAGGCTCGGCAGATAGAGATTGTGGGTGCGGAAGAACGGGGTCGACGAGCGTGAGATGAATACCCCGACCTGGTAGATAGCGTTGTATACCGGATAGAAGGAGCGGAAGTGCTCGAATGGGGTTTCTTTCAGGGGGAAGAGCAATGTCGGCGCTACGCCTTGGTTGATCACGTACTCTGCGACGTATACCAGCACCAGGGGGAACATACTACGGGCCAGTCAGCACTCAAGGGGACAGTCTGACAGGGCACCAGAAAGGAGATGCAACTCACAAAGGAATGAGGAGTCCCCGGATCTGCTCCAGCTTCACCCAGACCTGGTCCCACGATAATCCGTGGCTGGCAGGGGCCGCTTTAATAGGAGTAGTGGAGTGAATCAACAGCCCGTCGCCTTCTCCATGACGCAGCTCGCGGACTTCGCCATCCAATCCATCTTCCTCAATCTGCTCACCTCGCTCAAGAGCCTGATAACTGTCTCCCGCAGACTGGGCCGACTGCAATGGCTCTCTCGGCAGCACCACAAAGAAGCTGACCACCATAGCGAGCGGCAAGCACGCCGACGCCAAAAGAGTGCCATGCACCGAGAACCCCAAGGCCGAGGTGGCCAGCGCATAAGCACCTGCACCAACCAAGCCAGCAGCCCCAGTGCCACTACCCCACGCGGCCAGACTGAATGGGCCATAGTAATGGGTGAGCCCGACGAAGCTCAGCTCGCCACCGCCGCTGGAAAAACTCGCCAAGATGATACCCGCCATCTTGGAGGAGATCGTACCTCCGTCAGTGTAGCTGGGGCTCATGGCCACGACGAACATGCCGACGGTGGAGAGAAACACGAAGATGACGACGCGCATCCAGTACGGGACCAGGTGGATGAAATACGGGGCGATCAGTTTGGTCGCGAACGACGGCACGACATCGGCCAGGAGAACGGCGCCTTTGGGGACATTGGGACCGACTAGATCTAGAGCTGCGGAGAGGAGGATGACGTAGAGGACGTTATTGACGAGGCCTGCGCGCTGTTAGTTCCTCATTTGGGGGAGTTCACCCCGCGCCCGCGCTGCGCCGGGGAGCTCACGCACCGAATAGCCAGAAGGCGACGCAGACCCGCGGGTCTGCCTCGCGGAAAGCCCCCGCCAGTCGCTCGCAGATGCGAGTCCACAGGGAAGAGTCTCTCTCAGGAGAGAACGTGCGCGCGCCCTCGGTGGACTCGGAGGGAGGCATTCATTCGGTGAGTGCGATGGGTTCGAATGGGCGCGTTGGGGGGGGGGGGGGGGAGGGTATCAACTACACACAGGAGAGAATCAAGAATCTCGGACAACGTGAAAATCTATGACATTCTAGTCAACGAGAAAAGGAGATGCTGACAGTCGACTGTCGCAAGTCAAGAGGAAAAGAGGACAGCAACTTTGGCCCCACGGATCCACCGGCGGGCCGCCTTGGCTCGTTCCGCATGCGACCAGTTACTCTTCCAGGACACTTTTTTTTTTTCTATCGCCCTATACATAACCCGAATCAGAATGGTATATCACAAAAGGTCGTAGGCATTCATGTCAAATCATTTCTATGGCTGGAAAACCGACTGGAAGGCCTGCTCCAGGATCTTCATGCCCGACTGGATCTGGTCCTCGGTGATAGTCAACGGAGGAACAAAGCGGAGGCAGCCATCACCAGCCGTGATGATGAGCAGACCTCGCTCACGAGCTGCGGTGATCAGGTCGCCGGCCTTCGAGGTGAATTCAGGGCCGAGCTGAACGCCAAGGATCAGGCCGCGACCACGCACCTCGGAGATGACTCCGGGGAACTTCTTCTGCAGCGCCTCAAATCCAGAGACGAACTGAGCAGACTTGGCCTTGACTGACTCCTGGAGCTCCGGCGAGGCGAGACGCTCAACGATGTGGTGAGCAACACGGCAGGCCAGCGGGTTGCCGCCAAAGGTCGTGCCGTGGTCGCCTGTCTTGATGTGCGAGGCGACAGTCTTGCCAGACACAATCGTTGCGCCAATGGGGATGCCATTGCCCAACGCCTTGGCGGTAGTCAGGATATCGGGGTGGGCAGCCTCGCCGGACGCCGGGGCCAGAGAGGGATGTCCATGAGCCCAGAAGGTGCCGGTGCGGGACAGGCCACACTGGATCTCGTCAAAGACCAAGACGGCCCCGACCTCGTCACAGCGCTTGCGCAGAGCAGCCAGGAACTCGGGCGTGGCGACGTTGACACCACCCTCGCCCTGGATAGGCTCGACGATCACACCACAGGTGTTTTCAGTGACCAGTGTCTGCAGCTGCTCGATATCATTGTAGTTGCCGTACTTGCAGCCCGGGATCATCGGCGCAAACGGGGTCTGGTATTTGGGGTTGGGCGTGGCCGACAGCGCGCCCATCGTGCGGCCATGGAATGAGTTGTGGAACGAGACGAGCTCGTGCTTGGCGCCCGAGGGGTCCAGAGAGCGACCGACCTTGCGGGCGAATTTGATGGCAGCTTCGTTGGCTTCGGTTCCCGAGTTGGAGATAAACACTTGCGCCGCATCGCGCATGGCACCGGACTTGTGAGTCAGATCGATCAACGACTGGCTGAGCGCACCGGTCCAAGGGTTGTGGTAGAGATTCGAGGCATGGATGAGGGTCTCCGCCTATGGAATAGAAGTCGCAGTTAGCAATTGCCCAGAAGGGACTCCCCGATATTATGTTTCTCACCTGTTCCGCCACGATCTGGGCGACCTCCGCGTCGCAGTGACCCAAAGAGTTGACCGCAATTCCGGCCGTGAAATCCAGATACCGCCGGTTCTCCATATCCCACAGGTAGCATCCCTGGCCCTTCATCATCATGGGAGCCGGGCGAACGTAGGTCGGAACCATGTACGGCGCTCGTTCGTTGATGAAGGACATGGTGAGCGAATCCGGCGAGGGGTCGGGGTTGGGTAGAGTAGCCTCCTTCTGTAAAATATCAACATGGGCAATGCTTTCTTGACTCAATTGTAGTTCTTGACCGTACCTGTGTCCGAGCCTTCACATCCTGGGATGCGTTTGACGCAAATCGTCGCTGGAGCGGTGACTCAACGGCAGAGACCAGCTTGCCCGCGCGAGGGAAGCGGCGCGCAGCCACTCGAAGGGCAGACATCGCAGTATAGAGGAAATTGAAAAAGCAAATCTGCCAATTGGTTCACCACGGTGGAGGATCCAACAGAAAACTGATGGGATTGAGCTCGGGAGAAAAAAGGCGATATCGGGATCGGCGAGTCTTAGTCACAGCGATCGGGCCCACAGATGATCTACTGCGGCATTTGTCTGAGGGCTTCATTCTCCCTTCAATTCTGGACTGTACATGATTCTCTATTTTGAGCATCGATTCCGTGGCAAGCAGATCAATTATCTCGGCGAATCGAATGAAATCAGTATGGAAGAGAGGACGAGAAGACAAGCCTCTCACAAGTCGAGTCAACAACAAGAGCGAGAACAGGAGAACAGAAGGGAAGAGAAGAAGAGAAGAAAGAATCAATAGTTGTGACAAGTCCCCACGGCCTGTCCCCCGTCCACATAGCTCGGCCCCGTCTCCTTGCAGCATTGCGTATGGTCAAAGGCGCAGGCATAATTCCACTGGATATCTTCAAAGGACTTGGGCCACGCTTTAGAAAATTCGCGGCAGGTCCTCAAGTGGTTGACAATTTAGCACTGAGAATGTCAGCATTTGATTCAATTTTCCAAGATTGTATACCCGTGGAGGGATAGTATAGAGAAAGCCTCACTTCAGCACCACACCCATCCAGAGCGTGCACCTTGGAATTGCCCGTGGCCTTTCCAAGATCGCAGATTGGGAGGTTAAACGTCATAAACTTCTCGACATTGCGATCGCCGCGTTTGAAGTGATTTCACCAATATCATTCTTCTTCCAAGTCTCCTTGGTCTTGTCCCCTTCGCTGTTGCAGGTCTGCAGCCAGGGATATATCTTTTCGTCCAGTTTTACAGGACCGGCCGCTGCTGCTGCTGCTATACGAGGTTTATGTTAGCCATGTATAGTGCAAAGTGTTGTTGATGGAGATAGAACAAACCCAATGCAGTCATCAACCATAGAATAAAATGCATGATTGTAGTCAGAGACACAGGAGATAACTTGCTCGAAGTCTGAAGTAGATATCACAACTATCTTCATCTTTCCTAGGAGAGTTGATTCAAGTTATACTGAGCTAGGCACCCCATCTCCCACATTTGACAACCCATCGATCCTATATTTGGTTGTAGAAAGGAGGTCAAAGAAAGAGAACCCGGACTTTTCCGCGCACTATAGTCCTCAAATACACCACTAGTCGCTATTTTTTTTTTCGAAGACTGTAGGGTTCAACTTCTGTCTGTATACTCAATCCTTCCACTAGAGAGCAAGGCCAAGAAAACTAAGCGAAGATATAGAGTCCATCCGTCTTGCCTTACATTTCCGGAGAGCGGATCGAAGTACTACATCGGATAGAAAATGGAATACCTAGCTAATCATGGTTATACTTCCATGGCACATAGGCCTCGCCAAGTGCTTCCTGCCCCTGATACCATGGATCAAAAGGAGGATATTATGTGGAATGTTACATAATAGGTGAGATAACCTCGAGAACCTGCATGGGTGTGGAAATGACGATGGCAAGGATATTAACAAATGACAACCCAAAGCACTTGACGCACTACTGTATGTCTTGGATTTGGGCCCTAGCAATAGGTCTTCTACCAGAAGATAGATCTAGATCTGTTGAGTAGCATACGGGCTCAGTGGTCTCCTGTTTACTTTTATATTCCCAAGGCTTGGATGGATTCTTATTACCAGGTAGTGTAAACAGGGACACATTTTATACTCGCTTTCGATCTTCATTTTATAGAACCACAGTAAAGACCCCTATCGCGCACGGACGAGGTAGGACTCTACCCTACCCTACAAGGCGTCCACGGATCTCGGTCCCACGGCTACAGTCACACTATTCCGATAAGGGGTACTCCCTTATTCCTATTAGAGGTTCAATTGGATACCAGACCTGTGGGGGTTTTCTTGTTTTAATCAAGAGATTCCAAGCGATCTCACAGGCGGCTTTTTCTAGGCTTCATCTAAACATATTGTCTTGTAATGAAATCTATGGAAACCCTACAATAATGAGGGCATAACGAGAAGCAGAATTCTATATTTTCTTGTGCAGATTAATTGTAGCATGTATTCATCAGTTTGGTATATGTATTGGATATTGAGAGCTATAATTTTCTCCGGGCTTGTTTTGGCTGCTCGGGCCCAGCCCTAGTCCCACCTCTTGCAATGCTCTCTTTCCCAATGACGCGGCTTTTGAAATGCACTTCGAAGGGAGCCATGGTTCCAGCTCAATGCTGTCGTGAATCTATGGAGGGAGCAACTGGGTGGGATTAATGAAGATGGCTGGGTCAGCAATGAACAGTATGAGGATGCTGTTTGCAAGGTCGCTTAGCTGAAGGAGTCTCTCATTGCCCTGTCCGAGGGAGACCAAAAAGATATTGCATTGCTGGAGAAAGGATGGCCGTTCAGAGATCATGAAGAAATCTGTTGATCTATCTTGGCATCCTACTTGGACTTGATGTTGTGGGTCACATTGTAGAGTGTCTGTTTGCTCAAAATGTGGATTGTTCTGTTAGCACAGATGCCACTCAAAGTATAATCAGCCTATCCAAGATTTTCTGCTATTGATTATTCAGTATTTTTTTTTCGTTACCTATTATTTGTACTTTTTAGCATATTTTTGTCGATGTTGTTGGTGTAGTAGCTGCGAATGCTCCACCGCGCTAAACACCTCCGAAACCGCCCGAGGTCCCACGCCGACCTTGGAGACTCAACTCTACTTCCTCAACACACTTACCTACTGTAACATCCAACTCCCACAACAATCCACCATGGCCTCTTTAGGAATGCGCCACGCATTCCTCCGCACCCTCACACCCCGAACTACACTCCGCCCCATCTCCACAACCCGCATCGCGCGCCAACCCAACGAGAACGACAACGGCAAGCCCTCCATCCCCTTCGCCACCTCGCCCGCACCCCCACGCCTCCCAAAAGAAGAACAAGAGATCTTCGAGGAGCTCCAGCGCCGCTCGACGGGCGCGTTCAGCACGCCGCGCGTGAACCAGTCCCCGCAGGCCGAAACCAAGATCAAGGCCGATGGCAGTGGCGACGAGCTGCATCCCGATGCGCCGGTGGGGCTCAGGCCTGAGTTTGAGGGCGAGAAGAATCCCAATACTGGGGAGGTTGGTGGCCCCAAGAATGAGCCGTTGAGATGGGGGTCGGAGGGTGATTGGAGTTATGGGGGGCGGGTTACTGATTTCTGAGATCTGGGGGGTTTGGGGCTTTGCATGATGGTGGCGTTGGTTTATTTCTTCTCAGGAAAATCCATGCTGTCTCTACTTGACAACAAGGAAATACTGGCAAGGCTTGGATGTTGTACTATCAGGGAATCTTCCCGTTTGTATATAGCCGTTTGGCTCGGGGATCTAAGCATTTGACTCCTTAATTGACACTCGCACAAGCAGTGCATTACGCATATTCCAGAGACACACGAATATGCTTGCTCGACTATAAAACAAGGGAGGCACATGTTTCATTCCGAGAGACGAGCCAGCGTCGCCTTCCCTGCTCGGCTTGCGTTCTCCCGGCCCAACACTTCGCTGATCCACGACCCAATGCGCGACATTTCCTCCAGATTAATCCCCGTGTGCATTCCCAGACTATGAACTGTGTGGATGAGATCTTCGGTTGCCACATTTCCCGTGGCACCCTTGGAATACGGACAGCCACCCAGTCCGCCAACACTGCTATCGAAAATCCGGACGCCATGCTCCAGACTTACAATCGTGTTGACTAGAGCCTGCCCATAGGTATCGTGGAAATGTAGCGCCAGGTCCGTGTTGGCAATACCAGCTGCCTTGAGCGTCTGCAACAGCTCCATCGTCCGCGGAGCGGTCCCCATACCCGTGGTGTCCGCCACCGACACCTCGTCGGCACCCATCTCCAGGAGCGTGGCGGTAATATCGGCCACCTTGGAAGGGTTGACCTCCGGGCCTTCGTAGGGACAGCCCAGGGCCACCGAGACGTACCCGCGCACTCGGATGTTCTTGGTTTTGGCCAGCGCGACAATCGGCTTGATGCGCTCGAGCGATTCTGCTACGGTGCAGTTGGTGTTGGCTTTGGAAAACGCCTCGGTGGCTGCTGCGAAGAGTGACACCTCCGTTGTGGTTGCTGGTTTCGATGCCGAGCCCGCCGATTCAGCCGGCACGCCTGTGCCCTCCATGATCTTGACTAGATTCTCCAGTCCCCTCACGTTGGGGACGAGGTAGTTGTACGTGATGGCATGCTGTGACAGGGGAGGCGAGGTGAGCAGATGCTCACAGATCTCGGCTGTACTCGCCATCTAACAAACAGCCCGAGTGATAAACCGTTAGTTTTATGCCCACAATAGTCACTCAACCCACAGCTCTTATACTCAGAACATTCGCACCTGAGGTACCCATTTGGCCGGGACAAAAGAACCGGCCTCGATGGTGGTCACGCCCGTGTTAGCCAGTCGCTCAATGAGCTGGATTTTTGTCTCTTTTGAGATAGACTTCTTTTCATTCTGTAGGCCGTCCCGAGGGCCAACTTCGACGATGCGGACATGGTCCGAGGTTAGCCGCGACTCAGTCGCAAAGCGGCGCGTCGAAAGGCCACGGAGAGCTGAGAACAGACGCATTCGGGAGCGAGCTGCCATAATCGCGCAGAGTCAAAGTAAATCTGATCAGAGCAGAAGAAAGAGAAGTAGGTGCGACCAAGTGGAAGACGCGGAGAAGTGGAAGGCGCAGATGCGGAGAGCACCTTGCCTCATCGGGACTAGCGTGGTGCCCGCCACCTGAGTCAGCCGAAAAAAGATGGTGGGATGCTTTTGGATATTCGGACATCTTGACTCTCGCAGATCAAGGGCTATGGAGTCTACAGAGTCTCCCAGTGTACCCTCTGCGGGGGAAACACCTACGAAATCCACAGCATCCTCGGCGAGCCAACTGCGCCAACCAAAGAAACGCTTCGTGGGTAGACGAACCGCCGATGCCCAAGCCCAAAAGGACCCATCTAGTCAAGATGTCGAGTCCACAGCGGTGCAAAAAGGTATAGACCACAGAATGAGATTCCAATATAAGTCGCTAATACCTAATGATGCTCAGCCGCACCGCGACGCACACCCCGCACCCTCAACCAAGTACCGCCAGAGATCCTGAACGACCCCGAAATTCAAGCCGCTATCGAGCTTCTACCCCCGAACTACTCGTTCGAGATCCCCAAAACAATCCACCGGGTCCGCTCATCAGGCGCCAAGCGAGTGGCGCTCCAATTCCCCGAGGGCCTGCTCATCTTCGCGACGACCATCTCGGACATCCTCACTCAATTCTGTCCGGGAATTGAGACACTGATCATGGGCGATGTCACCTACGGCGCTTGCTGCATCGACGACTACACAGCCCGCGCCCTGGGGTGCGACCTGCTGGTTCATTATGCGCACAGCTGTCTCATTCCCGTAGACGTAACCAAGATCAAGACACTGTACATCTTTGTTGATATCAGCATCGACACCGGCCACTTGCTCGCAACACTCGAGCGCAACTTCCGGCCCGGCCAGACCGTCGCCACCGTCGGCACAATCCAGTTCAACGCGACGCTGCACGGGCTCAAGCCCGTTCTCGAGCGCGCCGGCTTCGGCGTCGTCATCCCACAAATCACGCCACTGTCCAAGGGCGAGATCCTGGGCTGCACGTCGCCGCAGCTCCCGGACAAGGAAATCGACGCTATCCTGTACCTGGGCGACGGCCGCTTCCACCTCGAGTCCGCCATGATCCACAACCCTTCTATCCCCGCCTACCGCTACGACCCTTACTCGCGCACGCTGACGCGCGAGTCCTATGCCCACGACGAGATGCACTCGCTCCGCCGCGATGCCATCGCCGCCGCCCAGTCCGCCCGTAAATGGGGCATCATCCTCGGCTCGCTCGGCCGCCAGGGCAACCCGCACACCATGGCCATGATCGAGCGCCACCTGCACGATCGTGGCATCCCCGTCGTAAACTTGCTGCTAAGCGAGATCTTCCCTGGCAAGCTGGCTGCCATGGCTGATGTCGAGTGCTGGGTGCAGATTGCCTGCCCGCGTCTCAGCATCGACTGGGGCTATGCGTTCCCTCGGCCTCTGCTGACCCCGTACGAGGCACTGGTTGCTCTCGGTGTGCGTGAGAACTGGGACCGTGCCAATGATGGCGTGTATCCTATGGACTTTTATGCCAAGGATGGTCTTGGACGGACTCGGCCGGAGCAGGCTGTTCGTAGTACGGCGTAATCGTGGTGGACCATGAAATATGTTGAGGCTGGAAGGGGCAATGAATAGCGTTGTCGTCGCCTGGAAAAAAATATATACCCCAAAACAGATACCAGAACAACAGGGTTGGACTGGACAATGATACGAAATAGAACGCGCTTTACGCATTTCATGACACAGTTTTGGGCATTTATAGATACCTGGGTGGAATTCCAAAGATGGGGGTAGATTCATCACCTGCGGCGATAGAAGGCCAGCAGAAAATCTCAGTTCAGATCCAAACATTCCTAATCAAACACAATATTCTGAAATACAACATTCGGAGCAATTACCCCTTGGCATCATCCGCACTATCGGTGTTGAAGTCACTGGCGCTGCCGCGTCGAAGAGTCAAGACACTCTTGTTGGCCAGCTCGTCTGGGTTGCGTTCCGCGGCTCGCCAACGGGTGACACCCTGCTCGACGTCGTTGAACATCTCCAGAGAATCTTGGATGATGCCACCCTCATCGGGCGCTTGTGTGCTCTCCCGCGAGTCGTGATCGCTGGTCATTGGGAAGGCAGGGCCAAACCCACGTTGTGGAATGGGGTTGAACATGATGGCATTGGCGAACATGCGGATCAGCTCTTTTTCCAGTTGCGCCGAGTTCACAATTCCCTTAGGTGGAATGATGTCCTCGGTCTTCTGGAGCATGAGCACGGCGCTCTTGGACGGTGTCCCTGCGGCAGGGGCGGGAGACTCGCCGTCGCCGGCTGGAGTGCTGACGGCTTCTGTCGCAGCAGCAACCGCTTTGCTGCCCTGGGTGATGGCGGATTTAATGGTTTTGAGATCTTGTGGTCGGTAGATAAGGTCGTGGTAGCCCGGGGCATCTCGTTCGGCGATCGGCTTAGCAAAAATCGATGCGAGCTTATGTGTAGCCACATCGTTCATGATCATTGCCGCAGTCCGGTGGAAGTTACGCATACACATGACGTATTGCGATGTGTCGACCTTGGAGGGCTCTGCAAGGAAGGTTTCTTGCTCGATCGATTCGCTAATGGCTCGCTTGCGTTTAGATCGTGCCTTAGCCTGCTCATCGGTGGTTGCTGCGCCTTTCCGACGTCCAGTCCGTGGTTCGCGTTCGGTATCTTCGGGAGGCATCGATGATTCGTCGCGGGAAGCCACAGATTGTCCGCGACTCTGCGACGAGGCGGAGCTTACGGTACGCTTTCGGCGACTGGTGGATGCTTTCTCGGTCTTAGTATTTGGCGTAGCTTGGTGATCTGTGTCCGTGGCCGCCGCGCTGCGCCGGGTCTTCTTTGATTCTGGTGATCGGGCTCGGTGATTGCGACGCCTAGTATCGGGAGGTGACGTATGGATTGTATCAGTTGGAGACGGGGCCCTCTCGCTTATCGGACTGACATCTTCTGGGCGTGGACGTTCTGGGGACGTTGGAGACTGCGGAATACTCAGACGGGGAGTTCGCCTCCATGGGGTCGAGGAGCCTGGCGTATCGATCGATAGCCGCGGTCGCGAGCTGCGGGATTCGGGGAAAGAGGGTAGAGTGGCACTAGGAGTTTGGGAAATGTGTGGACGGCCGATTGGAACAGGGGTTTGGGCTGCCGGAGGAATCGAACCGGGTGTGCCGGGGATCGTAGATGGTAAGGGTGCTTGTGGTTGCTGAGTAGAGAGAGGTGGTAAAGGCCGTTTGACAGTCGCTTGACCCGCCTGTGGAGTAGCGGCGTTGGAGGAAATATTGGGATATGGAGAATGAGGGGACGGGTCTAGCTGCCACTGCTGGAAGCTCGGTTGAGGGACAGACGTGCCCGGCGAAGGCACAGGGACATTGGCACGCGGCGCAATCTGTGATGGATGAGCTGCCGGTGCTGCCGTAGCCGCTTGGTGAGCTTGAGGGGAGAGTGGTGGCTGCGAAACTTGGCCGTTGACAGATGGTACATGAGGTTGCCCAGGCGCTTTTCTTGTTTCGGGAGGCAAGCCTGGTGTTTGTGGTTGAGCCGGCGGTTGTTCTTTAGGCTGAGCTGGCTTGGGATGCGGCTGCTCCGTGGGTGCCTGTTCCTCCTGTGCTAATGGGACTGTTTCCTCGAGAGGCTTGCTGACCTCTGGCTGATCTGAGCGCGGCGTTTCCTCCTTTACATCGACCTCCATCAGTTCAGCATGTTCTGCTTTCGCGGTTTGGGCCGCACCAGCCTCGGTCGCGCGACGTCCAGGAGATTTGCCCTCTTCCCTTTGCAAACGCTCGATCTCCTCGCGAATTTCCGTGTACCTCCGCTCATCCTCTCTGATCTCTTTGGTGACTAGTTCTCGGTATTTGGCGTAAAGGTGCGACACCAATTCTGGGACCAAGGTCGCGTGGGTGACTCCGTCCACAAGGCCCCCCGGTCGCGGGTTGGAGATCTTGCGCTTCTTGGGATTGCTAGCACCCGAAGACTCCGTCGATCGCCCGTTCGAACCAACGGCCGTATCGCGATCGAATCCATCGCGCATCAACGTCGCATAGAGGTCCTCCAAGGCCTCCGGACTGAGGCGGTCGGCATCGAACGCGACATTTTCGCGTACGAATGGGTTGCTGGACAGGAGCTTGGAAATGGATGCAAAGCTGGCGGGGCGTACATCGGACGTCGCTAAAGATTGGAAGAAGAGGAGGGACTCAAACGGAGTGTATTTCGACAGAGGAGGCATCCCCCACTGCCCGCCCGGTCGGCCACTGGGGGAGAAGAGTTTGGGGATCGGGGCCACGGTGGTCGGAGAGATGCGGAGAGGGCTCGAAATGGGATAGAAGGCAAGCCGTTAGGGCCTGTGGTGGATTAGGCCGCTGCTCGGTCAGTTAAGAAATGCGAACGCGACAGATCAAGGACCCTGTACGCATAGCCCTTTAGTCCATTGGCGTAAAAGGAAATTGAAGGGGAGTAGAAAAGAAAGGAAAAAGGGCGCTAAAAAAAAGAGAACACCGGGACCACCACTGGGAATCAGAGGAAGTATGGCCCCTTGACAGAGTCTCGAAGGAGTAGGATGAAAAAAAGCGCCGTTCGATGGGGATGGATGGAATTGCGATGGAAAGGACACACGATGAAGAGAGGTGCGTATCGTATGTTACAGTCACGTGATCCGGTTGCCGGGCAGATGCAATTTGTATAGACTTGCGATGGAATCCCGGGGGAGAATGACGCACGATGATCTGTGGTCCTGTCGGTGTCTATGAAGCATGTCCTTTTCAAATGACATTTAAGTATATATCCCCGTCAGTTTCTACTCCCAGAGCCCCCTACCCACAGGAGTCAAGAATAATAAACAACACCCCTAATCGGAACCCCACGCGCTTCAGGGGCTTTTTGGCCTGGTTTTTTGGGTTGGCGGTTGAGATCCGCCAAAAGCGCCACCGAGGAATGACAGCTTCGAAGGACATAGCCAGTCCGACCGGAATGGCCTTGCCACCCCTGAGAGATCCAAATCTCCTCTTTGATCCCCCCTGGTCACCACTTCCACGGCAGAAATGACGCAGGACCCCCCCTTGATGTATTACACTGGTAACGCTGGGGCTCCTTGCGGTGGATATGGCTCCCTCCACGGGTCACGGCGACTAGTAACATAGTCGGTGGGCTAGCAATGATCATCTCTCCTGCTTCATTTCGCACTTCTCCTTCTTTTTTCTCCCCTCTCCGACTTTCTGGCAGGTCTCCAAAGTTCCCTTTCCCACCCTTTTCTCGCATCCACGCAGCTTCGGTGCTGGTCTCTTCTCGCGATCCTTCTCTCTATCTTTGTGATTTGTTATTTTCCTGGTATTTTCTCCCCTTTTGGCCTCGGATAACTATACGGCAAAATGGATGGATGCACTGACTCCTCCAAGCGCGAACTCCCCCGATCGAGGGCTGATCTCTGGTCCCCGTTGACCGATTCTTGGCTGGTCCTGGTCTCGACGATCTCACCTTATAATAATCTTTTAATTCTGGCTTCGTGCCCCGCTTGGCCCCAGGTCGCACATACCCCTCGACCGTGAGCCCGCTTTTTTGCTTCGAAACCGAGCTGTGATCGCAGGGTCGAACCCCGGCCAGATAATCTTCGTCACGATGTCCGATACCGATCAGGAATGGAAGCCCAGTGGCCGACCTCAGTCGTTCGTCTATTCCCTCCGAGTGTGCTGTTGGGAGCTGTAAACATTGACCGAGACATGGCAGGACCATGGCGCAGGCCTTCTCCACGGCGCTGGATAGCGCCTTCATGTTAGATTCGGATGTCAACAACCTGTCGTTGAGCATCGATCAAAAGTAGGTGATGGGTCACATATGCCCAGCTCTTCGTCCGGTCGCAGCGCTGACCCGACATTCGACAGGAAGCAGCAGATGATGATCCAGAGTCGCGAGCTGGAAGCTCTGCAGGAGCGCATCCGTGAGACCGAGTCGCGTCTTAAGAAGAACCGGCAGTCGGTCTCTATCGGAGCCAACCCATCATTCCAAGGCGAACGGGGGCAAGCAAGCCGATCAGCCGGTGAGTGTGGCTCGCTTCGTTGAGCTTGCAGCGAATCTGACATTTCGCCCCAGCGCCCCAGGGAGAATCCGCCGACAACCAGCAGAAGGGAAATGAGCCGTAACTGGCCCATTTCTCTGTGATTCACACTTTGTGAAAGCGATTTTTGGTTTCATATTCGGAATGGGCCGGACTGGATGTGTTGCAGACCGGAGCAGACAGTCAGACGAATATTGTCGAGATTCATGAATGCTCCGATCACCCAGTTCAGTCGGCGTGTTTATTTTTTGGGGGGTGATTCTGTTTTTGTTGCATTTATTGATCTTTTTCTTTTTTTCTCTTTTCAAGAAACCCCTTTGTATGTATCTGGACCCCGATCTGAGGGGATCGGGAGTCGGCGTAACTCGAGGTTGACAATGGAATCTGTGATCTGCATGTCTGCATGTCCTGTCTGCCCTGTCTGCCATGTTCTTCGACGCCCGAAGAGAAGAAGATGGCAACCGCCGATCGCTGAGTTGTTAAGCTGTCTGTGTAGCGCCAATCACCGGCTCTCAATCGACGCGGATAATCCACCGGGTCCGTGAAGCTGTGGAGCTGTCACTGCGGAGTACCCCTCAATCCTGCCTTGATTCCTTGCTCTTCTCTTTCCCACCCTTCTCCCTTATTTTTTTTTCTTTCAACTCTCTGTCAATCATGGTGTTGATTGACAAGCACGAGTACCTCACCGAGGAAGAGAAACGACTGAGGGATGACCGGGATCGCACTCGTTACTGGAAGAAATGGGGCCCGTACGTAGCCGAGAGACAATGGGCCACTGGTGGGTTTGCTTCCGTGGAGATCTCGATGGCGACGGGTTAATGGTGATCTCATTCGCTTTATAGTGCGCGAGGATTACTCGTGAGTTCTCCTCTCAATTCGGCGTGTTGCCCAGCTAACCTGCGACAGTGAGAATGGAGATGCTTGGAGCTGTAAGTACCGATCGACGGCATTGCCCGGAATGTAGCTAATGGATATGGGGAGACTTCTCTCACGATCATGCTCGGTCGCGGACATTCCGCTGGGGCGAGGATGGAATCGCCGGCGTTTCGGATACCCATGGGCTGCAGAATATCGCATTCGCGTTTTGGAACGAGAAAGAGTATGTGGGGAGATTCCCTCCAGTGAGACGAGAGACATTGGCTGATGGCATGGGACCAGCGACTTCCTAAAAGAACGTCTCTTTGGACTGTCTAACCCGCAAGGTAATCATGGCGAGAGTGTCAAGGAGGTCCATTATCATCTGGACAACACCCCGACGGTAAGTGCATAATTGCCATGGATCGAGGCTGTGGGCGATTCTGAGCTCTGACATTGGTTTGGTGCAGCACTCCTACATGAAGTTCCTCTACAAATACCCCCAGAAGAAGTTCCCGTACGAAGACCTGGTGGATGAGAATGCCCGTCGATCGCGCCTGGAGCGCGAATATCAGATTCTCGACACCGGTATCTTCGAGGAAAACAGATACTGGGACATTTTCATTGAGACTGCAAAGGAGGGCGATGATGAGGAGGAGCTGCTTTTCCGGGTCATTGCGTACAACCGTGGCCCCGAGCCGGCTCCTCTGCACATCGTCCCCCATGTATGGTTCCGGAATACCTGGTCGTGGGGCTATGAGAAACAGAAGGCGAGACCTTCCATCAAAAAGGATGGGCCCATGACCGTGAAATCGAACCATGTCAAGCTGGGCGAGCGATATGTGGGCTTCGCGCCTTCGCCTCCCGTCGGGTCGAGCGATGAAGATATCAAACCTACGATGCTCTTCACTGAGAACGAGAGCAACAACCAAAAGCTGTGGAATACAGACAACACCGATCCCTACGTCAAAGATGCGTTTCACCGTCACATCGTCGAGGAGGAAAAGGGTGCCGTAAACCCTGCTAATGAAGGCACCAAGTTTGCCGCGTGGTACGCTTTTGACGACGGCGAGGGAGTTCCTCCAGGCGAGTGTGCCGTTGTGCGCTTCCGGTTCTCCCGGAAAAGGGGGGAATTTGTGGACGAAGAAGAATTAGACGATGTGATTGAGCAGCGGCGTGCAGAGGCAGATGACTTCTACTATCGCATCAACCCCCTTCCCATGAGTGATGACCTGCGAAACATCCAGCGTCAGGCCTTTTCGGGCATGATGTGGACCAAGCAGTTCTATCACTTCGTCTGGGACCAATGGAGCAACGGTGACCCAGCGGAGATTCCCCCTCCCCCGGGACGAAAGGGAGTGCGCAATCAGCAGTGGCGCCATCTCTATATCGACGACATCCTATCAATGCCCGACTCGTGGGAGTACCCGTTCTTTGCGGCATGGGATACCGCGTTTCATTGCATCCCGCTGGCCATGATTGATCCTGACTTCGCTAAGAAGCAGCTGGATCTGCTGACTCGTGAATGGTATATGCATCCCAACGGCCAGTTGCCGGCCTACGAATGGAACTTTGGGGATGTCAACCCGCCCGTACACGCATGGGCCGTGTTCCGGACGTTCAAGATTGAGCGTAAGATGTACGGCCGACAGGATTTGGATTTCCTCGAACGTGTTTTCCAGAAACTGTTGCTGAACTTTACCTGGTGGGTGAACCGCAAGGATTCGGAGGGCAAAAACGTCTTTGAGGGCGGGTTTTTGGGTTTGGATAATATTGGACTCTTTAATCGCTCAGAGCCACTGCCTACTGGCGGCATTCTCGAGCAGGCCGATAGCACGGGTTGGATGGCCTTCTACTGTCTGTGTATGCTGAACATTGCCTTGGAGCTGGCCAAGCATCGGCGGACCTATGAAGACAGTAAGTTCAGGAAATGGGCAAGCGAGAACTTGGGAGACATGTGCTAATATCCTCGCAGTCGCTTCCAAATTCTTTGAACATTTCATTCTAATCAGCGATGCAATGACCTACCGCTCCGGGGAGGATAATATCAAATCTCTCTGGAACGAAGAAGACCAGTGAGTCCAGAAGCAAACTTTGGCTCCGCGCAACAGCTAACACAGCCTAGCTTTTATTACGATGCCATTTCCTATGGTGGTCCGTGGACCCAACAACTCCCTGTCAGGTCACTGGTGGGCCTAATCCCGCTGTACGGAGTGCTCACTCTCGAGCCGGAGCTTATCAACAAGTTCCCTTCATTCAAGCGTCGACTCGACTGGTTCATCGAGAACAAACAAGATGTAGTGGAACGCAACATCGCCAGCATGAAAGTGCGAGGCAAGGATGACCGACTCCTCCTGGCGCTCGTGAGCAAAGAACGGCTGGAAAAAATCCTCAAGCGCATGCTCGACGAGACTGAGTTCTTGTCCGAGCACGGGATCCGGTCCATGTCGAAATACCACCAAGAGCATCCGTATTCCATGGACGTCAACGGCCAGACCTTCAAGGTTGGCTACGTACCCGGTGACTCGGACAGCGCTCTTTTTGGCGGCAACAGCAACTGGCGTGGGCCGATCTGGCTCTGCGTCAACTTTCTGCTGGTCGAGTCGCTGCTCCGGTTCTATATGTTCTATGGCGACTCGTTCCAAGTCGAATGCCCCACGGGCTCGGGCGACTACATGCATCTCGGTCATGTCGCAGAGGAGCTCCAGCACCGCATGCAACACCTGTTTGCTCGAAACGACGAGGGTCGCCGTGCTGTCAATGCCAATTCGGACTTGCTCGACTTTGACGAGCATTGGAAGGACTACATGTGGTTCCACGAGTTCTTCGACGGTGATACCGGCCGCGGCCTCGGCACGTCCCATCAGTGTGGGTGGACCGGATTGATCGCCAAGGTGATCCATGACACGGGGTGAGCTCAGTCATTTACTCCATGAATTCTTCTTATCATTGTCACTAATCTTCTCTATTAGGATCACCTGCCGCCTCCCTCAAACCCCCCGCTCCCCTGCCGCGGCCGCTTCGCACTACTTTGACGATATCTTCTCGCGTAGCGGCCGGCCCCGAGGCCACGGCCGTCCGGCTCTCCGCCGCTCATCCACCAACCGGTCCATCGGCGCCCGAAGTGACTTTGAGGCGATGCCCGCTGCCTCGACCGTCCTTGATGACGAAGAACCCGCCATGAGCGGCGCGGCTAGCCGTCGCAGCAGCGTGGCCGGCATCCCGGTGGATCCTGCGGAAGAAGAGCATCTGAATCACTATGTTGAAAATCAGCTGCAGCGAGTCCGTAGCTCTGCCTCGATTGCAGCTTACGAGGATGAGTTGGAGACCAAGGCGGAGAGAGAGAATGGCTATGCTTAATGGATTTTTGGTTTGTTTTGGCATGCCATTTAGACCATTTTGGATTTGATTTCTTTTTGTTTACAGGGGTTACGCACATCTAATTGACTCCCTTTTCCTTTTGTGTCTTATCTCGATTTGGTGTAGCTCGTTGCTACTAGATAATACTCGTGATATATAGGTAGAACAATTTATATTCGCTGGATATCTTCGCCTCTGTTTAATCTGAGCTTATTCCCCCCCTTTATCCAAGCCAGCACTCTAGCTGAATTAAGATTGGTATGCTGTTTTAGTGGTGACTTGAGTACCTACTGCTATACTGTGTTGCTAGTTCTTCGTCCATAACAGCTTGCATTCGAAAGACATTTGCTAAATATCTTATATTCCTTTTAATTTTCTTTTCCAACAGCAAAACGAGTGACGGGCGAGGAAGACCACCAAACAAGAAAGCAAAATAATCAGCAAGCCGTATTCCATCATCACCATCACCACCTCAAAGGCCCACGATTGATCTTAGCAGGAAAAGACCCGCACCAGCACCCACATTTAATCTCAGTCTCAGTCTCAGTCAAACATCAACACTGACTGATATCACTGGGAAAAATCCCTCAACAACTCAAGACACCCAGCTTAAGAAGTGGCCTTGAGAGAAGGACAGTCGACCTTACCACCACAGCACTGGTCGTCACTATTCTTCCAGATACAGTTATTCTCCTCGGCCTTAACATCACACGGCACCTCGGTAAAGTCAAACGGCACGCAAGCCTGGGGATCATTCTGGAAGAAAGTGATCGCAGGGGTCGCCGACGGACACGCAGGTCCCAGGCCATAATCAAAGCCACCGAGACAATACTTGCCACACGGCCACTTGGTGATGGAGAACTTGCCGGCCTGCGCGAAGTTGTCCGTCTTGCCGATGTGGTTGCCGTTCATCGCGTTGTTCAGCCACCGGTTCGGGTACGCGCCTGTGCCCGGGTTGCCGTGGATGTCGCGGATGTAGGTCAGGTCGCTTGGGTTGATGGGCAACCCGGCCTTGCACTCTTCGTCTTTGCACAGCTGGAATCGGCCGGACTTCAGGGACATGCTCTCTGGCGCGGCGATGAACCAGCTGCCGCCAAAGCCGAGGCGTTCGCCGTTTTCGCCGGTGAAGGTGTAGCATTTGCCTATACAAAGGATACGTCAGCAATTTGGTCATATTTAGAGCTCTGTGGGCAAAGTATAATACTCACCAGTCTCCAGCCCAGACGAGCACTTCTGCTTCTTGCACTTCCCATCGTCCGTCTCCTTCGAGCCTGCCGGACAAACACACTCGCCATTGACTAGCACCTTACCATTCTGGCACGTCGGCTCCTTGCGCTTACACGTCTCGCCGTCAAAGACCTCGCCCGACGGACAGCACCGGTACCCAGCCTCGGCGCTGCCGGTCAGATCGTGGCCCTCGGCGCAGCAGTCGAACGCCGTCTCCGGGCTGCCCAGCAGATTCTGGCCCTCCAGACAGCAGCCGGCGAACTTCTTGTTGCTGCTCATGCTCAGCTTCTTGTGACCAGCCTGGTTGTCGCAGTCCACCGATGTCTTGAACCCATCTTCTACCCAGGTGATGGTGTTGCCGTCGACGCTCCATTTGCCTTGGATCTCCTTGACGGGGACGTTTTTGGTGTAGGTTTTGGCGGAGATGAGGAGTGGGTGCAGAAGAAAGGCGGCGAGGCCGAAACCGAGAGTCTTCATTGTTGCTGTTGGTTTTTGGTGGATGCCCTTAGATTTGGCTTGTTCTTCGTTCTAGTTCTTCGAGGTTGCTTGATTCTGATCCTGAACAGCGGTTCTCCTCGACCCTTTTATATTCGCTTCTCTGTACTTTTGCCCTGTCATGAGGATGACCCTTTCTTGCCTGTCTTGCGTGGCTCGGCTGGAAGAGTTCCCGTCTCTTCGAGGGGTTGGTTGCATTGAGCGCTGATTGCAGCTCAGCTGAGGTTGTTGGAGCTGGATCGTCGTGAGTGTGATGTCAACTGCGTGAACCGGCGCTGCAGCAAGACCCAGTGAGATTGTTTGTCTGGGCGGGAGAGTACTTGATAGACATGATCATCATGAACTCTCGGCAGAGTGATTCGACCCAACGATATGGCCCATCCCTGCAAGCTTGGACGCGAGGACGCCAGGTTCGACAACCTGCTTGAACTAGCAGGCCCATGAATCACCCCGGGAAAGGAGATCGGAGATTGTAAGATACATACACTCATCAATACCTTGGTAGCTTTGCAAAATTTCAATTTCAATTTCAAGTTGGTGACCTATTGGACTCGGCATCTACTAGTTATGTGTCTAGCTATCCAGAGTATAGTGTATATACCCCCTTAGGTATACCAGCTCCATGGGGTACACATAATTCTGTGTCGATATTATATACTAGATATTTACTATTTACTATTTGCTATCCACTAGTAATACATTGAAACCAGATCTACAAGGTGACTCGGCTAGGGTGCCTGGGACGATCGATGAACTAGGGCTGCAAGACACGCATTAGACGGCGTGACGGCCCAGTCTGTGGCTGAGCTGGGACGCAGTCAACAAATGCCTCATGCGGGGACTCGGCAACCCACGAACAGGGATTGTATCTGCTCACTGTTCTTTTCTTTTGTTTCCCCACACGATCCTCCACAGATAACACAGGCCCGCAGGCGATTCACGAACCGTGATCGACCCTGCATCCTCCAATCTCGGTGCGAATCTCCTATCGCAAACTAGTTGCACGGCAATAATTTACTGCACCCTACGTTAATCCTATGCGGAGCTGTTGCCTCCTACGCGGGTGGATATATGCATAGGGAGGTGGATTTCACTGCACTCCGCCTATCAAGATGTATGTGTCAACACCCATTAGCTGGCTGGGATGTATCTGTGGTGTACATCCTTTCCTGGTGGATTCGACTATCTCGTTTAGTGGATTTTAGTGGATTGGACCCATGCACGGCGTGAGCTCGGCTATGTCGCTCATGACCTCAGAGTTCGATAGCCATTCAACTATCCATAGAGTATGAGTCCCTGCGAGTTTCCCAAATAGGGTATCACAGAAGTACTGGCCCCATCTTGCACTACTGCAGCCGTGCAGAATGGCTGACGAGGCCAGATGTACATATCACCCGTGGAGATCATAAAATGAAATAAAAAATAGCTGATCATCTACAAAAGAAAAGAAAAAGTCAAATGTATATTGTGCAATTCACATGTAATGAAAACAAAGGAGAATGAAAGACAAATGGGACTCTGAACCCCTGTTTTTCTCTTTCATCGGGACGCTATCGTTCACCCGGGACGATATGCTATACCTCGCCATTCCCACAAACTCTGGAGGCTATTGTACATTTACAAAGCATCGGTAAGAGCCTTGTTCATCTTGGCGATCTTGGAGGACACGCTGAGGTCAATGGTGCGGTCGCCAATCTCGACGACGAGGCCACCAACCAGGTCGGGGTTGACCTAGTACACAATCAGCAACTATAGTTCATGACACAGACAGAATAATACCGGAGAAGCAACGCACCTTGGTGACAACCTTGAGCTTCTTGCCCTGGCTGTACTCGGACTTGGAGACAGCCTTCTCGAGACGAGAGATGGTCTTGCTGTCCAGCTCCTACAGTATCCCTCATTAGTTGATATTACCACCAACCCATCAAGAACCAAAGAGGAATCGCACCTGGGCGCTGGTGATGTTCAAGTCGATCTCGCCACGGTGAGCACCCATCAGGGTCGCGAACTTCTCGCAGACACCGGCGAGGGTGCCGAGGCGGTTGTTCTCAGCCAGAGTGGTGAGGAAGTTCTTCAGGACGTCGGCCTTGTCGCCACCGGCAACCTTCTGTAGCTCCTGGACGATCGACTGCTTGTCGGCGTTGGTCAGGGTCGGGGCACCGAGGATGGCGGTCAGCTTCTTGTCGGCCTTGATGGTCTCGCCGAGGGTAGCGATGGACCTGGCGGTCTGGTCGAGGGCAGCGGACTTGGTGGAGGCGGTGTACTATTTCAGAGTCAAGTTAGAAGCTGTGTGTACTTGGGTTGTAATGAAGTTTCGCGATTGTTTCATGCGGAACATGCTGTCCCAAACCATGGAGCGAGAGGGGTCGGGGAAAGACGGGTTCGATCAGAAAGGCACCGCAGGGCTGCGAGCCATGCGCGATTGAATTGCGTACCAGGGCAGTGGCGTAGGTGCCATCAACACCGAACAGGGCGACCGGGGGGCGGACTTCCTGGGTCGGGGTGGCATAGGTCCTGAGGCCATTGACGGCGGCCGTGCGAGGAACGGAGAACTGCTGGGCGGCACGCAGGCCGGAGCGGGCGACACGAGCGGACATCATTGTGAGATTAGGTGTGAGGAGAGCCTCAAGGAGAGGGGGGAGACTGGCGGAGTTGGATGGGAGATGCGAGCGACGTCGGAGTGCTGCTTCGTCAAGGGTGCAGGTTGAGACCTCAGTGAGGCCCGAGTTCTTCCAAGATCACGTGGTCCACACGCCCGGGTGACTCAGCTAGACTTATGTAAATCAGTGCCTCAGGCAACATATAACATATATGGTTCGTCTATGAATTGTTTACTTTTCTTCTTTTTTTTTTTATTGCCTTAATCGGTAGGTCTTCTTTTTCTTTGAAAGAAATATAATAAGCAGCTACACAATATCCAATTCCATGTATCTATTGTCACTGCCTCCCAGGGTTTACTTTGTATTCAATAGTAGCTTTAGCTGGCTCATCGAAAATAGCGAAAGCAAGCGCTGAATCCAGGGATAGTTGAAAATGCAATAAACAGGTATAGAATTCATGATCAGCTCTTGTGCACATTAAGTACACACGTGAAGGACGCCCGACAATCAGAAACCCACGAGACTAGCAATGCATGCACCACACCAGAAACGCCATTGAGATCCTACTACCTGGAGCCGGCTAACGCAGGAAACGCCACTGCACCAATCCACGGCAAACAGGATCCCCATGCACAAAGTGTACATAGTTGAATTCTTGTCCTTTCCTCGGGTCCTGCCTTAATCACTGCGCAACATGCTATCGACCAAATCACCCAGAGGCCCCCAATAGTCTTTCCCACTGGCCAGTCGGTGCTCATCAATGAACAGCACATAGTGTTTAAAACTGGTGTTCAGGTGTGGCTCGAGGCCAAGGTGGACTACCACCGGGTAGTGGTGGCAGTAAATATGGGCGTAGACGCGGTACAGACGTTTGAAGAGCTGGCGGAGGAGACTAGGGAAGGTCTTGGGGAATGGGATACCTATATCAATAAAACAAATAATAATAAGTAGGAGCGGCGAATGCGCAGGGAATCTTGAAAACATACCAATACGGCTGGGGAACATTTGCTCGTTGTCGATGTTTCCCTGCACCCAGCTCATCAGGTGCTCGATATATTCCGGGGCATTCATCTTGGTTGGGCGCCGATAATTCTCTGAGTCCTGCCAGAGGTACTCGAACCTGCAGTCCACAGTGAGCTGAGGAGTCAACAACACACCTGGCTAGGGGCAGCCATACTCATCTGTCGCTTTCATCTCAGGACATGACTGCGGCGAGCAGAATTCGGTGATCGAGCCATAAAGGAGGTTAATTTGGTTGTAGAAATCGACCACTGAAACAACCAACAACCGTATTAGCCATGTCTGTTGTACAGTGCCTCGATAAACCAAGATCCAACGATTCATGGTGGTGTCTTACCGTTGACTGCGAGCCACTCATTTAAGTCCTCTCCTTCCGGGAGTTTTACAGCCTTGCGCAAACTGCCACTTCCCAGCGTGGCTTCGGCAAACTGTCGTAGCTGGTAGCTGCTGGTGCCTTTGGCGGCGGACCGCGGCTTGAAGGGGGCTCGTGTGCGAGCATTGCTGGGGGTGTTAGTCCAAAGGTGCCCTGTTTGAGCGCGCGCACTGACGGGGACAGATAGAGAGGGGGTTCCAAGGCCGGGACATGGGAGGTACGGGTGGTTTGGTATGCGGAAGGGCTAATGGTGATGGAGGGGGTGCCGGACGGCGAGGGCGCCGCGGGCTCCGCGATAGTGGGCAAATGAACAGGGGCAGGAGTAGTGGGGACAGACATGGTGGTGATGAACGAGGCCATTGTTCTCTCCGGCTCTCGGGGACAGGATCTCCCTGTCTTTTTGTTGGGTTGATGGCGGGGTCGCTGATCGGTGCCTGCATTCCGATGGCCAAAGTCAGTTGCTGTGCGCCAGCCCACGAGGAATGACAGCAGGTATGCCTTACCGAGAATCACTCTGAGGATCGCAATGAAGCAAATTGGAAGAAAATTTAAACGAGTGAGATCGAATGTTGGAAGCACACGGTGTAGGGGAGAAAAAGAGGTGCTATCAGCTCGGCGCAATAAAGTGAGATCACACCCCCGCGTTGCCCTAGTGACCGCCCCGATGATCTGACAGCCTACGAGATGCACACTATTGGATATACTGTCAATTATAGCTATCAATTATAGCATTTGATGGGCAATGATCAGGGAAATTGCACTTTTTCATTTCCGCTTAATTCAACTTGCTGAACATATCCCTCGCAGGGGGATAGGGGAATATTTAGACCAAAACACCCCCGAACCTGCCCGGCAGGTTCTTGAATATCAAGCATGGCCTGAGCACGTATATAAAAAAAAAACTAGATTGAATACCCCTCAGCCTCCTCTGGCATCCGTTCCCGCACAGTCTCGCCGTACACCGTGAGTGGGATAGAGATTTCAAACGATTCGCAATTCAAATGCTCCATGGCAGACATGACTTTGCCGCGATCATCGGAGGACAAGGTCTCAAGCAGGCGCGTCCCAGATGGACCGGGCCCTTGTTCCCCAGGGTTGTTTGGCGTAACAAACTCGAATCGCAGATCCCAATCAATGGTCACCCCACTAGTGAGAACCGACGGGGTGGACGCGACAGGGATTGCCGGACTAAACACAACGCGAGTGGCGTGTAGCGTGTTCTCGAACAAGGATGCGTGGATGCGGCGAGTAGCTCGGTGGATACTGGCACCGGACCGAACAGCCAGAGTGGGCATGACTTTCTCCGAGGTTTCCAAGGATGCTCTTACGGCGTAACAAGGAACTGCGGCATTGCCAAAATCTACCGTGGCGACGATCGTTTCCCCCAGTCGATGAACTGGCCGGTTTAAGACAACGACCGCAATGCGTTGCCCCTCGCGAGCGATATCGAAACGGTTGGGGCTGCGCCGTGATTGAATGGCCTGATTGCTGCGGAGAATCGCCAGATCGATAGTATCCTTGCAAGACAGTGCTTGCCGGAGTCCTTCGTGGCTCGGCCGTCTTTCGGGGAGTGCACCGGGTGGGAACAGAGTGTTGGAGCGCGCACGCTGTTCGAGGATATCATCCACATAAGATAGAAAATCCGTGGCTGAGTGCCATGGCCCACTGACGCTTGGGTTTTTCACAGGAGCTGGCGGGTTCAGCCCGACCTTTTGTACTTTGGCTTCATCGCGCAGAAGCACATAGGGTGACATCAAGTCATGGCCGAGAATGTCTCCTTTTTCTGCTGGGGAGGTTAGATCTGAATGAAACACCATGAAAGACAGGGTTGCTTACCGTTGACACCGCTGAACACACGGAACGGGATGTTGACACGGTGCACTCGCTGAGGCTCATTGGCTCCGCTCGGCCGTTGAGTCCCGATGACCAGATTGTAGGAAATTTTGATTGCTTTGCCCTTGTGGCTCGCCGGGAGCCCTTTGGGAAGAGTGAAGGAGAATGAATACGACTGTTCTTCGCCTGGAGCCAGTCGGAGATCAACGAAAAGAAGCGATTGGGAGGTGGACAACAACGGGATTGATCGCGAGGAGGCGACGCCGCGCATTTCTCGCAGGCCATCCAACTCATTATTCGACATAAAACCATTGATCGACTCTTCAATGGAGTTCCACTTCAGAGCCCCCCAAAACCCACCCCCTTTGCGCGAGCGCTCAGCGCTAGCAGGGGTGGCCCGCCCCGGAAGCCCGCCCCCACCGGCTTGACCACCGACGACTCCTTTTCGTTTGACCTCATCGAAGGCCGACTGGTTGACCAGCGAGCCGTCGACCGTGAATGAGGCGCTGACCTGCGCGTATCCCATCAGCAGTGCCTGGTTGTCGGTGCCTTTGCTAGAAGAAACCACTGCGGTCGAGTAGTGTCTCCCATGTCGCACAGGAGGGGGCGCTCGCCCGCCCTGCATCGAAGTATTGGTGTATTCAGAAGCAAGCGTCTCGGAAGAGTGGTCACTGATAGAGTAGAACTCGCCACTGCTCCGGTTGCTCCCATTGACACTGGTCGCTGATAGAATTCGCGTAAGCTGCTGATGTGCGGGGGCCACTGAATTGGAGGCGTCCCTGCGTGATGGTCTTCCTCCATGAGATGAGATACCATTTGTTTCGCTTGCTCTGGGGGAAGGAGAAGAACCAGGACGGCTGTTCGGTTCACTTGGAGGGGCAGCTGGAAACTTGAAATCAATGGGGGGCGGCTGAGGTCTTCGCGCTGATGCGCGCAGTGGCTCAGTTGGAACAATGGGGCTGTTCGCAATGGAACCGGGTCGGCTGGTCCGCCTCGAGGGAGTTGTGTCGACTTTCAGGTTACTGCTGGGGGACTCGTCCGGAGACTCTGTCAATGGAGGGCCACGGAAGGGAGTTCTTCCCACTAAAGAGCACTATAGTTAATATAAAAATACCTCTTATAGAAGAGGGCTCAGCGGGGATAATATGCGTGCCTTTGCGATAGGATTCCTCGTAGCTGTTGTTCCTCCGGGGGGCAACCTGAAGACTGGCCGAACGCCCATGGCCCCTGACTGGCCTAGGGCGGTTAAAATGGTGAGGTAAAGGTGTTTGCTCCGGTTTACCCTCGCTATCGATAGAAAGAATTGAAACGGATCGTTTGTGGCTGTGACCTGGCTGCCAACTGCGAGGTGTGGAGGGGGTACTGGTCGGCGGGAAGCTATGCGAGGCAACTAACGGAGAGCTCAGCGAAGAGGTGGTTCGGTGCGATGGCCTCCTCGGCGAACCAATGGAATAGGATCGCCGGCTCGAGAAGAGGCTCTGGGGGGATCTGAAGGAGAAAAACGAGTCCGAGTTGGAGTTTTGGGTGTGGTTCGCGACACGAGACAGTTTCCGCTGATGGGAAGCTCCCTCGGCGCCATTGCCAGCTTCAGGGCCCTTATCGGCGACGTTCTTGAAGGTGATGATACATTCCACGTCTTCTCCGGCAAAGATCGTCTGATCTTTCCATTTCACGAAGACCTGGATGTTCGAGGGCATGGCGGCACAGTGTCAGCATGTGGGCCGTAGGTCGCAGTCTCACGAATCTCGGGGGGATCGCCGCCACGATCAAGTGCAGTAAGGATGAAGCAATGGAAGCGATGCCAACTGGAGCATACTGTCAGATGAAATGGGCTATGCTGGGAACAAAATAAGAGATGGAGAAGAGAGGTGTCAACGGGCTACCGAGGATCACTCAAAAGGCGGTTGGCGTGGCGGCGAGATCCTTGCTCCACCCATGCGAACGAACCAGGACACAAGTCGATCCCCAGAACATGACCTATTTTTAGGATATTCCATGATGCAGTAATGCAATTACTATGTGTGATGACTACACTTGGAGATAAGAGTGCAATTGGAATTTTGTGTATGTCGCAGATTATGGACCTGAGTGGAATATGTTGCCCTCACGCTGGAGACATCAGCGCTGTACACGATCGGCCCCCCAAAACTATATGCTCGCTCATAATATGCAAGGGTGTGTCAAAGTTAAGTATTTACATGGGTTTGCGGTCGTCGTATAGCATATTGAAATCCCCATAGGCGTTCGTTTTCTTGGTCGCAGGTCGGAGACCCAGCTCGGCCATCCGACTCCAGATTCGATCGTGTCGCTTTTCCCAGCGCTTGCGGCGACTCTCCATCTCATCCTCCGATGGCTGCCACCGGCTCTTGAGAATTCGGCGAACACTTTCTGGCGAGACCTTGAATTGCTCCGCAAGGACGGGGGTCGTGAATTGGTCGGGCGCAGTCGCATGTAGGTGTCGCATGCCATCGAGCGCATCAGGGGAGAGCTTTTTGGGTGGGTTCCATCCCCCACTGAATTTCTCTTTCAAGACTTTTTTCTGGACCTGCCAATCTTCGGGCTTCCTTTTCTTCTTGGGCTTTTGCTTTGCTGTGTCCTTGCGAGAGTCGTTGCGCTCTTTCTTCCATGCTTTCTTGGTTGCAGCATCGTGCTCACCCTTGGCGTGGGAAGTCGCCTTTTTCGCCGTAACGCGATGAGCTGATGCACCAGGGTCGGTGATTGCCTCGTTTTTCTGACGTGTCTGAGGGGCGGTGGTGACAGTTGCAGACTCGGCGATCCCAGGGCTAGACTGGTCGTTCAAGGTATCACGGAATAATGGGGATGAGCTGAAGTTTCGGTGATATTGGAGACTAGGAGCGCGACACGAGTTAAGGGGACGGTAGACACTCCGGGAGGCGCGCCAGTGGCCCGACTCGGAGCGTAAGACATGGCGCAAGAGAGTAGGCAAGGCCAATGATGACGATGCAGCACAGGCTGTCATAATGGGGCTGAGTCGCGGAAGCACAAAAATCGAGCACGTCCAGGGGAACCGGGGGACGCGAAGGACGAGAAAATCATCGAGTGGCGATAAGATATCTCACTCAATGGTCTGTTGGCCTGTGTTATCAGGCATCAATATCTGTTTTCACCACTTCCAGGACCATGGAAATGAGGGAGAATGAAAACAGATCTGCCTCAACGTTGTTTTCTTTGTTTTTCCAGTAAACGCCAGCCCACCCAAGTGGACGTCAGGTTATCGAGCTCTCTTCTACCTGACCTCGAACCCCCCAACAAAGCCAAAGTTCTCTCCCAGCTGGGCGCTATCACTTGGAAGCTTTCGCAGTTGTGCTTCGATAGAATCGGTTCGCTCTTCGAAGAGCATGAGACCTTCGACATCAAGGAGTGTCTCTCACGTGGCCACATGCTACACGGACGATATTTGTTGGAAATTCCACATGGGCCTTTTACTTCTGAAACGGAGTTCGATAACAGCCTTGTTTCTGCGTTCTCGGAGCATGCAGAGATTCTGCAGCTATCGCATTATTGCTTCGTGGCCCTTGGGCGTAAAATAGACTCGTCGGGCAACAGTGGAAGTCGCCTCACTACAACAAACTCTATAACGAAGTTCAACAGGAGGACCAGCCGCTTTCGAAGATTGAGAAGGATGAAAAAGAATATTTTCGAAACAAGGATCTCAGAAACACGATAGCTCAGAAGCTGACGCTCGTGTCCGAATGGAAAACAAAATATGCCGTCAATCATCCACCGAAACTTCGGAAAGATATGTTTGTCGCTCCCCCCAAGTTATGGAAATGGACTCAACAATTCATGCAGGGTTGGAAAGGCATGTCTTGATGGGTTTAGCCCAGGTATCAAAATCTCACGCGAATGCGCTTGACTGGGACTTTCCACAAATCCTTGGTTTCATCATCTTTCACCTTCTCAAAATCAGATCACACATCAAACACTGCTCGGGGGAGGGGGACATACTGTTGTCAATATGGTGCTTGATGTACTTGAATCAATAGTGCCTTTGCGCCACTCCGTCTCTGCGATACTTTAGCTAATGCCTCATTTTTCGCACTGACCTCTCCCACTATGTCTTCCACGTTGTTTGAGCGCGTATCGCCCGGGTAACCCACCTGTTGGCTGGCGGCACTCGATACTACGCGGTAAAGAAGCCTAAACGGTGCGACCAGTCCATTCACTTGCCATTCTATCCAATGATTGACGTCCGGTCTGTGCTCCGCGTATTGGAGCATAAACATAAAAGTCGCATCGATCAAAGCAACGTATGTGGAACTCGTTGGTTTAACCTGCGGCGTGTTTCGAGATTCTAGCTTCAGAAGTATACAACTTCAAGGCATACGGCCACGCATCGCGTAGGTTCTGTCTTGGCCCTCACCGGGGGTCTGGAGACAGAAACTGGATTTAAATTGGTGCGCTCCAAGATCACTGTTTAGATTTAATCAGAGTCAATCATTTTTACCTATTCTTCGCATTATGTCGTTCACCAACCTCGCTCGAAAAGCAACCCCCACCTTCCGCAAGCTGGCTAACCAGTTCGAACAGTCGTGACATGGACGGAACAAGATAACTGGGAAAACCCACGCGGCCCTCTGGGCATTGACCAGCCAAGCCCCAAACTGACTCCGCTTACATCTCAAAGTCCAAAATGGCTTCACAATCTTCACAACAAAGGGTTAAGACTGCTTGGTGGGGACAACCTCAACTACAGCGCGCTGACCATTCTGGTAGTGGACCCTAGTCAAGGGAGCAGTTCCCAAGGAGAGGGCTCTCAAGTATGCCGACAAGGCAGAAGACTGACTCGAAGGATTCAACATGGGATATAAGCGGGATGACCGCTCAGTATGGAAATCTACAAATATTCCCAAGCACTGTCACGGTGGATTATTCGATCTGTGAGTTACGTTGCATGTCAAGTCGTTGCAAATTACTGTGAGCTGACATTTCTCAGCTTCTCCTTTGCCCATGCCCAGTTCGTCTGGGACTGCAAGTCCGAGCCTAACATCCGCCGATATCTTTGCCAAAATTTGGGGCACAGACGAGCTGACAGTTTCTTACGGTATGTTTGGGGGGGGGGGGGGGGTTCTGATCTCATTGAGGCATTGAGGGACATTATTGCTGATTGTTGCAGACGATGGCACTCCCAGCCGAAGAGGCTGTCATGGCAAGGCTCCTTGGCCCCATGTGAGTCCAATAACCCCCTTCTATTATGTTTCTCATGAGTACTGACTTAGGTATAGTCTGATCAGAGTGCCTACCGACCTTGACCTCACTGCATTCAAGGCCTGTCGAACCTAGTACGTTGTTTCCACGTGCTCCTTCGCTCTCTTTCTTTGCCCTAACATACTATGTTAGCTTCCCAACAGTCCCGAAGATGGTGACCTTGCAGTGATGGAGGGCACCGCTCCTCTTTTGGGCAGTACTTCAAACACCATGAAGCGGTAGGTCCCAGCTTCTCCAGGTAAAGCGAAATGCTAACAACTGCAGCCCGAGGGGGGTTGGATCAAACGTGACCTTTTTCACTGGACGGATGAGAAGCTCCAATGGTTCAAGGACCGCGGCTGCGAGTGGGTGAAGCCCAGTATGGACCCCGGTGACTTTATCCTGTGGGATTCTCGCGCAGTCCACCACGGTGCCGCGCCTCTCGGAAACAACAAGCGTATGGCTATTTGTATACCGCCCAATTAACATCCTCTTAGGATAATGAAATTAATGACTCTTAGACACCTGCTACAAGCCCATCGAGTTCTTGGCCGAAGAGCAAAGAGAACGCAAGGTCGAGGCCTTCAAGCGTGGCTACATGACTGTGAGTGTCCATATGCCCAACCCTATGTTGTAAATGACTGATCAAAGGTCAGTCACACGATCCTACCGACTTTGTTCTTAAGCAGGAGCAGATGGCAGACTGGAACATCCTCCATCCTTATGGGCCTCCAACCATCAATAAGGCGACTCAGCAGACTATTGGGATGACCCCTTATGATTAGGTGTCTTGGGAGTTATTGAGATTAAATGAGATCCTCGTGATCTCACTTGTCATGTTTGGGGAAATATGTCGACTCGCACAAGTCGCAGTGAGTTGAGTTGAGAAGAAAAGAAGTTTGGACGTCGCCTTTCTCTTGAGGCATTGAGTAGTCACATGACAAGTGGAAGTAAAATCAGGTGACTTAAGTCACATGCCTCTTTCTAGAAAAATAAACAAACATGAAAAGAGTAGAGAAAGGCGAGAGTAAAGCAAAGAAAAGAAAGATTGTATCTGGAATGACAATGGCAGTTGAATAGCGAGAGCTGGGATCAACCATGGACATATAATAGGAGCAATGGTGGTAGGACTCGTTCATCTAGCTCACCAATAACGAATACAAATTCCAGTGTGGAGTTCAAGACTAAGTAAATAATAGCCATTTCACTAGATGCAACCAGAATGGAGGCCTATTTCTCACTCTAATGTGTTGTGATCTCTTTAATAATAACCTCAATATCCCCAGGGTCCGGTGATCCCCAGGAATCAGTGCGCTCCCTCGACCCACCGGTTCATCCATCAGGGAGAACACACTATTTCCTGCCAATATTGCGGAAATAAGCAAGGACATCTATATCTATGGGTTGAAGGTCTAGCTTAATAGACTTCTCCCAAAATTCTCCGAGTTTCTTTCTCTCTGCGCTCCACTGCAGCTCCACACTGTCTTGACACCGCGAGACCCAAGGTTCCCATGCCGCGGATCGACTGGAATGATCAACCCTGTTCGCCGCTTAGCGTGGAATGAAGCTCCAGCTTGTTTGTTGCCCCTTCCCCTCGCTCTTTCAACTCTCATCTTTGACGCCTCCGAGAGAAGATCACGGATCAAGCTTCATCTTAGCTTCCCCCACTCCCAGCACCGTCATTTTCACCCCCTCGCCTCCTTTTGTGTCCTCGGTCCCGCAGTCTTCAAAATACTCGAGAATCCCTCTTGCGACTCCAATTGACGTGCCCTGCGACGGATGCGCCCCCCGAATTGACATGCAAACACCCCGCGCGCTCAGGGGACCGTGAATCACCACTATCGATTACAGTCCCCCGAGGCGATGGCCACCCACACCCCCATCACTGCCAAAACAAAGCTGGCTGGGCCCGGCGCCTCCTTGAAAATCACCCCCTCCAATTCCCCCGTGCTGCGACCCGGAACGCGATCTCCCAGCAAATCATCGCCGCATCAGTCCTTGCTGTCCCTCCAAACCGTCATCGGCACGACCACTACAACCCCCAATGGCTTCTCTAGCCACGATCAGAGCAAAAGCTTTGCGCTGTGCGCCGGGTCGGCAGCGGTGCTCGCGGAGCTTGATGACGACGCCAACATCAATCAGCGGTTCTTCCGCGCCCGTCCTTCCGCGACGAGTGTGAACCCGACCACTTCTTTCTACAACACGTCGTCTACTCCCCCCACCACGCCAGACGCCAGATCGCGATCTCTATCCCACATTCGGTCCAATCCCCATCTGAATGCCCACAATGCGTCTCCGTCCAGTGAGGTCGGCGATAGTGGGAGCCCTCGGGCGTGGTCTTCACGGGAACGAGTAAAAGCAGTTACGAGTGTGTCCATCAGTCCGAATGGTCGATTCCTTGCGGTAGGAGAGGTGAGTGGATGGCGGGAAAGACAGGATAGAGTACCCAACGGAAGCTGATCAGGTCCAGACGGGCTACAACCCTCGTGTTTTGATCTTTTCAACGGCACGCGATGCCTTGCAAGATGTTCCTCTGTCAATTCTGAGTGAACACACATTTGGTGTTCGAAGCTTGGCCTTCAGCCCCGACTCGCAGTACTTGGCAACCCTCGGCAATCCCAACGACGGTTTCCTTTTCATCTGGGCCATCAACCTCAAAAACGGGTCGGCTCGGTTGCACTCGGTGAACAAATGTACATCGTTCGTTCGCGATATGTGCTGGGTTGGCCAGAGCTTGATCACGTAGGTCCACCCCATAACGATCATAGTTAGCAGCCTACTAATAACCATATCAGCACCGGTGTGCGGCATGTCAAAGTCTGGAGGCTCCCGGTCGTTCGGCCTATGTCTCCGACAAAATCTCGTTTGAATGTGGACGGAAGTGCCCCATCTCCAAACCCAGCGCCAAAGGCCCTGACGGGAAGAAATTGCGTGCTAGGCCCTTTGAGTGACCATACATTCACCTGCGTGCGCAGTATTTCGGACCAGGAGGCCGTGGTTGGCACCGACTCGGGTGCCGTGTGTTTTCTTGATGACCGGGAGGGAACTCAGAAGTTGTTGCTCGTCAAACAAATGGGTTTCGGCGTTACCTCCTTGACCATCGATTTCGATCAGGAGTCTATATGGCTAGGTGGTCGTGGAAAAAGATCCAGCGGCTATCTTTTGAAGCCTTACGATCCAATACTGCGCCTGTACCGTCATCGCCTCTGCGCCCAGAAAAGGGCGCGACAGACAAGCGGAGCAAGGCCCCTGCAATTACCTGCATGGGCTCTCTTTCCTCCCATTTGGTCACTGTTGAATCCACCCGTGAGGCTCATCTCTATCCCATGAACATGTTGGCCGACGACGGCGAGCAGGATTCTAGCGAAACCTCGATGCTGGCTCATAGCGACCCAATTCTCGGCATTCGCCCTTTGAAAGTACCCAATGAGTTTTCTGCTCGTTTCTTTACGTGGTCTCGCAGTGGCTCGGTGAATTTCTGGGATGGCCAGGGGAAATGCCAGGATTCCAAGACGATCCAGCTCGAGCAACTCTCGGGACATGAAGACGATGTCGGGAACGAATTAAAGGTTCTGCGAGCAACGGAAAATGTAGAATGGCTTGTCTCTGGTGATAAATTCGGGGTCTTGAGGTATGGTTGCCTAGCGAATTGCCGCGCTTGCAAATTTCTCTGTTGACATTTGGCAATGCAGGATTTTCTCAAGCAAGGATTGGAGTTGTATCAGTCAAGCTCGTGCCCATGGAGGTGAAATCATGGATATCGCGCTTCAGCCGACTGCCGAGTCTTGTCTCGTGGCCAGCTCTGGCCGCGACCGAATGGTGCAGCTTTTCCAGAAGTGCGACACAACCTTGCAGCTAATCCAAACCATGGATGAGCATGTTGGCGCGGTAGGCCAGCTGTTATTCGTGAATGAAGGCAAGAAATTGCTTTCGTGCTCTGCAGACCGGACCGTTCTCATAAGAGACCGCGCGACACGCGAAGTCGATGGTGGCACATCCGTTGCCTACCTCATCTCCAGGGTCATCACCCTGAAGGCATCTCCGGTCTCAATGACATTTTGCTCCGATGATACGAGCTTATTGTACCTGTCCACCATGGACCGTTGTCTTTCCAAATTTGATATCCCATCAGGGCGCCAGCTCCACTCTTTCCGGGCATCTGACTCGGAAGCAACCGATGCAGTGATCATGGGCTCTTTGACGGTAGCCTCCGAGATTCCGGGCCAGAGCCCAAAACTCTTGATCGGAGTCTCTAGCACCGATAAATCTATTCGGGTGTATGATCTCGAACGAGATCAGCTTCTGACCGGTGAATTCGGGCATACAGAAGGCGTGAGCGACGTGCTGCTTTTGGAGGACCGCGACAACCCTGAGAAGTCGCTTACCAAGCGAAGCCTCATCAGCACTGGCATGGATGGCATTCTCATGATATGGAATCTGTCGATCCAGCCGCAGCCAACGCCAGACCCTGCTCAAACCGCACCGGACGAAGAAGGTCCCATCAAAGAAATGACTGCAGCTCAGCCTCCCCTGCGCAAGGTTCTCTCTCGCAGCGAGCTGGCCGGCTTCCAGCGGCCAGATAGCCCCTTTGGAACACCCACTCCTGCGCGCGAGCATTCTCCGACTCTGGTGAAGAAAATGTCCAAACTGTCGTTGGTACCCTCTTCACTCAAGCACCATTCGGTTTGCGAAACCCCATCGCCTCCCAACCGCCGTTCGCCCACATCCTGCACTCCGACAGACCAAACTCGCCAGTCACCCTCGCCTGTGAGCCCGAAGACCAAAACTTCGGCCTCAAAAAACCCCCCTAGCGCAAAGAGCAACAACCGACGTACCTCCTTGGACTTCCGCACTCGCTCGAAAACATCCGCGCGCAGCGAATTCGGGAGTCTGGACATGTCCACGGAGCAGGTGTGCCGCACCCTCCGCGCCTACAGGAAAAAGCTCAACGGGTCAACGCAACAGATCCAAGCGCAGAAAGAGCTTGAACGCGAGCTGAGTCTGACGCTGCGTGTCGTGGGTGCCCGCGCGCAAAGCAGCGATGAGAGTGCCGAAACCGAAACCGATAGCAGCAAGGATCTTGACCGCAAGCCGAGCTGCTCATCTATCTCTTCCAAATCGCCCCATCTCCCGCGCCATATGCCCTCCACTCCGTTGTTGCGCCATAAAAACCTGCGGCAGGTTTCACGGAGTCGCTCTTATGATGCAAATGGCGATGAGTGAATCGCCTCGTCTTGATCTTTTGCTCTGCCTCTCCTGCTCCGTACTTTCTTCTTTTCGTCTTTCTTCTCTGCTTATGAACTTTGTGTGGACAAGGGGTCAGTTGTGCAGTCATGTTCTCGATGCTTTCATGAGACATGGCATCGGTGTTTGGGTGGTTGGGGCTATGGGATGCCCTCGCATTATCTTCCTTCGTTCTGTCGAATTTCCTTCTCTTTTTCTTTTCTTCACTGGCTCATTGCCTTTGCATTCTCTCTTCATTTTCATTTTTTCAATTTTCCTTTTCTCCTCCATCAGACTGGTGGTTACAGTCCGATCTTTCTCTTCTCTTCTTTTCTCTGCTGATTTCACTAGAGATCTTTTTTCTGCTTCTGATGATACCCACATATTACTCTTTACTCTTTCCCATTTGTGAAAGACTATGCCATAATTAATTTCTTCGATTGATGTGTTAACATCATTCGCGATTCACTTTCAAGATGTAATTGAACAATCGTTTTCGACAATCTGGGTAACGAGACAAGCAAAAGGACTAGAGAACGCAGTCAACTCCATATTGTAAAGAGCCATATCACGCACAGCATATCAACATAAGCAATTCTTGACAATTTCAAACACTCCCCCTTCCCCATTGGAAAACAGCATCAAGGCACTTCTCAAACCAAATTCCGTAGTCTCTCCCGAAGCAAGTTGACAAGCTTCTCGCCCGTAAGCCCGTCAATAAGAGTAGCGACCTGAATAGCCTTCTCAGCCCAGCGCCGACAATCCTCATCCCTGGACGCGCGGTAGAAATCCGCTGCCTGGTTGAACGATATGGTAGCAAACCGCACAAGCTCCTCGGCTGGATAGGGGAAGTGGAAGCACAATGGTCCCCCTTCTTGGTCGGGGCTGTGAATCGCAGCGTGATCGCGACTTGCTAGGTATGCTTCATGCATTGCCAGAAGAATAACTTGGTCGAGTACGGTTTCGGCTAGCTCCAGGTCCCCGGTTGTTGATGTTGGTGAAGATGAACTTTCTGATGTTGGGGAGGTGGCGGATTCCGGGGAGATGGCCAGTTGGAATAGGCAGCGCAGGTAATGCGGTAGGTATTGGCGGCAGGAGAAGTTGTATCTCCTTTCCATGCTCTGCATTTCGGAAATGATGGTCTTTAGATTGTGATGTTTGTTAGGAGAGGAGCTTGTTGAACTTTGTATTTGGAATCGCCGTTTGGGTATCTGGGTGTCATACCTTGATCACCAAGATCTTTTCTTGTCTGGGGGCATCCGATCGAAGGATCGAACCCATGAAGTACCGGTAAATGCTGTCATCAAGAACGTACTCGGCCTCTTCGATGATTGAGAATAGACTCGGGAGCCTCTCTTGGGGTCGCCAATGCTCGAGAACGATGGCGGCCTCAAAATCAGCCAGCAATGCTATGAAATGTAGATTTGACTCTCTCTCGTGCCACATCTCATCCTCATCTCCCTGCTCCAAATACTTCCTCCTGAGGCTGTGGACGCAAAAACGAATCCCTTTGTAGCAATATTTCTGATATAAGTAAGTGAGTGGGACATGCATGAACCATACAAAATGTTCTCATACTGGGCCGACGATTGAACCATTACTCAAGGAGTTGGGCTCACCTTGCTAGCCATGTCTGTCTCAGAACGGGCCTTGGGGATGCGTTGAAGAAGATTGACGTAGTAGCAGAGATATCCCAGATGCTGGAACTCCGCCCAGTCGATTTCCTGGCCGAGCTTTTCTGATTTGTCTCGGTAGATGAATCCGAACTAGTTTTCGATTAGCACCTCTGCAGCTTGATTATAGTCGTGAATCGATGTTCCACAGACCTCCTCTGAGCATGACAGAAGAGTATTGATGAAATCGGGCTGAGAGTTCTTTTTCAAAAACATCCAGGCTGCTTCAAAGCTCTTGCGGATGAACCATTTCAGCTCCGTGGTTGAGAATTTTCTTGCACAACGTGCTGCATTTATTAGCTTCATCTTGTTAAGGCAAAGTGAGTCTCACCCGAGTCAAACATATTACACATGAGCCCTAGCTGTTCTTCATCACACTTGCCGTCCTTCATCTCCACCAAAATTAGTGAAATTGGAAACCTGGAACCATTAGTTTCCGGCAAGAACACATGGAATAGAGCTATCTCACGTGAAATTATCCGCTTCCTGAGAGTTGAGATCCCAGAAATTAGAAACACATAGGAATACCTCATCTGACTCATTCAGTCGCTGAGCCTCTATTCCGCATGATTGTAAGTATTTCAGGCGCCATGGAAGAAACTTGCTGGTAGTTTCGCCGGAAATGTATTCTGCAGACTATCAGCACACTAAAGATAGAGACCAGGTAAATTTATGTACCAACACCACCCTCGTCATCAGATAACGCCAGCTTGTAGCGCAAATAGAAGGTTTGGGCATAGGACTTGTACTTCTCTTCAGCATCGGCATTCTGTTCGTGTAGCCCGAGAGCATCAGGAACTGGTATCTGGTCTAGTATTTCACGAGCCAGATCCGTGTTGGAAGTGTGCAAAGCACATGCTACCAGCCTCCTAGGGAAAGGTCACTCATGTTTCAGAGATGAGGATCTTGTCACGCTAACCTTTGAATCTTCTGTCGGTTTGATTCAGAGCAATTTTGAAAAACCCGAGCATCAAGTGCGATGCGGCACCATTCCTGTGCGAGCTCATAGCCATCGTGGTGATCTCGTCTTGCGCTGTGCATTGCGTTGTCAACCTGCCTCCAGATAGGCTGTTCTTAATGTAAGCGGGCGCTGCAGAACATGGATGGAGGAAATCTCACAATTAGAGTCGCATGGCTTGCTTCTATTCTCAGCGCCCCATGACCGGCCCGTTCCATTGTCTCAATTGCACTCTTGATGAGGGTCAGGCGTTTTTCATTTGGGATCGTCGAATTTGTGATCATCGAGACGATGTTGATGAACCCCCTTTCGACCCATTCTGTCTTCTGGGATGGGGAAGCCTGGATAAAAGGAATTGCACCGTTTCAGCGGCCCGTCTCGCGCTAATCGATAGTAAGCAAGGTGTCTGATGAATCCACCCATGGAGAAAGAAAGATCAGCTTACCACAAACGTTTCAACCGTTTTATGTGGTGAAAGGCACTGGGGCAATGCGGTTAGTCTTGGTCTGCAGCCTTTGGGGCAAGCTTACAGCTTCAAGTTCTCGTTCGTGTAGTCCATCCCGTCGATGGCAAGTGACAAAGCTAGAAAATGAGGTCAGGAGCTGATGCAATGAGGAGTGGGGCAACCTTGCCTTGGAAGTAGTGATCAAGCTTTGGTTTCACATTGTGGCCAAGGACCTCGAGCTCGAGAAACAAGACAGCGGGGTTGTTGCCGTGATCCTAGACATATTTAAGTGTCGGAAGATTTCTCAACCAACCTGAACATACCCTTTTCAATACATCCAGCTGCTCTGTGAGACTCTGCTGTGATTCAGGCGTTTTGATGAACATATACGCCCGAGCTATAGCCTGTTAGCTCGAGAGAGTTTTCTCAAGAATACATATGCATACCGAGTGCGTGTCCAGCAAGGAGCTTCAGCTCGATTGTATCTCGGCCCTGAGTTTGATGTGGAGTCGTGAGAGTTGGGAGGCCCTGGGCATGTTCCAATGCCCTCTTTAGCCATGTGACTGCACAACCGCGCTGGCCTTTGGAGAGTGCAGTCTTTCCTATCTGATAGGAAGTCTCTGCGATCATTCTCTGATCTTTCACGGAAAGTCCTTCCGGGACCTTGGAGAAAAGGTGTTCTGCGATATCCGGTCTTCCTTGCAACCAAGAGAGTTGAGCACGAAGCATGTAATAACACGTCTTGGCAGAGCTAAGTTGCATCGCGTCAATCGAAGAGGAAGAAGTCTCCAAGGATTCCAGTCTCTGGGCTGCTTTGCCGAGAATCCTTAAGGCATCGTCAAGCTGCTTAGTATCTTTATATCTGTTAGCCTCACTGGGAAACACAAGGAGAATCCAATGTTATACGCGAAGATAACGTACCAAGACATGCTTTTGCCGCCTTCAGAGCCACACCAAGCGCCCTCCAGTTTCCTGTGAAAAAAGTGAGATTGTGTTAATATAGAGAAATGTGATGCCACCAAACCTGAAGGATGAGACGGTGTGACAATTTCCAGCACCCCAAATGCGAACTCCCTCACTATCGAGTTCGGTCAGCCATGCTAAAAGCTCCATGCCCAACAATATGGAAAGCCCATACCTTTAGACAGCAACTTCTTGTCCTCTTCGCTTTCAGCCACAGATTGGCAGGCGTTCCAAAGCTCTGTGCCGAGTTTGTCTAGTTCTCGGCGAGATGAAGCGGAGGTTACAATAAGAAGTGGAAGGTATTCAACAAGCAATTGCTCCAAGTACGGGATGGTATCTTCACTCAGAAGAGGCATACCAGAGGTGGCGGTGTTCAGTTTTATCTTCATTCCCTGTAACACCTCTAACAAGACAAGAAACATCGATTAGATCATGGTTCAACGTCAAGAAGAGTCTTGCAAGTTTCATGCTTGTTTCATACCTGCCACCGCAGCAACTGGGACCTGGGTGGCTTCTCGCCTTGAGGCCATGTTTCGATTCGCTGAACCCAGTACAGTTGGATGGATGGTCTGGGAGAGAAGCTGGGGCGCGTAAATAGAAGAATCAATAGAGGATAGGTTGATGATGGAAAGCAAGGTGGAAGATAAATTGAGGAAAGTTGGTGGATGGAAAACAACTTGGATCAGCTGCGCTGTCTTGTATCTTCAGCCGGCAAATTCCCTACTAATCATTGGCACCTCCCATACGCCTGAAAACCCAGGCAGATATAAATAGTGTACATCTGGTTCACGCACTGCACATTTTTCAAAAAGACTTCAATCTTGAGGTCCTGGAGAATCAGAAACATAAGAAAAGAAAAGAAACAAAGCCCGTTGAATCGCGGATGCCCGCATTTTTAAATTTATAGAAGAGCCGTCTGCATCGTTGCCAGAAATAAGCCTAGATACCCTGTATCCAATGCTATTTGTTGATCGGTAGGAAGTTTCCAACAATAAGAGATGGACTATGAGGCCAGAGGTCAGCTTTGTCAGGGGATACCATTTCTCGCTTCATCCAGGCATACTTACATGTTGTGGTTATCTCGTCGAATCGTAAAGGAGAAGCAGCATTGAATGCCATCCCCAGTCGCATTGGGATTAGGGCTCTTCAATGTGCAGCTGGTAAGCATTGCTTTCTGAGTGTTGTCGAAGGCGATAGCGCCGAATTTCTCCCAGTAGCTCACGAGCTGGTCCTCCACGATAATCTCGTGGATGGCGAGCTTGCCCTGACAAACAATAGCTGCATTAGAATCCACAACAGAACATAACAGTAGAGCAAACTCGGAACTTACATCGCGTAGACCCTCAATCGGGACGTCAATCAACTGGGCCATCTCATTGTTGCCTCGAAAGATCTCGCCCGTCCGTCGCCAGCAGCAGGCGGGAATCGCCATACTGGCGAAAACCCGGTCATATTCCATCAAACTCCGCTCGAACCACATTTCCACCAGAATCAACTCAATATCAGTCAGACTCTGCATGCGCTCGCGGAACTTGGGTCGGAACTTGTCGAGCTGCCGAAGGATCTTCTGCCGTGACACTTGCTGCATGTTCTTTTCCATGTATTGATTTAAACGTGCATACCCCTTGACGTAATTGAACGGCTTCAGCAACCCCGCATCGTACTTCGCCTTGAGAAGCTTGTTCATGCGTTCCTCTGGCGGGTCGGATCCTGAGGGGTCGGCAGCTGTCATGTAGTATGTTTCTCGCGCCTTGTCATTCCCCACCGTCGAGGTCGGCCTTTGGATGGAGTCGCCTTGTGGCGGTTGGCTTTGGGCCGGCGGCGGAAGCTGTGTTGGCGGGGGCAGGCCATTGGGAGCACCCAGGGATGTCATGGAGTTCATCAGCGATGGATCGGAGTAGATGCCTTGCATATCTTGGTTCTGATACATGGCACCATCGTCCAACAGGCTATTGCTAAGGAAGTCCCCAAGCAGGTTATACTCGTTTGTCACCTCGGGGGCATTGAACATATACGATGGATGAAGGGAATGCATGTCCTGGAACTGATTCTGCCCACCCAGCCAGTCATTGTATGCCATGACTTTGCCAAAACGTCAGCTGAGCTCAGCGAATCAATCCTCATTTCGAACTTACGCGACTGGGAATTGCTATCGAGACCTTGACTGGACGAGGAAAGGCTCGCAGGTTGTACCGACGAAGACGGATTTATAGAAGAAGGCGGGATCCCAATCGTGCCTTCAGGAAGGATTTGCTGACCGGCAGCATCTGGGACGTCGACATTGGGAGGCATACCCTGAACGTTGGCTAGTTCATTGTTCGATGAGCCCTCCTCGTCTGCCGCAGAATCCTGTTGCGTCCGTTTTGGCGGTTCTCTGGGTTCATCATGGCACAAATGACCGATATTGCGTTTTATACATCGAGAACAAGGCCGTCCCTTTGCGAGTCGAGCTGGTCAGCAGGTACATCTTATTTGCGCGGGTCGCAACTGGTTTCACAGGCCATGGATAAAGTCCATGGACTCAGGCGGCAGAGAAAAGAAGCAGGGAGGTCGTACCGAGTCGCAGGTCATATGCTGTCCGACGCAAGCAATGTCCTTTGGTTAGCAAATCGAACTCCAAGTAGTTCCCCGCCACCACACGTTATGCCCCTCCCCAGGGTCGGCGCAAAGTGTGACCGAGTGCGCGCAAGGACTTGGATGGATATAGGCTTACCGAACGTCGACAGTAGACACAGGCTATAAATATAGATCAATCGTTAGCAAAAAGCGATTCCAACCATGCGGCCCGCGTCTGCGCCCAGAGATCCCTGTCGCATGCCGCGCGACGGCACCTTACCGTGATTCACCTTGCGGCGCTTCTTGGGACTAGAGTGACTGCCCGCGCCAATCGACTCGGGCTTGGCCGCAGATGCTGGCGACTCGTTCGCGTCCTTCCCTGCATCTCCAGATGTGCTGGGCCTCGATTTCGTTGCAGGTGCGCCGCCGGGCGCAGGGCTCTTGTCTGTCATGGCGCAAAAAGAGTGGAAGTTTCGCACAGTTCTCACTAGGATCGAGCAAAATGGCTGCCTGCAGACATCGCAGAGCGACAGTGAGGCGGGTTGGAACAGCGAAAGATTTGGGGATCGCGAAAGCGGAGTCGACCCCTCCGACCTCCTCCGCATGGGGCATCCCCGATCTTTTTCGCCGCCACTTGGGGCTGACCTCGGCCAACCCACTTCGGTGAGATCGGTGATATACCTATGGCTTACAATGTCTATATTTACGCTTGTTGTGTAGGGATTTTGCTTGTGATTTTTTGTTATCGACCAAGCTGCCCATTCGAGAGACACGGCGTGAGATTCACTAGCTGTCGAGATCATCCACCGGTGGAAGTCTCCAGGTTGGACGGGATTTGGCTGATCGACCAGCCGCATAATATCTCCAGTCCCAAAAGTGTGATGCACTTCGTCTTCCCCTGCTTACAAGGACATTTGTCACGTGCGATGCTAGTCGCAGTTCCCAACCGCGCACGGTGCTTCTGTATGCAGCTGTTCAGCCAATCCATCAGGATCCGACGCACGCAACAGAGGTCTGCTGGATGATCTCAGGGCACACAAAGATCGGCGTGGTATGGTCTTTGCAGTAGCCGAGCGATCTCGATGCCCCGATGGTGTTTCATGTGCTCGTTTGCATGTCCACAATGTCTGAAAGGCCATGTAGCCTCGGTGCGTTTGTTGTACTGTCACGCAGGGTCTCAGTCGTCGGGTATCGAGTAGAGATCTAAAGCGGCCTGCGACCTAGTGATGGCATCGCTGAGCCCAGCAAGAGGAGCGGTGTTGGACTGCATGGATTGAAGATGGCCATGCAGTTGCTTCATCAGTCCCTGGATTTCGGGATCGGTATCCAGCTGAATTCAAATAATTGTCAGTGGGTCCACATAGTTCATAGCAGGCAAATGCGAAGCCCGTACCTCGTCCAAAGTCGCCTGGTTATTCTTGCTGTCCAAGAGCCTAAATTCCGAAGACATTGCATCGCTGATCTGTGGAAGCGCATCCAGCTGCCGCAGCACAGGATGCTCCTTGAGGAACTCAGTGTCAGCCAGCAGGGCCTAACACAGTGGATGGAGCTGCATACATGTTTTGCCTGCCGCTTTCTCTCAGCCTCGGCTCGTTTGGCGTTCTTGTCCATCTCCTGCAGCGATTTGGTTTCGCTGGAAAGGAGAGCCTCTTCTTTCGCGATCTCGGCTCTCAAAAGGCCGATGCTGTCCTTCATGGTGGCCAGGTTTCCTTCAAGTGAACGCTAAAAAAATGATATCAGTACAAATCCCACACCGACGCCTTCTGACTTCGGGAATCGCATACATGTTCATCCAGCGCAGATTCATAATCAAAATTCGAGTCCTTTGTAATGGGTGGAAAAGGCATTCGCGGAAGCCGTCTTCCAAGACTTAAGATTCATCACCCCCGAATTAGCATCATGTATCGGCCATCGATTTGACCTCTCGTGAACGAGGCCTGATGAGAAACCAGTGTAGACATACTTTCGCACCACCGCTTGAACTGCGCCCTGCGCCTCAATGCGCTTGCGCTCATTCTGCTGTCGCACTATAACCGGTCGCTCCAGGGAATGGAACATGTCACGGACTTTGTCCTGGACCGGCTCGGGCAGCGTGGTCCATTTCGACTTGATGGTCTTCTCGGGGACACGGCGCACGTGTGGTTTCAGGTACGCGAAGCGCTTGGTTGCATCATCTTGGCCTCGGTTCTCGCTGTCGCCGGTGCGCTTTCGTTTGGGCATGGCGTGGTGAGTGGATGGGGTTTATTTGGGTGGTTTGGGGAGGCGCATTCAACGACGCGTCTCACATGCCCCAAAACAGCGGGCGGTGGGGCCAGTCCAAACATCCCCGGAATGACATGGAAGTATAAGCGCCAACAATATTGCTATATTTTGAATGATTTAAGTATTGTATTGATGAATGCATATATTTTCATCGGATATGTACAGCCCGAGGTCATCGTCGAGGTCGAATATTGCCCGGACCTTACCTCTGATGCCAAATGGGCTTGGAGATTATGCACTAGATGAGTGGGATATAGTCCGACTCGCCATCGCAGGCTTCAGAAGCCCAAGGCTACCCTCGACATTCAGCTGGGTTGAAGTCACCCGCCAGTCAAAGAATAAAGATGAGTGTCAAATAGGGCTTGTTTCCCGTGGAAAGGGTATATCCGTCGCATCGAACGCCCATGCGCCGCACCCACGTAGCCCCAAATCGCTGAACCGCTTGCAATCTCAGAAAGGAAACAAAAAAGAACACCGGGGCCATCCGTCCGATCAACGATAAGAAAGATCATGGTCACATCACAGAGGGGGATCATCGCGGCATCACTAGGCCATTGATGCCCTTGAGATCAGCCAATTGGCCCTGGAGGATCTCGTTCCCGCGCAAGAGTTCCTCAAGCCAGTCAGCGGCCTGCGTGAGCATAGCACTCTTGCTGAACCCACCGCCTCTAAGACTGGGCACCAGCGAACACAGATCGTCAAAGCCCTGGCGGATGAGATTTCGCCGCTTCTGCTCCGAGAGGATGTGATTGGTCCTCTTTTGCTCTTCTGTGAGATTCTCCCGTGCGGCTTTGGAACCTGACGGTAGTCTCACTTTTCGGGAAGTGTCCGTCGACGCGCGCCGGCCCTTGAGGCTGCCCGGGGTTTTGGACTTTCGGGACTGCGGTCTTGAGTCATCCTCATCCGAGAACTGGTCATCCTCTTCCTTCAACGTTCTTTGCCGCTTTCGGGGTTGTGAATTATCTTCCAGGTTGGTTCCCGGCCGGAAGCCGGTGTGAGAGTCATGGACACCCGCCAGGTGGTCTGGGCTAGGAGCTCGAGTATTCGTTGTACTAGTCTGGGGCTCAAAGCACCCGAGGTGGGTCAGGAGATCTTTGGTTCGCTGTTCCTCGTCTGGCTGGTCGGGCGGGCGGAGGTAGCCCTGATCCATAAAACTGGCGTCTGAACCCCAACGCAGACTGCGGGCCTTCCTCGAGGGGTGTTGGTCTGCGGGGATGGGATCACGCACGTCAAACAACATCTCCGACGTATGGAATCCTGTCGGGATCTGTGCCTGAGCAGATGATTCGCTAGGCCTTTTCGCGTGGTTGTCTGCCTGAGAGTCGCGCCTCGGTGAGGCCGAAAACGCCTGCTGCGCCAATGTGGAGCCGAACTCTGGCCCATTCATGCCGCTCTGGTACAGCATAGAAGCTGCAGCAAATATGTCGGGACCCGCAGCATTCCCGCCCATTAATCCTCCACCATGTTTCCCCATGCCATGCTGTTGAAACGATGGTTGTGACAGCGACGTGGTTGATCCTTCAAAGTTCGGTGGAAGTTCATCAGACCACTCGAAGTTGAGCGGCCCCGAGGATTTGTTTTGCGACCGCAGCCAAAAATCGTTCGTAAAGTGATTCGCGTTCATCGTAGTAAAAAAGTTATCAAGCATATTTGATTCATTATCGTCCAGGAGCGATGGTCCCGGGGGAAGAGCCGGAGCCTGTTCATAAGGAGTGTCCATGGGGGAAAGAAAAGAATCTGTGCATCCATTAGAAAAGTAGTTCATACTCTTCCCCCGCCAACAGAACTCACATCCAAAAGGGCCTGCGGGAGGCGAGGTTCGCCCACTTCGGACTTGGGTTGCGTTTCCTTCCATTACGAAAGAAGCAATGCGGCCTGCCAGCAGCAGGGAAAGTAGACAAAATCAACAGATGCTACTCTAGGGATGAGAGCAGCGCGGACCAGGACGATCCGGTCATGCCTTGACGAGCTCGAGCCCCGAGTAGATGCGATAAGGTTGTCATCAAAGATTCACCGACTCCACCGGGGTTGTCGCGTTTTCTGCTCGTTCTGCTCGTATACTGATCAAGCAAGTGTAGAGCCCCCAGGCTGGAGTAGTTGAAGGGAAAGGAACAGAGGATGAAAGATGGAGAGAAGTGGATGATCCGGGGCAACAGTGGAGAGAGAGTCGTCACAGTCCACCCACACAAAGTCAATCATAATCGGAGCGACTGTCATCGGCGACCCGATCACATGCGAATTGTGGGTGTTATCATGATACCAAAATTACCCATAAATTACCTACCACGCCCACTGTGAGGGCCCTACAGCCCGGTACCCCGGAGTACCCTCCCGAGGCCCTGCACCCGGCCAACCGCGAAGGTACTTGGGGGTACTTCGGGGTACCCCATCTGATTGGAGAACGCGCCAAAACTCTCGCATTGCATCACCTGATCGTCCCTTTTCCTCCCTCGGTCCCTTGGGGATGTTCCAGGATTCTCCCAGGATTTGATCTGCTCTTTCATTAAATCATCCGTGGGCCTTGGCCAGGCCCCCCCCCCCCCCCCCCCCCCGCAGTCGCCAACAAAACCCTCCAATGCGGATGATCATCCGCAAACCTCTCTGCCCCTGATTGTAATATTGAGGCGTTTCTGCGGGGACCCCATTTCTTTAGCCCCCTAAGGAGCCGAGGTTCAACCCCCCCTTCTCTGACGCGCTCTCAATTTCGCGTACATAAGCTCGGCCGTCACACAGATCCACAGTTGATCAGAGGGGGGAAAAAAGATATTCAAGATACTCAACGGGCAGGTGTCAGGTTGGTCCTGCCATTCGCGGAGAATACTACCTCATTTTCGGAGTGCAATTGTCATCCACGGACACGTCCTGGGTGGTTCGTCTTCTTCAACCCTATTGTTCTCCGATTGGTGACCTGCGGTGAAAAGCCCGGCTAACGTCTCGTCGAGTACCGATTAGTCGGACGAGTGCGATGCCGACCCTTTCCCGACGGGTCATGACATGAAGATTTCCGGCAACATGGAACCGACCATCCTGAGTCGTCGGGACAGGAATGCTAGGATCCTCAAACCGTGAGTCCACGCGATCTGCCCTGGTGCAACCCATGAGGTGGCTCTGGCTAACACCCCCGATTTAGCATTCTCCGTGCCTATGCGCTCGGGTATTTATCTTCGGTTACTCCAAAGCTCGTCTCTTATGTGCGGCGACTCAGCAAGGACGGGACGGTGGAGCAGAAGCTTCAAGAGGTGGGTTGGCTCTTGCTCTGTGTCTCCGAATCATTGATATCGCGTTTGATGAGATTATCGTCCTCGATGCAAAACTGACAATGGAGTTCAATAGCTGGCTCAAATCTTGATTAGTCCGTTGCGCGTCGACAGCTTTGCAACATTTTGTGCCTCGCTAATCGGTGGTGCGGGCGTGCTGCCGGTATTACTATATCAGCTATACGCGTTGGTCGCCGTTGGGTCTTCCAATGGCGACATACGGATTTCTCAACGGCTCGACCGCTTGATTCGATTTACCAGTGCATTTCTGTCAGCATGGCTCAGTTTCCAGCTCCTTAACAAACCCCGTGTTCGGACGGAACATATCCAAAATACACCGAACTCCCCGAGTCAAGCAAAACACTCCCAAGATGCAGCCAATCCGCTTGAGCATCGCCGTCCGGAGCTAGCCGGGAGGACCATGGACCTTACTCTCTTTACGGTCACGAGAGCAGTGGATGTGGTAGCGTGTATCGCGTGGACCCGTTGGGCTCGCTGCCGCAAAGCTCAGAACCGCTGGACGGTGGCCGAGTCCCTGGCGCCAGGTCTGGCTGACGCAGGGGTTTTCGCGGCCAGCGCAGCGATAGTCATGTGGGCGTGGTTCTACCTTCCAGAACGGTTACCTCGAACCTATGAGAAATGGATCGGGGAAGCTGCTCAAGTGGACTCACGTTTGATCGAGGCCCTGCGTCGCGTTCGTCGGGGGGTTTTCGTCTATGGCAAGGATACAGGACAAGCGCCCCTCCTGCAGTCCATGTGCCGGGACTATCACTGGCCGGAGCAGTGGGGGGATCCATCCAAAACGATTCCAATTCCATGCGAAATGGTACACATGGGCTGCGGCTCTAGTTGTGAGAAACACGCGGTGTATCGCTTTGCCAGGACCTTTAAATTTGCCTGTGCAACCTACATCCCTCTGCAGATTGTTCTACGCCTACGGCGAATGAAGTCCGCGGCCGCATGTGGCCGCGCCATCTCCGATGCCGCTCAGTCATCTGCTTTCCTCGCCTCCTTTGTGAGCCTCTTCTACTATTCCGTGTGCCTTGCGCGGACGAGGATTGGTCCCAAGATTTTTGACCGGGAGACAGTCACGCCCTTGATGTGGGACTCGGGTCTCTGCGTCGGGGCGGGATGTCTCATGTGTGGGTGGAGTGCGCTGGTCGAGAAAGCACGGAAACGCCAGGAGCTGGCACTATTTGTGGCACCTAGAGCTGCGGCCACCGTTTTGCCACGGTTGTATGATAAGAAGGTATGCATCCGGCCCTGTCTGTGTCAGGGTTACACCCCTCCATCCTTTAGCCTTTCCCCTTTCCGTCTCCCCAGCCCTCTATGTGGCGTTTTCCAGAACTGTCGTGGGGTGCTGACGCTTGGATCTTTTTGCTTAGTACCAATACCGCGAGCGCATTGCATTTGCCATGAGTGCTGCTATTCTTTTTACTTGTCTTCGCGAGAAGCCCAGCATGATCCGAGGAGTCTTTGGTCGAATCACCACCAGCGTGTTGAATTAGATTGTCTTTCAGCGAGGGAATCGGGGATGGTCTCATGATATCCTACGAGCTCTCGGATTGTATTACTATCCGTATTATTATGTTTTACTTTAGACCATTCTATGACCTAATAGGGTTGTTGTGCCTGACCATTGTTGCCTACCATGTGTCTTCTCCATTATTTCAATAGCCCTTGCCGCTTGAGGTGCCTGGTACTCTATCTGATGTTGTGAAAAGACGTCAAGGCAGCGAGTTGGCTGTTGAACAAGGCAAAGCAAAGATCTACACTTCCTTGGAATCTCATGTGCTACTGACTGCCGCATTGCTGACCCTTAAGGCTTCTATAGGCCCAAATCGTTGGACGTATAACCAGACCTACCAAACTTGAACTTAAGACTAGACCCTCCAAGGGTATTCCGAATCACCATCTGATTTAACTTGAACAGGCAGTTCTGCCTAGTTCAAAGTTTTGATCATTATTCCCACACATAGATACTAATTTCTACCTGAATTGAAAGCCCATCCAAGTACCCAATGACGAGATTAGATACCATGCTCGGCTGTATCCCCGCCACCTCTGTACACTACACTTTCCACTTCCACAGCCCAACTGGAAGCATTCACACGTCCGAGGATGACAACGATGGAGCAACAATCAACTCCCAGCCAAGAACATCCTCCTGGCCAAGAGCAAACCCCGATCAAGAACGGATCATTCACTCTTTGTTCGACCGCAAGGTCGTCCGACTGAACGACAGTCTGGTCGTGAAACCAGGTCCGAATCTCCGCATCCATGAAGTACACAATCTTGGCTTCATTGCAAAAAACACCACAAGCCCAGTGCCCAAGGTTCATGGTATCTATTGGGGAAACGGCAAGATGACAGCGTTCGTGATGGATTACATGCCTAGCAAACAACTTGACGAAGCATGGGACTCAATGAGCTCGGGTCAGAAACTTTCGATAGCTGATCAACTTCATTCATATATTTCCTAACTTGGCGACATGAAAGGTGATTATACTGGGGCTGTGGATCGTGGGAAAGCTATGATCGGACGAACTTGCTCTATTGAATGCGGTCCCTTCGACTCGGAGCGGGCATTCAATGAGTTCCTCTTAGAGGACCTCGTTGGCAAAGCACCGGATCTATTGCGGCACTACGCTAAACACGCGCTTATGGAGGGCCATGATATTGTTTTCACCCATGGGTATTTCGCCCCCCGAAATATTCTCGTCGATGAAAGCGGCCGCGTGACAGCCATCCTTGACTGGGAATATGCTGGTTGGTACCCCGAGCACTGGGAATATATCAAGGCTATGCAGCGTCTCGTCCCAATGCCAGGCTGGCCCGACTACCTGTCTCGCATTCTACCCCCGCGATATGAGCAAGAGTATGTAGGCATGGTCTTTTTGGGTCTCTTTTCGCGGCATTAGAGGATACACTGTGGTGTTCATGGAGTACATCCCGTTACCTGGGCGCTTCTTCTCGGATCTACTAGTCTCGGCCATTTTTCTCTCCTACAACCCTCATGAACTATTCATATCACTCTCCTTCTGGCATCTTTTACCGATACTAAATCCAATGCGTCTTGAGTAAACAGTCGGAGGTAAACATTTAACTCCGAATTCCAATCTATAAAGACCAGGATTCTTGGATTGACGCACTCCAGTTTTTTTTTTTTCAACAATTAGCATTATTCTTCTTACCATGCCATCCACGCTCCGTCAGACTGCTCTCACATTTATCGACGGGTTTAAAAGCCTCTCGGCAGATTCCTTCCTTGCCGTTCTGGCCCCCACATCAATCCATAAATTCGCACCGTCATCGATCTCCGTTCCGCCCGATCTGGACCCGAACACGTTTGCACATCACGTCCAAAACCTGAGAAACGTCCTCTCAGGTTTTCCCGTCTTTCCTAAAGAGATCTTCGAAAACGAAGAAAAGCGCCAGGTGACGGTCTGGGCAACTAGTTTAGCAATCTTTCGCGATGAGGTGAAAGACAAAGCTCTCTCGGATGAGGAGTGGGCCTATCGAGGGGAGTACATCTTTATTTTTACCATGGATGAGAGTCGGGAGAAGATCGTCAATATCCTGGAGTTTGTCGATAGCAAGGGCACCGAGAGACTCCGGGAGCTGATGGCTCGAGCGAGGAGGAAGCTGGAGAACTTGGAGAAACAATGAGCTATCTGGGGCATATAGAGGAAGGCCGAAGGATCGCTATGTTTATTGAGAGCAAGGTTACATCTGAGAACGCTCATTAGACTAGAACTATATCAATACTTGGGGTAAACAATCTTGAGTAAACAACACACTTATGTAATAGACAATGAATTACCTATTTATTCTCGAGCTATATGAAAATTCACAAAAGCACATAAAATCTAGCAAAATCAATTTAAACAAAAAAATAAATAAATGAATACTTTTGCAGAATAGAAACACGATCGCCGGCGCTGTCATTGCAGGCTTATCGATAAGACCGATAGCACCAGTCACGTGGCGGAGATCCTTTGCCCTGCAATTGACTTCGATGCTCTCAATCCCACCGGAGCATCCTAGAGCCATGTTTTCTCGCTTGCTTCCCCTATGGGGACGCTGTGCACTAAATGGAACTATTCCACAGCGGTCATTTGCCAGAACGGGCATTTTTGGGGCAGAGAAAAGATACTTCTCGAGGAATTCCTTGCTTCGCCAGCAACGCCATGCATCCGCAGCGCCTTTTAATACGCCGCAATCGCAGCACCGAAACACATCTACAATGTGAGCTATCGTTGGGAAGCTATGGATTGTGTTTGGCATTTACTGACTGTGTCCCTGCTCAGGTATTATACCATCAGTCTCATCCTCGGAACCGTTGCGCTTGCCTATGGATCCGTCCCTCTGTACAAAATGGTTCGTGGGATCGGCCCTTTGCCGCTGGAAGCCTATGTATTTTGCTCTTATGGTGCCGAGATTAACATTGTTCTCCCATCTCCAGATCTGCCAACAGACCGGCTGGAACGGTCAACCCGTCCTTACCCACCGCGGCGGCGAGGGCGACACCGCTTCGCGCGTGACCCCCGTTACCGACTCGCGCCGCCTGCGCATCACCTTCAATGCCTCCGTGTCCGATGTGATGCCCTGGAAGTTTACCCCGCAACAGCGCGAGGTGCGGGTACTGCCCGGCGAGACTGCGCTGGCTTTCTACACGGCAACAAACAAGAGCCCCCACGATATCATTGGCGTGGCAACATATAGTGTCACTCCGGGCCAGGTGGCGCCATACTTTAGCAAGATCCAGTGCTTCTGCTTTGAGGAGCAGAAACTCAATGCGGGCGAGTCGGTCGATATGCCGGTCTTCTTTTTCATTGATCCCGACTTCGCAACGGATCCTAACATGAAGGGCATCGATACTATTACATTGTCCTATACCTTCTTCAGTAAGTTGCTTTGCCTCTTGTTGCGCTTTGTCCGCTTGGCTGACTCCCCACCAGAAGCGAAATACGATGACAATGGCGTACTCAAGGCCATCCCATCATAACCACGCCATCTGAGTTACTGACCAAAGCCATTGGCGATATATTTTGGGGTTAGCCCTTGGTAGTGGCCGGGAAGATCAGCAGTCATGTTTCCTACAGCATCTCATCTCCAACCAAAATTTGCATGTACTATATACCTCGGAGTTCAAAAAGGGTTGTGTGATGTCCATAGAGATATCTGGCTGTACATATAACATGTAAATTTCATTCATCTTCAATTGCTCTCGTGGTAGTAAATATCTCGTCTAGAGGCATATAGAGACCGCAGAGAAGAACGTGCACGGACCACAATTTAATGAGGCGCGCGTTCGGACGCGTTTCCCCAAATCAATCGCATCGCCAGTTCCTACATTCAAGAGATTTTCCAACTCCCAGATAAGAGACCACATCATTGCAATGGCTCTCCTTGTCGATAAGCTGCGTCCACGGACTCTCGATGCCCTTTCATACCACCCCGAACTCTCTGATCGCCTTCGGTCTTTGGTAAGTGACTTTTCGCCTCTGGCTTGTGCGCAAGTTGGATAGCTGCTGATTCCTCGGAATCTACTGCACAGGCCCAAAGCGGAGACTTCCCCCATCTGCTCGTATATGGACCATCAGGAGCAGGCAAAAAAACACGGATCATTGCGACACTGAAAGAGCTGTATGGCCCGGGAGTTGAGAAGATCAAGATCGATGCCCGAGTGTTCCAAACGACGAGCAACCGCAAGCTGGAATTCAACATCGTCTCCTCTATCTACCACCTCGAGATCACCCCGGCCGACGTCGGTAATTATGACCGTGTCGTGGTCCAGGAACTGCTCAAGGAGGTGGCGCAAACGCAACAGGTGGATCTCTCGGCCAAGCAACGATTCAAGGTTGTCGTGATCAATGAGGCCGACCATTTGACGCGCGATGCTCAGGCTGCACTGCGTCGGACCATGGAGAAATACAGCCCCAACCTACGCCTGATTCTTCTCGCCAACAGCACCTCCAATATCATTGCCCCGATCCGGTCTCGGACCCTGCTGGTCAGGGTTGCTGCGCCCACTGAGAGCGATATTTGCTCGGCGCTTCGCATTGCGGGGAAACGAGAGGGATGGACAGAGGCCGAAGGGCTCAATGCGAGAATTGCAAAGGAGAGTGGGCGGAACTTGCGTCGTGCGCTCCTCATGTTCGAGGCTATCTATGCGCAAAAGTAAGTGACTTCTTTTATGTTCCCTTGATACGGCTTTTGGGACTTACAGATTTGGGTGTTCTAGTGAAAAAGTCACGGATAAGAGCCCTATCCCGCCCCCAGACTGGGAAGCTCTCATCTCGGTAACGGCCGATGAGATCCTGGCAGAACGCTCGCCAGCTCGTCTCTTGCAGGTCCGAGCTCGTCTTTACGATCTTCTGACCCACTGCATACCGCCGACGACTATTCTCAAGGTATACTTCTGCGTGCTGGAAGAAAAAGAAGTGTATGATGATACTAACTGTGCTTGCGGCAGACCTTGACATTTAAGCTTGTCGGACAAGTCGACGACGCCCTCAAATCCGACGTGATCAAGTGGTCCGCTTTCTACGAGCACCGGATCAAGCTGGGCAGCGTAAGCAATGAGAAATTGTTGGCATGCTCCCATTGATCCTGCTAATGCTAATTCCAATACAGAAAGTGATTTTCCATCTCGAGGCTTTCGTGGCCAAGTTTATGCGCATCTATGAGAGGTATGTCTTACACTGGCAAACCCCACGGGATTTTCTTATTAACTCCCTTCTAGTTACTTGATGGGCATGGATTTCTAGATAATCTCAAAACCACCAAAACAAAACAATGGATGAATCATGAATGTACACTAAAGGGGCTGGTTTTCAGGTCGTATGAGATGGAGCTTTATTGCGCCGTCCGAGAACCCGGAATGCCCTTGGCTTGACGGGACTTTTAGTTCATCTTTCCTTTTCTAAGGTGCATGAAGGTAACCGCTGAGGTGGATTTTGGCGTTCCAAATTGCTGTGGCTAGCTGTTGTTTATCGAGTAGCGCAATCTGCATCTGTCTTAGCATGTTCGAGTATAGTGTCTGAGACTATCAATTTACCCCAGAGAGTAATTACAATAGATTTTGGTAAAATCACTAGAAGCTCCCCTCACTGTCACCATCAAGTCTCGGTATTTCGTGGATAGCGCTGAACCCTGCTCAGGTGGCTGTTGAACCTACGTCATCACATCTCGTCACTACTCAAGCAGCCATTTCCCCCCGCTTGATCATTCTCTACTATCATCTACACAATCTGTAATAAAATTCCGTTTCAAATATCAACATGTCGGACCCCAGACTCATTGACATGGAACCTGGCGGGGAGAGCACGCAGTAAGTGATTCTGGGTCAACCACTCCGCAAATCCACATGGGCTAATCCACTACTCCAGATATGAGTCCATCCGTATAGTCACGAAGAGTCCTTTGAAACAGACCGGTCAATTGGGTGGTTTGTCGCTTCATTCCTTGCCAGTTGAACCGGGGAACTAACCGATTACCTAGGCAATGCGGCACATACAAGAAGTGAGATCAACACCGAGCTAGGAACGGACGAGTCCGCAAGTCCCGACAGAGAAGATGAGGCGATAGCACAAAAGCTGTTTACCGACAAGTCCGGCACCGGAGAAGCAGGTAAATGCTAAGATTATCTTTCGTTGAGTCTAAACTTCCAGTATCAAGACAAAACATTCGTCAGGGTCAATTGGTTTCATGGCCCCAGAACACGCGCAAAAGGCTGATGATAATATACAAAAAGATTTTAGATCCGACGCTCCGGGCGAGAAAACCAGGAAACAGCAGGGGTATGGACCTGGATCTGGTGTTGGGGCGTAGCCGATTCAAGATGAGACACATGAGGAGAGCAGGAAGGCGGAGGATGATGATTTATTGAGAAGGGGAGGGACTGGAGGATGTGCTCTTCGGTGGGGTGTCGAGTTTGTTGGTACCCAGAGGCGGATCCCTGCGCGCTCGCTTGAGGGATTCGAGGGTTTTACCATTACCGAGTTTCGTGATACCAACGACCGGCGGGTCATCCTTCTTAACGAATTCCCAGAGACCTGGAGAGAGACGGGGATTAGCATCCCAGGCTGAAGAGTACAAGTCATTGCGAGACCAAGAGAACATACCCGGCAATTTGTGACCCGCCAATCTAAAAGCCTCCCGGGCAATCTTTTCGTGCAAATCTCCCTTCAATTCAAAAACGACACGGCTGACAGGAAGCCGTACTGTCCAGTAGTCGAACTTGCCCTTTCCTTTACCCATACGCTGCTCATTACCCTTGGTGTAGACACCAATGTTGGCACTCACTCGCTTGTAGAGCTTGTAGTTCATGCCTCGCAGCCGCCGCTTGATGGTCTCTTCTGCGATTTTCAGCGCCGACGAAGGCATGCGGCGATCATGGTCTTTCATGCGCAGCCCGAAATCTCCCCAAACCACCGTTGTCCCGCGGGTAGATCCTCCGGTCGCGACATGAGGCCGACCCTTAGGAGACTTGGATTTCTCGGCGAACTTGGGGGCGAGCCAGTTCAGGTTGGGCGAAGTGGTTGAAAAGCATCGGGAGAGAGAAAAGACCGAGCTTGCCAGGCCTATTGTCACTTGTCAGCTATTACAGGATAATCCACGCGGTTGATGGCATTGAATCCTCACAGGTTGGCCGAGTGCAGGTTGACAAGGGCCCTGCAAACATCTTGATCTGGGGACCCATTGTAGCCGAGGGGAGACGACGCAGTTGATGCTGGAGTCGGGCGGATTTACGGAGCACATTTCAACGACACTAATCCCAAAGGGGCAGAAAGTACTGTGCACGTGCCCACCGTGTTCCTTAGTCATCCATACACGTCTCCCCGGCGAACGGCGCGTCTCGGGGATCTTGGGAGCACCCAGCGATCTGCTCTTGCTGTCTTGTTCATCCCGAATTCTCCGGGTCAAGTTACTTTCACGGATTTAGGGTGGATGTTCAGCCTTGATCATGGCTCCAGACATCCGAAGTTTCTTTGGTGGCAAGCCAAGTCAAGGCGACACCGCTGCCTCGCCCGCGAAGAAAGAGGTGAGTTGTGATCCCCATACTAGAGCGATCTTGCCAGGCGATTGCCGCCTTTGGATATGTTGATGTCTATCTTGGTTTTATCCAAGAAAGTTGCTGACGTTCGGATCCAATAATGCAGGACCCATCTGTCGCGAGGAAGAAGCGTACGATTCGAACACCCCTCCCATTCCTTGGACTAGAGGTCTCACAACCCTACAGGCAGCAGGAAAGTTGTGGATGACAGCGATGAAGATGATGGGCCTGCGCCCGTAAAGCCACCGACTCCCAAAGCGAAGCCCAAGAGTCAACCGTGCGTCTCATTGGTTCGAGTTTCTACATTACTCGGAATCATAACTAACAAGAAACCCCCATAGGAAGCACCAGGAATCGAAAGATGAACCTACCTCCACGTCCGACTACTTTGCCTCCAGCAAGAAGCGTGGAAGGCCATCCAAGGCCAAGACGGCCGAAGAACCTCAGCCTGATGACATGAACGACAAGGCAAGCACTAAATCGAAGAACAAAAAAACTGCCGATGAGCTCGCCGTTAAATCTTCTCGAGGCTCCGCCAAGAAAGACACCCCTAAGATTGAGGATGAGAATCTCGGCGGTGATGACATCTTCGCCACCGAATATGGAAAGCCCGGAAGAGGAGACGATAATTATGTCGCAGCAGGTGACAGCGATGATGACGATGACTTTGAGGTGCTTGAAGTCAAGCCAGCAACTGCTGCACCCAAAAACCCCCAGAAGAAGCAACCTTCTCACGACGAAGACGACGATGTAGTCATGGAAGATCTGCCCAAGCCTGCGCCGAAGGCATCACGACCGGGACGTAAACGCAAGTCAGAAGCCCTTGTGGACAAGGATGAGGATGGCGACTACCGGAATACCAAGAAAGCCGCGCCCAAATCAAACGCGTCCGCATCGCCCGTTGCCAAGAGACCAAAGGCCAGTCCCAAGAAGCAGGATCGCCCCGAAAGCAAAGAGATTCAAGACATCTTTGACAGCATTCCCATGGTCAAACCACCGTCGCCGCCTGCGAAGTCTATGGATAAGAAAGCCTTCCCCTTTGGTGCACAGCGTTCCCGGTCTCCGGGGGCCGCAGGAACCAAGGAGCTGCCCATTGGACAGCCCAACTGTCTAGCCGGGTTATCATTTGTTTTCACCGGTATTCAGGAGACTCTCGGTCGAGAAGAGGGCCAAGAACTGGTGAAGAGATATGGCGGCAAAGTTGTGGGAGCGCCTAGCTCCAAGACTAGCTATGTTGTCCTCGGTAGCGACGCTGGCCCCAAAAAGCTTGAGACTATTGCAAAGCACAAGATCAAGACGATCAGCGAGGACGGTCTGTTCGAACTAATTCGGCGATTGCCCGCGAATGGTGGCGACGGAAAGGCCGCTGAACAGTATGAGGCCAAGATGAAAGCTGACGAGGCAAAGGTCCGGAAGATGGCGGCCGAGATTGAGGAGGAAGAGAGAAACAGAAAGGCCGCTCTGCCGAAGGGACCTAGCACCACTGCCTCCGGGAAGCCTTCTGCCCCCGCATCCAATTTCAATGCCGAACTCTGGACTACAAAGTATGCGCCAACTGCCACCAGTGCTCTTTGTGGCAACAAGGCCGCGGTAGAGAAGATCCAGACTTGGCTGCGAAACTGGCATAGGAATGCCAAAATCGGGTTCAAGAATGGCGGTAAAGACGGTTCAGGGGTGTACCGCGCAATCATGATCCACGGGCCTCCGGGAATCGGCAAAACTACGGCGGCACATCTGGTGGCCAAGCTGGAAGGATTTGACATTGTGGAGACCAATGCCAGTGATACGAGAAGCAAGAAGCTGGTAGAGACTGGTACCTTGGGAGTGCTCGATACGACGTCCTTGCAAGGCTATTTTGCTGGAGCGGGCCAAGCTGTCCAGAGCGAGAAGAAAAAGCTCGTGCTAATCATGGACGAAGTCGATGGGATGTCCGCCGGTGACCGCGGGGGTGTCGGAGCTGTTGCAGCCATTGCCAAAAAGACTAAGATACCGCTCATCCTGATTTGCAACGAGCGGAGGCTCCCCAAGATGAAGCCCTTTGACTTTGTCACCTATGAGATTCCGTTCAGGCGCCCGACAGCAGACCAGATTCGGGCTCGGCTGTCCACTATCTGTTTCCGAGAAGGCCTCAAGATTCCGCCCCCTGTGCTCGATAGTCTCATTCAAGGAACGCATGCCGATATCCGCCAAGTCATCAACATGTTATCCACCGCAAGGCTGGATTTGCAGAGCCTCGACTTTGACAAGGGCAAGGAGATGTCGAAGGCGTGGGAAAAGCATGTGATACTGAAACCATGGGATATTGTCAGCAAGATCCTCAGCCCTCAGATGTTCTCTCCCAGCTCCAGCGCGACGCTGAACGACAAGATCGAGCTTTACTTTAACGACCACGAGTTCAGTTACTTGATGCTCCAGGAGAATTATCTCAGAACCCAGCCCACTCTGTCCAGGGGCTACCAGGGCAAAGAAGATAATCTCAAGCGGCTTGAGCTGGCCGACAATGCGGCCTCAAGTATCAGTGAAGGGGATCTTGTCGACCGCATGATTCACGGAACCCAGCAGCAATGGAGTCTCATGCCCACCCACGCCGCGTTCAGCTTTGTGCGGCCGGCGAGTTTCCAGTTCGGAATGATGAACGACAGGCCTGGCTTTACGAGTTGGTTGGGACAGAATAGTAAACAAGGTAAGCCTGCTATTTCCCGCCATTCCCACGTAGAGAAACTGACCAGCTCGGTTTTGCAGGAAAAATGTCGCGTTTTGTCAAGGAGATCCAGGGTCATATGCGTCTTCGCACATCGGGCAACCGGGATGAGATCCGCCAGCAGTACATGCCTCTGGTTTGGGACAAATTGGTTCGACGGATGATGGACGAGGGCAAGGATTGCGTTGACAGTGTGATTGATTTCATGGATGCGTATTTCCTGACCCGCGAGGATTTCGACGCCATGATTGAATTGGGGTTGGGGCCCATGGATGAGTCCAAGGTCAAACTGGAGACCCAGACCAAGGCCACTTTTACGCGGTTGTACAACCAACGCTCGCACCCGCTTCCCTTCATGAAAGCCAGCAGTGTGGTTGCCCCCAAGAAGGGACCCAAGGAAAAGCCGGATCTTGAAGATGCTATTGAGGAATCGGACGAAGAGGAAGTTGTTGAGGAGGCCAAAGACGACGAGAGCGAGGAACTTGACCTGAAGAAGGATAAGTATGTGAGCTTGCCCAAGAAGAAGAAGGCAGCTGCCAAGGGAAAGAAGGCGAAAAAGGACGATGATTTCATTGATGACGAGGAGAAGCCCAAAAAGGGCCGCAAGGCCAAAACCAAGGCCAAGTGATGGCCCATTGTTGCCTTGATTTGTATTGTACACACTGTTCTATTTGCAGGCTTTTCTTCATGTCGAAGATATGGATGATAGATCTTTACATCCGACTAGCATTCCAATACACTGATTCACATCTGAACCACATCGAATAGTTTATGGGTTACTTAGAGTCCCGTAGTTTTATATCCCTCAGCTTTATCACATCCATCCCATCCCTCAAACATCAAACATCAAATCTATGACATCCATGGATATGGACGAGTTGAACACGCCGAGTCAAACCGTACTTTTGATGCATTTCACGCTTTCTCAGACACGCGATCCCACATCCGTCGCGCCCACTTCTGATAGAGGTAAACGTATTGGTTTGCGCTGTCAATCATGTTGTTGCGCTGATGGTGGATCTTGACTGTGTAATCCTTAATGGGGTCCGGCGAAGAGAAGAACCACTCGGTGCTTTTGGCCACCACCGTCGCCTGGTAGATGGCCCACGCCTCGAACCACGTCCCCGTTCGACCTTTGCCCCATAAGCAATTGCCGATGATTTTCTGGTTGGTGAATTTTTCGTTGACCTGCTCCAGCATAAATTCGAGCTTGTCGGGATCGATTCCCTGCGAGTTCGGCCACGCTGTATAGTAGAAGTAATGGATGGTGTGGGCCGGCTCAGACTTGTATATCAGGCAAAGTTTGCGATATTCCAGATTGTTGTCCTTCCAGGTCTGCTCGTCTTCGAAATGTACCACGTATGGCGCCTCGTCGTATCGGGAGATGACATGACTTGGCCGCAATCGTCTGTAGGTGGGTAAAATCTACGGGTCTTGGACGTGGAGTTTGGGAAGATGTCGTCTCGCTGATCTGCGATGGTTCCGAAGAATTTAAATGCCTCAAAATCCGTGTCGTAGGACACTAGATCCACCAGGATGGCGTTGTCCCCGGCCCCCCTCTGGACCATATCCCAATAGATATACTCTTTGGGATTGCCAAGCCTGGCGGGGCTCTTTCTCTCGATTAGTGGCTGGGGGGACAATGGTGAAAAGAGCGTGTCAAGTACATACTGCGGTGGCAATATAGGGATAGCTGTCTTGGCTTGATCCGATACCAGGTAATCGAGAGGCTGCCATAAACGGTTATTTCCCATGGAACCCATTTTTCCTTCGGAACACGACCCCGGGGTACTGTTCCCAATAGTCTTGATAACTTGCAAAATGAAAGTCAAAGTACCTCTCTGCGTTGGACTCGTGTTCCTGTCCGGGGCCTAGGTTCACTGTCGGACCACTGTACAAATGTTCATAATTGTCCCGTATATCTAAGGGCAGATTAGATATGCATTCGCAGTAGAATGAACTCAAAGGAACCCACAAACCTTCTTCACTCCAATTCATCCAATCTGGCTCTTTTTTCTGTCTGGGCTCGATGGTCAAGCCCTGGACTTGACCAAGGACGAGTATAAGAGAAAGTAGATATAGCATTATATTGGGTTTGTGGTACCAGGCCACAAGAGTTAGATGAAGACTGCTTATATAGTTGCAGAATGCTAGGTAGTTGAATAATCTAATGTACAGCAGCACAATCTTCCAGGGTTCTATGAAACATTGCCTGAATCCTGCTAACAAACCATAGGGCTTTTTCTTTTCTTTTCTTTTTCCATTACGATCCTGCAATCTATCGACTCTCGATATCGGCATGCCGTTGGAATGTTTGGATTTGGACCCACAGTGCCCTGCTCACGCCTGTCTATCAATGACAGCCTTGTACACACTTTTATCTTATTGGACATACATTGTCTTCGCCCTGGGCCGCATCTATTTCGCTAGGCTACAGCCTTAGGATTGCGGTAGCTGAATTAGAGGCCTATCAATTTGTATCAAGTTGTATGTCATCATTGAGGGTCGCAAATTATCCATGGGAACTGGATGCTTAATTCCCTCCTAATACATATGAAAGAGGGGGGTAATGCATATATCAAGAGTGCCTTGCTATAGAGTATCTGATCTGGTCCTTAAGCAAAGAAATAGGATTTTTATCTTGTGTATCCACAGATAGTTTGCAATCCTGATCCTTACAGCCATAACTCGCCTGGTTTGGGTCTTCAAAAAGCTAGACCTCGATACGATCCGCGGGTCTATCTAAACGAGGTACCTATTACCCGGTTCTTAGTAGGTAATAGGCAGGGTTTCTTTAGTTATATATAGGTAGTAGGTAGCTAAGTAATAATTACAGGTAGGTTTTAAGTACCCACAGGTAGTTAAATGATATACATAGGTAGAAACCTGTGGTTTATATATTTTATATACATTCGAACTATATTTCTAATTATTTTATATATAATTACTAGTTAAGATTCAAGATTCTGGCGCTAGAAACAGCTCTCATTGTTTTAGGAGTTAGATTTTATCTACTTTACAGCACAATCTCTAGGTCAAAAGGACATCTCCAACATATTTTAAGTCCCTATTCGACACTTAAAATTCATTCCCTCCCAAGTTCTACTCCCCTCTGTACCCCTTCCTATCTACTATTTTATTCCTCCCCTCCAAATCCTCCTAATTTACTATTGCCTCTTCCCGATTATTAACCCGAAGTATTTCTAAAGCGCTGCTATAAGGAACGCAATATGTCTAGCGCCCATTTCTGCCTAGAGCCCTTTTATCCTTAGACCCCTTCGTAAGATAAGTATATCTAGGGCGGAAATGTCTCGATCTCTTCGCTATCCTCTATTAATTTAAAGCCTAGGATTTAAGTTTTTTTTGATATAATAAATAGTAGTACTATAATAACCTTCAACCATATATTTTTATATTTAGTATAAAATAGGTTTAGCTAACCTCTTTTTTAGCCTATATTTATCTATTATATAATATAATATTTATCTTAAAATATTAAAATATTTTAAGAATATAGCAGCCCTAGTTATATATTTTATACTATAACCAATCTTATAAGCCAATTATAGCATATACTACTGAGCTCGCCGCCCTATATACTACTAAGAGGTCAAATGGATCCCCTAACCTGTTTTCTGTGTACTGAGCATGTGCCTGAATGATGCCTTATGAGTGCCTGGTGAATGCCTTATAGATGCCTGAGAGATAGCACCTCCACCGTGTGTTGATCCGCCTGGCGGGGAAACGATCCGCGGAGACCGCTTCATTCTTCCCACTCCCTTCACTTAAATCTCGCTTTATCCTTACTCTTGTCGCTGGGCTGGTCCTGTTCGAGACTCATTCTTCTCTTCTACTCTGGTAGATCAGCGCATGTCTCCCCCCTGCGCATGTCCTGAATGAACATGCGGTTTCAGCTCTGACGAGTCTGTTGCTACATACCGTGACTGCGCTTTAACAACCCCATCGCTTTTGACTGTACTCTCTCTTCTTGGCCTCTGGTGTAAACATATTTTACGGTGGGAACCGAGGAAAATGTCTCTCCTTCATAACGAGGAGTACGCCCTCTACCCCTCTATTCGCTGCGAGAGGACGCTAAGCATTGGTTTCCGGGCAGTTTTACGATCTGGCAATTGCGCTCATCGTATCTTTCCACAATCAAAGACGGAATTGGTGACCGCCTCATCAATGTGAACAACGCCATTCTCAACACCCCCGGATTTCGTGCCGCAGGCTGGTCAACCGCCTCGGCAAACCCCAATACCCAGAGCGCCGCCCACATCAAGCGCCCGTACTCCCCCTCCGATTCCGACTACAGCGACTGTCTCATCAGAGTATTATCGATTGGCGGCCCGCGATGCTAATGGCGCTCGGAGTGAACTCCAGGGTCTTGGCCTAGAAGACGGTGATGATGAAGAAGGGGGCATGGTCACTGGCAAGAACAACATGGACATCACCGGACGACGACACCATGGACGAGCACAAAAGAAGAAAGGTCGGCGGGAACGACAACATCAAGAGAACCAGAGACAGGCCGAAGCCGAGGACGACGATAGCAGTGACTTGAGTGATGAGAGCGATGACGATGGGGACAACGCTCGCAGGTTGGTTCTTTGTTGCACCGAATATTTCGGCTATTCCTTACATTTTCCAGGGCTGTCGATCAAATTAAGTTTCATAAAATGCCACTCCGTCGGGATCGAGCCGACTCTTCTCCCATCCGCTCCACCGACCACCGCGATCGACCGGAGGTTATGATCACGTCTCCGTCGACCCATAATGTCGCCACACACTACCGCACAGGATCCCTGGGGACTGCAGTTACTTCCAAGGAACGTCCACGGCGAGATACGACTACCAGCAGCGATATTTCCACAGATAACGACGCTGATCTACGGTCTTACAGACAGGGTCAAGTTCAGTTCTCTGCGACTGATCAGGTGGAGGAGCATCGGCGCAAACGGCGAGAACGGACTGGCAGCCGAGGAGATGAAAGCATCGCCGCAGAAGATTTACCCGACGAGGCCGAGGATTCAGGCGCCGAGTCCGTGGGCTCTGCGCTTTCCTCCGAATTTGACGCCACGGCAGGCTCTGGCTCGCTGCTGCTGGCTGGTGTGGGCATAACCGGTACTTTGGGTGCATCATCGCCTATGATATCAATGCACAAGTTACCCCCGGGTACAGGACCACAGAACGCTTCGCCGCGCAAGTCAAAAACCCCAGCTCCTGAGTTACAAGACCTGCCCCCGCCTCGACCTATCAGTACAATACAGCCAGTCAGTCTGCTGACCCGACAACTCAAGGCTCGCAAGCGTGCACCCAGTAACCCGGTGGAGAAGTTTATGGTGCTCTCCGGGCGAGGCCAGGACGATTCGTTGTATTTGAAGATATACGCTCCCTTTGCGTCAGACCCCGAAGACCCTCTAGATCTGCCGCTCATGCGAGAGTCGAAACTCGCCGAACAACCTGCTCCCGTCACTGTGGCCGAGACGATCGGCCTGGCCCTCTGGAAGTACTCGGAAGATGCGCGTGACCCGTCCATCGAGCGCGAGAAGTTGACCGTGAACCGATGGACTCTTCGAATGGTGGAGGATGGCGAAGTCGAGTACGACTTTCCGGCGCTTGGGCGGACCCTCCCAATGACCGACTTCACATCGAATAACAACCAAGCCAGCAAGGCACGCGGGCGGTCACGAGGCAAGCCATATGATGAGTTTGCGCTCGTGGAGGCTTCAAAGACAGAGTTTCAAGAGAATGAACGGTTGTACCCGCAGTTCAGCCAGAGCCTCGGGTCTGATGAAAGTGACCAGCCGGTAGGTCTCGCAGTGTCGAGCACACAACCCGCTACGCAGGCCAAACCCGCCCCGCCCCGTCAGAACCCTATTCTGGGGCAGCCATTCTCGTCCGCGCTCAATGACAGTACGCTTACTCCGGCGGATCGGCCGGCAGTGCCTGTCTCGCACGCAACGCCCCGCCTCGGGGTATCAAAGACTTTGAAGGTCCGCTTCATTAACCTGGAAGCCTCTGCGCACGTCATGACCCTCAACACATCGACGGACAGCTACATTGCCGAGCTTCTGGACTCGGTGTGCAAGCGCTGGGGCCTAGACAAGGGCAATTATTTGCTGAAGGTCATGGGGTCGAACACCATTGCTCCACTGGATCGCACTGTGGAGGCACTGGGCAACATCACAGAACTTGATCTCGTCCGCCGTCGCTTTGGTGCCGGGCCGCTCTCACTGGGCGGTTCCCCGGGGAGCTCGTCTCCCAATGCACCGCTCATGGTTGATAGTAGCAACCCGACGACAGTGAAGAAGGGCAAGAAGGGAGGCCAGCGCATGCTGTCGTCGCTCTCCCAAAAGCAAGACCTCATCGGTGGCTACTACCGGCGCTACCATGTCTTCCGCAAACAGCCCATGACCTTCACGGCCTCGAACCACCGCATCTTGACCTTTGACAACGACTACATGCACATCATGCCCGCCGAGACGGGCAAGACCGGGTCCGATGCCAAGACACGGTCGATCGGCTTCAACGATGTCGTGGGCTGTAAGGTCAGTCGACGACACCCGAAGAGCTTCCGCGTTGTGGTCCTGCGTGGCAACGACGCCACGGAGCAGAAGCGGTATGACTTTGAGTCTCGTAATGCCCTGGAGGCCGTCGAGATCGTGGATGAAATTAAGAAGAACATGGCGCACTATCGCATCTAGGGACATGGTTTATTGGGATTTGTGGGTGTGAATTCATCGGCGTTGAAGATTTAGCTCGACGTTTAAGCAAGCAATATCACCTAGCATTGTCTCTTGGGTTTCATTGGGGTGTATTCGAAATTCGTCTTTCAACTTGCCCTCGGGTTCTTTGAACTAGCCACTACCAAGTCTGCCTGCCGAGGAAATCTCAGCCTGTGGGTTTTTCTCATTCCCATCGGGGGTGTATAGACTAGTATCAACCCCAGTCTATAAGAAATCATTATTTAGTTTAACGACAATTGATTTTATGCGTTCTAGAGTGCTCTCGCTGTTCAAACACATTTCTCAGGCACCCACCACACAGTTGGGCTTGTGGTTTAGTGGTATAATACCCCCTTAGCATGGGGGTGGTCCGGGGTTCGATTCCCCGCGAGTCCATTTTTTGTTTTTTTTTTTTATTAAAAAAAAAATATTTTTTTTCCTCTCTCTGAATACATCCCAGTCTATTAATCTAAAATACATCTATCACACCACCTCCCAGATCACCCGCCCCGTCAGCACAGTGCTCACCACCGCTGTCCCCCCAACCACCAAGTCTCCCGTGGGGATCCAGCCCAGGAACGACCCGGGAATCAGCAAGTCGCAACCATCAACGACCATCTGTCTCACGAGCGCAGGCACTTGAGGATGATGGGGAGCTGACTTCGCAGGCAGCTTCTGGCCCTTCGTGCTCTTCTTCTTCCCGCCGTGGTTCTTGGTCGAGGCTGACTTGTGCTGCTGCGTAGGCGCAGAAAGAAGCGCCCAGCCGCCGCCGGCAAGCGAAAAAAGAAGGGCATAGAACCAGAATTGGTTGGCCTCGCGCAGGACTCGGTCATTCCATGGTACCGCGTATACGCTCATCGCGTGAAGCTGAGTGGGTCAGTTACAGGTCCACGAGAGAGAGAGAGAGAGAGAGAGAAAGGGGAATTACAATCGTCAAGTCCTCCAAGACAAAATACAATCCAAAACAGGTCCATTTAGCCAGCTCCAGCCATGCGGCCACCGAGCCGATTCCCTCTTTGCCTAGCAATACAGAGACGCGCTGGAACGAGTCGATGAAATTGAAGAAGCGAAAGTACTTTCGCGCTGAGCACATAACCGCTGTCAGTAACTCCCGACTCCAGAGATCAATTGCGCGCGCGAAATTGGTCTTCAATCCGAACCTACCCAAGGAAAATTGCAGTTTGGCCGTCGTTAATTGCACGGCTAAGCTGCCCACGCTGAGGGCAGCTCCGATCTGGGCGACGGCCTGGATTAGACGCAGAGTCTTTTCTAGACCAGGACCAGACTTGATGAAGCGAGAGAAGTGCTGCATCATGGTTTACAGCAGATGTTGTTCGAGAAGTAGACGTAGGAATGGACACCAAATGATCCTACTTAAGGGCCGAGGCTACGACGGGTTTGCTTATTCAGCTCCCTGGCGATGAAGGATAAGGGGTAAAAGGAGTGAAGAAAGAAATAAAGTGAGGTTTCATGGTTCTACGGTAGATCGCCCACGCGGGTCTGTTGGGTAGTCCAGTTCGGTCATAGGGGGGTGGGAACTGGTGCAATATGCAATGGATCGAAGTCCGGCACGGGAAAAAGCTGTCACTGAACAGTCATGTTGCGAAATCACAGGGATATATCGGTTCGTCAGTACATCCATCACTAGCCCTCTTCTCCATGACCGGACTGCTCTACCGGCCCTTGCCGCCCGAAATGTCCTGTCCCAGTCGATATCCACCAACCTTCTCCCATTCCACCTTCTGTCGTGTAATGGGCAGCTGCCTCCGGAGACCCTTGAATGCCCCTTCAGCCATTTGGACAAAGGCCCTGTTCAATTCTTCGTGGTAATCGCGCTCGGCTGTTGCAATGCGCGAGATAATCGACTCCGCTGATGCAGAGGGAACGGACAGACTAACGGGTTTGGTGGTGTTGAGTGCCACGTTGCCGTCCTCGTAGTAGTGCACGTCGACGTGGATCTTGCCGGTCACGGTGGATGACGAGGATGCAGGCACTTGGTAGATAGCTCGGAAACGACCGTTCCTGCAGGGGAGAACATCCGCAATGATTAGCTTCATTGCCGCACCAGACGCCATGGATAGCCATAGCAGACGCAAGCCACGTACCAGAAGTTGTTGGGTGAATAGCGGTTGGAAACCACAAGGATCGCGACGGCAGAATCATTTTCAATGGGGTAGACCCCATATGAGCAGCTGGGGTAGTGCTCGCGGGCGTGGATACCGAGCGACTTGAGCAGCGATTTACTACGATTGATCAGCAACCATCTCGCACAGGAGCCAGCCGCGTGGAACCCCTTACATCAAGTCGGCATTCTGCGACTCCAGAGGAGCAGATTGAGCCGCCGACGCGGTCTATATCCAGCATCCAACCACGGTAAGCCTTCAACTCAGTGCTTCCAGTCGGGGTCCGTTCCGACCTACCTGGTTGGTGTGGTCGACCTCAAACGAGGTCTGGCTCTCCGTGTCGAAGTATCGGTTATCCTCCAATTTGTTAAATTCACTCACAATGACCTTTTCCACAAGAAGAACAGGTCAGCATCTCGGCGGGGAAATCGGGGCGGTTATTCCAGCAGACAAGCCCACCTCCTGACTAGAGCCCGGCAACTTCACGGTTGCGAGTTGCCGCTCATTGTATCGTTCGAATGCGGGAATGAGTGAGGGAATGATGTTCTCTCCCTCCGAGGTCAAGGCCTGCACATCTGTTGTAGCAGGGGGACTCAGCATAAACATTCGCAGACAGAAGCTGGGAGTGCGGGGATGGGACCGGAGCGGGAAGAGGCAGAACGAGGAGGGAGAGCGTGTTACCAGCAGTGACATCGGCAAGCTGAAAGAAAATCAGTGTCAGTTGAGGTCTTCCAACACTTTTGATTCGGGGTGACTTGGGGTGGGATGCCCGAGAGGGGTGATATGCATACCTCGCCGGGAGGGGCACCCTCGATGAAAGAGGATGCGAGCTCAACAGTGGAAGCCATATTAGAACAGGAAGTGTGAAAAAAAAAGAGGAGAAGCCGGCAACTCAAGCAATTGAAGTCACCGACACGGAGAGGTGCGTGGGGTGGGAGGTGCGGAGGATAAGCACGTGGCCCGTGCCACTTGGGCAGGTGAAGTATACGACCTCAAGATGCAAAGTGCTTGGGATTCATGAAATAAACACGAACTGCGGCCTCGCTTTGCATTGGAGGCCATGAATTAGATGAGAAAAAGAAGAAGAAAGAAGAAAGAAGAAAGAAAGAAGAAAGAAGAAGGATATAGTAGTTTTATATATACTACTATAGAACGCTATCATTACTTTACCCTATGGTCTAACGAAACGCGTTCTGCGAGGCTAATATATCTAAAAATTAACAATAGATAAAAGGTAATAGAAAAAGCAACAGAAAAATATTTCAAAGAGTGAGGAGTGACTGAATATATGCTTGTTGACTATCTTGTTTGCGCGCAGAAAAGTTCGAGTGGTATGATACAACAAAATGCCCCAACACCATGCCAGAGAATCAGAAAACCCCCCTAAAAAATGAGGGAATGAAAAAGAATTGACACGCCCCGACGCCAAAGATGAATTGCGAAACAGTCGAACCAAACCCCGCCGAATAAATAAAAGATTGGAAAAGAACAGAAGAAAGAAGAGAAATCAAGTTCACCTTAATCGATGCTCATATTCATAAACCCGTCGCTGGCCTCGGTCATCCCCTGCAACCCCACGCGTTTTGCAGTCCCATGAGGTGTGGTTCGGTTGCCATTCTCCGTGCTGGGTCGCTCGGAGAAAGGCGCACCAAGCCCCGGCTTCGCAGGGGGACCCCAGATATTCGGCCCGGTGTCATTCACAGTAGAGGAGTTGGCCAACACCGGACTGCTCTGGGCGCTCACGCTGGGGGAGACAGCTCGGCGCTTGAAAAGATTGGGGTCAAAGTCATCTTCGCGACGCCGTTTGCGCCGCAGTTCCCCGATGGCCGCTGGGGGATGTGGGGTCGATGAGCGAGATCGTGGTTTGGCAGAGTCGGGCGCAATCGACCCGATCGTCGTCGACGGCGTCATGTCCATCGATATATCATCATCAGGAGCAGAAGAGGCACCCATCTGGCGCAGGGGCGGCGGGGTTCGATAGCGCTCGTCAAACGAATTCCAAAATTCTACACCTCCCGAGTTGCGAGTAGCCTGCTTGCCAAAGCTGCTCGTATTGGAGTTCGTCGAGCTGGATTTGGCGGGGCCGTCATCTAGGTCTTGCGCACTGCAATGATTCGATGGCTGAAGTGATGGGAAAGTACTCAGAGTAGGAGATGTTTCAGGTTCGGTGTCGCGGACCTGCCGGATGACTTCTGCTTCCCGTTTCATGTCGCTGTCGACGGGCGCACCCTCTTCCATCAGAGCGGCACGGATACGAGCAAAAGTTTTGGTTTTCGGCTAAATCAACTGGTAAGAAAAAGGGCACAAGATCATACACAAGATCACACAAAAGGGGCTGGACAAGAAGATCCTTACCAGTAGGCTTCCTCGTCGGGTAACTGCACGACGGATTACTCCCAAGGGACCAGATTCCGAACGCGCAGCAGTTGGACTTCCACTACGGGCTGCGCGATATTCCCCGTCGTCGCTCAGGTCTGATAGGCGCAGGTCGCGGGTGCCCATGCTCAAACTCTCACGTCGCCCATTGGCGGTCTGACGCGGGCCGAAGTACCCTCCATTCGGGTTCTCCACACTTTTCATGACCGGAGGAGAGTGGGGACCTGGGCTGGGCTTGGAGCTGTTGCCGCTCGCGCTGCTGGAGCTGTGTCGACTGCGTCCTTTGCGGAACCGTGCCCGCTGGAAGCTCATGAGACTGGCCGCAGCCTGTGAATAACCGCCATTCCATTCGTTGCCGGGACTTTGAATATTGCCCGTCGCAAAGGGACTCGGCCCACTGGCCAGCCGCGACGCCTGCGGCGTGTTAGTGATCATGATGTCGTCGCGATCACCCATCATGGGCTCATCGTCCTCTTCACTACTGCTGGTGTCTGATTCCATCATGTTCACACTCGAAACAGAGCTCGAGATTGTTGCACGATCTGCAGGACCCGACGTCGAGAAAGGTGGGACAGAGGTCGACCCAGGCGACTCGCGACGCTGCGGGATCGTCATACCCCGGCCCCCAATGGTAGGTGATGAATCGGGAGAGGACTCGGCGAGGATCGAATGGTGTAGATTGGTGCAAGCACGAGAAAAGTCTAGGCCACGAGACCGTCGTGGAAGCACTGAGCCTGGGGAGCTGTAGATGTGAGAGGAATCAAGCTTGGGGGAGAGAGGAGCGCGGGTGGTGAGTGAGGGGGAAGGAGTCGATTTCGACGGAAGGTTTAAGGAAAGGACTGGAGGTTGAAGACCGGACCGTCTGGGTGTTGCAGGCAGCGAGGAAATTGCAGTATCATCTTTGCTAGGCGGACGGCTCAAATCACCCGTGGAGGGCTGGGTGAAAGAGGGCGGCCTAGAGGCATCGGACAATGAACGTGACTTGGGGGAGTGCGACGGAGCCTCCAATGGGCGACTGAGATCGGGATGACCAGGCTGCGATAGTTGCTGGCTGAGCTTGCTCTCAAACGCGTGGGAGGACGCGCTCCGCCTAGGTGAAGGCCGAACTTCCGCCATGTCTTGATCTCTGAATTTCATAGAGATTAACCCTCAGCAAACAGCATCATTTCTTGCCACCATTGGTAATGGTTCAGTGCGAAACCAAAATCATGGTCACAGGTATTTCTTTGAGTGTGTCCAATGCCAGAGACAATGCGCAGTGAAGATCAGCGCAACAGGCGGGTTTCCCCAAGGTGGAGAGAATCAGATGATGGGCTAAACCGCTTCCGGAATGCCCCGCTCTGCGCACTTGGTACCTGGGGGTACTTTGGTAGCACGGTACTAAATGTGGAGGTCAAAGTACCTGTAGGTACTTTTACGACCACCTTGGCGATTGATTATTGTTGAATGATTCGACTCTGAATATTATGCGGGCCTCTGAACTATGCAGCTTGGAGTATATCAAAGATACACCTCTAGATTAACTTATCAAAGTATACACAAAACTCGATTTTGGCTATAGTACAAGCATCTATCTATACAATACCGGCTAAATGGGGCCAGAAATACATCATGCCAGGCTCATCGCCGTGCTAATGGGCGCCACGTACCATTCCCAGTCATTGCAATCCATAGAGGGTAACCCTTTGACCAAGTCCAAATCACGGGATTGCCACACCTGGACGATCACTGCCCGAGTGCGTGCGATGTTGGAGATGGTTGACTCACCAAGAGCAGCTAAGGCGCGCAGTACAATAGGCCGCCCCGAGGCGATCTCGGGGCCCGACCAAATCTCATCGTGGGCTGGGTCAAGCTCTACCGCCGCCACGAAGACAGGCCATGTCGCGGTGGCTAGTGAGCCACGGTCGAGCAGGTCCGACACGAGTTGCAGGATCTGACGGACGTATGTCACGACTAACGGGGTGACCGGGCTTGCACCATATAACGCACAGTGTAGGTAGAGCACTGCCGCCAGCCGCTTAGCCTCTGCCACAGATGCAAGGGTCTCGTCATCACCATCCCCGACGTCCTGAACCAAAACCTCAAGCTGGTGTTCGAGCGAAGCGGCGCGCAGAGAAAATGCCATGCGGGCGGCATCCGAGGTCAGCTGGCGCCGGGTCCGGCTCATTTCTGTGATGGTCGAGAGGATGGAAACCAGCTCCGGACTGCATCCCATCCAAAGATCGACGCGTTGCTCATCAGCCTTCCAGTAGTCAGTTCCAAACGAAACCTCCTCGCCGCAGGCTGTTCGGCCCATGACGTCCTGGAAGGCAAAGAAATGTTCCGCAAAGGCGGAGACGGGATCTAGTGTCGTGGAAGGTTGAGAAAGCGTAGTCGCTTGTTGCCTCCGCAAGTGAATCAGTTCCTTGGCACCCTTCAGGTGGATTGTCCACTGTTGGTCGCACTTGTCGACAATCTCATAGAGACAGAGCATCATCATGATGACCAGAAGCTCGGGGTCCGTGCTGCACACCACAGAGCCTTCGCAAGAGAAACGGCGGCGGAGGTCCCGTAAGGCATCGGATTTAAAGCGCAGCCCAACAGCACTGTAGCTTGGATCGAATCGGGACCAGTGGCAGGCGCCCAACGCTTGGATGGCCTTGAACAATGTGGGAGACGCGGACAGACAAAAAGGCAAGATCACCGAGGCAAAAGGCGAAGATAGTGTCTTACTTGGCGTAGTTCGAGGGCAGACCTGTTGGAGATAATATTCGAATAGTTCTGTATGTCCCAACTTGGAGATTCCCGGGAAAAGCGAGGCAGACGGGGCGGGGGCGAGGTTGAAGCCCGCCACGAGCTCCCTCATATCGAGAACATGGTGTCCATGCGACATAGGCCACGGTGAATCGGCCGCCATGCTTCTTGATATTGGTCCGCCTGAGGTCCCGACGACAGAAACGACAGTGCCGGGCTCATTCAAACTCACATTCACCTGGTCTGGTCGTTCAAAAGTCGAAATTCCGCTGTTGATAAAGCCCCAAGGCCGAACCGTCGGCACCGGGCACCACTCGCGCACATCATCTGGCGAGAGAGACGCTGGGGAGGAGGGTGGGGATCGCGAGGCAGGCTGAGTGATGCCGGGACGGGCTTTATTCCACACACCCGCACGCCCAAAAGCCATCCCACGGCTGATGAATTCTGACTCCCATTTAAGCACGAGATTCGTAGAACATGACAATCCTTTCTCCCAGCAGCGTGTGCAAACGGGTTTCTTAGTGTCGCACCGGACACGACTCGCCCGGCATTCTTTGCAACCGCTGCGAGACCGGGTCTTGACCGGACCCGTGCGGTCGGCAGCCTTTCTGCGCGGCATCCGATGGGGTTATATAGGCTGATTTTCACATGGCCTGGTAAAGGAGCCCGATCAGGGACACATCGGGTGGCGAGGGAAAAGGGTGATGCCAGAGAGTTGACGGGGGCAAGGGAAAGCGTCCCCGCAATGGCAAACGGCGATAAGGACGCTATCTGAGGCCATCCCGCAAAATGACTTATACATCTATGAATTGGGTGGATCTATAGATTCACTACCTAGCCATAATATGTCTGTTACGCTATGAGTATTCAGTATGGTTTGGATTAGAATATGTACCTGAGCTTCGATACTCGTGGGCAATGGATTGCCCTTCCACCAGGAAAATCATGTACATGCCCAGGTGGTGAAATGGGAAAAAAGGCCATGTAAATACAAATGCAGCTTAGGATGTTCTCACAACACAATTGCGATCCTAAGTCTCATCGCCTCGACTGCACAGCAGCCAAAGGCGAATCCACTGTCGCCCAGTCTGCATCTGCAGGGTCCAATTCGAAATCCTCTAGGGAAGGACTGACATGCACGGCGGGCGACGAGATAGGACTGTGCGCTACGCGCGGGCGTGACTTGAAAACACTCGCGTAGTCAGCGTCTTCTTCAAACAGTTGATCCTGCGGTGTCGATGCGCGGGAATGCCTATGAAGGGACTGGGCAGAAGACTTCCGCGGCGTTTCAAATTGGTTGACCGGAAAGGAGGTTCGGGGCCCGCGACGGGGTCGGGGATGAGTTTGAGTGTCGTGAGCAGGAAGTGGGGGGATCAGGGACATGGATTTGCGGGTGCGTTCAGCAAGAGTGAAACTAGAGGAGGCCTTGATGGGTTCTAGGTCTGGCAGGGAGTCGGGTGAAGAGTCACGGTCAGGCGAAAGCCGGACCACAGGAAGGGATGGCCGGTTGAACTGGTTGGGTTCGGTACGGTTTGCGGTGGATTCTGAGTCTGGTTCAACACTAGACGCCGGAGAACCGGCTGCCATGGGAGACGACATGTTTAGAGGGACGGTTTCTGTGGAAGGACGAGGTAGTTCTGAATGGCCTGGTTCTGAATGGCCTGGTTCTGAATGGCCTGGTTCTGAATGGCCTGGTTCTGAATGGCCTGGTTCTGAATGGCCTGGTTCTGAATGGCCTGGTTCTGAATGGCCTGGTTCTGCTGGCGTTGGATCCGCATGATGAAGGTTTGGGCGAGCTTTGCCATTAATGCGAATCATTGCTTCCTTCACAGCCGACATGAGAGAGTGGTCCGCCTCTTTGAGTACCCTCCCACGATCAGCGGGCTGTCGGACCGCTTTGGATATACTCGCAACCGTAAGAGACTGATGATCCCGGAAGAGCAGACGAGATTCACTGGGCGAGTCGGCCATTTCCACGCTAGAATTCTCACCTCGTTCTTTGCGAAGCAGGTCGTTGTATTCAAGCCACCGACGCAGACGACTCCGCTGGTGCAAGACCCGGGTCTCTAGATCAAGCACCAGATCTTGCTTCAAGCCAGCTCTAAGACCACCCATGGTTGAATCTGTCGCCCGAGCCCACGCTTCCGAGAAAGGAAGTTCCAGGAAAGCATCTGTGCTGCTCTGCGATCCGCCCTCGAGCAAAGCAGTGGCCCATTCTTCGCTGCCCAGCCAATTTGCCCGAAGCTCGCGGACCAAGTCCTCCGAGGCATTTCCAGGCTGGATGACCGGGCTCGAATTCTGCTTAGCTCGCTCATCTAACTCAGTCTTCTTTTGACCCAGGAGGTCGGCGAACTCGTCATAGGCCTCTCGCACCCGCGCGCGGCGTTCCCCTGTCACGCCGAGGGACACTTGGTGCGCAAGAATCAGCGGTAACATATTCTGGTAGTCGATAGGAGAGAGAAAAGTCGCCGTCGACAGCTTCATGGCGCGATTACCAATCATCTCGTCTGCTGAGACGGTAAGGAGTTTGCGAAGAACGGCCGTGGAGAAACCCGCGAGCAGCTCGTCGAATTTCTCGCCCTTGCAGTAATCCAGCATGGTTTTGCGGAGGATTGTCTCTCGTCCAAGGTCGCCATTTTTCTTCAATTCCGTCAGCGCCCGGAACAGGGCCGCGCGGAGGTTAACGGACTGTAGGGGTTCGAGGGGCGGGAAGAAAGGTCGGAGTTTCTGTGGATAGTGTTAGCGGTCAAGATATTGAATATTGAGTATTATTTCAGTACATTTTGAGCACCCTCGGGGTCCCAGATGGTGAACAAATAGTACAAAGCCCATTCTATGAGACGGACTCGCTGTCGCTGGTTTTGCGATGACGGGGACAGCGAGTGGAGTGTGATACCAGGCCAGTCATCTCGGTGGTCCAGGTGCAGCAGTTGCAGATTACGAACAAACACCGTCAGATGCGCCGGAGCCGACCAGTCCAGCGGTTTGGGTCGTGCAGGCCGGGCAGCCATGGTATACCCTGGAGATGGTTGACATTTAGTAAACACCGCGCGAGATAAAGAAGGGTTTGCATGGTTTGCACCGGTTATCAGTCTCGCGTCTTTTCTTCTGCGTCCCTTCCCCGTTGATTCTCCCCGCCGGTCTCTCGTTGATTCTTTTATTCTTCTTCGCCATGGGCTCCGACAACTTTTCGTGGACTCCGCAGACTGGTATTGATCGGTCTACCCAGAACCCCCTCAGAGTCATGCTGACCACCCCCGTAGTGCTCTCCACCCTCCCATACCCTCCTGAGGAGAACTCTACGTCGCCCCTTCCCTTCTTTCACTTGATTGAGCGCCTCAAGACCACTAAGCGCGAAGGGTGGCGGCGGTTTGGTATCAATGGCGAATCCATCTCGGACCATATGTATCGCATGTCGATCATGACTATGCTAGCCCCGCCATCCCTCGCGGCGAAACTCAACCTCCCGCACTGCACCAAGATGGCCTTGATCCATGACATGGCTGAGTCGCTGGTCGGAGATATTACCCCTGTCGACAAGGATATCACCAAAGCCGAGAAGGCGCGTCGCGAAGCCGCTGTTATGGAGTATATCACCAAGACGCTCTTGGGCAATGTTCCCGGCGGTGCATTGTCGGGCGAGCAGATCCAGCAGGTTTTCCAAGAGTACGAGGACAACGAGACACTCGAGGCCCAGTTCGTCCATGACATCGACAAAATGGAACTGCTGTTGCAGATGGTCGAGTACGAGCGCTCTCATGAAGTGGATCTGTCTGAGTTTGAGCGCGTCGCTGCCCGCGTCCAGTTGCCGGAGATCAAGGTCTGGGCCACACAGGTGCTGCAGGAGCGGCCGAAGCGTTCTTGAGGTGCAGGCTGCGTGCATCTAACAGCCTTAATCTCGGTGGGATTCATGGTGTATGTTTTGGGGCGTTTGTTTTCTTTTTTTCCACAATTGGGTACCCTAGATACCATAGAGAGTGATGTGTTCTACGAGGATGCGTGAATGATGTATGAACTGCATAGGGCCTTGAGGCCCGAAGGAGACTTGTTCCCATTGCCAATGTATGTCTGTAACGGTCTTTTAGCATGTGGATACCCCAGGAACAAGACAATTAATCGACCTCCTTCTCCATCTCTTGTGCCAGCATCTCCGCCTCGACCCTCATCTCCTCATCGCTTCTCGGCTTACGCTGGTGGTCGTCCACCGCCGGGAAGCGCGACCTCCTGCTGGATTTCTGCTCCGGTGATTCTCGAGATTCGCCCGTCGCACCAGTCTCCCGCAATGTCTTTCCAATATCACCTTCCTCTCCATCCAGCAAATCATACACAGCATCCGTCCCGCCGCGATGATCGAGGTCTGCCGCTTTGCGAGGGATAATGTGTGCATGCACATGCGGCACACTCTGACCCGCATGAACACCGTCCTGGACTGCGATATTCAGACTCGAAGCTCCGTACACCCGCTCCACCATGCGCCCGACGCGCTGCACCGTCAGAAAGAGGTCACTGGTTTCTGCGGCGCTAAGGTCGGCGACGCGCGGGACGACGCGCCGGGGGAGACGAGCACATGGCCCGGGAGAATTGGCTTGAGGTTGACGAGTGCGAAGGAGAGTGGGGTTTGGTAGAACACCTGTTTTGGAATCAATGGGAAGTGGATTCATCGTGTTAGTTTTAGGGTGTAGTTCGTCATCCCTTTGGATACAAAGGGAGGAAGACAGGGTGGTTTACTTGGGGCGTAACAAGGAATGGGCCGAAGTAGATTGGCGCCATTGCGCCCTTGAGGGCTGACATGTCGAGGTTGGAAAGAGAGATCGGGGTGTTGACGGAAGTGAGTGCTGAGCTACGATAAGAGGCTTATCACAAGAACGGGTATCATTAACCATGAGAAAAAAACACTCCTATATTACAAGATCCCATAAAATGAATTTGCCTCTTGAGTCCCATTCCAAATCCCCTTTGGTCGCATAGGGGGATGCCATAACAACGTAAACAGTAAAAAGGAAAAATGCCCGCCAATCAACATTCACGAGGCTTTGGTCGGCTCTGGCTCTGGCTGTGACTCAGGATCAGGCGACGTTTGTTCCATAAGAACCTGTTTGGTGGTGTCTGCAGAAGGGGTAGTTGCATCGTCACCGTCGGGTGTGGGCTCCGCAAGACCTTCAGGTTGGACATTTGTTGGCTGCGGTGCTTCGGGCTGCTCAGGACTCGCCAGCTCCTCAGTTGGTTGCGGGGACTGCTCCGCAACCTCTGTGCCCGATTCCCCAGTCTTTTCAAGTGTTTCTTCGGGGGCATTCGACCCGGTTTCGTTAGCCGGGGTTTGCTGGTTCTCTGAAGTGTGGGGAGCGGTGACCTCCATAACCGACTGAGGTCGCGACTCGGGCAACTCCTCCACAGCTTCCGGCAGCGGCGCTGGACTCTCCGGAATATCGTCTGGATCCTCGGCACTTTCTGTGATCGTCGTGACTCGAGATCCAGTCGACGGACTGTGTCTGTGGCGCCGAGTAGTAGCGCCGGTGCTGATCGCTGGGTCCATGCCCTCGGCGCCGGCGCCGAACGGGTTCTCATCCTCCTTGCGCAAAATCGTTAATCGTTTGTCGGCAGGTTCCTCGGCCGCAGGTTGGACTGCATCCGGTCCTTCGGCTTCGGCAGGAATCGTGTAGTTGTCTTCGGGGATGAGGTCGTACATGTCGCAGACCGTCTTGAAGAGGACATAGAGACCGTCATGGCCTTCCACCTCCCAAAATACATCCCGGTGCTGGAACCACGCATGCGCGAAGATGCGATACAGCCGGCGGAAGATGTTGGTCAGATGCCTCATGCTGGCCTGAGGCCCCCCGGCGGCCTCGGAGCCGAGCGTCAGCCGACTGGGAAAGTATTTGGGTGAAGTGAGCGTGTTGTTAGCCCAGTCGAGGGTGTGGCAGCAGTAATCGATAGCACAGCATGATTTTGGTGGGTCATGGACGGCGCAGAGATACTGCCATTCCGACGCTCGCATTTCGGGGCAGGTCTGTGACGAGCACGGAGGGTTCTCGGCAAAAAAGGCAATGATGAGGTTATTTACTTTCATGGTGAGAAAACGGCACAGCTCGTAGAGCCACAGCGACCGATCAACACCCTCCGGGGGTTCGGCCAGCTGGACGGCGACCTCGCGGCTGATCGGGACCACGGTGTCCGATCCTTCGGGTTTGGTGAAGTGATGGTACAGGGCTTTGAGGTGTTCTTGGAGCTGAAAAGGAGAATCAAGCTGTATGCGATCAGTGAGCAGTTCCTTGTTTTGGAATCAGTCGTCACCTACCTGTGACAGTGGAATCAGCGGTGGTCCAAACGCCATGTCACCGGCCTTGGTTCCCGGTCGGATTCGGCGCGTTGATCCATCGTCTTCTCCCGCGGAAGCTCCCATCAGCTGATCTGCATCTTTTCCGAAAGACTCGCCGACCGAGGGCGATTGAGGCCCTATTTGAACCTCAGTGAATGGAGGCGGACTGGGGAGACGCGGGGAGCTGGACGGGGAGACACCCGTAGTCATGACGGTTGGAGGTGAAGAGAGAACGATAGTGAATTAACGAGAGAGACCAAAGAACGACAAAGGAGTGGAAGGTGTCTCGCCCTGTCAACAGAAGAGAAGGGTGACCATGGAGGCTCGTCGCGACGCTGGCGCAATCCATCAACAGCATGACCGCCTAAGCCCTAAGCCCTATTATCCATTATTGGTAAAAACGTCATTTGCATCTACGCAACTCCCGACTCTCGTGAACGGGGCATCCCTGGGTTTTACGAAAACATTTTTTGTGTAAGATTGCAGCACCTGGTCTGAATCTCAAGATGTCTGCCAATTTAGAAGACGAGAATGCGCCTCCGGAACTGGTGGATATCTCTGCAATGCCGACAGATCAGCCGTCTGTTATAGACGAAACCCCGACAACCCGGGTACCAATCACGCTTGTAACAGGTAAAATTGGACTCTGGTGATATTTCCATTCGAGTATACTGACTGATGGGGGACTAGGATATCTGGGAGTGGGCAAAACCACCCTGTTGAACCACATCCTTACGGAGAAACACGGCAAGAAGATTGCCGTGATCATGAATGGTTTGTCCATGAAACATATGCGTAAACCAAACGAAATGTTCTAACAGAAATATAGAATTCGGAGATTGTAAGCTACTCATGCAAAAAGCCTTGAGCCTGGACTGATATTCCACAAAGCCTCAGACATCGAAAAGCCCTTGACAGTAAATCAGGGTGGCCAAGAAGTCACCGAGTGGATGGAAGTCGGGAACGGCTGCATCTGCTGCTCAGTCAAGTAAGTGTTCACTTTATGCTCTCTTGGTATATGTATGTTTTCTTCTTCTGATGCTCATAACAGGGACACCGGTGTCATGGCCATCGAATCCCTTATGGAACGCCGCGGCACCTTCGACTACATCCTGCTAGAGACCACCGGACTTGCCGACCCAGGCAACATTGCCCCGGTCTTCTGGATGGACGAAGGGCTCGGCAGTTCCATCTACCTCGACGGGATCGTCACGCTCGTCGACGCCAAGAACATCCTTCATTTGCTGAACGAGCCAGCACCCGAAGAAAGGGCCGAGTCCCATGATGCCGGACACAGCGATCACGGCGCTGGACCTGTCTTGTCCATGGCGCACATGCAGATTTCTCATGCGGATGTGATTATTCTCAACAAGACGGATTTGGTCTCGCCAGACGAACTAGAGGTGGTCCGGGACCGCGTCACGGCCATCAATAGTGTCGCTAAAATCCATGTCACCGATCACAGCAAGACGCCGCAGATCGAGGGTGTCGTGCTGGACTTGCATGCCTATGATCACCTCGCGGATTTGGACTTTAGCAAGAAGGGGCATAGCCATATTGATCCGGTGAGTGTTACTTCCTTTCAACGCATACAAGGGTATCACGATCTGCATTTGATCCTCATACATTTGACCCAGGCAATTTCCACCGTTGCTATTGTCACGCCCCCGATTCCTGCAGAAAAGGTCTCGCTGGTCGACGCCTGGCTTCGCTCTATCCTGTGGGAATCGGCATTCCCGGCTCCCGTTAATTCGTTGTCTGCGCCCGTCCCCAGTAACTTTGAAATTCACCGACTGAAAGGAATTATTGCTCTCGATGATGGCTCAAGTCAGATCATCCAGGCTGTCCGGGATGTGTTTGAGATCCGTGATTCGGAGCCACGACAGGGCGACGAGCCCCAAGCAGTTCAATGCAAGCTCGTGTTGATTGGACGAGGGCTGGGATCGAGTGTGCAGCCGTGGCGAAGGAGTTTCGAGTCTTTCATAGCGAATTATCAGTGAGAGCATGGTATACAATTGGCAATACGCTACTGCTCTGGGCTATCAGAAGGTTAAACCATTGCATTGAAAAGAACCCAAAAATAATACAGTCCCGTGACCTAAGAAAGAGATGACAAGGATTCCATCAATATACATTCACGGCTTCCTGGCGACAACACCCAAAGACAGAATGAGGACCTCCCGTGGGAAAATATGAAAATAAGAAAAAGCAACAGGCTAGGACAGAGACAAGAAACAGACATAACAATCCACCAAGATGCAAATAAGAAAAAGGACTTTTTGGACTCCCAAAAAACTTCGCCGGCACGCCCGCCGTCGGTGCAAATGCCTTCGAAGAGCTGTCAACGCGATGCAAACGACGAAGAATACGCTGTACAAGCACAGAAAATTCAAGGGTATCGAGCGCTCGGCCCTGGAATCAAGGGCTGTTCAATAGAAATGGGACGTGGGTTTGTCGGTTTTCCCTGGTCGGGGACTTTGGTGAGGAAGAAAATGGTCAATCAGAGCTCGAGGTCAAGAGAGACAGGCTCATGAAAGATCCGCAAAAGAGTTTGTAAAAGCTGGATTAAGTGGCAACCGCGATGCAGAGAGAGACAGTGTGTGTTGGTGATGACCGGGCTCAGGCTGAATCGGAGAAGGTTGTAAATGATGCGATACCATGTCATTCAAAGCCGGGTTAATAGGCAACCGTGACGCAGAGAGAGACGGTATATGTTGGTGACCAAGCTCAGACTGCACCGGAAAGAATTCTAGATCCTTCGAACCCGGGTTGATGGGCAGTTGTGATGCAGAGAGAGACAGTGTGTGTTGGTGGCCAGGCTCAGACTGAATCGGCGAGGGTTGAAGACGGTGCGATAGCAAGTCTTTTGAAGCCGGATTAATGGGCAATCGTGACGCAGAGAGAAACTGTGTTGGTTGTTGCTGGTTGGTCTTGGGCTGGATTGGAGAAGATTGTGGGTGATGAGATAGCACGCTCTTTGAATCCGAAGGAAATGATCTCTGTCTGGGCATTTCCAAAGCCGGATTAATAGGCAGGGCCGAGAGGAGGAGCGATGGCATGGAATGTGAAGTCCCGTTTGGCGTGGGCTCGGGAATGACTCTTTCGCCGGATGAATTGGTTTTTTTATTGAGTAGGTCGGCCGATGTTGGGTCAACAGAGAAACTGGGATTTGGGGAGTCGTCCAAGACCGGGGATTGTGGCCGTTCAGTCGACGGTCCAGGGCGGGATCGTGGCAAGCTTGCGGCTAGTGATTTACCAAAGGGTGCGGGTTCTTCCGGTACTGATCGCTTATCCGGCGAGTGACTGAAACCACCATTGGCCATGGCATGTGTCTGGAAGCTCGAGGGAACTTCCTGCTCTTCAAGCTGAGGCTCCGAGACATGATTGTTGGGGCGAGTGTCCAGACATTCACCCATACTCTGAGACTCGTCGTGATTCAAAGTGGACGTAGAAGAATGTCGAGACGGAAAGCCTGCTTCCCCAGTTGAGTCTGCTAGCGTAAGGGTCGACCTCTTTCCTAGATCATGATCTTCGGGAAATATGGTTTGTTGTAGATGGCCATCTTGTGTTTTCAGATACGGGCGTTCTAGTGGAGCGTTGTGAGCGGCGTATTGGCTAACAGGCTGCATCACAGTTCGAGATGGAGGAATTGTAAAATCGGGAGGTGGGGGGCCAATCCAGTTGCCCTTGAATGGAAGAGGTCTGGGCTCATTGCTCCACGACTCGAGTGGCTGACGTGCTGGTGGCATTTGCGACATCTGCGCTGGCAGATATCTGTGAGGAAATATTGAGAGGAGCTCCTTTGCAGCCAGTCTGTGTCGTGGAGTGGAGCTGAGGCAAATATCAACTATTCGCCGGTAGTAATTGGGCACCTTGACATCGTCGCCGAGATACAGAGGTCGGGGCTGACGCTCGGGCTCATCTTCTTCAACCGCCAATGCCCACAGGGTCATTCCCAATTGATATAGATCCGTTTTGACGCCGATGTACATGGATATTCGTTGGTTGCTTTCAATCTTCGCGGCAATTTCCGGCGGCTCCCACCCAACAGGACAACCCCTGCGGTTGATGTCGATAATTTTGGCATTGTCCTGGGCATCGACCACAATGTTTGCCAATGTAAAGTCACCCTGGACATAACCCGACTCGTGGATCTCACAGAGACCCCGGACGATTTGCTTGGCCCAGCGCTCGCGTCTGGCAAAGGCAATTCCCCCCGTTGTTCGTACAGGATGTCGACCAGCGCACCCTGATCGGCGTAGCTAATCAGCAAGCCCTTGACGACCTCTTGCCGCTCATCAACCACAATTCCCTCCACCTGGATCACACTGGAGGAGCCATTCAGCGCATGCAAGGCATTTATCTCGTACAAAAACTCGTCCACCGTATCTGGTCCCGGAATCTCTTTTTTTATATAGGCATGTCCGCCAAGCCGCACCTTGTAAACAAAGCCTGATAGGTGGGAGTCAAAATGCAAAAGATGCTCGGGAACACACCGAGCACCTTGCAGGTGTCCAATGCTGGAGATTGGCGGATAGGGGATGGTCTCATTAACATCCTCCGTCACATGAACATGCAGGCGGCCATCACGTGTCTCCAGCTTGAGGTTGGTCACGGTATCATAAAACTGAATTTCCAGCAGCGATTCACGGATAGACTCATAGACTCGAGAAGACTTGTCGCGTTGGTACCGCAGCTCCTTGAGGTCCTGCTCAAGCGAATCCGGGGGCGCATCTCGATAATCGCACGAAATGGTGACTCGACGCCATCGGTTCGGCGTTTCCGCATAGGTGACGAAAAACTTCTCCCGCTCCGATCGATCCCGGAAATGCATACTCAGATTCAGTATCCATCGCTGCTCCAGCTCCATATCGAGCGTGTCCTCCGCGGGCGCCACGGGTGCATCAGTTGTCACGTCAGGCTCCCAGTCCGCGGGGGAATCGGGTTCCTCATTTGGCTCGGGGGCTTCGTCGACCGTGGTTGCGAGCGTCGGGCCGGGCCACTGAACCTCGGGCGCAGATAATCTGGGGTCCACGGCCGATGGTGGAGACTTGGTTCTCTGGGTACTCAGCGGACGGCGGTCGGCCGAGTGAGCCCGCCGATGTTCGGGCTCCAGGGGTGCGAGTCGGTCGCGTCGTTCCGAGTTCTGTCGTTTGAAAGTCGTCGATCGAGGTAGACCGACGCCCACACGCCGCGAGAGTCGACGGGTGAGGTTGTCGGACTTGGCACGCGTACTTTCAGAAGAAGTGCGGTGGGGGTTGTGATTCTCCGCGGGAGAAGAATCTCGATCGTCGCGGCCCAGCCATCGTCGCAGACCCAGGCGATGCCACATGCTCTGCTTGGGTGGAGGCCCTTTGTCGTCTAGCAGACCCAGCCGCGTCGGGCTACAGGAGCTGTTGGCAATAGAGATGGCCATCCGGCACAACGCAGTCGCTCTGTCGTACAAAAAACGACTCGAACAACCCGCTGGCCGAAACGCCGTCCATAAGAAATAGAGACCAGATCCTGGAAGACAGAAATAAATAAATTAAAAAAAAAAAAAAGAAAAATCATGCACCCTTCACAAAGTCCGGATATCAATCCAAAGAGCCGAGTTATGTCAGATGAAAAATCCGAGGGTCAACAGTCAATCGGGCGCGTCGCACAACGTCGGGTTGCAATGAGCGAGGCTGGGAAATCGAGCAGGAGGAAGAGATGTCGGTGAAGTCAACACGTCCGGGGCATAAGCCTGAGAACAAGGGCTATGAAGAAAGAGATGGAAAGAAGACAAAAAGCAAAGAAAAAAAAAAGCTGCAGTTGATGTGTTGATCTGCAAGGCTTTTCCTGAGCACAAAAGCACAGGGGATCAATCAGAGCGCCCTCAAGGGAGACTCAAGGGAGGAAAGATGAAACAGAAAGATGATTCATCCAACTCGCACACATCCAAATTTCAAATGAAATATAGTCGAAAATTCGGGAAATTCGAATAAATCATAATGCTCATAACAATAATAAATAACAAATGACGCTGCGTTGCGGCCTGACGCCCGTGCATGATTGGAAGTACGCCCGACTGGATACCTGAGGCTAGGGACTGTACCCTATAGACCTAGTTACCCTAGTTACCCTAGTATACATCCATATACATCCATGGATACTATATCTACTTCCAAGTAGAAGTTACAGACTCAAGGAGTGGAGGACCTTTGCACAACTAGACAAACCCACAACTCCAAGTCCATGCATTCCGTGGTGGAAAACACTGACGCCATGTACAATCCCAAGAATCCACAAAAAACTATACACACACAAAACACGGACTATATGTACCATTTCACACGGACTATACCTCACGCATCATCTTCTCGGTCACCCTTCTCGGATGGCTTGGCAAGAGCCTTTTGCCAGGTTGTACGCGCAGCATTCTGGTCGAGATTGGGGAAAAGGATATCAAACACTTCCGAGTACCAGCTCACCGGGTGGCCCTCGATACCCTTCTTGATGTTCTATAGAGGGAAATGGTTAGCATTTGGCCAGGGGTGTGAGGGTCTATTCCAAAACTCACCTCAGGTAACTCCAGCCAGTCGGACGTGTTGTCGGCAGGGAAGATGATCTTGGTCGCGCCAGCCCGACGAGCAGCCACCGTCTTCTCCCGCAGGCCGCCAATGCGCAGGACCTTGCCCGTGACCGTCAATTCTCCGGTCATAGCAACAGTTGGCTCAAGAGAGTGATCTAGGGCCAAAGACAGCAGTGAGCTCGCCATGGTAATGCCGGCAGAGGGGCCTGGAGAAAGTGGTTAGTCAATCACAAACACATTCGAAAAGGGTATACCACATACCGTCCTTTGGAACCGCTCCCTCGGGACAATGCAAATGCACCTTGGCCTTTTCAAAGAACTGATTTTCAGGGAATTGCCGGGCCATTACGGACTTGGCAAACGAGTAGGCAATGTGCGAGGATTCCTTCATGACGTTTTGCAGATTACCCGTGATTTCGAGTCCCGGCCGCGACTGGTGAGTCAATGTGCTCTCCAGGATGCACTCGACGTACAGGGCTGCACCACCCATGCTAGTCCATGCAAGACCCATGGTGACACCGGGGGGGAACCGGTCGTACAGACGGTCGGCAGTAAAGACCGGGGGCCCAACGTAGTCCTTCAGGGTGTCCTTGGCGATTTTGAGATGCACGCTGTCAGGAACCTGGAGGGCAAGGCGGGGAGTTTCGGTCGTGGACTTCTCGGGCTCGTGAGGAAGTTCGGCAGGGTCAGACGGTTCATGCTCCTTCGACTCCTCCTGAGCGGCTTTTTCCTCGTCAGTCAGCGCCGCCTCTTCCGGCAGCACCTCCTCGCCCAGGTCCTGGACGATATTAAATGCTGCCTTCCGGTACACCTTCTCGATTTGCTTCTTGAGGTTGCGGACACCGCTTTCGCGGCAATAGGACTTGATTAGTTCCTCGATGGCATCCTCTTCGAGGTTCACGTCGACATCCTTCAATCCAGTCAGCTCCCGAGCAGCAGGGGCCAAGTATCGTTGAGCGATGGCCATCTTCTCGTCTGCCACATAGCCTGACAGTTCGATGAGTTCCATCCGATCCAACAACGGCCGAGGGATGGTGTCGGTGACGTTGGCCGTGCAGACAAAGAGAACCTTGGACAAATCCACGGGGACATCCATATAGTGGTCCAAGAATGAAGAATTCTGCTCGGGATCAAGAAGTTCCAGCAAAGCAGAAGATGGGTCGCCCTGATGACCGCGCCCGATCTTGTCCACCTCATCAATGAGGATCAGTGGGTTCTCGGTCTGACACTTTTTAAGGGCTTGGATGATGCGTCCGGGCAAAGCACCCACGTAGGTCCGTCGGTGACCCTTGATTTCGGCAACATCGGTCAAGCCACCCACGGAGAAGCGGTAGTACTGTCGGTTCAAGGCGCGCGCCACCGACTTGCCGATACTGGTCTTACCAACACCAGGCGGCCCGACGAGGCAAAGAATCTTTCCTTCAACAGTTCCTCGAAGCTTCCCCACCGCGATGAATTCCAGGATGCGATCCTTGACGTCCTTCAAACCGTAGTGATCCTCATCCAGGACAGTCACCGCATTCTTGATGCCAAAGTTCTCCACACTCTTCTGGCCCCAAGGAATCTGGGTCAGCCAGTCCAGGTAGTTGCGGGTGACGTTGAACTCGGAGGCAGCAGGTTCCAGGTGTGCTAGCTTGTTGATCTCCTCGTCAAAGACCTTCTTGACAGCCTCCGGCATTGCGAGCTTTTCCGCCTTCTCCTTGAATTTTTCCACCAGCTTGTCCTTGCCGTCAGACTCAATCCCCAGCTCTCTCTTTATACCCTTCATTTGCTCCATCAGCCAATATTCCCGTTGACGCTTTTGAATCTTGGCCTCGACGTCCTTGGTAATCTTGGACTGTAGCTGTGCATTCATCAACTCTCGTTTCAAGACAACCAGGGCCTTGGGAAGTCGGTCCTCCATCTTCATGGTCTCGAGCACTTCCTGCATCTCATGCAATTCGCCCGCGGAAACGGCAGCAGCAAAGTCCGCCAACTTGGCGGGCTCATCACTGAGGTTTCCGGGGAATTGATCGGTGTATAATGCTGAAATCTGGTCGCGGAACAGAGGGTTCAAGGTGGCGATTTCCTTGCACACGTTCACAATCTCACTGGTCACGGCGCGAATAATTCCGCTCTTCTTGTCATACGGCTCCTCCGTCAGATTTTCCACACTAACCAAACTGACCGGATATTTCCGTAGGAAAGACGTGGGTTCGTAGTGGTCCTTGGGCGCGGGCTCAGGTGCGCCTTCTTCGAAACTGGCCACGACATCACCACGCTTGTCCGTTATCTTATCCTCCGACGTACTGCTTTTGATTGTCTCCGCCGGGGGAAGCAGCGACGAAATTTTGATGCGACGATGAGGGTAGAGGACTGCGGTCACACCGCCTGCCTCGCCACGAAGAGGATATGCCGCCGTGATTTGAGCAAATACTCCAACGTCGTAGACGTCGTCCAGGTTTTCGATCACGTCACCATCGGCATTGTCGTCCTTGAACAAGAAGGCACCCACGTACGGCTGGCCTCGCTTCATCATATCTTGGATTGCGACGGCGACATTCGGGTCACGGATTGTGATGGCCTTGTAGAATCCCGGGAACAGCGGACGCTTCGCAATGGGGATCGCCATCACCTGCGGATAGACGTCCGGAACGGCCGGCTTCTGCAAAGCCCTTTCCCCAGAGCCTTTCTTGCCCTTCTTCCCATTATCGTCATTACCACCATTACCACCGCTTGCGCTGCTGGGCTTGGAGTCGGCCGAACCACCGCTAGGAGGGATGGGAGATGGCGTCTGATTTGAATCGCCCTTCCCATCAGCTGCGTTGGTATCCTTCTTCGCATCCTCCTCTAATCCCCGCTGCTCTCTATCACCAGAGGACCGGTCTTTTCTCCGTGCGGAGCCTGCCTGTTCGGCAGGGGCGTTCTTCCCTGAGTCGGCTGCTTTCCTCCGAGACTCAGGAGCTCGCTCTATATCCTTATCATCTTGGTTCGTCTCTTTTGGGTCCTTTTGTTCCGGGTCATCCTTTTGGTCCTCTGGTGGGGGCTTCTCTTTCCGTCGAATGGAGCTCGAAGAGAACGTGCGGGGGGACGACAAAGGGCGACCGAGGTGCACCGGAGCTAATGCGGATCGAAAGTTGGCATTATATCGTGGCGAAGCAAGAAACGGCCGACGAATTAAGGCACGAGATGTTTGATGGAGCGCAGCTCTCCAGGGGAGGGTCTGGCCGCGGAGCATGCTCCTTGAGTCTGCGAAGGTCGGGCGGTCGAGAAAAAGATAAAGAAAGAAAGAAAGAAACACGGATGGTGCTAGAGAGAATGGTATAGAATAGAATTGAGGAGAGCCCGTAACGCAGCTCCAGGAAACACGAGAGAGAGAGGAAGCGAGGCGAAGGTCCGCAGTCGGAGCATTGCTTCAGTCAGCAGCTCTTTCATCATCGTCCGGCACAATATTTCTCCGAGGAACTTCTCTGCCGAAGAACTCGAAGATTCTCTGCGATCAGGAGAGCATTGGTGGTCCCGGGTGTTTGGTGACTTTGTCCTTTCCTTTATCGCTTGAAACCTCCTTTTTTCTTTTCATTGAAATTTTCATTTCTCTCCTCACCTGGATTCTGGCTTCGACAGCCAACCGCTGTTCGGCCATTACTATCCATGAATCCATCCGCAACATTGCCCAAGGCCGCGGCCCTCCCCGCGCGTCTGCTACGGACAACACAACCATGCTCGAAACAGACCTCCAGTCAGGGTGTTCGATCGTCGGGTCAGACGCGATGTTATCACGCGACGATCTCTGCTTCTCCGGCGAGAAGCCTGCGGGAAGGTATCTCTAAGAAGAAAGACGGTATCGCGCTCTCGGCTAAGGTATGTGGCTTTTCTGTGTTTGGGAAAGATGATAGCTGACCATCACATGGACAGACTTTTCACACGACTTCCCCTCTCTTGGCCATCTCCGATCCCTACAAAGTCCTCGGCGTGGAAAAAAATGCGTCAGCGGGCGATATCAAGAAGGCCTACTACGGCATGGCCAAGAAATATCACCCAGACACCAACAAGGACCCAACAGCGAAAGACAAGTTCTCGGAAGCCCAAACCGCCTATGAATTACTGTCCGATGCCAAAAGAGAGAGAATTACGACCGCTTTGGCTCGGCTGCTTTTGACCAGAATGGTGGGTTCGATCCGAGTGCCGGCGGTAATCCGTTTGCCGGTGCAGGAGGGTTCCATGGTTTTGGTGGAGGATTCGGGGGTGGCTTTGGCGGCGGCTTTTCGGGCGATATCAACTTCGAGGATCTTTTTGGCGCCTTTACCGGAGGAGCACGCCGCGGACCTCGTGGTCGTCGCAACCCATTTCAGGAACAAATCTTGGTGGGTGAAGATATCGAAGTGCAGACCAACATCTCGTTCATGGATGCCGCCAAAGGTGCATCTCAGGATATTGTCATCACTCCCTTGACACAGTGTGGGACCTGCAAAGGTGATGGGTTGAAGCAAGGTTCCAAGCGGTCCCAGTGTCGCCAGTGCAATGGGTCCGGTACCCGAGTTCACTTCATGCAGGGCGGGTTCCAGGTGGCTGCAACCTGCGACTCCTGTGGTGGGACTGGAATGACCGTCCCCCGCGGGTCTGAGTGCGGTGGTTGCCACGGAGCCGGTGTGGTTCGGGATCGCAAGACAATCCAGGTGGATATCCCTGGTGGCGTGGAGGATGGCATGCGGCTGAGAGTGGCCGGAGAAGGTGATGCTCCTCCCACTGGGACCTCCACCGCTCCTGGTGCCCGGTCCCAGCGCGGTGATCTGTATGTGTCCATCCGAGTCGCCCCGGATCATCGGTTCAGTCGCTCGGGCTCCGACATTCTGTACACCGCGTCGATTCCGCTCACCACGGCTCTTCTGGGTGGCGAGGCAACGATCCCAACCCTCGATAATGAAGTCAAGGTCAAGGTGGCGACTGGTACCGGCACTGGTGATCGGATCACGCTTTCGGGAATGGGCATGAAGAAGCTCGGCGGCCGAGCCCGCAGTTTCAATCCGACGGGCGATTTGCGGGTTGAGTTCAAGGTCGCCATGCCCAAGTACCTGACCGGCAACCAGCGGACCATTCTAGAGGTCCTGGCAGACGAGATGGGAGACAAAACGGCCAAACGGACCATGAACTTCAGCAAGGAGAGGTAGGCCCATACTCCGGGGTTGATATCTATATGTATGCTTGAACGACTGATACTGACCTGATCCCTTCATTAGTCCTCCTTCCGACTCGGACTCGAGCGACGCGCATAAAGGAGAAGGGTTTCTGAAGTCTGTCTGGCACCGACTGACGGACAAGAACTGTGATTCTTCCAAGTCCGATGCCAAGGACCCGAAGGATGCCGACAAGAGCGACACCAAGGATGACTCGAAGAAGTCTTGAAATAACAAAAAAAGAGAAGGCCAATGTAAATCTCCATGTACTCTATATCCTTTTGGGCTGTATTTACCTCAATGTCATAGCGCCGGCGAGAATTGGGGACGCTGTATTACTAGGAGTGCTAGAGAAACTCTCTACTTTCTTTCTTTATTTTTTATTTCTTCTAGAATCTATAAAAATTTGGAAAGTTTCCCGTTGATTTGGAGATGTGCGGTATACTTTGTGGGGTGTATGTTTGGGTTGGCGCTCATCACATCCCACCTCAGCACCTTTTTCTCCAAGGCAGCATCCCTCTCTCCCTCTCGCCCTCCTCTTCCTCGTCCTTTCTCCTCTCTCTCCCTCCCTCTTATTCTTCTTCTTCTCTTTCTTTGCCATCTGAATTGCCTTCGCCAGCAGAAATTCGATCGACGTCATTACCAAACTGATCAGCCCCTAGGCGCCGACCTTCCGCCTCCCTTTACCCCACAGCCTTTCGATCCCCTCAGACACCAAGCTCCTACCCCTTGCGCTCGCGCTTCTTTGTCCTCGAAGTCCTGATATATTTGGATGGGAGCATCTCGCTCTGGGGAACCATCTGAAACAAAATGGTTCAGTCTCCGATGCTCTCGTGTCCGCTGAAGCAGACCAACGAGATCGACTGGATTCAACCTCTCAAGGATTACATCCGACAGACCTATGGAGAGGACCCCGAGCGATACACTCAAGAATGCGCGACTCTCAACCGACTACGGCAGGATATGAGAGGTGCAGGGAAAGATAGTGCAACCGGTCGCGATCTGCTGTACCGATACTATGGTCAACTGGAGCTGTTGGACCTCCGGTTTCCGGTTGACGAGAATCACATCAAAATCTCATTTACATGGTGCGGGGCCTTGACTCTTGCTGGATATAGTAGCGTCTTACTCACTGTGCCCACTCTCTAGGTACGATGCTTTCACTCACAAACCCACGTCTCAATATTCCCTGGCCTACGAAAAAGCTTCCATCATCTTCAACATCTCCGCCGTCCTCTCGTGCCATGCGGCCAACCAGAATCGTGCCGAGGATGCCGGACTCAAAACCGCGTACCATTCCTTCCAGGCATCCGCTGGCATGTTCACTTATATCAATGAAAACTTCCTGCATGCGCCGTCGACTGATCTCAATCGAGACACGGTGAAGACTTTGATTCATGTCACGCTAGCCCAGGCGCAGGAGGTGTTTCTGGAGAAGCAAGTGGCAGATTCGAAGAAGCCCGGGTTCCTGGCGAAATTGGCGGGCCAGGCTGCATATCTCTACTCGCAGGCCGCGGAAACAATGCAGGACTTTGTCAGCAAAAACGTGTTCGATAAGGCGTGGTCGATCGTTGTGCAAGCAAAGGCAGCGCACTTGGGTTCCATTGCATCCTATTTCCAGGCAGTCGCGGAGGCCGAGAGCGGATCTCATGGGGTTGCCATCGCTAGACTGCAGATGGCTGACAAGCAAACCATCGCTGCTTTGGGCTTTGCCAAATCATTCCCCTCGTCGGCTCCAGTGACCTCAAATTTGACGGCGGAGGCCGGGAGCAACCTAGTGGATCTCATTAAACACAACCAGTCCAAAGTGCAAGCCACACTCGCCACTTTGACCAAGGACAATGATTTTATCTACCATCAGCCGGTCCCCAACGAAGCTGGTCTCGCAGCAGTTTCCAAGCTACCTGCCGCAAAGGCCATTCCAGTCAGCGAGTTGTATCAAGGACAAGACATCCAGCGAATCATCGGGCCGGACATCTTCCAGAAGCTCGTGCCCATGTCTGTTACGGAGACTGCCAGTTTGTACGATGAAGAGAAGGCCAAGCTGGTTCGGGCAGAAACCGAAAAGGTGGAAACTGCCAACGGCGAGATGGCTGCCAGTTTGGATTATCTGAAACTGCCCGGCAGTCTCAACATTCTCAAGGGTGGCACGGACCAAGAAGTCACCGTGGATGAAGAATTTCGCCGCTGGTGCTCGGAGCTTGCCGGGCATAAGCCGTTTCATAGGGCGTTTGACGACCTTCAGGAGGGCAAGGCCGAAGTGCTGGCCCAATTGGACCAGTGTTCTAAGCAGCTGGATTTGGAGGAGAGCGTGTGTGAAAAGATGCGGTCCAAGTATGGAGCAGATTGGACTCAGCAGCCCAGTAGTCGACTCAACACCACGCTCCGGGGTGATGTTCGGACATACCGAGATACCGTGAATGAAGCCAGTGCTAGCGATTCTCAGCTGTCAGCCACACTGCGACAGTATGAAGGGGATTTCGACGAGATGCGGTCTGCGGGGGAGACGGAAGAGGCGGACGTGCTCTTCCAACGAGCAATGATCAAATCCGGATCAAAGCACGGAAAAGGAAAAGGTGGAGGCGCTAGCCCGGCAGAGGGCAGTCTCCTGGATGATGTTTATGATGAAGGCAGCATGTCCGTTGCGGAGCAGATTTCCAAGGTGGAGGAGATCTTGAAGAAGTTGAACCTGGTCAAGCGTGAACGGTCTCAAGTACTCAAAGATTTGAAGGACAAGGTAAGCGCGCTCCTTTCTCCTTATCCCCACCATTGCAAGTCTCACCCTGCAGCACAGGTTCACAACGACGACATTTCAAACGTTCTGATTCTAAACAAGAAATCCATCACGGGCCAAGAGAGTCAGCTCTTCGAGGCTGAGCTCGAGAAATTCCGGCCTCACCAGAATCGGCTCTTACAGGCGAACCATAAGCAGTCATCCTTGATGAAAGAGCTTACAAAAACGTACGGCGACTTGTTGCAAGACAAGCGAGTTCGATCTGAGCAGTCCAAGTATGAAACCATCACACGGCAACGCAACACAGTGATGGCTCGGTACAAGAAGGTCTATGAAGCTTTCAACGGCCTTTCTTCCGGCATCGTTCAAGCCCGAACATTCTACAAGGAGATGGGTGAAAACGTCGAAAGCCTCCGAAAGAATGTCGAGACCTTCATCAACAATCGCCGGTCCGAGGGCGCGCAACTTTTGAGTCAAATCGAACGCGAAAAGGCCAGCGGCGTCTCGGAACAGGATGACCGTGAGCGAGAGAAGCTGCGTCAGTTAATGGAACGCCTTTCCACGGAACCCAAGCCATCATCGACCTCACCATCCACGGGATCTGCCGCTGCTCCATCTAAAATTAAATCGCCACCCTCCTCTATCCAGACACCATCCTATTCAGCCACGGGCCCGTCTCCGAAAATGTCACCTCGCTACCCGCCCCCCATGCCGGGAGCACCACCCCACGGGGTTCCCCCCTCACACTCCCCCGCGCCCTATGGACAATACATGGGAGCCGGTCCGAGTGTACCATATGTTCCTGGGCAGCCTTTCCAACAAGGCGCGGCCGCCCCACTGTCTGAGGGCTACAATCCCATGGCATACCCTTATCAGACCCCCGTGTCTCCGCCGCCGAACCAGCAATTCTTTTCTCAAACGCCTGCTCCGTATGGTGGCTACTCCGGAGCCAGTCCGCCGTCGACGACGGCTGCAGCCCCTCCGCCGTCGCACTACATGGCTTCTCAGGGGTATATTCCACCCCCGCCTCCTCCACGCCCGCAGCAGACCACCTACCCGCCCTCCGGGGGCGGTCCGTATCCCTCGGGTCCTGGTGGCTATGCACAGAGCAGACCGTATGGACACCATAGAACCCCTTCTCAGTCTCAGTCTCAACACTCCTCGGCCACCAATGACCCGTGGGCTGGTCTCAACGCTTGGAAGTAAGCGCAGGCTTGTTCTGAAGGGGGTTAATTATGCGTGCTTGGATGCCGCATGGTGTGAGATATCGAGGGGAAAGCGAGGTGAGGATTGGCATAAATCTCGGCGTTAGATTTTTGTGGATTTCTTTTGATGAGTTTCCCCTGATTTGGCTGTCTTATCGCTTTGGGTTTTTCTTGGGTTCGACTTTTCTCTTTGCGAAGTCGGCTTGGATATCTATTCTTTTCGTTTTATTCGAAGCGCTATGCTGTGATGTACATGATGGACGAATATATACTCTTAGCACTTGATTTTCAGTTGAGCTACCGTTCATTCTCTTCTACAAGCCTATAAAAAGCTTGGTGATTTGGATCACATACTTGATCTTGTCCATCCGTGGATGGTATAGTGTCTAGGCATACTATCAGAGATGGACTATTCTAGGTAAATGGAGGTGAACATCAACCATCTATCCAGGTAGCCATGCTAGATGAATAGGTAAGTGTATCCAAATATAACGGCATGATTTGCTTCAGAATTGCGCCGTCATAAACCAAAATTTCTACCCAATTTTGCCGGGTTTAGAAGCCCTCGATAGCCATTGTACCATATAGACTATGTATCAAACAGAACAAGAGATAAAAAGAGAGAGAGAGAGCATTAATCTAGCCACAAAAAAAACACCCCAACGCCAATGGGTATCTTGTTATAAATCAGAAAAAAAGAGTACAAGAGGACAAGGACAAGCCAGATCAGACACCAGATCAGCGTCGGACCAGACAGAGAAGACAGATCAGTACGCTCACATCGTGGCTGTCACCAGAGCGCGAACAAACGAGACGCAGGCCCCACGGCCCAATTGGACTTGCACAAGCATAACAGAAAAGAGTATATACCGCAGTGTTTCTTTTCTTTTCTTTTTTTTTTCTTCCTTCATTCTGCCAGGTGACAGAAAAGATGAAGCAAGGAAAACTACGGCTGAAACCTCAACCGAAATTGACGCCCTCGTCTCTCCTCGCGCACAGTATACAGAAACCGGGCAATGGACTCCTGCTCCGAGAGGCCCGCACTGTTAAAGTGTTTGCGGACCACGAGCGCGAATTGGTCCTTGCTGACGCGGTCCTGGCCGATGATGCGGCGCAGCGAGGAGTCGTCGACGGAGCCGGCGGAGGCGGGGTTTCGATCGCGGGCTGAGTGTGAGTTGGAGTTGGAGTTTGATTGTGAGTTTGAGTGTGAGGACTGGGCGCGCCGAGCGGCCAGGGAGGTTGGCGAACGCAGGCCGATGCCCTGCGAGAGGACGATGCGGGAGTAGTCGTTGGCGAAGGCGCTGGGAGTGGGCAGTTTGTGGACGTGGCGGTAGGCATGGAGGATGTCGAGAGGGAGGTCAGACCATGGTAGCTGTAGATTTCAAAGAAAAAAAATGTGTGTCAGCCGAGCTTCTTTCAATTGAGTAGGGTGAATTCAGACGTACTCGGGGTTGGCCCTCCTGCTGGTCACTGCCGGCGGGGGCGCTGGTTACTGCATTTTTGTCTTTGGTTGCAGGACCATTCTTGCGGCTTTTGGAGGCCGTGGTTCGATATTCGCGAGTGCCGCTTGAGGCTTCGGACCTCGAGTCGTCGACGAGAGCTGTGGTGCGTTGACGCGGGGGAGCCATGATGGGCGGAGCTCCAGGACAGGGCGATCCAGAGTGGCAGCAAGTCTAACCAATGACTCAGGATACAGAGAAAGAGACGTTAGACGCAAAATAAAAAAAAAAAAAAATAAGAAGAAGAAAATAACACCTCAGCAGCTGTGTGAGATCCGCGATTACGGTGCTGAGCTCGACCCCGTGGGTGTTCGGGCGGCCGCGAACGGCAGAATGACCGCATCGGGGCGGATTACTACAGAGCGCATTCGGGATATACTTGGAATAGATAGGGATTGCATGGGAATTGTATAGGGAATTGCATTGGCACTGTAGGACAATCTGAATAGGTTGTTCTGTTCTTCTGGGAATGTATATGCCTGTGCATTATTTCCCTGCAGTATTCCACAGCGAACATCTCGAGAGCCCCCACGGACTTCTCACCGCTACATGGGAAAACTCCGCAGTCGGACAGGGGTCGGAAATAATGCGGGACAATCTCGCACCGCGTAACCGGATCATGGACCCCGGACTTTTCTTTTATCCTTTTTCCCTTAAAAGGTGAAAATAAAAAGGAAAAGGAAAAGGAAAAAAAAAACGAACAAAGAACCAAGGCCAGGACCGAACCACGGGAAGAATGTCGGAGCCAGAGAAGAGAAAGAGAAAGAAAACCAAGGGACTCGGCACAGCAAAGCCGAGGGTTTCGCCGAGTTCGGGCCCGGCTCACACGGGACAGAAAAATCAGGGGCAAAGTCGCCTGGCTTCTCTCACCGAACCCCCTTTGGCCCAATTCTTCTTCGAGTACTTGCCCCGGCTGAAAGAAAAAAATAATAATTATAAAAATTTTTCATGCTATCTTGAGGCTTAGCACTTCACGATATGCACCCACAATTTTTGACAAGTGCCCAATTTACCCCTCTGATTCGTCGATTTATCTGACTCACGATCAGCGTGGAGTACACTAAGCCCCGCAATCAGCCAGAAGGAAGCACGCCTGAGTCCCTCCGTCGCAAGTTGGCGCGATAATGGCACCATTAGGCCATTAGGGGGGGGGACATTGGTGTAAGTCCGAGTTCATCCGATGATTTTCTGGCTTTCCCCCTTTTGGCTTGGCCAGCCCTATCCGGATCTGAGGAATTGGTACCTGCAGCAGTTTTGGACTTGGCTTCTGAAGGTCTCAACGGGTTCACCGAGTAATCCATCCAGAGAAAAAAAAAATCATGAAAAATAAGAATGAAAAAATTATATCGTTCATATCTATGGTTCAGGGCCGGCAATATCAATGACGTGGCGGCACTCCCCCCCCCCGAAACCCCCATAACGCCCGACACATTCCTTCGAGATAGAATGTTCCATCGCTTATCAAGGACGATCAGGAACGCCCTGGAGAAGTCAAGCCATGACACCATGGGGCCCCCGAACGTGCTCTGGGCGGAGAATGAGACGATAGACTGGGCAACGGCGGGGAAAAAAATCCTTCATATCCAGATATCCTCCAAAGGGCTGAGAAATGATCGCATGTGAATCCGCGGGGGGGGGGGGGGGGGGGCGAAGAAAAAAAAAGAAAAATTTGCCCGGAAGTCCCCAGTTGGATCCGCATCTCTATAGCGCACGTGAATGTGCGAGAGGCCAGGATTCCCCAAAACGACGGTCATGGATAGATTCGGCGATGGGGGTAAACCAGGCTGGTAGAATGGGGCTATGTCAACAATGTAAATCCTGTGGGGGATTCCTTTTTTTTTTCTGTTTTTAGCGAGTCAATAGCCCCCCCCCCCCACGGCTGAAACGGGGCAGAAAATCTCTGTTCCCCTATCTATATTTTATTTTATATATATTTCTGGGAAAAAGCCCAGAGATAGATCTGCGGTACCTTGGCCATAGCGTGGTCTATCCCCCAAGGCGTGAAGTGGGTAACCCACGAGTATGGGGAATAATTCACTCACATATTTTGGAGATTCCAAAGTAGAGCTGTAGAGCTGTATTCTCTACAGGACACGGTGATACAATAGTGAAAGTATACCACTATCCTACTAATACAGTAACTAGGGTTTACTCCCAGAGATAGGACAATCCATTCGGACTCCGGACCGGCCCCGGTGATATCAGCGTGATGCGATCTGGCGTTACCATTGGAGCAGGCTGCTATTCCAGAAGCTGTGGATCGTGGATCCCCTTGGCGTTGGGGTTTAGGTGCGGCCGTGGCAATATCATTTCCCATGATAATTGTGAAGTAATCGAGGCCTTCCAATCGTATCGAAATTCAGGTTCTTATGACGAGTCCATCTGATGTGATCATGGTGACTTCGCGATACTTACCAGGAGTAGGAATTCAGTCATTGCCCACGCACACACACTCTCTCTCTTCCCCGGACTCCCCCAGTCTGACTCTCCCCGCATTGAGAACTGCCAAGAATCAATGTCACCCCAAGCGAGACTCGAGACAATGGGACCCCTACGCATGCGGAGGGGACCCTACTCTTTTCTTGGCTGATGGCTGGACCCACGGGGCTTGTGTACCCTCGGATAGGGAGGGTTTCAATATGAAAAAAAAAAGAAAGAAAAAGAAAGAAAAAGAAAGGAAAAATATATATAAAAAAAAAAGAGTCGAGGACGATCCGAGTGATTCGAAATGGAGTGCCAATCACCCCGATCCTTGTCGGCGATCCAACCGTCGGAGCTGAGGAGAGAGGTTGAGACGTCATGACTCGCAAATTTTGAGTCAAAAATGGAGAATGATAGAATGACGAAGATAAAGGAATCAAAGGATTGTCCTAGGATTGACCTTGCCCCCCTCGATTTCAAGGTTCAACGATCAGCCTTGTTGAGTTGATGATCCGCATTGCCCGAGGGTATTCCACCAACCCAACGGGCAATGGCGTGATGGAAAACCTTGGGAAGTATCCAAAGATGCAAATCCGATGTCGGTAAATGCTCAGAGTCCCCCCGTGCGAACTGCCGTGGGGAAGCTGAGAATGAGTTGGGGCTTGCGGGGGTTGAGTGTCGACCGTGTAGGGTTATCCCCCGCAATCGGAGGAGGTTCGCCGATTCCTACTGAACAAATGCGAATTCCCCACAATCACATTAGATAAAAGATTGATGAAATCATGAAATTGGGGGTGAACGGAAGTTGGGTCCCGGTTAGTCTTACCCTAAATATCATCTTGACATAGAGATCGAGGTCGAGATAGAGAGGGATAGACCAGTGACGGTAAAAAGCGGGTAATTGCCCCTGGGACAACTCTCGCTGTAGATCCCCCGAATCCGGAGCCCCCGACACTTACGTCCTGTGGAATTTGGTTCCTCATTCCTCAGTTTGAATTTGAATCATCTAATGACCTACTCTAGTGGTTCCTTGATAGTCTGGATGGCCAGGATCACCTGGATTCCTGAGACACGGCTGAAATGACGAGAAATCAAGTTATGACTATTTCATGCGTAAGATCTGCCACTAACGGACGGGGATGCAGGTGGAAAGTGAAAAAGGGAAAAAGCCAGGGTGTCCAAGAGGGAGAGAGAGAGAGATAAGACCAGGATCATGGGGTCCAAGAATGCCTATCTTTCTTTCTTTCTTTTTTTTTTTTTTTTTGTTTATCCCCGTGGGTCATGGGGCTATTTGATTATCAATGGAATGAACTCGAGTCTGGGGGTATGATCAATTGAAAGTAATAGCCTCATCATTCGTCCGGGGTATTTATAGAAAAGAAAAGGAAAAAAAAAAGGATCAGCCAGGCCGGCCCATCTCTCATCATCGTGTATCATCTTCCGTCTGTTCCGGGTGATAAGACACTTCCCCAGCTGCTTTCTCCAGATGCGCGATAGCCGGCCTGGGGCCACGCACTCGCAATCACGCCACACGATTCTTCAGCAAATTATGAGATAATCCCGGAGGACCTTTTGCGAAGGTCTCCACATTTTTTTTTTTTTTTTTTTTTTTTTTTTTACTGTGGAGTACTCCTATTTTCTTTTTCTTTTTCTTTTTCTTTTTCTTTTTCTTTTTCTTTTTCTTTTTCTTTTTCTTTTTCTTTTTCTTTTTCTTTTTCTTTTTCTTTTTCTTTTTCTTTTTCTTTTTCTTTTTCTTTTTCTTTTTCTTTTTCTTTTTCTTTTTCTTTTTCTTTTTCTTTTTCTTTTTCTTTTTCTTTTTCTTTTTCTTTTTCTTTTTTCTTTTTCTTTTTCTTTTTCTTTTTCTTTTTCTTTTTCTTTTTCTTTTTCTTTTTCTTTTTCTTTTTCTTTTTCTTTTTTTTTCTTTTTCTTTTTCTTTTTCTTTTTCTTTTTCTTTTTCTTTTTCTTTTTCTTTTTCCTTTTTTTCTCTTTTTCTCTTTTTTTCTTTTCATTTTTTCTCTCGCCTAGTAAAAGAGGATCATAATATTGATATGGATATTGTTCCAAGTACTCATGTATGAGGCTAGAGTAATCTATTTCAATACCGAGATGTGCAAATCCAGAAATCGCAATTCTTTTTTTTGCGTAAAAGACAGAGAAAGGATTGAAATTTTCACCCAAATTTTCAAAAATCGAATAAAAAACAAAATCGAATTTTTTGCCCCAGTCCCCCTTCCCCCACACGGTCTTTGCTCAACCTTGTTGCGATCCGATAAGTCTTTTTCTTTTTCAATTTTTCACTCCATTTTTTCACTGTCTTTTTCCCAAACCCGTTTCCGACTCGCCCCCTTCTCCCCGATTTCTCCCTTCCTCATTTTTTCCCTCCATTTCCCCCTTGATTTCTTCTTTATTTTATCTGCCCCAGATCGTCATCTCCGGATTCTTTTCTCCTTTTTTTTGCTCTCTTTCTCTCTTTCTCTCTTTCTCTGAGTTCTCTTCTCTCTTCCTCCCTCATCTCCCCCCCCCCCCCCCCCCCCCACATCAATTTGGGGTCCCGCCTTGCACATCCCTCCGATCCCGATCGCCTGAAATCCTCGGGTGCTGATCACTTCTGGGTTTTTAGCTCTGGAGACCCCTGCCGTGATAAATCACCCATCCGCCTCGGCTCCTTGCCCCCCCCCCTCCCTTTTCTCAGCCTCTGGATCATCCGGTCATAAACCCCCCGTCTTGTCCCACTTCTCCCAAGAGATTCACATGCCACCACCGGCCTCTTCAGCGGGTTTCTCTAATCTCTTGAACCCCCAAGACGCAGACGTATCTGCTCAGCCTTCGGCTCCTTCTGATTCCAACTCGTCCATGGCCTCTTCTGTGAGCCTACTACCGCCTCTCATGAAGGGTGCTCGTCCTGCGACCGAGGAGGTCCGTCAGGATCTGCCCCGGCCCTATAAGTGCCCTCTCTGTGACCGTGCCTTCCATCGTCTGGAGCACCAGACCCGCCACATCCGCACGCACACTGGCGAGAAGCCCCATGCCTGCCAGTTCCCCGGCTGTACCAAGCGCTTCAGTCGCTCGGATGAACTCACCCGTCACTCCCGCATCCACAACAACCCGAACTCGCGCCGCAGTAATAAGGCTCAGCACCTGGCAGCAGCAGCGGCCGCCGCTGGCCAGGACGCGGTGATGGCCAACGCCAATATGATGCCTCCGCCCAGCAAGCCCATGACGCGCTCTGCCCCGGTCTCTCAGGTCGGCTCTCCTGATGTCTCTCCGCCTCACTCCTTCTCCAACTATGCCAACCACATGCGGTCGAATCTGGGCCCGTACTCGCGGAACACCGACCGTGCTTCATCCGGCATGGATATCAACCTGCTGGCCACGGCCGCCTCCCAGGTTGAACGGGATGACCACATGGGTTACCACGGATCGCGGCATCACATGTACGGATCGCGTCATCACAGTGGCCGCGGGCTGCCTTCGCTGTCCGCCTACGCCATCTCCCAGAACATGACCCGGTCGCATTCCAACGAGGATGATGATCCCTACTCATCGCATCGCGTGAAGCGTTCGCGACCCAACTCGCCCAACTCCACGGCCCCCTCGTCCCCTACCTTCTCGCATGACTCGTTGTCGCCAACTCCTGACCACACCCCGTTGGCTACCCCGGCGCACTCTCCGCGTCTGCGTCCCCTCGGAACCAGCGAGCTGCACCTGCCTTCCATTCGGCACCTGTCCCTCCAGCACACGCCGGCCCTGGCTCCCATGGAGCCTCAGCCCGAGGGCCCCAACTACTACAGTCCTGGTCATGGCAGCATGGGCCCCAGCATCACCGACATCATGTCCAAACCAGACGGCACGCAGCGCAAGCTGCCGGTTCCGCAGGTGCCCAAGGTTGCCGTGCAGGACATGCTCAATCCCACGAACGGATTCTCGTCCATGTCATCGTCGACCAACAACTCCGTTGCCGGCGGTGACTTGGCGGACCGTTTGTAAGAATTTTTTCCCCTCTCCCTCCCCTATTGATGCCTTGAAACTTGTGTTATGCGCGCTACGAAACCAATAGACTTCTGCATTTTTTTTTCTGTGCTTTGCGGGCATCAACGGTGTCAAATGAACGGATCGGTTTTCTCTCTTTTTCTTTCATTTTCTTTGATCTGGTTTCTGTTTGACGGCGTCTCGACTCAATAGACGGATTGTGGATTTTTCTGTGGATCTTTTTATTTCCTGTCTGATTTCTTTCGAGTCTAACCTCAACGTCTCTCGACGGTTGTGTGATTCTCCTCTCCCAGACCTGTGGTCTCTTTCTCTTTCTGATTCTGCTTCTTTTTTTCCCTACTTAATTGCTGAACCCGCGCATGCACGGGAAAAATGAAGAAAATTTCAATTATCTGGATATATTCTCGGGTCTATGGGATGTGGTGTCGTAGGCTATAGAGATCCCCCAGCAGAGCTGTCTTGCATGAATACCTTGGATTGGCTATTTTCCTTGGGCTTTTATGACTTGGAATACATCTACAAATATTCAGTCTACTCATATATGATGATGGGCTCAGGATTTTCTATGCAATCCATCAGACAAAAAAAAATCATCCGCCCAGCGCCCCGCTCGCCCCCTCCATTGCCTAGCGTACACCCTGAGAATGATATTCCCCTTTCAACGTCGAGCCCCCTCGGCAGCCACAGCCATGGATTCGTGAATTGGCGCAGAGGCGGCATCCCCACTCTGTACGTGCAGAAATGCGCTCCCCAATGTCATGCATGCTGACCGTCAGGCCACAGGCGCAGATTCCGCGTTTCGTCTGGAGAACGAGAAAGTCCCCGAGGGGCATGGTATAGATAGAGCGCTGGAAGAGGTATGTCTCTTTCTCTTTCTCCGCCTCTTCCTTTTGACTCCTCTCTTTGCCGCGCGCATGACACGGCATAAGCGATTACCGTGAATGCTGACGCGATCCTCTCAGTTTCCCGGTACTATTCTTCTTCTCCCCCCCCCCGCGCGGAGCATGTCGGAGCGAGCGCCTGCTCGTCCGAGCGATACTGCTCAGGACGACCCCGGCCAGCGCCCTGGTTCTCGTCAAACCTCACGACTCCCCGAACAGTGCCTGTCTGAGTCCACGAGCCGAGACCCCCACCACAAACCGCAAAGTGAAGTGATGATCATCCGCGGTATGCCCTCGTCTTCGCCGTCGGTCTCCTCCGCCGATACCCGGTCTAGTTCCCGATATGAGGGTGTGACGGTTCATGCCCGCGCAGAGAGTGGAACAGGGTCTGAGGGAACCGGTCGCAGCGCTGGCGCTGAGCCGGCGGTTCTGTCGCACGCTTCTTCTTCTTCTTCTTCTTCTTTGTCATCATCGTGGGATACGGCGTCGTCGAAGGCACCATTTGCTTCTGTTGGCTTGGAGTCACCGCGGCGCATCTATGCTTGTCTCTTTCATATGCTTGACTGCCATGAGTCTTTTGATGATGCTGTGCAGTGGCGGACTCATGTCCGTAGTCACTTTCGCATGCACCAGCCCCCGTCCACGGCCCGATGTCCGCTGTGCCCGAGTACCAAGTTCATTGACGGCGTTGCAAATCCTGTTTCATCTCCTGTGCTGGAAGGTACCAAGTCAGTCCAGGACAGCGACCCTGTTGCTGTGGCCTTGCCGCCGGGTCAGTCAAGTCAGTCAAGTCAGTCAGGGAAACCGGCTGCCTGGGATCGCATGCTCGACCATGTTGCCACCACCCACTACGAGCAAGGCCACACACTAGCCAGGAGCCGGCCAGACTTTGAGCTGATGCGCTACCTCTATGGACTGCGCATTATCTCCGACGCTCAGTTCAAGGTCCTCCAGCTTCCGCCCGCCCCGTCCAGTCCGGCTTATCATCGGTCTCAGGATGGCGTGCGCGCTAGTATTGGCTCCGCTGATGAACCATACTGTGCACCGTATAGTCGACGGCGAGAGGAGAGGATGCGCGGTCAGCAAAGGGGTGTCAGTGTGGTTTGATGGTTTGATATCTTTTTTTTGTGAATACCCCACTCCCAGTTGTATAGCATGTTAAATATTTCCGGAGGGATTGATCTGGATTGTCAAAAATAAGCCAATGTATAAATTTGCGCAGGATTGAATAGTTTGGTTGTTTCTATAAAAAAATATATATATAAAAAGAAGATCCATGATGTAGACGAGTCAAGCACCGCAAACACACCGCCCTCGAGACTTGCAACTCCATCGCTGCGCATAACCAGCTGCGTGCTGCCGCTGGCTGCTTTTCCGACCGATTGCAGCCTGTCCCCAGAATGAGAATATCTTCCTTCCACGCCTAAATATCTTACCTTTCATCTCTCCCTCTCCTCTCCCTCCCCCCACGTTCCATTTCCCGCCGCGCCCCCGGGTCGCTGCCCCTCGTTTTCGAATTCCTTTTCCCCACCAACACCATCCACCATGGAGCGACTTCCTCTCAACGATAACCCTGCTCAAGCGCAGCAGCAGCAGCAGCAGCAGCAATCCTCACAGCAAAGTGTCCTCGGTCCCTCGGGGCCTATGCACCCGCCCGGTCCGCCGCAATTGCCGCCGCAGATGTTCACGACGGCTGCTCAATTGCTGGATCTGACTGATAGTATGTTGATCAGCTTGGCATGGGTTGCCTCTATATATATATGTAGAGAGGCAGGAACAAATAGGACAAGAATGGTCAATGGCTGACACCTTTCAGAGAAACTTGTCCTTGTCCTCCGCGATGGGAGGAAACTGATTGGGGTTTTGCGAAGCTGGGATCAATTCGGTATGGCATGGTTATACTCATTTTTTTTAACCAATATCCTTGATTGACCTGTTCAGCAAATCTTGTCTTCCAGGATACTGTGGAGCGCATCTATGCCGGCAAGCTCTACGCCGATGTCCCACGAGGCATCTTTGTCGTTCGCGGCGAGAATGTTCTCCTGTTGGGAGAAGTGGTACGTATCTTTACCTCTTTTCACTTTTTTTGAATTGTACTCATGCGACATTCTCTACAGGATCTCGATCGAGAAGACGAAATTCCTACCTCGGTCACCCGGGCTCCCTTCGAGGAAGTCTTCGAACTCAAAAAGAAGGAAGATAGCCAGCGCAAACGGGGCGACAAGAAGCGCTACACCGAGCTGCAAGCATTGGGATTCGAACCAGAACACAGCGGCGAGATCCTGTTTTAGTTGGTTTTTGTGTTATTTTTTTTTTTTCCAGTTTTCCAGTTTCTTGTCCGTGATGATAGTGTCACGTCCTCTTCTTTGCGTCGTGCCTCCCCGTAGATTGCCCTTGTTGGCTGTCTATGTGGGATCCACCTGTGATGAGTTAGGTTATATGCCCCGTGGCACGATGGATTTGTCTCTGAGAGCATCGGCTTTGGCGTTTGGTCGGAGGAGGATTTATCTCTCTTCCGTTGGTGGTTTAGGCTTTGAACGAAGAAACGATGAGCTATGGAGAAAGTCCCAATAGAGTAAATGGCTAAAGAGAACGACTAACGGGGGACGAATCGCCGCCAGCTTCAGAGGGGTTCTCCAGGGCTATACTATCGGATCCTCACGACCCTAACCCTAAGTCGTATCTATAGTCTGACGGTGAGAGATTGGGTGGTACCCTTGGACTATACCACAAAGATTATAAGTTTTGCAATAAAAAGATATGATGTAAATGTTTGAACTCGTTTATACAATGCATTTACTGGATGAACAGCTCTGTCTACCAGATCTTTATCGTCTGTGCTACAGCCTCTCCACCCCTTCCTACACTGCCACCATGCTGCGCACAGGGAAGTCTGAACTATTCCAGTGCCTATCCACGGGTCTACCGCCAAGCAAGTTCTGTGCCATGGCAGAAAGTATCTCAATCGAGCCTATGACGCCAATCTCTAACGCCCGATCATCCACCGAGGTGGCGATCCCCAGATCTGGCATGACCCGTACTCGGGGATCTTCAGGTCTGCAAGGCTCAGCCAACACAAAATACGAGCCAAGCTCAGCCAAGCCATGGGGTGATCCACTTTTTGCTCTTTATAGCAACTCCCGTATCGAACGAGGGTGGCCATGAGGTATAAAAGATGGCATGTTCGAGCATGCTGGAATGACAGAAATCATTCACAATCACCATGGCTACAACCACCAACACCAAAGTCGACTACACCGAGAAAGAGGTAGTCTCATCCGCGCAATCCGTGAGCTCAGCCAGCTCCGAGCGCACCCTCACCGATACCAACTTCTCCTTCTCTCCCTCTCGCACCCTGGCAATCAACGCCCGCGGCATCGGCGCCTTCCGTCTACCTCTCCCCGCCCGCCAAACCGAGATCTTCATCCACAATCCCGACGACACCGTCGCCTACATCTCCACCCGCGACAGTCTCTGGTCCGGCGATGCCGTGCTGTCCGACCCGAAACGCGGCAATCTCATCCGCACCGACTACTTCTTTGGCCCGACCCGCGGCCCGGTGCTCCGGCTCCTGCAGAGCCCGAGTGTGCTCGCCGACGAGCTGAAGATCTCGGGCAAGTGGGGCTCGCGCGCGGTGCAGTTTATGGGGTCTGGTGGACTTCTGCTGGAATGGGGCTATGCTAAGGAGAAACGTGCTGATGGCAACAAGGTCAACTTGATTGTTTTGAACGTCGTCGATGGTCAGGGTAAAGAGCCACAGAATCGTCGTATTGCGCAGCTGGCGCGTGGTCAAGATACTCGTACGCCTGGCACTTCGCGATGCGCTGCTGGCAATGGTGGGGAATTGCAGATCGATGAGGCGGCGCGGCAGTCGCTTGAAGTGGATGAGGCTATTGTGGTCGCGACGTGTCTGTTGATGCTCAAGCGCGAAATTGATCGGCGGCGTCTGGTGCAATGTGTTGTTATTGCGGGAGGGGGAGGCAGCTAAGCTGGGGAGATGTATAGACCAAGGTGACAGCTCCATGGCAGTGTACACTTTACATTTTTATGATAATTTCGACGACCTCTGGGCTTTTCTCATTTTTCTCATTTTTCTCATCTCTTTGTCTATTTGATATCTTGTAGACACTGGGTTTCGTGTCTATCTATTTTCCCCCTCGACTTTTCCTAGACTTCACGTATTTCATTCAATGCCGCTCGTGCAGCAACTCTGCAATATGCCCATTAAGCCAGTACCCATCCAACTCATCAGGAGGCATCGTTTTCGCCCCAGGAATCCACCCACAACAGACCTCACCCGCCCCGCAGGTGCACTGAAACGGCTGGTCCATTTCCCACTCGGTGCTCGGGTAGAAGAAGGTCAGCGCATGGCCCTTCTTCAACGGCCGTTCGTCGACAACGCGCACCTCCATGCGCGCCATATCGAAGATCAGCGACGGCGCGCACGAGTGGTTGCAATACACCAGGTCGGAATTGAGCTCGATGTGCGTGTCGCGCCCTGTTTGCACGCTCGTGTACGCTTTCTTGCCCGGCGTGGCGGTGGTGATCTTGGCGAAGAGTGCCCCGGCTGGTAGGTCGACCAGCGAGAATGCCCCGCTGCCAAAGGCCTTTGCGCTGCGGTTGACGTACAGCCGGTCGGGATGGGTCGGAGGAGATGGTTCGAGGAATGTGGGTGCTGTGGGCACCGCCACTGGTAGAGGATCTGCGGAGGGGGCCATGTTGAAGCAAAGAGAGGAAGAGGAAGAGGACGAGCGCAGGTGTGGTGTGATCCTACCAGGCCAATTGCTTCTCTTATACACTCCACAGGGTCAACCTTACCTCTTTCCCTTCAACCGAGGATGCGCTCATCCGAGGCTTGCAGAAACCATGACGCCAACACACCCTCATGAAACCCCACTATGCTCTGTGGGGAAGCAATCTACGGGCCGATCGCCAGGAGTCGGCTCGGTGAGCTCCCACATGCAAGACAATTGAAAAGACAATTACAAAAGTGGAAACATGTCCGGTCAAAGTGGACTTGATCTAATTCATCTTGCGCAGCAGTTCCCGTCTGTCTAACCATTGCTCCAAATTCTCGGCCACCTCCCGATACCACCCGTGCAGCAGTTCTTCTTCTCCATAGCCCATGTGGGGGGTAAGCAGTACTTCACTGCGTCCGTCCTGACCCCAGGCGGTCGTGCGCCATGGGCTGTTCAAGGGCAATGGTTCCGGGTCGAAGACATCTAGAGCAACACCTCGGATGCGCCCAGCGTTCAGGGTCTCGAGCAATGCCGGCTCGTCAATCAATGGCCCACGCGACGTGTTGACGATCATAGCCGTCGGTTGAAGCATCGCCAGGTCTGCGGCCCCGATGATTACCCGGCTGCGGTCGGAGAGGACATGGTGCACACTCAGGACGTCGGCGCGCGCAAGAAAATCTGCCTTGGAGGGCGCGACCACGAAGCTACCCGCCGGCAGACCCTGTTCTTGCGCTTGTGCATCGGCTTTCGCTTGGGTCAGGTTCGTCGACCAAGCGAGGACATTCATGCCAAAGGCCTGCACCGCAATCTTGCCCACCTGTGAGCCCAACTTCCCCAGACCCAGCAGCGCCAATGTCTTGCCCGACAGATTGATCCCCAGCGACCCTTGCCACCCGCCCTGTTTGACGGCTGCGTCATCGCGTGCCACATGCCGGGCCAGCGCCAGGATCAGCGCCCACGTATGTTGCACGGTCGAGTTCACCCCAGGCGGCCGTCCCTCGGTTCCGGCGACTGGAATGCCTCGGTCGGTACAAGCTTGGAGGTCGAGGGATAGGTTGCGGGTGCCCGTGGTCAAAAGCAATCTCAGGTTCGGGAGAGCGGCCAGGGTTTGTGCCGAGAAGGGAGTCCGCTCGCGCATGGCTAGCACCACATCGAAGGGCTGGAGGCGCTGTACAAGTGCATCTTGCTGTGCCGGGTCGCGGGGATCGAGGGTGTCGGGGAAGGTGGCGATATCGATGCGCGACTCGAGGTGAGCAAAATGGGCGCACGCAATGCCCTGGTAATCGTCCAAGATGGCGAATTTGGGTGCCATGATGTAGAGGAAGTAGTGTCTATTGCGACAAATGTTGGAGAAGCTGTAGCTTTTGTATACGCTTCCCCCCGGCCTGTGGGGAACGGCCGGGTAATCGGTCCATTACACGAGTGTTTATTGTATACAATAGACTTAGAGCATATAGCCATTGATGGATTGGTTCACTGGGCAATGATAAATTCTACAAGCTAATCGACCTCTCATCTCTCATCTCTCCTCTCAATTCCAGCCAGATCGCTATGGTCTACAGAACATCGACTTCGGCTCTTCTCTGCCCGGGAGAAGTCATTGCCGACACGCGAGTGGATTTCTCCATGAGCATCAGCTTATAGATTGTATAAATCTCAATTATGACACTGGATCCCGGATCATCACCAGGAACGTCTCTCCTCCCACACCCCCAAAAGGCGCAAAGTCCATGGTGAGTACCTCCACGGGCTTCCACCCGTGCTTGCGGTAGATAGACTCTCCCTCGGGCGTGGCCTCGAGGTAGATGCGCTTTTTCCAGGCGTCTGCCTTTTGCGTGCCCCAGTTCAACAGCGCTGAGCCGACCCCGCGTCCTTGATATGCGGGCAAGGTGCCGAGCAGGTCGAGAACTAACCGCAACGCTTTAGAGATGACCCCGGTTTGATTCTTGGGAGGTACTTACCCATGTCCTGGTCCGTGGTGTGTCGCTTGCGTGCAGCCTCTAACAGACCCTTGAAAGCACTGTAGATGTCCTCGTTCATCGGTCGCGGCGCAAACGGGACGGGGTCTTTGGCGGCCAGGGCAGCCTGCTCGCTCAGCACGGGTAGTGTCTGTCCAAACCCCAAGGCCTCTGGGATGAGCCAGCGTGCGTAGCCAGCAATCTCTCCGTCAGTCACTTTCAGAACATGCATTTGGGGGTTGGCCAGATGTTTCATGGCGACGATCGCCTTATAGTCCTGAAGCGTGGATGCACTGGTCTGCGGGAACACCTCGGCCAGCAGACGGCGATTCTGGAAGCTCTGCGTGTTGATGCGGGCCAGTGCGGGCGCATCGGCCTCGGTGGCATATTGAATGAGATAACTCATGGTGCGATGAAGAGAACCAAAGGGAAAGCCGGTGCATTGTTTTATTTACTGCCTTGACTCATCCCGATGCACCCGATTACCTTTCTCCCCCCCCCCCCCCCCCACAGCCCCCACAAGCCCCCCAGGAATGTCAATCCGTCAATCTTTTCTCTTTTCTCTTTTCTCCTCCGCAGTCTGATTCAGCAATGAGACTCTCCTCCCTCCTGCGTCTGCTCAGACAACCTGCCGCCAGGGTTCTGCTCGTCGCCGGCCTCGTTTACCTCCTAGCCTTTCAATACTGCCGCCTACGCTTCTGGCGCGATCCGCACTCGGCCTTCTTTGATATCCGCAACGTCTTCGAGTGGAAGTACAGTCTCGTCCGCGAGCACGAGGCCAAACACTTCACCTCCATCTACAATGCGCCATCCGATGGCTCCCAACCTGAGCGCGGCCGCGATCGCCCCCTGATGTGTGCGGCGCTCGCCACGGTCAAACGCGACACGGACGACTATTTCGAGGCTACCGTGGGTTCGATCCTCAGCGGCCTCGATCCCCGTGAGCGACATGCTCTGCACCTGGCCGTGCTCTTCGCCAATACCGACCCTTCTCAGCATCCAAGCTGGGGCCAGCGATGGTTGAATCGCTTGGCAGACTCGGTGTCATCGTATAATGTGTCGGAGGCAGAGTTCCGCCATATGCAGGAGCTGGAGAAAACCCACAACTTTTATGAGAAGGGAGTTTAGTATGTGCTTTATCCAATCGGTCGTGGTGCTTGGGTGGTCTGGGTCTAACGGCTGCTAGTGACTACGTGTACCTGCTGAACCAGTGTCTCGAAACCGGCGCCCCGTATATTTTCATCCTGGAGGACGACGTGATTCTTGCGGACGGCTGGATGATCAGAACCCTCCATGGGCTTCACCAAATTTCGCAAGGACCGCCCGCCCGCAACGGATCCTGGCTGTATCTGCGACTCTTCTACACCGAAACCTCCCTGTCGTGGACCTCGTCGGACTTTTGGTATCGGAACATGCCGCTGGCCTTCTTCCTGGTCATGGCATCGGGGCTGGTGTTTTTCTTGACCGTCCGGTGGCGCTGGCCAGCCACTCGGGGATACGTGGACAATTGGACGATTGCAGCGGTGTGTCTGGTCGTTCTGCCGGCCTTTACAGGGCTGATGTACATGGTGGGCAAGTACTCGCTGCTCCCGTTACAAGGAGTTGTGGAGATGAATGCCTACGGCTGCTGCACCCAGGGTCTGGTGTTCCCGCGCGAACAGGTCGGCCCGCTGGTGGCCTATCTGCAGGAGCGCAAGAGCGGCCAGACCGACAGCATGATTGAGGAGTATGCCACTAACACCGGGTTGACCCGGCTGGCCCTGGCGCCACAGCAGTTGCAGCATGTCGGTCTCCGCTCCAGTCGCGACAACCTCGAGGTCAACACGCAGAGCACTTGGGCGTTCTGGTTCGAAGAGAACAATGCCGAGCAATTAAAGGCCGAGCATCGGCACTTGCTGGAGACCAGCGACGGTGATTGGGTTTTGGATTGACGTTGGGGTTGATTCTGACCCAAATCTCATTGGCATAGCGTTGATTTTTTATCTACACGTCTTGAGTATTGTTCATTTTCTTCTCAAGACTTGCATTCTGTATTCTCAACCTGTGCAGTACCATATTTAGCTTAGACTGCATATTTCTATCTGGCACTTGTGAATATTGATTGAACCATTTCTATACTTCAGGGATTCGTGATATGGACGATGTGGACGCTGAAACTAGCTATATACAGGGATTATGTCCTCTCCACCCAGTCATATATTTCCAATCTCACTGCTTATACAGCGCCTCGGCATTCTTCTCCACGAATTCCTCAAAGCTGGTCACCTTCCCGCGGGCCTGTTGCACCGTCCACTCAACCGACTCCTTACTGTTCGGCCCAAAGTAACCCGGGTTCTGGATGAACTGCATCATCGGCACAATCGACTCCCGGTAGCCCTCGGGCATAAAGCTGGTCCATTGCTCCTGGGAGATCTGGTTGTAGATGGTCTTGTTGCCCGTGATGCGGGTCAGGATCTCGGCGATCTGGCTGTACTTGTACAAGCCCGACGCCGCGTAGAAGATCTTCCCGTTGTATTGCTCCGGGTTCGCCAGGATGGCACCCACATACTTGCCCGTGTCGCCGACCGTGTTGACGAGCGGGACCGCCGTATCCGGCTCGAGGAAGTTGGTGATCGCGTACGTGGGCTCGCTGCCCTCCTCGCCGGGCAGCAGTCGCGGCGCCTGGTTGCCGAAGAAGTTCTGCATGAAGTTGCCCGGCGCGAAGAACGCACTGTGGATCGGCAGCGTCCGGATGTACACCTCTGCGTCGGCCTTGGAGTCGAACGCCGGCACGGGTCGTCCGTGCAGTCGCTCGGCTGCCACGCACGAGCTGAAGATGATGGATTTGGCGCCCGCGGCCACGGCTTCGTCTGCCACGGCCTTGGCCTGGCGGTACTCGCGGGGCTTGAGCTGGTCATCGTAGATCGAGACCGTCACCAGGAACACGGTGTGCGCATTCGCCAATGCGGCGGGCAGTGTCTCGGGCGAGTCGGCGTCGGCTGCGACGACCTCGACGCCACGGCTTTGCAGCTCCTGGGCGTCTGGCCGGGAGGCATTGCGGGTAATGGCCCGCAGACTGTATTCCTTGGAGAGAACGGGGTCGTTGAGGACATAGTCGATCACGGATCCACCCTGTTGGCCGGTGGCGCCGAAGACAACGAGAAGCTTGGACATGGGGTTGAGGAGTAGAAGAGACTCAATTAAATTGAATAGATGATAATGGTAATAGACTGGTTTGATGCTGGGTTTGAGAGGGATTCGACCAATCTTAAAATATGTATGCTTCGGGGTGAGCTTCGGGTGTATAGATCCAAGTCACCCACGCTTATAGCCGATGGAATTAACGGCCCCACGGAGTTTACACGCGAGTCAGTGTCGCACTCAGCCTCCTCGGCCCTGTCCACAGGTGGACCCTCGGTCACACATGGCATGTTCTGGTTATTGTCAAAGCAATCCATCCTGAATTTGTGACCCACTGCAAGTATCTCGGTACCATCGGCGATTCACGGCCAGTCTGTATCTACGAGATGGAGCATCTTCCTGGGACTGCTCACATAATGGCGTGCATGCCTCCAGACGAAATATCCCGACAGCATAACACTATCAAGGACTTTGCAAGGTACGCCTAGCAAAGTTTTGAACATTTTAGAACAGGCTCTTTGTACAGGCATGGAACACCAATCTACAGCCATGCTCAGATACAACCGCGGCCTTGCTTATGAAGTTTCAACCAAGTTTTGACCTTCTTGCTCGAAACCTGCCGTCTCGCTTTGCATGAAACCCAGAAAGGGTCCGCAAAGAGCTCCCGTCTCTCTTCAAAGCTCTCCCCTTTATTCTGAGCCACGGTGACCTTAACGTGATGAATCTCTTCGGGAAATAGCAGGGGCTTTCTTTCCACAAAAAAAAGCTTAACTCTCCGAGATGTTCCATTGTATTGAAATATCAGATGAAATGAGAGCTGTCAGGAATACGATGGAGAGAAGGAAGTTGGAAGGAGAAAAGGGACGTACTATTCCGATCCCCAAACCGTTCTCGTTTGTAGGCGATGCCCTTGTTTACTCGAGGCATATTCGGGGCATGTAGACAAAAAAATCAAGTAAAATAAAATAACAGATAAATCACATAGATCAACGTAGAAAGTTAGAGGATGTAGGGCTCCGTATCCATGGTCCCCCTCGGCTTATCGATAACTCCCGCCAAGACACCTTTTTTTTTCCTTCACGATTTTTCTCCTCTCAAGCCCAACCCTCCTGTCGTCGATAACATGGCGACTCTGGCGGAGAAGCTCGAGAAGATCAAATCTCCCAAGCTGCAGAATCAGCACCATGTAAGTTTCTTGTCAAATCCTGAAATTCTCCCCTCGACCTCCTGCTGATTGCTGCAGACTGCCGTGGTGCTCTCTGCGGTGGAAGACACACTCCGCGATCAAAAAGCCGATTTCTCACCGACCGCATATTTTGCTGCGCTCCTTGCGCTTTTGTCTCAGTCACTGTCGGCCTCGCAGGGCATTGTGAACAAGGACCTGGCAACTTCGGTCGTCTACCTTCTCGACCTCACAACCGCCTACGTCCCCGCCCCGATCCTTCGCTCGAAATTCTCCCAAATTCTCACTGGTCTCGCGCCCGCGCTCTCCCTGCCCGAGGTTGAGGCCCCGCTGCTGCGCCCGTCGATTGGCTGTCTAGAATCGCTGCTCATCGCCCAAGATGCCGCAGCCTGGAATCTCCCCCACACTCAGATCGGTCCGCGCCGGGCCACCGCCGGCCTACTGAGCCTCTCGGTCGACCATCGGCCCAAGGTGCGCAAGCGCGCCCAGGAGGCACTGGTGAAGGTTCTCAAAACGCCCCCGCCGAGCCCGTCGCTGGATCACCCTGCGGCGGACATGTGCGCCGAGTCCGCAATGAAGACACTCGGCGACAGCATTGCGGCCGCGGCCAAGCAGAAGAAGGGTCGGCACGATGCGCAGCACCGCGAGAATCACGAGCCTCTGGTTATCCATTCGCTGCAATTGGTTAAGACTATCGCCTCGGCGTCAGGCGGTTGGCCGAGCAAGAAAATTGAAGCGCTGTGTGAACTGCTGATGAATGCCTCGCGTTCCAGCAACGAGTACATCACCATGGGGGCATTTGAGGTCTTCGAGGTCATTTTCGAAGGCATGGCCGACGAATTCTCCTCATCCAAGCTCCCGCGTTTGTTGGACGCCATCTCCGAACTCAAGCCCGCTCAGAATGACTCGCAGCTTCTCCCGCCTTGGATTGCAGTCTTGTCTCGCGGCTACGATGTGTCTGCGCAGATCAGCCCCGAGGATACCTTTGAGAAGCTGCCGGGTCTGTTTCAGCTGATTGCCGGGTTTTTGGCGTCGCCCTCGCACAACATCCGCGTGTCGGCATCCGAGTGTTTGATCTCGTTCTTGCACAATTGCATTCCGGGCAGCGTGATTGTGGAGCCGTCGATTTACGACGAGAAGACGCTGGAGAAGCTGGCGCGCGCCGCCATCGACCTGCTCTCAGTGAAATACCAGGCGGCGTGGATGGAGGTATTCAATGTGTGCGCCGCCATGTTTGACTGCTTCAAGTGGCGGTCGAGTCCATTCCTGGATAATATTGTCACGACGATCGGAGAGCTGCGCAGCAACGAGTCATTCCACGGTAAGAAGGAGGCCGATCGCGTGCTGGGCAGTGCCATCCAGGCGATGGGCCCGGCGGCCGTTCTGGAGATTCTGCCATTGAACATTATCGAGCAAAAGTCTGGTCAGCCTGGTCGTGTCTGGCTGCTGCCCATCCTCCGGGATAATGTCACCAACACCGATCTGCGCCATTTCCGCGCAGAGATGGTACCTCTGAGCGAGGCGCTATACCAGAAGGTGGTGAATTTCAAGGCTGCCGAGAAGTCGGTCGAGGTGAAGATTTTCGAGACCTTAATCCAGCAGACCTGGGGCATCCTGCCAGGCTACTGCGCATTGCCACTTGATTTGGTCGATGCTTTCGACCAGAGCTTTGCCGAGCTGCTGTCCAACGTCTTGTACAAGCAGACCGAGTTGCGTGTCGATGTCTGCCGCGCCTTGCAGAATCTCGTCGAGTCGAACCAGGCAATTCTGTCCGTCGAAGGCGACGAAGATGACCTTATCCTGCAACGTCGTATTACCAAGGCGGCCGCTACAAAAAACATCACTCATTTGGCTGGATTCGCAAGTAATCTGCTCGCGGTGCTTTTTAATGTCTACAGCCAGACGCTTCCGCACTACCGCGGCTACATCCTTGAGTGCATCAATGCCTATTTGAGCATCACCCCTGAAAAAGTAGGAATTGACTTTTCTATGTGTGTCTTAATTCAGACTAATTTGTGTTATCGCAGGAACTCAATGAAACCTTCGTGCGGGTCACATCGATGCTCGAATCATCCTTGGCTTCTGAACAAGAAGCAGCGGCTCAGCAAGGAAACCCACAGCAGGGCTCGTCCGACAAGATGCCGCCGACCTCACACACTCTGATTGATCTGGTTATTGCCATGTCGATTTACTTGCCTCGCTCCAGTTTCAACGGTCTGTTCGCTCTGGCGGCAGCCATTCTCAATGGCTCGTCCCCGAACCCGGACCAACAACTGATCAAGAAGGCATACAAATTGATTCCCCGGCTCGCCTCGACAGAGACCGGCAGTTCCGCGCTGCAGGAGCGTAGCAGTGATCTGCAAGCTTTGATGCTCGCCACCGCTGACAAGACTCCTGCATCGGGCCGGCGCGACCGCATGCTCGCCATCCACGAGCTGATTACACACTTGCCCACCTCAGACTTGCACTTCATCCCGTCAATTCTGTCTGAGGTGGTCTTGGGGTGCAAGGAAAGCAACGAGAAAGCACGTACCGCGGCGTTCGATTTGCTGATCCACCTTGCCCACCGCACCATCGACGCGGAGCGAAACCCGGCTGGCACCGTGATCCGCAACGCGCTGGTACCACACATGCCAGACGACTCACCCGACGCCCCGGCCACGATCGAGGAGTTTTTCACCATGGTCTCGGCCGGTCTGGCCGGCTCGTCGCCGCACATGGTGGCTGCGTCGATTACGGCACTGTCGCGGCTCTTCTTCGACTTCTACACCCAGCTCCGCCCCGAAGTTCTCACAGACCTCGTTCAAACCGTCGAGCTTTTCCTCACAAGCAACAACCGCGAAATCGTCCGGTCGGTTCTCGGGTTTGTCAAGGTCGCTGTGGTGGTTCTTCCCGAGGAAGCCTTGCGCCCGCGTCTGTCCGCTCTTGTTCCCAATCTGATGGTGTGGAACAAGGAGCATAAGGGCCGGCTCCGCAGCAAGGTGAAGGGCATTATTGACCGGCTGGTGCGCCGCTTCGGCGCCCCACTCATGGAGAGTCTGGTTGGCGAAGCGGACCGCAAGCTGGTCGTGAATATCCGCAAACAGCGCGAGCGCAGCAAGCGCAAGAAGAAGGAGGGCGCGGCTGATGGGGAAGACGAGGATGCGGATGACCAGACAGCCGATCCACAACCCAATAATGCTTTCGACAAGGCGGTGTATGGCTCAGATCTCTCCGATGACTCGGACGACTCGGACGATGATGCCAGCGAGATTGACGTCGACAACGAGGGCATCGCCCGCATCAAGGGCCGCGGCCCCGCCAAGAAGAAATCCGCCCAGAGCACGCAATACATCCGCGAGCTCTCACCCGAAGACAACCCACTGGACCTGCTGGCGCCCGACGCCCTGGCTAACATCTCCACTACCAAACCCAGCCTGCGTTTCCTCAACACCGGCCCCGGTGCCAAGAAGAAGCGCTCTGCTAAGGTCGATGCTGACGGCCGTCTGGTCCTCGGCGACGACGACACTGCCGCCGACGTCGACATGAGCGGCGCGGCCCCGGGCCCGAGCGGAGTGAACGCCTATCTTGCCGCCGTGAGCGGACCCGACGCCGTCCGCCGCGGCCAGAAGGGCAAGGTGAAGATGGGTCAGTCGCAGAAGAAGAATACCGGTGATGGCATGGACCTGGACGACGAGGATGACAACACCATGAACGACGATCTCCGTGCCTCGGGCTCAGGCCAGGGCCGTCGTGGACTGGGTATGCCCAAGACCCCCGGTGCGCCGGGCGGTGGGCGCATCGAGAAGCGTCGAAGCCCTGGAAAGAGCGGCCGGGGAGGCATCCGCGCTGGTAGGGGACGTAGACGCTAGATGGAAAGTGTGGTTTGATGGGGGAAGTTGGAAAACCACAAAATAAACAAAATAAAAGCACAGTCAACAGGCTCAGCATGCGGTGCAATGGTGTTTTTTTTTTTCTTTCGACTATTTTTTTTCTATCTCTTTTCTATCTATCTTCTTTTTTCTGTCGTGCTGTTTGGCACTCGATGGTATGTGGTATAGTTCGTCCTTGGTTCCTCGTTCAATACCCGCGCTGGTTGATTCTGGAGGAGTCGGGGTAGAAGATTGCGTGTCGTGATGATTACTAGCCCTGGTTCTACACGTCAATACAAAGTGTTCCATCAAAATTCTCGACTTGAACAACTCAAGCTCATTCTGTATATACTTGACCACTTCCTTCATGAAGCAGGATATACAACTAGATAGTTGGACAGTGGCTGTTATCGCGTGTCGAGCCCTAACTCACTGGCATACGCTACAAGGAACAGATTCTCAGACCAAAAAGCTGGGTATCAATTTCGCACTCGAGCACATACATACAAGTATAGAAGAACAAGGTCCCGAGAGAGAAAAAAAGGTCTGGAGAGGACAGCTCCTCCAACCAGCCTCGATGATCTGCAAGACAGACAAATATCTCAAATAGAAGAGGGGGAAAAAAGGAGAAGAAGAAGAAGAAGAAAACATCAAAATGCAAAGGGAGAATAAACCATGGGCTCCCCTGCCCAGTCCGGATGCCACGTCCAAAAAGAATGCCACTCCCAGACGCCGGTTGCATTGTGAGATGCAACATGTCAAAAATGTTATAGTCATAGCCACGAGGGACGAAAAACAATATCGGCAGACGAAATAATTATAAGAAAAAGAAAAGAAAAGAAAAAAAAAAAAAAAAAAAAAAAAAAGCCACATATCCAAAGAGAGGAAGAGGTCGTCCCACGTTCCTCTCTTGCTCTCTCGCTCTCTGGGCATCCGAAGCACACACTGAGGTTGGGAGTGTCTTGATGCCAGGCCAGGGAGAGAGTTTCTGGAGTCTTGAGTAGATTTTTATTTGTTTTCGAGGGTTTCTTCATCAACGTGGGGCTCGTCAGGACTCTTTCCGGGCCTTGCCCAGCCAAGTCTGCCACCATCGACATACACCGAGGACGGCAGCACGGCCGTCGTCCTTGCGCTCTGTGCCGTCGGGATTGCCCAAGACCATGGCGAAGACCCAGAAAAAGGCGGCGGTCCAGGCAAACAAGAGAATGGCCACGCTTAAGAGCGGCGACAGTACCAAGACACTGATGGCAGCGCCGACAGAGTAGCCAGCGCTCGGGTCGGAGAGGTCGGAGTCAGGCTCGGTGCGGATCCACTGCGTGGACGCGGACCGGTTTGATACAGCCGGCGGCCGCATGCCGACGAGTCGTTCGTGGACGTGCAGCGCCGGGGAGAGGAGGTCACAGAGCTGGCCGGTGAAGGAAATGGAACGGAGATATGAGGATAGCGCGCAGAGGCGGGCGGGCAAGACGAGGATGGCGAAGAGGACGGCGCCAATGGTATAGAGTGAGGCGCAGAGCGAGAAAATGGGGACGGGGAGTGAGAGTCGGAACTATATATCTATGTCAGACGGCGCCTCCATCAGAATACACACCCCCAAAATAAACTTACCAGCATCAGCAGAGCATCCTGGCTGGCATCGGATGGATCGTCATCGGGAATGCCGCGCTTGTGCACCCGCGATGTGCTGGGGGTGGACTGGTCGCCTGACATTAATGATGGCGGGTCTGCCCAGCTGCCCCGAGGGCGATCTTCCTTGTATGCGGCGCTGGAGAGCGATGCCCGGGTGACGACGGGGTCGTCCTCGCCGCGAGGTCCTGGTCCCGGCCACGATGGCTCCGCCGGCTGAGAGTGATAGGGGAGGCTGCGCGGGCCGGCACGAGGGCTGGCGTCGTGGGCCGGCCAGTCGGCGGAGGGGCGAGTGCCGGCTGATGGAGGGGACGAGTGGTCTTGAGATCGGCGGGCCGCCGGGGCAGGAATGTGGATTGAATGGCGAGGAAGCGTCGTGGTGAGGGGGCCCTGATCCTGATGATAGGCAGGGCTATATGACATCTCCGGCGGCCGCATGACGAGCCGGAGAGGAAAGGAGGGACGAGACCCCGAAGAGGTGGTACAGCGCAGACGCACAGAGGGCGACTAATGAGACGAAGAGCTCACCACATGGTTTCCACGGCCATAGGGGGATGGGAGGGGGGGGGGAAGAGGGGGTAGAGAATGCCGCCGGGGTATAGAGAGGAGAGGAAATGGAGGGCAGGCCGGAGAAGGATGGGCGGAAAGAGAGATTTTATAAGATTTGCCCCGACGCAGCGCATGCAAGCAGAGCGGAAAGGCCAGGGAAGGCCGAGCCTACCGGCGGAGGAGCAATTATTCCAACTGTTTGCGGTGCCTCTTGCCAAGGTGCCCAGATGCCGAGCCCTTGGCATCGAGTCGAGCCTTCTGCCGCATTATCTCGAGGGTCGTCCATGGCGATCATGAATGCCCACCCCGAACAGCGTCCGCGAGAGAATTCAGGCTCGACTGCAGTGTCGGACAAGGATGAAAGCTGTCCTACAGCACCTCGCGATGGCCAGGCGACAACCAGCTGTGACCGACTGCCAAGCCGCCAAGCCGCTGCCGGGCCCCAGAGCCGCAACCTGAGGCGCTGATTGGCTCTGGGGCGTCATCTTGCTGCTTGGCGCATGCGCTGCATACGCTGTGTCGTCGCTACTGGGAGTGGTTGGGAGGAATATATCGATGGATGTATATCAGATGAGAGGTGCAAGAGGGTGTCGGAGAGCATTCTTCTGCTCCCCCTTCTCTTCCTTCGGTCTACCCGACGGCAAACACGGAATGCACCAAATCACCCAGATCCCACAAGCCGAGCATCTGCCCAGGCGCCGAGAGATTGGCACTGTCATCGAGAAAAAATTGAGTCTGAGGATGAGCCAATATCCATTAGGTAACCGTCACCATTGTTGAGCTCAAGACGTGAATCCCGACGCGCGCATCCTCCAATTTCCCCCATTCCCAGACTGACCTGGTCTTGGCCTGTTGCATCCTCCGCAGATATAGGGCGCTGTCTGCCCTGAGGTTCCTTGGAGAGGTCTTTTCCAGGAGAGCTTGTCGCTTGGCAGGTATTTGCCGGGGCCGTCTGGGCATCTCACATGCACCCAGGGATCCCGTGTCACCTGCTTGGCTGGCGAGTTGGAGGGGGGGGGGGGTTGAGAGGGCTTGCGTTGCCTGTCCCAGCTTTGTTTCGCTTATCAATCCCGTGTCTGCCTCCAGTGCTGTGGGTGTCTTGACGCCGTGGTGGTTGCCGAGAGGTCTAGTTATCTCTCTCTCCTGTGTGTGTGTGTGTGTGTGTGTGTGTGGATAGGTTGTCCGGAACTGACATCGGGGTCTTGCCGGTCTCTTCACTATCTTTCATTTTCGCACGAACCTGGCGAATCAAGTATATTGTTCGAATTGAATGGTTTCATCGTGGGTATGATCCATGAGTTTGTCATGACCAGCGATGGCCCGGTCGCAATGCCATGATCTGTGGGCCCCCACAAGGCAGAAGGTGGAGCCCGGATGGGTGTAGCCTTGTCTGCGAAGAATCAAATTGAGGGATCTGCCTCGGGGTTTGAAGCTGATGAAGCCAAAGAGGTTCGCTTTGGGGTCGAGTCACCTGCCACGCTCTTTACGACTGGCAGTCACTGACTGTGTGCTACTTCACTGTTTACTGTTTATCCTTTCACCATTCGGCATTTTGATGGTATCTCTTATCAATTGTCAGATTTCAATATTCGCAAAGACTTTTAGGGGAGAATATCTCGAAACACAGGCATTGATGGTTAGAAAGATGCCCGGTCGGCCAAGGCCATTCTCCATCTGGGGCGCAGGCTCACCCTGTCAGACTGGGAACTTTCTAGGGCTGACTGGGTATGTTCTTTCTTTTTTTCTTTCTTTCTCTTTTTTTTTTTGGTATTTTGTCTCTCGTTCTGGTGCCTTTTATTCCAATATTCCAACATTCCAACAACTGTCCAATATATCGATGGGTGGTGAGCTGATCCGTACCCAAGACGCGGTGGATTGAAAAGAGGACCAGGTCTTTGATCGCCCTTACTTAGCTTCCTTTGGGTACCCAAGGTACAGTAGGTAGTAGAACACTGGGTTCATGCTTATACTTGGGGACTTGCCGGGATCACCCTGTTAACTCTCTGGTTTGTGGTGTGTGATATCGACATCTTGTCTATTTTGGAATATACTTGCTACATACATTGTTAATGGGTTTTGGATGCTATTTTCGAACTGTACCTCTGGATCGACTTTTTTTCTTGTGTTCTCTGAAGAGAGTGGGTATATTTATAGATCCATGGATATAAACTGGTAAGGATACTCTTGAAGAACGGATAGAATCTCGAGATGTATTTATTAGGGCTGTTTGCTTATGGGGTTATCGATAAACTAAATATGTCAAAAGATATACAAATCAGTAGAACCAGAGAAACAATGTCTCAATACTTAGCAGGGATTGATCAGCCGTAGGACGGGTGTACGCACGGAATATATATATATATATGCAAATGCCCTAGTGACATTGGCTCTCTGCCTCCTCGATTCTCGGGAATCACGTCGTACGGTCCCACCATGTCTGCAACGACCCAGACCAGGGCGCTATCAATACATATAGCACAGGCTTTTTTGTGTGATGCACCCCGATCGGATCCACCAAAGAGGCTTGCAGGCCTGCAGAGAACGGGCATGCGCGCGGCTAAGCCCGGGCTCTTTGTCTCTGACGTTCTGTGGATCGGGGGATAAGGGGCCTACCAAGACATCTGACAGGGATGTTGGGAATGGAATACGAGGTTGTCTATCTACCTTCCATGGATTCTTTGATGGCGGAGATCATCGTCTGACTCGAGGTTTCAAACACTCTAAATCTCCCGGTTGTGTCACCCACGCGATGCAGTGATTCTGTGATAGGGGAGGGCCCGGAGAAAAAAAATAAAAATAAAAAAAAGAAGAAGAGATAAGACCTGGCGAGACAGATAACCGAGGTTACTGAGGTGTTTCACAGTAGAAACGGCTCGGGTAGGAAAGCCTAAGAAACTGGGGCTCTGACGACACGACAGAGAAGGCTTATTAGGAGACATCAGGCCGTGAATTTGATGGATTAAGATTAAGGATTCGAAGGATTCGAAGTATACCTTTGTCAAGGTAGTATCTCTCCAGGGCTGTTCGCAACCGTCCAACTGGCGTTACATACCCGTCACCCGCGGACCGAGGATGACTAAGAACGTGGCTCCCCTGATGGCATGACTAAGCGACGGAAAGGGGGGCGGTATGCAAGTCAAGCCTGCAGGGACAGGTTTGGGGGAGAAATGAAGGGGAATTATCAAAATCAAGTAAAAATTAGAATCAAATAAAAAGCACAAAGGAGGGACAGGGTCACTCGGCAGCTGTACACTGCATGATTCCGGGTTTGGGGCTGTCTGTGCTGGCCATGCAGTCGATTGACGTATATCAGTTTGATTTTATTTTATAATATATTTTTTTTTACAGGAGTGGGCCGTGGAATTTTCCTACGAAAAAAAGGGGGGAACCGGGATGTCGACCGAGCAGACGCACGGTCCAGTGTCGGATGAGCTTAGGCCCCATGGCAGAGGCTAATGTGCCTTAGTCCACGGGGCGCCCGCTCCACTTTCAGCCAGGAAGGACCATGTTCATAGAGTAACTTCATAATAATAATTATATCTATCTATCTCCATGGATCTGTGTCGAGGGAATCATTCGAAGAATTCTCCTCTTCTTTGAATTGAATTTGAATCGAAATAAAAAAATTTAACAAAATAAAATAAAATTCCATCAAAGAGAACCCATGAGGTCATCGAGTGGAGTCCCATATGGAGATCCCGAACATCCAGGCAAATATACGGCTCCCGCCAAATAACCGCCTCCAGATCCGCCCCATCGCCCTAGTCCATTCCTGGTCATTTCCACTTTTTTTCTTTTTTTCTTTTCTTTTTTTTTTGTGACGGCCTGGAGCTGCACAACCACTAGCGCCTTGGCGAATTTCACCTGTCCACAGCCCCTCGACTCTTCCTTCTTCTCTTTTCCCCTTCTCTTCTCTCCTGACCAATTCCTTCTTTCCCCCCCTTCCCCTTCTCCACCCGCTTGCTCCCCCCCCCCCGGTCGCAAACGGGTGTCTTCTTTGATTCTTCCTTTCTTTCCCCTTTAGCGCGTCTAGCCCAGCTATCCCGTCATCCCCCGTCATCCCCGAGATTGGGTGACTATCGCGCGATCAATTCTCAACACTCAAGATCAGATTTTCACCGGTCGGACATCTTGCCATCTCATTCCTAGTTGCTTGTGGGACACCATAATCGCAGTTTCTGGTGTCCTGGAGTCGGCCGAGAATTGGACACAACTGGGATCTAGGCGCGATCTCGTACCGTTCGGGTGTGGATTGCATCATTGTGTCGCAAAGCTTCCACCTCGGGTCGCAATACAATTTCGGAGTAAACTACGACCACTCTGTACTGAAGAACCATGTCTCATACCCAACCGTCACCCACTGTGGGGGTGGCCCAACACCATCCCCATCTCGCTGCGCATGCCCAGGTCAATGGCCATCTCCAAGCCATCCCGCAAGGCCAAAAGGGCCCCCCGCTCAGCACCGGCCAGAAGATTGCTGCTCTCAATGAGCAGGTGTGGCTGCAAATAGGTATGGGATAATTTTTGATCCTTTCGTGCGACAGCCCGATACTGACCCTCCTTGCAGGCAGCTTGACGGAATTGATGGGGGATCTGGAGGGTGCCATGAATGCGTACGAGCAAGCCCTTCGTCACAACCAGTGGTCTATCCCCGCCATGAACGCCATTTCGTGCATCCTGCGCACCAAGGAGCAATTCCCCAAGGCCATCGAGTATCTTCAAAACATTCTGAAGCTGGACGCGAATAATGGAGAAACTTGGGGCAGTCTGGGCCACTGTCATCTGATGATGGACAACTTGCAAGAAGCATACACCTCGTACCAGCAAGCGCTCTACCACCTTCGTGATCCCAAGGTTGGTTCCCCACTCCTTCTGGATTTTTGTGACAGGGCTGATAGAGAATGATCTTCTAGGAACCGAAGTTGTGGTACGGGATTGGTATCCTCTATGATCGCTATGGCTCGCTCGACCATGCTGAGGAGGCTTTCTCTCAAGTCATGCGCATGGCTCCCGATTTCGAAAAAGCCAACGAGATCTACTTCCGCCTGGGCATTATTTACAAACAGCAACAGAAATTCAACCAAAGTCTGGAAGTATGTAAATGGGACACCCTCACTTGTTCTTGTTGTCTTTCTAACCTCCCTCAAGTGCTTTAAATACATCGTCAACGATCCGCCGCGTCCCCTTACCGAAGAGGATATTTGGTTCCAGATTGGCCATGTCCACGAACAACAGAAGGACGTACGTCAAATCCTTAAGCACCCAAATGCCATTGATGTGATACTGACCAATCTTTAGTTTGAGTCTGCACAAGCTGCCTACCGACGGGTTCTCGATCGCGATCCCAACCACGCCAAGGTGTTGCAACAGCTCGGATGGCTGTATCATCAGCAGAGCAACAACTACGCGAGCCAGGAAAAAGCCATCGAGTACTTGGAGAAGTCTGTCAGCGCTGGTAAGTTGATCCTTGCCTTGGTTGGTTTGATCCCGCTAACCCTCCACCAGATAACACGGATGCCCAGAGCTGGTATCTTCTTGGTCGGTGCTACATGTCACAGGCCAAATACCCAAAGGCATACGAAGCCTACCAGCAGGCAGTCTACCGTGACGGACGTAACCCTACGTTCTGGTGCTCTATTGGTGTCCTTTACTATCAGATCAATCAGTACCGCGATGCGCTCGATGCGTACTCGCGTGCCATTCGCTTGAACCCTTACATCTCGGAGGTCTGGTATGACCTGGGCACTTTGGTGAGGCCTTTCTCTACGAATACACTGGCTGCGATCGACGAAGCTGACTGAGTGATTCTAGTACGAATCCTGCAATAACCAGATTGCGGACGCGCTTGATGCCTACGGACGTGCCGCGGATCTTGATCCGGCCAACGTCCACATCAAGGCGCGCCTTCAGCTACTTCAGAGCCAACTGTCCGGGTCGGCGCAGAACAATGCTCCCGCCCCACAGCCGCAGGATGTTCACCCCCAGGCATATCAGGCCCCGGGCGTTGGCGCTCCTCCGGCTCCTCAATGGGGCGCTCCGGCCCCGGTGGCCCAGGCGCCCGCTCCCCCGAGACAAGTGGCTGAGTGGAGTCGTGGTGTCAGTGAGCTTCCGCCGCAGGGCCACGCTCTGCCGGCCAACGGCGTCGACCAGCGTGATATCGCCCGCGCCCCCGGTCCTGCTCAGCCCCCGAGCCCCCGACAGGAGCCCGGCCGCCCGTTCCCGGATGCCCGCGCCCCTCGCTCGCCGAAGATGGGCGGTCCTCCCGCATACCCGCCGCCGCACACGCTGCCTCAGCTGGCCAACGCGCCAGCCCCTGGCCATGAACGTGCACCAAGCGGCGGCGGCGCCTTCGGATCCGCGGTCCGAGGGGGTCTTCCCCGGGCCCTGGCGGTGCCCCCGGGGCTCCTCCTAATGGCGGTGCGGCTGGTAGCGGTGCTGCGCCTCCTTACCATCGCCCTTTTACTCCCCCGACCGAGATTCGTCCCATTCGTGACGAGCCGCGTCCCTCCTCCCCCGGGTCGACCTACCCCCACCAGCAGTACCATCATGGCCCTACCGTGTCGACCCAGACCCCCAACACGACGGGTATTGCTTCCGGGGCCCCGGCCCCTCCTTCTGCCGTGACCGCCGCGGAGGCGGCCGCCCGCGAACGTGATGATCGCCCTGCATCCGCCATGAAGCGCGGCCGTGAGTGGGAGAGCGAGTCCGGCCCCGTGAAGAAGCATGCCAATGAAGAGAGCCGGGCGCGTTTGGATGACCAGCACAGTCGCCGTCCCAGCCCACCTGCCCGTATGCCCTCTCCTGGCCCGATGCAACGGCGTAGCTCGTCCGAGGTGCGCCGTGAGGATGCCCGCCATGCCAACGAGAACTACCACCCATCCGAGGCCGCCCACCACCCCCCCACTTTGCCGTCAATCCAAAACGTGCCTCCCCATGCTACGGGAGGACCCAGCCTTCCCCCAATGGCGGAGGGTGCGCCCCCCGCACCGAACGGTCCTCCTTCCGGACCTCCCTCGGCCCATACCCCCGTCAAGGAAGAAGCGTCTCGCCCAGAGGCACCCTCCTCCCACGAACCGCCCGCTCGCAAGATGGACGTTGACGAGGACTATGATGATGACGCAGATGAGGAGAAGAAGGCTGCTCCCGCTGCCAAGGGTAGCCCCAACGGCAGCAATGCCGGCAATGCCGCCAACGGTGCGGGCACTGGCGGCCAGGGTTCCCCCCATCGAAGGCTGAATCGTCCGCATAAAAAAGGATTCTGGCCATACGAACCGTGTATGTCTGGGTCGTGACCAACCATTCTCCGGGCCATTACTTTTGCCCCGCTTCTCCCTCTTGTTCTTTTTATCCTCTTGCAGTGTGTGATGTACGGTATGAATGTGCGAGTATCATTGACGGTCGGGGTAAGCGCGTGCGCTGAAGGGGTCATGTCTGTATTCGTTATCTTTTTTTTGTTCGACTCTGACGAATTCTTCGTTTCCTTTTCCCTGTGAATTTTCTCCCTGATGTACTAGGCATCTTTTCTAGCAAATTCATTCTCCGTGTTTTAATACTATTGTCCTGGATTTTGTAGTATGTACTGTGTAGGATCAAGCTGGGTATCTATAATAGCTTCGCTGTGCAAGTGAGTTAAAAAAAAGAAAAAAAAATTATCTTAGCTAATTATTCCATGCTATTGTTTTGAATCCCTGAATCCACATGTGTCTGCAATAACTTCCATTGCACTTTTTGTCCATCATAGCCTTCTAATTAGCCTAGGTCCCTTATATATATATTGGACATTCTATCTGATATATTACGATATTTTTTGTCATGTTTTTTTGTCGTATTTTTGTTATTTATTTGTCATTCTTTCCATACCAGCAAGAATCGTAGCAGGGCGTGACTCATGAGCAACTAATCATACAAGCTAACCTCGGAACGCTTCAATCCTTGCACTCTCGATGACCATGGCCAAGCCCCTTATCCAAACTCTCCTGCTCCCGCAGAACACAGGCATCGATAAATCTCTGGGGAAGACTGACAAGCCTCTCCTTTCCTGGCGCTGCGAGAATGTGCCCTGCCTTGCTAAGGTACGCCGCGGTAAAGGTTGCCCAGAGCTGTCTGTCGATGTCCAGCTCCATCAGAGGAAGAGGAAAGTACGGGTCGTTTTCAAAGAAGGCCACAACGAGATGCGAGATTAGCGAGTCCGGGTCTTCCCACCCGACCTTCTCTTCCCACATGTTACAGAGATTGAAATCAAGGACCCACAAGCGCGTAGTGCGGCGCTTGAAGTTGGCTCGCATCAAAGAATCGACATTGCTATGGGGAGACATCGCAGCCAGTTGCTCCCAAGTCAAGTTCAAGGAAGATGAGATATCCTGGGTGTAGCGAGCATCTCCTTCACTACCAAGAACAAACTCAACTTCATATCCATCGACATTAGCCGCCCAGTGGATGATGGCCAAGGCTTCCCCAATCCCGGCGGCATAAAGTTCGACTGGTAGATTGAGCTCGACCACCTGGTCTAAACAGAGGTTGTAGTTGCGCAAAGTGAAATTGGGTGCGAGCGGAACTGTAGCAGGCAGACGACGGCCTAGGTAAACACGGGCCAGGCAGTCTCTGTTTGTGGCACTGGCGCTGACATGAGCCTGGAGGTGTTGCGGGCAATATTTGGTGATGAGTGCCTCGCGAGCAATCTTTGGAAGCGGAAGAATACCCTCCGTGATGAAAGCCATCGCCGGGAGCGGTGTTGACTCAGAGCGGTGTTGACTCATGACCCTCAGTGAATAATGGCAGATGCTCAGACCACCACTGCTGGTCATCTTTTGGGACATAGGAAAACATACGGGGCACGCGGCATTCGGTTTCTTGTTCTTGATCGAAGGCCCAGCGAACTTGGAAGTGGGCACGAAAATGGCCCCAAAGGGCATTCTCATACGCGCGCTTAGATACCTTGATCACGTAGCCTCTGCCCGGTCTTTCGAAGACAAGTCCACACTGGCCAAAACCAATAACACGGCAACCAACAGCTAGCGCTTGCTGGTTTTGGTTGGTGGTGAAAAAGGAAGACGTAGTGCTGATCACCGAACAAGGAGACAGGACTCTCACGAGGATGTTGTCGGGTGAGATGTTTTCGGGGAGGTTGAGATTATATTCCAGAATTTCATTATGCTGCCTGTCGAGCAAAGCAGAAAGCTGGTTCGTAAGTTCGATGTCGGCGCGTAAAGACGATGAAATTTTGGACGTGGCCGACCCACCAATCGGGTTCTGAAAACGTCGGTATGCCATGGCCGCGGGAAATGAAACTGGAAAAGAGATGTGGAAGAGAAGAGAAAACGAGGAGAAATGTTAGTTGATGGAAAGAACTGCTAGAGTAGATCATGGATGGCTGCCTAATGATTGGCTGACCCCGCCACTTAGTCAGATGGAAATGACCCGATCAAACCACGTGATACAGACCACTCAGCACCCGTCTCAGGGCTTGCGCTTAACCCAAACAGGAAAGCTCGCTTAGGGCCCACACACTCGTTAAGCGTGCAAAATCAACCTCCGACACTTTCAGATCGTCCCTCTCACCACCTCGACGACTAACGACATCCAGGGTCAAGATGTAAGTTTACCCTTGTGGAATGGCCATAATTGATCACTCCGAGTCTCATTGCTAATCCAAATTCTGTTTCTAGGAGTCACCGGAAGTACGAAGCGCCTCGGCACGGTTCGTGATCAACTTTATCCTGCGACATCAAAAATTCGACCTGGTTGTGTGTGGTATACTGATTTCTCCCTCTATAGGCTCCCTTGCCTACCTCCCGCGCAAGCGCGCTACTCGCCACCGCGGAAAGGTCAAGAGGTCAGTTTTCCCCGTTTTCTTGTGGGAATTGCAGATATTCTGGAGAATTTGTATACTGAGACTTTTTGTGCGACAGCTTCCCCCAGGATGACCCCAAGAAGCCCGTCCACCTGACGGCCTCCATGGGCTACAAGGCCGGTATGACCACCATCGTCCGTGACCTTGACCGTCCTGGTGCCAAGATGCACAAGAAGGAGGTTGTTGAGGCCGTGACCGTCGTCGAGACCCCTCCCGTGAGTGACCTGCATTTCTTACCCAAAACCCGCCTGCGCTTTACTGACAATTTTTTATCTTTTCAGCTTGTCGCCGTTGGTGTCGTCGGCTACATCGAGACTCCCCGTGGTCTCCGCTCGCTCACCACCGTGTGGGCTGAGCACCTGAGCGACGAGGTCAAGCGCCGATTCTACAAGAACTGGTACAAGAGCAAGAAGAAGGCTTTCACCAAGTACGCCAAGCAGCACTCCGAGGAGAGCGGCGCCTCGGTTACCCGCGAGCTGGAGCGTATCCAGAAGTACTGCACCGTCGTCCGCGTGCTCGCCCACACCCAGATCCGCCAGACCCCGATCAAGCAGAAGAAGGCCCACCTCATGGAGATCCAGGTCAACGGTGGCTCTATCGCCGACAAGGTTGACTTCTCCCGCAACCTCTTCGAGAAGACCATCGACATCGACAGCATCTTCGAGAAGGACGAGATGATCGACGTCATCGCCATCACCAAGGGTCACGGTTTCCAGGGTGTCACCAGCCGTTGGGGTACCACCAAGCTGCCCCGCAAGACTCACAAGGGTCTGCGTAAGGTTGCCTGTATTGGTGCCTGGCACCCTAACCACGTCCAGTGGACTGTTGCCCGTGCCGGTCAGATGGGTTACCACCACCGTACCTCGTGCAACCACAAGGTCTTCCGTATTGGCAAGGGCTCCGACGAGGGCAACGCCTCGACCGAGTTCGACATCTCCAAGAAGAACATCACTCCGTATGTTTTACACCCTTAATTTTCGCTCATTACCCAAATCATGACAACGGCTAATCCATTTATAGCATGGGTGGCTTCGTTCACTACGGTGAGGTCAAGAACGACTTCGTCATGCTCAAGGGCTCCATCCCCGGTGTGAAGAAGCGTGTCATGACTCTGCGCAAGACCCTGTACCCCCAGACCAGCCGCAGGGCCACCGAGAAGATCGACCTCAAGTGGATCGACACCTCGTCCAAGTTCGGTCACGGTGCTTTCCAGACCGCCGAGGAGAAGAAGGCCTTCCAGGGTACCCTCAAGAAGGACCTTATCACCACTGTTTAAGGTGTTGGTCGCTGTGGGTGTTAGTGCAACGTATTTTTTCAGTTCAATCAAAAAAAGCGAATACCTTCATGATGCGTGCGTAGACATAGATTGTGTGTGTAGTGAGTATCGACGTCAGCAGCCAGACATTCCAAGGGTGGATGGATCTGGCATTGGTACTCGATCTATTATCAACTGGTTGCAACGGACTACACTCTTCATCCCTGAAAAATTTTGCCCTATTGGCGAGGGATATCCTCCAGCTCTGCCAACGTTCTCTTCATCTTTTGCATTTCCATCGACGGGAAGCGGGTGCGACATGCGACAATCTATCCATTGCGTCATCCCACCCCTTTCCAGTCCAGCTTCACCTTTCCCAGCAGGAAATGGCGCGCGTCTTCTCGCACGTCTGTCTACACGGTCCTCTGGATACGCTGAACCTCTTCTGCTGAACCAGTCTCGCCTCCTGCATCCTCGATCACCACCCGAGCGTGTGCCCAACCTCGCACGGTCGCAGAAAGCTACCCTCTTCCCCACAAACCCACGACTGCAACCAACTACTTCGTCCCTGACAGCGTCATCACCCTTTTCAATCTCGTCTGTCGCCATGTCCTCTGACGACGCTTACATGTCCTTTCTGAACAAGGCCAACGCCGACCTCGATGCCGGCCGCGCGCCGCAGCAAGGAGGTGGCACTGTGCGGACCGAGACCGTGCATGCCTCGGTGTCAATCCCCGCGCCACTCCAGTCCGTCGATGCATACTATGTCTCCGAGACGGATGAGCCGTTCGAGCCTGTCGCACTGCGGTGGGAGGGCGCGACGCGGGGTACATGGCCCAGTGCCGGTACGTACTACTGCAAGCTCCATACCCTTTTCTCTTCCTCTCTTTTCTCCTTGATAGGGGTAGCAGGGAGAGTAACCATAGAAAGACCTGTGCTGACCCAGTTTACTCCTAGATCAACTCTCCGCCCTGATTTCCCCCGACGCCGACCTCACCCAGGGCATCTCGACCTTATCCCCGTCCTCCTTCGATCCGAAGAATCAGTATGCCTCCGCCCTGCATGCCGTGCGGGCCGCAGCCGTCGAGCAGGCCGCGGATTCCGATCCGTCCGGCGTGGATGTCAAGGTGTATCGGGTGGAACTCACTAGCACCAAGCTCGAGTACTGGGTGCTAGCCCTGGCTGCACCGGAAGGGCGGCTCGTCGGACTGCGGGCCAAGGCGGTTGAGACGTAGAGGCAAACGGCCTGGTGTCCCCTGGTATAGGGTTAAGATTGGGAAGAGAATGCGTGGGATTGTTGCCAGTTCCTTGGATCTACAGTTGGACCAAGCAATGTACTGTATTTGGCGCCTTGAATGCCGGGTTTCCCGACTGGGATCAGTCCCCAGATCTCCGAGTGCAAGACTCGGTGCCTTACTCATGGAAGATACAGGAATGTTCAACCAGGGAATCATTGGCTGAGGTTATCCTGACAGCTTCTATTTGGGGAAGGCTTCGGGATACGGCATTCTTAGGCCTAAGAGCAGGAACGCGTGTTCGAGAATGGGATTCAAGGCCATTGCGGTTGTGACAGATGTAAAATACGAAATTCCTTATGAGCGTACATGTTTATATCGAGAGAGTAGATGTGTAGACATTGACCGCTTAGTAGATATCGGTGGTGTGTCCATCTCGCCGAATTGTCCGCTTCAACATCTCACAACACAACCGTGCAAGGACCACCCTCTCCATCGTACATCCAAGGTCCAGAATGATGCCGATCCCCGTATGCCGGATAACATTCATGGTCCATTCCTCGCTGCCCTGGGGGGGGGGGGGGGGGGGCAACGGAAATGCCTCACCCTACGATGGCTCTGGCTGGGACAATCGGAAGCCAACGATGCTGGCCACACTAGCACTGCCAGTCCACCTGAGAACCGGCCATCAGAATAAAATTGGAGCAACTTACAGGCTGAGCTGAGCAGTGTATTATATTCTGATCTACAGTCCACCCAAAATCCGCCTGTTGAGGCATACACATACCACAGGTGGTCGCCCCTTGGGTCGTTGTCATTCCTGTCCCCTCGTGCACCCAAACAATACCCCTCGGGACATCTAGGCTTTGTTTTTCACCTTTGGGCTGCATGCTTTCTTCCTTTTGCTCCCAGATTGTTTGTTTTCCGCCCAGGGACGTTGGATGCGATCCGATTTGTCCTGTCCACTCTTTCGCCTCGATATAGCACAGGACGACAGCGCAGTATCAGTGCCACCTCTTTCTGTCTTTACCGCTGGAAAGTTGTGAGTGAAGTGGTCGAGTGACGGACGGGACTACGGGGGAAGAACAGCAGCATCCATTACAGCCCCAGACAGAAGCACCGAATCGCCTGCCTCCACAGACTGATGCTCAACGGTCCCTCGTACGGCGGACTCGACGGCAGGAAGCAGCACCTGATAGGCATTGCATTCGACGACTGACGGATTTTGGGGATTTGTGACGACCATTCCCAGATGTCTGACCAGGGTTCAGAAACCTCAGAACGACGTGTTATGCCTCACATCCGACTGAATTCGGGCAGCCAGGACCCGTTCATCAAAACTAATGAGGGCTACACGCCGCTCAACACGCGGGTATTGCCGCGGCCGCTGACGCCGGCTCCCGATCTAGGCATGGCAGTGGGTGCTCAGGGCATGTCGCCGTATGGCGCTGCCATGGCGCCGGAATCCTCAGAGTTCCTGCTGCCACCCAAGCTGCGGCCAACACAGGGAGTCGACTCGGAGCGGCCACGATCACCCGACCGTTGGTCCGCGGGTCGCTCGAGTATGAGCTCAATCAGTCGGGATAGTGCGTTTGTATTCAGCCCATGCGAGGACTCGCGGGCACCATCACACTCTGAGAGTGACGAATACGATGTCAACACGCAGACGGTGTCGGAGAAGTTCAATATTATGCCGACAGATGGCCTGCTGTTGTTCCCTGAGGACGTGGAGAAAGACGACTATCTGCATAATCCAGACCCAGCCGACAAGGACCGCGACTGTGATATCTGCAATCGACGAGGGATCGTCAACGTCGGTGGCCTCGCTTTCTTGACATTAGGCATTCTGACCCTATTCATCGGCTATCCTGTCATGTAAGATTATTGTCGTCTCACCTGTGAAAAGCAAAACTAATATGAGGATCGGTCACAGAACGTGGGTCAAGGGAATGCTGAGTCCGGAAGGCAACTGCAAACCTGGCGACACCCTATGTTTGGATGTGGGCGAGCGGCCATTGTTGAATAACATTCGAAAGGGCTTGATTGACCCTGACACACCGAAAGAAGCCATGACCAAAATATCTGAGGATGGCAAGGAGTTGAAGTTGGTGGTGAGTTTAGCACGTCGCAGTATCTCACCTTAAATCACTTACTCAAGCTAATTACATTAGTTCTCGGACGAGTTCAACATGCCTGGTCGCACGTTCTATGATGATGACGACCCGTTCTTCCAAGCCGTCGACCTCTGGTATGGTGTCACGGCTGATAAAGAGGTTGGTTTCTTCGACTTTGAGACTCTAGTGAGTTGAATACTGACTGGTAGTAGTGGTATGATCCCGACGCAGTGACTACGACCGAGGGAGTCCTCCAGCTCCGCTTCGACCACTTCGAGAACCACGAGCTACAATACCGGTCCGGCATGGTCCAGAGCTGGAACAAGCTTTGCTTTAAGGGTGGTCGTCTCGAAGCCAGTATGTCACTCCCGGGTGACGGACACGTCGAAGGGTTTTGGCCCGGTTTCTGGGCAATGGGCAACCTGGCTCGTCCTGGGTTTGCTGCAACAACAGATGGCATGTGGCCGTACAGCTACCACGACGGATGCGACGCCGGTATCACGCCGAACCAAAGTTCTCTGGACGGCATCAACTGGCTGCCGGGCATGCGTTTGCCTGGATGTACTTGTCCTGGGTCTGACCATCCGTCGCCTGGACATGCGCGTAGTGCTCCGGAAATCGATGTGATCGAAGGCAGCACTGCTCCATTGGATGGAAAGTCAGGACTGTATGTCGGAAGTGCGTCACAGAGTTTACAGACGGCGCCATTCGATCTCTGGTACATGCCTGACTATGGTACGTGTCTATCATAATGAGGCTCATCGATTTCACCCAACTAATCTCTGTCAATTTCCAGATTTTGCCGCTGTCTACGATCCCCGTGTCACGGAAATCAACACTTACCGCGGTGGCGTCTACCAGCAAGCCCTGTCTGGGTTGACCAACCTGAATACGCGGTGGTACAACGGCACAGAGTACCAAGTGTACGCATTTGAGTACGACCCCGGCGCCAAAGGCCATGTGACCTGGTTTGTTGGTCCCGAAAAAACATGGACACTAGATGGGCGAGCCATTGGGCCGAACGGGAATATCGGACAGCGCATGATCCCGCTGGAGCCAATGTCTCTGGTGATGAACCTGGGCATGGCAGACAACTTTGCGCCCCAGAACCACACCATTCGCGAGTACATGCCAGCGTTCCTGCGCTTTGATTATGTCCGCATTTACCAGGACCCTGACGACGAGAGCGTCACTTGTGACCCGCCGGGCTACGAGACTACCGACTACATCAAGGCGCACAAGAAGGCGTATGAAAACCAGAATCTGACCACCTGGTATGAGTTATTCCCACCTTACTTTCATTTCCATTCACGGTGCTGATTGCTTTCAGGGATGATGCTGGGTACCACTGGCCCAAGAACGACTACATGCACAAGTGCTAGCCTAGTATCACTATAATCGTCCGTTTTAGCGGCATTTTGTTTCGGCGTTGTCGGGGTTTATCTCTCTTCAATAAACTCTTCTAGCTATGTTCATGGCTATTTCTTATCTCTCTCGCGTGTAGTGTGTAGTCTTGTTCGTACTGTGGGGGCACCCAGCTGAGGGGGCCCCAAAAAATACTGAGCGGGCCCCAAAAGTCGGCGTAATATTCCACCGATTTTTGGGGCCCGCTCAGTATTTTTGGGGCCCCCTCAGCTGTAACCCGGTACTGGGGTATATACCTCGACGGCTTAGGGTTGGATGACTCAGCCTCCGCTTCTTTCATCGACATCACCGCGTCGATCAGCCATCGCCTTGCACATCTCAGGATTCTCCCCCAGAGGTTGCCTGTCTGTATGACCTCCTAAATATCACCTGCTCTTTGCGGCTGCCTCATCCATACAATGCCCGAGTGAATACCGCCAGTAGAACCCTCCACCGGGCGTCCCTTAACTCCACCTACTTCTCATCACACCTCCTCGCCATGTCTGCGCCCAACATCGTCCCCATCGGCTCAGACTCAGAGTCGGATTTCTCCGAAGGAGACATGTCCGAAGGTGGCATGCAGCTCGATCCGCCCAACCTAGCACACAGTGAATTCCTGACAGCGGGGGTGCCGGCTGTGTCTGATGGTAGGTGGTTGTCCCCATTCTCCACATGTTTATATATCGACCCTCCGTGATATCATCTTGTTGCTTGCTGTCATTCACGAGCTCACGAATTACAAGGCACTTATTCAACTGTTGCCCCGGACCCGTTCTCGCCTTCGTATCTCCGCTCCCAAGCTCGAGCCGACCGAGAGGACCGCCAGTCCCAGCATATCCGCGAAGAGAAGCATGCGGCGCTGGCGGTGCTAATGAATCGAGAGCTGCTGCTAACGCATGCGCTGAGTTCGCGCGAGGTATTTACTTACCCCTCACATACCCTTTAAACATACTATCACTCTGAAAATCACTATTATTGACATATTGCTTCTTATGACTCTGTTTTCTTTTTTTCTTTTTCTTCTTCTTACCCTTATATATCTAACCCACATACCAGACAATCCCCCAAACCCGCCGCCGCTTCTTCGCAAAACTCATCGCCCCAGACGACCCCGCCGAGGCCGAGAAGATCCAAGCTGAGCGCTTCGTCATCCCGTCCTCGGACTCGGGCGACCTCCCCGGCTCGACGACCGCCGGGCCCAGCAACGCCAGCGTCCGCGGCGGCTGGCCGGTCCTGGTGCCGGGGAAGTACCACTGGACCATCAACAATGATGTCTCTGGCTGGCGGAATCCGCGGGCTGGAATTGGGATTGGGACTGGGGCCGGTGCTGTGCGCAAGGCTCGGGCTGGCGGGTCCAGATCGGCGTCTGGGTCGGCGGCTGGGTCACGCTCGGGGTCTCGATCTAAGGCTGGGTCGGCGTCGCCGGCTCAGAGGGCTGTGTCTCGGTCTTGAGTTGTTTTCTTATCTTGTCCTGTGCTATTTTCTCCAGGGAATGACGTCTATTCAGGGAGAGGGGAAAATCATAGCGAGATTTTGTTTATACTGGGCTTCACAGGTCTCCTAATGCAGTATGATAATTTCTTATTCTTCCAAGGTACATGAGAAAATATTCCTTCTTCAGAACATCTTGTTGTACGAGACTCTAGTATCTAGAAAAAACAAATCATAATATCTATATGTACACCGGCTTGGCGACATTTCTACTGCACGTCTTGACAACTTAACATCCAATACTATTTATACTCGCTAAACAATATCAACAGGCAAAAGTACTGTACAGAGACCCGAATCAAGCCCGTCTAGGTCTCAAGCCCAGAGGGCGAACCAAAGATCTGAGAGGGTGTGAGAGTGAAAACAATGGGTATCATCGAGTAACGCGAACCAAAAAGGGGATTTCTGGCTTTTGCTTTTTGTTAGTTCCTTCCCATGGTTCATCCAAAAATGAGACACCAAGGCAAGAAAACAAAAGAAACCCGTGGGGTGTGTTGAACTCATCTTCCACCAAGAAAATGGCCACCATCATGCAGCAGCCGAGAGCGAAAGACGGACAGTACCAACGAAGCCCAGGGCGAGAAAGCCGGTATGCGATTAAAAGCATAGCGGAAAAGACACAGAAGAACTCCGTCACATCTCTTCCTCTCTCCGAGGCTGTTCCAGCTGGAAAAGACTCGCCGCATCGCCCACTTGCTTGCGCTCCGACACTTCACGAGTGCGCATACGGGAGCGCAGGGCCTGCACATTCATGGGCGTCAGTCCTCGAGATGGCGCGGGGGTGGGCTCCGGTCCGATGTAGGAGGGGTGCAGACGGTGCGAGGTGGTGAACCGGACCCGGCCATCTCTCATGACGGGTAATTGTCATTGCAGAGGTTCCGAGCTCGACGAGAGACGATTAAGATGGAGGTAGACGTCGGTTCCGTATCTAACGGTGTCAGTATAAGTGTAAGAAGGGCAAAAGAGAGAACAGACTCACCCCTCCATGCTGATCAGCTTCAGGTCTCCCCCAAAGTAACGCGCATACAGCCGACTAATCGGCAGTCCATACCCGAACCCGGCCATGGGAGCCTTGAAGTCGCTCTTGTCAAAGTCCGGATCAAGGTTAGGGGTCTGCTCCACGGTCGTGTACATGTACGTCCACACCAAGGGGATCGCCGACCGCGGGATGCCACCGCCCTCGTCCGAAACCTTGATGGTGATGTCCTCCTTGCCTTCGGCCACAATCACTTTGGTGACGGGAAAGTCCTCTCTCTCAGCACCGTGCTGCTCGACCACGGCACGCAGAGAGTTCTTGAGCGTCTCAAACAACATGTGCGACAAGTGGCCCGGCACATACATGAAGTTCAGGTCGTCCTTGCACACGAGCTGCACCTTGGGCGCCTCGAATAAACCATAGTAGTCTTCGCAGACGAACCGGGCATTGTCAATGGCCTCCAGCGCAATGTCACGGACGTTGGTCTTGGTGCAAATGATACCGACGTAATGAGCGTGTTTTACGTGGGTTTGTTCCGTTAATGTAATGTGCTGCCCAATCAGCATTCGGATCCCAATTCGCGACATGTAAAACCGGTCGAGGAAGGATTGAACAGTCGAGTCGATTTGCATTCGCTGCCGTGCCCGTTTCCACTCGAGGATGCCCTGGGCGACCGTCGTCACGACGCTGTCGTGTCGCCGCTTGATCTGCTGCAGTGTTTTGGCAAATCGTTGGTTGTAATCGTTCAATTCGGGAGGCCAGTCCGCATGGTCGTCTGCGGGGACGAAATACCGTCGTGCCGATGTGGGCGCGGCTTTCCCGTTCCCGTTGCCATTGACGGGTGCGGGCGATGAGCGGTACTGCCCCTCCCGCACGCTGGGATTCTGGGTGGTCTCGGAGAGAATCTTGGACGCCCCGCCATTCATGCGACCTGGTCGCAACAAGCGCGACTTCACCTCTTGAGTCAGGGAGGGGCGGGGGAGGGTGATGATTTCCTGGTCACGGTCAGTGATATTTTTTTCCCCCACCGGGGTTCCGATGTGGATGAGTCATACCTCGAAGGACTGCGCATACCAGTCCTGGACTTTTTTGATGGAGGGCATTTCACTGAGCCCGTCGGGCAATTCGCCTAGATCCTGGACACGGTGCGCAAGGCGGATCGGGAGCTCTTCGGAAAGAAACTGCGAGGCGCGGAACAGGGTGCCTAGAAGGAGGTCAATGTCAGTTTTGTAAAGCGCCAAAGCAAGAAAAGGAAAGAACATAGAATAACAGCTCAAAAAAGTGATCATTCGTACCGGTCGATGGGCGATCACCAAATTGGACCATCTGCCTCAGTGAGACCCCGGTTGCGGGGAAGTTGGCATAGTGCCTGATGGTTTCCATCAGCCTCTCCGACGGTTTCCACATGGTGTGGGCAAATCAGGCCGGACGGCCTGCGGTCGAAATGAAACCGTCCTGAGAAGAAATGACAATACGTTGAATGGTGGAAGGCAATTGAGTTGCAAGAGTCGCAGACTACGGAGAAGTGAAAGAGAGAAAGAGAGAGAGAGAGAGAGAGAGAGAGAATGAGTAATGGAGACCCGGGGGATTTTCAACTGCCGAGGTAGAGCGTTCCGGGGGGTCTCCACTCACAGGGTCCGGCGTCGGAGGAAACACAACCGAATACAGGAAGTTGTCTAGTGACCGGAAGTGAAACTCTGCATGAAGAGTTTAAAAAGAAGCAAATTGCAGAGGAAAGCTGTTCCTCGACACAAGACCGAAAGGAAAAAGAAGAGGAAGAGGAATGAGGGGAAAAGGGAAGGGGTCACGTGCCGGGGCAAAGGAAGAGGATTCGGATGGATTCAAGAAATTCGAGAAATACACAAGAAACACAAGAGACGACAATGGAAAACGATGGATCTGGAAAATCACTGATCACTGTGGAAGCATCACAGTGGCAATGATCATGGGGTCCGAATGATCTTCCATGTGGGAACCGCGACCCCAGATTGTCCTTTGCCCGGGGATGTGTAAGTGTGCTCTGTTACTGTCCGATTATCTTCAACTTTCTCCTTGGTCCTCGGTCATTGGCAATGATATTCTACACACGGAGAATCCCTCCACCTTACACGCCAGTTCTCACCGATATGAGTGGACCCTTGCCCCGAGTACCTGGGTGTGCAGCGTACTTTTGTCCGATCGTCCTGGCTGAACACTGGAAATCCTCGCAGGAGGAGCAGTGGAGGTGCGACCTTCGCGGCTATGGGACGCCAGTCCTGGATGATGAACTGTGCAATGTCTGGCTATTGGGGATCAAGAGTCTCCACCATGGAAAATTCTTGACTCCACGAGGACCCATGATGATGCAACGCGTTCTTGTCTGGCCGTCAACTAGTTCGCGTCGGGAGTTCATTCGCTGATCGCCTCACCCGACAGCAGCGGATCCGCTGGAGACTCAAGATTCCCTTTTCGAGCTGCTGCTGTTGTGCAATTGCTGCGTCTGACTGGCCCGTCTTGCCCCTCTCTGGTTTTTTGTGCGGTAAAATCTGGAATTCCCCAAAGGCGCTTGTCAGGCAGATATCTCGTGCGAAAGGGAAAAATTATTACTTATGTAGCGGAGCCCTTAACCCCGACGACTGGATTTTCTTTTGATCTTCTTCTTTTTCTTCTTTTTCTTCTTGTCTTGCTCCTCTCTCTGGGTGGTCTTGTTCTTCCTTTCTTTACTACTTCCCCCCTCATCATGTCTCGCCGTCGAACATCATACAGCGAGCCGATGAACGAGGCGTTCGCATACCCGTTCGCGCAGTCCAACGGCCACCCGCAAGCCCCGCCTCCCCCTCCACGTCGCGGGCCGATCGAAGGCCCCAATGGCCGTCGCTTGATCCGCCGCGTCACCTGGCGCTCGTCGACCTACAAATTGATGGCGTCGCTGTGGGTGCTGGGCGTCTTGTACATCCTCTGGCTGATCCGTGACCTGTTCTACTTGCCTTCTACCCCGTCCGAGTCCAGTCCGCCGGCCGATGAGTGAGCGATTTTGGGAAGTTGGAAAGGGGGCTGTTTGAGGAGGGATGAGTCTGTTTGAGAACCGGGAGTATTCCTCCTTCATTTGTGTCTCGATCCGTTTCCTCCCCGTCTCGCCCCCGCAAGCTTTATCCGCTTGTGCCAAACTCGTCTTCTCCGAGATGCGCATACCAAGCCAACCGACCTGGCGTAGGGAACCACCGAGTGATTTCGAGGGGCAATAATGGTTGGAGTGGGAGAAGAGAGGGAGAAAAAGAACCGCAGAAGCTAGTTGGGAGTTTCTTATCTGATGTGGTAAGTGGTGGTTTGGGGAAACGGGAGGACCATCTCTGACATCCATGTGGATCTTAGGGATTCGAGGCGAACCGCGACTCGCGCAACGCATATAGATATTCTTTCGGTGCATTTGTCCATTAGCGTTCCATTGCATTTAGCCGGGGAGATTAACTATTTCTATTTCTACTTCTACTTCTATTCTCTTCATCTCTTCATCTTTCTACCTCTCTCTCTCTCTCTGTCTGTTGTCTATGGCATAGCCGTGTCCTATATCGTACATCGCAGACCTTGTATCCACAAGGATTGATGCCCAAGTATAATGTTTCCGTTTCTCAATCCCGCAGTTTAGCACCGCGGGGAAGCAGGGAAGTGGGGCAGGAGATCCAATACATGAAAGGAATCGAGGTTCAACTTTCTTCTCCCCTACATCTATGAATACTCTCCGGCTTGGTCCTACTCTCTCACCCCTGGGAACATTGGCGCTGTATGCTGACTATCTGCCGAGACCATTGATGAATGGTCTTACCTAGGTATAAGCTAGAAAGGCCAGGACATACATCTACCGGTCGGTTCTCAGACAATCAGTAATAGATCTGTTCTGATACCAAGGCTCGTCATATACCTGAGAACACAAAGGAATCAAGTAAAAAGTAATTGCACAGCGCGTATATGATCTGTCAATATACACCGAGATCAACTCATCAACTCCTGGCTTCCTTCTCTATAGACATTGCTCCCCTGGGAACCAAGGTTCGTCGCCGACTTTTGTGTGGTTATCCATATCTTTTTACCTCCTCAGAAACCCCTTCTCATAGCCCATTCCTATACAATTTAAACATGCAGAGAAGAGGTCTCCGCCTTGGAAAGATGCTCCGCATACGGCTTGAGGGCCGCAGCCACCTCCGTCGTCGTGAATTTCTCCACCTGCTGCGGAGCGCGGCCGACAAAGGTGCTGGCATCGAGGAGACTTTCCAGTTCGGGGATGATCGGGTCGAAGAAGGAAGTGTGGCGGATACGCTCGAGCAGGTCATTGTCTTTGCCGTGCTTCTTGACATTATCCGCGGCTTGGTGGGAGAGGACACCTGACGGGGAGGAACAACAGTCGTTAGGAGAGAACGAAGAGATTGATAAGGGAGGGGGAAAACGTACGGATTTCCTCGTGGGCATCTTGCCGCGAGAGACCCTTTCGGACACAGGCCATAATAATCTAGGGTAGTTAGCATTTTGGACTCGAGTTTGCTATGACGGTCAACATTGCGGCGAGCTTACGTTTTCACTGCGAAAGAGGAAGAGTTTGTTAGTATACCAAAACAGAAGATTGAAGCAGCGGACTCACGTTGCCATGAAAGGAAGCTCGTCGTAGACTCGGCGCTTGATGACTTCCGGGTAGACGACAAAGCCGGAGGTGACGTTGTCTAATGAATGTCAGTTTGGTTGCAAGAAATCCAAGAATATGAAGTAGACGCACTCAGAAGAATGAGACAAGCATCGGCAGACAGGTAGAGCTCCGGAATGCTGATACGACGGATAGCACTGTCATCCTGGGACTAGTCAATAACATGTCCAAATCCACCCTTGAAGGTTACTCACCAGAGATCGTTCAAACCATTGGGCCGCATAGGTATCCAAGGCATCCTTGGGGAGGTTCTGCAGGTGGCGTCCAAGCGAGCACAGACGCTCCGAGCGCATGGGGTTGCGCTTGTAAGCCTAACGATCATTAGCCGCTGCGATGAACACCACGCGCCTGCAAAATAAAACCCACCATTGCGCTGCTGCCAATCTGGTCTTTTTCAAACGGCTCCTCGACCTCTTTGAGCATAGCCAGGTGACGGATATCAATACCGATGCGCTCGCAGGTGGAACCGAACGAGCCCAGTGCATTTCCGACATCCACATCAATCTTGCGCGAGTAGGTCTGACTGGAGATGATAAAGGCCGACCCAAACCCGGCCTTCTCAGTCACCAGTTCATCCAACTTTTCCACCTTGTCGTGGTCGCCGCTGAAGATCTGGAGGAAGGAGGCCTGAGTTCCGGTGGTGCCCTTGACACCACGGAAACGCAGGTCGTCGCGCGCACGCTCGAGGTTTCGCAGATCCATCAGGAGGTCCTGAATCCAGAGACAGGCTCTCTTACCCACAGTCACCAGCTGGGCCGGCTGCCCGTGTGTGAAGCCCAGACACGGTAGATCCTTGTACTGCTGGGCAAACGTGGAGAGCTTGCCAATGACCACTGCCAGTTTTGGAATAAGGATGTCAAGACCCTCCCGCAGGAGAATCAGGTCGGCGTTGTCGGTACAGTAGCACGAGGTAGCTCCCCAGTGGATGATGCCAGCTGCCGACGGGGCGACCTGCCCAAAGGCGTGGACGTGGGCCATCACATCGTGTCTCCGGCGCTTCTCCTCCTCGGCGGCAACCTGGAACTCGTCATCTTGAATCGTGGCATGGGCCTTCATCTGCTCGAGTGCCTCGTCGGTAATCGGAAGCCCCAACTCTACATTACATCGATCAGTCAATCAAATGTTTACTTTTCCCCCTTCCCAATACGTCCGATGTCGGCCGTGCAGCGATGCAAAGGTCAGCGTACCTTTTTGGGACTCCGCCAGCCAGATCCACAAGCTTCTCCAAGTCGAGAAACGCTTTCGAGGAGAGAAGAGGTACTTCATCTCCGGGCCTATCAATTGGGCGTTAACTCCTATCGGGGCATTCCTCGGGCGTCACTCCCCGTCGGGAGGGAGCAATACTTACTCGAATAGCGCGAGTTAAGAGGGGTCTGGTAGACATCGTTGCTCGCAGACATGCTAGCGGGACTTGTCTCGGGCACTCGAGAAACGAATTGAGAGAACAATCAGGAACCAAATCAAAGCACTGTGGGAAATTTTGCTCCAAGTGGCGGGGCTTATCAGTCACGTTATCGGATATACATGCCTGAGGCATCAAGAAGCATGATCACGTGGATATATAGAGCATTGGATTAGATCACAGTGAAATTGGCCACTAATATAACTGTGCCAACTGTATTGAAAGGCTGCCCTTGTCATACTTGATGTACTTCCCCCGACCCTTATCGATCTCATGGTACCGATCGTAGAAGCGCGCGTACAGCGGCTCGAGAACGGCCTGCAGTTCCCGGGCCAGCACGGCGCGTACCTCGCGCTCCATGTGAAGAGTTTTGTGCCGGGACACCATATCATCAAAGCTCGCGTTGAACGATTTGAACTTATCCTTGATCGCATCCCGGTCCTTTGACGACAAAGTCTTGACAATGGCACTGGAATCCACAATACCTCCCGAACTAGGCCGCGCCCCAGACCTGGAGGTGTATTGCACGTCGAGAAGAAATTGGGAGGTTTCCTTCCACGCATCCAGATATGTCGAGGTTGCGCGCTTGCGGAATGTGTCGATTCTTGCAATGCTGTCGGGTGCCCCGAGATAACGCGCCAGTTCTGGACTCTGTCGGATCGATCGGTCGACAATACAGAAGACATTCGACAAAAAGACACCCAAAGCAGCCTTGGATCGATGGAAGCTCCGACCTCGTGCCTCTAAGGAAGCCATGAGAGCCTCGATCATGTCGAGGATGAAATGCGAGAAAAGGGTGCTGCTATCGGGACCTACGTCCAACGGCGCTGTCCCAGTGTTCGACCTGGAGCGCCAGTTGCCATCTCCCAAGGACGTTAAAATGGAGGCCAAGGGACCCGAGTAGCCGGTCAATGTAGTGAGGGAACTCATCACTTCATCCACAAGCGAGACTGACCCTCCATCTGGAGGAAGCCCCGTGCTGTTGGCTTTGCGCTTTGTTTCCTCGAGCAACTCGGAGAGCGATGACTTGGCGGTTTCGCGTACCGGTCGCAGAGCTTCTATCAGGAGACTCTTCAGCTCGGCTGTCTTAGCGTCGATCCGGTATGACATGGCCGTCACAATCTCAATTATTTCGAAGGCCAAGAAGCAGTCCGTCATCAAATTCGCCTTGATGTACTGATTGAGTTCCCGCAGCGTCTTCGAGTATTCCGCCATGGCCGAAAGGAAGGTGGCCTGTAATGTAAGGCCTTGTTGGTCCGGGGTGAACAGATGCATGATGATGCCATGTTCGGTGATTATGAAGGCCTCTAGCGCCTTGGAATAAATTCCAATCCCATTGGTGCCTTGTCTGTAAGGGCCATCGGCAGCTCTGCGCTTCACCGTGTTAAGGGAGGCAAGCGAAAGATTGTGCAAGCCCGAGGTAATATATGGCCCGCGCACTTCGGCGTACACCTTGAGCGCGGGATTGTCTCCTTTACCGCGTTGCGGTCCATGGACGGATGCGGAGCCGACCGCAGAGCAAAGGGGTGTCAATCGCGAGATTGTATCGTCTGGGATGGATGGAAATGGGATGCCTTAGCGAGTTTTGTATTAGCCACTGCTTTATGTCTGGCTGTCCCTCACATGGCAAAATGCCTACTTTTGGTCAGATAGTGTAGAGGTTCAACCGGGGTGATGTGCTGTTTCAACTCCGTCCGAAGCATCTCCTGCAGTTTTGCGCTCGCAGTGTTTAGAAGAGAGTTGAAATCTGCTATCGCTTTCTGATTGGACCGCAGATTCGTCGTGTTGAGGTCAACCAGCGCTTTTTCAACACGTTTCATCGCCGAGAGGTACTGTGATAAACCAGAGCTCTGCGGTCTGGGAATTTGTTAGCTACTGCATAGTGATACTGTGAACATGGTGAGAACATACCCTGCGCGAATGATGCCCTCCTCTCGGCTCTTCGCATCGAGAGGCTGGCGGAGACGGTCGATGGCATCGTTGACCTTGTCGATATTGCTGTTGGTGATTTGCAAGGACTGAGTGTTGCTGTAGATAGGACCAATGGCCTCTTTGACAACCTTTCCCCCTGTCTCCAGACGCACCATAGAGCCTTGGATCTTCTTGGTGAGTCGGTTGAGCTTTTCGAGGTTGGCGTACAGCACCTCCACCTCGGCGCTCTCCTCGGCATAGTGGTTATTCTTCGGGGCCACCATGGTGAGCGGTTCGATTCAAGACAGAGAACACGCAAATACAGTGATACCAGGGCCCGTCATGTCTCCTCGTGGGTGGGGTAGACTGGGTGTGTGTTTCCCTTGCAGCGCGATAAGCTCCCCGGACGGTTCTGTTGTCCCATGGTCGGCACTAGTCCCAAAGTAGCAACGCCGGCCCGTCTGACGACCCGGTGTCACGTGGTATTTCGTCATGACAATCGAGCAAGTGGCCTGGACAAGCACAGGCAAGAATCCTCGGCAATGGATATCGCTGCATGTGGATTTCTTCCTCCTCTCACTCCATCATCAAAATGGGCGCTGCGAGAGTATCTCGTCTGCGCTGGACCGTCCCTCCTGCCGCCTTAGCGGCATACACGGTGGGGGAATTGGCTCAGAGCAGACCCCGGAATCGACCCGAGCAATTAGCTTACTTCACTACCTCCGCTGCTCGCTACGATGTTGATCGGGACTCGCATTCCAATTTTCCGTGGCATATTTCAGATAAACAGGGCAACCAGGCCCCTCCTGACGATGCATCTGTCTGGGCCAAGATTATCCACAAACTTGACGATGTCAAGCATACTGTGGGGACAGGAGAGTGGGGGGAGCTGGGAGAAAACATCACGAACTACATTGTCCCCGACTGGGCACGATTACTGCCAGCAACAGCTCAAAAGCTGCAACGAGAGCTTTCATTGGCCCCTGGCTCGCTGGCAGACGACATCTGGAAGGAAGCGCAAGACCCAGAACTCAACCCGGAGATCCTCAGGGATGCCAAAGTGCGGGTGAGCGGCGATCTCTGTACAGAGGAACAGACATTTAGGCGGAATCGGCAACAGCATTCTGTGAAGGCATTGGCATTCTACCTTGATATTCCCGAGGAGGACATCCACCCGGATGATGTGCCAGTCATTGCGATGTGTGGCTCGGGAGGGGGCCTGCGTGCCCTGGTCGCTGGCACTGGGTCCTACCTCGCGGCGCAAAATGCAGGACTATGGGACTGTGTCACATATACCGCTGGGGTCAGCGGTAGCTGCTGGTTGCAGACTCTCTACCATTCCTCCATCGGAGGCCAGGACTTCAACAAACTTGTCGACCATTTGAAGAATCGTCTCGGTGTACACATCGCATTTCCACCAAAGGCACTTCATCTGCTCACGACAGCCCCGACCAACAAGTACCTCCTTAGTGGGTTTGTGGAAAAGCTCAAAGGTGACCCCGGCGCAGACTTCGGGCTGGTGGATATCTATGGCCTGCTGCTTGCAGCACGCCTTTTAGTGCCACGAGGAGAACTTGGAGTTTCGGATTTGGATCTGAAGCTGTCTAGCCAGCGCGCCAATCTTTTGAGTGGGGCTCATCCGCTTCCCATCTACACTGCGGTGCGCCATGAGATACCCGTTCCTGACGACCAATCTAAGGAGCATGTGATGCCCGAAAAGCTCATGAGAGACGCAAGAAACGAAGCGTGGTTCCAATGGTTTGAATTCACACCATATGAATTCTTTTGCGAGGAGCTCAATGCTGGAATTCCCACTTGGGCGCTGGGACGGCACTTTGATGCAGGCCATAGCCAGCTCCCTCCGGGGGAATACCCCATTCCTGAGCTGAGAGTCCCCGGCTTGATGGGTGTCTGGGGCAGCGCTTTCTGTGCAACGCTATCTCATTATTATAAAGAGATCCGACCATTACTCAAAGGCCTGGCCGGGTTTGGGGGCATTGATTCTCTTATTCAGGGCAAAGATAAAGACCTGGTCCGAGTTCATCCCATTGACCCCGCCGCCATCCCGAACTATGTCATGGGGATGAAGGACCAGCTTCCAGCATCTTGCCCGGAATCAATCTTCCACAGTAAGCATTTGCGTCTCATGGACGCGGGAATGAGCAACAATCTTCCCATCTACCCCCTTATTCGGCCCGGACGCAACGTCGACGTAATTGTCGCCTTCGATGCATCGGCCGACATCAAGCAAGAAAACTGGCTTTCTGTTGTGGACGGCTACGCTCGCCAGCGAGGCATCAAAGGCTGGCCAGTTGGTGCAGGTTGGCCTAAGCAAGAAGAAAGTCTTGAGGCCGCCAAAGAGGCCTTGCGAGAGCCCCAGGAGATCACCGGCGCACAGGTAAATGAGAAAATGGCCAAGGCTCAAGATCATGACTGGCCTCTGGACAGCGGTCTGCCCGGCTCCCCCAAGACCAGCCAGTCCCATCAGGGGAAGACAGGCGCCGCAGACTCGGATTTGGGCTACTGCAACGTCTGGGTCGGCACAAAGGAAGAGCGCATCACCGAAGGGGAGCCGCCGCCGTCCAAACGCCTCTTCTACCCCCAGCATACCGATCATTCCGACTCGGACTTCCACCTCATGCGCCCCGAAGCCGGCATCGCAGTCGTTTACTTCCCTTTGATTCCCAACCCATCGGCCCCAGATCCACCGCCGGCTTCTGCCCCTGCAGGTCCTCGCGCCGCCGCTAATTCCTTGCGGCAAAATAGCTCGAACACCAAAGATCCGGCTCAGCCCCTCGCGCCGCATCCCAACTCGATTGATCCCAATGTCGATGACTTCTTGTCCACCTGGAACTTCATCTATACGCCCGAACAGATCGACTCGGTGGTTGGTCTCGCCCAAGCGAACTTCGACCAGGGCAAGGACCAGGTTCGCCGCGTCGTGCGCGCCGTGTATGAACGGAAGAAGTCAGATCGACTGCACAAAGAGTCCCAGGCTCGAGAGCAGCGGATCAAGAGAGGAGGAGAAGGAAGATCGCAAGCGCATGGAGGGATTTGTGCCCTTGTAAACAACCTGATAATAGAGGGGCTATTTGTTGAGCGAGAGAATCTGTACACGTATTTAGATGTGTCGTTGGTCGCCTTAGACTTATTCTTTCTCTTTCTCTTTCTTTTGTGTGTTTCTGTGCAGCATTCTAATACTATACTATATATGCGACTTCGGGTTCTGTCTATCTGCACTGGAAGTATGTTCCTTTTCCTTATCGCCATTCCCATTCTTCGCAAAATAAGACCTCACCCCTTCGATATCACCATTCCCATGCTGCTGCTCCGCCCCGATCTTTCGCGCGCACCCCTCGCCGTCCGTCTGTGTCTCATCCTCGCTGCCCACGAGACTGACGTCCTTGCTTTCATCGGTTTGCTTACGCAGTCCCAATTCCCTTTCTGCCAAGTGCGCTGCCGCTGAGGGGGCTTTCCCATCAAGATGGCTGGTGCCTGCAAGTGCAGGCTCATTCTGAGCAGCTTGGGTTGGAGGTTGGGTTTCCTGGCCCGGAGCTGGATCGGTAGTGGTGTGAGGGATGGTGGGTTCTTGTTGCTGCGGCGGTCCGCGCCAGTCGGCAGGGCGGCTTTCCGGGACCGGGTCGCCTGGCTTGGGTTGACTGATGGGTCTTCCCTCGGCGGCTTTGACCTTAGCTTCTGCTTCCTTGTTGGACGGCGGCGGGTACCGCCATACGACCTTGAGTCGATCCAGGGCGCGAATGCCCTTCTTGGTGCTGCCCTTGATCCCGTCCATTGCATCCCATTCAGTCTCGAAGACACCCGAGTTGTGCTCTGAGCCGCCTTCGAAATAGGCGTTGAACCAGACGTGCGCGACGGAGGTCACCATGGCGAACCCTGTGTATGAGGCTTTGCTGCGTCGTTCGAAGTCGATATTGACGTCGGATCCAGGCACGACGACGGGCTTGCTGGGCCGAAAAATAGAGGCCGAGAGACGGTGTGTTGGGGATAATGTTGCTCGCCGAGACAAATCCGATTCAGGTGCAGTAGAGACGTCAGACTGTGACCCGGCGGGGGACCATGTAGTGGAGGAGGGCAGCGAGCTCTCGGGGCGTTTTGCGCGGCGGTTGTTGTCGATGGGGGTTGTCGGTTCTGAGGGCGTCGTGTTCCCGCTTTCGACGACAATGCGTTCATGGCGATGGAACCGGTAGAAACACTCGATCTTCTTGCCTTCATCGACAAACCCCTCGACGGCGACCTTGACGCCATCCCTCAGACCCCAGATATGGACTTCCAGGATCTCGACTGGCCTCTCGACGTACTCCTTGCGCATCTGGTTCGCCCACAGATCAATGTAATCGACGTACCGCAGCTGACTCGGGATGCTGACGCCAGTGCCGAACCCGACGCGCATGCGCCGCTCCGTAAACCGCTGCAAGGCATCAACCTTCTTCCACCCTTCCTGGCTAATCAGGTACGCGCATGCCACGGTGCCGCTGCGGCCTTTGCCGGCCTTGCAGTGCACGACGACCATCCTCTCCCCCTGATCAGCGGGGTCTGTCGTTTTTTTGCCCTCTCGCTGAAGCCAGTTCCGCATACTCGCCATGATATTCGGGATCAGCGCAAACGGCGGCGGGTGGTGGTCCGGCCAGGGGAAGTGGTGAATCCGCCCATACACCTCCGAGTCCGGGTACCCGGTACCCTCGGCGCGGAATTCCCAGATGCACCAGTTCGTGCCATGTTTCGAGTCGAGGAAGCTGACGAGAGCGTCGAGCGGGTTGCGGTATGCGCGCTGCGGATAGGTCGCCGACGGGCCAGACGTGGCGATCACTGTGGCAGGAAAAGAGAGTAGGTCAGCGGACAGGCTTTCGAGAAGAGAGGAAAAGCGCGGTGCTGGAGGTTTCTACCATTGTTGGTCACATAGCAGAGATCTAGCCCCGCCTCCGGGTGCTGCAGTCTGGGCCCGGCGACGATCTGGCGGAGGATGGATGACTGGCAGCAAGTCAGCACGAGTGGAACTTGAGGTGAAGAAGGATTGGAAGGGAGGGATGTATACCATGGCCTCTGCGGAGGATAGTTCAGCTCCTGGACGAGCTTTCTCGTTGTCGGAGCCAGAGGGACATTTAACACGAATGTCCAACGTCTCGAGTCCCTTTGGTCTTGGATGCTTCAACCCGGTGGAGCGCTGTTTACTCGCATGATGTCACATGTGTGGGGCGGGGCCTGAGGCAACACTGCACTATAAATTGCAAAGTTATTTATCGAATGTTAAGTGCTATTTTAATCTGATTACAATCATTCTAGAAAAGAAAAGCAGCTTTATATTGCCCTTGAGCATCTTGATCAAGGTCTGGATACATTGTGCTCTATAAGCTAGTGTGCTTATACATAGGCCGTCTTAGGGCTGTGGTATAGATGCGAGGGAAATCACCCTCACCAAATACCTGGCGAGGTAATCAAATACCAGGTATCTCAAGAGTCAAAGCCCTAATTCAAGCTCCCCTTCCCCCAGTTGAGCCAGAGACACACTTCCCATCCCCAAACATCGCATGCGCTGCCGCAGTCCAAACAGTCTCCTGCTGTAGATAGTGTTTGGCAGTGTTAAAAAAAAAAAAAAAAGACGACATTCGGCAGCCTCATAGGTAAACTGCAAGGGAGTCTAATCATCATCGCGGGCATAGGCATTGCACAGATTAAGCCCGCCCGTCAGCACATTGAGCGAGAAATCGTAGGGGTTTGGCGGCAGCGTCTTGTTGAGTTAGTCGGTGGCATCTGATGGTCGGATGGAGGATCTGTGTTACCGATTGGCATCTTTACCGAAGAAGAGGAAGAAGAAAGTATTGGGTAGACCTTTGAGAATCTCCAGGGTGCTCTGGAATTCAAGGTATTTGCGATACTGATCGACAAAGGAGACGACCGAGTCGACCTCGATGGGTACAGTCTGCAAGCAACGGTGGGCCAGATCACCCGATATCATGAAGGCTGCTGTGGCTACTATTTAATTCCGAGGATATTGAGAGTCAGAAATCGAAGCGATCATACTGTTTGCCTTGGTGGCTTTGGCGAACAAATCAGTGACCTGGGCGCATGGCTCGATAGAGGGCCGAGCATCGACCAGGCTGGCTGCCAGTAGAGCCAGCGACACAAGCCTGGCTTTCAGCTGCATGGTAGAATTGAAGGAAAGCAAGCGAGTGGAAATAGGCTCAAATGAGTGGTAATGATGAAATCGATAGAAATGAGTGAAAATGAATAGGAAGACCTTGTCGAGCCCGGTAACTTCGAGGCTTGATCAAGTCCATGGTGGGTACACTCTGCAAGCACAGGATAAAGATTGAATCCCGGATCATCTGTCCCACAGGAATCTGGTATTGAATAGATATTGCCGCGTATAGAGAAGAGCCGGCCTGCCGAATGTAGTTATTGCCAAGAGCAAAAATGAACGACGGCGCAGATCGCAGTGGACAAGTGGACCAAAGCAGGGCTGTGTAATTCCCAGCTTAAGTATGGCACTGGTATATTTCGGCATATTGAGAGTCTGTGGAGCATTAATTCAATGCCAAATTCCTAAAATGGCTGGGATGTCGACAAACAAGGGATATGGGGTTTACCAAGATGAGGTATAAAACCCAGATGGATGAGGCCCAACGGACACCCCGACGAGGGTCATGATTTAGTTATGATCTCGTCATTCTCTAGATCAAGAAGTATATAAGCAAATCTATCTATAGACATACATTGGAATGGTTGAATGGTCTTGTATGTACATCATCTATGTGCACGATAGCCATATGTGCAAAAAGGAGTGGCAGCGACCAGAGCAGACCCACAGAAATTCAGACCCAACGCCAGACATTAAGGAGTGACATGCGAAGTGGCCCGCCAGGTTCATCAGACAATAAAAAGGAAATGGAAAGAAATCAAAAGCGCATTCCAATGGTGCCAGTCGGCGGGAGGGGGAAGGATATCCATGGACCATTCCATGTCCCCCACCCCAGGCTCTCAAACCAATTCTTCCGCAGAAGACCAAAGGACAAGCCGAGGAATTTAGCGGGCAACACCAACACCACTGTCAGGGTTGAGGGTGAAGTGGGGGAAATCCGCCTTCGAGACATTCCTCTCGGCCTGCTTGCCCTGAGTAGACAGAGTCAAGTTGCCACGGCCATCGGGGATGGGCTTGAACCAGACAAAGCGAACCTGGACGTGCCATTTGGAGTCGCCCAGCGCGATGACGCTCGAGTGAACGGTCGAGTTGTCGCATTTCGCCAGCTTCGTTTGCGACTCGCCGGTGCAGGAGGTCTTGAAAGAAGGCGTGTTATCGGCGTGGTGGCCCGTAATGTTGAACGAGTAGGGACATGCGCCTTCGATGCATTGCGGACGGAAGTTGGTGACGTCCCAAACGGGAGGTTGGCCATTTGCGGCGGCGCTGGTGAGGCCGACGGTGGAGAGGAGGGCCGGGAGCAGAGTGGAGACGCGCATCGTGCTCTTTTGTGCTCTTTGCTGGGGATGAACTCGGTTCGATTTTGAAGACGAGGATGGGTTGATTCCCTTGAGATGAAAAGGAAACGCCAGGAATTCAACAAAACACCAGGAGTTCAATGGAAATGAACCCACTTGAAACCAGGCTCGCAAAGGGCCCAAGCTGACGAACGTCCCCTTGGCACAGAACCACTTTCATGCCGCGTCGACCAACGGTATTTCCTTCGCCCCTGGACCAAGCCGATCCTTCAGGGGAACACGGCAGCATCGCCAATGAGAGATGATGCTGCCCCAATTTACTTCCCTTCTGACTCGGTTGCCCAAGCTATTCTCTATGGATGTTTCACTCTTATACGGATCTTTTGTGCCCGAGAGTCCTGAGAGTCATGTACTTGATACGTGACTCGACAATGGCATTTTTATACTATGCCGTCCCCTGTACAATTTGCGACTTCCGTTGTTGGATATGTTAAGTACAAGGCTACTTGGCTATGCTATATATACACATCCAAGACGATCGTCACTCTCCACCTGCACTGCCGGGTTGAGGCACAACCTGAACAGACTCAAGACTCATTTGTCCCGTTGGGTCCCCACGTCTGCTTCCCAATCCAGCCAGCCCTCTTCTTCCATGTTTCGTTCAATCGCCAGTCGTCGTCGCTTCTCCTTGCGTCGCTCCTTGTTCCACTCCCGACGTTCTTCCGGCGAGAGCATCTGGCGGCGCACGGCCGGTGGCAGCGGGTGGCGCCCGGGCTGTGGGGCTTCGATCACGTCGGTCGGCTGCCCGTCATCTCGGGCGCTGATCTGGGGATGATATTGAAGCCGCAGCGCAAACTCGTCGACCGACCCGGAGCAAATCTCGCAGATTTCCTTCTGGGCCTCCTCGCTGACCGAGGCGTCCCGTTTCACGAGATCTTGAAAGTACATGTAGGCGGACCGGAAATTGTTGGCGTCGAGACACATGAGAATGATGGTCTCAAAGGTCGTGGCGTTGGGTACGACGCCGAATGCTGCCATTTCTTTTACGATAAACATGCCGGCTTCGCGGTTGCGCGCTCGCCGACACATGCGGATCAGCGCGTTGTACACGCGAACGTCGGCGCCCTCGGGGCACAGCGTGTAGAGCTCCTTGTAGAATCCCACCCCGTCGTCTGCGACCGACGGGTCATGCTGGGCATCGTGCTCACAGAGGTCGGCAATGGCCCGCACGCAGCCGATGGGGATGCAGCGTTTGACATTCTTTAGCCGCTTGAGCATCTGCCATGCCTCGCGGCGGTCGATTTTACTCTGAATCATGTAAGCGACCACAGCCCGTGTCGAGCTCTCCTCAAGTGCAATGCCAGCCTCGTGCATGCTACACAGCACCTCGAAGGCGCCAGGAAGATCACCAGCACCCACATGCGCCTCGGCAAGCCGTTCGTAATCCTCGAGGCCGCATGAGATTTTATGGTAGGAGAAAAATCGGAACACAGAGCTGGCCAAATCTGGGTCGCCAAGCCGCGAGGCCAGTGCCAGTACCTGGCGGCAGAGTTGCGCGGGGGGTTGTAGATGGCCAAGTTCGACCCTTTGCTGCCACACATAGCGAGTCAATGCGCCGTGATGCGCTTCAGTCGCCGCACCCAAGACGTGAAACCAAAGTGGGAAAGTCATCTCGTGGTATTGATCGACCCGGCGCCGCATCAAGCGTTCGACCTCGTCCAACTCGTTGAAATCGCACAGGTTGTAGATAAGGAAACTGTGCAGCCAATTCTCGACAAAGACCTCCTTTCGCTCCATCATATCGATTTCATCCAGCGCCAGCTCAAATTGGTGTTCGCGCACAAGACCTGCAACTATGAAATTCCATCCGGCGGGACTCAACGGGAGCCACCGATCTCGCAGTCTGTGAAGGACTTCCTGGCGTAGGAGATAGTCGGGATGTACAGCAAGAGCCTGTAATAAGGTTAGCCCGTACTCCTCGACGGATGATCTAGGTCATTGCCATGTCCCAAAAACTTCCCCACCTACCTGGAGTGCAGCATGAAGCGTAGCCGAGTCCGTAGCAATGTTATTGTCATCCATCTCATCCAGCAGTCGCCGTATAAACTCCGGCGAGCCTCTCTCTGAATCCGCGTTCGCAAAGAAGAGCGCCTTGTAGTGACGAGAGGTCGGGTGAACATGGCGATCTCGAATCAAAATCCGTAGAACCTGCGTCGTGCCGCGAATGCTCGGCGACCTGGCCATCAATTGTTGCAGCATTGTCTCCAAGTTGGATGTGGATCTTTCTTCCAAATCCTTGGGAGCTCTAGGCGACTGCTTTGGTAGTTTCGGGGCTTTCGAACGTTTCGACCGGTTGCGCGGCCGCGCGCTGGCATTCTGTCGAGGATCGGAGTGTTCGTTCACCGGCGATTGTAGTCGAGTGGCTGTATGCTGTGTGCCACGTAAATTCGGATGTGCTGAATGTCCATATCTATGGTTGTAACTGTAGGCTTCTCCAGGATTGCTGCTGTAAAATCGTCGCGGAGGTGAATTCGCGAAAGAGACGGCCGGCGAATATGGCCTTGCACTTTGCTTTCGAGTCCTTAAGAGTGGCGCTGCACGAGTGAGCCCCCGTGGGATAAATGATGGACACAGAGAGTACCAGAGTCCGTCGAGGACCAGTGTCCGCCGTGCCATTTCGGGAGTTTGTCTAGCAGAGGGGAATGTTGAAGCTCCGCGGACTCGGTTGATCACAGTATCACGTGATGCCAAAAGGATTCGCCAGGCTTTCATATAGCCAGTTGGGCGCAGATTACATGGCAAAATCAAGGAGTGAGGCTGGGTTTTCCATATGTAGCATTGATAGATCGGAAACCGACCAAGAGACCCAGATCCCACAGAAAATACAGAGCCAGATACGCCACGGCCATGCTCGTCCAAACCGGACCTCCCGAGCGACCTTACCCACCGTCTTCCTCCGGGGTATCTCGTGTAACATCGTCCCTGTCCTCTTTTCGAAAACGGCGCGCGCGCACACATATCCATATCTAACCGCCACCCCGACCCCGGCCGCGACCCCGGCCCCCGCGACCACCCCCACGACCGCGGTCGCGCCCGCCATCTCGTCCGTATCCGCCGCGGCGGTTCTGTGGTTGGTTCAGCTGCTGCTCCTTGACCAGCTCGACAATCTCATCAGGGATTCGTAGGTATTTGATCTGCGAAGAAAGAGGATATGAGTCAATATCAAGTTCCTCCACCCCACCTAGGGACACCGCTGCGTGCCAGAGGACATACGTTGTTGCCCCGAATGTAGACTTCGGGGAGCTTGAAGAATCGGTCGCCTTCGGGACTTGTCTGGACCACCTCGCGCAGAATCAGGTTCATCCAGTTGTCGCAGGTGACCAGGTGGCCGTTGAGGGTTTCGCCGTTTTTAAGCTCCACCAGCATCGGGTGGCCCTGGGCGGCCGTGAGAAGGCCAAGGGGTAACTGATTAGACGCAGAGTCAGCTTCTATCCAGTTGAGATCGTGACAAAGGTGCGGGCCATGTACCATGCTGGAATGCGACCGGCTAGATCGCAGGTGGTGGAAGTGGGAGAGGATCGGTCGGATGAGTGAGAATTGACTTGGTCAGGCGGCACACAGGCTCCCAGCTCGGAGACACACGAATAAAAGGATTAGAAAGCAAGGACGGAGCCTGTCTGTTGATTTGACGATGTTGAGCGGAGCAATGGATTGCAGCTGGTGAACTGATGGATGAAGGCGGAAAAAGAGAAGTGCCGAAATCCGCCAATGCTCCGATCTACTCGATGTTACACAGATACAACAACAACAATAACAGCCATGACTGATTGAAATTGGATGTAAGGCATGACATTAATGTGTAAATGTCTTGAAATCCAAGTCATTATAAATTCAATAATTTGATTCTTTTCTTCAGAAGCATTTGGCAACGTTGAGAAACAACCCATAGTAAAATTACATAGTACAGGGCCAGGCGCCGGCATGACCAGGTCTCTACACCTTGGTACGCTTGGCTGGCTCTTCCTGGCCTTCTTCCTCATCCTCGTCGTCAACCACAGTGAGTTTGCGCTTGGCACGCTTGTCGCGACTGCCACTCGGAGCCGCGGGAACTTGGTCTTGCACATCGGGCAAACGACCCTCGAGCGCCTCCAGTGTGATTTCGTAGCCTTCTTCGACATTCTGAACGGTGCCGTCGAGCTTTTCTACCCGATCCGTAGGGTCCAGTTCGTTCAGCAGCTCCCGGTGTTTCTTGTACAGGCGTTGCTTGGTGAGCATGCGCCACCAGTAGTACCGTCGGTCGTTTTCGTCATCTGCCTTATATTTCTTGATCAACAGGCGCGCCAGGTTGGTGCCTCCGGCCAGGCGATGGCTCTTGGGAATCTGGCCCAGCAAGAACATCTCCAGGATGTGTGCGAACTGGGTGGCCTCGATCTTGAATGAGCTGCGAATATCGGAGAGGAGTTTGGTGGGGATGAGGGCGGCGGTAGGAACCACCTTAGGGCGTTGCTTTCGAGAATATGCTTCGTATGGGTCGGGGTTCAGGCTCACATCGTGCTTGAGGAACTCGGGCCGCAGCAGACAGTAATCGGCCGTGTCTCGCAGCGCGTCAAACGTTTCGTTGGGGTCTTCGACTGTCAGTTCGACGATGGTAGGGTCGGCGATGCATGAAGCATGAATTGTTGTGTACAAATGGGTGCCATGACCCGAACGATGGTGTGAAGGCAGAATGAGAAGCTGCGCGATCCGAAGTCGTGCTGGGAGCTCAGAGATTTTGATCTCGGGCCCTGGGAACGGATCGCTCTTGACGCTGGGAGTCTCTGAACGATCTCGCTGGTACAGCCAATACCGATAGGTTGTGGCATATCCAACAATGGAATATGACGATGCGGTTGGCGTTGGAGGAGTCACCTTCTCATAACTATCACCATCATTAGCTTCGGGCCCATCTCGGCTTGCATAGCGAGTAACTTACACAAAGTAAACCGTCCAACGTTCAAGACTCCATTCTGGATCATCGGTCGACAGAGGGGTTCCGGCCTCGATGAAAAGAGAGACCAGGACTTGCGCGCGATCCAACAGCAGTCGTACTGCGGGGTCCGCGAGCGATCCAGCCCAGATCTCATAGTTTCTCTCATCCACCTCATAGCTAAAAACCAATTTACCAGGGGGTGTGAAGTCTTTCGCATGTGGATCCTCTTGAACCGCTTTCTCGTAGTCGGGGAGGTTCGCAAAGGCCTCTGGATGGAATGGTGTTAGCTTTGAGCCCGTGTCCTTCTTTTCACTTGACGGATTCAACACTCACCTTTTGGAACGAACGGCTTCAGAGCCCCAAGAAGGTCCACCGCTGCCGTGTCGCCGACCGCTTTAAACTTGTCATCATAGGAAATGTGGACATGGGGACGCAGGTCATGAGCCGCAAAGCGCAGACGGATAATCAGGCCATTGTAGCCAAAGATGCGCTCTTCATCACCAAAGATAGGATAGGTAAATTGTGGATGGAAAGTCGAGAGAGTCTTGGGCTTGGTCTCGCTGGGCTGCACTACGGTAATATGGACCGCATCATTGGCGTCGCAAGACCCTGGGTGAATGATCAGTGGATGGTCTCCATGTGGGAAGTAAAAGTAAAACCAAGCCAAGGGTATCTTACAGTCGTCGTCACTCGCCATAGTGCTGGATAGAAGGTGAGTTCAAGAGGGAAGAAAGACACGAAGACCGAGGGAGGTGAAGAAGGAAAGCGCGTCTGACCGCGTCCACAGGTCCCTAGCAGTGTTACCTAATCGGGCCTAGCGTCTCAAGGTCATGGAGTACTTGCATTCATCCATGGATCTTTCAATCATTCTTCACCCATCTCACCGAGTCAACTACTTTCCAAGTTCTGCCACTGGTCCATCTTTCGACGGAGAATCTGTTTTACTCGGGGGGTTAACTCCAATGCAGGTTGGATCCCCATGCTATACCAAATCCTCTGAAGTGTCTCCACCACCCACTCAAGTACTTGGTCTGGGGCCCCGGCTGCACTTCCCGCCACAGCTAAGGGAAACAGCAGCATAAAGACACCGTTTAGCGGTGGTAATCGCGATGCTTTCCCCGTCGGAATACTACTCCCGAACAGACTCATCTGGCTGGCAGCCCCGATACAAATATAGGTTGCCATCCTTGAAACCGCGTTCGATGCTTGCTGTCGCTGGATGAAACTGCGCTGCGACAATGGCTTCAGCCTCGAAAAGTGGCAGAGGATCAGTTCGTTCACTAGCAACCGCCCCCGTTGGTAGTGACTCAGGGTTCTTGAGACCCACACGTCTTGATAGACATGACACTGCCCATTGAAGATAAACTCGCGATTATCAGACTTTTCCATGACGAATGTCCACTTGTCTGGAAGATGTGTTTCCCAGGCATCTAGCTCTCGATCGAGCAGCTGGGCCAAGTGGATCACAATTTTTGCGTCGGAATATGGATGGCGGCGGAGAGTTGAATGCAGCCTCATGAACATGACAAAAATGTCAACCAGTTCGATACCTGGCTGGTCCTCGGGCAGCGAAGACATCTTGAGGATGTCGGATGACCAGTTCCGCAGTTCCGCGGGAGATTCTCCCTCGGCCAGGAAGTATTTGACGATTAAAATAAAATAGTACTGCATCTGTGCCTGGTGGTCCAAGCCTCGTAAGACCTGGCTCATGGACTGTTGCATCAGGGCTTCTGCGCCGTCACAATGTACGGCTCAGGCATCCAGCCGATTTGATGGGCAGTTGACCATCTGGCCGCATCATTGAATCACTCAGAGAAGAACCGGCCGGGAAAAAGGGGTCAAGAGTCCATACCTTAAGCAGGCTCAGCATCAGGATGACCTTGAATGTCGGTTGCATAGTCACCCGCTGGCGCCTCTCCACTGCCCCTCGGACGACGCTCAGAGCAGACACGTACTTTTCACTCGCAACCATTCGCAATGGCCTGTCGTTGAGGATGTTAGAAAGAGCGGCTAACCCAACGACTACAGTAGCATCACGCATTGACCGGTTCAGTGTGATAGCGTCCAATAAGGGGGAACCCTGGCTGTTATACTGCAGGCCACTGTCCCGGCTGAAACGGCCGTGACAAACCGGTTAAGGAAGAAGCGCAATCCTTGATCTTCGGTGGCGAGCGGGACGCCGGCGAGGAATGTCGACGTCACAATCGGGGACGTTTCCCAATCTAACATGCTGGATGGAGATTGCGGAGTTTGGGATCTGGAAGGATTATGCGAGAATGGAGTCGAGTCCCGAGCAGCTTGCGCCGGGCTTCTGTTTAGATTTGGCGACTGCCGCATATGGGATCTCGGCGATCACACTGAATAAGGGGAGTTAATGTTTATGGTTGCAGCCATTCAACAATACTTGGACTTGCCTTGATCCGCCTCTCTCGACAACTGAAACAGGCTTTACTAGGACGACCATAGAAGGGCATCGTGGGAAGATTGATCAACCTGATATGCTATTGTTCCAACGGGAATCGAAGGTTCAAAAAGAAAATCGTCACACTACCGGGCTGATAAGCAACCCCCCATCCGGGGAGCCTAAACTGGGTTCTGCAATGCGCTACGTTGCGCTGTGGAGCCTTTGGTGGGCTGAATCCTTGGCGGATGTCGTGGTGACCCCTGGTCTTCATTTCTGATCCCATTCCCTATGATTATGGCTGGAGGTCAGGGTTGTATACCGCTTATTTGGCTAATCATTCCCCACGCCAAGCCAATCAAGAGTCAATATACATGGAAACAAATCGGTCAGGGGCTTATTACTGTGCATGGACTAAATTCTGAAGTAATACAGAGAGAATGGTGAGAATATCCAGCAAGAGTGCAGAAATTAGCATGACTCGTGAGTCCTACACTTCATAATCCAACACCATAGAGCCCCAAAATATATCCGTAGCGATACAAATCCAAAATCCAGCCACCATCCATAATGATCCCAACGAGATCACATATTAGAAAACCCACGGGGTTCATACAACGGCAGCCGCCAGCACCATCGCAGCACCACCCAGTGCCAGTCCGGCATTCCCAGTCACCCGGGGCATGCCACCAGTACTGGGGGACGAACTGGCGGAAGAGCCAGCAGAGGAACTCTTAGTCGCAGATTCCTCCGCGCCTTCAGTCGAGTTCTTAGGCGAGCTCTTGGGCGAGGGCTGAGAAGAAGAACCCTTTTCTGTGTCTTTGACCGCACTAGACGTACTCGTGCTCGTGCTCGTTGCCGTCGCAGGCGATGCCGGCATAGAGCCAGATACAGTGACCGGTAGCAGCGTAATGTCGCTCTTGTCGAGCGTCGTAGTTACAGAGCCCACGAAGTCGAAGGCCGACCCACTCCTTGCTCCAGAGCAAACTCCGCTAGTAGTGCCATCCATAGAACAGGTCAAGCGGCTAAATTTATAATCAGCAAAATTTCCATTTTGAGGGGGGGAGAAGGGGATGGGTATCGCCATACAATGCCTGAGAGGAATCACTGGCTACATATTGAGTAGTCGTCGGGCCTGCCACCAAGGTGGTGTGCATCGCACAATCTCCCGTCGACTTGTGGGCACAGCTGATATCCCAAGTCGTCGTGCTGTGGCTCTCTTCCACGACGGAACCGGCCAGGGTCGTAGACTCGGTGTCAGGGATGAAAAGGGACACGACAGAGTTTTCGGCGGCCGCCAGGCCAAGCAGGGCGAAGGGAATCCCGGATTTCATGGTAAGAGTGCTGTGGAAATGATCAACGCATTTGCAGAGGCGGACGACTCGAGAGACTTTATAAGTGCGACTCAACGATGGATTGTTGTGCACCCTCCTGCTATTATTGCGAATAATAGCAACAATAACTAGATTATTATAAGGGCAATCCCCGAGTTTATTTATGACTTTTCTCCGATCATGAGGGATGTAAGCCAAGATTAGGCTGGGCATTTGGGGCCATCTCCCTTGTAGTGGCCCGTAGAGAGGCCCCAGCACCGCCCGTCTTACTCTTAAAATAGTCAGAAGGATATGCGCAAATCTCTATTTCCTCAGCCCTATTCACCCACGATCTTCTAGGTTCAGCCCCGAATTTTGCTTGAGCCATGCCAAGTCATAGCACCAAGCACCAACAATCTGACCACGTCCATGGGTTCATGTAGCATTTGTAAAATCCTGGCCTCATGCCAAGATGCCTACCCCGAATGTAGGTTAGTTGTCTGGGGGCCGAGCATCATAATACACTACGCGGCCAAAAGTCTGGGTACACTCTATAATTCAGATTTACCCCACTATATTAAAAACTGAATAACTCCCCCAATATTAATTAATATAAATTTATACTAACTATACAAAGAAAATAGGTCAGTATCTAGTATACCAACCCTTCGCTGCGCGTACAGCAGCCATTCTGCGAGGCACAGATCGAATTAAGCTATCAATAACGTTTTGATCAAGCAGTTCCCATACTTCGCATATAGCTTTTTTAAAGACCTCCCAATCCAATTTAGACCTTCCATCACCTAGCTGAGGGTATAATTGAAGAATTTTGATCTTTAGAAGTCGCCATACTGGTTCGATAGGGTTAAGGTCAGGCGAATGCGGAGGCCAGTCGATCACCCAAATCCCATGATTTTCGAACCACTCTTGCGAGATTTCTGCTATATGAATCCTCGCATTATCTTGTTGGAACATCGAGCATGGTTTATATATTAGTAAAAGACCTTCTTCGAGAGTATCGAGATAGGAGTTCGCAGTATAACCTTGCCGAGGTACGTTTTCATCGCGATTCATGATCATCATTTTTGTTCGGCCACCAATCCAGATTCCAGCCCAAATTATCTGCGAAATATCCTTGCTATGACTCACGAGGTTCACAAGATCGCTTCGGTAGGCCTCGGAGGTAAATCGAAAGACGAATTGGACCTTAGAATTCGATGTTCGTTGGACTGAACATTCGTCAGAAAAGATCAGATTCTCCCAATCCGAAAAACTCGCCCATTCATGTACAAAAGCGCGTCTTTTTTGTGCAACTGACTTTGATAAAGGTATTCGCTTCTTACTCTTCCATTTTCGAAGCCCGTAGCCTTTTAAAACGCGTCGAATTGTTGATCGAGAGGGTGAATAGGGAGTATTCGCTCTAAGGGCTCTATAACTTATTCGCGGGTTCCGACGGGCCATCCGATAGATATATCGAATAGTCTGATCGCTGATCTTAGAAGGTCTACCACTTCTAGGCGATGATTTAAGAGTATGGTGTTGCTGAAAGCGATCGCGAGTCCGGTAAATTGTAGTGCGGCTAAGATTTAAATCGCGAGCGATTTTAGTAGGACTTAAGCTATTTTCGAGAGCAAAAATAATCGCTGCGCGAGTAGATTCTGATAATTCATTGTTTTGCCTGCGATTTGCACTAATTTCAGTGCTAAAATATCGCATATTCGTTGTGGTAGAGAGAAAAGAAAAAAGGGGTTAGAATATGGATTTTACTAAAGTGGGGTGCTATACCCAGACTTTTGGACCCCGTTGGTAATAACAACAACAATAATAATAATAAGCTGGGTATTATGACCTCGGCGAAGGAATGGGTGGCCTTGCTGAGGCTGATACGTAGTAGGTAGTATTTTCTAAGGTTAATTCATTTTATGTTAATTTATTGAAGGACTGTCTGGTTAAGAATATAGAGTTATATGTAGGGCTGCGGCTGAGCTCTTTCAGCTGCAAAGTGATCCTTGGAGGTATGGAGTGCGCTATGAGAAACACTGGTTAGGCTGGTGTTTTTACCGTAGAGAAATTATTCAACATTTTTATAAGAGACCAAGAGAGCCCTGGCATTAACATGCTAACATGCATGGTTGCACAGCTTGTTGCAGGGGGAGTGTAGGAGTGTATGCCCCTGCAACGCTAGATAAAATGGCCATTTTCGAGAATTATATAGATTTGCCATTATCTACGGATATAGAGATATATTTTTTATATTAAAAAATCTCGTAGATCCTAAGGATTTAGTATAGTCAAGTAGTAGAATGGAAGGCAAGAAAGAATGCGCCGGACGGGGTTGATCCGAAGGTGCCTGAAACCGCGTGGGTCCTGCCATCTTTCCTCCTTCCGGCATTTGGGGCTTCATCTTCCCAATCCTTTGTCTGCGAACCACCATGATTGTCATCCTTTAGAGATCTTGTGAAGCCCTTGGGAGAATACTGGTCATTATGGAGGGACTCTTCACTCTGCTCGCCTTGGGCATTGTGATGGCAATAACGTGAGTCCACTTGCCCCCCAAAAGGAGGTTGAGACTGTGACCTTGAGAGCAATCGTGGAACTAACACCTTGGGATCTTCCCTCTTCTTTTTTGCAGGTCCTTTGTTGTTGGATCATTACCGCTTGCCTTTACCCTCTCTCCGTCCCAGTTGCGATTAATCTCCTCCATTGGCATGGGAGTGTTGGTGGGGACGTCTTTGATTGTCATCATTCCGGAGGGCATTGAAACTCTCTACAGCGCAAAATCCGCCGGTCGGAAAGATCTCAGCACTCGGGCCAGCGTCGAATGGCAGCACCAGGGGCCGCCGGTGGCGAACCTCCCCATCTTGAATCGAGAAGAACATCCTGCCCCAGTGCCCAGTCCGTCAATTCCTGGGTTGCCTCTGGAGAGCGACAAGGAGGCATCTGTGTTTCCAACGGTTGGGCAGGATCTGTCGAGTCAGGCGCCGGAGCTTCATGTCCGCAAGGACGACTCGAGTGAGAAACCGAGTGAGAATGAAGAGAAGGAGAGCTCACCTCATGCTTGGATCGGCATCGCTCTCATCAGTGGGTTCATCTTGATGTATCTTGTCGACAAACTGCCTGAATTTGCATCCCCCAACAAGAATGACCGAACGCCATACCATATCTCTCTTGACAACCTTGGATCTGGACTGCGACGAAGCTCTTCGCCGTCACGCGAGGGAGGGTTGTTGGAAGCCGGTCACCCCAGCTCCGGGCGCAGTCACAGCTTTGCAACCACCACTGGGCTGGTGATCCACGCTGCGGCGGATGGTATTGCATTGGGGGCCTCTAGCTCAAATACGGGCTTGAGCATTATCATTTTCTTCGCCATTATGGTGCACAAGGGCCCGGCTTCCTTTGGGCTTACGTCCGTCCTGCTCAAGCAGGGTCTATCGAGCCGTGCTGCGAGAGCGCATTTACTGGTTTTCAGTCTCGCGGCCCCCGTTGGCGCTTTGGTCACGTTTCTCTTTGTGCAGATGGTCGGGTCTTCCAGCAGTGATGAGGCAGCTCAGTGGCGGACGGGGATGCTTTTGCTCTTCTCGGGTGGCACCTTTTTGTGAGTCTTTGCCTGGAGATACTCTGGGATTTGTTGATTTACTGACGGAGATACAGGTACGTTGCGATGCACACCATGCAAGAAAATGGCCCCGGGTCGACTCCTCCGCGGGAATTGCCTGTGAATGGGTTTGGCGATTCCCGAGACCCGCAGAACGGATCGGACAAGTCGATGAGAGACTTGATCGCCTCGGTCCTGGGCATGCTCTTGCCGCTATTCTTGCAGATCGGACATGCCCATTAACGCCCGTTGGTTTATGGCTTATGGTTTTTGATATTAGAACTTCAGCACTACGCACTACGTGTTCTCCAAGAGGAATTTCCTCTGTGTATTTTCTCGTTTGCGCGCTCCGGGGGTGGATATCGGGAGTATATACCCATGGGTTGGCATCTGTTGCAACGTATGTCCTTGAGGGGGGCATGGGCATGGAATTCGGGATATGGAGAGAGATCCTAGATTATTTTTTTGTATAATTGGCTTGGGGAAAAAAGTGGTCATCATTGCATGTTTATTTCTGGATCACATCGACGTAGCGTCACTTTGCCTTCCGATCATTCTTCCACGAGAGAGAGATATATAAGGAGTGATGACTCCCCTCCCTATCACTTCTTATATCCTCCACACTTCGGCTCATCTTTTGATCATGGCCATCTGGAGTGATGACACGATTCGTCAGTCTCGTCAGTCTGAATCATCCCCGGATGGTTGGATCGTTCCATGGTCGACCACCGCGTGCCAGACGGTCATCCACGGACTCGGGGCCACTGGATCTATATGTCGCCTCACGGTTCTCTGCCCAAGATTGATATGTTGTGGTGGCTCTTGACGCCTCCGCCTCTTGACGGAAGACGTGCGCGCTGAATAGCGCTTCTCCCAGATGAGATTCCTCATGCTATCAGCACAATACAAAGGTCACTGGATCACTCGACCACTCGACCTCTCGATCACTCGATCAAAGAGGGCTCTATACAAAAGAAGGGTTCTGTCGAGTCCGAAGTGGAGCCGGGGCGAGCTTGGCGGCTTTGTCAGAGTCGAATGAGATGGTCACGACATCCACTCTCTCCGCTTGGAATGTCCCTTTCCTTCATTCGGGCGCTCGTTTTTCTTTGGGGTTTTGTGAGGGGAACATTCTTCTGACAAGCAAAAAGAACCGAACTACAAGAAAGTGCAAAAGAAAAGAGCCCTTCTTCATCCGGGGGATTTTGGCTTCCCCCCCCTCGTTCCCTTCTTCCCTCGGTCATCTTCGCTCCAACCACCCGCGACGTCTGGACCCTCCCCCTCCGACCGACGTCAAACTCCCCCGAGTTCCACTCTATGCCGGTGGACATTGCCCGGCTCTGTGGACGGCATCGATCTCTGTGAAAGTGGCCAAGCGGGAGCATTCCAGTGCGGTCACTTGGCCCCTGCTCTGTCGCAATGGAATCCCATCGAGCATCCTTCAGCGAAGTGGATAGGTCCGTGAACTTGCCGCCCATGCCCGAACAGTTGGAATCATCCTCCCGCGAACCGGTGTCTGACTTCACCAGCACTCCCTCCCGATCGCTGAGCGGCAAGAAGACTGTCACTCCCATCCCGGCCAACTTGCTACCTTCGGCACCCGCCTCCCCCCAACACCAGCGCCCAGTCCCACCCCTCACCAAAGACCACCGAACTGGCACTCGACAGACGAGGAGGAGCATAACTTTTTGCTCAACCTCCGCCTCCACTTCAGTACCCTGTCCAACTCTCGGAAGCAGAAGTTCCTTGAGGGTATTTTGGATGTATGCGATAGCCAACAACTGAGTTTTGTTTCGAGCTACGTCGGTCCTCGCTTGAGAAAGGACCCGTTTTTGGTCTTTCCTAATGAACTCTGCTTGAGGGTAAGTCACACCCCCGGTCGGTTTCCGGCTGTGCATATCATGGAACGGGGCGAGAGAAAGAGGAAGGCAGCTGACTCGTTGACACTCTGCTAGGTGCTTTCCTTCATCGATGATCCAAAAACTCTGGCCAGATCATCTCAAGTGTCACGACGCTGGCGGGAACTGTTGAACGATGACATCACCTGGAAGAATCTCTGCGAGAAGCATGCCTACTCGGTGCGCCGGATATCGGAGGAGAACGGGGACGTCTTTGACTCGTTCACCGCTCCTCCTATAGAGTCAACTCTCGGGGCACGCCCTCGGAATGGGCTGCAACGGCGTCTGACGGCGTCGCATGAACAGTCTACCGAGAGCGCCCCGGGTCTGCCCCGCACGCTTTCGGGAGAATGGCTGCCACCGTCCAGCTTTCCATCCCGGAGGCGGCGGGCCCGGCCAGTCTCCTACCGATCGCAGTTTAAACAAAAATACATGGTTGAGTCCGCGTGGAACAAAGGTGGTCGCTGCACTCAGCGCCATATCACCCCGGATCAAGGCGTGGTTACTAGCCTCCACCTAACCTCCAAGTATATTGTGGTGGCTTTGGATAACGCTAAAATTCACGTATACGACACCGACGGCGACAACCAGAAGACCCTGCAAGGGCACGTGATGGGAGTATGGGCGATGGTTCCATGGGACGACATTTTGGTGAGCGGAGGCTGCGACCGTGAAGTCCGAGTATGGAACATGTCTACCGGGTATGGTGCTTTATTTGATCTTGTTGCTGTCCCCTCCGACACGAACCACGCTGACATTGGGCAGGGCCGGCATCCATTTACTTCGTGGGCACACGTCGACCGTGCGTTGCTTGAAAATGTCCGATCGCAATACTGCGATCTCAGGGTCTCGAGATACCACACTTCGCATCTGGGATCTGGCCACGGGGACGTGTCGGAATGTCCTGGTCGGGCACCAGGCCAGTGTTCGGTGTCTGGCAATCCACGGGGATCTCGTGGTGTCGGGCAGCTATGATACCACTGCACGGATCTGGAGCATCTCCCAAGGTCGCTGCCTGCGCACCCTTTCGGGTCATTTCAGTCAGATCTACGCGATTTCCTTCGATGGCCGTCGGATCGCGACCGGCAGTCTCGACACGAGTGTCCGAATCTGGGACCCGCACTCGGGACAGTGCCACGCCATTCTTCAGGGCCATACATCTCTGGTTGGGCAATTACAGATGCGCGGTGACACGCTCGTGACGGGTGGCTCGGACGGTTCGGTTCGAGTGTGGTCGTTGACCAAGATGGCACCCATTCACCGACTGGCCGCCCATGACAATAGCGTGACAAGCCTTCAGTTCGACAACACTCGGATCGTCAGTGGCGGCAGTGACGGTCGAGTCAAAGTTTGGAATCTCCAGACGGGCCAATTACTGCGCGAACTGTCTACTCCAGCCGAGGCGGTCTGGAGAGTCGCATTTGAAGAAGAAAAGGCGGTGATCATGGCCAGCCGGTCTGGGCGTACTGTGATGGAGGTAAGTTCTTTTCTCCCAGGGAGGCCTTCGTCGTGATTGTCGCTCGTGGCTAACCCGCTCTCCAGGTCTGGACTTTTTCTCCCCCTGACGAGGACGATGATGCGGTTGAAAGCACTTCCAGCACCCCCGCGATCGGGTCAACTAGCGAGGACCCTGAGATGACCGTCCACACACGCAACCGGGCTCTTTTCTCCGATCCAACACCGACCCTGAGCAGCGACGGTGATCAGCCGATGCCTGATGCTGATGTGGATGCGCCCACCACTTGACGACCCTTGGCCTGATCTAGCCTGCGATTTCATGATTACGGATATCTTTTTTTGTTTTCTTTTTGAAAAATCTTGGATCTATTGATCTATTCCTTTTATTTAACCATTTATTTGCCCATTTTCGAGCGCCATGGGTTTTTGTTCTCGCCTCGGACTTGTGATTTTGTGTTCTACTGTCCTCTCTAGAGCACCAAGCGGTTGCATATTTGGTGTTGATACACATCGGGTTGGCTGTTCCTTGGGGTCACCACCGAAGAAGCTGTCATCTTGAGGAGTTCCTGTGGAGGATTCGTGTTCTCACTATATTTTCTTTTCTTTTTTTTTTGGACTATTGATGCTGGGCCTCATTTCGGAGTGTATTGGATTCAGATGATACCTTGAGATTTCCAATGGGATGTGCAATGCACTGCCTTTCTTCCTATCCGCATACAAGCCCTATCTCCCTTTGATCTTGCATCATGATGCTCCCACCATTCAAAAGTAAATGACGATCGCCTCGAGGCTGAGTTTTGAGGACTGACTAAGCGGCTCCGATGGGACCAGGGTCGAGTTTCTGGGGTTCCCAAGGTTGTTCCAAGGTTGTCTTTCTTGATTACTTCTCTCTTTTCCATCTCCTGGACCCCGCGCCAGCCTGTCGCTCGATGTCCAGTTCTAGAAATTTGCTCGTGGGTGTCTATCCTTTATGAGACAGACCCGCTCGACTCGGACTAGGCAGCCGAGTTGATTTGCGCACGATCGATGACCGTTTGTGGACCCTTGTGATCTGTGGACGGAACGGCGCCCGTGGCGTGGATACTATCTGTAACCGTCATCCGTATTGTCTGAAACTCGGGGGTGAATCATGGTGTATGGGGGGAAGCCGAGCACTGGATGTTACCTGTGTCGCAAGCGAAAGATCAAGGTAAGCGCAGCCCCCCTGACGGACATGGCTTCACAGATGGGGGACGGATATGCTACCCCCTTATCTGGAGTTGAGAATAACACCAAAAAAAAAATACTAAATGGCATGTCCTCAAGTGCGATGAAGGATTCCCCGAATGTCGCAACTGCATGGTCTACGGGCGACCTTGCCCGGGGTATCGGACAGATGCGGTTTTCCGCAACGAGACCAAGAAAGTCGAACAACTGGCCAAGAAGACTAGTAGTCCCTCGAACAGCAGTAGCCGCAGCCAGTCATCAACTTTGCAGTCGCCGGTGCTGGTCGACCGACGGCGTGACAACTTCCGCGAGTCGCCCACGCTGACGTTCTTTTCACCGGCGGATGCGACCTGGGAACAGCGCGCGATCTGCTTTTTCTTTGACCAGTACACAATCTACGGCGACTGCGAAGATGGAATGGGTCATCTCGAATATATACCTCCCCTGTATGCGAAAAGTGGCGAGATAGACAGCGCCGGGAGACCATCGTGTCTACGGTGGGCAGTGGATGCGACGGCGTTGATGACCCTCGCAAACACGGCCCATGCCCCACAGCTAATGGTCAAGGCTCGTCAAGGCTATGGCAAGGCCTTGCGCGGCCTGCGGGATGCACTGGCATCGCCGGATCAGGCTCTCAAAGACGAGACCTTTGCCAGCGTGGTTCTTCTCTCGCTCTACGAAGACATCAGCGGCGAGCGGAATGGGCTCTATAGTTCGCACACGGCCGGGTTTGAGTTCTTGATGAAACTCCGAGGCCAGGGCCAGTTGAACAGTCAATGGGGCCGGGACATGTTCAACTTTGCTTGGACGCATACGGTATGTTACTTCATCCCAGTCACCGCTCGATACTCAGACTGATTATGATGGGGAAATTTAGTATGTTGAAGTTCTTGCCTTGGGAGACAAGCCCCGATCTAATGCGGACTGGGTTTTGGACCTGCTGGACCCGGAAGACCCCGTCGAGCGGCTCATGCTGGCGGCGTCTAAGCTCAGCCACTTGTTTCTGTCGATGCAATCCTCGCCCAGCCCGCCCGACCAAGCGACCGTTGCGTCGTGGATTGCCGCGGGCCGGGCTTGCGACTTCGAGCTCTCGCAGTGGAGTCAGCATTTGCCGGAACGCTGGCTGCCGCTGATGGTGTACTCGGCGCAGGGCGAGCCGCTTATAACCTACCACCACATTTCCAATTGCGTGGTCTGGAATTACTATCGCGCCGTGCGCGTGATGCTACAGCAACTGCTTCTCAGTCTGTATCGCACCCTTGCTGCCGTGACTGCCCGGTACACTCCGACTACAACGCCGCCGCCGTCTCCAGACCCAGGCCTCGACCCCAAATTGCTGCGCGCCGTCATCCAGGAAATGACCACCGACACGTGTCGCAGCATCCCCTTTTCGCTCGGCGACATTGACACCCTCGCCCGACCCGTCAGTCCGGCATCGAATGGCAAGTTGCCCCTGCGCGCCGCTCAGGCTTATGGTCTGCTCTGGCCCCTGTGGTATATTCTCTCTTGCGGCTTGCCATCCCCCACCCAGGTTGACCAGATCCGCTCTGTGCTCACTCGTGTTGGGTCGACGCTAGGCATTAAACTTGCATTGATCCTGGCTCGCGAGGCAGATCGCATCCGCGGTGAACAGTCTTGAGCTTATCAGTGCCAAGATAATCGTACGCTGTCTGGAGGACATGGGCTTAGTATCCTTGTATAAACATGGTTTCGATGTTTGCCATTCTTCATACAGGAAATATTGGCGTTGCTGCATAGTCGATGGATAACGTGGGATCTAGATATCTCTTCTACTCATTCTATATATTTGCATCGCTCCGTTGCGGCACCCCCGGGTCGTGACGTCATGGCCATCACCTCCGCCAGAACCATTTTAGATCTATTATAGCACGGAATTTGGATGAATTCATTTCCCAATTGCAATGGAAAATTCAAGGCATATATAGAATTGCGCAACATCCTTGGTCATAAAAAGTCAGCCTCAATAGGCCTACCCCCAGTAGATGATCATCTGCAGACGACCGCGGAGATAAGCATCGTGCCGGCTTAGCCGTTCCCGGCAGTTCATAGTTCTCATAAATCGGACATGAGAGGCTTGTGTAGGCTTGTGTAGGCTTGTGCTGTGGGCCCGAGTCAGGTTTCTGACGCCATGGGACTTTGCTATTAATACGTGCATGGCCTGCTCGTTGATACTGTTTCTCCCTTCTCCCTTCTCCCTTCTCCCCTCTCTCCTCTCTCTCCTGTCTCCCCCTTCTCCCCGCCCCCATAGCGTGCGTGTGTCTAGTGATCGTCCGTGCGACTTGCTTTCTCTATGGCGCAACAAGAGCGGAAGCTTCCCTTTGGGAAGATTGAGCCCAATTCGGCCAAATATTTCTACAGCTGTGCATTCGGCGGGATTGTCGGTATGTTGTACACCTCCCGGTAGTATTGACATCTACTAACTTTAATTCCTAGCATGTGGTACGTCTCTTTTGAGTTTTTGAGTTGAACAGCCGCCACACCTTCCCCAGATTCATTAACCATTCTCCAATAACAGGACCAACACACACGGCGGTGACGCCGCTGGACCTGGTCAAGTGCCGACGACAGGTCGACCCAAAGATCTACACGTCGAACATATCTGCATGGCGCTCGATCTTCGCCAAGGAAGGGCTGCGCGGGGTGTTTTTCGGGTGGTCGCCGACGTTCCTGGGGTACTCGTTCCAGGGCGCCGGCAAGTACGGGCTGTATGAGTACTTCAAGTACGCATATGGCGAGCAACTCTTCCCACACGCGAACCGCACGCTCGTCTTCCTGGGCGCCAGCGCGTCGGCCGAGTTCTTTGCCGACATGGCGCTGTGTCCGCTCGAGGCTATCAAGGTCCGCATGCAGACCACACTGCCGCCGTTTGCCAACAACCTGCGCCAGGGCTGGAGCCGCATTGTTGCAAAGGAGGGCTTCGGTGGTCTCTACAAGGGCCTGTACCCGCTGTGGGCTCGTCAAATCCCCTATACCATGACAAAATTCGCGACCTTCGAGGAGACTGTTAGTCTGATCTACAGGTCTCTTGGCCAGCCCAAGGAGAGCTTTGGCCAGCTGACCCAGACTGGGGTGAGCTTTCTCGGTGGCTACATTGCTGGGATCTTTTGTGCTGTTGTCAGCCATCCTGCTGATGTTATGGTCAGCAAACTGAATGCTGATCGCCAGTGTGAGTGTTTTCCCTCTTCTTCTCTTTCACATTGTATACCATCACGTTCTCTGCTAACCTGCGCAGCGGGCGAGGGTGCCCTCAAGGCCGTGTCCCGAATCTACGGGAATATCGGATTCTCTGGTCTGTGGAATGGCCTTCCCGTTCGAATTGTGATGCTGGGTACCTTGACAGGCTTCCAGTGGCTTATGTGAGTTGGTCTGTATCGTGGAAAACGGAGCTATGCTGACCACAGTTGTTTAGTTATGACTCGTTCAAGGTATTCCTTGGTCTTCCCACTACTGGTGGGCACTAGAGATGCTCTTTTCTCTTTTCTCTTTTCTCTTCCCCCCCCTCCTTCCCGCTTTTATGTTTTGGCGGAACTTTTTCATGACTTGCGAGGTTGTATGTAGCTATGGAGTCAATAGAGACATTCGAAAGCTCGAGATAATTGAAAGGAATAGTGTAGACTTATTTCCTCTGGCTATCCATGCAAGTCCTAGAGACTACATATTTAATCCAATGACCAGCATATTATAAGCCAAATACGAGTGTATCCTCTTCAGATCGAGCATCCCGCCCTATTGAACTTTCAAGCCTGTGTTTTGTGGCATGACATTGGTGCCTTATATCCAAGGCCCACATAATGTATGGCTTCGGAGGGATAATAATCCGAGGAGCTGTAATTCACCGCCTTTGTTATCGCGGCAGTTTCGACCAAAGAAGGTCGCATGGCTGGGCGACATACTCTACTCTCGTCTCCAAAGGTGAGGTGGTTCATTTGATACGACTCATAACGGCGTATATCCTATATACTCATGGATTGTACCCTGTTGTTGATTCTCTGACTCTCACTTCACCTCACCACCCCACGCTCTTTCTTCCCCCCTTCACATCCCCAGTCTAACGACCGCAAGACGACCTGACTTCACACCACATCTGAGCTATTGCAACTTTCGATCTTGCCCTTCAAAGAAGAAGGAATCAACAAAATATCACCTTATCTTCTTTCAATTGACCCTCCCACCAGCCACTCCGCCATGGACACTTCCCACGCGCCCAATCTTCCATCCGCCAACCCGCCCAGCGTTGAGATTGCCTACAAGCTCAAATGCGGCACAATTAAGAAGAGGCTGGCTGAGATCGAAGCGGAAAATGAGCTCATGCGCACCCGTAACCGCCGTGGATGGCAGTACATCCAGAAGATGCGCCTGGAGTCGTGCATACTGCTGGAGCGGCTGACCAAGGTCACTGGCATGGCTGAGGAGGCACAGTCTGGCTCAGCAGACCCGGAGCTGCGTGCCCGTACTGCGGCCATGATTTCTGGTGCGACCTCGCTCAATGGACTCGGTGGAAGCAATGGTGCGTATCTGGAGGATGAGACCGAGGGCAGCTCCGATGAACAGCCGCGGACGGTAAGCTATTCCCTATGACCTTGTTCTCGGTGTTTTCTCGATGCAGGTCTCCTTTATTTCTGTGTTCCCCCTATTCCTACATGCCAAAACCTGGAGGACAACAGACAGTATGCTAATCTAGTCCGGTCTACCACTCAGCCTGAAGAACGCCCTCTCCGTGTCAAGCGCTCCCGCAAATCCAACGCCAACCCCGATATTGGTGCCGACGATGACGCTCATGCCCCCGAGCATGCCGACCCTTCCGGCGCAGCCCTGCCCCGCCTTGCCCCTGCCCCGACGCAGGACCAGCTTACTTCCTCGTTCCGCGTCCAGGCGGGTAGCAATGGCTCTGCCCACGAGGGTGACCATACCCCGGCTGCGGCCAGTGTGCACAGCAATGACCGCTGTGGTAGCCACCAAGATCAGCCACCGCTTGCGGAACCTGCCCCTGATGCCGGTCCCACGCCTATGGACATGGATACCAAGGAGCCCAAGGTCGAGGCACAGTGATGAGACACTGGGCGTTGCGTCATTGAAAATCAGTTGTGCTGCTTCTCCTCGCTCCGTTTCCTCTTCCTTCTGTCACCAAATTTTTCTCTTCATTTCCTTGTATTCTTCGGAGTGTGTTCTGTCTGGGGGGGGTTCTACAGCGCCGATTCCTTTTTTTATTATGGTTGATTGATTTGCTTGCGTCTGACGACTTTTCCTCTCCGATCTGATTGATTTCCTTTGTTTTTTCTCTTGTCGAGTCAGTCGGCTACAAAATACCAGATATCCTGATCCTGCCGATTCAGAGAGTTTAATGCTCATTTCTCAATTGTTTCTGATATTCATAGATCCTGCCGTATCTTCCAGCCTGGGAACGCAAGGAAGGAATACGCAAACACCTTAATCAGATTCCATAACCCCCAAATACAGCAGTAACTGTATGAACAAAGAGCGGCATTTGTACAACGCAAATGAGTCCCATTCGCCCGAACCCCCTGTTCCCCCGATTCAAACACAACGCCGATTCCTGTAGATAAGACATGATAAAGATGATCAGAAAATAGGATGGAAGAATGGTAATATTATGGTTGGCTGTCTTCTTCGATATACAATTGAAGACAGATTGGAATGCGAGGTGATGTTACAGAGATAGCGGGGAGGAATTGGTGACGGTTGTATTGGATGGAGGATGCGAAGTGGCAGATCAAGGGTCGAATTCGTTGAGGACCTGCAAGGTATTCGCACCGAAACACTCGGCCATTCTTTGGTATAGAGGCGGGTCCTGATCGAATTCTCTGCTATCATGTAGTGGCAGTTGGTGAGTCTGCGGTAAATATTGGTGTATGATGTGGGCTTGTAATCAGACGTATCATCGTATTGAATTCAAAACTCGAGGAATTCATAGTTCTGCCCCTAGTCCACGCCGGCGTAGAGGTCAACAACGATGTTAATCGCCGCGACGAGAATTTCCGCGGCAATCAAAACGATCACTATATCTTGGGTTAGCAAGTCCGTGATACACGGGTTGAGTCCGGGTCATACCAATCCATTCAAGATATTCGCCATGGCGGTGTGTCAGCTGGTCTTTGAGGACGGCCAGGAGATCCGCAATGACGTCCAGGCGTTCCGTCAACAAACTAACCCGCTGGTCCATCTCCAAGTAACTCCGGACGGCCTGGTACACAGGCTCCAGTTGCGGCTCGGCCCAGAAAAGCTCCGGGCTGTCAAGAACCGAACCCTGGAGATGGATGTTGATGCGTAGGATAAACAACTCCCCGATTTGCATATTAATCTGTCGGCGCGTGAGGTTGACACTACCTGTTTGCGCGATCTGAGCTGGCAACGGCGCGGTGTCGGAGATGGTTTCGGATACCAGGTCCTCGAAGAGTGAGGTTTTGACGGACTGAGCCAGGGCATGCGAAATTGCCAGTTTAATCATGTGGTTGCGCGGGTCCCGGAGCGAGATGAAGTCGTTGTATATGCGCGCCTGGTACTCGCGTGCATAGTAAAAATTGAAGTTCTCGATCTGCGTGTCGTCGGGACTTAATATAGAGGACGCGAATTTCGAAATATCCGACAAAAACCGGGATTCATGCGCGGGCGTCATTCCCCATATAACCACGGTGCCGTAGTCGAATAGGAAAACTTCCGGCGTGTGGATGGTAGTGTCAATGTCCGGGGTCTCTTCGGACTGAGATGTCGATACTGCTCGGTCGCCGTCGACATCGACCGCATGGCCGGCCTCATCCCGAAAGTCGATCAGATCCTCCCGCCGAGCCTTGGTGTTGTCTTCCACCTCCACCGCGCTGTCGGAGTATCTACGTTCACTGGGCCGCCGCTCATGATGCCCATTATTTCCAGAACCAAATATCCGACTGCTTTTCTGTTTTTCTTCATGTTCGTAATCGAATGTCGAGTAAACGCATTCGTCATACAGCTTGGGGTTGGCGCCGCGAGTTTTGGCCCGGGACTTGAGGAATTTGATTACTCCTTCCAGTCGATACGAATTGGCCGTGCAGTATGCAGTAACTCGGGGGATGCGCTCGCGGTCGGCCTTGCCTAGTCGCGCCGCATGACTGCGGGCAGCAGGTTCCTTGATGCGAGTGATCTGCGAATACACATCGCGCGGGAAATCTCCATCGAATCCTTCTTCCTCTTCCGCGGTAACGGGATCCGGGAGGAGCTTGAGCTTCTGAGCCTTCTTGGTGGTTCGCTGTGGCCCAATTTTCGATGCAGCGACGGCGCTGACAGGGAGGGTGTTGAAAGGAGCGCCATGGCTATTCCGACGACGGAGCTTGCTGTTCAAGGCCGAAAGCATCGGCTGCCCGCCCGGGCGAGGCTGGCCACCTTGTACATTGATATTCTGAACAGGAGGAGATCCGGTCTGGAGCGGACGAAACGTGGGATCGGAGTTGTTCGTTCCACCGTAGGTGCTGATTGTCGTCAGCGGGTTGAACGTTACGGACCGCGGCGGCCGGTTCGATCGCGGTGACGTATTAGAGGTCGAGTTTTGGTGCTGGGGTAGTAGGGGAGAGGTTTCTGCTGTGGAAGCCATGGCAATAACAGGGACAATGGAATATATCAGACAGCCATTGACAGATTGGCGTGCCAGAAGCTCCGTCGAGGCGAAAAGTTGAGGTGAAGCAGCTTCCAAGGTTCGCACGTGCTGGGATTACTAAGCACCAGTGGATCTGGAGATGTCGATCTTATAGATGTACATCGCTGGTGTAGATGGAGATATCGTAGGCAGGCAATTACTTAGACTACTTAGACGAAAATGATGCTGGAATGGGCTTTTGTCTGCTGTATGGCTGGGCATATAGAATGCACTGGGGATGGGGAATATAGACATGAAGCAGCCCAGTAGCCCACCTGTAGACTGTCATACTGGATCAATCAAAACACAATTGCCGTCTCATTCACCGGCGCACAAACCCAGATGGCCCACCTGTTGTCCTCCGAAGCCCATTGACTTGTGCGGTGCTACGGTCTCTCTTGAGCCAACTGTCCTTGGCATTCCGACCGGCCTTTGATGCCTTGGGAGGCAAGGTGGTCTTAGTCTTCTTTTTTGAAGACGGCGTGTCCAGAACCCGAATTGAAACATCCCCAACTTGAACATCCTTGGGCACCTTGTCCGTTTTGTCCAGAAACCTCAGCTTATTTGACTTCTTTGCCTTGATAACCGCATCCTCAACGGGTGGTGTCGGGGGCCGTGCAATAGGTTCTGCATTCAAGATCTCATCTGGAAGCAGGGCCGGAAGAGCTCGTCGTCGTACATCCTGCGTAGTTGATCCCTGTAGGGTGGCCGTGCTCTCGGAGAGCAAATCATCGGGGACTGCAGTCTCTTTGTGTTTCATACTTGATTTGGCTTGTAACTTCCGACGCTCATCCATTTTTCGCCGCTTCTCTTTCTTGACTTCCTCTTCCCTGTGGACAGATTAGAAAAGAAAAACCAAAAAACAATCCACCTCGAATTGGCGGTGGGTTTGGGGGGAGATAGAACATACCGTTGTTGTGCTCGCTCTTGCTTCTTGGCCTGCTCTTTCATCTTCAATAATTGGGCAGAATTATCGATCGCCTCCGGTGCGTCATCGCTATCGTCGTCGTCCTCATCCTCGGCATGATTTGGCGTTTGCGAAATTTCCTCGGGGTGTGTCTCCTCGGGTAGCATAGGCTCTTCGCTATCAAATCGGAAATGATTACTTTTCGCCGGAGGTGCAGATGATTTGTGCTCGGTCTTTGGCGAGGTATCGTGTGCAACATCACCCTCGGTGGTCTCGGCAGCTTCCAGGCTACTTCTCTTTCTCCGCTTGGTCTGCTGGCCATCGGTCTTGGCTGTGCTGGTGGATTGGATCTTGCGTTTCGCGTTTGTCGTCACGGCGTTGGTGTGATCTTTCGCAGACTCGGGCGCGACAACCCGTTGTCTTGTCGCCGTCACCATCGTGGGATTAGTCGCGGCGGAGGCACCAGCAGAACCTGGGTGAGCTTCTTCGGGCTCCTGTCGCGTAAATAGACCCTTGGCTACAGTAACCAAATGGGCAAACATAGAGAATACGAAAAGAAGACTCAAACGCCGCGAAACGATAGGGGGAGACCTGTGCAAGTGGAGAGAGTTGAAGCCAAAAAAAATCTCTCGGCTTAAGGATTTCCCGAGCTCCACTTTGATACTGTCGCTGGATAATTCTTGTTATATGTTGCGAGATCTATGAGATCAATGAGCTTCAGTGGTTTATTGAGTTATTCAGTTGCAATTTGAAATGCTTAGTTATAATCTAGATTTTCTTACGGGTTTGTAGATCCCAGTGCTGATTGCGCCGTGTATTCTGGCTTCGGGCGTCCAAGTACAATGTTCCATATACTTCTCAAGGCCCTTTTGTCCTAGATCTCTGTACATTGGAATCCTCGCTGGGCTCGTGAAAAAATGCCCCGCAAACTATACATTTGGTATCTCAAACATATGGCGCCCCGAAACAACAAAGCAAGACCCTCTGCGTACTCCCAATCTCGAAATGCTTAACCACACATGTTATAACGCCGGTGACCATGCAGCGAATGTATAACGAGAACGCTCCCCGAAAGAAAGAAGAAAAGAAAATATTTACATAGACTCAACCATCTGTGGGTGTTGGTCTTCCTGGGCCCTGATGGAGCCAGCCACCTGCTGGCGTTCCATGGCCTCCTCCCGAGCTCGGATGAAGTCGTCCTCACCAATGTCGCTGAGCTCATCGCAGAGCTGGGCGTACTCATCGGCGTCATCCCCGGTCGTGGCCCACATGCTTTCCCGTAGGCGTTTGTTTCGCTCCCGATCCTCTTCGATCCGCTGCTCGATCTGTCGCTTGTCCACGCGCATGCCGGGGGCCTTGGAGCTGGCCGGGGTCCCGGTCTTGGAGGTGGTGTTACCCCCGGGGGCATCTTGTTGCTCCAGATCTAGGTGGGCTGGGTGAGTGTCGCGGTCTTTAAGTGCGGCGTCGATGTTCGCGACGGTTTCGGCAGAGAGAATGTCCTTGGTTTGCAGGTTGGTCAAGACTCGTCGGACGTGCTTGACGTTGGCGGCTCCAGTGCCATCGGGGGGCACGACGGCATCGACCACGCGAAGAATGTCCCGCTCCATCATTCGCACATAGGGAGTATGGTTCTCCTTGATGGCCATTTCGCAGAAATGCTCGATGAAGTACATGATGTTGGCGCGATTGTTCATGTTGTTCTACCCTCCATGTCAGCTTTGAAATTTCATTCTAGAGATTCAATTTGCGCCCGCGGGCTGCTACTCGTTTCTCTTACTCGTTCAAGCTGCTCCAGAATGCATGAGTGGAGGTCTTCGTCCAGGTCGCGATATTTGAGGGCATAGTGGGCAGCTTTTTGCGACGATGTGACTGAGGCGCTTAGGTGCTGCAACTGCATCGTAAAACGCATGCGCACCTCGAACGGATCGACCATCATCTTGTCTTTGGGGATATTTTGTGGGGGGAGAGTCTTGGAGATTCCGAGAGTCGCCATTTTGGTCCTGGGGACTCCGGGCGGTGTGGACGAGTGGAAAATGTGGGGATGAAGCAAAGTAGGAATGAGAGAATGAGAGAAAAGAAAAGAAAGACGGCAAATGATTTCAATATCATGTATAACGAAGACAATGAGATCAAAGACATATACTCTAATATCTCCGTCCCATATATCTTGAAATGCTCCCTCCCCACCTACAGTGTTTCATTTTATTTATCTTCCCCAGCTACTACTTTTATATCTGAATATTTACCTCCTGCAACATGGATCTCCCTAATACGAAGAAAAGACTATATCGTCACCAAGATACAAAACCGATATATATATATGGCGCAAACTAAATCTATACAGCTCTGATCGAACGAGCAGAAACCTGCCACACATATATGATGTACGGGATTTACAACATGACCAATCGAAAAGATGAGAAGTGATATTTGGACAAGTGATTAAAAGAAAAGAAAAGAAATGCCGATATTCCCTCGACTATCTCCTCACATTCGAGGGATCATTTCGAAAACAAAACGAGCAAGATGCCGACAATATTCCACATCATGGAAATTCTGTCCTTACAACTGCATTTCACAAAGAAAAATCTTGAAACGTAAAAGCATTAACAGTTTCTGCGCTATTTCTAGCCGTAACTCTGACCCATATGATTTTTCGTACAAATACGCTATTTCCCTCGACTAGATCCAGTCTTTCAGCGAATAAGCTACTGCCTCTGTTGAAATTTCAGCAAACGCCTGCAAGATCACAACCGCCAGAGAACACTGAGCAAAAGATGACCAAATCATCACAATGTACAGAAATATGATCTGGAGCCGAAATGGCCTCACAGTGACTCTCGCCCCAGGGAGCTACCGACACTATCCCTCCCATCGCCATGGAGCAACCCGATTTCTTCGGCTGCATGGCTGTTGTGGAATCCATCGCCACGGAGACTCTCTTGTCGGCGAAACTCCACGCCATTCAGTACCGACCACACATCCTTCTTGGTAAGCAAGCCCTGCAAGATACCTTTGTTCGCGAAGATAACGTAACGCAGCCCGAGTCGCTGGAACATGCGGAGCACAACCAGGAAGCTGACCTTGCTATGCAGCGTGATGGGAGTTTGATCCATCCAGGGTCGCAAGTCAAGCGTGTCCACGGGGTCTGCGAACGGCTGATGAACAAAGAAGACCTGCGTTTCGCTGGACAAATTGCGACTGGAAGGCGAGGCCGAACACTTGAGAGCAAACGAGAGCTCGTTGCGGGTAATATACCCGAGAAGAAGAGGATTCGATGTTTCGGAAACGACAGGGAACCCACGATATGTGGTGTTGGCAATGAGGCTGTAAAGCGAGCCAATGGTATGACCGGTGGCGGTAATGACAGCCATATCGTCAACGGTGGTCATGACCCGGTAGGCGGATACGTCGGGCGGTGTCGTGTCGTCACGATGGTCGAGGAAGGGATATTCCTTCAGTTGAATCCAGGATTCATAGATTCCGCGCTTCCCAAAAATGTCACCGCACCATTTGGACAACATCACAGCAATCATGATGGGAATCACATAGGTCAGAGCGCCGGTGAGCTCGAACATGATGACGACAATTGACAGGGTCATTCGAGTCGCACCGCCCAGCGCGGACGCAGCACCGATGATAGCATATAGACCGGGTGTCACGCAAGGGATGTCAGGCTCGCATTTGCTGAACAAGAAAGCCTTGGGGTAGGCTTCCTGCCACATGCGCACGACTATTCCCAGAGCACGCCCGTAAAGAGCACCGATAGTTACCGATGGAAGAATGATACCGGCAGGGACTTCGAGCCCAAAAGTGATAGAAGAAAGGAAAAACCCTAATAACGCAGCCCCCAGAAGGGAGAAAATCACCCCAACCGACGCAGATCCAGTCGTGCAGAGACCAAACCGATCATGAGTCGAACTCCTGCACTCGGCAAACAACCCCTGAACCAACTCGGAGTTTTGAGCCCGCATGAAATGGTTCGGAAAATTGATCAAAGCCGTCAAGAGTGCTACCATGGCCACTTCGACGAGCGGTCGAGACCAGGTCCGCGTTCGTCGCCATTGGGCAATTTTGATGTTCAAGCGAATAAGGAACGCGCCGTAAAGACCGCCAACGATCCCAAGAAGAATGAACGGGATGATTTCGAACCGGTGCCACCCTCGGGTGTATGTGACTTGGTACAGGACAATCTTGCCCGTGCGGAATGGGTTCAGTGCCTGTAAGGTGACGGCAGCGATCATGGCACAGACAAAACTTTGCCACATTGTCTTGTCAGGGAAGTAGTACGATAGTTGCTACCAGTAATTAGTATTTCATAAGTCGAAGATTCCTCAAACATGTTCCATACCTCTAAGCTGAAAAGCACCCCTCCGATGGGTGCACCAAAGGCAACTGAAATACCTGCAGCCGCGGCTGCAGAAAGCACCTCACGTTTTCGAGCTATCAAATTAGCTCATGAACAGCGATGCTAACGATAGAACTATGGGACACACACCTTCATTGCCGTTAAGGACACCGAAAGGTTTCATAATGATGTTGGCACAACAGCATGCAACATGCACGAGCGGGCCTTCTTTCCCGAGCCACAGACCCGATGCGACTGCGAGGCACTGAGGAAAAAAAATTGGTTAGAGCAAAAGAGGCACTGGTCAGCCAGATGGGCGAGTTACCAGGCCAAGTGATTTGATCAAAAGCGTCCAAGGCCCCATAAAATGCCTGATGACAGTCCCACCGAGTACCGTCTTGATCTCGGGAATTCCACTATGTCGAGCATAAATGGCATAATGCTGCACTAGAAAGCAGGCGCAAATGGCAAATACCACCTAGGGGGTGTGAGCAGAATGCCTGACGCCAAAAGGATCAGGAGACATTACCGAGAACAAGATATAAAAGAAGTATCCAACTGTATATCCAACCCCAGTAGAGGTAACGCCAAATGCTTCCCACCATGGCGTCCAATCAAGACAGGTGGAGAAATCTGAGGTTGCTGATCAGCATATGCAGCCTAGGTGGTCGGGCTAGGACGAAATGAGCGCACCATCAAGGCCCCAGCAGCAGAAAGTCCTGTTCAAATAGAACTTGCCGCCTCCACTGCCGCTCTTGCAGAAGCCAGTTTTCAAGTCGCCAAGCCAATAAGTCGCAATATCAATGACAGCAGCAATGATGCCAACTGCAACTCCCGTCGCAATCAACACAAACCAGACATTGCCAGCGTCAAGAATTCGACGAGTTGGTCCCAAAACGCCTTGACCACGGGAGTAGAGAATCCGCTTCCTTTGTCGCTCTTTGGTATATTCGTAGATCCAATCGATGGCGGTGAAATCATCGTAGCCTACCCGTCGCCCTGGGCCTTCCGCATACCAGTCTAGATGATCGCCACCTTTAGGCGCATTTGTGTCCCCATTGAGATCAATTGGTTCATCGGGCTCCACTGGTGATGAATCTCCATTGTGTCCTTGCGGCCGTGGTGAACTAAACCCCGTATCCGACCCGCTGGGGCTGCTGGAGAAAAGGTTTGACAAACTGAATCGAGAGCGATGTTTCGGTTTTCGCTTGAAAGTAATCCTATACACCCCATATGATCAGTAATGAGAAGCACTCAGGGGTTATGGGCACTGTACGGCTCCTGTAATCCCTCGGCGCGATCCATTCTCTGAGGTCGTAGGACACGGTGTTCAGCGGGACTTGGGTGCTCCCACTGGGCCTCGCTGCCCGAGTCCTGACCATTCATTGACATCGTGAACCATCAATACACCGTCGAGCCAGCATCTCCCGATCGAATAATCTCAAGTGGGTGAATGTCTTTGTTGAACATCGAAGCTGTGGCGCAAGCTCCTGAACGAAGGCGGTGAGTACACGAGGAGTGCAGAGTGTGGGGCTGCGCCACACGCTGCGGCAGAAAAAAAAAGTTGGAGACGCCGAGTTTCCTTTGCTTTTCTTTACTCACCGAAAAAAGAGTTCCTCTCGCGACCGGGCTTAATATGGATGAAAGGCCCGTCTACGAGAGGGCTCTGTCCGAGTCCCAGCTGCTTGAGCAGCTTCCGAGGGAGATTGCCACTCTCATTCGGACTGCGTCGGGGACTGAATACCTCCACGCGCTTGCGCTTGGCGCATTACAACCGGAATGTACAGAAAGCGCGTTCAGACTCTACGAACCGATTTTTGTTGATCTAGCAGCTCGATGGCTTCGATTGGATACTCCTGCCGATTCTATTTCCATATTCTTGGCATTTGCTCGAATACTCCCATTTGCGACCCATTTGCGGCCGTTTGCCAGCCAATATGCCTTATCACAGGCTGGACCTCTATCGGCTTTGGCTGTGTCGGAGGAACTCTCGTTTCTCAAGCTGAATATCCCAAGCGCCCGTGCCTTACTCCTCGCTATATTTCGCCTTTTGTCGTTCGACCTTGAAACATTCTCGAAAGCCGTTTCGCCGCTTCAACTTCAATCCCTATTCCAACACCACGACCGAGTTACAAGATACCTCGCCGTGCGATGCTTTGCACTATATATGCATGCTGCGGACGCAGCAACTGAGAAGATGGTGCGAGTCAATCTCGGGAATGAGCCGATTGCAGGGGAGTGGGAAGGCATCACAGTTGACTACCGCGTTTTGGGGCTATGGGAAGAGCGGCGATGGGAGTCCCTGCAAAAACACATGCAAAATGAGAGATTATCACGGACAGAGTCGGAAACTTTGGCATTGATGAACAGGGCACAAGAATCCTTCACGGCCAGAACTGCGGCAGTCTGTGGAGTTTTGATTCCCAGATTAAAAGATGCGCCCCCATCGTCATTTTCCGTTGTCAAGACACCAACCGCCATCACAAACTTGCGCAGAATTGCGACTTCATTGCTTGGATTCAAGCCTATCCTCCTGATAGGCTTACCAAATGCCGGGAAGACATCTTTAATCAACGATGTTGCCGCCACCATGGGCCAAGCCGAATCCATGGTTACACTTCATTTGAATGAGCAGACGGATGCCAAGAGTCTGCTTGGCATGTATGCCACCTCGTCTGCCACCGGGTCGTTTGCCTGGCAGCCTGGTGTTTTGACCAAGGCTGCAAGGGAAGGCCGCTGGGTCTTGATTGAAGATCTGGATCGAGCTCCATCTGAGGTCCTCGGTCTCATTCTTCCAATCATTGAGAGGGGGAGTTGACCGTTGCCAGTCGAAGGGAGCGCATCAAGTGTGCCGAGGGCTTCAAAATCATTGCGACTATGAAGTCATCGTACAACATTGCTGGCGAAGAAATAACCCCAAATACTTCGATGCTCGGCAGCAGGCTTTGGCAGAGAGTACCGATAGTCTCTCTCCCTGTGGACGAAATGCGTGATGTGATCCTGCAGAAGTTCCCCTTGCTCGAGTCCCGTGTACCAGTCATTATGGAAGTCTACGGACGGGTATGCTCTGCATTTCACGGAAGTCTTGCGATTAAGGGCTCTCAAGGTCGCACTCCTGGATTTCGTGATCTCATAAAATTGTGCAGCCGGTTGCACCGACGGCTGCAACGTATTGGTGTGAAAACTGGCTACGAAGCTACACCCGAGGGTGTCGAAGATGAAGTCTTCTTGGATACCGTGGATGTGTTTCTCAAATACCTCCCAGAAAAATCAATGCAGAGCTCGCTCGCCTCTGTGGTCGCCGAAGCACTCCAAATATCCCCCCAGCGAGCGCAGTTTTGTCTTCATGAACGGACACCTGCTTATACCGACAAACACAGTACCCTTGTTCTCGGACGAGAGACATGCCAGAAGATCAAGGTACCCAGTGGATCCGCGCCGAAGCTGGCAGCCGCTGCTTCTCGTTTTGCTTCCACGAGATCAGCATTGTCAATTATGGAACAGGTTGCCGCCTCAGTACAGATGGCAGAGCCTGTGTTACTCGTCGGAGAAACTGGTATCGGAAAGACAACGGTCATTCAGCAGCTAGCTACATTGATGCGCCAGAAGCTCACAGTTGTCAACCTGTCACAGCAAAGCGAGAGCACTGATCTGTTGGGTGGCTTCAAGCCTGTCAACATCCGTACAATGGCTGTTCCCATGCTTGATGAGTTCAACCAGTTATTTGAACTGACGTTCTCGGCAAAGAAGAATCAGAAATTTTTGTCTTCAGTGTCCAAATGTGTTGCATCTGCGAATTGGACCCGCTTGGTGAACCTGTGGCATGAAGCCATTCGCCTCGCGAATGGCGTATTTAACTCAAGCCGCGACAACTCAAAAGAAGCCGAGAACGGGGACGAGCAACCGACCAAGAAGAGGAAGCTGGATTCTCCCAAGTACCAGTATCTCCGGCAGAGATGGGAGAGCTTTGCCACACAACTTGGAGACTTCGAGGCTCAAGTCTCTCAAGGCGATGCCAAATTTGCGTTTGCTTTCGTCCAAGGCAAAATTGTGAGAGCCTTGAGGAATGGCGAATGGGTTCTCTTGGACGAGGTAAACTTGGCCTCACCCGACACTCTCGAGAACATTGCCAGTCTGTTGCACCACGGTAGCGAGGGATCGCCGTCCGTTCTACTCTCTGAGGCTGGTGATATTGGAAGGGTTTTTGGCCATCCGGATTTCCGCATTTTCGGTGCTATGAACCCTGCAACAGATGCCGGCAAAAGAGATCTGCCCCCGGGTTTGCGTTCTCGCTTCACCGAATTTTTTGTGCATTCACCCGACGCCGATTTGGATGATCTGTTGGCTTTGATTCAGAAGTATCTTGGCGATCTGACAATGGGTGATCCACGGACTGTGCCGGACCTTGCACAGCTCTACATGGTGACCAAGAAGCTCAGCAACGAAAACAAGCTCACCGATGGAGCTGGACAGCGACCGCACTTCAGTATCCGGACCTTGGTTCGCGCTCTCATCTATGTCATCGATCACGCACACGTCTATGGACTGCGTCGGGCAATCTTTGAAGGGTTCAGCATGAGCTTCCTGACCGTGCTGAGCCTTGAGTCTGAGCAAGCTCTCATTCCACTTCTAGAGGTCCACATTTTCAGCAATGTGAAGAACCCCAAAGCTCTTCTTGGTCAGATTCCTCAGCCGCCGGCGGATGGCAACGATTATGTGCAGTTCAAGCATTATTGGATGCGAAGTGGACCTTTAATCCCAGAGGAACAGCCCCATTACATTATCACCCCATTCATCGAAAAGAACCTCAAGAATCTCGTCAGAGCCAGCTCAACTCGTCGGTTTCCTGTTTTGTTGCAGGGCCCGACATCTGCTGGAAAGACTAGTATGATTGAATATCTGGCAAAGGTCTCCGGAAACAAATTCGTCCGCATCAACAATCACGAACACACAGACCTGCAGGAGTATTTGGGAACCTACATCTCCTCTGATGATGGGAGTCTGCATTACCAAGAGGGTGTTTTGGTCGAGGCATTGCGGAATGGGTATTGGATCGTTCTCGACGAGCTTAACTTGGCTCCCTCCGATGTTCTTGAAGCACTGAATCGACTGCTGGACGACAACCGCGAACTCTTCATCCCTGAGACCCAAGAAGTCGTCCACCCACACCCTAGTTTCATGCTGTTCGCTACCCAAAACCCTGCTGGTCTCTATGGTGGCCGAAAAGTGCTCTCGCGTGCCTTCAGAAACCGATTCCTCGAGCTACACTTCGATGACATCCCCGAAAGCGAGCTGGAATTTATTTTGAAAGAACGCTCTCAAATCGCCCCGTCTTTCTGCACGCGGATTGTTTCGGTTTATCGCAAGTTGTCATTGCTGCGTCAATCCAATCGTCTGTTTGAGCAGAAGAATAGCTTTGCCACCCTCCGTGATCTTTTTCGATGGGCTCTTCGCGACGCCGATGACCGTGAGCAACTGGCAGTGAATGGTTTCATGCTGCTTGCCGAGCGTGTGCGCAACCCCCAGGAGAAGGCCGCGGTGAAGGCTGTGATCGAGGAGGTCATGAAGGTTCGATTAGATGAGGACACTTTGTACAGTGCTGCACAACTGGAAAGAAGTGTCCCTCAAATGACCGGACTGCCAAGTGGTATTGTTTGGACCAAGGCTATGAGACGTCTGTTTATCCTGGTTTCCAAAGCAATCAGGAACAATGAGCCCGTTCTCCTCGTTGGAGAGACTGGATGTGGGAAGACTCAGCTTTGCCAGGCTGTCGCAGAAGCCTTTAGGAGAGAGCTCTACATTGTGAATGCCCATGTCAACCTGGAGACAGGCGATCTCATCGGCGCCCAAAGACCTATTCGAAATCGGGCAGCGATTGAAAGGCAACTTGTGGATGACCTTCGACTGCTTGTTTCAGGCCAGCACAGCGAGGTTCCCTCTCTCGACAACCTGAAGCAAGAATTTGCAGCTTTGGATACAAAATCGCGACAGGCAGCAGACCATGATTTGCTGCATAGGATCGAAAGAAACATCGCTCGGTGCAATGCCCTTTTTGAATGGTCCGATGGCAGCCTCATCACTGCCATGAAGACCGGCCAGTTTTTCCTTCTGGACGAAATATCCCTTGCCGATGATTCTGTGCTTGAGAGGCTCAACAGTGCTTTGGAGCCCCACCGGTCAATTCTCCTCGCCGAGAAAGGCCCCATTGACTCCATGGTCGTGGCCGATGGGGGCTTCCAATTCCTGTCCACCATGAACCCAGGAGGTGACTACGGAAAGCGGGAGCTCTCGGCAGCGCTTCGGAATCGCATGACCGAAATCTGGGCACCTCAGCTGTCTGAAGACGAGGATATTCTGCCTATCCTCCAAATGCGGTTGAATGTCAAGGACGAGAACATTGCAAAGGCTATGTTGCAGTTTGCAAAGTGGTTTAAAGCAAAGTTCCAAAATACCTCCGCGACCTCTCTCTCCATCCGTGATCTCCTTGCTTGGGTTGATTTTGTCAACACCTGCCAAAGTACAGATCTCTTGTTTGCCATCGTGCAAGGTGCTGCAATGGTGTTCGTCGATACCTTGGGGGCCAATCCGGCTGCAATGCTTGCTATCTCCCTTCACAACCTGAAGGACAACCAACAAACATGTCTCGAAAAGCTTGGTGAATTATTCCATACCGACGCTTCAACAATTTACTGGGAATCCTCGAACGTTTCTGTTGAACCCGGGTCTCTGCGCGTTGGGCCATTCTGTCTACCTACAGTTGGCGAGACAGACCCAGATCCGCAGTTTGCCATGGATGCTCCAACCACGATTGCCAACTCGGTCAGAATTGCTCGTGGTTTGCAGTCGTCGAAACCCATCCTAATGGAAGGAAGCCCGGGTGTCGGCAAGACAACGCTTGTCTCGGCTCTGGCCAGAGCTCTAGGGAAACCTCTTACCCGAATTAATCTTTCGGAGCAAACAGATCTCACAGATCTTTTTGGATCTGATGTTCCAGTGGAAGGGGGAGATGTCGGACAGTTTACTTGGCGTGATGCGCCATTTCTCCGAGCGATGCAGCGTGGCGACTGGGTTCTTCTGGATGAAATGAACCTCGCATCACAATCTGTTCTTGAAGGTCTAAATTCTTGCTTGGACCACCGCCAACAAGTTTATATCGCCGAACTTGATCAGATATTCAAAAGGCACCCGAATTTTGTGCTGTTTGCTGCGCAGAATCCACATCACCAAGGTGGCGGAAGAAAAGGACTTCCGGCCTCTTTTGTGAACCGATTCACCGTGGTCTATGCGGACGGTTTCACTGATTCAGATTTGAAGAAGATCTGCGCAAAGCTCTTCCCTGGCAGCCCTACTTCCCAAACCGAACGATTAGTCGATTTCATTTCCATTCTTAATGCGGCGATTGTGCGCGAGCGTCGACTGGGAGCTGTTGGTGGGCCCTGGGAGGTCAACCTGCGAGACATTCAGCGCTGGCTTCAACTGGCAGATCGAGGGAATCTGCAAATCCCAACCAAACATTTCCTTGATGTTGTCATCAGCCAAAGGTTCAGGAGTGAAGAGGATCGAGCCCTCGTCTCCCAGCTCTACGACCACGTTTTCACGGACTTTGACACTGGTCGAAAGAGCTATTACCACAACCTCACACCTGAGTATCTGCAGGTGGGACTGGGCATTTTAATCCGTGACCCTTTTCTACAACGCTCGGTTGAACCACATATGAAGATTCTTCCGAAAGATCTTCACATCCTCGAGTCGCTCATTCTTTGCATCGAAAACTCATGGCCGAGTATTTTGGTGGGACCTGCTGGGTGTGGCAAGACCACGCTAATTCGAAAGCTCGCAGCCGTCAATGGCGCCAATCTGGTGGAGCTGGCTCTCAGTGCTGACACCGATACCATGGACTTGGTCGGTGGCTTCGAGCAAATTGACCATAGGAGGGAGGTCTCATCCTTTATCCATGACATCGAGATATTCCTTCGACATCAGATCATTCATTCCTGTGCTTCAGGAGAGGTCTCGGCTGCAGTGGCATCGGCCCTTCAGATCTGCGAGCATTTGCAAACTTCAGATGCATCATTGGAAACCGTTATTAGCTCGATGTCTGACCTCTGTCAGTCTTACTCTGACTCATCGCTCCAGGAGTTCCTCGACAGAGCCCAGAACCTACAGGCCGCTATTCAGCAATCCGATAACATGAAGGTTGGATTTGAATGGACCGAGGGCGTTCTCACTCAAGCCGTCCAATATGGTCACTGGGTGGTTCTTGACAATGCTAACCTATGCAACCCGTCTGTTCTAGACAGACTGAACTCTTTGACGGAACCAAACGGTACCCTCATCCTCAATGAACAGCGGACCGAAGACGGCTCTGCTCGAATCATCAAGCCTCATCCCAATTTCAGGATCTTTTTGACCATGGACTCTCGAAATGGCGAACTGTCTCGTGCTATGCGAAATCGTTGTGTCGAAATATGCTTCCTGTCCAACGAGCTTCAAGATATCCCAGTGACAGTGGGGCCATCTTACTCTTGCGAATCCTCCCTCTACCGACTCCGTCATATTTGGAACCTGGACGTGTCCCCATCTTCTGGTGTTTTTGAAGAATCGTTTGAAGTGTGTCTGGATCATCTCTCGCCCACAGAGTTGTCTCGTCTCCAACAGTCCTCTCACTTCCCTTGGTCAAACTCTTCCCAATCCCACGTGAAGGAGCGGTCCTTGAATACCGTAGAGCGTTACACCTCTTTGGTCCATGAAAATGACCAATGGAAGCCGCTGGGAATCATTAGTGGTGAAATTGTCCTTGGGGGAGCATCTTTAGGAGTTCGAGGGCAACTGCAGCCACTTCACCCTCTCATCAACGAGCCCTTGGTCTCGATCGCAGGGCCTGGTGACTATCGATCTGCTCTCATCATCATCGCCTATCTCCAACAATTCAGACTTGATCTTCACCGCCTGAGGCAAGGTTTGCTTCAAGCCAAAGCATCTGGAGAGCAACTAAAGCCAAGCCAAATGACTCGACTGGAGCGATCTTTGGCATCGGCGCGGATCCCCTCTTTAATGAATGACACGACCCAGCCTGTTGGTTCTTTTCTGTCCGATTGCGGTCAAGCTTTGTATGACTGCATTCAAGGCTTAGACTCAACCTCTCTTCAATCCCCTGAAATTGTATCCGCCCTCCGGACAGTCATCTGTCTATGCTGGGACATTTACAGAGCCACAGAAGTCAGCCAAATCGACGAGGGCCAATTCCAGGTTTACCTCCAGATTGGAAGACGGACTTGCACGTTAATTCTGACCTCGTCGCCTTTGCTTAAGCCGCTGGAACTGGCCCTGTCCAAAGCTCTTGACCGTTTCAAGGCTGGCTGGGCCTTGACGACCGGCCTCAGCATGCAGAGAATTTGGGATACCTGGCGACATGTCACGCCGGTTTCTCAGGAGAAATTGAAGTCTTTGACGGAGTTGGAAGCCACGGTTTTTGAATTTACAACTTTGGCTCTGCAGACACGCGTGGACTTGTCTCAACTGAGTCGTGTACGCGACTCCTTGATCGACGCTCAGCGATTTGTTCTTCTGGATGGGGCGGATGGAGATGAACTTTTACAGGTATCTTTTTCTCTCTCCCTCTCTCGATGAATTCGCAATTTGCATCTATTCATGACTAACAACCAGCAGGGCATTAAGCAAACTGTGGCCGAACTTGCTCATGCCGTTCGTCGTTCTGACACAGCCCAATACCCATACTTCTCAGGGGAGTTTGAAGCACTATGCCAATACCACGACATATCTTCATTCTGGAAGACTGAGGTCAACGATCCAGTCATCCAGACAGTTATGCCTCTCCTCGCCGCTCGTCCTGCCCGTCCATTAGACGCATCCAATCTGCAAAGCCAAGTTCCAAATCTCCTTCATAGAATCGCGCTGTTCTTGGGTGCTGGAAGCGAGTCAGGATCCGCCCTTGCCATTGGAGGAAGCCTGTCCTTGTCTCTCCTCGACCGGTTGAGATCCATTGGAATCACCAATTTGGGCCAAATGGATATGTTGGACTCAGAGAAACGAGTCCTTGCCAAGGCCATTTCGTTGAGCACTGGCCAAATCGCGATGGACCAGTCTAAGAACCTCAGGTCGGTTCTCGCAAGACTGACTGCGGAGTTGATTGTCTGCCACCAAGAATTCATCGAGCCACATTGCTCGGAGCACCTGATGTCGACCTTGCGCGCAATTGAAGCGGGAGAGCTAAATGACAAGCAGTTTTTGGTCGAAGTTCATTTGGATCAAAGCTTACCGGAGGGCCATTTTTTCAAGCCTGTCGCTAAGCAAGCTCTCCCAGACCTCATTTCGTCATTGGCAAAGTTCTCAACTCGTCAGGAGGATAGCATTCGAAGCACTGGGATCGCTGCAGTTCAACTGGCAGTTGTTCTTCTTCGGTTGTTTGTGCCAGACAAAACTCTTGATCCATCACTTGGTCTTGTCGTTCAGCGCACTCAGCATTCTCGGCGTCTTGCTGAAATCACCGCCAAGTCCGAAATGATCCTTGCCTTTGAGAAAGCCTTTTCTGGACGACAGTCGAACCTACGCTCCGAGCTATTGCAAGATGAAATACACGAACTGGGCTCTGCCCCGCCTCCTTCGTCGGTGACTCGACCGCAGAAATCGCAACTTAGCCTTTTGCAAGGGGAATTCTCGAATATTATCAATTCCGTTCTCAACAGAGACCCCGTGCAGATGGTAGCTTCCACTCAGGATGCGCAGAGGTCTCAAGAAATGATTCAGCTTCTGCGCGACAATATTCGCCAATTAAGTCGTCGTCTTAGTGTCCATTACAGGTCATATGATGACATCACGGTTCCTGTTGTGCGTTTCCTTCAGCTACTAGATGTTGGTATTTTCCTGGGCTCTAGCCAAATCGACCAGTCTAGTGGTATTCGGGACATGCAATCTGTGAGCGAGCGAACGCCATTCCTGGGAGCCACCATCCATCCCATTATCGCTCAGAGTGGTGTGAAACAGTCATCAAATGTAAAGAACGCAGTCGATATGCGCCTTCATGAACTGTCAGCTCTCTGGGTCGCCAAGGATGCTGATCCGACGTTGCTTGCGGTCAAGTCTGCCCGTGATTCTATTCGCCGCATATTTGCTGACTTCCACCATTTGTGGAAAACAAAGCTTAGAGAGGACCAAGAGCAAGAAGCCCAAAAGTCGGAGCTGTACCGCTACAAAGGCTCTTGGGAAGACGAGGAAGAAGTCAGCGAGGCTGAGCTGCACCAGCTCTTCCCAACGTATGAGGGCGAACCCGCGCAAGAAACAGAAACCACTGGTCGCATTGACCCTAGGGCCATATCTGTCCGGCTTGCCTCTCTTCATGCGAACATTGTTGGCAAGGGGTGTACCGGCGTGGCCTTGACCACTTTTGTGAAGGAATCTGGCCGTCTATTGGGCTCAATGTGGGCGGAGAACACGACTTCTTTCTCGCCAGTGCGACCTCAAGACCACCTTTCTGCGGTCTTTCTGCTTCTCGACGGGGTCTCCGACGAAGAATCTCAGGCCCATCAGAAGAATTACAACTTCTATACTGATTCAAATCTTGCCGAGGCAAGAAGGCTTGTCGCCCTCACTTTGTCGGTCCAGTCCCGCTTTGTTCAGATACAAACCTCTTGGCCGGAGCATGCCGTGCTCCAGGACGTCATTACGTGCTGTACGGAAATACTCCAGTTCAAGCATACTGAGCCGGTAGCCAAGTTCCTGACCAAGGTCGAGAAGCTTCATTCGCTTGTGCACGAGTGGGAGCGTGTGGCTAGCAGGGAATATTCCGCTGCTGCTCTTTACGACGAGATCACCGCAATGACCGTTGGCTGGCGCCGCCTTGAATTGTCAACCTGGGCGAAGCTGTTGGATCTTGAGAAAGAGAGATGTGACGACGATGTCAGCGCATGGTGGTTTGTTGCGTACGAGGCACTCCTCGGCGCTCCCATTCAGATGGCAGAGTCTGTCCAGACAGGCATGGGCGAGCATATCCAAGAGGTTGTGTCGACTCTTGAGCAATTTTTCAATTCCACAACCTTGGGCCAGTTTAGCCAGCGACTGCAACTTGTTGCCAATTTCCAAGCTCTGCTTGCAGTTTTCTCCGGTGACTTCGATTGCTTGAAAGATCTTGTTTCTGCGTTGGAAAACTTCCTTTCCCATTACAGGCTGTTTGAGCCTGCAGTGGAAAAGCTCCTAATGGAGAAGAGATCAGCGCTCGAGAAGGATATCAAGGAGCAGATTCAGCTAGCAAGCTGGAAGGACACAAATATTGTTGCGCTCAAGGAGAGCGCCAGAAGGTCGCACGTCAAGTTGTTCAAGCTCGTTCGGAAGTACCGCGAAGTCCTTGGCCAACCAGTTCAACCAGTCCTTGAACAGGGCCTTCCGCAGGATAATGGAGACGCCAAGTTTGTCAACCAAGAGCCGGACCGACCTACCACTGTGTTCCCTGAAGCACTCGCCACTTGCCAGCAAGACAATAAACTGTGGTCGACCAGGGCGCTCAGATTCCGTAACCCGGATGGAACAGTCAGCAACATGATGAATCTATATTCGTCAATTCCATCCGAGTTTGATATCGCAAAAGAGCTGGACGGTTTCACCGTGTCTTTTATCGAGGATATGAATGAGTTCAAGTCCCACACGCCCAAGACCTTGACTGAGGACAACAAAGAGCATGTGCAGCATCTCAAGGTCCAAAAACGTCGTCTCTACGCCGATACGTTGAGACGTCTTTTTGAAATGGGTGTCAAGCGCAATGCTGGGACAAGCCTAATCGAAACCCAGGCCTCAACTGCGCAGGTTCTCGCTACGAGCTCCGCTTTCAAACGTAGCACCACAGCGTCGAACTCAATTCAAAGCGCCGAATCGTACTTCCACAGGCTCTTGGATCTGCTTCCCCGAGCCCGCCTGGCTTCGCGCAATTATTCTGAAGAGCTCAGCAATGTTGAAGTCTCCAGAAGCATAGGCTCCGTTGAACACCTGTTGTTCATTGTCCGAAGACAGAGAGGCGCCATATCTCCTGCGCTTACTGGCTTGGAAAGCATGAAGTCAACGCTTGGCAAGATGCAAAATCTTTGGACAGCAAGCTCAACCTCGAACTCACTTACGAAGGCTAGCATGGTCGCCATTGAAGAACGAGTCAACCTTGCCAGAGTCATGGCTTGGCTGACGCCTATTCTTGGGCTAGCATCAACGATTGTTGAAGTCCACTCCAAGTTCTCGAGTCTCAATGCATCCACAATCATAGATGAGCTGCGATCCACCAAGGCTACTTTCGACAAGTTGCGAAAGTCGTTCGAAACCCTCCCAGCCCTCCCAGCTGGAGTTGAATCCAAGTCGCACCAGGAGACCATGCAGCAGACTCGTTCGTCGCTTGAGCAATTGAGTGTCGATCTGAAGAGATGGTGCCAAGCGCGTCCCGACCTCTCCTTCGCTCTGGATCCAATCACCCCATGGGCGAAGACAAAGGATGTAGCTCTTCCGGATGCAGAAGAGAAAGGTGGTATCACCATTCAGAGCTTCGACAGCAGTCTCCTCGCCACCATTGACAAAATGCTCATTGGGCTCCAGCAGCTCAAGGATGTACCTTCTGCCATCGACTTCCCAGGGCTACTTTCAAGGAGCGAGGAATTTTTCTCCCGAGCCTTGAAAGCTGTCCATGTCACCGAAATAACTGCGTCGCTGAATGCGGTTCTGAATCAGCTTCGTCTCCTACAACACCATACGGGTAGCAGCCTTTCCTTTGCATCTGCACTGGTTGCTAGTATCCTGCCAATTGCCAACAGATATTATCAAATCTGCCAGGATCTAGTCGGCCGGTTTATTTCGGTTCACCGTGAAACTTGCAAGACATCCTACATCCTGACAAAGACCTTCACCCAAGTGGCATCGGAGGGTTTCTGCAGCCCGGCCGAGGCATCCCAAGAAGAAGGCAAAGAGGGCAAGATGGAAAGCGGCACGGGTCTTGGCGACGGCGAGGGCGCGGAAGACATCAGCAAAGATGTTGGTGATGACGAAGATCTTTCGGAGCTAGCGCAGCAAGAGAAGAAAGAGGATGCCTCCGAGGAGATGGATGATTCCGCTGATGCTGTCAACATGGATCAGGAGGATCTTCAAGCAGACGCTGATGATCGTAAAGATGGCGAAGAGGAAGAAAATGACGAGAGCGCTTCGGAAGGAGAAGACGATATTGACGAGGAAACTGGCAGTGTCAACGACCTTGACCCGGCTGCTGTGGATGAAAAGTTGTGGGACGGTGCCAATGATGAGCAGCAAAAGGAGACCGAAAATGAGGAAGGGAAAGGCCAGTCCGAGGCTGATCAACAGGCCCCCGGACAGGAGCAAAAGAAGGACAATGAAGAGGGCGAAAAGGGCGAAGAGGAAGAGGGGAGTGAAGAAGACGACAAAGATGAAGAAGCTCCCGATGACGAGGGCGAAGCAGTCGGTCGAGAAGAAATGGATGTGACCGACCCCCAGACCAAGGAAGAAGATGCTCTGGATCTACCAGAGGAAATGCAGCTGGACGGTGACGAGAAGGACGGTGGTGAGGATGAGGGAGATGATGGGATGGATGACCTCTCCGACATGGGCCCTGCTCCTGAAGATGACCAGAAGACCGAGGACGATGACCAGCTTGGAGAGGAAAATGGAGAGCCGGGGGCTGGGGAGCAAACCCAAGGAGAGGATGTTGAGGACGAAGAGATGGCCGATGAGGCTGATGCCAACGAAGCTGAATCGGGCGAAGAGGAGAACGAAGCTGATGGAGAGGAGCCCGAGGAGCCACCACAAGACGACTTCCTCGCCCAACGTGACGAGAATGAGGCCGCTGGTGACAATGTTGCACCCAGCGAGGCTGTTACCGGTGGGCTCGGTGCCGACCAGGACCAGAACGAAGAAAAAGGAGCCTCCGGTGATGCACAACAGGAGAGCGGCTCAACGGATCCTGCTGCCAACGCCCAGCAGCAGACGGGCGCTGCCAAGGACAGTGAGGAGAGCAAGCGGAGCCGGGATGCCGGTGGAGCCGAGGATACAGCTCCCAATGATCCTCAAATGCAGGCGTTCAAGAAACTGGGTGATATCCTTGAGCAATGGCACCGGCGACAAAAGGAGGTGCTGAACCCGTCGCAAGAGGAAGAGGATTCTCAGCCTATGCCCCAAGACACCGATATGGCCGATGCAGATTTCGAGCATCTCAAGGACGACGACGATGTCGCAGATACCCAGGCCCTGGGACAAGCAAGCGAAGAGCAAGCCCAGGCTCTTGACCAAAACAAGGGCGTGGAATCGGATGTCAAACCTGGGGAGAATGAAATTCTACCGGACATCTCAGATGAGCACAAGGACACCGTGGAAAACCAACTGGAGGACGAAATGCAACTCGACCGCGAGACTGTCCCAACCGAGGGCCAGTCTGCTGGCGCCTTCATCCCCGGCGGCCAAACCCCCCACGACCGCACAGACGGTGCAGCTGGCGCCAAAGAGGCGACCGAGGAACTGGACGAAGTCGACACGCAACTCGCGGCAATCCACCTGTCCTCTTCGCTTCCTCCCTTGACGCCGCAAGATGAAGCTCGCCGTCTCTGGTCGCACTACGAATCCGCCACGAATGACCTTTCGCTCTCTCTCACGGAACAGCTCCGGCTCATCCTCGCCCCAACTCTCGCTACGAAGCTACGCGGTGATTTCCGCACTGGCAAGCGGTTGAATATCAAGCGCATCATTCCGTACATTGCATCCCAATACAAGCGCGACAAGATCTGGATGCGGCGGTCTATTCCGTCCAAGCGCAACTACCAGATTATGCTAGCGGTCGACGACAGCAAGTCAATGCTTGAAAGCGGTAGTGGGCAGCTCGCCTTCGAGACACTGGCCCTTGTGGCTAAGAGTTTGAGCATGCTTGAGGCAGGCGACCTCTGTGTCCTTGGTTTTGGCAATGAAGATCATGTCCGAGTCGCGCACGATTTCGGCCAACCATTCTCCTCCGAAGCCGGCATGCAGGTATTCCAGCATTTCAGCTATCAACAGACTGGGACCAACGTGCGCAAGCTGATCGCGGACTCCATCGCTCTCTTCCGTGAAGCTCGCTGGAAGCGCTCGCCGGGTTCCGGGTCTGCCGATCTCTGGCAGCTCGAGCTGATCATCTCCGACGGTATCTGTGAGGACCATGATACCATCCGTCGCCTAGTGCGGCAGGCACTCGAGGAACGTATCATGATTGTTTTTATCATTGTGGATGCTGTCAAGGGCAGCTCCATCCTTGACCTCTCGCAGGCTAGCTTTGAGCCAGATCCCAACTCCGGGGGGGACATGAAGCTGAAGATGAAGCGCTACCTCGAGGGATTCCCGTTCCCTTATTACTTGGTGGTTCGTGATGTGAAGGAGTTGCCTGCGGTGTTGGCCACTGCATTGAAACAGTGGTTTGCGGAAGTGGTCGATGTGTCTTCGTGACACCGAAAAAAAGGGGCGTTAGGGTTGAATGCATGGAGTTTGTCTCGAGTTTTATTCTTTTTTTTTTTTTTTTTTTTTTCGTTCAGCGTTTGGGAATGACTTGAAAAGGGTTGTATATGACAGTGCATGATAGATCTAGAGATGTCTTAAACGCCAAATGAATATATTTCTTCCGAATTCGAATTCTAAATGTGGCATTGCATGTCTTCTTTGGCATTTGGTATCTCGGATAGCTACGTGATTGATGAAGAAATTAAAATAAAACAAGACGCCCAATACATGCTGTGATGACTACCATCCATATCTGGCGCCTGCTTCTCTTTTGTTCCTTCTTCCTGAAGCAAAGCTCTCCTCCAAGGCCTCGCGCTGCGAGCTCGCAGCATTGACTAGCTGCTGGAGCGTATGCTTTCCGGGGGCAATGGCCCGTACGGGGTTGTGCTGTGCTGCGGCGAGCTCACCCTGGGCTAGCACCTGGTTTGATGCATATTCTTCATCCGTGTTGAAGGTGCGCACCTGAGACGACGTAGGCGGGGCATGTCGGCCAAAGAGTTGGCGTCGCTCGGAACGTGACAAGTTGAGGTCGTCAGCAATTGTATCCAGTGATGTGGAGTTGGATGACAATCCCGCGGAGACACTACCTAGTGCGGTAGAAATTGCTTCGGGTGCTGGGGTTGGCCCTGCAGATGGGCCATCCTCTTCGGTATTGTAGACAAGTGGTTCATAGGTGGTCGAGAGTGCAGGGGTGTTGCCTGTCTGGGCAGTCTTCTCTGCCGAACCAAGGGAGAAGAGGCTAACTTTCGGTTTTGGTGGTGCAGGCGCTGCACTTGCGCCAGTTTGTGTGGAGGGCGCTGGCGTCGTTGCGGCAGGCTGCGGCGGTTGAGCGGTTGGTGCTGCCGATGGAGAGGGAGTAGGTTGTGTCGTTGTTTTGCGCCTTTGCTTCTTCTGGTTCCGTGCCACAGACAGTGGCCGAAACATCATCGGATTACCCTGGAGCTTGACCTCTCCTGGCTCTGTCTTTTTCTGGTCTGGTGTGCTGTCGGCTTGGGTCGTCGAGGTCTCCAGACTTCCGGCCGCAGGGAGTGTGTCGTCGGCGGTATCATCAAACGCTTGATCATGTTTCATTTCCGCATCGGCATTTCGGTCAAAGCCAGGCGTGGCCCCTGTCTTCAACGAGAACACCTTCCGTGTCGACGCCGCCGGTGGCTTCTTCTCGGCCGTTCGTTTCGGGGTAGGGAGTAGCGCATTAAATCCCGCAAAGGCGCCTCCAGCGCCTGGTCCCACTCGTGCTTTCTTACGTGCAGGCCCATCGTCGGTGTTCTGATCGGCTGAGGGCTCGGGTTTGAGCTCCGGAAGAGCGACGCGAATCTTGCGCGGGTTGCTGCGATCGACTCGGAATCCCGAGTCAGGCTTTTTGGTTTGGTCGGCCGACAGTGTCGGGGTAGACTCCGGCTCATTATCGGAAGCCTCGGAGTCAGAATATGCTACCAGCGCCATGGTGGATGCAGTTGAGGAGTTACATCTGGCGCTCGGAGATAAAAGATAACTATTACGTGGTGGCCCGAAATATAAGGCAGTGATTATGCTTACGTGATATGATATAGGATCCATTTCATCGCTGGGATTTCGATAAGTCGAATGCTTCAGGACTCAGGAGACTTTTCAAGAAAGCCCCAAGAGTTGTTTGGAGTTTACTAGGTGATATCTCCAGCTCACCGGCACTTCGCAACTTCCCAATCGTCGAGGTTCGGGAGACTCTTAGTCAGGAAGGTCGTAACGTCATCGGAGTCTCTGCTTCCAGCAGCCGAGATGCAGTTGGAGATGGACGAAGACAGACTCGAGTTGGGGGAAATTGATCAGGCTGACAATGAGAGATTCAAAATAACTCGAGTGAAATAACCACGCAGAGCAGTCGATCCTCAACTAAGGACTCGGTTAGACAGAAATCAAGCAGAGAGTCAGTTGAACCTCAGAGAGAAAGCTCTCAATCGATCAATTAGAACCAGGTAGATCAAGTAAATGCAGCAGATCGGTAGATCGGTAGATCCAAGCAATCTCACCGAGCAAGAGCCAAGTGTAGCAGAGAGCCGAAAAAGAGACGTCGTCAGAGTGGAAGAGATCAATGCGTCATTCCCATCGCCCCCTCCCCACTTTCCCTGCTCCTCTCCCCTCCCTCCATGTCCCTCATCCACCCTCCATGCCGACCTTAGGAGGCCTGTTGAAGAAGCGGCGCAAGGATTCAGCCGCGAAGGACTTGCCCTCCGACCATCGCACTTCCGACTCACAGAACCCCGACGGGTCCGCTGCCTCCATGCAACCCGCCGTGCCGTCGCAATCGCACGCGTCGCCGCAATCTCATGGGCAAAATAGCAATGCCGCCAGCATCAACCACATCATAAACTCCCCCAATGCCGGCAATGCCCCCCAGAAGGAGCAGCAAAAGGAGCGCACCACCAAGGGAAAGTACTCGCAGGGCGATTTCCAGCTGCAGCGCACCCTGGGTACTGGGAGCTTCGGTCGTGTCCACCTGGTGCAGTCCAAGCACAACCATCGCTTCTATGCGATGAAGGTGCTGAAGAAGGCCCAGGTAGTCAAGATGAAACAAATCGAGCACACCAATGATGAGCGCCGCATGCTCAATCGCGTGCGGCATCCGTTCCTAGTGACTCTGTGGGGGACCTGGCAGGATTCCCGCAATCTGTACATGGTCATGGACTTTGTCGAGGGCGGCGAGCTGTTCAGTCTACTGCGCAAGTCCCAAGTGAGTCGCTGGATCTTTTTTTTCTTTCTGCATGGCTGCCTGGACTCGCGCACGGGGCTAATTCTTCCCCCCCCACCTCGCAGCGATTCCCTAACCCCGTTGCCAAATTCTATGCCGCCGAGGTGACTCTGGCCCTAGAGTATCTGCACGCCCACCAGATCATCTACCGCGATTTGAAACCAGAGAATCTTCTGCTGGATCGCCACGGGCATCTGAAGATTACTGACTTTGGCTTTGCCAAAGAGGTGCCCGATATTACGTGGACGCTGTGCGGGACACCAGACTATCTGGCGCCAGAAGTCGTTTCTTCAAAGGGATACAACAAATCGGTTGATTGGTAGGTTATCGCGTCCTACGTCGATATATCTCTAGATGGATATCGGTGTTTTGTCACTTGTACGTCGTCTGACGCAGCCCAGGTGGTCATTGGGAATCCTGATCTTTGAAATGCTGTGCGGATTCACCCCATTCTGGGACAGCGGGTCGCCGGTTAAGATCTACGAGAACATCCTACGGGGCAAGATCAAGTATCCCCCATATCTTCACGAAGATGCAGTCGATTTGCTCTCCCAGCTCATCACCGCCGACCTCACGAAGCGCCTTGGCAATTTGCACGGGGACTCGGAGGATGTCAAGAACCATGCGTGGTTCGCCGAGGTCACTTGGGACCGACTGGCCCGAAAAGACATTGACGCACCGTATATCCCCCCGATTCGCGGTGGGCAAGGCGATGCCAGCCAGTATGACAAGTATCCCGAAGAGACGGAGCACTACGGCACCGAGGGAGAAGATGCGTATGTTTTGCGAGCTCCAATGGCTAAACCTGACACCCCCCCTTGCTAATGTATCACAGATATGGCCATCTGTTCTCCGACTTCTAAAGGGCCTGTATGATTTATGACGAGATGAAAAGTCCGCGCTCTTGGGGAGGGCGTGGCATTGGACTTGGCTTGCCCGGCCTGCGCGCCGGGGTCGCCGGGGCACACAAAAAGAACCCTTGGAGGGACATATGAAAATGTGCCCTACCCTCCACACAATCTGGATTATATATATCTCGTTATTGGAATCGAGTGCTTTTTCTTTTCTTCTTTACGGCTTGACATACAGGTGTGTTGTTCCTGTCACTTTCTATGGTTCCCGGGTGCCCATAATATACACGGGCGAGAAAGCCGCCTCTATTGTACAAAAGAATCCAATCCAAAACCACCTATAAAGTATAGTTTGGGCAGATGTCCCCGTTCCCTCTGACTTATATCTCGAGTAGGTATCGTCCACAAAATATTTAACCCATCACGCCGCTGCCTCCCTCCGGCGCGCCCGTCGCCATGCTGGCAATCGCCGAAGCATCTTGGCCACCCATGCGCTTGCTCTCTTGGCCCACTCGGGCAACGTAGGTACGGCTCGTAATGTTCCACATGGCGATGTACTTCTCCATGCAGCTAGAGAGGCAGCCGCTTTCCTTGGAGGAAAGAGAGGAGCCGGGGGCGGGGACGCAGGCATCGAAGCAGTGCTCGTTGATTTTCTGTGAGAGGTTAGCCCAGGACTCGTAGCTGAGATGGTTGGCAGGGGGAATGAATGACGCACTCCGATCAAGGCGCGGGCATTCGTCATGGCGGCCTCTTGCTGCAGCTGGCGCACCAGTGCAGTCTTGACGTCCTCGGAGGACTTGTTAGACGAGGATCCGAACATCGACATGGTGAGCGAGAGTTGTGTTTGTGTTGGGAGTAGCAGGAGAGAAAGAGGTGAAGAAGACGGAGATGCGAGCGAAGAATTGACGGAGCTGTGGCTGGGGTCCTGCGCCACACCTGCAGTGGACACCTTAGCATCGTCTACATGTTGACACTCCGTTCTACTGTTTCCTCTGTTCCCTTTGCCTTGCTCTGCTTTGCCCTTCGACTCTTTCAATCCTTGTCTATTCTGTCTTTTCTGAACCTCCCATCTGCTCGGGCTGGGTCCTGGTGACACCACCCATCCCACCCTCGGTCTCTCCTTGACACCCCCCCCCCCCCAAATTGGACCTGGAATTCACCATGCGTCTCCCATCAATTTCTTCTCTTCTGTGTCTTGCGGGACTGGCATCTCTGCCGGTCAATGCCTACGATGATGAGAATGTCAAGAGCATTTCTGTGAGTATTGTGGACGGAGCTGCAGCAAAATGCCGAAAATGCCGAGGACTGACTATGAGACTCTGGTAGCTCCGCACCCATACTCTTTCTGCGGTATGACCACCCTTGAATAGATTGCATTGGTTTGCGTGATATATGACAAGCTTCTGCGCCGTCAATTCTCTGTGGAACGTCCCCGTTGACTCGTCACAGCCGTACCTCGATTCGGATTTCCAAAGCCGCTGGTTCGACTTCGGAGGAGACACGGTCATTCGTGCAGACAAGTATATTCGCCTGACGGCCGACCGGCCATCGCAACAGGGATGGCTTTTCTCGCGTGTGCCTCTGACCGCAACTAACTGGCAGGTGAGCTCTCCCCTCCGGAACCCTTCCTCAACCTCACATCCACTCACACGACTCATTCGGCGGTAGATTGAGCTAGAATTTGAGATTCACGGCGAGAATAACCTGCACGGCGATGGCTTTGCCCTTTGGATTACCAAGCAACGTGCCACTCAGGGCCCCGTCTTCGGGTCCACAGACCGTTTCGAGGGCTTGGGTATTTTCTTCGATACCTACAAGAACAACCGACCGGGCGTGACGTTCCCGTACGTCATGGCCATGATGGGCGACGGATCGACTACGTACGATCAGGCTCACGACGGCAAGGCCAACGAGCTTGCCGGCTGCTCAGTGCGTTTCCATCTTCCCCTGGTAGAATACCCTTTAGGGGGGTTCCTTTGCTAACGCATTGAATAGGCCCGGGGTCTTCGTAAAGCCTCCGTTCCGACTAAAGCCCGCCTCACCTATTTCCAGGACAAGTTCCTGGAACTGGAGCTGCAGTACAGGTCCGAAGACTCTTGGACCCAATGCTTTAAGGTATTGGCCGAGGACACCAAGATCGCCATCCCCTCCGTCGCGTACCTCGGCTTGTCCGCCGAGACGGGCGAGCTCAGCGACAACCACGACATCATCTCCATCAAGGCCGACAACCTGTACTCGGTCAACCGGAACAGCGGCGGGCGCGGCGCCTCGGACGGGCACTCCAGGTCCCGCGGTGGATCCAAGGCCCCGCATGAAAAGAGCAGCTGGTCGTGGTTCCTGTTCAAGGCGGTCTTGTTATTCGCGGCCATTGCTGGTGCCTACCTGGGCTGGACTATCTACCGCACTCGGGCGCGGTCGTCGCGCTTCTGATGCGCGAGCGGTACTGCCATTGGGCCCGATTTTAGTCCGGATCTGACTGCAACGCAATGCTGTCGGGTTGCGGGACTTGCATACATAGCCTGGTGAAGCTTTTGGATGTTTTATTTCTTGTTGCGTTTCTGCCCCAGCTATCTGTTCTATACTCGAAATGAATCTCCGTCATGAATAGTGAAGGGCAACTATCAATCATGATCATATCACCATTTGGTACAATTAGGGATATTGCAGCTTTTTTGCTGGACATGATGTGTGTTATACACAACTGCCCAGCGAACCAACCTGTCGAGAGACAGGAAGTAGTTGTATGTGATCTCATCTATAGCCCCGAGCCTGGAGGCCTTGTTAAGCATCGTAAATCAACACCGAACGCCGCCCATATGCAATTCCCGCAGTTCCAATGCTTCGCCTTGTTACAAAATCAGAAGAACACAAGAAAGATCCCCCGCTAATTGAAAAGAAAAGGAAAAAAAAAAAAACAGTTTGTCAAGGCTTTGCATCATCCCGCGCCCTCTCCTCGCCCCATAGACGATCAACGATCTGAAAAACCTCAGTGACGCTGCGCATAACGGTCTCATCGATGCCGAGCGCCCCATACCGATGCTGGATTTTGTCCGGGTGCCAACGAATGCGCTCCGCTTTCAGTGTAGCCAAAAAATCAGCTGGCGGCGGCGCATGGCGCATAAACTCCTCAACAGAGTCCGAGGCAACATCTTTCCGCTTCCCAGACTCGACGGGCCAAAAGAGCATGTTGCGCAGCGGTGTCGGATTAGAAGATGAGTTGGTGTTGTGCTGGTCTCCGCCAGCCCGCCCACTGATCTCGTCCCAGCGCGCCAGATACGTCTTCCACGCAGCCGTCCACGTCTTGCTCCGCCGGCGCGCGGCACCCCGCCGTAGACTCTCCTCCATAGCGCTTTCGAACCGGCGGCGCTCTTGCTCGCGCTCATATCCGTCTTGCTGGCGCTGCTTGTGGCGCGCGCGCTCGGCACGCAGCCGCTCCTGCGCCTCCAGCATGCCCTCGCGCGTGCGCTCCCACATGCGCGCCCGCACATGCGCCGCGTACTCCTCGTCCGACATCTGCTCCAGCTCGCCGTTTGGGCCCGCCGCCGTCTGTGGTACTGCGTAGGTGTGGATCGGCTGTCCGTACACGGACTCCCAGTATGCGGCACCTTCATCGTCGCCCAGAGCGTCGAAGAGTGATTCGCGGAAGGCCGCTCCCGGTGAGAGCCGCCCGTTTACTGGGTCGGGCGCATTGTCGGGTGATGAGGTGGTGTGCCGTCGGCTGGCCCGATGTTTTCGAGTTCGCCGTTTCTTGTCCCTGTGCTTGTCCTTGTCCCTGTTTCTTTCTCTGCCTCCAGTCTTTTCTCTCTCTCTCGATGTGTGGCGATGTCGGCGGCGTTGTCCCTCTGATTGTCGATGGTGAGAGCCCTTGAAGCGGAGGCGACCATGTAGACTGGAAGAGTAATCATGCTCCTCTGGATTCCTGGACTCGCTGGCTTCCGCGTCCATGGTGATGATGTTTCTTCCAAGGTTAGTATCGTGGGAAGGTGGAAATTCTACCAGCACTCTCCCACCGCCTTTCAGACCGACTCCAGCGAGATGGATATAAAGAGGCTCCTTGCTTCTTCTTTCCACAATCGACCTCCAAGCTTCTCTCAGTTCCCCTGTCAGCTCTGTCAGCCATGGCATCACCCCGATTCCTCAGCCTCGAGAAATCCGTGTTGACTGGAAAGGGTGGATGTGATGCTACACAACTAACCCCACTTTAGTGTCTCGCGATGAGAGATTCAACGGAATCCTTTTATAGCCCACGAAAGAGGCGGTGGAGGTTACAATTAAGATCCAATGTATCCGTTTCGACTCATTCATCCAATCTTACATTTCCTGGACGACTCACCTTGTTTAGCTTCATTGCAATCGTGTGGCTTCACATCTACCTTTCCCAGTCAGTACAGATTCATGTGTAAGAGCCAGATAAATCGATAAATTACTGCTAGTTCCTTTACATGAGTTTAATGCTCTCGATTGCAATCAAAATATACTAACATATTCACTGATTGACTAATTACCAGGACAACCTTGGAAGGTTCTTGATACAGCCGAGAAGTCCATGGGGTAGGACGGTGGTTAAGAGAATGATGAAAGAGATTCTAAGATCGGCTTCCACATATAGTGCTTATTGTTAGGACTGCCCTTGAACCTTGCTAGTTCGACGGTCGAAGGTCGAGGGTTTGTATGAAGGTGTAGAAATATGTAGATCGGACAAGCTGCCCCTCAGAGTATCTCTTACTTCCATGCATGCCTTTGCAATTCGCCTCCTGGATCTCTCCGGATAACTGATCGAATATCCTCGGTGTTTTGTCGTTAAAAAAGAAAAATAAGCCTTTCATCTCGAACAGCTCTGGATATAAATATCTGGAGTGAAGAATTGCTCCACAGCCGATCGGCACTTCGGTTCCGTCTCCACTCACGCTCGCCGTTTCCTCGAGTCTCTCGGTCTCTCCCATGCCATGCGCAAGTGGCGCCTCTCTTTCCCTCGATCACGCTCTTCCCCCGGTGGCTGAGATGGGCTGCAGTTCGACCAGCTCCGTGTCATGATGAGCGCCTCGGGCAACAAGGATTTCCGCGACCAGTTGGGCAAATTCCGTCTCGATTCGGGCCCTTCACTGCCGACGTCCTGGCACCCCCCGTCGCAATCCGAGCCCAGCAGTGATGCCCACTTGGCCCGGACCAAGCGCGTGTCGACAGCCTGTGACTTTTGTCGCAAGCGCAAGAAGAAATGCGACTTTCGCTACCCCAACTGCTCCGCCTGTACCCGCGCCGGTGTCCGCTGCACGATCCCCCCACCCGGCCCGCAGGTCGCCAGTGCCTCTGTGCCCCGAGATCAGCTGGAGAATCTTCAGAAACGCGTGCAATGGCTGGAGGAGGTGGTACAACGCAAATCGGGCATTGCGGTGGCGGATCTCCCAACGGGGGCCCCGGTTGACGGCGAGAGCGATCCCGACTGGTGGTACCAGGTGCCCGCAATGATCGCCACTGGGGGTGGTCGCCCATCGGCAACCTCAATGTCCAGTCCGGCTGGTAGTGGGGGCTCCTCTGCTACTGCCGGGCCGACAGGATCGGAGGCCTCGACTGCAGTCGGCACGGAGCTACCCAACGTCGGGGAGATCTTTCGCGACCAACTAGAACATCGCCGTCCGTCCGTCGCACGCCCCAAATCTGCCCCACGGGTGCTGCGGCTGTCGTCGCTGGAGGAGGCGGAACGAGTAGCGGGTCAATACTTTGACAGCATGGGCTACCAATACCCATTCATGTCCCGCCTCGAATTCATGGGCCATCTGCGACATGTTTACACGGGCGGTGTCCCGTCACCTGAAGTGCATAATGCCTACCACATTATCCTGGCTATCTCGCTGTTGATCGGGTCGGCCGATGCCACCCAAGCAGCTGAGTTTTACCATGCAAGCCAGGAGACTTTGCCGCTGGCACTGCAGAACGAAGATCTACCCGCTGTGCGCGCCTTGCTAGGGCTTGCTCTCTATACGTTGTTTGCGACAGCGGGGCCCAGCGTCTGGCATGTACTGGGTGCGACCATGCGGCTCGCGACTAGTCTCGGTCTCCACAAGGCGCGGTCGTCTTCGAACCTGGCAGAGGAGGAAATGGCAAAGCGGGCTTTTTGGAGTCTCTACAACCTCGATCGCCTCATCGCGAGCACCCTGGGCCGACCACTGGGGATTGCCGATGAAGACATCAGTGTGGATCTTCCACGGGAACTGAATGATGACGGGTTAGAGGCACCGGGGTCGAGCGCAATGACAATCCCCTTGCAAGTGGTGCGTCTTCGGCGGATCTTTTCTCGCATCTATCGATACTGTACAGTCCGCCTTCTCCCCTTAGACCTGTTCTCGCTTTCCATACTCACTCCCGTCTCTAGTATACAGCAGCCTGCCCCGCCCAACACCACAAGAAGCCGCCGCCATGCTCAGTCACTTCCGCCGAGAGGTGGATGACTGGCGGATGGCGGCCCCAGTGTATCCCTCAGCCCTCCTATACTCCACTTCGTACTATGACTACCTCTACTATACTACCCTCCTCTTGATGTACCGTCCCAGCCCGCGCAACCCGACCCCTGATGTAACCAGCATCGTCAGTTGCGGTGACTCTAGCATCCAAGTGATTCGGTCCTACTGGGATAGCTACTCGGTGGGCAAGCTCAAATGGATCTGGTTGACGTTGAGCCAAGTTTATTTTGCAGGCATCACCATCCTTTGGTGTCTGGAGCAAAACGCGCGCTCACTGCGGGAATCGCAGCCCGCTCCCTGGCACCCCGACGAGCAGATGATGCGACGCGGGATCCAAGCGGTCGTCGTACTACTCGAGGAGTTCGGTAAGCGACGACCCGGGGTCGACCGTCTGGCTGAGACGTTCCGTCATCAGAGCACGATAATTTTCAGCCAGATGGCGTATCAGCAGCAGCAATTAGAGGCGCAACAACAGCGACAGCAACAGCCACCACCACAGCCTCCTCTGGTCCCTCTCCAGTCTGTATCGCTGGCGGCGCCACCTCCCCCTCCCGTTCCACTTGCACCTATTCTCGACGATGTTTTGCTTGAGGATGGCAGCGGGGCCGTTCCAATGATTGACCCACAGATGGCGGAGCAGCTCTTCTACTCGTACAATTGGTTCCAAGAGGAAATGGCTTCATATTATACCCTTTGAGATGTTATTTCCGTGTTTTCTGGCAGACTCGGGGCGCAGGGTTGTTTGGTCGATGTATTTGATCGGCGATAAGATAGCCCCGGGGAAACATCTGGGGGAGAGGCGGGGCTATCGGCCATCTCCCTCCCCTTCTCCCTTCCTCCTTCTCCACACCTTGGAAACCATGGAGACTCTCAACAAAACCTCTGCCCCCGCGTCAGGGCTGCCTCTCGCCTTCCATGGCACCGTCATCCACGCCCGCAGTCCAAACGATTTGGAGATCCTGGAGAACTGTTTTGTGTTGGTGGACAAGGACGGCAAGATCCAGGCTCTACAAGCGGATGTGGAGGCATCCCAGATCAACGGCATTGTCTCCAATCAGGGCTACGCCCCGGACGTCTTCCCGGTCAAGCATCTATGCCGCGGCCAATTCCTGTGTCCAGGCTTCGTCGACACGCACAACCACGCCCCCCAGTGGGCACAGCGCGGCGTCGGCCGCGGCCAGACCTTACTGGACTGGTTGAACCAGGTCACTTTTGCACATGAGGCCAAGTTTGCCGCTCCCGACTACGCCCGGCGTATGTATGCATCCTGCGTGGCGGGCTTCCTGCAGCAGGGTATCACTACTGCCGCCTACTATGGTTCGCACCATGGCGAAGCTACCCGCATCCTGGCCGATATCTGCCTTGACAAAGGTCAGCGCGCCCTTGTAGGCAAGTGCAATATGAACCGCAACGCACCGGTCTGGTACCGGGATGCGTCCGTATCTGATTCGCTCCGCGAAACCCGCGAGCTGATCCGACACGTCCGCAATATTGATCCTCAAACTCGACTGCTCACGCCCATCCTGACTCCGCGTTTTGCAATCTCTTGCGACTCCGACCTCCTAGCAGGACTTGGCGCCATCGCCACCGAGCATCCAGACCTGCCTATTCAAACACACTTTGATGAGGCGGAGCAGGAAATCCAATTCACAAAACAGCTCTTCCCGGAATTCCATACGGAGGTGGATCTCTATCAGCGATTTGGACTTCTCAACCATCGCTCCATCCTCGCCCACTGTATTTTCTTGCAGGAAGATGAAATGCGCCGCATCCAGGAGCTTCATTGTGGTGTCGCCCATTGCCCGATTGCGAACACCACCATGCGTGAGTTTATGGTTGCGCCCGTGCGAGAATACCTGCGGCGAGGGATTAAAGTCGGCCTTGGTACTGACAGTGGGGGAGGCTATTCCTCGTCGATGCTGGAGGTGATGAAACAGGCCTTCGTCGTGTCGAATGCTCAGCAGATGCTCACCCAGGGCCGGGATGCACCTCTGTCACTGCAGGAAGGATTCTTTCTGGCCACCCTGGGTGGCGCGCAGGTGTGTGGACTGGACGAGAAGATCGGGAATTTCGCTATTGGCAAGGAGTTCGATGCGCTGGAGATCCACACCATGGATCTGGAGCATGCGGGGGTCATGACTCCCGTGGAAGACGAGGACTCGCTCGCCGTGATTTTCGAGAAGTTCCTCATGACGGGCGATGATCGCAACATTGCCAAGGTGTATGTCCGCGGACGGTCGGTCAAAGTATGACGGCTAGTGTTTTATGAATGCATGTTTTATAGATTTCAAGATATCAAGTACAATTACATCGATGTAACTCCGTGGGTATCTCACCAAACCCAACCCCCAGCCCAAGACACCCAGGTATGTGTAAAATAGAATATACACAGCAAGCACCAAAAAGAATTCGCAGCACCAATAAGCCGGAACAAAGAGTTAGATGGTACATGTGATGATACAAGGGATTCAAACCGTGTCGAGATAGCAAACATGGTGCGCAGCGGCATATGTTCATGTTTATGGGGCAATGAAAGCATTACACCCATGCCCCCTTGGAGGGCCCAAAGTAGCCTCGCTCTGGAATATCCTTGTAGGGTGTGCCTTTCCCATCGGCGGTGGTAGTGTAGACGGTGTTTCCCCACCAACTCAGCGAGCCGGCCGGAAGGGTGATACAAAAGAAGATGATGACCGTGGACACCGCAACACCACAGTCCAGCGCGGCAGACAAGATATAGTCTAAAGACAGTCAGTAAAGGTGGCTGGGGGCGTAGGAGCCATAGGGGGGATATAGGGGGGTGGGGGAACGCACTATATTTGGACCACCATGCTGGCTTGCGGCGACGGACCACACCGTTGAAGATAACGTTGACCACCCACCACGAGGAGAAGTTCACCCCAGTAGCCGGAGGAACCAGACTCATGGCGCCAAAGGCTACCGGCCATGAGAGATAGTTCACGAGTTTCCACCGACGGCCCAGGAAATAAGTGATGACGACAACCACGGGACCCACGAGAAAGAACCAGAGCAGGTTTCCATAGATCTCCCCGGGCGAAAACAATCGACCTGGACCAACAGCACCTGGAAATGATGTGAGCCAAAGGCTGCCATAGAATCATAACAAGAAACAGAAGAACCTACCCCAGATTAGCGATGAAGAGTAGGTGACCCGGCCATGAGGACAAGTGAAATTCCCTTCTGCATTAGACGTGCAGACACCGCCGATGCGGGTGATCATAAACACCGTGACGCCACACTGGACGATCGCACCCACTAGCGTAGCGAGTCCTTGTGCCAAAAACAACATTCGTGGCGCAATGTGCAGGTAATGGGCCAATTTCATGTCAGCAACAAACTCCAGTCCTTGTTGGATGGCAACATAGCCGTAGAATTTAAACGCCATGTTTGCCACGGGCTGGCCCAGAAAAGCATATCCCCCGATAAACTCGGTGATCAGATTTAGCTGATTACTGCTGATGTTGGTCACGGCTTTGATGATGCCCACGGGAATAATGTAGACCATGGGCAGCAGAAAAGCGACCAGCACACCCCACGCCGGCAGCCCCGTATGCCAGACCTCGTTCGTCACAATACTCAACACGAACATGAGGACGGTGATGGCAACGAACCACCACCATGGAACGGTGGAATACACGGACATGAGCCGAGCATGGATGTCGGGCTTGTTGGTGCCTTTCCACTGGCGCCACAAGTCCTTGCCGTGGTACAACCCCACGTGGAAAAATATCCCAGTCAAGTTTGCAAAGGCGACACCAAACGTGACTGCATAGCCAGCCGGAAGAAACATAGGCGAGTAGTCCCGGTAGGCGCCCTGGTCGACTGTGCCACCGGAATTCATAATACGGCTGGTGTCATATGTCTTCCCAGTGTTGTCAAAGGTATTAGAATTCAGAAGGGGCAGGTACGCCGAGTACCAAGTGTTGGTGTAGTAAAGAATGGGACAGATAAGCCAAAAGAAGAGCGCAAATGACCCCATGACGTTCATCCCGGCCCAAAAGGGGACCAGCAGTGGGCTCTGGTTGGCATAGACCACCTGTGCCCAGTCAAAGGTCAAGACGGACATGCCCAACCCGGTAGTCTGTCCAAACAACTGATTGACCACCACATTCGACGGCACGATCCAGCAGATAAAGGTGAAGGTACTGAGACCGGTGAAAAGGTATCCCGGTGCGAAGTACCAGATACTGCCGCCCACAAACACCACGAGGAAGAAGCGGAGACGGGTGATGCGCCAGCCGTCGGCGATGGCATTGACTCGAGAGTGGAGAGTGGTCAAGAGCGCAGCATTTGACAGCACCTGCGGCCAAATCATCGAGGCCGGACCGACCAGCCAGCGCGCGGTCATGCCGGCCAGTCCAAACCCAAACAGTTGGGTGGTGATGCACAACAGGACTTCAAACCCACCGTCCGACGGCATGTGGTAGAATTTGACGACAGCCTCGATGACTTGGGTGGCAGCGGCGGACCCGAACGAGACGTTGGCCATGATGGTGATCAGTCCATGCTCTTTGATATTGAAGTGCCGGTCGGGGTTGAGTACGCCGACAGGCATCCACTTTGCCCATGCGCAGCCCACGGGGAATGCCAGCAGTTGTGCCACGAGCGCGCTGATGGTCACACTCGGTTGTCGCAAGCTAAAGAACTGGTTCAATCCACTGCCGACCTGTTGACTGCCCGTTAGCCAGGAATCACGGTCAACGAGCGCATCGAGCCGTACAATGGTGAATACTAGACCGATGACCCACATGCGCACGGTATTCACCGGCAGAGTTCGGTCATTGACAGGCTGGACGACCGCCCGCACTTCGGGGAACGGGGAGTCATCCGCCTCGTAGGGTAAAGTGGCGTAGGCATCCCGGTCGCAGAGCACGGAAATATCATCGCTGGGATAGTCGGACGGAGAATCCTGACGGGTGGAGCAATCCAAGTCAATGATTGACAGGTCATTATTTTAGGGGATATAAAAAAAAAAAAAAAAAAAAGAAAGAACGAAAGAAAAAGAAAAAGGGCTCGTGCAGCCCCAGAGAAGCGGCTCGCACCGACGCAAGGAATATCATGCATCATGCAGGTCTTCGATGGCAGTGGAGTAAGACGGAAGAGAGGAAGAGAAGAGAGAGGACAAGATCCAACGCACCTGGAAGGAGTCCCGAGACTTCTCCATTATCCCCGTTCAATGGAATCCGAAACAGAAAGGCGATTCTACATCATTTGAAATTGTCGGATGAGCCCGCTCGCCAAGAGGATCGTCGAGGATGAGAAGGTGAAGGGGAGAAGGAGATGCGAGAGACGATGTTCTGCCTCAACGGTCGGGTTAACCCGCTGGTGAGAGCGGGTCGAACCGCCCGTTTCATCATGAAAACCGATGGAATTTCTCGACTTGATCCATTTTCACCGGATATATAAAAGGGATCTCTCAATCAGTGTGATGCTGTTCCTCCGAAGACAAGTGGGTGGTTCTCTTGTCTTTCTCTTATTCCCTAGTTGATATCCTTTGTCTATCCTCTTGGCCACCATGGGTGAAATTGATCGAGATCGCCTTCAAGTACCATTTTCTCAACGGCCGATTATGATTCTGGGCGCAGGAATCATCGGATGTGCCACAGCCCGGCAGTTGCTCCTCAACGGCTTCCCGGTGGCGCTGGTGGCCGAATATCTACCGGGAGACCAAGATATTGAATATGCATCGGCCTGGGCGGGTGCTGCGTGGCATGCTGCAGGCGGCATCACTTCGGACCAGCAATATCTTCAAGCCGTCACCCACCGCATCTTGCTCAAGATGGCCCAAGACGGTCCCGAGTCTGGCGTGAGCATCGTGGATGCGCGGGAATATCTGGAACAGGAACCAACTCCAAACTCAGCGATTTGGGGGAAGACGGTAGTATCCAAGGTAAGAGAGGCATCAAGGGCTTTCTTTGCCCAGCAGACCAACTGCATCCAAGGACTCACCTGGGGCGATAGTTTCGCGAGATGAGCTCTGGGGAATATCCGTCGAACTTCCACTGTGCCTGGGCGTATGAGACGCTGGTCACCGATCCCACGCGACATATGCCATATTTGAGAAAACAAATCACCTCGCTTGGCGGGCAGTTTATTCGCCGTCGTGTCGGGTCGCTTCAGGAACTATACGATATGTTCCCGGACTCGCGCGTCTTCATCAACGCCAGTGGATGGGGCAGCAAAGACCTAGCAGACGTGCAAGACGACCGCTGCTTTCCTGAGCGAGGACAAAATGTGTTTCTTCAAACCGAGCAATGCCACACCATGTACTTCCGCAACGGCACCGAGTACACCTATGTGATTCCTCGGCCACTATCCAAGGGGGTGGTCCTGGGAGGCGTGAAACAGCAAGATAACCTGTGAATAGTCCTTGTGCCCCTCGCTGAGCGATGTCTCGCTAACCATCCATGACTGCACTTCCAGATCTCCCGAGGTGGACATGGATATTGCCTGCGACGAGATTGCTCGCGCCCATCGACTGGCGCCGGAGATTGTCCCTGCACAACCTGCCGAAGACACCGTGAGTCACATCATTGGAATCCGACCCTCCCGCAAGGGTGGTTTTCGGCTGGACTCCCAGCGGATCGGAAACCGCTCGGTGTTATCAGCATACGGGTTCGGCGGCGGAGGATATGCGTTTTCCTACGGGGTTGCGGACGCGCTGGTCACGATGGTCGCGCAGGCAGAGCGCGAGAATGTCATTGATGGTGGAAGGTCGCGTTGATCGTGGCTTCCCCGGCAGACGTCTGTACTTGCCGAAATAGGAAATGTTGATGCATCTCAGTCCATTGCACTTTCCTGGAGAAAGGGTGCATCATGGTACCAATGAGATACGGGAAAATTACCTTCCTTTCTATATAATTGTCTATGCCCTGGACATACCAGGAAAAGTACCTGCAAAGTACCCCGTCAGTACTAAATAATAAGAAGTCATACTGCTTCTCCTACACTTCGTGGATCAGTGGGATGACCTGCTATTTCTACCGGAGATACCATTGAATCTTGGAATTAATGTCAACATCGAAGACAGAGAATATCCACGTCTCCAGGGGGAAAAAGGCCAGGGATTAGTTTCACGCGGCTGGCACTGTCACCCACCTGACCTCCCACTTCCCTTCTCTCGAGAATTCAGATTCGACGATTGTTCGACCTCACAGTAGCTTCCCTTCTCAAATACCCACAACGATATCCCCATCAAATCTCTTCAAGTTGGTTTCCTCTTTCCCCCTTCGTGGATTGTGATCTGTGCTTGGCATCTCCAAGTCCCCCCGCCGGCGCTTTTTGCCGACCACTCAAACGCAGACCTGCTCGACTGACGCTGGCCTTCAAGTTTCATCTTTTCTTGTTCTCTGCCCCTCCTTCTGACGTTCCTCTTCAAAATCCCGAATCCACAGCCGATCGGGATCTCGGGAGGGTTCAAAATCCTGTCCTTTCACCCCCCACCATTCTCTTGCTGGACAGACCCGGTTGAATGAACCCACGGCCCTTTTTACCTTGTTCGTGCCGAGTAGGCGGAAGGGGTGTACGATGGTGTTAGACCAGCAGATGCTGCACCTCAGTATCGAGGACTATCGATCTCGGAATCCTGCCATGGTGATTACTCCACCGGCGGAGTGTGATTTGAATCTCCCGGACAAGCCGGTGACGGGAGTGGCCCGCAACGATCCCATGGCCCGGATCTATCGCCGCACGCCGACCCCGACGATCGTGTTGGATGGCTCCCTTCGGGTGGTGGAGATTTCCGAAAGTCATAGCGCCGTTTCCCCACGAATTCGGGAGCATTTGCTTGGCACCAGTGTGTACGACCTACCCCCGCGAGTTGTCCCAGCGCCGAGTCTTGCATCGCTGAGTGGCGCGCTGGGAGCCGCCATCACGACGCGCACCGTCCAGGTAAGCGACCAGGCGGTCGATCGCGATGCCAGCCTCTCCCTTCGAATCACCCCGATTTTTGAAGACGATGTCCTGATCTACGTGCTGCTCGAGGCACACAATATGCAATGCGACCGGGCCCAGTCGCACGCGATTCGGGAACAGACCTATCTCAATGAAACCTACAAGATTCTGGTGGACACGGTCAAAGACTATGCAATTTTCATGCTCGACACGCGGGGGCACATTGCAACCTGGAACGCAGGGGCCGCGATCCTGAAGGGATACACCTCCAGTGAGATTATCGGGCAGCATTTCTCAATCTTCTATGGCCCCGAAGACCAAGCCATGAACAAGCCTGCTCGGGAGCTCAAGGTTTGCTTGCAGGAAGGGGGAGTAGAAGATGAAGGATGGCGATACCGTAAAGACGGCAGCCGTTTCTGGGCCAATGTCATGATCACAGCCATCCATCAATCTGGTCGCCACGTCGGATTCGTCAAGGTGACCCGGGATCTGACCGAGCGGAAAGCAGCCGAGGCGCGCTTAATCGATGCGTTTGAGGAGTCCTCCAAGCTCAAGACCAGCTTCTTGGCCAACATGTCGCACGAGCTGCGCACCCCAATGAACGGGATGTCCTTGGCATTGGCCATGTTGATGCAGACCTCGTTGGATGAAGACCAGCGCGAGTACGCCTCGATTCTCGAGGATTCGACCTCGATTCTCCTGGAAGTCATCAATGACGTGCTGGACTACTCCAAACTCTCGTCGGGCTCTTTTTCTTTGACCGCAGATGTGCTAAACGTCTCCAACGTGGTCAGTTCCGTGACGCGTAACTGCAAATCGGCCCTGAAGCCCGGGGTCGTGCTCGAGAGTACCGTCGCTCCCGGTTTCCCCTCACATATCAAGGGCGACTCATTACGATTCCGACAGGTTTTGCAGAATCTCGTTAGCAACGCCGTGAAGTTCACAGAAAGTGGATATGTGCGCGTCAACGCGACTCATGCCATCGATGAGAGCGATGCACGGATGTACACCATCTCGATTCAGGTGGTAGACTCGGGGATCGGTGTTCCGGAGGATGCGGTCAGCACTCTTTTCACACCATTTACTCGTTTTGCCGATTCGGCCACCAAGCGATACCAAGGCACTGGATTGGGACTTTCGATCTGTAAGAGCCTGGCCGAGCTGATGGATGGGGTAGTCGGATTCCATGCGAACCCAGATGGGCCCGGCAGCGTGTTTTGGATGACCGCCAAAATGCCTTGGATTGATGACACGGTTTCTCAGACTCAGCCGTTGGCGTCTCCGGGCCACGAAACGTCGCCCTTTGATCCCTCGACCCTCCTACAACAGATTGGCCCGCAGCGGCATATCCTACTAGTCGAGGACAACAAGATCAACCAGACTATTATGTTGAAGCTCCTTGGCAGCCTGGGGTTTCAACGCGTGGACGGCGCCTGGGATGGGGCCGAAGCCGTGCGGATGGTCAAACAAAAGCCGCTCACGTACAACTTGATCTTGATGGATATCAACATGCCGGTTCTCGACGGTCTGGCAGCGACGGAGCAAATTCGCCAGATCAACGTCGATGTGCCCATCATTGCACTGACAGGGAACGCCTTGAAGGGCGATGCCGAGACCTACCTGGCTCGGGGCATGAGCGGGTATATTGCTAAGCCCCTTCATCGGCAGCAGCTAGTGGATTTGTTGTGGAAATGGTGCGGATCCTAACCCGGCGCCCTGCGATCTGATCGTTTTGATTACTTCTCCCTCCTGTCGTGACAAGCCGAACCACTTGCTCATGCAACCTGCCCCGACCGATCCTCCCTCGTTGCTAACCCCTGCCACTTAACCCGCGAATGAACCAAGACCTCCGCTTCATAATTGCGCAACCGGAAGCAAAGCCGTTGCTGGGGCCAGTCATGACTAGCGACTAAGGCTCGACCTTGGTACTGCTTCCGGTGCTTGTGCATGGATGAGCGGTTCTGGTCCCGGTTGGGATCAGATACCATGCAGGTGCCAGGCCAGGGAAAAGATTTCCCGCAACGAACTGTAGGCAGCCGTATCGGAGAGGAGGGGGATATGACTGCTGCAGGGACCCATGGGGGGCTCGTACATAGACCGATGATTGTTCGCTATTCCCGCAAAGATGCGGGGGCTAATTGTGGAACCTCGCAGCGGGAAAATCACAATGCGACTCGAGGAATTGACCCCCTCTCACAACAAGGCGCCAGTTCAACTGATGCGGGGGATTTCAGGGGCTGATATCGCCATGTACGGTGATGATTACTCCAGAGGGGCGAATCGTGATCGGCGCCCACTTCTCCACATAGGCGAATCAGGGTCAAAACCCGGGTGATTTGAATTCGACGGAGGGATATCCCAGCTACGATGCAGATTTCGATTTCTGGTGATTTGATATGGGTGATACCCTCTCCCGACTCTAAGGTCTTGACCCCTGGTCCGACCCTCCTGATTTTCAGGGTTCACATGGTCCGAGGTTCAGTTGGAGATGGAATAATGGAAGCAGTTCGCCATTTGACTTGTGCTCAAGCAAATGGCCTGAGAATCCAGAAGAATTGCTTTCAGAATTTGCGGGTAAGCTGGGAGAGGCTTTGCATCCTTCGGGGGTGGACTGGCGACTAATCAACAAACTAGCGATCACTCCATTTTCAGTCGACTTCGGGCACACCGACGATCTTCACATGAGCTCGGACTTTCTTCTTTCTTCTTTCTCATTTCATTTCTTCTTCTTTTTCTTCCACCTCCGCGTGAGTCTTGTGTCAACAAGTACCAAATTGTAAGATGGATGAACGCCTTTCTCTTAGGGTTCGTCCGAGTCATGGAAACAATTATTAGGGTCCTGTGGCCATTTCTTGGCCCATAGCGGGTCCTACCATCAGGGATCGGCAATCCAATAACCTGTTGGTACAATCATGCAACCAGTGACCCGTCCAGGCCCACATCTATACGCTTATCACGGTTCCACCACGAG